GCTGTTTCTCGCGTGCAATCCGAATAACTCCGAAATACGGGATATGCACCCGCACCACGCTCTCCTCCTCCGAGAGCATCCCATCATGCGGTAACATAGCCTCACTGCCCGCCTCCCGCACACTGACCCGCCCATGCCCTTTCTCCAGATCAATCGCCAACAATGACTTGAGCAAATCTGCACTTTGTGCACTCAATTCGTCCGAATTTAGCCTGCTAATCTCGCTCATATGTTCCTGCACCTGTTCGATCATTCCGCGATCGCTTAAATACTGGTTCGCGAGCAGATTTTCCACTCCGTCGCTGTGACTATCCATGTGTGCGAGTAGGAGGGCCATGGCCGTCATGAGGGCGAGGAAGTCGACCGTACGACAGCTGTAAGCGATGCGATTGAAGCTGCGGAGCAAGTTGTAGCGCGAGAGAACCTCCCGCGATGCATTGACGCATATGATCCGCGAATACTCGTATTTGTTGTCTGCGGATGAGGGGCGCAGCATATACGGTAGATGCAGCTGAGTGAGAAGGTTGTAGTGACAGATCTGCAGGACGAGACGGCGCGTATCCCAGAACACAGCTTGCAGGCCATTGGAGGCATTGTCGAGTTTGGGGGCCAGCCACCACTTGCTCGGGAGGCTACTCGCGGCTTCCTGTAGGTCCAGGTCGATGGCGCGGGTGACGGCAAGGTCTTCGCCGCTCAGCTTGGACGCGTTCCGTTTGAGGATTTGAGACATGGCAGCACAGTGCAGCCGCTCAAGACGGCCCATAGGGCAATCGTTGGCGATGTGGGTCTCCGAAGCCATACTATGGTCAGTGAAGCCTTCGGGCAGACCGAGCAGGAGGCAAAGCTGGCGGTCGAGGGTCATGATGCGGAGCCACATTATCTGTGAGTCGTATTTCGTTTGAGGGTGGAGCGCTTTGTACAGGGCCTGATTATCTGGTCGATGAAAGCCCATCAGCTGGGCGAGACTCATCGCTCTGCGACCTGCGACCCAGCTTCGTCGAAGGTTCCCAATGTTCACATGATATAGGCTCTCGAGCATAATGCACTCGAGGCTCTCGATGCTGCCGATCAGTGCCTCGTTTGTCGTGACGTGGTAGACAGCAAGATCTACTAAGCGTTCCATGATGGCGCGGGGTGGTTCTGACAGGCCTTCAATCTTCTTGTGAAGATCTGGGGGAAGATGTTGTAGGAAAATGGCGAGCTGGAGCATGTGTCTTGCGATCAAAACAGGATTCATATTTGGTTCCGGGGTCATCAGTAAACTCTGGGGCGTTTGGAGGCCGTTCTGAAAGAGGGTGGTGTATGGAGTCGTTAATAATTCGTGGGAGAGGATGGAACAGTGACGACTGGCTTTGCAGATTATTTCGATATCTGCGCGCGACGGCAGTGATTCATATAGAAACAAAGACAGCCTCTCATATTCAAATTGAGTGGTATCATTCCTGGTGGTCGGGGGATATTGCTGGAAGCCGTCAGTCACAATCATGGAATACTAAAGAGAAGGAAAAGCTGGAAGGGAAGGACCTCAAGAGATTTGTAGTATTGGGAAGGCTTCATTATCGTTGACACGGGTGTGAAAATACGGTCTGCCCTCTCACAGGGTGTGCCAGGGCGAGTTCTGCCATCCAAGGAAGTGACATCACTATTGGTGGTCCCAATGCTCATGGGGACAATTTCGAGATCCTCGGGAAACTCCTGGCTAATACAGGAAGAGCCACGTCGTCGACAGCCATTGCAGGAGGTACTCTCAATGCGCGGATCGAATCTACATTTCATCTTCCGACGCTTGCATTCCCAACAACTGTGGGTACCTTTGCGCACCTTTCTCCGTTTGGCTTGCCCATAGTCGTCATGCGACGGTGCAACATGCGACGGTGCAACATGCGGAACAGACATGGTAGATTAGAAAACGGACATGGAGATGAGAATGTGTTACGTTGTGAGGAAGCGATGGGAAAGGATAAGACTAACTACATGTTGTTGCGTGAGTGAAAGGAGGGGGATATCTTTGAGCTTACTCTGGCCTTAGTCATCCCATCCACATAATTCACTAGCTAGAATAATTTATTGATAAATTATATAGACATTGAACCAGGGCGGTCTTTCTTTGGCCCCTAGGGTAGGCTTATAGTATATACCTTATAACTACTAGAATCTAATCCGTTAACCCTCACTAATCTAAAATACGACTCTATTATGTGAGATAATTTATATGATGTAGTGGGAAGTGGGATACATAAACTAGCGGTGTGACAGAATATGTGATATATAGGGCATACCTCGCTGTATATAGCAACTCAAACACCCATTTCTCTTCCACGCTATCCCTAGGTGTCCTTTCTTTCTCTTCCGTAACCCCTAGAGGCGGAGCTGCTTCGCAGACAGCGACCGTCTCAGTTCCCAGTTCAATATATAGTTTTGAGAAATTCTAGTCTATTACATTCTCTTCCGGCCCCACCTTAGCACAGATCAGTCATTTCCTTGAACATACTTAGTTAAGGAAGGCTGTAAAATGTACCTGGTATGATACTGCCCGGGTTTTCCTGTACGTTCTCATTTACTGCTCCTATCTAATCTAGTCTAATCACCTGACATCTATATCATATTTTCACGTAAGGAGCTCCATGTATATTTATAAGAAACCTTTTGTGACTGACTAATTATAGATATACACGCCACAATAAAGTGAAGGAATGAAATTCATTTATTTTTGTTGGAAATTTGTTATAACGAACTCATTATAGATATACGCGCCCTGGGAAAGAGAGCCAATGAACTCCATTAATCTTTGTTGGAAAGTGTTTATAATTAACCATACAGGTACGCGCTATGAGAAAGCGAGCCAATGAACACCTTTTATCTTTGTTGGAAATTTGTTATTATTAAATAATTATAGATAAATAGCCTAATATAAATACAACCCCTGCGATAATAGCACCCTCAGGGTCCATAATAAGGTAATTGGACCCTATCTGATCAAAAGTCTTTAATTAGAGAATCCTTTCGCGACCCTTTCCAATATTCTAGTGTTTGGCCAGCCACGTTGGTACGATATCCCAAATAGGAAAATATAACGTCCTCGTCTGATTCGCCCGAGTTTCGCAACGGTTCAATATGCTGTAAAAATTATTACCAGCTCGAATGATACGTTGATAGGAAAATGTGATTCTCTATTCCAGAATTAGCCTAATATGTTCAATCATCTTGAAACAGTACCCAAAGCGCGCGGCTTTCGAGGTGGCTCTTCCAGGGTGGCAGGGCCATTCTCTACCCCTGATGTTGGTACTGTCAATTCAACGGCTCAAGGTCGTAATATTTATACTCTGTAATCTGGCCTTCAAATTCATAGCAGTTCTGAAGACATATATTATTAATATTGTTGCGCTCTCAGTTCTGCTTTCACAACTTGGGCAATAGAAAAACCCCCCAAAGCCAGATTCCCCATTCAGCCTAGCTCCGTATCGAATCGTTCTCCCAATATGAAGGGCCTTTTCACTCTCACTACGATAGTTGTCACCATGGCTACGATGGTGGCGGCCGCACCCGCCACGGAAGCTGTCTCGGTTGAAAAGAGAGCGCTCATTCTCGGGGTAGGCCGTAGATTTTTACTTGAAGTGACAGATTTAGTTACATGCTAATGACGAAATGATATTAGGACAATTGTGGTGCGTGGCAATGTTTAGATGACAATGGAAATTGCCAGGGTATCTTCTACTGCTGGTTTGGAGATGATTAGGTTCGATCTGCATCGAACCCTTGTTGTCAAACTTTCCGCCAAAATGAATTAGCGCTACTACGTTTTGAAGCATGAGACCCGTAATGAATGTGGATCAAGTTCCGAAAATAACGGATAATATATTCAACTTCTGGACTAATGTCTTTTGTATGTCAAAATGTTATGATGATCATTTGCTCGATTTAGTTCGCTCTATATATATGCTGCTATGCGGAAGTGTTATCAGACCCATCGACAGCTACAAGGTGGTCGCCTTGAATGCAAAAGTAAAACAAAAGAAAAATAGATGCGCAAGCGCGTAAAGCACCTGAATCACATCAAAAGTAAATTTTGGTCCTTGCCGCCTTCGCCAGGAACCTTTTCCCTTTCTCTTTACCCCGAGTTCACTTCCCAACTATTCTTTTCAATCCCGTTTAGCTTGATCCCCCATCTTAAGCGTACGACCTTTCTAGATCTCGGCTGCCGCTTGCGCACTCGCCTGAATCAAGGGAGTACAGTGAACCTCGCACTGCACTCCTACCAGGCATCATCATTCTTCTTCAGTCACACTATCCTAAGCGGTTGATCTCTCTTATCTGCGTCTGCCGCACCCATAGCCATTTGATAGGCCCTTTGAAATTGGCCCAAGACCCCTGTTCCAGCTATGAAGTTGGCCCCGGTGGTGTGTGCTTTCGGCCGCGTCAGAAGCAAGTTGCGATGAAAGGCAATCCCTTGGTCAGATAGCGGGCCCCACATCCATTCGTGTTATTGGCGATATGCCTCATACCAATATTCTGCATGCAAGAAAAACACATAGCTGTAAAATCATGATGATGACGGTGAGAATGATATATATTTACACATAAATACGTATCTACTCAGAGACGAGATATAGGGCGTTGCTATAAGGAAAAAGGAAACGTATGTACCATTGACCCGCTAATCGGAAACGTAAAAGAAAAACAAAGAATATATAGAAACACTCAGTCTTGTACAAAAACAAAAGATAACGATAAACAATGAAAGACAGTAGTAGAGAAAAGCAAGGAAATAAAGACAAGTATTAAGGAGTGAAACAGCAGACCAGACAAATCGCAAGATGCACCCAGGTATGCACATGTAATCTCATCTCGTCAACCCATCTATATCCATATCATTAGGAGTGCAGTATCCATATTCCATATCGAATTCTTTTTTAGCAAAACAAAAGTTCCCGTCTATTAGGCATAGATGGCATGAGAAGAGGAGGATTCGGGTCTCATCAAAAAAAGGGAGGAGGCGATGCTCAGCCGTAGCGAGCGCTCAGGCTGGCGAAAGCATCAGGACTGTGACGCCCGTTCTGCAAACCATTAACGTCCACACTTGGTTGGCTCATGTGGGTTCTCTGGAAGCCCTTGTTGGCGGGGGGTGGGCCCGAGAAGGGCGAGAGTCCACCGGCAAACGGAGAAGGACTTCCAGAGAAGGGAGAGGTTCCACCAGCAAATGGGGAAGTTGAGGTGTTCATCCCTGGGGCTGGTGCCGCGGGGGCGTTGACCCCATTGCTGGTACCCATTCCAATGCCTAGGCCCGAAGATGGCGGCTGCAAAGAGATTCCCGCTTGGGCTGCCAGGCCCGATCCAACAGATGCGGCACCGAAGGGGTTGCGAGAGGCCATGTTAGAGCCACCAAAGCCAGGCTGGGGTGTCGGGAAGGTTGAGCCCGGCTGGGTCTGGGGTGTGGAGCTCAGAGAGGGACTAAGAGTTGGGACAGGGCTGGTTCCCGCGCCAGGCTGGAACTGAGAGTGGTCGGGGATAGAAGGAATGGGAGGGACGGCGGAAGGAGTTTGGTTGAGATTGTATAAAGAGAGAATGCTGCTTTTGTCCATGTGGCCTGTGACTTGGGGCAAGAGTTGCTGTGGTTGCGGGGGTTGCTGAGATTGGAACTGGGTAGGATAACCTCCTAGGCTCGGGGGGGTATTGAGTCCCATGGCTTGCTGGAATGGATTATAGGACCCTTGCCCCACGCTCTGCGCCTGTTGTTGTTGTTGTTGCTGTGTTTGAAAAGAGGGCGTCGAACCAAATGGAGATGTACCAAAAGGTGAAGTGGAGGAGATTGCAGGCATGGTATTTGCATGCTGGGGCGGCCGAGGGGCTGAGATTGCGGGGACCGATGCAGAAGACTGTTGCGCTTGAGGCTGAGTCGCAGAGTTTTGCGGCAGTGTGTTGAAAAATGGGTTGTTCTGGGGGACATTGGGGTTAGGAAATGACTGAGCGCCCACGCCGCTCTGCGTCTGAGCCGTGGTCTGAAAGAATGGATTATAGCTGTTATCCATGGCTTGAGGAGATGAAACATAGCTATTCTGGCCAAAGGTGGACATCGCCGGGGGTGTTATGGGCTGTTGGTAAGTAGCCTGTGGTATCAAGCCGGTTTGGGCAGGATACCCCCCGGTGGAGTGTGGGAACAACGGCTGGGACACTTGAAGGCTTTGGAACGAAGCCTCCAGAGGCTGGGCGGGTTGGGATGTTGAATCCAGTCGGTCAAAGGGGTTATATGATGCTGTTTGTGGCTGCGGCGGCGCTGGGTTATTCGCTGTTGCAGTCGGCATATCGAACGGGTTGGTTGAGGTCTCGACCTTTGGCGTAACCGCTGCAGGAGCCGCACTCGGAGCCGGGGCGGCTGCAGGAGTCCTTGATCTCGACACCGGGTTGCTTCCCTCGCCCAATCTGACTAGAGTCTCAATCGATTTATCCAGGTTCTCATTGAGGCCACGCAAAACCATCTCATTACGTCGATCGTTGGTGAATCCCATCTCCCGTAGCGAGGCCATTTTCGATTCGAACGAGGCTGTTGTCACATCGGCGACGGGTGCGCCGAGACCAGTCTTTTTCGGCAGCGGCGGTGGGGACCATGATCGCTGGTCATATGTGGGCGATGCCGATGCGGACGTCGACCCCTTGGACTTGGTTCCGAACCGGCGGAGGTTTGAGGTTGAGGAGGCTGACCGCAGGCCGAATCCAAAGAACTTGCTGCCCGATTTCGGTGGGAGGGGTGGAGGTGAGCTCTCAGGCGACTCGTCGCGCAGGTATGAATCGTCATAACTTCTTTCCTGCTTCCGCTCGCTGCCCCGGGTATAGCTGGAATCCTCGCGGCTCGGGGGTTTGGGTTTCCCATCTTCCAACGATCGGTACTGGTATTTCTGTCGAATGAACCGCTCCATGACTGAATCGGACTCGTCGATGTCCGTTGGGGTGGCTGGCTTGACATTCTTGGGGTTGAAGATCTTGTTCATGAGCAAATTGCCATGGGATTTCATATTCTGTTGATGATGAGAGACGTCAGTTCCCTGACGGGGAAGGGGGGACCGGCCTCATTGGGGCCTGCCAATAGGACAAATCGACTCACATCGACCTGTTCCGATGACCAACTGTCCATTGTCAAGGATTTGATTTTTGAGATATGTGTGCCCAGCTTGCGATGGATTGCGGCGCACCGCATGCAAAGAAAAATACCCATCTGGCGACACGCGATCAGTTCGACAATGCAGAAAGGAGGTCATGACGGTCACGGGGAGGATGCATACGTTCCAGCTTGCCCATCCTATGGTTTAAACGAAATGGATTAGCAGGCGTCAACTTCTCTCGCTGTGGGGAGGAACCAACCTGGGGTCAAGGCTTCGCAATCGGCGCAACGGTCATTACCAGGAACCGTCCGGATCAGGTCGGCGAGGGCCCTCTCATTGCGCTGCTGTTGGCGCTTACTGATGGCACTCGGCATAATGAATGAACGACAAAAAGACAACACAAGAAAAGAATGGACACAATACAATTATTGCACAGCGAAAAGAAATAGGGGAGGGTGTGGAGGGGGTAGAGAGGGAGAGTGGAAGGCGGAGAAGGTCCCGAAGATCCCAAAGGCCCGAGAATCCGCGACGGTCCAGCGTTCAGGGCCGCTCAGGGACACAGCAGCAGGTACCGCGGACACACCCCGGAATGCGCTCCAGGAAGCTTGTCTCGCGCTGCAATTGGGATGTTATTTCCAGCTCCACCGTCTTCTGGAATGGCTCTAGAAATCCTCTTTACGTCGTCGCATCCTGCCGGCCTCTGGAATACGCCGATCTTGGGCCCAGCCTTCCCTTGAATGGACACCATTCACATCCAGGTCACATCCAGGAACGGCCCCCAGCCAGGGCCAGGGCGCACGCCACATATCTCAGGCAAGATCTCACCCAAATTACGAAGTATCCGGAGTCCTGGAGTCGAAGTCGGGATACTCGGGAGAGTATATCTTCGAATCTTCTACTCCTCTCTTGTACTACACATCTTCAAATATATTCGTGTTTATAGCCGTTGGGATGTCCGAGCAGCAGGTGACTCGCATCCACCACTGCACTCAGGAAGCCGAAGCCTCCAGAGGGCCGTGGAGGAGCCTTAAGTTGCCCAGCGATTCTTCTAGTACGCCAATATGACCTGCCATCCTATGGATAGGAGGGATTGGAGGTTGATTATGCGTTCAATGATTTTTTCATGAAGTGTAATGAAGAAAAGGAAAGGAAGTGGAGCGAAAATTCCCCTCAAATAGGGCTCTGCACGTGACCCGAGTTGGGTCATGTGACTCAAGCGGCCCGAGTCCCTTTTCTTCCTCTTTTTTTTCTTGACTCGCTTCTTCCTTCTTCTTTCTCTTCCATCCGATGGCACCACCTCCATCGCTGATCCATGCAGGAATCCTTTGATGTGAGGATCATTCGGCAGTGATCTGAAACCCGAGTCTCCTGGGCTCCTTCCCCAGCACCAATACATAGCATAATCCGTAGATGCTACGAACCCCACATAACCCGCGTGGTGCCTCTTGATGGCACTGGACGCTTCATGGGTGATTTTTATCGTTCGTTCAGTGGGAGAACAAAACACAACAGCTTTTAGCAGGGCTGCGTCTACTCCACCCTGGTGCTCATTATCTATTGAGCAGCAGGACTATTTTTACGACGAACATTCCGCATCTTGCAGTCTTAACAATGCCAATTTATTTTGAATCATTTTTCTGTCGTGTTCTGTCCTTAATCCCTTGTAGTCAAGACTGAGAATCTCATGTCGTCTGGAGTATAGGATGACAGATTTTATCTCGGCCATGAAAGAAACTAAAGAAACATTGAGAATAATAATGACATTACTGGATGAGAATCACTTGGAATGGCTCGAGGCATGATAAAATCAGCGAGGCGCAAGAAGTCAAGTAGTTGCACTCGCACCTAGAACTACGGACTTCATTGTTAGCCCGTATACATGATCCTCAATGCAATAAACCCCCGGGATTCACTTGTACTTCGGAGAGCTCACGAGCTAGTGGAGTTTACATTATATCATGTTCAACCATTATTGAATATGATATCTCCCTTCTACATGACAAGGGCTATTCCCCCCACGATAGCTGCCCCAACAGCGACAAACACAAGTTCAGCCACCTTGGCTGCGCCACCAGTCTTGGTCTCGCTTGCCGCAGAACCAGTTTTACTGGCGCTCTCGTTAGTAGTCGAACTCTTCGTAGAAGATGCACCTGAGTCGGCAGTAGTGGCTGCACCAGATGTCATGGTAGCGGCGCTTCCGGCACTGGCTTCGGAGGTTTGCTTTGAATTGGTGCCGGTACCAGTCGGCGCATTGAAGCCCAGTGCAACAGCAGACGCCGGCAGGGTTTCCGTCTGCGAGAATGTGGCCACATAAGTTCCACTTTGGCCTGACTGATACATAGTGCAAAGGACAGAAGATCCAGCGTTAATATATTTACACCCAACGGACGAGGATCTTAGACAACATTAGTGACACATTTGAGGTCTACACGCTCATCTCCCAAAGCAGTCTCTACTCACAGGGGCTCCGACGGATCCGTGTAAGAGCACCCAACATAAGATGGGCCCATGACAATAGTGGCACCAGCACTAGGCAATGTGCAAACATCGGTACCGCTGTTGTCGCATTTGGCAATATAGGTGGTGTGGGTGGCATCCTAGACAAACTATTTAATACGGAACGCCTTTGTCCTGGAGCTTCGAGATCACCGCTTACACTGCCAGCGGTAGAGATTGACACATATCCAGAGTCGACAATAAATTGATTCAAGAAAGGAGAGTCAGCTATGTGCTGATCGGCAGCAACGGTCGCAGCACCGGCGAGGATCAAAAAGCTTCGAATTGACATGATCATGCTATTGAAGAGAGAATTGATTGTAAGACAGAGCACGACTTCCTTGAGGAAATAGCACTCAAGGACCAGGTAATGAGATTCTTGTATTCTTTCTTGGAGGCTGCCAAGGGACCCTATTTAAAGCTAAGGTCGTATTGGCTTTTAAGCCAAAGCTCGGCTACGTCGTGTTTGGACCCTCGCTTCAGGGGTCTCGCGGGGAAGAAGCGAACCATTGGGAACAAAGGGTTCACCCGTGGCGTTCGCTAGCCATGCTTGCTAGCCTCATTGCGGCTCCTATTCTTACCAGCTGGATAGAACGGTCGGCAACATCAAAGTTACTCACAAGTATTTTGGGTCGGCACCTAGCGAAGAAGTAGATTTGTCTACAGCAAAAGTCGTCATAGCTGAGTGAACGCTAATACAAGAGTCTTCAACCCGACACGTTTCAAGTCATGACTTCTCGCTACAACCCTTGGAACAATTCGGCACTTTGTCAAAAGGGTGACAATTTCACATTTTTTACATGGTTTAAGAACATTCATCCAGAAAATCAGATCCTTTGTCGATGTGAGACATTGCTGCCAGCCATTCGCATCGGTAATAGAGGCGCATCATTGCCAGGAGGGTCTAACCGCTCTTTAAGTTCTGCTCTGGCCGCATCGCATCATGTTGAGCCAGAAGCCACAGGTTTCAGTCTTTGCCCAGATTTAGGGGGTTGGTTGGCCATTTTCATCCCGTGGCTTGTTTTAGTTCTCTCCCACGAAAGACAACCAAGTTTCCTTTCCCCCCATGTATTCTATAGCCGCTCGGACGATCGCATCTCCGGAGCCGCTCTCTATTTCCCCGTGCGCGAAGCTTGATCAATGTGGAACTAGGAGGATCCCACGGGGGATCATCATGCAGAATATATATTTTTAAATTCCGTCTTGGCTCAGCTAGGTGGTATATAGAATGTGTATCTGCGCCATAGTTCAGACAAGAATCCAGCCAAAGCGAATGACTGATAGTTTGCAATTCGGTCTTAAGATGTTAGAATATCGGGGAGTTGTCTATGCCAAACTATGAGGTACAAAATTATCCCCGGGAACGCTCCGTGGCGGCCACTGGTATGTCACGAAGCGAGACCAACCCAGCTCACGCCTAGTTCGTACCTACCGCATCAATTTCAAAAGCAGTCTTCAAGAAATCAACGCCGATAAACGCATCACAACCATAACCTTTTGTTCCCATTTTCATCCTCATCAATTCTCATCGCGTTACAGTTCCTGGCAATAGTTCAGACCGGGACTTCGAGGCGGTTAGTAGAATTCGCCGCCCTCTATCCCGCCTTGCTACTATAAAATTCTGTGATATCATATATAAACAAACAATGTCATATACTACTACTCATGCTATATATCCTCCTTTCCCTCCTACTCGTCCTACTGCTATTACCGCTATTACTACTGTTACTACTACTGCTAGGGTGCTACTTGCAGGGTAGCGGCCTATTGGCCAGGTAAGGAAGAATAAATACAATATTGGATCGTTATAGTCGAGGAAAAATAGCAAAGGTCAATTATTCCAATAACCGAATCTTGAAGAAATTCAGTTCGAAAAAAAGGGGAATCTCCTTCTCTAATCTTAATGTCGTCATTTTGCTGTTTGCCGAAGGTATGACGATAACAGAGTCTGAGTCCGACTTGTTCCTTCCTATGAATCGCAGATCGTCATTTTTCAATAAGCATAGGCGTTATGCATATGATTCGTATCTGAAGTCGGCCCGAATAACATCAAGTATTATACATTGGGTTATTCTATAACAACTACATTTTCTCCCATCAACATATCACCACCAACTACTCCGACTCGCAAGCATCTAACACGCGATCAACGTCTACCTGTCTTAACACTGCGCGAGAGAGATCGTTTCTACGCACACACGGAAAAGACGTGCTAGAAAATCAAAGCTTTTTGATGAGCAATTAGATGATATAATTGCTTGGATACGCACTTCTTTTGGTAGTCGCGAGAAGACTGTAAATCAAATTGTTCCCGAATTGCAACTCCCAGTCTGCGGTGAACACTCCGTTAATATCTTAAAAAAAGTGAGGTGAATAGGTACCCAGCAATCCAGCAATCACCACTTGGTCGTAATGGTCGTAACGCATAAACGCTCGACAGGCTTTTACGTTGGTTGCTCGCCCGTCAAAATGGGTCTGTTGGAGATTAAAAACGATACAAGGGAGCGGTGTCGATAATTATGTCACTTTTTCCCTGGGAGATATTGCTTTTAATGATCCGAATTCTAGAAGATTGTATATAATTAGCCTACGGATATTATCTCGACGTTTGTCCGGCATAATTAGAACGCGACCCCGTATTATGGAATGTATACTGATCATACAAAAGCTAACCGGGGAAATTCTAGGAAGCACTGCTGAGTATTGTCTCCAATTATATATCTATTTTTTAACGTATTAACCTTATCATAATGGATCTGACTCGATCTTGGATACCAGATTAGCTACAAGTTCAGGGTGTGGGGAATAGGGCTTCCCGTCCGTTTAGCCGTACTTAAGCCCATTCTAGTACGCAATTAATTCTCAATGCGCCTGAGCTCTTAAATAGTATCGGATTTGATCTTAGGGTGAATATGGGTGATATGTGTGGGAACTTTGGAGACTGCGGTGATAGAAGTGAGAACGGTGTGAGAGGGGGCGAGAACTTGACCCGGTTGGCCACACTATGAACAAATTTGTTCCCCGGCAGGGAAGTTGAAGGGGTTTCGTCAAAGGCTGCAGTTGGAATAAATCACACTCCATACCATAACCAAGTCGCAATGAAACCAATAGGCTCGACGCAATAATATATGTCGGCCACTAAATTTGTGCAGCTCGAGAAGAGCTGAGGATTCAAGAAAAGTCTGTTTCTAATATTAGATCTGTCTCTCCTCCGGCAGCCAGATTAGAAACTCACAGATCGCTTCGAGAAATGCTGAATTTATTAGTCATGGTTGTGCAGTCTCATCCTTGACAACCTTATAATACTCGGCACAGCGGATCACAGTTGACCACGTGTTTACAATGTCAAAAAGCATTACTTAGTACTTCTTCTTTATGCTCCTTCGGTATCAACATCTGTCTTAGTATCTCGACCGTCAAGCTAATGCAAACATAAGTACGGAAAATTTCGCGTGTCCAATGGTTCGGGGATACTGGGACGCCACTGCCCTGATCGCTCGGCCCGCCCCATCTCTGAGAGCCGGTATTTGTGTTTGTGCGGCCACATGGATGAGGAGCCCCTGACAGGGGTTTCGTGGGTTATGGTATTGAAAGCGCAAGCTTTTGAACCAAGGGGATGCTTCATGCTTTTCACACATGTGCGTAGCACACATTAGTGAAGAATTGCAGGTGCTATTTTCGAGCTCGATGCCATTTCCGCTTGACAGTACGGGATATTTATCAACACTAGCCAGGGGAGAAGAAGCACCTGATCGTAATTTCAATTGTATTCTGATACCTAGCGCGCAAAGCTAATGCATGAGAGGCACATTATGAGCCGGTCCCAACTTGGGGGCCAAATATATGGAGTAAATAACATCCCTGGCCACCAACTCGGACGAGGGAGTTCTCTACCCTACCTCATCTTTGAAAAAGCTTTGCACCTACACTATCAATCCTTAAGAAACTCAAATATCAATTGCTCAAGCAATTCCAACCGGAAACGTCGTTATGGCATTGCCGCTTGACGATAATGTTCTGAATCAGCTCCAGGGCGACCAGTCCGGGCTCCTGGACAAGATCGATGAGCTTCGGACCGTTGGCGTCGGGGGCCTCGTGGAACTTCCCCAAATTGTTGTTTGTGGTGACCCATCCAGCGGAAAGAGCTCCGTGCTAGAAGCTATATCTAGAGTGCGCTTTCCGAGCAAGGCCACTGTCTGCACTCGATTTGCGACTGAGATTGTCCTTCGTCGGAGCGTTGACAATAGATTCAGGGTTTCTATCGAGCCAGGAAAAAGCAGAACAGATGCACAAGAGCTGGAAAAGCTTCGCAACTTTACCTCGGAGTCATTCTCCGGCAGTGACCTTTCTGCAATCATCGAATCTGCGAAAAAGTGCATGGGAATTTCCGAGAATGGCATACTTTCCAACTCAGGGTTCAGCGACGATGTGCTTAAGGTCGAGATTTCGGGCCCAGATAGACCAGAGTTAACTTTGGTGGATCTTCCTGGCATCTACCATTCTACAAGCAACGACCAAAACCAGGATGGGATCAAAGTAGTGCAAAGTCTCACTGAAAGTTATATTAAAAGCTCTCGCACCATCATTCTGGCTGTTATCAGTGCAAAGAATGATTTTCATCTCCAAAGTGTGTTAGACGTCGCACATAAATTTGACCCTGAATACACGAGAGTCTTAGGGGTGGTTACCCATCCTGATTATCTCCACGCTGGATCGGAAGCAGAAGCGTATTACTTGAAGCTTATTCAAAACGAGAAAGTCAAGAAATTGCAGCTCGGGTGGCATGTACTTTGCAATCGGCCCTTTGAGATGATGCAAGCCACAGATTATAGTCGAGATAACCACGAGAAGGAGTTTTTCAACGGAGGCCGATGGGCGTCGGTTCCCCGTCAACAAGTGGGAATCGGGAGTCTCAGGCACCGTTTAAGCAAGATCTTGCTCCGTCATATCTGTCGCAATCTACCCGGCCTTGTGGCGGATATACAGGGAAAGATCTTGCATCATGAGAAGGCACTTTCAAAGATGAGCAGGTCCAGGGAGACGGTTCAGGAGCAGAGACGCTTTCTTCTCGACATCAGCAGCAAATTTGCACACATTACGCATCAGGCATTAAACGGGTATTATGTCGACAGGTTTTTCGGAGGATACAAAGCCCATGAAACTAAAAATGGGAAGAATTGTTCTTGTTATTTAAGAGGAAACGTACGTGCACTGAACGATAGCTTTGCCTATGCCATGAGCCTTCGTGGGAGTCGCCGTTTCATTCACGTGGATGTAGAGCCAAAGGTGATTGTGCCAAAGGGGCCATCAGCACCATACCTCGAAGGTTGGCTTCCACAATATATTTCGCGAAAGGCACTCGCGGAAGAAATCAGGGAAAAGGCTCGTCAACGGCAGGGTTTTGAATTGCCGGGAAATTCGAATCAGTTTCTTGTTGGGGAGTTATTCCGAGACCAGTGCGAACCATGGAAGGCAATAGCCGAGACCCATATTTTGAATGTGTGGAACGCGGCGAATGCCTTTGTCCAGGACGTACTGGTGTATTTCTCGGACGACTACACTTGTGCTTTAATCATGAGGCACACGGTGGCACCAGAATTGGGGAAGATGAAACAAAGACTGCTGGCCAAACTCGATGAGCTTATCTCATACTACCAACGCGGCCATCCGTTTCCTGCCGGGGACTCTTTTCTCACCAGGCTCAAAGAGTCGAGAGAGAAGCGTCAAGTCGAAGTATTGAAGAACGGTTTCGGCCTTGCTGGGGGTATTTTCACTCCCCCCGGAGGAAAAACTATCAGCATTATTGATTTGGAGCGGGCGGCCAATCATCTACAACTATCTGACGACCAGTTCGGTGCGGAAGAGATTATCGATCAAATGCAAGCTTATTACGATGTATGTAATGAATGCACGTCGAACATGACTGTAAAGAATACTCTTCTAACTGACCTCAATATCAGACTGCAATCCTGACCTTCGTGGAAAATGTTGTAATACTGGCAATTGAGAATTGCCTGCTCTATCCTCTGGGGCGTCTTTTTTCCAGTCAATTTGTCATGGATATGGATGACCAACAGGTTCAAAAGATTGCAGCGGAGCCTCCGGAGACTCAAAGTGAAAGAAGACAGCTGAATGATGAACTTGAGAAACTCCGACGAGGCAAACAAACCCTCGGAGCCTTCATACCGACCGTATCCGCCTCTAACCTGGGTAAGAGCACTTACTTCCATTTTACATTTACAGACTCATTTAAATATTACTTTAGCACAGCCAGCTTCGCAGACACGGGCTCAGCATATAGCGACGGAAGGAATCTCATGCCAAAGTAAGCACGCAAATTACCAGCCCTCACACGCTGTCTATGTTCCCAAAATCGACTCTGGCATTTCTTTTTGGAAATACCCAGGACAAAAGCACTCATTGATATACCCATGTTCATGATTTGCCAACATTCCGCTGACCTTCCCTGCACAACCAGATGAGTTTACTTCATCCCATGTTGCCCCCAATAGGGCCAACAGTCCGTTTGGCCTCTTCCAAATGATTTCGCCCCCTACTGGGCCGAAAGCAGGGAAGGCCGATGGGCCTGCATCCCAAAGCGCCGGCGCCACCATCCAAACCTCCATATTGAGTCAAGCAGGCCCAGCTTCGATGATAAAATTTTTTTAGCTAGCACCCTTATCTTTGGCTGAGACCATTTGGTACCTGGTTGGTGGAATATAAATTCATTATGACCTCTAGGATGGAGAAAGCTATCCCCGTTCGATGAATATCCGCGTGCGAATTTTTTAGATTGATCAGTTATTATGATTATATTGAAGGTATTAATATGAAACTCCCGTGACTTGTGTAAATATTATGGTCAGCACACCATTTTAATGGTCCTGTCACGTTCTCAATTCAAGAGGCGAGGCGCAAAATCCAGGAAATTCTGATGAAACGAGCCAACATTAACCTCGAATGACCTAGACGAGATATTGAATGATCTACATGACTGAACATTATCTATAAACAATCTATCTAATTCTACTCCTGGGTATATCTGGTACATACGACCACAGGGTGTGGAGAACAGGGCTTCCCGTCCGCTCAGCCGTACTTAAGCCACACGCCGGCAGGTTAGTAGTTGGGTGGGTGACCACCAGCGAATCCCTGCTGTTGTATGTTTTTTTGTTCACCCATTATTTCGATCTCTATACAGGGGACTAATTTGTTGTTATCTTGAAATTGTCTTTATTCATATATTCCTCTAAATAATGTCTTTTTCCTAATTAGGAAAGTATATCCCCTTACTACCAGACTCGAATTATAGTACTTAGACGTAACTGGAAGGGTTTTGTTAGAGTACTAATTTCTAGGTAAGGAAGGAATGAATACTGACATTAAATCGTTATAGAATCAAGGAATGGTAAAATTAGTATAAATTATTCAACAACTGAACCTCTTCAAGATCCAGTTCGAGAGGGTGATTTTTTCTATATAATAGTGGAGGTAACATTCTAATAAACGGATGACGATGAATGAGATAGCATATCCTTAGCGCGTAATGTTTGCGTTTGCGTACTATGTTTGTAGTATCCGTGACTTCAGTCATATCCATCGCGTCATAGGTATGATTCGTATCCGAATTTGATCCGAATAGCATCATGGATGTGGTTATTCCATGAACGCTGAAACAGAATTACCCGAATTGGATGTGGAAGCGGCAAATCACAAAGCTGGTTTCGATACGCAAATCCCAGAAAAAGGGAACGGAGAAGGAAATTGTCAAATTGGTTGTTGGATTGATGATAGGTGGAAAAGCTTTCAAGTAGGGAGGTGGGTTAAATCGGCAGTTTCCCACCCATGACTAGGCACCTGGACCGCAGGTTTCTGGTAATAAAAAAAAACGCTGCTAAAATACATATTGAGATTCCGCCGCCACAACGCTGAGCCCACTACCAAGCGTGTTTTTCGGCGTTTTAGATGCAAAATATAGGGTATAGGATTAACCATTGCCCTACTGGATACATTAAATCAAAATCTCTTATAGTAGTGAAAAAACAGCGCTTTTAAAATATCGTAAGGGGGGAGGGGTTTGTATGACTCGCTAATGGATTATGTCATTATTTCTTATGGGTGCTGCTAGAAGATGTAAATAACAATAGGATAATACTGTCAGATGGGAATTTGAGCAGCAGACTTGTTCAGGGAAGAGCTTTGACCGACTGGTTTGCTTCTTGGAGCGCGCGCTGAGAGGCTAGAAGAGCGGGATGCCCTTTATTAAGCGTTCTCTCTCGCAACGCAACGACATTCTCAAGTAGCTCTATAGCCTCTTTGATCTGCCCGTTGGCTTGATATGCCTGTGCGAGTTCGCGCTGAGACGCTAGTCGATCAGGATGCTCTTCATTCAGCGTTCTCTCTCGCAACGTAACGACATTCTCAAGTAGCTCTATAGCCTCTTTGATCTGCCCGTTGGCTTGATATGCCTGTGCGAGTTCGCGCTGAGACGCTAGTCGATCAGGATGCTCTTCATTCAGCGTTCTCTCTCGCAACGTAACGATATTCTCAAGTAGCTTTATAGCCTCTTTGATCTGCCCGTTGGCTTGATATGCCTGTGCGAGTTCGCGCTGAGACGCTAGTCGATCAGGATGCTCTTCATTCAGCGTTCTCTCTCGCAACGTAACGATATTCTCAAGTAGCTTTATAGCCTCTTTGATCTGCCCGTTGGCTTGACATGCCTGTGCGAATTCGCGCTGAGACGCTAGTCGATCAGGATGCTCTTCATTCAGCGTTCTCTCTCGCAACGTAACGATATTCTCAAGTAGCTTTATAGCCTCTTTGATCTGCCCGTTGGCTTGACATGCCTGTGCGAGTTCGTGCTGAGACGCTAGTCGATCAGGATGCTCTTCATTCAGCGTTCTCTCTCGCAACGTAACGATATTCTCAAGTAGCTTTATAGCCTCTTTGATCTGCCCGTTGGCTTGATATGCCTGTGCGAGTTCGTGCTGAGACGCTAGTCGATCAGGATGCTCTTCATTCAGCGTTCTCAGTCGGATCATAAACACATCCTCAAACAGCTCTATAGCCTGTTTGATCTGCCCGTTGGCTTGATATGCTTGTGCGAGTTCGTGCTGAGATGATAGTCGAGAGGGATCTTCTTCTTTGTAGGTGATTTTCATCCATACAAACACATCTTCAAAATACCGCAAAGCTTCTGCAGCTCGCCCTTCCACTAACATACACTTTCCAATCTTCGAAAGTAAGCTGTATCTCTCAGTTATACTCTTACTTTCCTCTCTCCTAGTAACTGCAATAGCATGTGGCAGGTACGTGCTCCATATCGCACGATTTTTATATTGATCTGATGGAAAACACTGGTCCACATGCTTTATTACACTAGCAATAATCTGCTGTGTCTTCTGCATTTCTTTGATCCATGCTCGTACTGATAGCTGCACAAGGCTATGCATATCAAACATATCCTCGGCGGTTCCCATCTTGGTCAAGAGCCCATAGTCACACAGTATACAAATACCGAGCTCGATATCCTTTTCTGAATTCAGAGCAGGGAGAATAGATCGTGGTATTGCCTTTGGCTCCAGGTAAGCTATAAATCCTAACAAATCAGCAGCAGAAGGCTCAGAGCTTTTGATCCGATTGAATAAAATATGCCATATAGTAGTCACGGCGTTTTGCATTGTATAGTAGCGAGAGCTATCGTGGAAGTTCCTGCTCGCTAGACGAACTCGGTCCTGCTCAGTCTTATGCATAAGGTCGAGGTACTGAGTAGTCGTTATATGACTCAGATTAATATAGTTAGCTGCTTGCATAATAGCTAGAGGGATAAAGTTCAGCTCCTCTAGTAGTTGTAAAGCGGATTCTTGGGTGCCAAATGAGCTTTCCCTTATAACCTTAGTAAGAAAAGTAGCACCTTCCTCTATTGTCATCATTTCAAGTTCGACTATATCCCTTTCTGCAAAGGATACAGCTACCTCACGGGACTGAGTAGTTAGCAAAGTCACCCCTCGCTTATTAGCAGGGAGATACTGATTAAGCTCATTGACAAGCAATTCAATATCGTCAGCATTGTCGACTATGAAAAGCCACCTTCCAGATCTATCAGAGCTGAGGTGCCGGTGCACTATCTCCATCGGATTTTCACCGTCTAGGCTCGGATAAATTTGGAGCTCATTCGCGATTTGAGAACAACCCTGCTCAAAACTTTCGAGACTGAAGGCTGGAGCCCAGAAGACAGAGCAGTCTGGTATATGCGTTTTCACCCAGCCGGCAAGCTGGAGCGCAACCTGGGTTTTACCGATCCCACCTAGTCCGCACAGAGCTAATTTTTCAGAATTTGCTTGGATAAATAGCTTCTGTTTAAGCACATCTAGAGTGGATTGACGGCCAGTGAAGTGACGATTTTCCAAGGATGGGATTATATAGTGTGCTTGGGATTGATCTTCTCGGTTGTTGGGGCGGCCTGCTCTTGATAATCCAATCTCCTGTAAGATCTTGTCCTCTTCCATCGGAGTTTCATCACAGTGAGGTACATCGCTCCAATCTATGTATGATTGGGCTCCATCATCAAGGTCGATGTTGCCATCGGTATGTTGTGACAGGTCATAGCCTATATCAGACTCTTCCTGGTCGAGGCCCCTCGCCCCCGAGTCGACCCAGGAAGCTTGATAGTCAGTTCTTGGACTTCCGAAATCACTTCCTGTTGATGTTTCTGCAATACCATCTATAGATATCAGGCGCAGTGTAAGAAGCATGATGTTCTGAAGATGGGCAGCCACATGACTTCCTATAACCTCAGTCCCGAGCTTGCTTTTGGAAACTGAGTCGTCTGTGACTTCTGATTTCTTTCCAGGAATTATCTTTTGTTCGATATCCGGCTTGGTTTCGCCGCTCATCTTAGAGAAGCTCGTATCTGTCTTTAACCTTTTGGACCGACTCTCATCGGAATTAGCCATGTAATGTTTCGCTTGCTCGTTGCTTCTGGTGGTGCCTCTCTGACTTTCTTGGGGTACTTGCTCATCAATAATCGTAAAGCAACACAGGGGACATGTCCCTAGTGGCCGGGGGCATTGAAGCATACTCTGCCGGACAATGGCCTTGATTTGCTGCTCTCTGGAAATTTCTATGTGAAGATTGTCAATGTGGGCCGAAAGATCCTCAGGACTATTGAATGAAGCTTCCAGTTCAGCACATAGAGGGCAAATCCATGAGGCTGGTGCATATACCTCTTGGTGCCAATTCTCGCCGTGAGCGGTCACCATATGCTCGAGCCACTGCCGTGAGGAGGCGAATCGAGGCATGTATTCAGCACATTCCTCGGAGAGACAGATATAGGGTTCGAAGTCTTCATTTATATGCTCTCTATATATTAAGTGTAAGTGACAGTGTGGCTTTCGGATAATGAGAAGATCATACTGCCACTTGGGGGTCTCTCGAGACCCTGCCATGAGAGGGCTAAAACACCACTCACAGACAAGACTTTCTTTGGCTGGGTGGGGATACTCTGCCTGATTTACCAGAATGGAGACTGATTTAGTATTTGAAGTGGGGCTTATCGATCTTCGAAGCTGATCCTTCACCTTCCGACTGTCCACAGAGGTGGGCTCGGATTGAGGTACCCTGTTATCAGACGGAGGTGGAGGAAGCCGGGGTATATTATCAGTCAAGCTGTCGCCGATACGAAGCCTCTTCAAGGAGACACGCATGGCATCTGAGCCCGCGAAAGCACCGGAAGGCTCTTCCTGGATCGGCGTTAGTGGTATTTGTGATCGCGGAACAGGTCGAGTAACTTGGAGTCGCTCTTGGCGGCTTTTGCGCTGAAGAAAGCGGGCGTAGGAATCCGCCATGGATTGCGTGAGTCGCTCGATGAGACTATCACTGGCGTTCAAGTAAAGTGTGCGCAGTAATAGATTCGCGACTTGCTCGAAAGAAGTCAAGTCAAGAGTCGCAGCAAACGCTCTCGCCTTGGAAGTCTGGCTGCTCACTGATGACCGTCGAATGGCAGCCCCTAGCTGGTTCAGTCGCTCCAAGACACCTGAAATGGCACCCAGGCTCTTGATATTAACGGCAGCAGGCTGTAGCGATCGGAAGTTGGTTTCGGAGATATCCATATTGCCGCTTTTAGAAGAGCGATCATCTTCGAATACTGTTCTTAGGATCATTAGCTGCAGGATCCTGCGGTAACATAAACTAGCATAAAAGGAGAGATGATTCACAGTAGCTTAAATTCTTCTGCATAATGTTCAGTAAGCGGAGAACCTGGTCTTGTATCTCGATATGACGCCGAAGCCTTCGGTCCAAGCACACGTTTTTCTCAGCGAAAACCCCCAGGAACGCCGCCCAAGTGGAAAATCGCTGATACAGGTCCGATAACAACTTTTCTGCATTCTGATCACCATCGTCGTTGAGCCTTGAAATATGACTTATGTAGAGGCTTTCGCATTCCGTGGCAGACTCGAATATTGGTTCCTGCTGCTCGATGTCTTCCATGGCCGCGTGAATAAGTTACTGGGAGGATTGGGCTAGTAGCGATGCCCCACAGCAACAACGGTGTGAGCGCCCGTATTTGAATGTTGACACCAATATTGGGTATCGGGAAGCGAAAAATGGAAGATAAACGAACGGCCTCAGTCGGTCAAACTTGTACTCAGTCGTACTCATTAGCTTGAGAGAAAAATGACAAATATCGACCACACCCAAACCCCTCAGAAGACAGAAGACCCAAAGGTGGGGTTTGATTTGGAATATATGTAAGCGCTAGTATTGAGGGAACCAATTAACATGGTTGATTTTTATGAATCATGCAGGACATCGGTTTTGACAGCGACCCAGCCTGCCTTTGGGCGAGGGCTGTTACAGGCGCGTCCATGTGACCGATTGCTGCTTGCTCATAGCGTTCCCGGTCCGGTCAGACACCTCAGCTACAAGGGCGCGAACAGGTGCAAGACACAGGAAAAGCTGATGGCTCATCGTGGGGCTCATCTTTAATCCACCTTGAAATCACCTTTCGATAACGCAATCTGGCCAAAGACAGCGGGGGTACGGGCTGACGATGTTTTCAACCAGGCCAGTTAGCTGGGCCAGTCTTCAGACTCTCCGATCGCACTTGAATGGTAGGCTCGTCAGATTTAGGAGAAATGACAATGCCGCCAACAGCAGCCTATTGCGACAGGTGCAGAATGACGTTGACTTTTTCGAAGCTGATCTACGGTACATTTTCATGATCATTCCTACGGTTACAGATATTCCGGATGATGAATATGATGAACTTAATCAACTGTCGCATAATCTCCTCACTGCTCTGGACGGCATGGTTAATCAAGATTTCATCAAAGCATTCAAAGCGCCCAAGACAGGAGGGCCTAGAACTGGAGCACACGATATCATTATCGGCAATCCCTATCCGCGATTATGCTCTATTATTACCCTTTTGGAGACTTCCTCCAGTCATTTCCACTTGATAACAGGCCAGGATTCGCTCTTCGTACTAATCGAAGGCCAGACCCGGGTTGTTGCCATGGATGCTCTTGCCCATATGAAGGAGGTCTTGGAGCGGCTTGCAAACGGTGCACGGGAGCATAAATACCCTCGGTTGAGTCAAAAACCGCCAACAGACCTTTCCGCAGAGAAGCCCTCGGGGGCTCAGGATGGGGTGCCTCGAAAACATGCAAGTCTCGTTGTGAACACTCTGTTCAGAGATATAAGACAACGAAGTTGCGGAAAGCAACATGAAATTAAGTTAAAGGTGCCAGGAGATTGGCAAACTGGCCCCCAGAAGACTGTACTAGATATGTTTCTCTCCTGTTGCTTAGATCAAGAGGCATGGCATCGAACTCGATTCGGCAATTTTCAGTAAGCTTTCAGCACCATTTCTTTATATGGCATTACCCCCTTAACAATCGATCAGAGCCGGTATCAGCGAGAGGCAAAATGATGGCATATGCGCAGCAATCCAAAGGGCCAAGATACAGGGTCGAGCCATATATCTGTCCATTGACAGGCAAGAAATATTTGATATTTCCGACAAGATATCCGCAATGCCTTCGGTATCGACAGAATTGACTTCGGAGACGCTCGAGGAATTGTTGAATCAAAAGGCGCTCACACCAATCACCCCTAGCGACTATGAAGCAAAGACTGCAGTGACGAAGTTGAGTTATCGAGAGAAAGCGATCCTGGCCCTTAGCCTTGCAAGATGCCTGCTGGAGTTCATTGACGACGACATGGAGTTGGCTTCCCATAGCTGGAAGCCAGAAAGCATATATTTCCTCAAGTCTGCTGGAACCCAACAGGATCGTGCCCCATATATCTCACTCAAGCCAAGCCTCCGGGGTTGTCAGTTGCCCGAGTCACTGGGTGCAATTGGGCTTGGCAATCCAGTCCTCCTTTCGTTTGCCAAACTCTTACTCGAGATTGATATTGGCGAAAGGATAAAGAAAGAGATCGACTACGAAAGTAACGCGAATTTGTCAACATGGGTCTGGATGTGCGGTTTCGTTGACGAAGTCGAGCAGACTGGAGGGGGTAATTTCCTTCAAGCTGTGAAGGGCTGTCTGTACTTACATGTCTACAAAGCACACTATCAGTCAGATGACGTCGATGTTGGCTATATCACAAGGAAGGTAATTTACGAGCAGATAGTGCGGCAGTTGGAGCGCGTGATACATACTCAGAGCTTGAAGCGTAAGCGACAGGGATCCGTATCTGAGCCTCCTTTATCGAAGAAGCCTTCTATCGACACATCAGCACTGGAAATGGGCATGCAGCTTACAGAGGTGTCGCCAAATAAGAAAATACCATGGATTAGACCTGCTAGTCGAGCTGACTTCGAGGTTGCTGTCGTATGTGCCTTACCACTGGAATTCGATGCTATATGCACTGTTGTTGACGAATTCTGGGACGAGGATTTTGGAAAGGTTGACGGGGATCAAAATATGTATACCAACGCACGCATCGGGAAACTAAACATCGTTATCCTCCTCCTCCCCAACATGGGAAAAGTCAGTGCTGCCAGCACATGCGCCAGCCTTCGATCAAGCTATCCAGGAATTAGTCTTGTCCTAGTGACTGGTGTTTGCGGAGCAGTGCCTTTTCTTGGGGGTGGAGAGGAAATTCTCTTAGGAGATGTTATAATTAGCAGGCACATAATACAATACGATCTTGGCCGGCAATATCCTGATGAGTTCAAGACGAGAGATACAATGAATGACAGACTTAGCAGGGCACCCAAGAATGTGCGCAATCTCCTTGCACTTGTCGACACAAATAGGGGACGTGAGAGGCTGGAGCAGCTGACTAGCACCTACCTTGAAGATATACAAACCAAATCAACTCAAAAGCTCCGGGGGCCTAAATATCGGTATCCAGGAGCCTCGCAAGACCGGCTCTTTCAGCCTGACTACCGGCATCAACGCCGTGTCCCCTCCCATGCAACTACTCTTTCAGAAACGCACAAGACGTCAGTCTGCGCCTCCATCGAGTCTCACAAAGCATCATGTGATGAGCTCGGCTGCGATAGTGAGCAGCTTGTATTGCGGAAGCGCATCAAAAAGAAACTACAGCGAGAGGAAGCTGGATATATTAAGGAATCTCAGGCCCCGCTCATATTTGTTGGCACGATCGGATCGGGCGATACAGTTATGAGGTCAGGAGAGGAACGAGACAAGATTGCAAGTACTCATGGTCTTCTTGCATTCGAGATGGAGGGCGCTGGGGTATGGGACGAAATGCCCTGCATCGTTATTAAAGGCGTCTGTGACTATGCCGATAGCCATAAGAGCAAGAATTGGCAGGATTTTGCAGCTGCGACGGCAGCATCTGCTACCAAAGCTCTTATGAGCTGGTATATTCACCGGGATAAAACATCTAGGGCTTAGTATATAGCACTAAGTACCGTCTACCTCTTGGTTTTCAGGGCTTCACCCGAAAGGTCAACCACATGACTCAGTTCCAGGCCCTGCTTTTCTCCCGAGTTTGGCAAAGGCATCCATGGTCATACCACCGTCGAACAAGGCCCAAATGTCTTAGACAGGAGTCTTGATAAAATTCCCTGGCTGTTTTCTGATTCTATTTGAATTTTCAAGTAGTATTGCGTTCTCCAGGAGTGATCAACTAGCAATAGGTATATTATACCTACATGACAAATTAGAAGAGCAATAAATCTACTTTTCTGCTGTCTTAGTGGTTCTTTTTCTCGATCATATCACAGACCAGCTCGTTCAAAAGTTTGTATCCAGTCGTTCATTTTGAGTTTAACTGATCGAGGTAAGCTTGATCTTGGCAACTGTGAAAGACGTTTTGGCTGTAGAAGGGCATGGCGGTTTTGCAAGCTACTTTAATAATAATTCCAATAATAAATAAGCCTTCGTACTACCAGGCAGTCTGCAACGGCACGTGTACGATCTGGCCTATAAATACCCTCTTTACATTCTCCGTGATAGCCAGACAACACATCCAACGATCAGCCCGATATACCTTGAAATAAGCTTCACATTCAACGTCCTGGACACTTACTCAAATCTTCAGTATTGAGGAGTAAATCATAAATAAATCTAAAATGCCCAAAATTTGCATCCGATTTGTGTATACCAAGGAATTCCTCAACTGTACCGCGCAGTCAAAACACATTATTATAACCTGCGAGCCTCAACCGCCTTGTGATAAGGCAAGTTGCGTTGGATATACGGATAAATATATGGGCCAATTATGTCACATATGCTAATTTCTGTGCATACGATGGCGCAAAATGCATATTGTGACGAAGACTCTGTTCGCACGCTTGAATGTGAGATTTGGGGGGCGGGAAGAGAATCCCCCCTTCTTTCGAACTGAATCCCTTAAAGATTCCGTTATTGGAATAATAATACACTCTTGTTATCCTTCCGATTCTATCACGATTCTATATTGTATTCATTTTTCCTTACCTGACCAACAGGCCGCTACCCTGCAAGTAGCACCCCAACACCAAACGTGGGCTTTGGCGATGTCTATGCGCACTACGACCTTCCCTTTGCCTGTGGCAACAATCCAATAGAGTAATAAAAGCTGTCACTCTGTTCCAGACGACGTGGTGATTCTAGAAGCCTAAGGAATACTTCAAATGTCTAGAAAGTTTCTTCCAATCTTCTACCTATGCTCAAGGGAATTTCGCTGAAGGTTATAGATCAAACAAGAGCTAACTCAATTCTGAAGAAACTATCATGCTAACATAACCGCAGTAACAGCCGCTGCTAGGAGCATCTCCAAAGCTTTAATAAAAAGGGCATTTCCTTCGGACGTCACTGCCCCAATACTGTCTCTCTCATATCCGAGTGTGTCATTCCATTCTAGCTTATTTCCCCCAAGACCAACTTGTCAGACCGTTCGTCATCGATACTCCCGTGAAAAGCTATATCGAGCCACCCAATGAGGCTTGTACCTCTATTACTCGCGCCGAAATATCCTCCTGTCTCGATCCACGCGCTTTGCTGGTCCAAGTAACCCGTAATAGTTGCCGTGGTAATGGCATGAGAGAAATACTGCTCCCCGTTGCCCTCCCCTGAAACGTAATAACCCCCGCTGAAAAGCTCACCATGTTCATCCCGGATGTCGCAAATTTCAGAAACGTTGAACTTGAAGTCGAAAGTACGGAGGAAAAACGTGCTCATTACGCCGGCAAACCGGTAAGCATCACTATCAGATACGGTCATATTATAAAACCACCAGGTTTCATTATATACTTGCATACTGCTCGGTCAGTAGGATTAGGTTCTCACCTGGATATCTCGAGGACATACTCATAGCTCGAACTGATGTGAATATCCTGATATTCACTATATTCGGGAGTGTCGCCGTCGTTGGTCAAATTATATGCGGAGTCCCATCCATAGATATCCAAATAAAACGGATCAGGTGAAGGGTTCATGGGGGCCACTTTCTTGAAGCCAGCCATGGCATTGAAAACAATCTTGAATGTGCTGTTCTCATATTTCAGGCAGGTATTTCCGTTGTTTTTGAGAGATTGGTGTTCCAAATTGAATGTTAGGGTAACAGTTCCGTTATAGTAACTATCTCAAATTGTCAATAATGATGTGACATTGGTCAAAAGAGCTATGAGAACGAGGGATCGAGAACTAACGAGCCGATTTCGCCATAACAGCTATAGTCAAGTCCGGTGATATTGTACGGTCGTTAATTATTGTCAACACCATACGAATCAAGATAACCATGCACTGCAAATGGATTAAGCAAAATCAATCCAAGAAGTAGTAGACTATACATGATGTTTTTCGATGTTAGGAGCTAGACCAGGTGCCTCTCGTATTTATGTGTAATGCTCCGCTGCCAACTCACCTAAGCGAGTCGCTTGTTATTCTTTTTTGGTGGCGCTATCCTAGGTCATTCCGAGAGAAGAACCAGTAGAAAAAAAGTTGAGCAATCCTAGCAAAATATATCTCCCGATAACGTGAATCGAAACAACGTATGTCTACTCTCGATCAGCGACGGTTCAAGGTCCGTGTTGTCCCTGTGCTCCCCTGTTCATAAACCGCTCCACATACTGAATTCACGTTTGCCCATCTTGGTCTGGGCGGCACCCACCCGACTATCCGCCTCACATCAGCCACACGCCGGCAGCTGGTGGATGGCCACCAGCGAATCCCTGCTGTTGTATGTTTTTTGATAGCTTCATTTTTTTTGTTGGACTTCCTAAAATCGCTAGGTCGTTCTTGATATGTTAGAGAAAGTACTTGATATTGCAATGGGGAAATGGCCGACGAAGTGTGATCTCTGATTGGAGCATATCTTTCCTGATACACAGTCTTTACAGGGTATAGCTTCGTATCTCCGATAGGAAGAGGATCAACTTTCACGCACTCTTTTCGCTTCCTCTGCTTTTGCTATCCCTTTTGGGAGGCTTCCCTCATCGTGGTGTGTGGTGGGTTGTTGGTCTGTTCGCCGACCTATCTCATCCTGCCTGCGTTCTCAGGCTTGCCGTAGAGCGCCCTGGTTCAATATGAATATTAGTGGAGAAACAGCCTACGAGAGGCTATCTCTGATTGGAGGATATTTTTCATAGTACACCCTTTTTACAGCCAAAGCTTCACATCTCCGACAGGGAGAAATATCACATTACTTTTTTCACCCAGACAGCGTCTGTTTCTTTTTTAGCAGATCACCCTCCATAGTGAAGTGTGATGGTTTGTTAGCTTGTTCGATGATCCATCTCAACTGCCTGCATGTCACGCTTGCCGTAGATTGTCCTGGTTCAAAACGTACACGTATGTGAGAATGAGAAGAGAACATGAAGATGTTTTCGGACCCAGCCTGCTGTGATGATATATAGCCTTCTTGTCTAACTTTCATGTTACGCTAGTCCAAATACTGTAGCTTGATGGTCTGCTCTTAATCATGAAGGAAGTTGAAGAATGAATAGCCCAGAATTCCGTGCTCTATCACGTAGCAGTTACTCAGAATGCACCTCGCGGCACTGAGTTGAGTAAACCTAGACAAAGGACCAACCACAGGCAACGCGACTTGAATGGTATGGTCTACAGCTCTTTCCATACCATGGTCCTTCTAGGGTCGGAAGGATCGCTTGTGCTAGCAGAGCTGAATTTCGGCATTAAAAACAAAACATGCTTCGTTTTGAAAAACAAATCAATCATTTCAATCTCCCTGCCCCTATTCTAGACCCATCAATGTTACAAATAGCAGGTCACCTTCTAGAAGTATGTTCTGACTCATGCTCTTTCCTGTAATGGTGGCTATTCTTCTGCTCCTCGAGCCATAAGCTTCTGCTGGTTGGGATTTCACATCGAGACTAAACTTGTCCATGCGGATCATATCGACCATGATTCCATCGTCGTGCAGAAAGGAGGCTATCCATGAATGACCACCGTACTTAGTCCAATTGAAAAGTAGTTTTCCTTGGCGTACAGAACAATCGCTTGGACATCATGCTCGTTTTTAGGGTAGATGATCAACGCCGAGTATCGATCTGGCACGCGTCCATTCCACACAGATGAACACCTGGCTTTTTTGAAGTCGGCATCATTACGCCGTATCAATTGAAAATTCCATGATTCTTTGACTGGCTATGTAAGGGTGAATGCAGACAGGCAGACTTGTAAGATAATTGTGTCGCAAAATTTGAAGGACGATCGGTTGGAATAATTCTCCTGGCATTAATATGCTTCACATGTTACGATTTCTATCTACTATTGCTTTGAAAGTTTCCCCACGGATTGCCTCAAGCGGTGGGTACATACCTGGCATCGTGGGGCTAAGAAAAGATTGCATGGTTTGTCAGAGCAATCAAGTAGATTCCCCACCTCCCAAGTTCCTCTGTGCTGACTGTTGACTCTTAACTGTTCCCCGCGAGCCCCGCTTTGGCTAAATTTGTAGGCAGCTATGTTATTGGTATCTGGCTAGTGCGGGGATGCACGCAGTCTCTACAGTCCGTCCACTCCAACTCATATATGAAGTACTTCGACAAACTTCTCAGACGACCTGTAACTACAACTCGCATCAAAGCTTTGTCTTCGGAACCAACGGGCGTGACTCGATTTATCGGATTCTTCGCCATGTCGGATCAACTCACAATTATCCCGCTACGTATCGGCGGCAAAGAGACGGCGTCCGCCCCGTCCATTCGCTTTCCTGTATACTGTAACGCACAGCAGAAGGATGTTTATTTGGCCGAGTCTGCTGATGCGACAACGGCGAAACTCGCTGCAGATGCAGCTCAAGAAGCCTTCACAACTTGGAAGAAAGTTCCAGCAGTAGATCGTCGCGAACTTCTGCAAAATTACGCCAGATCTTTGCGCGCGAATACGGAAAGGCTCATCGCTGTTCAACAGGAGGAGACCAGTGCGCCGGATTTATGGTGCCGGAAGAATATCGAGCTTGCCGTTGGTTTGGTTGAGGAAACCGCCGCATGCATAACCTCGTTGAACGGATCCATTCCGCAAACTAGTTCCTCGTTGGTTCTATCTCTCGCATTCACCGTCCCCATCGGTCCTGTTCTTGTCATTGCACCGTAAGATCATCCCCTTCGTTAATCCCTCTCAACCGTTCTTCGGTTCAAAGGAAGATAAGTGACCATATATTTAGCTGGAACTCTCCCATTATCCTTGGAGCTAGAAACATCGCAACGGCTGTCGCCGCTGGCTGCACAGTTGTGTTCAAGGTATCTGAGAATTGTCCTCAATTACACCACCTTCTCGTTCATCTCTTTGAAGATGCTGGCCTTCCTAAGGGCATAATTAATGTAATCCAAGCAAGTCGAGAAATGGCCAGTGAAGTGACCGAGGCGGTGATTGCCCATCAAGCTATCCGGAAGGTCGAGTTCGTTGGCAGTGCCTCAGTTGGTCGTGCCATTGGTCAGCTCTGCGCAAAGTATTTGAAGCCTATATTCATGGAGCTGGGCGGGAAAGGACCCGCTATTGTGCTCGAAGATGCTGATTTGACGGCTGCTGCAAAGCGATGTGTACTGGGCGGTATGTGAATCTCTCGCTAACCAAAATATGCCCCAAAGGCTGTGATGCAGGTACTGATTCAGCCGTACTATAGCCTTTCTTCATCATGGCCAGCTTTGTTTCTCGACAGAGAGAATCATAGTCGCGGAGAAAGTGGCATCGGAGTTTCGCAAGCTACTACTAGCCGAAGTCGAATCCTTCCCTGTCACGGACGGAGTCAGTCCCAGGATCGTGGAAGCTTCTCGTCAAAAACTTCTCGATGCAGAGAAGAAAGGAGCTACTTTCCTTTATGGCGGCACTGACAAGCTTTCACCATCAAAGCTTCGCCCAACAATTCTTGAGGGAGTGACGAAAGACATGGATATCTATTATGAGGAGGCCTTTGGCCCTTCTGTAGCTCTTTTTGTTGCCCGTGACGATGATCATGCCATTGAGATTGCCAACGACAGCCCTTATGGACTGAATGCTGCTATTCACACGCTGGATTTCAATCGAGCTTGGCAGATGACTCAGGCTCTCGATTTTGGTCAAATCCATGTCAACAATATGACACCCCATGATGAACGTAAGAAGACAGTCTTGTACTTCGTTTTGCATTCAATGATGTACTAATTTTGCACTCCGCAGCGACATTCCCAATTGGTGGGGTAAAGGGGAGTGGATGGGGCCGAAACAATGCCCTTTGGGGTCTACGGGAGTTTAGTGAAACGAAGCTGATGACTTGGAGCGTCGAGGGACAGAAGTTTGTCTAGTCAGAGCCATCTTTTACACATAAGGACCTCATCGAATGAATCATTTCACATTTTTCAAAACTCAGCAAGTCTCAACTTTCCAGAATTCTCGTCATTGGGAGTTAATCTACAGACCCTGGTCTCCGAAGTCGACTTTCCAAAAAACCATGCTCTTCTTCCTTTGAAGCTCAAATTTTCAATGATTGATTTCTTGCAAAATACTGGTCATTGGAGAATCGCTAAACGATTTGTGGCTACGATATCTGCTCTGGGGAATTCTGCTTTTGGTTTAACTTCATAGTGACATAAGACCTCGAAAGTCATATTGTATTCTATCATATTATTCTATTAAATAGGATTGTTGGGATGATGATCAAGATTAATTCGCAAATCCGAAGGTCAGGGCATCACTTCAGAGTTTGACCTGATGATCCGGTACCGGGTGGGTCGCCTTCCTTATAAGATAGCCTTTAGCCTATTTAGATTAGCGAGCTATTTTATTAGAGATATTCATTAATCTGGAATCTAGGCTGTAGTAGATACTCTACTATTGTGGTCTGGACGGTAGGCGGAAGTTGCATAATATTAGAAACTTGAGAGGAAGTGGTAGATATGGTAGGAAATGGACGATGAATCGTGGCAGAAACCTCCGTACGTGAACAATAGTAGGCTCCAGATCACATTATATATACTTATTTATTGTGTTATATTATCTATAGCCTATACTAAATTAGAGGTTATATAATTTACTAGTAATATATTATTTATTAATACTTAGGATCATAAGAGCTTATAAGGATATATTCAGATAGTATGTCGAGAATGAGACGCGACAGAATACGGAGGCGACCAATTTGGTTCCCGGAAAATAAACCCGAGCTAAATAAGTTCTCATTGGGTGAGTAATGATTACCCCGCTTTTCAGACCGTTTCCTGGTGTTACGGCTCTGGGTTCCAGGTCTACACGGGATACCATACAAAACTGGTAAGGAATCGAGTATTCTTGTAATGGCGAGCCGCACAGAGGGAATGTGGGTCCTCGTGATATTCGAGGCCTTCTCCTCGACGACATCTTAGTTGCATTCTGCAACATTCTTTCACCTAACCGACTCTCCACCGCCCCTACTCAAGACCAATTGCCCTATTTATTATTTCTTCAACAAAAGTTGCAGCCCTTTTATCAACATACTTAAATTTTTCCTGGGAAATAAAATGTCTCATAGCAGTGTTAAGCCAGACAGAATATCGGGGAGTTGCCTATGCCAATCTGTCAGTTACGAAATTATCTTTGACAGGAACGCTCCATGGCCGCCACTGGTATGTCCCGGAGCGAGGCCAACCCAACTCGCGTCTAGTTTCAAATCTCACAAAGCATAACAGTCGGCAACTTGTCAATGTACAATGTGCCGTAAATGGACTGCCAGTCTTTTTACTCAATTTATCGTTGTTACTCCTGATCAGATCGTTCCTCCTTTATCCTCGTTTTCCACATACAAAGAATACTCATCATCGCCTGGACGGTTCCGCGGATTTTGTATCAAATGCGGTAGTTCTTTGATATGGAGGTCGGAAGATAAGAAAGATACATTAGATCTTTATGTTGGAACTATAGACGAACGATGGTTGATTGGAGAGAAGGTGAAAGGCTCGGAGAGAAAGACGAAGAACGGGATCGTTTTCGAGAGGGTAGGATCTGTTGGAAAGGAACTGTGCACGCCGTCTGAGTTCCAATTCTATTATGAGAATGCTATCCCTGGTATTACTGATCTGGTCCCTGGTGGACAGAAGTTTCTTGCGGAAAATGAGCCTGGTGTTGAAGAGCTTTATAATTGAAAATACCATAATATCATTCACAAGAATCATTGATGTTATCCAAGGTTCCGTATACTCCCATGAGTTTCTTTGAAGGGGCTGCGTTGGAAATTGCTGTCATGACTGCAATGTTCTCGGTGATTACACCGTTGTCGATTGACAAGACAGGAAGTCTGGCTTTCGGGTTCAGTTGCAGCAGCTCGGGCGACAAGGCTTTCGTCTCTTCATATTTGAGATCGAAGGATATGCCGGCCTCGTGAAGAAGAATTTGAGGGGCGAGGGAACATGCTCCAGGGAAGTAATAAAGCTTGACTGAAGGCATCTCTGAAACAAAGACTGGTAAAAAAGTACTTTCAATGTTGAGAGAGAATCTTGAATGTTCAACAGGATTGTCGATCATAAAAGCCCGTACGAGGAAAATTCGATCAGCACAGAAAGCCTTGGGATGTATGTTGGCCCTTGGCATAGACATGGTGGTCTTATATGTGTAGATATCTCTTTGAATCTTCTTCAAAGTCCTCGGGACAAAGATTGATTGCAAATCCAGACCTGCAATTTGAAACTGTCCGGGTAGTCGCGACGTCGGAATTTCGTCAACTCTGCGACTCCATCAACCTTGGATGAAGTCCACGCGACTGTCCGTTCGGAAATTTGGTTTAGCTGGATTGTCTAGGATTGGATTAGGTGCTTGCTACCATAAGCTCACATTCTCTGAGCTGAATATCTCTCGGGGTAGAAGACCTAATCTGTCCTATTCTCACAGGATGAGGGGATGTGTGACGTCGAGCCCAATTGGTATTATCACTATGTTGTATTTGTGGCAGTCTACAGCGATACTTGCATACGCATGCGCGTTCAAGGCTATCGTTCAGTTCAATGCAGGGATACAAAAGAAAACCTTCCGATTGGCCGTCCCTCAATATGCAGTAAGCTTCTATTAGTAAAACTTAGGCTCCGAGCCCCCCCCCTCTGTGAGACCGTGGCAAATACATCTATCTTCAATAGAACGCATAATACCCTAGAGGCTCAAACGAGCTAGAATATACACTTGTGCATGGTGTCTTATCAAGGGGTCAGTTTATTAATTCCTAGAGAGGTAGAACTTGAGTGACATGAATGTAATCTCTGATCGCATAATTCCAACCCAAAGTTCACCAACACATAGAGATAATTTAATCTTTGAAAAGATACATGTACGCATATTAAACCGTTAGATAGGAAAAATAGATTGATCTATGGTTTTGGCTGGAGCTAATCGCAAATCTTTGGAAGATAGCGGATCGAAGTTCGTTCTATATCGTTAGCTCAGATACCATTCAATTATATTCTAAGCCCACCCGATATTCAGCACTTGAGCACTTGAGTAATTCCACGCATCTCGGTGAGTCAATGTTGACAAACATTCAGAACGGCTGCCCCAGGGATGACAGCCTTGGGAGTGTACATTTGCCTTCGTGGCTAACACATCGCGGCTATGCTTAACCAGCTATGGCCCATCAATTTCATATTTCTCAGATTCAATGTTCTTTTGTCCCATGATCTTAATAACTTATTATTAATTTTTTTTTAGAATACTCAATTGCTACAGGCCAGAAGATCCTAGGGGGTCTCAAAGTCTGCATTTAGTATGAAACTGGGCAAAATTTGACTCTATAACGCTGCAACGCAGTGCATATAATAGGAGAATCTCCATGTGAAATTTTAGCTAGTTAATTGACTAATCAAAATTTAATTTGGCTAATGACATGAAAAGATTGCTAGGTTCATATTTCAAAGCACAGGAATGCATCGTGGAGTACTTATCATTTTCAAAAACCCCGGGATCACTCAAAAAGGACTTGCAAAATCTTGTGGCCTATGTTTTTGGCAGGAATGGGCGGGAATTCAGCATCGATAACATCCTGCAGCCCACTTTGAAGATCAACCTTGCGAGGTGGAATAAGCCATGGCTCGTCTCGCGCGGCGATGAACTTATGGCCAAGGTACAAGACCAGAAAGATGGCAATGCTAACATAGGCTGTGAGGAAAGTTGATACGTCCCATTCACGGGGGAAAAACATCTCAAATCCGTTCAACAAGAGGAGAAGAAGCATGATTGATCCCGCAGCATATGCCCCATACGGCTGTAAGAACGAGCGATACGGGAGCTCGTGGACCTCCTGGGCAAAAGTGGCTTTCCTGAAGCGGATATAGATAAAGCACGTGCATATCCAGCTAATATATCCGCTGCTGTTCGCGAGGTTGACAAACCAATTGAACACAGTAGTTGCAGACGAATTGACGCTCATGTATGCAAACACCGAGAAGAGCGAGGTGAAAATGAGTGAGACGTATGGTACCCCAGCACTTGTGCACCGCGTAAATACTTTCGGTGCCATCCCATACTTAGCTAGGGAGTAAAGACTTCTGGAAGAGAGGTACATCCAACCGTTACCAGATGACCACGCGGACAGGAGGATAAGGGTATTGATAACGGAGTCCAATCCCTTGATGCCCGCATTCTTCGCACCAATAACCCAAGGCGAAGAGGTCGCATTTTTAGACCCTCCCATAAGTCGGTTGTCATTGCTAGGGACAATCAAGCCAATCATCAGAGCGCCAAGCACATAAAATGTCACTAGCCGAATGAAGTATCGTCTTCCTGCTGTCGGTAGGTTACGTCGAGGGTTTTGCATTTCCCCCGCAGTAAGGGCGAGCAGCTCGGGGGCGAACACGAAGACGTAAATCGAGACGCGTAGGGCTCCAAGGAATGCAAGAAAACGCCCAGTCGATCCCCCGACTAGGTAATCATTCATCGGCCCAGGATCATGCCAGTAGCGAAACCCGATTGAGGTATGGTTAGGGCCACCACCATATGTAATAACCAATGCCATAAGCAGCAATCCAACAATGCCGATGACTTTGATAGATGCAAACCAGAACTCAGTCTCACCATATACATTGACTGGGAAAAGGTTCAGAGTCACGATCACGAGAATCAAAATCGTAATCCAGACAGCATTGTTGACAGATGGATGCCAGTAGCTGATGACAACAACCGAGGCTGTCACTTCAGTTGGAACCGCTAACACGAAGGTGTAATAATAAAACCACCCTAATGCAAAGCCCATGCTCCGCGAAACAAAGCGATTTCCGTAGTTTGCCACTGACGATCCGGGCACGGGGAGATAGGATGAGAATTCAACAATGGCCGTCAAGATCATGAAAACACAAGTGGCAAGCAGCGTGTACGCTAGCAGAAAGAATAGAGGACCGCCCGTATGAAGTGAATGTCCCGAGGTGACGAAGAGACCCGTTCCAATTGTGCCACCAATTGCAATCATCTGAATATGGCGAGAGGATAGACCTCGTTTCGTCTCATGGGGGATCTGCCCAATGCCCTTGGACTCCACGAGCCCCAGGTCAATTTCCTCCTCGACACCCATTTTTTCGATCTTGTTTTCGTCCTGTGTCTTTGGCAACATTGATTCTTGTATTGATATGAGTGTCTTATAATTTGAAGATATGGTCTTTCAATTGTGAGAGCAACCTTTGGAATAACTTCGATTGGAGCAAGGGGGGAGTATGCACTCTATCGAAGTCGTGGAGATCGCGTTGAATATGTACTCAAATGTGTCGGAAGATTTAGGCGTGCTTGATGTTTTGTTTCTTCAATTCTGTGGTGAGCTTCATTGTTTGCTTTATCTATCTTAAATTCCTTCCATTCGTACATTGAGGAGGGTTGGTGGCGCTTATCTGTAGGATCATTTTTGAAGCTTATCTGCTTCTCCGATCCAATCGCTGTCAACTGCTTGACCAAATGGAGTGTTTCAGGCATTTTCAGGTAATGAAAACAATGCCTGCATCAAAATCTGGTACAAGTTCCATTATTGGCCCGAAATAATTTTCACATATGTGCACCATCGCCCATCATTGTGGCGAGCGTGGGGATTTCGGATTTTCTCGGTCTGTCTTCCGCCCCGCTTTTTATACTGTAAAACGCGTATTCCATGCGCTATTATAGACCCGCCTGGCACGCAATTCGACTACTATTCTTCAGTTCTTCAAACCCTGCTTTGAATAGAGACATGATGATACGTAAAGATGCTGGCCATCATGTGAGGGTGCGCGGGCGATGGGGTTATCGGGTTATAAAATTAAGCAACTGGTCTCACCAATATAGCAAGCGATTCAGAATTCTTTCCCTCCGACGTGGTCGACCAGTTTGGCCCAGTGTACAAGGCCAGCCTGGCTCACTCAGCTATGTCTCAAGCTTGGAAGGCAAAAGCTCTGGCAGAATCACACCCAAGATGTCCCGGTTGCCAATCATCTTGATTTCTGGCATACAATTATAAGACTCTGGGGCAATTCGAGACCATCCACTTCCAAGATTTGGACGGAGATATCTTGTACTTGGTGCCGCAGGCAAGAAGGCGTCCTTTGAAATTAAGTCACGGGGTGAGAATTGCACATCTCCTCTCTCCCTCTCGAGATGCATTCGACACCATGATCTCGTTTTTCAGAACGCTGACAGACATGATCATCGCATCGATTGTCCGGGGAGGGGATGGCCATCTGTGGCGCCGCTCGCCTCTCAGGTTTGTGGGGTTCTCCACATCTCGGAGCTGTCCCCGTGGGGGCAATTCCTGCTTCTTGTTACAATTTTTAGAATGGCCGATGCTTTCGGTGTGTGTCCGGTTAAGCTCAAGAACTTGGTATTTAACTACAATTTTGTCTTTTTGGGACCGAAGAATCTGAGACGGCCACGGATCATCCGTAGATAGATATTTTCCCATATTGCACCCTTCTCCTGCTACCCTTACCATAATGAGGAATCCTTTTGCGCATTCTTCACGGAATTTCAACGATGATCCCTTTGAAATATACGGATACCGAGTCTACATAGCCGCCCTGTCGGCTACTTTAGTAAAAATCACGAAACGAAACAATCCGGATGTCAGCCTGCTAACATGACTTTCTCCTAGGCCTCCGCGATGTATAGCTACGACTCTGCATTTATTAGGGGGACGCTAGAACTTCTAGGCTTTAAGGGGTCTTTCGGCTTCGATTATGGTAGCTCGTTACTCTTTGTCCTAACGTCGTATCAATATTCTAAGCAGGTGTATTCTTCGGTGCTATCTTCGGGTTCGTCTTTGCTAAGTATCTCAGTCATAAGCCCGTTATTCTTAGATCGGGCGTTTTTTTTGCTATCGAATTAGCTCTTTAACTCCTAGGACGTATGGCTAAGCTCTAGACCAGACAAGTATTAACCGGACTAGGAGTCGGGTAAGTTATTATATCTATTTTATCCTTAGTTATAACTAGGATTCATAAGCGATCTGAATAGCGTATCGTCTACTATAATTCCCGCCTTCATCACTCAATACTCGCTAGCCCTTATCCGTAGGCGTCCTGTCGGAATCTTCGAGACTATACTCTAGGTCGCTCTCGTTTTCGGATTCTAGGTTAAGGAAGGTATTAACAAGAATATCCCGAGTATAAATCTAGCCTAATAGAGAATTACTATTAGCGTATAGCCAATTCTAGCTAGGCTACTATTAATCTAGATATTACAGATAATAGAAAGCCTATACTAACTAGCTACTAAGAATTAAATAATTAAAGTATACAAGAATCTCGCTTAGGTCTGTGATCTTCTATTATACTATGTCTATATAGCGAACCAGGGCGCTCTAGGGCAAGCCTGCGAATGCAGGCAGGATGAGATTGATCGGCAAACAAACCAACACACCACACCAAACCACGATGGAAGGGAGCCTCTCAGAGAGGAAACAGATGCTGCTACAGCGAAATATGTGTAAAGGTTGATTCTCTCCCTCTCGGAGATGCGAAGCTATATCCTGTAAAGACTTTGTACTAGGAAAGATATCCTCCAATCAGAGAGCACCCCTCGTGTGCCATTTCACCACTACAATAGTTAAGTGAGAATCCATATTATGTCTCATGTATTTCAGTGTTGTGGTGGGAAATAATTATTTTCAAAGCCTAGTAGATAGTGGAGTGTTCGGAACGCTAGTGAATTAAGTAAACTTTTAATTTGACCTAACGCGTGATGACAGGTAAGCAGTGATCTCGTATTGTTCAAATTTCCTTAATCGTACCTCGTGCATGAATTGCTGAGTTGGGAAGCCCAAATGTGGCCTTGTGGCGGAGAAGCATTATATTCAAACTAAATCAGTTTGGTACATCACTTTCAAGCAAATGGTTCGCATGGCTTTTTGAAGTCCTATATCCACAACCATGCTCAATGCTCTTTGTGGGTAATGGTCGTTTTACTGGCGAGATAAGAAATCACGGGCGTTGATTTGACTTAAACCCAGGACCAATGCCATAACACCTGGTGTAAGATTTCTCCTGTTAGTAACATCCAAGAGGCTTTATTCAGTTCTTCAAATGCTGGGAATTTTAACCCCTTGCACCTTGTATTAGTCTTTTACGCCATAATATTGAAGCATGGTGGGTTGAGACTCTTGACATGCGTCCGTGCTATGTCTAGCCAAACTCAATATTTGCCATGCTTCGGCTTTCTTTGGGGACCGGTGCATCGCACGGTGATACCCTTGACAGTCAGTTGATCTTCTCTCCGAAAGCTTCACGAAAATCTACTGATTTTTGAGGACATAAGCTGTCCGTGGGAAGCATACGGTATAATGTCCCAGCGTTTCGTTGCATAATTAAAGTTTAGTGACAGACTGTGGTAAGTAAATCTTGAAGATTAATTATAATGAAGATTTGGCTGACGCCGAGTAGCGTTTTGATCACGCAATCCGTGATTAAACCTTCTCCGCCTCTTCCACAGTCTCGCCACCCTTAGTCAATCCCATATCGTTGGCAAAGGTATCATGGGGCTTCCAAGCAGCGGAAGTTCGAGGGGAAGTCTCTTCCAGCATACGATCAATCTGCTCCAACGAAAGACCCTTGGTCTCCGAGACGCATAGAAAGGCAAAGAGGAAGCAGAAGATCAGGCATCCACCCCAGACAAAGAAGACCTTTACCCCAAGGTTACCCTTATCAGTATCAACCATGTATGGTGTAATTATGGCGATAATCTGGATATGAAAGCCAACGGTTAATAAAGAGAGTTTGAAGAATCGGGAAATAATATTTGAAACATACGCAATTCCAGAGCCAGTTAGAAGCAGTCGATAGAGCGACGCCTTTGGCACGGATGGGTAGAGGGAAGATCTCTCCAACCAACACCCAGCAGGCCGGACCCCAAGTCGAAGCAAATGCAGCGATGTAGCAGCAAGTGAACACGATCAGACACATGTTGGCTGCCTTAGATCCAGGATCGGCGGTACCAACAATGGCAACAATGAATTCGCACACACACATCACCACCGCACCATACAGCAACAGGGTACGTCGGCCAAATCGCTCAATTGTCCAGAAGGAAACGGGTGTGCAGGCAACATTGACGATGTTCATGATTGTGGACATGAGGAACGAGTTCGTCATGCCGACGGATTGGAAGAAGGTGGTTCCATAATAGACTGAGTAGAGAGTGTTGTATTAGCTTTGACTGAAATGATGACAAAGTGCAACAACGAACTTACAGATAAAGTTCACACCGGTCCACTGCTGGAACATCTGCGCGAAGACACCAACAAAGACACGGCGGAGGTTACCGCTGGGACTGCTGAAGCCACCCTTGAAGCAATCGACCCATGAGGTGCTAGTCAGTTGAGATTCATACTCATAGTTTGCCTTGATCTCAGCCAGCTCAGCCTGGATCAACGGAGTATCGGCTGCCTGGCCACGAACGCTTGCCAGAGAGGCCGAGGCTTGTTCCAGCTTTCCAACTTTGACGAGGTATCGCGGAGACTCGGGGAGGAAGAACAAGCCGAGAGCAAGGATACCGGCCCAAACCAACTGGATGGCGATTGGGATACGGTAAGAACCGGCATCTTCCCTGTTCGAAGTTCCTTGGGTTGCGCCAGATGCTGAGAGAAGACCAATGGTAACGGCGAATTGATAGATTGACACCAGCGTACCACGAATCTTCTTGGGACTGATCTCAGACACATATAGAACCACGGTGGCAGATACACCTCCCACACCAAAACCAGCGATGAGACGACCGATAACCAGGCCAGTAACATTGTGTGAGGCAACCTGTCCAGCGACACCGCATGCAAAGATGAAGCAAGAAATCATAATAGTGAGACGACGACCGATACGCTCCGCAGCCTCACCACCAATCAAGGCTCCAAAGAAGGTTCCTGCGGACAGGATCGAAGTAATCAGGGATTTCTGCCAACTCGCGAGCACATAGCCAGTCGAGTCGATGTCGGTGGACACAGCGTGGCCGAAATGCTCCTTGACATAGGCCATACCCTCGACACCACTAATATATCCAGAGTCATATCCAAAAAGCATACCACCAAAGCATGCGAAACCACAAATCAGATAGGCTCGAAACGAGATCGGAGCCTCGATTCTGCTCACGTCGGAGCTTCCTATGGGAAGCTGCGCCATTATGGAGGAGGAAGGTGAAGACTTCTTCAAGTTAAACTCTGTGAATAGAATATGAAGGATCTGAACCAGACAAGACGAATGGGAAAAAGTAACCTGACGACGAAGGAAAGACGGCAGAGGGCCTCAACTCTTTATTATCTCTCCACCTACGCCTACCTACCGACCCTCGTTTCCGATAATCCCCCGTACCCCGACATTGTGGCCAGGTTACACTCGGCAAACGTTGCTTAGACCAACAGGACCATTTTTGATGCCCCATAATCTCTGGAGTTTGCCGCCAAGGGTTCCCGATGTAAGGACAGTTCGCAGCCACATGTTTAGAGAACTAGCCTGACTAGCCTGACCGAGTGCCCAAAGAAGGAAGCAAGGTCAAACCCCCCTGAAAAAGAGCACCGAAATGGTCGGGCAGCACGTTCATCCTCATACTGGCCAGAGTCGGATTTGCGAGTAACATGAGGTCAAGAGGGAGAATATCATGGTGTGGCGCAACTAGGCCGAGCGACGCGTCACTGCGATAGCTTGGCAGGATTTGTGATTTGCAAGGGCCATCTCCAGTTTTTCAAAACCCCCAAGTTTATTTCGGCGCTACCCATGTTTAAAATTAGTGGACCGTGGGCAATTGCGCTATTGGCTTGCCGCCTGTTTCTCCGTACCAGGCGAGATTATTGCCGAAAAGAAACGCGGGCCGAGTACTCTCCACACGCTCATGGAGGGCAACCAATTTGCTGATCCATGGATCAATCACAGTTTTGGCATGGGGATTTAGATGCCAAAAAAAATCAGCTTGTTCGGGTAAAGTTCGGGTTTATTGGCTCATTTCTCACATCTCCGCTTCCAAATATCCTACCATGGTCTAACATATTTCGCTGTAAGTGCCTTCCACCGCTCCACACAGATTTCCAATTTTCCCTACCACCATATTTTTTGAATTCATACCCAACACCACCATCATAATATGACCAATTTCGATGAATCGAATCTCGCATTTCAGATGCTCGCCTAGCAACATCAAGCGTTACAAAGCCTAATATATCGCTGTTGGCACGTGAGTTTGAGCGTACACTAAAATTGTGTCAAACAGAAAACAGGGCCAAATAATACTGAACTTTGTGCTGAATACGCTCTCAAAGCCTACCAGAAAGAATTTCTACCTGGTTCATTTTCAAAAGAAACGGGTCTTTGTAGAAAGTTTGTTCAATGAATCCAAAGATTTACCACCGAGAACGACTACTACAACATCTATAAAGGGTTATATTACGCTTGGTATAGCAGTGCAATGGCTTCAATTCTTCATTAAATCAACAAATAATTGAATAAAATCAGGTTAAAAAACGTATCCTAACATTCGATAATCATAGTTTCTATTTTTACGCGCTGCTAACTTCTTAACGTAATACGTGCGTTAGGATAACGCACCTTTCTTGATAGCTCCGTCGATCTACCTTGCAAGTTTACTGTTACCGAGTCTCTAATTCTTTACACGGGCTCAGGTCTATAGAGTAGACTGATGACATTACTAGTCGTAGAGTGCCTAGTTAGTTTAATTAGTACTTGAGGATAACTACTAAGTATTCCTCCTAGTATAGTATGGTATATTCTTGTATTGTACTATAGATTGAATCAAGTAACTAAAATAGTCGATAAGTAGATTTTAAAAGCATAACTTAAAGACAATCCAGAGACATAATGAACGGGACAGGAAACTCATAGTGGTAGCGGGGGTGCAAGGTGCACTAAGAAAGACTTTGAGTCTTGAGATCATTCGAAGAAAGGGCAAGGCGTTTAATAGGCCTCTCCCTGCATTCGAGTAGTGTATAGTCACAGTGAATACCACGCCAGAAATACGCCGAGAAACCTCAGATTGATGTCTACATGAGCCTTCTATGCAGGCCAGGTGCTCTCAGAGGGGTGGGGGTGGGGGAGAAAAGTAGTGCAGAGCGGCAGTGTATAAAGCATTTTTGGCGGGATTGGGCACTCCGAGCACCCGCAGGTTCAGACATACTGGGTATCACCGTTGAATCAACGATTGCCCTCTACTTCTGAAGATAGGCGCTCTCTGCTGCTGGACCCCTACAGCAATCTTGGATCCCGGGATCGACTTGAGATGTGTGGTGAGATGCTGGTAATGTTTCTCGCCCGGGTTTATGGTTCATCTGATAGGCAGCGTGGGTAGACCATGACCCCAGGTCGCAGTGAAGTCTTTGGAGATGTCCTGGTCGCACCATTTGGTGCCTCCTCTATATATTCGACATCAGGAGAACAGAACTGAAATTGAAATAGAAAGTCGGGAGACCACGCCACGGCCAACCCTCACTCCTCGAGCTCCCAAGCATGGCAGAATAGCGCTACGATAGCAAGACCGAGGGGACTCACCCGCTCGAGACCAGCAAAAATTCCTCCCTCGACTCACATCCACCACCTAATTACAACATGATATCTTTTCACCAGCGCTACCTTATGAGGTATTGAATTTGCAAGAGGACTTGACTATAAACGTTTCGCATGTTCCTTGGCAGTCCCTTGAAGAACAGCGGCGAATCATCTGTCTGGCAGCCGTTAGACATCCCGAGGGTGGCTCTTGAAGGGCTTCTTGCAAGTTTTCAGCTTGCCTATAGGGTAGGAGATCGAGCGTGCGTAGACGCACTTCTTCAACGCCTTCATCTTTCTGCCTTCTTTTGCTACCTCCCCCCAGTATTGTATTACCTCTCAATGATCTGGGCGTCACACTGGACCGGAGCCCGCAACCCACCATCGAAAAGGACGGATTAGACTGGCCTTCTTTGACTTGACTGCTGTGGGGGACCATGGATTCGGGCTGGGCAATACCGCCATGTTTTGACCCTTGGCACCCACACGCCGTTGCTGATGGTTGGTCTCCTAGTGTCATGATCGGATGCAGCACGCACGACATGACTCATAACCCAGCCACGTGAATTTGAGGATATACCGGACTATTTGCCTTCATGCCCGGCGGATACCTGCTCGAAGGCTTTTCCACGTTGCGTAAGGCACAGGGGACGGCCTTTTGAGGAGCCTCATGAAATCGAGGGCTCTAGACGGTCGCGATTGCTCCAGCTCTGATCATTATCCATGAATACCAGCGGACTAGCAGACGAGCAGACTGATTAGCGTGTCACACGGAGTTCACGGCACTGCCACTAGCGCCATTTTGGATGGCAGCGCCAACCGATGGCCAGTGCAAAAGGAGCCACAAGAAACAAAATTATCGAGCAGGGCAGGAAAGTAAGGCTTTTAGCCCAGCGGCCAATGAGGATCTCCATGGAGCCGGGAGTCGCAGCTCGGCTATCCAGACTGCCCAGTTAACCTGCATCTTGCCCATACGGCTGTCTGTGGCCCCCAAAATCCTCCTTACGCAAGATCAGCCGGGATGAACGCGGAGATCAGGATATTGTATGATTATTTCATCGATAATGGCTGTCGAATATTACATAATGGCCGATTTGGAAATGAGAACGAAGGACTCAAAACTTGTCATAGTATGGGTACTGTACTGGTTTTCGATTCATCTCCGAATATCTAACCTCTCATAATCCTATCTAACTGATAATCGAATGGACCTCCTGCATCTCTACATATATGACTCTCTTATAGTAAGACTTTCATATAGATTGTTAGGTCCTAAGTGAGGTCCCCTCACGTGATATGTGATGCCTGCCTCGCGGTTCGCGTGCTTGGGCGGCCGTGCGTGTTCTGGTGTTACTGCTATATGGTTGATTCATGTCGATCTTTCCTTCTCATATCTTTGAGTAACCTGGATCAACATTCTGTGACCTACTCCGGTGCCGCCCTCCTGCTCTGCGGCTGTATATAGTGTTGGGTGTTTACCGGCGGCGTTGCCTCCGGTTCTACTAGATTTATACCCCTTTATTATCCCACAACCTTTTTCTCTGCGCGTCGGGGAAAGGCCCCTTCTTCTGTAACATTATTGTTCCTGACTACTGATGCTATCCGTCTTAGGGAGCGGATGTTATGTTCTCGGTCTGCTATAATCAAACCGAGTGGAAGCTTGGGTAATAGCGAGGGCGCTAATTCGACTTCTTAGTATTGCTTGTGATGCAGGTTTTTGCGCTTCAATGGAAGGCCATCGCCGGCAAATTTACTGCCGAAATTGCACAGTAGGTCGAGATGATATGAATCTCGATCTGATTGACAGCGCAGGTGGATCCCATCGGCGCTTTACCCCAATCTGTGGACAAGGACAACTAAGTCCCGGAGGAGACTAGAGCCTACTTAGTTGCATTCGTTATCCGGGGACGACCGAAACCTCCTGAGATCATGCTGCAAACTAGGGAATGGAAAATAGAGCCCCAATTTATATGTTTGCCCATCTGTTCTTTCTGATTTTGGTCACAGCTATGTATACATGAAGTATTTTGGAAAGGCGCTGCTAGAGCTGAACGCGACCTGCACTTTCACCGCCAAACTCGGCTCTCTGACTAATCTGAATCATCCTCCGCCTCAATCTGAGGTTGCCGGAGAGCCAATAGTTCATTCACGGAGGTCCTTCTAGAAGAAATTATTAGTTCTTTTTGGAAAATTTCGATTCCATCGATTCTAATAACTTTGCGCCCCAATTTTTGGGGATTTCAGAGTGTACTTATGTTCATACTCTTCTCACCTGTGATATCTGCGTCACGATTGGACGGGCTCGGAGGGCCGGAGCGGAGGATCGGAGATCGGAGCGGAGGGTCGGACAATCGTCTTGTAGGCCCCACCAAAAGCGAGCATTTACCACCTGATTTTCGTTTCTACTTCAGCAACAGATTGTAATGCCACTTTGTTCTCCTTAGCAAGACCCTCGAGGAACGTGGTGAGTTAGCTCTTGATCAATGGTGACGGGTGGCAATGACCGAGCCACAACAGCTGCGCAGTCTTCCGCCGCCCAGTCGACGTCGGGATAAGCCACAGTTGTCATGCAGCCTCTGCAGAAGACGAAAGTGAGAGCCACTACTCAACCATTGGTTTCCAAAAGAACTTCATTCTTATGAATTGTGACAGACTTCGATGCGATCGAGGCCACCCCTGTGGATCTTGCCTTCATCGCGGGCTTTCACTCTCGTGCACTTATGCCCATTCCAGCACCGGGATCTCAGCACGTGCCGCTAGAGATCAGAAGCATGGAGTCGCATCAAATTTAGTGGAGCGTATTGGACAATTAGAAAGAATGATTGCCGCTCTCGCAGAAAATTCGATCAGGAATACACCTGGTCCCACCGAGGGCCAAGATATGTCAAGGGGAAATGAAGGTAACGGTAAATACGTCGGCGACAGGACGGACCCGCCTTCAGATGCAATTCATCTCTCAAAATCTTCTGGTAAAATTGAACTACACCTGAATAAAACAACTTATGTTCAAAGTACTCATTGGAGGGCGATCATGGATGGTGTAAGTCTCCCACGAGGCTTGAAATTTTCGATTTCTCATCAAAAAATCAGATTTCCGAGTTGAAGACCTCGGTGAAGGAAGACGCAAATGAAAGCTCTGGACAAGTCCAGAATATGTGCCAAACCCCTGAACTTTTGTTTGCAGGTAGCAAGCCTGCAACTAAAGAAGATATCTTGAGAGCAATACCGCCCCGCGAAGTGACCGACAGGCTTGTGGCGGAATACTTTGGTCACAACGTTCTTCCATGTATGTGACCGGTACCCAAAATCTCAGAAGACAACTAACTTTTGTGCTTCGAATAGTGATACATGGCCCATCATTTTTGAGAGCTGTAAGACGCATAGCCGCTTTATCATTGCTTTTTACTCTGACAGAGCTGACTTTGCTTAAAACCAGTATGATAAGTTTTGGGACGATTCACTTCAGGCGCCAGTAATGTGGATAGGTAAGTTATACGGTGTTATGTGTTTGGCTTTGCTATTTCGGAACCAACACACCCATGAGTCGAACAATTCCGCGGAATCGATTCAAAAGTACAGTGAGAAAGTCGACCAATGCTTAACTCTAGGCGGATATCAAGACTGTCCGCCAGAGACCATCGAAACCTTGCTTTGTGGTTTGAATGCTCGTTTTCTTCAAAGGAGAGACCCCCAGATAGATGACTTGGTTTTCCTTGGAATTGTTGTGCGCATGGCTCAACGCATGGGGTATCATCGTGATCCATCTCATTTCCCCCATATCTCGCCATTCCAAGGGGAAATGAGACGTAGGATTTGGTCTCTAATTAGCGACCTGGATGTGTTGGTATCCGCCCAGGTTGGACTGCCTCGCTTACTGCGAGAATTTCAGTCGGATACAGCGGCGCCTCGAAATCTTCTGGACGAAGACTTTGATGAAGATACCATAGAGCTCCCGACATCACGCCCTGCTTCGTTCGAAACCCCAACTCAATGGTTGGTGACAAAACATAGAATGATTTCTATTTTCGGCTCTGTGACAGATTTATCAGCGTCAATTCGCCGGCCGGAGTATTCAGAGGTCATGCGCTTGGACAAAGTGGTGCATGAAACATACACATCATCGTCTGAGATTTATCAGGAAAGACCCATCAGTAAGTCCATAATGGACAGTTCTGATATAATTTTGCGTCGTATCCAGTTGGTGATGCTCCTCGATAAGGCCAAGTGCGTGTTACACTATCGATATCTTGCTCTTGGAAGATTCGATCCCCGATATACTTACTCCCGCAATACTTGTATTGAATCCGCCCTCCATGTCCTTGGGAATCAATGTATTGTGAACAAGGAAACACAACCCGGGGGTCGCCTTTTCAGCCAGAGGTGGAAAACGATATCGCCTCTGATCAGAGGTGAATTCTTGCTAGCAACAATGTTGCTTTGTTTGGAGCTAAGTTTTGACCTTTCAAATCACTCCATCTCCAATTCAAAGCAGATACCACTTGGTGAGGATATGACCCAGAGAATCCTTCAGGCTTTGCACAAGTCTTACGCTATTTGGATACCATTGAGCGATTCATCAAATGAATCTAAAAAGGCTGTCCAAGCTCTGGCTGTGGTCTTTGACAAGATTCAAAAGCAGCATAAATTGGGATTGACAAACCTCTCACTTGAGATACATCACCCAGAAAGGCCGCCAACGGATTTGGCCTTTTCCATAGGTATTCCCCATCTTCTAAATTTTGATCTGCGGATTTGACAAGAACTTTGTTGCTTCCCGGTATGTTATACGTCCTGACTATAAGTTTAGGACCTTCAACCCTATCCGCTATTACTGGTACCGACACCACAATTTGTCGCGACCATATAATGAGCGCTTCTCCTATTCAGCCTAGCAATGTGGAAAGCCATTACTCATATTGTGATTTTGACAGCATTTCTCCTGAGCTCTTAGAAATGGTTCGTTTATTCGCCTTGTCTTTCTTCTTTCAAGTCAACCCCTTTACTAAATTACCTTGGATGAGCAGACACATGGAGTCGATGAAATGCTTGGATTATCCACGAATTACCCTCGATTTTTTGATTTTCCGCTATAACCAGAAACTTGGATTTAGGTCCAGTTAAAAATTCTTGAACTTTTAATTTATTCTTGTCTATACCCGGTTCTAAATCTGTATAGTAACGCCGAAACAATGTCGTATTTAATTTATCTCGTGAAATCCACCAAATCTACGCCGATGCGCAGTGGCCACCATCCACACGAAGGTCAGCACCAGTCATCCAGGCACTTCCGTCGGTAAGCATATACACTGTGGGGCCCTTGAAGTCCTCCGGGGCACCCAGGCGGCCGAGAAGAGCTCCACGCATCCAGGTTTCCTCAACCTCTGGCTTCTCCTTTAGTAGAGCGTCAGTCATAGCAGTGCGGATGTACTGATTATACTGGTCAGTGATAATTCTCAAAAGTTTAATAGAATCGGGAAAACATACACCGGCGGAAAGAGTGTTAACACGAATGTTGTGCTGGCCCCATTCTTGGGCAACAGACCGGCACATCTGGTGGACGGCGGCTTTGGAAGAATTGTACGCTGTACAAGTCAAGCCCTAAAAGCAAAACCTGTGTAAGTCTCTGTAAATATGCCTATCTTATGTGCTTGACCTACTCGGTTGGCAATTTGGCCCGACATGGAAGCAATCATGACAATACTTCCGGGGGTCTTCTGGTCCACAAGAATGCGTGCAAAGTGCTTCGCGGGAATGAATGTTCCAAGGACACTTTAGTGCCAATGTCAGTATTTAATCATTATGTTTAAAAAATTTAATTGAATTGAACTCACTTAACATCCAGCATCTTCCGGTATCCCTCAACCGGATAGTCCAGGGCGGGCACCATTTGCTGAATTCCAGCGCAAGTGATGAGGCCCCGCATGGGCATCTTCCGATCTAAAGCATCCGCGGCAATCTTCTCCAGCAGGCTCTTAGTGACTTCCTCATTAGTGATATCGCACTTGGTGTAAGTCGCTTGCAGGCCGCGAGATTTGGCCAGCTTCTGAACAGCCACCCACTCCTCCGGGCTAGGCTCGGGAAGGAGATCTAGACAAGCCACGTCGCCACCAGCTTCAAGAACGGCAGTAGTCAAGGTCATTCCCAAGCCTCGACCTCCTCCAGTGATCACAACCGTGCGTCCATTTAGAGAGAAAAGGTCGCTAGTCGGTACGTACGCAGCCGGGGTTTCAGTCGACTCTGGGACGGATGACGGAAGAGTGTGATCGAGGCTGATTGCAGGAGCCATTTCGAATTGTTTTCTTTGGGTAAATCTATTGACGGTTGGATGCGAATTAAGATCAGAAGGAAATTGGCGGTGCTATTATGAAAATTTTTTGGAGGATGTGCGCTTCAAATAAGATATCTCCCAACCGCCCTCATTAAACAACTTCTTCCGCTGCGTATCCGCTACAAAGGTCTCATTATGGAAGTGCTGACTCTCAGGAACCACAGTGGAACTCTTTCTGGAGCAATCGTTGCACCCTGCAACCCGAGTTCGCCAATGGTGTACCCGAGCCGACAATTCGTGCCGATGGTCGCAGGGACCGAACCGGTCAAAAATCGGCCACTGCAGTCAGATGAGCATTTAGGGACGCAACGGCCTACGCTTTCTGGAAAGTGGAATAGACAAAAACGCAAGGCCGCGGGAGCATGGGGTAAAAGACTGGGGAAACACTGGAGACTTGGTTCCCCCTGGGGCAACGATGGCTGGAACGTCAACGTAAAGATGATCACTAAAAAGCGGGTATCGTTCTGAAGAGAGAACACATTTGACAATGGGGCTGAGATACAATCAAAAACTATCGAAATAACGAGGGTTCACATATTTTTGGGGCGGCTGGAATTCAGAGTGCTTAATACTTCTCAATAAGGTAATCTACCCGATTCGGCAAGCCGTCACGCACTGAGGCTTTAAAGCATTTAGCCGGGACCGCCGAACACTACGACATCGCTTGTTCGGGTGGAGGACTCGGGTCGGCCCACTGATACCCTTTCTTCGGCCCAGGTACACGCGTGTGCTGCCAACTTTTTGACCACGCCATGCTCGAAATGCGATGACAATCCGGTATATCTTGGTGGTTCGGAGAAAGCAGTTGGGCGAGACGAAAGAGATAGATAGAGATGGCGGCATGGTTGATGTTCTCGAGATTTTTGGGTTTCACGGAAGGTTATTACTCAGGCAACCTAATTTGCAATTAGAGAGGACCTATTAGACAGCGACATTTGAGGGGTTGGGGTTTCTTCCCTTTCTGCACCCCGCAATCGCGGAGTTTACCCGCCTTTTTGAGACACGGGAGCCATCCAAATACCTGGGGCATCCAACATCCCCGGTCCATAAAATTACGCCATGGTTTCCGAGAACTTTACATGGCGCCACCCGAGTCATAGCGATCTGGGTCGTGACGGACAGAAGAGGATATCTTATAAAAAGGGGTGATAGCCCCACTGCCTGTAGCTTGCATGCATCAACACTATTCTCTTTCTATCACAATCTTCCCCGGGATATTCAATCAGTTCTTCCTTACCCAGGGTTTGTGGAGCAATCTCTTGCTTCTCTGATTGAAGCCATGTCATTCCTTGTAGGAAAGTCCCTGGCGTGGGCCATCACGGCCACTGCTGGCAGCGGCTTTTTGCTGTGAGTGTATCATTCCAATTGATTTCAAAAGGACATCGACTTATTTGGATTACCTTTCAGCTTTGGATACGATCAAGGTGTTATGTCCGGCTTGCTGACAGGAGATGCTTTCACTGCGACATTTCCTGAGATCAATACTACCAGTACTGGTCATGGAAGCTCCTCTCTACAGGGCACAGTGTGAGCTACCTTATGCCTACACCTTGTTGTCGAATATTGACTAACTCAGGTCCCATAAGTGTTGCTATCTATGAAATAGTAAGCCATGAATGGAAATCATACTTCTACTCCGATGCTTATACTCTTGCTCTAGGGATGCTTTTTGGGTGCCATCATCTCGTTGATTGTTGGTGAAAGACTTGGTCGTCGCAAGTGCATCATGGCTGGGTGTGTCATTCTGGCAATTGGTGCGGCCCTGCAATGTAGTGCCTATAGCATCCCCCATCTCATCGTTGGGCGAATCGTTGCTGGCATTGGGAATGGTCTCAACACTAGCACAATTCGTGAGGAGGACCCTCGTTGCTCATAATTTCTTTGTCAACTAACACTTTACAGCTGTTTGGCATTCGGAGCTGAGCAAAGCAGCAAGCCGAGGCAAAGGAGTATGTCCCCGCTCAATAAATTGAAGATTTTACATGCTGACAGCAGCGGTAGTTGGCGATAGAACTGGCTATCAATATCTTCGGTGTTATGCTTTCATACTGGGTTGGTCAGTGAATCTTTTCATGCCCCTTACTAATACTATCATGGGGTTTCACGTTGCTATGAATTTTAAACTAAATATAATTACAGACTACGGCTTTTCATACAACAAGAGCGAAGCTCAATTCCGATTCCCTATCGCCCTTCAAATACTTTTCGCTATTTTGACCTTCATCGGCGTTATCTTCCTACCAGAATCTCCTCGATGGGTAAGTAGATCCAGTAAATGTGAATTCATGTGTCCTGGCTGTTTCTAACCCCATTTATCAGCTCATTAAACACGGAAAGGAAGACGAGGCCCGCCATATCATCTGGAGATTGCAGGACAATGCAAAGGAAATCGATGAGCATGACGCCGTCGTTGGTGTAGATGTGGCCGAAATCTCTCAGGCGATTAGACAAGAGCGAGAGGCCTCTGCTGAAGGGTCATTTAAGCTCATCTTCCAGAACGGTCCACAGCGATTTTTGACCCGCACTCTTCTGGGAATGGGTGGACAAATGATGCAGCAAATGTCGGGAATTAATCTCATAACTTATGTGAGTTTCCAAAGATAGATGATATGGTTATTTAAATTCTGACAAGCAATTAGTACGCAACCGTGATCTTCGAAAATTCCGTGGGAATGGACCATAACACCGCTCTCTTGTTGGCAGGATTCAATGGAGTCGCTTACTTCTTCTCATCGATGGTTCCAATTTGGGTGATTGATCGGTGTGTGCCACATTCTATTCTTTGATTGATCAATACTAATACCCAATTAATATAGCCTGGGTCGCCGCAAGTTGATGCTGTTTGCTGTCATTGGACAGGGTTGTTGCATGGCTGTTCTAGCAGGAACTGTCTGGGACGGCGGTCACGCTGCTGGTTTAGTTGCAACCGTCATGCTCTTCTTGTTCAACTTCTTCTTTGGAGTTGGTCTTCTTGCAATTCCTTGGCTTCGTATGTCTCCCAAAAAGAGTGATCGATCATCGAGAAGCCAGCTAATTTGTGATAACCACACTCAGTGCCTGCAGAATACGCGCCCCTTGCTATCCGTACTCGGGCAGCCGCTTTGGCCACTGCTACCAACTGTGCGTTACTAGAATCACACCGAAGATCAACTGCACAAAAAGCTAATTTCCAATTACAGGGATCTTTACTTTCTTGGTCGTGGAGATTACACCTGTCAGTATTTCAAATATCGGTTACCGAACCTATATCTACTTTGCCGGTAAGATTCCATTCGGCTTATGCTATTTCTGTCTTTCTGTCCCTCTCATTCTGATCGATTTTACTAGTATTCAATTTCTGCTTCATCCCTCTCATTTACTTTTTCTACCCGGAGGCGCGCAACCTCACTCTGGAACAGATCGATCATCTATTTACTGGGGAAAAGGTTAAGCTTCATTGGCATTCATCTATGGGTATGGCCGGAGATGTTGACACCCGGCTTGCACATGGGAAGGATCTTGAGAGTGTGAATGCTCAGCATGTTGAATAAATCTTTCACTGTCAAGGTGAAGTAATTAATTTTAGCAATTCTAGGAAATGTTTTTATGTGTCACATAGAGACCACAACATCCCTGCAGTGCATAGTAAATAAATCTCGGTCAAGTCCGTACAAATTCTTTGCCCGGGGAACTAGTGTCCTTCCTTGTCCTGTGTCCTGTGTCCTGTGTCCCGCATCGATTTACCGGACCACAAGTGACGCCACTGGTTCGGGCAACCCCCGCGAAGCCTTTCTCCACACGACGCCGTAAACTCGGCATGACTCGGGGACCCGACCAACAGAAAGTTGCCGAGTGGGTCCGGGGCTTTGGAGGCAATGCGCTTAAACGCCCTATTTTAGGTAATATTTCTTCTTCTTTCCCCGCGTCATGCACCAGTCGCGACACAACCTACGCAGCCCAGAAGTTACCTAGGATGGTCATAATCCCACTGAAAGAGTGACTCTTTGTAATCCCACCACAGTCATGGCGGATATTGATAACATCTTGGGAATTCCACAGCTACCAGTGCAAGCGCAAGTACAGGACTCAATGCCGCCGGAACGGAAGAAACGCACCCGAACAGGGTGCCTCAACTGCAGTCGCAGACGCCGAAAATGCGACGAAGTCAAACCAACTTGCACAGGCTGCAAACGTCGAGGTGACAAATGCCAGTGGCGCGTACTCGGATCCTTCCGCGATGCGAATATCAAAGTGCTGGAATCAGATCATCCCTCTATGAGCCAGGGCGTTGTTACCAACAACAAGAGCAAACGCCAAAGCAGATTCAAGATTGTGAATGCGTTGCCCAAGATCCCTCGCATAAAAGAAGCGCTCAACCAGCAAACTGGAAATCTTCCAGATTGGCCAGATCCACATAGTTGTTCCCCTTCGCCTTCTACTCATGAAAATATCGACACCAATGAAGTCTCCACGGCCGCGGCAGCTCCGCTGGCTTCAATACCTCAGCCTTCGGATCAGCAAGCTGAATCCCCGACCAATTATGGACAGGAATTGTCTCCACCTCTGTCGGGTGATGTGTCTTCTCATTTGTCCCAACTTCCAGACCAAGGATCCCCTGGGCACGAAGGTAGCAGGGAGAGCGCAAACAGTATTCAATTACAAAAGATCACCAGTCCACGGTATCCCCAGAATCATCAATATGAGTATCAGACAGTGAATGTTCCAGAGAATCCATCCCCCCATGCCTACCTCAACTCTAGTCCTGAATACGTCATTGATGATCTGAGCACACTCAGAGGTTATACTCACAATGGTCAATTTCATTCATCAGTTGCTGGATCATACAACACAAACCAATCTTCTATATTTGATCATAGTGTCTTTTCTGACCCAGCGGATTTGACCAACGATGTTTTTCTCCCTGGCTCTGCTTACGAAGCACTCCATACAGCTCTGCGAAACCGTCAGCTGTGGACTGCTCGGCCTGATATCCCAAGCCGAACTAGCTCTCGTGGCTCGGTTCCTCAAATTCATACACCAGAAGCACACAGTGACTCAAGTTCTTTCACTCGAACAGAAAGGTGGCGTCGGTCTTCTAGAAGTGGAAGATCATTTGAACTATCTCCCGAGAGAGAACACTTCTTATGGCAGAACTATCTGATTGAAATTTGCTCATGGGTGAGTCCCATCAACCCGCCCTAACTCCAATAAACTAAAAGGATCATACAAATACTAATAGTATTAGCTTGACATGTTTGATAACAACCGACACTTCGCCTCCACATTTCCCCAGATGGCAAAAACCGCACCTCATCTGCGCTATTCATGCTTGGCACTTTCTGCTCGTCAACTTGAGAGGCAAAAGAACGAAAAGTCTCAGTCTGAAAGCTTGTCCCTTTATCAAGAAGCCATTCATCTTCTGCTTCCCGAGCTCGAGAACAAGACGACTCCAGTCATAGCCTCATGTGTGATTTTATGTGTCTTGGAAATGTTAAGTTGTATGGCTTCCTCCCTATTTTGAAATTAATATAAGCTTCTGACCCTGGATAGGCAATCCCAAAGAGTGGAGGCGTCATCTGGACGGCTGTGCATACCTCATTCAAGCGGCTGGCATAAATGGTTTCTCGGGGAAAGAAGAGCAGGCGCTTTTTTGGTGCTTCGCAAGAATGGGTATGCAACCTTGGTCTTTCATATATAAAAATTCTGACCATTTTAGACGTCTGTGGAGGTCTGATATCTGAAGAGGAAACAATCATCCCTATTCACAACTGGCGGCCGAAAGACATGAGCTGTAGCGAAGCATCACAGATGTTCTTCTCTTCTGCAAGGGAAAACCTTGACGCTTATGCCAACTACACTGTTTATCTCTGTGCTCAGACCCTCGGGGTATTGTTTGGATCATCCAAAACACCACATCCTTGTTCTTCGTGTCAGTCGATTCCTGAAGAAGATGGGATTTCGTATGTCCATCGCTGGAGGGAATTGTTTGGTCAAGTTGAACAGTGGTACGAAAATCGTCCAAGTCAGATGAAATCAGTTTTCACCGTCACACAAAGTGATTATGCAGGAAGAGATCAACCTTTCCCGACAGTCTTGTACGGCAACGGAGATGCTAGTATGTCTCAATCCTTATTTCTTCCACTACTCCATGCTAAGATCAGCCAGTTTCTGGGAATCAACTGTATCATGTCAGTTCTCTTTTGCTGCTTCAGCGAAAACCCAAGACTTTAGTCTTAGCTAAGAAACCGGTATGGATATCTCCATGGAACAGCCAATCTTTAGCTCTCAACTGACTGAAACCAGAAATCCGTTCTTTGGCACGCTCGGCAGATTTGTGGTATATCAGCTTCAAACGAGCACCAGTAAGTGATCTGTCATGATCTGGGATGATGAGAACACAGGATAGAGCAAAGTTGCTAACATGATGAATCTAGTGGCTGTTGGACTAACGCGCTTCAGCCACTTTGGATTGCTGGCAAAGTTATGTCGCACTACTCTGAACATTCAGCCATTGTTGAAACATTGATCAAAATTGAGCGCGAAACTGGCTGGGCTACAGCTTGGAGAGTAGAAGACCTGAAAGACTTTTGGGGAGACTATGATAATGATGACGAGTGCGATATTGATATGGACTAATGTCTATACTCATGGAAAGCTGGTGGATCACAATCCCATATTTATGCAAAATACCTTAAAATAAAAATAACATACTTCAGCCTTTATGGTTGTTAATAGATGTGTTTAAGCTGTCATACTCTCCAATGCACCCTCTGGTGTTGCTTTATGCCGTCATCCGACAGCCTCGGAGCGTCTCCGATGCGGGGCAATGACTCGAGTCGAGGCTATTTGATCGATATTCTAACTCCCGAAATACCGTTGACTAATGTTTTCAATAATTCTGTTATCACTGGAGCACATTAGGACCATCATGGGATTGGACAAGGGTACTTGGGAGTATGATACAGAAAGCTGCCCCCGAGACGAGGGCGCGGTCACGGTACAACCCCGCATCACAACGTTCGGAACATAAGATGTCCACTTGACTTGGATATATATAAACGCAATCTTGTTAAAAGGAGCTTTTCTTAGTTGATTAATCGCCTTCTTTTCTGAAAACTATAACTTATTCTACCATGTCCTCATCAATTCCACCCCACCCAGCTCCTTCCGAGCCTCAGACCAAGGTTGCTCTCGAGGCCAAGGTAATCGCTAGTCAGTCGCCAAGAGCCTTCTCCCCTCAGAATGATAGACTCGAGCTGACTATAATCAGTAACTGGTGCAAATCGTGGAATCGGTCTGGGTGTCGCAGAATGTTGTCTTGTCAATGGCGCAGCCAGAATTTACTCCATTGACATCGGTGAAACCGGCGATGACTTTCAGGCTCTATCCGAGAGATTTCCAAATCAACTTTTCGCTATCCAAGCTGACGTAACTGCTGAGTCGAGTATATCTGAAGCGGTCGACAAAATCGTTGAGGAGGCCGGGGCTCTGCATGGGATGGTTGTGAATGCGGGACGGACAAACCACAAGGCAGCACTAGATTTTACGACCGAAGAGATTGAAGCTCTCTTCTCTGTGAACGTGAGTCTCTCCACGGAAATTATTATTATGCTTTGGCACGACTGACCGCAAGGAATGGATCAGCTATTTGGAGCATTCTACACGGCCAGGTGCGCCGCACGAGCATTCATAAAGCTTGGCATCAAGGGGTCGATCGTATTCACAGCGTCGATGGCTTCCTATCGTCCAAACAAGGTAAGATCACTGATTTGATCTGATTATAAAAATGACATTACTTTGTAATTCGCTTTTGCTGTTGACTTTTTTCTCCCTGGTTTGGTCTTCTGACACCTCCCAGCGCGTCCCATCGGCCCCCTACGGCGCTTCCAAGGCTGGAATTCGTAATATGACCCACACACTTGCTATGGAATGGGCATCGCATGGAATCCGAGTAAACAGCGTCTCACCTGGACTGGTGAACACTGCTATGACCTACTGGGTGCCTAAACAGCCAGATTGGGAGCAGCAATTGAAGTATTATGGCGGGTTTCCTCGTCTAGCTGAAGTTCAAGAGCTAGGTGGTGCATACGTCTATCTTTTGAGCGATGCTGCAAGCTACACGTCCTCGATTGATATACCTGTGAATGGTGTGATTGGGAGTAAGTATCATTTCCCACGCAGAACATGGAGCGAAAAGTTGGTCAGCTAACATCACCAGTTTGTTGATTTCGCTTTATACAGTCTTTAGTGTAAAGCATGAATGTACGTTCGAAGGCCTTTATTATCTCTATGAGCATACGAATTTAAAGAGCTGATTTCAGAAATACGTAATGCTATATGGATCTCTTATGTGCGTATTTAGAGCTTGACAACGACTTTTCTTGCTGAAACTCCGTTGCTGAGAATGTCAATTGCATTCTGGATTGAAGTGAGGCCCTGTCCCACGATCTCTGGCCCTGGAACGTTGCTCCATTTGCCTCGTTCGAGTGCCGCTGGAAAGAACTCGCGCCAGATCATTGGTCCGACTTCATTGTCTTTGAGATTGCTCCCGAAAATAAACTTCGACTGTAAGCCACTTGGAAGCTCCTCGGTGAGCGGAGCCGCTGAGGCCACAAATTTATTGCCCTCGGAGTGGGCGAGTATTTCGTAGCACGCCTTGACTGAGCCTTGTCCAATGGAGACTGCACCAGCAATGGTCTTTCCCTTCAATAACGCGATAATATCCTTGGTGACACTCTCGCTCTTATAATCAAAGACATGTGATGCTCCAAGTTTTCTCGTATATTCAAAATTCTTCGGGGATGCCGTGGTTATGACCTCATATCCGGAAGCGACAGCAAGCTGAATGGCGTTACTTCCAACACTAGAGGACCCAGCCCAGATGACGATACATTTTCCTGTTGGTTTAGGATATAATGAAGGCGGTACAAGAGCTAAGTAATCCTTTTGATATAGACCACAAGCTGCCGTGGATAGTGCGAGAGGGGTGACAACCGCGTTTTCGAAAGCCAGAGACTCGGGGATGTGAGAGGTCAATACTTCTTTCAAGAGGGTGAATGTTTGAAAGGCACCGCTCAATTTTCCTCCACTAGGCGGCGGTACGCCTATGGCCAGGCCACAAACTCGATCACCAGGTTTGAACCTAGTCACACCGGGGCCTACCTCAACAACTTCACCCGCGACATCGGAGCCAGAGATTTGAGGAAATTTCATCCATGGAAATAGCTCATTTCCTAGCTTTTGCATGGAGCCATCTACTGGATTGATGGCAACGGCGTGGTTTTTCACAATCAATTCATTTTTTTCAGGGGATATATAATCCACCGGTTGGACCTGAAGAGGTTGGCCTTTACCAAGCAAAAGGGCTGCAGCGTTGGAGAGGTTCATTGCGATCGATATGATTAGAGGGGTTGGAAATAGCTTTGGTTCCAAATATTTTTCTTTCAATTTTGTTTTAACAGTACCGACATATTGTATATGAGATGGAATAAAGGTGGTTTATATGTATATTTGAGCTTGAAACTTCGGACCTTTTTTGACAGTTTCGCGTACGCGTGTTCAACAGCCCAACTTGACCGTCTAAGTGGAAAATCTGTATAATCATTCGGGCATAAGGTCTTTAAGTGCGCCATAAATCCGTCGCCATCTTATAGATGTATATATTTTTTCGACCAAAGGCCCAGTACCTAGTCTGTGCCAAGGTGGATATCTGATAACTCCGTTCGGGATGTGGGCCAAAATACGTAGCTTTTAATTGAAATCGCCGAGATGTGTTTAAGTCCGCCTATTCTCCGCAGGCGGTCTCTTCGCAATTACACGAAACGGATCAAAACTATAAATTCAGACAGAGATGTCTAAGAGATTCTCAGGTGTATATCTCTATATCCAATGAATTCTTGGGGAATTTTTCGGTCTAAGTCGGTTTTGGGACTCACCGACAGGGACTTAAGAGTTAACACAAATCTATTATCTGTGACGACGAAGAAAATTTTCAACAAACTAAACATAATGAATGAAAAGCAATATTTTCGAGCTAATATTGTAGTTTCGAGGTAGCATAGTATGATAAACCTGCTATAGAAGTTAAGAGTCAAGGTTATGTGCTTAAGTAGTCAAACAACTGTGGAGATACGTATATATATATACCTCCGTCTGGTTCCTCAGATACAAACTCGCCACTGGGGTTAAAAGAAACAACATCTCTAAAAATTAAGATCCATTACCTTCTGCACTGTATTCTAAATGAAGTGATTTATTTTAAATTTATTGTACTGATAAAATAAGAAGACAATTTTTCTTGTTCCTGGTTCTTGGGGTACCATCTCTCTTCGTGCTCCGCTGATCCGCTTCTACGCTCCATGTACGCTGGAATGGAACCCCTTGGATTCGAGAAGCAGGTAGAAGAAATATATAAGACATCTGAGTCCGGACCTCTTGTGAGCCTGTATATGCGATAATTGAAAGCTTGAGAATATTTAATCGGAAATACGTAGTCTCCTGTTTTTCCGACTCTCAGAGACTTTCGCTTTTAGTCCAACCCTCCTGTGGTGCCGATCACCATACATGCTTTCGAAATCAGAAAGACTGCCCCGCAACCCCGATACGGACCAGTAACACAGCATATGCGCGCTAAGATAATCGGCTTGCACCATCAAGACCAGGATACGTTCATGAGATTCGAACCTACGACACAAGATCGCGTTGAAAACTGGGATATTAAGATAGGCCGACCGGCTGGTCTAGCGGGCGCTATACTACTACTAGCGGGATTGGGGCCTGCAGCACCAGGGGACCCACCATCTAACGAAGTGTAAGTTATAGACTTTGCGGGCCCGACGTACCTAAAATCAGGTCTGTGATCCTCACGCCGAGTGGATGATAGGGGGTAGGGGGGGGGGGGGGGATGAACACGGCCTATGGAACGGGTTGGCATGGATCATCAACATACTCAGACACTTGGTATGCTTCAGGCAGGGAGCTGCCAATAGAAAGAAGAGATTTTCTGCAGGGGGAGGCCAATCCCTTTGGGGGATACTCGAGGGAATGCTGTTGACGGTTGCACGAGACGCTCAATCTAGGGATGGGAACAAAGTGCCCAAACAGCCGCCTTACATGCAAAACGACTCAGGGTTTCGCATAGGGGGATGTCGCTCCCTTGTAGGATGTAGGATTTCATTCTACACAATCCAGATCGACTTGGAACGTATGGAAAGGATTGCCGTTAAAGAAGGGAAAGGAGCGTATTGGAATATCAGCAGCTCCGTGCCCGAGACCTGATCTCAAAAACCGGCTGCGCTATACTGACGCCTCCGTCTCGGCTATTTGCCACTATTTTGCACCTTCCTGGCCGTTTTCGTCATCGTCCAAGCGATGCGATTGTCTCGGGCCTCCTGGACTTGGAGCGCATTCCAGGTGGATCTGGGGTTGTTTATGTATGGGGGAGTCCCAACAGTTACTATTCCTGCCGAAACAATCACCCAACACCAACGCCAACCCAAGTCCACCAACGCGGTTAAATCCAAACGCCAAAGCCTGAGGAGATCCCTGTCCTCCACTAAAGCATTTCGGAAGTCTCTGTCGAAGATCTTCTGATCCGGGGTCATCCAACCCAAACCTGGCAAGCACTAAGCCCCACGACCTGCGCGATGAGTCTGCATGGGCTCGGGGTGATTGGGGCCCAGGTGGCCGCGTCCATCAAGAGTAACGATGAGAAACACTCTTCGACACCAAGAATCCAGTCGCCGCCGACGTCAGTTCAATCGACTCCCTCGATGCACGAAGCCCGGACGCACGAATTTGACCCGTCGATCGGAGCTAAGCCATATTCGCCGTTCTATCGCCATAGCTCGCCAACCATCTCATATGAGCAGCTGACTTTCGAGACTAAGAACGCCAGCCGCGAACGAAGTGGCCTGCGGGATATTGAAAATGCCGGCCCCTATGCGACAATGCGAAACGACAGTCCTCGACGATCGAAGCTCTGGGAAGCACAGAACCCGCCACGCTCTTGCATGCAGTCATTGAGTACGAGACAGCGGATGGCGCTGAAGGCTGTGGTTGCGATCGTGACGGTCGGAACCATGATCGCGATCGCGTTGGGCATCACAGCTGCAGTAGGAGGAGCGGCTTGGAGAGACAGTGCTGAGCAGACCGCGTTGGGGGGATGATGGGGGATGGTCTCATTTCCGGTTTCCGGTTCCCACCAAGTCTCTCCGAAGCCACAGGCTACATGCGGTCTCTGGATCTTGTTATGTCTTAATCCCCTTTATTTTGACGGATCATGTTCACTGTCCTTCGTGACTGGGAGTTTGCGGCGCACACGACTGTGCTTTTTTGGGTATAATGGCAGGCGCGACTGGGGCCCGACCAGATGGACAACCTCACATGAGGATCTGAAGGGAAATCGCTGGAGGAAGTCACCACATCTTTGCATTGTACATTGCTCGTCGTTTGGATTTTAGACCGACAGTGCGCTCTATTGTTGTTTTGAGTCTTTTGTGCTCGTCCGAAGTTGGCATTGGATGATGAAAGCTGCGGGCGGCCGCTGTGGATATTATTACCGCGACATATGAATCTGATCATGAGAAAACAAGACAATCTTCGGGATCCCCGAGTGCAGGGCCTTCCCAGCTCCACTCCGCTCCACCAAGCTGTCTGTCGTGGTGCCGAAGCGGACTTGTAGGCCGGAGTAAATACACACTGGATGAAGCCAACCGAATGTCGCGTAAAACGGGCTCCACCTCGGGACTAATCGCGGCCCGGGCACGTGACCCCCATGGCACCTACAAAAGGCCGCCGAAATTTGCCCAGCGGCCTGTTCTTTTTCTTCTTCATCAAAAAGTAACGGAGCCTGCCACGACCAACGCCCTGTCTTTTCTGACAAAGTCCACGGCGTTGTGTTGCCTTCGGCCCTACGGGGCTGATCGGCTCTGGAGATTATTTCTTCCCCGATAGGAAGTTCGTCTCCCAGTTTTGGGTCCTCTTCAGTGAGGGCGATGGGAGGGGAATGTCGAAGACGGGATACATACCACACTTTCCAAGACAGGATCTTGCTTCAGAAAGTCTTACACTCGCTAGTCAAATGAGGAAAGCAATGCCATTGCGTAGTCTCGTAGCCGTTGAGAAAACAACACAATTTCCAGCAGTTTCTGCTCTGCGAGATTTGTTCTGTGTGAGAACCACGGTCACGTGGGACTCGACACTTCCAAGGAATCGGAAGGTGGTTTTCATGTTGATGTCTCCAACCTGGACTATCAACTCCTGAAAGGGCAATGCAAAAGCTGCTGAGCCACTTGCAAGTTGCGAGTCTTGCGATTGACATCATGTGGAATTCACTCGCGGCAAAAAAGCATGGCTGCCCCCGTGTTTCAAAACATCGCTATGGAGTCGCGATCTAGCACGGGTTGTTCGAGTATTTGACCGTCGACCATTCTTTGCACGCCTTCGCTCTCCTGGACATCTGATTTCACAACTAATTTCAATCCTATGCCGTCATGAGGGCACTGCCTTTGCAGGGCCGTGGAGACGGCCAGGTACTGGGTCTTGACCAAGGGGGTCACAGATATTCGCCCTCGTGAATACCGATCCCCTGGTGATCTATCCCTCTCCACGACCCGGGGAATGTCGCAGCACCACCTACTCTGGACAGTGACCAGCATTTGTTTATACCGCGAGGGGCCAAAGCCATCATGTTGATGCTGCTGTCCATTCTCAATGGCATTCTGGCCTGGTTTCTGTGTCCTTGGCCTGGTCGACAGACCCCATCCTCATCCACTGAGTCGCATTCCTCGGGAAATGTCTTTAGATCATCATGAATGTATCGCAAGTACTAAAGGTCTAACGACCTCCTGAGCACGGGAGAATTGTTCCTTTTTGCAGCGTGCGAGGGAGTATCTTCAAACTAATTGCGCCATTCTTTTCCGTGCTCCCATAGCATTGTGTGCTTACTGTCACTCTTTTAACCTATCCACGCAATATCCATCTATCCGTTTCTCCAGTAATATTCTATATTGCATACTATCACGATGAAGGGCTTTGTCGGTGGAATTCCTTTGGCCCTGTTGGCTGCCGCTGCTCAGGCTCAGGCCATGGAGCATCACGCTGTATGTCGACATGAACATGCGAGGCGAATAGAACAGTCTACTAACGAGGCAGATTAGCCAACCAGCAACGGGGTACAGGCCCGCCACCTTTACCCTCATAGCGGTGGCACCGCGATGGGTGGCCCCTCAGGCAATGATGAGGATGGTGGCTTCACTAGCCCATATGCGGCCAACGTTCACACTCACACCAATGTTGATGAGTATAGCAAGGACGACCACTCCATCAAGGTGAAGAACAAGGATGTATACCCGCCTCCACCCGCCCCTGGTCCCTATGGGCCTGTCTTTGGACCGGGTGAGGGTCCCTTCCCCAAGCGTCATTGGCGACACGGCGGCACTGCCATGGGTGGTCCTTCTGGTAATGATGAAGGCCAGACCTTTGACATGCCCATCACTGCCAACATTCACACCGATGTCGACGAGTACCAGAAAGATGATCACTCTATCAAGGTGAAGAACAAGAACATCCATCCAGCTCCAGTCTACGCCCCGATTGCGCCTGGCTTCCACGGCCCCCCTGCCGGTTTCCGTGAGGGTTCCAGCCAGGGTGGTGAGCATTACCACGTTCCTGCTGAAGCTTTTGTCAAGCGCTGGGGTCCCGAGGTTGGTGGCACTGCTATGGGCGGCCCTAGTGGTGGCAGCGCCCACGGCTTCAATGGGGGCTTTGTCTCCGGTGGCACGGCTGAGGGTGGCCCTTCTGGTGATGATGAGGGCGAGGACTTCGGTAACCCTATCACGGGCGATTTCAACACCGACGTCGATGAGTACAGCCACGATGATCACTCAATTGACCTGAAACACAAAGATGTGTACCCTGCCCCTGTGATTCCGTTCGGTGGTTTCAAGCGCAGCTGGGAGCCGGAGGAGGGTGGCACCGCTATGGGTGGTCCCTCCGGAAATGATGGTGGTCAGACTTTCTCTGCCCCCATCACCCTCGATACCTCTACCGATGTCCACGAGCACTATCAAGATGACCACTCCATCGACCTCAAGCACGAAGATGTCTATGAGGATCCTCCAGTTGCCGCATTCCCTGTGGTGGGAGGTCCCGGTCCCTACATCTCGGGGGGTGGTCCCGGCCCTTTCCGTCGTGCCTACTCTCCTGATCGTGTTGCTGGAGGTGGAACTGCAATGGGCGGTCCTTCTGGTGATGACGAGGGAAGCTCTTTTGAAAACCCCACCTCTGTTGGCATTGATACGGGTGTGAATGAGCATCACGAGGATAACCACGCCATCAAGGTTGACAGCACCACTGTCCACCCTCCCGTGTATGAGGTCCCCCACATGCCCTGGATGCCTTACCCCGAGCACCCTGTTCAGCACCCCGAGACGGTCGTTGTGCCGCTGGCCCATCACTACGAAGCTCCTGCTTCCCCACCGGCTCCTGCTGCTCCTGCTGGTCCCCCTGCCGGTTCTTTCGAGCCTCACTGGGAGCGGCCTGCTCCACCTCAGGCTCCTCGTGAGGACCACGAGGAGGTTCCCCAATGCGCCGCCCAAGTCCACGAAGTTGTCCGCACTGTGACCAAGACCCAGTACAAGGAGGTCCATCCCACCAAGACTGTTTACGCGCAGCCTGTCGTTTCTCAGGTTGTCCAAACCAGCGCTGCTGTCCCTATGTCGGCTACCCCGGAGGAGGTTGTCGACCCCAAGGTGGTCTACTCTGCGCCCGCCATGCACGGTTCTCAGTTTGCCTCGGTCCCTGCTGCTCCTTCCTCGTCCTATGTTCCTTACCAAAGCTACAACTACATGCCTCAGCGCCCCGCCAGCTCCAGCGCTGCCTATTCCATGATCCCGGTGCATGTTCCTATGGCATCATCCTCCAGCATGATGCCCATGGCCACTCCCTCCAGCAGTATGGGTCTCAACCTGCGGCCTAGCGGTGCCGATGCTATGCACAGTGCGTCGGCGACCCCCTCCGGCCACATGTTTACTGGTAATGCTGCTCGCGTCTCTGGTGGCATTGCTTCGGTTGCCGCTGCTATTGTTGGTGTTCTCGCCTTCGTTCTGTAAACATACCCGAATCCTCGGGTGCTGGAGACACAGTTTTCGATATTTCTCAATTTTTTCTTCCCTTGTGTCTTTTCGTATAACTTTGTGTACCTCCATGTTGGTTGCGTCAAACATTAATGTTCACTGCCTGTTTCAAACGGGGTCTCAAGAGTATTTATTCAATATCAACTTTCGATTTCTCTTTCTTATGAATTTTCTGCTCTTGTAGAATTGTACGAGTATAAAATCTCCAAGCTGATCCTCACGCGAGGGAAGCCTGCTTTGTCCATCCTCGTGTGATCCATTGATGATGCTTCCCTGATTCATACTCATTTTCAGCTCTGCTCAACAACTCAAGAAGCGCACGGACCATGATATGCATATAGAATAATGAATACTCGTATATCCCGATGGACTGAGCTTCGTCATATAAGGGACCCATGACGATCCTAGTCCGACTTTCCTCTTAGGTTTGATGACGTTGCTTGCCTACTTGGGTGCTCCTACTACATCCTTCAACTACATTTCTCGCTCAATAGAGACAACCTTCCAAAAGTTCAACTAGAACATAACTTCCCCGAAAAGAAAGCTACCATCTAGGAATTATTCGAGAGACTTTTGGTTCCAAAAATTGCGATACAGAATAGGAACCCGACAGAGTAGACAAGCACCCACCCTACACTCTATACTTTGACTCACGAGCCCTTGTATCTTAAGCCGTAGTGATAGTATTCAGCTTATTCATCATTTAGCTAGACTCAAAAAACATTAAAATTAGTAGCAGGGTTTGTCTTCTTTAAAGTAATCCAAATTGAAAGACCCTAGAAGCCACGAACAGACTCACCTTCCCCAGGTCACGTGAATCACCGAAAAAGTCATCGACCCGCAACGCCAATCTTATCTGGTGTCGCCGCACCTTTCAACGGCTTGTTGCCATCTTGTTGCCATCCACCAACTATCAAGCCTTAACGACCTACTCCTCCTGACTCCCAACCCCAATATACGTCCCTGAGTGTTGCGCCTTCGACAACTGCTCTTCCTCCCGACGAGCCGCCTTTCCTTCCTTGATTTCCCGCCTTTCTTTATTCATATACCATGGACCACTCACGGGATCCCTGCCCCTGGGTCGCCTTGAGCGATTTCGGCGGTGCCTTCTGCATGGGTGCAATTGGTGGTGCTGTCTGGCACGGTGTCAAGGGTTATCGAAACAGTCCCTACGGCGAGCGACGGATAGGCGCCCTCACTGCTATCAAGGCTCGCGCTCCGGTGCTCGGTGGAAACTTCGGTGTGTGGGGAGGACTTTTCAGCACTTTTGACTGCGCCATCAAGGGAATCCGGAAGAAGGTTCGTAAACATTGGCCATTCGATGTCCCGGAAGCCGCTGCTAATTGCTTGTGCAGGAGGATCCCTTCAATTCGATCATTGCCGGTTTCTTCACTGGTGGTGCCCTCGCCGTCCGTGGCGGTGTCAAGGCCGCGCGGAACTCTGCGATCATGTGCGCCGTCTTCCTTGGTGTCATTGAGGGTGTCGGTATCGGTTTCCAGCGTATGATGGCTGATAACACAAAACTTGAGGTATGAACTACCGGGCCCATACAAGCATGAGACGCAAGCGTGTTTGCTGACCTTGAATCTTGTACAGCTTCCTCCGGCCCCGTCAGAGCAGCAGGCCGTGGCTTAAAAGTCTCCTTCCTCGATCTACTCATGCGTGACCGCATATTTTCCTCCGATCCTTGTCAACATTCTACCTTTCTCTTACATTGTACCAATATTCCCATGTTCAGCCCTCTCATCTCAGGCATTTGATTCGGACGGCTGGTTTAGGCCGTTATAGAATTACTCATAGATTTTTTTTTCATTCACCTCTGATCTTCTACCAAAAATAGGCCGTATAGTGATTGAAAATATCTAGTTGTTCGGGTCATCAACCCTTGTGTGTATGAAAATTCCATCATCCGAGGTATGACTATACCTCGGTTACCAGACACTTGTATATCAATGCTAAAGCAGAGAAACCACAAGCGGATAGTCTGACACAACATTTTAAGCTAGTCACTGTTAAGTAGTGTACCGATTGCAGAATCGTCGTTTGACCAATTGGACTCTATAGAATGCCTGATCAATGCAGGCGCAACGTTATTATGCAGATGGAAAACCAGCCTTATTCCAGTGCTATTTAAGATGTATAGGCATCATTCGGATCAGGTAAGTTGTGCATTCTATGGCTTTGTAAGGACAACAAGATGTATGCGAAATTTAAGGTTTTCATGTGGGAGGAACAGAAACCGGTCATGGTTGAATATCTGAAAAAAAGGGTGGGGTAGCGTGAGCAGGGATCTCTTGCCTCTGGATCTCTAGGTCCTCATACGTTTCGGTAACATTGTGGCAATATTCTCGATGTGAGGTCAAAGCTTGATCTCGGTAATAATCCATGTTTCTTCAGCTTAGAGTGTTTACAAACTCGATTGCGACCACCAGGCTTCGATACCGATCACGCTTGGTTTTCGTAGAACGAGGGATCTCAATGAGTCATGAAAGCAGTCTGAGATAATATATCAGTATCAACGCCTTTTTGTTATTTGCGGGAAGTCATCACCCAATCAAGCTGGCTTGAACATGATATCATGCATTCATCATTTTCCGCCTCCAGTTCCTTCGCACACTCAGAGTACATAATCACCGTAGATCTATAAATGGCAATGTGCACAGAACACTCAGTTTCTTCATAGTTGAATTTTTATAATTCTATCATTATCTGAAATCCTCTTCGTCGTCGCCATCGAGGACTAGGCTAAAACCACCTCACAAGCCAGTCATTCCATTCCAACTCAACTATGGCCTCCCGCAAGCAAGACCCCCACGGAGGCGGCAGTCTCTCTGAGATGGCTGTTCATGGAACTACAATCCCAAACGACGCTGGCAGACAGCGTATCATCCCGTCTGTGCCTCGCCCAGACCAGCGATCAGAGAATGCTCTCTACGACAACAACGGGATTGCCCAGCCCTCAACCGCATTTGCAGCAGACAACGACACTGACTTGCCTCGGTCCACTCGTGATATTGGCTTGACGGGGGAGGTCCTGACGGGCGTAGGCAATTCCATGCCTGCCAGCGTGGAGTCCAAGCGTGCCTATGTGGGCACAAATATCCCCGGTGCTACGCGTGATCATCGCGAAATGAAGCATCACAACCATAACCGGGGCATGTTCGATCAGTATGCAAAGGAGGATGAGGATGCGCATGAAAACATTGGAGAGAACTACTGGCACAATGAGTGAAGTAGGACTTTCTCTCATTCCTCGATGAAGAGCCGCCTCTGCGTTCTCTGCGCATGTTTTGTATCCTGGGACCTTGCCACATGGCACGAGTTCAAGGCTGGATAGATTGGAACAAGAAAAACATAATCGCTGTCAATATAACGTATATTTCATGAAATGTACACAATATCCACGTCACGTATAGGTTCTGGGTGCTTCAGGTGTGATAAATCCCTGGTAGATTTCGTCTAATACGTCTCGCTTTCTTTTCCTATCAGCCAGCGCTGCCTCTTCCTCTTCCGTAGGTTCTCCATCTGGTTCCCGAGACACCCAACTGCGGATAGTCCCATCACCATGGGCAGAGAACAGCTCCAGACCCTCACCAGAAGCACCGTTGCCCCGCCAGGCTAGATCGTTAATCCGCCCAGCGCTAAGTGCATTCCCACGGGCACGGTACGAGCTCGACGCATTCGTAAGATTGGGAACCCGAAGACGCTTGATAAAAGTTCCCTCGCGGAGTTCAAACATGAAGATCTCGCCCCGGTCATCTTGTTCGTTGAAGTTGGGCCACAGTAAGGTTTCATGGCCGGGGTTCATGAGGCCCTTGGGCAGGAGCAAGGGTGCCCGTTCAGCCAAGTGGGACGACGCGCTATTCCGAACGCGAGGTCCAAAATGCACAAGGCTGTTCGCACCCGTACTTGCATCCCACACCCGAATGCGCGAGTCCTGCCCGGCTGTGACAATATGGCTGCCATTGGAGGTCCAGCGAACTCCTGTTACAGCACCATTGTGTGCACGAGCGTGGCGGGAAAACGCCAGCCGGTTAGTATAGGCCTCAGGTGCGGCCCCATAACCCGGCGGAACCATGCCCACAAAGTCATCCTTGTCCAGTGTTGCAATGGCAGAGTTATGACCACCCCGCCGAACGTCGAAGATGATCACTCGGTTGTCCACTGACCCCGACGCGAGGAGATACGGCCGGTGCGGGGCCCAAGAAACCGATAGTACGGCGCCAGTGTGCCCTGGCAAGCCATGTGTTGCTAATCCTGATCGCAAGTCCACTAACCGCACCGACTGCTCTGAGGTTGCAACTGCCACTTGCAAGGTGGATCCAGGCTGAGAGGAAAATGAGTGCGCATAGGGCGTGCAACCAATGTTGAATCGATGTACCGGGGTAATCGCCGGGGATTGGAGTGCGGATAGATTCAAGGTACCATCATGCGACGTCGAAAATATGGTCGAGGGAACCGGGTCGAAGGGATAGATCGAGAGGGAGGTAATGGCGTGGGTATGTGCGTCATTGTGTGAAGATTTACTGACTGATGCGCGAGCCCGATGGGTGTGCTTGAGCTCTGAACCCCTACTTTCAAGATCCCAGAGGTGAATTGACGGATCTGCTCCCCCAGATATCATACTATTCTCGTCAGAGGGAAATCATAAGAAAGCGGAGAGCGCAACTGCTTGCACGTACTATCGTCCCTCGAATTGGTCAATTGCCAGGCAATTCACACCTGATTTGTGGGCAAATACTTGGTCCGCGATAGAATCAAATTCGGACCCAGAGTCTTCGTTTGGGGGTATTTGGTCATTCTGAAGCTGATCCGCGGGTGCGGCTCTGCGACTGGAGAACCGAATCCCAGGCGAAGGCTCGAAGTGGTGCACTAGCCGTGTTGTCTGGGCTACATGGAAGGCGTTTGGTGTTATAGACCCAAGGGCCCTGTTAAGAAGATAGGAATTCATTCATCAGCGCCGATGCTTGCGAGGTATTCGAGAGGACCAGAGTCGAGATCAAAAGACTCGGGGAGAAGGCCGGGGTAGGGTGACCTCATCGGATCAAGGTTATCCCGGCGCATTGAATTTTGAGGTGAACGTCCTCGACCTTGAATTTCTACTTCTTGTCCATGTTTTGTCGGGCCCTGTCTGGGGCTCTAGGCATTACGTGAGGATGTCCTACGGAAAGTCGCTCAGTCAGAGCCAGAACGCTTTCGTCGTACCCCCCAGCCAGCCGGAGGAGGAGCCTTTGGAAACCGAATCCAGACACTCCAAACGCCGGTTCAACTCCAGTCTTTACGATGCCGTAGCAGGTATGCTTGACAAGAAACGATGTGCATACCCTTGGAATTTAGAAGTCTAATTGATACAGGCCGGGTAAATCAGCGAGGGTTTCACCCTGCGGCAGCCTTTGCCTCGCGCTATCGAGACACGGCCTCTTCGGGAGCTCGAAGCCTCCGCCCGGAGGAGGTTCTCGCTCGCGCACAGAATTATCCCACCAAACATCAACGCTTGGCATCTGCCGGGGAAGGAGATGCATATTTCGCGCATGAGAGGCTACCGTCGCATCTGGTTCTGCCAGACTCCAGCACCCTCGAGGCCGTTCATGCCTACGCGGCCGACTTCTACGAATATGCGACGGACGACCACGGGCTCCATGACCACCAAAGCATGGATGAGACTGCTTTGATCGCCATGGGAATTCTGGTGGAAGAAATGGCTAAAGAAGTCCTTGGAGAAACCGGGGATTTGGTCCTTGTGGAAGGAGAAGAAGTACCGGAAGCGCCCCAGGAACGCCCGCAGGAAGACGACGAGACAGGTGCTCACAGTGACGCTACCACCATTTCACAGCTGGGTGAACCAAGCCGACGACGAAAACGAATGAATGTGGGTGCCACCAGCGACATGGCTACTTCGCAAGAGAATCCAAAGAGTGTGCAACGGACGGCCAAGCGCCGCAAATTGGGAAATAGAGTATCCATTGCCGACGCAGAATCTGGAGAGGACGAAAGATGACCAGCAACATGATTATCAATCATGTAAGCCATTGATTCTCTGTCTATGAGGCAAATTATCCCGCAGGTTGTGCAATATTCAGGGTTGCATTCAAATTAGCTCATTCCCCCGCGGGTGTTTTGCGCGCTCCTCGGAGACCCTTCTTTTGCATCCACCGCCACGCGACGGTCCAGAGAATCGTGTGACCCCGGCGCTAGCCTGGAGATCAAACAGCGTGGGCGATCAGGGAACTTCCAGGGTCTTTCTTGACAGGGGGAGTTTGGGAGGCGGAGAGGAGAAGCTTCAATCTCACGTCAGCCGAAAGAAAGTTCAACAATCATCTGTGAAACGCCCTTTTCCTCCTCTCCCCGACGGCGGCACGGAACGGTCTGGCTCGTCTTACTCATGTCTTCTGTACATGAGATGTGTCTGTATTTTCTGGTCTGTTCGTACCTGAAGATCCGCCCGTGACCGACGAAGCCCCGAGCTCTGTCGACTGCATTCATGGGGCAGATAGATCCGTTCCATTTCACCGAGTCCGGAAGGAGAAAGTGGACCTGAGGGCTGCGAGAGGTTATTTTACAGGTCAGGAGATAATTAATCCCTTATCTCTCGTCGCGTGGTCAATTTATTTTCTCCTGGAGAAATCCTAGGTTGCCCATGTGCACGTAACGTAGTGTATACGGTTATACAATCATACAATCATACAATCAGATGAAAATACGATCCACGACCCTCAAACTAAGCCCTATAGAGCCAACTGTAGGAAACTAAGGCAGCTAGTACTGCACCACTCTGTTTTCAGATATACGAGAGGCAATAGACCCAGATCTGACAATGGTTGTTTTGAGGTATCGCAAAGAAGTTCCACGGAGGAGCTGATTGTGTGCATTATGGTGAAACCAGTGAGGGGGACAAACTTCGCCCTTCGACCATCGATCACCACCACCACCACCATCATCACCATCGTCATCATCGAGGCCATCTTGGCTTCACGCCACCATTAAAAGCTTGGCTTTCTTCGGTCAATCTTAGTAACATCTGGGAATTCCGCAGTCAGATAAGCTTCTTCGCCCGAACCAAGGAAAAGGAATATCGTCCAGAACGCCTCAGGCTCCTTTGTGGGCCCCGGATCTCAGCGGACGACACCATGGTACGTGGCCCCCCCGCTATCGACCTTTGTTGATTCGACTGTTGGTCTGAAAGGGGCACACTGTCCCCCCAGAGACTCCCAGGGTGGGGGAGAGAAAGGAGACGAGAGATATTGGCAGACAAGGGAAGAGGCTACTAACGCGACCAAGCCGCCCAAGCTGTCTAAGGGTGAAAAACAAGATCTCATTCTGGCCCACCTACAGGCCACTGGCACCTGCCATACGTTGAAAGACCTGGAAAAGGCGCTCCCGGCGGTGGCATCGATTCACAGCATTCAGGTCAAAGAATACATACAAACGCTGACTGACGAGAACCGGCTGCGCGTGGAAAAGATCGGCAGCGGGAACTGGTACTGGAGCTTCGGGACAGACGAGAGGCACACCCGCGAGCAACAGTTGGCCCGGGTGAAGACGGAGGTGGAGAAGGCTCGGATAGCGCACACCGAGGCTGCCGCGGCGCTGGCCGCTGCGACCGCACAGCACCAGGAGGAATCCGACCAGATCGGCGAGTGCGAGCTCGAGGCCGCGCTGGGCAGGAAAACCGAGTTAGCGACGGAAGTCGACGGTCTCCGTGCCAGAGCAACATCGGCGCACGACTCCCTAAGCCACAAGGGCGTGCAGCAATTACAGAAGGAGCTAGCAGGGTTCCGGCAGCAGGCGCAGCAATGGACGGACAACCTGTATGTACTGGAGGGCTTTCTACGCCAATTGGCCGGCGGGGACCGGGAAATTGTCACCGCGGTGCTGCGTGAGTGCTATGGAGCCGAGTACGTGGACGGGGAGGGCCTCCGAGAGCTGGACGAGGGTATGGATCCCTGATTACCGGGTCCCGACGGCCTGGATCCCTAAGGCAAAAGGCCCCGGTCCTCTCGTATGGTCGCACTTCTGACGATCATGTACTCCTCGTGAGGTATCCGGTATAACATGGGGGGGGGGGCAAGGGAAGGCGGGAGGGGAAGAAGGGGAAGATGGGACGGAGACGGGAAGAGAAAAGCTTAGCCTGGGAAAATCGTGTCGCAGGATGAAACGGAGGCGAGACTGTTCAACGAATCCCGAGATGATCCTACGTATCAAGTGGTATTGCAGTATCGCCGAAGTAGAAGCGTGATAATCGTGCCGACTGCCCAGAAAGGGGTAGTCGAGTTCACCAAGAGAAGCTTGACCGAGTGACACGCGAATCGTAGACCCCGTTCTCCGCGTCCAAGGCTTGGGCCCGTTTGGGTTTGAGAGGGGAAACTGGCCGAGTCCGGGTCTTTGGGTCTTTGGCTGTTCGGGTCTCGTTGGCTAAGGCGGCTTAGGCTTAGACTCTGCCTGGTCGAGGCTTATCACGAACTCTCCTTCACCTCCATCCCCAACTCCCTTCTCCTCTCCTCCTCCGCTCGTCGTTTTTCCTCCCTCTTCATTCTTCTCCTCGGTCGGAATCCAGCCTTCGTCGGACCTTCTAGGAGCCCTCTTCCTGTTCCTCCACCCTCTCTCTTGGATCTCCTGATCCCTGCTGGCTCCTCCCCGGTCTCCGTGCTTGCGCCACTCCTCGTTCCCAGGAGTCCCACATTCCATTGCGCGCCTCGTTCCTCGATCCCGCCGTACTCCGTCTCTCCGAGACAAACAGATCCCGCTATCTTGAGATCACCGCCCCTCCAACCGGCCACAGCGGCCACAGACGATCATCCCCCAGAATCTCTTTTCTTGTGGCTGAGGCCCCCGGTTCTCATCCACGCGAGAGTTCCTGGCGGGGGCGACCTTGATATCCAGGCCCCTGCGCTGTGGTGTCGCTGAGAAACAATGTGGTCCGGTGGTTCTCGATCATAATTCCCATTCCTCTCCTTGGATCCGGGGAATCTCTTGCCGGCGGACACGGACACGGGCACATACCGTGGCATTTGCAATCGGACCGTGTCCAGTGTGTTCGAGACGTCTCCCCGTCTCCCCGCGAGTCGACAGGGACGACTGGACGTGTCGGTCGCTCCGTTGGACTTCCTGGGCGTAGGCAGTGTTGCCTCCCTCCCTCCCTCGATCCGATCGGTCTTCTCTCCCTCTTCCCACCCCGCCATCGCGCGTGCTGTCCATCCCCTCTAAGGGGCCTTTTTCCGACCGCTCTATCAACCAAGGGCCTCGTCACGACCCACGATCTGTGATTCGCGACCTGCTGGTCCCTCCGACACCAGACATTCTTCTCACCCTCACCTCCGTCTGACGATCTTGTATGGATGTAACCGACGGCGACCGTGTGTCATGTCCTCCATCCCTCCTCCCCCCAAGACCTCCACCGTGCCGGTCAGCCGGAATCGCAACTCGTTCCTGTCCAAGTTTCGCTCCCCGCTAGGTAACCGCAACCGCAGTATCACCGACTTCTACATCGAACCCGACGACCCATGGCGTTCATACTTTCCGGGAGATGTCATCAAGGGTACGGTCATCCTGACCGTTATACGACCAGTACGCATTACACATATAGTCGTTTGTTTACATGGATATGTCAAGGTGTTCAAAAACGCAGTTCCCGCAGGAGAAACCATCCCCGATTTCGGGTTTCTGGGACCGGGACGGGGTCGTCGCGGCGCCGAGTATATGGGCAATGGTCTCGCAACACTCTTCGAGGACGAAATGGTCCTGTGTGGTGACGGACGTCTCAAAGAAGGCATATATAAGTTTCGCTTCGAAATGGGACTACCTCCCTATGCGCTCCCCAGCAGCATCAACGTACGTCTCTTATCTGATATTGCCTTTTCCTTTACCAATACTAACCGGGGAACTGATGGGATTTGTTTTTAGTTCGAACGAGGCACCGTTGCGTACTCCTTAACATCCACCCTTACCCGACCGACTACCATGAACCCTACCATGACCTGCCGAAGGCGAATCAACCTTCTCGAGAATATCGATATTGCCCCCTTTCCCGCCCCAAAAGCCCGAATTGTCACGCTTGAACCAGTTTCCAGGCGCTCCAAATCCAAAGCCAAGGCCAAATCAACCACCTCGGAACCTACCCCCGCAACCGACTCTTCCTCCATAGATACCCCAATCAGCGCAGCAACCACTCCCGTGGATAATCGCCCACCTCTCAGTCCCTCACTTAGCAACGTGAGCTCTTCCAGTCGACCGAGTAACAGCAGCCAGAGTTTCCATATTGCCAGCGACCCAAGCTCCTCGACCAGCACAGGAGGTCGGAATAGTGAAGGCCGCAGTGCCACCCCCTCCATCTCCGATAAAACAATCACTGCAAAGGCCGAGGTTTTGCGCGCAGGCGTGCTTCCAGGAGATGCTTTGCCCGTTAAAATTACAATCAACCACTGGAAACAGGTGCGCAGTGCGCACGGGATCATTGTGACCCTCTACCGACAAGGCCGTATCGACCTTCACCCGGCTATCCCCATCGGTTCCACGGCAGCCGGAAAGAAACCCGTGTATGAGGACTGCTACCCGCGCTCCAGGACTGGGCTCGGGGGTTGACTCTTGGCACCACCCGCACGAGCTGCACTTTCCGCAAGGACCTCTCACAAACGTTTGCCCCGTTGATAGTCGATCCCACTACCATGACCGCGGTTGTGAAGACATCGATTCGAGTCCCCGAAGATGCATTTCCTACTATCACTCGTGTACCGGGCTCGATGATTAATTTCCGATATTATGTCGAGGTTGTTGTAGACCTACGGGGCAAAATCACTTCACCTGATCGCTTCCTCCCACGATTCAACATGGTGTCGGGCGGCAGCACGTTCTCGCCCAGCGGCCAAATTCTGAACCCAGCGGATGCAAATGGGAGTGGCATCACAGCCAATTGGGCAGGAAACATCCTGGATACTGATCAAGTTCGCCGTGAGAAGGGCGTTATTTCCGTTGCATTCGAGGTGGTTGTGGGTACCCGGGATTCCCAGCGTGGCCAAGCTACCCTCGAGCGGACGTCGTCCGCTACTGCCGAATCAGCCATCCATATTGCACCGTTAGCATCCTCGGTCGTGATCAATCCGGTAGATGGGGAAGACTGGCCCGAAGCAAGCCCAATGCCGAACAATCATGAATACAATGGCCAAGAAGACTACGGTTTCCCTGACGAGACTCATTGGTCAGAGTATCCTGAGGATTACTCCCAATCGTTCCATCCCAGTGGCTCCATGACAGCACACCCGGAAGTGGAGGAGCCACTGGACGAGAAAACTAGGCTGCGATTACATGAAGAGGGCCTTCTACCCAGCCAGCCCCCAGAAGAGGACGAGGCAGGACCGTCCAATGCTGAACTGGAAATGCCGACCGCCCCCGTCTTACCAGACGATCACCACCTGCAGGACTATCAGCACCTACCTACACCAGTTGCCGATGATGTCCCCCAGGCCGTCCGGTCTGCAGAGTCTTTACAGACGGTGGTCATCAATGGCCAAGCTCCAGAACCTGCCGAAGCTTCTGTCCCAGGGGAAGATAAGCAAGAGTTGGAGCGGCAACGGCTCCTGGCGGAAGCGAGTGCGCCTAGTGCACCTCCCCTCGAGGAGATCAATGGCGATTCTGGTGAAGGCCCCAGTACTCCCAGTGCTCCAGTTGCTTCTCCCACGGCTCCAGTCTTCGACGAGGACGACCAGCTAGTAGGCGGAGTGGCGCATGCGGACGAGTCTCTCCCTCGGTATCAGCGATAAAGCGAAATTCTCTTTTTGCTTTCTGTTCATTTTTCATTTCATGTAGATTTTTTTCACTCTTTTTTTATTTGCATCTGGGGGCCAGGATATTCAGGGAAGATACCACTACTCGCATATTTACGAACTCACGGCGCCGGTTGAGGCGTTGGGAAAGCCAATGTATCATAACATTTCTCTCTACCTATCAGCAAAGACGTGTTGACATTTTATCATCCGAACGATGTGGAGTGTGTACTAGTTTCCGATTTCCGACTAGCCTCGTCGCTCGATACTACTTGTCCTGTCTCCGGCCAGATTAGCCTTATCATGTCTCGTGTTTCTGGGGGTCCGCCTTGGCACCCGCTTAGCGATAAACCTCGATCCCCCTGTTTCTCTCCTCTTCCCCCGTATCCAATTCCTCCAAGCTACACCTTCCGAACACAATGGCATTCAAGAGCGGGTCGTTCGCGACCTTCCTCATCCTTTGCCGTGAGTCCAACCTTCTCCCTCCCCAGTTGCCGCGACGAGGACCCCCTCCCTCCAAGAACAGAGATGGGTCCCCGATGTAACCACCAACCGCCACCAAGACCTCCGCTGACAGCCCTCCCCCAGCAACCTGCTTTTTCCTGGGCATTATTTTCTCGCTCTTCCCCTACGACTATCCGATCCTCTGGTCGACTGCGCCAACTCCCGCCTCGCACTATGACTATCTCGAGGCGCACCTTCGCTTCCTGCATGCCTCGCCGCCGCTGATCCCGCGCATCCTCCACATCGTCATCTTTCTCGGGCTTGCTGGTCTCGTGACAAAGCTCTACAAGCCCTCTGAATCGAACATGCTCTTCGACGGCGCCTCGCTTGTTCTCTACATGTGCGGCATCACCGTCTACATCGCCAACATCGTCAAGGGCCTGCGCCTTGCCTCGGCCGGCCAGTACGGCGCCGAGCTTGCCACCTCGCCCGAAGAGAAGGACCAGATCCTCGGCCGCGAGGACTCGCTTAAGGTCCTCGCCGCAAGCAACACCATCCTTGCCCTCGTCCTCGTCGGCATTCTGGTCCTCCAGGCCGGCCAGTGGTACGCAGAGCGCAAGGACGCGCAGGAGTACGCGGAGCTAGCGGCGGGCAAGAAGGGCGAGGCTGAGAGCTCATCAGCGACGGCGTCCGGCGTGGCATCCGGTAAGCCCGGTCGTCAGAGCAGCCAGCGGAAGAAGAGTAACTAGGCACATGATGAATTAGCGAACCCTTCTTTGCTTTCTTGTTTTGTCTTGTTTGGGTTTGGAGAGGTGCGCTGGTGGGAAAGAACTAGGAGAGGGCGTTGTAGTATAGTTTGGCGAATTGTCTTTTTCCTCCCCCTTTTTTTTCTCCTTCTTTTTTATTTGTTGGATTGGGTTCTCTAATCCGTAATAATCCATCCTGTTCTCCTTTTTGGCGAGTGGTGACCCGTATGAACTGGGTGAACCATTCGCTGAGGGTGTTTTACCACGGAGATCGGGAATGGGCCGGACTCTACTCCGGCGAGAAAGACATTTATCCTTTTCTTGAATATATTGCCAGTCAGAAGGAATGGAGGAGTTGGACAGAGGAAGGGAAAGAAAGAGGGGACATCTCGAATGAATGTCGATTCGGGGATTGTCTATGTACACAGGCCCATGAGGAGAGCACACTATGGCATTTCTGTACGAATGATATGAAATGAAGATGCAGACATTTTGATCGTCGTGAGAAAGAGGGGAAGCGGGGGAAGAGAGAGAGAGAGAGAGAGAGAGTTGGGACCGTTCATTAACGTATCAACAGATGGTGGCATATGTCGTCGTCACACCGCAGAAGGGGAATCTAGAAGTGCAAAATAAGAAAAAAAAAAAACCAAAAAAAAACAATGTCGTGAGGTAAATATAGGCAAAGAATGGCCCAAATGCGGCTGGCCTGCGCTGTCAGGCCCCCCAAAAAAGAAAGCAAGACGTCATTAAGCGAATGAGAATGGGCTCCGTGGGAGGTCGGGAGACCGGGGGCTCAGGGCTTTCGCGAAAAGTCCCTCGCCGGACTCGGTGCTCGGCGTGCGGGTCAGCTTGCTCATGGAATTAGCTGTGGCCAGCGAGTCTATGGGCGCAAAGCCGCCGGGCCCGCTGGCCTGTTGCGCTTCTTGCAAGGACTCTGGCGGATGAAGCGCGACGGTGCGCAGAGGCTCGAATGTAGAAGGATTGAGGTGTGAGCTTGGAGTTGGGGTAGGGTTTGTGTCTGGCGTGGGCATGGAGTGAGACGGCTGGTTGGCGAGACCTCGGAATGAGCTGAATGAGGAGACAGCCACGTCTGGAGACTGTGGCGAAAGCAAGTGTGCAGGGTTCGAGCCTATGTTTGTACAAGTTGTTAGTTATCAGATGATATGCAAGTCTTGCAGAGGGAAAAAGACGCACTGTCTTTCGCCGAAAGGTCTCGCTCGCTCGTCTGGAGTTTCAATCCCCGTAACTTGTCGGTCAATTTGCGGCCACTGATGGGCGAGACGGGAGTGGCCGGGCCTGTGGGATACGCCGCGGGGGTTGACGATTCATGACTTGACACAATGCCTTCGAGGCCCCGCGGTACGATGCCGAAGTTGGCCTCGATCCATTCCTTTTCTTGAACTGCCATGTGCAAGGCAACACCCTCGACATTGTTCCGGCACTCATCCCGGATCTCCTCATCCAGGACGCGCAGGCGTTTCTTGGCCCAGATTGTGTGCAACACGCCTTTCTTGCCAGCTGAGCGGCCGGTGGCACCGAGTTCAGGGGGGAAGATGGCAGGGAGCGGGTTTACCTGCAAGCTGTCGCGAGCTTTGGCAGAGGGGGTACCGTCTGTGTCCGTCGCCTTGGGTTCATATGAGAGGGTGACAATGGGTGGAATCGTGGTATTCGGTGGAAGTAAGAAATAGAAGCGACGGGTATTGTCACTGGGCCGCTCGTGGGCCGGCAGGACAGTCGTCTTGCCCGCCCACGAAACATGCCACGATCCATCCGAAGCGGTGCGTGTGATATCATCGTCCTCCCACTCGATCATGAGGATCTTAGTTCCCTCATTTCCCTTTCCAGCCTCAAACTCGAACCGAGCCAAGGCCGTGATGGCGAGACTACCAGCCTTAGGACCCCGCGGGGTTTCCAGCTCAGCGAATTCACTATCCGGGGTGAAGGCGGGGGGTGCCTGGGTCATGGCTATACCGGTGGGATGCAAGGCGCACCTTTTAAGGTCAGGATTCAGGCTTGAGGATGGGGGCGGGCGGCTGAATCAGGGGTCGAGTATATGAGGCGCGGTCGTCAGCAAGAGCAAGTTGCATACGAGGAGGAGTGGGGGGGGGGGGGGTTCACAATGTTGCCGATCACGGGATGAGGAGTTCGAGGGCTACAGAGTCGCGGCATAAAAAGTGGGAGGGCTAATTATAGCAACGGCTTGGCAAACCCAAACAATGAACGTCACTACGCTCTATACTTCCATCCCCGGGATCAACAATGAACGCCCCATGCATTAATAATGATAGTAGTTATGGTATCTGCAGAATCAATGGATCATCAAAAAACAAACAGGTAGACAAGACTGAATCTATTTCCAACTGCGTTTGTTTTCATAGAAGCGTGTGGAGAACCATAAATAATCAGATCAATCACATCCAAGAGCATTCTTTGAATATCGCAGATGAAAGCCTGACATAGGAAGCTCTTTGTTTTTTCCAGTGACTGTGATGACTGAGCAGCATGTTATGAGGTGAACTTATGTTTTGGCTTCGAGTGGAAGGAGTGGGTTTCATCGAGGGTGTATAACATCAAGGGATACCTCAAAACACGAGGACGCCTTGGAAATGCCATGATGAAACCTAGTGAGCCTAGGGCTCCATGTAGCTGAGATATAGAATCCAGAGGGTAGAAGAGATCATGCCAAGGTCGTTATCTTCAATTGAGCGGGAATCGCATGCTCATAACAAAAGGGGGTCCTGACCTGGACGATTCAAGCACCTGGCTCATGGTGCTCAAAAATAGGTCCTTTCCTCATATGCTAGGCTTTGGATCACTTGCCAATATTTTTAGCAAGATGTGATAGTTTATATTTTTAGTATCTCAACACGATGCAAGAAGTGGCGGGAAGCTGTGATGAAGGTGTGTTGATCCCAGGCCAAGACAGCGAGCGAATGAAAAGCTTCAAAGATGGACAATACCATCGTTTGAATCACTTTTCTCATGGAAATCTACGTAGGTATGATACAGTATCGTACAATCGACAAGGAAGATAAAATGAGCGGCAAACGTATTCGCAAAAATAGCAAGAAAGAGCAATGAAGAACGGTACGAGTGCAGATCTGCGAGACGCTCGGGGTCAACGAGCTTGGATTGAGGGAACCAACCATGTTCCCTCATGCAGGAAAAACATCCCGAAGATGAGGAGAAATGCAGGGGATAGCTCAGGTGCCAGCCAGATCTTTCTATAATTAAATCGATTAAGGACGTGGAGCAGGAATGGGCGGGCGGTATAATTGAAGAGCGGGCGGTGATTGGTGTAAGAAGGAGTGCACACTGGCAAGGGTTGCCAGCTGCTTCACGAGCAGAAGTTTTCTAGCCAATAATTAAGCAGAATGCTTGCGTGGAGGAATTCGATATACCCGCCCGTCGTCAGTACGGGCCGGCGGTTCGATAACCATAAAGTTCAATCATGTCACATATGGATCTGAGCGGCCGCGGCGGTGTTCAAAAATAGAGCAGCTGCGCGTCATGGGCTATTCTTGGAACATTGAAAAATCAACTCGTACAATTTCTTGCCATCGAAGGCGAACTAGCGCATGGAAACCGGGGTTGAGCCTGCACTACCAGTCAAGGCCGCAAGACGGCAAGCTGACGTCGTATGGATATCAGCTATTTGATTACGATCGGTGGATTTCCACTGTCACTACAACCAATTTGAGCAATTGGGTTGACTTCAGAAAGTGGTTGACTGATTTCGCCTGTCTTAGGCCGGAAGATTTGCGTCGGGCGGCTGTCACCGCCGACGGACTCAGAGATATGCTTTGTTGTGTCAAATGTAGCTATAGAAGGGTGACATTATACCTAATTGGCTGAGTAATGAGAGCCTCATGTTCAGTCTCTTGGCAGAAATCTACGATATTCTGTTTTTCCGTCTGCACTGTCAGGTAGAGGTTTACTACGAAAGACTTGTTGGATGGACAAGATGAAATGTTGAGGGAGAGAGGTGTCGAATATGAGATGATGAGGTCCGACAATATCAGTAGACAATCTAAGTTGAGCTTAAAAAATGCCGGACAGACAGTACAGAAATGCGCAGAATGGTGGGGAACTCGAACGCTCCGCTTTACTGGCTGGCGGGTTAAATATAGCACTGTGATCACACTGCATAAGTTTCCTGCACCCCCTCGAGTGTACATATCCGACCCGCTCTGTAATTGGTCAAAAAGGTGCACCAAATGAGAATCTCCTCGATATTATTGGGTCAAATGCTACTCTCTGCTTACATAGTTTGAGTCCCAGACGATGACTGGTGGTATCCAGTAAAACCGCATGTACAGTATGTACGTATGTACGTATGAAGTCCATCTTGAAAGTCTTCTGCCTGGGAGGGGGCTTCTGTGAATAGCCCAGCTTTGCACCAGATACTTTGAAACTACAATCTCCACTTATTCCATTTACCTCGGTGACTACTTGCTTGTGATTCATTCTGTAGCCAGGCTGATCCTAGCCATATCGCGACATTCCCCGTCGAGTGACTTCGGGGACGCCGATGGATACACGGTCTCGGAGTACGGCGAGTAGCTCATCGATCGGCTGGCATGGGAGCCAATCACCCTGCTCCACCTCGTGTTGACCGAATGATCCTTCTCCCCCAGTTTCGCTGGTGGTAAGACGGAAATACTCGGCGGCAACAATAGGCACAATTTTACCACGTCACGTCGCACCTTCCCGGGGTGGGGAAGGGGGGTTGGCCAATGGGTGTTCCACGGGCGAGGCCCATAGCCCGGGCGCCAGTGGGGCTTGGATTATCGTGGCCGGCATGCGAGGGTCCCGCTCTCCCGGCAAGGAATAGCGCCGGCGCTTAATTGCATTTCCCACTTCTGAGGACTGCCAGACCCCTCCCTACCCATTGGCCGGGACACTTGGGAGGTGGGCAGGCTCTGCTTCTTCTCTGGATCGCCTGTGATAGCAGCCGGGGGGAACGGACCAATATCAAGCCTCGCATGCGAGTAGAAATGTAGTGAACTGATGCCTGTGACGGACTGCGGAACTCTATTTCCTCGCCGGTAGACTTCTTTGTCGGCGTCTGTGTTTTGTTCCTCTTCGAGGGAGGGGGCTCCGGTGTATGGGCTGTATTGTGCTGCTGGGTCGGCGCCTCCGAGCCATACGTTATCCTCCGTACGTGTATCTATACGGAAGTCTGTACAGAGTACTGTTGTTTCTGAACCGTTCATCGGTTCTACTGGAATTGGCGATCTGCCAGATGAATTTGTCTGGTCAATCTATGTAATCCATAGTGATATCAACACCCTCACCCACACCATTGTATCAGAAAGGTGACAATGTGCCCGGCCTACAGACAGCTTCCCCTTGAAACCAGAAAGCGGAGATGTCCGTATATTGGAGGGGCATTCTTCAGCGCAACTCGAAACCAGAGATGCGCTTTATGGCCCAATCACAGTCTGTAATTTCACAGTGATATCTCAGCCAGCTGCAGCTTGAATCCCCATCTTGCATCAGGTTATCCCCAAAAAGGCAATTCTGCTCCTAGGTTGGTGTGATGGGTGTGCTTGAGATCAAGGCGTGCAAACGCTATTCACCGTGCAGAACACATCGAAGCGGGGGAGGGGGAAGACATGCTCTTCAAGCACAACCCTCGTGTGCACACTATGTAGAAAAGAGTGAGTGCCCCGAGCTGCTCTCACGCAGAGAGGGTCCCTGTATTGTGATTGTGATGGAAGGGTCGGTCGTCGTATACCAGCGTTACCGTATCTCACGTAGTAATCCCTGTAATACCAGTCCTTGTAACATTACATACTTTGCCAGCAGGTGTCACGTCGAGGGTTCCCACTCTTCCAGTCCATGAACGGACTGTACTTCGTTACCCACTAGAGGGCCCCAGGCCCAGATCCCTGCCTATAACTCCTATAGTTTGAGCACATATAGGGCCAGGTGGGCAACGCGAGATGAGTCTTTGCAGGGAAAATACCGCATGACGAGCTCTCTCTCATCCGTGCTTGAGCTTCCCTGTTCATACTCGTCTCTAGAATCTGCAATCAAGAATCTACAAATTGTACGACGCGCAATAGTATGCCGCGCCGAGCCCTTGCTAGAATTGACCTCTACCTTCCCAATCCAGCAACTCATCTCTCTAGAGGCTCCTCAATAAAGTCTGGGGGAAGGACCGAGCTAGATGCGCTTCCGACCATGACTCGAACGCGTCCCGCGACTTGTGAGATGCGGACGTGCCGTCAATATGGGGGCGAAGGATCTTTAAGATGAACTTGTTGGCTTAACCCTTGCTAGCGAACCTTCCAGGTTTTCACCCAATGCGGATAGGAGTGACGCAAATACTAGCTATAATCGAAAAATGAATCGTCCCAATTGTGCTTCTCTCCGCAGGAGCTACCTCCCTTGAAACTAGGGGTCAGATCATATCAAACATGTCCCCAAAAAAGAACCTCCCCCATGATCATCTGCTATATGCCCTTCCAACAACCCAATGATTCAACCCGCACCCCCAAATGAACGAAAAATCCCGGAGGCTGTGGTTTACACGTGGAATGTTCTCCGCCAAAGATCCTGGTCGACGTACAATGCAAAAGGGTGGATGATACCAACAATCTCGCTGTTGAGCCTCCCACTCACAGCCGGTAGGGAGTGTTGGTTTACGGGTTTGGGGGCGTAGCCCTGCCACCTCCCCCCGACCGCGTTTTCGCGGTCAAAGCGACGGGCCTTGCTCTGACGTGGTCCTGCCCTATCCGCGACGCGGAGAGCTGTTGGTTCGGCATCGAGAGATTAGGGGCTTTTGCTACGCGCGAGAAATCCGATTTGACCACGCCCGGCATGACGTGCCCAGCGCAGAGCGCGACCTGCCCAAAGACCACAGCGGGTTAGACCCGGTCGCCCCGACCCATCCAATGGGTGCGCAAGGCCCGTCCAACAGTCGGGCCACGACCATCGAAGATATAGCTGCTTGTTTTTATTTTTACTTTTTCTAAGGCTGGCTTCCAATTCGCGCTGTGCTGTTCGAAGAAAGACTTCAAATGTCGGTGTAAAGCCTGGGACTATCCTGGGAGTGGCGATGCGGATCTAGATCCAACAATTCGTCGGGTCCAAATTTCGCATGGCTGGTCTGATCGTCAGCGAGGAGTTAATGAAAGTCTACACACGGGATACCAGCGGGAGCAGAAAGTGAACACAGATCAGACTTTGTAGAATTACTGCATTAAGAGACGAAAGAAAGGTGAAGCCTAGACCGTCGAAATGTAGCAACGTATGTAAACAAGAGACAGTCCACAAGCTGTGCTGTATGATTTTGAACAAATAACGCCCAGTCAGACACCGCCAAAAAAAAAAAAAGAATAACACCAGATCTCTCGCTAATAGTCCTGAGCTAGCCCCAATGCAAAACAAAAGAAAAATGGAGATCTCCCAGAGAAAAGAAAAAGAACAAGTCAGGTCATCATAACGCATTAAAGAGGAAGGAGGAGGAGGAGGAGCATGAGTCCAATCGCAGATCAGAGCTCGTCCGCCTCTTTGTGTTCCTTGCTATCCCGATGCTCCTTCTCGTCCTGGAGTTCCTTGCTCTCTCTGATCTCGCGACACTTGCGGCGCTTGCCCTTGGGCGGTGCCTCGAGGTGGGTGCGCTTGTAGGTGACGGTGCGGGTGACGACCTGCTTGACGCTAACGGGCTTGCCGGTAGCGCTGCGCGGAGGGTCCAGGTAGCGGATGCGCCAGTCGTGAGACGGCGAGAAGGGGGTGCGCAGGCTGGTCGCGCTTTTGGGCGAGTCGGTGGTGGGTGAGGAGTACTTGAAAGATTGGGGGATGCGGAGGCGGCGAGGGATTTGGAAGCTCCGGCGTGAGGGCCCGGCCGAGGCCGGCGTCGGCGGGGGCAGCGACACGGTGGGTGAGCGGGCGAAGTCACCAAAGGAAAAGGTGCTACTTAACGCGCTGCCCGGCTGCGACGAAAAGGTGCTGCTGCGGGCACTGCCCGGCTGCGAGGTTGGCGAGGCTGCCGAGTTCTTGGGGGACAGGGAGTTGTAGTCCTCGAGGAACTTCAAATAGGAATTGGGAATGGCGGACTGGGGAGTGAGAGGCGTCGATTTGGCGCTGGAGTCCTCCTCTTGTTTGATCAGGTCGGAGACGCTGGAGGGGCAGTCATCATTCAGCTCCGACGGGAAGGACGTTGTCCTCGGAGTCTTGAGCGGAGGCAGGACTGGTTTGACGGTCGGCATCTTGACAGAAAGATGGCCGAAGAAGGAGCTTGCAGGGAGTCAAGCTACAATGCAGACAGGAGAGAAGAGCAAGCTGGAGAGGTTCACGAGAGTATCAAGCAAGGCCGGGATTTCGAAATCCAACGGTGATTCCGGGATAAGGGATGATTAAATAAGTCTGGTGGGACAAGAGGGGACCGAACGATCAAGGCAAACACAAAGTTAAGGAAGTGTTGGAAGTAGTCAGAACGAAAGGAGAGGTGGGTCGAAGGAATCTTCTTTTGCCGGCGAAAAGAAGACGTGGAGACTGTTTTATCTAGATGCACTTTGGGGGAGCGAGGGGGTGGGAAACGGTGGAAGTATGAGCTCGAATGCCGTCCAGTATGGTATGTAACGGCGGTAACGTTTGTGACGGTTCTGACGGTTCTGACCGTTATGACGGTATAGAGACGAGACAGCTGTGGGCAATCTTTCCAGTCAGTTTACGTCGGCCATAAGAGGGGGGGGAGTTTAGGGGTTTAGGGGGTCGAGAGGTGGGGGCGGAACGCCGCCCCCAAACCCGTCCCAAGCAACCTCGGCGGCTAGAGGACAGCCGAAGACCAAAAATAAACGAAAAAAAAAAAGAACTTACACTTGGCTGAATGAGGGAACCAAGAGTCAGATAGTAGGTGAGGGTGTACACACACGTTCTAGTCTGATTCTCAGACTAGCAAATTCCAGAGGGATCGAGTTTGGGATGACGTGGTTGACAAGTATATAGTTGAAAATCGTTCAACCAGGTTCAGTCCCGTCAAGGAACAGCGAGGTATATATGTCTCACAGAAGGACGCAACGAAACGAAAGACGGAAAGACGGAGAGCCAGCTCGGGCTCGATGTCACTATAGATCTAAGTCGATTCCAAGTGATAGACAAAAAAAAAACGGGTGGTGAAGCGACCAGGACCTAGTGTCTGGTCCCCTTGTCTTTATAATTGTCCTCCCCCCCTTATACTGTCATAGCTTGTGACTAACTTGTGATTCATGGCCACTCCATCATTCTTCACACTCCCCCAGCACACACTAATCGCGCGCGCCATCTGAATCCTGAATTATCGGCCCCCCTTCCTCCTTATGCCCCAGAAGCCGCCAGACCCAAGAGAAAGTGACTGTTGCCAGGGACAACAGCTGTATTCCCAAGCCACCATTCACCCAGATAAGCGTGTGGTTCGCCAGCAACTTACGCGCGCATCCTTCATTGTGCGGCGGCGCCTCGCCCAAGGGGCCCCCCGGCGTGCAATGCCAGAGTGAAATTCAGCCTTGGCATCGACTGCCATCGCTATCTCACCTTGACGCGCCCGCCCTGTTGCGTTTTGAGCCGGAAGCTTCACTGCGGGAAGCGCCCATCTCCAACATTGTTCTCCCCCAGAGCCAATAGTTGTCCCCACTCCCAGTCACCCTGCACGTCTTTCGCGCCTTTCCAGCCACCTCCACTCTTCTTCAGAGCCCATCGGCTCCTAGTTCTCTCAGATCCTTTGCCCCCATTCCCCCTAAGAATAGCCACGGGGAATATCCTGAGGTGCATGCAGGATGTGTAAATGCATTCCCCTGTTTCTTCACGGAAGCTCGCTGCATGCAAGAAACCCTAGAAGCCAGGGGAATCTCCTTTTCCCCCTTCGAAACCTCTCCCCTATGCATGTATGCTTCAGTACTCAATTCGCTAGAACCCCTTCACTGCCAAGCATCATGCTCTATACTCGAGCGCGCATCGGCTGGAGGGAACAGCTTTGTCGCATATAACCGCTTGTTATGAAACTGAGCGTCTCGCGCCCACATCCCCAGAGATGTTCTCAGACCAAGCCTTGTTGGAGATCGCAGCAGGCTGGCTTGGTGCGGGTCAATGATAATCTGAGCCAGTTGGGTCTCCCATGGAAGTAGCAGGTTGTCTAAGATGACCGTAAAAGACTGGACCCTAGACCCTCATCCTGTGGGTTGTTGTTACATGTGGAGCGGGGATGCGTTGGTCTTCAGGAGATAATGGGAGGAGATGTTATGAGTGCACTATGCGGTCAGGATAGACTGATCTTCAGGGCTGTATCAGAGGGGGCGCGTCATGGCACAGCAATCTGCGCAAATCCAGCAGGGGGGGCCTGTACAGGAACATGTGGTCTCTTCCTTGTCGTCATTTGCCCTCCATCTCCAGACTGGGTTTGCCGTCTCGGCTTATTCGTCCGCTGGAAATTGATGCATTCGTTCCCGTCATGGGGGTGGTGTCTCCTAAGGCGAAACACACACACACACATATATATATGTAGGTAGTCTCTACACCGAACAAGCAATACCGATTCCCAATCTTCTTCTATCTCTTCTTTTACATGGAATTTATATTCAGCTTTTGAACGAAATGGATTTCTTCAACATTCGAGTAGAAGCGTATTCAAAGATATTTAATTTTTCGAGTTTGTGTTTTTCTTTTTAGCTCTCGTACTTCAGAACGAGCACGCAAGCATGTCCTGCGCACAAATCAAATCAACGAGACTATACATAGACCAAGCATCGAAACCCCAACTTAAGAGCTCCTCAAGCAGCGCCCAGGGGAACAAAACAAAATAGTCCCGGACTCGTCACTAGCTACCATTAATTCCAACTCCTGCCCTGTCCCGCAGGACAGGAATGGCGGATTATAAGGAGGAGAATAGAGGGAGGTGGGCTAAGGGAAAGAAGAACAAAACTGAAACACCCTATGAGCGAAGGATATAGGGGGGGGGGGAGTTGTAACAAAGAACAGGTGGGAGATCTAACGCCGTGTCCGCGGAATGATTGGGTATCTTTTACCGTCAAGGTAATAATATATGAGGAGGAAGAGCCCTTCCCCCGAGAAAGAAAAGAAAAAAGAAACCAAAAACGAAAGTCTTCATAATATAGAAACGATTTTAAATCAGAAGATAGTGCCAGTTGTTGCGGCGCATTACATCGCGCCATTGCACTTGCTGGCGCTTGATTTCTCGGCCGCCGCCACTGTTGGGTGATTGTGACTCGATCGGCTCTAGCTTGGCGACGGGGCTGGGGAGCGCTGTGCAGTATGGATCGCCAGACGAAGCCTCCAAGTTGGCGGAGTCATCATCAGTGAGTCTCCACACCTCCTGGAGGAGGCGGTACATGCGGCCGAAGCTGCCGAGGTCGGCGTGGTCTCCCAGAGCGGCGGCGCGTTCGGCAAGAACGGCGCGGAATTGGCTGGAAGGCGTGGAGTGGACGCCAGTCATGAGGAGGGGCCAGACCAGGGAGCGGTCGAAACCGTGGGGACCGGCGGGCACATACTGAAGCGCGTTGGTGACGGCCGAGATCAGATTCTCGTTGCTGGCTTGGTTGCGGTCGAAGCCGGGCACTAGACTGCACAAGTAGATCCGCGCAGCGCTCCGGAAAATGGAGGACATGGTCTTGGTGAGCGCCTCGGGGCGGATGGACCCGGTGGCAGAGGAGAAAGGGTTCTCCAGGGTTGAGTCGGCCGGCTCGGTATACTTCAACTGGCTGCCGAGGGCCTGAACGTGGGAGCAGACGGCAAGGTCATCGACTCGGCCTTCGCTCTTCAGCGAGTCGAGACAGGAAATCTCTGAGATCAGGTACATGATTCGGTCGTCGCAGCCCATCAACTCGCGCAATCCACTGGGCGTTCCACTGAGGTGCTTTGATCGATAAGTGTGTGCAAATTGAGGAGTCTTGCCGATCATGGTCGAGCCGAGGATGTCAATCCAGGACGTCAGAGTCATGCTGAAAGACGGAACCATATATCCGTTCTGGTATTCCAGAGACTTCGTGGGGAGTCCAAGCCGGGTGACCAGGTTGGAAGCGGCCTGGAAGTGATCGAACCAAGGGATATCGGGCAGGTAATCGTCCGAAGGACCCACAGAGCAGTGGAAGAAGATCATGGCGAGGGTGGCGTCAAGGATCTCCTCGAGGTTCTGGTCCTCTCCCAAGGCCTGGCATAATTGGGAAATTGCATCGTAACGGTGGCGCATGATATCATGATCAATTTGTTCACCGACTAGTCCTTCAGTGGTCTTGAGGTGGATGGCAGCAACACTGAGACAACAGTGGAGGTAGCATTTGTTGGTCTCAAGGGCGCGCAGAATTGCCTGGGCACGCAAGTGTCCTCGTTGATGAGCTTCGAGGACCGGGAACATTTGCCGAAGAACATTGTGGATGAAATGGTCGAGAAGGGGCTGATCATGTTCATTCACCAAGATATTGCTTTGGGTCCACAACGATGATGTTTGATCAACGTTAGACTCCACGGCACCAGCGTTGACACCGTGGAACGTCGAGGCCTGCGTGAAGTACTCCTCGCCAAACCAATCATCACCAGCATAGGTGGGCAAGGGAGCGCTCAGCTGCGGCGGGGCGAAAGCGCTAAACGTGGACGTGGAGGAATCGTGGCGCATGGGGACGTCATTGATGAACGTTTGTCGTTCCGTTTTCACATCGATCTCATATGGGGGTGCGTAAGGTCCATAAGGCGCAGTTCCCAAGCCCGGAGTGGGAAGATGCGAGGAGAAGATATCATGAGGCTCCGCGTATACTGGGCGGCTAAAATCGTACTCGGGCGAGCCGGAAATGGGGGAGGACATGGACAGGTTGCGAGGGCGGAAGGTCGGGTCTGGTGATGTAGATAGTTTATAGATTAGTATACATTAGGGCAACGAGGAAAAGTACTAGTCGTCACGCTAGAAGTCACAACGCGGATGAGGGTTTGCCCTTACCTGGCTGAGTGCCATTTCGTTCAATCATTTTCGTCTGCTTAATTTTATTCTTGATGCGCTCCTTTTGGGTTCGTCGCTGCTCGGCGTTCCCCCACCATGAGGGGCGCTTAAATTCACATCGTACACTGAGGTTGACACAAGCGGTACAAGATGGGTGCATCTCATCGCATTTCTTGCGACGCAGGCGACATGTGAAACATCCTATCAGGAGAAGAAGACCCGATCGTCAGGCCATGGATCTCCCTCGGAAGGATGATATAAGGAAGGGGCGGGGGGAGGGGGCAGTGAGGAAAACATACCGGACCGGGATCGCTTATGCGCCTTGCCTGGCCGTTCACCCGTGGTACAAGAGCCGTTTTCGGCTGGGAGAGACGCAAGACCCGACTTGGTAGCTTTACTGTTCAACGACATGGTGGTAGAACTCTTTTTGGAGGAAGGCATTTTGGGAAATGTAACTGAGCGAGTACCAAACAGTAGAAACCTCCGAAGCGATTGTACCAAAGTGTATCAAATTGTCGGCGCCTAGTCAAGAGGGAGGGACAGACGGCTTCAAGACCAAATGGTGGGCGGCTAGCGAAGCAGGTGGGTATAGAACCGATTGGGGGAATATATTATATGGCAAAGCTGAGCCAGCAGTCTTTGCCTTCTAAAGGAGTATAGAATTGAAAGACTGTGGGTGGTTGACCGTGCAACTTGAAGATGAGGGTTTCAAGTTTTTAGTGCTGGAGGGATCGGGGAAGCTTTAAAACTCATGATAGCTTTGCGACAGAACGAGTGTTTCTATTTTGGAACCCACCTGCCGGGACACTAGGCTTTCGCTGCAGGATCGGGAGCATTGGAGAATTGGGGGGCTGTTAGTGACGGGGTTGGGAGGGGGGATCACCCCCCCCCCAAACGGGCTGGGACAGGCCTGCGCAACAGATGCGACGACGAATCACAGTCGAGAGAAGATGGGTTAATATCGCAATGGGCTAAATTTGGGTCAATTAACTATCTTTTTTTAGGGCGAGGTCGCATGGGACTAGCGTCCTGCACATCGATCGCGAGCTTTCTCCTCGAGAGCGCGGATGGGGAGTGGAGGGACATCGACGGGCCGGAAGCCAGTCAGAAGCCCGGAAGAAGCCAGTCAGAACGTCAGAAGAGGGGTTTGTGCGTGCAACAGGGATTCCTGCATCCGCTACTTGCTCACTGGTGGATTACGGGCTCGCCCTAGGCTCGAAGAGTCTCCAAAGACCCTCCCCGGGTTGTATCGATGGGACTATCACAGACTTCCAACCAACAGGAACGAGAGCTGTTGGCCTTGCTCTGACAAATCCGCCTTGCTACGACCGATGCCAAAATTTTTTCCTCTTCTAAGCCGGAGGAAAAACAAAAAGGAGAGCTAGGGCCTGGTTTTTGGGGGCCGGCCCCTCCAGCAATACCAGGCCGGGCCGATGTGCTGAATCGGGATCGCAACATCCTCAAAATCGCAACGCAGATTGAGAAGAGTGTGCTCCGCGAGAGGAGTCTAAATTTGGGGACTATTCGGGAACAAACCCGCCAAAAATTCGAGAGTTGCTGCACCCTGCACGAGACGGCTAGCTGCTTGGGGACCGTGCCCATGAACGAGATGCGATGTGCTGCAGCATCACCTCCGGCGTGGTCGGGCGTGGTGTAGAACGGTGGAGCAAGACGAACCCACTCCATGCCCCGACTGGCCGAAAGGAATGTGCCTTGTGATGTGACGGGCCCCGGGCCACGGTGGAGCAAGCCAAGCTTTGAACTCCTCATGCGTCCATTGGCCCGTCCATCGGGACCTCGACGAGATGTCCAAGCGGTGGCCGGTGGTTGGGGGCCAATGATGGCCAGCAGACAGGGGAAAATCCAGGCCCACTCGGCTGCACGGGGATGTGATGTGATAAGGTCGAGTCGTTCAGATTTTAACGTGCATATACTCCCTTAATTAGCAACACTTAACCGCCCGTCTCAGCTGGAAATTGGGCTAAGTCCCCTTTTTGGGCAAATTGACCCTCAATTGACACCCAATTGATCCTCCCACCCCCTCTCTCCCCGTCTCCCTTTCCTAGGATTTTGGCCAAGCTGCAAGAGCCCATCACCATGCATGCACCGGGAGGATGCAATATACAAACTCTACTTCGGGACGAATTTGCTATTAATAAATCGAGAGGACTCGTCTACGGTTCCCAAAATAGTAGAACTTAACTGGAATTAACTCGACCCTTCCCCATGTGCTCCTGGTCCAACACGACGATCTCGGAATGGCCCAGTCAGGCTCGTCGGCAGGTTCGTGATCTTCTGCCCTGTTCTGGTAGCTGGCTGACCCGACGCTCGCTCATGGCCAGGACGGGAAGTCACCGTGTAATACGTGTAGAACCATCTCAGCCGCATCAACTGGGAAAGGCAGACTGGGCCTGGGTCGGGTGGAGTGGACTCCGTAGGGGATGCCAACCCTCCGTCAAAGCAGTTTGGGATCAAGCTAGAACAGGTAACCTGTATGCTCGAGGCGGACACATGACGACAGATGGTTTCCTCGGTGATCCATCACGTCCCGGTGGGCGGAGGAGTTCTGGAGCTGTAGCTCAACCCGCAACCCCGCCTCTCGACGATGGCCCCGGCTCCGATCACATCGCGTGTGGCTGTGAGCCGGTGTGTCCAGCCCCTCCTTCCACTCTTGTCTTCCCTCTTGCCTCTCTGGGCTAGGGAGACGCGAGGGTTTGGCTATATCAGATACTAATTATCCCCTAATTATCCTTCCAGCACTGGCTGAGGCGGACTGGCCATGGAATCGTTGTTGGAATTCCTACTTTCCCGTTGTGAACTCTGTTGTTCCCTACGTTGTTCCCTATATTACTCTCGCTTCTTTTGCACAGCCTCAGGTTAGTAACCTATATATCATCCAAACTAATGGGGTGAAACGGCTGCTATCGAGGCCCATCGCTGCTGGAGCTTGAGTGAAGCGTTGGAAAGGTGGGCCAGAATTCACTCCACACCCACAACATGTCGCAGGGTCCAATCATTCGATATCGTTATTACCAACATAACGAGGACAAGCAAAATGCAAGATGCAAGAGAGCCAGGGGTAGAGTCTCGAGGTCGTTCAGAGCCAGGAACCGACTCTCCAACTGGGATCAAACGTTGGTTGGGTTGGAAACGGCCAGACAGATGAGACTGGCACAAGCGTAAGTGCTTTCCCCAGCATTCGCAAGGTCCCTGGACAAGCAGCAGCGGAAGACGCAGAGGGCATTTACGGTCTACGGGCTTACGGACCTGGTGCATTACCGGGCGGCCTTTGGGAGCATCTCGAACGCCCTCCATTCTTGAAGCTACCAACCTGTTGGAATTTGAGTGTTGGGATCTGAGTGTTGGAATCCTGTACCGTGGATCTCCCCCTCCATCTCAGATCGGGCCCTCAATGAGCTAGAGTAGCACGTTCCTGACCCATGGGAGCATCTTCTGTTGGGAATTTGAGAAGTTGACAGTCTTCTTCCGCGTGGTGGCCCAACTCAGATCCCCTGGAAGTTTGACCGATGCCGGACGTTGCACCCGAATTCTACCCTCCCCTTCGCCCTCAAAGTTTTGAATGCGAGCCTAAGACGAGGTTTTGAGTCAGGCTGGATTGAAATTAGTCCTTAACTATCCGATCAACTACCATGTGAGCTTCTCATGACCGACATGAGGCCGATAGAACAATAAGCGAATGGCAATCTCACACACCGATATATCAAGGCCCGTCCTGTCCCGTCCTATCTCGTGCCGAAAAGAACACGGCCAACTTGTTGGGAGTGATAGGGCACATTGGCTTCTTCTGACCTGCATTTACTTTCTTCAGACCTGCAGTCGAAGACGATATGCCGTGCAACGTGGCCTGTCTACCAGGCACTCGAAGTATGTCCGACCCACTCGCTTGTTCCGTGCAGTGTGTGGGAAGCACGACTCGACAACAAGGCCGCGGGGCTACACCGAAACTTGGCTTGCTTTTTTACGAAGGGGGTTTCTAACTGGGGTTTCTAACTATCGCGATACCACTCAAAAGCAGGGAATGTAAATCGTAAGGAAAATAAAGCCGAAAAGCCCAAAATAACACCCGAAAACAATTTACCGTCAATTCCCTGGTGCCACCAAAGTGCACACTTCCAAGGCCATCCAGGCCTTCAATCTGCCGTGATTCCCGAGTAGCTCCCAGGGACAAGAAGTGAGCATCAGGGACCACTTGGGTCAAAAGGGGTGGCCTCTTCGGAGTTTTCTTGAAAGCCTAATGGGGGCGAATGTCATGGTTCTCGCGAGGCTTTCCATGTTCCCGTGACAACCTCGTGATAACCTCGTGACAACCTCGTGATGACCCCGGCCCCGTGATGCTCCCGTGATGCTCCCGAAGCTTGTGTGGAGTTGCTTGCCAGATCACATATCAATGCCACGTCTCATTGGAGAGACGAGGCAGTGAGAGTGAGGGTGGCCCCCATATGATCAACTGGCGGAAGCAGGACCAGCAGGCCCGAACGACCGAGAGAAAACCAAGTCAGACGTTATTCCAGTGGAGAGGACCAGCTGGGGTTTAAAGACTTGGGTGTAATCAGATCGGGATCCCGCTGGTGAGCCATCGAAGAGACCCTTCTGCGCCTATCCTGACATGGCACCAGGCGAAAACATTAGAGAGAGAAGAACCCACACAATCACTCGAGGCCACAGCGCCGACCGTCAACTAAATATTCCCAGACTGGAAGTGTTTGGTTCTCGCATCGCCAGATTGACAGGCGCTAATTAACGGCCGATGTGTGGTCCATCACACCCTTGCTTGGCGTGCGATGTCTCCGAATGAGTGCTGGGCTCCGATCTGCACGCTTGCACGGTCTTTGCACCCATGGGCGCCAACTGCAGGCCAGTCACCTCCCCGTCCTGCCGTCGGACAAACTTCGACAGGCGCTCGGGCGAAAGCCCATCGGTCGCTGACGGACCTGTCAGCGCCCAGAGATGATCGCTGTCTCGCCTCGGCCCTGGCAACGGCCGGCCCCCATTGGCCGGCCCCCATGCAGGCGCAGGGCTTCCTGGCCCGAACTACTGCAGCTCAATCACTCGTCATCACATTCGCGCCGTCCCATCTTTACGTGCTGTTAGGCTATTCGTCTCGGTTCGCATCTGCCGGTTCAATGGTTGCTCCCGCTGTGTTTCACCAGCCTGCATTTTACGGTCCTTTGATCCTGTCGAGTCGTTCGGCCTGGCTCTATTCGTGCCCTTGGTCTTCCTTGCCGCCTTTCCCAGCGCTTCTGGTTTCATTGAAGGGACTTCTCTCCCCGCAGGACGAGGTGGATACTCCATACATATACTTCAATCCCCGTACGCCTTAGGGCCATCCACCTAGTTCCGCTACCATCCCCTCTTCTCTCCCTCCCGTGATCTAGATACACCTACTCTTCCTAGCTCGATCATTATTGAGACAGTCCTCAATTCCGAATGATATACTGTTAACAAGTCTCTTCTCCTATCCATTTTTTTCAACTGTGTGAGATCTTTGATTGCAGGCTGGTCAGCATTTGTGGATTCCAGGGGCCAGCCCAAGTGCAATAATTCTATACGTTATGGTCCGCAATCCAGGCCCCCCCAGATCTCCAACTCTTTGACTGACCTGAGTAGGATTCACTACGGATTCGACGGAAGGCAGGACCAACATCCGTCAGCACCAAGAACCATGAGCGGTTCTACCCCGCGAAGTCAGTTAGCAACCGCCGGCTATCGGATGCAACAGACTTCTTCGATACCGACTTCGAAGCAAGTGACTCGGACGAGGAATCACTCCGACAAAGTCTACAGTCGGTAAGCATTTCATCAATGGACGCACTTTAAGTCATGCATAGAATTGTCTCTAAGAGCTGTTCCTTTAGTTTGCATATGACAGCAACACAACCATCTCAACCCCGGAGCTCCACACGCCCGAGGAAGCCCCGAAGCAGGTGCCTGATATCACTATTGACAAATCCGCAGTGAGAGGCCCCAATGGCCCTCACTTGTTCCGGAACTCTCAGGGGTCCACAATTTATGAACCATCAACAGCCGAGATCGATCTGTATTTCGAGCGTTCTCCTCTACAGTCCGAATTCTCTCGGTCGATTGATAGCTCCCGATCGCTGGATACACCCAACCGGCTCTTCCCCTTCTCGCCTAAGACCCCTAAGGCCCTGTCGACGGTACATCCTGATGTGTCACAAGTTAGCGAGGAGGAGATTCGGAATTGGAAGACCAGCCAGGTTGCCCACTGGCTGTATATCGCGGGCTACAACGATGCTGTCATCGAAAAGTTCATCGTCAACGATATCTCCGGCGCTGTCCTTCTCAGTCTGCAGGTTGACGACCTCAAGGAACTGAATATCTATTCCTTTGGCATGCGTCACCAGATCATGGGCTCAATTGATCACCTCAAGAAGACCATGCGGACAGGTGCACCTGCGGTGCCTGACACTCCTGAACTTCCTCTGACTGGCAAGTCTCAGCAGCAGTCGGAGCCTCAGATTCAGGCGAGGGCTCCTCCAGCACGTGGCTCTCATGACAGACGCTCTTATGTAATGTCCGTATCTCCAACGGGCGAGGTTCTGTCCAAGCATGCATTTGGACAGATAGATACAGTGAAGGGCAACCAGATTACGCCGCAAGAGTCCGTCTCGATTGTTGGCATTGAACAAATCCTCCCCAAGCCTCACAGTTGCTCCAAAGGCGAGAACTGTTCAAAGTGGAAGCGACAGCAGAAGATGCTAGAGAAGTTTGCGACTGAGTTCCCTGACGCTGTGATCCAAGAAGGCGCCATAATTACAGGCAGCCCTGGAAATCCGGAGACGGCCAGAAATCTTCTGCGGCCAAAGTCCACCAGCGAGCCCTCGGTTGTAGCCTCTTCGGATGTACTAGGTCCATCTCAGCCTCCCAAGCTCTCTCTGGAAGCCCTCAGCGAAGTGAAGAAACTGGATCCTCAAGAAACCGTTCGCAACTTCCTGAATTATCAGCACTGTGATGGTCAGCCCAAGCCTACTCTCCCAGGCTTGATCACCTCTGATATTCCCCATGAAAATTCTGATGCTGAGTTCTCGCCGCAATTGAAGAACATTGCTGAGCATCTCCGTTCCCTTCCCAAACTCACGATCCCCACGACCCCAGACACTGAGGATATTACTACTGCTGTTACTACCAATCGCTCTATGACCCCAACGCAGGCATCTCAGGTATATGGATCTCCTACTGCTGTTCAACAATATGGCCCCTTTAGCCAGGCGAGGAAGAACTCAGTTGACTACTACCGTCAAGGCACGCCATTCTCCGAGATGGATGTCCCCATTACAGCCATCCCTAATGGACCAATTGCCCGTGATGTATCTCAATCTGTGCCCCCAGACATGCAGTACGGAACTCTCTTTCCCTCCGTATCGGGAACCCCTTACTCGCAGTGCCTCTACCCGTCCCCGCCCGACGCAACCCCTCCGCCGGGTCAGCGAGGACAAGCCACTCACTCCAATTGAAACCCCCGCAGACCTGAGCAAGAGCCCCCGTACCCAACAGCACATCCACAGCTCCTCCCAGTCATCTCTCGCGTCTGACCCCGACGTAACCCACAGCGGCTGGATGAAGAAGCGCAAGACCACGCGCCTTCTCCGGCACGAGTGGCAAGACGCCCACTTCACCCTGCGGGGAACCCATATCGCGATGCACAAGGATATCCAGGATGCTCACCGCAACTCACGCGCACTGGAAATCATTGATGTCGATGACTATGCCGTCGCTTGCTCGTCGCTGGCGACGAGCTCCAAGTTGACAGCGGCGTTCAAGCGCTCCATCCTCCGCAATGGGAATACTCTCGGCGGTGCCACTGATGATAACGCCTTTGCTTTCTCCCTCATCCCTGCTGTTAAAGAGCGTGAGAAGAAGGCTCTTTTTGGCAATGGTATCAAAAGCCACCACTTTGCTGTTAAATCCCGCGAGCAACGCATTGAATGGATGCGCACTGTAATGCTTGCGAAGGTTGCTCAGAAGAAGAGCGACGATGAGCAGATTCATGTTAACGGTGTTCCTATTTGATTACACTCTTATTTCATTTATTTTCTCTTTTGAAGTCTTCCATGCTCGGTTATGTTTCCATGTATGTCGTCATGTTTCCTTCGTTTTTTCCGATTCTTCTGGTTGCATATTTCTTGCAATTTTCTCTTTGTTAAGTTTTACTTTTTGTCGTTTCCAGCGCTGCCATTCTTCGCGTTCTTCTGAGCGTCTCCATTGACCCGGCGCCCTGTTGCTTGAGATATTTCCTTTGTTACTCACGGATGGACAAGATGCATAGTCGCTGGACGGCGAGAACCTTATACCCAGTCTGATTAGGATAGCTAGCATTATAGGACTTGAGGCAACTCATCACGCTGTTATTTGATTGTTAAATGAATTACCCAACTCTTTGATTATTGAAAAATGGAATTTTATATTTGCCTTGAAAAAAAGTTGCGCGCCTAATAGCGCTTATTCCGGCCCAGTCAGGCCCAGATAACCTACTTAGATCATTAACACTCAAGCCTAACAATTTTGCACCATCTATCTCGCGAAAAATGTATGCTTTCCTATATCTTTTGGAGTGAATAGTTTTTCACAGATATAGCCTGTGAAATCAGCCAGCAACAGGGCTACGAGAGGCTGTGTGCGATGCTGTTGATAAAGCGTGTACTGCGCAAGAGGCCTGTCATCTCATTTACACCAGAAACTCAAGTCTTGGCCCGTGATTTCTTTACTGCGCAGAGTCAATTTTGAAAAATAAAAGCGCATGAATAGGAAGATCTTGAACAACTATGAAGGTCTGTTTCACGAATCAATCGGGAAGCTATGAAGGGGATAAAAAAGGCGATACTGCGTAAAAACAATAGAATATGAGAGTATGAAAGCAAGACAATATCTGACAGCTTTCGACACGATTATCCCCGAATATCGAGACAACAACTTGTGGACCCAATGAAGGCACGGTGCACGGTACGTTAATCTAGTCGGACCTTTGATCCGATATGTCGGAGCTCGCTCCCGACATGTGCCAAGACTGAGAATTGTTAGAAGCGAATTCGGTGGGCCAACGCCTGAATGCTTGCTGTCAGGCTTTCAAAAATTCCCACTTTGGTTCTCTCAAGGTGCAATCAAGGCTGATTCGCTCAGTCCTTTCAAATGTCCTCAACAACGTTGTTCTTTGACCTCCATCTTGCTCTGCTATTCTAGCTGTGTCCTGTCAGGTGCGCTCCTACACGTTCCTCACGATCCATATAGAGCTCTCTATTATCATTGATTTATAGTGGCTGTTAATTGAAAGCTCAAACGCCTAAAGCGTCATTTTCCAATTCATATGTGCCAGAGGGAATATCTAAGGGTCGATTTTTATGATATATGATGTTTAGTCTAAAAGATTGATCGACTTCTCATGAGTTTGTCGTCACATATTCCAAGTGCCTACTTCATGCTAGACTTTGAAGCATCCAGCTTTGCCAAGTGCTCACTTTTAGGCACCTCGACATCCCATTTACCCCGTGGTCTCTCAAATGTCGATACAACACGCCCGTAAGAAATACCGCCAAGCTGTCCAACAGGCCGTAGTTTCTCCAAGTCGATATGGCTGTAATCTGCATCTGCAGCCCCATCCTTCACCCAGAATCGAGTCGCTTTGATCAAAACATTTGCCGCGATACTCATTCCAGGCTTTTGATGATCCGTGAACTCTTTGATATCGACTACTTTGCCCTCGATATTGAAGATAGACTCGGCGACGCGGGAGGGTTTCACTGTAGTTGAAGGTGCTTCGTGGAGACCTGCGATATCCCATTCTGACACTCCATAGGGTGCGTCGATAGAGCTCGCATTAACGGCTTCAATCATATTCTCCGATACGGTGTTGATAACGCATTCGCCAGTTTCTTTCAGATTATGATATGTATCTTTAACGCGTCCAGGGCGGGAAGAAAACCCAACAATAAACATTGGGGGATCATGATCGATAACCTGGAAATAGCTGAACGGGGATAGATTCTTCTTTCCTTCGGAGCTGATAGTGCTAATGAATCCCACAGGCCGTGGTGCGACACCAGAGACGAGCAGACGGTAGTTATTGATCATAGGCCGGTCGGGCGCGTATGGATCGATTTCGTGGTGCTTCTGGGCTAGACTTGCCCCGTTGTTAGGGACTCCCTGGCCGTACTCCCATTGCGGGTAAGGAGACTTTGTCACTTCAATAGGCTTTGAATGATCGAAATCCGGACGCTTCGCCTGAATTTCTTCGAAGTTGTGCACACTCTGGACAATCTTGTAGTCTTTCTGGGCTGCGGCAGCCTCACTCTCAGATTCAACTGCAGCTACTGAAGAGCTCATGCGGTTTATTTGAAACGCCGAGTTTCGCGTTTGATAATGGCAAACGGAATTGTAGGATCTATTCTGGCATGAGAGGCTATTACCTTGGAAAACAAAGTAGAGATAACATACTGTCTGAATAGGCGACCCCGGATGGGTCTTGTTCGGAACATTTCAGGCTATCTCCAGGTTTCAGTTATCGTAGACGAAGTGTTCACACCTGTCTGCTTGGAAATCAACATTTTAAATATTGATGACATAAGAACAAAAAGTCGGATGGTGCTCCCGAGGTCAGGCAGGACCCACATTCAATTTACCACCGACCTTTTCAAACCGTTCATTCAACGAATTCTTGATCTTCCGATTATTAATCAATTGAAAAGAAAGAGAGGGCGGAGACTCTTCACAGAGGAACATCATCGAGATATGACAGTTCCCCACAAAAGTGCTCATTCTGCTACACTTCTGCGGAGTCCTACAAACCAGATACTGATTAGACAATCATGATGGAACAAGACTATGCTGATATTATTAAGTCAGTATTCCCGGTTTTCGGTCTATGAGAGAATGTTATCCCATCATCCGAACTACCACATAAGCCCATCCATCTCCATAAGCAGAGCTCCTAACTACATCCTCGATGGGTGCAGACATAGGAAGAACTGCACCATGTAATACCGGCTTCGCAAGCACAGGTGTTCTCCGACTGGGAAATAGATTGGGAAGTAAAGCATGCAGAACGCCCCCTATTGTTTGAGACTGTGTGTTGGGGCTCGATCGAGAGCTAATTGATTGGCTGGATTGGAGACTCGACGTCGTTATCAAGGGGGAAGTGGTGATTGCACAACCTTCAGTGATGGAGAGTCTTCATCGGGCGGAAGCGGGAGAAATATGCGGATGGGTACATTGCGAAATGGTTGCGACGGCGAGGGCAGGAGGATATTCGAAATGCGTTGGAAGGAAGGGAGATCGACTGTTTCCAAAATAAATGAAGTCAGTCAAAGAATTTGATTCAAAAACAGAGATATTAGACACCGACCTTCTTCTACTGCTTTCCATAGGCCGGATGAGTCTTCTTTAGATAAACTCATGATGCCCTTCGCTGTTCCATTCCGAAGAAAATCTGCTTCTTTGACACTATTGATGAAGGCGTCGTTCATGACCATGCCATTCGCATCGAGGCGAACAAGGTCCTCGGTGGGCCAATTCTTAAAATGCACTGTTAATTTCCACGGCAAGGGAGATTCATTCTGTGCGGAGTCATCGCTTCCGAACCCTGTCTTGGTGGCAGGATCAGCTCCGGCGTAAAGATCAAATAGGAGGCCAACAGGATAATGCCATTTCAGAGGCACACCTTCAAAAGCAAACCAGCCCTCATGGTGCTGGGAGTCTGGCTCTATCAGAAATGGTGCAAAGAAAGCTCGAAGCTTTGGAAGCAACGAAGGGAGATATGAGACTCGCGGAAATGAGACCTGGGGAATTGTTAGTCAAAGAGTGAGCCGGAGCTTAAAATAGATAGGTTTTATTCACAAAATATGGATCAGTTTTGTCATAGCTTCTGCTCTCAGATGGAGCAAGTATGATGACCAGTGGTATTCGCCCGTCCCAGATGCATCTCTGGATAGCCAAGGGAGTTGCCAGGTTCTCCATCTTGCAATATAAACTCGGACTGAATGCCGCCTTCGGCCTATGCCTAAAACATTCATTAGTCTCCGATTTCAGACCGATGAGAAGCACCGAGATTCTCCATAAACTGCGTACCAGCCTTCAAGGTGATCTAATCAACGGATAGGAGGGGCACGCCTATCGTTAACCGATAAGGCTCAGATATTGTGACTGCCAGGCCACAGCAGATACCATAGTCTGACAGACAATCACAATCACCGCCTGGCGTAGATCAAGGTGGCTACGTTACATAGGTGTTCTAAAATGGACAGGCAGAGACAGTCTTGAAGTGTGTTGTTGATGACACTGCACCAGCCCGCATGCACGTGATTATATGATAATTTGGTGCCTGAGGCATAAAAATATATCACATGTTCACTGGTCCCCAAGGCCGCTTGGGCCGGGAGCGAATCAGCAACACAGACGAATATACTCTTTGCCGTTCTCACAATCTACTAGCAATGCGATGTTTTCGGCTTTTACCAATCGGGGTTTATGGTCCTTCCAGCTAGCAGCTGTTCCAACACCGTGATGTCCTCAACACTTTCAGCCTCTCGATCTCGTCTCGTGGCCCGCTGTCCACATTTTCATCCGTAAATCGTTGAAAAATGGCCAGTATCTCATCGTTCAACAGCCTTGATTCAATGTCTTCCGGTGCCACAAGAGATCTTGAGGTTGTGCTTCCTTCTCGAATGCTATCGTGACTCGTTTTTGTATTTCTCTCCGAGACTGGGTGTATGGAAACATTCTGTCTTGTCGATGAAGTTCCACGCCGAATATCCACGAAGCAGATTGGTCGGGACCTTTTGTAGGAAAACGTGTTTGTCAATTAGCTGGGCGGCAGCGACATACGCACAGGACATCGGAGCGCTAAGAGTAGAGAGTCGGCGTTGGGATTTCCGTCCACCGTACTTGGAGATCGCCTTGTGCATCCCAATATGCACACTGGTGGTGTTGCCAGATTTAACAGTTATCGAGGATGAGCCGTTGGAAGTGCAGCGGCCGCGTCAACGGTGCAATGAGATCCCGCCATGGAAGCATGCGATTTGACCCGTATGTTCTCAGACTGCCACACTTCCCTGAGCTCTTTCGTGAGTTCATTGACAAGATAGGGGGCGGGGCAGCTTGTCGGACTTTTGCCCAATGTTTGACAGGGCCTCCTAAACTGTACTAGAGCTTTCCGAAGACATTTTCAGTCCCGATATACCCGTGTTCTGCCATCAAGTCCGCACAAAGCTGATTTCACGCTGCGAATCCATGCTTCACCAACGTCGCTTCCGAATTGAGCATACCTGGATCGGAATCATTGAGTATGCGACAGTCCGTCTCATACCCAACAATAGTAGAAAGTAGGAGGTGGTTTTTATCGATGATTGGGGAGCTTTTCAGCTTTTACTGACTCGCGGCGGCAAGAAGTGGGGGCAGAAGAATCAAGTTCCAGTGCAAAGGAGCCTTATTTACCAGTCATCAAGTTTGAATAATTTGTTCTCGATGCTATCCAATACTGTAACAGATAATTCACCGGGTTTCTGATAAATTATTCTCGGTGTTGTTTCCCAATTCTTCCTCTAAGGGTGGATCCGAATTGAGTAGCTGTTGGAATGTTGAAATATATATATTTGCTACCTTTCGGTATCCGTACACCACACAACTCTCCTTAGCTCCTATGGTGAAAACAGCCTCTATTGCTTTTTCAATCTGGGTAAGATGAACAGCAACAAGCAAACATCTCATGTCATCCGATACTAAGCATTTGTTCCGAGTCTTGACACCCTAAGGGGCGTCATTGAATGATCGGTCGTGGATCTGTGAGCACAATTACTCAGTTAAACCCAAGGTGTCAAGGGATGGGAGGGGCACAGCGATCTGCATTGCTAGTAGGGTTTTTAAAATCAAGATAGGAATTAAGATTGGGCCAGACAGAAGTCACTTAGTCATATTGGGGATGATTTGTAGATACAATGTATGCCTCAACCCCGATTGCCTGTTATTTTTAAGGTTGTTCGGCCCGCGGCCGTAATAAGGAAACCGAAAGCGGCCCGAGATGGCTCGGGTTTAAGCCATTGGTACCTATCGGGAGCCCGTGATTACATTCTTCATCACCTTCACCGGCTCAACAAAACTTCGAAATAGTCCAATCCAACCGAGCATGCTGCATGACTTTCACATTTTTCACGAGTCTACTTCTTCACCGGTGACAATAATAGTCCTCGGCTCTTGCGTCTCCACTTGGTGTCTCCGCGGCGTGGTTCGAGTCCGCCCAACCATCAGTAGAATTTATCTCCGTCAAGCCCTTCCAAGCCCTTCCAAGCCTTCCAACCGTTCTAAGCCTTCTTGGCTCTATTTTATAGAGTAAGGAGTGAAAATTTCTGCAAAGGCATGTATGGACGGGCGGCTTGGTGTTTTCCCGGGCAGGCAATTGTTACTGGCTGCCTGGATGTAGCTACTAGACCGTTCAAAAGGTGATAGACAGCATGTGACATATGCATGATGAACCCCAGGTGGTTGATTCTCCAGCTTGACCACCTGTCCCTTATTCGGTAGGGGAAGAAAGTCGTCATTTCTCCACGAGAAGCCAATGGAAGACCCGGCTAAACATCTTCGCTCAAGATCACGTGATTTAAAATGCCGATCGGCTCTTGCCCCGAATGACGCGAAGCTCCCGAAATCCCTAAAATCGTCCAATCAAGTGCGACCGCCCCCCTCCCCAAACTGCCCGAACTCGGGCCTTTCGGCCTTCTTCCGCATGGTTAAGGGTTCTCCCCCGTGGGACACGAGGATTTTTCATGCACCCCAAGACTAGCCACGAATCGGATTTGGGGTATTCAATCAACGAACAGTGCTTCTGTCTTGCTCTCCACAATCAACTTCCGTTTGATCCGGGGAGAAAAAGGGGGAGAAGCGATGTCCCCAATGCATAATTACGCACTATGTGGCGAGTGCTGGGCATCCGGGAGAACCTCTCTCCCTTTCCCCATTAAGCGCGTTGAGTTCAACGGGTAAACGCAACATTCTCCCCGACTTTGTAAAATCTTCCTGGCTTGGTCATCATATCTGACTGAACAATTCAAGATAGCCATAGGGTCAGGGGCAGATGATTTAGACAGCAAAGATTCAAACATTCCTTCCAAAATGATTTCAACCGAGGAAATTGGATTCCGAGTTAGATATATACTGGCGGCGATTCGCTGGCGCCGGCTGAATGCTTCCACCGGGGAAAACGCTACCCCGGCCCAAGTTTCCACCCCGTGGGATCCGTAATCGTCAAATCTTCGTAGCCTCACTTCCAAACCCCATACTGCCCCAGAGGATGGGGTTTTACGCGACGCAGGTTGTGGGGATGGCTTGTTGAGAAGAATCCCACACCCACACACCCACAGGAACCGAGCCATTACTTAGGGGCCGCTGTCCCGTCCTGACCGACCTTCTTCTTTCCATCCTTCTACACCTTGAAAATTTTTTTTTCACTCTCGACCTTCCGCCCTCCCTCTCCGTCTAGCTGTTCGACTCCCAAACAGCCATGGGTGGTATCCTTCACCTGGTCGAGGACCGACCGACCCCTCCCTCGGTCTACAACTGGCGGGTTTACGTGCTCGCCCTCATTGCATCATGCGGCTCTAACATGATCGGTTATACGAGTGCTTTCATCGGCACAACGGTTACGCTCACCTCCTTCAAGGAAGAGTTTGGTCTACAGAAGATGACATCGGCCGAACGGTCCTTAATCAGCGAGAACATCGTCTCCCTTTTCATTGCCGGTGCGTTTTTCGGTGCGCTCGGTACCTATTTCCTGAGCCACTGGGTGGGACGCAAGTGGTGTTTGGCTATCGCCTCCGCAATCTTCTCTCTGGGAGCGGGTTTACAGTGTGGTGCCAACTCTTCTCGGGGACTCGGAATCCTATACGCTGGCCGTGTTCTCTCGGGACTGGGCACCGGTGTTGCCTCGAACATCATTCCCATCTACCTCTCCGAGCTTGCACCTCCCGCGATTCGAGGCCGTTTAGTCGGTCTGTATGAACTTGGTTGGCAGATTGGTGGCCTCGTCGGCTTCTGGATTAACGTGAGTTTTCCGCAATTCTCCGATGAAAATTCATCACCCGCTAACATTTCTTTTTCCAGTATGGTGTCGAATTGCATGTTGCCATTAGCCGCAAACAGTGGATTATCCCCTTTGCCATTCAACTGATTCCTGCTGGTTTGCTCTTCGCTGGCTCTATTTGGATTCGGGAGTCTCCTCGCTGGCTCTTTCTCCATGATCAACGCAAGAAGGCGATGGAGAACCTATGCTGGATTCGTCAATGCCAGGCTACCGACATCTATATCACCGAGGAAGTTGCTGCCATTGACCAGGCACATGAGGCCCAGAAGACCGTCGTCGGTCTCGGCCTTTGGAAGCCCTTCCAGGCCCTTGCCAAGCGCCCCAACATGCAGTGGCGTCTTTTCTTGGGATGTATGCTCTTCTTCTGGCAGAATGGATCCGGTATCAATGCCATCAACTACTATTCCCCTACCATCTTCTCGGTAAGTGACCGCCCCCTCGATTCTGCCTTGCTACCAGTACTGATCTCTAACAATAATTGCAGAGCATTGGTGTTTCAAACGTGAACGTCATGACTGGAATCTTTGGTGTCATTAAGGCCGTTATGACTTTTGTGTGGTTGCTTTTCCTGGTTGATCAACTGGGACGCCGCAAGCTTCTCCTCATCGGTGGTATCACTGGTTCCATCTGCATGTGGATCATTGGCGCCTACATCTACGTTGTTGAGCCTGAGAAGAACCCTTCGGACACTCTCCAGCCGACTGGCATCATGGCCATCGTCTTCTTTTACCTCTGGACTGCTGTGTACACACCCACTTGGAATGGTACTCCGTGGGTCATCAACTCCGTGAGTAATGTCCATCCCAATATCTCTCAATTTCCACTAACAAAACCGCCAATAGGAATTTTTCGACCCCAACTTCCGTTCCATGGCCCAGGCCTTCACCACCAGCAGCAACTGGCTTTTCAACTTCCTTGTCTCACGTTTCACTGAGCAAATGTTCGAGGCTATGGGCTATGGCGTATACTTCTTCTTCGCCTCCTTGTCCTTCCTTGCATTCTTCTTCGCCTTCTTCCTGATTCCCGAGACCAGTGGTATCCCTCTGGAGAAGGTTGAGCGTCTGTTCCGGGTCAAGCCTATCTGGCGCGCGAACAAGATCATCAAGGCCGAATTGAAGGAGGAGGAGGAGCAATTCCGATTTGAGATCAAAGATGGTGCCGTCCACCAAGAGAACCGAGAGGAGTCTGATGAGCCTTAAAGAGACATGACCCTGAAAGAAAGCATATATTGTTTTATTCTGTATAGATACATAGATTCGTACATAGATCGATTTTTTACATTGTTATGACTGAGCGTGACTGGAATCTCATGCCGAATGAATTTATCTCTTAATCTCTCCCGTCCTTGTAAAGTATGCGCTAAGTTCCGGCCCGCTGCGAAATAAACTACTCGCGCTCTTGGCTTAAAGCCACATGTACAAAATTTTCTTCATCTTACTGTCATACTTTGATTCGTGCCGCTATTGAACGCCACCCGCCGCCACCATGGCCACCAAGAAACACCTGCGGTGAAGGCAAACTCAATCACCGCCGGGTCTTACCCGCGGCACATCCATTCCTGTGGAACCGGAAGGGCACATCGCATCGAATTGCTATTTGACACTGCATTCAGCTCCCCTCCTTGGCGGTGTATTTGAGATAAGATCTCCTCTTTTCCATGGGTTTCTGAACATTATCTGCCAGAGAGGCAACAAACAGAGTTTGAATCTCTCCTAACTCTTCCGATTTACTTGGCTTCTTATGTAAGGATGTTGTCACTGCGCCCCAGCTCAACTGCGTTTTTGCTGAACGGCAAGATGAGAGACTTGGCAGGCTCTAAAGCATTCTTCCACAAATTCAATTCACAAACAGTAGGGATTTTCGATGTAAATGTTCTCAATTTGGAATCAAGTAACGAGACAAAATAGAATAAACGGAAACACTAGCTTAGAAACATATGGCGGGCAGTCAGTACATCTTGGAACCTGGAGAGGATCACAGGTACTTGGTCAAAGATCGTGGAGGAAAGCTTGAAGACCTTTCAAAGAAATGCTTCTCTCATCTTGTCACCCAAGCCTCGGGCCTAGAAAAGATAATTAGGACACAAGAATATGTTGAGGTCGTTCTCAGGAAAGAAAACTTACGAATGGTGCCCTCATCATCGTAAAGTGATTTCCAGGGATGTGTGCAAGTCTAATATTTGTCATTCCCACCATTGCTTCCCACAGCTGGGGCCCCAAGTCTTGCTTGTTTTCCAACAGGAACTGGGCATGGCCGTAGGGATAGGGGTCGGGCCGGGGGTCAGTTGGTTCCTTGCAGACCCCGTGTTCGCACCAGATTACGTAGGTCGTGGGCGCCGTTGCAGGGTCGATCGTGCGAGCATTGTAGGTCGACAGTGCGTTGATCGAAGCCTGAAAGTGAGGCAATAACCAGGCGGGGATTTTTGTGGGGTCCCCGTCACCTAGCAGCCCGAGAGTGTTGAACCACCGATGAAGCGACAACGGAAGAGGTTCGATGGTCAAGGGACATGGGGCATCAATCAGAATTAGTCGATCGACCTTTTCTCCCGCGCGAATGAGCTGCTGAGAGCTTTCGAATGCTATTACACCGCCAGCTGACCAGCCCTGAATTCAAGGAATATTAGCAAGTCCAAATGGAGCCTTCATTGCCGAAAGTTCAATGATCGGGACATGCGAGTTGAATACTTACCCCGACATTATAGGGCCCTATTGGTTGGCGCCGCCGAATCTCCTCGATGTAATACCGCGCTATCCCAGTAACCCCGCACGTGAATTCTTGCGGTGTGGTCATGAATGGCGAATTGAGACCGTAAACAACAATGTCGGGAGATAAGTCCGGAATATGGGTATACGAAGCTGCTGAGCCACCGCCGTCCGGAATAAGAAAAAGTCTTGTCGTGGCAGTCTTAGCATTGCCCTGCAGAAGGAAAGATGTAGATTTCCTATGCGGCATGAGTGGCGGCAATGTCAATGGTTGAACAGTGGGAGCCGAAGATAGGTCAGAGTCTGGCTTTGCATGGGCGTCATGCAGCACGGGGACAGTCCCTAATGGATGAATGCCGTCTGAAGACAATGGAGTGATGACTATATCGCTGGTAGCACTCGAAGCGTTATCGTTGGCTTCTGAAGCCTCTGAAGGTGAAGTCGATGATTGATCACTGGCATCATTCTCGTAGCTATCATCGGGCTCAAGACTTCGTAGAAATAGTTTGAGCTCCCGAACGGTCGGATGATCTATGAACAAAGAAGAGGACACTTCCAACTCAAGCTCTTCACGCATCCGAGAACTGATGGCAAGTTGCATGAGCGAATCAACCCCCAGGTCTGCGAAGCTGTTTGGATCTGCCAGTTCGGTTTGGTCAACCCCACATTCCTCGGCCACGATGGTGAGAACTTGAGAGACTAAAACATTAGGCGGCCGCGGATTCGAAGAAGAGCCTTGTACAGCGTCTGTTTTTGAAATTTTGACAACAGCTCTCTGTTCCTCGTGTTGGCGTTGGACATCATGCCCTGACTCAATCCTAGATCGGGATGTACCAGGTCGTGGCTTAGGGAGGACCTGATCGAGAACAGCCCTCGGGATGCGCATGAATGTGACACCACCAAACACGGCGATGACTGTTGACTTCTCAAGGCAATAGACATCGCCAGAGACGATGTTAGAGCCTGGTTTCTCTATCATTCGAACGTACGTGCGATACGTGCGGCCGGGAACAAGAGGTCGTGCTAGTCGTAGCGATTCCCAACCATGTGAGACGAACACATTCTTCTTAGCATCCTCATTGGTTTGAACATTTAGTATAAAGCCAGAGAGATGCCCTATACTATCGATCCAATATGGAGGAACAACGAATTTCTGGTCTGGGTTTGGGTTCTCCAGCACAACGTCTGCCGTTGCCTCCCAAGCGTCGGGGTTGAGATATACCTTCTTGATACCCTGGAAAGTCTTGCTATAATCGACGAACGATGAGAACAGCTTATATGCCATTTCTTGGCGTAAAACATGCACACTTTCCTCTTCGCTCTGCTTTCGAAGCGCTTCGATGCGAGATTCCACAAGATGACCTGTTCTATTCCACTCTTCCATCCATTCTGATCCACGACCGAAGTCAACAGTGAAAGAAGCATGTTCACCTTGGTGAGAGGATATCGAGAACTTGATACATTCTTTCGAGTCCTTGGCTTCTGCGACTATCTTGACGGGATGCGGCTCGGAGTCTTTGCCGATCAGGGTTTTGGGAACAGCCATACTCCGAACATTGATGCAAGGAACATCCTCGTGGCTCAATTCAGGGAACATGTTTCGGTACATGTACTCTCCGATTGATATTCCTATATCTCCATAGAGAGAGGAAGGGCAAAGCGCCACGTTATTCACCAGATGCCCCGACAATACTGCTCTTAGGTCGGGACGCGATATGTCCGTTTCTATCTCTACAAGACTGTAGGTGTTGGTAAACTGCTCTTTCACTAGAGTCTGAACAGAGGTAGTTGATAATGGCGGCGGGCCTTGTACCGTCGTTGGGACCTCCGTGACCATTCCTTTGGTCAGGCACCAGTCATTCTTATAATCAATCCAGTAGTTGGAAAGCGCCCATTTGTAGGCGGGAAGCTCAAGGAGCTCGAGTGACCCTTCAAAGTCTCGGTGATACTCTCCCCAATTAATATGAACACCTTTGTTGCTTAGCAGACTTGTGGCAGAAGCAAAAGTCTCCCAAGACTTGCTGTTGCGCTGGAGTGAAGGGCATGTTGTCACCCCACTTCCAATTATGGATCGTACAAATGAATTACAGATAGGATGGGGACCAACCTCGATGAAAACCGAGTCTTCATCGATAATCTTGGAAGACATGGCTGTCTCGAGAGCTCCATAGAAGTTGACGGTCTCCCGTGCATGTCGGCACAGGTATTCACCATCTATCACGTTCCGATCCAGTGATCTCCCAAGCAACGGAGACAATAACTCACATCCTGGAGCATTGAATGTCACCCCAGAGCAAATTTGCAGAAACGGAGATAGAATAGAGTCAATTTGAGAACTGTGGAATGCATATGGCACCTTTAGCCGAGTTGCTCGTATTCCGCGCTCCTGAAGAGAGGATTGCATAGCATCGATATTCGTGGTCCGGCCGCTGAGAACAACCTCGAGCTTACTGTTGATACATGCAATCTCTAGATGATTTTCAGAAACCAGGTACTGCCAAGAAGACATATCTCCCTGAACAGCCAACATGGCATGACTTCCGACGATGCAGTTTGTCTCCAATAGCATGGCTCGAGAGCCAACAAGGTAGATAACATCACTGGCAGAGAGGATGGCAGATGCAAAGAGTGCGGCATATTCACCCAAGCTATGCCCTATAATCACATCAGGGCGAATGCCGAATGATTGCCACATGCGGGTTAGTGCCATCTGGATGGATATTTGGGCAACCTGAAGAGACACTGGGGGTATAGTAGCTATGGGTCGATCTTCAGTACCGTCTACCAGGTTTCGAATACTGGGAAAGCCTAGTGAGGTGGCAACCGAGTCAAATTCAAGGACACTTTCTCTGTATGTTGTGCATGTCTGAAAAAGATCTGCCGCCAGACCGGTATACATTGAGCCTTGACCGGTAAAAGTGAACACAACTTTTGGCGGGGATGGCACAGGTAATATCTCGGTCTGTACTGCTTTCTTTAAAGCATCTCGAACTGCCGAGATATTCGTTGCAGCCACGGAAAATCGATAATTGTGCTGAATCCTGCGAGCCGTTGTCGTGTAGGATAAACTAGGCAATGCAACATTTGGGTGCGAAGATAGATATTCGGCAATGCTATTCAAGTTTGCTTTAAGCGAAGAAAGAGCCCGAGCAGAAACTGCCACAACATGAGTCTCGCGTGGGTCAGACCCCTTGAGACTCCTTGGAGTCCCATCCTGCAAAACAATTGCCGTGTTTCCACCAGCCGCACTGAAGTTGTTGACAAAGATCTTTCTGGGTTCTGATAGAACCCGAGGAAAATTTGCGGGCTGCGTGGCGATGTGAATATTTCTGGCACCAAGATCAGGGAAGCCTCTGTTGATTTCGCGCTTGATCCCAACATGAGGTGGAATGAGATTATTTCGCATCATGAGAAGTGCCTTGATCACTGCAGTCACACCAGATGAAGCTTCACCATGGCCGACATTTGCCTTGACTGAGCCCACATACACCTTTTTGTCTTTTCTTCGTGGAGATGCCGCCGGCGAGAAGATATTTGAGACAGAACGCATCTCTGTGTCGTCTCCTGCTTGTGTGCCGGTCCCATGCATCTCAACGTATGAGATTTCTTGAGGATCAACACCGGCTTGTGATAGAACACGTCGATAGAGAATTTCCTGAGTGCCTGCATGTGGATGTGTGATGGAGATCGCATCTGCCGAGTGATTTGTTGCAGCTGACATGATTACACCGAGAATATTGTCATTATCAGCCTCGGCGTCAGAGACTCTCTTCAAGATAAGAGAGCCCACAGCATCACCACGACAGTACCCATCTGCATCATTGTCGAAAGTTTGACAAGGCCCAACTTTGGACAAAAATTGACCCTTACTCAGTCCAGCAAAGATGTCTGGATTTGTCATGATGTTCACACCACCCGCAATTGCCGTATCACAATCGCCAAGCCAGAGGGAATTACAAGCGGCATGTATGGCAGCCATGCTGGAGGAGCAGGCAGTGTCTATACTGAAACTGGGACCGCTGAAACCAAAATGATAATTGATACGACCCTATTTAATGGCAAATTTGACCAGAATGTGAGCCTATGTCTGAAAAAAAAATCTTCCACATAAATGATGAAATATACATACTGGACCAAAGGCTCTGACACCACCAGTGATAAAGTATGTGTCAATATCTTGAGCCTCGTTGATTTCACGCCAGTCATCGCTAGTCTGACCATAAAATGTTCCAATTCGGTCAAGCTGCGTGGACGGGGTTCGATTCGGTACATATCCAGACATCTCAAGGGCCTCATAGGCGGTTAGCAGAGAGAGCCGTTGCATGGGGTCAGTCTGGGTGGCCTCGCGAGGCGACATGTTGAAAAATCGAGGATCGAAGAGCCCTGCATGGTCGACAAAACACCCGTAAGGGGTATGGCTTTTATTTCTTCCTTTGCCTGAAGGATCGTAATAAATTTGCGCATCAAACCTATCCGGTGGGACCTATTTGTGGTACACATTAGTTAAGAAACTGTTTCTGAGAATGCTGATTGTATGGTCTCACTTCTCTGTGCATATCAAGTCCGTCATAAAGCACCTTCCAGAATTCGTCTAAATCCTGTGCTCCGGGAAATCTACCGGACATCCCGACAATAGCAATTCCATCCTTCTTTGATGATCCACATTCGGAAATCATCTCTGGAGAAGATTGTTTCCAGTTAAAAAATGGGATCTTTTGTCCGAGCTGGAGCCCACCGAGCTTGGCAAACAGCGGGTTTGTTTCGTCGACTGGCCCAAGAGCAACTAGCCGTGTGTCATCTTCATAAAGCGAAACCTCACGATGACAGTTATCTATTAATGACGAAAAGTCTTGACAAGACGCAAGTATATCTGTAACAATTGCCTTGTAGAGATCAGGCAAAGGTAGTGCGCTGTAATGATTCCTCTCCAGTGAGGAAAAGATCAGTTTTGGCGACTCAGATACGAGAGGCTCGCATTCGCGAAAGATCTCCCAGTCAATGATTTGACCGAAATTAGCATCAGGATGGAGATGTGAAGCGTGATATGGCACGAGGATACGAGCGGGTATTATCGATTCAATTGTTGTAGAACGCCAATTATTCCTTACTTCATGCAATGTACTTGGAGGGCCGGAGATGGTCAAACCGCCAGGCCAAATAGCACTTAGATAAGGTTTTTTCAACTCCGAGAATGCCTGAAAATGCTACTTAGTGGATTGAAGGGACTTAAAGTAAGTGAGAGCTCTTACACCTTGCTCTGTAATCAAATTATCGATCTTCGATTGAGCTTCTGTCGCTGAAAGTCCGTAAACGTAGAGAGACCAATTGGCTGAATTGGACTCTTTGGTTTTAGGTTCCAGACGATCTGCCAGTCTCTCAACATATAGAGACACACGAAATGCCAATTCAACAGCACGGACAGCAAGTGCGACACCCGCCATCCCTTTCGGGAGAACTGATGCCGTCGCACCTGCAAATAATCCTGAGGAGGCTGCGATAATGGCGGTTCTCCGAGCCGCATTTTCATTGCCACTCTCAACATAGCTGATTTCCATAAGAATTAGCTGTGTACGGTTGAACATGATACATGATGACTGAGAAGATTTTTACGTGATATAATCCGCCAGCTGTGCAACACACAGAATGGTTGTCTCAACAGTTGGACTTATGCACCCTTTTGAGATGTATGAATTAATGAACTCCTCCAGATTTGCAAAACCAGGTAGCTTTTCTCGTTGTAAAAGAGGCAGAGTCCCAATAGATTTTCTCAGCATGCGGCTCACAGAAGATAGAAAGCACGCTACCAGGGGTGGGTTTTTTCGGACAAAAACGAGATCATGGATGTAGGCAGCGATTGCCTCATGAGTTTGATCACCAAAGACCAGCACATCCATGGTGGTCTCTGTTCAAGACGTGAGATTATGGATAGTATGAGAAAGAATCAGTGACTGAATCTGGCCCAAATGCTTCAATTTAAGTGCTCTATCACGGATATTTGCTGATTTGATATCACGAATGAAGCTCGATCCGTTTCTGGTCAGCCGATAGGATTCCCGTACAGACCTCTCAGAATGGTGAAGATAACAGAGAGAACTCGTATCAGGCGCAGCCGCATCTAGAAATTAGAGGCTTTTCAGTTTACTCGATGGTCCGATCCCACACACCATTTGATCTTGCTGAGCCCTATGATACATGCAAGTCAGCCGAGTCATGCCACCGAACAGGGATGTGAACTAGATGGCGAGAAAATTCGAAATGCTGTGTTATCGACTCCGTAGAAGGTCAATGCACATCTTTGAGCCGAGATGTCTCGCCTTGAAATGGTTTTTAATAATTTTTTCCCGAAGGCTGAATCCGATCAACAGGGATTGAAAGAATCTACTGCCGGGGGGCCCAAATCGGGCCTCAGTGGTGCTATGAATTATGCAGTGAAACCTTCTAATTTCTTCCAAGAAAGGATATTATCGCCGGAAATGTATAATCATCTCATCTCTCTGAACAGGGAATAAAATGTTCATATTTCCATATTTGATTGCATGAAAATCAAGATTTCCAAATCATTCTCGTACAAACTTTGCTAAACTGACGGCTATCAACGGCTCTGTTCCAGCCCTTTGATCCCTCCAGCTACGGTTCCAAGCTATCAGAAGTAGAATCATCCATCTGAACATCCGGGTTACGAGATTTGCCCCGAGTCATACTCACAAATACGTAAGCTAAAGAGACTAGCAGACCCATTCCTGCCAGACCGACGCTTACATACTGTGCACCCCTTATTCCTCTGAAAATGTCCTTTCCATCTGAGCTTATATTGGATTCAACAGTAGCGGCAATGCCGAGTCCAATTGAGATAGAATAGTTGACAACTGTATTCATCAACGAGGCGGCAATACCCTGGTGGCTATGGGGTGTGGCATTGCTCAAGAGAATTGTAGCGGAAGGGTATGATAGATCCTTGAGAAAAGTATGTCAGGTGCTATTCTTTGAAATCTCAGGTAAACAGGTCAGTAGAAACAAAACTTACCATACCCCAAGGCATGACAATAATCGAGACAAATGCCTGTGCCCAGTACGTCTGATGTCGAGGGGCCGTGGCGAACAGGATTGAACCTAGTAAAAATGATGCCATAGACATTGGCATAATGCAATATGGACCGAGTCTTCCAATTAGATAGGCAACGGAGAAAGCTGCAAGGACACCCGATATCCCCACCGGAGTAAAGTGCGCCACGACGGTGAGCGGAGTATATCCAAGAATCCGCTCCGACATCTGCCAGGCGTAGAACAGCCATATACCGAAGCTGGACCAGCCACATGCGATGCATGTCAGCACAAAGATAGTGTCAACATTCAATGTCTGGGTGGGGACGACTGGGTGCAAGCTTCGTGTCTCTAGCCAAGCAAACAGGAAGAGGAATGCGAGCCCGACAATGAGCAAGCTGTACGTGTAGGGCGTGGACCAGCCAACAACTGCTCCTTGGTTCCACGCAAAGTTGACGAGGACCAATCCAATAACACCAGTAAAAACACCGAGTAGATCCAGTTGATCCAAGCCTGGTCGGGATTCCTTATCGGGTAGCTGAGGTGGGATGATCACCAAGACGAGCAAGGCCACTGCGAAACAGACAATTCCGAGAACCCAGAACGCCCAAGGCCACCAGACAAGTTGCGCAAAGATACTGGAGAAGAGACACCCCAGTAGGTACCCATTGGGGGCAGCTGCAGCAAAAAGGCTAAAAGCTACATTTTTTCTCAGCCCTGGAGGAAATAGATGCGCAAGGATCGCTAGGGAGTTCGGAAGTAGAATGGCTGGGCCGATCCCTTGGAAGGCTCGCGCGATGATGAAAAGGACTTCTCCAGAATAGACACTAAATCCAGCAACTAGTGACCAAATTCCGAACCAGACATATCCAATGAGAATCATTAGACGGTGTCCATAAGCGTCGCCGAATCTTCCGGCGATCAGGATGAAAGTTCCGACGGTGAGACTGTATGCTGCTACATACCAGCTGGAATCGGCGACATCTGTAGCTCCGAATTCTTGACTGATAATCAAGAGTGGAGCGATGACCTGACCCAAAGCCGCTTGCATCAACAGGTGTGAAAGACAGAGAATTGAGACGGTAGCAGCTTCTGCATATTTGGAAAGAACAGGGGGATGTTCAACCATGCTTGCTTCCGCTGTTTTGAGATGCATCACGAAAACCTCGTCCAAGAAAAAAATAATTTGGAAGGGTTTAGACCAATAGAATCAAATAGTATTTAGGATTTTGGTGGAGGTATAGAAGAGACGATCGAACTAACTTATATATGTATACCTGGAAAAGTCTCTAGGTATAATCGAACACCAACAATGCTGATTTCCCGGCTCAGTAGTAGCTGAGAGTTTAAAGTGCTCTGGAACGGAAAATTTTACATGTAGGTTAAATGCAAGGTGCTGTGGTCAGATAATGAATTGTATCCATGCTCCCAAAAGGCCGCAGGCGGAAAATCACTTCGTAAAAGGGAACAAGATAAACAGGGATTAGTAGATTACAGGCAATCCCTCAAATCTCAGGCAAGGTAGAACATTTGTAATAGTCTGGTGTAAGCTTTGGATCTATAAATTGAAAACCGAATTCCTCGTGTATGAAGCCCAACTCAAGCAACACAACAACCAGTAAAAGCGCCACAATCGTTAAACAATCTGTCTCTAACCCAAGCAAAAGCTCAATCTCAAAAATGGCTCCAGAATACCAGAATCTTTTGGGAAAAGTAGCGTTGGTGACAGGGGCCGGGCGCGGTATTGGCAGAGGCATTGCTCTGGAACTGGCGAAGAGAGGGGCTTCAGTCGCCATCAATTATGCACACAGTGCAGATGCTGCCAATGAATTGGTTCAGGAGATTGAAAGCAGTGGAGTGGAAGCTGGTGCATTCAAAGCAAATCTGAACAATCTCGAGGAGATTGAAAGTCTTTTTACTGCAGTTGTTTCTCGCTTTGGTCAACTTGACATTGTTATTTCTAACGCAGGCCAGGAGAAATTCCTCCCCCTGGAAAAGACTACCTTGACCGACTTTGACGAGGTATTTAATCTCAACACGCGAGGTCAATTCTTTGTTGCGAAAAATGCCCTCGAACATCTCCAGCCCGGCGGACGTGTGGTTTTGATGTCATCAATTGCGGCCGGAGTCGGGGTCGCGGGGCATGCCCTGTATGCCGGAAGCAAGTCCGCAGTGGAAGGATTCACCCGCTGCTTTGCTGCAGACTTTGGGGTCAAACGGTGCACAGTCAATGCGATCGCACCGGCTGGAGTCAAAACAGATATGTGGACAGCGAATTCCTGGCGATACGCACCGGGATGTGACCAGAGCAGCTCCCTCCAAGACATTGAGACAGCATTAGCCAATGGCAGCCCACTGAAACGCTGCGGAGTGCCTAGTGATATAGGACGTATCGTGGCATTCCTTGCTAGCCCTGAAAGTGAATGGATCAATGGTAAGAAACAATCCATTGCGTTTCAACTCATCATGGCTTGCCTGATCGAAACTGACTTTGCACTATTTGTTTACTACAGGACAGGTCATTCCCGTGAATGGTGGGGCCAATATTTGATTTGATGAGCGCATAGTTCTACCTTTTCCAGCCTTGGGGGCTGGATGGCGATCGGTGGGGATACAAGGGTACAACCGTTGTCCGTTGAATATGAGCTATCCAGCAATTTCCTATAACCTGACAATGCATATATGCATATGTATGAACTTCTCGTTGCGCGAATAATAATAAAGTAATTGTCCGACGTGCATGATAACTCAGTTTGATTCTGTCGAGTCCACATTATCACATGAAATGGGTACTATGCACATGATTGCGGGGGTTCCTAGAGGTGCAAGTCTGTACATGTACATTGTTGGTTGTTCTGGCCCAGTCCTGGTTCTAGATTATAGCGGGTCTGCATGGGGTTTTTGGGGGGGGGGGGGGGGGGGGGGAAAGCATGTATAGCTCGGATGAACAGAAGAGGAAGGACTCCGATACCCACAGGGAGCTTGGGACGCCTTGGCGGCACCATCTGCATGAGGTCGCAGATGGTGATCCTGCCTCCCGCTGCGATCGGTCTCTAGGCCGCCACGATTTAATTTCACACCACGCCTTTGCCGTGTTCCGTAATCTGGACCCTGATTGCGGCTCAAGCTTGTTTGCCAGGCGGGAACTCAATCATGATCCTTTGGAATCCGCGTACGAAGCATCCTGAATCTTAATTGGCCCAACACAGCAGCCCATGCAGCTTACACTTCTCCCCCTGGTCTTTATCCCGTTCTCCATGATATCCTTCTGCTTTATTGGCTGGCTTGCTTCCCTAAGAGTCCTCTTCCCGCGATTCTCGGTGCTTCGTTTCATTGATGCAGGGCAGGCCAAAACTAGCACACCAGCCCTGTTCTTGGACAGAAACCCCAACCGGAGAGAGCAAGTATCTGCGGTAGCTTATCGTGTGCCCAAGCCATTTCTTCCAAATCCCGAAGATGGAAGCAGTAATCATTGCATGCATTGATCAGTGGAAGGCTTGAATATTATGTCGTGATACTCATTATCTTATTTTCTTTTCTTTTTTTTTCGCCCGGGGGAAGCGGGGGTGGCAGGGAGGGGATTTGAATTTTGGGGATATTCCACCTCTGTGGACTTTACAGAATTTCTAGACCATGTCACTATACCGAACGTCTCGAGCACCCAAACAAATTTTGGCGTAAGATATCTTGAAAATGCGTAGATGACGCGGCCCCTATGCTTCGTAGGCTGGGACTGGGACACCTGATTCTATTCGTAGTGTTGTAGTCCCTGGCAATGCTAATAGAAAGGCCGTCACCTTCCCATCCAGTCCTTGGTTTTTATCGCACTTCAAAGCACAAATATTCTACTTCAAGGAGGACTTTGTAACACATGCTCTAGAAAGGTAAGCTATTCTGTATTTTTAACCGTTCAACCTCTCAATCTCTCCATGGCATGATTCTGCTTGAACCCTATTTGCTAGCGTCCGGCAAGGAAAGGGGGCTAAAACAGAGATCCACGTTCTCGTCGGCGGTTCCTTATGTCTCAAAAGCAGCGGTTAACTCATCCGGTATGGTCTCTATCTTCCAGCAGTACCGAGAATAGCCTCGTCACTAAGGCTTTACCAGTCAGGGCCCAGGATGCGACGAGATTGGTACGGACCATTTGGTTCAGCCTGGGGACTGAACTCCACAGGGCTTTGGACTGCAGGCCCCTGGACTACCGGGCCCTGGACCTCATGGTGGGGGCAGCACCATGGCCCCGGAGCTTGCCCGAACGCAACATGGGCAGGCTGGACCTCGGGCGACTGGCAGACCGCGCCACCTTGGACAAGTTGGTCCGCTTGTTCATGCACGACGACGGCGACTTCAACCATCGTCACCACATCTGACGGCACGCCTGTGACGTCGTTGGACTATGGAATTCGCGTGGTGAGCGCAACGGGTGCAGCGGTGACCGGGACGACTGCAGCAGCGTCTGAGACCTCCTCGAGCGCTTCGCCCCAACCTAGGCGAAGCCTGGGGGCCTTGGCGGTCTTTTTGCTATCAGTGATAGGCATGGTGGTCTAGGAAATGATAACCGATCCTTTCGTGGGACGACCTGGCAATAGCCTTGTGGAGCAGGGGTTGCGGAGTTGTATGTTTGATTGCAGGGAATCCCCCTATCCAGCGTGATGCATGGTGCAGATGAAGATCGCTTCTCCAATTGTCCGGCTTCAGCCGGCTGAATCCAAATTGATGTCGTGGAAAATCACTCTCTTGAAATCATTTGAAATCATTTGAAATCTTGCATTATGACTAAAATTCTTGGATCAATATTCTTAGACTATCACCCCTTCCCGGTATCCAACCTATAGATCAGTTACGATATCGAACATGACCGAGTCTCTGCGAGAACACGAGGTCGGAAATCAAGGAAGCTCAATGTCTGGGTGTCCTCGGCCCGATCCTTGACCTCGTGTCTGCAGACAACTTGCTTAGCTCCGATGCAAAGGGATAGTTGCCGCAGAGACGGAGCTGATCTTCTGGAATGTGGAAATCCCGCATCTTCTCGGGTGCCTCCACAATCGTGGTTACCATCCCCTTCACGACATGCCATTCGATATGACAGTGGAAAAGCCACACCCGTACTCGGCTGGTCAGTTGATTCTATCTTGGGGAAAAAGAAGAGAATTTATCATCAGGGGGGACTTATCTGGGTTGGTGGCTCGGAATCGGATGACAAAATGACCGTGGTTTTGCACCATGAGCGTGTCACGCCGGACTGGAGTTGCTGAAATATTGGCAAAGTAGCCATCGAAGTACCCTCCGTCTGGCCAAGTTCTCTGAAGACATTGGAATTGATGCCCGTGCAGATGCCAAGGGTGGAGATTTCCATGATAGTCATTGAGCACGATCTCAACGACATCGCCATAGTTAATCACGTAAGGGTTGACTGCTCCATAAGCTGACACATTGGTCTGAGACGTATGGTGAGCGTCTTTCAAAAGAGTCGTGTACATGGTGGGTGTATCTTGCTCATAGTAGGTGTGGTTGTTAACAACGAATCGCGCCAAGCCTCCTTCAACTTCGGCTGAATTGAAGTCCATGATAATTTGATGGTCGACGGGTTCGAGCAGCGGTTGACGATCAAACGGAGTCAACTCCAGATCATCCACAAAATCAAATTCATACAAAGTCGGCGGAGCAGGTAAAGGTTTGGCCTCGTCATACACTAGCCAAGCTGTTCCATTTGGGTTATACCCATCTGGAATAGTGCGGTTCTCGTAAACGAACATCATATTGACATCCATAATGGTCCAGAATGCGTAGTTTTGGGCTGTGCTCTCTTTGGTATGAATCAAGACGCTCATACGTTGGCCCGTTGCAAGCCGCAAATTGCGTCCTCCAACTGGAAACGGCTCAACATAGATCCCGTCGACTTCAACCACCGTCATTTCATGATCATCGAATAAGAACGCGAATCCAGGCCAGTTTCCAATCACTATTAGATGCACCAAATATGTCTTCCCTGGCTTGACGGGAAAGGTCGCGTTCACGGCATCGTTGATCAGAGCCGCGACGGGAAGGGGCTCTAAACCCCCGGTCGCTGGATCACTGTTCTCAGCCTTATACTGTGCAACCAATGCTGTCATCTCTTCATGATACCAGTCCGACAGTAGCATGGTGAATTCATCATCAAATTTGAATGGGGAATTGGGATCGTGAACAATAAGCGCTCCGCGCAGACCGTCTGGATACTGGCCCATGAAATGAGAATGATACCAGTAGGTGCCAGTTTGATTGACCTATTCTGAATGAGCTTCACAAGCCATCTTGAAAAGGATGATAGGGGATTTGTACATCGACGACATAGCGCATCATCCGACCAGGGGGGATGGGGCACTGCGTTACACCAGGTGCGCCATCCATATATCCGGTCATATATTGGTGGAGGCCATGCCAGTGAATTCCAGTTTCCTGATTACCCAGATCATTGTGAACATCTATGATGAGACGGTCTCCAACTTCGACATCAATCTGAGGGCAAGGCCACTTGTTGTTGATTCCGATCACTTCACGCTCATATCCGTCAGGGGCAGCAGTGACCCAAGTTATATGCCAATCGTAGTACACGTCTTTGGCGGAGACGCAACTAAGCAGAAAATTTGCCAAAAAAGATATACCTAGAGACAACATAATGAGCGTCAAGGCATAGACTCTTTTTGCCACTCGGTAAACGAAAGTGAAGATAAAAAGCACTTGCTTCTTCGCCGTAAAGACTAGTAGAAATGAACTTGGAAATGAACCACTATCTATCAAGCCATAAGATTGTGGGATATTCAGGATTCTTTCATTAATCCAATTCTGGTGGTTGATTGACATCGTGTAAACCTAACAGGCAGCTGCTGACTGCATGGGAGTAAAGGTCGATGGACCACGTATCTATCGAAGGAACTGGGCGAGGCGTTTCACCTGCTCGACGAAGAAAGAGTCATGCGAGAGTGTGAGACCTGCATAGACAGCTGCTGGCCTTGCCAATGGCTTTCGATAATCCCCTGCATGCATGATGCATACGGCTACTTGGAGCTGGATACAGAAACCTAGTAGTTATCGCCATTTTGCAGCCTAATTATCCTATCTGGAATCAAATCAACCCGACTAGCGCAATGTGACCAGGTTCCCCTCTCGATTCAGCCCTTTGTGCGGGTCCGCCACCAATGCAGTATGCTCGAGCTAGGGATAGTTTCTTAAAACCGGATCTCGGACTTGACTCGAGTTGTATGCCATATTGGGACTTCCGTTTAGCTTTCAGGCCGTCAATGCTCCGCGGAAAGATTGGGAAAGATTTTATCAAAGTCGTATTCATTCCAATAGATTTTTGGGCGCACACCACTGAGCTTCCAGTCACCATTGATTTTCTTGTACCAATGTGTGACAGTGGAGTTTCCATGGCCTCGATATGCAACAGTGGTAAGATCGGGATCTTCGTAACGTTGGTGTGCTGCTCGGATCTGATGGGTGGCAATAATTTCGGTGTCAGACACCCACTCGTATCCAACAGCACCCATCAGATGCTGAGTTTTAACGAGTGGGTCTCCAAGGAAGTCCGGGGAACTCATCATGGAGACAAATTCCTCCGATTCCATGTCGGGGAAACATTTGTGGCCGACGATGGTGTAGTCGATCTGCGGGCAGAAATTCAGCCCCGGAATGTATTTGGTGTACTTGATTGGGATTCATCATACCATCAGACTTGGTGCCAGAATTTTGCGAAGTCGGTCCCAGTCCTTTCTCTCGTCAATATTGGAATGGCATGGCGCTAACAGGGCTGTGGCTTACTTTGCTGTCATAGCTGTCGGCCCACTCAAAAACAAGCCGACTGACGGCAAGATAATCTATCAGATGAGGTCGGCCATGTTATTAAGAATCTATGATGGGAGTCTAAGTGTATCACTTTACCTTTAAATTGAATATTTTCCATTTGAAAACGTCTCAGTCAAGGTTTTGTATTGAGAGAAGCGGCTTATTGAAAAGATATGAAGTTGTTGATGAGAATGTGGAACCTGCAACGCTTCAAATAGAGCGCCAGAAGTAGGCAACAGAGATACTGGTAGGTAGTATTGATATGTAATATGCAACAGCATGTTGGCAACATGCATGGCCACGCTAGTATACGAGCACCAACTATCAAACCGTAGTCATTATCTCGACCAAGTTAGCGGAGGCCAATGTGAGATACCTCACATGCTACAGCGGGCCAAAACTCCGACTTGGGCTAGATGAAAATATTGAACGGTGGTCTGGACAAGCTAGTAAGCATGGAAAGCTGAAAAGTATGGTTTCTAGTGCACGATTAGATGTAAACATTACGAGTCTAAAGGCTAGAACCCCAAGTCTTGGCATGTATGAAGGAGCAATTGTGCCGACCTTGGAAACGATCGTCGCTATACTATTCAATTTAAACCGGTTGGAATGTTTGGTATCACATGAGCTGAACCGTATCCTCTTGTCGCTTACTCTTTTCGTATTCATATTCTCAAGAATTCCTGATAGCCAGGCACACTAAATCTTGCAAAATAACGGCTCTGGGAAAATTGAGTTTCTTCCAAACAGGCTCGCCGATAGTCCGATCTTCCAAACGACATGGGAAAGATATTCAGCCTGTCCTTTTTCTCTCTTTTGTGGGGATTCCTCCTCATATTAAGCCGACAAGCAGTTGCAGTTGAAAACTCGCCTCTATTGACTACCAATGTCTACCAGTTTCCAAATGTTGGGTCATGGATTGAAGGCATTGCGGAACGAGAAAACGGTGACTTGCTGATAACTCGAACGGACGTTCCAGAACTATGGTCCATTAATCCTCTCACCAAAACCGCCTCTTTGGTTTACAAGTTTCCAGGTGCCACCAGCACAGTGGGAATTGCAAAGATCTCCTTCGGGGTCTTCGCGGTCGGTGTGGGAACCGTAAATCTCTCGACATTTATGGCCACACCTGGAAGCTTCTCCGTTTGGATTGTCGACTTGCGTGGGCAAAAACCCCAAGCCAGACTTCTTAAAGCGGTACCAGAAGGGCTTTCCCTTAGTGGGATGATTCTTTATACCGGATCAACAACCTCGCCAGTTCTACTGATTGCAGACACCCTGAAGGGCGTGGTTTGGCGCATGGATCCCACAACTGGCAGTTACTCTATCGCTTTGTCAGACTCGAGCATGCTTCCAGCCCAAAACTCTGCCCCAATTGGGATAAATGGTGTCAAGGTGCTGGGCAATACACTCTATTATACGAGTAGTAGTCAACAAAAATTCTGTCGGGTCAAACTGAACATAGATGGCTCAGCTGCGGGGCCATTTGAAGTCGTCGCAAGTGGATTTTTCCAAGATGGGTTCGCCATCGCGAGGGATGGAACTGCTTACATTACGACACATCCACAAAATACAGTTCTTCGGGTGTCGCCTCAAGGGCAGACATCTGTTTTCGCCGGCAACTTGAACTCTACTGCTTTGGCTGGATCGACTGATGCTCTACTTGGAGACTATTTTGGGGAGGGTGTTTTATACGTCACAACGAATGGCGCACTGGGTTCTCCGGTAAATGGAATATTTACCGAACCCGCAAAGGTGGTAATGATCAGCAAAGTCGATCCATGATTTCTCGACAAAATTCTATGCGTTATTACGCATAGCCTTATTTTTCTTTGGGATTTTGGCAGTGATAGGAACCTATCAAGTAATGCAAACGAGAGGCAATGACTTCTCGCCACGTCCAAATTTCAAGATGCTGTAATTAATGAATATAGCCAAATGATGAAAAACCGTTCAACAATAGCGAAATCTTGATGACAATTGGGTATTAAATCAAAATCTATGATCGAGTTTATCTATCCTTCCTCTTTGTAGCATATCGACAGCCAATGCGTAAGCCTCATCTTTAGCTTTGCACTGTGAAGTTCCTCTAACAGCTTCTTTATCCCACCCGTGAGCACATCCAACCATTCTCTTATAAAAAGAGTTCTTCCCGTCTATGCGTTGAATTTTCTTGGCCAGCTCCTCTGCTTCTATGGCGAATGGATCCTGTGCGGCAGTAATGATCAGAACATTTTGTGGGAATTTGCTAGGATCAGCAAGCAGCGGTGAAAGTCGTGGATCGTGCGGATCCACCACTCCTGGATTAAGACACTTATGACACAAGTGAGAAAAAGTAGGAAATATTTTTCGCATGATAAAGTTTGATGAATCAGCCTGAGTTTTCTGGGGGGTCGGTAAGGCCATATCTGTCGGGCCGTAGAGAGAAATGACAGTATGAATCACGTCCAAATCTTCATTTTCGAAGATTTCAGATGATGAAGATACCCCAAGAGCAATATTTGCACCTGCACTGAATCCAGAGAGGCAGACACATGAAGAGTCAAATTGGTCTGGTTGAGATCGGACCCATTTTACAACATCTTCGGCGTCATGAAAGGCAGCTGGGAAAGGATGTTCTGGTGCGAGGCGATATTGAACGTCAATTACAGTATAATTGGTTCGATCTGCAATGTAGCGACAATATTCATCATCAGATCCAAAGGTCCGGAGTACGAAGCCACTGCCACAAAAGTTTACTAGCACAGGACTAGCTTGGTGTTGATTGGCCGATTTGTAGATGTGAACTCTGATCGAGCGACCAGGGTCTCGCGCTGGAATACCGACCGTCTCGTCTGGGTTGGGATGAATATGTAGCCTTGGTCGAACAATTGCACGAAGAATCAATGCGATGAATTTATGGTGGGCATAGGAATTGCCCATTCTCACAAAGTGGCTTTTTGGCGTCAAGCGAGGGGTGGGTATGCCAGGGCTGAGAATAAGGTGATATGAGACTGATACCTAGACCGAGGCTATTTCAAAATTCTTAACATATTTGAAAGTCAGTGCCGAAGGCAGATGTCTTATTGCGTCTTTAGTCGCCCCGGCATCCTACGGCGCCTTATACAGGTTTTGATCTGATGACGATCGCCATCCGAGGTGGCTACGTCATGGTTCTAACCTAACGCTGCGAAGAGGTCGGAGTTGTGTGTTCATGTCAGGAGAATAAAGTCCAAAATCTGTTCGCGTTTTCAATTAATTAAACTAATCCACACCTCAGCTAGCCCCCGTTACATCTGGATTCCATTCTTTGCATCGTTGTTCGTATCTCGATTTTGGCAAGGGGAAGCGGGTAGATGGCACGTCTGGATGATCGGCACGGACATTCTTCACCACCCAATAGCTACTCACTATTCCATCCCCACCCATTCGAGAATTTCGTTGAATGGTATGCATCTCGATCGCAAACATCAAGGGAGGGAGAAATTGAATCTATTGAGAATTCTGAAGCTTTTTTTTCGGTTCTTTCTAAGTGAACTGCACAAAGACTAGTTTAATTACTTTGTGATAAAAGTAGTAGACCATAGGTGTTACCCCGTTAAAACCTACAGGGAACTAAGGATATAATTTTTTTTTTTTTTTTTTTTTTTTTTTTTTTTTTTCAAGTCTGATGGTATATGATCTCCGCAAAAGCTAATGTAAGTACGGGGCTACGTTCTGAGTCTACTGAAGCGCCATGTCCAGGCTGATGTTCCAACATCAACTCTTCCAGAACACACTCACTCGGATCACGCCATTATTTGCTCCTAGGGTTTCAAGCTGTAGCATACATTCCAGAACTAATACTTTTGGAATTAGGCATATGCTACCGTCGGGGAGAGTGCTGTAGAAATACCAATCGTGCATGAATATATGCAAGCACGTGTGAGCCTTTGCGAGTAATATAGTTTTTCATTTCCCCCTCTAACCAGCTCAAGCTCCCCCTCTACCCAGCTCAAGCTAGCCCTCAGGATTTCGGAAGTCTCGATTCGTCAAAGATCATTCAAATAGTCTATACCATGTCTATTACCATACAAATATTTAATCAAGTCCAGAATGCCTTTTGCAATGCATCACACATCAAAGTGATGCATCGCTTTCCCTCTGACAATACCCCATCCATAGCCAGGAAAGGGTGCGGCATGCCCTTCATAACCTGCAGGTCGACTTCTACGCCAGCCTTCTGGAGCTTTTCGGCATACTGTTCACCCTCGGTACGAAGGACATCCAGCTCACCCACCATGACCAGCGCAGGTGGGAGCTGGGACCAATGCTCTGTATAGAAGAGCGGACTCGCTTCGGGGTTGGTGCGATCAGCCTCCTTGGGGAGATAATGGTCACGGTACCAAATCATCTTCGGGGCAGGAAGGGCCGGGGTATGTTCATAGCGACGATAACTGTCGTTGTTCTCGACGGTTGCGGTGTTATCCGTGACGGGAACCGAAAGAAGCTGGGCCTGGAAGTGCACCGGTGGAGATAGAGTCAATGCCTTGTGGGTCATGATCGCTGCCAGGTTACCACCTGCAGATGAGCCACCAGTTGCAATCTTGGATGCGTCAACTGATAGGATTGAAGGACCTTCCTTAACGAGCCAGAGGAGAGCCTCCCAACAGTCATGGACAGCGGCTGGCCAGGGGTGTTCGGGAGCCAGACTGAACGATATCGATTAGATCTAGTATGGCAACACCAGCCCTCTCGCCAGCGATAAGACCTTGTAAAACCGTCAAACTCACCGATAGTCAACCGTCACCACCACGCAGTTGCCGCGCACACACAGATTCGAGCAGACCACATTTTCGGTATCAATGTTTCCTAAAACCCAACCACCGCCGTGGAAGTAAAGCATCACGGGCCACCCACCAGCAGGTACATCTCCCTTGGGTGTGAAGCAGCGAATAGGAACGGCAGGACCTTCGGTTTCTTGTCGCTGGATGGTCAAATCTTGTGTCTTGCCAACCTCCAGCATGGGACCAGCTCCAGGGATCAGGACTCCGCTGGTCCGTGACGCAGCGACCGGCTGCATGTGCACCTGCTGGTTGTTGATGACAAACTTGTTATAGAACTCGACATACTCGGGGTCCAACTGGTCACGGACGGACTCGTGCAGAGGATAGGGGGGCTGACTGGTAGTTATAGACATGGTGAATGACGACGATGAGGAGTTGAGGAGGGAAAAAAGAAACACGCTGGAGGTTTGACCGTGGAGGGGTGCTGTAGCCCCTTGCATCTTTAAATGCTCATCCCGCGCAGCCCCCACGCGCCGAGTGGGATCTTGGTCCCCCCAACACCGCGGGAGAAGGGAAAGACGGGGGGCGCAAACCAGGGACAACGGGGCTGCCCCGCGTGTACCGCGCGGGGGTGGCCGCCTTCGATAAGCGATAAGCGGGACTTGCACGACCGCGAGAGAAGCAGGTCCGCCCGTGATTGGAGGTTCCACCGAAAGGCCCGCCCATCTGTGACCCTCTGTGACCCTCTTCGACCCTCGGCGACCCTCTCTGGCTGTCACTCTGCCACTCGGAATGTCTTGGCTCGGCCCAATGCGCCTTGAGTGGGCTTAACTACAGCACTTGCTGCTTGAATCCCGTCCGCGGAGCCCTGGTACTGAGCGTGGGATGAAGAAATCCAGCTATCCTCTCTACGAGAGCCTACATAGCATGTCGTTCTCCGTCTTCTAAGAGGCAATATCTAGTTAGCATCAATTGAAACATTCACATTTCCTTCTCGGCCCATTTGCTATTCCTGAAGTCTCTGCCGCTCAACAATGGCCACGAAGACCCCCGTTCTCACCGAGAAGGCACCCAAGCCTCTTCCAGGGATCTATTCCCAGGCCATCATCGCCAATGGCGTCGTCTACTGCTCTGGTGCCGTCGCAATGGACCCGATAACAAATAAACTAGTTGAGGGGGACGTTAAAGCACACACGGTTTGTTGACTCTGACCCTGTGACCCCGTGCGTGGACCGCCCAGTCGACTAATGCTCCATGCGCTTTTCCTACGCAATAGCATCAATGCATCAAAAACTTGACCCATGTCCTCGAGGAAGCCGGCACAGATATCAACAAGGTGGTCAAGGTCAATGTGTTTCTCTCCAATATGGATGACTTTGCCGAGATGAACTCGGTGTACATGCAGTACTGGGGTGATGTGAAGCCATGCCGAACGTAAGTAGCTCATTCGTCCTTTGGCTGAACAAGCCTTGCCACGCATACTATGTTCACGGTGGCCAACAGCCATCTGATCTTCCAGACTGTTTGGGAACCATAGAGGCTTGGATAACTGACCTGGATGTTTCCAATAGCTGTGTTGCGGTGAAGACACTGCCGCTGAATACCGATGTGGAAATTGAATGTATCGCGGTGCTATAGTAAAGAATTGCGCGTTATAAACTCAATCAGTTGGTCTCTAAGCATTACGATTATCACGAATAAACGAAAAGAACGATATTTGCCCCTCTTCTGGTCGATGTGGAAGGCGAACAGTTCTATACGAGAAAAATGACTCCAACGAGATGAAGAGATGAAGAAAGAGAGCATATCTATCTTCTTCGCCCAAGGCGACTGATTACCTTTGTCGGTTTGGAGGTTAATGATCTTTATGTGCATGGTCAAATCAGTCTACTCTTTCCAAGCAAAATGTCAATATGATAGGATACGGTAGCGGTTAGGAAAGCTAGGATCCAAAGGAACGAGATGCTCAATATGATGCTGTTTTGGATGACTGAACTATCTATGTGTGTAGGCAGGAAATGTTGAACATATTCTGCCTCGCTGACTCGCGTGTTACGGCGCTGCTTTTCGAGTGTACCCGGGATATCGTACAAAACATGTAGAGGATCTTGTCAATATACTTGGATACGGTATCGGCTAGGAAAGCTGGGATCTAATAGCATGAGATGCTTAATCTAAAGCGCTATTATTCTAAGCCGGGGCTTTCCTCCGACAAAAATAATAGATCTAGTCCTAGTACTTCAGATCCTTCGGCGATTCCTTTTTCAGAGGATGAACCTTCCCACGAAGAGGATCCATGATGAAAAGATGAGCTAATTTCACTTGTTACACTCCTAGGTACGCGAAATATCTAACCGTATATAGTATGTCAACATATCACTTCGACGGCAGACTAGCGGCCGGCTAGGATGAATTCTCTACTTGATTGTCGAATATAAGGTTACCATTATGAATGGATCTAGTATTCACTTGCATTGAGTCAATATATTAGTAGTGGAGTTATCGGAAAGCATCGAGCATCAAGCATTAAGCATCATTTAAAGTACGGTTTCTTCGGGCATGTTTCCTGGGAGCCAATTGATAGAGCTCTTGTCCGCCCATGCCAACAACGCATCATAATCCGTACACTCATGCTTTGAACCCCAGCCAGGCCCAGCCTCTGTTTTTCCCTCCAGAGAGGTATCTGCAGCACACATGATTCCCTGTCGAAGATAGTCGAAACAGTGCGCGGAGTGATGGGCTATCTCATGGGTTAATTCTGCTCCGTCAAATGCCGTTTGATATTGCTGGACAAGGTATGACTTGAACGGTATTATCAGCATATGAATTCATTGAATTAGTTTCCCAATGATACATACAAGGCAATGAAGCTGGTGGAAAACCGACATCATATATGCTGGCTTGGCTTCAAAATGCAAATTCACGCTGTACGGCTCAGGCAAGTCAAAGGACTCGGGATTGTCTACTCCTATATATCCTCTGCCAGCTATATCAGGGGATTTTTGTTAGTTTTATTGTACATATCATTATTGATCGTAATAAAGGAGATTATTTACTTACTTGCGCTCAGCTCGAGCCAGTTATGAAGTGTACGAATCGTTTCATTTCTGCTGGAAAACATGTTGTCGTGTAGGTATCTTGGATTGCCGGTAAATGTATAGGTCTTTCTAGGAACTTTAAAAGTTTATTTCAGTAATCGTAGTTAAATGTTAGTCTTTGTTGATAAGTGATACAAACATACATTTCGGTATTGGGGATGCTTTTTCTATTGTTCTATTTGAAAGGGAATTGAGGAATAAAGCAACGATCACGAATATCATCACGATCTCCAAAATCACCCGCCCATACCGTTTCCAAACTGACGGCACTTCTCGTGAATATTTCTCCAGGAACGCATCATCATTGGGATCCTTGGGAAGCAATACTTCCCTGTCTTCATGTTGCTCTCGGATCGGCTCCATGATTCGGTGGTGCTAAGTTCAGTATTTCATGAAGGAAAATTTGCGGAGTGAGAAAAGGTGCTAAGAAAAACAGACTCCGGGGTATGAGGGAGATTAAGGGGGTCGAACCGTGAAGAAAAGCCATTCTGGATTTTTAGCCTATATTACCCCAGTTTTGCCCGCGATTACGGGGTGGAAGAGCCTAAATTCCCACATAGGGTATAGATGTCTTCAGCAACATAATTAGACTCGAGACTAAGAGGTACTAGTACTTGCATAAACATAAGGATTCTTTTACCGCATGGGTGATCGGATCAACTGCGTAGAGTAACCGGAAAGGCATTAAAATAGAAAATGATTTCCTCATCTCCTTGATATCATGCGTCCATTAGATGCGTAGATAAGCGATCTCTGCGGTTGAAATCATCACCAGCACGGACGAAAGCCTATAAATTAGATAAGGAGCCATTTGATAATGTATACGATAGTGCAGTAATTATCAAACTCATCGCGCTGATCTATATAGATCAGTTTCTTTTGATTCTTCTATGTCTGGAAGAATCCTGCATATAGCCTCCACAACTTTCGTATCTTCCTCAAAACAGCGATATATAGAGAAGTCATTTTCACGCTATTTGTGTCAAAAATTGACCATGGGCTGCCTCTGAGGTAATGATCGATCGCTTCATTGTGCTAGAAGTTGACCTGGCCTTCACCCGCGGGTGACCCCCCAGACGCTCCACCTGACCCCACACCACGGGCGGGTAAGCGATCGTGTTATCCACCCTGAAGGTCTTACACTATACCTAAAGGTCGGACTCTCAGAGGGTTACCGCGGGTGACCCTTAGGGTCCTCATGTGATTGATTCTGGCTAAAACAGTCACGTTTCAGGCACAAAAGTCACCTTTTTGTCAATTTTAGGAGTCAAATAACTTAGTTCACTCGACCTTATTGGGCAAAGTGTGTCCTAAATTGATAAGACATAGCTTTTGAGGGTCGATGAAGGTGACCATAGGACCCTCGGAGAGCCAGGGTCCAACATCACGGACCCTGATTCTCGGAGTTTCGGGTGGAGGCCGCAGGGCGGGTAAATGCCAGGTCTAGGTACGGTTACATCTTGCTAATCTGTCTATTCTGGCCCGCCTGTGCCAGTGCGCGATTTACCCACGCTTGTATAAGTTCTGAAGTGTGTGGCGGGTTCCACGCATGCAATTGGAATATCCAACTGATCAATGCCTTCTCCGGTATGGCTGTTGAATTTCTTCTGCGGCTTGGTAGGGGTAATAGGCGACTTAGCCTTTTTCCTGCGATTGCTAAGGGTGGTATATAGCACGTTGATTTCACGCGCAATCTTTCGAGAGATTCGGCTGTTTTTGGGTCATGACGGCTGCGAAGGTTTCGGCGAGATTCATCCCAAAATTCAGGAGATTTAGGCATGTTGGGTGGCCTAGATAGCCGATTGAGTACTCCGTATGTGGCTCTAAAATCCACGACGAATGGGTTATTGCCCAGAATGTGTGGCGCACCCAAAGCGGATAGCGTTTTAGGTGGGAAGAAAAGCAGGGGAAAGACGGCGATCATGACTTCAAGCCAAAGAAAGACCTTCCGGGGATTCTGCCGGGAAATCTGGGGAAATCTGCGGGGAACCCGTGAAGAATCCCCACTTCCTTGTTCACGCTTTTTACCCAACTGTTAAGTTACCCAACTGTGGCCCTTTCAGCCAAATGTAGTTCTTTTAGCCAAATACAGTACTTTAGCCAAATGGAGTCCTTTTAGCCATACGCAGTCTTCTAGCCAAGTGCCGAGACCGGTAGCCACACTGGAAATCTAGGCTCAAAACAAGCTCCTCTGGCTCAACCCCCAAAGACTATGCGGTAAAATTCACATATCCGAACCGGTTCGTCGTGCGGGGAAAAGGGATAAATAATGTTTGTCAAATTATTAATATAGTGGAACGGGCTCGCAGCAACACTGACCAGCATCGCTTTTTTTTCAAGCTGCACATATTCACTCACCAGCATTCAATTCCCTTCAATAATCATGAAGGTCACTGCAGCTCTCACAGGCTTCATAGCCGCGGTACTCGCCGCCCCTAGCACCGAACCTGGCCTGTTACCGCGAAGTGCTGGTATCAACTATGTCCAGAACTACAACGGCAACCTTGGTTATTTCACTTACAACGAGGCTGCCGGAACATATTCCATGTACTGGGAGGACGGAGTTAGCTCCGATTTTGTCGTTGGATTGGGCTGGAGCACTGGCTCTTCGAAGTGGGTAATTTTCTTCTCTAATATAAGTCAAAAATTTAACGTTCGTCAGGTCTATCACCTACTCTGCCAGCTACAGCGCCTCTGGCTCTGGCTCCTACCTCGCTGTGTACGGTTGGGTGAACTCTCCCCAGGCCGAGTACTACATCGTCGAGGACTACGGTACTTACAACCCTTGCAGCTCGGCCACAAGCCTTGGTACCCTATCCTCTGATGGAGCCACCTACCAAGTCTGCACCGACACTAGGACCAACCAGCCATCGATCACGGGGACGAGCACTTTCACGCAGTACTTCTCCGTTCGACAGAGCCCGCGCACATCTGGAACGGTGACTGTTGCCAATCACTTCAACTTCTGGGCAAAGCATGGGTTCGGCAACAGTAATTTCAATTATCAAGTCATGGCGGTGGAAGCATGGAGTGGTGCTGGCAGCGCCAGTGTCACGATCTCTTCCTGAGAAATGAGGGGCTTAATGGTCCAAGAACTCAGAAGCATAGCTCTCTTTGGGTTTCTTTGGTGATTGGAATGGGATTTGGATAGTTTGAAATGTCGAGACCGTATATAGTGCGGCGAGGCGGAGCTGTCGGTGGCCGGGTCACTCCTCTGCCAGTCTGTACATAAGTTTATGATCAGATATGCAAATGGGCCCGTGAAGATTATTCCAGCTCCTTGAGTATTGAATTTGGATGGTACACAGTACATCTCGTGAATTCCGCGTGTATGTTGTTGTCGCACCTCGTTGTCGAAAGGGTAATAAATTTGAGTCTCTCGCCAAGAGCGTGACGATGTCCTAACCGGAATAGCGTAGCCTGAGCTTGTATCAGTGGTTGTATAAGCAGGCAATAGGCGGTATCTGATAGTGTTCAACGAAGCGGATGATGAAGGAATCTTTCTAGTCGCAATAAATCTATTGAGCCTGAGCCACTGCCCAGGCTCGTCCCTTAGGCTGCGCATACGCAACGGCCTGCAACGCGGAAAAGCTAGATATCAGCTATGGACAACCAAAAGAGAAGAATTTGCCCAGTGTCTCTAAGAGTGAGATCGGCCTCCATGCTTTGGCAATGGTGTGATTCTCCTTGTTCGGTTTTCTTAGCGGAAGAATGTTGTATTCGGGTGCTAAACCGAAAAAAGGCAAAACTAACCGCATGCTGTATTTCACAGGTCTGCCGTTTACACCTTCAATACGCTCTAATTTCAAAATCTATGTGATATCCAATTTCATCAACACTTAACTCAGCTCTGTTGAGACTTAATTATGTTCTTCCTGGGCCACTTACTGAACTACTCTTGGTTGTGGCCCTCACTTTTCCAGCCTCGGCATTCCGCCGCGCGCCCCATAACCCCGCGGAAGAGAGAAGAAGCGGAGGAATCTCCAGGGCCAGGATAATGCGCACCAACAAGCACCTTCTATGGCGATCCCATTGAAAGCGTCAACTAAATTGGACTCAAGGCTAGGATGTGATGCAACAAATGTGAAAATGAAAAATCGTTATTTATTTCTGCGAATACCAATACAAGATTCAACCGCTTTGTATCATACCTACTGAAGATTCACAAATAGCCCACCATCAACCAGGAGTTGGGCTCCAGTCTAAAGTAAGAAAATAGAGGTTAGAAAAGAATTTAAACCATTATAATGGGTACTCCATAGTGAGCGATAGGACTTACCACATAGCTGCTCAATTCATCACAGGCCAGGAAGACTGCTGGGCCAGCCAAGTCTGGGGGCTGGCCGAGTCTGCCCAGTGGAATACGGCCTTCCATATATGTTCGCTTCACCGGGTCCGCCATATCGGCGTCATTTAGCTGGGTGCGGATTGTCCCCGGGAGGAGCGCATTGCAACGGATGCCATATTTGCCCAATGCTACCGCGCACGATTGCATCAGACTCAGCACACCGGCCTTAGTGGGTGTGTAATGAGTCTGCTCGCCTCCTCCAACAAGCGCCGAGATGGAACTTATTCCAATAATTGAGCCCCCAGGAGGAGACTGCACCAGAGCCATTTGCCGCGCCGCTGCTTGGGTGGCAAAGAACGCGCCTGAAAGGTTTGTGGAGACTGTGTGGTTGAGGAGAGAGGGTTCAAGTCTTCACAGAAAATGTTAGATTAAACCGGTCCGATGTTTCATCCCAAGTCATCCCCACTCTGTAAGACTCACTCTAGAAAATCTGCAAATTGGCAAACGCCCGCGTTGCTCACAAATACGTCCAACCGCCCGAACGCTTCCACCGTCTTGGCAACGAAGTTGCGTCCTGTCTCGGGCTGGGAGATGTCGCCCGAGACCGCAATGAAGCGGCTCTTCTCAGCACCAGCCTCGATTTCGCTCACATCCTTGCGCATCGCTTCCAACAGGTCATCTTCTTTCGGACCTCCCAGATGGCTGATTGCGACATTGGCGCCATGGCGGAGATACTCGAGCGCAATGGCCTGGAGAGACACAAAAGAGCATTAGTTTTCCGGGCGCCAGGATTCAGGGAATCGTCACATTGAGAAGGCAAAGTTAGAGCATACCCTTCCAATGCCGGTGAGACCTCCGGTGATGGCCGCAACCTTGCCGACCAGTAATTGCGGGAGGGGCATTGTGATGGAAATTGAACGAAAGAAAAGAACGAGTCGACAGGGGCTGACACAGGTTGTAGAATTAAGAGTGCGCCTAAATCTGCAAAAATGTGATATGGTCTGACTTCTGAAATGCCCCTCGAAGTAATGAAATCTGGCTTGTTCGACAGCTAACTTCGCGGGGAGCTGCGCCGGGGATTTTTTTTGCGGAACCGCCCCGCCGATAAGATTTCGGGGTCTCGCGATGATGTTCACCCGAGCCCCAGAAGGAGGGGCAACGCGAGCCGGCAACTCCGAGGCGTGTCATTCGGCCGACGCAGAACATAAATGCATGTGTTTGGTGGAAATTCTTGGTCGGTCAGACTCCGGTAGGGGGAAGTTTGGCTGATTCAAACCTCCATTGAGAGAGCTTTCTGACATTTTACTGAACTGTACGGGGATTTCCTTTTTTATGTAGCTTGTTCACATGTTTTTGTCCAGAAAATTCAACGTTAGACAGATATCAGTTCAGTCTATTGGATTGAGCTATTGATGCTATTTATGTACAGAAACATCATGGTTCAAAAAGTAAACAGTTCGTGAGGGTCAAGCAACGGAGAATGAAAAACAAAACAAGCAGAATGTTTACACCGTTTTTCTAAAATCAATGGCCTTCTTCGACAGTGCCATTAGCAACTTTGTCATCAGGAGCGCGAAGGCTCTTCTGCGGAGCAGGGGTAAGCAGGGCAGAGGCAGGGATCAAAGGCGCAGCGGGATTCAGCTCCAGGCCAAATCCGGGCTTGTCCAGAATTGAAACGTCGAGGAATCCGTTGGTAGGAATGGGCTCGTTCAGGAAGAGGTTACCGAATACCGGCTCAACGGTCTTGCCATCGGGAGAGTTGGCCAGATATTCTTGGAAGGGGCTGTTGGACTGGGAGACAACAAAGTGGTAGGAGTAGGGGCCGGAGGCGTGGGGGATAACGGGGATATCATATGCGGCGGCGAGGGCGGACACCTTCAATAGCTCAGTCATACCGCCAACCCACATGACATCAGGCTGAATGATGTCAAGGTTACGGCCCTCAACCAGCTTGCGGAAGCCATAGCGGGAATACTCGTGCTCGCCGGTGGTGAACTTGACTGTGGGGTGGGCACGCTTCAGGAGCGCGTGGCCGTCGAAGTCATCGGGAGAGAGACACTCCTCCCACCAGTCAATATCCAGGCCGAGAGCCTCACAACGCTTGACGAGCTGGATAGTGTAGGGAACGGTCAATGACATGTAGCAGTCCACACGGAGTGGGAAATCGGGTCCCACGCTGGCACGTTGCAGACGGAGATATTCGACGTTCTTCAGCAGACCCTCGGTGCCCTCATCCGGGCCGTGCGGTAGGGCCACCTTGGCACCAGTGAATCCCATGGCCTTGGCGGACGCAGGCTGGGGACCGGTGCAGTAGAAGTCCAAACGATCCCGAGTGGCTCCACCAATGAGCTTGTAGACAGGCTCATTCCGGATCTTACCCTGCAAGTCCCACAGGGCCAGATCAATGACCGAGATCACGGCGACTGGGAGACCCTTGCGGCCGTAGAACATGGAGGCACGATACATCTTCTCGAAAAGGTTGTTGGTGTCACGGGGATCTGTCAATCAGGCTCATGTTAGCCTAGTCATCTACTTAACAAGCGAGATAATCTGGAGTCGTACCAGCGCCGATCAGGAAGCGCTGAAAATGCTGGTGCACCAGCCAGCAGGCAGGAGGGCCACCGAAGCCAGTCGCAAAGCCTTTGGTGCCGTCGGTAGCCTCGATCTCAACACAGAAGGATCCCAGAACATTGATACCCCATGAAGTGCGCGAGCCACGATACTGTGCCCACTTGGTCATGGGGGTCGAAATGTTGCTGTCGATGAGCCAGTGGCCACCCTTGACCTGTCCCAGAGAGTCAGTATTTTTATAGAATTTTGGGAGATCCACTGTCTCTTTCACAGATTCATTGAGCCCATACATTGTGATAGTCACCGCCGGAGCCTACACCATCAATAACGAAAGTGCGAATCTCCTTGATGCGGGGGAACTCTGTGGTGGAACCCATGTTGGTGGAAGATCTGGGTGATAGGGCAAACGATTTAATACAAGCAATTCAACCTCTCGCACGAATACGGGATCAGAGGAGAACACAAGAGAAAGAAAGAAAGAGGAAGAATTAGAAATTAAAATCAGCAGCAACTCCGTGGGGATTCCGATAGTTTTTCAATCGGTATTGCGGTCGTGCGGCATCGAGGGGAAACCCGAGGCCTCGGGGCATTGCTGACCCGAGAGGCGGAGCCCAGTACGACGCGGCGGGAAATTCAGTTGCCGCTCGGGCTGGACATACTGTTTTGACAGGCCGTCTGCGTTTTGCCTAATTCATGATCGTGTCTCTTCTTGGAGGAAAATTAGGAACTGGAATCACTGGTCTCGGAAATGGAACTGCGGGGGAGAATGATGGATCGCTGCGCCTTGTATACATTTAGCGCAGTGTGGATCGGTCCAATTTGACCAAGCCATGCTCGCAATGAAATTAGAAGAATCTATAAAAGAAGCAGTACACTCTAGGCATAATATATATAGATTGACTGCCTTTTTCTCGGCAATTCAACTGGGCTCCGTCCCAGTGACACGATCAAACTCCCGCTGCTCTGGTGTCTCGTGTCTCGTGTCGGTGGGGAAAACGCGGGGGTTGTGGCCTCAGGCCTGAAAATCCCCCATGTTCACGTCCCGTGATAAGTCCCGTGACGTATCTCTCGGAGATGCCCCGGTGTTGTGTCCACTTATCCACCTCGGCTCAGCCGACCCTCATGCTCTTGGCCCTGGCTGGCATGTCACTTTCGAGCTGCCGAGCGGGCCAAAAGCTATGAACGTCTTGCTAGAAGGTTTATCGATTCTCACTCGATCCGCCTGAGTTGCAATTTACCGTACCCTAGCTGGTAGAAGTAATGGGCCCATCCATTAGAGCATTGGCGAATTCCAGAGAGAATATATCAGTTGTAATCCCCAATGCGGATCTAAATACGCCCAGAATACCTTTCAGGCTATTTTCGCAGGACTGAGATTTTAACCGGGAGCATAATTGTAGTCAAACTTCGTAGGCTTGTCGTGCCCCATGGAGGTAAATGTCTTATCTCAAGCTTCAATGCGAGCAGTGCTGCTTATTTTCCATGTTCTATGTATATTTGGTCAATCTCGGGATGGTGACTTCTTTGAATTTTTCACAAACTTTTTGCAGATGAGTATGACCGACGGAATTCGAAGGGTTGACCGAAACAAATTCGTCGTTTATGCTGGGCTGATTAGCTTGCCTCTTAGCCTGAGTGCTGTATACCTGTTTCGCATGCAGGGTGAGAGTGCGATTTGCGACATGAAAACCGTCATCGTTTAGGTGCTTTCGATTCCGTCTAACATAAAGAGGAATAAGTCGATTGGTGGTCTTGACCGCAATTGAGCTGGTCATCATGCCCGACGCTGGATTTGACGAATGGGCATACCCCATTTCACAGCCCAAAGCTGTGACTAGCATACTGTTTGGCAGTGATCATGATCGCAGGGTTGTCCATTCTCGGGCACCGAACGCTCACATGCCAATCATTATTGAATTTGAAATCGATCATGGTCGTCCAGATAGATATTGTACTAATTGTACGGGTATAATTCCAGTTTGGATCCGAGGTCGCAAAGATAGATCGGATCGCGAACTGCAGGGCAGCATTGTTGGCATAAATGCAGAAAAGTCAGTAATATTCTTTCTTGTGGTCCAGAAGGGAACCGCACTGCGGATGCAGTTTAAGAAACTCCTATCCACGAATTACCATGCATATGTCGTGGGGGGTGTGATCGGAGGCCATCTTCAACTCTGGTTTCACATCTATGATGTAGCCGGCTTGATGTGTCTTGCCTGCAAGCTTGATCGCCATCACATCATCCTTTTCTACCCCTTCCAATGCATCAGTAATCTCGATCTCTAGGTCTGTGAAAGAGCCATCAAAACAGGATGGACGGGTTCATTTAATATCGATTGAGGTTCGGTGACTGTTTCCTCGGTCTGGCATTTCGCATTGAGATGCAAGGGAGAGACATACAAGACCAACAGAGAGTGAGTCAGCAGAGTATACCGTTATTGGAAGATTCGATGTTTCATGAGTCAAAAGTCAATTAAATACATGGATCATGATAATACTACTAAGTTCACATGGAGCAAGCCATGTTGTATGGGAATGATGATAAGAACTTGTACGACAAGGCTGGACCAGGGTGGAAATATAATCTGTTCATGCTTGATATATAGGATTGATTATACTAACTTCGTGCAGAATAAATCAGAGTTATGCTGACTCAAAAGCAGCAAAGCCAGTGTCAGTGTTAGTTGAGATATATTTCTCCAATGCACCAAGTGTGACGGAAGTTTCAAAATGGCGTATAAATGCTGTTGAAGCTCACATACTGAGTCGGAAATATTACAGAGGCTCCCGTCATAATTCTCGGAAAAGCATTTGTCGATCCCTGTTCCAGCTGCCTTCTTGGCAGTAGCCACCAGTATCGCGGTGGACTCGAGGTTTTCAAAGCCCCTCGCCCAGCTGGCAGATATCAGACGAGTGAGTATAACGAATGCCACGGCTATATCAAGCGAAATGGCCGCTCTAACCGGCCTGGCAAGCTTGGCACCTACAACAACAATAGCCAAGGGCTCAGCCCTGAGCAACAGCGAACCTCGGCATCGGCTTGGCTCTCGTTCTATTGGGAAAGTATCGGTACTTTCACCGAATCTTCAGCCAGCCTTAGGAGCCATTGGACGCTTGAATATTTTTGTTGGTGTCAGCTGGCTATCACGTACGCTGTAGTTAAGAATAGAAGAAAATGGGAAACCCTTTCTTTCCCGATGCGTCCAGGTCCATGACCTCATCGGGCAGACTGCTTGGCACGGAAAAGATTTCAGGGCCCGGTGACCGCAGGGCTTTGCGCCATCGACAGCGAGAAACAAGCGGGCGAACAGGAACGCACATCCTCCCCCCTGAGACCTTCTTCCTCTCATTTCCACACCGCAAGACATCACAAGAGACCGGGCGTGATCACAGGGGCGGAAACAGAATCTGCCGTCTCCCCCACTCCCGAAAGCCCCAAACCCCCTCGATCCTCGCCGCACCCACAATCTCACCTTCTCACACATTGCCTGCCATGAGCAATCGAAACATCTCCTATGGCCGGGGCGGTGCCGGTAGGTTTCCTTTCCTTTGACTCTTCTCCCGCAGTGCGCACATCAAAAGGCCCCTGTCTGACATTGGGGGTCTCTCTTCCCTCTCCAACCCAGGCAACATCTTCCCGCAGCAGAACACAACTTCGCCCAAGGACCTCGTCACCCCGACCATCAAGCAAGAAGTCTATACCACCGGCCGTGGCGGCTCTGGCAACATGGTCCACAATGACCCCGAACGGCCGGAGATCGCGCGCGAGAGCCAGGACGTCGAGTCGCCGCCGCTACGGGCGGAGCAACTGCCCCACCATACGGGTCGAGGTATGCAATATTCCCCCCTCTAGTGCTTTGTGCAATTTGCGGCATCACCTCGTCCCTCTTGCCCCCCTAGTTGCGAAATATGTCGACGAGTCGGGCCACGGTTTAACTGACATGCTGGTTCTGCGGGAACAGGCGGCGCTGCGAACGCGTATATCCCGACCGCGGAGGAGGAAGAGCGAGCGCGCAAGCAGGAGGCTGAATTGATGCGCGTGCGCACCCAGTCGAAGGATCGCATTCGGGAGATCGAGCACGAGCGACAGGGGTTGCGCCGCGAGGCGTCGGCGAATAATTGAGACAGGGCTGTGGTGATCACGGGGATGATCGCCTCCTCTTTCCCGCCGTAGGACAGAGATAAAAGGCGTGCCTCATGGGAAATCTGGCGGCAGGCGTATATTCGGTTATGGTACAAGGCGATCGCAAAACGACCATTCACTTTGAACAATCTGCGCTGCCCACTGTGCGGACAGGATGGTGTCGTTGCGAGGACCAACAGACATGACCGGAAGAGCTGAACTAGCGCTGCGGGGGAAGTTCCAGGGCTATCTTATCCTTATCATCCAGGTTTGCTTCTTGTCGATTCTTATCTTTTGCGCTGCGATCGGCTGGTACTTTGTTACGTTGGCGACGCCGAGGGCACTACTACTGCACGGCCGATGGGGCCACAATACCCGGTCTCCCAAGTCTACCATCGGCCATTGGGTTTTCACGGCGTGCGGTGTTGGACTGGGGTTCGGCGTTATGCTTGTTTTGGTTTTCTGCGCCCTTTTCTTTCTCTTTCTATTTGTGGCTACTTTTCAGTGTCAATATTTTCTCTGGCGCATGGGTTTCCGGTGGCGGGCGACCGACAATAGTGCCCGTTCGCTCCAGTACTGGGATTTGGTCTATCCTAATAACACGCTCTCATGACTCATTATATACAATAGTCGCAACCCTTCTCGGCATGTGCCGGGCGCGAATGCAAAGATGTGAAAATGCAGCTGAGATGTGAAAATGCAGCTGCAAGCTGAAAATGCAAACGCAACATGCTGGGACGGGCAATGGCCAAACGGCCATTGCTCATTATTACTCGATGCCCCTAGAAAGATGGGGATAATGTGGCTTGCGAGCGACCCTAACTCGGAACTATGGCGGTGAACCCCTGGCCATATGGACTGAATCTTGCCTCATGGTAGTTTCTCACTTCGTTTGTCGTGGTGCGAAAGCATAGAGTTGTCACGTCACGGCTTTTCGATATCGGGCGCCAGTAGGGTTTGACATGCTCGCCTGCGAGCAGATCGTCTTGAGAAAGGGAATTGCACTGGTCTCCGATAGCACCCTATCAACTGTTAATCCTCAGACAAACAGCCGGTCGCGTCGAGGGGCCAGCTGATCAATTCCTGCCATTCAGGCTCCAGGGAGTCCACGATCTCCCGGAGAATCCGAGCTCCCCAGTTACCCATCCACCACGACTCGCGCAGGTGGTGCAGCACAACTGCGTAATGAGCGAGCACGACCAGGGCGAACGGCTGCCGTTCTCGGACGAGATCCTGGAACCGGACCGGGATGCGGTAAGTCCAGCAGAAGGCAAAGTCCTTTGGCTCGCCGCCGTTCATCAGCCGCTCCAACGAATAGCGTAGATGTTCGAGCGCCTGGTCATACACGTCCGTCTCGTGGGCGGGATTCCGCTCCGCCTCGATGGTATTGTGCCGCCGCAAGGAGAGGATGACGAGGCGCGACATATCCGGCATCGTGGGCCGCGCTTCGTCCGGCCGGACAAGCGGGTACAACTCTCCGGCGGAGACACGATCTATGGTGGTCATCATAGCGCCCACGAGCCACCGTGTCAGCTCGAAGACCTCAAGAAACTCGTCCAAAACATCAGGCGGGCCCCGATCGTCAGTGTCCTCGTCCGAGTCGTCAGTCAAACAATATCCAAACGAAAAGACCAGTAACACGCAGCACAAGGCAAACGAGGCATTGCACTGCGCCGTCGTCAGGTTCTCAGCGTTGTTACTGTTGATGCCGGTCAGGGCATGTGTTTGATGCTCCCGCGCCGAGGCCAAATATCTCCATTTGCGCTCTCCCCTCGACGTGGCGCCTGCCAACTGAAGAGCCGATAGAGCAAGCAACCCATGCCGAAGCGCCGGAAAGCGCAGTGAGAGTTGAGGAATGGCTACCTGCCACAGCGCCTCGGCGGACCGGTCCCGGGCCATGGACCGATAGGTCGTCGTGCACCAATGCATCATAAGCTCGAGATCCTGGAGTGGTAGGGAGTCTTCCATCTCCGGAAGCAGCCGCATCCGTTGCGGGGACGGCGGCTGCTCATCATCCTTGGACGGAGTGGACTGTGGTACCAGGTCAGTCATGGCGGGTGGCGGAGAGGTCGAGGCAACTGATGTAGCAGATGATGAGACACTGGATATTGGTGAAGCACACCGGATCTTGGAATCCAACCGCGTCAGGCGAGGGCGCGGAGGATACCGACTGAGCATCCTGGAATCCACGCAGTGAGCGCAGCTGGATTCAGCGTACTGAACAGTGAGCGGAAGGTCAGCACGATACGTGCGAACATACGACAACCCACGAACGGCACGGTTCAACGGGCGCGAGGGGGTTAAGGGGAGGGAAGGAGGAAGGGGCTTAAGGGCGCCACGGGAATCATGCGGGATGTTCGCATGATGGGCCCTAGGGGCTCTTCGGGGGGACCGGGCTTGTGTTTGAGTTTGCAAAGAGAAGGTAAGATGCGAATTCGCCAACGTACCGGTTGTTCGCATTGCAGGCCTCTTCGTCGGGGTCGCTTATTCGGCCACGAGAGCATGTCGCAGTGGGACGAGACCGGGACGAGACCGAGGCAGTATGCGATGTAGCAGACCGAGGATCAGGTCAGGCCCGAATCTAAGGAATGGGGCGAGCCACAGATTGGAAATCGAAGAGTGGATTGAAAGTCCCGATAGTGTTTGCGAGACAACCTAGTGGTCTTATGAAAATCGGGCGATGGTTGGCGATCTATACGAAGTCGAGACAGCGGCAGCGCCGAGTGGAAGGACGCGTCTCCCAACAAGCCCAAATCGCACTGGATCGCAGTCGTTTCCTCTTCCAGCGGGGCCGGCAGCTACAATATCAGTTTCCAGCATTAAACCCGGAGAGGATTCGTTTCCATTTTCATTTTTCTTGCGTCGATTTTTTTTTTGGTCAAACCTTGCGCAAGTGGAGCCGGAACAAGGCGACATTAGACAAGCACCACAGATCGCCCAAACCGGTAAATGCAGACGCTGTGACTGAATGACATAATCGCGCGGGTCTCGTTCGATTGACGAACTAGTTCACTTGTTGTCGCCGTAGTTGGACGAACTAAAATTATTACCGTAATAACTCTGCTCGGTAGCTTGTCACCGCTCATAAGAACCAATCACTAGTCGGTCAGAGCTAGTTGAGGTCGCGCTCCTAGTCATATTCGGCAGCCGCAGTCTCTTCTATACTCCACTCCGATCGCTAGGAAATCTCGACTCCCGAGTCTATGGAATGCTTCCACATTCAGTCACGATCCTCGCCGCAGGGAGAAGATCTCCTAGGAACCGCGGTAAATAGAAAGTCACTTATCTGTTGAACAGAATCTCCTTTCCTAAAACTTACAACCCGCACAATGGCCCTGTACGCGAGGATATTCCCATTTACAACATCCGGCGAGCCCGCGGGGGGGCCAAAAGCAGAGTGGCCGTCTTGCCACATTTCGTTTGGCGCGCGTGGGGCCGGGCTTGACCTGCATGAAGCTGCTTAAGGCCGGCGCGCACTGCTGATTGGCGGGCCCCCCGAGGATGTGGACTCCCGGACGAGCCATGCGTTTTCCAAATCGGGGCAAACGCGGGATATTATCTTTTCTGCTCAATTGTTCAAAGTTGATCTTTCTCCGGCATGATTGGTGGAGGACTGGGAATTGGTGAGTAGCGGTCCCCATGGCCGTGATCTGCATCGATTCCATGGTGCCTGTTGTGTGGGCCCGTTTATACTTCCGTCCAGTGTCTGTCGCTTTCTTGTCATGGAGGATCGTGATTATTCAACATGCTCTGTTGACTCACCCTAAAAAAGCAAATCAATAACTGATTACTCTATAGTTGGGCGCTGAGATTTGTAGAGCGGGTCTTCGGTATGTTGTCCCCTTGATAGCCTGGCTAAGGATAGGTCCATCGTGAGTGCTCCAGGGCTCACCGAATCGGTTGATACATGGATCCGGACATTTGTCAAGCAAATAAGGCTCAGACAGAGAAGGTGGAGAAGAACAGGGGCGACCGTTGAGTTACGTCAGAAGCGTGAGGAGCTCGAACCGAAGAACGGTTTTAGTGTCAAGAGGTCGAGTTGTACGCGGGGGTTTTTCCGAGCCTGTTATCGCTGCATTGAAAGTGCCTCTGCAAGCCTCGGATCGAATAGAATTGGACACCATCGTAAGGACTCGTCATCGCGTACCCGCTTTGACTTGCTATCTCAGAGTATAGGGGGGCACTATAACTCCTAACTGTCTCGTTGTGATATCAGTTGAATGACCGGGCTTCGCATTGGCCTCTAACGCCAAGCGATCAACTTCGTACCCCGGGCTTCATAGATGTGACCAATACAATGGACCGAGACTGGGATTCAAGCCACCACTTCAAACAAATACGGGCAACTTGCGCGTCCTCTCGAGCAAATGAAATCCACTAGTCCACCTAGACGGCTCATACACGACTAGGATATCGGAGTTGTGGGTGGAAGAGAAGACAATTATAATGAAAGTGATGCCGAGTCACTAATCACTACGTGATGGTATATGGGCAGGCCTTAAGATTTAGCGATGTAATAGATTAGAAATGAAAGTGTCAGTATCCCTCATCTGAAAATCTGGCGATGATCCCATCGAAGAGCTGTCAGTCTTTTTTACTGTAGCTATGTATACAAGTCCTGGGCCAGTCGGGGACCGCTTTGACTTTTTTGCTAGTAAATCGGGATGTTCAAGATACAGGGTAAAGTCAAAGCTCTGGGCTATAGTCTGATTCAAAGGGTCATTGAGGCTCTGAAGAAGACGAATGGCCGCTTGGACCCCGACCAGCTTAGCTCGGACGTGAGATCTTTCTGAATCGCTGTCGCAGATTACCCGCCAGGAAACTTAGATGGCCATCGGCGCCGAGCCTACACGTATTAGAACTCAAATTTTCTAAGAATCAAGCTCTGATGGTGGGTGATCCACATCCCGAGTTCAGCTTCAACCTTCGTTGCAAGTTCAATTTATCTACCAATGGCTTTCGGTAAACAAGAACCCAGGGATTGCGAACACTCAACAACACAATAACCACCAGGGCCGCTTCGGTCACAAGCAAACCAATGCCATCGCCAGCTACTGTGATTATACTTTCTGATTTCTGTCAGATTCCATGCTGTTTCTTGGCACTGCAAAGAACCAAAATTGCCATCCATACCACTCCGACCCCGCTAATCCTTCGGCTCGGAAACAATGCGACACACCTTCCCACCACCACCTCCCAATTAAGGATATGGCGCCCCATGGACAAGCCAGAGCGCTCGGCGCCGTCGTCATTGACATGCGCCACGTTTCTCGGGTCTTGTAACCGACAGCCCTGCCTATGCGCCCGATATGGTTACTCTCTTCGCCTACAGACACCTGGACGGAGTCGGGGATCATGGCCGTTCTGAGGTGTCTTGAATCATTACTAGCCTCCACTCGCCAGAAATTGCCGGTCATTCGACATCACCGGATTTGTGCTGACTAGCCTCCGTAATCTCTGAGTTTTCTGACCTCTTTTTATGATCTCGATCAGAAACGAGGTATCCTTTTGATGGATCGCTCCGATGTCTTTGGCCCTCTTACTGAATCTAGTATCTGTACCACTAGAATCACAAATGATCCCTGCAACGCCACTATTAGGAAATGAAATGGCCTGAGCTGTTTCTTATCCTGCGACCGTGGCGACCGCTCCTGTGTTGTTGATTGCTCTCAAAAAGCCCGTGCATCCTGCAATCCTTCAATGAACTGACCCTTTCTCTCTCGCTTGTACATTCCCTATAATCACCCCCCTTGTTCGATAACTGCTTTAGGTATATGTACTCTAGAACACGCATATCATCTTTCATGGCTTTCCAACCAGTTCTCGGGTATGATCACTGGCGGTCCCTTCATTGCTACTCCGTGGGCTGCGAGGACTACCCTCGTCAAGACAACCAATACCGGCGTTGTGTTTCACTATTCTGCTGACATACCCCCGCTCGCCTTACACACTCCGGTCATATGATGGCCCATGCTCCTTTTTCTGCATTCGGCGGCTACAGAGCTCAGACAGCTCGCTGCGAAATCAAGTAAGCCGCAAAGGACACTGTTCGCACAAGGGTGATGGGGGTGGGGGCTCTTTTTTCTTCTCTTTTTTTCACTTGTGCTTGAGGCCAGAAAATATGAGAAAGGAATCCGCGATTGAAATCATATTCCCAGCGAGGAAGGCCCTTTTTTGGGTTGCCCCATTGCTAGGTTTACAGTCGCTAAGAATTCGCCTACCATTTTTGCCGGTAGTACCAACCAACTGACCAACCAATATTAGAGGGCTTAGCATTCCGATATAACAAGCAACGATCCACTGCTGGTGTCTAGTCATCTCGAGGGTCTACATAGCGCCCCAATATTTGGAGAAGCTGTATTAGACTAACATAGTGTGTTTTAGAAAACCTTTCTGTCAATTAGGCGCCAAAAGGCAACCCTTTTATTCCGAAACTGCTGTGCGACCGCAAGTCTAGACAATCATGCAACTTCCTACCTACGTCCGGACGACACTGGAAATTGTTGATCACTACATCCAGAACCGGATGAGAAATCACTCTTCTTTGCCCAGCAATTATATAAACACTTGTATCTGAAATTGGAGAACAACATGCCTGACACTGACTACCTGTTTTCCCAAATTGTATACCGTTATAAGACAAAACTTGTCTTGTTCACATAAAGAAACCAATAGTGTGCCACGGACATACATATCTTCCGTTCGACCTAAGCGACCAGGGACGGCGGGAGTCATCGCCGCCGTACGACTGCTTGAACACCAACAATGATGAGAAGTTGCGACTCTAAGTCTAGACTGTGTTTTTGGTTTATTTTCTAGTATCTATTTCCTACAACGGAGTCGTATGGAAGCACATATATCTTGAACAAAGAAGAGGAACACTAATTTTGTGATCCTCCAGAAGTGGAGGAAGAGGGTCATGCGCCTTTCCCTCTTTTTCTTCTCTGCGCTAAATAGTATTGGTACTGCATGATATATAAGGTATCAAGGATACTGTTCCAACCAAGCCATTATCACTGATCGGAGGCAACTCTCCCTCAACAGCTGTCAATACCGACTGAACGGGGATGCCCGAACTTTCTATCTGACCGATAATGCTCCGGATATAGTTCCACATCGTGGTCGGCACGACAACTGATATCTCGTTAGCGCCGCGTTTCAGGTAAGATGAAAGGTCCACGCGTGGCGCTGCCAAGTCAACGGGGGGCACTTTTTGCCCGTTGACGTATACCCGTGCGGCGTGAGAAATTGCTGGCAGCACGAGATAGGCGCCGTCGGCGGTGCCAGAAACTGGGGGCCAAGATATGGAGGTCGAATAGTAGCCCAGTCCGGACGCATTCTTCAGGCCGCCAATCTGAGTCCAAGAGACCAGGGAGGATAGGTGGTGGGTGGTATTATGTTTCCTGGCGACAATAGTGACGTCGGAGATATTGGACGGTGCCTCCCAGTGCTCTGCTGTCAGGGTCCAACTCGATAGGGTGGTTGCTGCAGCGATATTCGTAGCTGGAAGGCGCACACGGGTGCCATTCGACAAAACGAGAGATTGGCTGCTCTTGCTAGCCGATACATGCAAGGTCAAGCCGCCGTCCTGGGAGACATCGTATCCGAGAATTGATGTAGGCATTTGGGCAATGTGCTCTACGGAGCCGTTATCACTGTTAGTGAACGCAATCACGACAGTCTGGTTGGCTGCCAGGCTGAGTGGAATTGAGACCCGGTTCCCGTGGCGGATGTAATTGAGCACCGGCTTTTGCTGTCCGGTCCATGGGTCCATGAAGAAGGGCGTTTTGGTACTGGCAATTTCAACAGTACCTGTCGATCCGGGGCCATCGCAGAAGACGAAGGCGTGGTCCATCGCGTGCTGTGCGTCTTCCCGCCACGTCGAGTACCAGGTCCCATTTGTCTGCACGGCAACTTGTGGCTCCAGTCCGAGCGATTGAAGCTTAGAAGCGACTGCTCCTTCGGACACGCTGTATACATTCCGCGACTTTTTCAGATTCTGGATGGCTTTCTGAACGACAGGTGTATTGCTATCATCATGCGTCGAGTAAACACCTGGATCGCCACCACTCAGGATTATTGGTAGCCCAGAGCGAGCGTATTTCTGTATATAGCGTACGCTTTCGAGCGTTAAGTTGCTGTTGCTCGTAATCACCATAGCCTTATATGCAGGACCGTCAGGGCCGAGGATGCCATTTTGAACCTTGGCCTGTGGAAGAGCGAAGTTATCTGGCGAGAGATAGGTGTATGTGTATCCTATATTTGTGGTTGATTAATAACTTTTGATAGTTGTAAAGTTTCTAGAAAACATAAACTGACCGGCATGAATCAGATCTTTAGATGGATACAGTGTCGGGAAATTCGCATTGGTAGCAGACACCTTGTTATAGATAGCCACGTCGATGCGTGGCACGCCCGATTGCTGAAGATACTGCACGCGGGCCGTATAATTCAACACATCGCCAAGTCCATGGTTCCATGATGGCTGCTTATCTGAATAAAGCTCCGAGAAAAGATACTGAAACGCAGTGTATCCCGGCCAGGTCGTGCCGTAGTAATTGCCAGTATACGACTGCCCGTGCAAGACAACCTGGTTGACACCTCCGACGATAGCGCGATTGATGTACGAAAGAAGCTCGCTGTGTGGCAGATTATAAGCTTCCAGCATGACTGCGCCCATCTCATTCGAGATCACCCGCTTGCCTGCGAGATTGGCAGGCCCGGTAAACTGCCGGTAGCCGTCGATGTTGCTGTTAAATTGCAAGCTCTCGCACTCGGGCGCGTTCACGAATGGGATGTTTGCTTCCATGTCCATGGGCAGATTATAGGACACTTGGGCGGACATCTGCAGTTTCAACTCCTTGTTTACCCATTCGGTCAATTCTTGGAGGTAGGTGCGGTATCCGGCGACGAGGGCTCCTCGGAAATCATTGACGTAGCCTAGACCTTGGCTTGGAGTATCCAGGACGCATTGAATATCGCCTGGATTACTACTTTGTGTATTGATGTTATTGTCGCCGTACATTATGAGGGGAAGCATCGGTTTCAGATCATATCCGTATATCGACTGGAAGAGTTCGGGCAACGAGGGGGTCCAGGAGATATTCGACAGGATTTCTATGCTGTCCTCCCAGCCTGAATGAGTATGTCAGTACAACGATGATTGCCTGGTCCTTGGAAAGAGAGCACAATGTACCATAGTTTCCAACTTCCATCAAGAGGTCTTTCACTTCACCTGGGAGTATGTATTTCTCCCAGAACTTGGTGATTGTTCGAGCACCGTGCGCACTGTAATGATCCACAACATATGAGCCATTATCCCAGATTGTAGTTCCCTCACTATTGGCATATTCAAGGTTTTTGTTATGAGTTTGAAGTTGATAAAAGGCGAATAGTCGATAGGATAACGATGTCGTAGGCAGCTCGAGCGATAAATGCCCAGCCGAAGACACCTTGTGTGCCCAATTTTCGAGGGTACCACTCTTCAAAGTCAGATGCAAGTAGGAGCTTTGGCCTGTTCCCAGAAAAGAGGCTGTGGCGCTAGTATCCATGCTGATGTTTTTTGTAGAGACAACTTCAGCAGATACGAGTGCAATAAGTTCACCAGATCCCCATCCAGGAATTACTCCCTCGTATTTCCCACTCTGTGGCACTACTACCGAGAAGGGTTCCTACATCGAGATTATTCGATAAGCCATTATGGAACGTTAAGTTTCTGGCTGCCGGGAACTTACAAGATCCCACTGCAATCCTTCATCTGTCGGGTCTGCTGGCACACCCTGGCCTTGATTTGGACCCAATGGGAAGTCCATGGCCAATCCAGCTTCCTTATGAGCTTTCAAGGCTGCCAAAAACATTTTATGGTATGTTGGAGTGCCAAACCCATCTTTGCTCCAGTTGGAGCCTTCAGGTGCTGCACTCAATTCACCGCCATAGTTATAGAACGGTAGGAACTCGACCCCACCAGCACCGATCGCTCCGGAAGACTTTATATTTTCTTGCACTATCTCCACATCAACGCCAGCATCTGGTAGCCAGTATCGAAATCGAGGGCGTAGGCGCGATGCAGGATTGTCAAACGTGCCTCGGTTCACCTGTGCTGAAGTTTGATCATCTGTATCGGCGACTGTATGCTGCAGGAGCACCAGTAGACCGAGTAGCTTTGAAGCAACTTTCCACATGATACACGGGTCTGGCTTAATCTGTGGTGATTCAGCGCTTGGCGTGTAGTGCTCCAAGTAGTATAATGCTAACAGTAATCGCAAGTGACGCCTCATATGAAGCTTTATATTCAAAAATATCGGCAATTCCGATAGGGATTTCCGCCATTTCGGGCTATTTCATACCGACGATGAGATCACTGATGACAGCAATGATCGTCTGTTCTCATATGACAAATTTCTGGCTAGTGGATTAGTGCCCGGCTTGGGGCAGGTAGAACACATGGAGAGGGGACTGTCAAGGTCTAGTATATATTACCTACCCCACTATTTAAGGCGCTAAGCATGTTAATACTTACAGAAATGGGAATTGAAATATTTTCCAAGACTTTTGTGAGAACCGAGCGCACTGGAATTATCGAAACTCGGTATGAAACTCGACCGAGCCTACAGTGACCCCTTCTTCACCCCCGCGGGGAACCCGGTCTAGTGCGGAGTCTAAAGAGCCCCGGGGGTTGCATGGCCCACATCCCGTGCGGGGGGACATGTAGATTTGATATTTTCCTCAATATAGTAAGCGAACCTTCAGTGCACAAGTGTTCTGCAAGCAACAATGTCGTATTCGTATCACATAGAGACACATTTAGATGGGCAGGTGGATGTTATTCGGCATGAGAAAGCGGGAATTAAGTGCACATAGGTTCTGGAAACAACAGATTCGTATTCGTATTCCCTGCAGATATTCAATGCGGGGTATTAGCATGTATGTTTGTGTCTACGTACAGGGATGTCAGTAAAGTATCGGACCCCCCCTTTCTCACCTCGGCCCTGCGGCAATATTCAGTAGTCAAAGCTTTTCTAGTTTGAGTCATGAAGTACTATCTAGTCGACTGTACGGGAGAAACTTGGAATTACGAGAATTGAATAGAGACTAGGAGCTGAGTTTCGCGAAAAAATTTCATGGAAGACAAGCAAATCAAAGTAAAAATGTGGGTAAAAGTTAGGAGAATTTAGAGAGGACTTATATTATATAACGAAAGGGATAGAACTAAATTGTTAGGGTGCTACTTACATGTTAGCGGCCTGTTGGTCAAGTAATGAAAGAATCAATAGCAATATTGGATCGTTATAGAATCAAGGAATAAAAATAAGGGTGTATGGTTCAATAACTGAATCTGAAAGAGATTCAGTTTGCAAGAAAGGGAGATTCTTCTTCTATATTAGTATTAATGTAATTATTACAGCGTATAATAAGTAGATATCGATAAATGAGATCCGATCGCGTCATATCTCTAGACCATATATCCAGGGTCCGATATTTGTATACGTAATGCGTACGATTCGTATCCGAGGTTTACCCGAATAGCATCAAGTGTCATGGGTTCAATTGTTTGATAACAATATACATTATAGGAAAATTAGCTTTTTCCTAAGTTTATATATATATATCAATATTATCTTATCCAGTAAATCCCTATAAGTTCTCATTCTAAATATTGTATGAATGGATCTAGAGCTGACCCAAACCTCGCATCATATGTATTAAGTTGCACGGCCAGCCCAGCTCGAGCTACCCTATCATAAATCCTAGTAGAACTCCAGCCTCCAGGTTTTTTGACAGCTTCCACGGCACGTGAACCACTTGCAGTCCCTCCCCTACCTTGTTGAGAATAGCAACAGGATTGTAGGCCAGTCACGACAAGAAGCCCTCAGTCTGCTTCAGTTATCCGAGTTAGCTGAAGATATGGTCTGTGACGAAAATCCGCCGATCTGTATCCACTACCTCGTATGGTGGCGTGTTAAACTCAGACCCAGGTTATACCAGAGGCTATTAGGATGAAAAGATTGTGTTCTAGTGTCTCAGAACCATTTTAAAGAGCGACAATGCTCTGCTTTTTTTCAAACCTCTCCCCTCTAACGCCAAGAATTGCTAGCCTATGTGTACGATCTCACCAGAACATCGACATTGCTATCTCGAATCCAAGATGGCCTCTTACTCAAGTTCTCCTATAATTCCAGGTCTCCTACATGAAGAGGTCATCATGGCAAAGAAAAGTTTGAGCAGGACGAAAAACAGGCTATTTTCATGGACGCAGTGAGCTCATTTCATTCCGCCCCTCCTATATCCAGTATCCAGTACAAAATAGTATGACAAAGCAAGTTTCCCTACCTGGCGGTTCGGGCCGATACAGCGCCCGATACAGAAGTCGCCTTTGCGGTTGGATCCCATTGGATCAATAGTCAAGCTATATTAAGTATTTGCGGAAGTGACAACCAGCGCGTCCACAGTCCAATCGATGCCGACCTTGAACCATGGCTTTCATTCAATCGAGTCGAATGCGCACGGTCCAAACCGATCTGGATCCTTTCATAATCCAATCAATACACGCCATGCTACTGTAAAAATCCTGACTGAAATTCATTAGGCATACATCTCATATCTTGGTGACCCTGGAATTAGTGAAGCACCGATTGGCCATGCCTTTCGTCAAACCCGATCGCGAAAATTGGGTTTGAACTAATCTGACGTGCGGAACCTAGCGGAGGAGACAAGTAGTACTACGACAACGGGGTTTGTATTTCTTGTCAAGTCTATGATATCACCTACAAAGCTATTGGGATTATACCTAGACAAGTTGGTTGACTAGAAATATTCTGATTCATCTATAAAAGACCGAGGATGATCAGCATTTCCTTCATTCTTAAGATCGCTTTTTCTTTTAAGTATAATTAAATTGAAGGACTACCTTTTCTATATAAAATATGACTCCAAAGGACGGTGCTCGCTTCGACTTTGTCGTCGTCGGTGGAGGTACTGCTGGCAATATCGTCGCAAGCCGGCTTGCAGAAAATCCGGCCGTGACCGTTCTTGTTCTCGAAGCTGGAGTAGGAAATTCTCATGCCATTGATGAGATTACAACTCCCGCTGAAGCAATGAATCTTCGAAATAGCAAATATGACTGGTCTTATAAAACAACAATGATCAAGCGTGATGACTATGAGCGCGTGGAAAAGCCCAACACACGTGGTAAAGCTCTCGGTGGTAGCTCCTCATTAAACTACTTTACCTGGGTTCCTGGATGCAAGCCAACATTTGATATGTGGGAAGAATATGGAGGGAAGGAGTGGACGTGGGATCATCTTGTTCATTATCTTCGGAAGAGTGCCACGTATCATGACGACGAAAGAAAATATCCAAAAGAGCTTACCAAAATTGGTCTCGGCGGCCCGATTCCAATAGCACACTCTGAGCTTATTCCGGAGATGCAGCCATTCCGTGACTTGCTCACAAAAGCGTGGAAGTCGACAGGCCATCCAATCACAGAGAATGTCTTCGACGGTGAACTAAAGGGCTTAACCCACAGTGTTAATACGATTTACAAGGGTCAGCGATCTGGGAGTTTCTTGGCCCTTCAAAACAAGCCTAACATCACCGTTCTCGCGGAAGCTCACTCTAAATGTCTTCTTATCGACAAAGCTGATCGCTCTTGTAAGGGTGTGACTGTGATCATGCCCTCTGGAAATGAGCTAAGCTTCTACGCTACTCGCGAGGTGATCGTCTCGGAAGGAGTATTTGAAACCCCAAAGCTTCTAATGCTTAGCGGCATCGGCCCTAAAGAGGAGTTGAGCAAGCATGGAATCTCCCCAATTGTTGATTCTCCTCACGTTGGACAGCATCTACAGGACCATCCTGGAGTGCCATTCGTTCTTAAAGTGAAAGATGATTATGGAATGGATGGCCATGTCCTTCGCAAGGGTCCTCAGCATGATCAGGCAGTTGCGAAGTACAAAAAGGACCATAGTGGGCCAATGGGATCCGGATTTCTTGAAATGGTCGGGTTCCCAAGAATTGACGACTACCTGGAGAAAGTGCCAGAGTACAAAAGAGCAAAGGCTTCGAATGACGGCAAAGATCCTTTTTCTCCTCTGGGCCAGCCGCATTTTGAGCTTGATTTTGTTTGCTTATTCGGCAGTGCCTTCCAGTGGCACTATCCTACCCCCAAAAAGGGCAGCTATATGACCGTGATGGTTGATCTCGTTCGCCCTATTTCCGATCCGGGCGAAGTCACGCTAAACAGCGCAGATCCCCTGCAACAAGCAAATATTAACCTGAATTATTTCAACAATGACCTTGATATCATCGCTATTCGGGAAGGGATCAGGTTCAGCTATGATGTCTTGAAGCACGGCGATGGCTTTCAAGATATTATACTGGATGAATATCCATGGGAAATGCCGCTGGATGATGATGAGTTGATGAAAAGAACTGTGTTGGATCGGTCGCAGACTTCATTCCACCCCTGTGGTACTGCCCGACTTTCGAAGACCATTGACCAGGGTGTTGTGGATCCTGGACTCAAGGTCCATGGTATCAAGAATCTACGTTTGGCAGATGCGTCTGTGATTCCCGTCATTCCAGATTGTCGAATTCAGAACTCTGTCTATATGTGCGCCGAGAAAGGTGCTGATGCGATCAAGCTGGATCACAGAGACATCTATGCTTATTAGTCGTCTGCTGCAACTTCTACTCTACATTCATTTCAGATTTCAGGGAGGTCAGGTTGGTCAATGTGTGATCATTGCTTTGAAAAAAAAAAAAAAAAAAAAAAAAAAAAAACAAGGTCAAGATACGCCAAATTGCGTTAAGGTACCATTTGGATCTGGAAGATTATTCAAAAAGATGGGGTGATAATTTTAAGCAAATCGCAGCCACGAAACATTCCACATTCTTGAATATTCAACAAAAAGCTTGCTTCATCGAGAAATCAGCGCTATGAGGAAGGAGAAAGATTGCTCTCAGAGTTCTGCAGATATTCCATTCCCTCTGAAATCAAACTAAATAACGTATTGAGAGAGAAAGAAAATAAGAAATATAATGAGATTAAGATTGAGCTTATAAGTAAACTGAAGAGCCTAATAAATTAGAATAGGTAACATCGAGAATAAGAATTCTAAATCAAAAAGGCTTCTTCCGAAGAAGTTGTTGATTTTCTCCCTACTCAGGCTTTTTCAGCTTTCAGCATGAATACAGCCAATTGTGCTTGGACGATCCATTCGATGCTGAGGTTGCTGGCGTTTACCATCTCTAGGCCGCAGCCACATTGCATAAAAAAGCATCTGGGAGCCGAATCTGTTTTGACGTTGTCGATATCGCCCATCACGGGCTTCGCTGACCTTAGTGCCAAAGGTACTAAGGTAAGCAGGTCCTCAATTCAGATGTCCCTTAAACTTGGCATTAATGCAGTCCGATGGCCATCTCCACTCACTTGATCACCTGCGATAACGAGACCATTTTCGAAAGTTCTTCGGGGCTCTATGAGATGAATTTGAGAGGCAGGCACGTTTGTGTCCCGGGTCAAATGGCACAACGCTACTTCCCAGAATCCAGGCATTGAATCTGCCATTTAGCCGTTGATCGTGTGGCTGTTCTAGCACAGAATTAGATTTCTGTCGAGGGGGTTATTATAAATCGTTAATTTGATCGGTAAGGTATTTTCTGAATCTGGCGTATGATGCAGGTGAGGCAAAAGATTCTTTCTGCTTCAACGTAGACCGTTTCTTGCCAGTCACCTTACCATCTCTTGGGACTTCGTCAACACTGAGGTATTACTGCATGCAAAAGAAGGAAAGTTTTATCAAAAAATCCCATGCTCCTCTTTACAGCAGTATTACCTGCGAAGGGCGAAGAGCATGCCTGCCCTTTGCTATTTGAGAGGAATATAATACCAAACTGATCAAGAGATTTAATCAAAAATTGATGCATCCTACACCTCCACCGCCTGCTGCAAAACCTCCGCTAGGCGATTCGGCATGCTCAAAAATGGCGAATGGGAGCTCGGGAGGCGATAAATATTCTTAGGGCCACCCATCTTCGACGCAAAAAGCTCTTGGAACGGGGGAGGCAAGGCACGATCTTCCTCGCACACTATATAGGCGCAGGGAATGTCATGCCAAGGTTCATATGTTGCCTCTCCCGAAAAGACTGCACGGGAAGTGTGCTGTGCCAGCGAGTTCCACTTTTCCTGGTTTTCAAGGGGAATATCATGCCAGCCAATATCTCCAGCACCGTCGGCAAGGACATAGTCACCCTTTTCATGAGTTAGGTGTGGTTCAACAACGTATATTGTATGCTTCCATTCTCTTGGGTCCGGAGAACACAATGCAGTGGATAGACTCACCTCAACCTTCATCCAAGGCAAAAACTGTCCGCCTAGCATACCCAACAAGCTTTGACCATTGTCCAAGGCAAATGCAGCCAGGTATATAACCTTGATCACTCCCCCTAATTTACCCTCTTTTGCCCGATCTTGTTTGCTCAACCCATCGACAGCGCAGGAAGTCACAACGCCACCGTAAGAATGACCCACAACAACAAGATCACGACCCTCGTCTGCGAGCTTTATCAACACATCACGGAAAGATGTGACATCGTCCGACAATGTCTTAGAAGGGGGCTCAGCGCCAATAGAAGGGTGCGCCGGGCACTCGGAAGGATAACCGAGATCATCTAGGCGGGAGCGGGTGGCATCATAGACGGCCGGAATTACCCATGCACCAAGGGAGAAAACGAGTGTTGGCTTACTCATATTTTGACAGTCCGGTGACGTATATTTGAATGAAGTTAGAGGATATTTCACGTTGAATGAAGTTAGAGAATATTTCGTGAAAGAGAGAAGGCAAGAAATTTGAGGGGCGGACTTTTCGGCTTGTTAGCGTTTCCTCCCGGGCCTGTTATCCTTTCAGGGGGAAATGCCAGGTAGCCGTCATCGGCAGTTGGAAATTGACTTGGGTTGAAAGTTTCATCTAATCTCAATGACTGCGCGCCGTCTCCTTCGGCTCTGGCTAGCCGGACCCTATGTGGGCCCTCCAATCCATCTGCGCCTGCCACGGCTCAAATGGATCAATGAGGATGAGTCTAGGAGTTCCGGCCCCCTGGGGCGGCTTTTAGTATGCATAACCAACCTATAGGCATTCTACATACTGACGCGTTCAAACATTAATTACTGGGCCCAGTCCTTCAAGCAACCCTGGTCTTTATGTTATAGCAACACCCCTGTCCGAACTGCAATTTATTCCAGTGGGGACTTTTTCGATGCTTGCTGTTCTTGAAAACTGCTCCTGACACCATCTTGAAATCATAATGGCGTCGAGTGATGCTGAGCAGAGCACTCAACCAAGGCAGCGTATCACGACAATTGTGCTGGCTGCGCTGGCCATTTTCTTTTTGATTCTCCGACTGCTCGCCCGGAGAGTAAAGCAGATTGATTTGGGCGCCGATGACTGGACTCTGATTGCTGGCTTGGTTCGTTCTTTCGGCATCCACATTGAAAGAGAAAAAAAAAACCTTTAGGAAACCCATAGTGATTTTGTTGTAGGTCGGGGTTCTAGTTGTTGCAGGTGTCAACCTTGCGTGTATGGTTCAATTGAAATGTCTTGACAAGCTCTGGAGCTAACAGCTTTAAAGGTGTCCAATATGGTATGGGTAAACACACCGACACCATACCCGAGAACAGAGCAATTATGTATTATAAGGTATGATGTAGACTGCGTTCTTTGTTTTCTCAGTGTGATACTTTGCAAAGGCTAATCCAATATTCGTGAAGCTGCTCTATGTTTTCGAGCCACTTTATATCACCACGGCCGGCATCATAAAAATATCGGTCCTCCTCATGTACCGTCGGATATTTCCAGTCCGCTATATCAAAGTCGGCTGTTATATCCTTGGAGCGATCACCATTGCTTGGGTCATTTCCATTGATCTCCTTGCAATTTTCCAGTGCACTCCGATTTCTAAAGCGTTCAATCGGGCACTTCCAGGTCATTGCATCGACCTCAAAGGTGCGCTTATTGGTAACGGTGCGCCAAATTTTGTGACGGACATATTTATTCTGGCCTTACCGGTCAGGCTCATCTGGCGCCTACAAGCAAGCTTGTGGCAGCGCTTGTCGGTCATATGTGTGTTCTTGACTGGAAGCTTGTAGGTATTCCTGAAACGTCACCTCTTTCCCTTTAATCTGTGTTGAGAAGAGAACGATTTACGAACCCCACTAACACTGCTCTTTTTGGATAGTGTCGTATTTGCCAGTATCTATCGCTTCAGCCTCATTTTCCAATTCGAAATTACCGACATCGCCTGGACACTCGCTGATGCACAAACTTGGTGCGTGGTCGAAATTGCGGCTGGAATTATCTCGGCTTGTCTACCAACAACGACTCCTCTTGTCAGAATTTGCACCAGTGGGCTTGTTTCTAAAGTTCGGACATTATCGAGATCCAACCTCACGCGAGGCGAGGATGAAACCGCGCGAACAATTACCGTTAAAGACGATGTCATAATCGAGACAGATAATGCACATCGCGCCATGAATGCAAGTTATGCATTGTCGGAAATGAGTCCTGGTACTCGAGGAAGTTTGCATCTGAAGGGCAAAGGGTGGACGATGATAACCGCCGATCACGATAAAGATTCAGCCTAAATGTGCTGCTATTTATGAAGTTTGCTCGTACCAAACAAAGCTAATTATGCGAAATATGTCCCGTATGCTTGAATGACATGAGTTACGTCAATCTTGTACAGGTGTACATGTAGATTCGGTATCCAAGCCACTGTACGGGCACTGTATGGAATTGGAAGCCAATGTCGAATTTTGCTGTACCAAGAAGACAGGAGGGCTCCAGAGTAAGCAGTAAAAACTTATCTACCTACTTGCCGCCACCACTTCACACAAAACACCCACCTCGCCCCGCGCAGCCCGAGAGAAACACTTCATGGCGAACCCCTTTTATACCACCAAAATACGAGCTAGGTCATCCCAAGGACATATGCTGGATCGCGTCACTCCGCTCTAACTGGCCAGAGATGGTTTCTACTTTGAACTGAACGCACGCTTCAGAAGAGGTTCTCCAGTGCTTGCACGTATCATGGGATACACTGGATAGTACGTGCACGGGGAGATTACGGAGGAAAAGCTGGTATGTACTCAACTCAGGACATTTTCCTATTCCGTTAAGACGGGTGTATAGTGAGCAGAAAAAAAGCAGTTGTTCCCTTGTCTACAGACTACGCTCGTAGATCTATCGTACTGCGGACCAAACAGAACAGAGGATTATGATCACCGAATAAAGTATATACGAGCGGCTATTTCGCCACCGAGGTATGAACAGGGCCAAAGGCCAACAGCATCAAGAGATGAGAACAAAACACACGAAAAGTTAAAAAAACAAAGAAAGAGAGCAAAAAAAAAAACCAGACACCTCTAGCACCGGTCCGTGTAGCAATATAAAGAAAAAGCATAAGAAAGCCACCCTTCAAAAGAATAGACGAAAGCAGGGCCCGTCGAGAACGCCGTAATAAAGCCAACACGCCTCCTTTTTGGTTCCCCGGGGGCTTGATCAGACTGCCCAAGCAATATAAAAGAAAAAAAAAAGGAAAGAGACCAACACCGTATCCCATTCATTCACTCCGTTTCTTCGCGCGATAGACGTGTATCAACGCCATGTAGATTGGACGCTCGTTTTGAGTTGAAGCAAAGGCAAACCCGCCCCACAATCGACCACCGGTGTATGTTGTGTTTTTTTTTTTTTTTTGTTTCGCGTTTTCCTTTTCCTGGTTCTCAATTTATAAGGTTTCTTCTTTTCTCTTCTAGTAGTCGCCCTCGTCGTCATCATCACCATCGCCTCCGCGCCCACGAGGTCCCTTGACACCGTCCTTGCGGATTGGGATTTTAATTCCTTGCAAGGCAAAGCACTTGCTGAGCTGGGTGCTTTCGATCACGCCGGGGAACTTCTTGGCGGAGAAAACCTGGAAGGGCTCGCTGAAGACAGAGGCGAGAACGGGTGCGGAACCGTGGTTAATCACCGGGGCTCCGTTGCTAGTTTCGGTGGACTGGGTTCCCACGTTGACAAAACTCATTTTAAGGCTGTTCGTCGGTAGACATGGTCAGGGCTAGAATTTCAGGCAGGTGGGGAGGTTAGGGGGGTGGGGGGGGGGGCGGAGGGGAGAGAAAATAAAGCTCAAAGGCAACGTACCGGAAAGTCCCCTCTGTGCGCACGCTGAGGTCCTGGAGGATAAACCACACACCGATCTTATTGTCGGGGTCCGTCAGTCGGAAAGCGCTGGCGCTAAGGCTTCCGATCAGATTGCGGGTAAACATGCCTCCCGGACCACCTGAGACAGGCTGGGCAGGGGACATGGCGGCGGGCATCTGACCCCCTTGGGGATAACCGTATTGTGGAGGGTAGCCGACAGGCTGGCCGTATGGGTTTTGGTATGCCATCTGCTGGGCACCGTAATAGTTGTTCATGGGGGGATATCCCACGGAAGCTCCATAAGGACTTTGGCCGTAGGCGGCGGACGGATATGTGGGCGTCTGGGGCGGGGGCGGGTAGGAGGAGGACATGGCGGTTGAAATGGAGGGGGAGGTGGCGGAGTGCTTGACGAGGTTGACCTCTCGGGAGCCATCGGCGTCCCACAAGTCGACGGTGAGCACATAGAAGGAGGTATCGATTTCACTGCCCGAAGCAAGTGGGTTAGCGCCTCACGGAAGGAAGGAGGGGGTAGATTGAGTCGGGGCCGACGGGGGTTGGGAGAATGTCCACGGAGGACGGGCCACCTACTTGATATCAATCTCCTTCTCAGTCTGTGCATCTCGCACAATCAGGCGAATACAGGGTGGCGGCGTGATCGGTCTTCGATCCTACAAATCGGGGGGTGGTCAATTCGCGTTCGAGAGGCGCGGACGGGCTGTGCGCGGGGAAGAGGAGGGGGAGAGGGAGGGTGTCAAGGACAGGGAGACGCACTTTATCGCCGAAGCCACACATACGAGCGCGGATGGGCTGCTGGACGACCTGGAGGGACCAGATGCGGCCTTCGTGGATCGTGGCGATGGGCGCGAGGTGGTCGGACGAGCGTAGCGGGCCGGTCCCTGGGGTGGGATACGCGGCGGACGGAGCAGAAATGCGGTCCATTGAGAGGGGCGGCGGCGGCGGCGGCACCGGATGAGCCCTTTCCTGCTCGACAGCGTACATGGTTCGCGATGGTGAAGAACCGAGGACGGAGGGGGAAGGAAGTGGGAGACTGCAAAGCGGTACTTGGTACGAAGTGGGAGGTAACGGAATTATATAATCGGTGGCCGAATGATGCAGCACGTCGATGACCGACTCACCCAGCGAACGCCAGTCGACTAGTCCGTCTTGGGCTCGGGACCCTCGTCTGCCACCGTCTGCCATCGTCGGCCACTCATGCTAGGCCGGTTACGGAAGCCGGGCTCCACCGTGCGGTGGGTCTCTCCGGCTGCGGCGATGCGCGAGCAGTCATGAAGAAAGTGTCAAGTGTCTCGATCGTCAGATACCAGCAAGTGATTGCTCGGGTTCGCGATCGTTGCGATCGTGCGATTCGTGCGGTCGTGCGATCCTGGGCACTCGAGACTCGCCTCGGTGAAGCGCTCGATCCTGCAATTGGGAACGATCCATGTCGCCCTTGCACACAAACGACTTTGATCGCCCTTACCGACCCCTACCGCCTGCTCCAGCCTCCGTCATGCGAACGGGAAATTAAGATTGTGTCGAGAGGGAGCAAAAAATGGCAGCAGTCGCCGAATCAAATGAGCAGTAGGGGCCGAACCATCGGAGTCGCCGCGGCCACATTAGTTTTGGGCCGGCAGAATTGGCGATCCTCGAGTCGGTGAAAGCGCTCGCAGCTAAGTCGAACGCCTCTTCATTCCTCTTCATTTCTGACCGACATTGGCGCTGTCCCAATGCTTCACGATTCAAAGACGAATTTGTTCTTCTACGCTGCTGCTATTCGCCGTTCTTCACCGTTCTCCCCGCCGTACCCTGGGAGAGGCCGTGCACGTCAAGCCTAAAACGGAAGCGGTGCAGCTCTAAAATCCCACTCAGTGGGAGAGAAGAGTACAATACGAGGCCACCAGAGATCCAACCCGATTTCACGACCAAGGTGGCCTCAAGACGGGAGGGGACTGATTCGAACTGTGACGGGACATCCACGCAGCTCCAGCGCCCCCAGACAAACCAGAGCCCAGCAGCATGGATACTGGAACTCCCTGCCCCCTCTTCCCGGCGCGAACCGTTCGAGACTAAGCATGCAGGTACAGTGGAGCCCGGAGTGCTGGATGGGCAGCGGCCCCTATGGTGGCCGTTGTTCCATTTCCAGACCACCGGGCAGGAAGGGCCGACCCCCTGGCCCGGTACCAGATCCCGGCGGCCCATGTTTTGGGGCCCGGGCGAGGGCCCCATGAAGGACCCAACCCTGCTCGAGTGGTACAGCCGGGGATGGCGGCCCGGGGGGGTGGGGGCGGAGACTAGCGACCCGGCCCGACCGGGAGGTATCAACAGAGGAAGCACAATGCCTCTTCGCGAATGCATCTTACAACAGCCCAGGCCGCGCTCCCTCTGGATGAGCGACTTGATCCGTCTGTTGGGCTGCCAGATGCATCCCGCCCGGCATCACCACCTAGACTGGGATGGGGGGGGGGGTCTGGTACGACGATCAACGATCAACCAAGAGCCGGGCGAAGGTGGATCTCCAATGTTCATCCGTCCATCCATGCCCCATGCCCCATGCTCCGGTACAAGCATGCAGGAAGATGCATGAGCCAGTCTGAAATAATATGCCATTCGGGTTACCCAATAGGGACATGGACGTTTTGAAAACGCCTTCTGTCTAGGGGCAAGATAATGGTACCCACCTATATCCACCGATAGCTCCGTGCATAACACACGATGGGGTACTAGAATATCCAGGCCCTCTGTGGAGCACTTCCTGATAAACCTCGGAAAAGACATGGAAATTCTTTGAATTGACATGAGCCATTCCTTCTTGCATGGTCTACACAGAGGACAGAAGACGTAATGAACGTCCAAGGATTCGTGAGGCTTCGGGAAAACGAAAAGTTGATCAGTCATTTTTCAAGCGCATCGAAAGGAAAAAAAGAAAGAAAGAAGAAACAAGTTTTCCTCCAATCCCCATCGCTGATCTGACATCATCCAACTCCAGGGCGTATCAGACTACTTTTTTATTCGCTGCGTGAATAAGACTCAGAACGATGTTTATCTACGACATAAGTATCCAAATTTCGCTTCTGCGCGCTGCATATCATGCGGGTATATTGATGAGAGAGTCACTAAGTGATCCCCCATGGCGGGAGTCGGACTTGGGATAGACCATGAAACGGCCTCCACTACTGTATCTCGCGTGTCTGTCACACTGGCCTCTAAGTCCAGAGCGGAGCAGACACTGCGCCCCGGAGAAGTCATTAAATCGATACCCACGTGGAGGTACACGGTTCCGAATTAGCGTACACGCTTCAAGATAGCACTCCCAAGTTTCTCAAGGCGAGGGTCCAACGCTCTATCACTCGCGCATAGGATAGATAGCACCCGCATCTCTGAAACGCGGTCCCCCCCTTGCATGTCTGCGCTGCTGGGGACACCCATCGTAATCCATCTGCAAAGAACCCGGCTTTCATGGCACCTTGACAGCTGACGGGACTCGTCCTGCACAGCGAGTGTCGAGCGCCCAGTCGTCGTCAGCGGTCGTCAGCCGATCCGCATACCCCTGATCCCCATGCACAAGCTGCGCCGCCAATAAGGGGCATTTTGGCCTGAAAGGGGAAATTTTCCTTTTATGAGCCTTTGAAAATGCAGTGCGAACATCGTCTTTCTTTCTCATATGGTGTAGGCCCCACTCCCTGTGAATGAAAGGGGGTCCGGTGCTGGGGGTGAAATGATCGCATCCCCCTCCCCCCCCTCAGCTCACTCAGCCAGTTCTCTATCCCGAGCCGTCCCCTGAAGGCGGGGCAGGGTGCATGAAGCAATCCTGGTCCTCCCGCAGCGGGAGAGTCAACACGAGTCTCTCGCTCTAGATTTCCCATCGGATCCTTTGAGGGTGCGGCGAGCATGTCATTATATTTGACAGCTGAGGCCAAGACGGCGTATGCAGCCAAACCAAAGCGATCACTCGGTTGACGCACCCCGGCTGATGCGATGCATCGCGAGTCAGACGACAACCAGACATGGACACCACTAGTAGCAGGTTGAACCTACCAGCATCGACTGCTGATGGGCATGCCTGAGAGTGCCAGGTCGTGCACTGGCGGTGATCCTCCATCCTCCCGAAGAGATAATCCGGCGAACAGGGAAGTCAGACGCTTAGTATAACCCCGCACAATGCCAATAGGCGCGTGATGATGAGAAGACACATGGCGACTATGACAGGAATTAGAAACCGGAGCAATGTATGATAGCTAACCAGCAGGCAGAAGCCCGAGAGGGTAAAATGAAGTGGTATTTGAGGGGAAGGGCAAGAAGAGGCCGAGCGGGAGAACGAGTCAGGCCTGCTCCATTAGCAGGTATTAGAATGGTACATGGCCTCGTTTCTCGTTCCGGGCGGAAATCCGGGCGGAAATGCAAGTACGAGAGGGGCGATCTCTCTGATATCTTGGTTTCAGCGGAGGAATTCCCGAAAACACCGGTCCTTCTGGCGGTGTAGCATTTGATATGGTCATTGGGCCGGTCTGGCCTAGTTCGACTCTTCTCTGGGACTCGAATGTGCCCTGTCCCTTGGCAAACAAGGATTCTATGCATCCATCGTGATCCGCTGCCACGATGATATTGCGGGAGTCGAAAGCGGGGAGTACAGGCGTAAGCATCCCATACTCCCTGAGGCCATACAAAGTCCATAGTATATAATTCCGGGCGGTGCTTGGTGGTATTTCGGGGGTGGTAGGTGCACAGTCATGATAACTGTTATATAAAAGATCTCCATCGGCGACTCCATCGTTGTGAGCCTCGCGCAATAGAACCCCAGATGACGCGATCCGATTTGCAGAGGCCATCGGCTCTCGTCTATCGCCGAGATCGATTTGCTAGCCAAAGCCAAATACAAAGCTCTAAACCTAGACTGACCGGCATCATGACCGTGCCAGATGGCGTGCTGAAAGGTTGTCCTTAAGGCGACGGCACATGGCGGGGGTTACAAGGTATATGCATAAATGCGCTAATTCTGGCAAAGACTAAACCCAACCACTCCACATCTCGCGCCATCAACTGACATTGTGCCCCTCTTGCCCCCCCCCCCCCCCCACCGCATCCCCAGTTAGGCACTACTGACTCTTGCGACCTTTCGACGCGATGGTGCTGCTGATGTGCATGAGGGCTTGTCTCGCGCAAGGCGCACCGGTCATGTTGTGATCGGAAACTACAGGGCTACCGAGGAAGCCACTGCAACCATGCAAAGAGACATCTGCTCGTAGACGAGGGAGGGAGAGAGCTATTTGAAGGCTCTGGGACTCCCCCCTCAACCGATTCCGCGGACAACATTCTGGTCTGGACGGCTTGACGCGTGGGCGTTGCTTATTATATACCCCTTGATTCGCATAAACAAGGCCCTCCCCTTCTCTGATCTGCATACCTGGGCCTGTTCGACACACTGCAGCTGGTTGGGGATTCGACCGTTTCCAGCACCATGTTCTCCGTCTCGCGCATGTGGACAGTCGTGCTCCTGGTGGCTTCATGCTGTGTGTTGACAAGCAATGCCATCACGTATTCTCCGCTGAACCCTCCGTCATATCCCCTGGCGGTGCGAAGTCCATATCTGTCCGGTGAGTTCGTTGCTACTCTTTTTGCGGATCGCCGACGATGGGCCTTTTCCATTGATCACGGCGACATTGTATGGATCCTATCGAATGCTGTCCTAGTTGAATAATCCCCGCACGGTGTGTAGTTGACTAACCTTCAATGATCGACAGCGTGGATCCCTGGCAGTGCAGTTGCGTCACTGCACTCCAACAACGCGCAATTCTGGGCCGGTAACAAGTTGATCTGGTCCGTGATTGCACGCGTGGATGGCGTCGCGTACAATCTATTCGGCGTGGCTAGCCCGCCTAGTGGCACGCAGTCGGCCACAGTCACTGGCGCGAGCTATACCTCGACCCATTCGACCTTCACCGTCACGGCCGGATCCCGTGAATTCACACTAGACTTCTTCTCCCCGGTCTCGCCGAAGAACTACCTGCGACAATCCCTGCCTTTCTCCTACCTTACAGTGACACTGGCGGCCGGCGACTCGAGCTCCGTTCAGATCTACTCCGATATCGATGCCAGCTGGACCGGACAGACCAGTGACTCCAACTGGAGCTATACCACCAGTGGATCGACGGGTGTCTTCAAGATCGAGTCGGCTAATGCAGCAACATACTCCGAGAACAGCAACGGCCAAGCTCTGTGGGGCAGCGCCGTCTACGCCACCCGGCCGTCGAACTCCAGCTCGCTCTCCAATGCCTCCGGGCCGTCCCTGACCATTCGAGAATACTTTGTCAACAATGGCACACTCAGCGGCAACCACGCCGGTTGGACTTCAAACGGGAATGTCGGCTTCGCGCATGACCTGGGGACCACGTCTGCCGAGTCCGCGGTAACTTTTGCCATTGGTCACGTGCGGGAGGAGTCGATCAACTTCCTGGGTGACGCTCAAACCGGCTATTACCGAGCCTCGTACTCCGACACCGTCGATGCGGTTGTGCATTTTCTCGACGACTATGACGATGCAAACGCCGAATCAGCGACACTGGATGACCTGATCCAGGATACAGGGACTTCCAGCTACGGATCCAACTACTCGGATATCTTGGCTCTTTCTGTGCGCCAGGTCTACGGCGGTATCGAGGTGACCATCCCCAACGATTCCTTAGATACAAGTGAGACCCGTGCATTTATCAAGGAAATTTCGAGCGATGGAAACATCAATACTGTTGATGTCATATTCGCGACCTTTCCGATATTCTATATTCTCAGCCCTGAGATCATCAAACTGCTGATTGCGCCAGTGTTTGAATACATGGGCAGCAGTGCCTACACCAAGGCTTACGCAGTGCATGAGCTTGGAGCCAACTATCCGAATGCGACGGGCCACCCATCTGACGGTGAGGAGATGCCCATTGAAGAAAGCGGCAATGTTATTATCCTCACCTATGCATACCAAGTCGCCACTGGAAATACCGACCTGGCAACAACGTACTCTGCCCAGCTAAAGCAATATGCCAACTATCTCTACCAGAATGGTCTATACCCCACTGCCCAGCTATCCTTGAATGACGCGCTGGGTGAGCTCGCGAACCAGACAAATTTGGCCGTCAAGGCAGCCACCGGGCTGGCGACTTACGGCGCCCTGGTTGGTCAGAGCAACTACACCACTGCAGGCAAAGCATTCGCAGACAAGATATGGACAGAGCATCTAGGAACCGATGCCGATGGCACTCGCTTCCTGATCCAGTACGGCATCCAGCCGTGGTTCCTTGTATACAACCACTACCCGGATCTATTGTTTGGTCTGAACGTCTTTCCCGACGACACCTACAATGCTACAACCGACTTCTACCCGACTGTGCGCTCCACTGCAGGTGTACCTCTAGATGGATCTATTGGCTGGGGCCAAACTAACTGGCAGTCCTTCGTAGCAGCCACAGTCAGCGGTGATACCCGCGATATTTTGATCAGTGACATCCACAGTTATATCTCGAACGGGCTCAATACCGCCCCATTCTGTGACCGCTACTGGGTCAAGGCGAGCGATGGTTATTCCGCGGGCGAGGCCTACTCGTTCCGTGCGCGACCGACTCTAGGTAGTCACTTTGCGCTGGCGGCGTTTTTGGGCGCCAATACCTGGTCTTCCTGATCGTATTTTCTCCATGTTGATCTCTTTGCATTTTGATTTGCATGATCAAAGGTATTGCCCCTTGTTGAGCGGTCTCAGCGATAGGCAGTTGGACCTTCGTGGATTTGTTGATCTTTTACATGCATGCATGGATTGGATACCCACTTGGAGGCCCGATCTCTAGCATTTTGGACTAATTCAGTATTTAATTTTTTTTAACGGGGCTGCATCTGATGGAGCTCTAAATGTCTTGGGGTTCGAAGACCTCAAACACAACCCTGATAGTATCTCTATGGTCTTTCAAGACGCCGAGTAATATCTATAATGATTCGATGATATATTCTACGGTGACACTACGGAACTGCCATCCGCTAATGTTCCTCCTGCTATAGAGTTTCCAGTAAGGTTCTTATATATGATTTACAGCAGAACGGCTATTAGCACTCTGGGCTAGCCATTGTTCCAGGTAGATGCACGTATCGTAAATGTTATAATGGATGTTCTCAAAGAGACAAAGGGTCCTCCATGGATGAGGTATTTCAATCGCGATATGATCCTACAATTGGTCCAAGATGATACAGATGCGCATAGTTGATAGAGCTGTGGCAAATGCAGTTTTGACTATTCTTACTTATACTGCTAGATGACATTCAACGACAAAAATAGAAACATAAAATAGCTCAGTTATCCAGATCCCAATTAGTTCTTTAGACTTGACAAGTCAGATATTCTCACTAGATGCGGTATCTGAAATGCTTATTTTGCTTATCGGTCAAGTCCTCAAAGCCCTCCAATGCTTCCTCGGTCGAGTTTGTTTCATCTAGTAGACCTTGGTTTTGTTTTCTTTGGTTTTCAAGGTAGCAGTACCCGGTGTAGATTATTTGAAGGCCCATTGCTCCCGCGTAGGACCCGGCTAGGCCTTTGATCGCAGTTGGATACCTCGGGGATTCCAAGGGGATGAAGAGATGTGGCCCTGCAATATTACCCGCGCAATACAGGCTATCATTTTCATTAGATTCACTTTCACAGGAGTACGAGTTTCGGGAAGAAATACACAAAGTAAATTCCAAGGACGGTGCTTCGCTTGGTATGTCCGGCCGCGTTGAGGCCTGGTAAAGTCCAATTCAAAATAACCGGAGCGCCGAGGATACCTTGCAGCCAGCACATACCGACTAGTGCAAATCGATGTTTTTCGATACTGATTTTCATAATGCCAATCAGGCCAGCTAATCCTGGAATGCAAGATACTAGATTTTAATTTAGCGAGCGGACACATTAAAGGAGTAAGCACTTGAAAAACTTACTGACTATCGTTGCGCCTAGCATGTTTGGTACTTTCGAAAGATAGCCGAATGCAATTACCATGACTAGCTCGAAGGCGCCCACGGGAGTCTGTAATAGGCTTGTTCGTAGTGCATCATAGCCAAAGCCCTTGATAATGGCTGCAAGGAAGTTTGCCACACCGCCATTAAGAATACCATAGCATATAGCCATCAGATATAATAGCCATTGTCTGGGATCCAACAATGCTTCTTTGATCTGCGCTGGGACTATCTTAGGATGCTTCAAGCCGGTTTGATTGCGAGAAATACGCCAAACTGCAACAACGCGTTCATACTCTGTTAGCATTTTGGCATTATGAGGGCCGTCGGGTAAGTAAAGGTAGATGACAAAGCCCCATGCCATGGTCATCGAGCCAACAATCTAATGACATGCGAAATAGTGACTTGATTAGTATAGCCATATTGAGTGAGGGTATTGATTTCGCTATTCTTACCAAGTATATGAGCTTCCATTGTGGCACTGCCAGTCCAGTGGCGTGGCCAGCTCCGTAAGCCAGAAGAGCGCCAACAATAGACGAAATCCCGTTAACAGATAACCAATATGAGCTTCGAAGACTCTGTTCCTCTCGCGTCCAGAGCATGGATGTCAACATGATGAATGCTGGCGAGACAACGGCCTCCAGCAGACCAAGGAAGAACCTAATAGCGAAGAATCCTGAAAAATTGAAGACGGCAGCCTGAGTGCATTTTCTTAGCAACTATCAAGTCGACAGGTCTCTTGAAAACCCGAGGAACATAGACCTAACACGCACCTGGAGCATGCAAACGGCGCCCCATACAAATAGCATAATTCCTATTAACCTTCCAACCGGATATCTTTGCAAAAGTAACTGCCAAGGGTAGGCTCCCACAAGCCAGCCGAAGTACAAGGCCGAAGATACCCACGAGTAGTCGTCGCCAGTCATATGCGTGTCTTCTTGCAGACCGTACGCGTTCGAGTAGTTCAGGCTGGAGGCGATTTGTATGTTAATCGATGATCCATATTATTTTGTCAATGACCGAAGCATTGAAGAGAATGACCTACGTCTGTTTATCGAGAAAACTCAACATATATGTCATCATCATCTGTCACTAGCTTATGAGCCTGAGGGAATCATGACCGATTATGCTCCAAATGGGAAAGAAGGGACCCGGTACCATCGGTAACACATAGAAGTCAAGTTTTCTGCACACTTTCCGGGAGTCTCTCTCAAGTTGAGCCTGGTCATACTGGAGAGATTGCTGGAAGTATTCCTTGCCGACCTCGTTGAGGTCCATGTTCCTGCCCCCGAAACGGCTCAACCATCCAACAGACTTAGTGCTGCCATACCCATGATCAGACGAAGATATCACTGCTTCGTCAACTTCTTTAGAGGCAGACATGTTGCACGAGATTATAGATCCTGGCATTAACAGCCAAGCAAATTTGAATTACAAGTCCTTTGTCATTCGAAAGTGGATGATGGCGTAACGAAAATATAGATAGCTTTATAGGCTCTGCGTTGTTAATAATGGGTTGAGGAGATAGGAAGACATAAATCAAGCCAATCTTGCTTTCTGTAGTTCACCTTCTTCGCTGTCTTGGAATCTCTATCTGTCCCATTCCCCGCAACAATATCCTATCTGTCACTAGCGCTCCACAGGCCTGGGCTTGACTTTGTAAACTGGAGTCGACCCAGTTGCACCGCGCCGAGCATTCTTGTTCCCGAAGTTCTGCCTTGGCGTCCAATAAGAGTGCCTGTCCGACTGATAGCATCGCGATAGCTTATTTGATAGCAACTGATAGCGAGTGCCCCTCCCTGGGCCTTCCGATACGCACAATTTCGTAGGTCTAGGACATGCACCTGGGCCCTTGGAAATCACGGATCATAAACTAGTTACCTGGCCTCCCATACGGGATCCGATCGCTCTTTGCTGCGCTAAATGTTTATGAAATTAAGGAAAAATGCAAGGGCTCCGCTTTTATTTTCGAATCAGGCCGGAGCGGAGAAGCTATGGCATAATCCACTCACTTTAGCCAGGTCACGCATGTATAAAGGTTGGACCGAGGGAGATCTATGGTTTTAGAACCTCTTCTCATTCAACAGCGTCATCACTACAGATTCAATATGAGCTCTGTCACTATCACTGAACCTCACGTTGTCAAAGAGGACTTTCCGACCCCTGCCAAGCCTTGGGAAGACATTCGAGACGAAAAACGTGCCGAGCAGCTTTCAAGAATTCCGCAATCATGGCGACTGGAAGCTTCGCAGTATCCTTCGAAGGAAACTGTAGATGTGCGGCCAATTGCTGCTACTTCGGGCATTCTGTCGGAAAGGGAACTTGAGATTACTGGCGAAACCTATGACGCTACATCCCTAGCTACAGAGATCGCAAAGGGGACATTTACGTCTGTTGAGACAGTGACGGCATTTTGTAAACGGGCTGCCATCTGTCAGCAGATTTGCAGCGCACTTACCGAAATATTCTTTGCCGATGCAATTGAGAAAGCCAAGCAACTCGATGAGCACTTTAAACAGACAGGAAAAACCCTGGGCCCTCTACACGGTGTTCCGATGACTTTTAAGGTTGTTCTATCATCCACAGACCCTTTTTTCAAAATACCTCTAAATTGACGCGTGCAACAGGAATGTTTTCACGTTAAAGGCTATGATGCGTCCAATGGCTATATCTCTCGATGTTTTGACCCCTCCACCACGACCACCCCCATCATTCAGTTAGTGGAAGACGCTGGAGCTGTTATCATTGCAAAGACCAATGTTCCACAGACCATGCTTGTTGCTGAGTGTGAGAACAACGTCTTCGGACGCACACGCAACCCCATTGTCAGCCACTTGACATGTGGTGGCAGTAGCGGCGGTGAGGGTTCACTCTCAGCTTTTCGAGGAAATGCATTGGGGATTGGCACTGATGTAGGCGGTTCTATTCGGTAAGTTAGTTCTGAACATGGTTTTTATTCAGTCTTATACCTTTGTAACCTGACCATGATACCTCTAGTCTTCCCGCTGCCTACAACAATGTATACGGGTATAAACCGTCGGTCGGAATCCTTCCTTTCATCGGCTACGCTGCCTCCGGTTGGACCGGCGTGAACACTGGCATCCCGGCTGTTCTGGGACCCATTGCTCACTCTGTACGCGATATAAAGTTATTCACAGAAGTTGTCCGTGCGCGTCAACCATGGCTATTTGACCCAGCCATAATACCTGGCGTTATGGAGTCCCCCATTCCTGCACAAGACCGGAAACCTATAATCGGCATTCTTCACGAGTCTGGAGTTACACCTCATCCTCCTGTTCGACGCGCGATTCGAGAAGCGAAGCTCAAAGTAGAAGCCGCCGGGTATGAGACCCGTGACTTCACGCCCCTATGTCCTGACTTTAAAGAAATCAGAGAGATTGCTAGCCAGTTGTTCACTGTGGACGCGTTGTCATACCAGCGTCGAGAGCTGGCAAGGGCCGGCGAGCCGGTTGTGTCATCCGTGACCAAGTTTGGCTTTTTCGACATTTCGCGAAAGACACACGAGGAGACGTGGCAGTGGAACACTAAGAAGGGCGAAATGCAGAAGAAAATGTTGGATGCTTGGCAGCATTTGGGAATTGATGTTCTAATCGCGCCAGCAGCGCCACATGCCCCAGTTTCACCTGATAATAGCACCACAGAGCTGTACACTGTGGTTTGGAATGCAGTGGATGTGAGTTTTGATTTGATTTTATTCTAAAAACGCGAGAAAATGACTGATCAATATCGAAGTATCCGGCGATCATCATCCCATTTACGAAGGCGGATCCTGCGCTCGACCCCAAAGATGACGCATTCCAGCCAAAGCACCCTATGGACCAGAAGATTCAGGCGCTTTGTAAGTAATACTATTGAGATTGGACGTATCTACTGGAATATAAGTCCAGGCTAATCTTTGTCTGCAGATGATCCGCAGCTCATGGCTGGGGCGCCAGTCTCCCTGCAGCTTGTTGCACCTAGACTGCAAGACGCAGCTTTGCTTATGTATTCTGAGATGCTGGACAAGGTTCTTAACGGCGAGAAGTAAATTTCCCTATATCTCGAATTGCTGTATATGTACGTGAGCATGGATGGATCGTGTTATCTGTCAACTCTCTCTTTTTGTCCTAAACATTGTCCTAATTTTTCTCATTATGGTAACCCGCTTCTGCAAACTCCTTATCACGCTCGTTCTCCTAGTATCCCCGTCTTCTTCGTGGATTTTATGATCGCACTCCATATCTCGCTCCTGTCTTGTCCAAATCTTATCTTGCCTGTTATAATAATCTCTTAATGATATCTCATACCTAGTCTCCATCTGACCCTGCTCGCTGGCTTATAAGGCGCCTGCGTACTTGGAAGGAGGCTTGAAAAGATGCCCCTAGACGCAAGATACAAAGGCAATCGGTGCGGAAAGCACCAAATATTTTTATTTCAGAAATTTGAATACTGGGAAGGTCCCATCTGTCGACCAGATGGACGCAACGAAGAAAACACATATATGGACAAGTGCCTCGCGGAAATAGAGACCAGTTCGAGGCGAAGCGGGTACAGTAACGCCACCGAGAAGTAGCTTCCCTTTTGACTTCTCATCTCCCGAGCGCCGCACTTTCTTCGCAATTTACACGTCCACTGCTTATAATACATTTAGAATACAAAGAATTCTATCATGAATTAATTTCTAAAGACTCCTCTGGTAATGGTGGGGAAGTGAAGGATACCCTGAAAGTGACCGTTGTGGAAGTGGCCAAGGCTCTATTTTTGGCTTGGCATGAAGCCTCGGGATCAAGTCTTGGCAAAAAGTGAATATGAGCTCTCTAACCATCGATCCTCTTCATTCGCGAGCCAATGATCTTTAAGAATCTGCTTTCAACCAATCTAACGAATTACATCTCAGCCAATCTACTGAACTGCATTTAATACAATGCTTATGGATTGTTGGTATTCATCACTCTGGGAACCACCTGAAGCTGGCACTAACATTCTATTGATCACGAGAGAGATAGAGCGACACAGCCACGCGATCTAATTTTGGGTGATATTTTCCTAGAACAGATTTTGGAGGCTTTCCGAATTCCTGCAGTATGACGATTGCAAGATTCGCGTAGGAGGTTTCATTGCTGTGAAAAATGACAGCTTGGGTCGGTCTAGATTGTTTGTTCGCCGGAAAGAGAAACATCCAGAGCCCTTTCTCGTATTTCCTTCAGCTCATGAGGACATAATTAGTGATTTTCAAGCTATCTGTGAGCTCAGACACTTGCCACTGGGTCAAATATAAAGAGAGTGAACGTAGGTTCATTTGGTATACGATTTCCTGTGAAAGACAGCAACACTTCAACACTACTCTCTCCCGCAATCCAAACAACACGCCGAGTTATATTATAAAATTTGTATTATATTCTTCTTAAAATATTTTACATTTCCCTCCACTCCAACATGAAGTCACCAGCATATTTACTTGTTGCGCTTCTTCCTCTTGTCACCCAGCTCACTGTCGCAACACCGGTCGCGGAGCCGGATCTCGATGCCCTTGAGGAGCGAGGTGGAGGCGGCTACGGAGGCTGGGATAAAAATAACGGATGGAAGGATGATGGATGGAAAGATCATGGTGGGTGGAAAGACAAGAACGTTTGTGAGGTCAAGCGAACCTATCCATATTATAAATACCCTTGCTCGTCGAGCCCTTCAAACGGAACATCTCTCCTGGGTGCCACATTCACCTCCTTTTGCAAGTACCAGTGAGTCCTTCACAACATGGTCACCTTGAACTCTCTTACTGACAAGGATTATAGGAATGGATATTCTGGGGTTTGGTATGCCGCCCCAAGGGGATGGGTTAAGGAAGAAGATAAACCTCGACGGTGCCGTATGTGACCCCCATTGCCGGCTTGCTTATGATAGATATAAAAGACTAACTTGATCGACAATCTAGCTGGTGCATCGAATCCATGTCCCATTTAGTTTCACATAAGTTGGCTTCCTTTACGATGTGTGAAGAAAACTTACGAAAAGCGAAGAAAAAAATTGCTTGCTATTTTCACAAAACATGTATTAGCTGCTGGTTATCTTCGAACTTGGCTTCCTGGTGATGTAAGGATCTAAACAGATAATGACACCGAAAATCCTGATCCCCCTGGGGTAAAAAACTTTCCATTCAGTAAATGACTTTGTAGAAGGCCTAAAAATTGTAGGCCAGCTAGTTGCTTCGTTCATCGACTTGTCTATGCTCTCTTTCATTATTTATCTCAGTAGAATGTTTGATGTAAAAATGTAAAAACAGCTCTTCAAAAGTACGTAGCTTGATTCAATACTGGTATATCTTGAAATCCTTCGTAACGCGATCTCAAAAGTCCATGTTACCACCATGATATGCTTAGAACCGTGCCAAGCATATTCGTTCTACTGGCTGGCCAGAAACAATTTTATTTACGGTAGCATAGCCGCAAATATGAGAGGTAGGTAAGTTATGAGGCAAAGTGCCAAGCCCTTCCGGAGCGGACCAGCCAGATTTCAACCGCGGGATATGGCGGGAATCTTGGCATCATCATTCATGCCATAGCGGTCAAACTTGATTTGGAACTCCCCCAAGCTAGGTGGCAATCGCCTTTTACCTTGGTCCTTCTACCATGGTTTCCAGTAAATCAGGTCATCTTTGGCTTCTGATCCGCTCTTCCTTGGCAGCTTGCTTCAAATTTTGCTGCTTCTTGGTAGAACTTCGTTCTTAGGCATAGATGATTGGTTCTTGATTTACAGCTTCGTTCCCAAGCCTTGATGATTGGTGCCAGAATTCTTTCGACTAATTATGTGAATTGAGATCGATCATCAATATTTTAAGGAATGGTAGCTTTTCGGTTCCACATCTATCGTCTAGGTCTATTTCAAGGTGGAATGCGGTTATCCATGGCACTCCCGACTTATTGATTCAGGTGGTACCATCCAATCAAAGCTTGAGCTGTTTTCAGAAGAATACGAACAGAACGAGCGACAGAAACGATGAACGAAAACCCAAGAAAATCACAATTATTCTGCGAATTTTTACGAAACACTATTAATATTTTGTTGAAATGCGCGGTCGGAGTTACTGACATTGGTGGCCATGATTGACGATTCTCGAAACTTATTAGTCGATTTTATTCAAGGGAAAATTTTCTTAAAGAAAAAGATACTAGCTAAGTTCTCTTCAGGGTTCAAGGCAATGACGGACTGCCATGTTACTGAATTTCGGCGAGCAATTGAAATCTAAGTCAGCTAAGACTCTCATAATGACCTTACGAAATGTCGAACCTATGATCAAAAAGTTCCACGCGGGTGAAAATATATTCTAATACGGAATAATATGATAATTTTGATGCTTTGAGAAATAAAGAGAGAGACCATCAAGGTGAAACCGCTTTCGAATATTGCTGTAGCACACACGCGTTTTTAGCGAAAGGCGGGAGCGGGCGGGGCGGCAAGCAGATATGGCATTGAAGGCGTTGGGAGGGGAAAGAGGAATTAACAAAGGCTTCAAACACTTGAAAGACAATGATTTTCCAATATCTTCGAGGTCAAGATACACAAATATCGCCTATGAAGCTGCGGGAGATTTCGAACTGATTTATACGCTATCTATAATTTAGTTACCATGAACTATGCTATCTACGCGCAGGTGGGAACCCAATGTCCGAGTGCCGAGGCCAAGGCTTCCCCACTCGTCCTCCTCTGTATCTCCGTAAGTCCGCATCGGTTCTCTGTCCGACGATAAGCTCAGGAACAGTTTTTCCCATCTACCTTACCCCGCGCATTGATAGACACATACTTGACAAAAGTGGTGTTTGCATTGCCCTTTTCATTTTGAACCACTTTCTGCTCTCCGCCCACCACCTTGTAGCTGTGCATTGCTATGCCCTCTCAAACAACACCCCAATATCAGGTCTGCCTCATCGGCTCCGGCGGAGTGGGCACTATTGCATCCGTTGTTCTCTCCAAATCTGGCCTTGCACATGTCACCTGCGTTCTCAGATCCAAATACGACTACGTGTCCCAGCATGGGTGGGATATCGATTCCGTTGATCACGGAAAGATCTCTGGATGGAAGCCTCATCGAATTGTGCGGTCTGCAGCCGAGGCTGCAACCGATGAGAACGGAGAGCAGGTTGAATACGACTTCGTAGTCGTATGTACAAAGCAGCTACCGAGTCGCAACCCCGTCGTGGGCATGATTTCTCCCATGGTGACCCCAGGAAAAACAACAATCGTCATGATACAGAACGGAATGGGAATAGAGGAGGAAATCATCAACGCTTGGCCTGGTAACGCAGTGGTGAGCAGTGTAAGCCATATTGGAAGTTCGGTCCAGGAGCCCAATGTCGTGGTCCAGATCGGGGAAGACGTGTCCAAGATGGGGCCTCACCTCCATACTGGCATTGACGATTCTACAAGTGTCGACAACGCGAAGCAGTTTATTGATATGTACCTCCAGGGAGGTGCCAGCGTCTGCGAACTAGTGGAAGACATCCAGGTGGCCCGATGGGAGAAATTACTGTGGAACGGGTCCTTCAACACGATGTGTGCGCTGATGAGGATGGATGTGGGCGAGCTCCAAAGAAGCAAAGGCCGAGAGTCGATGATTGTACCTATGATGTGGGAGATTTGGAACATTGCAAAGGCAGCCGGCCATCCAATGCCCGAATCTATTGTTGAGTGGATGGCGTATAGATTGCCGGATGACTGCAACTACCGACCTAGTATGCTGTTGGATCTGGAAAACGGGCGGCCCATGGAGCTGGAGGTCATTCTGGGTTACCCACTAAAAAAGGCCCAAGAGTTGGGCGTGGACGCACCACACATGACCACTATTCACAAGCTACTCAAATTAGAGGAGTGGAAATTGGACCAGTCAAAGCTGTCTGGAAACACATAACCGCTAATAGAAATCCAATTGATGCAAGTGTTCAATTACATACTACAGGGGCACAGGCGCCGAACCGAGCCGTGCCAAATGCATCCAATCCCAGTTGCCTCCCATATCTCGTGCTGACCAGACCTGGTCGACACAAAAGGACTTGGTACGTCTCGCAGTCATGATGGGTCGGGCATGACAAATTTCATCGAATATCCTAATCGCTTGGGCCCGGTCTTCCAGGGTTTCTAGCTCGCATGCCGCAATAAACAAAGGCCATAATGAGAGCTTAATTTCCTGAGACGACCCAGTAATGTGTGCCATGACCTCGTAACTCATTCTAAGAGCTTCCATGTCCGCTTCCGTCGAGTTTCCGGAACGGTTGAATAGGCGGAATAGATAAAGCAGTGCCGCCGCTCGCCATGCATATGCGTGAAGAAGAAATTTGCGTGATGCTTGCATCGACATAGAAGAATCTCGTATCGGACGCCAGGTCACAAGTTGCGCATGTATTGAGGCTTCCCTCTCTACTAGGTCGCTGTGCCTCACTGAAATGTTCGAAATATCGTCTGTCACATCAGAAGTGCATTCCTCATTAGGAACAGAATAGCTTTCTATGATGGACTGGACATCTTCAGCAAGGGCAGCAAGATCCGAAAGAATGGGAGCCAACGTAGTAGTAAACCCCATGAGGCGATCAGCGTGGCACGTGGAGTACTCGTCCAGCCAAATAGACGGCCTTATCCTGGTGCGCTGCAGGCGAGTGAGCGAGATTAAGAGGTCTTGCCGAGCCAACCCTCGGGCAAAATATTTGGCCATGCCGCTCAACTCTTGGCCCTCGTCGGTGTAGAACTGTAAAATCATAGATGCGTTGTCGATGAGTGCGGATAACGTGGATCCACCGCCGTCAGACCGAGGATCTACAAGCTATTTGATCCGATCAGCTACCTGCTCAATGATACTTTGCCTCGACGCCACATACCTCGACTCCACAGAGCGCAAGGAGAAGCATCAGAACTAATTCTGGACTGTTTCCCGCCTCATTAATCAGCCGTAGCCGACTGAGAAGACGCATCTTGCGACTCGATACCAAGGCAGAATTCACGGCCTCTTTGACGTAATTTTCTCCGATTGCAGCCAGAGAGTCACCGACCGCCGTGGGACTTTGTTGTAGAAGAGAAATTACTGCTCCGTTCATCTCGTTGATAAAAAAGTCGTTACTCATGACCATTTCCGAAGGGTGTCTCATGAAGTATACTTCAATGAAAGGTTTATCTGCAGCGAGGATCTCGCTCATGGGAATTAAAGTGGGTCCATTCATAGGTGACGCCGCTTTGGCTGATGCTTCTAGGACCATCAATCGCATGTAGTCTGCTGCGTTGCTCCATGTTGTCGCACTCGGTGTGTTGACGACCCACATGTCGGTTGGAGCTTTGTGCGTCCGCCCTCCATCTTCCGTCAGAGTGAATGAAGGGGAGGAAGAGGCGTCAGATGCCACTGACGGTCTACGTCTCGATGCAACCGAATTTGGCGAAGCAGGCGAGCGCCTGAATGATACGGTGCTGCATTCGCGGGTGGATGATGGCCGACCGTAGCCGCTGCACTGGCGGCGCCGGCGAGTGCAGGTCCCACACGACGGATGCACCTCGTCGCATTTGACTTTGGCCTTCTTGCAGTCGATGCATCCTTTGCGCGACCGGGTGGCCATGGCCCGCAAATATGGTGAGAGCGTAATCAGTGCCAGTTACATACCACGGTGGGTCATTCCGGCTCGGTCGGCAATTGAAAGAGTTGATGTCGCGCAAGATCCAATGCGGGGTACAGATACAGGAGAACGAATAAGGTTGAAGCTATCTGATTGATTGAGAATCACGTGGAAATTTGTGCTCAGACAAAGTTTAAGATATGTGAATTCTACTATTACCATCAAGAGTATTACGGTCGGAGAAAGAATGGCAGGAGTGGTAATATCAGGGAGAAGAGAAAGAGTTGAAAAAGGAATCAACGCGCTCCTGTATATCCATCATCTCTCCAACGCACTTTTATAGAAACAAAATTTTACATGTTATCAGATCTAGCACATAGGCATTCCAGCGTTTTGAGTCGTGCTCAAGCCCACTTAAAGGCTTGAAACGACGCATAGCTTATTCGCTTGCTACACGCTTTGAGTATGCTTGGTGTCGCTCGTTTCTGCTTTCGATGTATGCCTTCAGGTTCTCCGAGACCTTCGCTCCGGGGGTTAGCCCACTATCTACCGGTTCCCCCAATTGTTCCCACAACGGGATAACGCCTGCCCAGGGCGGGGTTTCGTTGTCCGGTCCGTCCACCTCCTTGTTTCGGGGCTGTATGCCGGGTGGACCGGTGCGAGTCTTGACGGACAAGCTATCAATGCTCACTTTGATCACGTAGACCAAGCTGATCTGGAAGGATGCCACGGGATTGACTTCTTCCCATCGATTGGCTACAATATGGTTGGTAACGGAGCGTATTACCGTGCGCTTGACGGCCTTGCTCTTGACCGGCGTGCAGGTTCCATGAATGACCGCGGAGCGGTAGTTAAATGTATGGCCATTTGGGGCAGATGACAACGCCAGACCATCAACTTGAAACAATGAGCAAACGTGCATGCAGTCTTTATCAGGACAATTGCCTACCTTTGGTGGCTGTGATGCAAACTTTGACGGGATCCAATGCCCTACCCGAGGCCCCCTCGGCTTGATCGGTCACATCTTCGGTTTCTCGACTCGCCTCTCGGACCAATTCTATTATTCGAGTGCTTGGATGGCCATGCAAGTAGACAACGGTGTTTTCTTGCTTTTCCTCCCCTCCGTCCGACAAGCCCTGCTCGTTTTCCGCGGAGTCCTCCGCGGTTTCATCTACTTCCTTCCTGACCAAGGCGACCATGGGCAGGCATTGGGGAAGACCTTTATCGATATATGAAACATGAGCGATGAAGCAATCGTCAAAAACCGCTTTTGCCGATGCAATGTCGTAAGTCCCGCGATGGGTATTTCGGCGAAGAGTTGCAGGTTCCATGTTGCTCTCTATTCCCGTTGGAAACAGATCTTGAAGCTGGCGTTCTAAACGAAATGAGGGCAATGGCTCTGGCTGTTTGAAAAGATTGCGAATTTCTTCCTCCTCCAAGCCTCCCTTGTCGAGTTTGCTTGGTAACGTGGCCACCTTTCTTGGTCGCTAGGGCACGGCAATTGTGGAGGCGATTGCTATCTGATAGCGTAAAGCGGGGCTCGCTTGTCAGCCACCGTTCGATTGGCACGATTTTCGGCCGTGGCTCTCATTGTTCCGACGATTCAGACCCGGGATGTTCTTGTTCTGCTATAGTTCTGCTAAATGATCTGGATTATTGGGTGAAATTGAGCCCATGTGGTCTTGCGTCACTAAACCAAACTAGAAACCTGGCACAACACAGTACCCTACCAAGCAAAATGCCTCGTAGACCTCCATTCCAGCTTCTCTTTCTTTCCGGCAGCCACGATGAGAGATGCAATACATACATAAAACTGCGCCTTCCTCTCCAGTTCTCGGTACAAATTGGGCAGCCTGCGCATGGCCAGCACGACCAACATCCCCTAAATTTAATATAAGGTTGCTCAAGTCGCTAAGAAGCGGAGGCATGAAGGAAGATGTTTTCTTGCGTATTCGATCTTCCCAGCTGCAAGTTGAGCCGGGAATATATACCAGGTAAGTAAAGGAAACTCATTTGTCAAGCACCGTCGAGCTTTCTGTGAGATTCGTCTGTGGTGAAATACACTAGTGAAAACAGAGTATGGACATCCGTGAAGACTCAGCCGGCATTCTACCCGGCACTATGGCAAGATCCTTCGACATATGCTAATCTAACAAGGAAACGTTGCATAGATAATTGTCCCATGATAATCTATTGGTATTCTCGTCGAATCAAGATAGTGCGGTGGGCATATCGCCTGGATAGAAGTCCGAGTCTTCCCCGCACGGTATAACCGTATCAACGCTCTTCATGCCGAGGGTCTGAGAGTCTGTGATAGCGCCTCAGAGTATAAAACTAGAAGAGGCAACGAGCCATTCAAAGCCATTTCTATGTCTCGAGAGGTCTAGAAAGAGCCTGTTCTACGGGAAATAGTCAACTGCAATACTTGATTTCGTTTCGTCGTGTTTACCATCATGCCTGGTCTTTCCCAGCCTTTGACCTTTGAGCACATTACGGTCACGGAACTCCACCCTACCTTTGGAGCTGAGGTCAGCAATGTGGACTTTTCGCGCCCGATAGAGGACGAAGTCTTTCAAGAGATCCGAGCTGCCATCGTCAAGGTGGGTACTCCAAATACTAAAGCCCTCGACCCTCGGAGGGGCAATCTGACGGCGCCTGTCTTACATGGATGGATGATACTGTAGTATGGCGTCTGCGTGTTTCGCAACACGGGGCTGGACGATGCACGCCATGTCGCTTTTGCAGCCCAGTTCGGTGAGTTGGATGATGTGACGCCCTACCTGGCCGGCGGGCGAGCCCATCGATTGTCTGATGTGCGGCTGTTTGATGTGGGAAACATTGAGCTTGACGGGACCGTTTTTGCATTGGACAACATCCGACGGGAGTGGAACAAGGTATGTCGGATGTCGTGAGATCACCGGAGACTGACATCCTGGGGTTTCACATGAAGTCATTCACTGACAAGGGCGTCTCAGGGTAACGGCCTCTTCCACGTGGACTCGAGCTTCAATCCGCGTCGAGCAGGGTACTCGCTCCTCCGGGGCCACGAGCTGCCCCCTGCCAGTCTGGGAGGGGAGACCGAATTCGCCGACGTGCGGACGGCCTTCGATGACTTGCCGATAGCCTTGCAGGACGAGCTACGCCAACGGAACTATATCGCGGCGCACTCCCTGTGGCATTCTCGCAAAGTGGCTGCCCCGGCTACATTCGCAGACGTAGATCCGAACGAGTACCCGATGGGTCGACATCGGCTGCTCCAGCGGCATGAAGCTTCCGGTCGAGAAACCCTCTATCTCGCCGCGCATATCCATCACATTGAAGGATTGGGCACGGAGGAGTCCCGGGCGCTGTTTGATCGCCTATTTTCGCATGCAACCCAGCCACGCTATGTGCTTCAAGTGGGCTGGAAGAACCCCGGGGACCTGATTTTGTGGGACAACACCAGTGTGATGCATCGCGCGGTTGGCGGTCAGTTCGAGGGCCAATATCGGCGGGATATGCGGCGGGCGACGGTGCATGACGGAAGTGCTGCCGCGTGGGGACTGAACGAGCGTAGCGAAGTGCGACAAGGACTGCCGTAACGTTGGAAGTGGATCGCCATCATGTTGTTGCGGTTGCTAGGCAGAGTTGGCAGTGTGCAGTGTTGCAGACTGGAATGAGACATTCGAGCTTAGTCGATGAGGACAAGAATAGAAGGCCCCAGTCCGCTCCGTCGACGGAGTGTTTGTCTCCATTTGGCTTCATCTGGTGGTGTTTGCGGAGTGAGAACGACCCGATGTGAGACACTCGCCGATCTTCCCGTCTGCTTCTCCCCTTTCGCACCCTCGTTTTCTACCTTGTCCAACCCGTTGCACCCTTTTTTTCAACCGCGGTTCGCTGGCTCGGGTTTGGGCCTGATTTTCCGGCCAAGCACACCACTGGCCCGCTAGAGCGTAGGGTTTTTGCCTTTAGCCCGCTTGTCTCACCTTACGCTTCGCCTCCTACAGAGTTCGGACCTGGCACGGATCTCGGGTCTGTACTAGTGCATCTTAGCCTATAGCCGCCTTGTGGCTCCTGCTCCTCCTCGAGGTCGCATGAAGACCGTTCGTTGACTTGTCTCAAACGTGCCCAATCGCCCTCGCCACTCGTCCCCGCTGAGCGGATCCGCCCGAACAGCTTCATCCGTCATCGATTCAGGGTCCCAGGGGAGAATGAGGCTTGGATGTCCCTCACCCTACCATGGGACGTCATTCTTCATACTGCAGTTGCGCGGGGTTGCCGATTGTGCTCGTCAACTATAAAAAGACCCCAGGCACCTCATGAAGTTCGATATCCCAGCATCTCAATCTATCTTCCAGCTCCTCTCTCTCTCTCTCTCTCTCTCTCTCTCTCTCTCTCTTTCTCTCAGACTTTTCAATTTGTCATTCTACAATATTTCCATCACTCACACAATGAAGGCCTTCTTCGCTTCCCTCGCCCTGCCTCTGCTGGCCGCAGCTGCCCCGGTCTCCGACGCCGCGCAGTCCAACCCTAATTTCGGCGTCATGGCCGTCCGCTCTGCCTCCCCCATCCACTATATGCAGATGAACGCTGCTGGACAGAAGTTCTGGCTGGGCGGCACAACCTCCTCCTACTGCCCAACCCAGGTCGGCGTGAACTGCCCCCTGGCAACCAGACCGTCATTGCAGCTGGCGGCAACGCCATGGTATGTGACACTGCATCTCCCCTTCCCCCTCCTCCATTCCGGCTTCGGGCGCCACCGTCTTCTCAGACCTGTGACCAATGCACATACTAACCCCGGTTGCGCAACAGGACGTTGAAGTCCCCGGGGGCCAGCAAGTCTATGTTGACCCAACCGGCGCTCTGAGCTTCACCCAGGCCCACTCCGCATCCATTCCGGCCGGTTCCCTGGTCGGCAGCCTCTCATACGAGCCCGGCAACCCATGGTCCCACTATACTGTCAACGGTTGGGGCGCCAGCGGCTTCATGGCTTGCCCCACTGATGACAACCGCTGGCAGGTGTTCGCTGCCATGAGCAACGCGACTGTGCCCTCCGGCAACGTGGCGGACTGCCTGGGTTTCTCCGCCGTGGCCCTGACCTACAAGGGTGATGTGCCTGCCTGGCAGTATATTTAGAGGAAGGCGAGATCGCAGAGTGGCGTGATTTTTTAAAGTGATTTGATTCGATGAATTGAGCTTTGAAGCAATAGCGCTGTATCATACATACCTCCTGATTTTAGTCTTGTTAGCATTTTCTTTTGACTCCTGCTGTGAGCGTTGTGTACTTGATTGACACTACAATTAATCAGTTTATGACTCTTTCATTTTGTTTTTCACCCTTTTCTTTCGCTGTAATTTTTATTTTGGCTGTGGCTCTCCTTGGCTCGCTCCCCTGTTTTCGGAAAACATATCGTGGCGCACGTTATGTGCAGGAATAGGCAGTGGGTATCATTCTATTTTTATTTTTATGTAGAGCTCTAGCTTCATGGGATTCTAGTTTCGCCAGATCCGAATCGCCTTGTCCTTGCCTCCACTGCCAACCTTCTGTCCATCCGGACTCCAGTCGACGGCAAACACCTCGTCCTTGTGGCCAGGCAGATCCGTCGCCAGCTTACCGGTCCGAACATCCCACACCTTCAACGTGGTGTCCTTGGACGAGGATACCAAAAGCCGCGAGTCGGCTGAGAAACAGCACTGGTAGACAGCGCCAACATGACCGCGGAAGGTGGTGATGAACCTAAAGAGTAGATGTTAGAACATGGTGGTCCCAAATTGAATAGGAATCAATCAAATCGGAGAGGGCCGGTACTCACTTTCCGTCGCGTCCATTCCACAACTTGACATGGTTGTCAAAGCCGGCGGATGCAATATACGCCATGTCGGGCGAGAAGGTGACATGGTTGACCTCTTTCTGGTGACCCAGCAGTCGGGCTACGGGCTTGGTCGAGCTGGACGGCTCCCACAGGTACATCGTGAAGTCGTCGCTGGCCGACACCAGCCGCTCCACAATCTTGTTGTTCACCGTGGCCGCCTGCTCGAAGCGTTTCCGCGCCGCAGCCACCTTCTCCGCCTCCGTGGAGGGCGTTTTGCCTGTGTGGTCGTGGTACGCTGTGCGCAGGGCAAAGTCGGTCGACAGGGCTAAGTGGTTAACGCGGTGCGCATGCGCCGCCAGGGTTTGGATCAGCGTGCCGTCCTTGGGGTTCCAGATCTTGATCGTCTTGTCGTGCGACGCGGTATAAATCTGGTTAGTACCGCCCCAGCGCACACAGGTCACAGAGCCCTTATGGCCGGTGAGTACTTTGTCGATGCGCTTCGACACCACGTCCCACACGCGCACGGTCGAGTCCTTAGAGGCCGACGCCAGCAGAGGCCGCCCAGACTCTTGGACATGGTACGGCTCCCATGCCAGACTGGTGATCCACTTCGAGTGGCCCTTGAGAGGCCCGCCCAATGGCTTTCCGGTCTTAGCATCCCAGAGTCGCACCGTGTTGTCCATGCTGCCAGTCGCGATCATCGCGCCATTCGGCGAATACGCCACCGCCAGCACCCAGCTAGTGTGACCCTTGAGAGTGTGGAGCGGGGTTCCTGTATCGCAATCCCATACACGGGCTGTAGAATCCCCGCTTCCGGAGACCATAGTCGATGAGGAGACGGGGGAGAAGGAGGTTGCAAGAATCGCCTCGCCGTGCCCCGCAATGGACGCGGCACAGCGGGAGACTGCCTTCACTCGGAATACTGCTTGTGGAGTATAATAGAGTGAGACTGTGTCTTCGGTGGTTTTAATGCCAGGCTGGAGTAGCGAGTGGTACAGGTTGGCGAGGATATCGATGGTCTCCCCGTCCTTCTTGTCTGATTGGTAGGTAAAGCGATACGGCACCCGATCGTCGTCATCCTAGAGGGGGGGAAACGGCGGATTAGAAATGAATTGTAAACAGTGCAAGTCAGCCTTTCAGGTAATTTACTTACATTCCCTTGCAATGCGTTCAATAGTGTCTCGAGGTTCTTGATGTTGGCATCGGCCACAGGGACCGAGACGGCGGGACCGGTTGCATCGCCGGTAGCCTGGTCGAAGAATTGAACACGAATGCTACCAAGATCTGTGGGAATACTTTGGATCTCTTGTTGCTCTCGTGCCTTTTCGGCCTGAGCGACCTTCTGGCGCTTGCTGGGAGGGGGCAGAAGCGTGGCCATTTTGTCGATCGGGGAGTTGGAGAAGGAAGAAATTTTGATGCCGCCGCCTTATCTTATCGGAGCGGAGATAAAACGTCCCCATAGTGTCGGTAGCCATCGCGGGGGAGCAAAATATGTTTTCCTCTATGCGTTTCCCCGAAAAGGAATTTCTATAAAGAAAATTCGATTGTTTTTTCGAGTAGGAATTTAGATGTGATGAGTACGTGTCCTAATCTTCTTGTTGGAGACCTAAGAAGATAACAGGCTTACCAAACTTGTCCGAAGAGCTCAAGGTACTTTCATGTGTCAATTACAAAAGGATAAGGTAAAAGCCAAATTTCTGTCCTTGGAGATTAAATTAAAATCAAGGTATACGATAACAGTCGGAACCTTCAGGTTCAGTTGTATTCCCACGATAAGTTGGCGGGATGAACGCCTGATCGTTATCCTTTGGGTTTCCGGTTCCAAATCGGATACAAGGTTGTTATTCCAGCACAATAACATTCTTCCCTGTACCTATCCCAGCTAGATATTGCTGTCGCATCTGTTCGGCCTCCTCGAGCTTCCATTCCTTGACCTCCACGTGCAATTGGTTCTGATGAAACAAGTTCAATAGCTCTTGGGCTTCAGCCGTATCTGCAACTAAAGAGCCAACGAGCTTAATATCTTTGTATATAATATTATGATAAGACATAGTGATGCCCTTTTCTGGTTGTCCTAGTAGTACCATTGTTCCATGCTTTCGCGTGATTGCGGCGGCAAGTTCAAAGGCCGCTGGGTGGTCCGTGGCAAGAACAGTTGCATCTAGACCTCTATATTTCGAGGAAACAATCGCATCGATCTTTTTGAGAGATTCTTCCACAGAATCATGAGCTGAAATCAGTATGTCGGGGCTATGCTTATATGAAGCCACTGCATCAAGGGCGGATTGCTTGACATCAACGGCAGCCACTTTATATCCCTGCAATATGATTAGATCTCATAATAACCGACAAGTCTTTGGTTATTCTTTACCATGCATTTCCCAAGTTGAGTTCCGATGTGACCCAGTCCTCCGATTCCGATAATACCAATAGATCCCCCTCTGGGGACTTTAGCACGCAAAATTCCTCCGTAGATGCTAATACCGGCACACATCAAAGGAGCGGCGACTTTAAAGTCCATGTTTTCTGGAAGTTTCACGATGAAGCGAGCATCTCTTCATTACTTGAACTGTCAAACTAGATGAAACAATGAACCGAGATCAACCGGCTAGAAACTTACGCAACCATGTATTCGGCCCAGGCACCATCAGTAGTTATGCCCTTCATCAGCGGGGAATCGCAGTAGATCGGGCGCCCAACTTCACAATCCGGACATTTTCCTAGGATCTAATCATCAGTAAATTTCTCCGTGTAAGTTTGTTCTCGCCGCGACGCACCGCACACGCTATCGAAGTTAATGCAGCCAACACGATCACCTTTTTGGAAGCCATGTACGTCTGCGCCAATTTCTTCCAATATTCCAGCTGGCTCGTGAGAACCAATAAATGGAAGAGGGGAATTGAACTCGCCATTCAGAGCCATCAGGTCGGTGTGACAAAACCCCGCAGCCTTGATACGGACCAGGACTTGATGAGGCTTGGGCCAAGGAACTGGCACCTCTGACACATAGTAGGGATCGTTGTATTTCGTGATTCGAATTGCCTTCATTGCGAACTAGTTAGATGTTTAAAGCGGCCTCGAAGATGTAGGTTTCGTATTCAGGCATGAACTTGAAATGTCAAGATGAGGCAAAGCTTCTCCGATTTGGGGAAGTGGATTCAGCCGATCTTCTACCGAATGGTATTGATGATGATGGATTGGTTTACATCCCGTTTGACGCCATGTTTACAACACGATATTTTATGGCTAGCCCTTTGTACTTTTCATGAGTTGCGTTAGTTTACACCGATTTGAATATTTGACCCATAATGTATACCGAGTGCGAGCGCCTCAATGTACGAGGTGATCCAGGTCATCAGAATAGAGAACCAGCAACTCAGAGATAGGCATAAGTCCAACCAAACCAGTGAAAACCCAATTGCATCAATGATTTAGTTCCTCCGTAAACAGTTGAATGTATCTAGAGACGCAATTGGGTACTTTTTGACCTCGGTTTTGCTAAACTGCGTTGTTTACTGAATGATACTGCCAAGCTGCGGGGGCAAGGCGGTGAACTCGCGGACCCTGTGGTGCGGTGATCGCCGCTGAAACCGGAGAAGATCACTCGTGTGCCGAGCTGGCTGTGCCTTTTCTTGGCCCCAAACTCAGTGACTCTCGATAATCTTCTCCCTGACTCTTGCATACCATCCGTGGACAGGGGCTAGGCAGTTCAGTGGCCCTGAGGGTCCCCTCTAGCTTCCCAGCAAAATCCCGACTTGCCGCTCTCGCCGCCTATCTTGCTCTCTCTCGATGAAGAGGGCAAAGAACCACGATGCCGAACGGGAAGAAAGTGCGGGCGCCTGCGCAGCCACGCAGAGATGTGCTGGCTTCTTTGCGCATGGCGTCCATGGAGGAAATAGCGCGAGCTTCGCTTCCTGCTGGTGCGTTCTCAGAGATATCGCAAGAACCTCGACGTGCGAAGGCCGTTACTAATGTAGTGCAGAAATCATGTCGTTGGTCCTTGATTATCTTAGCCCCACTGACCTAATCTGTGTCGCGCGGTCCAGCAAGTTGCTTCACGAAATGGCATATGATGATACGCGATGGGTACAGCGATTGAAACGAATTGGCTGCTGGGACGAGGCGGACGCCCGAAAGCATATCGAGAAGACTTACGGCACCATCGCAAATGTGGATGATATTGAACGAGATGCGGCCGGCATTTCAAATGATATGGGCCCTGTGATCTCAGTTGGGGAGACTTCAGCAGCCTCGGATATGAATGCTATTTCAGACGGGTTCGACAAAATTGAGTTAATCAGCACGGCCGCTGCGTCGGAGATAAAGGCTGTCACAGAAATCGAGGACGATCCGGATCTGGTAGTCTTGGAACAGGCTCGGTCGATTCGAGGCGAAGCGCGTCAAGAATATGGAAAGATCCATGCTGCACTGGCACCTTTCTACTATGACATTGCGAGAAAGGGGCCCTCGACTGAGAATCTTGTCTTCACAAGTTATAAAGACCCACAAGCACAAGCTCAAATCTTGTCACAGTTGGTGGCATTCGCGAAGTCCGACATGACTGATGGGTGGGAAGACCGGGTGGAACGCTTAGACAACACAGTGTCCATGTTTGAAACAGCCTCAATCAACGAATTTCGGAAAGGATATGAGACCGATGACATTGAAGGCAGTATGCGCAAGTACGCTCACATTCTTTGGACGCTCAATGGGGGCCAGGCTGCTGTGGAGCTCTTTATCCATCACAATCACTTGATGACACGGAAATCTGAACTTGGTAGCGTGGGTGATTGCATCGACGCGTCAGCCGGCAAAATCAAGATCCAGCACACACAAGCTTTTTTTTACCCGCCTGAGCGTCGCTTGTAACGAAGAAGTGACCATCATAAACCGCGCTTTTCCTTCTGAACTTGATGTGGCGTCTCCATTCATGGAAAAGATCGGAAAGGACATTCTCTACCCATTTCTGTCGGCAATCTTTGACGAGCTCCACCGCATCAACATTGAATCTTACCTTACTGCGATATCGGTGACGTTTGTACAGTGCATGAATCTGTCCGAATCTCTGCTCCCCATTCGGAACTCTGGCGAAAAGTTCGACCAGTACCTAGATTCGGTTGTGATCAAGATTTACGAGCCCCATATTGACCTCTATTTGGCCGAAGAGCTTGACTTTTTCGGAAAAACTCGGCAGCAACAGTTGATGATTGGGACCGCCAACTTTCAGAGCAAGCTGCCTCCACCGAGTCATTCCTCATGTCGAATGTTAATCGACAAGCCGATAAGCGAGACTTTCTCACATCATTCAAGAAGGTGATCATGATGCCTGTCAACATTCTACCCAGTTTCTCTAGCAACAAGGGGAACGAGGAATCGAAGTCCGATTCAGAGGCAGATGGTAATGGCCCTAATCCCAAGGTCCCGAATCGTTTCTCTACAATATCGTCACCAGCACCACCAACGTTGGAGGAAGCCCCGACGACCGAGCTAGCCGCCAAGGCAGCGATTATGAAAACAAAGATGGAGGGCATTCGCTCTTTGTTCAGCATCGAGATTGCGCTGAACCTCGTTCATTCCGCCAAGTCTAGTTTGGAGAGAGCTGCGCAATTTGTGCGACTTGGGGGTGAGTATGGCAGAGCCGCAAAGCACCAATGCGAGGCAATCTTTGTGGCATTGCTTCGGATCCTGGGAGATCGTCATGTTATAGTTGGCTTTGATAAAGCAGTGGATCATCTGTCTAATTACCGGCCACGTGAACAAGACGACCGCGACTCGTCAGGTGTGGAACCTCTAGTGACATTCTTGGAGTTGGTCAACGTGGGCGATCTGATCTTACAGATGGTGGATGTGTTTTATGAACAGGAGCTTGTCGGCACGAAACTGACTGATCGCCATGATTTCCTTGATCCGGCAGTTAAGGAGAAAAAGAAGTTTGAGCAGATGCTGGACGAGCGAGTCGCAGCAGGTTTGAACAAGGGCATTGATGTTCTGATGGAGGAAGTCGATTACATCCTTGCCACACGCCAGCTGGCCACTGATTTCAACCCAGGAGTCTCGACAGACCCTCATCGACAGACGATGGATGTTGGTATCAGTGAAGCCGCGGCGGCAGTAGTGGATGTGGTGTCTTCGCACACCCGGATGCTTGTCGGAAGCACCGACAAGAGCACGCTGGATGTGTTCAACCAAGAAGTTGGTCTCCGTCTCTTTGGCGCCTTATGTAAACACCTCAAGCGACAGCGAATCAGCGTGGAAGGGTCCTTGAAGTTGATCAGGTATGTTTATCACGATCGTGGCCCTTTTCTCATCACGTACTAACTCTTCCCAAGCGATATGAATCACTATTTCCAATTCACCCAGAAGCTCAGAAACGCTGAGCTACTCGTCTACTTCACTGCTCTCCGTGAACTAGCTCAGATTTATCTGATTGACTCGTCCGATGCCAAGGAAATGGCAACAATTATCGCCGATGCCGACCGCTTCCATGGAATCTGGAGCGTGGAAGAAGTGTATGAATTTGCCGAGCGCCGAGTCGACTGGTACCAGGTGAAACGCGATGTGGAACGAGCCATGTACGGCATTGGTTGTAGCGTGATGTAAACAAAGACGGATACCCCACGAATTGCATAGCGAAATGATTAAATAGATCTATAGACGATAATCGAGAATATCACCTAGGGTCAGCAGGATTTCTGATTGACTTGATTGACTCGTGCTCTGGACGATTGTCAACGTCAACAGCACTAATGCTGCTACTCTCACGGGCAATATAACCCTGACTGCTAAAACATTTTGAATATAACTCTAAGGCGATGCTATCAGAGGCTTCACTATGCTCCAATACCTACTTCAGCGCTATACAAGGGCTATATTGTATATTCAGATAGTTGCTTTTGATATTATAGACTAAGATAAGCTAAATATGATATAATAAAAGGTCGCTGATACTGTTGAACTGACTACTGCCAGTAAAGTCTGCCGCGAGGGGGAGAATTAATATGCAATATATTAAGAGCAACCAATGTATAATACTTGATGATATTCTGGCCGACTTCGGGTACGAATCGTATGCATGACGATATACTGTATGTTCACACGGAACAATAAGTTGAATTCGGACTCCTTTATCGTCACACTTTCGGTAACAGCGGAATAACGACATTAAGGCTATAAAAAGAGGACCCTCCATTTCTTTTGAACTGAATCTTGAAGAGATTCAGTTATTAGAATAATACACCTTTACTATGAGGAAATGGATAAAACTTTGACCGTTGATTGAGCAGGGACTCGGTCTTTATGCTTCAGTCAGCGGCAAGAAATTATCTTATACTCATTACATCAAACAAGATAACAGGATAGAAAGCAGGCTTTGGGTGCTATTAATATAAAATTAGCTTAGTACAGGGCGATCCATTAGCCATGATCTCAAGTTACAGGAATAAAGGCTCCGCGAAGGATGAGTTGAGCGTTATAATTTGAGCCAGTGTCCACCTTCCTTAGTATTTCTAGGTCTCGGAGCACAGTTCACCCAGATCAGCCTCATTGGGACATGTGATTGCGTCCATCTCCCGTACAAAGCTCAAGGGCCTTACCCTCCTGTACCAGCCAGCAACGATGAAGAGGCCATGCTTCTTTCCCATACGCACCTTGTCCTTGCGCCCATATTTTCTTCATTATTTTTTGGTTACAGACAAGGCAGGCCTGCCATGTTTCCATCATCAATCCTCCCGTGCCTTCTCCTTCACTGCGTCTAAATCAACGGCCCTGACAATGAGCACAAGTCGGGTCTTGTACGAGCCAATTGAGAGCGTGGAGCGAATGGAATATTATCAGGAGGGTGGCTATCATCCTGTGGAAATTGGCGACCACTTTTACAATCGCTATCGTGTCGTTCACAAACTCGGTCACGGCACATAACGATCTGGCTAGCCCGGGACGAGATATCTAACCGATATGTTGCCGTTAAGATTTGCACGGCGGATTCGGACCCTCTTGAGACCGATGTTCTGTCTCAGCTATCAGAGCCTGTAAAGTCGTCAGATATAGGCACAACGATGATACCTTCGATTTTGGATAGATTCAACATCTAAGGCCCCAACGGTAACCACGCCTGCCTGGTGACAAGCCCGGCAAGGATGAGCTTATCTGAAGCAAAGAACGGATCATAGATAGGCCTTTTCGGATTGATGTGGCTCGTGCACTGGCAGCACAGCTCGCGACGGTGATTCGGTATATGCATTCAGAAGGCTTTGTTCATGGAGACCTTCATCGTGGAAACATCTCCTCCAATCCCAATCCAACTTCAATAAGTTATCTACTAAGGAGCTATATGAGCTGTATGGAGAGCCGGAACTTGAGCCAGTCAGTCGATTAGATGGCCAAACGCCTCCGCCAGGAGTCCCGCAATATGGCGTCGTACCTATCTGGCTTGGTGAATCAAGTGAAAAAGTTACACTCCCAGAAGCCAGGATCATTCTTGCAGATTTTGGCCAAACATTCTCGCCAACACGAGAGAAGAGATTTGAGTCACATACACCCCTTTTAATAAGACCCCCCGAAGCTCGATTGAGCCGACAATCCCACTTACTTTCTCATCTGATATCTGGACGCTTGCATGTACCATCTGGGATATCGTAGCCCAACGGAGTCCCTATTCGAAGGCTTCCTCACAAACGAAGATGACATGACATGCCAGCCAATCGCAGCACTGGGCCCGCTCCCGACTCAATGGTGGGAAAAATGGGAGGGCCGTGGAAACCACTTCACCGACGGTGAGCCAAATAACCGAGCTACATCCCAGTATAGGTCCTTAGAGGATGCCTTCGAATTAAATATCCAGCAACCGCGGAATCAGGCGGGGATGTCGCCACTTGAATTGAGTGAGCGAAATGCTCTCTTCGCGATGTTGCGTTCAATGCTTTCTTTCAAGCCTGAGAATCGTTTGTCTGCTCAGCAGGTTCTTGAATCGGAGTGGATGTGAAATGGGCTATTCCCGAGTATGAAAAGATCCGACACTCTCAGGGAAGCTAGTAGTGGTCGCAATTTTACATAGAATTTCACCCTCCGATGAGTCGTGGTCAAGAGCCGTCTTCAGTTTCGTTCCGTGACGCTCAGCGCACTGGGCAAACTCCAACTCTTTTCCATGGCCGCATATATACTGTATGTAATAAGACATGCACACTGTGATCACCGTCCTGGATGCTTGGCAAGAAATAGGATCAACTTTGAGGAGAATAGTCGTACTTGCAGACCTTGTTTTTGTACTGAACCAAAGCACTCTACGGCAAGCCTGAGAATGCAGGCAGGATGAGATAGGTCGGTGAATAGGCCAATAAACCACCACACGCCACGATGGAGTAAGCCTCCCAAAATGGAAAGCAGAAGCAGATGAAGCGAAGAGAGTGTGAAAGTTGATTCTCTCCCTATCGGAGATACGAATTATATCCTGTAAAGACTGTGTAGTAGGAAAGGTCTCGTCCAATCAGAGATCGCCCTTGGTCGGTCATTTCCCCACTGCAGTAGCTAATAATTATTCCGGAGCTAACCATTATTGGTCTAGCTCGGCTTGGCATACGATGAATGAACAATGCGATGTGTCTGAGAGTGTAAGGGTGAACCAGCACTATACTGTATAGACTTTGAGAGCACGAATTAAGATTCCCCCCACAAGTGAAAATCACTCTTCTTTGCCCTAATTGAACTGTGTGAACTGTCTTAATATGAGCTACTTCTTCGGGAAGATGAATTCTCTGCCGGCTGTTCCGTCGTGCTGGGGTAGCATCTGACGTCAACGGCGGCTGCTGGAACATCCCACGTCGACGCTGAAACGATATCCAGACTTTCCGGACCAGCAGCCGCTTGCATCCGGTTGCAGGTTCGAACAGCAGAGACGGTGATATGGTACACGTCTTTCTATTCGCTATTCACCCAGGAACTCTGCGGTCTACAGGGGCCGACCCAGAGTGGGTTTCAGGAGTCCATTGGGTGTGACGCGGATATCCTCTCACCACCACATCTTTGCAGACGCCATGTCTCGTGAAAACCACTGGCTTAAGGCCTCAAGCCACCGGGCGAACATTATATGTTCAAGGTGGTGCACAGCGAAGGTATTTTCGGGGCCACTGGAACACATCGACCCCCGCCACCCTTGGTCTACTGTACTCCAGGTTGACATCTCCCGCCGAGTCATCAATTAGGGGAATTTCATTCGGGTACTCAAGTCTACCGGATCCACAATACCTCTCGTCTATGATGTGGTGATCATCTTCATTATCTGGGCCCTGGTCAGTTTATTAGGGCGGCGGCGGCACTCCAATCGCCCTCACAATGGCCACCATTTCTCGTTGCAATGATTCAATGTCCATATTCTTCATCTTGGTACTTGCAGTCCTCATACTCGCAACTGCGACGGACGTCCAAGAAGTGAAGGTTGTGACGGTTGAGAGAACGGTTGAAGCAGCAACAGTCACCATTCAGGCGACGCCTACCGCTCCCAGCCCTGCCTCATATACTTCACTGAAGGACTTCAAAAACACCATTCTAAGTGTGAGCAATGAATATCGGTCTACACACGATGCCGAACCATTGTTGTGGAATGAGACTCTAGTGAAATACGCGAAGAATTGGGCAGAGACTTGTATTTGGAAACATTCGGTATCAACATCCTGCTCTTCACAGTTGAATTACATCCATGTTGGTCCATTGCTAACCGTATGCTTAACATTTCCAGGGTGGTCCATACGGCGAAAATCTTGCTTTTGGATATGCGAATGCCTCCGCTGCGGTTGCAGCCTGGGGTGATGAAGGGGAATTGTACAATTTCCACAAACCTACCGGTTTCACTGAAAAAACCGGCCATTTTACCCAGCTTGTATGGAAGTCCACGACTGAAGTCGGATGCGCCACCATCAACTGCGGATATACTCAAGACAACAAATCCCGAAGAGAGGTCGATAATGGAAGCGCGAGTCCACTGGTTGCTCGAGAACCGGATGGGAGCACCCGAGCACAGGGCTGGTATGTGGTGTGCGAGTATACTCCAGCCGGCAATGTGGTCGGAGATCGCGACAAGTACTTCAAATTGAATGTAAAACCCACGAGTTCATCGCAAACGACCAGCAGCGCCTCGACCGGTCAATCCACCGGCGGGGGGACGGTAAAGAACGGTGTGGGATCAACAATACGGACAATGCTCTTGGCCTTGGCCACGGTAGCGATTGGGATGAGCTTATATACATAGGGGGGAAATATATCGTTCTTTTTCTTTCAACAGTCCTTGCCTAGGATACGATGGTCCTTGGAAGCAAGCTCAGGTGTGTATCATTCTTTTACGACGATAGACACTACCCAGGTATATATTATCAAAATATAAAAGGCACTTCACATGCCTGCGATCTACAAATACAGATTGAAGAAGACGATGACTGTTTGTTCGTAGGCATTTCTCATGCTTATCCACATTGCACATCAAGAGCTTCGTTCGGACGCACACAGCTCATCTATTGATTTTTGAAACACCCCGATCCTCGCTGTAGAAACGGCGGACCAAACAAGCGGGGAAACACAGAAAGCCGGGCCCGAAGGCAGAGGACGCCGGCGACAACAAAGGAAAAGAGAATGAAACACATTATATGCGAAAGAAAAGAAGCGAAGAAAAAGAAAGAGGTTCATCAACCGATGACCTCCTCGGTCTCGTCGATAATTTCTTCCACAATCTCCTCCACCACGGTGTCGCCCTCCTGCTCGCCACCGATAGGTGCATCCTTGGCCAGCTTGGGTGAGTCGGCATCCTCGGCAAGGCCAAATGCTTCCCTCTCCTCGGCCTGGATCTCCATCTCCCGCCGAAGCCAGGCAAGCCACTCGCTGAGGACGCGCTTGCGCTGCTCCACGACGGCTGTGTTGGCGATGTCGACGGCATACCGGTCCTCCTCGTCGAACTCCTTGGAGTACTCGCGCAGGTTCTTGCGCACCTGCTTCTGCTCCTCCTTGCTGAGGAAGGTAGGGGGGCGCGGTCGCCAGATGAACTGCTTGAACTTCTCAGTGGGGTTTTCCGAAAGGGTGTTTCCAGAGAAAGTGTGCAAATTCCAGCCGTTCTCCATCTAAATGAAATTGTTAGCAACTATGGCCGGCGGACAAATATAAAGACATGCAAGATCTTACCGAGTGAGTCCACACACTAGCACTGCTGACAACGTAGCGACCAGTTGAGTCCCATTCAATGTCAGTCACACCGTAGTGCTCAACGGTCTTCATGAGCTGGAGGTTGGCAGCCAGATCCTTCTCAGCCTCAACCTTCTCACCCTCGAAGTCCATATCCCAGAAATCGAGGTCGAAGTTGGACTGGGAGTGAACAGTGGCAACGACGACAAAGCGACCCTTAGGCGACCAGTAGATACCATTGCTAGTCTTCTTCTCAATCGTCCGTACCAGCTTGAAGTTACCAGCAGTGCTACCCTTCTTCTCGGTGGCGAAGAAAGAAACAGAAGTCTTGGGGGGAACGGCAGCGCCAGTGGGAGTTTCACCGGTGGTGATCAGAACGAAACGGGATCCGTTGGGCTCCCAAGAGAAGTTAATGACAGTGTCCTTAAGACTGTCAACGACCTCGACGGGCACACCCTTCTCGCGCACCCGGAAAATCTCCAGGTTGGTGGCCATCGACTTCTTGGACTTGGAGTGACGGTCGACCTTCACACAGACGTAGGCACCTTGTGATTGCCAGTGGAGCTTGACATCGGAGACATTGAAGAGGTTACGAGTGCGAACAATTTCCTTGGAGGGAACGCTCATCATGGCGACACGAGCCGGGTTGCTACCAATCTCGGGAGTCCAAAAGCAGAGCAATTGCTCATACTGCTTCACACCCTCACGGCTGACGGTGGCAGGAGACCACTCGAAGTCATTGATGCCCTCAACCTTGACGGACGTCTTGCCCAGAAGGTTCATGTTGGGGAGCTCATAAATCGAAAGAGACTGGCCCTGGAGCATACGGGCAACGTACTTTTCATCAGAAGACCACTTGAAAGCGGGCCACTGGACCTTCTTCTTGGGCTGAACATCACCCTCAGCGGCGGGTCCGGCGTTAAGATCATGGGAAACGAATGATCGCAGAGGCTTTCCGGACTCGATATCCCAGACAATGATGTTCTTTCCATCCTCCTCGTAGGTCAGGATGGGCTGACCCTCCTCAACTTGGATAGGGCGGGCGGACCAGGTGGTCAAATAACCCTCGAGAGGCGAGAACTCGATAAGTTGCACAAATGGGTGGGGAAACTGTTTTTGTTTGGAGAATGAGGCACCACCCCAAAGCTGGACACCTTGGGGGTGGACGGAGGCGAGGAAGGTTCCCTTGGGGGACCATTGAACGAAAAGTTGTGTCCAGTGTGCGCGGTCGACAACATTCTCTGGGGGGTTGGACTTGTTGTTCCAAAACACGCCAACCTTGTCGTTTCGGTAAAGGGCGAACTGATCACGGGCGCTAGCATCACCCATCCACGAACGGAGGTGCTCCTTCTCCTTGAATGGCTCCAGGGCAGGAGGCTGGTATTCCTCGTCCACACGGCCCTCGCGGCCATATCGCTCGATATCCATCAACTTGTTCACGGCCAGGGTGTGCTTCTTGTCGAGAGGGACGCCGTGCAGTTGCTTGACGGCGGCGACAGCCTGTTCGGGGGTCTCGTACTCAACGAAGGCGAATCTAAAGAAAAAACATCCACGTATTAATAAATGATTCCGAGATTCCATTCAAACTGCGCATATCGATGCTCCGTGTACGCACCCTTCAGACATGCCCTTGTCGTTAATCGGCATGAAAACCGCATCTTCGGCCGTGTGGCCAACGGTGTTGAGTTTTCTCAGTAAGAACTTGATGAGTTTTTGGCGACTGTCTTCGGGAACAACAGGGAGGCCATCGATCACAACAAAGGTATCCAGGCCTTCCTCCACCTTGACTTCATATTGCTCCTTGAGGTCTACCGAAACGTGTTAGAGAGGGGCAGATCACCGAGAAAAAGCGGATTTCCTGTACACACCGGAGAAATCAATCTCCTCCTCCTCTTCCTCGTGGAGGTCCTGCTCGGATAGAGTGTCGAAACTGGGCGCCATGATGGGTATAGCTGGAGGCGACAGCCGTAAAATAGAGGGTACGTGCGGACTTTGAAGATTTTCGGCCAGAAACAAAACTCGCCGCCAAGCGGGTTCTTTGTGCGCGCTGACTCAGCCTTGCAGCAATCAGTGTGTCACGTGGTCAGCTGAGTCATCATTTCCCCAGGCGCGCATCACAATTGCTTCCGGAGCTGCGGCGGACGCGGGGCTTCATTGTTGGGATGAACCGTGTCTCTTGGACGTGTCTTGAGTAACATTGCTTCGTGTCGCTCTTGGTTGATCCTCTGCCCCGTGCTTTTCTTGTTCCTTGCGCCCCAGCTCGGCAGCCCTCCCCCCTCCCCAGGCCGGTCCTAAGCGCCAGTGCGACTATACCCACCTGACACTCCCAAAGTACCTTGTTGCGCCATCTACAACACCGCCCAGATCGACCACTTGGAGCTCTCGGGTCATTTGTCTCCTCATCTTGGACCTATATATAGCTGCTCTGGAAGTTCTCTGGCCAGATTGGCTGCTGGCAACATGTCGCGTATGTTACCTCGGCGTTGCCCCGGCGTCAATTAGCCGATCCCTCCAGCTGGCCCATATCTCTCTCTAACGCTGATTCTCTAGTCTCGTCCGAAAAACGCAATGAGTACACCGAGATCATTGATTCGATTCTCGCGAAGAGTGATCTCAATACCATCTCCGAGAAGCGAATTCGCAAGGGTCTTCAGGATGTCATCGGCTATGATCTTACTCCTCAGAAGGTAGCTCCGCCCCATGTCCATTCATCTTTTGTTGAAACTAGATGATATAGCAAGTACTGGAAGAAAGCTCAGGTGACTAACCGCATCTTTTACAGGCTGCCGTGAAGGAGCTTATTATGGAACGGTTCGACATCTTTGCGAGCAACAGTGGAGCTGGAGATTCACCGGAAGAAACCCCCACGAGCAACGGTCAAACACAAGCAGACTCCGTCCCTGCAGTCCCGTCCCCTCCCCCATCATCGTCACCTGTGAAGCGTCAGGCAGACAGCGAGGAAGCATCTGAACCCGCTGATGCCTCTCCGCCACCCAAAAAGCGAAAGCCTGACGCCGATGTCGATGCCGATGCCGCATTTGCAGCCAAGTTGCAAGCCGAGGAGAATATGCGAGCCAGGACTACTCGAGGGGCCAGCACTCGTCGTGCAGCCCCCAAGAAGAAAACAAAGGCAAAAACTTCCAAGAAGGTAAAGGCGGAAGATGACTCGGATATTGAATCCGGGTCGACCAAAAAGAGGGAGGTCAATCGGTCGGGGGCTTTTTTCGTAAGTGTATTCGGATACCCTCCCATTTCCTGACACTTTGCTGACCTCAATTGATTGATAGAAGGAGCTTGTCCTGTCTGAGCCTTTGTCCGCGCTTATGGGTGGAGTCCAAAAGCTTTCGCGTCCTCAGACTGTCAAGAGAGTTTGGCAATATATTCACGAGAATGAGCTCCAGGATCCTAGCAATCGGCGCCAAATCGTGTGTGATGATGCGATGCGGGCTATCTTCAAGCAGGATCGGATCGATATGTTCGCCATGACCCGAGCTCTGAGCCAGAACATGTACAACCCAGACGAATGATCGGGCGCGGTCCGGATCCAGGAGAGCCACGATATGGGGGTTTCTTCACCTGCGTAACCTACATCTGCTTCAACGAATCTCGTCATTGGTCTTTATTGTCTATCTTATTTTCATCCTTCCTATCATTTGTTTTTCTGCGTTGCATGGGGAGCTGGCGTGACAACTCAACCTCTCTTGCCCCCCTTAGGGCTTTCTTGTTTGGCGCTTTTGCTTCTTCAAAGATTTCATGTGTTTCTTGCGCTCCAGCGGAGTTGGTGCCGCCATTGTATGGGGCAACCACTACTTATCAATTGCATCTATTACGTTCTTTCATATTTCCGTGCTAGCTGCGTCAGTGACATATACTCCATCCGCATATAGTCGCCCTAAACTAGGTTATCTCTCCCCATAGAACTCTGCAGAAGAAAAGTACTCTGGGCGGGGACTAATTTGCTTGTTTTATAGTTTGGTGCAGAACAAGCTAGCGAATGGTGGAAGATGGGCGTATGCCTAACCTATGAGGCTATGGACGCAGCCGCGGAGGTGATCAGTCAGCGAGATCTCACTTTTTCCCCGTCCCCCACCAACCCACAACGCTACGAGCTCCGCAGTACCTTGTTGCCATTGACACGTTCTTGCTGCGCCGATCTCGACTCCCACGGTCCCCGCCATGGCTGACAATCCCCCTACCGCCCCGGCTTCATCAGGCCAAGGCCGTGGTGGTGGCCGCCGTCGTGGCCGCGGAGGTGCCCCTCCTACCGGCCGGGCAGATGGACAACGCAACACTGGGGATGGAGCCAGCAAAGGAAATAAATCTCGTGGCCGTGGAGGCAGAGGGTCTGGTGGACGCGACAAGCAACAGGGTGTCGATGAATCCAAGGAGGCTAAGTCCCATACACCGGTAGCTACTGCGACAGTACAAGCGAAAGAAGGGCCCGCAGCTGCCGATGATGCCGACGACGTCGACGACGGTGAAATTTGCTTCATTTGCGCCTCAAATGTTGAGCATACATCGGTGTCGCCATGCAACCACCGAACCTGCCATATTTGTGCGCTGCGGTTGCGTGCTTTATACAAGAACAAATCCTGCGCCCATTGTCGAGTAAGTGTATTTTGCGACTCCCGTGGGACAAGTTGTCCTGTGGTTTCACTCTAGGTGATACGCTAACAGGATTTAACACGTAGACTGAGTCGGCCTTTGTCATCTTCACGGATGACCCGGTTAAACGATTCGAGGACTTCGAGAAAAAGGAGTTTGCTCGGACAGACGACAATCTGGGTATCCATTATGAAAAGGACGAGATTTTCGAAGATACTGTGCTGTTGCTGCGATACAACTGCCCTGATGAGGATTGCGATGTTGCGTGTCTTGGCTGGCCGGACTTGCATCGCCATGTGAAGAGCAAGCATGGGAAGGTGATGTGGTAGGTTCCAGCTTCATGGTCGATGCTCTTGTGATGACCCAGCAACTAACTGTTTGCTACGATACAGTGATCTCTGCACGAGAAACAAAAAAGTTTTTACCCACGAACATACCTTATTTACGACAGCCGAGTTGCGGAAGCACGAGAAGTATGGCGATCACAAGCCCGGTGCCATTGACCAGAGTGGTTTCAAAGGACACCCTGAGTGCGGCTTCTGTCGACAACGATTCTATGGTGATGATGAGCTTTATGCCCACTGTCGCGATAAACATGAGCGCTGCCATATCTGTGATCGCCGGTCCAGCAACCGCCAACAGCAGTACTACATCGATTACAATGCCCTAGAGGGCCATTTCCAGAAGGACCATTTTCTATGTCTCGATAAAGAATGCCTGGAAAAGAAATTCGTGGTATTTGATTCCAAAATGGATCTCAAGGCCCATCAGTTGGAGGCCCACCCGGAAGGGGTTTCCAAAGATGTGCGTCGGGATGCTCGAATGGTGGACCTTGCGGAATTCGATATCCGGACCCCATATCAGCCGCAGCGTCAACGCCGCGGCGCTGGTCGCGGCCGTGATCCTAATGCTGAGCCTCTTCCTGTCTCTAGCGCGCAGCAATTGGGACGCGCTGAGCAGGCCTTCCAGCGGCAGCAGGCGATCCAGAGTGCACAATCAGTCACTACGCGCAGCTTCGGAGGCCAGCTCACCCGAAATGAAACCCAAACCGTACAGGCACCAGCTCGTTCAGCAGCTGCCACGCCAGTCCCGTCCTCCCTCCGGTCTCAACCACCACCCACCTCAGAGCTCGAGAGTCTCAGTCTTGCTGTGAGCTCAGAGCCGCTCAGCTTGCAAGACCAAGCTCGTCGCCTGCGCCATTCGGCCGTGGTGGAGCGAGCGTCCAACCTTCTCCGCAACGATACTGCTAAGATGAATGAATTCCGCAGTCGAGTTTCCAGCTTCCGTTCATCAGCAATTGGACCAACCGAACTCATCGACGCTTTTTTTGTTCTCTTTGATACATCCAGCGCTGAGCTTGGTAAGCTCATTAAAGAGCTAGCCGATATCTATGAGGATGAGTCTAAACGCAACAGCCTGCTTCAAGCATGGAATGACTGGCGCGCAATTAATGAGGACTATCCTGCCTTGCCGGGACCTGGTGGTCTCTTGCCGGGTATGTCTCCTGCGACGGTGAGCACCGGTGGTAAGCGTGTCCTACGACTCAAGTCATCCACCGCACAATCGTCTCGCTCTTCTGTAGGACGAAGTGGAGCCCTTTCTTCATCATCTTCTCCATCTAATCCATTTCCTCCCCTCTCCGCCGCTGTCGGTTCTTCCTCCCGTCGCACGCCTGTAGCATCCGCCACTCCCTGGGCCGCCGCTCCTCCGCCACCTCTTGCACGACCACCATATTCCAGCACTCCCAGCTCCTCCTCCTCTGCAGCTCCCGTGAAGGCTGCTCGTCCACCAACGAGTACTGCAGATTCTTTTCCTGCACTCCCCGTGGCCGCCAAACCCAATGTTATGATGGCTGGCAAGACTCGCGGCTATGTCCGCTGGGACGAGCGCAAAGGCCCTGCTCCCAGCGCTTGGGGATCAAACTCATCTTCCGGAATTGCATCGCCAGCCGAGCCAGTCGATGCCGATTTTGAAGATACCTCTGAGGGGAAAAGGGGCAAGAAAAAGAAGGGCAAACAGACCCTGTTCCACTTTGGTTGATTGGTCCACATTGAGGCCACTTTCTTTCAGATACCTCGCAAGCGAACTTTGATAGACGATTGAATACTTGAACTCTATTTTCTGTCCAAGTCTGACGGAAAATCGTCGTGTGTTGCTATTCATAACGTACAATTCAACAAAATACGCATAATATGAAATTAGTTGAAGACAATATTAAAAATTCCGGAGAGATTACGCCGGATGTTATTGCATTCCCGAGAATATAAGATTATATCTAGCAAGATGCTTAAAAAGTATACTATTTGGAGAGTTTCTAGAGGTAATCGCCCATTCTTTAAAATCATGTCTAAAGGACACGTCTGGTACACATACTATTTAAGTGTTATAAAAAAGCAACATACCAAGCGTGTTCCTCCGTGTTCCACTCCTCTCAGGCTGTTGATAATGAATGACACTCGGATGCGCATACAGGACTACAAGAATATATGAATAATAGCGATCCTTACCCTAACTCGCATCAAGCTGTTCAGCCTCCGCCTGCTGTAGAACGCACTTCGTAATCTATATGTATCGAAATAAAATCGAGTTGAAGACAATCCTCTGTTTCAGCCTAACCATTGTTGCTCGTGAGGATCAAAGGCGTACGAGGGCTGGCTGCAGAATCGGTCACACTTGGCCCCGTCTTTCAATGTCGAAATGGTCAAGGCCTCCCGTCAACTCCATTTCCTTGTCAATAGCAGTCATTTTCAAAATGAAATCAGTTTGTATTTGAGTCAACAGCGAATTGAGGGACTCTTCATCTGCAGATTCATTCCGGGCGAGCAAAAGCCGTTCACGCAAGGAAAGAAGTAGCTTTCGCTTCCGAGCAATGATAACAGCACGGGTGGTACTATTTCTGCGCTGTCGAACAATTTCCATGGATTCCGAAACAGTTTTGGCAACACTGACCACACCAGGCGGAAGGTCGACCAGCTTTGCTAGTTGCAGGCCATATTTGTGGTCAGGCATGGGTCCGTTTGTAATTTGGTAGAGCATCGTCATCTTGTTTACATCTGGAGCTATATTTGCGGCTAGATGCAAATTGATGACTCCACTGCGCTCTGATAATATCTGAGCAAGATCGTGAAAGTGTGTCGCGAACCAAACTAGGGCGTTGCTGGCTATCAAGGCTTCAGCAACTGCAACGGCGATGGCGAGTCCGTCAGTGGTACTTGTACCTCGGCCTAACTCGTCAACAAGTACCATGCTGCGCGGTTGAATATGACGAAGGATAAATGCTATTTCGCGCATCTCTGCGGCGAATGTTGACACATTCGCATCCAGGTCGTCACTGGTTGCGATTCTTGCAAAGAGCTGATGTACGATTGGAAATGAGGCAAATTGTGCGGGAACAAAACAGCCAACTTGGGCCATAACGACCATCAGGGCAATTGACCGGATGTACGTCGACTTTCCACTCATGTTGCACCCTGTAATTATCTGAAATCTAGTCTGAGGTGTCGCGCAAACATCATTCGGAATGAACTTTTTCGAATGAATACGTTCCCTCAGTGGGTGCCGTCCGGCTTTGATGGTGAGCGTAGCAGTCAATTCGGGGCGAATGTAGTCGTGGCAAGTTGCCAACTGCGCAAATGAAGCTAGTAGGTCAAGCATTCCAATTGCCTCGCTGATACGAAAAAGGCTGGCTATGTCGACACATACATCGCGAAGTAGTTCTTGCACGGTTTGGTCACTCATGCTGATAACCTCATTGTGGGCATCTGTTATTTTCTGGTTCAGTTTGACTAGATCGAGGGTCTGGCATTGCGTTCGGTTCTTCTTGCGATAAGTGTTGATAAAAATATCCGGCAGAGGCTCTGGCTCACCCGTGGGGATAGAGATGTAATATTGCCGGGCCGTGTCGTATTTCAGTTCTAAATGAATGTTGCAGGTTTCTAAAGAGTTTCAAATCAATGACGTTCAAAAAATTTTAGAATCTCAGAAGTTTCTCTAATACCTCCCAACTTTGTTACAAGCTCGGTTGCATCCGCGTTTGCCTCCTTGTATGTCTGCCTGGCCACATCGAGCAGGCTATTGACACCGGCCTTGAGAACGTTAAAATTAGTTTAAGGGAGGGTGAGAACACAAGGTACCTTCACACAATAAATTCGTTGATTCCTCAAGTCAAGTGGCTTGCTTTGGTATGTAACTTTATCATTCAAAGTTCTGTCAATCAATTCCTCGATTGAATGATGTCCCGCGGGGTGGCAGAGCTAAGACAAGTCAGTTGAATACGATCTTTCAAAACGATCTTTTATCACATAAATACCCCCGGATTGTCAAGAGCAACTCGCTCTGTGCTGCTTCCAGCGCCTGGTACACCTTCTTGATTGAAGCAACATAGGTCTTGAGCATAATGACATTGTTGACGGACTGTTCTACATATTGAACTGTTCTTTTGGTGGGGACGACAATGATCTTAAGAGTCGGTCATTATATTTGCGCAATAGGGTGAAAGCATATCATACCGAAGTCAAAACTTTCTCCGCATCTGTGAAGCCCCTGAGTGACTGGCGAACGGAAATGAACATGTCCTCGTTAGTGGATAGCTCCTCAACAGCATTGTATCTTGCTGTCAGCTTGACTCTTTCGGTCGATGGTTGCAGGATGTTGGCTCTTAGAAGTCTTGCTCCCATAGGTGTCAACGTCTCGTTCAGCAAGCCATATAGGCTATTTTTAGACTTCGCATTTTGCAGATTTTGGATGAGTTCAAGCGACACGATTGTGGCTAGGTCGATGGTCATAGATTCCTGTGATGGCTCAAATCGAATACGAAGAGTGTGAGGTGTAAAAACACGCTGGAGCTCAAGTTCGATGTATTTGAGTGCCTGTTATATTGATTAGAATGTCATTCATTGTTTGTATGTGTGATTCAGATATCATTTGCCCATACCGCAGCAAAGCAACATGTCGCAAAATAGTTCCCACCCATCGTCCCCTTTAGGGACTCTACTTCGTCTGGGAATGCCAGTCGATCCAAGTATTCATGCCCCGCTTTATCTGACCAGCACCTGCGGTCCATAAACGTGAATATAGGGTGGGGCAAGTTTTCCTGGATAATATGACGGAGTTTTGATTCCTTGGCGGTGTTCATTAATAGGATCTCACTGGGTTCAAACACTCCAATCTTTGTAACAGTTTTGACATATGTCTGGCTATCGTAGATCTGACATAGAACCACCTCTGCCGTGGCAAGATTCACAAGAGCAAGCCCAACCGTGGAGGACACGCCCCGCGACTCACTCACCGCGCAAACAATGTCCTGCGATGCAATGCTGGTTGCAGTGGTGGTTACCCTGGGAGTTCCAGGATATCTTGTGCTTTCTCTAGACGTCAGTGGAACAAATGAGTCCACAGTGGACTGTCGTGACGCCAAAGGCATTTTCGTTGTGCGATGAGGAGAAGACTGAAAGCATGAAGTGAAGTCCGAAGTTGGGAGGTACACCACATTTTGTGCCTTTGCCCTCCCGACTTTGTCCTCGGTTCCTCTACTATCGTTTTTCCACATAAAATCTTCTGTTATATGACGGAATCTTTCATCCTAAAAGATCCTTTTCTCATTGAGATAGTGTTCATGAGATATTTTGGGGCCTACCTTTTGAATGTCACAATCTGAACCCTTTCGAGAGACTTTCCAGAAAAGACCTACTTATAACATGCTTCGATGTCAGACAGACATATGACAAAAATTTTGTCAAATCGCCATTTAAAAAAGGGTATAGTATTGAAATATCTTGAAATTGAGAATAGCAAAAAGGCATGGCAAATTGAATGAATTGCAGGGGTATGTTGAATATCAAAACGCCGACCGGAATGGAGAGAGAACACCACAGAGTAGTCAGTCTCAACAGTGCATCCTTTTAACACTAATAATTTATATGCGAGTTTCACAAGCCTTGTGAGTAGACTATGAAAGTCATTTTCCCTGGAGAGTTGGCCGTGAATGGGCCTGCGATACATGGCTCGCAGACCCTGTGGTCTCATCAAAGATGTTATACCCGTAATCGGCCGCATTTGGAGGGGTGTAAACTATTAAAAGAAGTTAGAGCCGCTCATCAAGCTGATATTAATTTGATCTGACATACGGTGCAGAGAGACAGCAATCTGGCTGGGGTTTGGATTGTGAACACGATGAAGCCCGATGTCATCGGAGATATAGGTCACCTCATTCATACCAAAGGTGTTGGCATGCTTGACAGTCAGAGGTTTGCTTTCGCCAGACTCGCTATCGGGAGTATGATATACTGTCTCATGAAGCTCTCCAGCTAGAACTTTCATGATGCAGTGGGCATTGGCGTGGTCATGGATTGGGGAGCCCTTTTGAGGATTCCACACCAACAAGAGCTAAGAGGATTAGATTGAGATCGGCGGTGAGGATTAAAAAGAAAGGACTTACAATGTTTGCCTTGTGATTAATGTTCTCAATCGCATTGCGCGTGTAGTTCTTGCTTGTATCATTGTGGAAGTACTCGATCCAGTCGCTAGGATCTGAGATGTATTTCTCCAGTAGGGATTTCAAGTAATTCTCGTCAACTTGTTCAGAAGAAATTCCTCCAGAGGTTCCCAAGTGTTCCTTAATGTCTTGGACGAGTCCGCTAAGATCGTATCGTTCCTTGAAAGGCCGATACCCTGGGGTCGATCCCTTATCGAGTGTAGCGACTCCAGCGGAGTGTGAAGTAAGAACAGACGACATATTTGATATGGAGAAAATGTGAGATTGCTTAATTGACGAAGCTTTGTAAATAGTAGTTCGGTCATGCAAACGTGGAAACAGTTTATAAAAAGTTCTTGGTTGGGTCGAAGGGCAAGGTGATCGCAATCCCCGATGGACAATGACGTTGCGGTATTCAATCGGCGATTGGACTGGGTTAAATCGCCGAAAGATAGCATCCACACCGCAACATTCCACGTCAACATTATTTCGTCATTTGGAGGTCTTATGAGTTGACTGATGATCACAATCTTGCCTTTATCTAACTGGACTGTATGTAATTCTTTTCTGGTTGAAACTACCCCAAGTGCTGGAAATCTACCGCAAGTTGTAAAGGTCAGAATACTTGTCACACTATGCTGCAAACCACGAACTTATTTCATTGGCAATATCGAGTTTTTACAGAGCTAGTTTCATATGTGACATGGAGAAAAAAGCACAATTACATTTTGAGTGTTAAAAGATTGAACCTCGTGATTTTTATATCGGGGTTATCAGAGTCATCATTCGTTACAGCATGGTCCTCGTCAGGGTAGAATACGGTCCATTAATTAATGTCAAAATCCGGTAACGATGTAAAAAAGGTATCGTTGTAGCAAGTCGGATCAACAAAGGCGGGTGCGATCGGTGGGAACAATAATTCATGTCCCTCCGATATGGCAGAGTTTGGCCGAGTTGGCTGATTAGTTCTCTCCGTACTGCTCGGCGTCGAGTCCGAGGGGAAAAACTTTCTCAAAGGCTCTGTGCTCCATCTTTCCATTGAATCAGAGAGCGCATCAGCTGCAGACGTACGAAGCTGTGTGTATGCGGCATCTGCGAGGCCCCATATTCGCTTTGTACTTTTGAGACAACCCAGGATAAGAGTAACTCGATTGTAATGGTGGTCAAAGCACTCCTCGGTATGCTTGACCGAAGTCGCGAGTTGAATCATCCCGCACAGCGCCAAGGCAGGTATGACAAAGGGCGAATGTTTAAGGACATTTGGGCAGAGTGAGATTGTGTCAGATATTCTCCGCGAAGCCTCGGTCGCCTTGATGCTGTGGATGGGACGATTGAGTGTCGATGCAATGTGCCGAGTAGGAACTGGCCAAAATTGTTCATCGGTACGGGGCAAAACAGATTGAAGGTCACTTCGGGTGAGATGTAACAACATTGTCGCGTAGGCAATCGTAATATGTGCTTGGAACATCATCTCATCAATATTACCATAAGAGTCGACAATATCTAGCTTTCGGGGTGGTAGATGATTGACCCAACTGACAAGCGCATTTTCCACAGCTTGCAGATGATCTCGATGGTAGTCACGTAGCCGGTTCAATACAATCGCGCGGCAAAGAATTGTTGTCGCTTCAATCCGGTAGCTGAACGATGAGAAGACTGTTTCTTCAGGCGCAAAGACTCTGCGTTTGAAGTCGATTATTTTCCGCGGCGTTGGGATGTCATAGGTGCCCGTATATGCCGAGTCTTCACATGGTAGGCCGACTTCCGGTGCCATCGTACTGCAAAGGAAAGTATTACTCTTAAACGGGGCCGCGATGAAGATGTCGGTAATGTATAATTCCCACCATGTCCGACGCAGGCTTTCAGCCTCAACACTGTTCTCAGAATGGACAGACACGGCGAAGTCCTGACGATTCATCCCTAGCTCCAAGGCAATCTCGACGCTATGGGCAAATGCGTCCTGGGCTTCTTGCCATTCTCCTCGAGCGTAGATGGCGATCGAGTAGATTAGCCAGGCCTGCACCATACATGATGACCGCTCTGGATTGCAGGTTAATTCTGCGATGACCTTGTCTTTATAGCCCTGTGTTGGGCTAGAAGGAAGGTAGTGAGATCCGACGAAGTTCACCACTAGCTGCAAGAACTCGGGATACTGTCTATCATGATAAGTGGCACTCGGCACCAAGATGGGATGCGCCACATGGAAATTTTCGTAGAAAAGACGAAGAAAGCGATCATCGTGAAACCAAGGGTCCCGAGGTGCACCCGGTTGTTCTTGACTCAAGACATCCCTTGAAGGAAGCATAGGCCAGGGGACCGGACCCACAGAGCCTGACGAGTCCGCTATTCTTTGCGGTGAAGTGCTATCGGGGGTCTGCGGTTGCTCTGACACTGGCACTGGCAAGATAAGAGTCGCCTTACATCAAAGTAGCAGTTAGCATTTGATCTGGCTCTGGAAAGAGAAATGGCGTAGGCTCACATCTAATGCATCGGGGTTGCTCGAAGGTGGTACCCGGCGATTGGAGTCCGGTCGGGCTTTCCTGCGACCGCCACGTCGCGAAGGGAGATACTGGCAGTAGTATCCGTGCTGCACGCAACGCGAGCACGTCGGTTTGTGTGCGTCACACTTGAGATGTTGTTTGCGACATTCCGTGCACGCCAAGGAGACCAGTCCGCTTGCTTTCGTTTTGGGCATCGTCAAGAACGGCGGAGGATGGATGAGGAGGTTGATGTGGGATACCGGGGTCATCGGGGTTTCGGCAGAGCCCGAAAGAGCGGACAGGCATTCGTTCATGACCGTTATTGGTTCCCCAAGCCGGTCCATAGCCTCTGAAGGCGTAGTTGTATTCGCTCGAGGAAGATACATGTTCTCAAGAAAAAGACAGAACTTTATGACAGTTAATAGCTTTTAGAGTCTCATAGAATGAGAAACCCCTGGGAAGAGGGGGCAAAGTCACTCCGCCGGCCTGGATCTCGTCACCCAGCGTGTCGTGTACCTAAGCCCGCAGACCAGAGCACGCTATCAGGGCCGCCAGGCGAATCATGGCCAGGGTCAGAATTATTGACTACCAATCATCCCTGCTCTTTTTTATCAGTTTCATTGAATTTGGTGCTCAGCTAGACCAACACCACTGTGGTGCTGGTCATTCGGCGATTGAGCCGACCGCCATGTAGTACGTAGTGCCTTGCGCATCCCTATCCCCCCTTTACTTCGCAATCATGAGGCACAGGCCGTATTGAACTTCTAAATACAGACTGAATTACTGACTACAATGAGTGATCGACTCTCAGGGGCATGGAGCTATGTCAAGTCAAAAATTTAATCGAGCACATAAATCATGCCTTCTATCGAGAACTAATCTCTCCCTGAAGGTCTTGTGTGTGGGTCATGATAGCCTTCTCATCATCAACCGAAGAGTTCTTTTAAGGATAAAAAGGATAGTTTCATTTGCATCACATCACAGCAACTTCACTACCATAGAACCCCCAGAGTATTCATTCTCGGTCAAAAAAAGAAAAGTTGCAATTCAATATTCTTCGCAACCTCTTCTCCGCTTTTGTTCAACATACTCAGAGTCATTTTGTCACCTGTCATCTTTCCCTTATACCTGCAAGTCAAATTTAGCGAAAGGCATACTTGATTAAGAGCATCAGTGTTGCTCACCAGTAGTATGTAGCAGATTTCTCATCCGAAAGTATTTCAATATCTTTTTGTCCCGAATTATTGAGTGTCACTTTGCTGACAGTCCCATGAACGGTAAAATTCGCCTTCTCTTTTCCGCTAGCATCTTTGGACCATTGAGAAATAACGGCCACCCTGTCTCCATTCTGCACATTATCTCGGAAGACGATAGAAAGCACCTCATCGGAGGCGTACGGCGAGTAGTTGAGCTTACCGACGTAGATCAGCATGTTGTCGGTATTTGGTATTATATAGGATAGCTTTATGGCTTTCCTATAAGAGAGATAGGAAAAAATGTGAAGAAAGAAAGGACCTTTTATGATAGAATTTCCAAGCATCATAAAGACGGCATTCATTATAAAGTGACACAGAAGTCTTGGTCAATAATCAAATTATTGACATGTAGTAAAGTAACACACTCTAAACACAAACTTCCCTATTTCACTAGATGCAAAGCAAGCCGTTTTACCCTTCATTTGACGAAGAGATCACCTTAGATGAAAAGTACCTTGTGTAATCTGAGCCAGGTTAAAGCCTCATGCCGAGACATCCGAAGAACCCCTGCTGTTCTTATGCACATATATTAGTTGAATTTACTATGAGTGACGATAACGAATGGCCTCGGAACTTAATCAAGTTCTATGTCTATTGGATCATATTGAGTGATGACATGATAACTTCGATGATAGTAGTGCTCCTATTTTTTCTCAGCGCCTATTGGATTTCCTGTCTCATCCGAGCCTCCGTAGAATTTTTTTAACCTTCAGACAAACATATTTGTGCTACTCAGATAGCTAGCAAGCTTGATTTGAGTGTACAGAAAGATCCTTGAGTGTTCAGAAGGATCCTTGAGTGTTCAGAAAGATCCCTGAGAGTATAATGGCTCAAACTAAGTTTTTCACTTGGGAGCATGACAGATCTGCTACTAAGGCTGCTTGCTGGTAACGATATAGGACACATGATGAGCCAGTACCCTAGGTGATAGATCGAATCAAATATTTGGTGTTGTGATTGAAAAATTATGTTCTCAAAAAGTATCAGTGCCTTACACCGCGTATGGCAGAAGCCTGTCTAGCAGGATCACGCGAGGAGAAGCGGAATATCGCGCGTTTATCACGCGAATTTGGCGTTACTTGATAGTAAACTATTTCTAAGCTATAAACGATATTTCCGCTTAGTTAATAACGAGTATACATTTCAGGGTAGTAGCTCTATCTGGAGATCCGAGTTTCTTCGAATAATCAGTGACATTCGAGATAGAGCATTTAGCTATCTTTCAAAGATCGTAGGATCTATCTAGTTAATATATTAGTAAGCTTATGAATAATCTTCCTATTTAAGATTATTAAGATCTTATAGCGCCAGATCTACTATATTTAACACCCTCTATTAGGGTGCTACTTGCAGGGTAGCGGCCTGTTAGTCAGGTAAGGAAAATGAATACAAAATTGAATCGCTATGGGAACGGGGAAGAATAGCCAATTTTATTTTTCAATCAACTGAAGTTGAATCTTGAAGAGATTTAGTTCGAAAGAAAGGGTGATTCTCCTTCTATGTATAATCTTAATATCGCCATTCCGCTGTTCGCCGAAAGTATGACGATAGAAGGATCCGAGTCCGACTTTGTTATTTCTTATAAACACACATGGTCATTCTTCAATAAGCGTATACGTCATGTACACAATTCATATCCAAAGTCGGCCCGAATAATATCAAATATTCTATTTTTGGTTGTTCCATAACACTTTCGCTGCTACTATAGACTACTATATCTTCTTCTAGCATCGACAAATCACCGCACAGATCTGTATAGGATCTGGAGAAGAATCAAAGAAAGATTGCTAGATATCAACAAGAAGATCTTATACTAAGGCAGAAACGAAATCTTGATCGTCTATTTTATGATGACAAGATAACCATAGAGAATCTTCAGATAGCGAATAATATAATTGGCAAGATTAGGGAAACTCAACAACCACTACAGCACCCAATCACCAAGCGCCAGGTAAAAGCGCTACTTAGCAAAACAGGGTGCTCTTTATTAGAGATGCAAATCTTTCTATTGCTAAAGAAACAAGAAGGATGCCGATGCAGAGCGGAAGCGGATAAGTAAGCAGTGGAAGAAACCGTATAGAACATCACCACGACCGGGTCCTACACAGGGTCAAGATAGAGCACTAGAAAGAGCGGAGGAAGCACGCCAGGAGGGGAAAATCTTTTTCTAGGTAGCGTTAGGCTGCATTGATAGAAGGAAATAATCAGAAATTGTTTCAATCAGTGTGTGACACACCCAAAACCCGGAAGGGTTGGTGGAGGCGGGTTTGAGGCACTAATTCACTAAAGGCGCTAAAGAGTCACTAATTCACTAAAAGCGCTAAAGAGTCATCCGCATATGGATAGACGAAGGTTGCTTTGAGGTCTAGCTACACCTAACTAATAAAACAAAAGTACCACTGAGTGGGGGCCAAAGTGAATGTACCCACCCACTCTCGATTCTGTTCAGGGCTGACGGAAAACTCAAGGTTCGGCCCCTGACCTGGTTATTTCGACCTTCAAATTTGGGAAACTTCGCCAGGATAACCCCCACCACCGCTATGAGCTCTCTTGCCACTACCTTCGTCAACCCTCTTACCACCACCTTCGTGCCACCGGCCGAGTGCACCACTGATACATACGACATTTCATGGTCTCAGAGCTCTGGTTACACTTGGTGGTGGGCGAGCCTAGGCGCCGAAGATTGGACCACTTGCTTCCCATCCGAATATGAACCAACAAGCTATTTCTCGCCAGGCATCTGTCCAGAGGGATACTCCGCTGCCGGCGAGTCGCAGGTCACGAGTAGTGGTGAAGTCGAGACACGAGCCACTTGTTGTCCTAGGTAATTAACCACAAGCGCTTACCCCATTTGTACATGTGCCAACATTTATTGACTTCGGTCTTGTCATAGTTACTACAATGCTCAAACCGGCACGGATTGGCCTTGGTACACATCGAATCAATGTACATCCTCCAACGCCAACGCTAGTTCCGTCTATAGCTATACTGTGACGGTCTCAGGGACTTCGACAGTAACACAGACGGGGACTTTTGGCGTCAATGCTAAGGGTGTTTCCATTCGGTGGAAGTCAGCTGACTTTGCGCCATCAACATCGAGTTTAAGCGCAAGTTCAACAACTACAACGTCGGCTTCCACCCCTGATACCACTAGTCAAGCCGCAACAGCGACAACAATAGCAGCATCAGCAGCAGCGAGTGATAACAGCAGCCAGAATTCCTCCAGTGGTCTCTCAACAGGCGCAAAAGCAGGCATGGGAGTTGGAATTGCTGCTGGTGCTATGATATTTATTACTCTCGCCTTCTGGCTCTATCGGAGACGGCGAAAGACCAGCTTTATCCAGAATGGCCGGATAAAAAGTCTTAGTGAACTAGGCGCGACACCAAAGCCTAGCGAACTAGCTGCACGACCAAATGCTAGTGAATTAAGTGCACTAAGCCCACAGAACCCTCAGATGAAAACGGGGTTCTACCCGTATGAGATTGGCTCAAGTGAAGGAAGTATACGACTACGAGAGATGTCTCCTGTAGAGCTAGACACCCCTCGGTGATTAGAACGCTTGCAAATATCACCTTGATGATGTCTATATATGAGAAATAAGCGGGTATTATAGCCATTACTTCTCGTTATTACGCATAGCTACCTACGTTTATAAAAATTTATTGTAGATTATATTATTTTCTAAGGTGCGTAGAAGCTTGTGGACCCCTAATTCTTAGATCTCTTATATACTCTCCTAAACGTATGTTTCCTTCAACTTGGGTTATAACTCAGGATTGGAGGTGTGATGCTTTAATATCTCGTATATGAGTATCCGCACTTGAGTATATTGAACTTGCTACGGGCTCGATTGTTCCTTTCTATTGCTGATGTCGAGAGCCTATCTACTACGAAATTTAGAATGGGCTTATGAAGTCTATAGCTCAAGTAACTATAGTACTCAATAAGACTTGATCAAATGAATAATATTGTCGAAGAGTAGTAGAGAATATTTCTAAGGCTTTCGCTTTATATAATAAGGCTGACTTACTTGGGAGCATGCTGTCAACAGCAGGTAGGTACTTCGTCTACCTCACAAGCATTGAATGAATTCAACAGAACTTAGTATCTTTGTGTCAAAGGACAAACATTGAAGCATCTTTGGATGACCCTGCCTGTTCCTGAGCCTGGATTGAGACGATCCGCCTAGCTGAAGCATATCGGTTTATGTGTCTTCTACTTCTCTTGTGCTGCTAAATATATTATTTCAAAACCGAGATAGAATACAAATGAACAGAGCTCAAGCCAGCTAGCTATCGCATGCAAGAGTCATTCATTCTTGTATGTCAGAATTTTGCTACAATATTTATATAAATGTATAAGTCGATACCTGCCTCCTTCCAGGACTTAGATGCTATTGTATTAGATATCTCATTTCTACCGCAACAAAATGTAATTGGCCGGATGGTGTAGTTGGTTATCACATGTCGTTAACACCGACAAGGTCCTCGGATCGAGCCCGGGTCTGGTCATTATTTTTGTATTTCCTCAAGCTATCAACTAGCAGTGTCTCCGCCTATTTACACCGCTCTCGCGTTGTAGGTGTGCAACACACTGATCTAACATTTTTCCTACCACCTGGACTTTTTGCTTCTCTATCCAACACCACCTTTTAAATATGGCTTAGTTCGACGAATTTGGGTATGAGGTTCCGGAGGTTTGGAAAATAAAAGTCCCAGGTGGATTAATTCACCCTGTCATTGTAGGAGGTTATGTTACCAGCGTGTTATCAGGAAGTATTCTTTAACCTGAAGATTGCCTTCATGGGCTCACGGTTCTGGACAGGAGGACCAGCGAGCGTCGGCATTTGAAAGTCAGGCTATCAGTGTCAAACATAGAAAAGGGCAATTTTGATCAGCTTTGCATTTATCGGGTTGAATTTTTGGGTTCTGTATGACTTGAAAACTTGATTTGGGGCCCAAGACGATCGAAGAGCACACTTTACTTTGTGATCCCTACGCCTAACATATAACCTCAACCATGGCGCTTGCTCCATCTAATGCTGCTAGGGCTGGGGTCCAGGCCAGGATCTAGACACGGAAAGGTAACCACGGGCGACAAAAGCAGTATGAAGCTCATCGACCCGTTGAATGCCTACCATCTTAATTATTACCGGGAGAACTGTGCTCTGGGTCCCAAAAATGTTTGCCACTCATTGCTATAAAACGACTTGTGCTGTTGCTCTCCGCTTGCGCTGAGTACTGCCCCTTCCTGACCCGTGGGCCCGGGCGGTAACCGGCCTGCAGTTTGATCATTCGACATATTCTCCTTCAGATAGATGCAGCAATTAATAATCTCAATTAATAAAAGTGGTCACCTCTCTCCTGGACACCACCATAATACGTCGCCTTGAATTCCCTAAAAATGATGCGTGAAAAAGGAATGCAAGCTAGCCCACCAGATGACAGCCCATGGTAATCTAAGACAGCGTCGAAAAACCAGCCCAGATTAAACATTTCGCACGCATGCCGGAAATGGATCATCAAGAGTCATGAGTGTGTGAAAGTCAAATGATTCCAATATGTTTTGCTTGGACAAGGTGGGGGAGATTTTGCGCCACCTTCACGCCAAGGCCGGTAAAGTTCTAAATTTCCGCATTGATAATGAAACTTAAAGTGTGCCATGGTACATTAAGTTCAGGAAGCCAAGATAATCTCATTCTCGATTCTTTCGTATTTAGTTTCCGTTCCACGAAATCAAGGTATCATCGAAGACAAGCACATATAAAAAAAGGAAGACTGGATTATTTGCTATTTCCTGAGACAAACATGGCCCAGTAGTTCTTTGGTCGCGGAACTTGACATTCCATTCATTACACCTCCGAAGCAAAACTCATATCACGCACAGCATAATAAGTGAAGATCCCTATTCTATTATGACTGAGAGAGTATTATTGATTTTTCTTGCCTTTGGTGAGCTTTCATCTGTCATCGCCCTTCTATCAGAGCCTTGTAAGTGACTGACTTTTGCAGCGTTTCTTGTCTTGTCCCAGGCCCAGAATAGTGCCCTTAATCTTGCCAAGTGCACTAGCTGGTGTATTAAAAACTACCCAAATGCAGCAATCAACTGCGTTCTCCCTGCGGTTCGTGGTCAGGGACCTTGTTATGTCTGCGGCCCATTGAAGACATCTCCGACACAACAACTTTGTGCTGGTTCATGTAAGGAGACTAGTACCGACAGCAAAAATTGCGGAGCATGTGGCAAGACTGTAGGTTACCGTATTATCTTTGTCTTCTCCCCTATTGGGAGCATTTGACGCTAACAATTTCAAAGTGTCCTAGCGGAACAAGCTGTATTTCTGGCTCTTGCAAGTGTCCCAATAACGGTCAGTTATGCAATGGGGCTTGTGTAGACCTGAGCAGTAACAATCAGAACTGTGGCGCTTGTGGCAAGACTGTACGTTACCGAAAAATTTGGTTCTACCTCCTATTGTGAGCGCTTGACGCTAAAAATTCCAAAGTGTCCTAGCGGAACAAGCTGTATTTCTGGCTCTTGCAAGTGTCCCAATAATGGTCAGCTATGCAATGGGGCTTGTGTAGACCTTAGCAGTGACTATCTGAACTGTGGAACATGTGGCAATATTGTAAGATATCCCACTTTCTCTCTCATATCCCTTTCTTCTCAAAGCTGACAGGGGCTTCAAGTGCTATTCGGGAAGATTTTGCTTTTCAGGCACCTGCGATTGCCCTAGCAACACTCGCCTTTGTGATGATACTTGTGTGGGCGATGACAGTCTCAATTGCGGGGGATGTGGTATCAAAGTACTGGACCCTCTATATATTCGAAGCCGGAATACTGACAGAATTATAGTGTCCTCCTGGCTCAAGCTGCAGGGTAGGAGGGATATGCAAATGTGATAACAACAATCAGGTTCCCTGTAACGGCCAGTGTCCTCATTATCAAGATGATTTCTATAACTGTGGTACATGTGGCAATGAAGTAAGTCAACCCCAGAGTGGCCGTATATTAGAATGCCTGACAGGGCCTCGCAGTGTCCATCTTCTTCGGTTTGCCTGTCCGGTACCTGCGAGTGCCAAGGTAACTTGCAGTTATGTAATGGTCAGTGTGTGAGTTTTGAAACGGATGCAAATTGTGGCGGATGTGGAAATCAGGTAATTCCATCCACGATGCCCCGGAACCAAAATTCGATTGACCTATCTTCAGTGCCCGCCGGATACCCGATGCGAGGCAAATCAGGAATGTCGCTGTTTGGCCACTGGTGCATCTCTTTGCAATGGTGGCTGCCCTGACTTTACGTCTGATTCGGATAACTGCGGTCGGTGTGGCAACCAGGTACTTATTCTTCTATAGCACCTATCAAAAAGACAATCAACTTATATAGGGCTTCAGTGTCCTGTTGGCTCATCTTGTCGTGGATCCATCTGTTATTGCGACGGTAGCAATGATGAGCCGCCATGTAATTGATGGTTTCTGATTGCGAAGGTATATTCGAAGCTCAACGTGATCATAAAATTGGTTCTCTGAAACCTGTCCTCCAAATCTCCTTTTTTTGAATGAAGCGGCTACTGTGGACACCGTTTCCAGTTGTCTTGTATTTTTCTTAATGTCTGGCTCTCTCTACTACCATTTTGCCGTTTTTATCTTCGTTGCATTTGATATCTACAAATAATGGTTTGACTAAACATGATTCATTACCTTGGTGTTACCGGCCACTTTGTCCTAGTTAGGAGGCTGAGGCTTAAGTACTATAATGATGTTATACAATATTACTTCCTTTCGCTCATTTTCGGGTCTGAAATAGATAGCAATCAATAAATACACGAAGAGAGGAAACCTCGTCGTAGCCCTCTTTCTTTGTGTCAATAGCTCAGATTGTCTTGAGTTAAAATGAGGTCCTTTCTCAATGCAACAATTTCCCTTTCGCAGATTCATCGATATATTGAGCTAGTGACGCTGGTTTGAATAGATTGGAAAGAGCAAAGTCATGTATTGGTGAACAATTCAAATGATCCAGGTTTTGATGTGGCACATGATGGGCCATTCACCAATGGAACAATAGCCTGGAGTCCAGACCTCCATAGCTGAAATCTTACATTTAAAAGCAAAATATGAGTAAATCAATAGAATAGCAGAACATTGCAGCCCAAAATAAATCCATTACACCTTAAATTCATAATATGCTACTTCAGATTTACTCAATGGGAATAAGCCTACGAAGGACATGTATGAAATAACTTCTCTCTTCCAGATCATGTAACCTTTTGCTTTTGAAGATGATGTGGTACGAGAGTGAAGGTGTGACAAATATTTGTTAGGAAATTTCTCCTTGACAGGATCTTGAGAAAGCTTGTATTCGCTCTTTTTCATGGTGTGTCAAGTACTCTACGTCCGCTCCGTTGTTCCTTCAAGGCGTTGTTGCTATTCCTGAAAGACTATGGATCTGCACAGCGTCTGCGCCTAACGCGATTACCACCCAGCCATTGATCTCTGCCTGCCAGTCGTTCTATCATTCAAGATAGCAAGCAAAAATGCCCCTTCTCGACTCCAAATTGCAGGGCGCCATTTCTGCAGCAGGGCATGGAGCTCACTGTCTCAACTTATCCTGTATGCTAATCGATCATGAAGTCACTTAGACTTGCAATGACAAGACACACTTAGTAACAGGAGGTGAGGCCGCGTGGGTGCTGAAATTATGGGTGGCTGCTAAAGGTACAGTGCATAGTCGGCGCAGTTTCAGCGGCGTAGATTGTTGTTTGCACACGACCTGACCCGGTCGCTTGGCGGCTTTCAGTTCAGATTGATCCGGAGTTTCAATACAGCCGCTGTGAGATATTGCGATCACCGTAAAGAAATTCAGTGCTAAATTTTTCGCCTCATTTATCCAAAAATTGAGCAATCACTGGCTTATACGAATCATGGCCACAATGTTCCAGCACGCTCTTCATTGGTTCAGAGTCGGCAACGAATATCATCAGCCGAAGCTGACAACATCATCATTAGAGCTTCATGTTACTTCCAAGATATATTTCGAGGCACGATATACTGTGGCGATAGCCAGCGATAGTCAGAGAAGAGCAGGGAGTGGTGTTGGAAGGAATGATAAGACAAACACGTTTCACAGGAGCTGTGGACAACCATCATCGTGTTTTGGCTCGGCGGCATATTCCTCTGGAGAAAAGGCTCTAAATGACAGTATAAATTAGTTTAATTCATTTTGAGACTCAAATTTCTCGCGTTTCTCAAGTAACAATTTGATGATCGCAGTAGGAGCACCATGCCCAGTCGGAGCCAAACGCCAAGCGAGTCGGAGGCTTTGGAACTCCGACAAGTATAGTTACTCTTCGCGGTTTTTCGATTGGCCAGGAAGATTGAAAATCCGCTCCGTGGCTTCTCACATGTCTGACTCAACGGCTCCATACAAAATGACCCATGCAAGTCTACACGGTCTCAACCTCTCCAAATCCACCATAAATGGAGATTGAGGATCCAATATCCGTTGACCTAAGTCTTGAGAACTCCACTATTGCAACTTCTTCATCATATGTCGCCTCTTTTACTACCGGTGACAACATTGAGGGCACGGCTATTATTCGCTCGCGTGCGAACGTACGTTTTGACGAAGTTGACCTATTTTTTCTAGGTACGTCTCCAGGATCAAGAAATCTCATTCTCTATTCTTGATAAGCCTCGACGTTACCATTCAGCTTCACGGTCAGCTAATTCAAGACTTTAGGGGACGAACGTGTAGGAGCACGGCATGACGATGCGTATCGCCAACTCCTCAACATATGTCACTCAGTGAAGGGTGACTTGCTTCCCACTCCCAAAGTTTTTATAGAAGGTCGGAAATATCAACTAAAATTCGCGTTCTCTGTCCCCGATAAGCTACCTTCGCACGCATGCAACCATAACACGGCCAGTCAAGTTGTAAGGAATACTCATCTTCACCTCCCCCCAAGCTTTGGAGACCCTATGGTTGCTGGATATGGTGGTAAACTCCGAGATGACTATGCGCCCGCTACATGCCGAATTTCATACGCTTTAATGATTATTATTCGTCGCCATCACCCGGTGTCTGGAAAGATGGACCCAATTTTTACGAAGAAATTAAGGATTCGTATTAAACCCGCAACATTAAATCAAACGCATCTAACAGGGCAACGCTCCTTTGACTCCGGATATTTTCCATTACGTGAAGATATTGCGGTTCGAACGAGTCGCTCCAAGACAGTTATTGGTGGTTTATCAATGTTTATAGATGATTCTCTCACCTTTTGGCTTCCTTTGAGAGATGCTGGTAGTTTTGTCAACGGCGCTATCCGTATACGGGCTCTATTTCGAATATCAGAAGCAAGCCAAGCTCTACCTGATTTTGAGTCTGTTGGAGGCTATATTGTGTCCACAACCTTCATTGAAGCTTGTGGTCACGGTGAATTTCCAAGAAAGAAAACAACCTCGTTTGGCAGGGCATTGAATTTTCAGGAAACAAAATTTCCTGCATTTTCTCATTCTTTTTCGTCACTAGACTGGACTAAAGTTGAAGATGATTGTTATGCTGCGGTCCTCTTGGTTCCTGTTACGCTTCCGCGCCAGAATTTCATCACGACATTTTATTCATGTTTCATCTCTCGGGAATACACTCTGCAACTGAAAGTCAAACTCCAAAGTGGATCTTCATTGCGCTTTGAAGTTCCGATTCACATTTTTGCACGACAAGATCCATCGCATCTGCCATCATATGATGCAGCAGTAACATTGGGTGCCTGAATTCATTTTTCTCGTTGACCAATCCTCAATTTCTCAATAAAGGTTTTAGGTTTAGGTTTATGAACTGTAGCCAGTGATAGCTTCATTCATCTTGAAATAGACAAATGTACATATCGATGAGAAATTATGAACCTGCTCTCAAAAAGTTCCTTCTGGGCGCTTCTTTGCCTTCCCCGGGTCTTTGAGACAAGGCGCAACAAATATATCGCCACGTAAGACACCACGCGAAGTATGATAGGAAACTACAAGCCAAAGTATCACAACTATGACAGAAAGTATCTGCGATATGTTAGAAAATCCTTGAGGCTTAAATTTAGATAGGGAAGACTACGATACCGTTCCAAGTACTTTGAAAAATCGAGATGGCATATCCTGGCCCATGGTGCAGGTACAGGTGGTAAAGACACCAAGTGGAAAGGTCAAAGCCCACCATCCCACATTAAAAAAAAATTCCTCGTTCTTATCAAAGTTGCAATGGCAAATGATAACCACACCAAACTGAAAGCCCACAAGAGAATTCCAGCCAAAAAACCGAGGCTATAGAATACTTCCCCTGTGTAAGGACTAAGTACGTTTGTCAGAGGGAAAATCTTTTGTGCAATTTTGCCAAGTTTCTGAATGCTATTGGTTTGGGGGGGCAAGTTAGGATTCCTTCTGGTCACGGTGTTATAGGAGATGAACAGACAGACCCAAAACCACCCTGGCCAAGAGGACCCAGTGGAAGAAATACACTAACAAGCATGGCTTTGGGAGGTAACTTGTAAAGCATCAAACGTTGCAAATATATGCAAATTATCATCATGGCGAGTGGAACACCAATGCCCCAGAGGATATAGCTCACAATTATTGTCGCAAGGGCAATTTGTGGATTCGGCAGAACATCAGCGACAAGTGCGCCCGAGGCAGCAGCAACAACACAAGACACAACTGGTAAAAGCCAAGAAGCGGTCATTGAGGGCAAATCGAGTCCGTTATTTTTTGTCATTCTAGGTCACCAAGTCAATATAATCAGAAGCTCATAGAATTGGCTGTCACGCACAATATAAAGGGTATTCCTATTGCCACCAAAACTGATACCACAGAATCGAAGATCCAGAGTGCCCACACAAAATAAGCAGCACCGTCACCCCAAGTTGGAACACAGACAAAGCAGAACATGTTGATAATTGTTGCAAGACCCATAGGGAACGTTCCGAGGAACAAGGATTGTACCGGGTGGGTTACCATAACCCTAAAGATAGTTGGGTACAGAACATAACGAATCACGGTCATCATGAGAAAGATAGCGAAACATCCTACATTCAGTACAAAAAAAATAATGGAAATGTAGTATAGCCATCGCCCATTATAAGGGAGTATGTTTAGGAGGATGGAAACAATTCCTGTTCCCATATTCACGGAGAACCAACTTCCAGAAGTTTTAGCATTCAAATCCAAAAACAATTTAACATTTTAACTTACGCCGGAGTGAAGTTTCTTATGATTCTTTGCCAGCCGACATCATGTTTAGATCGCACAGGAGGTTCAGAGGCTTCTGGCAGTGGAATGTCTTTTCTTCATCATGATGACATCTCTGGCTTGAAGGGACATTATCGAGTCCATGCGGACTAGAATTAAGAAACATATTGAAGCATATATTTTAAACTCTCGGAAGAAGCGAGAGCAGAAGAAGCAAGGGCAGAGGAGAAAGAGAAAGATACTGAAGGGGATTTTGCCATATGGATGCAAATTATTGAATTCATCATCATTTTAAACCTCCAGCGACTCACGATGTCGGCCGAAATGAAAAAGTTCTCTTCAACCAAATGGGTACATTCTTTTGTTCGTTCACATAAAAAGTCGCCGGTATATGGGTCGAAAGTGGATCGCCGACAAGAACACCAGTCGCCGACTACTTACTTCAATCCCCGGCAGAGTCGATCCAGGCGGCAACAATAAAACTACTTCCGAGTTTGTCAAAAGTTTTAGAGTGCTGCAAATCAAATTTACTATCTATGCAGTTTTATAATGGAAGCTATTTCTTTGCGTCAATTCGACCTGAGATCAACATAAACAAGGCCGTCCAACTCTGGGAGAAGGAGAGTACCAGTCGGCTCCCTCAAATTATCCGTGGCAATAGGGGAGAGGTCAGATTATACTTTCCCTGAATCACCAAAATATCTGATCGTATTGAATTTCTTAGAAAGCAGGCCATATCTGGGTAGAATTCAGTCCTTTGATGATTCGATAGTGGGATCTGCGAAACTGATCTTTGGCCCTCAAATCCTGCCTCATATGGATCCGAGACAAAGCTGAGATAACCAAAGTACGGTTGACAACTTCAATTTATACTAAATTATAGGGTGATTTTCATATAGTAAGTTTAATAGCTTAAAGTCTGAGACTATTCAGTGTTCAAGGACGTCGAAATATCCTGTTTTGACTATGCCTTGGTCTATTACATGCGCAAATGGTTGGCGTGCCAGATCATGAGAACCAATATTGCCACTAGAGGAACCGCAACTGCCCATGGCATCCAGAATTTCTTTGCACCAGGCGAGTATTCATCGCCCATTGAGAAAATGGCGGCGACAAGTGTGACAGGGAAAAAAACCGCAGCTGCAATAGAAAGCTGTAGCCCAAAACGCGCGTCGTGCAAACTGCGCAAGGCACTACTGAGGTTAATTGAATCAGTCACAATGCCGACAAGATTGTCGACCCTCGTTTCGCGCCGATCTAGTTCGTATAAAATAGCCTGGAAGTCTCTCGCAGCAATTCGAAGGCTCGATGGTATCTCAAAACTTGTATCATTGATTGTACCGCCCGGAAATCCCAAGCGCTCCAGATTCAGGCTCATTTCTTGCTTATACCACATCAGACGTCTTTGAAGAAGACCTAGAATGGATAATTTTTCATTATAATAGCTCAGCTCTTCTCGCCAGTCTGCCTTGCTAATGGCTTTTCCAGGTGGGGTAGCGCGCTTCTCTTTCGAAGTCAAGTCCAGAGTTGAAAGGGTTTTGAATTGCAAATCAAGAAATTCATACCAGTGAGTTGCGACTATCTGCTGTACGAACAATGTTGTATTGACACACTTGTCAAGCGCAGCATTTACTTGTCGTTCTTCGGCTTGTAACCAGTAGAAAATGACATCGTCAAACATCGATCGCCGACTTGGTGCCGACAAGTACTGGTTTGGCTGCCAGGGGCGAAGGTCATTATATCCTGAATGATAGGGTTTACTCCACTGGATTTGTGTCCTCCAAGGATCACGGTCGGTTTCTTTGTCAATAACATAGTAATACCCTTTCCTTGGTCCTACTTGAGAAGTGATTGGGGGGTCAACAAGGAGGATTGCTAATGTTTGTCAGGAAAAAAATCAAGATATCAGAATCGAAGCGTTATATGGGCATACCATTCCATGCACCTGATGAAGATTGACCTGTCATCGATGGTTTTTCATCACACCAGAAAGATACATTGTGTCGTACTACATCTACCTGGGTTTGTCGCACCCCTCGTACCGTCGCCAAATCTTGCCATTGCTCTATCTGACGAGAAGCAAGTGCAAATGTGCGGCGACGGTGTGTCTGCTTTTCAGTAGCGCGGCCATCGGTTTCTCGAAGCTCATAGTACCGCAGAGTAAAAGACTTGTTTGCATCTGTCAAGGATGGTAAGGTACGATGGGGTATGGTGTGGCTCCCTGAATAATGATATGCGAATAGATAATCTGCCATGACGATAGGATCTATCTGAAACACAGAGCCAAGCATTTCAAGACTCTCTTCATTCAAGTCCTCGAGCAGAAAAAGTCTGTTCTGGCATGGTATGTCTGCATTTAAACAGTCAAGGTAGTCTCGGAGATTCGTAGGATCACTCAGGTCCACAAATTCCGGCCGTTCGTTTCGCACAAATTCAATAACACCACATCGAGAAGTGGACTGCCTTGATGACAATGGCTGAGGAAGCCTGTGTGGAGCAAACCGCTCATAATCTGAGAAAAACTGAGTCAAGCACGGGAATCTTGAGCTCAGCTTTCTCGCACTATCGAGGTAAGATCCCATGATCGGCAAGGAAGGTGAATACTGCGTAGGTGCTAACTACTGACGTACGGGCACAAGTAGTGCGGAATGAAGTCTATGCCAATGCAGAATCTCCCAGGTAATCAGCAGCGAATGTAGGACTGTCTGTGTGTCGTGAAAGTCTGCTTTTGTCTTTGTTTTCCCATTGCGGGGCATAAGGTGTTCGCTCTGATTTGTTCACAGCCCCGCCTCCTCTTCTCGGTCTTTTGCCGGATGCTTTTCCCCACAGGCGACTACTTGGTCAAGCTCGCGGTTCCTAAAAGCGACTTGATATAGTATACATAACTGGCTGTATTTATTTCTTTGGTTTTCACGGATGATAAAAAAATGCCTTGGGTGGGGTTCCATGATATGTTTTGTCAACTAGGTCCTCAGGTATCCATTCAGGAATATATATATATCTGGCGTGGAATCTCCTAGTCAACTATGCAAGAAAGGTTTATCTCTCAATTCCATGCAGCAAGACAGGATAAGGTTGAAACAAAGCACTCTCTTTCCACACAAAGCACGTAAAACTTTCCGAGAGAAAAGAGAAGAAATTATCATAAAAAATTGGAAATCCTGCAATCCGATCCCTAAAATTCTGGCCAGTGGCGGGTAAGACGGGATCTACCAGAAATGTAGTAATGCAAAATCGAAGTCGATTGTGAACGACTAATAGAAAATTACTCACAAGAGATAAACAGTTGTAGAAAATAGAAGGGAAAATGAAAGGGAGAAAGGGGAAAAGCAAACATCTAGGTTTCACGAAATTGAGATGGGAAAGGACAAAAATAAGACAAAAAAGAATCCGTTAGCGACAGGATTCGAACCTGTGCGGGCGAACCCAACAGCTTTCTAGGCTGCCACCTTAACCACTCGGTCACGCTAACTGCTTGATGTACTTTGGAACGGATTTTGGAGTAATGAAGAGTCTTGCATCTTTGATGAAGATAGAATATCCTCTAGTGATGGTGACATGCGTACATAGCCTTTCGTTTCTTGATGTATCGTCTCCGGAAAATGAAAATTTATATCTTAACACAGAATCGCGAAAATTAATGACTCATAACATACACTTGACTTCCATGTGGACCTTTTTAAGCAGTTTCTGATTGCGTTTTCCTCGAGGTGTGCGACCACCAAGGTCCCTATTCAAGCTACGTATATTCATGAAGCTAGCCCCACGAAAAGTCCTCTGAAACCAAATATTTTTCGTCTTCTTACCTATTATTCTTTAACATGTTGAGATTTCTTCCTCGCAAGATCCATTTCATTGGTCCTTTAGATCAGCCCACGCTACATAGTGCCGCTCAATTGCGCAAAATGTAAGAACAGCATTGGTGATCGTTGTTATTTCCTTACTCACGTTAGATAATATTTGCGATCGGAGGTATCTAGAGCACTAATATTCAAATATTAGTGCGGATCTTCAAGTTCTACCTCTACTACTTATCGGCTTCGCCAGCTACCAACTTGATCGAACTAATATATCTAGCGCATTGACTGGCGGACTGGCCAAAGATATCAGGGTCGATCAGAACACAATCAACCTGGGAAATCAATTGATGTTTCTAGGTGTTATTGCTCTAGAAATTCCATCTAATGTTGTCCTGCACAAGGTAGGTCCCCCTAATCTATGCTTATGTCAAATGCGTTGACCATCGCAGATCGGCCCTCGCTGGTGGATTGGAGGACAAGTGTTCATATTCGGTGTCGTTGCAGCTCTTCAAATCTTCGTTCAGAATAGAACTGGATTTCTCTTAATGAGGATGATCCTTGGTCTAACGGAAGCTGGATACATCCCAGGAGCCCTGTTCACCTTGTCAACATGGTACACGAAACAAGAGATCACTAAGCGCATTGCCGTATTTTTCTTCGGGATGTTTGGGGGTACAGCAGTTTCGCCCTTGCTGGGAGCAGGGCTCTTAAAGCTGGATGGAAAGGGAGGTCTATCCGGGTGGCAATGGATTTTTCTCGGTAACTTCCCAGTAAACATATTGATAAGTATTCAGTGACTAAAAGATGGAAATAGTCGAAGGAATTTGGTCTGTGTTTGTCTCTCTGATGCTACTCTTCTTCCTTCCTGAGCGGTCGGGTTACGGAACAAGAGTAGATGGCAAGCTAGGAAGAACAAATTCCAGAAGTGAAGCAAAGGGCCACCAAACAATACCTCTAAAGATGGTGTGGAACACACTCACAAACATCTATAAATGGCCACATTTTCTTGCAACTGCCTGTGTTTTCTCAACATGGTCTCCATTAACAACCTATACGCCAAGTATTATGATGTCCCTAGGATTCTCAAGAATCCATGCTAACGCACTGACTGCTGCTGGAGGATTCCTTACACTACCTGTTGTGTTTTTCTTTGCCTGGTTGGGTGACAAAACAAAGACGCGAGGTCTTACAGTGATGATAGCCATCGTTGTCTATGTGATTTCACTCGTGGTTCTGAGAACCATGCAGCCACATGTCGGTAGATGGAGTAAATTTGGACTTTGGACGACTGTCAATGGACTTGCTGTTGGCTACCATCCTATACATAATGCATGGATACAGATGAATAGCCGAAGCTCGGAGGAGCGAAGTATCAATTTAGCGTAAGTTGATCCTAAGAGAAAAACTTGTTCATATCTAACAGGCCAATCTTATAGAATGTGTGAGAAAATATCTATGTTTGAAAATGAATGATTTCTTACTAATTCTTGTCAAGTTGTTATGACTGCTACCAGTGGCTTGATGGGAGGAGCTCAAATATTTCGTCAGGACGAGTCATCGGAATTGTATCCCAGAGGCATTCTGATAATGATCTGTCTGACGCTAGCCGGGCTGACTCTGACTTCATTGCAGGAGCTTATCTACTTTCTCCAGAATCGCACCGTCAGGAAGAGGTCTGGCTCTGAGGAGCCCTACATGCTTTGAGTAAACTAAAAGAGAGTTTAGGTATCACAATAGTTGAATTCAGTACGGAACGAATATTATACCCAAAGCGGGTCTTGGTGGTATCAGAATATGTAACTATTACCTAGTGTACTTCATTTGATCTATTCCGCGAGGAACTTGAACGTACTGGGTAAAGATAGAAAGTAAACAGCCGAATTGACCCAAACAGGAAGGCCTGTACACGTGACTGGAAACATCGGGAGAGAAGGTCAGGTGACTAAATTGTGGGCCAGTATTAACACGTGATATTATGCAGAAAGATCGGAAATTGGAGATGTTGGACTCCATGCAAGAATTGTTGCATATTTTCTGATCCTGGAGAAGGACATTTTAAGTCTGAAGCCAAATTAATTTGGCGCAGAACCATCCACTTAGCTCTGTACAGCTCCTGAATGATTGCTTGCCTGTGAAACTAGGCCGCTAAACCAGCCGGTTTTCACCGAAGTCAGCTTGCCCGCCCGCCGCAGCCAATCAGCGCAAGGGTTTTACCCAATCCTCCCCCCAGCGAGAAACTTGACCTTCGAACCTCAACTCACACCTCTCGACAAGCACTTCTCCTGTGCACCACCACCCCTCCCCCCTCCCCCTCTTCTCGCACCTGCGAATCCCGCCCCTTCCCATCCATCGCCCATCGATTGGAGGGTTTGAATTCGTCATGCTGGGCCGTTCCCTTCCGCGCGTGGCCACCCGGGCCTTCGCACGCCAGCCTGTCGGCAAGTCCACGGTGCGCTCTTACCACCCCCGACCAACCCATTGAGTCCTGCCGAAAAGGGCAATGGCTTCGCTATAGCTTGCTTGTGCCGACTAAGAGAGTTTTACTAATGAAATTTGACAGCGTGCCTCTTCCACCGCCGCCGGTGCCGAATCCGCCAGCTCCCCCTTCTACCTCACCCTCACTGCCTCGCTCGCTACCGCCGTGGCTGCCGGTTCTGCCACTTACCTCTATGGCCAGGAGGCTTTTGCCATGACCCCTGCTGAGGAGGGGTGAGTTTTGTTTCCCCCCAACTCGCGGGCGACCACCCCGGTCGTCCGCTAGCCCGAGAGCCGAGGATTGTGCGATCCGGGTTGCGAATGACAATCGGACTAATGCATGCTTTTCCATCTAGTCTGCACCCTACTCAGTACCCATGGGTGCACCAGCGCTTCAACAAGACCTTCGACCACGCTGCGTGAGTGATCAGTCCCTGATCGACCATACCACCGATGTTCGTTACTAACTTGGAATTTTTTCTCCGTTGTTCAGCCTCCGCCGTGGTTTCCAGGTCTACCGTGAAGTCTGCGCCAGCTGCCACTCCCTCACCCGTGTGCCCTGGCGTTCGTTCGTTGGTGTGATGCACACCGTCGATGAGATGAAGGCCTTCGCCGAGGAGAACGAGTACGACACCGAGCCCAACGACCAGGGCGAGATCGAGAAGCGCCCCGGAAAGCTGTCGGACTACATCCCCGCCCCCTACAAGAACGATGAGGCTGCCCGTGCCGCCAACGGTGGTGCTCTTCCCCCAGATCTCAGCTTGATCATCAAGGGCCGTCACGGTGGTTGCAACTACGTTTTCAACCTGCTGACCGGTTACCCCGATGAGCCCCCAGCTGGCGCCAGCGTTGCTGAGGGCATGAACTTCAACCCTTACTTCCCGGGTACCGGTATGTGAAAGATTATTGAGTCAAAATTCGCAAAAATTGCAGTTCTAATGCGGATGATCTAGGTATTGCCATGGGTCGTGTTCTGTTTGACGGCGTTGTTGAGTACGAGGACGGCACCCCCGCTACCACCTCTCAGATGGCCAAGGATGTTGTTGAGTTCCTGAACTGGGCTGCTGAGCCTGAGATGGATGACCGCAAGAAGATGGGTGTCAAGGCCATTGCCCTCCTGTCTGGTCTGTTTGCCATCAGCGTTTGGGTCAAGCGCTACAAGTGGGCCCCGATCAAGGCCAGAAAGGTCGTGTACAGCCCCCCGATCGGCCCCCGCCGCTAAATGTGATGATTGCGAGGCCTGTATGAGTTGGAAAACGGGGAGAGACTGACGAGGCTATGTGACCCATTGGGTATTCCATGTATTATTGCCCCGTCGGTGTTATCGCCTGGAGAGATCTCTTTCGTCATCTTGTTTTTGTGTCTAGGGTTGCTGCCCTTTTTGTTTTGTTAGAACGCTCCCCGGCACACTTGTATCTGTATCCTAGATATATTCCTTTTTTTACCCTTCCGAAAACCGTGTGCTCGAGGAGTCAACTGAATTTAATTTCCTTTGTGAATGATTTTTCTGCGTGGCTTCGAGATTATCGTATGAGTTCCATTATACATGTAAAATTGGGATAGATGGGGTATAGATGGGGTCAAGGTGAAACGCCAAAAACAGTATGCTTTATATTGATTCTATGTACATGGAATAGTCGTGCATAAATGGGTGTAGAAATAGCACAGGCACGTTTAAGCAGAAGGGGTATCTTCCAAAGTTCGCTCACCGTCACCGAATACCGGCTTGAAGAAATAATCATAGCTGGCCCACACTGCTACCATAATCATATTCGAGTAGGTGATCAGCCACGGTGGACTACGGCCATCGGGCCCTGCACACTTTCTCGACAGACCGAGCAGAGAGAGCATTAAAGGGCCCCACATCACAAGGAAAGTAAACTTGCCAATTTTCTGACGGAATGTGGTAATTTGATACGAGTGAATGTTTGAGAGATAGGTCTGGTAGGACACGGGCAGGTCATGTTCCGAGGCACCGGTGACGAGAAGATTCAAGTATCGGGCGGAGGGTTGGGCATAGTTGGGATCAGGACGCGTATGCGGGCTGATATCACCAAATAATGAGGAATTGTGACATGACGTATGTGCCACAGACGTGTCGTTTCTCTGTGGAGTTTCACTCTTTTTACGAGCGTCATCCGCCGCTGGAGAAAGCAAAGTGTGTGCTTTGAAAGCTGCAGTGGTAGGGTGATTCGGTACCGGATCGGTGGACTTGTAGCCATTTGCGAAAGCATAGCAGTCGATGACAATATCTCGATAACCCCCGCCACCCCCTTCCGTAGCAATGATCTTCGCGTAGTCGGCCAGAGTCACTTCATAAACGACTCCCACAAGAGGTTTGTGCCAACTGTTCCGATTGTCCTCGAACCCTCGTAGCTCCCGCGTCTCGGTCATCAGGGGCACCTTTTCTGACATGAAATCTCGGTCTGTCACCACCGAAAAGTCATCTTCCGACTCGGTATCCTCCGTATCCGCACTACTGGGGTCTCGAAATTGTGTTCCTGCGAAACAGGGCTCCGCATATGGGATTCCGGGGAGATCGAACGTTAATCGAAGCTCTGGGACAAGTACGGGAATCTGAGAGAGGGGTTTGATTCCACGCATGCCACAGAAAGTTTTGGAAGCCAAGTTGGACCCGTATGCGAGATAAAGCACCGTTTCCTCTTCTGCAGCCGTCCCAGTGAGATCTGCTCCGCTCTCCTGTTGTTCCGCGACCTTTTCGGAGAGATGTGCATCCTGATCAAGGGACGAAGCAATGATAGACGCTCGACGACGATCCGAAGTTGTGGTAGGAAGGGTAAAAGGACCGGGACTGGCGGTTCGAGTCAAACCAGGTAAAAGACCTTGTAGTCGGTTTACAGACTCCATCCCACTGAAGTGACATTGGGTGGCTGGTTCTGCTCCGTCGGCATCTCTTTTGGGGGTGTGATTGGGGTTCTGATTGGAAGCCATTGTTGATATCTCAAAGCACGACAGAATGGCGGCGCTTGCTGAACTGTAAAGGTCAGTTACGGAGGTTAGCCACTAATCAGCGTATTTATATGACAATAATAGCTCAGGCGCCCATCGGACGAACTGGTGCGTCGCATATTGGCGGCAGCGAACCAGAGCCATTGCTCAGATGGATCGTCCGCGATTAATAATCGCGGTGACGGAGCAATTGACTCGGCGCCGGGTAGAACGGAGTTGTAATGAGCCGAAACCCGTGGGGATACCAAGGAATTCCCAGCGCTTCATGTTTTTGAGTGCGAGAAAGCACGGGTTCGGGGTTGGTTTTTGCAGGCCGGCATGATCATTTTGAGGAGCTGTTTGAATCTTTCGGTCAAAGCCGCAGAGCTTTGCAGCATCGCAGGCAGAATATGAAGAGGTATTTCGTGCTCCTGTGCTGCCATTCATTTGTCAGATTTACCTTGGGGACAGCATAGAGACAAGTAGCTTCACTTACGATTGAATCATGCTGGACTGGAGGTTGATGTAGAGACATCATGTGACGCTCGTAGTTGCCCTTGAAATCACTCAACCTCAATGCATCATCTCATCGTCGAAGAAACCCAACTTCAACATTTTCGTGGACCCGTCTTCGCTGTTGAATTTCATAGCAACTCTCGAGCGTCAAGTGAAGTGAAGTGTGAGTGGATGTTGCAAGCAGCCAAGTAGGGGTCGATTTGTCGATAAAATTGTCAGGGCAACTGGTGATTTTCTGCGGCTGATGAGATCTCGATACAGCTTCAGAGATTCGATTGAGCTCCGACGGGTATCTCCAGCTGACTACGGACTGACACTTGACAAACGGAGGTTGAGCCTACACTTGCTCTGTATAGCCATGCATCACACCCGATGTTATTAATACAACCTCGGAAAGTATCTGCGGCATTCCTCGAGTTAGACTCAGCAGGTGTGATTCGGGACATGGATCGGAAGGCACGGCGGGTGTCGTCTGGAACAAGAAAGGGTATTCTTCCCTATAGTGCCTGATAAGACAAAGTCGGCAGCTAAAGAAGACATTCTAGCGAGAAGTCAGGGAAGGGAAACTCCAGAGAAAACAAAGGGTGGTGGTTCAAATTCAGGTTATCACACTCGGCCAGAAGTGGGGGATTCGTCACACTTGGCCCATCTTGCGCAAAAGACAAGCCAGGCTAGTTCCACTGCAGCCCACGAGGCGACCATTGAGCATGTTGCATCGTCTGAGGAGAGGCCTCAATGGCAGAGGGCCGGCGCCTCTTCTCTAAACAGCAACTTCTCAACATCCCTGCCTATTGAAGAATATGCAGAGGATTCATTTTCAGCCCAGGAGGTGGGACGTCATGGATTCACGGGCTTTGAAGGCGAAACCTCGGTTGCATCTATATCCGATGGAAACTCTGGCCATCAGGATGTCCATGGCAATAAACTAGACGAGACAAACATTGGTTTATCTAATCCAAAAATCGATCGGCGGCGACCGAAGACTACCACGTCAAGCATCAAAGGTCCTGTGGAGCATCATGGCCCACGCCGCTCCACCCGTTGCAGATATACTATGAACGTCTACACACGGACTGAGGTTGATTTGAACGAGGCCTTACGCCCGATAAATGATGATGAACTACTCAAACCTGTGAGCGATTATGAGGGAACGGCTGTATCATCTCCATATCCGGAATCGACTGCTATGCTGGGCAAATCTGGCCAACAAAAAAGGAAAGCGCCCAAAACGAAGTTGGGACAAGGAAAACGCCACAAGTCCAAAACCAAAGTCAGAAAAAACGATCCTCATAACCTTGAGCTTCCTTTAGCGACCGAAAATAGTCGCATGTGGATGCCAAAATCGCTCGAAGCTACTGGAGTTTGCGGTTCACAGTCTTTGATTGGTCAGTTTGACAGAACACAGACAATGGAAAAAATCAACTTATCCAGCGAAGCTGGCATTTCTGTTGGAGATCAGAAGGGTTTACAAGAGCTGGATCGAATGGAAGAGATAGCCATGTTACCCGGGATCCCTGAAAAACCGGGCTGTTCAACCCTCAATATCAAGTCACCCAGATTAGATGGGACCGATCGAAGCGAAGGCCAAGAGAAGCCAGAAGGAGAAAGATACGGAAGAGGGGAAAAGGTTGGAAAAATGCTGACTGAAGCACTCCGAGAAGCTGGATTACATATCGGATTATCTCCTAGGGTCGAACATCGGCTCTCTCCCGCCCGAATCCCTTTGATTGAACCGAAGCATGAGACATCCGATAGCCCAACCCAGGGACTTCTTCCTGTGCTTCCGACTTGTTCATTTCCTCCAGATTTCGAAATGGGAAGAAGCCAGATGGACGACCTGCTTGCAAATCATGGCGGTCTGGAGCAAGATGAGGCTCTATTGGCTTCAAACATCGTCCATTCTACACAAAAGATCGTAATGCGATCACAAACAGATGGTCTCAATGTCTCTGACCAATCGTTCCTGGTAAAATTGCCAGAAGCTCCGAAGTCAGAGGAAACAAGAACAACGGACGCCCTTCAAAAGGATTCCGAAGAAGGCATGCAGCCTCTTCAAAGCGAGGCTGATTCCTCTTTGCAGAGCTTAGCAGTGGAAGCAGCCCAGAGCCACCTCGTAACAGTCCCAGCCCAGGCCGATAGAAGCGAGCATACCCCAGAATCGCAGAGGCCGTTACTGACACTCAGCATCCCGAAAACAATGCCAAAGAATACCCTTGTTGACTATAATGGAAGCCCCCGCATCCGGATCCAATCAGAGATAGAAAACGACATTGGCTCATCTGACTTGCCGAGTCGACCGCATGCTATCGGTATAGCTGGTTCTAGCTCCAGTGAATATGACCGAGACTCTGATTCAGATTCTCTAGATGACAGTCCCCGAACATGGTCGAAATACAAACGAGACATGTTCATGCAGTATGGAATTAGTCCTGAAGAGCTGACCCCGGGAGAGAAACTGAAGAATCCGTTCAAAGATTGTATTAGGGTCGATCTCAGCAATGTGGGTCAGATCGGCACAATAGCTCCCCAAGAGGACACCGAGGACTTACCTGTCCAGAACCATGATCAGGCTGATTTGCCACTGGTTTCTGATAATGGTAGTTTAATTTCAGAAAAGAGAATCCACGCTGTTGACCCAGAGGAGGCTTCGACGGTGATAACGAGTTCTTCTCAATACATCATTGATGAAATCCGAGCAAAGGTGGGCCAGATCCACAGAGATCCTTCTAGGCCAAAACCTATGGAAGCGTCCGGCGCCGAATCATGTCCAATGCTTGAACATGGTGACTCTGATCCCCTTGAATGGATCACTGCTCTGCAGATCGCAGAGAGAAGTGCACACAGTGTATTGCTAGAGACCAACCAGGTATATTGCGTCAATTTTAGGGCTTCGGCGTGGGGCCATGCTAAAGCGTTATGACAGCATCTATCGAGCGATCTCGCGGCGGAACAGAATTCAATTCGTCAGGTATTGCAGATCCTCCGACAAGGATGTAATCACATTCTCGACGACTTGTTCAGGGCTCAGCAAGTGCGCATGGAGCTGTACCGCCAACAAATGTCCTCTGTCAAGGAACAGCACTCCCAGATCTGCCAGGAATTGATTCGGGGGCTACAGGAGCTAGACCATCGGGTGCAGCAGGAACCGTAGGAGCAGCCTCGGAAGCTTGCCCCATCTTAGCCGCATGGAATTAAAACCGTAGTTGTTACTTGGGCTGTGGGGACGGAGATTGGCGCCGCTCACCGAGGATCACGTGTGTCCGTTTTTTCGATTGACTCATTCTTTTTTGACGCCAGGGATCAACGTGTACTTATTTTTAAATAGTTTATGCCGGTGGGCGACTAATTTACCTTTGTATTCTTCTCAGTTCTAGTCAATTGCTCGGTTCTGCCCCTATTCTAAGTCCTCTGTTCCCCTGATTTTTTCCGTCCTTCCCCAGCACTTTACCCCGCCATGTCGGTGAGTCGGCCCCTCTTAGCAAGCTACGATACCGGGACGCCTATTGACCTAGAACCAATCACTAGTTCTTCATTGAAAATCCCAACGTGGGCAACCAGAGCCATCTGGAAGACTCTCGAAGTATGTCTGCAATAATCAAGACCCAATTGACTCTCTGAAACTCATCTCTGGCGCAGTTCTCGGCTACAACCCCCTCACCCCACCCAACCTCCTCCAGCATGAGATCGCATTGACCGAGAAGTCCCGGCAGACGGTACTGCAGGGACGTGAGGAGGCAGTCGCGATTGTGAAGGGTACCGATGGCGAGAAGCAGCGTCTGATGGTCGTCATTGGCCCTTGCTCGATTCACGACCCCGACATGGCGCTCGAGTACTGCGATCGCCTAATGAAGATGAAGGAGAAGTACGCCGATGAGCTGCTGATCGTCATGCGTTCCTACCTGGAGAAGCCCCGCACTACCGTCGGGTGGAAGGGTCTGATCAACGATCCCGATATCGATAATAGCTTCAAGATCAACAAGGGTCTGCGCACCTCGCGCCAGCTCTTCGTTGACCTGACCAACAAGGGCATGCCCATCGCTTCGGAGATGCTCGATACCATTTCCCCTCAATTCCTTGCTGACTGTCTTTCCGTCGGTGCCGTCGGTGCCCGCACCACTGAGTCCCAGGTCCACCGTGAGCTGTCCTCGGGTTTGTCCTTCCCCGTTGGTTTCAAGAATGGCACCGACGGCTCTCTCGACGTCGCGGTCGATGCGATTGGCGCTGTGAAGCACCCTCATCACTTCCTGTCTGTTACCAAGCCCGGTGTTGTGTCTATCGTCGGCACTGTCGGCAACCCTGACTGCTTCGTCATTCTGCGCGGAGGCAAGAAGGGCCCCAACTACGATGCTGCCAGTATCAAGGACGCCAAGGCCAAGCTGGAGGCTAAGGGCCTGCCACCCCGTCTGATGGTGGACTGCAGCCACGGTAACTCCGAGAAGAACCATAAGAACCAGCCCAAGGTTGCCGCCGTGCTGGCTGAGCAGATTGCCGCTGGTGAGACCGCCATTATGGGTGTTATGATCGAGAGCAACATCAACGAGGGTGAGTCTGCACTGCGTAATATAGTTAATTTCATCTCTACGCGCAAGATTGCTAACGAAATAACAGGCAACCAGAAGGTCCCGCCCGAGGGCAAGGCTGGTCTCAAGTACGGTGTCAGCATCACAGACGCCTGCATCCACTGGGAAGATACCGAGTCCGTATTAGAAGTCTTGGCCAAATCCGTTCGCGCTCGCAGAGAGAAACTGAGCGGAGCTAACTAAGCTAACTATGTTGGTATTTTCCTTATCTTTTTCGGCCTATTTTCATAACACCCAGATGTAATAATGGGGCATTTTTACGAGCGAACTGCGTTATCAGAACTCTGAAAAAGTTATAGTTTCTTTCAATTTTACTTCTCTATGATCTTCAAAGAGATTTAGTTTCTCAAACGAAGCCCTATCTTGATCCTGCCGTCTTCTAGCAATGTTGTGAGAAGACTAATGTAGCACTTTATGAAAGAACGCTCGCTCGAGATATGAACTAATTGCTCCTTATTTCTCAAGAGACACGGTCTTCCTGTACTTTGAAAGAAGGAAAAAAGAATTTATATTCAGACCAATTCTGTGGTAATGGTTTATATGCAAGACATCCCATATAATCGAAAAGTAACGCATATGACAATAGACACTGTCGTGGCTGCAGAATGAAAGGTAAGTAAATAATGAGGACAATGCAGACGAAAATATTTGTAATCTTTCATCTCCCAATGGTCAGCCGTCGGCTCTCCATCGACCCTCCCGCGGCCCTAATTCAGGGATCTTGAAATCCACAATGCAGGCTGCAAACGACGGACGACGAACCGTTGGTTCCTCACTCTGGGCCATCGCCGTGGCTGCAAGGCCAGATGGCTCAAAACCACCTAATGCCATGCTCGGCACGAAGCGACTCGTACCATACCGGCCCGCGAACGCGTCGCGCAGCTCAGCTGCCTTGCGCTTGCGCGAGCCACGAAGAGACAGGGAGCCCAGCTCAGACCGATCAATAAGCCGTGATGATGCCGGCCTCCCATCCGGACCAACCGTCACAATCTTGCATGGAATATCGGCCGCAGTCCGCGCCGCAGATGAGACCGTATCGACGTCGAAAACGCGCGCTTCCCCCGCCGCACTAAATGCCCAGATTCTGGCGCCGCCACTCGACGACTGCAACGCCAGCTCGACCAGGTTGTCCACGCGCCCGATCTCCTTGCCGTAGATCTTAAATGGCCACATCATCGCCGTCGGCCGGTAGCTGACACTCAGCAAGAACTCCCAGTCGCCATTTTGGTTCTGGACCAGGCTCTCGCGGCGCTTGCGGAAGCGCTCGGTGTCGACGAACCAGTCGCGCGCCAGGTCGCTGTCGCCCATGACGCCGTCGCCTTGGCGTTCGCGCTCCTTGCGGATGACGTTGAAGACATCCAGCGGCACGGAGTACAGCACGATGCGGTCATTGTAGGCGGCCACGACCCGCAGGCCCCAGCTGAGATCGGAGCCAACGGTGAACACGGTAGGCACACGCGCGTTGTTGATATTGTCCGAGAATTCTCGTCCATCTTTACCAAAGGGTGGGACACATACAAATGCGCGAGTGAGACTGGTAGGCCCGCCGATGGGGGCGTCGGAGCCGATACAGAGAAGTCCGGTGCGAGGCTCGACGAAGATAATGTGGAAGCCGTCGTTGATGGGGACGGCGCGGTAGTGGTGACAATGGGTTGCTCGGACGAGACTGAGATTGGACGTATTTGGGGGCGTCGCCGACTTAAGGATTGTACATCTGCGAGATGGAATTGACATTTCTTTGGGTGGTCTGGATACGGGGACTGCCGGCATGCGCATTCGTGAACACCTGGTCCAGTCAGTGAAGAAATAAGACGCAATTCCATCGGGCTCTCAGGCGTGCTGGGTAAGAAGTGCAGAATTTCTGATGGCTGAGACATAGGAAAATTTCGGCGTTGGTCTTGGCCGGTGGTCTCATCGACCCAGTGGACTTCGATGCCTCTAGCACATCCAAACGCTACGCATCGACGGCCAGGACAGAGTGCGATAGTTCGCGGTGGGTGGTCCTCAGAGCAGACATTGTAATAGTAATGAGGCGAGATATTGTTGATGGAATTGGAATTGAGGGGTGTCTGAGGGGTGTTCGCTGTCAGCCCAGCGGACACGGAAGTGTTGGTGCTCGGCCTGGACTCTGAAAGATCCACGTCGCACACCATTCCAATCCGATTCCGTAGTAATGCTGCGATCACACTGCGCGGTGTAGTTGTATCTAATGTGGCGGATAGGACCTCGTAGGGACATGATATGCTCGTGATCGGCACTAGGTCCGTGTCGTTCGAATCTACCGAAGACATGAATTTGGGTGTCCGTTGGAGGAGCTGGAATACGTAGATCATGCAGCCAGCAGTTACAAGCAAATAATTGCCGCAGCTGCTTATGCTGAAAGTCGACGGGGATTGCTGGACTTCATTTCGCGCTGCCTTGGACAGAATATGCGAGAGGCCGGCATGGGCTTTTACCTTGGATAGGCCTTGTGATAATCCAGAGAAGTCGATGACTTCCGAGGTTATAAAACCGGGTCTCTCAACATTTGATTTCCGCCCAGAAAGAAGGCACTCTGTCGCGAACCGGCGACTCATTTTCCATACATCGCTTTCCTCGCCGGATGAGCGGCGTCTAATCTGTTGTTTCGTAGCATCTTGCAGATATGCATCCCACCATCCTGCCCGTTTCAGCATGCCCTCCAGTAAATGTCGATTCAAACTCACACGCATCCATTGGGAGCATGTTCTTCGTGCATTATCAAAGTCGCGCGGGGTCAACATCGAGTATATTTGGAGCAAAATCTCCGGCGGTGTCACATTCGCGGCGGGAGGCGAAGAGCTGCCAGCAGCTTTAGAGCCATCATGGGACGTGAATACGGCTAAAGGGGTTTCGGGATTGCAGGAAAATTCGGGATTGGCGATTGAAGATGGTCGGCTTGATTGTGCGACATCGTCATGTTTGGTGTTGGGCATTTGTCCTGCCCCATAAATATCGGTCTCTGGCATCTGATCTGCCACATTGTTTTTGCGAGACCTTAAGGATGGCATGATCATCACTGCCGAAACCCACTCACTCCAACATGTATCACAAACAGCGGAGTGGGGTGATCATGCGCAAGGGTCTATGTGGGATTCGAAAGAAATGAAGATGTAGGCAACGAGATTGATGGCGGGCAAAATAAAAGCAAAAAGTGGTCGTTTAAGCTAGTCTACCAGGCCCAATCCGTAACGAGAACAGGTTGGCCGGCTATAGAAGTCGTATAAACGAATGACGGGGCAATTGGAGCGGACTCCACTCAGAAATTGAAACAAGCTTGTGGAGATCATTCACTAGAGCGTCGATAGGCCATTCGCGACGCCGCCCAAGACGATCGGATCGGATCTGTCAGCCACGATCTTATCGGCGGGGAAAAGCAGGCATGGTAGTATTGACTGAAGGCCTTTAGGTGTTAGAAATGGAGTTTGAGAACAACCGAAATCCACAGAGAGCAAAAAATATGTGGACTGGGTGCAAGGTTGTATTGGCCCGTGTGAAAGAAGAAACGGGGACGGCTGAGAGCGAATGCGGGAGTCGGAAGGAAAACCAGTTCATAAGGAATCTGATACAGCAAGGTTGAAGACCAATTCGACTAAATAAACTCCATAGAACCTCCTGGGGAGATGGAGGGAAATGAGGACGAGGCAAGGGTTTTCAAGTGCATGAGCCGAGCGGCACAACCCAATCGTATACCCCAGGCGAGACCTTCAATTTGCCATCGGGACCCAAGCTCAGCCGCGCTGACGTCGACACGTCCTTGTGAGACGCCAGGCGAGTCCTTCAGACCATGGACCAGATTGAAGGCGGGAGTCCGACAAACGGAGGTGGAGCCTGTCAGCATAGCTTCGACAATCAAATGAATGGACCGCCATCCGAGCCATCGCGGCGATAGACTCTCGCGCAGAACCACGGACCGGGCTCGGGCGGCGTCGCGAATGGACGAGTCAGAAAACGCGATCAGAGCGAGCGGAGCCAAGCTCTGGAATGGAAGGCAACGAGACGGGCAGCTGTGTCGTGCTTTCTGAAGTATGAAGTTAATCCAGGATTGGTTGGTTGTCAGGCATTACAGTCAATTGCAACCAGGCCAGCCATTCAGGGACTCGGCAGTCCCGTCGGCTTCGCGACCAGCGGACAATCATCATGCAACTCTCCCATCAAAAGTGGTCCAAGTGCATTGCGCATTCCCGACGCTGTGGGGATGGGGGCCATCGTGAGACCGTGAAGAATGTGCCCGAAGCGACTCGCCGCATGCAGCGAGGAATCTCCCTATCGTTGAGGAAAATTCTAGAAATTCTCATCTATTATCGGATCGATCTATACTCATCGTGAAAGAAGTTTGGATTCCTCTATTTCGATTTAGCAAGACGTTGATTTCACCAGAAAAACCGCAGAACAATGATCTTGTTATTGTTGTGGTTTCCTTATGCAAGGCCCGGGAATGCGGTAAATGCGCACTAGATCTGCCCTGTATCCCGGTTTCCTGCACGCCATGTGGGCCTTGGGCTAGGGATTCCAAAAGCAGAGGTCCTTCAAAACAGCCGAGACCCATGAGCCGTAGGTGATGTATAACTTGTGTTCAGAATGTCTGTGCCATTAACGATAGCCGAAAGATGTAGCATGTATGCACTCGCGGGCCCCGGTTTAGGCCCGGCATTCGAGGATGAGCAGCCCGTCTCTGTCGGCTCCATAGGAAGGCAATATGGATGACCGCATGAATGAGAATGCTCCCATGCCCGCCTGATGTGCTCACCCGGACAGACATTGAAGTCCTCATTGGAAGTCTCTAGTCGTTCTATTGACGAGCAGAGAGGAGGCCTCAACATTTTGCCCACGCGACCAATTGACTCCTGTCACTGCCACGTTTGCCATGAAAGTTGAGACCCTTCGGAATGTGGCCAAAAAGCCTTCGAGATCTTCTCATGGGCCCGGCAGTGTAAGAAAAAAAGTCTAGAATTCGATGCGTGGAATGCCACGCGTGGAGGCTAACGACCTCGGGTATAGATTATCAACAACACACGATAGTGTGCTTCATGCGGGCTTCATTGCTGTTGCCTGGCAGACTTCTATCAGAATTTGTTCTATGAAATGTACTCGTCGCTGGAGTAGGTGCAGATTCTATTTCCGTCCTAATGCTGTGGCGCGCTCGCCCGCAACGCCCAAGGCCGAGGAAAACGCAGAGCGGACACCCTGCCGTTCCAGCTCTATTAGCCCTTGAATAGTGGCCCCTCCCGGCGATGAGATCTCTTCTCGCAATACCGACGGATGGTTCCCGGCTTCAAGGAGTTTGGCCAGTCCCAGTAGCGATTGGGTAATCATTCCTAAGGCATCTGATCGCTTGAGCCCTCCGGCAACCGCCTGATCCAACAGCCCGTCCACCGCCACCGTAAACAGAGCGCCAGAACAGCCGACCAAGGACCCGATCAGATCGAATTGGGACTCGGGGATCTCATGGGTCTTGCCGACATGATCAAAAAGCCATCTGGCAATTTGAACCGCCTCTCGATCGGTCTCTTGAGCTGGAGCCGCGACAACCGTCATGGATGCCCCCTCCCGGGCGGCGATATTGGGCATCGTTCGAACGACACGAACATTGCCCTTGGCACGCTCGCCTGTGTTGACTAGATCGCCACTGGCGGTAATGGCCTCTTGAGTAGACGCAGTATCCATCCCAGCCAGAATACTGACCAGAATCTTGCCGTCCAGCGCTTCCCGCATTCCATCTTCGCCAAGGATGGAGTGCATCACCGCGGGCTTGCACCCTAGGATGACCACATCCGAATTGCGGGCGGTGGTGAGATTAGCCGACTGATGAATGGCCACGCGAGATCCGTATGGAGCAAATTCATTTTCCAGCCGTGTAACAGATGAAGATGATGAGACTGATATCGAAATATCGCGGATGGACCAGTCAGGTTGGCTATTTTTTCGACTTTGAGTCTCTCCTTCCAGAATTCCTTTCAGGATGGCAGTTCCCATCTGCCCACATCCAATTATCCCTAGGTTGAAAACTTTTGCAAATGACATTGTTGTTCGGTAGCTAGATTGTCCTCGAGTCTTAGTGAGGGGAGAAATCTATGGCATCGCTTAAAAGATGATGGGGGGATTAAGGCGTGTGTTGAGTCAGCATTTTACGAGTTCCGGTTTCTTTTTTACTCCAACTTTCAAGCTGCGGGGTGAAAAACGGTGGGAGTGAATTGACGACTAGGCAAATTTTTCCATGGAGTACTTGAGAGATGTCTAGATCCCACAGATTCCTGGAACAATGTGTAAAATGCAACTATATTGAAACTCTGATCATGTACTATCTTCTGATACCGTTGAATTCACAAAAAACTGTACCATGCAATGGAATGCGACTCATAAGGAATCAAACAAAGTAGACAATAAGAACACGCTTTCATATGCTTCGGTCATAAATTCTTCTCCAAGCAGATCTAAGAATGTTTTGAAGCATCATAATAAAGATCAAGCAGGCAGCCGGCAGACCATGCTTGAGTGGGACACTTAAATAATTCGCAGCTTATTAGTACTCAAACGCCTAACCTAAAGGGAGAGATACATACCGAGTCTGCACAATACGCTCCATTTTTGTTGGTTAATTCTGGCAGTCCCTTCCAAGGGCACTCCCGCAGTTCCTTTTTACATCCATCCAGACGCCGTGTAATCTGCTGGAAGGACTCAGTCCGCTCTTCTGGTGTCTTGCGTCTCAGAAGATCGAAATGTAACAAGGCCCGCAAGAAGTACCCGCGTTGCCAGGTCCACTCTGGGCCCTGGTGATAGTTGCGGCCTTTCGACGTGGCAAAGTCGGTCGAGTCTTCCGAATTATCGTAGTTCGGGCGATAGTTGAGGTCTGATGGGTCGAGGGTGGCCACGCCCACCGGGCCCAGAACTGCACCATCAGCGATGGACAGAGCCATGAGGGCATTTTCGGGGGTAAAGAGATCCGGTGCGACAGACATCGCAATAGGGAAGTTTCCGCGAAGCTGGTAGTCCTCGAAGGTTTTACCAGATTTGTACAAGTCCTTGTAGATTCCACGGCGATTGACGATGTTTGAATCCACATCATACTTGCTGTCATCCTTGGGATCGACTGGAACAAAGTAGCAGCGCTCGAAGTTGGCCTTGATCTTGTCTTTCCATTCCTTGAAGGTGATGGACTTGCCGTCGCCAATGTCCACTCCTTCGTGAGGATAGTCCTTAGAATCGTGCAGCTTGGCGACCCAGGATAGAGCACTATAAACAAGACCGGTGATCTCAATAGAAGCTCCATCTCGAGGAGTGCCAGGAACGCCCTTGTTTCCAGCCTTCTCACTCTCGCCCATCTTGTCTTGCCAGGTGCCACAGTTATTCTGGCTGCCGCCAAAGATGATTCCTGTGTCCCAATCCACCTTAATATCAATTTGGAACCCTTCAGATTTCATCTGAATATCAAGATCCGGGCCGGCATTGTATTCACGGAACGAGAGACCATGGGCGTGCCTCTGGAATACCTCCTGAACAACTTCAAGAACAGTCGGGGACTGTGAATATGCCCGAGGGTCATCAAAAGGAAACCAGGTATCATCATACGGCAAAAACCGCCGAGGAACCTTCTCTTGCAAGATGTCAATGCCATTAGGAGCCATGGTGGTGAAGTCTTGGATGGCCTGGAGGAAGAACCACACAGAGTCGCGCGAGTTGTATCTCGGCAATTTCCCACTGCTGAGCAGGTTAGGGATCATACCATGCTTTAGCACGCTTGCGAAAGCAATAATATGCTCTTTGGCGTCGTCAAATCGCCCAGTACACAGAAACAGTCCCCGGATCGAGATGAACACATCTCGTCCCCAGCACCTAGCCCAGTCTACCGCAAAATGGGGCAGGCCAGCGGCAAGGCTAGGAACTTGTTTGGAAGGCCAAAGCGAGGCAGATTTCACGTAGCCCATCTGTTGAACGCTAACCATGGCCAGTTGGTGAATGAATTCCTGACCGTGTCGCACATTGTCGCCGAACTGGTGAATGCCCCTCTTCCATGCAGCATTGTAGGCCACCTGAATAATTATCGCAAAGTAACGCGGGAGTAAAAAGCTGGGTAGCCCGCGAACAGCATCAAACTTCTCTCGAAGCCATGCGGCAGGCTTGTGCAGAGCAGCATGTCCGTCCTTGGAAGCGACCTTTTCCATGCGTCCTACGACATAGTCTAAAGCCCACTGACCTTCTCGGAGATGATCACACAGTGGGTGACCCAGCTTGTTGTATTTGATAATATCCTCCAAGACACTCCACCATCCTTGAAGACCGGCATACACCAAGGGGCCGTGGTTCGGGATGGCATACACGCCGTCCTGGCCGTCACTCGAGTCTCGCTCTTCGGCCTCGCAGCGATACAGCGCGAAATTTAGGTCGATCAAGTTCAGCTCGGAAAAGGCCTCATCCGCTCCGCTGGACAGGAAGTTATCCAGGCCACTTGCGTGCTCAGCCTCAGGTATCCATGTTTCGAAAAGAGCGATGGAGCCAGGCACAAGAGTTTCGAGCACGGATATGGTCACTTCGTTCCCATTGCCCTCGATCTTTGTGGCTTCAATATTTCTAGTCTTGCTTGGAAGACCCTTGAGATACTTGTCATCCGCCAAGACCTTAGCTTTGGCATCATCATCCGCATGAACCTCCAGAAGCCATGAGCCGATATGCTTGGCCTGAGTACCGGCAATATTGGTTGGAGGCAGAATGGCACCGCTTTCATTGCCTGGGAAGGCAGTGTGTGCGATGAGGAAGATACCCTTCCTCGTCTTTGGATGGACTCGGTGAACGGTGATGTATTCCCCGTCGTGGTGGATATGGGTTTCATCGTAGCCCTCAACTCCCATCATCGTGTGGAGCTCATTCAAGAGCTTCTTAACGCCGCCAATGCCGCCTTCTCCGGACCCAATCTCAACTTTCTCGGCCTCCGAAAACGGCGATGTGTATTGTCGAATTTCATGAACAAGGTCTACAAGCTTGGGATAGATCTCATCGTAGCCCATAACACTTCCGATGGCAGACGCGCACATTGCTACCAGGGCGGCATTGGGAAGAGTGTCTCGAGCATCCCGTTTCTGAGCTGGAACTTCATTGTCATGAGTGCAGTCCATGAAGAGGGCTTGGACCGGAGACGGTCTAATGTGAGTGATCTTTTCTCGGGAATCACCAGTATTTGCAGATGCGATGGCGTGGCTGCTGCCAGCTGAAGGGAGATCTACATCAAAGCTTCCAATGGGACGTCCACCATGACGGTGGACAAGGCGACTCAGCTCTGCAGTACTCCAGGCCTGCATCGCTTCACGGATCAATGCATTAATGCCCAGTCGCTTGACAAAGACATAGTCGGCCTCTTCAGATCCTGTGAACAGCTCAGCAAAGACTGTTAGATTGGGGCGAACCTTGCGCGCCTCATCCAGTAGGTATTCGGCGACAGGAAGCGGCGTCGAATGGCAATTATCAATTCGGAAGCCAGAGAAATACTTGGCCATCAAGCGGGTATACTGGGTCATGAAGTCCCACAGGAAAGGGTTATCTTCGGGTGAGTTGCCGTACCGAAGCTTGACGCAATCTCCCCAGACAATCACTTCACGACGCAGATATGCTTTCGAGTCGGGGCCAGCATTATCACGCATTGCATCAGCGTTCCAAATCCAGCCATTGTTAACAAGCGCAAGAGCTTTGGGGTTGTGCTTCTTCGTAACGTCGTTGTCAGGAAGACGAGTAAAATAAGTCTCGATTAGCGGGCTGTCCTTCGTGACAGGTCCCATCTTGGGGCCGTGTTCATCGATTCGGAGGTATTTAATGCGGTTGAAGAGTTGGTCCATGATGTCAGCGACATCTGCATCATATTCCTCATACAGTGGCAAATTTACCGCATCAAGAAGTTTAGTTAATGATGCTTCAACCGCAGCAATATCGGAGGAATTTTGATCGTAATCGCCGTGAAGGACAGTCAAGATAGCCGCACCGCATTTCGCATCCACAGATCGTCCAAATCTTCCAAAGACCTGTTTCGAATTTGGAATGCCATGCTCGCGAATAGTCTTAGCCTTCTCCTTCGGGGGAGTTCCTTGAAATTTTGCAAGTCAATCCCTTGCACGCTCGCGGGGTCAGTCTTCTCGCTGGTCCATGTATTCAAAATCTTCTTCGCATCGGCTTTCACATCAATGGCGTAGAACTCCCACAGTTTGATGCCATCCACTACGTGTTTGCGCATCACGTTCATGACTTTCAACAAGTCATCCTCGGTCTTGAACTCTGTAGGAAGACCTAAGCCTTCAAGATCATCGCCAAACTTCAGCAACGCAGTATCCAACTCCAGAGCGGATTCCAGCCAAGGAGCGGTCTCCACGCTGTATCCAGCCTCCGGGTGTTCCTCTAGCCACTTGCTGTTGTGAGCAGTATGGTTCCAAACCACATCAGTCAGAGTAAGGAGTCCGTAGTCCTTTTCCATACGAGGAACCAACGACGCAACATCCGCCTCGCCCTTTGGGAACAGAGCCGGGTCGAAGGTTAACTGATCGAAGATACTGTAGGGCGAATTGGATGCGCCACGCTGCATGAGCGGGGTAAAGTGAACCATGTTGTAGTTGCGCTGGCCGATTCCATGCAAATGCTTGTCCCAGTCAACCGGGTACTGTCCCATGAACTTGGAGATCACCGAAAAAATCGAGAGCGCGTTGAGCGGGAGGTCCTTGCCGCGTAAAGTAAGGCTCGGCGATACATCTATATAATGAAGAGGCGTCTTTGTCGGCTCTGGGGAGAGAACTGGCTCAACCGAGAAGACGGGGAGCGGAGAGAAAGTGGCATAGTAGGCGAAAGCGCCGGCGTTAAAAACTGGGATATCGATCTGAATGTTCCGGTTGAAATTTGGCTTTAATCTATTTCAGTTCAGTCGCTGGCTCTTCCACAACCTCACAGAATCAAATCTAAAGAGGGGAGATGGTACCTAAACTCGCGAAACGAATGGCGCTCGAATGCCTTGCCCTCCTCGGGGATGTTGACCCACAGGCTGCCTTGACGGCAGATGGAACTGGTCCCCTCGATGATGAAACGCAGTACATACCCCGCGTCTCCTGGAGGTGGTAAATAGATATATCCACCGGGTACATCGGGCGACCCATCGTCCTTCAATGGGAGCAGGTAGACCTGGCGCGAAGAAGCCATTGGGTACGTTGGGTGGACGGTGCGGGTTGGTTGCGGGGAGGATTGGAGGCGGCTGGAACGGTCTCCAAGACGCGAACACCTCAACCCAGTAAAAGTGCTGGGCGTTTTCAAGGAGCAAATTGCCTAAGAGGAGGCCGCAAGAGAGTGTTAAAGAGGAAAAGAACTCGAGCAGGGCGGTTCCCCCTCATCTGAGGGTCTTCGCGCCCGGTGACATCATGCATTATGGCTGGCGCGCGCCTTGGCAGGGTATTTTTAGCGCCGAGTCTGGACCGCCGCTGCAGGACTTCGTTCTACAACATTTTCGGCCAACCACGCCCGCAGGTTCTAGTTGAGACATTTGAGACACTGGCTGGATTATAGATTTATTTCTACCAGAAAGCACCCTGGACGTGCATAGGATAACCAAGGAATGTCCACGTTGGGGAGGGGGATGGAGAGAGAGCAGAACAACATCAAAGAATGTTCAGGGGAATCGATTTCGTATAGATGCAAAGATACAAGTCGTAAATCTATCTACAAGCCAAGTCCAAATCCACAAATCCATATCTCCAGCAATATCAAAGTCGGGCACTAGCGAACCGGGCGCCATCATCGCCTTGACAAGCCACATTGGAAGCAGAAATCGGGGAACGTGATACTGGGGGGCTGTAAAGGAAATGGGATCCGAAAATTAACACAACACACTCCATGGGAAAGGCAAAAAAAAAATCGGAATTAAGAGAATTACCGCTCGATATATGAAGGGATCTCTGCAACCTTCATGCTGCCCTCCAGGATCCCTGTTGATAGGGTTAGCAATGCGACCGGGCAATCACATATCAGTGCAGAGGGGAAAGAGGAAAAACATACGGTAGACAGCAGTAAAGAGGGGGAACTGGTCCTCCATGCCTTGCTTCTTGAGGAACTTGTTGACCTCCACGGCGGTCAAGGTACCCTGGAGCTTCTGGCCGTTCAACTCAGTCTTCTCGATCTCTTCAATTGGGAGGTTGCGCTCCACGCTATGCTTGGCGCAACGGAAGTTGCGGCCACCACTGCAGCTGGTGATCAGGTCGGCCACGCCAGCGCTCTCTTCAGTAAAGGTACGTTGGTCGATCGTAGCTCCAAAGAACTTGTCGCCGAACCGGACCATTTCCATCAGACCCACGCGCATCACAGCAGCCTTGGCGTTGTCGCCCCAGCCCATGCCATCAACCCAGCCAGCAGCCAGAGCCACAACGTTCTTCAGCGCACCGCTAATGGATACACCGGCAACATCGTTCACCACGCGCACATGGAAATAGGGACGGTGGAACAATGTCTTCAGGACGTCGTGGTTGACGGGCGGGTAGTCGGAGGGCAGAGCCTGCAACTTCACCTTTGAGAACTGACCGGAGGTATCACGGTGCTCAAACTGCACCAGGTCGACCTGGGAGGACGATGGGGAGCGCTGGGGGGAAGGAGCCTTGGAGTCCATGTGTGGAGGGTCATAAGCGATCGAGGTCTCCGACCATTTTTCCTGGGCGACCTCGTTGGCAATGTTAGCCCCGGACAGGGCACCGCAGTAGATGCCCAGAGTCTTGCCGATCGTCTCCGAGAAGAGGTTGATACCCTCCTCGTTGACATCAACGCCCTTGATGCACGAAATACCACGGGCGAAGGGGAGGATCTTGCCCTTGATCTGTTCACAGGTCTTGAGGATAAACTGATGGGGGAGGTTGAAGATGAGAAGGGTGCTGTCCTTGACGGCCGCTTCGACGGACGGGTTCGCATGGAGGTTCGCCGGCAACTGGATTCCTGGAAGGTACTTGACGTTCTCGTGGGTGCGGTTAATCACCTCTGTCAATTTCTGGGGCCCCGCGACGGCGGGATTGTAGTGTGGCGAGTCCTTTGCAATCTCGACATTCTCCTCAAACACCCACATTTCCACCTTCTCCTCGAAGATATCAGAGTTGCTGGCTGCATTTTCGGCGACGATCTTAGCGATGGCAGTGCCCCTACCGGTTGAGGAAAACCCGAACGTTAGCTTTTTTTTCTTCTTGGTTCTCAATTCGCACATGCCACCTGAGCGTGGAAGCGCAAGAGGCAAAAGGCACATATGAAATGACTTACCAGTTCCCGGAGCCTATCACTGCCACCTTGTGTTTGCGCTGGTACGGGCCGAGAGATCCCATGTTGGAGAGCGAAGCCGATGAAAATGATCTGCACACGGCAGAGTCGGCGAGGACGGGGAATTTAAAGGACGCTAGGGAAGCCGACGGGGGCGACCGGGGGAAAAAGACTGGGGTCTGGAACAGAGTGGCTAGAGGCGACCGAGGTTCACAGGCTCGAAAGACTCGACAGGCCGTGGAGGCGTGGCCAGGAAGGAGGATCCGATAAAGGCACGTTGGGGAGAACATGCGGGTGGGTTTGGGTGGTTCCCAATCGATACGAGATGCCCCAATCCCCGTTCGGCCCGGGAATTCGCTCTGCCAGGTACTTGGGGCAGTCCGCAGTTTGGGCCAGGGGAGGCGTCGCTCCTGATGTCAGACCTGATCACCGTCAGGGTTTGACCCGAGGGGAAGAGGTGGATCGGCGTTGAGCTGGGTAAACAGTCACGTCACAGAGCGGCGACGCATTTTCGTCATGAAGTGGATGCCTGGCTTGTATCAGTTTGAGCTCTGCATCTGTTGGAGCTGGTGGGCGCGGGTGCATGCTGGTTGGTGCTTGGGGCAGCGGGCAAGCCCAACGAGGTCAAGTCCAGGGCGGTCAAAGTGGAGCCCCGGCGGAACGCAAATTTGCAGCCCCGACATTCACCGCCGCGCACCGGTTCTTTCTCGTTCTTGCTTCTGATATTCCTTCCTAGACTCCACTCCTCCACTCCTCCACTCTCTTCTGCACAGGATGGGAAAGACCAGGAACGTCGGGAAGGTCGTGCCGACCAAGTCGGCCTTCGGGGACGACTTCCGCACCAGCAAGAAAGATAAGCGGCAGATCAAGCACGCGACTCTGATGTCCAAAATCGCAAAGAGCTCCAAGACTCCGAAGAAGCGCCGTCCCTCGAAAAAATTGGTCGCCAACCTGGAATCTCTCGCCGATGCCCTACCGGACGCTGCTGAGGAATCCCACGATGCGGCGAGTCAGGTCAATGTCATCAAGCAGAAGACCCTGCAGCACAAGCCCGGTGCCATGAAACGGCGCGAAAAGCTGGAGAAGGTCGAACGAGACCGATTCGCGAAGAATATGGCGCAGATGGCAACTCTTCCTCCAGCACCAACGGGCAGTACAGGCGACGCATCCGCAGATCCCAATGTCACGGCCAGTCGTTGGTCTGCGCTGCGCAACTTCATTTCGCAGACCATGGAACAACAGCCGGTTTTCCAGAAGAAATGAAACCTCGATTTGGGAATGGAATGGCTCAAAATAAACACTCAGTCCCTCTCTCGCCCTGGACAACCCTCACAACGCCAATAGGTGTGCCAGGAGTTGCTGACAACTTCTGCTGGATCTATGGGATATATCATAAGCCATAGATCTATCACAAGATGAAGATGAAGCAAGTTATTCGCCGTTTTGTCATTCTACGGAATACAACTACCGAGAGGGCTTGCTTTCCACCGAATTCAAGATTCGGTCTTCCAGCTTGTCAACAGATGAAGAGAGCATATTCCATACGATATTCGACTTCGCATGGGATCTCAGCATAGCACCCAATGAGCCCAGCTCCTGTTTCGGTTGAGCAAATGCCAAAAGATCAGGATCTGTCAATATCTGTGACCACGATACATGCCAAATGGAATATCAAAAATATATACATCAGCACCTGAATCCTCCAAGCGTGGTTCCAAAAAGTCAAAACAAAACATTGAACTTCGAACCATGACAATTTCATTCAACCAAGGAAACAATACAATTCGTATATAAAATCAACTTGCAACTAGAATTACAAAATACACCTCATCAATTTAAACAACAATCCCTTAAAGCTCGTATGCTTTGCTACTGTTCTTGAGGGTTGTTCGACATAATCCTGCATCATCCCAGTCTTCGCTCCCAACTCCCTTGCGAGCAATGAACAGCCCCGCAGGATCCCATTTTTGCTTGATGCTGTACAGACGGGGGTAGTTGTTACCCCAGAAAGATTGCTCAAACCCGGGCTCATAACCATTAGCCTCGTTTAGGTAGGCTCCCATCTGGTCTGCACCTTCAACAGATCGCAAGATAGGAATTTCCACATCCGTCATGTTCTTGATGATCGCCGTTTGCTGGGATAAGGTTGCATTGGTCTCCCAGCCTCTGGAGAAGAGCAAATGGGTGACCGTCTTGCGCCAGGCCGGGTTCACTGCACTATCGACTTTGTCCGCATTAGCAGCGACGGTGCCGCCAGCAACCACATGGCCTGTGAATCCTGAATATGGGCTCCATGCAATGCTCTTCCAGGCATTGGCCAGGCGGTCGGGGCCATCCTTTGATTTCAAAAGGTCCTTGGAGTACAGACGCGACGCCAGCAATGCGGTACTTCCGGTGCTGTCTGATGGTTTGCCATTGATCAATAGGGTGAAGATGGTCTCGTTCATTGTCGGGAGAGGGAGTGAGAAATTCGCAGTGCTGACCCCGGATATCTGTTGCAACTTGGCCGTCAGTGGTCGGAACAGTTGGTCAATCTCAGAAGGATCTGTTTTCCCGGGGAACATGAGCAAGGCGATAATAGTCGAGACCGATGTCTGCGCGTCCAGCGGCATGATGGGAAACCCAAAGTAGTAGCCCGAGCCGCCGGCGTCATTAAGCGATGGCAGAGCACCGTGCCATGCGCTAAAGGCATCCCAAAAGTGCGGATCATTTGCGGCAGTGGTGATATTCAAATTGTATACCACGACAGGAACTTCGTCGAAGGTACGCAACGTGACGCTGGTGACGACACCAAAGGTCCCGCCACCACCGCCTCGAAGCGCCCAGAAAAGATCCGAGTTCTGGTATGCGTTCACTGTGATAACGGAGCCCTTTAAGATCCCTTGTCAGCAAATTCTCTTTCAACACAAACGCAGTCGACGACTGGTACTTACATTGGCGGTCACGACTTCAAATTCCAGTGCATTGTCCGAACCTAAGCCACCCCAAGCCCCGAAGGGCGAATGACCTCCGCCCTGAACATATCCTCCAGCTGCACCCACAGTGTGTGAGGAACCACCGACGACCGTTCTGTTGTGCTTTGCGACGGCCTCATACATCTCTGGCAGCTGCACGCCCGCCGCAATGGTGATTGCCGGGCCCTCACCATTGGATCCGCCAGATGGCACAAAGTTTTCCACGACCTCGATATCCTTCATCTCATGGGTGAGAATCTGCAACGACTCGGGTGCTGTAGAGCGGCCGAGGAAGTCATGACCGGTATTCTTGATGGCAAGTCGAAGATTATGGCTGCTTGCGAACTGGACCGCCTTCTGGACGTCGGATGTACTCTGGGCCTTGACAGAGTACAGAGAGATGCGGCCTTGCTCGCAGGGGCTGTTCCGGGGCGAGTCCACGTAGCATGCCTGATGATGCTGAGGCCAGGCTTCCCAGTTCTCCCATTGAACCGCTCCCGGTTGGGAAGAGCGCCATGCTGAATCGGACCACAGGGCCGTCACGGCCTTGCATGCTGTCGCATCATAGCTCGACTTGTGGCAAACAGATGCGACCGGACGAACTGCTACCAGGTTGCCATTCAGGGTATTGTTCAAAGCTCTCCAGTCCGTTCGGGAAGGCCAGCAGCTATCATGGGGCCGACAACGACAGTTGGAGGACTGTGGTGCCGCAAGAGCAACGGTTGACAAGAGAAAAAATCGAATGACTCTCATGATATTTGTATATAAAAACCATGACACTGTTTAGGCTCCGTACTTCTCTTCTATGAAAAATTTCTCCCCTTTATATACGTATTCTATCTGGGCAGTGCAGAACCAAATGCCCAATATCCAGTGTATAGAATACGAAGTTACCTGCTTGGGAAGTGGAGCCCAGCGAACCAGACACGCCCGCATGGACCGGTGCATGGCTGAGTGCGGATCCTTGTATTGATCAAGATTGACATCACCGAGCCAAAAGTCAAGTGGACCCTCGCGGGATTGACCCAAAACGGAAACCAAAATAATCAAATCAAATCGCGAAGGGCCGACATGATGATATATCCCGGCACAACTCTTTAAGCTAATGGCAAAATTATTGAATGCTTGAGAATCCATGGGGCTGCTAGGCTTGATCAGGTCATTATCCGCGATCTGACTAATTATCGTGGTGCTTGAAGGCTCTATTTGTCTAGAAGAAAAGAGAAACCGAGCAAGTGAACAAAATATCCTCTTTGATTTTTAAAATCAGTTTCCTAGTGGTAAATCTATACAAATTGTACGCAACTTATTAACATAATGATCGTGCCAGCTTTTCCAAAGCCATCGTGGCGAATAGTATGAGATCCAGCTTATATAGATCTGGGGAACTCGATGACTGTAAGACAGTCATGGTTTGGTGCAAATATTTCTCTTTTTTGCATTGATAGAATTATCTAAACACTATGCTCATGAAAGTCTAGGTATCTACAATCAAGATTCATTTTCATAGAGAGGTCAAGGAAAGCACTATATATTTGTGAAAGGCAAACTGATAGATAAAAGTAACACGCCAAATAACCGCCACCTAAGCAACTCATACCTGACTTTTTGGGGACGCCAACAATACAACATTATAGGACTTAAGGAAGTTGGACATGAAGCAGCCATAACTCACTCACGAGGACTTTCTACAAATGTCCTAAATGTCCCAGCTTCATCGCCAGGAATGGTCCTTATCAAGGCGCTTATCAAGCCCACCGCTTGTTCTCGGCCCCCGACTATCCGGACAGCCCCAAATGACTCAGCCGATAAGACCACCGCTGCGGGGAAAGCTCCGTAATCTGATCACCACTCCGCACACGCTCTCCGGGGCCTCTTGATTCTCGACACCCGTCTCATATAAGCGCTACAGTCTCGGGGCGATGCTGTGGCGGCCCATTCAGCGTCAGCTTTCCCTTGCCTGGGCGCATGGCGAGGCTGCTCGCGCTGTCCGATACTGGCCGACCCAAACATCTATCAGCCGGGCGCGCCTGCTCTCCAGCACTGCCGCTAGTTTCCCAACGTTTTCACAATTCAACCGATCTGATTTCACAACACAGCCTTTTACTGGAAGCTATGAAACTGGGCTTCCGACGTCTGGTCCCCTAGGCTCGACACCAGCCTTCGGCGCACCGCGTATCACGCCAAAGGTGTTAAAGCAGTACCTCGACCAATATGTTGTGGGCCAGGACCGTGCCAAGAAAGTCCTGAGCGTGGCGGTCTATAATCATTATCAACGTGTGCAGGAATTGCAGCGACGTGAAGATGAAGCCGCAGAGCTTTTGGTAAAGCGCCAAAGGAAAGAGGCCCTGGCGAGTCATCCCTTGGAAGGTGCGCCCTATCTTGATCCTATCACGTTTAATATACTCATGAACTGGCTAACCTTTGGAACGCGCTGTAGATGAGTTTCCGGGCCAGCAACGAACAGTGGGTCTCACGCCAACCTCTAAATCTCGACAGGGCACTCTGCTAGATCAGGGTGAGCTGGTGGATACGTCACCGCTGCAACTTGAGAAGTCCAATATCTTACTCTTGGGGCCATCGGGTGTTGGAAAAACTCTCATGGCAAAAACTCTTGCCCGCGTTCTCTCAGTACCGTTCAGCATCTCGGATTGTACACCATTTACGCAGGCGGGCTATATTGGAGAGGATGCCGAGACATGCGTTCATCGGCTACTAGCTGCCGCGAACTACGATGTGGAGCAAGCCGAAAGGGGAATCATTGTGCTCGATGAGATAGACAAAATCGCCGCCGCCAAAGTGAGCCATGGCAAGGATGTAGGTGGAGAGGGAGTCCAACAGGCTCTGTTGAAGATTATCGAGGGCACAACAATCCAGGTACAGGCCAAACCAGAAAAGAACCCTCGTTCAACAAGTCCTCCAAACTCGTATCCATCCAACAGCCCTCTTGGAAATACCCCCTTTCAGCCACACAACACCACCCAGGCTGCTAAAGGCGAAATATATAATGTGCGCACGGACAACATTTTGTTCGTGTTCTCGGGCGCCTTCGTTGGGCTACACAAGGTCGTTATGGATCGAATCTCGCGTGGCTCCATTGGCTTTGGCCAGCCTGTCCGCGGATCTTCAACCTTGACCGACCTGCCGGGCACTTCTGATGAGGCACAGAATGAACCCCAAATAATTCTTCCCGGCTCCGAAGAGGAGGCGCTCTACAAGAAGCACCTCCCCTTTTTTACTTCCGCATCTCCCAACGGAGCGGGCGCATCACCAAATTATTTCAATGCACTTGATCTTCTTACACCTGCCGACCTACAAAGCTATGGTTTCATTCCAGAATTGATTGGTCGAATCCCCGTGACCGCCGCGCTCTCGACGCTCACCCAGCCCTTGTTGCTGCGCATTCTCACCGAACCGCGCAATTCTCTCCTCGCACAATACACCACCCTCTTTTCACTGTCTGGCATTGAGCTACGCTTTACAACACCGGCGTTGCACAAAATTGCAACCAATGCCTTCAAGATGGGAACTGGAGCACGAGCACTGCGGACCGAGATGGAAACTATCCTCAGCGATGCGATGTTCGAGGCTCCCGGATCCAGCGTGAAGTTCGTTCTCGTAACCGAAGCTGTGGCTGATCGCCAAGAACAACCAATCTACCTTGCCCGTGGCCAAGGCGGCAAGTTCCACGCAATGATTTCCGCTGAAGAGAGCGAATGGGAGGAGAAGACGCGGAGGGGCAAGAAGGACAGGAAAGGCAAGACGGCGAACGAGGTCACCAACGGGGCGCAGCATGCAGCAAATTTCCAGGAGTACCGGAAACGGGCTATCGGTTAGTTTTTCGATTAATGGACTAGCTGTGATCCAGTATCGTGGCCGGCGCGTCCAAGATCCAGTATCTGAGTGTACATAAATTTTATTATTATTATCAGGGGCTTATATGTTATTCACACGTCTCGCATGTCTTTCGAGCTCTCCTCATTTATAAATTTGCATCAACGTGGTTGTTATGTTTGCCCAGGTTAATTGAATGTGCGTTGGGTTAGTAAAAATTCAATTCAACTAGCGAATGGGGTTATTTGAATGATTAAAATAGTGAAAATAGGGCAAAGGGTATCTTGTATGAATGGAATGAGGGAAAGAGAAGCATAAGAGGTACCCCTGAGCTCTGTGCCAAAGGAAAATACCCTGGACGGTTTAAATCATGCCTTGCTGTTTCAAGAAACCAAAAAAAGGAAAAGAGAAGCTCCATAGCCAAGGACGAAGATCGAATAGAAAATATGAGGGGAAAATAGCTGGAGCCCAGGCAGAACCGGACTTCTTCAACGGTATGGGGTGGGGTAGTTGTGCTTGCGAGGCTGTTTCCACTCGCCAGTTTTCGGCGCAGTTGGTGCATTCGCCTGGAGCTCCTTTGGGGGTTCCCTGGGCGTAGGGATACCAATGGATAAAGCACTCGGTGTTCGTGGTGTTTGGGTCATAGGGGAGGAAGGCAAATCATTCTTGCCACTCTTTTGAGTTGCCGGCATCCGTGTTCGATGGAGCCGGTCTAGCACCACCGTCTCGTCGATTCTACCCCGGGATATGAATGCTTTGGCAGAGTAATGAAAAGCGTGACGCCACGATGACCAGTGACTTAGCAGTAAAGGGTTATCGACATTAGAGATCACGGTTGTTTTCCGAAAACGAGCGGCATAGATGAGCGTCCAGCCTGCAAAAGCTTCGACAAGGTGATCGGCATTCCGCTCCGCCTGTGTTAGGCCCCTGGGAATATGAAATGCTGCGTTCTCTGAACGTGACCCATAGCCAGCTAATGGAATCGAAACGACGTTGCTGTTTGATTCATCAAGACGGCTAGGATCGAGACTTTCAGGTCGGAAGTGAGGAAACTTCTTGTCCATCGAGTTGCATTTCATGATGGCCAAGATAAGGTTGACCAAACTAGAAACAAGGTCAGACTCTGATTGCCCTGCTTGAGGGAATATGGAATACATACTGCTTGTCCTGACCTTTGTCGCGCCTCGGATTGTTCAACCTCTCTTCCAGATAGGCCATGATATCTGGGCGTATGAACATCTTCCAGTCTCCTGGGCCATTCTTTCTCAGAATCTCGTACATCCAGGCCATGATTACGGCCGCTCGTTCAACATCGTGTTCAAGCAAATCATCGGTGATGAGATAAGCACCTCCGCGAGAAAGTATGCGCTGGAAATGTGCACCAGATTGGCAGTAACGTAAGTCAGGTAACTCTAGAGGACGCGAAAGACGGCATGTCCAGAATCCCATTTCAGGGTTTCTGAGAACGTCTCGAATTGCGGGTTCCAGTGTATGATAATCGCGAAATGATTCATGGAACTATATCAATTAGCTTATCTTTTTCTTTCCGAATTGTTCAAGATATGGCTTAGGTAACGTACCAAAGTAACACCGCCCTTGCTGTTCTTGATGAATTTGGCCCAATCAGACCAAACTACTACACCATGTTTCTGAAGCCATTTTTCCAGTATGTTTCGCTCCATGCGAGCTTCTTCCTCATCTGGGAAGTGCAGATAGAACATATCTGCAGGAGACTTGTCTCGAGAACTTAGGATAGTTGCGAGCTCCTTGAATGTAATATGAAGTTGATCTTGAAAAAAGCTTTTGATTATTGCCTCGGGATTATGCGATGCTGGTAGGGCGTCGTTCTGGTTACCCGTAAACGAAGACAGGTTGCTGTTGTCGACTAGATGCGGAACATCTGGTGTGATATCCATGGCATCTGATTGTTCTGGCTCGTTCCCTTGCGCAGATGCAGTAGCCAAAAATGGACGATGTCTGAGGCGAGGATCTGTTACAACCCTAGCTGGTTGATTTGGATCGCGAGGGTTTGACGTTTCGGTTCCCGCGGCCTGAGTGACGCCTCCTAAAGCGCTGGGGTTAGCGCGATCAATGGGAGAATGAACGGCAGAGCCTGATTGATTACGAGGCCCTAGGTTGGTAGGATTCATGTGTCTATCAGTCAAGTACTTGGGAGGCGGCAGAGGAACTCGCACACCAAGGCGAATTGGAACGCCGAATGGCACCCGGGCTTCTCCCCGTGTGAGGAAGGAGAAGTCTGAAGATTTGAGAGAGTATGCAAGCCACGCATTTCCATTGGTTTCAGGGTAATAAACGGCCATTCGATTTGCCTTGAAAAGATACTCTGTCATATGGAATATCCCGGGATTGGAGTCCTCGAACCCTTCCATCCAGGATGTGCACCATAAGATGTTCGACTCGTCGAAGCTCGCTGCAACATTGCAAAGCTCGGTGTACTCGCCAAGGCTGAAGAGATCACGGAACCACATTTCGAAGGGCCTGCCTTTGCGCATTGAAGCCTTTGATGCAAGAAGATCAAGCTTGATTTCCTTTGTAATACCACATAATCGTGCAACACCAATGAATTTCCTTTCTGGGCCAAAAAAGACGTGCGCTAGAACCTCATGTTTATTAAAAAAGTACCCATTAGTGGTTTTCGTTGCGCCTTCCTCTGGAGTACCAGTTGGCATTTGGGCGATCTTTGCGCTCTCAGACAAAGCGGGCTCTATGCTGGAAGGGGCCGATTCCTTGGGAGGTAGCGGCTTAGATGGAGCCATTTTCTCGCGAACACTAGTAGAAGTCAAAGGCCGACGCTTGTCAGGCGTATGAGAGTCATATGTTGAAGATGATCGAAATTGTCTGCTGGAGTCGGGCAAATTAAAAGAATCCGAGGGAGAATAGGTGTCAGATGCAAAAAATCTTCCGCGAGGCGATCGTGATCGCAATTGGCCGCGTGGTGATCGAGCTCTCTCATAGGGCGATGGGGATCTTCGCCGGCGCTCCGGGGAGTTCGATCCTCGACGAAATTCCGAGCGCTGGCGAAAGCTCCCATTTCCAGACTCTCTGGGCCTATAGCAATCACCACGAAATGAAAGAGAATCACGGTGGCTGACTTGTTCTTGAGGTTTCTGTTTCCGCCCCTGGCTTTCGGACATAGCAGTAGCGACCCGTAGGGGTGCTCTTGTTTCTGAAGGAAATAAGGGTGCCGCTTCCGAGACAGCAGGAGCCGCCTCTCTTGGGGATTCACTAGGAGCAAATGCATTTGATGTAGTGATGGGAAGGTTGAATTTAGAAAATGATGCACCAGTTGTTCGTTCAGAGAATTCCGAAGGCTTCATTAAGCTCACTTGGCTTCTAGTTGGCTCTCGATCCCCCCAGCGAGTTGCGAATTTAGACGTGGACCCTCGATTTTGAACAGTCTGGTTAGCACCGAAGGTAGCAAACAACGGTGCTTCTGCAGGCTTTTGTGGGGGTTGTTTAGTAGATTGTGTCTGCTTCACGTCTGATTGTTTCGGGGGGCGCTGGCATCCTTCCGAGTCTTTACTGTTCGCTTGACGCCGTGACTCTGCTCTGGGTGCTTCAGAAGATTGAGGAACCTCCCCTGGAGGCGGCGAAGAAGAGCGGGGCTGACTAGGATTCCCTACTGCAGGGGTCCCTTGCCCGGGCGAGGTAGACAATTGCACTTTACCGCTTGTTTGAGGCGTCTCAGAAGACACAAAAAGAGGGGTTCTATTTGAGGCAATTGAGGAGCTGCTGTCAGCTCGGTCATGATCAGACGGCGCATTTGAGAGACGCGCCTCCGACGGCGAATCATTCTGAATGGATTCATTTTCTTTTGGCTGAGAAAATTCTTCAATTTCTGGCGAAAAAAGCGCCCTAGAGAGCCGAACGGCTCTCTCGGCTCTTTTGAATCGACGAGCTTGCTTTCGTTGTTGAGTTTCTTTCTCGCGAGCGGCGATGTCTCGCTTCCAGTTGATCAAGTCGAAGGCGGTTTCATTCCCCGCTTGAATATTGCATTTCTTCTTCTCCCACTCGACCAAAGTAATATCGGAGTCAAAGTTTTCTGCTGGTTCCAAACTAGCACGATGAAGAGGATAACCCGCCCATTTGACCAGGTATCTTATCTCTCTGGTATTCGCAGTAACTTCCTCGGCAAGGATAGTCTCAACTTCGTATTCGGACTGCATTTCACTGTCGGCAGTTGATGCGAGAGAATCGGAATCAGAGACATTATCAGCATCTTCAATTTCCGTATTTGACGTCATGGTCGCGGCCGTTTAAGATGCACTTCAAAATATTCAAGGCTGTAGAAGACCGCCCCACGATGTATGGGGAGGTTAAGATGGAACACCCCAGTGCTTGGCTGATGTTAAAGAAGGAATCCGTCAGAATGGCCGATTGAGGGTCACGGAGAGTCCCAAACAGCCACCATCATTCAAACAAACCCTCCCCACAGTTCAACGTCAAAAGATTGGCGCATCAAACCCAAAGTGTGGTGCGGCAAAGCACCGCCACGTGACTCGGGCGTTAAGGAGACACTCCACCTGGAAGCATCGCCTTCTCCCTAATTGCTTGCATACTCGCCTTCTTTTTGTCCCTTTTCGACACCTTCGCCCATTTCTCTCCCCTTTACCCTCTCCTCAAAATGGCCAACGACGAATATGATGTGAGTACTCAACCCGGTGTTTGTTTTCTCCAAGTTGCTGACAGTGGCTGCAGTTTCTCTTCAAAGGTAACGTTGCCTCGTGCGGATACCGCATCCCCCTCCGCGCGACCGCTTTGTGTTCCTCCCCTTCCTCCGCTCCAAAAACTTCCTCTGCGATACTCGGCGCCCAACGTACCAGTAAGAAATTTGGATATTAATGGTTGTCTAGTGGTGTTGATTGGAGACTCCGGTGTCGGTAAATCTAACCTGTTGAGTCGATTCACGCGCAACGAGTTCAACCTTGACTCCAAGTCCACGATCGGTGTCGAATTTGCAACTCGCTCGATCCAGGTCGACTCCAAGACTATCAAGGCGCAGATCTGGGATACTGCTGGTCAGGAACGCTACCGTGCGATTACCTCTGCGTACTACCGTGGCGCCGTGGGTGCCCTCCTCGTCTACGATATCAGCAAGCATCAGACCTACGACAATGTCAACCGGTGGTTGAAGGAGCTGCGGGACCATGCCGATTCCAACATCGTTATCATGCTGGTTGGTAACAAGAGTGATTTGAGACACCTTCGTGCCGTCCCCACCGAGGAGGCCAAGCAGTTTGCCAGTATGTTTGGGTAGCTCTGAGCGACATGCGGATTACTGGTCAGAGAAGCTAACCATGGTGACCATCCGATAGGCGAGAACAACCTTTCCTTCATCGAAACCTCTGCTCTCGATGCCAGCAACGTCGAGCTGGCGTTCCAGAACATCCTCACAGGTGGGTCACCTCCAGGCACCAGACCCTGTGCGGGCCACGCTAACATAACTGCCAGAAATCTACCGCATCGTTTCCAGCAAGGCCCTCGACAATGGCGAGGCAGGCTCCAGCCTGCCTGGGAAGGGCCAACCTGTGATTGACTTCACCCCTCAGGAAAACGACCAGAAGCAGGGCTGCTGCTAGAGGATGTACGGACTGCAACGACTCTTCTTTTACAATGTGATTGGAATGGACTTGATCTGCAACGGAGTCTGTAATTCGAGGCGAAGACGATACACGGGCGGGATTCGGACATGGTAGAAAGCATGCAGATGAAGTGGCCAATCCCGGACATATTTCCCGATAGTCGGATCTTTGCTTTTCTTTTTCTCCCTTTTCTTCTTTCTTCTTCTTGTTACGTCCTTGCTGTGTTCTGCGTGGTTCGCAACGAAATTGATTTCTTTCCACCAGACTCGTTTCTCCCCTGTTTTCCGCCGTTGGTACTCCGCGGTCGCCGGTGCACTAAATTAGGTTGGGCGTCATTGTGGCTACCTGGTCTTGTATGAATCCTTTCTAGAAACTCAGTATATCCAAATGATGTCTTTTGGTGACGTATCAAACGCCCCTGTCCAGCATGAACCCGGCTTTCTGTAGAGTTGTCGATTGCGGAGTGGTCCAAATGTCTGCCATGGACGCCTCTGGCCCACCTGCAGCTCCACCAAAGCAATTTGCTTCTCCGCTAGTAGAGCGCAGAGCAGCAAGAAATTGACAGCCATCAAGTGATACGTACCAGTGAAACGTCACACTGGGCCTGGTCTGATCTATTGATTTACATTGATTTACGGAGGAGCAAGCATGAAGTCATAAAATGCAATGTACTTTTTTCTTAAAATTAACCAGAATGAGACTTTGCCCTGACGCCATAGCAGACCGTGAATGATATCTTCGCACCAAATATACATGTAGTCGAATTTCGAATCATCGCGATGGTGTTCCTAAAAGAGTCCGCGATGCCCTTAAGCAAACAATTTCCTCGTCTCCAGAGCATCGTGTTTCCGCGAGGAGTTGTCCGTCAGTCCCAGATCCGTCCGCTTGGCTTCGCGGTCGATCTTCACGTCTTTGCGCTGCGAGTACCGCCCAGCCTTGCTCATGCGGATCTCGCGACGGACCTGGTTAGGGCTGACATACTCCTTATTCTCGTAGATGACGGGGCCACCGAAGCTACCTTCCAAGATCACGATGGGGGTCAGGACGAAACGGGGTCCGATCTCGACCAGAGAGACCTCAGGCTCACCACTCTTGGACTTCGGGGTAGATTTGGCGGTTTCTTCACCGTCCTTCTTTCCGCCACCCTCGGACTCACGGATCTCGTAGATACGGATCCAGATCTTACCGTCCACGCCAAAGACACCAATGATGCGGTCCACGAATGGCTTCATACCCTTAACACCGCGCTTGGGGACGCAGAAAACGCCACGCAGCATCTCGCGGACCAGGCCGCGATATTCAGAGCCAGGGTTGCCCATGTCGGGACCCTGCTCATCGAATGACCGATCGAAAACCACAATGCCTCTGCCACCCTTCAGGCAGTTTCCTGCAAAACCGGCACCAAGCTCGCCCATAGTGTGAAGGTTGGTCAGGTGGAACTTGATGGTGGGGCCGTTCGGCGGGCGCGAAAGCCAGAGGTAGAGATCTTGGCCGTTCTTCTTGGCCTCGAGGAAGAAAATCATGTTGCAGGAGTGAAGATCGGCGAGAGAGTTGAGCAGCAGGTTGTAACCAGCGGTCTTCTTCTTGGTGTCAAGTTTGGTCTCTTTATGAGTATGGGGGAGGAGGGCGCAGAGATCGGACATCAAGTGACGGTGGCTAGAAAAGAGTCAATTACGATGCAGGATGCGAAGCGCGTTGGAGAGGATGGCTTACCGATGTGTCACACCACGGGATGTGAGAATTAGAACCCGGGTCTTAGGCATCATGCCTGCAGCGAGTTGTCTCTTCGCTTCAGCGATGCGGTCTTCCACTCCAGTCTCGTCTTCGCTGTCGGTAGTGTCGTCGGCATCTTCAAGGAGGGCCTCCATCTCCACGTCCATCTCCTCATCCACATCTTCGGTCGGTTGCCGAGCCTTCTTCTTGGAAACTGTCTTGTAAACTGCCGCCATTGTGGTGTTCAAATCCTGGAGCAGGTATGTGCAAGACAGAAGCTACTGAGAAAATTGGTGGCAGAATATTTTTGTTGCACACCGCCCATGCCGGTGGAATATCACGTGCTGCAATCATCCCGTTCAGGTGAACTGCTTGGACCCACCGGTTGCTTGCATGAAGTACTTAGTTTTATCGAAATAGATTGAAAATCTCCTATTGAAGTCGATGCTATGATGCTGTTTCGTTTACCTAGGAAAAATTTTCCAATGCCCGACCTAGGCCGGAGAAGCCCTCCTGAGCCACCTTCCGACCTGCAATTTGATTAGCGAAGCTTAGCTTTTTCGCAAGATCCCATTCTTCATTTTTGCAGTTCAAAGCGTAAAGCATTCCTGCAATGAATGTATCTCCAGCTCCAATGGGACTGGTGAAAGTCAGCTTGCTTCCTTTCCAAGGGGCCGAAGGCCAACTTGCTCGATCACTCGAAAGTCTTCCGCCGCATACGCGTCGGCATGAGCAAAATTTCCAGATCCTGGCTCAATAGCATCAGCCCCATCTTGACCCCAAGTGCAACATAAAAAAAGGCTTGGGTTTGAAATGATTAGCCCACGACCAGCCCTTGATCGGTTGAGGTAACTCACGCATCGCGGGCTTGGCTCGATTGTTTTCGTACGCATTCTTCTGCTGAAGTATATCTCTTATTCTTTGCAAAATATTAGTAAAATTAAAAGCTGCGGTTCGAGAGGGTTTCCACCTGTGCCCAGGTCTTGGAGTAGAAGACAACATCGGCCTGCGCTGCAAGCTCTTGAAGACCAGGTCGGCCTGGCTTCTCAATCTCGACACTGATGCGAACGCCTGGAAACTGCCTTCGAAGATATCGAATGCATTCGGCAGTCACTTGTGGTATTCGTCCCTGAATCGTGCTCAGCGGATTGACTCAAGTATGGACTATCTAGAGCCGGTTGACCAATCAATACCAATGGAATTCCAACTGATCATACCTCAAAGTGGAACCAGGAAGTCTGTGGACCAATTTCGTCTGCAATTGTCATAAACTCCTCCACAGTCATTTCCGGAAGCTCATTGTAATTGACAATGGTTCTGCTGCCAGTGGATTGACTTTTGATGATATAACATGACGCTGGTTCTGTAAAATTCTCACGATAGATGCAATGGTCGAGGTTCACCCCAGGTGCAAGTGCAGAGATGATTTGTTGCGATGCTACTGAGGACTTTGCCGGCAGGACGGAGACCAGCTTCAGCGCCAATGCTCTCTCCGAGGAAGCATGCGAGATCACCTGTTGCAGTACTTCAAGGGTATTAGGACAATTACCGCCTCGCCTTCGGGAAACATTGGATGCTCGCAGCTTCTCATCTTCCTCGGGATAATATGGAGTGCTATGACATGGGAAGCGGAGTTAGCAGTCGTATGTAATAAACATTGAGCTCTCTGTCTTGGAAAAGAGAAGAGATGGTCATGGACTTACGTTAGAATGGTATCTATATAACATGCACCTATAGCAACCAACATTTTGCCTGGAGGTATGAGCCCCAGGCTCTTTTGAAATCCACGGAACGGGAATAGCGGATGTTTGTGCAAAGTACGGGGACATTCTCGGGAACGGGCTTGCTTTCCCTTGTTCGGCCGCCCGACAAAATGGCCAGGCCGTGCGCTCGGGAGGATTAGTCATGGCCTTGTGAGGCTCAGGCTGCCAGTGCAGCCGCGGCCAAGATTACTACATCCATATGCACATGTAGCAAGTTAGTCAATATTTTGCTTTACAAGTGCTTGACTGGCTACCTGGCCTCTCAATTTCCTTTAAGATAGAATTATTCTTTGCCAAAAATTGGCTTTAAGTGAATTTATTTGTCAAACAAAGAAACCATTGAGATACTGTCAAGCTTTGATGATAAAATTAAGTGTTGACATTCTCGGGCACATCGTCATGCATCTTGTGTTTCTGCAATCTGGCTATGTTTGGAAGTGGATCTGGTCTTCAGGCCTAGTTTGCAGCAAAATTATGATTGTCTATATGCGGGCAGCATGCATACATAAAAGGGAAGGCTATACGCTTGATGCGAGGCAGACTGTAGGCCCTAGATTTCCAAAGAAACAGAAGCTCCATTCTTTGACATTGGAAGACCGTTTCATTTATCCACTTCTGTCATACTACCTTTGGCTTTTTTTGATCTTAGGAAGTTAGAAATCAGGAAAAAATGTGGATTGGAGTGAAGTGGCACTTGAGACCATAAAGATTCGACCCATCCACCCATTGTGCATATCGATTTCAAGATGTAATTCTCTACAGGATGTTTGGTTGCGTGCAGTCATCAATGAAAGGGACTCAAAACTGACATGCAAGGGTGTTTGTTTGTCTTGATTGCATTTCATGGCAAACAAGGGGATCTGCATCATGGCTGTGCTCCAGGCAGGAAATAGATATCTATATGAGTGCATAACTTCATCTCAAAATTCATCTGGATACTTTCCTCATCTCCACCTCACTCCCTATTCTAGACCACCAGAACAACCCGACAACAATGGGTCAACGGAGCAAAGTGCTGGACACAGATGGTCCAACCCCCAAATTTCTCTATGCCATCATCAAGCAGCTTGACTTGAAGACCGTGAGCTCATATCTGTCTATTATTGAAGATCACTATGTACTAATTGGAATACTCATGATTAGATTGACTGGAATCGAGTGGCCACGGAGCTTGGAGTCTCAAATGGCCATGCAGCCCGAATGCGATACTCAAGATTCCGGTCACAAATGGACGGACCGTCTCCAAGGTCCATCAAAAGAAAAAACGCAAAGAAATCTGGCAAAGGAGAAAAGGGAGAAGCTACTCCTGCGAAAGGCAAAAGGTCCTCATCCATGATGCCCTCAGTCCCCCCGGATTTATTACCGAAAGCGGAGCCTATGGAGCTGTCAATCTCACCTTCTCACTTCAACTTCAATCCCTTTGTCAAATACGAACCTGGCAGTCAGCCCCCTACCGAGCCTCAGCCTCTTTCTGAAAACACCGAAGGCTCTTATCCGGGTCTGTCACAGATGATGCCACCACACTGTATCCACATGCCAGCTCAGCCATTTCAGTATGTCTCAAGTGGCATTCCGTTCCCCTTGACATCTGGGTCCTCGCCCTCGATGTCTCTATCGAGTGTGTCGCCGTTTCAGAGCATCTACAATCCATTTCATATGCCCCAAGAGATAAGCATGCAAGACTTTCATTCGCAGCTCTCCGCTAGTCCCTCCAATACCCAAGCCTGCACCTGGGATGCCACAACACAGCTGGGGAGAGAATCGATCCCAATACCAGTGAAAATCAAGGATGAGCCCGACAACCACGGGAGTTGTGTGATTCAGATTGAAAGAACCCAGGAGATTAACTCTTGAAAGCATTTTGGTTTTATTGGGAGCTGGGTGCGGTAGATGAATTCCTGTGTATTGTTACAATTGGAATTACAAAAAAGGAAATCCGATCAATATCGATGAAAGTCAAAGTAGACAGAGCACCTATTGTCATAGGCCATATTGGGGCTCAAACCTCTATGATATTCAAGATATATTCTCTGGTTGAAGGCATAATCCTGAGAGTGTTTATACGGATAGGAAATGACATCAATTTGGGATGGCCAGTATGACTACAAGGCAACCATGCACTTAACAAGTTCAGGAAATAAAGACAATGATAGGTTTAGGGAGAGAAATCTATTTTGAGAACTGTATGAAGAGGTGTGTCGGACATTACCTCGATTTTGTTCTCACTTTGTCTCCCCCTCCACCTCTCAAACAACTTCCCACATCTTCACACGTTGAAATTCATCGACATCTTCACCACATCATCCAACTTTGATTTCATTATTTGACATTACAGTGAATATCTTGACCACACCACGTGAACATGGCACCGGCCAAAAACATTAACAGCGCTGATACGGGGGCGGATTCTGAGAATCGCTTCCTGGCTCAGTGTCTGAAATGTCTCGATCCAGAAGAGAAAAAGGTACTTGACTCTTCCTTAAGATATCCTTGACTGCAATGAAGTGGTACTAATTGACTAAGATTGACATGGCTGCTGTGGCCGCCGCATTAGAATACACAAACTCGAAGTCTGCTGGAAACCGGTATGGCCAGCTGAGGAAGAAGTATTCCATCAAGGTTGACACTTTCTACCCCCGTGGAGAGGCAAGTAACCCCACATAATCGTCGAAAAAAGTTATCTGTATTTATATTTTTCAAGGCTTTCGGCTCCCCTAAGCGAGTTTCAAAGGTGACCAAGCCGCCCCGAAAGCGTGGGCGAAAGCCTAAGAAGCAGAACAATGAGGCCAACGAGGAACCTCCTGTCGAAAAGAATCATTCTGAGAAAGAGGCCAAGAGTTACGATGCTCCCCCTGCTTATGAGGAAAATGAGGAAGCCTAATTATGTTGATTACTCGCTCCTGGTAAGTTCTCTCTAGCTCATACGAGCACTGCCTTTACTCATCGGCACTGACTTGCATAGTTGCTTGGGTTACGTACTCATAAATTTCGAATTTAATAGTGATGATATCGAGGCTGGGATAACGACTTGAGAAATTGTTTTCCTTTTGCAGTTTTCTTCTGGGCTTGGGAATTTTTCTTGAGATATTGCTGGCGTGGTAGATTCGCACTGAGCTCATTGCTTAATACTCGAAGTCAAATGCGGGTACTGCATTTAATCTTGCAATAGGCGACGGCCTACTCAATTTGAATACCATATTCTATCATGCTTCACATATTGTCCGACTCTGAATGGTAACAGCTGGTGCCGGATAATCTAGTCAACTTTGGTGCATCTCTGCACGTAGTCCACTGGAAATTCTAGACATAGGATTATCCTCTGCCTACCCTCCATAATAGATTATCCTGGCCTTGAAACCATCATATTAACTGTCAAATTATCTGAAAAAATTGCTAGTTCTTCAAATGAGGATGCATTGTTCAAAACTTTTCCTTAAGATCCAAAGAGCGTGGGTCTTATACGAGATATGAATGCTCATTTTACAAAATAACAAAGCAATCGATGTATCACCTGCGTGTCCTACTCCTGCAAACAATTTAGATGAATATATTTGAAAAGCATAGCATAGTAGTAGATGGTATCTGTGGCCTAGTAACTATGTTGGAGAATCAATAACAATATCGACTTGGAAGATAGCTTGGAATCTACAAGACCACAAAGAACTACGCACTTATATTGGATATTGATTTAATTGTATGTCTAGCATAAGCTCTGATATTCACGTGCTGCCATCGTGTTGTCACCCAGAGAATTTCATGGGAAGATACTTAGCTTTGAAAGAATCTTCTTTTCGCCTCCTCCAAATCCTTGTCAGTCTTACTACACTATGACCAGGTATGTTCTCTTTCCATACTTGTCATTTATCCACATCCTCGAATACCCACCATTCTGACAATATCTCATCCTTGTCTGATTGTACCCATTCTGCTATTTGCACCGTCTATCCGGGTCTGTCATCTTCTTGAATCTCTTTCTGATTCAAATACCACCAGAATCACAGTTCACTTCTACTTTCCTTTCATCGTTCAACACTCTTCAGGGAGATACTTTTGATCAACAATCAAAATGTCATCACCAAATCCTTCTAAGAGCAAGAATGACGAAAACCTGAAGCTTCTTGTGAGCTGCATTGTCAATAGCGAGCATCGCAAGCTCTTGAAGGTAAGTCAGTATGGAGAATAAAGCCTCAAAATATCTATATTGAAATTCTTGTATTCTCATCATGCCGTTCTAAAACCATCTGAGCATTCTTCATTATCCGACAGATGAACTCACACCACATTTTATTCCAGGTTGACTGGGACGTGGTCGCTAAAGATGTTGATGTACCCACTAGTGGCGCAGCGTAAGTTGTCTGCGTACTTATGAACTTTCTACTTGCTGACCCAGAACAGTCGAAAGCGCTACGAGCGTGTTATGAATAGTTTTGGTTACACTGTCTGTGGCTCTTCTAAGAGCTCCCCCAAACCTGGTACTCCCTCGAAGCGCGGCACTGTCGATAAAGTCGATGAACCGGAGCAGACAACCCCGAAGCCTACCAAGAAGCGCAAGCATCGGAGCCTTCTAACCGGCGCCAGGGATGCCGAGCCCGAGAAGGAGCAAGAGACTGAGTGATACAATTGTGTTGGATAGGAGGAGAGGGGTTGCAGGGTTTATGATGCCTTTATGTTGTTTGATTTTCGGGGCTACGACATATGGTTTCTCATACCTGGAGCTTTCCCTTACATCCCAGTGATATGATGTCTTCACGATCCGAGGAATCACCGTGGCTATGGAGCCATAGGTACCTTAATATTCTACTTTTCCTTACAAGGAGAATATTTTCAACAATCTACATTAGGCTGAGAAATGTGATCTGACTTTTTTCAATTATGCTCTTGATGTAAGATAGAATACAAAAATGGCTATTACTCACTTCTATTCATTTTTGCGATGCAAAAGGAGCTAGGAAAATAGGGGATATAGAGAAGGATATGAGAAATTACAGCCCATTAAAGGACAAACAATACTTATGAATTCAACATTGAAAGTACGGTAGGGTATCGTATCAAACAAGTTCAAGAACGCTGCGAATAACAAAGGCATGGAAAGAAAAAAGTGGCCCCTCCGATAAGTGGCGCTGTTCAGATATCAGCCATAACAGATTCCACAATCTTCCGCTTATACTGGGATAATGCCCGCTCCTTTTTCTGCATCTGCGCACGGAGCTTCATATATCGTTGCTTCCAGGTAAATTCAGAAATTCCTTGCTCGAAGTCATCATCTTCCTCGAGCTCAGCATCTGCTGCATAGCGTATTCCTGTGGTACTATGTTGAGAGTCAAGATGAGGAACCGCTTGGTGGAATGGACGATTAGGCGCAGATCTAGTACCAATGTTGCCAAGTACAATTTGAATAGATAAATAGCAAGTGGGAGCATGTTCGAAGGTAACGGTATATCTTGTGTTGAATTCGACGGCGAGTGAAGTGGCATGTTCAGCATCAATATGAATAGTTATAGAAGGGAGACTGTGGGACGATAATCCAAAATGATGCCCAACACCAAGTTGAAAAGCTAGAAGAGACCCAGATAATGCACCAGGTAGGTGGGAGTGGGTAGCACTGAAGTTTGTCACCAATTTAGAAGCTAATGCACGGCCTTCATCAGGTGTGATTGGCAGCTCCCGCCCGGTAAGTGGCACACGGAGAAGGTCGCTGGAGAGGACGCGGATAATTTCCTCTGAAGAAATTTTCATGTCTGGAGTGGCCGAGGCTTGAATTGAAACGTTATCGATATGATGGGTAGAATCGGTCTGTCCGTCTTCCTCAACCTCCTGAGATTCTCGGGACTGAAGAACTGCGCCATTCACACCATTCACCAAAACGGTAGGAGGAGTTGCAAGCCTGACTGGGGCACCAAGGTGCCGAGGAACTTGTAATTGAAGCCGACCCGGTCGTCCATTCGTCGCTGGAGTTGGGGTTTGATGATAAGCTGTTGCAGGCACAGCGCTTGAAGGGGCCTGGTCGATGACCAGTGGAGAGGACTGAACTGAGGAATTTTGAGGAGCTTGCGATGAGTCCCGACTAGGATTCACCTGGAAAGTAGAGAAAGACCCTGATACTGCTGATTTGTTTGGTGGCCGACCGCGACTCTTCCCACCTGACATGCCGTTACTGCTAGGCCAGGCTGACGAAACAGCTGGCCCGTGCCGTCGGCGACTCCGGGATTTTTCTTTGGAAGATGGGGTGACAGCCGATTGCGGCTCGGCAGACATGAGCATGTCCGATGGATGACTTCCTCTAGGGAGTATAGCGGACTGGGGATAGCCGGCGGGGAAGTCTCGCGATCCGGAAGCCTCCAATGTAAATCTTGTGCTTGGTGATCTGGCGGAGCTGGTTGTGGGAATGACGATGGTGCTGTCATCCAAGGGTCTTCCTCGCCCGGGTAGGCACTGAATGGGATAGCACTTGGTGGAAATGAAATTGCACTATGGCCTTGGAAGCCCGGTGTCAAGCCACCTACCGAGGTGTCCAGTTGAGGACGCTTTGATGATTTTTCCTCATCGAGCTCTCGCTCATCAGCCCGCTTTCTACCACGTTTGGGCTTCCATTGAGGTACAAGAGCCCGGAGAGCGAGATCCTCTTCCAACGGTACACCATCGCGTGACTCACTGACGAATGGACCGGAAGGAGGGAGCTGGGTGTAGTATGTATGGGGATGGCCCAAGCAAAACTCAAAGAAAGCATCGACGTGCATCGCATGCATCCAGCGCTAAAGACAATTAGATGGCTGGAGAGGGTTCAATGGGGTTGACATACCTTCAGCCGAACTGCATACTGTTGCACCTTTTGCGTGCTCTGCTTCTTTTCCATCGACGGCGGTTCGACTCCTAGTTCCATGGCAAGTTGAATCCATGTTTTGAGCTCCTTGTTGTCGAGCTTTCGGATCAGCTCGAAAAGCGTGTACACACTGAAGCTTTTACCGTCGCTGCGCGGAGGACAACGGAATGTTTTGCGCAGCTCCGAGGTATCAACCGAAGAGGGAACATTAGGATTACAATACAGGATAAACAAAACATAGGCAGCGTCAATGTTCTCATCTGTCACCTCACGGGATGGTAAGATGCGATTCTCGGCCTGATCGGCTGGATCTTTCATTGGATGATGCCGAAGGCCGTCAAAGACGGGCGGAGACATTGACAGACCAGAGCGTGCAGCCGATGACGGTGGTAGAACCGAGCGCATCACTCGCGGGGACGTTTGCAAGCTTCGCGGAGTTCCCTTTCGATGCAAAGAAGGCGATCTATGCGCTTCGAGCTGGCTTCTAGCACTCCCCAGCGACGAGGCACTTTGCAACGCCGACTCTAGCGTCGATGGGTATCTCGCATATTGCTGAATGACTATTTGAGACGACCCAAGACCACCGCGATTTGAGCGATCGGTTGATTCCATGATGACAGGGAATGATGATTCCATCGGACTTCTCGGGGGTCGTCCACCCCCGACGAGCGCGCGTGGAACCAAGCAGACCGACGGTTTATGATCAGATATTGTGAGTTTCATCAGATGCACTAGCCGTTACCATGGTCCCAGTCCCAAGGCAGCTTTCCAGGGTTGACAAGATAGGAGATTGAATAATGATGAATGCAACACCCACGAGGATCCCCCCGAAGTGGCTGGAAGCGCCATCCACATTCAAGCTGAGTTTCTATTTTGGGGTCACTCTTAGTGCGCCTGTTATAGCTTAGCGTTATCGCCTGAGGGTGGGGGTCGCTGCCTCGTTCCTGCCTGGTTGATGCCTAGTTGATGCCTAGTTGATGCCTGGTAGGTGCCTGGAGGGGTCACGGGCTGCGCTAGCTCTTTTCCGGAGTAGTGGCCCGCAGTCCCGGCTTATCGATAACGCGGATCGCTCCTGCCGTCGCATCCGCCAGGTTCATGCGACAGCGACCTTTTGCACACTCGTGTATCATCCTGTCTCTATCAATCGAAGCTGCTCTACGACTGGACAATAGCGCAAAACATGTTGTTGCAATCATCATTTTATCGCTAACGTCCTTTGACCAGTAATGGCGCATTCGCGTGCACGCTCGAAGTCCTCCCGGCCTGTTAGGGCAAGTCGCACCAAAGTTCAGACCTATCATGAAGAAAGCGATTCGAATGACGATTTGACTGACCGAGATAACCTTGGCGGGGAAAGGTTGAGACCTTCCTCGGTCTCGCTACGCCCGCGAAATACATCGGGAACGCGCCGATCTTATCGCGAGGATTCGTCCGATGAGGACCCTGAGGACGTCTCGGAAGAGGATGAAAACCAAGACACCGTCCCAATTTCACTCGTCACCGATAGAGTATACGCCGCGATGTCTGGATCCTCGGGCATATCTCACTCGACTGCTGCTCCCAAGCTTGCTCGCTCTTCACGCCGCAGTCGACCGACCACACGTTCCCAACCTAGGAGACCAACTACATCAACTCAAAAGTCTCATAAGGGACTTGGACAACCATTGAAAAAGCGCACGAGAATTGATGCTGGGGAAGAATTGTTCTTGAATTCTGGCGTGATTCCTCCATGGCCCACTCTTCCCTACCACATACTTCTCGATATTTTCGTGCGAGCATCTTATCCTCTAGTCAATGAACAATTGATGACACGCACGAAATCCGTCAAATGGCTCGTGGATATTGCCCTCTTGTGTCGCGGTTTTCTTGAACCGGCCCTCACAGCTCTCTATCATTCCCCGCCGTTGATCCCAGTCGCCAAGAGCCATGACTTGTTGAAGCTTCTTTCCATGCCACAAGAGACGTTGGCGCTCATTTATTCTTCAAAGGTAAAGGAGCTCCATGTCGATGCTGAGACTGTTTTGTTTTATAAAAGTGGTCCCCAGCTGGGCTACTTTGATTTTCCTCAAATGATCGAAAAAACCCCCCAAGTGCAGACAGTGCGACTTTATCACAAAGACGACTTTATCATCGGAGTTCCATCTTTCAACATTCCTCAATCTAAGTGGACCTACCCAGAATCTCTTTTTTCAGCTATTGACTGGACGGGCATCGCTCTCCGGAGTTGGGACTGGAATGGTCGCTTCTTGAATACCCTCGATCTTCTCCCATTCATGCTGGAAAAGCACCAGCGGGCTTCATTCCAAACACTGAAGCATTTACGCCTAGTTCATGTTGACGACTATCAACGAGATGATACTAGTACATTGGAGGCAACTCTTGCAGCGTCTATTCAAGAACTCCCCCAACTCGAGAGTCTGGAGCTCATTGAGTGTACTCTGATAAGCAAAACAATCTTCCTCCAGCTCCCACCCAATCTCCGTTCTCTGAGCCTTTCCAACTGCGAGCGAGTCTTTACCGAGTCTTTGACGGATTTTCTGAGAACTTGCGGCGGGAACCTCCAAGAACTCAGTCTATCTCACAACCGCCACCTGACCATGTCCTTTATCACCAATCTTGCAGACTACTGCCCTAAGCTCGAAAAGTTCAAAATGGATATTTCAATTCATGACTGGTCTAGTTACAATAACACCAAGCCTCATTTTCAGGCTCTCTTGAGTCGAACTGAAATTCCAACCTGGCCAGAAACTCTACAAGAGATTGAGTTGATCCAGCTGAAGAGGATTGATGCGCCCACAGCAGAGATGGTTTTCATGTCTTTGATCGATGCTGCACCGCGCTTGCGGTACTTGCGGCGGCTCACTTTATCCGTAATCCTTGAGATTGCCTGGCGCGAACGTGCGACCCTTCGAGAGCGATGGATACATCAATTTGAAGCCACTTTTCTACGTCGAAGTGCTCCTCCGGATCCCAATTTCCGTTCACTTCGAAAACGGCCTTTGAAAAGCATCTCCCATACTACTGATTCAGGGGTCTTTGCTGATGAATCCTCAAGACCTGGCTCCGCTGGAAGTGATCTTCTTACGCCTTCCAAGCGCCATAGCGTGCGTCTTGCACAACACAAGGAATCACCGGCGCTTGCTCTCCCTCGCCAGTCGGAACCTTCCTTTTATGGAATGTGTGATATTGTCAATGTCCGGATTGATAATCAGCGACCCACTGAGACACAACTCAACGAAAACGATTTCCTAGACGAGGAAGCTAGTGGTGACGAAGACTGGGACGGTGATGACTGGGAGCCTGCAGACCGCCACGCATGGTGAAACCCCATTCTTCGTTCGCCTATTGCTCTGCTTATCTCCAATTTCTGTTTATTTTCTTCGCATTACGGATATTTTCGGCGTTCTGCACACAGTGACTCGGATAAGCACTAGGGGCTGGAGTAGATATGGACATTTGGGGGGTTATGGGTTGACGGGTTCAAAATACGTGTATTCGGGTGTCTTAGTCGATATTTGTATCCCTACTTTAGACTTAGGAGGAATCGACCTTTACTTTTTATACACTGATACAATTTCTCTTCGGTACACGGTATACTGTCTGTGTTCTAACCAAGCTACCAAGACTACGAGAAATGCAGACCGAGGGAATAGTTGTCTGCATGTCCAACCTATTTATGAATTCCCAGATCTCATTTGCTCGACATGTTTCACAGGCCGCCAGCAATCCAAGATTATGAAAAGATTGTGATGCACTGTTGCCAAGTCCTCCGCGGCCTGGATCACGTTGACGGTACGTGATCGCCAAGCCAAGGCTGGGGCCCCACACGATCGCCTAGCACCTCCATCATCTCACTTCGGAATGTTTTATTCTCCCCGTCAGTTGCCTCCAATCCTCTGACTGAGAGCAGAATGGCGCAGGATGCCCCTTCGGATACGGCTGGTCCGTCTTCGCCTCCACCACGACTCCCGGACGGCTGGTAAGTCGCCAGTAAGGTCATAGCGCTCGTTCGATATTGACAGCATACGTGTCCAGGCTCCCTCAATGGGAGGGCGTCCAACGCAAATGGTATTATGTCCAACGAGCCACAGGTAAATCGCAATGGGATATTCCAACCGAACCGGTCGTTTTGACCCCGTCCACAACGCCGACATCTATCGGGACGGGTCCCTCGCAAGCACCACCATCACGGCAGTCAACACATAGCCCCCGGGGGTTCCCAACTGGGAATACATTGGTGGAGCGGATGGAATCGGTGGCGGACAGTGCGAAACTTTCCGTAGGGAATCGCGCTCATTATGTCTGCATATACATTACAAGAATGGCACTGATGGCCGGATAGAGTGCTATTGGCTCCCACCTTAATGGACTGCCAGAAAATCCAACACAAAGCTCCTTGGGAACTCAGGGCTGGCAATTAAATCAGATCAGCTTGCATGACGGCCTCCCCCATCCACAGCAATTTGGATCTAGTCGCGGCGGGTACGCATCGGTATGTCGGCTTCTTGGGTGAAGACTGGCCTTTACTTAGCTATTTTCAGAATTCCTTTCCCCAACGCTCCTTTCCGACCATGGGACATGGCGGGTCTGCAATATATACCGGCCCTGAACAGCCTCACCATCCTCTAAACTCGCAGCATATGGTACAAGATCCCTCTCAACCGATCTGGGGGAATGCTGCTGGCGTTAGGCACCCGTACCCAAGCAAACTCATTGCTGACCATCGTATGGGCCCCTATACGAATGAATCGTTTATTCTAGGTTCACAACAACCTCAGAATTACACCCCGTACACTTCGTCCTTGCATAGTCTAGACAATCAACCTTCCGGTCCCAGCGTGGGGTTTCCCACACCACAAAGGCAGTGGCAGACCGAGCAAGTGCATACGAACCTGAGTCATTCTTCCAAGATATCGCCGCCACAATTTGGATCTTCGGATTCATCCCGGCCACTGTTCAGCTCTTACCCGACACCACAGACTATGATACAACCACCAGGAGAATTGGCATCAAGATCAGTGCAATCGCATAACAATACCAGTGCAACGGCCGGCTTTGGGGCGGGTCATGAAGCATTGCACACAACTCATGGGGCCTTCTCGCATGATTCCCGTATTGATACTACAGGCCACAGCCATACATTAGGTCCTCAGCCTCTATCTCGTTCTCTTTCTCATCAAAACGCCAATTTCCAGCAACAAGGAGCACCCCCCGGAGAAAATATGATACATTCTTCCTTCCATGGATACCCGATGCAAGCCTCGGCTTCGTTGCAGGCCCAATATCAGAACCATGAAATGGCACGGACACGTTCTGGACCTGGGTTCAACCAAATGGCGTTTCCTATGGTCACGGGAGCTCAATCCAGCACCCAATACTATCAAGATCTCCCGGTCCAAGCTGGAGCTGCCCAATATTTGGCTTCACAACATCAAAATCAAGACCTCGGCTTGGACGGATCATTGGGGCACCCCGGGGTCAGGTATCAGTACCCGACTGCTCGACCAGATGGTCATTCCAGTCATTGGGTCAATCCTAATCCCCCTCAAGGCTCTCGTATAGCATCATCAGATTCTCAGTTTGTCAGCGGCCCTTGGGCATCGACGCCGCCCACACACGGGGTCCCAGAACCACGTCTTTATGAATGATGGCCATCTATAAGGGCCCAGGTTGAATTTCAAGAATACAAGCTGTCTAGGGAAATGAAATAGTTCTTTGAGCTTGGATTATGTTTATTATTTCATGATAGATTTCTTTTGTCGTGGACAGTATTCTGTGGAAAATGGGATTTTTCTCCAAGAAAATCTTTGATCGTGAGCAGTAGACATTCATTATATCAAGTATTTTCAAGTATATTCCTAGGCACTACGAGAAATTTGGTGCAGTCAATTCATGTTTATTCAAATAAACATGGGCAAGTCATCGAACCATGTGTTTCCACTCCGTTCAGCGCACGTGCTGTACACGTGACCTCATTAGACCTAGGTCGTAATTATCAACGTTTCTTATGAATAATAATTCCAGTAAAACCTTTGAAGATCATTCTGCAGTAGGTAAAGGCAGTTCACTGTACTACTGATGAAATTGAAGCAATTCTTATCTTTGTTTGATCACTGGCTCTTTTACAAATCATGGACCTACATGCAAAATGTTTACCTTGAACGCTGTCAAGTGTGAAAAGTCCATGAAATCCATGATTCATCCTGACTTGAGAGGCATTCAAAGCATATATATGATCAGTATCTGCATTGATACAAGATTGTCGATAGCCAATTTCTGTTCATCAATTACCAATGCGTTCGGAACCATTTTTAATCGTGCTTACAAAGGTACCAGAAAGATATTCAAATACCTTGTGGATCAGAGCCAGGGTGAGTTATGTCCAATCTAATAACTCATTGAGTAGCCAATTACATTTACAGAGCCCTATAATGGCATCAATGTGCAGAATACCTCAAATACTGAGCTGATCACCAAGATCACTTTCTAGAACCCACATACTGATATCATGCTTGGCGGATTGTGAGGAATTTTCTACACCCAGTTTTTTGGGGGTGAGTTAGAAGCACAAAACCGGGGAATGGGCGTCCAAATAGCGTCAAATCAAATCTCATCGAAGATCTCACCAAGGCTATCTCATTATCATAGACTTGGGCATTCACATGTTCTCAAAAGCCTAGAAAGAATCCATCACGTCTGGCATAAATTATGATCCCACCTGATATTAGAAAATATATGAATTGTGAAAAATCTGAATGATATCAGTAGCATGGGTTCTCTCAAGGCTCAAATTGAGACGATATCCAACGCCCTGTGAACTGTGTTAGTAGCCTTCAGGGAAAGTTTTCACTTTGTGCGCGCATTCAGAAATGTGAGAGAGAAAAAGATATCAAATCACCATCTCTCTCCTCTCCTATTGTTCTGTTCCCACACTAAGTTCTTTCCCCGACGACCTCTAAGTCTGTGGCACAATGACTATCATGTGGAATCCAGACCATGACACTCGTGTGAGCCCTTCATACATAGATAGCTCTTGTGCAAGCACTGAATATGCTACAGCTTCTCATTGCAATCTGGGAGACGGCAGACCGCAAGTTCGCATGGCGAGAGGTAGCTCAACGGATGGGCGGCAGTAAGTAAATTCATTCATTGAGCTCGTTATGTGCCATTCAAATCGCCAATCAAGTTTTTTTCCTTAGCATGTACCTCAGATGCAATCAAGCAACATCTGCGTGCTATCAAGAAGCGCCGCGACGATAAGTTGGAGGGGGAAGAGGCGGCCAAAGAAAAGGCCAAGGTCAAGGTCACGCCGACTCGACTCAAGTTGAATCCGCCCAAAACTCCAACAACCAAGAAATTGGACGAGAGACTTTCTCCAGGTTCCTGGCATGATTATCCCTACCCTGGTGCTACGGTCAGAAGGGGTCCGAGCGACCGAATGTCATCTACCAAGACCCAAGCAGTGGCGGCTGCCAGACTTTCCTCGTCCCCTGTAAAGCGCTACAGCTACCGGGCTCGAGGGACTCCTTCACGTGGTCTTTCTCGTGTCAATGTTCAAAGCCCACACAGCCCATACGCGAACCCTCGTTATTCGTTCATTGACTGTGACGAGGACCATGAGTACGCCGACAACAAGGAAGGTGGCAGTGATTCCGAGGACGACACCTTCTAAGCTGAGTTTTGATCCGTCTTTTTGACAGTTCTTTCTCTTTTGCACTTGACATTTCAGGCGGGGGAGAATTTTAAATACACCATTTTCTGTAGATGAAGGTTTCGCGGTGGGAGGAGATGGCACTTGCTTTGTACTCATCGACCAGGCTTTCTCGTCATTCTATATCTTCATGTATCCCAGCATGAGACTAACAAATCAATGCAAATTATGAATAATTAATGAGCGTTTAATATGTCAATAAAGAGCTGGCGTCACCTTGTGGCCTATTTTAGATGATTTAGTTTCTCATAACTCAACATCATGTGAGGAAATGACTTGCTTTGGAATCCTGATGGCTCTCGAGAAATTATTTTGGCTTCTCATCCATTTCAAAAAACTAAATACGCGGTCTTCATGGGGTGAGAGGAAGGAATTGGATGAGATGACTCGTAGTACCCTCACGAACGCTAACTTATATGCCGCGAACGGCCAATTGTTGGAGGCTTTTAGTGGAGCCTCATAGATGCGCGATATGACATAACCCAAAGTTCCACTCATTAGTATCTCTCTATCATCATCATCTGCCTCGACGGACTCTGAATTGGGCATACCTCACCCCGGATTTTTGATCTTCACGTCTCCCTCCTACAACCTCTTCGTTCTCGCACCCGATCTTCCACGTTGACATCACCATTGACAAACACCAATAAGACCGTCAAAATGCCCATGATCTGGGATGACAAGGCGGACGCCAAGGTATGTAGACCATGAAAGAAAGCTGTAATGTAGGATGAAGATATGGTTCACGGCTGCTTCCTCGTCATGACTACTCCTCTAGTGACAAACATAACATATCTGCAATCCCGATTATATACGGAGAGCGCTAACTCCGATTCCCAGCTTTTGGTTGGCATCATCGCCACAGGCACCGGCGTCAACTACGATGCCCTTGCGGAGTTTATGGGTGCTCGTAAGTCATGTCTGAGATCAACTTTCACTTTGAAGATCTAAACTCCTCACAAAGTGATCGCATGAAACACAGATGGCCCGAAAATACAGCTAACATCTATATCTCTCTAGCCTGCACGGTGAGTGCCATCAAGCACCGCATTGCACGAATCAAGGAAAAGGCCGAAGTCTCCGTGGCCCTCCCCCGCGCCTCTCCGTCCAAGTCCAGCCCGGGCCGCAGTCGAGATTCCCGTGGGGGTTCCCGGGGCCCTAACAGGAGTCCGGGTCAGAAGCGCGCGTTCCTCATGAAAGCCACCAAAGCCACCATGGAGAAGGTTAAGAGCGCTAGCGTGACCAAGTCGGCTCAGTCCGAGGCTGAAGTCACCTCCGAGGAAGACCTGTCTTCCGCTTAAACGAACCTGTCCAACAACCACCCCATCTTCAGGCATCAACCCACTAGAGTAGCCGGGATCCACGCTTGCTCCTTCACTACGCTAGGGAATGGTGGCAGTGTGATGGAGGGGCCAATGAATAAGTCTTTCGGGACCAAAATTTGCCTTCAAGTTTTATACTTTTCTTTTCTCGTGTTCTACAATAACCGGTTGGTTTTGAATCTGCAGTTTTCATTCAAGTCATTTTGCTTTACCGAAACATCACAAGGGTTTTTTATTTTGTTTTTCAAGGCGAGTACACCAGACAGTGAACAGACTACTCCGCCATGCATTGCATAGGGCGAATAAAGCCATGGCACTTGATCTTGCGATCATCTATCGAGCATTTTTACTTGATTCATAAGTACTATATATTTTCATAGCCTTAGGAAGCACCGTGAGACCCCAATTGAGACAAGTGATTCCGAGCAAGGCATGTTGACGGGCCTGTGGCGACCTTAACCGGTTCTTTAAAGTGGCATGCCTGCGAATGACCTGCATCGATCTAGCCAAGGGGAAGAAGCCCCCCCCCCTCCCCAAGGGTCCGCAGTATATTGGTCTTCCAATTCCAGGTGTTCTAAAATTATCAGACTGCCATGAAGAAATAATTTGGTCCTTCATTGAGGGGGAGTGAGAGGGACCAAATATTCAGCAGAAATAACATGGAGAGTCCAGTGCCCGGCAATACATGTCTAGAGCATTAATACAAATTGGAGAAAGTGTTGATTTACGACTTTCTGATTTCGCTTAAGCTAAAGTTAAATGCCGCTACCGCGTATTCAACTGACGTCCAGAATTTTGGAGTCCACTGAGCCATAGAAAAGGAAACCCGTGAAAACTAAAACGCCCCAGGGTTGGTATGATTACCAATAGCAATTTAAATCAATACCCCGAATGAAGTTTGAAAGATTCACGAAATTAAATGTCGATGAGCCATGAAATGCAGATATCCCGAAGTGCGAAAGAACGTCTCATGTTCTCCTGGAGGTTTCAAGTCAATACCTTCCTCTTTGTTCTTTCATGTCTGAGCAAGTAGTGGCCATACCTACAACTGGAATCATGAATAGCAATTAGATATCATTCTCGGGGCCGTCATCCTCTTTCTGTCTGTTGCCAGATACCTCCGCCTCAGAGTCCTCCCCGATCTTTCCGCCAGGACCTCGAGGAGTAAGGGGAGCTTTGGAAATCGCGGCCGGGGAGATTTCATCCGCAGTCTCGTGCCCATTGTCATCCACGACGAGCTGCTCATGTTCGAAATCTTCTTCGGTCTTAGGCTTGGACTCAGGGCTCTTCTCACGTTTGCGCTTGCGTGCACTGGTTGGACTGCCCGATGCTGCTTTTCTTCCACCGCGACCGCGCTTCGAAGGTGTAGATGTGTTGGAGGTGATACCAAGACCACTAGTCTTGGACAGTTCACGGATTTTAGAGATTCGCTCCTTGATTGCACGTGGGGTGGGCTTTGCCTCCGCATCGTCCGCTATTCCAGTTAGCAACTCGATCGTCAACGTTGATAAATCGTAGTAAGGATCCTGGCGCCTCTCAACATCAATATCCATGAATTCAATTCATGTAGGGCAAATTCGCCATCGGTTAAGGGTATAATGTTTTCAACCCGGTGATTTCCTGAACAGGGAAGGAATTGCTCAAAGCAACTTACGCCAAGCTGCGGCCACCTTGGCAGTGTCAACGCTAAGCTCGTGGGTTTCGATTATTTTGAGCAGCAGCTAGAAGATGAAGAAGCATGGTCAGCTCGGGAGCGAAGAAATTCTTTGAGAAAACTCCGTCGGTGAGGTTAGTGTTGGAATGGCATGTGCTCAAAAGAATGAAGACATTGAATTGACAAGAAAAAGAGCCCTATATGACAGCCTTTGGAAAATTTTGACGAAGAAATTGATAGTTTAGCCAGCCTCGATGACTTTGATCTATCACCGGATCTCGAAGTTGATCGGGATTAGGCCATAACTTCGACGAATATTCTGTGAGAGCAGTGGAGACAGCGTACTTTCCATGGCATGTGCTAGGGCAGCAGGACAGAAGAGGCATTTAAAGGCAGGCCATTGAATTTGGATGAGTAGAATGTCTCAGAATAGGTGAAAGAACTCCTGAAGACGTACCGTTTGGTCCGCTGCAGCGGTCCAACGAACCTTGGACATCGTGAATATCGATGCTGGGAAGTTGTAGCGGGTCGAGTAGTTGATCCTTGCTCCTCAAATTGGGGGGAAAGGAGAACAGAAGACGGTGTGGTGGCGAGGAAAGGCTGAAGTTAAGGAAAAAAGAGGAAGATGGAAAGATCTAAGCAAGAATGAGAGGTTGAAGCGGGCAGACGACTTTGAGTTAAGGCAATTCTGTCGCAGGGAAGCCTTCCTTAGGTTAGTCTCTCTGTGAAGGCAATTCAACACGTGACTGAAAACGTACTACATCCTCAATCAATATATATGGGAATAAGCCTTGGAAATTTCTCAGCTGCGTTGAATGAGATCTGGAACCGATGGACCAAGTTAAAAAGCAAAATAATTTTCTGGCTAGAATGTATTAGTGGCCCGCCAGGCATTGTGGCATTACAACTTTGTCACTCTATTTCTCGCGCTCCATGCCCTCTCCCTGAGTATCAAAAAAATTGTCTGGATTCTTTTGATGGTAGCTTCAGTGTTTTAGATAGGGCTCTATTAGTCACGTGGGAGTTTCACTTGTACTTCACATATCTTGAAAGCAATGAATAGTGCATCATACTTCCAGTCAGTGTTTGAGACTCTAGAAGTTTATTTGTAGTTCTTTCACTTTATATGCGTGTCATATTGATAAGGCTTCTTTAATCATTTGGGAGTCACATATCACGCGGGCCTCGTTGAAGATGTTGAACAATGCACAACAAACAAACTGCAGCAATATGTCTCACTGCAAAACACCCGAGGGCTCTCTCTATCATCTTATGCACCACGGGACTTGATAATTAACTACGTCTTTTATGTGAGTTTGCAAAACTTCGAATTCCTTGAACGTCCGACATTTCCCTCGATCATTTCTCCTTCAGCACATTACAACTCCTTGAACAACACTCAACACTTCCCTGGATCTTTTCTTCTCCAGAATTTTAAAGATCTTTGAACAACACTCGATACTTCCTCTGATATTTTCTTCTTCAACACCTTACCTTCCTCAACGCTTCCCGGTCTTTCCTCACCCACGTTCGTCATACATCAAGTGAGATTAGCCAATATTTTCTTTGCTTGGAAATTCCTTCCCCAATCAAACTTACCTTTTATCTAGAACACGTCGCTCAAACAAAACCACAGATCCGATTACAAATAAGAACTCAACATGAAGGTTGAACTCGATCGATTTATTGCAGCTATTCTAGCCTCAAACTGGGGCATGAAAGTATGGTCCCAAGATCTAAATGAAAACTGCTGAACTGATGATGATTCTAGATTGACTTCTCAGATGTCGCAAGGTTTTACGGACGAGGCGCGACGCGCAATACCATTGAGCACAAGATCCGTGGATTCCGGAAGATGGCGGAGGCACTCCGTGCAGAAATAGATGGACCACATACCCCAAATAAGTCTGCATCAATTTCCCGAAAGCGAAGCGCAGGAAGTCAGCAAACAAGCACAGATTTGAAGTCAAAGCGTGCCAAGTCCGGAACTGGAGCCCGAATCATTACAGATCTCGAGAACTCAAAGACTTTCATTGATATTGATGAAGAAGAGATTACTCCGATCAAGACAAAGATCAAACAGGACAACCACATCACGCGCAGCCTTTTAGGTATCAAAACTAGTCCTTTCGATGATTTGTTCACGGTTCTCGATGACCAGAATGAAGGCATTATTGATCACGTGAAAAACGAACTCGACGATGTTGACATAACAACAATCCCAAGTCAACTACCCAGCCTGCAACTGGAAACGGACTTTCACTTTGACAGCCAAAAGAATGGCTATGATCTTTCCCTGCCATCCTCAAACTTTCATGATCCAATGGTATCTTCCAAAGCCTATGGTGCTGCCTTTGATGACGAGATCTGAGATGATGATATTGAAAGGGGAGTAATGGCATACATGGATTGCAAATCTTTATTATTTACAAGGGAGAAGTTCTCTTCCTGCATTCAGTGCAGTAATTTTGAGGTTTTTTTTCTTCTTCGGCTTAGTGCACTCTCCATTACTGGATATGGCATGCGTCACGGCTTTCACAATTGCGAGGATTCGTTTATCAAGCTCCAAACTCCATGGTTTGCTATGATGGCGTTACATCATTCTGTTTTGTTCTCCTTTTTCTTTTTCCACCCTTTTACACACTGGAGAGTGACTGAAATTTTTGCATGGCCAAAGGAATGGACTAGGAAATCAATATTTCAAAAGACGAAGGACATATTTGCTAGATATTATTGCTTAAATCCTAGAGCGTGCAGTATGATATTAGCACTGGTAAGAAATGCGCCACCGAGCATGCAAAAGTTTGCATCGCAACAGGTAAAACCCAGGGTATCTTCCCACGGCATAAAGAGCAAATCACCGACATCAAGTAATTAAACCGATGACCAGAAACGCCAGAAACACCGCTAAATTGCATTGAAAAATGAATGAATGAAAGAAGAAAAAAAAGCATTGTCTGTCCATGGCCTTGAAATCATCACTGTGCGCTGTCCTCATCTAGGGCATGCTTGTACTTTTCCAGGACAGATTTCATAGTAAGCTTGAAGCAATCGAAAGTTTTCACAATAGAATCAAGGTCATCTGGATCGTCGGCAATCGCAGTGGCGAAGCAGCGCATCTGGGATTCCATCGCCACAACTCCGTTGTTCACCATGGCGACGACATCGCCACGAAGCATATCCACTTGAAGTTCATGATTGGTACTGTAGTGAATAGCGGAACGGTAAATAGGAGCCGGAGGAAGATCGTCATCTTCGCCGTCAGATTCATTCATACTGGTCACACCACCATGTTTTTGCAGCACGTCTCGGTTACTTGCAGAAGAGCCTTCAGGGATGTTTTGGTAGAACCCACCCAGTGAGGATGGAGGCACAGGAGATGAAGGTGCCGGCGACTCTAGAGTTTGGTTACTAGCCTCCCACGAGAGCATGCGGCGGCGGCAGGACTGCCACGAATACGAGCGACCGGTTCGTGCATGGAATTCAGAAGACACCTGACGCCAAAAAGCCTTGGTGAATGAAGAATAATTTGCACTCCCTTTGCGGGCATGACATATTTCACGAAGAATTGCATCTTCCTGCGGTGTGAGCTTTTTGCCCCGACCACCCCGTGGCCCAGTCATCATGGCGGGACCGGGGAGCTGAGCATGAGGGAGCTGGGCATGCGGCAGCCGTGCACCACCCAGAGTGGAAGAGTGCATTTCGTCCGACATGCCGGCTGCAATAACTCAATTAACCATGTATGCTCATGCTGCCATCGGCTTGCCTTGCCTTCTTGGTGCAGACTTACCGAAGCAGAGGCGCTTGGCCGTTGAAATCCAGGCCTGTGGGTTTTGCAGTGGAGATCAACAAGAATGTATCTGGTGGAAATCATCATTTGACCTTTTCCGCCGTTAGCGTGCGACGGACGCGCTAATGGACGCGCTAGCGCCTGTTAGCGCCCCACGTATCGGGACGCGTCCGATTATCAACCTTTTTTTTTGGAAGCGCGATTACTCGTTAGGCTTGCTAGTCTTCATTTTACTAGCAGAGAACGTTATTGATCTCATAAATCTAGTTCCTAGAGTTTTAAAGAATCAAAGGTCGCCCAAGAGTCGCTGGATTGCTGTTCCCTGGACAGTTATTTACTATTATCTTGTCATTTCCCTACAAGATATCTTGCTTTATGCCGCATAGACAAAAATGTTCAATGAATGAGGCTCGATTGACGACAAATCTAGAACTTATAATATACAAGAGCAAATTAGTACTCATCCAGGTGCTCTGGGGTCGGACCCGGACGGGTATCAAACGAGGATTGGAGACCGTTTGACATTGCTGCGTCCTAGGCCGTGTCTATATAGGCCAAAATTGAATCACGACGGGAATGTATAGGTTCAGCAACCTGATGGTCAGTATCGTTATCAGTGTCTCTGAGGCTCATCGTTCAAGTGCATGCAGATAAGGCATACTTATCCCAGTGTTCCTTCCAGGATCGATTTTCTACGTGTTGTGAAAAAAATACAGCAAGGAGGTAACTTTCTGCCTTTTTCCCTTAAATCTCAGGGAATAATGGAGATGCTCGGTGAGAAACACCAGGTTCCTAGTATTTGTAGCTTGCTAAACTATGTAATGACAGTGGTAGAGGGCTGGGTGCAAATGAACCCCTCCATGTTTATGTATTTGCTCTCGCATTCAGTAGCGATCTCATAATTCGTAAAAAGGATGACCAGTCAGCTACTTTGAAAAGGAAGAAAAAGGGGGCCCCGCCGCGCTGGATTAAGCTTGATTGTTGAACGATAAATTTGACGTTTGTGTCGGAGCTGCAATTAAGTCCAGGTGTGGTCTGCCAAATCGTGGCGAGCACGATCACAGTTAGCCTTACCGGTGTGAGTGTAGCAGAGACCTGCCACACCAGCTGCCCACATTGCGCCGCACTCCCACATCACAATGGCCAAGTCCCACAGCTCCATGATCTTCTGTCCGTGGGGGTATGCCAATTCGGCAGTGAGGACAGCCCCGACGAATTCGCTCTCAGCCGGGAGACTATCACCTCCTTTAACATACGCAAGCACCGGGTTCACAAGTAGATTAACGACGGCGCGAGTTTCGGGCAATATTTCGGTATCAAGAAGGGCTTCGAGCCGTGCCTCAGCGCTGGAGAGGGGACCTTCTCCGCGCTCAACCCGAGTACCCTGCGATCGGAAATGCTCCAGCTCGGGTCTTCCTTCGGGCATGATGGGACTGATGGCTGCGGTAACATCAAGGTCGGTTCGGCCCAGGAGGGTGATAGGTCTGTGCCGGCAGTTCGAAAGCTGCCACCAGTGGGTGAAGAGGAGGCAGAGGGCGGCCGGATTGTAAGGATCGTTGTTTCGGTACCAGATCATTGCGCCAATGAGGCGCGCGTAGACTTCAGCGAGTGCATTCTCCTCCAAAGATCCTCGTGTCAGTGAGGGGATGATGTTGCTAACTTCTCCACACATCATGTCGGGCCCGAGATCAATCCAATCGTGTGCGACGCATCCAAGACCAGCAATAGCAGCCATCTGCTCGCCGCCCCCCGAGTCGTAGTAGACATGGCAGAACACCGCATCCGCGAGTTTGTACCGGGCAAGCCGATCAAGATCGTTCCACACCACCATACAGGGACTGGATTCAATCGGATCATTATCCTCAATGATGGTCTTCTGACGGACACATCCGTAATTACAGCCCTTGACGATGCGGATATCGTCGATATGCGGTCCGGCGGAGGCAGATGCTTCAGCAGAGGCAGTGACCTCCGCGAAAGCAAAGGAGAGTCTGTCCGCCATGGCAGAGGTATCAGTGCCGATAGAGTAATCCAGGACAAAAGCCGAGTCCATAACAGCCCACAATCCAGAGATCGAACCACCGTAGACACCACGATTATAGCCCATCGACATGGAGAAGATACTGGTATTGATGAGAGGGCCCTCACAAAGTTCTCTGGCGAAGAGATCATCGGTAGCTTGGTCTGGCGAGTCGGCCACGCCACTTAGCTTCGGAGCCAAAGGCTTGCGAGCAACGCACCAGCTGGGAACTTCAACCGCGCGCACCTCTGCAAAGTCGAGGGCCTCTACGCTTGCTCCACTAGTGATCATCTTGTCACGAGCTTCTAGAAGAGCAGCGGCATCGGAAAGGAGACCAATAGCACAGTCAGCGGCATCTGCCACACGCGCGTTGCGCATCCAAGAGATACTTGCAGCGGCACCAAGCACGCCTTTGGTCAGGGCAGTGTCGGTACGACGGGCCAGGTTCACCGTGGTGGTCAGAGTATCGGTCTCAGGGACGTATTGCTGGGAGAACTTAGGCGATCCAGCCTCGGTAGGACTGATGCCATGGGTCTGCAATGCCCAGCAGGGAGCTCCATGAGGTGACTCGCGGACAAGTCCTTCTCCACGGACGTGGGTGGTGCGCCAAGTCGAAGTCAGACAGACCGTGGCAGCAGGATCCACGGCCGAATACTCATCAGTACGATCACCCCAATGGGAGACGACCGGAATGCAATCGAACGCGGGCGAACGGCTGAGGCCGCCGCTGACGACCAGCCCGGGAAGGAGATCGGAGATGGGCTGGTCCGAAGACTTCACTGCCAAAGGCCGGCTAAGCTCATTGGTACGGGCGAGAATCTTGTAAAGTCGGGCTCGATTATCGCTATTGTGCCGGGCAGCAGCCTTTTTATCTCTGAGTTCCAAAGGCGAAACCTCGGCCGTGTTGGAGATGAAGTCGGTCACGTCCTGGCAGGAAATCCGTTTATTGAAAGAATGCTGATGATCCGCCCGAGGATCAACGAGCCCACCCCGAACAGCGATCTCGGGGAGCTCCTTAACCCGAGCTATATAGGGCATTATGAAATGAAGTAGAGGCTTTGATGGAGATATGAAATTTATAAGTAGGAAGAAGAGTAATCTGTTGATTGCTCTACTGGCTTTCTTCCCTGCTCTGGGGATGTTCTCTTTATATCTTCTCTTTCTCCATGACCACCCTGTACCCGATAAGTAAACGAGGCCAAAGCATCCCCGATGACTCTGTCCGAAACACTTCCAAATCAATTGCACATATGCTGATCCTCTAGTTCTGGCCTCAACATACAAGTCTGTAAGAGATCGTTACATATGCATCAGCACGGATCCTTACTACTGAATGCAATGATACAAGCTACCATCGAATAAAGTAGCGCATGCGGGGAAGATTGCCTGAAATTTTCTGCTAGCATACACACTTTATGCAACTAAGCTTAGATACACTAGATACATCGGAAGGGTCAAGTTTGGCTCAGGAAACGTGGTGCGACCTGTGGCCGAGTTGTGCAACCGAGAGTCTATATGTGCATGCTGTGATTGTTTTGCAGTGAAGATCCTGTGCGATACAGATGCTGGTTTGAACAGCTTCCAGAATGCAACTAGCTTTGCAGTGCATTGCGTGATGGGTTGTCTTAGCGGGAGCTACTATAGGCAATGTATACCTTTCCATAACTAACCAATAACATCGATAAAGGAGCTGATGTACCCGTTGAGATGCCCACGATACCATTACATTCTAAATTTCGTGTAAACTAATAATGTCGATTATATAGTCCCAATGTTGGTTGTATATTTCACTTCCTTAGCACTTGGATTTACCTACCGTAGCTAGGGTATGTTCCTAGTAAACCAACAAGCTCATGAGGAACTCAAGAGCTAATTCAAGCTCTAACAAAGAAGCTTTCATTAATCCACTGACCATTTGAACCTGTCTACTGAGTCGAGGAATCACAAAATTTGTGTTACACAGATTCAGTTCCAGAGTATCCACCCATTCGCCGTTGACGTTGCTGGACCGACGCCGAAAAAGAAATTCGAAAAGCGGAAATCTAATAATTACAGTTTTCGAAGATTATCCCGGTAGGCGGGGAAGTGTTCTTGGGTATTGCGTGATATTTACCCATGACGAATTTTGCAAGTGCGATAGATTAGCTACATGTTCGGCGTAGTGGAAGCACTGTTATAGGTTCAATTCGGTGCTATTTGCTCTTGCCAAGCACATATCTAGGAGTTTGAAGAGATCCGAAGCACATAAGCCCATGATCTTCAGCATTGAATCTCCAACTGGATAGCAATTCAGTGGCGACGTAGCTGGCGCTGGCCCCGCTTGATAGATCATAAACAACGAACATATCCATGCATCTGCACACATGCTACGTGTTGCACAGAACTCATGACATGCAAGATTTAACAGCAGTCACGTGGGAATCGCTCTGGGGCTGAGAGTGACCTGCATAGATATGCAGCGAGCACTACTGAACTCGGTCCTAGTTTGATATTACTTTCTGGATCATCGGAAGGCAGCGAAAGATATTACTGTATCAATCAATTGTGGTTGGCACTTTTGTGCGTAATGCATAGGCACACCAGCAAGAAACAATGGACAATAGTCGGTGAAGAGCTGCATTGAAAGGTGAAATACTTCCTTGTATAGTATCTAGTAAAATGAAGAATGGTATAATCATCAAGCGCCCACTCTGAAGGCTCTGTTTTTCCCAAGGGAACCTCTTGGCTATTTAACAATAGTAAAGATATATACAATCTGTCATTTGACATTTTCAATATTTCATATTCCATACCAAGAATAAAGTAATGCGATACCTGTATAAATAACGCCACGCGCCATGTCCATAAACCCCCCATGCAAGACGTGCAAGTATCCCAACAACCGTATCCGAGACAGAGTCCAGCTCCTTTCTTTAATGACATAATTGAATCCACTCTGCTACAATGTCCCCCATATCGTGTGCAATTCCCCATTGCGAGTTCAGACAACGAAATAATTTCTGTATTGAGTTGAGTTCGTAGAGAAGATTGCGCACCGCACCACCCGTAGGAGAGGGCGACAATGCCTGATCTAGTTCAACGAAACGCCGCGTCTCAGAGCCGGACGGCGGTCGAATGTCCTCATGGCCAAGGTTGAGGTCCGAATGAGACAGCAACGCATCTTGCCAGACAATTGTGCGAGGCAGGTTGACCGTCGCCACACCGGCAAGCGAGAAGACGACGTAGATCGTGGCTGCTGCAAATAGAGAACTAGGCATGTGGATTACATGCGCTCGTCCGCGGGGTAGCTGCTCGATAATGTCTTGGATGGCGATGGCGTGGAGAACAGCCCTCCGGGCGTCCTCCGTATTGGCCCACTTGGTGAGGTCGAAGCCGGGTCGGACTGTCCGGCAGCCACCCGAGACATGCTGTGGAATGTTGTACCGCGAACATACATGGCGGGACAGCACAGTCGAGTTGATCATGGTATCAAGGCAGACAGTGTGCCAGCGCAGCAAAATCTCCAGCCGCTCCGCCGCGGTAAAGTGAATACTCATGGAAATCGTTTCGTGGACTTGGGCTAATGCTCGCCGGACATCTGATTCGCCTGGTACTCCGACAGCCAGATCATTGTCGTCACAGTCAGAGATCAGAGACTGCAACCCCTCCAGCACAACCCGAAGCCCAAATGCAGAGAACTGATAGTCTAGTGGGCGGAAGTTCCCGACCGGTGGAAACAAGGAACGAAAGACGACCCGGAAGGATGACTGGTCCTGTTTGTGGGAGTGCATGTGTGCCAACCATTCATCGGGCGTGCTCGCATCAAAAGCAGCCTCGCTGCTGGGTAAGCTCAAGGGATTTGAAACATGACGAGCGGAAGCACCATCGCCAGACATCTGGGCAACAAGGCCATCAAGAACGTAGTAAGCCAACAAGGCACGCTGTTGAATCTCGCGTGCCGCCCAGATCCGCCACTGGTGTTCTTTTTCAGCTATCGGGGCGTTATTAGAGGGAAGATTGTCTATAGCGTAAGGCTCGCTGTCATACATGCCACAGTGTCGTGCCCAGAAGAAACCCAGCGGCCGGAAGACTTGGCTGGTGGTGCGAATGGCACGGTTTTTGGAAAGAGCACCGTAAATTTGACCCAGGAGAGCAGTGATCATCAACTGCACGCCTTTGCAAGCATCGTACGGGCCGTTGTGAGTGATCAATGACTGCCAGGAGGTAGCGACCGCAGTGTGGGCCAGTCGCCACAACGCCTCGCCCTTGACTACCGAGTCACTGGGACCCAGATATAAAGAGCCGATGGCGATAGCATTTAACAAAAGAGCATGAGTGCACTCTCGAAAAACAAAGGTCGCTCGGTGCAAGATAGGGAATGTTGGAATGAAACGGACGAAGAACATGTGCAGACATTCATCGAGAAATACGGATGTGATAGACGTAGCTTTGACAGCGGCCGTCACACTAGAGGACTGTCGAAAATCTTCATCAGCTTTTGGAATTCTCTTCGCATTGATAGGAATATTTCAATCAATGTATCGGGTTCGCCCATTTCATTTCTTCAGGAGCGAGTTTATGAATTCCGCAAACAGGAGTCAACTTACCGAGCTCGTGATCATTTCAGTCACATCTTGTACGGCCTGGTGGCCTCCACCCGACGGGATTGCACCAACCGAAGAACTCCGATCATCAAAGGAATTCGGAGACCCAAAGTTCATGCCATTCACATCCTGCACGACTGGTGGAAATGGGAGTGTCCCGAGAGGCATCTGCCACTGCTCTGTGGTATCAGAGGACATGAGAGTCTGGAACAGATTCTCTGAATCCGGCCAGATAAGCGCGAAATCGAGGTCCGAGGCAACGTTGTGCATGGCCGTATGCTGTCCGGGCTGCGTCTCGTCCCATGAGCGGCTTGTAGCTGCGGTCGAGGCCGGATCAGTAGTCGATGCACTACTGGCATCCCAGGACGCGATCGAGTCCAGTGAGGCGGAGGGCGGCACGGATGCCGGCGAGAGGTCTTGCTTTGCATTCATGTCCCGCAGATGCAGTTTCTCATGGCGGGTGAGGGCATCTTGCCGGGCAAAGGGCCGGCGGCATGATTTACAGACATAAGGTTTGGATCCGGTATCTATACCAGAAAGCCGGTCAGCCGACGGAGTGATTCGGGATCAACGATGGAGCCCTGGAGGATTGCATGTTCTGGGGTTTCGTTTATCCCCCGTCTACCCCGGATATACTGGGAGTGGGCTGGCGAATGGCACGACACCCGGCCAGGATCATGCAATATATGACTTACGACAACGTTCATGTCTCTATGAGATCGCCCGTTAGCACTTGGCGCTGTCATTTTGGCCTTGCTTCGGCACCCGGCTAACATAACAGGGTAAGAGGGAACTGGAGCTGCCCCTCAAATTCGTGGGGACCGGAGGTGATTGGGGCTGACTTACTCGGAGATGCTCAGCCTTGGTGAATCCCTTCTGACACACCCGACATACCAGTTTCTTGGCCCCTGCAGGTGTCGGCGACGCCGTCATGATCTCGATCGACGCCATAATCCTTGGGCAGCGTGGACAATGGGGGAGGATGAGGGGATGTGGGAAGGTGGGAAGATGGAAGGGGGACGGCGAAAGATGAACCACATTGTGGGGAGGCGATTGTGGGGCATGGCTGCTTGTTCAACGGCATTGGAGATTAACTTTGTACAGTACGTAGTGCTTATGATGATGATTGTTAACTCTAACTATTTGTGGGCTTGGACCGTAAGTCCGACGGCCGGCACGCTCGGAGGTAGCCTGAACTCGCGCATACTTGACAGTCAATGGTAGTGAGGAGCGAGGTACTCCGCACTCTATGGCCGAAATCTGGACCGAAAGGTGAATCTCAACTGCGTGGGGCTTACGAATCACCCGACGGTTGAAAATTTAGGACGATTCGCTCCATTTCCCCATTTCCCCGGCTCGAAGCTCCAAACACGTCAAACAAGATCGCAGGCAGAGGACGGTGCGTGGGTTTAGTCGTGTCGGATGAGTGGCCGCAAGGGCCACATGGACCGGACTGTGGTTTCTGGTGTCTCTCCCTTACAGAAGCCAAAGCAGCATCTACGAGTTGCTTCCGGTCGTGGGCTATGGGGTGTCCGCAGTCCATGCAGGTCTCGCTGACGGCCATCGTGGACTTAGTGGGAATGCAACTCCTAAAAAGAATTCCAGATTATTATAAGCTATTTAAATATTATGAAAGATACGCCACGAACTCGGCTGTTGTCTACGCGAATCGGCTTCCGGTGCCGCATCCGAGGCACACTGTTTCCTCCCAGGGTCACCATGCCGAGAGTCAATCGCGGACATGCAGAACATTCACCATCAGATGACCTGCTTAGGCGAGCTGGTCGGCTGTTTACACTGCGGAACCGCCCCGGCAAGGTCCAATCGTACCGCAGGGAAAGACAAATAACACACTCAACTCGTGCGCTCCAGTTCCGCACGGGGTCTGGAGATCGGATATGGGGAGCTGGGGGCGCAATGGGCGCAATGCCAAGTCGCCAGAAGGTGTTTCCAAGCGCTTTGGTGGTGCCTGTCGAGAGCTATTCTTCGTGATGACTGGTTCCTCTCGCTCAAGCCCGAGTCGGGAGTGGATTGCATCGGTACTTGTCTGGGGAGCGTCGTGCCGGACATGCAGTGACAGCGGCCGTCGGGTAGCCGTGCTCAAGTGCCAGGAGGCACTGGATGGGCCACCCCCGATGGGGCCCGGGTGACTCATCTGCACTGTGACTCGCCGAGCCGAGCCCGGCCCGTGGAGACTCTCCGCATTCTCTCCAGGCCGAAAATCCCGGCCCTGGAGAGAATTGAGAGGGTCCTGGTGCGCGGGGACGCAATCCCGGCCTTATGCGCACTCACCGAGGTCGGTTGTCGGCACGCCAAGCCCTGGATGTGGATTTTTCGCCTCCAAGAGTCGATCGACTCTTGAACCCCGAACGTACAGGGCCACCTCACTCGACTTCCTTACCTGGCATTCCTTCCCCTGCAATCCCTCTTCCTCCTCACTCCGTAGTCTTTCATCCTTCATCTGTGATCTGTGATCTTTTGATATCATCCCAACCCAGCGGAATCAACTCCCGAGCAACCCGACACACCCATCGTTTCATCAATCTCGGTGCCACAAGGGACTGCCAAGGCACCATCCCAGTGCTTGTCCAGAAACCCTCCTGACAACAAATTCTCTCTGTCACAATGACATCTCTCGAGTTGCAAGCATCCTCCTCGCGACCCGTAGAGCAGCCGGTCGAGGAGTCTCCCAACTCCAAGGCCGACATCAACCTCGTGGAAAGCGCAGGAGCCGGCCACGCGGCCTCCTACGAGGAGTCTGTGGCCGCCCGTCTCCCCAAGGCCCATCGAGACTACCTCCTTCAGCGACATGGTACATTGGAATTGGATCCCATCCCCAGTATGGGTCCGGCCGACCCTTACAACTGGCCTGAGTGGAAGGTGAGTGTGTTGTTCCTATGAGAAACCCCCTTTTTGATAGTCTCGACGTCTCTACTCCAGAAATTTCTGGGATGATCATTTGAGAAACACCGATGAAAGAGGAAAAGAAAAACCACATGAATTGAGACAAGGGCTTCCATTGAACGTGTCCAATTGTGAATGTGAATAAAAATGCTGATGCTTCATGGATTAGAAAATGATCAACCTGATCTTGGTAGCGTTCCATGCCTGCATGGGCACTTTTACCGCGGCCGCCATCATCCCGGCCTATTCCACCATCGCAGAAGACCTGGGTATCAGCCTGCAGGAGGCCAGTTACTTGACTTCGCTCCAAATCGCCATCCTAGGTGGTGCCCCCCTATTCTGGAAGCCCCTGTCCAACCGCTTCGGGCGTCGGCCTATCTTCCTGCTGTCACTCATCTGCAGTCTGGTGTGTAATATTGGCTGTGCGAAAAGTACCACGTATGCGTCGGTCGCCGCTTGCCGGGCCCTGGTGGCTTTCTTCATCTCACCCGCCTCAGCCATCGGCAGTGCCGTCGTGATGGAAACGACCTTCAAGAAGGATCGTGCCCGCTACATGGGTGTCTGGACCCTGATGATCACTCTGGGCGTCCCGATCGGTCCGTTCATCTTCGGCTTCGTCACCTACCGTGTTGGATATCACTGGATCTACTGGATCCTGGCCATGGTAAGTTAGTTTCTTTTTGTTTTTCTTTTTCCTTCGACTGTGGTCTTGGAGTGTTTGCTTGAAGCATCATTGGATATTGGATCCCGCTGACTGGAGACCCATCGCGTAGATCAATGGTGGTCAGTTCATCTTGTATCTCTTCTTTGGCCCGGAAACCCGATACCTAGGCGGCGGCGTCGATCGTCCGGACCCCAACTGGAAGACCGAGTACCTGTCCATCCGCCGGATTGATCCGACCCCGCTGACCTGGTACGAGTTTATCCGTCCCTTCACCATGGCCCGCCACCCCTCGATCCTCATCCCTGCGTGTGCGTATGCCATGGTCTTCCTGTTCGGTAGCATCCTGGCTACCGTCGAGGTACCGCAACTACTGCAGGAGAAGTTTGGTCTTAACGCCGAGCAGCTGGGCCTGCAGTTCCTCGGTGTTATCATCGGCTCGCTGATCGGTGAGCAGATGGGCGGCGCCTTGTCTGACTTCTGGATGAACCGTCGCGCCCGCCGGCTGAATCGCAAGCCTGAGCCCGAGTTCCGCCTGTGGCTGAGCTACTTCGGCTTCGGCTTGACCATCATCGGTATGATCGTGTTCCTGGTCTGCACTCAGGAGTCCAAGTCCGGCCACTGGAACGTGTCTCCCATCATCGGCACGGCTATTGGCGCCGTCGGTAACCAGCTCGTCACAACCGTCATGATCACCTACGCCGTAGACTGCTTCCCCCAAGAGGCCGCCAGCATTGGTGTGTTCATCACCTTTGTGCGCCAGATTTGGGGTTTCCTTGGTCCATTCTGGTATGTCTTTTCTTCCCCCGTCCACTGGCCTAGTATAGGTTGGTCCGTTCTGTATGAGGTCGCTAACCACTCTTCTTAGGTTTTCTCCAATGTTCGAGACTGTCGGTATCGCACCTTCCGCCGGAATTGGCTCGGCGCTGGTCGTCGCGGTCAGTGTCATTCCGACCATCGCTCTGCACTGGCGTGGACAGGTCTGGCGCCGTAAGGATGAGGAGTAAAACTGTCGCAGCTCTTGATGCTCGTAATTCGACTTCGGTATGAAGTTTGATGGCGACCTTTCAACGAGGTTTCGTTTTTTTTTTCATATATATATCGTTTTGGTTTGCGTCCTGGCGAGGAATGATATAGATGGTCTGTTGGGATGACAGATATCGCATATAGAGTCGGCATCGGGAGGGTTTAGATCGGACTCGGCTCGGAACACGGTATCTCGCTGCTGGGGACCTGCATTTGTATATATGTCGATGCATGAGCAGAAATGTATGAGTTCGAATAACAATCACGTCGAGGGCACAAGTAATCTACAACAATCTTCTGAAAGAAAACATTCCATCCATAGTTAGTTGACGGACTACCCTGGGCGGGCGCCAAGAGAAGTCAGGCATAGAGAGCCAAACAGCAAGGCGCTGTGTGCATAGACACAAGCCCCAAGAAAACGCAACATTGAAATGAAGGAGCAAAGAGTGGAAGAAGAGAAAGAACAGAAGCAGAGGGGAGAGAAAGAAAGAAGCAAAAGAGAAAAATTGGATATAACAATTCTTTCTAAACCAGCATCGGCGTAAACGAAAAGCCGCAGAGCGCTCTTAAAGCTACCAGGCCGATCGGGACCGTTCGGTCGCGGATCCCGAAAATGTGCCGTAACGGCACCAACACCATCGGGTTCCCCTGACTATGTCCCGGAACAGTCATACGAGGGCCCACGAGACCATCTGACTTGCGAGGACCGGCTTTGAGAGTCGGGTTGTGCCGCTATATAGGCTCGACTTTAGTTCGCTCTGGGATGCAGCATTTGCGCTTTGTCCTCGTATATGGGGAGATGCTCCTTAGTCGGCTTCAGAGATCGGGGTATGTTACACGCTGCAGTTATTTCATTTTTGAGAGGGTAACAAACAAACAACATCTACGTAGGTGAGACCTTTTTTTTCCGCTTCATACCCTATGATCAATGGGCAATCGCTTTAGTTTGAATATGAGACTCTAAGCAACAATAATACAAAATATCGGACCGTTGCATAGTACTGTTTTGGGGCAGAGATTTCTAGCGCAAGCTCGACTGCAGCCAAGACCGGCGCAGACGGGTTTGAGTGAGCGGGAGAAATCTGTTCCGCTAGGGAATAAATCATATCCCCTCTGATGCTCTGATTGGCGCGAAATGCCAAGATATTTTTTTCACGATGGATGAATCATCAATTCGTGTCCCTCGAGAATGTAGGAACTTGGTTCTGCTGGTTGCACAGGGTACACATAGGCAATTCGGTATAGCTTGGGAGACCTTCGAAACAAGATTGATCCGGCGTGTAGCACGTGGCAATGTACACGTACTTTGTGTGACATATTGAGCAATCTATACGGACACTCTTTACGGAGGTACTGTGGGTGCTGTACACCCCCAGAGGAGATTTGACGAGGATATAGTATTTTAAGCAACGAGCCAAGACCTTTAAAAGGATGGTTGTGGAGTAATCTCAGATGCCTATTCCAATCACATGACTATATACAATTGCGACCCCGGTACTGTATCAATTTGTTCTCTTCATTGGTTTCGTTGATTTCATTACTGGTGCTCGATCTTGTTGATCAGTGTGCCAACGTGAGGAAGGAGCTCCACGGCGAATTCGTCACCGGCCTTGATGAACTCCTTGGGGTTCTTGGCTGCACCGACGCCGGGCGGGGTACCGGTCAGGATGATAGTACCGGCAGGCAAGGTGGTGCCCTGGGAAAGGAAGCTGATGAGCTGCGGAACGCTGAAGATCAAGTCACTTTTCCCAAAAAAAGCATGCATCATTAGCCGCACTTCTTTAAACACAAAAACTTATGAATCTGAGAATGGGGATTACATACGTGAGGGGGCAGTCCTGCATCACACGGCCGCTCTTGAGACCGCGGATCTGGAACTTGCTGGCATCTGGCACCAGAGCAGCGGAGACTAGGACAGGACCTATATTGCTCGAGTCAGACGCTGTCTGTCATTGTGGGGGTAGCATTCTTCTTACCAATGGGGCAAGAGCCATCAAAGCCCTTGGAAAAGCACCATTGGCTTTGGTTCATCTGCGAAGTACGGCTGGACACGTCGTTGGCGGCAGTATAGCCCAGCACGTAGTCCATGGCCTCAGACTCAGGAACATCCTTGGCATCACGACCGATGACAATGACCATCTCGGATTCATAGTCACCAGTGCTGTCGATCTGGGTAATCTTCGGCAGAATAGTTGGGGCCGGGAAGGGATCGGCCAGAGCGGTTGCGGGCTTGATGAACAAAGTTGGCACGTCCGGGATCGGGAGAGACATCTCCTTGGCGTGAGAAACATACTAGAGTCATTGTATTAGCACGGTGTGTTATGAGCTTAAAGGGAGGGGGCACTGCTCACGTTCAAGCCAACGCAGCGAATGGATCCAACCTCGCTTTGCGCCAGCGGAGACAGGATGCGGCCAATGGTCTCGGTTGAGTCGGTGACCTGGCCCGGGTTGAGCATCGAGGAGCCGGAGAATGGGCGAACTGAAACATCCTTGCCCTGATACAAAGCCAATCCGACATCCAACTGGGCATCAACGGGCTCGCCAATCAGAACCTTGGAGGGGTTCGACTTGGGAACGAAGCGCACAAGGCCTGCGAGGAGAATTAGTTTCCGCAGCGAGCAATGAGGCAATGAAAGCCTCGATAGGAATGGATGCGACCTACGCGAGAAGGTAGAGGCGATCTTTGACATAGTGAATGGAGAATATGGGGAGTGGGATGTTCTGGGGCAGAGAAACGCGGTCTTATCGCGGCGATGCGCGGAGTATTTCTACCCCGGCGCTGGATAAGCCGGAGGGGCGACCACCCACAATGTGGACAAATGTGGGGAGCAGGTGGCAACGCAATCGGCGGATACAGAATAAAACCCCGCGATGTCGCTCTCTCTTTCTCGGCGCATTCGTCCATCGTCAACATGTCTGCTCCCAAGGGTCCCTTCCACCTCGTTACTGTCAACACCGCGCCTGAGCGCGCCAAGCGCCTCATCGGTCGCGTTGCCGAGAGCTTGAAGGATCAGTACACCATCATCCACGTCGACAACTGCGAGAGTAAGTCACACCGGAATTATAACATGCCATTGAGGTCGCAAGGGCGAGACAATGCTAATATATCCACAGAAATCAGTGAGGTCGAGGAGAAGGTCAAGCAGCACATGCCTGAGGTTCTGGTGAGTGGACTTGCCCGTTGCCCGCACTCCAACTGGCCGTTGCGACTCTCGGGATATCCGAGATCGGACCCTTCGGACATCTCCCGAACTAACCATCCTTGTAGTTCAGCGCCTCTATGTGGACTGCCGAAGAGGCGCAGCAGATCCATGAGATCGCCAAGTCTGTCAACCCTAACATCAAACTGCACGCTATCCCGACTGGTCTGCAGGTCGAGCGTGGCCCGGATGCCATTGTCGAGTACCTCTGCGAGAAGGTCCCACCGCTGTTGGAGAACTAAATGATACCACGAATTGAAGCGAGATGTTCAACGGAAAATGTATATATTTATCCTGAATTATCATATACCACACTTTTATCTTTAGGCATCTACAGCAGTGTTTGTGCTACTGCGCAGTTGTACTACCACTTATTTGATGGGCGCTTCAAAAGAGTGTATTCTCATACGGCCTAATTCTACCGCTGATGGACAATAAATTTCATCGTTTGGAAGCGAGAGGCTTTCCAATTTACTGCGATGTGGTGCTCTTTGCCCGCTGGATTGCAGCCTTGGTCGCTTCGTCCATGTCCTCTTCCGGCAACTCAAGCAAGTCGTTTATGGTCCCCTTATTCTCAATATCTCCGGTCCCATCGGGATAAAAGACCCGAGTATATAACATCTTGATAAATCCCTCGAGGTGACCTTCTTTCATCTCCTTCATACCATTTGAGTAGCGCTGGTGTGAGGATTCTTTGGAAATAGTCCAGTCAGATTCCTTCGTGTTAGTCACCCGGAAGGCTGACTCCAACATCTCTTTCTGGCTAACAGTGAATGATTTGATATAGACCACCCTGTTCGCAAGATTTTCAAGACATGCTTCTGGGTTTGAACCTTCAGGTTTGATCGGAAGGCTCAAAATTCCGGCGACCGCTCGGCCAACCTAACGTGAGTGATTTAGTCATATATCCGGACCGCCGAAGCGAAGAGGATGCATACCTGAGGCCAGGTTGAAACTGTAATTTTGGTTTCACCCTCATCAAACAGAGTAGCAGCGTGATGGAGTAAGTCAATGCCAAATGCTGGGGCAATAGCAAGGCTCCACTCATACCAGAAACCAGTCGACAGGCAAATGTAGTTGCTTATGCCAAGATCACGGACAAGTTTTCGTGATGCCTCTGCATGGTTTGAAGATTCTAATGAGCATATCTTCGCTGCTTATAACAAACACATAAAATCATCACTTCTTACCTCGAGGTGGGTAAATGAACACATCATTCCGTAGGCCCTCATTCGTACTATCAGGGCACCACTCATTGGGCATGATCCACTTAACGCCCGCCTCAGCCGCAGCAGTAATGAGCTTAGATTCAGCCTCTTTAACTTGGCTTTTCATAGTGATAACCAGTGCTTCTTGTCCTTTCAGAGCCTCCACCAGCGTGTCAAGCTTTTCGTAATCGATGATTTTAGGGATCGCACCCTCTGGGAGCTTGCTCTTGCTACTCGCTCGGGTAAGCACTGTCACGGTGTGCTTCCCAGTTTTCAACAAGGCCTCTGCCATGAAACTGCCACTGTTCCCAGTAGCCTGGTGTACACAAATGTCAGTCATTTTTTTTCAGAGCTTCTCGAAGTTTAAAGAGTACATACTCCGACAAGAGCCACTTTGGTGATATAGTTCGAGTTCGACATGGTGTATGACGATTATATTCTTCGCGAATTATAGATGAAGTTGAAAGAGGATTTTCCTTGAACTTGGCTACTGATTCAAAATATGATATCTGCTCTATTTGATTTACGATACTTCGTCTCTTAAGTAGACACTGTACGGGTGGCAGGTTCAGAGGTACATACCACCCGGAACGGAGATAAGTCGCAGCCTCGTGTTAATGTCCGGGCGCACATCGGCTTCGACCAACATGGGGCAATTTCCGATGGCTAAAGCCGCCGGTAAAACCGACAGCCTTGAATGTGACTTAGAGACCATGATGTAAACACTGATCCCTCTCTGGGTCCGATGTATTATTCCCTTCTGTTGCTCTGCGAACAATTCAGCTTTACCTCTTTATCGATGTTACTCAGGTCTTCAAGTGATCTTCGGATAAACAATAGTCCGCAAAGCATGCCCGCAAGGCTTCATTTGGGGTTTCTACCATTCTTGCGATTCGACTAAATGTTGATCTTGCCCTAACCGTACAGAAATAATCCAAATTGAAACTGTTACCCCTTTGATCTATCTCCTGTAATATACTTTTGTCTAGTACCGCCGAATTTTATAACGTTTTTGACTCTAGATGTCTGCTAGGACTACGGCGACTTACGTGAACCATAGATTTAGTAGATAGACGAGGAGAAGGAAGAAGAAAAACTATATCAAGGGAAAGTTCATTTATAGACTGAATACGCTGGCATATGAATAAAAGCCTGTTTTCTACAACGCGTTTATACTGGGCGACAGGAACACCGAGAGAGTGGGCAATTTGATGTACTGAATATTTCACCAAGATTACTATATTGTGATTGATATACTATATACATACGCATTCATTATGTGATTTTCAGTACCCGGAGTACTGATGCTAGACGCGAAACAGGAGTGCAAAACATCATACTATGAGGAGTGATCATCTTACCCGATCGCTCTACCAAAATAGATAGCTTGAACATCTTATTAGGAAAGAAATTTTCATGTGCTGGTAAAAGTAATTCACTAACGAAAATCTTTGGGTATGTATAATTATAAGGAATATCAGGAAAGGTATATAAAAAAATATCTGTACCGAAGTGCCCTCCAGATCACTCATAGTTTCCATCTCATTCCTCGAGATGGCTCCAGTATATTGGTTGTTTTTATTTTCAAGATCAATCACTTTCCCCGCCATGGAGTCCTGAAGTATTTTACTCCTTAGAATCTCCAATTATGGCGCTATACCGGTGGATTTCGATACCCTCTTCCGCCACACAAGAGTCAATAGGACCCTTCTGGATACTCATATTGCCAGATGTACTGGCAGTGCTGGTGTTAAGAGCTTTCCTGGACGATCCATGGCTGAAAGATCTAAGTTGAGACCAGAAGCCACGACCTTCAATTTTGAATAGAGGTCGAAGATTAGGCAAGCATGCGGCGACAATGCCGACTGCTGCTTCGATGCATGTCCAGACAACCACTGGCACTTGATTGTCTAATTTGGAATGATAAGTAGCGATTCTTGGACTGACGAGATAGGGATTGAGTAAAGAAATATACATACAAGTAATATCAGGCCCGACTCGAGTCAGATGAATCATGGCAACCAATCGTACAATGTCAAATATCAATGTTCTGGAAGATGTCAGCAACTATTCAAACTGTCATTGTTAACCCAGAGATTCTTACAATCCACCAACAATGAAAACACCAGACAAAAGTATTTTCTGGCTCTTCGCAATTGGCAATGACCAGACAACTTTCAGAGGCATCACCAAAATTATTAGGTCGGAAACAATATTGGGAATCTGCATGCCGTAATAGAATCGTCCCATATCGATACAGGCTCCTTCAACAGATGGATCCCAGAATCTATTCACTGGAATACAGTTCAATGCCCCGGCCACCCAGATGCTCACAGTCCAAAGTATGACTACCACTCCCATAAAATAGATACCAAAGAGCATTTGTTTCGTCGAGAACAGTCGCCTGTAGAGCGCGAGGATAGAAAGTTTAATGAAACAGATGCAGCCGGTGTAAACGATGGAGTTGGACCATCCAATCTACCCAGAGTCAATAGGGGCTTCGTTTTCAAGGGCCGAAGGTCCTTACTTTGAAATAAACTTCCAAGTTTTTCTTTGGAATCATTGTTATGTGTGATCCCAATCCATTCCAGAGAACTATTCTTGAATGTCAGTCCATGACTCAGCTCCTTGTAAATTGTTAATGTGAACTCACGGATTGTGACGCCAATTGAACATCCATATTTGAAAAGCTATCGGGCGGCACGGTCAAAAACTGCTTCGAAACTGCGATTTGAAAGAATTTCTCATACCAAAGCCACCAGAATGAGATAATCATCCAAGAATAACTTGCTACCAGTCAATTTCCTTGCCCAAAGGCGTAATGCTACCGCAATAGTAGAGAGTCCGAAAGCGAAAACAAGGGCAATGATGATTGAGCGACGTAATCCCTTATTGGGATGTTCAAAGTCACCTTCCACCCACGTGTGACTGGCAGCATCGTGTAAAGTTGACATGATGGGCGCCAGGCAAGCAAAGGCTAGCTCAAAATACGCAGTGGGCTGGAGGCGTAAAGATTTGGAAATTGGAATCCACCAAAAGATTTGGAATCATTCAAGCTTAATATAAATAAAGTCAGCCTTAGCGAGGGATGTGGGAACGCCTGACTATAGATCTGTCATATCGAGCAAACTTGGTGAGTTTGCTGCGGAGAAAGTATGAGCCTACCAATCATATACACACAAGGAGGACGCAGAAGTGAGACAAAAACTTGCCAAGGAAGAGTTCAACGTCAATCAAAGCCACATAAAACTAACTTTCCGCTATTGAGTGTGTAATTTTTCGATTAGTTATGTAGTTTGAGCACCGGGTGGTTCCCTCCTTTATGTCTACGCGATCGAATTCGACGTTTCGAATTGATCCCTCGTTAACGTGGTGGGTTGGATATATCATATCTCGCCACAATGCAGAAGCAGGTTTGCTGTATCATAGCCTCGCTAAAAAGCAATTGCATCTAGAGTGTATAGAATATATTAATGTTGATTTTATTTAAATATGGCCTAGATAAAGAGAAGTCCATAACAAACAATGATTCTTCCATCTCTGGGGTGCTGCCCTAGAGCAATGTAAGGAGCCAAACTTAATTCGCCGATCGTGGCCAATTTGCCAAATCGATTCAATGAATGCAGCAAGGGAGAAAAATGCCTAGTGCCATCTCAATACGAGATATAATTTTTTGGTCCTCACGGTCCTCTGAAAGGATCGATACATCGTAGTAGTATTATGCTCGAGGTTGAGTTCAAAGAAAATGAATGCCGGGAACCCAGTTCAAGGACTGCGCTCGGGGCGCTCGGGGCCAATCAAGGAGCAAGCGAGCAGGGGGCAGCTGTTGGTTGACGAATGAATGAACGGGAATCGGGGCTCGGATCGTTCAGCCGTAGACGACAAGTCTGATCCAAATATGACAGCTCTTTTGCCAGCCACATGTTTTGTTAGGGCCCGGCTTTTCCAAACTGCCTGCATAACTCGTGAGCATCCGCATAGAAGCCGTTGAATTGAGGGTCTCATCCGTCCTTCCGGCTTTCTGTGCCATGCAGTTGATTGCCTATATTGCGTTATTTTTTGACTGCCGATCTATCTCACTACGTTTCACACCAACAAACATTTTTTTTCTTTTTCTTTTCTTGAAGATATTCTTTATATGTTCTCGAAAACTAATCTTAAATCTTAGATGTATGGCTCAATCTACTCTATTGACTAAGATGATACTCATACATCTCTATTAGCGGTACTTTCTATGCGCCTTTGGGCGCCAATGTTAGCCAACGTGTCATCCACGGAAAGGGGAATTCATAGTTGATTGGAGGTACGGCTGCGAAAATTTACTTAGTGTGTGTGGATATACGAAAGATTCACATCGATGAACACCGAGGAAATATTGCACTCGGAGATTTTTATCCTAAACTTCATCTTTTATCATATAATCGCAGCAACAAATCTGCGATCATAATTCAATGGGTAGAAAGTAGCACTAATTGTACTAAGACCATTTATGCCACTGATATGAGGACCTTCGGGTTGTGACCCCCAAGAACTTTCCTCAGGCTATGTACTCGGCTTTTACCTTCGTGCGCTCAGCAGGCCCCACTTAAAGGGCGACACACCCTCATTATTACCAAGAGACATGTTCTGTTTCTCTACTTTCTGTTGATCTTTCCTCTCCTGGTCTAATTTCTCTCCCCATTTCATTGTAAGCAGCTCTTGTTGCCTCACTTTCTATCCAGAGCTCGCTTCTACATTTTCAGAAGCTAGTTCTTAGCAGGACGCTATTGACGATGATGCTGCCTGTGTCGCCCCCACATCGGTATACAGACTGGGAAATTCCTGTTTGAATTCGAATTCGGCCTGTTCAGTCTCGGCCTGCCAGTGCCAAACGGGTTTCCAAACGATGATATCCTCGGTTTGAATCGGTTTCGGATCTTCCGAATCAGCTTCCCCTGACCCAAATATAGACTGCAGAGAGAAAAGCCGTGCCCCTGGTCAGTCCAATCTTATGGGGCTTCTGCACCATTGTCGCATGCCGTGCTTCCAAATTTTTAATCGCGATAACGCTACCAGCTGTACGCCTTGTTGCAGATTAATTGTTTAGTGTTATTTCCTCGGAGGATTTGTAATATGGCTATATTGTTAAAGTTGAGTAGTATTGATGGAGATGGAGATCAACTTTTTGAATTCACATCCAGTTTTCTCGCCTCGACTTGCGATTACTTCAACGTGGGAAGTACAACCAAGTCACAGTTCAACAGCAATCACGTCAAAGCTGTATTTTATTCGGTTAATATTCACCAATTTATTATAGTTAACGAAGCCGGAATTTTGGATCACGGACTTGGGACATTCCTCGGTATGTAATATGATGCATGGGCCGTGATCGTCATTGCTTACGGAAACTGCATTTCATTTTAATTGATCCATCCACATGCACCAATCCCAATCAGTGATCCTATGCTGCAATGAGATATGCAGCGAGTGATCAGATTTGCGATATCCGGTCGCAACTTCTGTGGATTAGGATGTGAATTGGTTTCTGGGGGCTGGCACTCCCTCTCCTTTCTCAATATCCCTGGTAGCTGGGACCGAATCGTAACTTGAGATTCAGGCAATACATCATCAGACTGAGAGATATGAGTGAATATATTTACTCGGCGATTTGATTTGAACTGCTAAGTCCCTCCTCAAACCAACTCAATGTGTTCTGCACTTCCTTCAGCTTTTGGGTTGTCACATGAGATAGGTAGAAATATGGTCTACCCATTTACTTCACTGTCTAATTAAATCACTCTTGATAACATTGGTAGCTGCACAGATTTTGAGCACATTGACTGCAAGTCCAAAAGTGAAGCTAGCGCCACTGCCACCAGCGATCATGATTATATGATCAAAACACATGAAGCTTGGATTCTGCCCATATCTATCATCTATTGAATATCGTATCACCGAAAAACCTTGGGTAAATAGGTAAATACTTCATAAGCAATAAAGTTCTGCGGGCGACATGTTCTAAAAATGAATGGACATCCATCAGATCGCATGGAAGTGGCCTCTGTTCAGCCAGGATGCTTTGCGTTGGTCTGAAAAACTCTGTTTCTAGTGATTTTCTCCTTGTAATTGAGCTTGCACAGCCTTCCATGAGATTCAACAGATGTCATTTTACAGATTTTATCCAAATTTGCTGGTCGTACCAAAGCATACTAAGTCTAAGAAGTCTCGTTGAGTTCTTGTTTCGCGAAACCAAACAGTCAACTTAATAGCCATTCCGACCAGACACCACCCCAAAACATGGCCCACCCTTTCCAAATATACCCTGCAGATCTCGAATAATAACTTCAGGTACTTCCCAGGCCGCGAAATGGCCCCCGCTATTATTTGTACTCTCACTGATAAGTGGGCCTAGCGTGGCAGCCCAGGTCCCGGGAACAACAGAAATTTCCCGAGGCAAATGAACAAGTCCAAGCTTAACCTTTGGAATATAAGATAGAAGTCTAGCATAAGAAATGCCACCCGCCGGCTTAGCATTCCTTGCCTCATAGTAGATGCGGACACTTGCCTCTGGCCCAGCTTTGGAGAACCAATATATCGAAACCCATGTCAAAATCTCATCATCAGTCCAAGGATACGAGTCTGTCCAGTCGTGAAGCTTCTCATATATCCATGCCAGTAGGCCAACTGGGCTGTCTGTAATTGCCGCGCTAATTGTTTGCGGTTTGGTACTTTGAAGCTCATTGTACCCATACCCTTCGTTGTCAAACCATTCTGAACGTTTACGGCCTTCCTTTTCCCGGCTATTATACGGCTTGACTGCGTGTTGAAGGGCTAGCAATGGGTTCGACTTCCACTGAGGTTGTTTGGCAACAATCATGTTCACGTGTGAAGCTTTACAGTGCTCAGGGTATAAAAGCCCAATGCTTCGAGTCACCCAGAATCCCCAGTCGCCTCCTTGAGTGACTACGCGAGGTTTCAGCTTAGATCTATGAAAGACAACTCCCTTGCACCTGAGCCACTTACCATACTGGTCATAGCCAAGCTTGATCATTAGCTTGTGCAAAGTCTCCGCGTATTGGCCCAACCCAAATCCACGACGGGTGACCCCAGAAGAGAAACCGAAATTTGGCAGTGACGGGGCCACGACATGGAATGCCGGCTGACCATCTTCCCCCTGGAGTCTCGGCAGGAGCTTTGTGACCTCGATAAAAGACCCAGGCCCTATCGAAAAGTTAAGGCAAAAGCTGTGTTTCTGAGGGATGTGGATTCTTACATCCATGACTAAATAGTAATGGGACAGCATCCTTCACTGGGCTAACTTGATGAACATCTACCGCGCACTTGTTAATCATACTTCTTGCACCAAGCCACTGCCACTAAACAAGGTAAATGCAACTGACAGTGGATGTCCAAAACGCCGAAACCGTCCACTTCGATTTCTGTATGGAATTGTGGCAGTTGATTCAACTGAGCCTCTACTTTTCGCCAATCAAATTCGTCTTTCCAATAGGTTGCGAGCCTCTGGACTTCCTTAGTGGGTACCCCAACATCCCAAGGATCCTCCTGGTCAGAGGATTCAAGTTGGGTGGGAAATCGAGCCAGAGACAGGCGCTGCTTTAGGCCGTGGATCTCCTCGTCAGGGACGGAGATCGCGTATGATTGCGGCTGGTCACTCATGATAAACTGATACCCGTGATGGCTCTATAGAGTACAAAAAGAAACACAGTAGTAATATGGGTGAAGCAAAAGTGGAGGTCTTCTAATGAGCTCTCTCCGCTGGTGTTCATCCCACGAAGATTAGTTCTGGGGACAAAACAAGCACCCCAGTTTCTCGTCTTACAAGGATCTGGACGCGGGTGTTTTTAGGCAGCCGAGCGCCCCATTTGTAATCGAAGCCTTGCACTCTTGGCGATCGCTCCTCCTTTTGCTCAAATGGTACAGACCGCTTAACCCCATCACATTTCCCCGGTCCGCCACGTCTTGGCAACCCGGGTTCTCCCAGAGTCCGTACTATATGTTTTATATGATTTGACTTTAGAAAGAGGTGCAAGACAGACCAACTGAGAGTCAAAATGTAGGCCTCTTGTCAAATACTGTTATGCGTTGTGTTTAGGTGTGGCTCACACCTTAGATACATGCATATATATAACCTGGCTAAGTTAGGAGGACGCAGACATACATCTCGATTCACGAGGCAGTCACCATGGCCACGACTCTACGAGTATATTCAGATATACAAAAATACACACTTTACTAGCATCCATTGCCCTTGATCCCATATATCTACTCCATCCCTCCAAGAAGAATAGCTTGTCAGCGGCTGAATATGTCATTGGAACCACAAGCTGACTAGTTTGAAAAGGACAAAAAGCGAAGATTGAAAGCTGAATGTATCTGACGTATTACCAACAAATGAACAGACACTCTTGATGGTTCAACTAGCTCATGTTTCAACCACCCATCACTTGCTCGAAATACAAATCAACCTTGTACCTTCACTTCCTTTCTGAGCGGCCGCCCGAGCACGGACGGACACATTAGTCATCTCGGGGCAGTTGCCCGATCATCAAAATGGCGGCAAACGCGTTCTCCGATAAGACCTTCAACTCCAAAGCAGGCAACTCCGTCGTAGACATCATGTTCTTCACACGCATAACTGCACGGAGTGCCATTGGGATCCGTGCATTTTCAACGGGCCGCGTATGCCGCGCTGAACTGGCCTATCAGGTCTTTGGTCCGGAGAATGGACAAGCCGTTCGGGATCCAATCCTGTTCCTGCATGGTCTGTTCGGCTCTAAACAGAATAACCGAAGCATCAGCAAGTAAGGTCGAATCATTTCCGGCATCTAGTCGTATGGAATTCTAATCGATTCTCAGAGCTCTGGCCCGGGATTTGAAGTGTCAAATCTTCACTCTAGTATGTTCGGTTGAACACTGCCCGTTCGAAATGACTGACCGGATTTCAGGATCTGCGCAACCATGGCGATTCATTCCATGCCCCGGAACATAACTATAGCGTCATGGCAGAGGATGTTGAAGAATTCATCGAGCAGCAGAAGTTGGACAAATGTGTCTTGATTGGCCATTCGATGTATGCTTCTCTTGTCCTGGTCCGAGTTATGTTCTGCATTTTGAATGCTAATTTCGAAATAGGGGGGCGAAAGCGGCAATGGCCGTGGCCCTTCGCTCGCCTGAGCGTATATCGGGTTTGATTCCTGTTGACAACGCGCCTGTTAATGCCGCGCTGAAAAGCGACTTTCCCAAGTATGTCCGGGGCATGCAGCGCGTGGAGGAGGCAAAAGTTTCTAAACAGTCTGATGCGAACAAAATTCTCGAGGACTATGAAGAGGTAGACCAAGCTTCAACTCGAAATTAAAGAAGCCAAAGGGAAGCTAACTTGAACCAGTCACTTCCCATCCGTCAATTTCTTCTCACCAACCTGATTAGATCGGAAGAGGACAAGACTCTGAAATTCCGCGTGCCTCTCTCAGTGATTGGCAAGTCGCTGGACAATATGGCAGATTTTCCCTTCAGTGAATCGGACGGTGCACAATACAATGGCCCCGCACTTTTCGTCCGAGGAACAAAGTCTCCGTACGTGTCGAGTGAGACCATCCCGGCAATCAAGAAGTTTTTCCCCAATGCCCAGATCGCAGATGTGGAGGCCGGGCACTGGCTCATATCCGAGAATCCGGAGGCGTTTCGACAAGGTAAGAACTGAAGTGTTCACATCTTCCCAGATTGAGATACTAACATGTTTTACACAGCGGTGATCAAATTCCTTGATGGGTCTTCATGATCCAATATGGACAATCTATCTACGCAATGTACAGTCAAAACACATTAGAGAAATAGAAGAATATCGGACTTGCCCATCAATCGGCCGAACGCCATAGCTATGATCAAGGGGTATAGAGAACACTGAACAGTCAACAAAACAAATCGTGGATATATCGAGGCAAGAAAGGAGCAAACGCCCCTTTGCCGATAAGTTGTAATGCCCAGAGAGAAAAAGTAGCTGGGAAGCTTGAGAGGCGAGCCCTGATACGGAGCGTTATCTGGGGGTTATCGTAGGTTGCTCAGCGCGATTTTGCTGCTGCTGCTGCAGCTGCAGCTGCCTCTTCTTGGCCCTCTTTGATTTCTTCTTTTGGAAAACATCTGATCCAGACGAGGGCCCAGGTGACAAGGAGGACATAGGGACGTCTTCGTCAGTGATGGACAAAGACCGTTTTCTCCTTTCTCTGAAACGTGTTGAGGCCAAATCTGGCGGCTGAACAGCCCCCGGAGTGCGCGAGAGAGGAGGCTCGTTCGTAGAGGGAAGAATTGATGACCGCACGGGAGAGAAGGGCGATATATTTGACACCCTACTGTCCATGGGTCTGTCTAACGTATTGGCCGATAGGTCTCTTGATGGGGAATTAGGCCCATTGTTAACACAATTTGCCTCAGCGTCACTCCTAGAAGCCGCGCCCCGAATCTGCAAATGACCTGCATTGGGGTGGAAGTGTATGCCGCCACTGTTCCTCGGCCCGGTTGGAATTCTATTGGAAGACAATGATTGCAGGGGTGAGGTATGTCGTCTAGGGTTCGAGGTTTCGGTCTGAGTGGACGTCTGCAAAGTGGTTTGGAATATTGCGCTAGCCTCATCGTTTCGAGCAAAAGCTTTGGCTCTAAGATCCTGGACATCATTTTCCAGTTGATCGAGGCTCTCTTTAAGCTTGTTCAAATCTTCCGATGAACTGCATGTTAAGCATGTTTGTGTTTCTTGGAGCATACGCATCTGGCTCATAGAAACCGTAGTAGCCTGTTGTTGACCAACTATATCTTCAAAATTTGTCTTCAGAGTTTGAAGATTCTCGGAAAGCAAATGGCATTTTGCTTTGTATTGCTCAATATTGATAACTGAGTCGCCTAATTCTGCGACAGCATTACCTAGAGTCTCAAGGGTGTTTTGCACCTCGTTGACCTCTTGAACACTTTTCGTGAGGGTGGTTGCCAGGTCTCGAACGCTAGACTCGTAAGGCTCAATGCGATCCAAGATCTCAGCACGAAATTGATCCAAGCGCTCGTTCGACAAGCTAGGGGCTGAACCTGGATTTGCGGTCCTGAGAGCCGCAATTTCGCCGTTCATAGTGTCCATTCTCTCGGTAAATCTCTCGATCGAAGGGTTCATCTCATGCATGGCTGCGACCATTTTTTTCACAAGCTGCTCAGAACTTATATTGTTGTATCGGGTCTCCAGAGACCTTATTGCGCATACCAAAGTATCCGTGACTTCTTTGCGTTTATCAGAATGCCGCATAAAAGTGTCAACAGTCTGCTTCAGAGATTTCAACGAATCGGCATTACGGTGAATCTGATGAGCAGACTCCATTGACTGCGAGAGTCTTGAACGCAAATCATTATAACTGTCCCAAAAATGACGATGATCACTTTCCATCCTCTGAATACTGGCCGTATATCTAGCCAGTTCCTCTGGAATGGGCGGGCCTGCGCCGGCAGATGGGATCGGTCTCTGTTCGATTTTTGCAATCCTCGTCAAAGCATCATCAAATTCCTGAAACTTCGGTTCCATAGTGCTCAGTCGTGCACTATAAAGTAATGCACGATTGTTTAACGAGGTAACTTGTTCTTGCATAGCCGGGGTTGATTGATTTAGTTCTTCAAGCTGGGCCTTCATGGTCGTGATCATGCTTTCCATGTCGCCAAACTTTTTATGCGCGTCGTTCGTCGTCTGGTTCAAAGTCGCCATCTCATTTCGCAGCTCTTGATAATCGGCAGACTGAGGTGTCGGTTCGGAAGATCCAGGCTTGGAAGGCAGTTGAATCTCACCTTTTTCAATCGCTGCTTTCCACTGCTCAACACGGCCGATCCTTTTGTTCATGCCGCCATTGCTAGTGGATTGGCTATTGACTGTTTTTTCCAACATCGGGACTCTCAATTCAAGGTCGGCGAGGTTTGCAGAATTTGCAGTCATAGAGCTTGTAAGTTCTTCGACTTTGGCAGCAAGCATAGCTTCGAACTTGGCAGTCAAACTATTCTCAAGCTTGGTAGTAAGCGCCACTTCTAGTTTCGCTTCAAGCTCCTTATTCTTCGCTTCCAACTCTGCGATCTTTTCCGTTTCCGGATACGTGATTGGAGATTGCGAGACAGCAGGCCGACTAGTCATCGGTAGTTGACGAAAAAGACCTTGGAGCTCGTCGCATAGTTGCGATCTAAGAGTCTCTTGTTGTTCAAGGTCTTGATCAAGTTTGTGTACCGAACTCTGACCGGCATCCTTCAAGGTTTGAAAGGACTGAACACAAGCTGGAAATGATGAGTAAGATTTAGCGACCTCCAGGCTTCGACTGTGAGATGCATTGATATCCGCTAGAGTTGCCTTTTGATTTTCTTTCAACGCTCTCGCGACTGTCAAATCCATGAGCCGTGTGAGTATCGGCACCAAATCGCCGAGGCCTTTCGTCTGTATTTCACGTCCTACTGCAGCGCTGACTCGCTGATCGGGTTGAATGAGCGAGCTCTGAGACGGAAGTATAGGGGTTTGGTCAACAGGAGGCATGAGAGGAATCGAGGTCGAAATTGGCGTATCAGCGGTGCGAGTAAGTTGCAAGTTCGAAAGCCCCGAAGGCCGATTTAATCGAGGATCGCATGTAGATTGAGGGAGGGGAGTCGATCGAGATAGAGCTCTTGGAGGTTGATGAGATGCACTAGCATCCATGGTGTTGAATGTCGTCCCAGTCATTGCAAGATATGGCGCATGTATCATTTCATGCCATTTGAATGTAGATCAGGAGCAGTCCGTAGGCTCCAATGAAAGAAAATAATCGGATCTCAGGCATATCACTTGAGGTCTTTACAATGTTTTGAAAGTCGCATGGTCTTCCAAAAAGAAATGGATAGGCTGATTGGGATTTAGAGGCAGGCAAGAGCAGAACGCAAGCGCGTGTGTACAAGAAAGGCGGGACGCGCTGAGGACGGTGGACAATAGAGGGATCTCCTTCCGAGGTCAGAAGGTGATATTGAAGATCAGTACAGCATGCCGTTCTGACAGTACTTTGAACTGAGTTTACAGAGCAAAGGATAACTTAAAGAAGCGAGAGGGTGAGGTTGACCCCTCAAAGTTGATGTATCTTGCGTTCGCAGAAAATGGGGACGGAATACTGCCGGGCGGTGAAGGCGCCTCCTTCCACTCTGCGATCTGCTGTTTCTTCCAGCGGAGCTCCGGTGCGTTTTAGTCTTGGCCATCCATCAGAACCCAGAGCCAGATTATTTAGAGTCAGATCTCCTGGGACTTGGTCACAATGGCTGCTGTTAGTATCAAACTTTCTCATTGCCTAGGCTTTGCTAACTTACTGCTTCATAATAGCCAATTTCCACAGTCGCAGAGAGCAAGGAGCTCCGCGGTCTCAACCTCATTGCTGCTCATTCTCATATCAGGGGCCTTGGTGTTGATTTCGACTCTTTACAGCCCCGAGGGTCCTCTCAGGGGCTTGTGGGCCAGGAGAAGGCCCGCAAGGCTGCCGCTGTGATCCTACAGATGGTGAAGGAGGGTAAAATCGCAGGTCGCGCCGTCCTTATCGCAGGACCTCCCAGCACAGGAAAAACTGCGATCGCGATGGGCATGGCTCAATCGCTAGGCTCTGATGTGCCGTTCACCATGCTTGCATCTTCGGAAATTTTCTCGATGGAGATGTCCAAGACCGAGGCTCTCACACAGGCCTTCCGAAAGTCAATTGGTGTCCGCATCAAGGAGGAGAGTGAGATTATTGAAGGCGAAGTCGTGGAAATACAGATAGACCGCAGCGTAACCGGAGTACGTGTGGATCATATTTCTTTTTCTTCCCTTGCTTGGCTTCGAAGATCGTGCAGCTGACTCTGTATAATAGGGCAATAAACAAGGAAAGCTCACGATCAAGACTACCGACATGGAAACGATTTACGACATGGGAACCAAGATGATCGATTCAATGACGAAGGAGCGAGTGATGGCAGGCGATGTCATTTCCATCGATAAGTCCTCCGGCAAGATCACCAAGCTCGGCCGATCCTACGCTCGCTCCCGAGATTATGATGCGATGGGTGCGGACACCAAATTTGTGCAGTGCCCCGAGGGAGAACTTCAGGTCCGCAAGGAGATTGTCCATACTGTTAGCCTGCATGAGATCGATGTGATCAACTCCCGGTCACAGGGATTCTTGGCCCTGTTCTCTGGTGATACTGGCGAAATTCGTAGCGAGGTCCGCGACCAGATCAACACAAAGGTGGCAGAGTGGAAGGAAGAAGGAAAAGCCGAGATCATCCCTGGTGTGCTTTTCATCGATGAAGTTCACATGCTCGATATTGAGTGCTTCTCCTATATCAATCGCGCCCTTGAGGCTGAATTGGCCCCCATTGTTATCATGGCCAGCAACCGTGGCCAGGCCAAGATCCGTGGAACCAGCTATACATCTCCTCACGGCCTTCCCCTTGATTTCCTCGATCGAGTTGTCATTGTGAGCACCTCGCCGTATTCCGCAGACGAGATCCGACAAATCCTGGCTATACGTGCACAAGAAGAGGAAATTGACGTTTCCCCGGATGCTCTTGCACTGCTGACCAAGATTGGTCAAGAGTCAAACCTCCGTTATGCGAGCAACATCATCACCACATCTCATCTTCTAAGCCAGAAGCGCAAGGCCAAGGAAGTTAGCATCGACGATGTGCAGCGCAGCTTCCGATTGTTCTATGACCCAGCTCGAAGTGTCAAGTTTGTCAATCAATACGAGCAGCGCTTCATCGGTGACCAAGGCACTGTCTCTTTCTCTGCCACAACCAATGGCGATGCAATGGAACTTTCATAATTTTCAATCGTCGACTTAATTTCAAGACGTGGGTTCACTTGCTTAATGGGGAATCAAAGGAGACGGTTTTAGCGGCTCGAAAAACTACACTGGATTTATGTTCTTTATTTTCTTCCACATCAAATGATGTATGATAGGACTGGCGCTTGTTGAGGTGAAATCTGTGCTTTCTGTATTGAATTGACACCCTGTTTGCATTTTCCCCTACTACTATTACACAAAGTTCACTGTGCTGCTCCATGGCCCGGTATTTCCGAAGCGGCGAAATTCCACGCCTTCGCCAAAATACCCAGCATTCATCCATGAGTCCATCATGGTACTCTCGTAGGGCCCATGTACATCGCCGCCGTCGCGGGCATCGGACCACCTATATTCCCACATCACGGGCCCTGTTAGCTCGGGGGAGCTCTGCGCAGCAGTTGATGGCGGATCGACCCAGCTTTCGCCCGTCTCATTACGATATTGCCGGGTCAGAAGTTCACGCTCGGTGTCGTAGATCTCAGGTTGATCCCGGCCCATTAGAATGTCGGCGGCGCCAGTAATAGCATCAATTGCTCGCCTTCGGATAGATTCATCAGAATTTTCATCAGCCATCTCGGTATCCTCGGCTCCGTTGGTCTTCTTGCTTTTCTTTTTATTCTGCCATTTAGGCTTGCGTTGGAGACCTTTCCCGAGTCGCGCCAGGGCCTCCAAGATTGTCTCGCCGCGTTCAAGATGGGTGATGATCGTCTTCAAGACATCAGATGTAAGAACGCTATCATCCAGCCGGTCCTTTTCCTTTCTCTCAACCTCTCGTTTCTCCGCGGCCTCTTTGGCCTTCCGGATATCCTTCTTAGAAACACCGTCCAGCCATGAGTCGTAAACAGCATCTGGATCCACTGCTTTGCGAACGTAGTTTCCTTGGTCATCGAATCGGCCTTCTTCCTGCTCGGTGCTCATATTGAAAGCGTCCAGCAATGGTGCATGTTTCTTCTTGGCGCCTGCGCCGAGCTCCTCGTCCATCTCATCATCGACTTTGGCGCGTTCTTCTTCTCCAACTTCACTTTCGCTTTCGCTTTCTTCCCCTTTGTCTGAGTCCACTTCATCGGCGCCCTTGCTCAAATCCGCATGTAGTGTCCTTCCACCTTTTGAAGACGCAACCTGGCCTTCAATCTCATCGTTGCGCAGGAAGCGGACACTCTTTTTGTTTTTGCGCATTGCCTCATCAGCGTCAATTTCCTCCTCACCAAAGTCTTCTTGTAGCTCTGCGAACATATCGTCATCTTCGGCCTCCTGTTTCTGGCTGCGCTTCGACTTTTCCTCCATACGACCCGAGAACCCTTCATTGTCACTGTCCGAATCGTATCCGTCGATATTGACAGCTTTGCGGCGCACCTTTTGGCCTCTCCGGCCTATCTCGTCTGCGTCTAATATCGGATCATCGTCGAGAACGTCGGGCGCAAGTGCGGATGGGTTGCGCAGGTCGAATCGCGGTTTCTTCTCTGAGGGCCCGTCTTCGGTTTCGTCTTGGCCATGCTCATGATGTGTCCGGGTGAAATCTTCACCTGTGCGCTTGGGACGCGGGTGAGAGCTCGACATTGTTCTTCCGTAAAAAAAACTCGAGGATATTTATGTAGTTATGTCGCTCCGGAGCTTGTTTCATTGTCCTACTGCCCTTTCGCATCCGGGGTCGGAGCGGAAAATCATGGCGGAGTCAACTTGCGTCACTGTCACAGTCACTCCCGGGGAGTTCCAAATACCGTCACCTTCACTCGAACCTCTTCTACAGCTCCCTTCACCTCGATATAAGCTTAGTTTCAGTGGCAAATCTTTCTACTTCCTTGGATTTTCCATTCAGCTCTTCCCCTTTGTTATGGTGATCTTGGTCCTGTGTCATTCGATCTGCCGACCTCCGTGAGCTCTTCTGAATAGCTCAACTTCTGACCCAGCCTTGAACCAACGACCCCATGGACGACTTTTTCAGTGCCAGTATGATGCGCCCAGGAGCGGTGCCTCGTCGTTTTGATGAGTATTACCGATGTTATCCTGTCGCCATGCTTCCAGGTCCTGAAAGAGAGAACGTCAACCATGGTGGCAAGGTTATTATGCCGCCGAGTGCATTGGACAAGCTCACTCGTCTTCACATCACCTACCCTATGCTGTTTGAGCTACACAATGGTGCAAAGGAGAGAATGACACATGCTGGTGTCCTCGAGTTCATCGCCGAGGAGGGCAAAATCTATCTGCCGTTCTGGGTGAGTGGACTGGATTATTAGTATCCTTAAAGTTGATGTACCTTGTTAACATGACTCTTTCCCTCCAGCTCATGCAAACCCTTTTGCTGGAACCCGGTGATCTTCTTCAGATCAAATCTACCGACCTGCCTCCCGGCCAATTCATTAAGCTCCAGGCGCAATCGACCTCGTTCCTCGACATTAGCGACCCCAAAGCCGTTCTTGAAAATGCCTTCCGAAACTTCTCATGTCTTACGAAGGGCGATGTCTTCACATTTGCATATAATGATCAAGTATACGAAATGGCAGTTCTCGAGACCAAGCCTGCGGGCTCCAAAAACGCCGTGTCAGTACTAGAAACCGATCTGGAAGTCGACTTTGCCCCGCCAGTCGGTTTCGAAGAATCACAGCGGACTAGTGGCACAAGCACTCCTGGCAGTGCAATCAGTGGGAAGCTCCCGGCTGGAGGCTTGTTACATTCGCAGGGCACCATGGCACAATCTATCAACTATTCCGCCATTGCGCCTGAGTCAACCGACGCCGCTGCAGGTGCTAGAGCCGTGTCGTCCAACTTTTTGTCTGCAGGTCAACGTCTCAATGCCAAGAAGGGCAGCAAGGCTCCTACCCCGAAGGCCAGCACTCCCACCCCCGGTGCGACGAATCCCCAGCATCCCCCTCCGGCCCGCAAGACCAATGGCCCGCAGCCGCTCCGACTTCCTCCTAACCAGCTTTTCTTCGGTTACGCAATCAAGTCACCCAAGCCCCGCGATGAGAATGGGCAGGTTGTTGCAGAAGACCAGCCGAAGTTCCAGGGTATCGGCCAGACACTGCGTGGGAAGCGAAAAGATGCGACTGGATCGGCCACCCCCACCTCCGGGAGCGAAGCCGACAGCCAGAAGGGCAAGGGAACTGGTCGCGCTCTAGGAAAGCGCTAAGCTCGGTGTCCATTCATAATCTCCATGCACCATTACCTTCAATGATACCACGAGACATCGAGTCCCTCTAGATATGACTGAAGGCCCTAGACTGCGCGGTCCGTTAAAGGGTCTTGTTATGGTGGCATAGCGAGGACCAGGCGTTTTTCTCTTTCGGGGGCGTTGTCCGTTTTCAATACAGAATATACACTTTTGCCTCACTATCTCGTATCTTCATCGTAGTATTAATCCCCTGAATAGCTATGATCGCCATATCAATGTTGTATTCAGCAAGCCTGGGTTTCTTTCCTTTCTCCTAGCCGTTCTAGAGAGCCATTGTACGTAATATCCCCTCATCTCGCACCTTGTAACAGAAGCAAGATGTGTCTGAAACAGGACTTTTTTCTTGGCTGACGATCTATTGTAAATTCAAATTCTCTAGCCTTTGGTTCTGGAATTCACCCCCTAGGTAATCTTGCGAGCCATCACATTCGGGAGTCAGTTGGCCGAGCCTCGAGATTACCCGCGGCTTACTCTTCCCCTGTATTTTCAACGACCCCTACGAGAACCACCATGGCGCCAGGCCTCGATACCCCCCTTGGAATCGTTTACCAAGCTCAGTCCCTCTACATATTTACAAGAACCGGCCAATCCAAGTGGCAAGCATGTTGCCCCATTGATTTTCCTTGCTTTTTGGATGAACGCCCCGCCACGCGCTCTCGCCAAGTATGTGGTTGAATACAGACGCATAATGCCCACAGCCCGGATTATTTTTGTTCGCAGTTCATCGAATGATTTTTTTCTGCACTCTACAGTGCATGCGCAACAGACTCGACTGACACCAGCCGTGGAGGCAATCCGCGCCACAGCAACCCCTGAAAACCCCGTATTCATCCACCTGTTTTCGAATGGCGGCTTATCAAGCACTATCCATATGCTCGAAGCATACCGTAAAACAGCTGGCAGGGCATTGCCGATCTCGGCAATGATCGTGGACAGCGCACCGGGTACTGCGAGCACGTCCGGTGCAGTCAGAGCCTTCTCCTTTGCGCTCCCTCAGATGTGGATCCTGCGCTTGGTTAGCAAAGGCGCTCTGTGGCTCGCATTGATCCTGTTCAAGGTGGTGCTTACCATAACACGATCTCCAGACCCGATCAGTCGTGCTCGTAAGGTGATCAATGACTCGTCGCTTGTCCAGCCTGTCAATGCGAAGGGTGCTCTCGCGCGCTGCTATATCTATTCCAACACAGATGATTTGGTCAATTCACATGACGTGGAAAGTCACGCATTGGAGTCGGAAGCTTGCGGTTGGGTGGTGAGACGGGAGAAGTTCCAAGGCTCGCCTCATGTGGGACATATGAGAGCTGAGCCCGACCGATATTGGTCAATAGTCAGGGACTATTTGCAACCGACAGCGGCTGCATGATTCCTTTTCGTTCTCATTGGATAATTGGTTGTCTCTTTAATTGGAAACTATGGGTTCAACAACCTCAACAACCTCAACATTCTCTTACATTGATTGATAATATACTACCATTCAAATCAAGCACGAAGGCTATACTTTACCAGCTGCGACGGACAGAAATAATAAAAGATTAAAGTACCAGAGGTGGTGATTTTCTATGTCCTCTTGCGGTAGAGCCCGGTGCAAGTTGACTTTTGCCATCCCATGGTTAGTTATCATGCTAGAGTTAGTCACCATGACTGCTACCTCTCGCGTTCAATACATATCGTCACTAGGCACAAGTGTCAATTTTTAAGCAGAGGCTACCGGAGGAAAGTTCCGTGACTTTCCTCGGTAAATTTGAGTCGTGTTCCAACATGCTCATATGTCGTATGCTCAACGACGACAGTAGTACATCATTATACTATGATTTTCGGTCACCCTGAGCACCCATAGTCTGCTATAGCTCCTCGGACAAATCGTTCTATTTTCATTGTCTTTATTTTGCACCGTGGCGTGGAGTTCGATCATTCTCGAAATTTCTCAATCGATGTGAGTTCGGCTTCTTCGGTGTGAATATTGTCATTCTAGTATAAGTCAGAGCTAAAGGATCTTTTTTTTCTTTAGAATTGTGCTATCTCAATCACGCAACAATGTTCCAGCATCGTGCCAACGAGGAGGATTTCCTTTCAGTTAGCAAAAACCAGGACTGCCGTTTTCTGCTTCCAGGGTATGGCCGGCCGCTGGATTTTGCGCCTGTGGAGAAGGATATCTACGGCGTAGAGAGTCGAAGTATGTTCCCATCTGCGTTGGATGACAGGGACATCGAAAAAGGATATACTGAGTAGGCCGCTGTTTCAATTCTCTGTGATCAAAAGCTAACCGAGAGTAGATTGCCCGTGCAAACACTCCGGGAGATTGCGATGGTAGCTGTCATGGAAGATATAACTGATCTACCGGAATGGTGGAAAAAGGTACTGGACTCATATCAACACCTCTCATGAGTTGATCCTATCTGATCTCTAGCTTGTCAGATCCATGAACCTGGCGTACCGGAGAAATGGAGAAAGATGGCACTGGATAGCGGGGCTGATATCACACCAAATATGGCTGATTGGATCATTGAAGAGCTAATTTTCAAAGCCATGATATACGAAAACAGTGAAGCAGTGGGACTGTACAACGGAGATATCACTAAATCAGATACAAATGTGCCGGAATCGCTCATCAAAGAGTTTTCAGATGCGTCCAAAGTTTTGGAGTACGAGGAAGACGAGCTGCGCTTCTATCATCCAGGCAGCATGCACAAACAACGCGATCTGCTTGCCATGGCACTATACCCTCTTGTGTACGGTAAAAGCCGCATTCTTCCAGATAAGCTCATCCGGCTCGATGAGTCTCTTCGGCACGCCGGCCAAGGCGACGTGATCCCCTTACCCAAGGAAACTGGTATCACGAGGGAGGACATCGCTTGGCGAGTCTCTTCCCGTGCTGATATTGATATCAGGCCGTATAGTCGGTACCACCAGATCCTTCCAACTGACTGGGAGCTCGGTGACGACAAGCGGTGGCATGTTGCAACATACATCAACAACCTGCACCCTGTGAAACACCGCAATATATACAAATTGATTGAAGATGTCTTCAATTGCATTGTTAAACAATGGGACATGACCATCACACCCCTGAAGGACATGCTCCACTCCCGTGCCCGAATCGAGTACCACCAGGTCGAGTACAATCAAGTTTCGGAGGAGATTCTCGACACGGCGCCTCAGATGAAGCCTAGAGAGGCACAGTCTGAGTTCGACGAAAGGTATGAAACATGGAGAATGAAACATTTTCACGCTGTTCAGCCGGATGCTGGGGAATTTATTCCCTGGGCTGTACCACCGTGCCTGATGTCTAAGCTGCCTGAAGATTTGCCGAGTCCGGTGCGAATCGAGCGAGGAGTCTCATTGAACAATGACTACAAAGAGCGTGGGCTCCAAATTGTCACCCGTATTTTAGGGGTAGATCTAAGTCCAGAGGACCCTTATTATCAAACAGAATGGCACGTCGAGGGCCAAATGGTGAGTTATGCCAATGAATGCGGAGAAAGAACCATGAGCTAAGCCCGGAGAAAATTCTTCGATACAGAATGAGCATATCTGCGCCGCGGCATTCGTCACATTTGACCAAGAGAATATGGAAGACGCCATAATGGAATTCCGCAACATCGTAGACACAACCACGTTGGAGGAGGTTGAGCATGAACATAACGATTTCCTCTGGCTCAAGCAAATCTTCGGTCTGGAGAACGGCGAGTCCGCCATCCAGCGCTGTGGTTCGATTCAATGCAAATTGGGTCGAACAGTGATGTTCCCAAGCACCGTGCAGCACAGACTAACACATTTTGAATTGAAAGACAAGTCAAAGCCGGGATTTACTCGTGGGCTCGTTTTTTACCTTGTCGATCCCAATATCCGAATTATTTCGACCGCGAATATCCCTCCACAACGACTGGATTGGACGATTGATATCAAGGACGACGGTAAAGACCTGAAAGCGAAGATGGCTAGGTTAGCATTGGATAATAAGGATGAAAAGGGGTCTATGCCGATGTCATTGAATGAGGCATTAGAGACGCGCATGGATGTTTTGAAAGAGAAGATGGAGTTTATGAGGTACCAGCATGTGGCTTTTGAGTCTCGTGTTCTGATGCTCTGATATGAGATTAGTAATGTGTTGTGTCTACTTAATTCCTGTTTTAATTCCTGTTTTAATTCCTGTTTTGCCGGCTTTTCTTTTCAGTTGAAGTATGTTCTAAAATGCGATTCTAACGTTCTTTTCGTGAATCTCCCCTCGAAACCACGAGCTTACGAGAAGCCGGGTGGCTATACTGGTAATCATAGTGTTCAAATCGCCGCGCTATGCCATTCATACAAAATATCAATACATGTACACATCCCGATAACCTCCCAATGCATCATTGCTGCTTTTCTTTTGCTGTTCCATAACACCATGACCAAAGCTAATCCCGCAAGCAATCATACCGTTACCGGCCCTTCATCTCTGGGAACTCATCATCCAGCTTGAGGCGAGCAGCAACGTTCATACTCATCAGCTCTTGAATAAGAAGCTTGGCAGCATAGGGAATAGACATCTTTACAACCGACCGAGATGACTTGCATCCAGGGCACCAGTTCAAGTAGCCCATAAAACCACAATTCTCGCAAATATCCACTTCATGGATATCGGACGAGATCATGAGACGTTCCAGCAAGAGTTGGCTGGTGCCGTAGGCGATCAAACAATCACGCTCCATCTCACCAAGTCGCAGACCACCGTCGCGCGAACGACCCTCGGTAGGTTGGCGAGTGAGTGTCGCCTTGGGACCACGTGCACGAGAGTGCATCTTATCCTGGACCATGTGCTTGAGCTTCTGGTAGTAGATTGGGCCGGTGAAGACGTAGAAGGGAAGCGGCTCGCCAGTGATGCCCGATGTGAGCATGTCCTTGCCACCGTAGCTGAAGCCGTGGTCGATCAGGATCTGGGACATTTCCTCGACGGGGCTGCCGCCGAAACAAGTGCCGTAGCCGTGCTGTCCGGAAAGCACACCTGCTTTGCCGGCCACAAGTTCCAACATTTTTCCGACAGTCATTCGTGAGGGGAAACCGTGAGGGTTCATGATGATATCGGGGTTGATTCCTTGGTCTGTGAAAGGCATGTCCATCTGGTCGGCGATGATACCAACGACACCCTTTTGTCCGTGACGAGACGAGAACTTGTCTCCAACTTCAGGACGACGAGTCTGTCGAGTCAGCACCTTCAGAAGTTGTGTCTCTCCTTCTGTGGCAGAGACCATAACCTTGTCTATGTACGAGGGATCGGGAAGCTTATAGGTCATGGGCGCGGCATTCCAGGTGAGCGGCTTGCCGGCGTCGGAGCCAACCAGTCCACTTGTGTGCGCAGCATCCGGTGTAACCTTATTGATGTAGACTTCGCCGGCGTGGACTTCCTCACCCACGGAGGCCAGGCCATCGCTGTCGAGAAGAGCATGCTTGCGAATGGGGGCATCGTTGTCGAACTCCGGGGGGTTCAGCCTGTCTCTCAGTCCGTTGGGATAACTCTTGAGATTCGTAACATATTTGCGGTAGACTTGGCAGCGACCAAATCCACGATCGACCGAACCTTTGTTCAAAACCAGAGCATCCTCAATATCATAACCAGAGTAACTCATGACAGCGACTGTCGCATTCTGGCCGGCAGGCAATTGGTCATATTTAACCAGCTCGATGGTCCTTGACTTGACCATGGGCTTTTGCGGATAGACCATGAGATAAAGAATAGAGTCAATTCGTTGGAACTGATTCGAAGCAATGGCACCGATAGCTTGTTTACCCATGGCACATTGATAGGTATTACGGGGAGACTGGTTGTGGTGAGGATACGGAATAAGACCAGCGACGGCTCCAAGCACGGTGAACGGTTCAATCTCAAGGTGAGTATGAGCCTCCGTGAGATCCTGATGGTAAATGCAGATATAGGAATCATTCTCTTCGTTGACATCAAGGTACTCAACCAGTCCCTGAGCGAGAAAGTCATCGAACGACATACGTCCATCACGCAGCTTCTGCAGGTGCTTCTGAGTGACCCGCGCTTTCCCATCCTCAACGATAATAAGGGGTCTGCAAATACGGCCATCATCGGTTGCAATATGCACGGCTCTCTGGTGATGGTTGATGTAGACACTGACAAACTCCGAAATGCGGCCCATGCGACGAAGTCTACGGAAAGAGTTGAGGAAGTACTTCGGCCGACGGGTCAATGCAGTCGGTGTACCGTTGATGGAAATCGAATAGCTTCCAGGGGCATAGAGCTGCATTCCACTCACGGTGGAGATATCTTCGGCACCAAGCATGAAGATGAGATTCCGGACTGGACCCTCCTCGTCATTGGTGGTGATGTGCGTCATGAGAGCCAAATTCTTGACAAGACCGCAAGCCTCACCTTCGGGGGTATCTGCGGGACATAACATGCCGAATTGAGATGGCTGCAGGGCACGAGGACCACTGACCTTTCGGGTCTTCTCGAACTGACTGCTAATACGAGTCATCATGCCAAGGGCAGCAATATAACTCAATCTGCTCAAAACGTGTGTCACTCCGGCACGTTCCATACGGAAACGCTTCAAGCTCCAATTACCAGTGGAGATGGCCCTGTTCATTCCCTGTGTAATATGATTGCCATGCATACTCATAACACTCCACGCATCGAACTGCTCGGCCCTATTCCGCTTGTTCAGAACCTTGTCAATGTTCATCTTGATATCAAAACAGAATTTCTTGAACAAATCTTCGAAAAGCAGAGCCAACAGCTGGCCTGCCAGTTCCAAACGCTTGTTACCAAGGTAATCACGATCATCCACCATTGACGGGTCATTCTTAGCCATCAACACGCGACGAGCCATGTGAGCGACATAAATAGCCTTTGGCCGGAAGTTCATGTCCTTGACCTCAATATGGGAAATGATCACGGATGCAATTGCCTCGACAGCCTCTTGAACGTGGGTTCGGCGGTAGGCGCCTTGCTTGCGGTTGATTTTAATGCGAGATCCGATCCAATCAAGAGCCTGCTGCTGGGTAAAGACGCCCAGGTTGAAAGCTTCTTCGAAGTTGATAGCAAAGTCTTCCTGGTATAGCTTATCTGAACCAGCAACGAGCTGAAGCATCTCCTTGTCAGTGTGGATTCCCATAGCCTTCAGCAACACAGTGATTGGGATGTCTTCGCTCAGCACGTTGTGCTTCACGTAAAGTCTGTCTTTCTTCAAAACGATGTAACTCTTGGACTTTCGCTCGTTAGAGGAACTAGAGAGATAATTAGTTTGTCATGAGACAATCTTCGATTGGAAAAGTTTGTCAATAAACGTACCTGGTCACCGAGGCTTGGACAATGTCCTTCTTGGGGTCCGTTTCGACAATGATTCGGTTCTTGCTCAATTGTTCCTGGACCAGAATAACCTTCTCTGTTCCATTCACGATGAAATAACCACCGGGATCCAGCGGGCATTCGTTGAGAACCGTCATCTGCGCGGGGGTCTTGTCGGCCAGCACACACTTCGAGCTGCGCAACATGACTGGCATCCGACCAATGGACACGCCTCGCCGAATAACCCTTTGTCGGCCACGCACATATTCGAAATCAACAAGAATCGGTGCGGCATAAGTGGTATCCCGCAATCGGCACTCTTGTGGAGTGACATCCGACTGGAAGTCGATGCCCGCGTCCTGAGTCTCATCCGACCGTCGCGGGGACCCGACATAAATATCTGTGAACTTGATGTAGAACTGGTGATCAACGTCACTGCGAATGGTGGAACTTGATTCGACGATCTTCTTCAATTGCACCTCCACAAAATAATTGTATGAGTCAATGTGCTGTTTGACAAGGCCCTTGACTTTGAGGAAAGCGGGCAGCAGGTTCCATTTGTCCCTGGCGGTGTCGATCGGATCCGTGAGAGATTTGTTGTAGTAAAATGGTTCCAAGAGAGCATCGAAGGGATCCCTGTGCTTATACGTCGACTTCTCTTCGCTCTTCTTTTCAGATGTCTTGCTAGATGCTTCAACTGGCCGGTTGGATTCCTTGGCGATGGATCGCTTTCGCTTTAGGGGTTCGGTCGTCGCAGAATTTTGACCAGCCTGGAACAGAAGAAATGGACCGGATCAGCATAAGGGCTCCCATGATACGCGCCGACAAAAAAAGTTTTTGTTACCTCCGAAGGACGTCGAGCGTTACTAGACGCAGCAGGCTGCACCCTCTTGCGCGGCGGCATGGCGTTTGAAAAAGATCCGAGTTCGACAAATGATCGCCTCGCAAACCTTAAACCGCACACTTGTTCAAGTGAAAAACGGTGCGTTTCTTCATCACCAGTGACAGTTGCTGGTGGGGGGAAGAAGCTGAGAGAATTTGGAGACGCTTATCTAATCGACCAGCTATCCAGAACGGGTTAGTCAGATCATTGATACCTGAGGCCACAATCTCTTCGCTGATAACGTTGCGTGACTACAGCTCGGTAGGCGACTACTGAATTCGAAGAAGGCTCCTTGAAAATTTGTCGCCTGATTCTGCCTAAACCTTTCTTTCTCGATTGCACTCTTACCTTGCCTTACCTTCTGACCTGAAATGAGGTGATTTGCTAATTTTTTACTTTTTTCCAAAGGGCGTCTATTACTAGAGGGATATAGTAAGGCTATTAGTAAGATTCTTTCACTGTTTTTTCACTAGTCTTTTACCGATATGATGAATATACTACTTGTCAGTATAGTAGACTACTAGCTAGGCAAGGGATTAATCATAAAACTGGATAGCAAATTATGGTAGCTGCTATATCAGGAATGTATTGGATCTTAGGGAGATTCCGTCTATAGGATTCTGATCTAAAATTAAATGTATCTTATTATTTGATTATCGATCGTATAGAAAATAAAATAAATTCAGTAAGGTAGGATTATATATACGTAATATGGTGATTTGACAGAGCTCCTACTATCCGACCCTAACCGTGGAGACTGAACGTGATTCAGAGAATAATGGAATGTTAGACCTTACAAAACCTCTAACAGGTCGAGGCTAGAACCTGAACCCGGAGATTGGGTTAATATGTTTGCTCACTGTTGATATCATACTTTCACTACTGGGTGGATTTGACAGATGAGTTCATTTTACTTTATGGTCCAATATTGCACGCCATATTGCCTCACCTTTATCTTTCTTGAAGATGGATTTCATTTCAAAATGAAAACAATACTAGAAGTATGAGACAGCAATATGGTCATCCATTAAAGATGTGAGATCCCCAAGAAACCAGCTCGCGATACAAGCAGTAGCTCCGAAGGCAATCGAGATCAAGTAGACTTTAGAAAAGGAAACCCCAAAAGCACTAATGACAACCTGATGCAAAAATTCATAACTTTCCGGCCGTTTTAGCTGAGGAAGCGCTGCCGCATATTCCGAAAAGGGAATTGCTAGAAGCGTGGACGGCATGGTCTTAAGGGTCAATGGATCAGTAATGCCGATTTTTATCGCAGCAGGAACAATTTTCGTCTCTGCTTCCTCGGTGAGTTTCGCTATAAATTGGGTGTAGAAGATACTGATTCCTACAACTTGTCCAACGGAGCGAAGGCACACGGTTAGAGATGTTGCCGTTGCGATGAGATCATCTGGAGATATGACTGTGACTATGACTTGATTGGGAACGAGAACTCCACCAACACCGGTGAGACCAAGCACAAGAGGGGCCCAGACAGTGTTAATATTATTCCGATCGACGGCAGCCATACAGCCAATGGCTAGTATGGATGGTCAGCAATAAGTCACCAATACTGCGAATGATGCACGAAAGCATAGAGACTTACCGACAGCTTGGAGGACACAGAAGCTTGTCATGATAGGACGAAGATACCCTTTGAATGAGGAAATCATGATAGCAGAAATCAATGATCCCCCGACAATACAGAATCCAAATGGTAACGTCCGAATGCCCGCCTGAACATGACCTGAGCCGTATATGCTGATGGATTGCATGACCCAAAAGAACAAGATAGGGATATAATTAATGCCCGCGACGAGGATCACCACCATTAAAGCAACGAATGCACGAGAATGTAGAAGTAGACGTCTCGGAAACATGGGATACTTAGCCCACAAAGTCTCGTATAGAAAGAAGGCGACGACTAGAATGGCACCAAGAATTAAGCACGAAAGCACCGCACTAGAATTCCAGGGATATGTCTTTCCTCCCCAGTTGAGCCCGATAAGAAAAACAACAACGCCTGCAATCATGAGGAATCCTCCTAGGAAGTCAATTCTGCGAAGCATCTCCATACGACTCAATCCCATGGCGTTGACTCGAGGTGCGGGATTGTAGAAGATGGCAAGAACAAGAGCCGTCAGTAAGTTCCAGATTGCAATCAAGCAAGCACAATATCGCCAGCTATATTGTGCAATCAGCTCTCCGTACAATGATGCCGGGGCAAAAGGCAAGAAAGCGGACACGACAAGAGCAGCATAGAATCCTCGTTGATAAGTCGGTACCAGCTCAGCCACAGCAGAGATTGACATCAGCTCCTGGATCCCAACCCCAACTCCTGATATAGCCTGCCCCGCAATAAAACCCTTTCCATTGGGGGTTGCGGCACAAAGAATCATACCCAGCATCGAGGCGAGCACTCCCACAATAGTCACGCTTTTTCGCCCAAAGAGGTCGGCAACTGGACCAGCGAAGGGAGCCACGGCACTGATAGACACCAAACCGGCCGAGAAGATCCACACTAAGTCGTCAACGGCATTGAGGTCATTCGCGACAGTGGTGACGAGAGCAGCAAATATAAGGGAAATCACCTGGGAGCCGACAAATGCCATGCAAAATCCGACCAAGACCATCAAAAATGTGACGTTACTCAGCTGTGCGAGAATAGCAGTGTCAGCTATATTCTCATGGTTACAAGTTTTCTTTTCACAGTTTACCTTAATTTGCTTGGAGTGAGAGCGTTCAAGTGCTTCCAAGTCATCATTTTCTTTGTCATGACTCTCAGCATCCCCACATATCTGCTCAATATGCTCGTTGGCGACGTCATCAGAGGGCTTTTGGTCATTGACTTTCCTATTCATTATGACATTCATGATAACAGACAAAGATAGATTCAGCAAAAGCCGTATAAATGATCCACTGTAGCCTCGTTTTCTGAGACTTAAGGTCGTGACCTGTATTTGATAACATCCCTGTTATCCAAGAGGGCGACCTTATATAGCCTTATGATTTATTTCCAAAGCAGAGAAAATGCGAATACGAATGCGAGTATTCAAGCTCTATGGGCCGGCATTATTCGTCTATAATTTCCTTGAAAAAGCTGAAAGCGACAATTCAGGTTCATGAACTAGGTACTTCACTGAGAACCACATTCACCCATGTACCAAAGTAGATGAACCTCTATGAGAACATTAATTGATATTTGTGCAACTGTCAAAGCGCCCGTATTCACGACTTATTCGCCGTATAATCATCCCCGCTCTGATTTCTCATTGAGGGGTAGTGATAGATTCATGCCTTGAGAACTTTTCGAAGCTAGAGGGACGCTGTCCTAGTATAGCCCTAAATACCTCGAGGCAGCCAATAACAGTGGTGAAAACCAATTTTCATCCGAGGTCCATTTACCCCGCATATAACAAAGCGTAGCGCGCTGTTCGAATTCAGTTTGATGTAAGCAAGCCATAAACTAAACAATGTCCGAGCTTATCAAATTTGGAATCTGTTATTCTAACCGAGGCTAACTCACCACAGGATCCAAAGGCTCTGGACTGCCCATTTTAGACACATCATACTCGCCCATCCTGGATAGTCGAATCTTAAAAGATCGTATATTCTAGAGCCTTGATTAACCTGTGCGTGATCAGATTGGTGGCATATTTATTCGGGACCGCACATCCTGCCAGGGCTAGTCTGGGCAGCACAATAATAACGCCAACTTAGTCTCCTAGTTAACTTATTGAATTTCAAGAGTTATAAAGTAAAAGTTATGCATGTTTAATAGCGGATCAAATTCAAGCCGAGAGATATGAATATGCATCCAAATTCTGCTTTCCAGGCGCCATTTCCGCTTATTATGTTCAATGAGGTGATGAAAACCTGGTTTCATCTAGCGACGACGTATGAATCTCTATTTATAATTTGCCATTAGTAAATAATGCAAAGAAAAAAAGAGGATGATATCTTAACAGGTGTAGTTAAGGAAGGGTTAATCTATGATCGCGAGCAGACGGCAATCCTGCGACAAAGCCAGTAATGATCTTGATATGATCCCTAGATAGCCTAGCTTAACCTCGTGATGACAAGAATTGAGGACTATTAAAAATGAAATCAATAATCAGTGCATAGCCTCGGCTACTTCCTAAGAAGATGTGGCCAGATTAGGTAGAACTAAGTGATGATGACCTTTTATCATGCACGAACTCGGATATGCGGCTAGCAATCGATCAATACACGAGGTCTGAGTCCCTCACCTCAAGTGTATGGTAACTTGAAGCTATTGAGATATGGCCAGGTAGTAGACAAGGTATAAATGGGTCGCATTTCCAACGCAAAGAGAAAGGAATACGGAAGCAATAATTGCATTTAGTTTCTATTCCTACTACCTTCCCACGAAACTTATCTTCAATTTTCAATAAACTACGTCGTGTTTGAGAATGTCTTCTACTATCACTGAAAATCCCGCTATTGCCATTGACGGCATGAGTGACAAACGTCGAGATTTGCCCACACAGATTTTCCATGCCGATGAAGAGGCCTACGCAAAGGAACTGGAGCCTTTTGGTGGAAAAGAGGACATGACGAAAGGTGGAGATGTGTATGTTCACTCCTCTTTGCTCTTGAATCATGGTATACTTATCAGGCTGTCAGTTACTATCCAAACCCTCCCAAAATGGCTGTTGACATCATCGTGGGTGATTTAACTGGCCGCGAACACAACTTTACCCTCGAGAAAAACGGATTTTGTCTCGCGAAGCAGGAAACGAAGGTTATTATGACGACTGAGGATCTTCAAGACGCCAGGAAGATTAAAGAAGAGTATTATCCTGAGATGCAAGCCTGGCTGAAGGAGCTGTAAGCGTGGAACTCGTCTCATTTACCGGCAACAAATAGGTTTACTGAGCCACATATACTAGAACCGGCGCGCCTATCGTGAAAGTCATGCATCATGGGTCTCGAGTGAGCACCAGCTTACATGGTGCTAACAGCATCAAAAAGGAAGAGGTGGGCCAGGTCACTCGGCCCGGTCCTGCTGTATTCGGAGCACATCTCGATCAGTCGACCTGGCAGGGGTTCAACGTCATCCACAAATACTTTCCTGATGAATGCGAGGCATTACTTCATGGTCGATGTATGATTGTAAATGTACGGTCTTCGGCTTTCACATATTTTTTATATATCTTTGATTCTCCGCCCCCCCCCCCCCCCCCCCCTTGGCTATTCTTGCTGATATCAGGGCAAATCAGGCATGGCGACCAATCAAGACCGTGTACAAACACCCATTCGGGATCGCCGACGCTAGCACTGTACCGTATACAGATCTGGTTGTTCGCGCCAACAGATGGCTCACTGAAATTCGAGAGTCAATGGGCATTCGACCAAATCCGACTGTCCACAAATGGTATTACAAGTTCGCCCAAACGGCCAACGAAGTTTTGGTATTCAAGCAGTTCGATAACTTTGGCGACGCCAGGGCGTGCCCGCATTCTGCATTCATTGATCCTGAGTATGAGGATGCGGAGCCCAGAGAGAGCATTGAAGTTAGGGCAATCCTCCTCTGGCCCGATGAGAAACCGACTATTTTGGGTTGAATGAGGAGGAATTCTACCAAAACAAGCTAGTCTAGGACTCTTGCTTAGTGTACCTTCAGTAAATCTACTCTTGTCTTTTTTCAGAGCTCCCCCATGAAGGATATAAAATAGTCATCCGACGGATGTACATTCAAATCCTTTTTTACAACCCCGGATGGGGGAGGTTTGATGCTAGACCTCATTACGTACTTGAAATTGAACATTGTAGTGGGAAAGCTACCTACCGATGGCAGGATCTCTTTCAGAGATATCCTTCGAATACATAGTTATGATAAACATTGACGCGCTACTGTAGTTGTCATGAAATAAATCATCCTATCGGCTGTACCAATTGAGGGATAGCTAGAGATTATACTGACTGACATATGCAGATTGACCATGGCTTGTCTGCATCTGTGATTGGGTTGCTGAGCGATCCCTGAGCATTAGTCATCTCTCCCATGACTCTGCTGACATGATCACTAAGAGTCTCCGCCGGTGCTGACATCTACTCACTGTGCTTGCGCATTGCGCGCCTTCATCAGAGCGGCAGCAGCCGAAAGAAAAAAAAGGCCCACCCGCCAGACGTTATGTGGTCTTTATGGGTACATGGGTGTCCACTTAGGACGTAAAAAAGGTGCCAGACTCGCTAAGAAGGGCGACGCGTGTGTGAAAGGGTTACCAGGATAGGCCTGAGGAGCCAACAGTCTAGAAAGGCTCGAGACGCAGGGTGGTGGAGCATCGAGACCCAATTTTAGGGTTGACGACCTGCGACCGGGTTTCAAGAGCCCCATCCACTCTCGATCGTCTGCCCTACATCATGGCACGTCGGGCCACAGGCCTGTGGGATTCTGATTTGCCTCTCTTTTTTTTGGGGGAGGGGCGTTATGAAATATGCTGGACATGTGGAATACCGAACATGGTGGAAGCGGGCAACACTTGTGGCGACGGAGGGATGGACTGATCTAGGATCGCGGCCTGCAATCGAAGTCCCGGGTTGCGAATCGGTCGAGGGCGCGACTGGCGTGGCGTTGGGCATGAAAGGGCGCCGGAGCCCCCCTCCTCCCACTTCCCCGGTCCCCTTCAGTCGCCAGGATTCGCGAAAAGAGGTCGGTGAAGATGGTACAAATCACAAATCATGGGCTCAGTTGGGCCTCCAAACGCGCCAGGCTCGGTTGGCCCTGGTTGTGCCGCATCCTTCGAGCCTTGGTCCAAGCTCCGTCGTGCACACACGAGATGTGTCATATCTTTCCCCCGGGGAGAGGGGGAGGGGGGGCGCTTGAGATCATCGTGCGACCTGCCGAAAGTTACCTAGATCGCTGGACGGACAGTCTGGATGTCTAAGGCGAGAGGGCCAGCGTGTACTGTAGATGGGCATACGCTGTGTATCGTCCAGAGAGGAATCCGTACTTTTGGCGCAAGGGCCACCATGAATGGACACACGAGGGGCACGAACATCGTGGCAGCCCCAAAACGGCCCCGATCTCGATTCGGAGATAACAACAGAGGTCCAGACGACTCTTCGTGGCCAATGGCTCATTTCGAACTCCAAGAGCGGAAGAGGGGGTGGGCAAGACACACACGGTGTGGCCCGTCCTGATTGGCGAATCGAGGCTCCGAGTCTGGTGTATGTACTCCGGACGGAGGCTTCTGGACGGAGGAGACTGGGGTTCGCCATGCAGGATCCCCACACCTGGCGAATACTGTATGCTCGTCATTCGGTGGATCAGGGGCTCCCACCGACACGATCAGCACGGATGGCTTGTATCACGTTCACCGCTTCTCTGGCCAGTCGCCCCGGGCTGACTTGGGCGGGATCTAGTGGCGACCGCGAGACATGAGCCCACGAGAAGAGCCCACGAGAAGAGCCCACGAGAAGAGCCCACGAGAAGAGCCCACGAACAGCCCTTTAATAGTGTGCGTGCATCTTGAGGGCCATCACATCAGAAGACAGCGTGGAGTCGTGATAGTCTTGTCGTCAGGGCCGGGATGCTGCTTTCCATGACGACCGAGGACGCGAGGGAGCGAGCGAATCATCTCCATAGGATCACGGGGGAAGGCCGGGGCGCTTCGAGGTTTGATCGAATGTTTCCCTTCTCCTCGAGTCGGTTTCAGTGTAGTAGATCGGGTCTACGACAACATCCAGAGTAACAGCCCAGATCGTACCAAGTACCCAAGATAGCCAAGTACTAACATAGTCGAATTGCCAATGTGAATCAAGTTGTGGCTCAAGATTCGAGATTCGACGGTCGATTGATGGTCCCATAGTCCCATAGTCCCATAGTCCCATATTGCTGTATTCCCCGTATTGCTATCTTCCTATTTTGCTATCTCCCTCTATTCCTGCCCCTTAACTCCGCATTGGAACTGTGCGGATCCATGGATGGCCACGTTGCGAGCGTACCAAGGGAGACCCGTCGCGAACCAGCCAAACACCGGCGCCTTTAGGCTGGTTCGTTACGGTTCAGGGCGAAGCGCCGCCGTGCATTATTCATCCGAGCTCCTATCGACTGCAATTTGTGGCAAAAACCGGCCCCCCTCCAAGCAAGCCCCCGGCAACCTCCCCCGATGGAGACGATTTCTCCTCATGAGGATTCGCTTCTCCCTCATGCCGCCCATCACCTGAGACAGTTGATATTTTCCGCCCGAAGCAATTGCAAACGCAATCGCCCGAATTCTTGAGCAACCATCCTAAATTTCCCCCCCCCCTCTCCCGTGGAAATCCCATGAGATCGCACTGAATTCCCGTCCAATCCAGGTACACGGGCGGCTTGCCCCGTGCGGTGGCTAAACCAAGCGGGTTTAGAGGGCGATCCGCTGTCACATCTCCTCGGGCACCTGAGCTTTCTCGCACCACTCGGCGCGTCTCCACTGGGCTCAAATGAGACGGTGGCTGTTCAATTGGTATGGGCGAGCAGAAAATGCATCGGCAGCTGCAGCTGCCACGCTCCTCGCTAACAGCACATGCCGGTCAGACGTCTACGGGGATTCATCGAATTGACCGATGGCATTCCTTCCGGCCCTTGATCGTTTGTCTCGGGTTCTTCCTCGTTGATTTTTTTTTTTTTTTTTTTTTTTTCACGCCGTTAGAGAAGGCGAGAGAGAGAGAGAGAGAGAGGAAGACGCTTGCGCGATCGCGTTCAATCGATAGGGCGACGAGCACGGACGATACTGCGAAGCCCGTCGTGGCGTCTACCATTCGGTATGTAGTATGTAGCATACAATCTCGACGAGGATCGCCCCGATGTCGACGGGGGGTCTCAGGTCTGCGGTCCGAGAACGTCTTGCGAGCAGCATTTCCAGGGAGGTCCTGGTCCAGCTTTGAATAGATCCTGCTGCATTCTCGTGGACCATGAGGGGGGATCGAGCCTCGCGCGGTCGGTCATGGACGACCAGAGGTCTCGTTGTGCCTGTCCCGATGAGCTGCTTCACTCGTGGTGGTACAGACGGTCCGGACGCCAGAGCCTCTCCAATCATACGGGAGGGCCGAATGATTTCCGAGTAACCCTGGACGATCATCTGCAGTGGTCGGTCGGGTGTTTCATTTGTAGTTAGGGTACAATAGCTAACTCGGGTCGAGAGCTTGGGAAAGCAACTCCGACAGGATTGGATTGGATTGGCTTGGATTGGACGGCCGCCTCCATCGTCACCCTCCTGGTCTCTCTCGGTAGTCGGGGCTATCAAAGAGGTGATCGCTAGTGCATTGTGCTGAGATCGCGCTCGGGAGTATATCCGCGTCTGCAGAGGGTTCTGGAGGGGGCTGGTGGACGGGTTGAACCACGTCGAACCGTCCAGTGGACGGACCGGAGGACTGTAATACCCCAATTCCAGGGAGCACCTCGTTCCTCATGGTCCAGGGCCGCCCAAACATCCAGCAAAGAAGATCCAGCCCTTTTCTGGAGACAGTCCTTCTGTCCTGTATATCCTGTATATCCTGTATTCCGTATCGCATCCTGTCGATCCAGCCAGCAGACAGTGCCGAATCAGGTCCCAGCGGGTTGGGCCTTTGCGCCAGCCTTTGGGGCTTGTCGGGGCTTTGGGGGGGCTTTGGCGCGTCTTTCTTCTCCTCCCCCCCCTCTTCTTTCTTCCTCCACCTCTCTCCCCCCTCTCCTTCTCTCCTCTCTCTCTTTTCCTCCCGTGTACAACAGCTTGTATCATTCTTTTTCCTTGCACCTCTTGTTAGGTTTGCTGTCTCTGTTGCTGGCGACACGCTCGTTTGGGTTCGTGGTTCGTGTTTGTTGCTCCTCGCTAAGTGGCGGTCGTGCTCCATCCCACGCAAAGACCTGCGGCTGATCTCCGCACGCCCTTAGGAACATCGTCCTCTTCTCCTCCTCTCCCCCCCCCTGGTTGGCAACGCCCCAGATTCCCATGAATTCTGGTGGATAGGGATCCTGATCGTCTCTGTGTGAATATCGGCCCTTCGAGGCGTTCATTGTGTGAGTGGTCTTCATTTTCGCGAGCGCAGATCATCGCCGTCAAACCCCTCAGCCCCTCTTGTTTCCCCTTACTTGGGCTCGCCGAACAAGCACACCGCCAGCCCGCCACATCATATCGCACACAACGCACCGAAAACACCCAACATATACACACACCAACCCCCAAGTCGTGCGCCCCCGACCTCTTTGCCTCAAAAGCCACATTTTGAGGCTGGTCTGTCGCGTGTGGTGCCTCCTCCTGCTCCCCCCCCTCCCCCCCCCTTTGCCCTTCCTTTCACCCCCTCTCCCTGATAAAAGCTCCGACGGGCACCCCCGTCCAGCTATCCCCGACTTGCAAGGTTCCTGAGGCCTCACGATCGCAAGGCTACAGATCAGGACCAATCCAGCCCGTTCTCCCAGTACTGACCGATGCTGTCCGTGGGGACTCTAGTTGGACTTTTCGGCTGCTTTGCCCACCATGGCCTTCAAAAACGGGCTGAGTGAACGCCTCGACGAGCTTCGTTTCCCCTCCCCTCGATCGCCACCCTCCGAGTCGGCCTTTCCAGGCTATACTTCCCTCTCGCCGGGCCATTCGAATTTTGGATCGGGCTTCTCGCGGCCCTCGAGCGATGTGCGAGCCAATCTGCAACGGCGATTCACCACCGACTCGAGCAAGTTCTCTTCGTCATGGAACTATCTCAACCAGGGGTCCACCCCAATGCTGGACCCTCTCGACCTGCTGTCTTCAGTGAGTCTCCCATTTCTGTTGTAGTGTGCTTCAAGGAATATACATAGTCTTTTATCTTCCCCTCCCCCTCCCCTTTCCCCCTCCTGTGTTTTTTTTTCCCATTGTCTACCAATCCCGTCCATGGATGGCTGCAATTGTGCTGCAATCGTGGTGACCGAGGACCTGAGGGGCTGTGAGTAAAAACAAAAGAGCGTGGCCTAGGCGGCCTTGGATGAGAGACGGTGCGTGCTTGCGCGCGATTGGTCGATTTTGATCGCATCACCTCGCCGTTGACTGGTGACTGGCGGGGCCACCGCTATAAAAGCAAGCTCACTTGTGCACGTCCTTTTCACTTCTGCACACGCCTTCACTTTCCCATCTATTTCTTGATTTCCATCCCCAAAGCCGTCTTTGTGGCATTGGACCATGACTGCCACATGTAAGGGCGGAGTCTGCCACATTGCATGGTGTGGGTGGCTTGAAACAAGCTCAATGGGTGCAGGTTGAACGCTCTGCTCTCAACTGAAGCTTGGCTTTCCTTGGCAGCTTCTTGACTTGCTCGTCTTTCTTGATCCAGCCGTTTTTTTCCCTCTACCATTTCCTCCTTTGCTCTCTCTTTCTCTTTTGCAGATTCAGCTTTATTGCCACGGGCCTTCCTCATTCGTGGATAATTCTTTCTAACAATCCCTTAGTTTGAGAAAAAACGTCAGCATATCGAGTATATGCGAGAGCAGAAACGACGTTTTGAAGAAGACATGAAATTGCTTGACATGCAGCACGAGAAAGAAAAGATCGAGATGGATCAACTTGCTCGTGACCTCGCCAAGGCTGGACTGTCGGGACCCGTCAGTGAACCGACCACTCCTCCTGAGCACCACGAGCCGGTCTCCAGTTCCATATCTCGTCCAGGCAGATTCTCCACCTCGAGCGTCACTTCGTCCCCGGGATTCTTTTCAGCCTTCGCCCCTTCTTCGCAACTCACCTCACCCCAGGCACCGACCCACACGGCCCATCAACAGCCTGTTGATCGCTTCGCGGGTCACTCTCTTCCCGGCTCCCGTCGCAACTCGGAGAAGGAGGACTTTATCATGGAGAGTGCCCCGTTCCGCCCAGGTCCCTCGTACGTTACTTGCTTTCTATTGTTCTATCTTTCCCCTTGCCGCCTCTCATTGTCCCCACCGTGGAGTCATTGTCCCTAGCTCTCACCTGGCCTTGTTCTGCTCTCAATTTCCCAAGCCATGCAAGGCAACGATTCATCATTTTCCTTCTGATCTGCTTCCTCTATGGAATGAACCTCCACGTGACATCTCTCTAACAATTTGCTCAGGCTCCACCGATACTCGCTGCCTTCAAGCAACTTCAATAGTTCGTATCGGCCTAATTCGAGTGCATATAATACGACATCTGGCGTCGATTCTTTTGCCGCCACAAAGCATCTTTTCTCATCTGACGAACCGAAAGCAATCTTAAAAGACGAAGACCGCCTCTCCACCCCAGACATCAAGGGGTACATCAGGATGACGGAGCCCGACGACAAATTCCCAACTTTATCTCGTCGAGATGGTTCCAATATAGTAAGTTCTTTATCATTTACCGTTGCTTCTCGAAAAGCAGATGTTTGAAATCCAGAAAGTGATATCATGCCAAGAAAAAAACATACTGATACCATTCTCAGCTCTCGGCAAACCCTGATGCTCTTGATCTCGCCAACTCCCGAAATCCCGGCTATGCTGTCCACAGTCGTTACCGGAATAGTCATCAGAGCATGCCGCAGAACCTACCAAATGCGATGCGACTTGATCATTTGAGCAGTCCGACAAGTGAAGACCGTGGCAACTCGACTTCTCACTCCCGCCACTTTGCACGTCACTCACTTGAGGGAGGTCTCAAGTTTTCCAACGACCGTCCATCAGATTCTGTGACCCCTGCTCCTGCCAGCCGACCTACCTCACTTCAATCATCGTACTCGACCAACGACTTGCCCACTGTCAAGGGCAACGGCTTTGATGCAGCCATCACCCCTCCGAAGACAAATGCTGAGCACCTTCACCAGCACAATGCCAGCATGGGTCGTATCCCAACCGGAGCTGTCAACACCCGCTCTGCTAAGGAGTCCCCGGAGTCCGATGTAATCAAGAGCAGCCAGGCCGCTCAGACGATGCTTCAAGCTAGTGCCGCACCCTTTGGCCCTCAGCTCACCTCAGCCGCATCCAACAATGGCTTGACTGGCACTGTTGCAGCTCCCACTGTGCCATTTCCTGCTATGTATGGATATGGCATTCAGTCGTTCGTCGGGCAGGCAAACCAGACTCCCCAGGCAACATCTGCCATCCCCAGTTTCACCCCTCAGGCTGCATATGCCGGCTACCCTGTATTCGCGAATACTGGCTACCGTTACAATGAGACTGTGAACCGTGCTGCAGTTGGTCAACGTCGTCAGACAGAGAGCGATGCAACTCTGACAACCAGGTTCGGCAACTATCCAATCGAACACTACAAGGGAGAGCTGTATAGTCTCTGCAAGGACCAGCATGGCTGCCGGTACCTGCAGCGCAAGCTGGAGGAGCGCAATCCGGAGCACGTGCAACTGATCTTCAGCGAAACTTACATGCATGTGATTGAGTTGATGACTGGTATGTTTCTCGACATGCTTGAAATATTTTTCTACAAGGTTATGATGTTAACTTGAATCTGCTAGACCCATTTGGCAACTATCTTTGCCAGAAGCTCCTTGAGTATTCCAACGATGAGCAACGTACTGCTTTGATCAACAATGCTGCCCCCCAACTCGTCAAGATCGCGCTCAACCAGCACGGCACTCGCGCGTTACAGAAGATGATCGAGTTTATTTCGACTCCTGAACAGACTCAGACTGTCATCCATGCTCTGCAGAATCATGTTGTGGAGCTAGTCCAGGATCTCAATGGCAACCACGTTATTCAGAAATGCCTGAACCGTCTTGGCGCTGATGAGGCTGAATTCATCTACGAGGCCGTTGGTGCCAATTGTGTCGTTGTTGGCACCCACCGTCATGGTTGCTGCGTCCTGCAACGCTGCATTGACCACGCCTCTGGGAACCAAAAGGCTCGACTGATTCAGCAGATCACGTCCAACTCCTTCGCACTTGTCCAGGATCCTTTTGGAAACTATGTTGTGCAGTACATTCTGGATCTCGCTGAGCCACGTTTCACCAACCCGCTCTGCCAGACCTTTGCCGGCAATGTTCCTTCCCTGTCAAAGCAGAAGTTTAGCTCAAATGTGATCGAGAAATGTCTGCGCACCGCTGATGGGTTTGCTCGACGTGAGCTCATTGATGAGATACTGTCAGGCAACGAGCTGGAGAAGATGTTACGGGATTCATTTGCCAACTATGTTGTGCAAACTGCCATGGACTTTGCCGACCAGGAAACCCGCCAACGGATCGTGGATGCCATTCGGCCCATCCTCCCATCCATTCGCCAGACCCCCCATGGCCGTCGTATCGCTGGAAAGATGATGGCCTCGGAGAACTCTGGTCGATCCAGCACACAGAGCAGTGGCCAGGTCACTCCCAACGAAGTGAGCACTGGGCAGATCCCGAAGCAGCTGATGGGAAAACCGTTTCCTTTTCCACCCGGGTCGTCTATGCATACTCCAAGCGGATCCAACACTAGCTTTGGATCCCACGGCTTCGCAGGCCAAAACGGATCACCTCCAAGTGGTGCAGCCAGTGAGGCTCCAGCAATTTTCAGCCCACCGATGAATGCTGCAAACAACAACAACCTCGGCGCACAGAACCCCCTGTATGCCTACTTTTAATGGGGAAAGACAACTGTGCCACCCCCCAACTGTTCATACATCAACATTTTTTCTCATTGTACCCATATCGATCTCAATGACGTGACGATATCTCATGATCTAACGGATTTCTTTTCATGACTGCCTGACATGTTGCATACTTGCATTCGAAGCGAAATCAGCATGATGCAGTCGGCGGCGGAGTGTGCCTTCTTCCCGCCTTTGCCTCCTCCCACCATTTTTTCCATTTTTTGTACTTTTTTTTTTCTCTGATGGCCCGTTGTGATTCCTTGACTTTACCTGAAAGTTCCACTCCAATATTTCCTGATTTTGGAACCTCCTGATCCTTCCTCAGGTTTGGTCTCAGTCGACATGGTATCTCAAGGACCATTTCATTTCCTGTCATTGTGTTTTCCCACCATTTTTTCCCAACTTTTTTTTCAATTTTTTTCCATTTCTTGTTGTCATTCATCCTGTATTTTGCGCGTTGATTTCGATTTGCAGTTGTGTTGTGCTGGGCTCTTGCTGAATGCCTCGCCCTGGTCAAAACATGTGTCCTGCAAGATCCGTTTCTTGATGAATACGAGATCGGGTAGTTGATCTGGCGTTCAGCCCCGGGATGTGTATCGTGGGGAATTTCTTCTAAAAAGGAGACTGCTCTTGATTGCTGGACTTCAGCTAGCTTTGCTTGGTGGTCGATCTTCTTTCTTTTCCCTTTGCTTTGACCCAAGGTCGCCACGATCTATGTTCCAATTCCTCCCCTCCACGCACGTTTTGCATCGTTGTACTTTAGCACTGGAATTCGAATTCGGTTTCCATTATACTTTTATCTTTATCTAAGTCGCTATCCCGTAGAGACACTGTAATTTCATATAGAATGGACTCTGATGGTGAAATTCACGCCAGTCCATATACCATGCTGTAGAAACGCGTCGCGAGAGCACGTGACCACAAGGGGGCCTCGGGCAGATACAGCCCGTCCTCCGCAATATCTTTGATCTTGCAGACAACTTCGACTGATAGACGGAGAAGAATAGGGTCCTAGCAACTCATGCAGCCGCTTGACGTTGCTCGCTCCCTGAGCGCACAATGGCCCTGCCGAGAGGTTCAAACCCGGCAGTTAGCCAACTTGCTCAACGTGCGTAGCTCTCCCGCGAGGGCCTCAAGAAGCTCCGGGACACTTTTGGGCGATCCAATTGAACCCTGTACCATGACTAGTACTGATTGCTGACTTGATTTTCTTTCCAATCGATAGCCGCACATCCCTAGCCCGCCTGCATTGGTCGTTCATGGTGTATCATCGACCTGCAAAACAACCATCATCCGGAGTGTTCTTTCTACGCTTGAAGTGCCGCACGCTATTGTTCGCAGTTCCGAGTGCATTACTGGACGACATCTCTTGACCAAGATTCTATGGAATACCCTCGAAGCCGTGGGCCGGAAAGATGAGTGGGAGAAATTTGGAAAAGGCCGGTGCGAGCACGTTTGTACCCTCGCAGTGCTCCTGGATGAGTGTCTCGCAGCGAGAGCACCGGAGAATAAAGGAAAGTTCGTGCTGGTACTTGATGAGATTGACCGACAGCGAGAGGCGCCACCCACCTTGCTGTCTGCTTTAGCGCGATTGGGAGAAATCGTGAGTGATCGGTGTCGAAGCACCCGTGATGGCAGTCCGCGTCCATTGGCCAGTACTAATGATTGTTTTTTTTTTTTTTTTTGGTTTCAGATCCCGTCGCTCTGCGTTGTTCTGGTTCTGAGCTCGACACCGCGGCCGCTTTTCTTGCAGAACGCGGCGGTTCCCCATGTCAGCTTTCCTCCGTACACGCGCAAAGAAGCCATTGAAATCCTATTGACATCTCCGGTGGCTTCGGTGGAGGGCTTGCCTGATGACACAACAGCTCGCGTATACCCGCACTTCGTGGCAACAGTCTATGACACTCTGGTTGGACCTACGGCAGGCTCGATACCTACTTTCCGGTCTATCTGTAGCCGGCTTTGGCCACTGTTCGTTGCACCGGTGGTGCAGGGCGAGTCCCCGCCTGGTGGAAACTCTGAGTGGGACTTCACACGCTTGCTGGTGAGGAATCGAGCGTTGTTCCGCCATCAGGGCGAGTCCGCACTTGTACATCGCATCGTGCCCGAAGACTCCTCTGTCTCAAGCAAAATATCTCGGAGACCGCTGGCGCCCGCAGCCACCCCGTCTGCCCTGCCGTCTCTACCTTACTTCTCAACCCTGATCCTCACATCCGCCTACCTGGCCTCCCACACCCCGCAACGCCTGGACACGATCTTCTTCTCCAAATTCTCCTCCTCCTCGCTCTCTGCCCGCAACAAGCGTGCCCACCACCGCCGTCGCCTGAAGGTCCTCTCCCAAGCCCAGGCCGAAGAAGCCGCCAACGCCGGCTCGACCACCTCTCGTCGCGGCAAGGGCAAGCGTACCAAAACCCGCATCACCAAATCAACCCTCTCCTCCGCCTTCGCGACCTCCTCCGCAACAACCTCCGCCATGGGCGGCGGCGCTGGCGTAACTGGCCCCTCCACCATCCTCACTGCTCGCCCGTTCCCCCTAGAACGTCTTCTAGCCATCTACCATGCCATCGACCCCAACCCCCCGGAGAACCCCATCCGGACCGGCGCCGTCGCTGATCAGATCTACGCCGAGCTGGCCACGCTGCGCCGCCTCCGGCTGGTCGTGCCTGCGGCCGGCCACCACGTCGGATTCGCGAGCACGAGTAGCGGAAATACCAGCGCAGATGCGGGCGAGAAGTGGTGTGTCAATGTGTCTGGGGACTGGATCGGCGAGTTGGCCAAGGGCATTGGAGTCGAGGTTGGGGAGTGGCTTGCGGGCGGATTGGACTAAGTAGGGGTAGAACACCAAGAAGTTTTTTTTTTCTGATTGGAATTATAATGGAATGGTGGAGTATGGGGGTGGATGGCCGGGAGGATCCTCGTTTCTATGTTGCATTTGGTGTTTGGTTGCTTTGTGTGTCTAGTCTGGGGCTGTTTACATGTTTGGGCGCGTGCATAGCATCTTGATTAGGTGTGAATCCAATATACCCTTTTTTTTTTATTTGTTCTTTAGCGGACGATGATTTTGCTCTGGAGAGGGGAGGGGAAGGAGTGTATTGATTGGTAAGATAGATATATGGCCCAGGAAATAGAAGAGTCCGTCATGCTCTCAACTATTTATTTTGAAGAGGCCTGTAGGATTACGCTATGATAGTCCTTCACGGCATTGTATATATTCTTGCGTTGAGGTGTGCCACGCGTTATGGGACATGTTCCTGGCTAGCGTTTTCAAAGTGGCACTAAAGAGGGTAGAGATGTCTGTTCTAGGAAGGGAGATAGATATGGAAACTTGAAAGAGAAAGTGAGAATTCATTTGAAGAATTAGCGAGTAAAACTCTTTCGAAGAGCTGCTTTCCAAATAAAATTACGTCGGACCATTGGCCCCGAGTAAGAAGGTTGTTCAAGAGTTCAGACATGGCTATGACATCAAGGGGGATTCATCTATCTCGTCTCTTGGCTGCGTGAGGCGAACCCAGCCCGGCTGAGTTCAGCTCAGGCAGCTGTCGCAAACATGGAGAGTGGAGAGTATCAAGGGAGATCACCACATCCACTGGTCGACAGTTGCTTTGGAACAGACGAGGAGGCTGGGTGTTTGGGGACCCTGCCGACTGGAGAGGTCTGCGCTGGACTCGAAGCACACGCATGTGATGGGATGGGTATAATGGTAGTCAGAAAGGGGAGAGGGGACTTGGTTGCCGGTGTTGATGGAGAAGAGTTGGACTTGGCGATCATCGGATGCTATATGTGGGTAGTCTCGGTGTTAGCGGGGTGGAGCACTCGAACGAGACCCTGGGAAGCAAGGACGGTTGACGTACCACTTGCAATAAGACCAAGTTCAGTGCTCACGTCGAAGTCGGGGATCACGTCGGGTGAGTAGTCAGGAAAAGAGAGGTAGGGGCGAGTAGACGTGTGAGACTGGGCGAGTGGCTTTGGTTTGCGCTGGAGGCCGTTCGGCGCGAACCGAATGTCGTACATTTGGAGCTGAGTCTTGGTATCAGAGACTTGTATGTCTGGGTATTCTGGTAGGATCAACACGACGGCTGACTTACCGAATTGTGGCCAGATACGACAAGACGATATGGGTCGACCTTGCGGATCTTAGTGACGGAATGCTGATGCTGCAGTCGCATGGCGCTACCACCGCTGCGCACGTCGTGCAGGAACACAGTGGAGTTTCGGAGCCCTGCCGCGATTATGTCGGTCGAGAGCCATTCAACGGCGCTAACACTGGCATGCGAGGAGTTCCCATGCCGGCGAAATCCTTGGTTCCCGGGGCTCTTTTCATGGGGGAAGGGTTTCTGGGAGAGCGTCCAGTGGCTACCAAGTCCCTCGAGCGTGTGCAGGCCATCAGATGTGCCGATAGCGAAGAGGGCTTTGCTGCCTGTAGGGCAGGCAGCGGAGCACCAGAGGGATGGTGTGGTCCTGATGCGGATAGGATGGGTGACTTGGAAGAGTAACATCAATATCGAAGCTTAGAACGGATCGTGGACAGATACATGGACATACAGCACACCGGCCAGCGATAGTCGCCGCCTTCATCTGGGTCTGGGAGCATGCGCGGGGCCAGGAAGGAGTCCCCATCCGGGCCACTATCCATTGTGGCCCTGGTTGAATTAGCATGATGTAGACCTGGCGCGAAGGCAGTAACTTTGCAACATACAATAAATACCCGGTGTGACTTAATGAAATCGATGAGAGCTGGATGTCATCCTGGTTAACGACTGTCTTTGATGCATTTCAGCGACGCGAAGAGCATACCCTGTAGGACTCTTTGAATAACACTCGTTCCATGGTGCGGTCATAGGTCCATCTTTTCTCGTCAAAATCCGGAAAACATATTCTGGAATCGAAATCAGCATCAATGAAACACCTCCAGCTCAGGACAAGGGATCAAAAACACACGATACTGATGACTCGTTTCCGCGATGTCCACCTAGAGAAGACAGAAATCAGCCCACGATTCAAGATCCATCGAAAATGGATTACTAACTCGCAATCAAAGCCCCAGAGCGCGGGTTTCGGAGGACATGCCGAATGGAATAGTCATTTGGCCACGGCTCGAATTGATGAAGCTTCTTTCGTCGAACTTGGCTCAGATAGCAGCGCGCCACCTGTTCCTGTCTCGTGGATGAGGACAAGATGCGGGTACCCAATTCCCGGTCAGCACCAACAAGCGGATGGTGTAGAAAACTTGCTTTGCGGACTTTCTCACGAGCTATTCTCTGGTCGAGATGGACTCGCTTGTTATGTTTCTAAGATGCGTTAGCATTGGATCGCCTAGCAACAAGGTTCAATGACGATGGCAACCTCTTGTTGCGTCCGCTTGCGCTTAATGGACTCTTTTGAGTACTGTATTCCTTGTGGTGCAACATGGTTTGCTTGGATCTTGAAGTATTTCTTTTTCTCCGGATCTGGTGAATGGTGAGCCACGCTCGTTGAGATGATACGTCATGCACATTGCGTGTTTCTGTAGGAGGCCCTCGGTTGCGACTGACCATAGTAGAAACCAGGGATTTCTCGGTTCATCCTTGCCTCGTAAGACAGCGTAAGCGCTGCCTGAGCGATCGAAAATATTTAGTGCAGAGATAGATAATCCAATAAGACTCCTAGAAAGTCCTGTTCCGACACCAGACACCGCATACGACTCGGTCAAGATATGTTGAATAAAGAGATGAGCGCGGGCGGTCTTATCGGGGGAAGTCAGGATCGCCACACGCCCGCAGATTGAGACAAATGCACAGGAAGATGCGAAATCCTTGATAAGATGAAAGTAGTTGAGCTTTTCTTTTCGAGGCCTAGGAAGGCCCCGCTAAAACCAGTCTCACCTAGTCGAGCTGATGCAACTTCTTCGATGGCGATGGCGAGGCGGAGAGCGTTACGTAATATCCGTGGCGTGTGGACACCTCAGACGCCAGGCGCCAATCGGCCAACTGACTTTAACTATTATACTTCGCCGTTGCCCTGACGGGCATCCAATTGCGAGTCGTTAATCATACTTCCGTTACCCGGCCAATCAATCAGAGCCAGGAGGAGCAGATTCATGGCGGATATTTAGTCACGTATCTCCGAGCAATGCTCTTCCTGTAAAATGCATAATTGCACATTTTCATCTGGGCTACGCCTCAGCCGCCGGCATGGAATCATTAGGTATTCATCCGATGCACGTTGAAAGTAGCTCATGAGACCGAGAGTGAAAGTCCACTATTTGTGATCTCGGGCTTGGTTTCTATACAGATTTGGATCCGACATATTGGGCAGGACTTTATACAGCATACCAGTTACACGACGTAAGCCGTCTCTTATTTCGACGATTGGCAACCATCGCAAAGGCCATATATCCAGGAGTCGGCAGGAAGCCAATCAATTTGGTGCTGCTCGAAAATGACCCATTCAATTTGAAAACTTATTTGGATCTGGAAGCGCTGCACAGAGAAGCTGGGTAATTAATACGATCCAAGCCATGATTTCCATGCTGCACACATTCACTCCCAAACGCCCCATATAGCAGCGTGTCTTTGCCCTGAATTGATAATCATATGAGGAGCAACTCAAAATTTGCTGATGTAGAGCTGTACATAGCCATTGCTGTAGGGATGATTGCCGTGTCCAGGGTAATTGAGGTTCAGTTGCCTGATGGGCGACATGTTCAACTCGACCTCTTCAACCAACGCTAGGCGAGTCCATGGGCGCCTGAGTTCCCAGGCGCCTGGCTCTATCCCAATTCGGGGACTTCCTTGCTCAACACATGCTGGCGATGCATCGATCGTGCTTGCTGAGTTCGGCCTCATCCTTCCAACCTGGCCAGACGAGCCGGGTTTCATTCACGGCTTCCTTCTGAGCCTCAATGGAAGTTGCCCTTTGGCAGATCAATCTAGAACATGTGATGTAGCCCACACAAGTACTGCCTTCAGGGCTGCAGATGTGATTAGATGCTGTTCTTTCCTTCTCCTGGTGCCCACGATTGCCGTACTTCACCGTTTTATTCTCTCCCATTGTTCTTCTCCCAACTTCACCCTTCCCTTCACTTCATTCCCTCCATCCATTCCTGCTTCCACAATTTTGGTCGTCGATTTCATTGAATTTCTTGCTTTGTTCATCAAGTCCGTCCTCTCCGTCGCCATTTTGCTTCTCTTTGATGCTACCACTCTGAAATGTCGACCCCAATCCCCGTTTCTGACCTCAGGCGCATGTCTCTCCACAGCCACCCGCCTGATGATATCTGCGGTCAAGAGGACAAGCCCTCTGAAGAAGCTGATCTTCCACCGGTCCAGATCTCTCCAATCAGCCTTGATTTTGAAAAGAATACTCTCGCACTTCCTGTAAACCCTGAACATGAAGATACTTCCCTTGATCAGGAGCCTAAGGAGACCGAAGAGGACCTTGATCGTGTCATTGCAACGCTGGAAGAAGAAAATGGCGGAGACCCAGATGTTGAAGTCCTTGTCACCACTGACGGCACTGGAACTGCCATTCCCGCTGAGCTTCTGAACACAGACCTCATCTCTGGCCTAACGGATGAACAGGTCACTGCTTCACGTCGCAAGCATGGCTCAAATCTGATGAAGGAAGAGAAACGCAACAACTTCTTGAAGTTTATGTTGCTGTTTTGGGGCCCTGTCCAGTGGGTGATGGAAGTAAGTACCCGTCTTTCATGCATTACACCACTATTTGCCCCGCACAAATGCTGACCACATTGCCAAATAGGGCTCTGCACTGCTTGCCTGTGGTTTGAAAGACTGGATTGATTTCGGTGTCATTGCCGGTCTGTTACTGCTCAACGCATGTGTTGGCTTTCTCCAGGAATACCATGCGGGCAACATTGTCGACAGCCTCAAGAAAACTCTGGCCTTAAAGGCCACCGTGACTCGCAATGGTGAGAAGCTTGAGATCGGTGCTGGTGAAGTCGTCGCTGGAGATGTTGTTCACCTTGAAGATGTGAGTTCTACCTAATCTTCTTAGAATTAGACAAGGTGAATCTGACATCAATCTGACTTTAGGGTTCTATTGTTCCAGCTGATGGGGTCCTGGTTGCGGCAGGGGCCCATCTTCAAATAGATCAATCTTCAATCACCGGAGAGTCTCTTGCGGTGGATAAGCACCAGAATGACACTTGCTTTGCATCCTCTGTGGTTAGGCGTGGAACCACCACCATGATCGTGACCGCGACTGGAGACAAAACCTTTGTAGGCAAGGCTGCAGCACTGGTCACCAAGGCGGGAAATGGGCCTGGTCACTTCACAATAGTCCTGAATGCAATTAGCATGATTCTTCTGACTCTCGTTGTACTCACCTTGCTCGTGGTCTGGGTTGCATCATACTACCGATCGGATGATATTCAGTCCATCTTGGAATACACCCTGGCCATCACGATCGTGGGAGTCCCTGTCGGTCTTCCCGCTGTTGTCACCACTACCATGGCGGTCGGGGCATCCTACCTAGCCAAGCGAAATGCCATTGTGCAAAAGCTCTCCGCGATTGAGTCCTTGGCCGGGGCAGAGATCCTCTGTTCTGACAAGACTGGTACCCTGACCCGCAACAAGCTTGCACTCGGGGAGCCTTTCACTTGCCCTGGCATGGATGTGGAAGAACTCATGCTGACAGCTTGCCTGGCATCAACGCGCAAAGTCCGGGGCATGGATGCTATCGACCGAGTCTTCATCAAGGCTCTCAAAGGTTACCCCCTTGTCAAGCAGCAAATCGGACAATTTCGAACTCTCGAATTCCATCCTTTTGATCCCGTCTCTAAGAAAGTCAAAGCACTTGTCGAGACCCCGGAGGGTGAAAAGATGATCTGTGTCAAAGGCGCTCCCCTTGCCATCCTGCGAACTGTGCAAGAAGATCATCCGGTGCTTGACATGATTGAAAGACTGTATCGAGAAAAGATAACTGAGTTCGCTGGTCGTGGCTTTCGTGCTTTGGGTGTTGCTCGCAAGATTGATGATGCTCAATGGCAGATTCTGGGGATCGTGCCCTGCTCTGACCCCCCGCGCCATGACACCGCAAAGACCATTGCTGAAGCCAAGCATCTCGGACTGTCAATAAAAATGCTGACGGGAGATGCTGTGGGCATTGCACGCGAGACTGCACGACAGCTTGGACTGGGTACGAACATCTACAATGCGGAGCGTCTTGGAATTACCGGAGCCGGCACGATGTCTGGATCGGAGGTCAACGATTTCGTCGAGGCGGCTGATGGGTTCGCCGAAGTCTTCCCTCAGCACAAGTACAGCGTGGTAGATATTCTCCAGCAGCGTGGAAATCTGGTTGCCATGACTGGTGATGGTGTCAATGATGCTCCATCCCTGAAGAAAGCTGATACTGGTATCGCGGTTGAGGGAGCTTCCGATGCGGCGCGCTCGGCAGCTGATATTGTTTTCCTTGCACCTGGGCTGTCTGCCATCATTGATGCCATCAAAACTTCTCGCCAGATCTTTCACCGTATGTACTCCTATGTGATCTACCGCATTGCTCTATCTTTGCACCTGGAGATCTTCTTCGGCCTGTGGATTGCCATCATGAACGAGGTGCTTGATCTTCGCCTCGTCGTTCTGCTGGCTATCTTCGCGGACATCGCCACGTTGGCGATTGCCTATGATAACGCACCATACTCTCCAGCGCCGGTCAAGTGGAACCTCCCAAAGCTGTGGGGCATCGCGGTGATCCTGGGACTCGTCCTGGCGGGCGGGTCTTGGATCGCATTCGGCACCATGCTGCTCCGAGGTGAGCACGGCGGCATGGTTCAGAACTTTGGAGCTCGAGACCCCGTCCTCTTCCTGGAGATTGCCCTCACCCAGAACTGGCTGATCTTCATTACTCGACGAATCCCCGGGTCGACCACAAAGAATTGGCCCTCTCGGCAACTCGTCACTGCGGTACTGGCTGTCGATGGGGCGGCCACGGGTATGACCATTGGCGGCGTATTCGTCAACCAGGCGACATCCATCGTTGCGGTTGTCCGCGTCTGGGTCTTCTCGATTGGTGTCTGGGTCGTCTGTGCGGTCGTATACAACGTCCTGCAGAAGTCTCAGGCATTTGACGACATTATGCACGGCAGAAGCCCGCGCGGTAAAGCACGAGAACGCTCCTGGGAGGACTTCGGTAAGTGGATGTTGGAGACGGCGTTTCCAGTGAAGTCATGGCTAGCTAACTGAGTCTAGTGCTCTCGCTGCAGCGAGTATCGTCCCAGCATGAGAAGACGAGTTGAAGTCAAAGAACAATAAAGTTAAAGACTGCCTTTCAAGGATATGATGATATGATGACTGACGAAGTGACGATACGATGAAAACGCGGCCTTTTATTGTTCGATGGAGGCGCGGGATCAGCCAGCGGGTGGGAAGTGACGGGTGTTGATTTCAGTTCTGTTTTCGAAGTTATCGGCCGATGGGTTGTTATCAGCCACCGCATGTTTTCCATAGTGACAAAGAGTCTACTTCTACGGAGTATCTCCGACAATGGAATTCTGGTAATCTCCTTGTTCGTGGTTTTCTATGGCTCCCTTGGCTCTAGTTCCATTGGCATCAAGGCTGGTCCTTACAGCTCCCTCACCATCGCCCGGTACGGGTTTGCCGGGTCCTGCTCTTCCTCTTCTGCGGATTGAATCGTCTTGAGAACTTTGCAGGGAGCCCCCACGGCCACTGAAAAGGCCGGAATATCTTTTGTCACAACCGATCCAGCGCCAATGGTGCATCCCTCGCCGATAGTCACCCCTGGCAGAATTACCACATTGCCCCCAATCCAGCAATCATCCCCAATCTTAATACAATGGCCGAACTCGACAAACTTGCGCCGAGACAAGATACTCGTCTCGTGGCCTGCTGTAAAGATGCCTACATTGGGGCCCATTTGGACTCGGTCCCCGATGATCACCAGCGATGTATCAAGAATGGTTAGGCTGCCAATAGATACGTAGTCAGTGCAAATCAATCACCACAGCGGCAACAGCAACAATCTCAAGAACAGCCCCCTACTCACTTCCAGTTTATAAAGCAGTCCTTCCCGATCACCACATTACACCCATAGTCTGGGCGAAATGGCGGCTCCACAAACGTTCCCTCGCCGACACGGCCCACCAGCTTCTGCAGCAGATCAAAGCGGACATCTCGGATCTGCTCATACGAGACACTCCGTGCGTCTACGTTGTTGTAGTCTGCCGTCAGGATGCGACACTGATGCCGCGCCTCCTCTAAGCGCGGCAATAGCGGGTTGTATCTATGCGGCGCATTAGCTTGGTTTTCTTACCCGCCAGGGGCCATCGCTTATATCTCCCAGCTAAGACCGCTTTCTTCAATTTTGATGTGAAATAAAAACAGACTTAGAACGGAGTGGGGCAGAGTGAAGGGGTAAGGGGAGGGGCTCACAGCATGCCAGATATCATCTTCTCGTAATCGTCACACATCGGCACGCCGGATAGCTCACGCGCCAGCGCGATGAGATCATCCCGTTTTGTGGAAGATGCCATTGTAGCTGAACTGAGAGAGTGAGAGGACTTTCGGGATAATGCTCAGTCTGGAATCTGGGGATGTCGTGCGTGGGTAGAAGCGCGAAGTTGGATTTGGATTAAGCGGGTGGAGGGTTGGTCGGCCGCAGCCGCCGGAGTGGGGGGGGTTTTGCGAGGGGACGATTGTACACTCGGCCGCCGGCAGAACCTTGCAATCCAGCCCGGCTGACTTGTTGGTCTTGGTTCTTCAGACTTGTTTGATTGGCCGTCATTATAATGTGTGTTCTATTGGACTTGGGCCTAAGGCCATGGATATCTACTGTAATTATTGCACGTCGCTGTCCCAAACCCTGTTCAGCTCCCCTCCCCCGGGCCCACCATGCTCTAGTGGTTACTGCAGAGAATAGCTTTCGGAGGAATGCATGGCTGTGGTGAGTCGGCCGAGCGAGGAGGATAAATACCAATGTTCTCCTCCTTCACTTCAAAGGAGACAGACTCTGCCTCCTGTAGGAAGCGCTGCTGTCGCTTGTACATGCGCCAGAACACCAGGCTGCCATGGATCTGAGCAGCCGAAAAAGCACAATGCAACAGTGGCGTGGCAACCTTGAAGGCAATCTCCCAGCGGTTCCATAAACTGCCAAACAGCCACATGGTGACGATCGTCTCACAGGTGGTGCCAATGGCGGTAGTGATGCAGGACAGCAGAAAGAGTCGACTGAGGAAATGGTGGCGCTGCGGGTAGATGCGATAGAGAATGATGGCGATGTGGGGGAAGAATTCGGATACGATGTCAAAAGCACCTATAGTTACCCGTGATTCAGCACCAATTATCTGCAGATTTTGGGAATGGCCTGGGCACAAGAACCTCGGCGACCTTGGGAAGATGGATCACGTACCCCATACGGTGCAGAGAATGAATTCGATATCTGCATCGGGCTCGCGTGCCAGCTTCAAGCTGATGGCGATCGCAGACTGTCCTATGAGGATTGTTCCGATATGATGTAGCACCGCGACGGGCGAGAGTTTGGAGCGGTATATGAGCTCGAAGATGTACATGGCGATCAGCATCTGGGCCACGACGATGAGCATGTCGCCCAGGGTGACGGGGGATCCATGCGCGTAAGGGGTGTGGAAGGTGGAGTTGCAGAACGTAACGGCGACAAATGGATAAGCAGCGACAATCAGGATGAGGATCTTGGTCACGCCGGCAATGTGATGGTTGATGAATCCGCGGCGGTTGAGCTCACTCAGGTTCAAGTAGATTGGGCCATAGAGCCTTTTGATCAAGAAGCCCTCGAGAATATAGAAGCGGATGAGGAAGAAGACGACCAATATGATTGAGATGATGAGCGCTGAAAAGGGAGCTAAGATGGAGATTGGCTCCAGCGGTTTGTTTTGAAGGGTATTGCTGTGCTCATCGCGAGCGAGCAGCGGGGTGACCATACTGGCCGTGGGATCCAACCGGAATTCACAGGAATTGATGTATGCAAGACAACAGATGAAATACTAGAGATCGATATTCAAAGTTTGCACGGGACAGAAATATTTCGAGTCTCAGTCCGGTAGCACGGTGGGAGAAGATACTATGATGGGAAAGAGAAAAAGAGAGAAAGAGAAGGCATACCAATAGAACGGCCTGCTAGAAACGAACGATGTTGGAACGAGAGAAACAAGCGTCCAATGGGTGGAATAAAAACAAAATTATCTGGCCATAGAGACCATGAAAGCAGGTCACTCCTTAAAAGACCGAACAGGGGCGGTCATACTAAGACGTTAACCGGACAAAAATGGGACACGAGTTGGAATACAGCAGGTCGGATCCACATCCTAACTAAGCCTGGCGCGCACCGTCAGCACGAAATGCAAGTAAAAGGATGCATTCTTGGGGTCTGCCGTCTCCCAGAATACCGTCTTGAATTTCTGACATGCCGTTACAAAAAAGGATTCTTGTGTGAGTTCCATCGATTTTCCATACGATCCGAGGTTCAGGGCAACGGAATCAGCCCTATCGAGAAACTAGGGACCTCGACGAAAAAGGATATTCTGGGAGCCTCGAGCCGATCAGCCCTACCCTCTATCAAGTCCCCTAAATTTCCCTAGCTTTTTTCAACATGCTGTATTCGCCTCTGTCTCCGGTCCATCAGGGGGTCAAGCTTTCCCGCGTCGGCAGGTAAACCTTAACGATGGGCATCTTCACCGCTGGTTGGTGTACAGGGGCGCCTTACTCCGCCGGCCCAGGGTTCGAGGGCACTAGCCCCCATTGCGATTGCATTTCACACGCTTTCGGCGGGCTCCATTCGGCTCCATCTGACACGGGCATAGGCAGCAACGTATTCCCATACAATGCTGCCTGCTGGTTCTGGGCCCCATGAAGTAGCCAACAACGATACGAGGTAGTACATCTCGTGAAGCCAGAAGAGATTGTGCGGAAAGCACGATTCGATTTTTCCCTCCGCGGATCACCTCAAGACAGGCAGTTCTGGAAATGACCTGAGATCCACTACGATCGGTGATAACTTTTCTTACTGGGCATTGATCTTATACTGGGATCGTATTGCAGGGTTGCGGACAGAGAATTTTCAGCAACTAGCAATAATGGAGCTGCCTAACCGTCTCGAAGAACAATCCATGGGCCAATCCATAGGCAAACCCAGACCGACTCGAGACACTCGGTTTAGTGAGACCGACGACTCCCATCCATTCAAGGGTATTTTAGATGAAAAAAAATTAAATCTGCATATAGCTATGACAATTTTGAGCCCTGTTGAGAGACAACAAAATGCTATATATTATCCATTAAATCCTTCATGGGAAATGCATCAACGCCCAACATACCCTCGCTCTATAGATCTATATACATATCTATGGTTTGATGCACCCCCGAGCTTCGATCCGTTGAACGCCCTTTCTCGCCTCTTTTTCTTTCTGACAAACTTGAGTTAAACACTGGCTTGAACTCCACAATTCCTACAAGCAAAGTGAGTATCGGCAAAGTTTTCCAATGTGAATTCGCGGAAATCCGCGCGCCCCGAGGTTATCTATCGTCAGACTAGGTCTATATTCTACTAGTTAGTTAGTAGAATCTCATAAATAAGTCCAATTTTAGCTAACTCATATAGTGAAAATACGCGCTATAATAGTCTAATGAGAAAATAGAAAGATAATTTAGTATCAAAAAGACTTTCTTTACATCTACTAAATCTCATTCTAGAAAATTAGGTTTCATGGGGATAGTATCAGTCATATTTTGCCCCGTAGAGTTGCCCTACAGACTTAATTTGGGCCTTGCTATCCCTTCCATCAAGGTCGAAGAATCTGGCTATTTGATATCGAGTCTATATTATTATCTTATTCTCAAACTGAGATTAGCTTTCGTCAAGCAAAATATGATTATCATTTTTGAAGCCTCTGCGATACCTAGACCCATTTCATTGATTTTGAAGTTCTCGTCAAGTGATGTCCAGATGGAGTGGTGCTCCATGGAGTACAACCTTGAAATGCTCTCAAATATCAATTGAAAGATCTTGTGTGTGTTTGAAGTGTCAAAGAGACTTGACGCCTTTTCCTCAAATTCAAAAATTTAATAAAGAATTCATTTGCCATGATATCAGGAATGATATATTGGCGCTCGTGTATCAGCAGTCGCGTTCAAGTTCTCGTATATTCTGTCCACCTGGTTGAATTTGTTTCATACCACACAATCTCATTTGCTTAAGGTTCTCATTTCTATTTTAGTGGGAAAATAACGGTCTGCAGGATGACTCAGGATTGGTGTAAATAACACTACTCCTCTCGCAGAGAGACACCTTCTCTTATTTATACTTTCTATTCTTTTGTCTCCTCCGTATCACTCCTACTATCCCCTAGAGGTCGGACCTGGTTCGCAGTGAGGTGCAACTTTACCCTAGCTCACTATATAGATGATATAGTACGACTGGAAATCTGAGATGAGATGAAAATGCTCATCGCGTAGGTCTTGATTACGCTCTTGTGCCTAACTTCGATGGTCTTTTATACTATTAGTGCCTTACACCGCCCCCACCAACCCTTCCGGGTTGTGGGTGCGCCACACAGTCTTTTCGTTTCACACAGTCTTTTCGGATTCTTCCTATTTCCACTATCTATCGCTGCATCCCACTAGTATCTATAAAGAAATTATTACCGTTCTGACGTGCTTCCTCTGCTCTATCTAACGATGCCTGGCTTTCCTGTGTAGGTTCTGGTGGTGGTGATGTTCCATACGCTTTCTTCCACTGCTTCCTCACCCGCTTCCGCTCTGCCTCTGCTTCCTTCTCGTTTCTTTTAGTAATAGAACGATTTGCATCTCTAATAGAGAGAACCCCTGTTTTGCTAAGCGGTGTTTTAACCTGGCGCTTGGTGATTGGGCGCTGTAGTGGTTGTTGAGCTTCCTTAATCTTGCGAATAGTATCGTTCGCTAGATTTAGGTTCTCTATAGCAATCTTGTTATAATGAAATAGGCGATCAAGATTACGTTGCTGCCGCGGTGTAAGATCTTCTTGTTGATATCTAGCAATCTTTTTCTGATTCTTCTCTAGATCTTGAATAGATCTAGGTAGCGATTAGTCGATACTAGAAGAAGATATAGTTGTTTGTGGTAGTGGCGGTGTTAAACGAAGCGGTAGATCTAGCGCTAGGAGATCTGGGATTTCTTGGATAGGAAGGCTATTAATAACCTTTCTACTATCGACTGGATAGATCCCACGATCTTTAAACGATTCCCGAATGATTCGCTGGCTAAACGCTCTATTCCGAATATCACCGATTATTCGAAGGAACTCCGATCTTCCGATAGGGCTTCCACCCTAAAACGCGTGGTCGTTATTCGCTAAGCGGAAGTGTTGCTTATAGCTTAGAAACGGCTTACCGTCTAGCGGTTGGCAAAGGTGTGTAGTATGTGGTAGGAAGCCTATTAGTAGGATATCGTTCTCTTCGCAAAGATGTAGGAATTCGAATGTAAGATACGAACCGTGACCGTCGAATATTAGGATACGTTTTTCACCTGATTTCGTACGGTCGCGTGTTAATTCTATAAAGAATCGAAGCTACTGAACTACTATATCGTCGGTTATCTAACCGTTTAGTGATGTAGTGATCGTAGTATATAGTGGTAGGTCTTCTGTTTGATTAAACCAAGATTCTATAAAGATCCCGTTGCCTTTGAATATAAACCAAGGTTCTAGCTGCTACCCGTCGGCAGCGATACACTCGATAGTCGTGATATTTTCGCCTTGGTCTAGCTGAGGAAGATCTACTATCTTCCTACTACTACTACTAGTAGTAGTAGTAGTAGATATAACGTTTCTAGATCTTTCTTCGCCTGGTTGAAAGCCGCATTCATCAAAGTTATAGACTAAGCGTGCTAGTGTAGTCTTCTTGATTGTTTAGGCTAATAGATCGTACTAATTCGCTAATGCTGCTAGATCTTCTGCTAGGATTCGCTTTAATTCCTTCGTATACTGCTTAGTAGGCCCTAATTGAAGATGTTTAGGAAGCCTATTAATAAAGCGATACGCCCACATCTTGCTAACCGACGGCTTACCGACGCGTTGGCATGCACGATTCGCCCACGATTCTAGTATCCTAGGGGTGATAGGCATATAGCAATCGTTCATATATTGAATCCAGCAAATCAAGGCTTCTTCCTGATAGGCTTCTAGGGCGTATCCGACACCGCGTTTAGCAGTAATAGGCCGTGTTTTCTTTTTAACACGATTTGAAAGCGTACGCTCAGGTACGCCAAATTCCCGTGCTAAACGCGCTATATTAGGCTTCTTAACACGCGATGCAGCTAGGCAGGCCTCAGCCATACGAGATTCATCAAAATTAGTCATATTTAGAAAGTGATGTTGGGTAGGAAGCAAAAAATAGGATAGTAGGAAGAATCCGAAAAGACTGTGTGAAACGAAAAGACTGTGTGGCGCACCCACAACCCGGAAGGGTTGGTGGGGGCGGTGTAAGGCACTAATAGTATTTAGACGCAATAGTGTAGCTAATATTCTATATTGTTATATAGTAGATTTTTCCAGCAAAAGATATTATGGTACTAGTGAAACAAGACGACCCTCCTCCATTCTTACGCGGTATCCTGGTTCATGCAACCAATTTGGCTCCTGCAAGACAGACTCTTGCCCCCAAAATCACCCCTGCCCCGGCAAGACTGCAAACCCCGGCAAAGATGATCGCTGCATTATAGGATTCATACCGATTGTTCATCGCACCCGTAATCGGCGTTCCCGTGAGTCCGGATATACTCAGCACCCCGAGGGCCATCCCAATGTACGAGCCGATCTCACTCGGCTTGGCGGCAGTCATTGCAATGGTGGCAGGGAAAAGGCCAATCACGGTGCCTGAGAAAAACCCAAACAGGACCGAAAAGGCGATCATTCCACCCAGGGAGTCGATCGACAACCAGCAGAAGATCAGGATGCCACAGACCCCAGATGCACCAGTTAGCGTGTTAAATCGTCCAAGCCGGTTAGCCATGACACCGCCGAGCAGACGACCAGCCAGTGACCCGGCATTGAGTATAGCGATCAGATAGAAGGACATATCGACTTCGATACCGATCGACACCCCGTATGAGGGAATGTAGAACATCGGCACAAACAAACTCCAGAATATTAGGAACAGACCTCCAACTTGAAGTGCGTAGGCCGGATGCTTCCATGCTGTCCAGAGTAGTGGCGCACCAGTTTTACGCTTCGGCGCGTTTGACGACACTGACAGGCAAGCCACAATACTCAGAGCAAGCATCAGGAACCCAAGCACTCGGACAGTCCAGCCGAAGCCCAGATGGCTGTGGTTCAGCATGCGGTTCAAGGCAACCGGGAAAATCACGCCGGCCAGTGACGATCCGCTCGAGGCGATGCCCATGGCTAGCGGCCGTTTCTGGAAAAAGTACTGGTTCACAGCTGTCAGGGCTGGAGTGTATGTTAGACCGTTCATGAGGCCGCCTAGCAGGCCCTGCGCCAGCATGAATTGGTAGTATTCCGTGCACAGGCTGGTCAACATCACGGAGAGCACAAAGAGCATCGAGCAGGGAACTATGATAATCTTTGAGGTGGGAAGAGATCAGTAAATCAGCACTTTGCACAACCTCACTCTTTTTCTTGATGCTCACCTTCGGCCCATAGCGATCCATCATCGGCCCCGACACCAACCCTGCAGAGAACATGAAGAACACCTGCAATGACCCAATCCATGCGATATTCGATTCACTCTCATTCTTCAGGAATGTGCTTCGGTAGTATGATTCGTAAATTCTAGCGCCTGATCAGTCCCTGCTTCGATGCCAGAATCTGAAGTGCTTTTTTATTTTATTTTGGCATACCCAAAGGCATTGATATATCCGAATGTGTTGAACATGACACACCAACAAGCCAGCACAGCGAGCCAGCCTTTGAGGCCGCCCTCCGGAAATGTTGACTTAAGAGCGGGCGTATCTTCACTTGCCGGCGCGGACTTTTCGAGGTCACTCATGGTGTATGTGAGACTGTGCGTCCGACCAAGTTTCGTATGTCGAGGCAAACAGGCCGGAAAGGGAAATCTTGTCTTGTTAACTGGTGACGCTTATTCATTTGAAAAGAGAGGGTTTGTTTTATTTATACTAATACATAGTTCATGAATCTGTTATTCCGTATAGTTCTTACGTCCGGAAGATCGGGGATTTTTCCCTAAGGGGCAATTGACATCGATATAACCAAATCAGGCAACTCCGAAAGCTCGGATTTTACCACAAAACGCTAGAGATCCACAACCCGATAAATGCTAGTTAAGTCTTTTTTTTAAATAAGTGATTTTAAAAGTTGAAGGTGCAGCCATAATACAGAGGCAATGAGTTTAAATTTTGGGAAAAGAAGCAAAGGCAAAACAGCCAGAAGAGCTCGAGGATACATCATCTAAGAAAAGCAAATCAGTGCCCAAGTCATCAGAAAGCACATCTTAAGGAAAATCAAACTCCGGCCGAGAACTCAATGTCAAGACACACTAAGGACCAAGCTAAGCTTATTTTGATGCAGCACCCCTGTCTTCCTGTTCCTCAATCGATTAGAGTAGGCCGGGCGATCGACCGGGCGGCAATTGACTCATTCGACGCATCTTCTGGTTCATGTCCTGAGGAATCCCTCGAGGAAAGCGGTGCATGACATAGTCCCGGAATTCCCCAACGAGCTTGTTCATGGCCTGCGGGTCGTCAATATCCAGACGGCTCTCCCGCACCCATGCCTTCATGTCCGGGTGCTCCCCGACGGCAGCCATGAACTGGCAGAACTGGCATTTCACAGAGGGTGCGTCGTTGCCGAGAAGGTAGATCAACTCATCCAGCGCCTGGTGCCAGCGCCGGATAAAATCCGGGGCCAGAATGCGCGGCGTATAGGTGCAGCTGAGCCAGTGTGACCAGACATGCTGCTTGGCCCGGGTGCTGAACATGATCTCAATGGCTTCAAAGGCCTGTGTGGCGCTTTCCGCCAAGTCAATATGCACTTGAAGCTGAACTTCTTTCCCGAGTGTGGCATGGAGAAGGGGCAGGAGCTCTTTATTGATGGCGCGCCAGGTGCGCAGGGCCTCGTTAGGCTGGAGGATACTCTCGTTGAGGAAGGCATTGATTTGTTCAGGCGTGATCGACACAGCATCGATTTGGTTGTGTGTCGCAATTGTGGTGCGAATAGAGTCATTCGTTGGAATTTGGATTTCATATTCGATCGATGGCCGGTTCTCGCCAGTCAATGTTGGCCAGTATCTATCATCCAGGGCTCTGAGGGTGCGGCGAAGACGACTGTGCCAGCGACCGAAATTGGTGTGATCTCTAAGTCTGCCCACGTCGCTAGCAACCCTCTGGACTCTTTGATCTCGAGAGGAAGCCATATCTGATTCATCTATGGACAGAAGGGGAGTGTTCTTCATTCGAAGGTGTAAGAGAGGAGGAGAGGGGGGAGCCAAGGGAATTAGGCAGAAGGCATAAGTGACGCTGAACAACCAGGATATTCAGCAATAGTCAGTTTAATCAATTTGAAGAGTCATGAGGATGAATGCATGCCAGTATCACCCCTTTGCAACAGAAGGAGCAGGAAACAGTCAAAGTGTGAATGTGTAGTGAGGCTTGTCGAGGAGGACGGCACGAGACATTCACTGCTTCAGGTGACTGCTGACTGGTCCGGTTGTCCTCCTTTTACGAGATCCCACAGTCAGTCCGACTTGTTTGAAATGTCTCCAATGGAGCTCCAAATCCCGGAAATCAGGGCTGAATAATTACGAACAGATGCTGCAGAAGTCATTTGGCATTCAAGGCAAGCACTAGCAATAGATCAGCATTGTCTTTAAGGGAAATTAAGCAACTTCCCTGGTACTGTAGATCCCCGGTACCCACAATGCTTGTTTGGGCTGAAGCCCCACCTAGCAGAACAACCCATGACAAGAACCCCGAATGCCCTTGCTTCATGAACGTACCTGTCATATATGAGATGAACATAGTGAATATTTACAGGTCTTTGATTTTGAAAGAGGGGGTAGGCTAGAAGATCTGGGCATGGCATGAGAAGCATGTCTTTTAACTATCTCCGAAACAGAACAGAAGTACTTCTATCATTTCCGCATGTATCAAAAGGCAGCTAGATCAAGGACAACAAAAAGAAAATGCTTCAAATCATATCATCTATCCATTAGGAGTCGTATTTATTCTATTTCCACAAATCATCTCGCAAACGACTCGCGCTTGCAGCAACCAATCACCTTAAATCCAGATTACTGGGCGATTTCAGGCTGAACTTCCAATAAACTATGTACCGCATCCACTATGCTCTCTTTTAATGGCCGGAACGCCAATCCCAGGATCTCTCGGACTCGCGAGTTATCGAAGCCGTACACACCGTCTACCGGATACTCGCCCGGGACCAGAGCGTCGCCGGTCGGGAGTCGGTCGCAGAACTCGGGGAATTCTTGGCCGATGATTTCGGTGATCTCTTTGTTGGAGAAATGGCTGGCGACGGTGAAAAAGCGTTTGCCGCCGGCGTCGGGCTTCTCAATGGCGAGGATGTGGGCCAGGGCTAGATCCCGCACATCCACGTACAGATAGTTACCGGTTGGGGGGCACTTTTGCTTCGCGGCACCGGTGACCAGGTCGCGGATCCGCTCGTTGGAGGTATTGACCGCGCTGAGAGAGGCAAGGTTATGAGCGATCGGCCCCAGGACGAGTGGGGGGTTGATCACGGCAAGGTCGAAGGAGGGTTTCTCCCTCGCGATGAAATTCCACGCGGCACGCTCCTAGAGTAAGTTTTCAGCCTTGAGGCTTGTCTATTTTGCAATGCAGAATCGCGGATGGACTCACGGCAAAGGTCTTGCTGGCACGATATGCATTGGCGGGACTCTCGTTGGCTTGTGCTTCAGTGATTGGGCACCAGTCGGCCTATACTCCATACTTCGTGAGCAACCTGGCCAGTCTAAAAACGATGGCTAGTGACACAGCTTCCATCTTACCTCTGAATATACTTTTCCTTGGGCCTTCGCATAGACGTTATTGATCGCGGCGAAAGACGAAGTCAAGACGACTCGCTTTACGGATGGGGCATGTTTCTGTATCGATTGGAGGATGCCCGTGGTGCCATTGATAGCTGCGAGATCAGAAAAGGTTAGCCCAATGCGCAGTAACTCAGCATGTTGGATATCCTTGCTAACCAGGTGTTAACAATTCCTGCGCATCCTTCGCGTGGAAATGATACGGGCTGGCGGTGTGGATAACAGCTTCGAATGGCGGCTCCGAGATGACGGCTTGATCGAACGCTGGCCCATCTAATTAGTTCAACCGGGCCTGCTTCTGCTACTGGGGGCAAGAACAATCTCACCGCCGGGCTGGGCAATATCCTCTACAATCGCACAGTCCAGTCGGCCTTTCGATAGCTCTGGATGGGCGCTCAAGATGGCCTGGGCCTTTTGCGGGGAGCGCACCGTAGTGACGACCGAGTAGCCGCGAGCCAATAACGTCTCCAAAACATGCGTGGCGATAAAGCCGCTGCCACCTACTGCGTGTGAGCGAGTAAGTTCCGACTGAAGGGGCATTTACTTACCAGTGAGAAGAACGCGAGTCATTGCGGTGTTCTATGAGTCTATAATCTAGAATCTGAATCTGAGAGGATTCGGTAATTAAATTCCGTCCCAAGAACGGAGATACGGTGTCCACGATCCATTTAAATAGAAATCCCGCGAGGCTGTCGAATCAAGCCTCGATCGGTGATATCCTAAGTCCGCCGCGACCGGCCTCTTCGGTGGACGCATCAGCCCGCAATCCCCGGAGATAGACGCGGAAGAGCAGGAGCTCGACTACGTGATTGGCAGACAGACATCCGGAATGGAAGTGACGTGCGAGCAAAGGCCCCAAAATACTATGTACAGCTTCGGCTCTCCTCTAGTAGTGAAGTGGACCGAGACCGTGAGGCCTCCGAATGGGGCTAGTGCATGTCGATAAAGCTTGTCGAACTTGGCGTCAGAAGCTGATCAATCGCGTCCAAGATTTTTATACTTGGGAACCCTGGCCTGTCACCATCTCTCAACTTGTTCATTCTCTCTATACAGACGGGCCCTCTGTGGCATCAGATTCTACTCTCCTACTGTATTCTAGCAAGAGAAGCCACCAGATATTAGTATATCCTCCCAGCATCGAGGACTATAGGCACCCCCTCAGTATTTGAGATGGTGGAAGCAGTCTGTAAGCCATTGCCATCTGTCCCACCTCAAGCATTCACCTCAGCTCCAGAGAACAAAGGCCAATTTAATGAAAAGGTTAGGGCACAATGATCGCAGGACCTAGAGTCACAGACGTCTGGCGAACACGAGACGCCCTGCAAACTTATATTGGCGAATGGGTAAGTACGGTCGATGCTAACATCGGCAAAATAAAATAACTCGGTATGTTTATAGTACGGGGCTTAGACAGGTGATGTTATTAGATTATTGCTAAAAATGGTTTAGCATGGCTTTGCACAGGGAAGCAAGTGTGTGCAGGTGGTGACACCGATTTTCCGGAAGTACTGTATCCGTAAACTACACTACACCGCAACGACAGGAAGGAAAAGAAACAAAGAGAAATGGAGACAGATGTACAAGGCGCTGAATAGGACGGAGATGACAATGCGGCAGATGAGGGTACAGGAACAGCTTTCCCTTCCAGTCAACCACAACGCACAGTTAAAGGATGGGGAAGGCAAAGTCATAAGGAAAGACATCATGGGCAAAGAGGGATATGTGGGAATGATATGTGCAAAGGAGGGAAGAGGGAGCTGGGTCATGCGAGTTGGTTAGGGCTTGGACGTCAGGTAGTCCGCAGCCTAAGACCGAGTTAGTATACCCCTTGGGGCGCAAATGGGAAACGGGGCGGAGCGGTTAGCTGACCTTGTCAAGATTGTAGTCGAACTTTTCCAAAGCAGCAAGAGATTCATCCCGGGGGAAGCCCATGCCAGTCAATCGCTGTAAAATCAGGTCATCTTCGCCCGAGTCGGTGTTGAGGGCCCAGCCAGGAGACTTGGAACTGGCTCCATTGACATCCTCGCCAGTGGCAGGCTTGGCATTGTCCAGAGGGGCAAAGAGAGTGTCCCAGTCATGGCCAGCAGCATTGGACTCGCCTCCATTGGGAGAGGCGACAGGCTGGGCAGTTGCAGCTTGGACATTGTTGTCGAAGGAAAAGAAGTCAGAAGAACCAGCGTGGCCAGCGTCGGTGCTGGAAGAAGCACCGTGGGTCTGCTGGGCCGGAGAATCAAACGAGAAGTCGAAGTCCGAAGTATGCTTCTTGTCATGATCCTCGGGCTCATCGTCATCATCGTCGGCTTCCTGGGCAGGCGCGAGGTTGAGTCCAGCAAAGGCCGCCTCGAAGTCAGGTCCGCCTGTCTTTGCTCCGCCGATGGGGGCCGGAGCCTCCTGAGGGCCCAGATCATGTTGAGGCTCGTTTCCAATCACCGGTGCGCCCGTGCTGTGTTCCACGGAATGGGGAGCATCTGGAGCGACAGTGGGGTCGGTGCGCTCCGGCAAAAGACCGGAAAACTGCGGCGGCATCTGGCTACCATCTTCATTGCCAGGTTCATATTTAGGAGGGCTGAGTTGCTCATCTGGGCCGGGGGGCTGAGTCGACGGCTGAGATGTCCCAGGGGCTGGGAAAGCAGCGAGCTGAGAAGCATCGATCGAGTCACTCGGCATTCCCTTCTTCGTAGCGGTTGGCGAAACCGGAGCGAAGTCATCATCGAACCCCATGGCACCCTCATCATCGGAGCTATCATCCTCATCCTCGTCATGGTGAAGCTCCTGGATGGGAGGGAATTCTGACTGTGGAGCGGCTGCACCGTTCGCATTCTGCGACCCGGAGGGCTGCCTCATAGACGCGAACGCTTCCTCGAAATCGTTCGCATTCTCTGACTCGGATCGCTTGTGGGCTTTGCTTCCAAAAAGTTCGTCAAAAGACAGGTCCTTTGCGGGCTCTTGATTGCCGGTAGAGACTGGAGAAAGAGCTGCTGCCGCTGGTTGCTGAACAGCAGCAAGTGATTCAACAGGAGGAGGAATCTCATCAAACGGAGAACGCGCTGGTGTGCCCTCAACTGTTGACGGCGGAGCACGGCTGTAGTCGCTAGACTCGGCCGCAGAAGGCGGGCCCTGGTCGCTTGTAGCTTGTGAAGGAGTTGCAATACCCGAGGTTTCAGGGCCACCAAATCGGCTAGCAGGGGGCGATACCATAGTAGACGAGGTCACAGAATGAGTCTCGTTGAACGGCAGGAAGTTCGGAGTAAGCTGGCGAGACTCGCTAGGGGGCGGGGGCTCAAGGGCGCCAGAAGGGAAGGCACCAGGCAGTGCTCCAGGGGGCGGAGACACTGACGGGGTAGGGACATGAGAAGTAGCGGGTGACTTGGTAGTAGACAGCGGCGACTCAGCACGGAACGAGGTGGGAGGCGGGCCAGCGGCTACAGGAGCTGCAAAGGACTGGCCGAAGAGGCTATCGAAAGCCTTCTGCTGGTCACTAGAGGAATCAGGTGAGAGGGCACGATCGCTAGAGTTGCCTGTTGCAGTCCGTCGGAAGAATGGGTTGGTATTCTGGCTTGCAGTAGAAACAGAGGGGCTGACAACCTCGGCGGCGGTGCTAACTGGAGTGGCGGATTCCTCAGTATACTGAGGAGTATCCCTGGCGATAGAGTCGATTTCGCCCTCGATCTTATCGCGCTCGCCTTCCACAGTAGCCAGCTGCTTCTTGTTAATTGCAACAAGACCCTTCTGCTGACGAGCTTCAGAGCGAGCCTTCTCCAGCGCTGGCTTGAGCTGGGCCACTTCTGCGTTCGCAAGACGGATCTTCTCCTTCAGGCTGGCATTCTCCTGCTGATCAGCAGCTAGTGCAGTCGCAACCTGGCTATATTGGCCCTGCAGGTCCTGTCGGCTACCCTCAATCAAAGCATATTCTTGCTGCAACTTGGTCGTTTCAGCCTTGGATGTCTTGAGGCGTTCCTCGAGAGCTTTGAAGTTGGCAACCTCCTGCTCATACATAGCACGGGCCTGGGCGAGACGAGCTTCGAAATCACGTTTCTGCTGAGAGGTCTGCGTGATATTTTGTTCAGCAGAAGTGCGCTTTTCTTGGACAGTGTGCATCTCCTTAGCCAAAGAGCCAATCTGATTGGAGAGATTTGCGAGATCACTTGTCTCCTGAGTTAGCTTCTTCGACTCTTCGGGATCATTGTCGCCCAGTAAGTCATCAGCAGGAGGCGGGGGCGAGCGAGCTGTAGCAGGGATACCACCCGATGCACCAGTCATTTGGGGCTGCAGGCTCTGGCCGAAAGTAGACGTGGGGATGAACGGCTTGAAAGTTGTAGAGGCGGTTTGTGGAGAAGCTCTGGACGATGGGGAACCGGGTGTGTGGAATGCAGCGTTGGAGCCACCAGTAGATTGAGGCATTTGAGTTTGTGGCACAGGCGGCGGCGGAGAATCGAGACCGAATAAGTCATCCGCAGCAGATCGTGGAACGGGTGCGGGTGCTGGAGCAGGGGCTGGTACGGCAGCAGATTGGGGTGTAGGAGCCTGTCGGCGCATGTTGGGTGGAATCAATGCAGGCGGTAGGACTTGGGGAAGAGGCTCCTTGCCAGATCGTTGAAGTCTGACAAGATACATGGCCACCGCAAATTCCTCGCGGGTCAGCTGGCCATCAGCATCAATATCAGCCAGGTCCCAAATTTGAGCGAGAACTTCTTCAGATAGCTGCGCTTTCATGAAGAACGAAACAGCCTGGTCACCGGTGATGATGCCAACCTTGGCAGTATCAACTGTCTCGAAGATACTATCAAAGTGCGCTTTCTCCTGCGGATTAACAAGCCAGTCGCCGGTCGACTGAGCTGAAAGAGGGTTGCCGAATGGTGAGCGACCAACACCAATCGGGCTCATCGGGCTACCAGTTCGCTGAGGACCGGTAAATTGTTTAGGAATCGCAGGTACAGGAGGCACCTCGGCGCGGGATCCAAAAGAACCCCGGCCGGATCCGCGGCGGGCCGCAGCTTCGTATAGACCAGGCGGAAGAGTCTGGGGAATGCCACGAAGCGCACCTGACTTGAATGACGTCAAAAGGTGCATAGCAATGACAAACTCAGTTGCATCAAGCGCTCCGCGCTGCTTGGTGTCTGAAAGGTTCCATATCCGACCCAGAACTTCATTTGGCAGCCTGGCACGTTCGAAGATCTGCTTGGCGATTTCTCCTGAGATCATTCCATTATGAACATCGGATTTATCAAAAAGGGAAACAAACTTGTGGGCGTCATCGGGTTGCAAGGGCGGCACTCGAATGGGGGCGCCCGCAGCAGGTGGAGGGCTAGCAGTGCCAGACTCCGGGGGGCGGGCGTTGTATCTACTGAGATGCCATCGAAACGGGGCAAGGGACCAGCTGTAATCAAGAAGATATGTGGTTAGTGTTACGTCCATTCCATCCTTCCGTGGAAGGAAGATGACAGGGAGCACATATCGCGCTCCGTTGAGAAACACTCACGCTGCAATGCCAGTTCATCAGAAGGCGTACGACCAGCCTGTGCATGCCCAATCAATCGTAAAACGATCCCAAATCCGGAGGGGGTCAAAAGACCCCTGTTCTCCTTGTCTGCAAGCTGCCAGATCTAAATTCAACCACAACCCTCGTCAGTAGCTGTTCAGATCTCGACAACACATTATAGCATCCTCTCTCCTGACATACCTCTCCAAGAGTGGCGGACGGAAGATGTGTCTTCTCAAAGAAAGGGACTGCAATCTCGCCAGTGATGACGCCAAGGTTGGTGGTATCTGCCGCCTGGAAGAGCTGGTAGAAAACGCGCTTCTCCTCGGGAGTGAGGTTCAGGTTCGGATGCCGTTGTGCTAAAATGATTGCATCCGTCAGCTCCGCGAGTCTGGATATTGCAGGTAGAGGCTAAAAGAAGAAAGGGTGCAAGAGAGGGGGTGGGAAGCGGAGCTTCCGGCGGGCCTCCTGAATTGCGCCAAAGACATGACTATGCGATTGCTCGCACTGGAAGACAATGAGGTATCTGAAATGAACTCACGGTTATCAGCCATAGCTGCGGGTTGAGAGGAGTGGGCTCCCTCTCCTGGCAGATGGGGACCGAATAGTTGGGGGCCTGGAGGACAAGTTGGAGAAACGGGGGGCCGTCAGCTTAGCCGAAAGAGGCCACGAGCATGGATTGGTCCAGGCGCAGCTTCCGAGAGAGGGTGGATAGACGGCGCTGATGCAGAACAAATGATTCTCGGGCTCCAAATCAGAGGGCCGGCGTCAAACGGGGGTTTGGGGGTGGGATAAAGAGAGGCTGGAGTCGATGTCGTAAGGATGGTCCCCAAAGGCGGTCAGTCGGTTTAGCGCCCATTCCACCCCCCAATTCAGGGTCTCGGATCCAAGGATTGTTGTTGCTATATAGAGTCGCCAGCATGGGATGGTTCGGACTCAACGCGATTTTAGTCTATTCACTGGGGCTTCCCTTGCTCACTAGTGGCAATTGACTCACAAACAGTCTGACATCCTCCTGAGGCCAGGTACCTGACCTCCTGGCCTGAGCATAGTTTACGGAGTAGCCCTGATGTCAACACGACCGGGCCAGCAGAGAACATCGGGCAGGGGAAATTATGATCAAAAGGATTGGTGGTTTTGGTGCTTGTTTTTTTTCTTCGGTAATTACAAGTCTCAATAGGAAAACGAAAAAAGAAATCCCCAAAATAGGGATGGAACGAGTGGAAAACTCATCGCTGCTTCGGGGATATTAAAGATATATCGAACAACAAAGCCAGAAAACATCGTCGGACTGAAACCTATGTTCCCTTCTATTTGCAAGAACCTCACTAGACGCAGGAAAGCCAGGATAACCGAGCCCCAAAGATCGGAGTCTGTGACTGCAACACACGGAAGCTCAACCCGACGCCCCGGACACGGTCACATAGCAAGCCTAATCTAGTACTCGGGCTCAAGCTCCTCCTCCTCAAGGGAGTCGCTGGCAACCTCCTCGTAGTCGCGCTCCAGAGCAGCGAGATCCTCACGAGCCTCAGAGAATTCACCCTCCTCCATACCCTCACCAACGTACCAGTGGACGAAGGCACGCTTGGAGTACATGAGATCGAACTTGTGGTCGAGGGCGGACCAGGCCTCGGCGATGGCGGTGGTGTTGGACAGCATGCAGCTATATAATCATTAGCAATTGAACAATGAGAAGAGGAAAATCGATCTCTCGATACGGAAAGGGGGAATGTGAGAGGAACATACACAGCGCGGCTGAGGTTGGCGAGATCGCCGTTGGGGACCTGCTGGGGAGGCTGGTAGCAGATACCGAGCTTGAAGCCAGTAGGGCACCAGTCGACGAACTGGATAGTACGCTTGGTCTTGAGGGTGGCAACAGCACCGTGAGCATCCTTGGGGACGACATCACCACGGTAGAGCAGGCAGGTGGCCATGTACTTGCCGTTACGGGGGTCACACTTGACCATCTGGTTGTTGGGCTCGAAGCAGTTGGAGGTGATCTCAGTGACCGAGTGGGCCTCGTGGGCAGCCTTGTCGGCAGAGATGACGGGCGAGTAAGCGACCAGAGGGAAGTGAATACGGGGGTAGGGGACCAGGTTGGTCTGGAACTCGTTGAGGTCGACGTTCAGGGAACCGTCGAAACGCAGCGAGGCGGTGATGGAGGAGACAACCTGGGCGATCAGACGGTTCAGGTTCTCATAGCTGGGGCGCTCAATGCCGAGGTTGCGGCGGCAGATATCGTAGATGGCCTCGTTGTCGACCATGAAGGAGCAGTCGGAGTGCTCCAGGGTGGTGTGGGTGGTCAGGATGGAGTTGTAGGGCTCAACAACGGAGGTGGCATTCTGGGGGCAGGGTAGACGCAGAACTCCAGCTTGGACTTCTTGCCGTAGTCGACGGACAGACGCTCCATCAGGAGGGCACCGAAACCAGAGCCGGTACCACCACCGAAGGAGTGGAAGACGAGGAAGCCCTGAAGACCAGCGCAAGAGTCGGCCACACGGCGAACCTTGTCGAGGACCTGGTCAATCATCTCCTTGCCAACGGTGTAGTGGCCACGGGCGTAGTTGTTCGAAGCATCCTCCTTGCCGGTGATCATCTGCTCGGGGTGGAAGAGCGAGCGGTAGGTACCAGTGCGGACCTCATCGACGACATTGGGCTCGAGATCGCAGTAGATGGTACGGGGAACGTAGCGGCCCTGGCCTGTGGGGGAACAAGGGGAAAGAATGTTAGAAGAACCATGCCAGAAGCTTTTGAGAGGCTTCCAAGGTGGGGGTGGACGGTGGAAGGGTGCCACCACGAGTTTCCCCTCAACCAGCCGAACCAGGAAGGGTGAAAAAAAATTAATTCGACATACCAGTCTCGGAGAAGAAAGTGCTGAAGCCGTGGTCGGGATCGGCCTTCTTGCGCTCATCGGTGAGGTAACCATCGGGCTATCAAGCATGTTAGTTGCGGGTACTCGCTTCCCGGCAAAAGAAAAAGGGGGGAAGACGGCTGCCCGATGTCAAAGGACGGGCGCCACGACGAGATTGGAATTCCCACATACCTGAATACCGTGCTCCAGACAGTACAGCTAGATGATTTCTAAGTCAGTTCCCAATCCATTGCACCGATAATGGCGAGAAGGGGACGGTGAGAATTTACCTCCCAGCAGGAGTTGGCGATCTGGCAACCGGCCTGGCCGACTGTTGTGATCAAACCCGGTCAGCGCGTCATTCTTTCCATCACGAGGCCCAAATCGACGATTTCCCGTCCTGGCAATCCCTCACGTACCGTTCAAACTGATAATCTCTCTCATTGTGTTTGGGGGGATGTGGTGGTTTCGAGTGTCAAAAAATTAAGGAGGGGGAGAAAGGACCCAACAACAAACACGGGGTCTGAGAAGATTCAGGGGTTAGTGTTAAATTTCAAAGATTCGGCCACCAACGCAGGGGGAGGGGTAGTTGGGGGGAGGAGATAGAAAGGAGAACGAGAACACACCAAGAATGGGAGGAATGGAATCTCGAGCGAGAAGGAGGAAATGTTGTGGAGAGAAGGTGAGTCTGTGCTGCGCAGGGGGGGAGTTCGTTGTTGATCCGTTCGTTGGGTCGCGTCGGCGGTGTTGATTGGCTGCCCGAGGCACCACTTGGCCGGGGTTCACCGCCTTTTTGGCCGGTCAGGTGATCTTGGGTCTCGAGTCTGTTTACGGTATTTCGTTTCAAGTATACATGGATGTGGTGGGACATTTCTGGGTGGAATCTGTGTTGCAAAGTAGGCTGAAGGGGTGCAATTAACTCAATTGACCGGAACTCGTGCATTTTCGAAGGGAATTGGTCATTTTACGGTCATGGCCACTAGGTAGTTACTAAACCCTCTGGTCCACACCCACCCGGGGCCCTCACCGCCAAGTCATCCACTCATCGAGGGATTCGAACTACATCGCAGCCAAAATATATATCTCCATCACCATCAACATCCACGCATATGCCAACGCCCAATGCATCAACTGTCCAGAATGCACATAAGATAACATCAATGCACCGACCCCAACCATTTCAATTGATTTCCTAGAATTTTCAAAAACCCCTAAGGGAAAAAAAATCCAACATGGGCCGTCCCTATCTCCAACTCCGTCTCATCGCCCTCGTGGCCCTCATCATCTCTCTATTCGCCGCAATCGCACAGGCTAACGTGGAGAAAACCATCTTCCTCGCACCCCCAGCCACTACCGTACCCTCCGAGGAGCCCGACCTCGATGACCTCGGTCTGGAACGGCTCTCACCGCAGAGCCCCATCCTGCGCGCGCATCTAAATGCCTCCTTCCCAACGGCCTCTGCGCCCGACGGCACCGACTCCTGGTTCTTCCTGGAGAATCTGACCCCCGGGCAACGCTACGAGGTGCGCGTCTGCTGGCTGGCCACGGTACGAATCATCCGGCTCCGTTTCATTCCAAACAGGGCAAGAAGAAAGAAAATGATATAGAATTTCGTGCTAACATTCTCCCACCCAGCAACCAACCGCTTTCTCGCTGCAAACGTACTCGCTCACCGCAGCCATTGCAAACGAGGCCCTCCTCGCCTCGCTCAGTGCGTACTCCGGCAGCCGCCTGGCCGCGCTAGACGCTGCTCTGCAGGCGAACGCCATGCCGCGGCGCGCGAGCGCCGGCTCGCGGGACCCTGGGCCGGTGTCGGACTCGGTACTGTTCCTACGGGTGCGGGCCGCGGCCGACTACTTCAGTCTGGACGAGGCGCTGATGCGAGCCGTGCCCCCAGTGGCAGTGGATCTTGTCTTGGATCCGTTTTTGTGGAATGTATTCCCGCGGTCGTTGGTGCCGACCGCGGGGTGGATTGTCATTGTGGGCGCGGTGGCGGTGGTTGTGGCGCGCTGGGTTGCGGGGGAGATTGGGAGGGTGATTGAGGATGGGAGGAATGAGCGGGAAGTGGAGGAGAAGGAAAGTAAAAAGGTAAGGTGAGCTGAGATGCTGGGATACGGGGAGTGTGTTTGTGTATTTTTTACCGTGTGATTGTTTTACTGAGGGAGGAGTTCGGGGTTATTTCTGGGTTTGGCGTTGGTGGTCTCCATGGATAGGCATCAAATATTGATAGCAACATGAGATTTTATGGAAATAGAATTAACCTCGCCACAAAGCTATGTAGCAAGAAGATTAACGCGACATCACAAAACTTCTCCAGGCATATTATACCTGGATACATAGAACCTTTAGGGACTACGCAGGAACAGGAGATCAATACCTTTTATCTAGGTGGCAAACAACAACTATGTCATAATAAGGATATGAGATTGGCCGTTGTGAACGTCTAGGACGGCATGTAGAAACTCCAAACTCATCAACAGCAACACATACACTCATTCAATAACACGGAATAAACAGTCAAGGGAGGCGTACATGAGTTGGGAAGGTATAACAAGGGGGAATACGTGCAGGAGGGGGCAATGCGCAAAAAGACAGGAAATTTAGGAAAAACAAAGCAAAGAAACGCATCAGTAAGAAGCAAGCTAACTAAGTAGACATAGGTAAACGTGTAAGAAACTCCTATCTGTCTCTTTCCCTTCCAAGGACAGTTCCCCAACTCACGCTCTACTTCTATGCGTCTTTCATGATGGAAGGAAACTCATGCCTCGAGGACTCAAGAAAGGCAAATATCAATATTCAACAATCGCCATAGATCCAACTAAATAAGTCCCGTCCGTAAGATATTAAAAAGAAAGCGTGAGATTCGTAACCGCCTGCAATAGCGTTGACCAAAAAAGTGCCAAGAGATTGCAATTAGATTCCAGAGTCGGCAGATTGCATGGCTTAGTCTTCGAAGAAGTTGAGCACAGCTCGGATGCCCTTCGATCCTAGACCATGGGCCGGGTAGGAGATGTACAACGGCTCCTCGGTAGCACCGAGCTTGGCACGGAACTCACTCTTCCGCACGAGGTGGAATTGTTTAGCAAGTGCCTCGTAAGTGTGTTCCAACATTTTAATCTTGGCGCCGTGCAAGTTGTGGCCGGGAGTGAGCTGGCTGGTGGCGCCGGCGCCGAAGGTCAGGCCCTTGATGCCACTCTTCCCGGCGGTCTGGATGGCCTGCGAGACAATGTACTCGATGACACCGCTGGGCGAATTCGGGAAGTCGAGACTGTACTTGACCTGCATACCGTGGGTTGGAGAGAGCATAGCCAGGGCGACAAAGGCGCAGATGGTACCGCTCTTGTCTAGGGCGTAAAAATACCATTTGTGTTCGGAGTCAACCCAAGGTCGAATCTCAGATAGGTGCACTTGAGTGCCCTTGCGGTTAGAGAGCCATTCATGGATACGCTCGTCGATCTTCTTTCGGATATCCTCAGATGGGAGTTCGCCCATGTTCAAAGAAACGACTTTGATGCCCTCAGACTCTGCACGGCGCAGTTTGCGAGCAAGCTCGCCATCCGATGCAGCTTGGTTACGGGATGGATCAACGCGTTCCTCAGCAATGCAGGACAGGCTGCGCCATCCCAATCGCTCGCCAAGAATGGTCTCAACTTCTGGAGAGCAGAGCAGCCAGACTGGCTTGTACTTGGTATCCCGACGTAGCCACTGCAGGAACTGAGTGATGGTACGAGTGTACTGGGCTGGGTCACAAAGCGGATTGCCCGGGATGATGGCGTAGTTGCTGCTGCTGGGCACATAGGCGACGGCGGCGCCGGTGCTCATATCACGCCAGATCTTAAACCGCTCATCGAACCAGGACGTGGAGGTGGCATCACCGTAATTGGCAACTAACTTTTCGAGTGGCTGTAGCTCGCTAGTATCGGTGGCCACCCGTGAGGTCTTCTCACGCACCCAAGGCGGTTCAAGGGTTGATGCCTCGGGGTGACGCAGTTGCTGAACGGCAGGCTTGGCAGGGAAGCTCTTGGGATCACGGTAGAACATGGAGGTGAGACGGATGTTTCCGACTTGGAGCAGGAGCATCAGCAAACGCTCCAGACCAACACCGGCACCAGCGTGAGGTGGAGCACCCCAACGGAAAGCTTCCAGATACTCTTCCATGTCGTCAGGATTAATGCCAAACTTGCGCATATTGTCCTCGAGCATATGAGGGTCATGGATACGCTGGCCGCCGGACACGATCTCCTGACCGCGAATGAACATATCAAATGAGTTGGTGTACTTGTCATCCTCGGCATCGGGCATGGTGTAGAAAGGACGGGCACCCCGGGGGAACTTGTCAAGAACGTAATAGTCCGTGCCGTATTTCTCTTTGACAAGTTCTCCCAGACGCACCTCATCCCGGGTTGCCAAGTCTTCGTCAAGAGGCAAGGGCTTACCATCCTCGTTGCGCCAGCCCGAGTCATTGAGCATTTGGATACCATCACTGAAGCGGATGATGGGCGTCTTTTCCAACCATACCACATCCTCCGAGGGGAATTGGTGCTTGACAAGATCAATCTCTCGGCGATACTTCGTGTAGACGCCACTCAGAATGTTCTTGATTGTAGCATCAAGGGTCTCGAGCATCTCATGGTAGTGTTCCTCAATCGCCATTTCAATATCCAAACCAGTGTACTCGGTCAAGTGACGATGGGTGTTGGAGTTCTCCGCACGGAAGACAGCACCGATTTCATATACGCGACCAAAGTCGGCTGCGATGGCCATCTGCTTCGCCAACTGAGGGGACTGAGCCAGGAACGCAGATCGACCGAAGTAATTGACCTGGAAAACACTCGCCCCCGACTCAGTCGCGGCTCCCTGTAGCTTCGGGGTATGGATCTCGATGAAGCCGTGCTCGTCCAGAGCACCTCGGAAGAGGTTGCAAGTGGCCGACTGGAGCCGGAAGATGGACTGTGAAGTTGCTGTGCGCAGGTCGAGCAGACGATTGCTCAGTCGGGTCCGGTCGGGAATATGGCTGCGTCGGCCTTCGGCTTTGTCCTCCTCGGTGGTGCGGATCTCCGCTTCGTAGACACTGAAAGGTACCGGCTCCTCGCGTTTGACGAGTAGATGCACTGAGTCGATCGCCAACTCGACATTATGGATACTGCAACCCAAGACCGGGACTTCGGGCTTCTGGATGGTACCGCGAACGCGGAGGAATGACCCCACGCGCAGATGTTCGGCCCATTGGATCATCGCAATAGAGGAGATCCCCGCCCGCTCATGCAGGACACCCTGGAAAGTCGCCAGTTGTTGGCGGAAAACCAGGAAGACCAGCTTGGCACTCATGCGGCGCACGACGTGCAGCCGGGCCGTGAAGTAGATCTCTTGACCCTCCATGGAGGCAGTGATGTCCTCCAGTGCGACACGCTCCTCCCGCGGTCGATCCTGTGACTGCATCAGCGGCAGATCGCCATAGCGGGCCTTCATGTCTGCCGTTTCTTCCGCAACGGCCTTTGTGAGCTCTTCCTCTTTTCGCCGGTGATCCGACTCGGAGAACTGCTCTTCACTAAGACGGGAGCGCTCATTACGACGCTGCTGGCGCACCAATCGTTTCTGCTGATTCTTACTGAGGGCACCCGTGGCCGAGGAATCATCGGAGAAGTCGTCGGAGGACGAAATGTAGTCCTTTTCGCGGAAGAAGTTGCCCAAGATACTGCGACGCGGGGATGCGGTGGGGGAATGGGACTCGCGCGAGGTCGAGGTGCGTGGCTTGGATGACAGCGGGGACCGAATAAATGAGCCGGACGAGTCATCCTCGGGGACATGCCCACGGATGGCCTTGGACAAGGCCCGTTTGATGGACATTGGGAGGGGCGATTGCCTTTTCCCGTTGAAAGGAGTTGAAGCCTGAACGGCACCGTCTCAAACGGTCAGAGAGAGATGGAAGGGATGAAGAGGCGGGTCGGAGGCTGGGAAAGGAAGCAAAAAAAAGGATTGCCAATCTCACCCTGGTAGTTGTGTTATGTATGTAGAGGGGGAGAATGGAGCTAGACCGCGCGAAGTGGGGGACGGAACACGGAGGGACTGCAAGCGGCGATCCCTTTCGCGAATTGCCGCCTTACGAAGCCACCGGGCACGGATAGGAGCAAGGGTAAGATGAGGGCCGCGAGGCCGAGGAGCCGACGCTACTGCACAGGGAATTGGGATTGGAAGGAAGAGGGAGATTAGGGAGAGAAGGAAGAACGAGTCGGACGTGATCGGAGAAGGCGTTTTATTGGATTATGTACTCCGCCGTGTTTGAGGTGGTTCGCAACGACGAGGTATAAGCAGGTCACGGGTTCTCTTGGTTCTCTTGGTTCACTAGGTTCACTAGGTCACTTCGCGCTGGGCGAGACCTGCCTTGGTCCCGTTTTGTTCCCGTCCCAGCGACCTTTCGGGTTCCCAATCGAAATCGCCTGGGCTTCCCAGCCGGATTATGACATCATGGACTGCGCGCGCGAGGGGTTCCCGGATTGCGTGGGTCTCATCGGGCCCCTGGATTTCTTGATTGGGGTCTAACTACTGTGCGCCGTTATATCATATCGCAATCATCGCCTCTGACTGTAGCACACCGGTCATAGCGGGGTTTCCCGGTTTATGTCCTGTGCACTTCGGACAGCTGCAATCAAGCCTTCGAATCCAAGTCATCGGCCTTTTTTTAGTGTCTGTTGCTTGGCTTTCTGCCCCGGGCTTGGCGGCGCCTAAATCCTCAGGTGTCGACCACTGACGACGCTCCTCCACTTCCAAGACCCCAAGACTTCTCCAGATTGCCTGATTGCATGATTGCATTGTCCCTCTTCTCCTCTCCGATGCCTCTTTGAACTCGAGTATCTGGCTCTATCCGCGCGGCAAAAAGCAATTTGTCTTCTTCCAACTCCGGCATCGCTGGATGCGCCAGTGTCTGCGTTCATTTGCCACGTTTCTCCAGCTTATCGCCTCGGAGCCATTCGGAGGGCCGAGCATCCAGCCCGACCGCTGACCACATCTTGCCTGAAATAGAGAAATCATCCGCCGGGCAAGTGATCTGAAACCCCTCCAGGACTCCAGGAAGAAACCCGAGCAGTGCTCCGTCCAGACCGAGGAAAAGAAAAGGGCATCCGACTGACCCGAGATGGCTTCGCGTGGGTGGCTCTACGTCCAGGCCGTCTTCTGGCGCTTCCTGATGCGCATCGGCATGTTCCTGCACGACCTGGCGCCGCCGCGCCCACCCCGTCCGGCTTTCACTCGTACCGTCCAGTCTGATGTGCATGGCCACTCCGTTGTCATCCATTTTTACTGCCCACCGAACTACTATGAGCAACGTCGACTCGGCCACCGCTTCCCCGTCGCCGTCAATTTCCATGGAGGAGGCTTCACCCTTGGCTGTGCCACCGACGATGCTCGCTGGGCCAAAGCCGTGATGGACCAAGTCGGGGCAGTTGTCGCCAGTGTCAGTTATCGGCGAGCCCCAGAGCATCCCTTTCCCGCCGCTGTCGACGACGGAGTCGACGCGTTACTGTACCTGGCGACCAACGCCACAGATCTGGCTCTGGATGTCAGCCGGGTCGCCCTGAGTGGGTTCTCAGCCGGCGGCAACCTGGCCGTGACGGTGCCGCTGCGCCTTCGCGACCGGTTGTCCACCCAGCTCAAGGAACACTTTGGCCGCGCAGACTCGACCCAACGGCTGGTAGACCGCACTAGCGACCTCAACATTGTCGCCCTGTTCTGCTGGTACCCCATTCTAGACTTCCTCGAATCTCGCGACCACCGCCGCGCCATGAGCATTGTGCCCGACAAGACCCTGCCGACCTTTTTCACCGACCTGTTTGACGAATCTTATCTTCCAGATATCAATGACCGGTCCTCCGCCTTCGCATCCCCCGTGCGCGCTTCGGATCGCATCCTCGCCGAGGCTCTCCCCCATGATGTGTTCTTGTTCATCTGTGAGTGGGATATGCTGATGAAGGAGGGCCAAACCTTTGTGCGTCGCCTGGAGGGGCTGGGCAAGCGAGTGCGAGCTATGATGATCGAGAAGGCCCAACATGCCTGGGATAAGTCGCCCAATCCCTTCCGAGACCAGGTCAGTGTAGATGCATTTTACCGCGATGCATGTGCCGATATGAAGGCCATTTTCGAGCGGTAAATTTGCCGGTACTTCCTTTTCTTTCAATTCCATAGAGCGCGTGTATATGTTTCACCTTGTTCCTGTAGCACTGCGCGGGATTTTCATCCCACTTCAGGTTTGGCGTTTGGTTAGGGCATCCACGGCGTTTTGAATGCATACGGCTCCCGATATTCATAGTTCACACAATGTATTATTTTTTTGCCTTGTCTGAGTTGACAGCCCCGGAGAAGGAAAGACTTGTATCTCACCAAGCTATAAGCCTATTATCGATGATAGGCCAATTCATCGAATATAAGCTGTCACGACACCGCTTGCACAACGTGACCTGCATCTGCACTACCTACTTGATTAACCTTAATGGGGATCGTCTCGTATATAGTAGATCATGAAGCGTCATGCAGGAGGCATGTGCGCGTCCCTTCCTATCCAGCTCCGCCGCTATCATTGGCCGGTCTCGCGTCCCGGCAATGACAGTTACCTCTTTGCAGCTCATATCCACAGCGCTGCCCGCCGGGTTGACGGATCTACTATGCCAGTCAAGTCCTAGCCTGTTGACACGCTGGAGTGGAACAACAGGGCGTCCCCGCAATCTAGTGGCATGATGTCATACTGGGACTTCCTTGATATTTTTCAGTAAGGAAGCTAAGTACTCTGATACCTTTTAGGTGTGGGTGTTGGACGGATTCGACGGAAATGAGTGACCGCATGGAGAATGCCAAGAGTTAGTAAACAGGGCACGAAATATCTGTTGAGATGTATAATACAGAAGTGGATTCGCCCGGGGCAGTTCGTCAACATTGCCTTGTGGGTCATTGTAGGGTTGACCACGCATCCAGGGTCATCAATTTTTTGCTTTTGATTTTTGCTTTTTGCAAACAACGAACCTGGGGATTGTGTGACCTCTGGTTATTCTTTTCCTTTTGCTGGTTAGGAGCTCAATGGGACGTTCTATAATTTCCACCTTCCGTTGCTCCGATATAAAGACCCGACTTCGCACATCCGATACCATTTATCCCCCTAATTTCTTCTACACTCTTCTACCTGGCATTAGCCGCCGCAGTATTCCTTCTCGTCTGATCCACGGCCATGACTGCGCCTTGGCTTTTCCGCCTAACGGTTTTCCACTTTCTTTCTCTTTTTCATTTTTCATTTTTTTTTTGTTGGAGACCGCTTGATTTGACACTGAGATTGTAATACTACGATAGAAACTCTCGACTTATACACACAAGAGCTCTCTGTTATTGCCATTGATAATGTTGTAAAACACTGAAGGTTGATGCTGACATTCAGGATCGGTTCGGACCCGAAACGTCTTCATACCGTGACAGGAGGAGCTATTTGAGTCCCGTTTATCGCCAATCCGTAACATGGAACACAGGCTATAGCTATGAGAAACAGATAGAAAGAAAGGGAAGATAGGAAGGAGTAGGATTTACAGTCACAAGGAGTTTCTCTTAGCAGGAGTTACCCATAGCAGGATCGCAGCTTACTTCCATTTTACAATAAAAGATGATTTTAATGAGATAAATCAACCAATTTTATCCTCTATATATCACATAGATTTCTGATAGTCCAGTCCTATGTTCTGAGGTTAACTCTCAAATCATTCTACCTTGAATCTCTTTGGTGTCTATTCCTAAGAACTATTCAAGAGCTTAGACCGAAGTCCGATCTCGGCTCATTCTCGGGCATAGATGTAATTACTTATTCAATATACGAACACACGCGGACGAGATCAATTCAGTAACTCTTTTGGCTACTAAAGAATATGTAGAAATCCAAGAGATTTAGCGAAATTTATGTTAGTGCAGATAATCATTAGATCTCGCGTATACCAGTTGGATACGGATGCTGAAGTGGTACTCAACATCAGTAATATGTGGATGCGGATTTGGCCCTCACATCTTGCGGATTTACCGCAGCCTACTTCAGAGTAATGGAACGCCGCGCCATTGGCAAACTCTGAACACAACCGCTAACCAATTCCCTAAACAATCTAAATGCAATTCGAAAATTGCTCTATTTGCCGAGCCAAGAGCTTAGTAAATTGATTTCGAATACAGAGCTTACAGTCAGGTGATTTTGCGATGATTTCCTTATATCACTGCCTAGCTCCTATCTTCTAGCATCAGGTATATAAATCATTGTACTGTACAACATATCACTTAGTTGCAGAATACATTAGTTAATAATCAAAAAAGTTGCTATATAGCTGTGAACCTGTCAATCGTTTTCGTCCTAATCGCTGCCTGGTGACACCATTTATTTCTATCTCATTAAATAACTTGTTGGAAACATCAAAAATCCCAGGGATTTGACCGGTGGAAATAGCTATTTCCTCTTGTGAAATGTGCCTGAGCTTGGCGTCTAGCCCCAAATTCTTGCTCGCTCTTCTTTCTCGATTCTTCCAATATCTTTTCTTGTTCCCGTATCAATATCAACCTATAGTCCTCTTCTACTTTGCTTATTTTTTCTTCGATTTTAGACTCGTCGGAGAGAATAGACCGAACACACTGATCCAGTGTTTGAATAATCTCTCTTTTTGTGATCGATGTTACTCTCTTTTGTCCGTTGCTTCCCAATCATAGTAGTTATGGCAGACTCTTGTCGTCGACTCAGTTGGGTAAATTCTGCTCCTTTACCCGGTAGAAAGGAGTACATGTATAGCCACCACGTCTCTCTTTCAGCTTTTTCCTTCTGAAGGCGTTCTTTCTCTCCTTTAAGGCTGTCTTTCTCCGCATATAGTCTTAATAAATCCTTTTTTGCGTTGTTCAATAAAATCTCTGACTTCTTACGTTCATTCTTGCGTTGCTGAAGCTCTTTGCGTAATTCTGCGATCTTTTGATCTTTGAATTCACGGGGACGTATAGTTGATACATATATTTTGTCATATTCTCGACGTTTATCGACATCAATAAGGTGTTCGTATGCTTCCTGAAGCTAATTACAGCAATATTAGGGGAATTCGAAAACTAAAAAAACCCGGTAGTCCAAGCATACTAGTTGGAATTCAGCTGTCGCGCTAGGCTCATTTCCTCGACGGTCCGGATGCCTGCTCAAAGCTAAGCTTCTGTATGTCGACTTGATAGTAGCCGAATTTGCAGACTGGGGAACCCCAAGGATTGTATAATAATTATGGAATGTGCTAGGCGCCATATATATATATGTGCTGCCTATGCAAGCAAGGCAGATATCAACGAAGACCTGATGAACGGCAGCAAACCAGTCCGCAAAGGAGTTAGTTGTAGGTAGAGAGAGGGGACGAAGGCTTCCGTGAAAGGGCGATTTTGACGCGGGGCACTAACTAGAGTGTAGGCTATATTTATAATACAGACAATACATGTATAGTACATTGCTGTGTATTCTTAGAAATCATGTTACGGTTCTTTGGACAGGGATTGTGCAGAAAATATCTAATCTGCATTAGCTGCCTTGGCGGTTCAGGTTCAATAAGAGAAAGAATATACCTCAAAACGATGGACCCATGCCTGACATTCAAAAAAAATATATATATATACCAACGACATAAACTTCCCCAATTTGATATCACAGAGCGAGAGAATTCCCCAAAGTGAACTTAGAACTTTACACAGGCCCACCGTGGCCTAATTGACGTTACTATTGTTAGGCCGCCCCCGGGTTATACGACTCCGAAACCATTGAGGGGCCTCGGGGAAGTTTACCTAGGCAGGATGGCCTTGTCTGTCCTGGCCTGCGAGACGGTGTCCAGTCTACCTTCCACTTCTTGATTGAAATTCTCCTAGCAGAATTGACATGCTATTAAACCCGCCACCAACTATTGTACCTCTTTTTCTGCGATCCTTAAGTTCAGGTTGTTCCCGCTAAGCTAAGAAAAGAGCAAGATGGATATATCCAGCACAATTCAATTTGGTCAGAAAGGACTAGATGGTAATTCCACACATCAATTTATGACTCTAGATTCGAGCTATTATGGGCATCCCAAGTATCCTCCAAATCTAGCGGCAACACGCTGCTGACAATTCCACCAGGAGAGCGAAAATTCAGAACTTCCTCATCCTCACCATGTTCGATTTCAAGCTTTCCATCCTCTGCGCTACGAACGAAGGATACAATCATCTGCAGTAAATTGGCGAACTTCCGCAAGCTCGGCTGTTCAGATTCCTCCCAATGCTTCATTTCCTCTCGCACATCCTGGACTCGGATATCATCGAACTTCCCCAATTTGTGATATGCGAGTATGAAGTTAGGAATCTGTCTGATCCACAATCGGCCCATCTGTTCTGACAGGATATCAATACCGGCTTTCCTAGCGGAACGCGTCTTTAGGTCAAAGATCGCACATTGTGGAATATAGCGACCCCCGTGGAGATTTTCAGAGCATTCGACTCCTGCTGGGAGATGCCTGAGTGAATCGTGGAGATCATCGCCGCTTGGATAGACTCCAAGAGCTCCTCAGGCTCCGTAACGCTTTTGCTGGAGATAGTGCCCTTCTGGGTCTTCAGATCGTCGGGGAGTAAGTCAGGAAGGTATCCGTCAGCTTCGAACCGCACCACGCAGTTTAAGTTAGCAAACTCAAAGTTGATGAGTCGTTGATGAGACTCTGACTTGCGAACGCCTTGGCTCCATGTTGTGTATGCTTCTGGAAAGGTGTGTCCAAACCCAAAGACACCCTGGAGGGTTTCCTTGGGTGAATTCTCCCTTCTGCTAAAGAAGACTGTGTTCCCAACGACCTCAATCAGCATTCTAAAAGCAGGGCTTTGGCCGCGTGCAAATCTCAGCAGATTGCCCAGTGTGCTTCCACAGCCCACAATATCCACATTCTTGACACCAAAATCCGGTCGGTCCCTCAGTATGGCTCGAATCATGGGCTCTAGCGGATATGTAGGATGCCGTGCCGAATTCAAGTCACGAAAGTAGACGCCGGAGTCTTCACTCAGAGAAACAGCCTTGGGAAGCGGCGTCCATTCTGGAGGCTCACCTGATGACGATCGGTAAGTATTGATATTGGGTGGTCCCAGGAGATGGGGAGGGGTCTTTCACCTGGAACGATGATCTCGGAGTGTCCTCCACTGACCCAGTTATAGGAGGTCAAATATTGCGTATTGGTGATTTGAACAAGAGAATGAGATTCAGATGTGTCGTCTTCAAGATCGTCGTCTTGAATTGTCGCAAGAAGGTCGCCTAGTGGCGGAGGTGGAGGTGGAGTTGGAGGTGCTGATGGCCTCCCGGTCCTGCCACCTCTCCACCCTCTCCATCCACCTCGAACTCTTCCCTGATAAGGGCGCTCACCTCTAGCTCGGGTGCTCATGTTGCTAGGGGAAGGATAAATGAAGTCTGTAAAAGGTAGGGGTGCAAGCGACCAAAAGGACAGAACAGTGTTCACTCCAGTAGATGGCAAGAGAGATCGCTAGAAAAGGAATCAGGGCTTCGGTGATAATGGTTTCTTTACCAGTACTTTTTTTCTAATGCGGCTGAAAGCTTTCAGCGGTCAACAAGTTGGATCCTTGCGATTGTGACAGACGTGACAGACCCTTGTCGCCACGTCACGTCCAGTGTCCAGTTATCACGGATTCATCAGCCTGGCGTTTGCGCGCAGGTCGTGCATGTATGTAGCCATTGCAGCTAGCCAACTAAACCAAGCCACGGATATTTTAAATACGGGAAAGGGAGGCATCGTTTGGAATTACCCCTCATTTTGTGCAGCTTGCTTCATTACAAGGCCAAATCAGATATCGGCGATCAGCTATACCTTTGCCAGGCTTTCTTCCTCTTCCATATGCCCCCACTGTCGCCCCGAACTGTCGCCCCGAACAGACTATAAGTATCCTACATTCCATCAACATCCTTCTTTATCTTTCAAGTGTTAAGTCTCTCAAAGGTTGATAACTTATGACCCTACGATGTCTACAAATAATCGATCAGATCGACTGGCCAAATACTTTTCAGCTGTTCTTCATGGGAAGCAAGATGTTCGAGACCTCAACAACTTCAAGAAACTCATAGAAGCTATTCTAGATACAAAAGACTCTTCTGTCACTATTGAGAGATTGATAGCCAGCCAAAATGCCCTGAATGCCCTTCGAAATGGGTTGAGGTTCAATCTCACACCAACCTTCATCAACGGCTACACGGCGAAGTTCATCAATCTCTTGAGCAGCCCGGAGATCAAGCTTCTATGCAATGGGGTCTTTCTCGAACAGCTTCTACTTATCATTTTGGAGCCCCGGACACTCTGGAATGCGCTTTTGGATGCTTTTCGTACCAGAAAGCTGGATGAAGAGGCCATCCGCGCCGTCTGTTGGCTGACAACGGAGCTTCTGTCATTGCCAGCTTCATCTGCGATTGACATCATGACTGATGCTCAGACTATCTTGAGTGATGAGTATCTTCTTTCGTCATCTTCTGTGTCCCTTCGCAATTTGGGACATAAGATCAAGCATCTCCTGGACATGAGATCTTCCGCATCCACCCTACCCACATCCGAAGACACAGCAGGGGGTCGCCATGATAACGATTTCACCGACTTCCGTCAAACAGTCATTCTTCCTACGACGGACGAGATGGGCTGTACCGACAAACCTTTCTATCGACGTGTGGATGAGATAACACAGCTCTCTGGTAGTCAACGCATCGCGGCGCATGCTGACAACCAATTCCGGCTGTTACGCGAAGATATGTTGTCAGCGCTGCGGGATGATATTCAAGTTGCAACAGGGGCAAAAAAGGGACGAAGATCCGCCCTACGCCTTGGTGGCCTGTCGTTGGCGTGCATCTCTTGTACCTCAACGGACTTTAAATACCTCCGCCCATGCACCATCGGCGTCACTGCCAGATCAGGCCTGGAAAAACTCAAACAGCTTTCCACGGAAACGGCTAAAGAATATCTCAAGAGCACCCCGCAATTCGTCAAGCACCGTGCCTTTGGGTGCTTTATACGGAATGCAGAAATTGTGGCATTTGCAACGATTGAGAGAAACATTGACAAACTGATATCTACCCCACCGGTAGTCATGCTTCGAGTTGTAGGAGCAGAGGCAGTCAAAAAGTCCCTTCTCTTTCTCAAGCTTTATGATGATGTTGAGTTTTTGGTGGTTGATACGGCGACTTTTGCTTATGAGCCAATCCTGAAACGTTTGCAGGAGAAGGTCGAGTATCCTCTGACAGAAGAGTTGTTTCTCTACGAAAAAGGGGAACCAGTGAAGAACTCCACTCTAGCCCCTTTGGATTTGATCGATGCGTTAAAAGGAGACTGTGGATCTAATATCCAACACATCTTGCATACTTCAAAGCCAGTCATATTGGAAAAATCTCAACGTGAATCTCTTTTGGCAGGATTGACTCAAAGAGTCAGTCTGATTCAGGGGCCTCCAGGTATGAGAATCCAAGGATAAAATTTCATTTTTCAAAGCTTATAAAGTGATTTTCAGGCACCGGAAAGTCATTCATAGGGGCGCTTCTGGCCAAAATTCTTCATGATTACGCATACGACACGATACTGGTGATGTGCTACACCAACCACGCTTTGGATCAATTTTTGGAAGATTTGCTTGATATTGGCATTCCCGATGTTGACATTGTTAGATTGGGATCTAAATCAACACCCCGAACCAAGCAATTGGGTCTCAAAGAGCAGAGTACAACCAGCAGGAGAACCCAGTTGACCTGGAACACCATCAACTCAATCAAGAGCCAGGGCTGGGAAGAAAAAGAGACAATTGACAGCTCTTTCGCAGCATATCAGAGGCTGTCAGCGGATCCTTCGGCAATTTTAGACTACCTGGAATTTGAGGATCCAGAGTATTTCGAGGCCTTGATAGAACCCGAGAATGAAGATGGAATGAAGACGGTAGACAAGAGTGGGAAAGCAATCAATAAGGGCTACCTTTTCGACCGTTGGGTCAAAGGACAGTCTCCAGATCCCTTCTCTGAGTTTCTGCCGGCTCAAAGCCAGAGTATATGGGCGTTGGAGCAGAAAATCCGGGATGAAAAGATCCAGTCATGGAAATGGGCTTTGCTGGATGAACAAGCTGCATCTCTCTCAGTGCAGATGAATCTATTTGACAGGTGTTGCGAGAAGCTATCCACAGCCTTCGGAGAGGACACCCGTGAGATCCTGACAAACAAAAGAATCATAGGATGTACGACAACTGCTGCTGCGATGAATGCTGAGGTTCTTAAGCATGCATCACCAGGTATTGTGATATTGGAGGAGGCGGGCGAGATTCTCGAGTCTCACGTTCTTACTGCAATATCTCCGGACACGAAACAGTTGATACTGATCGGGGATCACCTGCAACTCCGGCCGAAGATCAACAGCTATGCCCTTAGTACTGAAAAGGGAGATGGATACGACCTAAACGTGTCCCTTTTCGAGAGACTGATTCATGCTGGGTACCCACATACAACCTTGCAGAAGCAGCATAGAATGTGCCCCGAGATCTCAAGTCTTGTACGCTCTCTCACCTACCCTCTACTAGAAGATGACGACAAAACAAAACTTCGTCCTAAACCACGAGGGTTATCCGACCGTGTCATTTTCTTCAATCATGAAAATTTGGAAGAAAGTTTTGCAGAGGTATCCGATCGACGAGATGAAGGGGCAAAACAGTCTAAGCAGAATCTTTTCGAAGCAGAGATTGTCCTGAAGATTGTCAAATATCTTGGGCAACAAGGATACGGAACAGACAAGCTCGTCGTTCTCACGCCATATCTCGGTCAACTTTCGCTTCTACGCCAAACTTTGAGCAAGCAGAATGACCCAGTACTGAATGATCTTGACTCTCATGATCTCGTACAGGCAGGTCTCTTGTCATATGCGAGTGCCAAACATGCCAAGCAACCGATCAAGCTCTCTACAATTGGTAAGTGGCTAAGTCGGCGAAACAATATTCGACCAGCAAACTGATCATTGATGTCAGACAACTACCAAGGAGAAGAAAGCGAAATTGTCATAGCATCACTCACAAGAAGCAACACAGGTGGGGATATCGGATTCATGGCAGCTCCAGAACGATTGAACGTGCTTCTCTCTCGTGCCCGGAATGTACTGATCATGGTGGGCAATTTGGAGACATTTGTCTCTAGCCGCAAAGGGAAAACTGTGTGGAAGCCTCTCATTGATCGGCTTAAAGACAATGGCCATCTTTATGATGGATTGCCTGTTAAATGTGAACAGCACCCTGACAAGACCTCGGTACTTCGGACAAAGGAAGACTTCGACAAAGAGGCGCCGGATGGCGGATGCTCAGCACCTTGGTAAGTCATTTATATCCTATAATTGCATTAGTTTTGATTAAGGGGAATATTGAACGAAGTGTGCTCCCATTTTTTTATTTACTGACTAATTTGATTGTGCCGAAAGTGGCGTCAAACTAAGCTGTGGAGCACACGAGTGCCCTGCCAAATGCCATCAACTCAATGATCACTCGAAAATGAAGTGCGTGAAAATCGTCAAATGGAATTGTCCTCGAGGACATACATTATCTTCGTCATGCTGGATGGCCAGGGGTTCGTGTCGCTACTGTAACCAGGAAGACAAGATAAAGAAAGAAAAGCATGATCGAGACTTGGAGCTCGAGGCAGCACGACAGAGAAAACAATCTCTATACGCCAAGGAAATTGCCGAACTTCAAAGTGAAGCTTCATATTTGAGAGGTCTCAGAAGTGACGAATCGATAGATGTAGAGCGGGCAAGAATCCTTGAGCAGCATCACAAAGAAATTGAGGAGCTGAAAAGCCCCCGAAACCAAGCTGAAAACACGGTCAGCACCCAGAGCATCCGAGAAAATGCCTTGGAACAAGTAGATTCACGTCCAAAGCATGCTAGACCCCAAGAAGATGGGAAGCGAACAAATCAGCCTGCCATTTCTATTGATGAGTCCGGGGTAAAACCCAAGGCCCGAGAGGTGATGCCTAAGATACCTTTCTCGCAGGCAAAGGACGATTGGGACTACCAAAAATCATTCTTCAACGCCCGAAGCCCAGAAATTGACACTTTGATGGAAATGGTCGGCCTGGAGTCAGTAAAATCAAAGTTCCTGACTATTCAAGCCAAAGTTGATATAGCCGTCCGACAGAACGTCGATTTGAGCCGCGAGAGATTTGGAACCGTGCTTCTTGGTAACCCCGGCACTGGCAAGACAACAGTTGCCCGACTCTACGCAAAGTTCCTGGCAGCAGTGGGAGTAATCCCGGGCCACGAATTCATCGAGACAACAGGATCTAGACTCTCAAATGAAGGCGTATCACAGTGCCAAAAGATGATTGAGAAGCTACTCAAACTTGGCGGGGGCGTTTTCTTCATTGACGAAGCCTATCAAATGGTTCAGGGGAGCAATATTGGCGGTGGTCAGGTACTTGACTTTCTCCTAGCTGAAATTGAGAATCTTACGGGCAAAGTTGTGTTCGTCCTTGCTGGGTATCAACGCCCGATGGAGGAGTTCTTTGCTCACAACCCTGGACTCCCGAGCCGCTTCCCCCATGAGCTAAAGTTCGATGATTTCAACGACACAGAGCTGATGATGATCGTTAATACTTGGATTGAAAAGACATGGAAAAAGCAGATGAAAGTTGATGATGGGCTGGGCGGACTTTACTGTCGCATTGTAGCCCGACGAATTGGGCGCGGACGAGGCCGGGAGGGGTTCGCAAACGCAAGAGCTGTTGAAAATGCCATGACAAAGGTCTCTGAGCGACAAACTGAGCGGCTAATGCGACAAAAGCGGCAGAAAAATTCAGTGGTCGATGACTTCTTCCTTGATGGGGAGGACATGATCGGCCCAGATCCTTCTCAAAGTCTGAAATCATCGGAAGCGTGGCAAAGGCTTCAAAGCATGATCGGGCTAGATGAGGTTAAAAAGACTGTTGAGAGCCTGATAGATACGATTCAATACAACTATCGTCGCGAGCTAGACGAGCAACCTGTGGTTGCATACAGCCTCAACAAGGTCTTTCTAGGAAATCCCGGAACTGGAAAAACGTCAGTCGCAAAGATATATGGTCAAATTCTGGTGGACATCGGGCTCCTATCAAACGGTGAAGGTATGCGAGGAACATATCGTAACTAATCAATATACTGACAAAAGTTACAGTCGTTGTCAAGAACCCATCCGATTTTGTTGGGAGCGTGATTGGGGAGTCTGAAAAAAACACCAAGGGCATCCTGGCAGCCACATTGGGAAAGGTTCTTGTCATAGACGAAGCCTACAGTCTTTTTGCCGGAGGAAATTCCGATGGTACAGGGGCCAGAACTGACCAATACAGAAGTGCTGTTATCGATACTATAGTAGCTGATGTCCAAAGCACACCCGGGGATGATCGATGTGTCCTGCTTCTGGGATACAAGGATCAGATGGAACAAATGTTTCAGAATGTTAATCCTGGTCTGAGTCGGCGTTTTCCGATTGACCAGGCCTTCATTTTCGAAGATTTTACGAAAAATGAGTTGAATCTCATTCTTGACCTGAAACTATCAGAGCAGGGATACGAAGTCACTGATAGTGCTCGCCGGGTCGCTTTGGAGATGCTTGAGCGAGCTCGGAATCGACCACACTTTGGTAATGCTGGGGAAATCGATATTCTGCTAAACAAAGCGAAGATTCATCATCAGAGGCGTACTCGCTCGACAAATCCTGAGAGCAGGGTGGTTCCTGATTCTGTACTGGATGCCGTTGATTTTGATGAGAACTTTGATCGCGCGGAGAACAGTAAGATCAGTGTTGCAAAGCTGTTCGAAGGGACGATAGGTTGTGAAGACATCGTTTCCACATTCGAAGAATATCAGAAGCTGGTCAAGAGCCTCAAAGGGCTGAATATGGACCCTCGTGAAAAATTGCCATTCAACTTTGTGTTTCGAGGTCCCCCAGGTGAGTCAAAGCTTTAATTAATCTTGAATCGGTTGAATAATCGACCTTCACTGACACATAACAACTCGATAGGGACTGGCAAGACCAGCACAGCCAGAAATATGGGCCAGATATACTATGATATGGGGTTCTTGACTTCAAATGAGGTCATCGAAGTATCTGCGACAGAGCTTGTTGGTCAATATGTCGGGCAAACAGGTCCTAAGACCCAGAAATTACTGGAACGTGGTCTGGGAAAGGTGCTGTTCATAGACGAGGCATATCGTCTTGCTGAGGGTCACTTCGCCAAAGAAGCTATGGATGAACTTGTGGACTGTATTACAAAGCCCAGGTTCGCTCGGAAGGTAATTATCATTCTGGCTGGCTACGATGCAGACATAAACCGCCTCATGTCCATTAACCCTGGCCTTACAAGCCGCTTTCCGAAATCCCTTCAGTTCAGACCTTTATCACCAGGAGATTGCATTTGTTTACTGAGTAAGCTTCTGGAAAAGAACAAGGCAGATCTGCTCAGCAAGTCAGGAGTGCACTTCGATATCACCTGTCTTCATTGCACAGACTCTGCTTTTAACCAGAAATTGACCGATGGATTTGACACCTTGTCCAAAACTTCAAGCTGGGCTAACGCTAGAGATGTGGAAACGCTGGTGGAAACGATATTCAACAAGACCATAATGCAGCCAGGCTTGTCCAATGGATCGAAGCTGCTATTGAGCAAGGAAACGGTTATCGAGGAAATACTGGCCATGATCACTGAGCGCCGCGGTCGTGAGAACTTTCAGGCCAATCTTTCTCCGATAGGCCTCAACCCTGGAGGGAACCTACCATTTCGTACTCAATCCTCGAATCCGCCAGTGATGGATACGGGGAATCAAAGCCTGAAATCGAATACTAAACCTGATAACGAGGCCGCTGCGCCGGTCCAAGATCGAGGCAACCAACAGAGTCCTGTCCAGGGGCGCGATGCAGGTGTTACAGACGAGGACTGGAATGTTCTACAGAAACACAAAGCAGCTGCTGGAGAAAGTGAAAAAGAATTTTTGCGGATGACAGAGAAAGAGGAAGAGCAAAAAAGGAGTTGCTGAGGCTGACGGAAGAAGAGGATAAGGCAGCCCGGGCGTTAGAAGAGGCAAGACAGCAGCGGAATGAGGAATTGAAGAAGCGCCTGGAACAAGAACAGTTGCAGCTTGAAATGGAACGCAGGAGGCAGGAGGCGCTCGCAAGAGACCTCGAGATCAAGCGACAAGCTTTAGTTCAAGCTCGCCTCGAGGAGCGAGCTATTCAGGTGAAACTTCAGAGCATGGGAGTTTGTGTTCAGGGTTTCCAGTGGATCAAACATCCTGGCGGGTATCGGTGTGCAGGAGGCTCTCACTGGGTATCAGACGCCCAACTCCGATGATAGAAAACTGGGATTGTGTACATCAGCGGAAGCGAGTTTAAATTTTGATGATACTATCGAGAATTTGACACAGTTTATCTAAGAGTCTGTTTTATATCCTGTTTCTGCGAAGCTACCGATGTGCGGATCAATAATTACACGGTCGTTCTCCGTGGCCTGGCAGGTTGACGGGTTGAGAACCAAACATGACTTCTGTCGCAATTTGATCTATAGAGGCTCTGATGACTATCTAGGCTTCACTGAAAAATCATGATGAATGATTATACAAGCATAGAGATGAGATTATGAAGAAACATAAATTAGTAAATAAACTACTGGACAAAAAAAATGTATTGCATGCGCAGCGGTTCGAACGCTGGCGGGTCTCCCCAGAGGGTCTCTTGTGTGGCCAAGCCAACAACTTAAGGCCTCCCCCTTAACCACTCGGGCACACATGCAGAATAATACTTGGTGGGGCCTTTTGATCATTGATATACAGTTATAAATAATACAAACAGATTTTCTTGGTGCCCTACCGATAAAGATAAATCTGAAAACCTCTTGGTTTTAGCCAAATTTATCATGTCTTATAATTTATTTACGTGATTCACAACTGGATAAAAAGAAAGAATCCAATGAGCAGGCATTCCTTCATCTCTCTGCATTTCTACGATTCGCAAAGACAAAAACATAACCCACCCGTCAAATATACTACAAAAGATAAAACCCGGGCGAACTGAACTTCAAACCAAGGTGCAATGTCAAGACAAGGGTTTTGGACCTAAAAACCAACCCGAGCCCAACAAGGTGGTTCTGCCTAGAAAGTTAGGAAAGGCTCATTGTCTATAGAAGTTGAATGGTGTGTGGTTTAGGCTTCAATTTCAATTTCAAATCACAAAAAGTAGCATCCTCTTGGTCAATTTAACCCAGGCATTCTCCATACCTATTCAGTGAAATTTCCTTTTGCCTTCTATTGGAGGATTCCTCACCTGACGGGTACGATCAACTCAGTATCGCATTTTCTTGACTTATATACCACGTCGCAGTAAATCTGTCACCAGACACGCTCACATGCCGAAGATATAATGAAGTTCAATGCGCGAAAATTCTTTAGGCCAGTCTACCGATAGTCTCTATTCGCCACTGTTTTAATTTGGACAAGCCGCCCAGAGCCTAATTCAGGATGGCGGCATGGAAAAGAGCCGATACTTGCACGGGAGCAATTTTCGATGGACCGAGGTCACGGCGCCAGGTGGTATCTTACTACTAATTGCTACATGAGCAGGTACTTGCATCTATAGAAGATTCCAATATAGACAGGGGCGGTGCTATTATTTCTCGCCTCCCAAGCCGGTCTTTGCCCTACATGACCGCCAGCTAGTGGCCATTGGGCTTCACTGCATGAAAAAGACAATAGGATTCGAGATGGTGAGTTTCCGGTCGATTCCGAGCCAGATACATTTCATGCCATCTTGTTGGGTATGCGTACTTGAGGCTTTAGACGACCTGACTTCCATTCCTCCGAAACTCGGGGAGGTCAGCGGGCTATGCGAAGAGGAAGAATCTTCCAGAGAGCATTACGGTGTAAGTTAGTTGGTTTGTGAGCAGTTCGTGAAGAGTCTGCGAATACAGCATAAAAACCGAGACGAAGCCCCCATCTTTATGTGGTGCGCACCTTTCTCTGCAGAAACTTGAAGTGTTGCTGGTCCTTCAGGCTATAGTATGTTAGTTTCGTTCTTCTAAATTTTGGAATGGATAGACTGATTGGCGAACCAGTCTGCTAGCATCTCTGAATAAATGGCCGACCTGACAATTAACTGCAAGAACTGCGGTGCGTCTATTCCAGGCACCAAGTATGTGTGTCCAAAATGCGGCAAACATTGTCGATGGTACGTGCTCTGCCACTCGGGTCTCCTCAATTAATTTGTGTTTGTGGCCAAAAGTACTGAAGATAAGTGAAGAAAATGCGATTGTTCATCGACATTCGCATTGTTCAATGGCCGATTGCCATCGCAACTGGATCTTGGACTCCGAGGATCTGGGAGCAGGAGGTGCTTTTTCTGGTGTATCCTTGCATTCTGAGGCTGTCTGATATTGCTTTCGTATAATCCTTACAATATGAATATTTTTATACAAGATAATTCAGTCTTATGTCATATATATTCTCCTCGCTGCCTTCTAAACGATGAGCGGCTGCGCCATCTTTTCATCTATATTGTACCAGTGACTGCGAGGGTCTCTCGCTCAGGTGCCGATGATGCCACAGCGGACAATCAATCAACTTTGCAATCTCATGGAATGAACGGCCTACTGATTCTTTGGACGAGATCCTACTGACGTGTTCCAAAGGTTATAAGAACTAGGAATATAGCCTTAAGTGACAGGGTGGGGCGGCAGCACCGTACACGCGACCAATCCCTCGCATGCTTCCAACAGGACCATCTTTTATATGACGCACCCTTTTGAATAAAATAATTTCGTCGATTTCCATCTGGACCAACCAAGCTGGTCAAGTGACTCAGCAAAGTGGTTCTACAGGGCTGCCCAACAGCAGTGACATAGATCGAGGCAGCAGTACTGTTGCTCAACGTAGTTTTCTTGGCATGGAAAGAGGTGCCAAAATTCAAGTTTCAAATGTTTAAAGAAAGAAACTAATCTCTGGGGGTATATATGGTCTCCATTATCGGCAGGGGCGGGGAAGGAGAACTATCAGCGAAATTCTCTTCGTCCAAGAAGGCTGAAGAAGACTTCTAGATAAGTCATAGTCATATTGAAAATAGTAGCTTTCATTGAATCTGCCATGTAGACGTTCAGTCGACCTGTGCGAAGAAAACAGAAAATATGAGTAGTGGTATCGCAACTTTTTAGTGAGACAGATGGACAAAAGGTATACTAGAAATCGAAACCCAGACGCCGCGCTGAATGACAAATATATGGCTAGTGCAAGTAGATCACGCAATGTTTCCTGCAAAGCGAAAATGCACAGAAAAAAAATGGAATGAAAAACGTGATGTAGACCCATCTTACTCCTCATCGGTAGCAGTGGCATCTTCATCATCGTCGGTATCGTCATCGTCAACGTCATCATCATCATCTGCTCCGCTATCCGAATCATCATCGTCCTCATCTAAACCTGGAATGCCACGCCACTCGACATAATCGCCCTCAATCCAGCGACGGCTGCGGGGGAGCTGATAGGGGTCGAAGGGGAAGTAAGCGTCCAGCTGGTAGCCGAGGTGGTCGCCAGCGCGAATCTCACGCCCAACTTGGCTAAACGCGGGGTTGGAGAGGGTAGCAATGCTGCGGAACGCGGTCACACGGAGGCGCTTGTTTGTCTCCAAGAGAGGGTAAACATAGAGCAACTGGAAGTGGTGGGCGATGCGAGCGAACTCGGTGACAATGCCAGGAGAGCAGATCTTGAGCGGATTCAAGCGCGAGTAGATTGCCTTGTGGAGAAACTCCTTGACATGAGGACCGAATGAAATCTGACTTGGCTCCAGTTCATCCACTTGCTCGGGAGTATCGCCTTCCATGGCAGCAGTCGTCAGATCACGCCAGCGGAAGCAGAAGATGTAGAGAACGGCCTGTGCGGTAGAATAGAACGCGCTGTAACGGCGGAGATCGGGGCCCCGGCATTCCGGTTCGTGGGCAGTGCGCATATTTTCCAAGTATGCAACTAGATAGTCAAAAGTGTTTCGGACCGCTTGCCCCGGGATGTGGGCGCCACGTGCGATGAAACTTGCCAAGTAGGCGGCAGCAGACTGGCGCAAAATAGGGGGCTGCCTCTGATCGAAGACAATTGTCATGCATTCCGAATAGAACATCTCTGTGAGTTCAGGAGACAATTGGGAGAAGTGGAAGAGAAGAAACTGGGTGTGGCGGGATCGGTACGTCGGGAGGATGATGGTGCGAAAATGGCTCATGAGAAGGGTCAAAGTACTTTTCCTCTCTTCCAAGCTGCCACTTGTGAACGAAGAAGAGTAGTACTCGAATAGAACATCGATCATGCCGTCTATCTTGTGAATATTTTCCTTGATCTCAATGACACGTTTGCTATCATCAGCCTCATCGTCGCTTGCCTCGGAGTCGTCATCATCCAATTCTTCATCGACATCAGGGGCAAACCCGTGCAGCAGGTTCTCTCCGAGCTCATCTTCGAAATCCTCCAAGTCGACCTGGATTTGAACATCCACCTTGACCATTTTTTCAGTAATCAAAGCAAGGATATCGGATTGAAGTTCAGGAGCATAGCTCATCAGCTGAATGAGATTCCGTGTGTAGGCGACGTGAGACTTTGGAGAATCGCCTTCGAAGGGAAATGCCTGGGACAGGACAGGCGACAATGTTCCACTGCCAGCGGGAACCAGGCGCAATACATATCTGAGTGCCATGTGGACACGAGTGTAGATCTCAGACGCCTGAACAGGGGCGTAGCCTGGAAGTCGGCCAGTGCCTCGGGGGACACCAGCGAGCTTGGTGGCAAGAACCTTCAGGATTGAACCGAGATAAGTGCCCTGCGCTGCCGCCAGGTTGCCTAAAAACCGGATGTAGAGTTTCACATAGGTTTCGTCGCGGCCCAGCCATTCGCTGTTGAGAACAGCAGACACTAGACTGCTGCAGCTGCGGTCCAGCGAGGCAATATGCGATAGAAGAGCCATGAGGTGATATTTCAGAGATGCATGTGTTGGGAGATCATATGAATAGAGGCTGTCGTCCGCTTTTTTCGGGTCCGCCGTGAAAATCTGCTTAAGCTGGTTGTAGGCGTCGCTATCTCCGGCCGAAACATGGCGATGGATTGCTCGACGAGCTTCTTCTCTGACCACGGCTAAAGGCTTTTCGGATGTATCCGATGCACCGTCGACGGGCCAGGAGACCGTTTGCGTCTGAATCTTCTCGTCGAAGGTCACACGAGGGCGCTTTTTCATCGGAGGGGCATCTTCGAGGAAGCTGTCCGATACGGACGATACCGGAGAGAGGCTGAGGTTCGCGTCGGTCATTTTGCGTTTCGTACCGGTGGGTTTTGTGGGTTTGAGTATTGATACGGGCGAAGAGGTCGGGATCATTTTGCAACGGTTGATAGGAGGGGTGGCCGTAAGCGGCAGATTGTGAGACGTGGCGATGGAGACCATGGCCGGTTGTGAGAGTAGACCGCAGAGATGATGGACTAAACCAAAGCTAGAGATATCACAAAGACTGCGACATCTGCCGGTCTGCACTTCCGATGGGGGATGCAGAGGACCGGGTGTGAGATGTTTTGAGATGGAGCTTCGAGGCAAGCGGGCACACGACCGTCAAGAAGGCCAAGAAATGGATTTGTGCTACAGACTTGGGATTTCAGACCACGAACATCTGTCCGCACCCATGGAGAGCATTCACTCGGCTAAGAGAATCGATGAATGGGATGCAGACAGGCGTGTCGAGGCTCGACAGATGAAAATGAAGGCTCGAGCGAAATTTTTTCCCTTGCGCTGCCTGTGGGGCTGCGGAGAACCCGTGACTGAGCGGTGAGCCCTACGCTAAACCACTTAAGGATATATTGGCTTATGTCATCGTGCGTTCATCGCGTCTCGGTGTCCGAGGCCACCAGGTTCGCGTTTGACTGTGAGAGAACAGACTGAGATAGGACGGAAACGAAAATTAGCTGAAACAAAGCATCGCGAATTCTCTTCGCGCATTCTAAAAGAAAAATGTCGCGCATTCTACAAAGGAAAATGAAAATGAAAATCGTGCCTGAATCGCATCGAGTCAATGTTCAAATTACTCTCGAGCGAATATCAATGGAGAGTCTAGCAGATAAAAGCGCCATACACAAGCTGCAGGATAAAAACCACATAAGATCTCCTCGCGTATCCAACAAGTTATAGATAGGGGCAACGTCCCCGAATGATAGATAAACCACTCGAGAACAACGTATCCGGGAATAGAGGGGAAAAGGAAAGAAAAGGAGTGAATAAGAAGCGAAGCATTGGACACAGGAAGTGTAATAGCTCCTCCCAAGGTATAGTGCGGTAGAGGGAATAAACAATTCAAGGGTCGTCAAGGAAAGAATAACAGTTAGTCGTAGCGGGCTGGGTGAGGAGGAAAATCCAGTTCCTTCATCAAGTCCGCTGAGAGTCGTCGATTACCCCGGTTCAACCGGGAGGGGTATAAGAGCGGGAGAGCAAAGCGGCAAATGATTCTCATAGCCAAGGCCCAGCACTGATGGGCCCGATATGGTCGTCAAAAATACTGCCGTAGAGTTCCTCAATCTCGGTCAGGTAATCGTCAACACTGAACTTGTGGAGCCCCTTGCGAGTCAACAGTAATTCCTCTTCATCCATAATGTGAGTGGCGCCAAATTCCTCAGCGACCTCATTGACCTGCGCCAGCTCCTTGCTGAAGGGATGGACTCCCTCGTGCATCTCGGGGGCGAAAATATCGTGGGATGCACGAATGGCTGGGTTGCTGCGTGGAGCAGCCAGCGTTGGTGGTGACGCACGATGCTGAGAGCGCTTGCGGGCAAGTTCTTGGTGCGACCGCTTGGTATGCGACAGAGCACGCCGAGGAACAAGTGGAGCGTCATTCGACGAGGATGATGTGGTTGACGAGCGGGGTTCGCTTTCCATAGTGACTGAACGCTTGGGGAAGTATGAAGCAAGCGGATTCGAATCAACGGGGTAATTGTCAGTTGGAGAGATATCGGGAAAGGTCATAGATGAAGCATAGCTCTGGGGCGACATAGCGTCGCTGTCGTCACGCGATCGTACGGACGAAGCGGAAGAGTCGGGAGAGGGAATGTCGGGGGCGTTGTAGGCCAGCATGTTGGTGGTAGAAAGCAGTTGAACAGGGCCGGAGATGTTGCCGCGTTTGATGCTTCCTGAGTTAAATCGCACATGTCCTTCGCCACGATACGGCATGGGCGCCGACACCTCCGGACGCTTATTGCGCTTGGTGAATGCACGAGTAATCGTCGACATGATGGATTAGCTAGAATGTCGTGGTCGTGGCCCAGAAGTTCGGGGGGTTGGAATTGCGATCGCTGTGTGACGTGCCGCCGGGAGGATTCGACTAGTCGGCCCTTGTTGTGATTGAGTGATTGAATTGACTGCGGACTAAAACCCAGCGACTGCTTGTGGCAAGTTTCCTATTCTTGCCTTTGCGACCGACTGCGATCGATGCGGTCAAATGCGATGGTTTAGATCTCGCGTGGTGGACGATCGCGGGATGCGGAGATAGATGGCCAGGAATGGAGATCCCTACCAGGAATGACCAGGGATCAGATAGCAAAGATTGAGGAGGATGACAGAACGTTGAGACGTGTCTAGCACAGAGAATGAATGTTGAGTAGCCTCGCAGATATATTTTGCGCAGCAAAACGGGCGAGGGGAAAAACGGCTCTCTTTGAAGATTGGGAGGGCTTCTATCGCCTAGGGAGGGAATGGGAACGTGCAAGTAGGCCGCACCACGAAGGGGATGGAATATCTGAAAATCAGAGAAATAAAGGAGTCCAGGATCACAGATCACAGTATTCACGGACTCGAAGAAGTGAAAAGGAAGGAATGAAGGTCCCGAAAATGAAGGGAGCGAAAGAGTGAAGGAGGGAAAGGGAAGAAGGGGGCAGGAGGAGGAGACCGTCTGGACTTTCTGGACCGGCTGAACGGTGGAGGGCTTAACCAACACCCGAAACCCAAAGGGCCTTGTAACGTAGTTCCTTCACTACCACCTCCACTCAAACGGCCCCGAAGGCCCCCGGAAACACCGTGCTGCTTTGGTGCTCCACCCCGTGCACCTGGTTGGAAGGCAAAAAAAAATCGGTCCCAAGGTTTTGCTCCAGGGACTCGACCGGGCCCATCGAGTCCCAAAAAAATTGATCTATAAGTGGCCCGGGGATTTTTGAAGACCCAGTGTTCTGACTCGGTCGCCACCGTTCATCCAGACTGTTCCTACGATGGATGGGAGTCTCTTCGCACCATGAAACCCGATTATATGTGCGCTATTTTTGTGTTGCTTTGCCATCGCAAGGGCGAACTCTCAGCGGAAACGGTAGCGAGAATGCGACCGGGCAAGGGCCATTTGGTCCGTGCCTGATCCAGGGGAGGAAGAGAGGGGGGACTGGGCTTTGGGCGCAATCGGCGGGCACAGGAGAGAGCGATCTCCCCTCGGACAAAAGGCGTTGGCCATACGCGATGATACCCAAAGGGCCAGCAGACTCGACGTATACACAGCTGTCATCCGGCATCAAGCAGCAGGACAACCCACGTGAAGTGGGATCATCGAAAGAGTCCAACTGTGGTGTGACGCATCTCAGGATTAGACTTCGCATGAAACACTTGGAGTTGAGTCTCCATCACTGCATGGAGTAACCCTGCTAGTCACCGTTCCAGAAGAGATAGGGAACTAAGACGACAGTCGAGTTCCATGGGCGCGGACCTTGTTTCACCACCAACCACCACCAGCACTTCTGGTCCTTGCTGGGTCAGGCTACAAACCGACCACCGAGCAGATCGACAGGGCGAGCATGATACCGTTTCGCCAATCAGCGAGTCCTCCGATACTACCGAAGCAGACGGTGTGATCCTAGGTGCGCCCGGCGCTTGAAAGGCTGCAGGGACGCAGCTGTCGGAGTGGCCTGATTTGCTCCAGTTCCCAGGCCATTTGGGAGTTCGTCCGTGAGCCCGTCCGTCCGTGAGCCAGTCATGGGCCCCGCTGAGACGAAGTGGAGTCATGGCCCGCGCTCGTTAATCTTAAAACACCGTGGGAGGGGCAGCCTCCACCAAGATGAACACGGACAAAACGCCCCAGGTTTGCGATTGAACTCGGACAAGCTGTCATTCTCCAAGGAACTGAAGATCCTAGCGAAAACGCGGCGTGTTCGGGTGCTAGAGGATAATGCTGATGTTGATGACTCTCACAAGATATACGCACCGTCGTAGAATCTGTCGCCGACTTGGCCTCATTTTTGTGCCGTGGATCACGTGATCAATCACCCCCTGGTTAAGACCGTCGCACATAAAGTGCGCGACTCCATTGAGTGGCTCCCACTTACTATATGTTTTACTACGCGCGTATATTGTGGACAGGATTTTTAGGTAGATGGCGAGACCCAGAGTCTTTGGAAGGTCATAGTTCTTAAAAGTACAGGCTAGGTTTACTTCTCGATAGCTCCTCCGCTCTGTTTGACAGCCCGCCCTCGGTAGGCCTGCCTTGGCCGCTCTCATTTGCTACTATTCCCACATTGCCAGAAGCATACTCGGCCATAGCTCCCACCGGAGACGCCACTCCGTCGGAACCCCCAGTGGCTGGACCTCGTGGGTACACGGGAGACGATATTATCGCCTGGGGGTGGAGGTGGGTCCCGTACGGACTCCCCATGGAGGGATCGCCTTGCACCGGCCAGGTATATGCAGCCGACGGTTCATTTGCTTCCATCTCTCCTCTTGGACTATGCGTACTCCCGCGAGGACTGGGAGAGATTGGCATTGCAAACCCCCCTCCAATTGGCTCTCCGGGTGACGCGCCCGGGGCATGCTGGGTTTGCTCAATGACGAACTGGTCAGACATCGCGGCGAACCAGCGCTCCATGTCCGGCCAGTCTCGCAGTGGGAGATGAGCCCATTCTTCCATTCGCGCTGGCTTTTGCTTATGTGCCAATTCTGGCTTGGTTGACGCTTGCACCACACCTGTTGGTCCCACCGACCGAAGTGCCACGAGAACGCTATATAAAGCTGCTTCGGTTTCAGCTAATCTCTGTTCCAGCTGATTCAGATACCCTAGAGGCAACCCTCTGCCCCGTAGACAGGTTCGATTAGTTTGAGATGCACTAACCAAAAATATATATATATATATACTTAACACGAGAATTGATACCTTTTTCCACTCTCTGGGTATATGCATTTTGATGGCTCTGCAGAGCACTGAGAACAAAATGGACTGTAGATTGACCAAATTTAGAGGTGCTCCTGAGACCCGAATCGAGGCTAGAGTGTTACGCACAGCTTCCGGTCACACTAAACCCCGGATCAGCATGGCAAGGAAGCCCCAGGTGTCCAACAATCAACCAACCTTGCATTTGCGCTGCCTGCATATCTCACAAGAGATCGAGCTCAGGTTCTCACTTTCTGCTGCCGCTAATGCATCAGCGGATCCATAGGGCTGGATTTTTTTGTTGTTCTATTCCAATTACCTGGCATGTCGGCATTGGAGGCACGAGTGCGTTTCGAACGCAAGGCACCCGTCATCGGTTCTGGATATAGACATATGCGAAACAATTTAGGCCCTGCAGATTACCTATATGAGGCGTTCAGTGAATCGCGCCGATCGCCACTTGTTGGTTGCACGTTTCAAAGGTGGTGTCCGGAGAAAGGAACCTCCGAACAAGATAGGTCACGTGTGGAGGTTTCCTAAAATGCCGCTCATCTTATGTATGACTTCACTGGTTTCAGTCGCAATTTCGGGTGTATCGCTTAGCCACTTGTAGAGGCTCCATGGGAACTGATTACTGTTGGCTATAATATCTGACTCATAAAATGATCACGTTTGCCGTGCATCCGTCTCATAATAAGGTATGTTATTGGTGGATACATATCCTGAAAAGGTCTTCCTTTTTTAATTTGTTGGTCTAAAGATAGGTAACCAACAATGTATAAAAAACAACAAAACAGTGCCGAAACCTTAATGTGGGGACTCGTGAAACACCATTCTGACGTCTGTGTATACACATTCGTTTCAAGGCGTGATTTCTCTCCAAGTATGTCCAATAAGTCCCGCAACCTCCAGAGCAACCGAACGGCCCAATCGCGTGGCAATAAAATATATAGTCGCATCAATACCATTCGTAACAGCACCAGAGGTGATGACTCTGACACCAGATTGGTTTAACCCCCCATCGCAGTATGAAACCGTGTCTGATGGGTCCTCGGGAACAATTTCTGTTCCTTTAGCATCAGGCGTTCGTAAAGTATACTCACTGCATGCGGTTCGTAGGCCATTGATTGCAAGGCGATGAGTGGTGGCCTTAAGCCCATCAAGAACACCGGCCACTCCAAGCAGATAGCTTCCAATACACACAGATAGAATAGTCCGCTTTCTGGCGATGGGGGCTTGTGGATGTGCGAAGTGTGCGATCATCTCTAGCAGCTCTAGCAGCCGTCCGCTCTCGGGCTGGACATAGGGCAAGATATTTCTGGATCGTGACCCTGGCACAATGAGGATATCGTATTCTGATAGGCGAGCTTGCGCTTCCTTGAATGAAACAGACCGCTTCACCTCGATATTCTCTTGTGATGTGGTGATTTCATCTTTTGCAGCGATCGTGATGGAAAAATTGGTGTTGGAGAGAATTGATATCGGGCCGGCGATGTCGAGGGTATTGAATGCCGGGAAAATGGCCACTAGCGCCGAATTTATCATATCGTAAAGAATATGAGCGATTGCTTGTAAAAGTGTAAGATTCATGAGAAAAAATACAAAGATCGAAATGGAATTGGGTTGTTGAACTCATTCATCGATGACGTCATCGAGGAGTCGCGTGAAGCTGGTAGAGTAGCATCGGGTTTTTGCACTTAGTTCGAGCGCCTGGGAATCCAGATACATAACGATTCAGTGGAGAAAACATTTTGAATAGTAGAATCTCCACGGAACAGGTCATTGGACTTGTCTGCCTGGTTCAACCAAAATTGTATTACAACCAGAATAATGATGAGATAAGCAAGCAATCTGGAGATCCTGATATACTAGAATATGCTTGAATTTGTTACACAGTAGAAGTCTATATCAGTATTAGACAAATGAAATGATCAGAGCAGGGATCCACTCTTTTAATTATATATGGGCACTCGATCTTTAGGAACGTATTCTGCAAATGTATCACTGGTCGGTATCGTCTCAAAAGAAGATATCTAGTCATTTGTAGGTCTCGCACTGCCCCAAAAGCGGTATTGAATCAAACTAGATTGCCATGCTTTTGATCAGAAGTAAAAGGCTATCTCCATCAATTCAGGAAAGTGTAATGGCTAGCAGCATGCTCTGAGCTGAACAAAAGTCCGATCAACGGGGATATCTAGCTCGCTCAGTCAGTTGAGCATACCTATCTTCCTACTGATCACTATCGAACTTGCTCTCTAGGGTCCTATCAAATTGTAGCGCGCATATTATATGCCTTGTTCTGTCTCCTTTTCCTTTCTCTTTGGATATCTTGATGTACATTTAACGAGCATTTGAATAATTTTAGGGTTGGGATTACGCATAGTACTTGTCGAATAGATTAGAGAAATTTTGTACAATCTGAGATAAGGCATCAAACCTAGACTATGTAGATACTAGCAGAAATTGCCGTCCCATCGAATCAATATGTGTGTTTAATGCAGTGCTTTGTCCATAAGTTCGCGCCCCGGGCATTCATGCCCCCGTCATACTGACCTTGTAGCTTTCCCGTCGAGAGCTCAACATTATCTAACGCAAGGCTTGTGTATTCAAAGGGTAATCTACAAAATGTAGCCTAGAACAAGGAAATAGAATTGACATAGCTCATGATGACAAATTACAACTGAAAATCATTTCCGGGTCGTACTTTGAGACCAGCCTTCCGGTATGTCTCATCAACAGCCTCCATCTGCTTGACGCTGTCACCCGCATCGACCCAAACACCCGAGCCTGCTCTGCCTTTGATTTTATTGACGAACTCATCAAGCTGATAAAGATAGGTTGTCCACCAATCCTGTCCAATTCCGGCGCGTGAGTCCCCACTTGGGAACTTGTACGCCTTCTCTCGTTTAGATTCTTTCCACGTCTTCACAAGTTGCTCTCCCCGTCGAATCGTATGCGTATCTTCTACGTCAATTCGGTGGTAAATACTAGGCCCCAGATGATTCCAAAAGACCACATTCCGTTTCACGGTATGGACCTGTCCCCCCGACTCCTCTACAACCTTTTCTTCCAGCTCAACTTCGCACTTCGGCCACCCCATGCGAGGGAGAGCTTTTGTCCACGAGTTAGGTAGCAGTGGCCACCTACCTGATGCCGCCAAGTCCGCAATTAGCGTTCCTCTCATTCCATCTGCTGTCCGGTAACTGGCGGTTATTGCCCGGTCGACTTGATCGGACTCCGGCAGGTCAGTCGGTGGAGCCGTCAGACCTTGGACTTTCACATCCAAAACCTCGGTCGGCTCTTGCTGGAAGATCTGTCGAAGACAGTTCATCGGGTAGGTGCCGAAGTCCATCATAGCGCCACCAGCAAGGTCGAAGCGCCACCGGATATCATTGTCCGGGATCATGCCTTTCGGGAGATATTGCTCGACAAAGGCATTTTGTACCCGGCCTGCGACGGTGTCATGATGGATGCGTGCGAGGAAAGTCTGCCACGCGGGGTGGAAGCGATAATGGAATGCTTCCAGGAGAACGGGTGCGCCAGCTGCTGTGACGAGGGGATGGTTGAATAGGGAGCGTGCCTCGTCAGCATTCGAGCAAGAAGGCTTTTCTAGGAGAACATGTTTGCCGGCACGGATCGAGCGCAGGGCCCATTCGTAGTGAAGACTATTCGGAAGTGCGATATAGACGGCGTCGATAGAGGGGTCTTGAAGGAGGTCTGTCGTGTGCCTATCTCAGTCTTATGATCCCTCAGTCGGACTCGTCTCCTATGTATAAATACCTTCATAGGTGGAATGAACGATAGGGATACCATGCTTCTTTGCGTATGCTTCGGCGCGTGCTTGGTCTCGAGCTGCGACCGCGACAACCATGACGTCGGGGTGTGATTTCGCAGGAGCGATCAACGCAAAAGGACTATCTTTGTTTTCTTCTCATGAGAGCTGTGGATATGCAGATTATGGGATGTGATAGACATACGCGATGGCAGACGCGCCAAGAAGCCCGAATCGAACAGCATCGTCGCGCTTTTTGGCCGGTGGTGGGCTGATAAAACCGGCGTATATACGGTATAACGCGGCAAACATCATCACTACGGATTTTGTATCAGATGGTCAATCCAAGTACTGGAAATTCTAAGCGTTCATTTGCTGTGGATGGGGAGCTTGCCGGTCAGGAAGTTGAAGTAAGGAAGTGACGAAAGCTTGGCAATGCGGGTTTGGTCCCCTGGATTTAAGTTCGAAAGGAGAGAGCTTGAATCATGAGGAACTCTCCACCCCAATAAAACTGGATAGAGAAATCGTTGCGAGATCTAACAATGTATCTTGAAGTCGAGCTTCCCAAAGTGGGCTAGAACCGGAAAGTCTATTCATCCGCGCGCTGCCGCTGTTGCGTTGCTCGCTCTGGAGAACCTCGGCAGCCCCGCCATTCGAAGTGTGGGCCATAGTTCCACCCTCGCCACTAGAAGGACTATACTTCTTGCTTTCGCCGGGCGGAACAGGCAATTGGCAAAGCTGCAGTAATATCAGGAGGTAATACAAAGGTGCCATCACTTGAAAATTCCACCGTTGGATTGCAGGGGTATCCGGTGCCAGAGTGCCAGAATTGCAGGGTTGTCCCCCCGCTCTTTGGCTGCCCTTCCCCCGGGGTGTCCATAGGGCACGATTTCTGATTCAGTCCGTGCGAAGGTATTAGATTGATTCAATGGGAAGAATTGATGCCAGAAGGATTCTTTGGAGTCTTTGATCATGCTACGCTGGACCCGGTGTGCGTTTCTTTTTGATTGGGACTGTGCGGGTGGCTGCATCTGGTTTTGTGTCACCAATCACTGGGGTAGGAGAAGGCATTTGCTTTAGCTTACTGACAGCAAAGACGCAGGCTCTGAGCTGGATCTATGCGTAGGAAGTGTGGTATTGCTAGCAGCTTCTTGCTGAATGAGGAAGGAAAGAGGGCTTTGTGAAGAAAGATAACCAGGTCTGCAGGCAGGGAAGCCGATTACGGTTCGAAAACGGAGGAAGTTGAATCGAAGAATGAATAGAGAATTGATAGAATCTATCAAGACTGCAGAGGACTTTCAATTGTGGCACCTCGAACACTACTGCTCCCACGACGACGAGTTCTATTCGCAGGTTAAAGTCGAAGGCTTTGGTGACGATTCTCCAAAGAGGTCACGTGCACACGGCGTGGCAATAAGACAGACACCGGGCAATGTAGCCCCGGCCATCCCTCCCCCATTGGCCTCCCCAATTGACCTCCGCGGTGATGGATGGTGGCAAGAAATGATATTCAGGACTGCCAGCCAAGAAGAGGGATGAAAGATACCTACTATGACGTCTCCATCTTCTATCAGTACTCGTGTCGAGGACTTTGAGCCCGACTGGCCATATGGCCCTCGGGCCAAGAGACGCAAGCGGGCCTCCACCGCCGATGCATCGAGACCCTCGCCGCGTGAAATTGGATTCATGAGAGAGTCTCAGAATGAGGGGTCTGCCAGTTTCATTGGAAGTTCAAGTGGGATCCACTTCATTCGACATGTCTACAACGCTTTTGCTCGCCGCTCGGCGGACCTACAACAAACCAGGGCTCAGGATAAAAGCTCAGTTCCAGGCGAAGATGATCGGCTGCAGCGTGGTATTGGAACATCTCACGATCGAGATCAGTTATGGTCTGATGGGGAGGTAGATTTCACGCCGAATGCCAAGTTCTTGTTTGAAGACCTGATTCATTGGACTCGCGGCTACTTTGAAAATTGGCATCCCATCTTCCCGTGTCTCCATGCGCCGACCGTGTTGAAAGCCATGGAGCAACTCGGTAATCAGGGTCAAGCACACGTGAACCATTTAGATATGATCATCATCCGCTCAATCATTTCGATCTCTCTGGGAGATAGTCGACAGGCAGAACGCTCGGGATCACGGATAGGCCCCATACCTGCATCATTGACCTTTCAATCAGTGCAGCAAGTCATGCAGGATATTCAAGGTCTCCTCGCAAATCCAACGACTCTTCCGTTACTCCAGGCTGCTTTTATGATCCAACTGGCCCTTACTTCCCTCTTGCGTCTGAATGCTGCATCTCGAGTAGGTGGAGTCATCACGCGCACTGCATTTCATTTGGGGTTGCATCGCTGCCCAGGCAGATTCCAATGCTTCACGCAAGAGGAAGTAGATATTAGAAGGCGTCTCTTCTGGTCTATTTATTGCCTCGAGCGATATCTTTCACAAGCGCTCGGCATTCCACTCGGAATTCGGGACGATGATATCGATGTATGCTATCCGGGCGATGAGCGCCATGTAACTCCCAAACATATGGCATCCGATGATCATCGCCTCAAATTACTCTGCCATCTTGCGAAGTTTGCCAGAATCCGGGGCTTAATTCTGGAGCTTCGCAACAAATCTATTCTGCACAGCCATGCCGGGGCAGTGGAAGCCTCCCATGTCAATGGCGAGCTTTCCCAGTGGTGGAATGAAGTTTACGATGATGTGAATCCAATTGAAGACGAAAGAGAATCTGAGTCATCTGAAGCCCCTGCCTTGAGCGCATACCACCGTCTATTACTCATGGTGCTACGGCACGAAGCAATAATATCCATGAATCGCCCGCTCCTTGCGGCAGACAAACCGCATGCTGATTTCAAGAATGCCTTACAAACTTGCATCGCATCCTCACGTTTCTTACTTAACACCTTGAAAAGATATATGTCATCAAACTCTGATACTCCGTTGACTTGGCCATCTTTCACTTGGACAACCTGGATGGCTTGTCTCATACTGATGTGGGCATCGTGGGAAGGCGAGTTCCCAGCGCCGACTGCCCTAAAGTATGCCCGGATGGGGATAATCGTCTTGGAAAATCTTGCATTACGTGGAAGCAGCTGGCCGGAAACATGCATTGAGGCGATCAAAAGCATGGAGTCGGCATTATCCAATAACGCATCGATCGACCACCATAACGAGAGCTCTACTGGCATTCATACGCCTCATAAAAACGTCACCAATCACACTCAGACACCAGGGACTCAGAGAATGACCAGGCTATCCGCTCAGGGTAGAAGCCGCCAGTCTATTGGCTCGTCCCATGGACCTGCTAATGGGCATCCGGATTTCTCTTCCTCAGTAGACGCGCAGCAGGTTGAGCCAGCTATGCGCATGCCTTACAATGGGGAGAACTATGAAGCCATATCATCGCCCCCAAACATCTCCGGCAATGGATTTGACATTTCCTCAAACGGGGCCTTGTCTTTCAACGGCCAAAGTTCAGGCGGTCTCATATTTGGCAGCATTATGAATAACAATGCGCCATTCTCCACGGGTATGGGAGGCCAGGACTCGTTGCCATTTTCAGATTTTACATCCCTGTTTACGAATGATCTATGGAGCGTGGCGGATGGGCCTTGGATGATCCATGGAAACTTTTTGTGACGTGATATTTGACAATGTACATAAGAATATTGATAGCATATATATACTTCAAAAGTGGGCTTTTCGCCTCCACCAATCCATCTTATGCTAGTGTAATCTTGAGTATTTTTCTCTCTTTGTCCAGGACTACTCTCAATTGACCCTTCTCCTGCTCTGCGTCGCGGTGCTGGGATTTGAAGAATCCCCTACGTAGTTGATCAAGGTATAACTCGTAGGCAGGCATATACCCCCTTACAAATTTCACAACCGCCTCATCCGTCATTCCTCGATTTGTCCTTTTCCGAAGAGCATGCTCCTGCTGGATCCGCCATTCATAAACATTCACCAGATCATCTGTATCCAGGTGAACGAGGAAATCGAAATGCCGCGATCCCATAAACATTTCAGAATATTCCCTTAGATTGCTGTTTACTTGCAGTAAACTCTCTACCGCGTGATCTCTCAAGGTCTCTGTCAAGTACCCGGACATAGCCTTCTTATCCTGGGCTTCGTTCCATCGGCATCGAATTGATTCTTCTCCCAGCGGTTGAAAACCGACACACCAGCCCTCGAAGACGACAATGTCCACCGATGTGCCTGCCGGCACTCGAGGCCAGCTGTCTTGGTCGGCTCGGTCGCCTTCACCGCCAAATTTGCTCTTATCAAATGCTGGAATCAGGATCTCCTTGGAAGAGTCCAACAAATCTTTGAAAAAAGAGACTGCCAGAGCTGTGTCGTGCGTTCCTGGCTGTCCGCGTGTCTGGAGCAGTCGGTTCTGCGGGTTCCGTCCGCGAACCTGAACAAGCTCATGATGATCAAAATAAAGATCATCCAGAGAGACATTGATGGTGTTATATTTATGTTGATCGCGCAGAGTCTTGACCAGCGCATCGGTCCAGGTTGACTTGCCGCTTCCTTGGAGACCTGTAAGACCTAGGACAAATGGGCGCTTGGTCTGAGCGGAGGCCTGAGACTCAATATGTCGTTCGATTTGAGGGATTATGTGTTGAAGAACATCTTCAATGCCTTTTTTGGGAATTGTAGGCGTGGTCATGCTTCTCAACTTGAAATCTTCTAGTTCACTGGACGTAAAAGTGCGGTGCAGATGCGAAAAGAAGCGAACACGACGTCGACGGAAATGAATTGTGATTGTTCAATAATCTTGCCCGATGACAAACAATTATCACCCACATCTCTATCCCTGGATCCATCTCCAAGAGCTCTTGGTATCGTGTGTCCGTGACGTAGATCAAGTCTGAGTTGTTGGGGAGGCGGACGTTTCTTTCTCCGGGAAAGCACCTCGGAGATTGACACCTCCGTCCCGAGCCGCCCGTAGTCATAAGGCCCTGGACAAAGACACCTCCGGGCAGCCCTCCACCGCGGGCCTATTGGCCAAAACAATTGGGAATGAGGGGGTTTTCCATACTTGTCGCTTCATTGCAGACCCAGAATCAAATGAAATTCACGCTGTTAGCGCGAGTTGCTTGAAAATGTCCCCCCGCATGTACTTAATCATTGCCCCTCCTCCAATCTGACTTCTTTCTTCTAACCCAAATTTACCCCTCCAAAGTCCAAAATGTCTACTGGCAAGACTTACAGCATCGCCTCGATTCCCGCTGATGGAATTGGCCCCGAGGTCATCGAGGCCGGCATCACCGCCTTGAATGCCTTGACCGATACCCTCAAGACCTTCAAGCTGGACTTCAAGAACTATGACTGGAGCTCTGAGACCTACAAGAAGACCGGCAAATACATCCCCGACGGCGGTCTTGAGGAATTGAAGAAGCATGATGCCATCTTCTTCGGTGCCGTTGGCGCGCCAGGTAAGTTTAGACTCTTTCTCCCCAAAAGCAAACCCATAGCTATGGTCTGAACGCTTCTTCTCATGCGGATCTGATTCAGATGTTCCCGATCATATCTCCCTCTGGGGTCTCCGTCTTGCGATTTGCCAGCCCTTCCAGCAGTACGCCAATGTCCGTCCTACCAGAGTCTTCCGTGGCACTGAGTCGCCTCTGCGCAACTGCAAGACTGGCGACTTGGACTGGGTCATCATTCGCGAGAATAGTGAGGGTGAATACGCCGGCCAGGGTGGCCGCTCTCACACTGGCAAGCCGTGGGAGGTCGCGACCGAGACGGCGATCTTCTCCCGCCATGGCGTCGAGCGCATCATGCGCTTTGCCTTCGAGACTGCGCAGAAGCGACCGCGCAAGCTGTTAACCGTTGTCACTAAGAGCAATGCCCAGCGCAACGGCATGGTCCTCTGGGATGAGGTTGCCAAGGCTGTCGCGGTCGACTTCCCCGATGTCACTGTTGATAAGATGCTCGTCGATGCCATGACTACTCGCATGGTCTTGAAGCCTGAGAGCCTGGATACCATTGTTGCCACAAACTTGGTAAGTGATACATATAGTATAGAAGGCTGGAAAAGAAGAAAGGAGAAGAAACCTATCCATGAAAGGCTTTGGAACTGACATCTCTATAGCACGCTGATATCCTCTCTGATCTTGCCGCTGCGCTGGCCGGATCCATTGGCATTGCGCCCACCTCCAACCTCGACCCGACTCGCCAGTATCCCAGCATGTTCGAGCCCATCCACGGCTCTGCCTTCGATATCACTGGCATGGGTATCTCGAACCCCGTGGCCACTTTCTGGACTGCGGCCGAGATGCTCGCTTGGCTGGGCGAGGAGGACGCTTCCAAGAAGCTGCTGGATTGCGTTGAGACTGTTTGCGAGAAGGGTGTTCTGACTCGCGACTTGGGTGGCCAGGCCACTACCAAGGAGGTGACTGATGCTGTCGTGGCTGAGATTCGGAAGCTGGCTTCCCAATAAGGGGTCTCTTATCAGGCTGGTCGAAGACTGTACCTGTGGGGGAAAGGGGAGGGAAAAGGCATGACTGTATACATAAGATTGATGCGATATACCTATAGAATGAAGAAACTTGATGTTTAATAACAATATTTGACATTCTAAAGGCCTGACAGTTGATCATGTCTCTCCAAGACGTATTTATTCAAAATATTATATAGTATTTTGAAATACTTGACTCGATACTCCGCACCTCTTCGAGGGTATTCAGACGCGTTGTTTCCAAAAGTAGGTGGTGTAGATATTCAATGCCGAATGGAAAGCTGATCTTGTGATATTAACAATTATAGACAGAATCCTAATAATTACAGCCGAAGCGCTCCCGCCCAAGGCGGAAGATGCAGAATATATAGTACAAAATTAAACTGTAAGCCTTTCCACCCACGTGTTCTCTTATTTACCCGGCGACCCAGCCAGACACACAAACTTGCGATCCGGAGTCGAGTCCAGCACGTTCTTGACCAGGTTCCACACGTTCAGGTCATACGCCTCGCCGATGTGGCCGACGGGGTCGAGCGGGCAGGTACTCTGAATCCAGCGGTTGGTGACGCCGTCCTCGTCGATGAATGAGGTTGTGGGTGGGGTGACGAGCTCGTCATACTTGGACGCGATGATAGTGACCGTGTTACCGGACTGGACGATCGGTGTGCCATCGTTCAGGCGCTCAATGGCGGCGCCGCCCGGGCCAAGGTCATCACAAGCACCACAGCCCACGGCATGAAGGACATCGCTGACGACTTCGCGGGTGGTATTCCCGAGCAGGTAAGCGAGGTTGTAGAGACCGGCGAAAGAAGTGGCGTGAGTGGGCGGGGCGATGGACGCGATCTTGTCAATAAGATGCGATACGCCCTCGAACTTGGGCACGTAGAGAGACTGGAATGCGCCCTCCGAGTGACCGACCAGATCGACCTTGCTCTTGCCCGTCTTTTCCACGACCTCCTTGATATACGCGGCGATCTCGGGCGCCGACTCGTTGATCGGCTTTAGTCCGCCAACAAAAGGGAAGCCGTCGTATGCGCCATAGGTGAGTGAATATGTGCAGTAGCCCTGGTTTTGCAGCCAGTACTGTAGGTAGTTGAGGTCCTCATAGTAGGTTGCGCCCAGACCGTGGAGCAGGACGACTGGGTTCGAGTCCGAGGTGCATGAAAAATCGTTGATGCCCGTCGCGTGGGCCGCAGAGGCGACCAGCACGGAGGAGGCCAGGAGCTGCCGGACTGAAACCATGGCGAAGCGTATTTGTGTATAATTTTCGCTGGTAGATCTCAGGTACCTGTCTTTTTTTGATCGGGAGCTGGGGCGTCAATCCACGGTTGCAGAATCAGGGACAGGAGTCACCTCGGCCCTTTTATGATTTGGTCTTCAGCGGAAGTGACGGGTCCCTCGTGGTCCTTTTTCTTTCTGCAAGATCAGCTCAGATCCATCGTGCCCGGCGCTATCGATTGTTGACCGAGATCCTCGTGCTATGACTGGCCCGTGTGCGGGGAAGGGTGGACCACTTAATCTCATTAGTGCTAGTCGCGATCACGACCCGGGTGGAGATTCAGGGATGCGGACCAATAAGACCTGTGGGGAAGGGAGTTTCTTGTCCTTTTGGGGATCGAATCCGAGCTGTTTTGATGCATCATATCCAGACTCAGCTCGAGCAGAGGTGAGCGGAAATGAACCGAACTCCGGGTCTGAAATAATAGGTGACATCAATTGATCTCATGTGTACGAACATTGAAATAGGAAAATTTCTTCCAAAGCCAAAGGGGCCAAACTCGCTCCAAGGGATATCTCGCTCATGATAAAATAGAATCAATACTAGTCATGCAAACATCAATCGCATGGGCTCGTCACCATGGATTTCGCGAAGTCGCACCACAAAAACAAATCATGACATGAAAACTGAAAACAGCTCAATCATTGAGCGGCGAGTTTTCTCGAACAGAGAGCTCTGGCATAGCGCTACCCCAAAGTCCCAGGGAATGGCGTCGCTCTACTAGTTGCAGTACTTCGATCATGAAAGCGCGCTCGGGCCCGCCATCTGGGAAAGCTTCCCAGGCCACCCGCGTGGGAAACGCGAGACGATTGATCATATTGCCTGGAGCAGTTTGGATATACCATTCCAAGGTCCGACAGATCCCACATCCGAAATCATATTGTTCCATAGGAGTGACTCGGCCCTCCGGGCGTTTGTCAATCGAGGAGAGAATCAGTCGAAACGCATAGTACACACACATGGTCTGCGCCAGAAGAAGATTGGGGTAGGAGAATTTGGTTGGTACGAATATCGTGCCCGTGCGCAGGTCGCGCCGTTTAAAGATCGGAAAGTCCTGATCTTTCGTCTGTTCAACTTCCTCTATGGATCCATCAGGGTAGCACTCAACCCAGTCATGATGCCACTCCTCGAACTGCCCAGTAAGCGCAGCGATGCCGTTCCAAAGTGCCGCCTGCTTGACGGCCATTTCTTGGGCACCCATCACGGAGGCTTTTTGAGCCTCTGCAAATGAATCAGACTGGGCCAACAGACCTGGAATATCTGTAGCAATGTCAAGAAGATGGTGTAGAATGTCCTTGGTGGTCGTATTGGCGGACCAAGGAATAGTTTTCCATTCCTCACGGGCCAAAAAGAAGGTTGACGAGCAGCCAAAGCGCCGCCGATCTAACTTCTTTGTCAGCATTTGTCTAGTCGTATGCTGCAATTATACAATGGACATACCCAATATGGCCGTAACTCGGTGAAAAGAAGATGCTCAACACCGTACATATGGTTTTCCGGGCCTCGATGCTCAATCAAGCGCACAGCACCTCGAACATGAGCCGAGACACCTTTTTGCGTCGTTCTTTCCACGCTCTGAAAAGGTCAGAATCGGCTTTGCTCAAAAAAAACCCCCATGTAAAAAGACCATACCTCAAAGGCAAGCAAAAGGATCACAGTGACTAAAGTGGACTCGGCTTTGCATTTCTCGGGGTCCACCAATGCATCCTGCAGCCCCCGCAGCACACGTGGATACAATCGGAAGCCCGACGCCTCGATCTGCTTGTTCTGGACGGACCTACCAAAGAAGGCTACCGAGACAGCCTCGAAAGCGTCCGAGATGAGAGGTGAGAACATGCGAATACCTGCAGCTGCTCGAAGCGCACCAGCGCGGCCAGACTTGACGTCAACCTCGGGGGCAAACGCGTCCACGAAGCGCTCCACAAAGACATCTACAACGGGTCGCTGCATGTTCATGACGGAAATAGTGCCAGACGAAGAAGATCCGTCAGATGCGCTGTCCTCCGACATAATATCACCGAACTCGTCATCCTCGTCTTTGTGCTTAACTACTTGGTCATTGAAATCATGATCCGGACTGCTATCGCGCAGCCTCTTCCAGATTGGCACAATCGACACGGGAGAGCTACGTGAGTAATCAAGACCTTCATAAGCTACAGGGATACTTTGGTTAGCAAAAAGAGTAATGAGAGAATCGGGTCCCGAGAAACATTTGAGCATACCTTCTCTGCCTTCCCACGGCCCTACAGTTGTCAATTCCTTCTTCAGCCCACCATGCGCCTCTCGAATATCGCGCACCAGTGAATCGACAACAGAAAGCGGGGCTGAGCGAATAGACTCAAATAAGCTCTCCAGCTGGTCCAGCCGCTGAAGATCTTGGCCCCGAAACCCTACAAACCAGACGCGTTAGCCTGGTGTTTCAGCTGCCCTAGCATGAGAATCGACCATGGAGATCGGGAACCGGGGGGAGAGTGGCGCATCCATGGACCCTGGGGGCCACCCTCGTGCCCGCATGGAGCTTGGCTCGAACGCTCACTCACCCTCTTGTTTTTCATCTATTCGGGCCCGAAGGTCTCGGATTTCCGCGCGAAGATTCTTAATTTCTTCAGCTTGGCTGATCGGCCGGGCGTCCTCGTCGGGCGCGGTTTCATAGACGCATTTTGACGGGTAGCCATGGGCGCAGCACGCGTGGCACGGCTTTACTCGATCACACTAGAGAAACGACGGCAAGAAGGATCGACGTTAGCTACTTGGATAGCATAATTAAGGTCGCATCCGCTTTTCAATCGCGCTACTAAATATGCCGCCCAGCCCTAGCACTGATGCTGGGGCCCGTGAAGTGTGATGTACTTGGTACAGTAGTGGGACAGGGCAAACGGGAGCGATGGCCGGACGGTCCCTCCCGTTGCGATCTGAGCACGCCGGCCGGGGGGGGATGGTTGGCATACCTTGACTTTGCGGAGCCGGCAGACTTTGCAGGAGCGCGACTGGCGGTTCGGTGCCTTCCTGACTCGCAAGTCGGAGGCAGCTTGTCGCGATTCACCGGACATGGGGACGCGGCACAGGGACGGAGGAGGAGGAGGGAGAACATCGCGAGCCAACGACGCTGCGGGAATTAGGGGAGCCAGATTTCCGGTGCGGGTGTCCGAGATCTTCTGCTCGGAGCGAGTCAGGGTGGACCCAGTGAGCCCCAATTCTAGATTCAGGGTGGCTCAGGGTGATCCGACCTGCTGCAGTCTGATCCAGTCTGATCCAGTCTGATCCAGTCTAATTCAGTCCAGGCCAGCACTTGAGGGGGAGCTCGAGCGGGCTTGAGGATTCTGATAGGTGCTGTGGCTGGCGGAGCTGGATCCGCCCGTTGCGACCAGGCCCGCCCGAGCGCCGCTGCGATTGGCGCAAGGCCAGAAAAAAAAAGAGATTGGATGCAGCTGCTGTCAGTCGCTCGATTCGGTAATGAGGGGCACCTTTTCGTTGGGGAACTGCACAGGACCAGCAGGGAGGAAGGTTGGGGAGAAGCGAAAGCCGTTGGACTGCTCGGGGAGACAGACCGCAGGGATGTAAGGTTTCCCCGGACAGCAATGACAACACGGGCAGAACTCGCGCGATCTCTGGATCTGTAGATCGAAGCAACCAAGGATCTATAAACACCTAGCAGTCTAGTTCTCGGGTGATAGATCGATTCCGGCGTGCAAGTTCAGCTGAATTAATCCATGTCAAGAGTTGTCCAATAAGGGGGATCTCGTACAACCGGTACTTTTGTACTTTGTGCAGTCCAGTACGCCGATCTACATTCCGTGGGCTGGCTGAACCCCCCTTGCCGAGGTTCCCGGAAGTACCGACAGGAGCGCCAACGGTCTGCACGATGCACGATATACAGAGAGAAGCATACTCTTCGCACACTTGATTGGGGCCTCCTTTCCAATAGTTCCCAGACTATAGATTGTCGGTCGCGGGCTCGTGCGGCTGCGCTCGATATGAACGGGCACAAATGGGCTGAGACCTTATGGTCTTGCAATGCCCATCTGCATTCCATATCGATTGGCCCCGAACACATCCTAGGATCACCATACTTGGGCCGATAGAGGTGCATAATCTCGCCCGGATATAGCCTATACCGTACGGCTGAGTTTATTTAGATCTCATAGTTGAGCCCCCTATCCAGGGACCCCCATCGGTGGCTTTTAGAATGAACCTCTGATAATCTCAGGTCATATATGCACAGTCAGGGAGTAAAGAATTTCGGAGTAATGCAACAGCAACTTTTGACTGATTGAAAGCCCTACTTAGGGCTTGAATCCCTCCAAAACGTAGAGAATTGCTATTTTGCGCCGCCCCTATTTTCTATCAACCAGTCTATACCACCCTATCTTCTTAAAGACAGACCTGGTGATCAACCCCTCAGCCTTGAGACAATGTATAGACCGCCTCCCACCGCCACTTAGAGGCCTGTGCAGCCCAGTCTAGATTAGTGTTTGGCCCATTCAATTCACCATTCGCATCGCTTACAGTCCAGGATCCCTAGCAGACGGGATTTTCTAGCGGGTTTCTGCTTCCCCGCCCCCATCTTGCACATCTCCTTGCAGCTCAGCCGCTTCTCTGACCAGCAACGAACAGATGGGATGGATCCCGACTATGGCGTCTAGCTCGGATCGATCGACTACTTATACTCTTAGCAAACCTTACCCACTTCGATCTATTGATGCTTTCCACTCCACTTTGGCCCACCGACCATGACATTCACTGCCAGCAACGCGGACGTCAAGTCAAGAATCCAGGACAGCGAGGTCCCCGTGCCTTGGTGTGGGGAGTTCGACAGAATGATCAATGGAATGAGGTGCGTGAGTATACTATCCACTCACACGATCTACTTCCCAAGATGCTGGACTCTCTTTCAGGACAATATATAGGCCGATGACTGATCCCCAGAACGCAGCTTTTCAACCTCAAACTCCGAGGTCCTCATGGAGAAGAAGCTTTCGACCCTCCAGAAGCTGAACCAGTTCAATGATGTCTCCATTCCAGAAGGCAGCACATTGACTTCCCTGAAGACAAGACGCATGGCAGTTGCCCAGCAGATGCTCGGCCGGACTGGTAACAACACTAACATCGAACCGGCTTTTTTTGTCACCTGGGGCTGCAATATCTTTCTCGGTGATAATGTCTACATAAACCGCGAGTAAGCTACACTTTCATCTATTTCATCAGAACCAGTCATTCAAGTATCTACACTCGATGAGACGAGCATTAACCGGCGCTTTTCTGACCAGGTGAGTGCCGAATACCAGAAGCCAGCAGACACATTGTCGTGAATGCGACCCTATCCAAAACTAACACGCCATCTTCATGCTCCAAAGCGTATCGATCTACGACAATTCTCTTGTTGAGATTGGCGACCGAGTCCTCATTGGCCCCGGCGTCTGCATCTGCACCGGCACCCATCCAAGCGCTGCCTCGGCGCGGAAAAAATGCGACGGTACCTCTTTCGCATTACCCATCATCATTGAAGCTGACTGTTGGATCGGTGCCCGTGCAACTATTCTACCGGGCATCCGGATCGGGAAGGGAACCACGGTGGCGGCGGGAGCAGTGGTGACTCGCGACGTGGCTCCGGGATGCCTTGTGGGTGGAGTCCCTGCGAAGGTTATCCGGAACTTGGATTAGGATTGCGTGCGGAAAGGTGTATAACAACATCAGTATCTAAGCTGATGGGGCATACTTTGGCCGTATACGATACGATACGCGTGCCTTCAATCCGTGATGACTATACAACGGTGACGGAATATCTTTGCAAGAATGTGTCATTGAGCCGTCAATCTCGCAAGCTTCTTCTCGTTTGACTAGTCAGTTTTGAATGCGCAATCTTATTTTGTCTCCAGAAATTCCGGGGTTGGACAACAGGCGTGAAGGGTGTGACACATCGGGGGTAGAAACATATTAGAGTCGCGGAGTCACACTGCAACATCTTAACAAGTAACTATGTACTTTACCGGGGGTTCTGTGTTTATCAATTGTTGTAAAAAAAAATCCCATCGGCCACGACAGGCTGGGGAAAACTATCCCCTAATTTCACCTTAGGAATGTCATTCAGCCAAAACATGTCGGCCGAGTCGACTCAAAACTCAGTCGTGGTTTCTCAGTGCAGCTCCTTCCGGTAGCCTCGCCAATGTCAGCATACATCCTCTTTGTAATTTAAAATTGATCTGGTTATACGGAGGATATCCGGATACGAGCATGATTTCTCCGCATGATGACCCGAAGAACGGTCTCGATTCTGGCATGGCAATGTGATATATATGCTTTGAGAGATCCATAATTTCAACCGACCTTGGCAAATTTGTTCTAGAAATCTTGAGAGAAAGTACCCCAGGGCCGATCCCCAGTGCGTTGGTCGTGTAAATCGTATTTCTACCGACCATGTATGCCTATCATGTTTCACCCAGCGCCAGGAGGAACCCCGAGCCGAGTTGTCTGGCGCAAGCCCCACCCGGAGTAACTGCGAGGGTCAGATGAGCCGTGGCTGGAGTTGAACCATGCATAGATTGAAGATAGCATGATGCGTAGAGAAAGAGATGCGCCGTAGGTGTAAAGCATAGGTCGCACTAGAGATATTGTTCGGAGACGATTCCGCGATAGAATTTGAGCATCGCGGCAGCTGTGAATCCGTATGCATACTGTACCCTATCAAGCGAAATATGGTTGGAAAAGACTGCGTTCATCACCTATACAAGCGATCAATCGAAGCGAAATTATGTGATCCACATCAATCAATACATCGATGTCTACTTGGACGTTCTCTCAGTGCCTCATTTGATTTTCATCTTCTTCACCGCAGCTTCAAAAAAAGAGTATCTGCAGGGGTTGGGAAATAAAGGGTCTCAACCTCGGGAACCGGTTTCCCAGCCAAGCCTTCGCAAGCCTGGACACGAAGTTAAATGGCGTGGAGGAAACTCAAAGCGTCGGTTTCCACGGCTGATCATTCAAGCTTCCGGACCAAGTCCGAGTCATCATCACCGAAAGCAGGTCGGGCCATGCAGCACATGGCACACATGCGTGGGGGAATCCCCAAGCTCTTGGATGAGCACTGGCTTGGCGGGCGGCCGAAGTGACCTGCTCGCCGCATCTGAGTGGCTTCCGGGTCGTTTCTGGGTCTTCATCCCGCATCTCCTCCGAGGTCATGGCCCCTACCCTGCCAATTATCGCCAATCCCGGCGCAGCCATGACACCATCACGCCTCGTTTCGCTCCAGAATCTTGAGTCGATATGCCTATTGGCCCCGGAGACCCACGGCGGCGTGGGGCATGCCGCCTCCCCCACGCACTTGCTACCCCAGAGTCTCCGGGGTAAATGCGATGGTCGTGGAGTCGGGGAGTTGGGTGCCAGATCCACATCACCCCATATCGCCGCTCAACAGTGGACAGGGCAGAAATGGCATGACAGAGCCGGACATGGGCATCCCCGGTTCTCTGCTCCTCCCCGATACGCACTGATTATGCCTTTCTCGGTGTCGCAGGGACATAAAAAATGAGACGCTCCCCCGCATGTCGACTCACCCGGGGTGTGAAACATTTCGTTTTCTCTTTCCCTGCGTAGGCGTCCCTTTTGATCCTCCTACTATTCCTTGTCAAACGACGTCCTCGTCTCCTTCTCTTGCCTTCGCATTCACTATCGCACTATCAAAACCCGCGATGGCTGCCGCTATGAACTCCATGGCTACGCCGGGGATGGCGGGCGCCGAAACGCTGCCTGCCATCAGAGACACAGAAGCCATGGGTGAAAAGGCAGAGATGTCCCACGAGGAGATCGTGCACTTAACTGAGCTTACTCCCGAGGAAAAGATCCTCGAGAAGAAGTTGCGGGTGCGCATTGACTCCCTGATCATGCCACTCGTAGTGCTGGTTTACCTACTCAACTATATCGATCGGTGAGAAACCATCATGTTTCGCGCGATTTTGCGCGCTGAAGAGATCGTATGCGGAATACTGGCTAATCATGCTCATTATAGAAACAACTATGCCGCCGCGAAACTACAAGGGCTAACGGAGGATTTAAACCTCACTGATACGCAATACCAGACCGGCTTGTCGATTCTTTTCGTCGCGTATATCCTGATGCAGGTTCCTAGCAACCTGATGCTCAATTACATGGGCCGCCCATCATATTACTTGGGATTCTTCATCTGCGCCTGGGGGTTGGTCTCGGCTTGCACAAGTCAAGTGAAAAGCTATGGGTCAATTGTGGCTTGTCGGTTCTTGTTGGGCCTTGTTGGTAAGAAGACCGGATATATCTGACGCATTCTATATCCTGTCCGTTCTGTGCACTTTTAACTGACTATCGCGCTCCAATTCTAGAGGCGCCCTTCTTTGCCGGTGTCTTGTTCTATCTGTCCAAATGGTATACTAGGAAGGAATTGGCCTTCCGCATGAGTATCTTTTACTCGGGCTCCCTGCTGAGTGGCGCCTTCGGAAATCTCATCGCAGCCGGGATCTTGAAAGGCTTGAAGGGCAAGGCAGGTATGTCCGCCTGGCAGTGGCTCTATATCATTGAGGGTGTTATCACTGTTTTTGTCGGCCTGGTTATTTGTTTCGTGCTCCCCGACTTCCCAGAGACCTGGAAGTTGCTCTCCCCTGAGATGCGTCGTGTCGCGGAGCGGCGACTGGCAATTGAGGCTGCCGAGGCGGACGTCGATGAGGAGGGTGGCATGAGCCAGCTGAAGGGATTGAAGTTGGCAATGACGGATATCAAGACCTACGCCCTCGCAATTGCGTACATGTGCATCACTGGCGCGGCCGGTTTCCAGAATTTCTTCCCGACGTTGACCGGAACGCTGGGGTACAACAATACAATCTCCTTGCTCCTGGTCGCACCACCTTACATCTTCATGGTCGCATACAGTCTGGGCCACTCCTGGATCTCCGACAAGATGAGCATCCGGTTCTGGTTCTTCGCCTACCCGATCCCGCTCACGATCATTGGCTTCATCATTTTCATGACCACCGACGGCTTCGGGCCCCGCTACTTCTCCATGTTCCTGATGATCTTCGTCTTCGCGCAGAATGGCACCCTCTACTCGTGGATCGCGAACGCAATTCCCCGCCCACCCGCCAAGCGTGCTGCAGCTTACGCCTTCATCAACTCAATCGGTAACTCCGCCAGCATCTGGACACCCTACACCTATCTCGACTCCGAAGCGCCGAAGTATTACACCGCGATGGGCGTGTGTATCGCGCTGCAGGGCATTGGGCTGCTGATGGGTATTTTCATGTACTTCAATCTACGCATGCTCAACAAGCGTCAGGAGCGACTGGAGAATGAGGATATCCAGCTCACGGAGAAAGAGCTGCGTCGGTTACAAGTCACTGCGGACTTTGAGGGAATTGATCTCGCAGCTGCGCGACGGTTGCAGAAAGGATTCCGGTTTGTTCTGTAATATAGCAGGCTGGAGAGGGCGAGGAGGAATTTAGTGTTCTATGTAGCACGGCATGTAACTATTTCTTTTTCTTATTGACTAATTGATCAACCGTGCCCACCTGATTAAGGGCTTAAATAACCGATGCCTGTAGCTAGGATTGTACCGTTACCGTTCCTGGTGGTCCCATTGCGGGGACGCCATGTGCATCCCCGTCCAAGGTTAAATCTCTTTTAAAGTCTATGACGTCCGCGTCTGGCCGCTTTTCGACCGAGCTCAACCACGGATCATCCCACTCTCTCGACTTCGTGCTGTGTGGCCTGCTTGATAAAAAGCTCGCCCGCTTCCTTTTTCCTGAACTACTCTCAACCCCAACCTGTTGCCAGGCACAGTTTGTGTTACATTTCCAAATTAGTCTCGGACTGTGGATACCGATATCCTTGACAGTCTCCATTCCCCAGTTTTCCAGCCCGCATTCCCCGTTGATCGACCCCTTGCCTCCCCCGCACTTCCATTCTCGCATCCACTTTTAAGTCTCAGCACATCGCCACCTCTCTGGCCTCAACGCCTCCTTCGTACTCTTCACCTGCCAAAGCGTCCATCACTATAAGTTCTCCTCGACCATGCAGTCCGCTGCCTTGACTCGCTCCTTCTTCCGAACGGCTCCGGCTTCCCTCATCCTCTCCCGCCAACTCTCCACAACCCCAATTACCATGGCCGCCGGAGACACTGGCGCCCCCAAGCCAAGAGGCTTTCTGGCTGAGTAGGTCTCACCCTGAGAATGGAAAGCTATCCCATAGTTGTCCACCCTGCCCACAACAAAGACCAGTGGGCGGAGTACATGACGTCATAGACAAAAGATCACTGACTCGACGGCGAGCACAGGAAGGACCAGTTCCAGCGTCGCGAAGCGGCTCAAGAGGCTATGTATATTCGCCAGCAAGAGATGGACAAGTATGTATATGATGTATTCGATGTTTTTCTAGGTCGATGCGATATGAAGGGGAGATGGAGTGGAGTCGTTCGGCGCAGTCGCTGATGTGAATATATATTTACTTGCAGGATCGAGAGGTTGCGGCTAAAAATGAAGGAGTCACGAAAACACATGGAAGAGCTGGATAAACATCTGTAAGTGTGGGTCATTCTTTGTTTTTACACTCACATCTCGTGCTTAGGCTATCCGTTTTCCCTTTGAAAATGGGTGAATGACTGACCGATTTGCTCAATGTTTGTACCAGGGAGGAGTTGGCTAAAACCCAAGGTGGCGAGCAGAACTAATCTGATATTTCAAAATGGGGGTCCCTCTGTGGTAACGAGCCCAATTTGCCCTACGCAGGTCCAATAGTTCTATGTGGTTAGCAACATGATTAATTCCCATCCCCTTTTTACTTTCTTGCAATTCGACTGTGGTATTCTAGCGTCAAGTTCCAGTTGGACAAATTCACATTCTTATTCAATCTGATAATTAACAGTTTGCATTGCCATGGGTCTATCTGGTCGATAGCTATCTGTTCTTACCAAGCAGCGTCCATTTCAGCTGCACGTCTTCCGGATTCCTGACCGCCAATGTCATCTTGGTAATCGGTCTCTGTACGACCCTCTGTAACCGGAGCGTAGGGTCTCCCGGTCCATCCCCCGGAAGAGCATGAGGCTCGCAGCGAGCTGATCGGAAAAGAGTGACCATGGTCGCGACAAACTCCACTTCGGACATCTTGAGGCCCGGACATACTCGGGGGCCACCGGACCAGGGCATGAACGTGCCCTTTTCTGGAGTGATCAGTTGCCCGGACTGATCGATCCACCGAGACGGTCGGAACTCCAGGGCATCGTCTCCCCAAAAAGCGGGACTTATATTCAGGATTGCCGTTTCAGCGTAGATGTCGAGCGGAGGGGTGAGGTGATGGGTGGTACCCTGAGAGCTGATAACCGACGTGGGGTGGAATATAGCACGAGTGCTATGTGCAACCGGGGTGAAGATGCGCAGGGTTTCGAACTATAAGACCTGTCAGTATTTAGGTAGATCATTAAAAACTCTCAAATTTGAGATGGCGTGAAGTTGTGCGTACCATAAGGGCCAATAGGCGCTTGCATTTAGCGAAGGTGGTTTCATAAGCCAAATTCGTCGAGTCCTTTGCTATCAAATTGATCTCTTCTCGAATCCAGTCCTGCCATTCCGGGTAGAGAGCCAGAAGAATCACCGTGAACCCCATGGTGTTAGCTGTTGATTCAAACCCCGCGACAGTAAACACGAAAAGGTTGCCGCTGATCTCTTCCGCTGAGAGTGAGGATGTAACTTCACCAGCGTGCTTTTCTTCATTCGCATGCTGAAGCATCAACGACAAGAAGTTATGGCCCGGTTCTCCTCTGTCTGTGGCAATTTGGGCTTCGTCTCGAAGCATTTCTTCGATATATCGAGGCGCTCGTTCCAAATGATAACCCATGAGCCGCCATGCAGGCGACATGAAGGGTAACTGCAACAACTTTCGGGGAAGAAATGCTGCTTCTAGGATCTTGGTTGACACAAGCGAGAGCATTTCGAAGTATGATTCTTTAACACTGCCTGCCTTGCTTGTCCCGTAGCTCTTTTTGGGCGACCATGATTGCTGCCAGTTGTATCCGGCTTTCCCAATGATGTTGATCGCTATGCTGCGCAAGCCCTCTAAAGTTTCATTGCCAGGATGCTCGACCATATAGTCAACCATCGCCTGAGCCTGCTCAATTGATTCAGTCCAAACCATCTTGCTGATCCGTTCGTCCAAGTTTGTGTTGAACATTCTACGGTGTCGCTTCCTGCAATACCGTGTGAGAATAAGACTCAAGCCGCGTCCAATCAATGCTAGTCACAAGTACTTACCACTCATCTCCATTGGTCTATAGAAAAACGATCATGATTAGGTCGTACCTTCTCGATCAAGAAATCGAAGGGGGCTCACCATGAAAACATTTGGTCCTAGAAATCCTAGAACTTTGCCCACCACGGGAGCCTGTTGAAATTCATTCCTTTTCTGCAAGATTGTTTGGCTAACGGCAGGATCTGCGCACCTGATATTCAATCAGAGTCTAGAAAAAAGAAACTAAATCTTGAAAGAGCGAGGTAAAGATGATCGGGAAACTTGGGTTGGGCTGAACTTACCAGACTGAAAATTCGTCTGGTGTCACGAGGGCGAAGATGTCTCCTAGGCGGTCATGATACCATCTTCTCCGTCGAAATTCCCAGCCATGAATCGTGACATCAATGCGGTCATAAATTAATGCCGGAAGATATCTCGCTAGGTAAGGTTGTAGCATTGGCGCGAAAACCATCCAGATCGGGCTTTTTGAGAGCACGGGCACGACATGAATCGGAAGCCCAGAGCGGCGCGCGTGGGAATAATGCTTGATGAAGCATCCCGACTTGTATAAAACATAAATTAACACCAGGGATCTGATAGAAAGAGATATCAGGAGCTCCATGGAGCTTGTGATTATGTGACAGTATCTTTCTCCAACTATAGACAGGGAATGGCGAGCGGTAAACAAAAGTCTGGCGTCAGCCTATTGATAATAATGTGGCGCCCACTGGCATTCAGATTATGGGGGCCATCAAGGGGGCTGATCGGGGGCTATGAGTTTTAGCCCCCCATTCGTGACATTCCACTGCCTTTTCATTCCTCTGACTGGCTCTCGCAGTGGCCCCCATCTCTGCCTTTCCCCGGCTGAATCCGCAGTGTCGTCGCGAACTTTTGATATAGGAGTCTTATACAGTCCATCAAAGATCGGCTCTCTGGATGGAAAAGCTATTGGCACCCTGATAATAGACTATTGATATATCTTAATTCCCCCAAGTACGGAGGAGATAGAAGTGGATAAAATAATGAGGCTAGACTACATGCCCCCTTTTCAATGGCCCCAAGCGCCACAAGGCTGCGGTGGTTCTCACCCTCTTTCGCAATCTGCAGCCCCATATTACCGGATTGGAGGGAGCGTCAAAAGCGGGGACAGTGTCTCCGAAGTCCGATTGTTTGAAATCTTCCAGGATTGCTCGGGTTTCAAGGGTCATTAGAGAAACTCTATAACCGCAAGGATTGGATGAGGTAGGAAACGATGTATTAAAAGACCACTTGTGCCCTCTTCCTCCGCCATCAACATCATCTGCTTTTCGTATATCTAAAGGACAAAAGATTTTCAAGTTTCCTGGAAGAACAGAATAACGATGTCGTTCCTTCCGTCGACCGAGCACGGCTACCTGCCGTATCTTCTTCTTTGCGTAAGGCCACAGGGAAAGGTCCAACGGAATTGAACAAGATAATCTAAAATCTACCTAGTTTGTCGTGATGGGAAGTACCCATTCGGTGGTCTGCTATCTTGCTCCTCATGCTTCGCTCAGACAATTCTCTGGCCCGAGAGCGCCTCCGAAACACCCTCTGAACGCGCATGTTTATGCTTTTAAAAACTTCTACACCGCTATGATTCGCGGCTATGCCGCGTACAACATTCAAAATCCTCAACTATACGATCTTGCGCTTCTGACTTTCATGGCCGTGTTTGTATTGTTTTCCTCCGAGCTCTTCATTTTTCATACAATTCGAATGAAGGAGGGACAGATTCCTATTGCGATGGCCTTGGTCGCGATCTATTGGATGCTGACGCAAAGAAATTGGTATCATTCGAGAGGTGCACTACTTGGAAATTGACATAGTTGAAGTCACGGCCAAGTTTGTGTCTACTTTTGTTGTACACAATTAGTCTTGGCAATATACACTCTATTCGTGGTAAGTTGATAAGCGATGTCATTGTCTCCCTCTAGGAGAGTTTCCCCAAGTCCTATAGAGGCGATTCATCTGACCCTGCTTGCTGTAGCTCCAGAGGTGCAGGACCCCACTATTGCTTAGTTTCATATGTTTTGCTTGTGATTGCCCATTATGGAAACCTGGAGCTTGGCTTGCGCGAGATACCTGAGGTGGATTAATATCCAGAGAAAGGGAAAAATAAGAATCTGTTTGAGTTTTTGGTGTGTTTAAATATTTAATACTATTTGTTTATTTTTTTGAAGGGTTGTAGACTTGTACATCTATGCCCCCCCCACCCTGCTCATCCGCCGAGTGACTTTCGACAACTTTTAATACCAGTCTGGATTTTTTTTTAAATAATATTGCCATGACCATCATTTGTCCCACCAACCCAGAGGTAACTTAGATTTTGGCATGCCATCGCCATCGATAGCCTAGACAAGCCCACCGCGCCATCGTGAACATCACCATTGACACGACAAGCACACTGCCCAGATAAGCCACCATAGCCCGAGTGCCGACCTTCTCCAGCATTTCACCGCCAATAGGGATGCAAACCAGAGTCCTGTTTCAGTCAGTAAGGGAGCCAATGAACGCAAGTAAATATCATCAAAAAGGCCAAAGACTGAAACAACGAGAAGGGAACCGTACGCCACGCTCACGATAGAATAGCAAATCCCAAAACGACCCCCGACTTCACTGGCATTGGAGATCTGCCCAATACACGTGGGTGCCAAGCTCAGAAATGAGCCTGATGCCATTCCAAAAACACAGCTGAACATATATAGCCCAGGTAGTGTGTTGCCGAAAGGAAGCCAGATGACAAAGATGGCGAAGATGCCACATGCAATGAGCCCGGCTTGAGTGTTAATGCGACCATATTTATCAGCGATGCCACCAGCAAGTAGACGGCCTATGGTGGAGAATCTGAGCCAAGTTAGCACCGACATTCGATTATGGCTGGAGATATTCGTTTTAGGAAGTGAAGGTAACACATACGTGTTTAGAATAGATAGGAGAATCACACTGGTCCCGGTGGTGAAACCTTGCATCACAACGTAGGTTGGATAGAGCCCTAGCCCGGCAAAAACTTCCAATTCAAGAGCAAAAGTCCCCAGCGTCAGCCAGGTAAATCGTGTATCTTTGAACGCGCGTAAATTGATACTTGATCTGCTTTGCCCTTTTGGCAACCTCGATCGAACCAGTGCTATGCCCAGACCACACATCACGGCGACAATTAAGGCGACCATCCGGATCGCCCAGCGATAGCCGATCCGCGTGAACGCCGCCCTCAGCACCAAGGGGAACATGACTCCTCCCAGCCCGCTTCCTGCCATTGCGGTACCCATCGCCAATCCAGCCCGCCGATCAAACCAATGCGGCACGGCTGCCATTGCCACTGTACTCAGGAACGCCGCGCCAGTCCCCATGAGCACGCCTAAGGTCAGCACAAAGTGCCAGTACAGTCGACACTCCGCCAGCAGCAACAGACCGACGACGTAGCAAACTGTGCCTGCGAGCAAGATGCCTGTCGGCCCGTACCGATCGAACAGCGGGCCGATCTGCACGCTCAGACACAAGCCGAAAAAGGTAAAAAGACCCGGCACCCAGCCCACGGTGCTGCTCGAATATCCCGCCAGCTGGTGCGTCGTGAAGTAGTTCTGCAGCACACCGGTCGAGTTCATCATCCCATAGCTCGCCATCAGGAGGAAGAACGAGCCCAGCACGACCAGCCAAGAGCGCGTGCCGCCATCCGGGAAGGTGTCTTCGACGCCGGACTCGCGGATATGCGTGGTGATCGTGGAGAGCGGGGTGACGGGCTCAAGGATTGAGAATGCCGTTGCGGGCGGGGACTGTTCATCATGGACGGAGAGGCGGACGTCGGCCGGACCTGCGACCGGCACATCTAGTGTTGGGCCGGATGTTTGATGGGGCCTCTCAAGAATGGTCGTGCTGGATTTCTGCTCAGTGGCCATTGTTCTACTGGAGAAGGGTACTGCGAGGGGCAACAGAAGTTTGACAGGAGAGAATCTTTTCTCTGGGGTAGAACCTGAATTCTAGGACCCCCGGATGGCGGGGCCGACTTAAAAGCCCTTCAGGGTCGGGTTGCGTTCCCGAACTGGCGAGGCATGATGATAAGAGTCCGCTTGACAAGTTGGATGAGCATCGGGATTGGGACAAGCGGTGACTCAGACTGTATTGGTGTGAGAATATTGTAGGACGAGTGTGGAGGGAAGTCTTGCCTCTTGCATATCGGCAATACGGCCGGTTGGTTGGCCAAGGGTTGCCATGCTTCTTTTCGTCTTCGGAGACGATTCACGTACGAATGAGAGAGAAGTAACGGCATCAAATAGAGCAAAAAGCGGGCTGACCCACTTGCTGTCGGGCTTTAACTGAATCAAGTGCCCGACTCGATGGAAGCTCGATTGCGAGGAACCGATTTAAGGAGCTATTTCCGTCCTTTCCCTCCACCGCTATTGCGGCCCCAACTTACTTGAATAATAACTAGTCGGTTGAGAAAAGCCTGCTTCATAAGCGGCGCATTTCATTTTTTTTTTCGGAACGGAACCCTGTCCTGCGTGGTAAAAACTATGTAGTCTCTTTTGGAAAGGATGCCATCAGTCACTGACAACAATGCGGCTTATTACCAAGCCACTGCCGATCGATGAATTGATATGCCTATGCCATTTTAGACACTGGCCTTGATACTCGAGATTCAATCAAGCCAGTCTTACTAGTCCACTCGTTAAAAAGAGATTGGTCCATGCTCCCACTTCGTTTCCCCGTTAACACAAAACAGCCTTATGACAATTGCCGTGCGAGGCTGGATTGTCACAGCGATGATGATAGGTCAGCTCGGAAGAAGTGGGGATGTCAAATACCTGGAGATCCACATATGTTGTACTTCGGGGGCGGCCCTCTTAATGCGCAGATCCGAAGCCAAAGAATGTAGACACATAAAGCTTGTCCTCATGCCTGCCGATGAGCCAATACCTCGCACAATTGATATTGACAATTTTTGAAATGGCAACGCCGGAAGAAAGACACCCAGAGATCTTTAAACCCATAAATTGGGAGTCATGTCGAGGCAAGAAGCGAACGGTGCCCATGGAATGCCTATGTTTAGGGTTTAACCGGACTGGCACTGCGAGTAAGTTAAGAATCTTGTAATTCAAACTACTTAAGTCCTTTAACTAATGACCCCCCTACTAGCCATGTGCTGTGCATTAGAGATCCTCGGCGTGCCCTGTTGGCACTCAGTCCAGTTCATGTCGAGTCGCTTCTCCGATCTCAAGATGTGGCAGGAAGCTGTGGACCGAAAATTCTTCAATAAAGGCCCAAAATTTGGTCGCCCCGAGTTCGACCAGTTATTGCACGACTTCGGTGCCGTCTCCTCGGATACACCCGCTATCGCATTCGCCGAAGACCTCATTGAGGCGTACCCGGAGGCCAAGGTGGTGCTTGTGCATCGAGACATTGACTCGTGGTATGAAAGCTGGATGAATAGCGTGATCAAGAGCACGTTTGATCCCGTCATCTCGGTCATATACCACATCGAGCGGTTCTTCGTCCATCCGTTAGGCAAGATCCATAGGTCGAGTTTGGATGGGTGGGCGGGTATCCGCAATAAGGAAGATGCGCGGCTTAAGAGCAAAGCCAAGTTCCGAGAGCATTATGCGCTGGTACGGAGGGTCACCCCGAAGGACAGGTTATTGGAGTTCAATCTGTCTGAAGGTTGGGAGCCGCTTTGTCAGTTTTTGGGGAAGCCGATCCCAGACGTGCCATTTCCCCATGTGAACGAGAAAAAATATTTTGATGAGATGGTAAATCTTTTCTTGATGCGGGCATTAAGGTCTCTGGCCAGAAAGCTTTTCATATACTTGGGGCCGGTGATTGTGGCCGGAGTCGGGTATTATGCATACTCTCGTCTTGAGGGAAGGACGAGGCCATGAAGAGAGGAATTAAGGAGGATCATCAACTTGAAAAGGTCCGAGGATCAGTCTTATAATGGTGACAGGTCTGTTCCTCTGGCTACTCTAGGGCTGTTCCATAAAACCAGGTTGATTTTAGACTAATCTAGAAGCGGCCATTCGTCAAAATTTGTATTTTGAATCTAAAATGTCCATCGAGAAGAGAAAAATAGAAATAAAAAAGAGAGCAATTTGAACCAGATAGTATAGCTGACCGAAAAATATAAGTAGCTGGAGGAAAATGAAGGTAATTTTGTATGGTTTCCATCTGACAGTAGCTTCATTTGCCCTGGTTCAACCATAAGGAATCTTCCGCAAGACCAAATATAGAAACAAGGGTTCTCAACAAGAACATAACTTTAAGGTGAGCCGAGCTGCAATGTATACAGTATGAAAGAATCTTTTTCGAAAGCGTTGCCTTTCCCCACACAGGCCCAAAGACCGGGAGAAGATCAACTTAGTGTGCTGACATGCAGACGGAGAATTGACGAGGTCGAACTGTATCAATGGCGGGCCCGGTTGTGAGGAAAATCGATCTACATCCGTAACGAGCCGCTTATTACGTATGATTCTCAGAATTATTTTTTTTCATTGGCTTTCACCTGGTCTACTCTGCGTTTTGCCCGCTCAAAAGCCGCGAAAATATCACTTTTCTAATATTATTGAACTGAAAACGGGGCGAGCCGGGTAGTTCGATGTCCGTAGACCAATCACCCGCTTTTCTGTCATGTCCCCACTGCTGCATCGAGTATAGTTCCATGAGCTGAAAAAAAAATGGGCAAGTAGGAAAATCATAAAAGAAACACAGGATGTGATGGCGTTGGCGCCATCCTAAATGAAGTTAACGGATCTCCTTTTCGGGTTAGCTAAGCCTGGCCCAAACTGCTAAGGCGGCCGCTATTTACCTTGGTGGAGCCGATTCGCTGGACTCGGGTGATTGTTAGACGATTGTCTGACAGAAGCCGAGAGAGTGTTCGAGGAGGAGGGGTTTGTTGGTGTCAGGCATCGTTATAAAACGCGGCGCCCACTATCTTTCTCTCCTACTTTCGATTCCCCTCATCTTCATTATAAAATCATTGTCTCCTTTCCATTACTACACCACCAGTCACCATGGGTTTCTTCGATCGTATGTCAATCTCCAATAACAGGCATTCCTAGCTATTTCTACAGTCATCGGTCCTTCCGGGATGGTCCGCTAACTCTCATTCCTCTTGCTCGTAGACGATTCCGAGGAGTACCGTCACCACGACGAGATGACCAACCGCCCCCACGAGGCTAAGTGGTCTCACGAGCTGATTGGCGGTGCCGCTGCCTACGAGGCCATGAAGGCCTACGAGGAGCACGAGGCTCGAAACGGTATGCGGCTGTCCCTCACTACCTCCTCCACACCCATCCTCATCCAGAATGTTAAACTGACCGGAGATCTCACCTCTAGGCAAGATTGATGAGCACGCCAAGGCCAAGGAGGTTGTCGCCGGCCTCATCGGCGCTTTCGTCGACCGCGAAGTTGAGACTAAGGGTCTTGACTTCATTGACCGGGAGAAGGCCAAGCACCACGCCCGTGAGCGTGCCGAGGCGAGCATGAACAACAGCGGCCGTTGGTAAATGCGGTTCGCAGAACCAGGTTCCTACATTCGTCGTCAATGGTGTGGAATATCTGCTCGAGGCCTACCAAGAGAGGATGGGTGTACACCAAAGATATCGATGCGGGATATGAAGATGCATGATGAGCACATGATTCATAGGTTGAAAGAGAAAACATCTCGAGTTCGATGACTTCAATAACCCGATCCCTCGTAGATACCTCACTTAGAGAAATGACAGCCCGTTGCAGGGCGGTGGTGGGCTTTCCGCCGAAACAGCCTCAAGTCATCAAACTACCAGCTGCGTTGATTTCATTCTGTCCATGCGTATCCGGGAAATGGCAGATCAGGGATCTTATCCCAAAAGTCAATGGGGTCATACATTGACTTATGAAGCATTCTGTATGCCATGCTAGATTTTCCATATATTGACATTACCACTCATTTCCCAGGATTGTATGTTCATAACGAGTCTTCAAGGAATGGAAATGCAAGTCCTGTCGGTCCTGCAACTCTTGACAGTATAAACGAGTTATACACCGCCTTCCTGTTCCGCTTGTGAGAGCGTTGACCGCCTGCACCTTTTTTTTGAATGATCGCTTGGCTCTGGCAGAAAAAGGGGTCTGATCAATCAACAGAAAAAGCAGGCGCTTTCAGCTTCTTTGTTCCACCTGCTCCGTACTTTACAGTATCTTTTAAGCACTAATAGCAAGTTCCCTACCTCAATGGCAAATATGAAATTGCTCTAGAGGTCTGATTGAATGCTGCTGTCCAAGGGCTCAACGTTACGCCTCGCTTGAAGCTGCCAACGACAAACGCACGACAAACACCAACCGAAGATGGAGCCTGCTACAAGCGGCCCAGGACTCTCCCTGGACGAAAAGCTACGGGAGATGCAGCAAAGATTGGCAAAGGTGAAAAAGGAGAGACAGATTGCCGAGCTCCAGGAATTGATTTGTGAGGAGGAGCGCTTGTTACAGGCATCCCGCCAGCGACTCAATGCTCGCAGTTCTGAAATCTCGCCTATCTCGCCCGCCCAAGAGCAAGCGCCAAGTTTGGTCAATCTGACACCGACCTCGGTCAACAACACTTTATCTGCAATACCTACCGCAAAGCCTATCACAAACACCAGTTCTACCTCTAACAATCACTTTGAATCTACAACGGAGAGTGTTGATGAGATGATCGCACTGGAAAGCGCATGTCGCTCTCTACCTTCCCAACGGGCTCAGCCATCTCAGCAAGTCCCCACTGCCAATGGGTCGTTGAAATTTGAGCCCCCTTCAACGACCGTGCTGCGGGAAAACAGTCTCGTTCCCAGTTCTTCCTCTGTGAACTCGACCCCTGCACGTCCACAGCCAGACTCAAACCCACAACCCGGATTGAACAGAAGAAACCCACAAATTGAGTCCCCTTGGTGGGATCCTCCAGCCTCCCCGGGCCTGGGATGTGATGCTCCGAGGAACATCTACTACGGACGAAACTGGAGAGAGTGTGAGGACTTTGTCATTGACTTGGAAGTCCACTTCTCCAAAAACCGGCACTATTATGCGGATCCTGGCGAACGCCGCAAGGTGAAGCTAGGCATTCAGTCACTGGCACCAGAATTGCGCAACAAATGGGCCCAGTGGGCCCGATCCATCTCGCAAGTACGATGGAATATCTTCTGTAGATTTGTGGCCTACCAAGCGAATCCTAATTCCACTACCAAGGAAGCCATTGAACGATTCACTACATCAAAGCAGTTTACGCATCAATCAGTGCTCGATCACTACTTTTGGATGTTACAGTGGGAGCCAAAACTCCCGGCCACCTGGACCAGACATGTGTACCTGGAAGCTCTGTGGATGTCAACTCACCCTCTCGTCCGCAATAGGGCAAATAGACCGGCAAAGGACTTTGTAGACTGGCACGAATATGCCAATTATCTATGGAATGTTGAAAAATCTATTCCAGCCCGGGTGTCCCAGATCAGGAGCCCTAGGCCCGGACAGATGGAACCCAATGACCGCTCCCAGGATTCTAATCCTATTAACAAGAATCAACCATTCACTACTGAGGCTGAAAAGAGCAGCAGTGATGACGATGAGGAGGAGGACAGCGAAGAGGATAACGACGAGCAGGACGACAGCGATGACAACACCCAGAGGGAAAAAACAAGCCAGGCGGAAATTCCTCTGGCCGCGAGAACATCAGTGCCAACGCCACCAGCTAATTCGTCACGCCCTCCTACCCCGGTACCTAAGGAACCTAAATTTCAAATTTACCAAGGCGCAACATGGGCGGAGTGCAGGAATTTCTTATCTGCACTTGAGCATCATTTCGACACTTCATGGAATTACTTCAAATACGACAGTCGCAAACTTGACGCTGGGCTCCGTCACATCAAACCAGAGTTAAAAGACAAGTGGAACAACTACCGAGAACGGTTATCTCTACAGGCTACATGGGCCGATTTCCGCAACTTCGCGGCTCAAGTTGCTGGCATCCGTACCAATGCCGAGAAGGCCATTCAAGCATACAAAACTGCCCGGCAGCCACCGTCCCAAACAGTGTCTGATTTCGCTCTTTGGTTGCAACAATGGATGCCATATTTCAATCCACGGGGCCACAATCGCCTCCGCCACATCTACGACCGTATGCTTCCATCCATTCGGTCGCAGTCGCCCAAGACATGGGAGGACTTTACAGATCTGAATCTCTTTGTTGAGTATCTTCAGGATGTCGAAGATTCCATGCCAGAACGAGAGGAGGAATTGGCAGTGGGCGCGAAATTCGGACATGGACCACCGAAAAAGCGACCTCGTCGAAGCAAGTGAACGATACAGACCAGCAAGTTGTCTTTGTCCACTCCCTCCCGCTCCCTCCCTCTTTTCACAATTTCCCCTTTTATTTTTTTCGGTTTATGGATCAATCACGATATTGTGCGACGGGCGCCACTTCTAACCTAGCTTCGGAGGTATCTTCTACCCTTACTAACACCTAGAGAGGATTATTACTATCGGAAGTATATCAAGTAGCATCAATTTATTGGTCTTTTCGTATCTATCGACTGCCGCATTTCGAAGCAATAATGAGGCAGTTTCTCCTTCGTGCTTGCTACAATTTACTCGGGTTTGTTGGGTTGAGCTGAATAACCTCCTCAAGTTGCTCCTTAGATGCACAATACCATTCTTGCGTGCCCTCATCTGGATTCACCGAGTACCCTTTTCGGTATCCCAGCCTTCGTGGGTCGTCCAAACTCCAGAACTGTCGGTACTCTTCCGCTTCGAAGTACAATGCTTCTCGTTCAGCGAAGCCCATTAGAATCCGAGCGGCGGGATCTCCACTGCAGCAGGCGCAGCCTTCATATTCTGGCTTCGGCCGCGATACAGTGCCATTCTTAACGCCTTCGTTGAGTTCTTTCTCAGCTGCCTCGTATAGTCCTTCAAACACATTGTCCAGCGTGAGGTGGAGCAGGCGCAGCGGGAAGGGCGCATGTTCATCTGTGCAACGGTGACCACATGAGATGTATTGTCTGCCTAGATCATCCAAACGGGCAAGCCCTTCGTAGTCGGGATGGTGGATGGTCATCACACCTTTTGGGGATACTGAAGCGATCAGGCCAGGGGCGAGATCAACGATCGTCTGGATTGCCTGTTTAAGCCCCATATTGGGGATCTCGTTGATGTAGGGTTGGAGACCGGGCGCCATTTCAATATATTGAGTGACAGATAACCTTCGAAAAAGAGATAATCGGTGCTAGTATTCAGAAGTCAAAGCAAAGAGGCTTAGTCCCCAAGTTTTTAAACGATACTAAGCGGCTCTGCTGCGCTCCGCACCTCACATAATCTGCCAACACAATGGCTGTGTCTTCTCGACGCCGGTTGGTGGTTGACAGGGAACGGACAGGGGGCAGATTCATGATTTCTCCTTGTAGGCATCCTCCAGCGACGTGCATCTCGGCCAATAGATTCACGATGCGCCCAACCATCACTCGCCGAGATAACCCAGTCGCCTGGTGAGTCACTACTTTAGTCGAGCCTACACTCAAAGCGGCCAATGACGGATGCAGGAGACCCCATTCTCAAGGTGGGGGCGGACTTATGTATGAGGGCGCAGTCGTAATTCTTCCGGGGCTAGTGATCATTCGGTAGGGCCTACAATTGACAGCACTACTCCATTGTAGCATGAATCAAGGCACCCACTGTCAGTCACAAAACTACAATGGTGAAAATCGAGGACGGAAATACTGAACTTCTGAATTTATCATTCTGGGAATACTCCATGGATATTTCATTTCACTAATCATATGTATAAAGAGCTTCCTGCTGGGTATATCATCATGATGCTAGTATTTAGGTCCTTAGATCCCACGGTCCTTCCACCGTCGACCACATTCCCAGGATCTACTATTCCGACGACGATGCCGACGGAGAATATTTGAAGATTCAACCTCGGACATCCTAAACATGAGCATGCTATTGAGTCTGCATTTAAGCCTTGGTATCCTCCTTGACATATTCGGTTTGCTCAACTCCACTAGCACCGCTCTCCGAGTCAGGAGGATTGGCCTGGATGGTCTGGATTTGAGATTGCATGCGTCGTGCCACACGGGGCGGGTCGAAGATACTCTTCGACTGGGCAAAAATTTCATCGATCTCCTCGAGCGACCGGCCCTTGGTCTCAGGGAAGAAGAAATAAACGGAGGGCACGATAATAGCATTTATCACCGCGAAAATGATGTAGTAGTTACTTCCAATAGAGGAGAAGCCAACCGGAGTGACCTCCGCGAGAAGGAAGTTGAACACCCACACCGTCGCCGTGGACACGGCGCTGACTGCGGCTCGGACCTGCAAAGGAGCCATTTCGGCTGCGTAGAGGAAGGTAAGGCCAGAATATCCGGCTGTAAAGATGAATTGGAAGGCGTAAAGGGCGATGACCGCAACCACCAGGGCAGCCGTGTTGCCTTCGGATCTAGTTGTACCGGCGAGGATAGCCATGCAGATAGACATAGCTCCTGCGCACCACAGCATGAGAGGACGGCGGCCGAGGCTGTCGATAGTATAATAGGCGAGAAAGCCACCAAGCGGTTGCATTAGACCCATGGCTGCAGCGAGGATACGAGCCTTCACTGCGTCGAGACCTAAGTATTGCTGAACTGCTATCAGTACTCGTTTCGAAATAATTCGACGGTGAATAGATAGACTTGAGAGTAAATATCCAGCAATGTTCAACCTACCTCAAAAATACTGGTGGCATAGTAGGTGATCAAGTTCACACCACACATCTGCTGGAACAACTGGCCGGTGGCGGCAAGATACGCGCGGTGGAAAAGGCGCTGTTCTCCGTTCGTAAACATGGCCGTCCAAGAAGTATTTCCGCACACAGCAAGGGTGGTCTCGACTTGGCAGATGTTTTCGGTGATGAGATGCGAATCAGGCTCGAGTTCGAGGAGAGCGGCCAGAACCTGGCGCGCCTCTTCAATCCGACCAGTCTTGATCAGCCAGCGGGGTGACTCTGGAAGCAAAGGAATGAAGATCATAGCAATAGCGCTTAGCACGACTTGGAAGGCAAGGGGAAATCGCCATGATACGGAATTCTCCTTTACAAAAAAGAAACCGAGATCGATCCAGAGAGCCGCCGTGACACCGGCACCGACGAAGATCCCATCTGTGACTACATTTGAGCCTCGCTTGTGTGCTGGTGAGAGTTCGGACTGCCAGACCGGCACGGTAGCCACATATCCACCAATACCCAGACCGAGAATCAGTCTTGCAACGATAAACTGCGCGAAATCGAAGGAAGTTGCCATCAAGACCGAGCCGATGATGGTGATGAAGTTGGTCCAAAAGATGACCTTCTTACGTCCCAGGAGATCGCCGAGATAGACGCACGACAGGGCTCCGAAGATACCGCCAACAGTATAGAGAGCAATCACGGTACCTATTTACACATGATGGTTAGAAAAGAAATAATGAGAGACTTTCCCTAAATGCGCGTTGACCAACCTTGAATAGTCGAATTTTCTTGCTGCTGCTTTCCCGTCGTGTTGATAGTATCCATCCGAGGAAATTGCTCATTGAATCCGGGGAGCGTCAAAAGGCCACCGGCCACACTCATATTGTAACCATAGCAAGTAAAAGTGGGGCATACAACAAGCATGACAGCTGCCCTCAGGAGTGCATTGCCTCGAAGGCCCATAAATGGCTTCAAGCCCATCGTGAAATGGTATACTGAGATGCACACAACAAAATGAAGATAAGGGAATAGGGGAATTGAAAGTGGAATGGGGCATTGAGCGATAAGCGGCTGATCTGTTCTTGATATACCAGCTAGTCTTGACTTCTAGAATGGAGATGGAGCATCTGCTGTGTGGCCATATTGGTCCCAGACCGGCTGTCGGCGGTTGCCGTTGAGCCACGAGCCTGGTTGCTGGCAACGGAGACCCCGGAACACGAGACCCATCCCCCACACACTTTCCCCAGATGCTAGGCGCTTGGCAGAAATCCCCCGGGATTTCAAAGATATTCTACCCCGTGCTTGGCGGGGTTTTTCGAGCGATCTGGTTGGAATGAGAGTATCTCTCAGTCCCTGGGGACGCGTGCCTGTGGATGGCGAAGGCTTCCGGGAAGCCAATCAGCCTTCCTACCTGGAAGGGTTTCTGAGGGTGGGAGGTCATGGATTGCAATTATTCCGTGGAAAACTCTGCTTGTCTGAGAAGACTTTCTTTACCGAAAGAACGTCGAGTTTTGATCTATTAAATACATGTTAGAACATGAAGATCTGATTAAGCGGAAAGAACTACATAATTCATCACTTTCAAGATATAAGCCCTGAATAGTGATTTTCTCCTTGGGCAACTGTGGGCTTCGTCCAGCAGATTGAAGTTCTAGCTAGGGCTTTCCCGAGGAGCTTGGCTGGTACTGTGGGGACTTCGGTGGGGAAAGCTTCCATAAGAAGCGAGATCGCGGGGACCAGAAGGCAAATGAGTTCAGATTTGGTGCATGAATCGTTCTTTTGTGGCGTGGCGAGAATGCACAGCCATAGATCTAGAGGCAGGAATCCGAATGTTATGCTGGATGATAATAACCAAGGCTTCATTCGACATGTAAACACCTCCACAATACCCACACTAGGAAATATGATTAACTATTGTTCTGCTCTGCGATTCGTCATCCCTGAAGTTCTCCTTTTCTTCCATTTTCCACGCTCTAATAGCCAGAAAGATACCTCCTCAAGCTGACTCGTCGTCGAACACAACTCGGCCTACGGCGCCACCCGTTGGCACGGCCTTAGATAATTTCAAACTTTTCCGGGATGTTTGATTCCCGAAACTTTGAAGAACAAGAGCTAATTCCAAACCTTTTTCTCCATGGAGAAGAAAGGGCTTTGGTTTATCGTGAAGATTACAACAAAGTCTTGCACTTGTGCTTCGTCCTCCGTCCATAGAGCCTTTTTGGCAGACTGAGAAATGCTGACCCACGTTTCACTCGTCGGAAGCCCTCGGAAATTGGACATGCCCGGAGGCTATTTAATGTCCGTCCCTCGTCGAGACCAGTTTTAATTCGGGTCAACGCGGCTGCGGCTTCTCGGGCGCTAAACCATCTCCAAAGCGTTCAAAGCCACCTCAACCGTGTCGCCACAATTTATTATGCACTCTTGTCCCTTTATGCTTTTTTTTACATTCATGATCCACCATCCTCTCCCCAAAAAGATGAATTTTACTCGAGAATATTTTGGTTAGACATGGCCCAGAATTTAATAATAACTAGTATTCTACGTTCCCACGGGTGACATGGGTCTCAGATAGGCATCTTTGCCAAGTCAAATTCCCGTAAGCTAAGCGGTCTATTTCAGCTGCTCGTATTCATTGTAGCCCAAATACATGATTCTTGAGGTAAATGGAAGTTGGGCTTGAAGCCTATCTACCTTGACCCTGAAATTCTCCTCACAGTGCGCTTTGAGCATCGTTATCGCTGATCAGCGGAAGGAGCCGAACACCGAGCCTAGAACCCTCGCGAAAATTAGGTCCTGTTGATCTCTTCATTTTAGAAATTCCCCTACATAACTTGCAGGGCTCGCTAGATAGGATTTTAGCGGCGAAGACCGGCTTCCAATTCAGTAAGTACACCCTTCTTACAGCACACCACATTGTTGGGCCTGCCCTTTCTGGCATTACAATCCTGATTCTTCATTTCCGACGCAGCGATCAGGATATTCTCAAGTCCTCCCGAGACCTCAAACTGGATTTTGTTCGTTTCAGAAGCTTTTGTCAAGATGTATATCAATCTGCACCGTCCTCGAGACGGAGGAGGACTTCAAGCAGCGAGAAATATCCGACGTTCGTTTATATCATGTTCATGAATCTTTCTAGATTTTCAGTAGGCTTGCCTGCTATATGGCTGTGCATTGCTCTACTTAGTGCTTTCGCGACCGCCGCTACAGTCTATCCATACACTGTCTATCGTGGCACTTTCATCCATCTTCCTCGATTGAACTCGAGTACGGCGACAGCAGAACTCGTGCGAAACCATGGCGTTATGTGGGTTTCTTCAAGTGACGGTCGTATTAAGGGATTTGATTGGAATGTCAAAGATGATTCCAGTTTTAAAAAGTTCCTCTCTAGCCACGGATGGACGACTAGCAAATCCTCCGGCAAGGCCACTCAAGTGAAGGTCGTGACATCCGACGACACACGAAACGAATTCTTCTTCCCTGGATTCATTGGTACATCCTATCATTCCCTTGATAAATGCTGGTACATACTCACTTCTAGTAGACACTCATATCCACGCCCCGCAATTTCCCAACATTGGACTTTTCGGGTCATCTGGTCTGCTGGACTGGCTGAATGAATATACGTTTCCGATGGAGGCCAGCTTTGGCTCCAAGTCGGATCCTAATAACCAAGACACTGACCCCAAGGACACTCCCCCCGAGGGTTTACGTGTTTATGACGAAGTTGTCGCCCGTACTCTTGCTCACGGCACTACATGCGCATCGTACTTCGCCACTATTCACGTCCCTGCTACCAACGCTCTTGCTGCACTCTGCCACTCTCATGGCCAGCGCGCCTTTATTGGCCGTGTATGCATGGATAACAAAGAACAGTGCCCGTCTTACTACGTTGATCAGTCTGCCGATGAGGGCTTCAACGCGACCAAGTCTACTATCGACTATATTCAAACTCTCGACCCCAAGGGAACGTTGATCAAGCCAATCATTACCCCCCGGTTCGCTCCTAGCTGCTCCAATGCATCTCTCGACGGCCTGGGTGCACTGGCAGCTTCCTATAACCCACCTCTTCACATCCAAACCCATATTTCTGAGTCGATTGATGAGGTTGAACTTGTCCATCAGCTGTTCCCAGAGGCTTCCAGCTATGCCGATGTGTACGATAAAGCTCATTTGCTCACGAACAAAACCATCCTTGCACACGGAGTGCATCTGACTAAAGATGAACGTACCCTGATTCGCCAACGGGGCTCCAAGGTCGCTCACTGTCCCGCATCCAACTCGGCTCTAGGATCTGGCCTTGCTCCTGTTCGCATCATGCTCGATGAAGGCCTCACAGTCGGTCTGGGTACAGATGTTAGCGGTGGATATAGCCCTAATGTCCTGGAGGTAGCCCGTCAGGCGTGCTTGGTGTCACGCCTGCTGCAGTATAGCGCTGAGTACCAACAGATGACCGGTAACAAGCCATCTGACGGAAGCGAGAAACTTTCTGTCGAGGATAGCCTTTACCTTGCCACCCGGGGTGGTGCAGCTGTTGTCGATATGGCGGATGACATTGGTGGCTTCGACAAAGGGATGATCTGGGATGCACAACTGATCGAGCTGGGTTCCGTGCCAAATAACACCGTGAGCCCGCTGGATGCGACCCATGCCAATGCTCTCGCCTACCGTGATGCAGTTGCGTCTGGACCTGTCGGCGATGTAGATTTGTTTGGCAATGAGACCTGGCAGGAGCAGATCCAGAAATGGATGTGGAGCGGTGATGATCGCAACGTGAAGAGTGTTTGGGTTCAGGGCAAGCTGGTTCACAGCCGAGACTAGATTGCTCCTCGACTCCTGCTGTCGCTGAGAACTATCTGCACTGTTTAACTTTGTCCATTGTATATACGTAGTTCACTGGGGATAGCGGTTTGGGAACTTGTTGCCACTAGGCGTGCCGGTCATTACAGCCATTAGGAAACAATGTATGTATGCATGTACTTTGTATTTATGTACACTTGTATCAAGATCTCGTCGATATGGACCAATATCTTAGCCCTGCAGCTGTCGGTGGAGTATTTTTTTCTTGCCGTCTCATCAACGCGGCCATCAATAACCAGTCAATCAATTTACATAACAACCAGTCATATTAGGAACTGAACTGGACACTATAGCATCCAGCTCTTCGCGATAGCATCATCTAAGACAACGACCTACCCTCCTGGAGGCCTCTAAATAATGGTCGATCAATGCTCTCTAGCCCGTGCATTAGGAGATATGACTTTACCCTCCGACCGACCATAAACCAGCCACCCCAGCGAGTATGGCCCCCCTTCGTTGCACACTGCAGACGGGCTACGAATACGGTGAATGACAGCCATATTCGCAGATCTCATGCCGCCCGATCTCTCCTCATGGGTCTGACTACAGGTGGATTAGGGCTCTATAGCGTGTCGTCCCAACTGCAGATCAACTGCACTCCCTGGTATTCCTCCACCTGTTAGCGTGCGCCGATTTCTCAGCAGCTGACTCTGCTTTTTTTTCGAATCAATTCTGCATGCGCCCCCTGCATGGGCCCCTCAGCGCAATCAGTGTCAACAGCTCCAATGAAAGGCTCAAGATTGGCTCTGCTGGGCGTATCGTGATCGATCGCTTCGCCGACCGCCACATTCCTGGCCCATGATAGGCCTCATGCACCACCCGCTCCCCACCTCGGGCCCTCAGTGGACCCTCGATCGTCCCAGCCATGGTTCATGGCTGTCGTCCCAGGCAGGGTGGCTCTTTCTACTTATCTGATTCCTAGTCCCCGCTATGAGAGCGTGAAGAGATCCATAGAAACGGTCTTGCTCATTCTTTGCTGTCCTCACAAGGTCTAGTGAGGCCCGATAAGGCCTCCAAGATCTGCTCATATCTCGGCACGTCCCTTTGTGCTGACAACCGAGTCGCGTGAGTTATGGCGGATCGAAAACGGTTCGATCCAAGGCCTATGGAGAGTCGGCAAACCTCCGCACGAGAAATAAAGGGTGCGCGCTGGAGATACCTTCTCGCCGGGGCTCTAGGAATCCTATGGTGGACGCTGCCGTATCCAACCCGACATGTAATCTCTGAACCGCTGTCAAACTCGGCACCGGTAGAGGCGTCGGTCCCTTTTGACTGGGAGCACATTACGCCGTCTGAATCTCTAGAGTACTCGAACTGTGGGGACGGCTTCCAATGTGCCCGGCTCGAGGTGCCGATGGATTACAATCGTACAGACTCGTTGGGCCGAAAATTTACGTTGGCAGTGGTGCGCCTCCCGGCCAAAGTTCCCATCGAAGACCCTCGATATGGAGGTGCAGTTTTAATTAACCCAGGTGAGTTCATGGTCAACGGTGCTTCCTATTGGCCTGACTGACGGTCAAAAGGTGGTCCTGGAGGTCCTGGAACCCTACAGGCTCTTATATCGGGCCGCAATCTACAGCTCATTATAGATTCAGATAATGACCCCAGTTCCGCGCCAGTGGACTCGGGCGATAAATATTTCGACATTATTGGTTTCGATCCTCGCGGTGTAGGTTCTACAACGCCGGCGGTGACATGTTTTCCCGATGCACACTCACAGCGGAATTGGGAGCTGCAGATGGATGCAGAGGGGATGTTGGGAAGCGGACCCGACGCATTACGGAGGAATTGGCAGCGCACTCAAGCACTCAATTCCGGATGCTCTGTTTGGGAAATGGCATCGGGAGGCATTCAAGGCGATGAGGCTATGATGGAGTACGTGAGTACTCCGCTTGTGGCTCGCGATATGATCTCTATCATCGAACGTCACGGTGAATGGCGGGAGAAAGAGGGCGAAAAAGCCCAAAGGATCTATGATCAGACCCAAGGGCCCGATGTCTCGCGGGAAATCCTTCGGCGAACGCAGTGGAAAGTTGGTCAGGAGGTTTTGCTGTATTGGGGCCGATCCTATGGCACCCTGTTGGGCATGACTTTCGCGGCCCTCCATCCACATCGTGTCTCACGCGTTATTCTCGACGGGGTAGTCGATATGGAGAAGTACTACGAGGGCCGAGGTTCGAATGTGGTGGTTGACTCGGATGCGATATTCGACCGTTTTGGGGATTATTGCAACCAAGCTGGCCCTGAGGATTGTCCTTTTTACTTCGAGGGAGGTCCAGAAGCTATCACCGATGCTTACTGGACTCTGGAGAATCAGGTGCTGAACGCCTCTGTTCCGGTAATGGCATCCTTTACTCGCGGACCTGAAGTTGTCACCTGGACGGATATGAAAACTCTTCTCCGTGTCGCCGTCTATCAGCCCCTTCTCTCTTTCCACTCCTTTGCCTACCACATGAGCGAGCTTGCTAAAGGCAACCCTGTTCCCATGGCAGATTTCAAGCACCGTAAGCATTTCGGGGCATGCCCGTCTAGCGAGTGCCAGCTTGACGGACCGTGGTCACCCGCATGTGCAAGTTCGCAAGAGAACACTCTCTATGCAAGTGCTGCTATTCTCTGTACCGATGCAGAATACATGACGAAGCACACTGAAGAGCAGTTTGAGAAAGTTTGGACTAGCACTCGGGCCGATAGTGCAACTCTTGGCGATTATTGGAGTCAGTTGCAACTAGCTTGCGTGGGCTGGAAAGCCAAGGCCAAACAAAAGTTTTTGGGTGAGTTAACTCCTATTACTTGTACTAAACATGATTGTGCTCAACGTAGTAGGTCCCTGGGGTGCCGAAACGGCGCATCCGATGCTCTTCGTTTCCAATCTGTTGGATCCGGTGACTTCTCTTAGCAGGTTGGCCGTTCCGATCTAGAAATGTGTATTCTCATGCTGATCTTCAAAAAGTGCACAGCACATGTCTCAACTATTCCCTGGATCTGTCCTACTCCAGCAAAACTCAGAAGGGGTGAGTTTGTCATTTGAATGGTCACTCAAAAAATTGGAGTCTCGAAGCTGACACTGTCACGTGTAGCACACCACTATAGCAGCCCCTTCGGTATGCATTGCTAAGGCAATTCGCAAATACTTCCAGATCGGCGAACTTCCCCCTCCAGGAACGCTTTGTGAGGCTGATTTGAAGCCATTGATTGGAGCGCCTGAGCAAGTCGTTGCTCAAGAACTTAGTTCCGCCGACCTTGAACTCTTCAACGTGCTCATGGCCGAAGTAAAGCAGGGATTTCTCCCCCGTTTGACTGTTTAGTTTGGTCGGTCAAGCTGTTCCTTTGGATCTGTGATGGTCGCTGAAACCGATTTCCGATTTTTGATCTTCGTCTATATGGTCATCATACAATTTTGACGATGTGGCTATAAACGTGTTTTGGTAGTCGTGATGATATCCTGTCGCATTTGTATAGCGAGCGAGCATGTGTTATAGCCGTTTATTTATTTATATGGTCGAGGGACTGAATTGAATAACCTGCCGATATTCTGTATTTCGAATGTTTCTGAAGAATAGGGCAAACACAGCTCAGCCTCGGCCATCAGAATCGGTATGCCGAGGCCTGCCACACTCCTACTGCAAGCATGGTCGGCAAAATTGGTATCATTACATTGATCCCGCCTAACTCGTATTACGATATTCATGTTGTCATTCTAGGGGGCCATTGCACTCTTTCCATGGTTACCTCGGGCCCTCGAACCCCGACTCAAGCCCCACAGAGTCAATCTTCAGAGCGGAGAAGGGCCGAACGCAGGCAATTTAATGCGGAGAACAAAGGACCTCGGTTGCGTAGCTGTCCAATCTGAGAACGATGAATTATCAGCACAGATCCCGAGTCTGGTTCATAACCTGATCATAGTCGCATCCCAGTGCGGGGGAGATTTATTTCCCAATTGCAACTCGCCATGGCTCCCCCGACGGCCACCGAAACTGTTACCTCGATCTCGATGACGGCCCCAGAGTCAACTCAGGCGGCGGCCGCCGAGAAGTCCCGGATTAAGATGAAACTACCAGTTATGCCAATGTTTGATGATAAGATGGAGGAGCGCGAATATCTCAAGGGCCGTCTGGCCGCGGCGTTCCGAATTTTTGGAAAATATGGCTTTGACGAAGGCAAGCACGCCAACGTTGTTCGATGAGTTACACTAATACCATTACAGGCGTTGCTGGACATATCACTCTCCGGGACCCCGTTGACCCGACTACTTTCTGGGTGAATCCATTCGGTACAGCGTTTTCACATATTACAAAGTCCGACTTGATTCAGGTTGATCACCAGGGCAATGTGATCGCTGGCGGCTCAAACAGAAATTTGAACGCAGCAGCGTTTATGATTCACTCGGCGATTCACACTGCTCGTCCTGATGTTCTGTGTGCTGCACATAGTCACAGTCTTTACGGACGTGCTTTCTGTTCACTGGGCCGCCCGCTGGATATAATTTCGCAGGATTCCTGTGCTTTCTATAACGTAAGGCATTCATACATAATCTAGATCCGGGGCTTGCTAATAAGAGAGGATCTAGGACCATGTTGTATATCAACAATTTAATGGTATTGTATTGGCTGAAGAAGAGGGGAAGAATATTGCCGCGGCTCTAGGCAATAAGAAAGCAGCGCTTCTTCAGAATCACGGTCTACTAACAGTCGGTACAACCGTCGAAGAAACCATTTTCTGGTTTGTCAGTCTTGAAAAAAGCTGCCATGCGCAATTGCTGGCCGATGCTGCAGCGGCCGGGCGTGGGGGTCAGACTATCAAAATTGATGAGGTAGATGCTGCGTTTACGTACCAATCCGTTGGAACTCCCAAGGCCGGGTGGTTTAGTGCGAAGCCACTGTTTGACGTAATTCACAGAGAAACTCATGGCGAATACCTAGAATGAAGTTCCGAGAATTTCGCTGTGAAAACTCGGATTTCCAATTTTTCTGATGTACCGCTTTAATTCAAAAGGTTGCTTTACTATGGTGTTGACCTCCAATAACTGAAAGTAGCACGTATTGTGTATGTGATAAAGGTTTTTGATCCTCTGCACCTGTCATAATACAGTGTTGTAACTTCTGCGGGGCAAAAAGGACATTCGACTACTAATTATTGAGCTTTTTCTCGCCTTGATACTCCTATTTCTCTTCAACTCCTACCCCTCCGGAAAACTAATACTCGCCGAGTTTAATCATGCTTTTTTGGGGGCGATAATGACGGTTCAGGGTCACATTGCATCAGCAGCACCAAAGTAAATAGCAAATTCATGTATCGAATAAAATTGCAGAGCTGGCTAAAGAACTCATAAATCTATTAAAATTAAACACTATTCCTTATAGTCCAAGTCCACAACTAATCGGACAGGCCCAGGAGCTGCAGCCCCGCCGATACCATCATGGTGTCGCTTCGACTCTGTGTACGCATTGACCACCTTTGTGGCGTTCGGCGTGATAATAGAGCAGCCTTGTCCATCAGCCATGCAAATACGCATACCTTGTACATCTTGATGCGCGATCTGGGCCTGGATCGCAGACACATCCCAGCCTGACCACCCATTGTTTTCAATGTCGCCAAAACTATATTCCCCCCAGGTGGATGTATAGCCGCCCCAATTATCCTTCGGTAGCCCATTAGTACCCGGCGCAGCACCCCACGCGCCCTCGGAGTCCTCATCAAACGCGATATAGCGGGTCTCGCCGGGAGCGAGGATAAATGTCAACGCAGAGTGGCCATACCACCCGTCCATCTTGTCATCGGGCCCAATTTTATTCCACACAATGACGGTCCAGGGCTCGGTATTGGAACCTGTGAATTTCGCAACATATTTATATTGATGCGCCTCCGTGGGGCTGACGCCGATGATGTTGCTTCCCCAGGGAATACCCACGTTCCCTACATATTTGATTTTGGTGCCCTTGGGGGAACTTCGACCTCCAAAGCCTTTGGTAGAAAAGTCCCCGTTGGCGGGCAGTGAGGTCCATTCTAGGTTGGATGGCACTGCAGGTCCACCGGGGCTCAGTACTTGGTCTAGGTCAGGGACCGAAACTGGAACTGGAAGCTGAGACACCACGTCTTTGGGGCCATCTTGCAGCAATTGTGAGAGGGGCGGCAGAGAAGGAAGCAACTGAGGTGCTGATGGAGCTGGTGGAGCATGCTCATGTTCGATAGACTTTGTCCCAATTGAGATGTTTGCTGAGGGGGAGCTACTATGCTGATGCTCACAGTCACCGAGTCAGTCGAAATCGTTGTGATGGTCGTGGTCATGTTGATAGTGGTAATTTGCTCGGCTACGACGGGCGTATGCGTCTTTTCCTTAGTAGAAGTTGGTTTCATATTTATCGTCATCAAGTTCGTTGGTTCAGATTTGAATGACAAAGTCACTGTCTCGACTTTTGAAGGCTCAGGCTGAGTAGATGATGGTATATCAGGTGCGTTTGTTGGAGCCGCAAAAGTATCCTCAAAAATCTCAGTGGTGGCCATCTCACATTCCTCAAAAACCGTCATTGTCATCGTCACAATTTCCACGATCATATCCTCCGGTACACGTTGTGCATCGATCCAGTTCAAGTCTCGCTGTTCGATGTATTTTCCGTACTGAAAACCATGAGCGTGATGACCATGAAGGCGATTATGATGATGGTGATAGGCAAGAACGTGATCAATGCCAATGCCCGCAATGAAAGCTATTGGTATCTTCCACTGCATATTTGCAGGAGTAATAAAAAACAAATTAGAGAGTGTGATGAATTAAGGTGTTGAAAGAGTGTGTGGGAGCGCTGAAACTTTCTCGAGCTTGAGATTAATGGCCTGCAAAGGAGCGAAAAGTGCCAAAAAAGCAAATGAGGGTCTGAATCCGGTCAATATTTGATCGGGTCGATATTCACAGAATCATGGTCGCAAAAGTTGTCGTCGTCATGCTGTTGGAGTCGTCGTCGGGCTGAAGGCAGACACGCGTTGGTGGGCATTATAGGGCTTTATACCGTGACACGAGAGGGTCTGGCCCATTATTGGTGATCAGGAATGCTCCCTTCGCGTCGAACCTCGTTAGGGCAATCAATCTGATATCAACGGTAGCAGCCCTGAATTCCATCCTGTCTTGGCTACAGAAATCCTCTACACACATTAAATCTTGGATCACAGATCTTTGGTATGATAGTGAGGCCTAGGTACGGACTCAGCTTTTATTCCAATTTCAACTTTTCCGATATTATCTGATGTATCTTTCAGTGCAACCTGATTAAAATACGGGTTGATTTCCGCTGCGGGCGCGCCCTTGACGTATACCGGGGCCCCCTTGCGTTCGGCATTCCAACCCTGGATAATGACCGAGTAATCTAGTAGGCCTCCACATGTGAAACTTTGATTTTCAAGATCTAGATAGGGTTGCAAAAAGGTGAATCGTCATTTAAGAGTTACGATTATCTGTCTATGTATGACTTCACCGATCAAGTGCTTGACACCGCAGAAAATTGCGACATTTTAGAAGCACTTACACCCGCTATACTCGAGTAGGTTGAAGATTAAAGATGCGCCCCTGACGCATAAACTTGTCCGGTATCTCCTATACCGGAAACCTGACCTCATCTCCATACAAGTGCCGTGTTTCTACAAGACGATTTTCACGACTATGACTACAACCTACAGTATCGGAAGAGCCTTTGCCGCTAAGGGCTAGTCTAAAAGTATACGGCAGTATGCTATGGAGAAAAAATGCTAGTGTATGGGACTATTGTCTATTTAATATATGAGAATTTAAACTATGCTAGATAAGATATATATCAACGAATCAATATGGGCCAAAACTTCAAGCCTGTACATGAATGCTTCTTCAACAACGAACCCCAGAATTGGCCCATGAAAAGACGGAATGACGTCCTTGACACTGCTAATAGAGCGAAAAATAAAGATGAATGGGGGAGATCTGATCAAGAATAAATAAGAATATCAACCCAGGGTACAATCTAAGTTTACAATTTGACAAGCAAGGATTCAAGTTAGATCCTTGGCGATCTGCTCTCTTAAGACGATACAAGAAGTTTATTCACTCCAAAATTCAAGTTCAATATTTGAGCTTGAAGTTTCACCATCTGTCTGATTCTTCCCTTTTCTCCAGGCCCACAAGTGTTGGGCGTGGAAGCGGCGGCAGCTGTGAATGGCATTTGGGAAATGGAAAATACAAATCACGACATGTATCCGTTCGATCAGAAGTCAACAGCTGCCCAAAAGTGACACGTTGCCCGAAGTTGTAGGTAAAAGGGCCACCGTTTCGGGCGCCAAAGGCTGTCATTTTCAGCATCAGTTTCACAGGTTCCCAGTTCTGGTTGCAAGATCTCCTGGTCGCGCAGCTGATCATTATCGGCAATGTGGATAGAATTAAAGCACCATAATTCCGGGCAACTTGAGGAGCCACGTACGGCTACCATACTCTTGAGGCAACAGTGCCGATGTTCTTCATGATTTCTCAAGTCTAAGGAATAAATTCCTTTCCCTACACAGGGACTGGCCTCCCATCGATTCTCATCGAAGTAGTGAGCCTGCTTGTGAGATTTGATTATAAGCTGATACCTGCAAGCCATACAAATATAGCTACAGTCATATTACTTGCCATTGGGATCGAATTTGTATAAATCCCAGTTTTGCAGAACCCAGAAATTCGCAACATAGGCTGCTTCATAGAGATACTCCAGAACATCCTTACCGTATTGCTTGCGAATCACCTGGACTAGGTCAGCCAGGCTGAACCGTGAAATGGGCTCCAGCTCATTCGGATCCTTTTTGAGATCGGAGAAGCGCCACTCGACATCATTGACGAGCGGAATGACAAGTCTGAATTCTGGACGTGCAGCAGAACGGACCGCTAACCACGATCCCCCTGTATTCATTACAGTAAATTGCCAAGCCTGTCGCCCCTTTTTCTCTTGTATCAAAGGTCGGATCAAGGACTGGCCCTCATATAAAGCTCTGACGTCGCTAGCAATCCCTGAGGCGCTTTCAGTAAGCGAAGATGATTCGATCAGCAGGTCTAGAATGCTCGGTAGAACTTGGCTGCTTATGACAGGCTCATTGATTTGAATTGGTGGAAGTTTGGGATGCGCAAATACTAGAGGAACATGGAAATTCCCGACGTGAGGATTGTCGTACGGAGTGATGCCTCCATCATTAGGCAAAGATAGACCACTGTATGAAGTTAGTTAGAATGGTTGCTAGTCTAGAAATGCAAATTGGTGGTGCAGAACATACTGGTCACCCGCCATCACGAGTAAGGTTTCTTGAGCTATGCCTTTTTCTTCAAGGATATCCAAAATTTTCGCAAGCCATTTGTCCACGAAGCCAATTGCATTGAGGTAATGGTTCAAGTTTTCATTTTTGCCCCCATTGGGGCCGATTATTTGCTGGTATGTATTGTTTGGGATTCCCCATGGATGGTGAGTTGTTCCAGTCAAGTGGGTAAGGAAGAGACGCTTGTTATTGTGTTGCGCATCATCGATAGCATCGCGAATATACTCCTCAAGTTCGGTATCGGCGTAGCCATAATAATTTATTTCCTCGGTTTTTACCGGGTAGTGCTTTGCTTTCGGGCTCTCAATAATCTCTTTCGTCTTCGTATCATTGTATCCCAAAACCGTAGTTAGTCTATTTTGGCTATCGTAGCCATCAGTCACAGACTGCATATAGGCTGAGTGCCAAGGCCACTTAGTGAAGTCTTCCGTCCTGTTTGTGACACCTGGCTGCTGGCTTAGCATTCTGAATATATGGGCCAAGCATGGCTGATAAATATGGTGATCCCATTCGCGATTGAAGTCAGCGATTAGAGGAGTAACTCCGCATAGTGTGCCAGCAAGACTCTTGAGCGTATATGTAGAAGTTGTGTACGCGTTGCTCGCGCTAATGCCTCCATATGCCTTCCGATCAGTATGCGTGCTATTTATATATTCGAACCCGGGAGACATGCCAGTCAAGCGCTCGGCAGTAGGCGTCAGATTTGCAATGCGCCTCTGGACATCATTGGGTAATTCTTTGTTTGCATAGCTCTCGAGGATTTTCTCAAAAATGAACGAGCCATTTTGCAATGGGAATACATCAGTCCGTGTACTTTCAAGCTTCAAAAGAACAACATGTTTTATTTTGAGTTTGTTCTTTGAAATAGCCTTCTGAACAGGCTCGAGAACAGGTTGGTCAAGGTTGGATATGTGGAGCGGGCTCATCTCTGAATTGTAATGCAAGGCAAATGGATCGGATCTGTTCCAGTCCTCAAACCCAGCTCCGGGTATAGCTGGCATCCAACTCCATTGCGGCGGCGGATGCAACGATGAAGCTCCTCTCAAGTAGTCCAGCTCTGGAGGCACACTTTCCACGTCAACGGGTGTTTTGCGATGGCTACCTTGGAATAATGGGGCCAGAGGTAAAGCACCCGAAAGATACAGATATATTGGGTCTGACGGGCGACAAAGTCGGAGGAGAAAGAAAGCGGACCATGCGATGATGATCAACAGTCGAGACAGAGGCCTTTCGGTTATTCGAGTGCGCCCCAGGGGGTGCCTCCAGGACCTTCAATCAGGAAGTCTGACTCATCGTCGCTTGAATCCTCCAGATAATCATTTTCCAAGGATATTCTCTCGTATATCTCTGGATGGGGAAGAATCTCATCCGAGGTTTCGCGTCTCCGCAAATATTGTCCCCAGTATGGTCGCACACGAAGCAGTAGCCATCGAAGAGGCCCGACCAGCACATGTAAGAAGCCTCCCATAAATCTATGAATTGGGCACGCAGACAAGACCGCAATCATCGATAAAAGTCCTTCGCCGATCAAAAAACATGTCAAACCCGTGAGCAGGGTTCGGATGGCAGCCTTGTCACCCGTGAACGATTTTGCTTGACGCCAGTGAATTTCGGCGCCAGTAGAGATATAGACCGAGAAATTGGCCGCGGCCATACAAGATACTATTAAACTAAGATCGGTCACAATATAGTTAGACTTCAATCGGAGAATTCAGATCTCGGGCACATGCGCACATACCTAAAGGGGACAACCACGACCGTATCGAGCGCCACCAAAAGCCATTGCCGGGTGTGGCTTTTATGGGCAAAATTTCGGAGAAACAGCAGTACAACGACATCTTGAAAAAAGAACGTCAAGCCCCAAGCGAAGAACTTGGGAGTCGGAAGAGAGTGAAGGTGGGCATAAAGATGAAGCACCTTGGAGCATACCAGCGACCAGAATGCAAGGACGTAGAAATAGCAGCGAGAGAAATCCCAAAAAGCATTCAGGGTCCGACCGGGCGAGTGATGCACTTGGTTGATCCAGTGGGTCATAAAGGACCAGACGCTTTCAACTTTCTCCATCTTTCCGATCTATACAGAGCCTTGAAAGGCACCCATATAGCAGAAACAGTAGAAGTTGAAGCGAATTCAAGGCGATATCGAATGCCAACCTTGGTCGCGTGGGCATTTTGGGGGCAACCCTCGCTCTCGTTTATTAATAGGAAGATCGTCTTCGTTTATCACTCGTACAAGACCCCAAATGAACGGGGCCAAATCCTCCCAATGCCAAGCAGCCAAGATGGTCTGTCATCAAGGCTGAAGGCGTGATTGGCGATCTCTAGCCTCAAGACTCGGTCTGGTTGGATGCCGAAGACTGAGACCGCTCCGCTCGGTATCGTTCAATGCTCCGTTTGCTCCACCCCCCGTGGGAAATACTGTAGAAAAGAAATTTGGAGACCGCGGACCCTTTTGGTGTCTTCAAGACCCCCTTTTCTCGACATGTTGGGGGGCTATTTGAGCTGGATTTCCCTTCTTTTTGAGCCGCTTGCAGACTGGTATATCAAGCCCATCCAGCCTCAAGCGCGATTGCGACCAGAAAACCAGCCTTGGGACTCCATAATCACCGGGGTTTACGGCCACCCACCGTTGCTCAAGATCCACGATCGCAAAGGGACGGTAAAATGGAAATTTGAGCGAAGCGATGTGCAACAAGAATTGCCGGCGCGTATTCGAGGCTGTCTCTATAGCTCCGCCAACGATGCTACAGACCTTAAATGGATGAATGGACAGCGTGTTGCTGCTATATACAGTGATCTTGCGTTGATAATAAATCACACACCGGATGATCCGATGATGGACAAAAAAATCACCTTCGCAGTGTGTACAGACGATGAATTTCTCTGGAATGCTCATAGTGTCGAACCTTTGCCCGGAGATCGCATAGCGGTATCAACCACCGGCCAGCGACCGTGGGACGGCATCTTGGTTTATAACTCCAGCATGGAGAACCCACTGGTGGATGAGCCCATTATACTGCAGAACGTCACAGGTCTCCGAGCCATTCACGGCATGATATGGGATGAGCAGGCCCAGATGCTGTGGGCGACTGGCACAGACGCAGCTGCTGATGGTTCCGATCCTATTCCTGCCTACGGAGTCATTCAGGGCTACCCTTTCGATGCAGAGACAGGGGAACTTCGCAAGGATGACAAATTTATTTACCGTCTCCCAAACGCTCACCACATTGATTCGGAATGGGGTCCAGGGTACTCATGGTGGGCTGGTCCCCACGATCTTGTGCCAGTTCCAAACCATCGCAAGTTTCTGATCTCGGAAGATAGTGGCCTCCACGCATTCGATATCGAAAAAGGAGAGTTCACGGCCGAATACGAGGAGATCATAGACAAGTATATGAGAGGTTTTGAGGTCACGACGGGAGATCGCCACGGTATCAACCGTGACGGTGTATACGAGGAACTGCCGGAGTCGGACCTGAAAAGCTTCAGTCTTGCGCCCGATGGATCTTTCATTTATGTACAGTCTTTATGGCGCAAATTTCGTGGCTTCCATACCAGTCTGGTAGACCGATTTGGGAAGCGACATCGAATAAATATTGGAGATGAAATCTACCGATCACGATTCTTTGGAGATATCGACGGTTGGCCCAAACCAAAATCATAACAAATCAAAGTTCTTTAAAGCAATTCAGGAAACAGAAGATATCTCCTTAAAACTTCAATAAATGTTCAATAAAACCGATGAATCTGTCCATGCTCGTCATCAACGTACCTAAGTAGCTTGTGAAACTTCCCTGTAGACTTTATCACTCAGCAATACCTTTCATTTTTTCATGTTTAAAACTCAGACACATGCAGTTCAGCTGCATCTTGATGACCGATTCGGAATAGCATTTCTATCACTTCGGGATGACCATCGCTGGCTTTTGTCGTCGCGTAGAATAAGAGAGCCTCGGCGTATAAATCCGGGTGGCCCACTCTATATCCTATCGCATCCTCCTCGATACTCTCAAGTACCGTCATGTTTGTGCCCTCAATCAGACCATTATGTACACCCCCAAACATGTGGTACCGCGCCCACAACGCGTCGCCGAATCTTCCATCTCGTATCGCATTGATGTAGTCACTCTTCCAAGGTTCAACCACAGTGGTACCAGCAAATTTGTTGTTAAGTAGATCTTGGATTGGGATGTCCAAAAACAATTGCTCTATAAGCTTTGATTCATTCGCTCTCATGGTTCTAATCTGAGGGTGTGTTAATTAACGCGGGTATCCGACGAGAAAAGCGCCTCTACCGTTGATTCTGTAAAGAATGAGATAACAGATTATGCTGAAATAGTAGAAGTGAGAGATAGATTTATTTGCGTGATATCTTGGGGTGAGATGACTAGATCGATCATTTATATTTATACTTCGTTTCCATGACTTGTCGTGGATTAGCTCGGACTAAATTTCTAGGCAGCTACCCCCCACTTTTGTGGGACTCTTAACTAAATACAGGTGGTTTCTTAGCCACTGCTTAGAACATACACAATAGTTTGAAAAGTGATTGGGCCATGATTGTAGATGGAATTACACACTTACGCGTCCAATGTCAACATGTGGTTTACGGAAAGTCTGGTCGACAGTTTTGTGTCTTTATAAGCAAGCCTTGGTCGATTGCAATCTGTTCTGACGACTTACCCTATCATCATTCACTTTTTTAGGCAGACAAGGTGCACATGTGAGATTATTTGGGTTATTCCAATTATTGCACTCACAATGCAACTTAGTTTTTAATAGTATTCAGGTTTAGAATGAAGATACTATTTCAAGAGCGGGGGGGGCAGGGGGAGCAAACTCCTTGTTATTATGTAGACAGTCACGCACATCATATTTTTAGTCTACGTAAGTGAGGTTTCCAACTTAGATCTGAACTGCGTGATCTTTGTGGAGGTCCAGCCGAGGTCAATGCATCGGAACTTCTGTCTACATTGAAAGTTCGGCGGCTGAGCGGCCCACTGATCCGACAATCCGAGTATGGATCAGCCTCGCTGCCGAGAATTGATGGACTGGCGGGGTTCCATTCCGCTCATCCGCTCATCTACGAGAATTACTACAGAGTGGGGTACGCCTTACTTGATACTTTTGGTTACATTTGCTGGAAAGGTCGCTTTGCTCTAGTCATGGAGAGATTTTAAAGGGCAGGACATCCCCGATCTCGAGGGAGATTCTGGTGATTATCCTCCGAGGCCATTTCATCACGAACACAATGACAGCGTGTGTTACGACCAGTGCCAGCACTGCGGCCCCGGCCCTGAATAAGAGTACGATATCGTGAGTCTTTAAATACATCGAAGAAGATCAACATTGGCACTAATGGTTGCGAAGGTTGACGGGGCCATTCGGCGATTGGCGAGATGAGCTGCTATCCAACGGCTATGTTGTACTCAAAGGGGTTATTCCTCTCGAAAGAGCTCAATATTACCAGCAAAAGGCACTGAGCTGGCTTCAGTCATTCAGTACATCATTGGATTATGCCAACCCTTCGACATGGACAGAGAACAATCTTCCGGCGGACACCAGAAACAACCTTTTTAACAAGTACTGCGTCAGCCATGAGAAGTTTATGTGGGAAGCACGGATGGAGCCCAAGGTTCTGGAGGCATTCAGTAAGATATGGGGCACTGAAGAACTGCTTGTCTCCTTCGATGCATTGAATATCACGTTGCCGGACAAGACCAAACCGGTACAGAAACCCTGGCCCCATGTTGACCAGTCTCCATTCCGACGCGGACTTCACTGTGTCCAAGGAATTATCAATCTCAGTCCTGCTGGGCCGGATGATGGATCTTTGATCGTGGTTCCCAAGTCCAACACTGTGACAGAGAGCTACTTCGATACCCAGACTGATCTCGCAACCTGGACGAAAAAGGATTTCCGGCTTTTTGACGAGGTAGAGATGGAATGGTTCAAAACACAACACGGTGTGAAACCTATCAAAGTTCTTGCAGAACCTGGCGACTTGATTCTCTGGGATTCACGGACTATTCACTGGGGTGGAGAGCCCACAAGCAAGAGTGATACCATTCGAACTGTCATTTATGTATCTTATTCCCCAGCCAACTTAGCATCCCAGGAATCTCTACAAGAGAAGCAACGGGCTTTCATGTCCTATAGAGCTACCACACATTGGGCGCATGATAACATTGTTCTTCGAGATCCGGTGGTCTATCTACCTGATGGCACGGTAGACTCACGAAACCGCACAGCGCCGTTGGAAGAAGCATCGCATACCGACCAGCTACTATGTTTGGCAGGGATGAAGCCCTATCCTTGAGAATTAATAGTTTCTTTTGTCTCCAGCCTAGGAAGTTGAGAGTCTACACTTTGATGAAAACAACGTACCAACACCGTTGAGGCGAAGCAGATAGATAACCAACCTGCGTTAATTACATTGGAAATCATAATAACAATAAACTCATTTCAAGCATACTTATATAGAGCCCATTTTTGAGGCCAATACTTCTAATCTACACTCAACTGGGATCTGTTGTTTTCCGGGGCCCATGGAATCGACCTGCGATCTTGTTCCAGCGGACTAAACCCCGATGCTGCGGGGTTTCTCCAAAAGCGTCCTCCCACCCCACTTGAAATGGCCCATTGGAGAAGAGAGTTCGAATAACATGCAGCTCAAGTGATACAGCAATAGCGGGGGTTGCCGATGATTCCCCCAAGGTTCGATCATGAATGGTTGCACAGTTCACCACTCAAGACGGGGCCTAGTGGCTGGTTTCTTTCAACCGACGATCGTACGCATTCTTGATCCTGTCCTATGCCTATCGTCTCCCTTCGAGCCCTATAATACACCAATTTCTCTAGAAAGGAGGTCATAGCTGAAAGAGCACCATGAGCTCTCCAACAAACCTCCTCACCCTGCACTACCAAGCGGGCCATGACCAGCCAGCGGCCCGAAACGTTGAAAACTTCATCGACAATCAACTTGTCGCATCCAAGACGAGTACCTGGATCGATGTCCATGACCCAGCAACCAACAATGTAGTGTGTCGAGTCCCTGAAACAACCACCGACGAGCTGAAAGCCGCCGTCCTCTCGGCGCAGAAGGCCTTCCCGGCATGGAGCGACACTAGCATCATGAAGCGACAACAGCTCATTTTCAAGCTCACCAACCTGATCCGCGAGAACACCGAGGCCCTGGCCTTGTCCATCGTGACGGAGCAGGGCAAAACTCTAGGGGATGCGAGAGGCGACGTGCTGCGCGGGCTCCAAGTGTGTGAGACGGCGTGCGGAATCACCACCCAGCTGACGGGCGAAGTGCTCGAAGTGGCCAAGGACATGGAGACACGATCGTACCGTCTGCCTCTCGGCGTCGTGGCCGCCATCTGCCCGTTCAACTTCCCGGCCATGATTCCGTTATGGAGTCTGCCGATCGCTATCGTGACGGGCAACTGTATGATTCTGAAGCCGACCGAGCGGGCACCGGGCGCGGCGATGATTATCGCCGAGCTATGCAAAGCAGCTGGCTTCCCACCCGGCGTTGTCAATGTGGTCCACGGATCTAAAGCCTCGGTGGAATTCCTTCTCGACGCACCGGAGATCCAGGCGATTTCCTTCGTGGGCTCCAATCGAGCCGGCGAGTATATCTACAACCGGGCCACTGCGAATGGCAAACGTGTGCAAGCAAATCTCGGGGCCAAAAACCACGCCGCTCTGCTGCCAGATAGTATTAAGGGCTCGGCCCTGAATGCGATTGCCGGGGCAGCCTTTGGAGCGGCGGGCCAGAGATGCATGGCCCTCAGCGTCCTGGTGACAATCGGCTCGGCGCGGGAGTGGCTTCCAGAACTCGTACAGAAGGCATCTGAATATCAGGCAGGAAGCGGGTTTAGCGAAAGCTCTGACTTTGGACCGTTGATAAATCCACAGAGCAGGGATCGATGTGTGGATTTGATCTCGAGCGCAGAACGCGAAGGCGCGACGATTGCTTTGGATGGCAGGCACAAGAAGCCAGCAGGATTCCCCAACGGAAACTGGGTATGATAACATCCTGCAGCCTCGGGCATCGAAGCTCAATGAGACCGAAAAAGAATGTATTTTCACTAACGAACACTCCAAAATAGGTCGGACCTACCATCATCACCGGCGTGAAGCCCAACATGCAATGCTACCGGGAAGAAATCTTCGGCCCAGTACTAGTCTGCCTAGAAGTCGACACTATCAACGACGCAATCGATTTGATCAATGCCAATGAATGGGGCAACGGAGCAGTTCTTTTCACTCAGTCTGGATCCAGCGCATCCTGTTTCCAGAAGCGTATCCAAGCTGGGCAGGTTGGCATCAACGTACCCATTCCCGTTCCTTTGCCAATGTTTTCCTTCACCGGCAACAAGCGGAGCGTAGGAGGAACAGGACTGTTGAATTTCTATGGCAAGGATGGTCTGAGGTTCTACACTCAGTGGAAAACAGTCACCTCATTATGGAAATCGGAAGATGCAACTGAGCTGCAGAAGCAAACGGCGATGCCCACTTCGATGCACTGACCGAAGCCTCCGAAGTTATACTGTGTGTATACACTCTCCATCGTCAATCGAAGTAGGGTTTTTTCCCCAGGAATCTGCTTCTGCTCTCTTCATGGGAATCATTGAGGTCCTGATGATCTACAGTTTACTGTCTTTCATTTAATCAAAATAACTTTGTAATTTTTTGAAAAATCAAGCGGAACTTGAGCTAGTTCTAGTTTTCTGAGGCAACTTCTCAATCATTCCAAATCGTGATTATATATTCGTATTCGGTAGAAAACAAGAAATATCCGACCCAAAGAAAAGCATCTCCGCGCGGCCCAACACCATTTGATAACACCAACTGCGCCCCCTGCTTAAATAGATACAGCTAAAGATCGTCGGAAGGTCCAGAACACCGAGCAAAGAAATACCAGTGGAAAGATGAGAGGGCACATATAATGATGATAAGCGAGACATGATATCTATGTCCCAATAAATTGAGAGACAGCAGCCTGGAGTTTCTTAGGTCGTCCAAAAATAGATCAAGAAAACAAAGCCATCTTGTCGTCCGGAAGAAGATGGTGGGATGGAGAAGTGGTCGGAAGGAAATAGGAGTTCAATCAGAATGGTGAATGGGAGGGAGCTGAGATGCAGGATCAATGCAGAAAACGCTGTATAGAACCAGCCTTCCTTATGGAATCTAGTCATGATGCGGGGGACTAAGCGCATGAGATCATATCATGACGAGGAAGATGGCAAAGAAACAAGATTCATGGCGGCGCATTTCAGGATTGTCTGCATCATGATGTTCGAGTTCAGCGGCTTGGATAGATACTCGTCCATGCCAGCCTGGATGCACTTGTCACGATCACCCAGCATCGCATGTGCAGTTAAAGCGACAATAGGCGTGCGTGGCAGGCAGCTAACTTTCTCGTGTTGTCTGATCTTGCCCGTTGCCTCAAAGCCGCCCATCACGGGCATTTGGACATCCATCAGGATCACGTCGTAGCGATGTTGTTTGACTTCTGCGACCGCCTGGAGACCGTTCTCGACGACTGTAACGTTGTGATTACATTTTTCTAAAATGCGCACTGCGACCTTTTGGTTGACGTCGTTGTCTTCTGCAAGCAAGATTGCTAGCGACCGTGTAAATCCTTCTGGGGTGCTATTGCTGCGATTTCCCAAGGCAGGTAAAATGCCGTTCCAGAGGTCGATAGGTCGGCATGGTACCGTGATGTAGGATGTGATGCCAAGTTCGCCAGCAGACTTGAGAATCAGCGATACAACCGGGGCAACGACGACCAGTGGGATGGGTGCAAAGCTCGGGTCTGTTCGGACTTTCGCGGCTGTTTCAATGCTGGAAACAAGGATGGTATCGAAGGAGCTGCCCCATTCTGCGTGGCACTGGCCAGGCAAAATCTGATCTGCGTTGACAATAATAGGCTCAAGGCCAAGCTCTAGCAGCATTTCGATTATAGGGAATCCACCGGCGAGTCCGTCATCAACACACAGAACTCGGCGACCCCGGTAGGAAACCAGTTGCTCGGAGAAGCTGAGAGGCGCATCGGCCAACTTCACCTTCGAGGTGAAGGTGAACTTACTGCCTTTGCCCACCTCTGATGTAACCCAGATATCACCACCCATTAGAGAAACAAGCCGCTTTGAAATGGCCAGCCCTAAGCCCGTACCACCAAAACGACGAGTCATTGATCCATCTGCTTGCTGGAATTTATCGAAGATAAGCCCTAGCTTACTTTCCTCGATACCAATTCCTGGGTCAGATACGGAAAATTCAAACATGGTTTCGTCGGGCAGGCAAACGCAGTCTTCGTGGCGCTTGATTGAAACCTGGATCTCACCGTGGTCGGTGAATTTGATTGCATTGCCGACCAGGTTCAACATGACCTGGCGCAGTCGGTACGCATCTCCAACCAGATAATCCGACACACAACCGTCGACGTTGTAGGAAAGAGTCAACGCTTTCTCGTTCGTCTCCACAACAAGTGCTTTTAGTACACCAAACACAGTTGAACCCAAACTGAAGGGCATCTTTTCAATCATCATGTGGTTGGCCTCGATCTTCGAAATATCGAGGATATCGTCGATGATAGTCAGCAGACTGATCGCCAGGTTGTGCACCATGTTCAAAGTCTCCCGAACCGGGGCAGCAAGATCATCTGTGTCCAGGGCTAAGCTTGAAAGACCAATAATTCCATTCATCGGTGTTCGAATCTCATGACTATTCATTGTCAGTTCAGCACGTCTTTCAAGCTAGAATCCAAACATCATGCTGGTTCACAAACCTCATGTTGGCAAGAAACTCGGACTTGCTGCGGTTGGCCAGCTCAGCCGCCTCACGAGCAGCCGTATTGCGTTGGATGCTATCGCGCAGGCTAGAGATCATCTTATTGATCTTTTGTTTCAGGTCATCCATTTCACCCGACGCTGACACTGTGATCAATTTCGTAAAGTCGCCGCTCATTGCAGCCTCGGTGATTTCACCAAATGCGCGCACCTGCGAGGTGAGATTGTCTGCCATCGTGTTGACATCCTCGCTGATCGACCGCCAAATTCCATGAGAGCCATCGACATTCGCCTGGCCACCCAGCTTACCACGAACACCCACGTCTCGGGCCACGCCTTTCAACTCTCGAGCGAATCCTCCGAGCCCGTCAACCATACTGTTGATTGTTTCTTTGAGCGTGAGGACTTCTCCCTGCGCGTGAACCTCGATCTTGGTACTCAGGTCACCCCTAGCGATAGCCTGGGTGACGTTCGAGATTTGTCGAACCTGCATTGTCAGGTTCTGTGCCATCGTATTGACGTTGTCTGTCAAATCCCGCCAACGACCTTCAACATTCTCCACCTGGGCTTGACCACCCAGGGTGCCGTCCGTTCCAACCTCGCGTGCCATTCGGCTCACTTCGAAGGCGAACTGATTGAGCCGGTCAACCATCGCATTGATCGTCAGTTTGAGATCTAAGATTTCGCCCTTCACATCCGCTGTCACTTTCATCGTAAGATCACCGCGCGCGACGGCTGTCGTCACCTTGGCGATTTCTCGGACTTGTTGGGTCAGGTTGGACGCCATGCAATTCACGTTGTCGGTGAGGTTCTTCCAGGTGCCTTCCACACCATGTACGACAGCCTGGCCGCCGAGGGTTCCATCCGATCCGACTTCACGTGCGACACGACTCACTTCAAAGGCGAATTCCCGGAGCTGGTCGACCATGGAATTAATGATGTTCTTGAGCAATAAGATTTCACCCTTGCAGTCCGCCTGGACCTTGCGGGTTAAGTCACCCTTGGCGACGGCGGTGGTGACGGTAGTAATATCACGAACTTGGGTGGTTAGGTTGTTGGCCATGGCATTAACATTGACGGTCAGCTCGTGCCAAATGCCCTGAATGCCTTCGATCTTGGCCTGGCCCCCGAGAACGCCTTCGGTGCCAACTTCGCGGGCCACTTTGGAGACTTCCTGGCTGAAGACCTGCAGCTGATCCATCATCGTATTGATCGTCTGCTTGAAGGTTCCAATATCGGGCGACATCTCGAGAGGATGCATACGGGCGCGCTGAGAGAGATCGCCATGAGCGACCTGAGTGATGATCTCGCCGATCTCGCGCAATTCTTTCTGGAAGGCTTCATTGATGTGAGTGTGCTTGCGGAGTTCCTTACGGAGGTGGGAACATTCATGTTCAATCTCCGCGATGGAGGAGTGTGACTCGCGGCGGTAGATGAGTTCCTCCACGATGAGCGAGATAAACTCGCGGGGAACGGAGATCTCAGGGCTTTGCTGGTGCTGCAGTGCAGCGCGGGCCTGGAGGAGGTCGGCATCGCTGACCAGGGCCGGGCGAGGCACATCCACCAACGTCGCCATGATTAGCGAGAGTAAGGCTGATGGCTGACAGGGACGCCGCCGGCTGGAGGGGAAAGAAGATTGAAGAGGGTTCCGAAACTTCCTCGATCACCTCTCGGGACTGTCAGCCGGAAGACCTGAGGACGCTAAGTGGGAAAGTCATGGGAGATCATGAGGGACACTCACCCGTTTGACTAGTCGACTACAGGCTGTCTGGTCCCCTGATCGCAGTCGCGGCAGAGACAGGACTCGGGCTGAGGCGCGCGGGCGGGTGCATACATTACCGGTCCACCTCAACTCTCCACTTGGGGTACGGTTCAAGTCTTGGAAGCAAGTCGAGGGGAAGTCTGGGGGAAATCGTCGGTGACTTGGGGGGAGGCCAAGGAAGGCAAGCTTGAACCTTGCGACCAGCGGATTGAAGAAAAGAAAACAAGGACCGGCGTAGTCTAGACCGCGGATGGCGCCCTGCACGCGGGCCAGCAGAAAGCGTGCCCGAATAGCCGACGTGCGGAGCCAATCGTCGAGAGGCTGGAGGCAGTACCGAATCCCAGTCAACCCTGTCGCCACAGTCCGCATTCCACGGATAGGCTTCGAGTATGAAGAGTACAAGTCGCGGAGGAGGAGGATTTAGATTGTGAGAGGAGACAGGAAGTGCGGACGAGCACGTCGTGATTGACGTGGATGCAGTGGTCGATCCGCGGGACGATCCTCGGTCCACCGATCGGCGATGGTAAACCAGATGAGATGTACATAATGTGCATACCTCGTCACATAGCAGAATAGACGGCGTACACAGGTACAGAGGTACCTACTACGGAGGAGGATAGGTAACATTGAGTCCAAGACATGTCGAACGAATATGTTGAGTACGTCTACCATGGGAGTTTCTCTACCTTGCATAACCCTCGGTTTCTGGTTTGCTGCGGCGTTAACTCCGGGGAAATGATGATTAGATCTCGGAAGCCGGGTGGTTGTCGTCAGGGTGTATGTAACAGAAGCTAGACAGCATCATAGGACAGTCCGGTATGGGATATGACACGAGACCCTCGCGCACTACGACTAGAAGACTATGAAGACGAGAACGAGATCGACTCGACGCACGAATCAAACAAAGCACCAGAGAGGCATGCATTAGAAACCACATAAGAGGGAGAGGGGAACATATGATACAGGATTTGCGCCGGAAGCTTTTTTTTTCTGCCAGCCCCAGGAAGAGTGGAGAGCGTAGAGGAGAAAGAGACACGGACAAGAAATACAGATATGGGAAAAGAAGCTGAGGGGGCGAGGAAAAATAGTAACACCAAGACATTACAAAAAGATCCGGGGCCGTGCGGAGATCACACGGCGATGCAAAAGAGATGTGGACGAGAAGAGGGTTATCATGTCACATTTCACAGAAACGTGGGGAGGGATCGAAACAGGCGAGGATGCGTTTAGAACATGCCGCCGCCCATGCCACCCATACCACCCATGCCGCCCATGCCGCCAGCGGGGGCAGCGGGGCCCTTCTCCTCAGGGGCCTCGACGATGGCAACCTCGGTGGTGCCGAGCAGGGAAGCAACACCGCTGGCATCAACCAGGGCGGTGCGGACAACCTTCAGAGGGTCGACGATACCGGCGGCGATCATGTCGACGTACTCGCCCTTGGAGGAGTCGAAGCCACGGTTGAAGTCCTTGGCGAACTCATCAGTCAGCTTGCCGACAATGACGCTGCCCTCCAGACCGGCGTTCTCGACGATGGTGCGAGCAGGGCGGGTGATGGCACTCTTGATGATGCTGACACCCAGCTGCTGGTCGAAGTTGGCGGGCTTGACACCCTCAAGGCCATTGGCGGCGGCCTTGAGGAGAGCGGTACCACCACCGGGGAGGATACCCTGCTCAACAGCAGCGCGGGTGGCGTTGAGAGCATCGACAACACGGTCCTTCTTCTCACCGACCTCAACCTCAGAGGCACCGCCGACCTTGATGACGGCAACACCGCCAGACAGCTTGGCGAGACGCTCCTGGAGCTTCTCCTTCTCGTACTCGGAGGTAGTGGGATCAGCCATGACGCCACGGATCTGCTCGCAGCGCTGGGCAATGTTGTCCTTGCTGCCCTCGCCGTTCAGGATAATGGTGTCCTCCTTGGTGATGGTGATGGAACCGGTGGAGCCGAGCATGTCGGAGGTCAGCTTCTCGAGCTTGATGTCGAGCTCATCGGTGAAGACGGTACCGTTGGTGAGAACAGCGAGATCACCCAGGATGCTCTTGCGGTTATCACCGAAGCCGGGGGCCTTGACGGCGGCGACCTGGAGCTGACCACGGAGCTTGTTCAGGATGCAGACGGCAAGAGCCTCACCCTCAATGTCCTCGGCGATGATGACCAGGGGGCGGCGGAGAGTGGTGGAGGCCTCCAGGGCGGGGATGATGTCCTGGACAGCGGAGATCTTCTTCTCGGACAGCAGAATCAAGGGCTTCTCGAACTCGACCTTCTGGGACTTGGGGTCGGTGATGAAGTAGGGGGAGGTGTAGCCACGGTCGAAGCGCATACCCTCGGTGACCTCGAGCTCGTCTTCCAGGGTCTTACCCTCCTTGACAGTGATGACACCCTCCTTGCCAACGCGCTCCATGGCGTTGGAGATGAGCTTACCGACGTGGGTGTCGCCGTTGGCAGAGATGGTGGCGACCTGGGCGATCTCCTCACCAGTGGTGATGTCGCGCTTGTTGGCCTGGAGATAGTCGACAACGGCGTCAACGGCAGCCTGGATACCACGGCGCAGATCCATGGGGTTGCAGCCAGCAGCAACGTTCTTCACGGTCTCAGAGAAGATGGCACGGCCGAGGACGGTAGCGGTGGTGGTACCATCACCAGCGAGCTCGTTGGTCTTGGAGGAGACATCCTGGAGGAGGCGGGCACCGAGGTTCTCAAACTTGTCCTGGAGCTGGATAGCCTTGGCGACAGTGACACCGTCTATGCACGTAAAAATAGATGTTAGCTATGTTGTTCCGAAATCGACTCAGATTGCCGAGCCGAATAGACAAGACTCCGACAACCTACCCTTGGTGATCTTGGGAGAGCCGTAGGGAGACTCGATCAGGACGTTGCGGCCTTTGGGACCCAGGGTCGAGGTAACAGCCTTGGCAAGGGTGTCGACACCCTTGAGGATGCTGGCACGAGCTTCAACACCGAACTTGAGCTCCTGTTTGGGGTCAGCCAGGGATAAAAAAACACGGAGGGCGTCGGAATCGACGGATATGGCATCCGAAGGCCGTCGGAATCCTCATTTGGAAGGAGATGGCAAGAGCAATGGATAACGCACCTTGTGGGCAAAGCGCTGCTGCTGGAGGTTCAGGGTAGAGCGGGTGAAAGGGGCACGCTTGGAAGCGGCGGACAGGACCGAAGTCCGGGCAGACATCGCGCGCTGCATGGCTAAAAGAAAACAGAAACGAACTAGAACAGATTATAAGAGGAATAAAATAGGAGGAAAAGACAACCCGATGGGAATTGACGGGTTGGGAGGAGAATGGAGGAAAGGGGGAGGAAGGTAAGGAAGCTGGGGAAGCTGAAGCCAAAGTCTCGAAAATTTTCCAGGCGTTTCTCCCCATCCCCAGAAGCTTGGCGGCAGAAGCAGCTAGAAGGTCACGTGGCAGGTTGGCCCGAGGATATCGGGTGAGCGGCTATTTGGCCGCGAACTCGGCAACCTTGGTAAGTATAGAACGGGTGGGCAGGATGAGGGAGACGTTAAATAATGATAGTATGCACAATCAGAATAGGCTGGGTGATGTTGCAAAGTTTATAGAAGCAACTGGAAAGAACATATATTGAAAACATGTCTCCTGGGAGAAAATTCGCCCGGAGCACTAGTAAAATACATATATATGCAGCTTCTTTACGAGCTCATTCCACGCTGACTTCAATCCAAATCATAATGAAACATGATGATTGCTCAGCACTCAACAGGATCTATAAACAACAAGTAACGAAGCTCTCAGTGATAGTACCCTCGCTACTGTGTATCAACTATCTGCTCCTCTCAGGCCAAGTATCCTTCGAACTGACGGACACCAAGATGATCCGGCCCGGTCTTTCATACATAACATCGGCTTAAGAGGAGGATGATTCAAGATTCCATCTCATCTTGAAATAAAAGGGTTACATACGTATTCAACACCGCTCTCGCCCTGCTTACTTCACAGGTCGCAGAAATCAAAATATCTTCATTGAAACTATGTGATTTGAAACCGTTGGCTCTCGGCCCGGCCGATTAAAAACATCAACTTGGGCCTCCCTCCAGTATACTCGTACAACCGCGTGGCCTCAACCGCTGCACTGACGCCGACTTGATGGGAAGGCAACGGGAAACCAACGACAAAATTAACGAACGCACGACCCAGCGCTCCGGCCCAGGTTGGAAACAAAAACACCATCGTGATCATCTCGACGCCCATCACCCCGCCTCTTTCATCCCCGTTGTTTCTTCACCTTAGGGATTATCAATTCTCGCCATCTTCGTTGATGGCCCAGCTAAAGTCTTCCTCTTCAGTGCGACCTGCTTCTTTCTTTGGCTCGGTGCTAGACACTTCAGACCCCCATCGAGGCACAGGAATCGATTGAAGAGGTTGTTCCAAAGTCGTGACCGGCCGGTTAAACATCTGCCCTGGACCGGTCCAGCCCTCAGAGGTCGGATACAGATCATGCGACAGCATTCCCGGGTCAACATATTGAGGGCTCGGACGATCCTCATAAGCTGGACCCATAAATCCGGCGTATTGAGGTTGATTCGGACCCATCATTCCATGCATCGAAGCCATCGGATGACCCATCCGCCAGGACGGAGGGGTCGAATACATCAACGCCGGGTCGTTTGTCATGAAACTCGGCTCTCGCCCTACGGAGGGCGTTGGAGTGCTCGGCCCTGGTGCAGGCGTAAGCCGTGGTGGTGGCATTGTCACTCGAGGGTGTGGGCTCTGATAGCTGTACTCGGGCGGTTTCTGGCTGCTTCGAGGTATCAACAGGCGAACAATGCGTGATTTTCGCTGCTCTGATTCTCCATGGAATTCGGAATCTGAATCGGACTCGAACCCAACCGGAGGCTCTGCGGAGGATACAGAGGAAGTTTCAGCGTCACTGCCAGGCCCATCAGAATCTGGTTCATTTTCGGCATTTCCCCCCGAAAAGTCGAGAAACGGAGCCCCTTCGCACATCAAATCGCCTTCGCTGGTTTGTGAGTCATGCCGTGCCTGCATCTGAACCGATTCTCTACGGCCCTTGGACCTAGTACCTGATTTTTTGGCACGTTTCGACTTCTTCTCTTTCCAACCCCCAACATAATCCGGGTCTTCATCAGCAGGCTTCGCAGGCGACTCCTCCGAGGAGTCGTCGTGGTAGCGGGCCTTGCGCTTACGGGTCCCCTTTTTGGCAACGGCAGTCATTGCTGCCTTGAGGCCCTTCCTGCTAGATGCAGACACCATCGACCGCCGCAGTGGAGGTGGGACGGCTTTACCTTCGGCCTCACGACGTAGTCGCAGCTTCGAGAGATGCTGGACAATAGCCCCCTCGGTAAACTTCTTGCCCATCTGTTCAGCGACCTTATCCCAGGGAATCTTCACGCCGTGCAGATTGCAAGCAGATTGAACTGTCAGAAGCAGTAGGATATCCAGGTCCTCTATTCGTGTTAGCTGGTGAAGCTCTTGTCTGAATGAGAAAACAAAGAGGCAAACAGGCGGTGCATGCATCACATTTCAGAACGAAAGCTGTGAACCCAAAGGCGAATCACGCACAAGCTGCCACGGTATTTGGCCCAACGCGAGTGGATTTGGACAAGATGAGATCTTAAACTTACGGTCCCAGCGCACGAGCTGGCGCTTCTCCTTTGGAGGTCCTTTAGGGAGTGGTGCAGCCTTTCGTGGAGGAGCCATTCTGTGGGGTTGTACCCAACACTTGATGGCCAAATGATGAGAAAAGTGTCTGTTTTGTGCTCCTTGCACCGAGCTGTGGAGTGGGCTATGAGTTGAGGTTAGAACGCACTCGAAGCTGATTCAATATGGAATGATTGGACAAAAAAGGTGAATGAAATTGTGCAGCTGGTAGGTTGTCGATATTCACCCTGCGTGATGTTAATGTCGACAACCCTAGTACGGTTGAGGTGACGGGTCAGCTCATAGCTCAAAGAATCTTCTCACGGCAGAAGAGGTGATCAGACAAACTGAACATCGGCTGTCTCCTGCTGAATCACTGAAACAACTTGACCAAGTGGAATTGCAGGCTGAACAGAGCAGGCAGCCCCACAGTTAATTTCCGGGGTAGACAGAAAAGAGGCCGGTCACGAAATCTACTCACTGGCTTGAGACTTGCTCTAATTGATTTGTGTTGGGCAGGGTTGTAAGCAAGATGGTTGCTCAGCTGCTGCGAAGGTACAGACGGTTGGGTGTTTTGACTGGAGCAGGAAGGGAACATGTGTATTGGAAAAGATTTGAGGTCCAGCTTGAAGATTGACGGTGGTTCTCGAAGGTGGAAGCCCTTCGCTGTGAAGGGAGGAGTTGTGTCGAAAACATCGATCACCGTGGAAAACCATGCGGACGTGCCTACTCGACGCCAGAGGAACTTAGAAAATAAATCTAGAAGCACTGGCGGTTTTTCTTCAATACACTAGAATATCCTCCATAAAGATTGCTCTCACACAGTTCGTGTTGAAGGCCCAGTGGACCGAGATTGATACCGGCGACGATGTCCGCCAGGCACCATCCTTGTCCCAAGAACAGCGCACATGTCAAAGATAACTGAACGAAGTGATATGGTGTATATAGAAAGAAACAATATGTGTCATCAACAATGCCCGTTTTGACGAAGTGAGAGATATTTATTCCCAGCCTTGCTGCAGCAGTAGTTTTATTTGCGAGTTTGTTTGACCTAGTTTGGAGACTAGCAGCTGGACTCGACATTCCAAGCCATAAGGGCATGTCATTCCAGGTTGAGATCGCGGAAATGACCAATATGCGCCCTCAAACCAGTCCACACTCTCATGAGGATCTTCTGGTTGGATTGTTCATGTTAACTTGCGCATTTCAAGCCCATATCACGTGACAGTTCATACTCCCGGTACCACACGTGACCAGCAGTCCCGATCCTCCGAAGTCGAATGCTTCCAAACTCACCCGAGCCCGTTTTCACCCCCTTCAATTAAATCACCTTTCCTACCCCATCCAACCTTCAAAATGACTGCCGTCTGGAAAGCCGCTGGCCTCACGTGGGTTAACTTCTATTCCGCTCAATTGGCCAAATGCTTACCCCCTTTGAATAGCTACAACCGTTACCTGGCCATCGCCGCCCGCACGGTGCGCCGCTCCCTCAAGGAGGGCCCCCGCCTCGCTGCTGAGCGCCGCGGCCAGATGGATCTCCGTTTCGCCAAGTGGCAGGTTAGTTGAACAATCGCTCTATACCGAGCACTCCGTGGATGAAGCTGACTGGATCTGTGCTTTCCAGGACGGCAAGCAGGGCGAAGTCCGCTCGCTTGCTGATGCCAACAACGAGGCCCTTGCCCGCGCTGCCGAGAAATAGAGCAAGAGCGCCATATTGAGCACAAGCGAACGAGCATGAGAGATTGACTCGTGTTTTTGGAGGAGCGATGGACCCGGAGTCGAAATCGGCAACCGACAAGCAACTGGAGGGCTCCGGGGAGACATTGAACTTTTTGTACATGTGTAGCAATACAGATCCTCTCGAACAAGAGATCTAGAAATCGCACCCGACTTTGTTTCTTCCGTACTGCACTGTTACCAACACAACGGTTCTTGAATGGCTGTAGCATAGAGAATGGTGTACCCCCGGCGTGTCCGGCCGCAGCTGCACGTCAGAGACGGGCCCGTCTGCCAAACCTGCCCGAAGCGCTTTTTCCACCCACGACTCTCCCCGCCGACCGCACCTTATTCTACTTCTCCCCCTTCCCTCCATATATTTTGCCGGCTGCGTACCTGAAGTCTCCCCCTTTCCGTCTCATGAGATAACCCGGGAGCTGATTGCAGAGCCTGGAATCTCTGTGCGATGCTGCCGAATAACGAGGTTCGCGTGCCCCCGCCGCGGGTGGTTGCGCAGCCCGCAGTCCCGCGCGACATCACCGCCGAATTTACGGAGGCCGCCTCGAGTAAGATTAATGCTCTCCTCTCTTTGCCTATGTGTTCTGACTAGATATTCTCTATAATAGACCTACGGACCGGTCAGCTCGTCAAAGATGAGATGTTCACGCTCTTCGAGGCCGTGGGCGCATTGGAGGTGCGTCATCGTCACACCGGGATCAGAACGCACTGAAAGCTGATCATGATTGCGATTGACCACAGATCATGGACTCAAAAATGGATAGCGGCTACATTGCCCCCGGCGAGAACCAAGCGCAGGCCCTCGAGGATGATTACGACGTGCGACGAGACTTGACACCAGAGGAGGTAGTGGGCTTGATGGACCAGTTACTTTGCCACGAGGTGTGTCCCCATGTTGGCTCGTAATGGAGTATATCTCACTAACGGAACTGAAGATGGCATGGCATATGGGTCATCCTCTTTCCCAAACGCTTTTTACCTCTATCTACATCGACAAGCTGCTTTGGCCGGTACCAAGAACAATGGAAGACGCCCGGTTCGATCGCGTACCTAGTGAATCACCCCTAGTGAACCTTGTGCTCCGTGCATACTGCCTCGGCCTGGTCAAGTCGTGTGATTTCGTCCATTCCCGCGTGGCGAACGAGTATTTCTATGAGGTATACTTCTAGAATCCATGCACGCAAATGCGGAAAGTTAGGATGCTTACTTCAAATGGCTGTACAGGAAGAGGATTTCGTTACACAATTATACAACCGCAATCTCCTATCGATCTTTGATTCGTCAAATTTCTACCGCCTGCTGGATCAGGCGGTTGACTGGGTGGATGCAGAGGAAGGAATTGATCAAAGGGTTCGAGAGGCTATTCGCTGTAGACTTCTGCTCCGGCGCGAGTTCTTATCTTCCCTGGATCAAGACCTCGAAGTTCTGGACACGAGATCAAGTGATAACTTTGTATCCTGTCTATCGTATTTGGAGGCCTTGACTGCTTCTGTGTCCCTCGGAAAGGCAGTCCCCGAAGCGTTTAGTTTGAAGATTCAACGCAAACTCGCCAGCACCGTGCCACCACGCCCGATTGTTCACATTGGCCATGATGACGCGCTCGCCCACTTGAAACGCCTCTGTCAGGATGCTATGGACATGCAACAGATGCTAGACTACCGCGGTCCTAGCGATTTCAAGGTATTGATGGAACTCCCGTCCCCCGTACTAGTTTTCATGAGCCGCTGACTCGTAATTTTAGACCGCCGTGTGGACTTTGATGTCCCGAAAACCTCAACCGTCCGTTTACATTCGTACCCTCCTCCAAGCATTGATAGTCCACGAGATGAAGATTCTAGGGGCTGTTTCCGTGAAGCAATTTCTCTACGACGATCTCGCGGAGCTAGTTTTGCCCGCCAGCATGCTACTTGAGGCCAACACGGATGATGTAGAGCTACCCTCTGATCCACGGTTTCAGATTGCCCAAAGGATGGAAGGGTTTGTGAAGCGGTTTTCTCAGGTACGGTTACCCAGAATGAAATGCCAGAGAGAAATAGAGATCCATATTGACATCCACCGTTTACTCCAGCCTTTTGTGGATACTGTTCGAAGTGCCTGTATCAACCGATGTCGAATTCGTCGGACTGTGTGCCATACTGTTGTTGATTGGGATCATCTTCAGATGGAGGTATGGGACTGAGCTTTTTCTCTTGGTGCGAAAATGCCAAAGCTAACGTATCTATACAGGCGGAAGACCTCGACCTCCAATTGCAAACCCTCAGCGCCGAGCCTGCTGTGCAACTCCAAGGGGGAGAAGCCACTTTTTCGTACCCACTTAGTAGTTGGGCCTACCATCAAAAGTTGAATCAACTTCGACTGATCCTCCAAACGGGATTCGAACTCTCAATATACGCCCCTGAGGAGCTACCTGGGATGTATTGGTATCTCTCTCACATCTGCTCTACACATCTCGGCCATCTTGACCGTATCCGCACATTCACTGTCGCCGCCCGCAAGCGAGACCTGGTGTCAACCGAAAGTCGCAAAGACAACCCCACCAGAAAGGCGTCTGCATTTCACCATTCCTTTGTACACCTTGAAAGGCTGACAACTCAATTAATCGCGGTGGACGCCTTTGCGATTGCGCTGCATGCGCTGTACGTTCTCCTAGCCCGACACAAGGTCCTTCCGTCGGCTTCGGGGTCCGACGCCTATTCGGCCGATCGGCTCCGCTATGAACTGCGCATGAAGCCCTTTGTTCCCATTTCTCTACCGGAGCTCGTTCCGTATGAAGAGTATCAACGCGAAGCTACGCTTGACGGTGATTCGGACGCCATCATTCTCGAGCGTGCCTCGAAAGCTATCACCGAAGCACGAAAGGCATGGGAGGTAACTCTCGCCAATGGCGCATTCATCGAGGATCCTGTCTCTCCGGCCAAGGGTCCCCCAACAGCCATTGAGGAAGATTGGCGACGGGATATCAAAGATGCGATGCGTGCCTGCATTGGTGCCAGCATCGCCATCGAGACAGTTAAGAAGAGTCTGGTGGGAGATTTCCCGCCCTCTGAAAGCAACCCACTTGCGCTCCAAGTAATAATTCCCGAGCCGGGCTCCAAGGCCCAATGGCATGACTGGTGGATTGTCCCCCAGGTGTCTGCAAAGCAACCCGAGACGACGAAGGCCTCGTAAACGGGTAGGAAAGGGTGCATGATGATCGTACGAGAGATAACTTTTTATTTTTCTATCGTTTACTCGCTCCCACCCCTCAGCGACCCCTTTTCTAATGATGCATGGACCTAGCCGCTGCATATTTGGGAATTTTTTTTGATTGCTTTGTTTCCCTCTATCTGGGTGTCTACTGATTATTCTTCCCTGGATCCACGGGCAAGGTCATTCTGCGATCCGGTGTGCCTGGTGGAGTCGTAGATTCGCATAGCGATGCATGACAATGAATTTATCAATTCCCATTTACAACGAGATAATTCTTGGGCCTACCAAAGGTGTTTTACTTCCTTAGAAAACCTCTGCATAGTAGCAATGGCAATTAAATTATGATATATGGTGATTGCAGTGATCGGAGAAGTTTCGATCTTGCTCGGCCCCCGAGGTTCTATATAACCAACCGAGGGGTTCATTCTGGGGACCATCGCCGCCCTATTGGAACAAACAGAAGAAAACATAGGGAAAAGAGGGTCAGGCCAGGGCCCCCTGCACCTGAACCTGAAATCCGAGCTGAAAACACGACTGAGAAGCGCGGAAAATAATGGGCCCCAGCTAAACGACCCCAGCCGCCGCTTCGGGCGTCTCGACCCAAGGAACACGCGCGCGATGAAATCATCCACTCGCGGGGCTTGCAACTTCAACTGCAACTTGCACAGTCGGTGAATCCCCTTTGCATAATGCTGCCCCCTGCGTGACCGAAAAGAAAGAATCGATCTTGACCGTTTAGATACACTCCCGCCTAGTGGGGGGATCCATCATGTCAATCCCGTCAATCTACCGAATTGACTTCGTCTGATCGGCCTTAACGGCCGCTCTTTTCTACACGCCATCTTCGGCTGCTCGGGAGCTTCTTCTTCATTCGGTGGGCCTTCCGCGATCTCGTTCACGACAATCCTTTCCCCGGAATCGCATCCTCCCTGGGGTGGTGGATGGTTCAGCTCACGGACCTCAATCCAACAACGCCCTGTGGCGGTTCTAGCCTGGGAGCCTACGCCCTCGAGCCCAATTACCTATCCTCGCCTGGAGAGCGGCCGAGTTTGACTCGACCTGTCCAGTCAATCTCCACCCTCCACACCCGCTCCGCGCTGTAGCTGCTGCTTTTCCCCCCTCCGGGCCCGGCTTTACAGCTTCGCGTTACATTCCCCCCCCCCCTTCTGCCACTGCATCTTCTTTTCCGCCTCCATCTGCCGAACCGCCTATGCCGCGCTCTCTCCTGCTCTCTGCTCGGTGCAGACAATCGCCACCCCGGCTGTCATAGCAGCTTTCCCAGCTTCGCGGGGCTCTGAAAAATGCCGACGTATCCCATCCGTCGCCGCCCGCGCGAGTGTAAGACTTGCCTACCATGTCGCGCGAGCAAAGTCCGCTGCGACCGCAATGTGCCTTGTAGCAATTGCATCAAGCGCAACTTCACCTGTTCCTACGGTCGCCCGCCGCCGCCGGCCAAACTACCCATCCCTTCGGCCTCTGTCACAGCCTCTTCCACGCCGCTTCATTCCTCCTTCGCCTCTCCTGCTCTTCCGCCGCCCTACGGTGCATCGTATCCCCCGCGCGAGGGTTCCTCCACCTTCGACTCCTCCACCCGTACCAGCGATGATCAAGACCTTCCCGAGATCATCGATATTTCACAAGCCGAATGGGATGAGATCAATATCAAGATGGCTACGATGGAGCAAATTATCGGTAGCCTTCACTCGCTATTCAACGCACATTCTGTTCGGAGGCGGTCCGATCAACACGCGTCAGAACGAAAGGATTCGACCCGGTCGGAGGGAGTTTACGGTTCCAATGTGTTGAAGACCGGTGCCGTACATCTGGGGTCCCGATCGGCCCTGGTGGACATTTTGGACAAATCCAAGGCATCTCAAGATATAGCGCAGGCGCTGCCTCAGGAAGATCTGCTGGCAGAACTCGCCCTGGGGAACGAGTCGGCTGCATACCCGTTTGTCGATCTCTGGTCGTCTGATCCATATACTTTCAACATTGCCGGAGTCTGTGCGGTACTCCCGGACGATGAGCAATGCCAACGGTATGATTGGCTTTCTGCTAACACAGAAGATGTTACTCCTTCGCTGACTGTCACCTCGCTCCAGATTTTTGGGATTCTATAAAGAGATTGGCGCGGTGTTATATCCAGTCCTTCCAGATCTAGATGCACTCGGAAGGAAGGCAAATCAGTTACTCGAAGGACGACGGAGGGCAGGAGGTGTCTATAAACCAGATGCCAATGGATTAGTCAAACCATTTGGAATGGAGCTTGTCTTTCTCAGTCTGCTTTTTGCGGTGCTTGCCTCGGGTTGTCAATTGTCGGATCTTCCGAGCGCTGACCGGGAACTCACGTCATGGATATATGGTATGTTGCGACGAGTAAAGGCTATTTCCGAGCCATTCTCCCCCCTCCTCCCACTGACAGGTCGTATACAGTGTCTTGTGCATATCAATGTTTGCGGATGTTAAATTACGTATCGCAACCCACTGTAGAAGTTATCCAAATTCTTCTTATCATCAGCAATGTCCTTTCATATAACATGAACGCTGGTGCTTCTTACACTTTGCTTGGTAAGAGCGCGTCAATGTCGAGGTCAATGCCATCATACTGACTTCCATGTCCAGGCATGACGGAACGCATGTGCCTGGTGCTTGGTCTCCATGTCGAATCCACAGTTGCAACCACCGAGGAAAAGGCTGTGCGAAGGCGCGTTTGGTAAGCTGATGTTTCTCATTCATTTCTTCTGGTGAGCCCGTGACTTATGCCTCGTAGGTGGACGATGGCCTTTCAGAATAGCCATTTCTCACTTGCGTATGATCGACCATCAATCACGATGGTCAGTCAACCGGAGATTCCGTTCGATCGGAAATCGATGCCTGGTCATCGAACGTATTTTGAAACCCTGTGCCGCGTGGTCTCACTTGCGCTCGAAGTCCTCCGGACTCGCATGTACCCGGCTTCCGCTCAACCCCGATATCACGCGATTAAGGAGTACAAGCATCGTATTCAGCGGATGATTGCAGAGGCCACACCGCATCTGCGACATCGTGACCAATGTCGGTCGCTGGCCGAACACATCGAGCGTACTGAATTGCGCCTGCATTCCTCGTATTTACTTTCTGTTCTGTGCCGAGTTTCGTTAGATCAGCATGCACATCTAGACGATCAGAAACGGGCTTTGATCCGGGAAGATTGCATCAGCAGTCTGATCAGCACCATTGATGCCTTTGTCGAATTGCACGAGATCAACTCACATTGTTCTCGGTCTTGGATCAGCTTGCAGCGATCGATCGCGTCCGCTTTTCTCTTGGTCGCCAACGACGATAGCCAACGGACTTGGGAGTTGACCGACCGCCTCGAGAAAGTTCTCGCCGATCACGTCTATGCGGACGGCGAAGCGAACCTCAATGACCGCACCGATTCGGCTAAACACCTGGCTTCGTCCTTGCGAGCGCTGCGGGAGATCCGCGAGGCCTTCCGTGCGCGCAAACCGGAGCCCTCGGGATCGACTCCGAGCCAGACTTATTCCCCCTTAATCTTGCCGTCACCACCGTCTGTCGAGACCAGTCCAGGCCTGCCGCCAAATATGAACATTGCAGGCGCGGGCATGGGCGCAGTTCTCCCTATCGAGGATTGGAGTATGCGGAACATTCTGGGACGGGTCTCTGACGTGATGTTGTTCCCCGGTATGAGCAACTAGTACACACTCAATTATTTCACGCTTTCGATTTCTTGCACTCTCGGCGTTGGAAAAGGAGTGGAGGCTGTTGCTTTTTTTGGGTCAGGTTTGCTTGTTTTTCCGACTTGTGTTGGACAAAAGGGAGCCATTCGAGGATTTGGCTTTTTTTTCCCTTCCTTTCTTTTTGTTTGTTTTTTTATTCCGTGGATACCCTGCATGGCACTGGGACCAGTCAGTGCGGTTGATACTCACCACATACCCCTTCCATCCCTTGGCGCTATCTCGCATCGTCCGCGTCGTTACATGTCGCAAGCGATGAGGTCTGATTTCGCTTTAGCTTCAGCTACCCATTTACACCAAGAAGATCGGACCTTGAATGCACACGTACCCGAGTCTATCTACCTCGCTTGCACTCCGAAGCTTTGTAGTTCATCTGATCTCCTGTCAGCATGCTCAGTGCTACCCCGGCGAACGGGCAACAGTCGAGAGTTTCAAGTAGATCAATCCCGCATTTCCAACGGCCGCACCCGAGCCCCTCCCCGCCCTATATATCTTTCCAGGTCTAAAGCTAGCTTCGCCGGATCCGAGCACACAACCACGTTGCAACAGCGGCCCCTCAGGGGTTCCTGCGTTGAGATAAAATGCCGACCGTCGCGCTCTCTCATCCGCGGAGATCCGCCCGGAAACGCCCTCGCCGGGGCGACATCCTCTCATTCGTAGCTCACCTCGTGTCGACCCAATATGTGGAGTGGAATTGGAGGTGGAGCGGACAGTGCGTTTGCATTTTGGCTGGTTCGTTCGGCCGGCCGAGAAATCACCGCCGCCCCATTGCGGAGATCGTCTGATCGGCTCTGCTTATGGTGTCTCCACATCATCGTGACAGCTTCTAATTCCTTCCTCGCACCTTGCGAATCGGAATTGGCGCTGTCGGGGATTGCTTGCCCTATGATTCTTCCGGAATCCGCATTCTTTGGGGGCGCTTCTCGTCACGGAGCTTAACGCCGGAAGTGGGGTGGTTTCTGGATGTTTCGTCTCGCCTGGGCCTCTGACCGTATAGAAAGAGTATGCCCCAGACAAATCCGGATCTAGGATGGAGCCTGATCAAGTATGGTCTCGAGGCAGGACATCTTCAATCAATAAATGACGAGTCATCCGTGGTAGCATTCCGATAACCGGATGAGTTGATTCGTGCCTCACAATCTGTCATCCGTCATACTCCCATTGACACCCCGGCATATTCCTCTGTTTGGTGACTCTCGGACTTAAGAGATATTTGGAAAACAACATCTCGATCTGATTCCCGACGATTGGAAGCGCGGGTGGATGAGTAGCTTATTTTCCACTTGATAGACATAGGTGTCACCACTCATGATGAAATGCTCGAGACCCGCATCTTCGGTTCGCTTTCTATGACTGTGTAGCATTCAATTGCTTATGATCCGGCATTCTCAATTTACTCCGACCTGCTCACTCAGTCGACTTTTACTGGTTCAGAGCACAAATGGCTGATGTCCTCTCTGGCTTGAAGCGCCCTGAGGGTAGGACTGCGCGTTGCACAGACGCATATCATGATATCATATCAATTACACTGGACCTGCCCATAAAATCTTCATTTTCTATTTAACTACCGAGGGTGTCAAGGCATTCGGATTGGTAGGATTGAAATCCTGATAGACATCTGGCAGTAGGGGATAGGGGGATACACACATCTTCGAATCTCTTCGCTGTCGGGCCTTATGCATTTTTTGGAGAATCCACGATCCGCAGGAATCAATATGATTATCAAACTATTGGCCATATAGCTCGAATGGAGACATGATTAAAAATAAACTTGGTTCTATGTATGAGCGTGAATTAAGAACATCATATGATTTCGATTCCCTCTGGATCGATCATTGTACTGTACAATGCCTTGCTCATGTCATTCAAGGATCTTCCCAAGAAATCTGTTCTTGTGGCCACTTCAGCCAGACATGAAACCTTTCATCCAACGCGGAAAATAGCTGTCTCATCAGCCGGTGACTGATACCTTCCATCCACCACATCCATTCAATTTGTCGCAAGGCTACAGAGAAGTATCCAAAAATGATCAGAGCGATGTGTTGTTCTTGTAGCAGTAACTGGAGGTATTCATCAGAGACTTCAAGAAGCCAGGCGAATACATCTGCTGTCTGAAGATTTGGACCCTCGCCTGGCTTCATGACTACAGCGAGCGTTCTGCCAATTGCGTCTGCAGTTTCTAAGTATACTTTGCGCTGTTCTTCATTCGCTTGGAGCTCTTTTCGTATCATCTGTTTCAACTCCCAGACATACACCTGACCCTGCTCTAGTGTCTGTGCATCGCGGCGAATGGCGGACAATCGGCCTCCATTTATGAAAATGGGCGCCAAAGGCCCTGCGAGAAAATCGTGATCGCTCTGCTTGCTATGCTGAATCACTGTCTTTGTCCCACGAAAAAGTAGGGCCCAATCAGTGAGGCGACCCTGTTCGAACAACACGAGAAAGTTGTCTTCAGATTGGGCTCTTGCACAAGAGAAGATACATGTTAATGATGTGACTAGAAACAAGCCAGGTCCATTGCCCTCGGCCAGTAATGACATGTTCGGAGTTACCAAGCGGAGAGCAGTGTCATGGTGTATGTGCGCTTGGGCGATACAACTGGCTTTCCGAGATGGGTCAGACCTAGCAAGATGAAGAGCACTGATAGCTAGTATTGCGTGCAAAGCGGCGGGCATCCGAAAGCCGATCCTGGGAGCCTCATCACGCCAGATTGCCTGGATTGCCGGTGTGCGAGATATTGTATAGCAGGTCGATATCATGTAGTGATGCAAGAGCTCCATATCAAAGACAGGAAGATTTGATCCCAGTATAGGCGACAGATTGGCATTTTGGGTACCCTGTGAGAATGTCGCCCAAGTATTTGGGCTGGCAATCTCCGACGCAGGGGCTGCTTCTATACGTGGTATCGGCTTCACTTCATTGCTGGTAACTGGCAATGTAGTGACGGTAAAGGAGCACGAAACCCCGTGCTTTGCACAGTTTCCACAGCGGGGCTTTATCTCATCACACTGACATACAATTAGATTTAAACCCCAAGTGGTGCGCGTAGCTAAGACTGGGGGAATTGTTGGGCAGAGCGATGATGCGTACTTTGACCTTTCTTCGTTTGCATTGTAGACACCCAGCCCGTGACTTCCGGTGAGAACGCCTACCCGACGGAAGAGAGCTCATTGCAATTGACAACCTCTTAATGTATACATTTAGATATCTGTAGGGCAAAAAGCCATTCTCGACACGCACACGCGTGTCGTTCGGGACTCTGACTAATCAGCGTGCAGAAAAGCCGAGATGTGGAAAAGACCACGTGATCCGGCATGACCAAGCGAAGTGCTCGAATACGCACTCGAATACTCAAATAACTTGGCCAAATACCTCACTTCTTTCACAGGACATTGATAAATGGAGAATCTATACAGTAGTCTGATGGCCCATAATGGGAAATATGTTCTCCACATTTTCAAGGTGCAAAAGCTAGAATTTGCCATAATTGTGGTTTGCCCGGCTCTCGCAGTCTCCAGTTCTCATGCCAGATCATTCTCGTTGTTGGCCTTCCATAAACTTTCTCTTTGTAGGAATAAATCCTTAAGGGTCATCAAGTGCAGTTTCTCTGTTGGTCGCAAAAAAAAAATGGGACTAGACCAAGATGCTCTTGATCTATCCAATATGTATCTATCTCTCAAATGTCAAGATCCTTCACGGTGTCTAGGTTCCTCTAATCATATTCACGAATACTTGGACAAGACTTTAATCCATGGGTTTCAAGGATAATGAATAAGATGAACTCGCAATGTGCATTGTTGAAGTGATGCATCGTGCTCGGGGATAATGATAAGCTAGAAATGGTAATAAGGAAGAAAGAAGGTCACGGACTTAATGCAGCGTTTTCTGTTGCTGGCCACCATACCATCGCATAGAGTGGAACCCCTGGGCCACCAGGCTGGAGGGTTGCATCAGTGGCCACCTTCCCTTTGCCGAGAACGATTTCTTCAATCTCCTCGAATCCCATCGAAAGGTATAATTTTCGGGAGCTGGGCGTGGTCGCTTCCAGCCAGATTGGGACGTTTTCAGTCTGTGCTTTCCTCTGATGGTATTGCATAATGGCCTTGGCAAGTCCTATGTGGATATTAGTTGATTGATTCGGGAGAAACCCAAGGTTTGATGCTGTAATTACCCTTCCCGCGGTGTTCGTACTCCGTGCCAATGCTGAAGATATAGTAGTAACGTCTCTCTCCATGAAGACCCTTTCTCTTTGCGTTATCGGTCATGCCTGAAAAGTCGGTCCAAAGTCGCTAATTGTTGTGAGAAGTGAGTATCCATATCGCATTAAACCACGTTCTCGACCGTACCTTGAGACCCAGGAAACCCAATTTCCAGAGAACGCAGAGGAAGCCGGAATAGAGAAGTGTCCAGACGTTGTCGATATACCTCCCCGGGGGGATGACAACTGAGGCGGCCTTCCAGCCATCAGCCTCGGTGATCATCGCATCATTGAGCAAAGCCGACCTGACGAGGGTTGTCCAGTATGTGGGTAGAAACGCCAGTCTTTCATCCCGGGACATATTGAGCAACATATACGCGACAACCGGGTCGTTGTCGAAGACACGGCCATTCAGCTGCGCGACAGGCTGCAGCATCTCTATTGATGATTAGATCCCAGGCCAAGCCCCACAGCGGAATGACCTACCATGTCTGCCGTGTGAGAGCCGCACCGGCGTCTGTGCCATGATTTCTGGCGGAAGAGATATTAGGTCAAGTTAACCAGTCCATATAAATAGAATATTTCTTTTCTGCGCTCTCGGGCTCAATTTCGACATGCTGGTGGTGGTGTACATGAGAACTGAGGTGAGCCCGTGGAACCGACGTAATCAATCACCTTATGTAATCATAACCTTTTTTGAACCTGTTCAAGTTGCATCATCTCCTTTTCATGCCAGATTAGAGTCAGGTAATTGAATTCTGGCAAAGCGTGAAAAATGTGAATCAATCAATAAGAATACTGGAAACAAAGCAAAAAAATTGAGTGCAGCAAAGAGAGATGCCTAAAAGGTGATTCTTGAATTGACGAAGAGTCGACCCAGGTCTGTATACAAGAAATAATCAGGCACTGAGGAGTGGTCCAAGTGCTCCGGAGTCGGATGGCCACGATAAGTGGAGTCCTTTGATATTTAAAGGAGATGCAGAGGGCAGAGAAAGAGGAAAAGCAAATAGAATTCAATTAGCTAAAAATAATTCAAAGCGTGCGAGGTGTTTTGCTAGGAGTTTCGATTAACTTGAAGAACGGTAGACGAATAATAACCCGGAATTACTGCCATCGTTGTGCCATCTGCTGCCCCAGAAGTGACCCTGTAATTGGACTGAAGAAGCTCGCCTGTTCCGCAAGGGCGGTGGAACTGTGTTCCATATTTCTGCGCGAAATCTGGGTCCTCGCGACTGGATCAAAGCTCCGTTAGCAATGTTGACAATCGATTAAAGACCTCACCTACGCAATTTGCTCTAGAGCATCGCAGTATGCTCTAATGACCGATGAGTCGGAGCCACGTCCAGGGTCGCACCAATAGTCCGCATCTCGCCAGCCTCCAGTCAACACCGATCGCTTCAAGGCTACGCTACCCGCCTCCATCGCGCTTCGTGATAATGGAATTCGAGTCGTGGGGGTAGCTGATGAGCGTAAGCATTTAAACTTGGATGAAAGAGAATTTGACTTACTGGCACCGGGGTACATGTTCCGAAGGTGCTTACGAAGCTCGGACTGAACTGAGTGTTGAAGCTGTAACCACACATGATGTTCCCCTCACGAATGACATCGCAGCTACTATTGTCAGCATCAATTTCCCTTCAATGAAGATCTGAAATATATACACAAGTGAGTTTTGCTTGTTGAGCACCATCATCGGGTTTTGTTGGGGGTTGACAAGCAGGCCCTCGTGAATGTCCGAAGCCTTGATACCGCCAAAACGACCCGTGGCGAGGAGTCGATTCACCACACTTTGTGGAAGCTAATTGATATTGTGATTTGGGATGGGACTTAGTGATTCAATTCTCAGCTGATGAATTGAATGCCTGTCAGAAAACAAACCATGAGCGTAAACATAACGTGGGTCTGGGTTACCTGCGTTGAGCATTTCTGAGCAATCGAAATCGGCTCTAGTCAGACTTTGAGCTATGTGCGCCATAGTTGTTGTTACAATAAATAAAGTGCTGTATACAACATCAAACTCTCTCGAATGATTAGAAAAGAAGTCAATATCTGATATTGAGAAAGATAGAGAGGGGCACGGCTCCTAGCTAGAAGTAGGTGCTAGGAACGCATCCGGGCACAAGAATCCAAGTCCTAGGCTTGTTGTTTGAGAGACCTGGGGAAAGGATATTTAGTTATTTAGTTTCCAATTGTCAGAAGAAGACTATTTCCTTCAAATCAAAACCTTAAATTCGAAACTGGCTTTTCGTTATCCCTGACAAGAAATAACTCGCCGCACGGCAATGTTTTCCCGGAAACTTTCCCGCACTAGCTTAATCCGGAATTTATAGCCTCAGTATTCATGGGCACAGGGTGCAGAGCTTAAATAATCTCTAAAGTAAGGATATTTTCGAGCTTTTTGTAAAGATGCGATTATTAGTGAATAAATAGTGGTTTATTGAAGAAGTCATAATTAAATCTTTTATCCGGACACTACATAGGTCTTCACCTCGCAGCAGGACGTATCACGGGCTATTACTTTGATAAGTTTTGAAGTATTTCAGATTGAGATCCCTGGTCAAAAATTCCATGTGTGAAAACACAGCTGAAGTTTGACCCTATGCCTTTTCATCCTTTTGAGTTGAGGAGGCCGTCTAAGAGACGAAGTACGCTTGAGAATTCAACTAGACCTAGTTTTCTTCAAGACTAGGCTAAAATATCGATGCTCTTTTTTAGTCGACTGACAGAGGTGTATGCAGAGAAGAAGAATGGAGATGCGGAGTTGCGATATATTTTTTGTCTCAAAATTGGGGTCTCGAAGTCTCACATCCCTTTAAAATAATTTGGACGATCGAGCACCAATATCCTACTGTTCAGCCGTTCCGTTGCCATGAATACCTCTGTCGTATCGAATCTTATTAAACACAACCTAGGCCACTCGGTATAGAAATACCTGATTATAGAACAATAAACTGCGAGTTTAGGCCCTGACGAAACAAAACCAGTCTCGAAAAGTCACGGTCCAGATTTGACGCGAAAATACGCTTAGTATTTCATAGCTATTGTATTGATCCATCTTCGGCCGCTATCCCCTTAATTGGGGGTTGAATTTATCATTCACTTCGGCCTTAAGTAGAAACATATGGTAATTTGAAGACAAGCTCTTTAGAAGAAACGAAACATAGCATTCTTGATAGATCTGATTCTTGTTTGGCTTTATTAGGGCTCCGCTGAAGGCCCTGTGTAGATGTCATAAACAAAAAGGAGTGAAGTCCAGGTGGCTACCGCTATGTAATCGATCGCAACTGACTGGAATCTTCAACATCTCAAGTCATGCAAGAGTCATTGAACAGAAGCTTGATGATATTCTTCTCCACTTAAATCGAAAGTCTAAAGAGTCAAAGGGTGAAAATAGGGGGTGCGAGCATCTACCTCTAAAATCAGAAACATCACCCGCGACGACACTAATTGAAGCAGACTATTCGAGCACAGAGTTAGATCAACTCCCCTATGATGATGTCAAGATAATACCAGGATACCAGATGACACAGGATGAAGCGGATCTTGTTCTTAAAAGTTATATGGGCACAATGGTGCATTAATTCCCCTTTGTCCCGCTACCAGTGTGCAGGGCATCCTTCATGCTCAAGGAAACCCCGTTGCTTCTGAAAACCATTCTATGGGTCTGCAAGTCATCTCTTCTATATACAAATAAGTCGTTTGAGATATGGTTTCGAAGACATATTGCTCATCGCGTTGTGGTTTTAATGGACAAAAATCTCGAGCTTCTTCAGGCCATACTTGTTTTCTTAGCATGGTGAGTGAGGTATACGGCGACTTTAGTGCGCACTTCCTGACTTCTGATACTCTTCTAGGAAGGACATTCAATTTTACGTGCACGGCCACGATACAAGTCTCTTCCAACTGGCTATAGGAATCGCGGGTGATCTAGGACTCACAAATTGTCCAGATATTCCAGAGCTTGCATTTGGATCTATAGTTGAAGACACAGCCCGTCTCCGAAATGACCTTCGTCCTCAAGCACTGCACTCTAGCGCCGATCGTTGGGCTTTTCTATCTAAGTTCAGTGTAAGTGTTTCGAATGATAACTTTTCCGCAATGATGCTGACCCTTATCTTCCATAGATTATCCGGGTTGATGGGCAGAAGACATAAGCTTGGACATAAAAGCTACCTTGATCGGTGCTGCACACGATTGTTTCAGGACCAGGAGTTCAGCACTGACTCATTACTTGTACATCTTGTACAACTCCGCCGAATCGCAACTCGTGTCGACAATATTTTCGGTACCAGACGAGATACTGTGAATGGCAAGTCGCATATGGTCTCCTTCCAATGGAGCCAAGGCTTAGCCATGGCATCAGCTCAGAATGAACTCGATACGTATATAAAGAATTTGCCCGATTCGTTCCAATCAAACTAGAGGTATTACCTCGATTTGCCCTACCGGGACTAATCACCGTTTTCAGACCTTTTACGAGAAAAATATAATGCAATACGCATCCGACTGTTTGAATCAATAACCCACTTCAGCCCAAGCGATGACGCCGAGCTGATCTTGATCAGATCAAGGACCATGTGGGAATGTCTACAGAGTGCGCATACACTTCTCGATTTATTCTTGACGATTCCGCCGGAGACCTTCCCATCCCTCACCTTCGTCACCATGCTTAATCGCGCATTGGGTATTATCAAAGCTGGGTCACTTCTTTGCTTAAACGATCATGACTGGGACAAAGGCTTCGCCAGGAGAAAAGTAGACTTGCGACACGTTCTACAACGCCTCAGTGAACGGTTCGAAGAAGCAACCCGACTTGGACATCCACGGTGTGGTATTGAGATGGATGATTTACCCATGTTTTCTGGGTATGCGAGAAATTTTGAATGGATCAATGGATGGTATTCTTCTAACTCCGACCATGAAACTGCCTATCTTCTTACAAATTTGACGGATCAACTGTTTAACCACGGCGCGGATGGTGCGGAGCTCTGGCAGTATTTGTCAGAATACTCATGCGAGGGGCTTTTGTAGAGATTCCCCTGGACAGAGATAACAACCGTGCAGGAAACAACAATCATCTAATTGAAGGTACTCGAGGCCTATGTTATAATTGGTCGATCAGAATGGAACCTGACTTACTGGGGTTAAGAACAGAAAACAAACTGGACTGTCTGCAAAAATCTATAATAATACTCAATGTAGCGATGGCGGTGACGAATGCAAGGCTCGGTTGAGAAGAGCCTTTGACTTAAGAGCTGAACTGGCGGCTTTTATTGCAGAGTGTTGGGAAGGAGGGGAGTCGGAATTTATGTTGGTTTTCCTAGGGGTTACTTCAACTTCAACTTCCGCTTCAGCTTCGGCGATGGATGGCCAGATGTGATTATTCGGTTTCTGAAGCCTGGACACACGGCTACAGCTTATAGGGACGAAAACGTTGCGAGTGAGGTCCAGAAAATGGAGCTCCTCCGACAAAACACTGATATTCATAATTGCTCGTGGTCATAGCTGGTGCTTAAATGCCGAGAGCCCACAATGCCTTGGTCCGTTTATCATGGAAAAGTCAGCATGCACATCTTTTGGGAATGAAGGGCTTCGAGAATTCGCGTTAAGGGTGAGGCTCCTATGTTACAACTCGCATTGTCCACTGTTATTAGTCGTCAGCCAAGATGCATGTTCTCTAGGGAGTGAATGGGAACTATTGGGTTCCGGGATAGCACCGTCCGGCTCGGACAGTTACAAAATATGGCCAGCACAATATAATAACCCGGTATTTCACGATACAAGGTTGAGGTCTGTGATATTCTCATGATATTATTGCACAAGTCGTTTAACATGCCTTGGCACTAGGAGGGGAGAGTGTAAATGGGGACACCAATTTCCCGAAGATCTGGACAATTAAGCATTCAAAGTGCATAAAAAGCAGGTGAAAGGATGCCCTGGCATCAATTAAAATCTACATTATTAAATTCAACTTTCACATAGATTTCAATATAATCATAAAGCCAAGGTTGTATCCTGGACACAAAGACGGTGATGCAAAGAAAGTGAAAAGAGCCAGCACCCATATGTTCATACATTGAGTCCCCCTTGACTGACTCGTCTCACTTTCTCAGAGATTGCCTCTCCCCAACCTATTGACTTCGCCCGCTTCCGTTTCTTTCTCTCCAATTCTTCCAACGGCCTGCGTGCGCCTTCGCGACGTTGCCAAAAGTCCTCGTCAATATTCATGCGATGGTTTCCGTATCCAAGGTAGTTATCAAATCGTTTGCGCATGGCTGAATCCTCAGCTGGGACAACACTTGGAATTTTGCCTTTGAATGACTCCCAGTGCAGAAATACCTTGACAGGGTAAAAAATAAATTCCGACAGCAAACCCTTGGTGATTTTATGAGATTTGGCCACAATTTGGCGTAGCTTTTCACTGAACGCCATAAGTAAAGCTATTAATATTATAGCAAACGAGGCAGGTGCTGAGATGACGATTATATTAGCACAGTCAACAAATTCCGCGAGAAGCGTCCTTACCAGCAATTTCTGCCATCTCTGCCAACGTGAGATTTTGTTCGGTCCCGCTCCATTCGCGAGCATTGATACCAAATAAAGAGGTGAAGAAAGACAGTGGAAGAAAGCTGCACAAATTAGCCATATACGAGATGGTACCACCGCAGAAAGCGTTTCCGTACATTACTGTGAATATAGTGAAAACCATTAGAGATCGGGATTGGTTTTGAGTTTCTTCTGCCTGCCATCGTGCCATCTTTGATTCATCGACATTGGCCTGCTTCTGTTTAAGGTCGAGGAGGGTCTCAACGGCCTTCTGCGCAAGATGGCTGTTTTCCTTCATATCGCCAATCTGGGTACGGTACTCGTCGATCCGCATTTGAGCTGCATCCAGAAAGACCTTACCACACCCTTTGCGATCAAAGTATTTCATCATGCTCTTCATCACAGTATCCTGTTGGTCGAGAAGTTTTAATATAGTTGATAATTCGTCTTCTATGTCTCGTAATTCTAAAAGCACCGATAGATCGTCACGATTACGGCGCGCAGTTTGGCGGTCTCGAGCGTCAAGTTGGGCAGCCGTCATCATTTTCCCTCCGCCGTTAGATCATGATCAGCCGGTCGATTCGTGAAGCCGCGATTACGGAATCGCTTGAATGATTTCGTCACAGATTCGGTCTGCCCATACGAGTGGCGATTAGTTGGTTGACGATAGAACTCACAGGGATCATGGAACGAACCAAGATACTGATAGACTCTTCGAAGATGCGAAGGACTTGTAGGTCATGGTGTAAAGTTTTGTCAAGTAGAACAGTTGTAGCATGCAGCATGATCAGAGCCGCAAGATCACCAGCTGTCTCAAAACGCCGCGCCAAGTCGCCATTCAGCTCATTATAAATGCTGCTATGCAGATTGGTTTGCTCAAATAATTTGCCTTCGGATGTAGTCGCCTCCTGGTTCGGGAAGAATGTTATGACGGTTTTCTGGTCCACAATCCACAGCCAAAGCTGGTCAACCATCAACACATTCCCGTCCATAAAGTCTATAGCGTCGCCTTCTTCCGGGTCATCCTGGCTGGCCTCCAGATATTTCTTAAGTTGGTCATCTATGCGACTTGGCTTGCGGGTTCGTTTCCAAAGCATCTGATCGTCATCACGAGCGACAGTGGATCGCAGATTTGGGTATCCATATTGATCGAGTGTCCGACGGAAGTGGATCGGCGGCTCGGACCCAAGATACTGCCAAATGAGCTGGGCTTCAAGACTGGATTTTGCAACCCGGTTTGGAACAGGTCTTGATCGTCCTTGGCGCAGTCGATCTTCGACTACCTGGCGGCGTTGAATTAGGTTGCGGTATCTGTCCCAGTGAAGCTATTGAAAGATTAATATTAGCAGACAAACGAAGATTTAAGAAACATGGTTACCCACGTAAGGTGTCTGCACAACGAAAATTAGCATAGTTACCCCAAGAAGATGTGCAGGAAATGTAGACTTACATAGAGTGCTAGTTGAGGATCATCTGATGCCCCTCCTTCATTCCCTTGCGATACATCCATTTGACGTGAATGGATGCATTTCGGACGGACGAAGCGAGCATGCGGCTCCCTGTGGCGGGCCCTGTTTAATAGTAGATACCAGTTTTCTTCATTGATAAATTTCCTCAGGAAATTTGGCTCATGGCGATCTTTACATGCCCGACGGATCACTTGCGACACCCATCCGGTATGTGTGTAGGGGACATGAATCCACAGGAGTTTTTCGGTATCGGGTTCTGGTTGATCAAAACGAGGAACGGAACGAGGGATGTCGCGAGCTTCAGCGTTTTGGTTAATACGGTCCCGGGTGGATGATGGGATCGATAAAAAGCCTGCTTGATGCGGCGAGGGAGAACTAATCCGCTGGATGGTGAGTATACATGTGATCCTGATGGAGGGGATTGTGCTTGAAAGTCTTACGAGGGACGAGAACTACTAGTCTGCGAGCTGCCATCTGATGCATTGCGCTTGTGAGAGTCAAGGGGTGCTAATCCCAGGGCTTTTGCAATAGAACTCGCGCGTTTCCGTTCTCGGGGTGGTGGGGGACTCTCACTCGTGCTGCGATCAAAGTATCCATCCATCGCAGCTTCCGTGATATGTATCGTTGGGGATTGGGGTGCTGGATCTGGGAAGCTTTCTCCCCGTCTCATAGAGGGCCTTGACTGTCTAGGATCCTTCTGATGGGGGGCTATTTGGTGATCTTGTTCTGGATCCTGGGCGTGCTCATCTGGCCCTGGGGCCTGGTGGGAGGAAGGGTATCGACTGTCAAAACTGCTTAAGGACGAATCATCTAATCCTCCAGGCTGTACACGTTTGAGTCTTTCTCGTAGACACGTTGACGGGCCTCGGGCCAGATAATCTTCCAGTGATACTCGTGTGGACCATAGTTTCAGGGGGCTTTCATCACTGACCCCAAGGGCTGTATCCTCAAAGAAACCATTGATTTGCACCATGACCTCTCCTTCTACACGAAGAGGAGTGTCCATATGCGTTGATAATTCGACAGCAAGGCCAACCGCCTCTCCCAGTTCCATCAGAAATTGTTCTTGTGCTGTTTCTTGGCCTTGGAAGCATGCCGTCCCGACGTGATCAGTCGCCAAAGGGATTTCATTCTCGTGTTCAATACCTAGCAATCCAGATATGATGGACGTGATTGGAGCATGGAACTCCATCGTGTTCCCAGTCTCCATGTCCATCACATGTAACGTCGAATCCAAGGTCTCCAGGAACGACCAGACTTTCATGTCCGCGGACAACGCTTTGAACTGGTTGGAGAGATGCCATAGTCTTTCTTGCCGCGGCCGAAACTGCTCTCGTAATGACAGTGGGATCTCGTGGTCTAAATGCAAGAGCCGCCGGATGCTCGGGCCATACTCATCCGCGGAGAGATAGGTCGAACCTTGGTGAGGAGTCGCGAAGAAGGCGATGCCATGGCAGCTGGTCAGGATAGCCTGGCTCGGCTCGGCCCGTGACGCCAGCGCCAGACACGCCTTGGCCACGAGCCCGCCGGTGCTGTGACACAAGAAAAAGAGCGGACGACGTCTGCTGTCCTGCTTGCGTTCGTCCAGCAGCGTATTAAGCAGCCGCTGACCCAAGTCATCGATTTTATCGTGCTCCCGCAGGTCCCCATGGTTGTACAACAGCACCCGCGCCCGCGGCATGCGCCTGATCAATAACGTGCTGATCCAGGGAGATGTTGAATTCTGCGCTGTCCATGCTTTTTGGTGGTTTGCGCCGATGGGTGGAATCGCAACTATACTGTTCCAACGTCAGTGACCAGCTCCCGGTCGCAGGGTCCGACTCGCTTACTCCACATTGGTCTTCTCCGCGGCGATGACATGCTCGAACCACGCGCCGGTGGGTGACGTTGGCAGCATCGTGGCTTCGGGACCTGGCATGCAATCCCAGTCCACGAAGGATTCAGCGGAGAAAAAGAAGTGCGATTTCAGCTGGACCGGAGGCCATCTTTAACCCGAACGCTGGGCTTTTTTTTCAGCCTCATGTCGCGATCATCTGCGCGGGCGCGTTCCCTCTCGGCTCCCGCTGGTTGGCCCTGAAGGCGAGTTGGCTGTGCCCGCTGATCCCGTGAGTCAATGCACATCACCCGGGCACGGGGCGTTCAAGCAGAATATGCAGCCCTTGATCACAATCGGGTCTAGTCTATTGTTATACGGGGATCGAGGGCAAACGGAGGGGTGAACCTATTGACATTGTCATTATCTATGCATCGGAGTCCCTCTTCCGCCATTTGCTCACTGTGGCGATCTGGGCTCATCACTGAGCCCCCTAAGTAGGCCATAAACCTTCGTCAACATGGCAAGAGAGGCATGGTTTTATTCATATAGGAATAAGTATTTTCTCTCCGTGTGATAATATGTGTCCGCGCATGGTTACACGTTGATAGACTTTGAGAGTTACTAAAAGAGTATGGAGAAAATAGCCATTTTTATCTGGATGGGACTTTTTTCGTCTTGTCTCATTTCTTGCAACAAAAGAATGACAATGTAAAGAATGAAGATCTTAAGAAATAAGCCATACCCATGGTCACTTCGTATCCCTCTAACCCGTTTCGGATGCGATTTAGTGTCGATTGATACAGGATCACTTAGCTGCTCAAAAAGAGTAGTATCTATAGCATCTAGAAGATTAAGTAGTGAGTGAACTTACCACAAGTTACTCTATTTCAAGCTGACTATAACAACATGGGCGTCCCTTGATGGTAAGATATCATGATGCGCTACTACTAGGACGTTCGTCATATCTCTAATATATAAGTCTGGATGCGCCACGCTCATCTGGCTGTACGTATCAGTATTACCCACTGACAGAGGAGATCTTCTTTCTTCTCGAATCAGTTGGTTAGAGCTGAGATGCCTTTCTTACTGGTTAGGCCTTCCGTGCATTTGAAAGAAATGGTCTGACGTGTGGTACATTATGAATCAATGCTGCTGGGAGGATTAATATGTACAGCAGATGGGCGCTTTTGTGATAACGGAAAAAACCACCCCAACCATGCCCAGGAATTAACAAGGAGTCGAAAGCCATGAGAAACATAAAAAATGAAAATAGAAACAGAAAAAAATAACCAATGCACACAGTTCTCTAATATTTGGCTGATGCGGTATCATCAAGACATGGACGCCGAAAACGAGCAGACAGAAACCGGAATAGACTCGAGAATGGAGAGTGAGAGTTGAGAGATGGCGATCAGGGCCTGATCGCATGCAGGATAGAAGTACATAGTAGAGTTTAGGAGCTCTCCGGATGCCGCCGTTCGTTGACCTCGCGGGCCATACGCTTGCCGAGCTCATAGGTCGAGATCATGATAGCGCAGGCCGGAGCCACTTTCAGGCAGCGGGCTCCCCAGCCACTAAAGAGGCCAGCCATACCCTCTTCGCGGAGGATATGAAGGAGAAAACGTGGTAGGGAGAGCTGTTCAGGGATAATGGTTTTAGGGGGAAGGGTAGGACGGGAGCCGGCTTTAGGAGGAACATGGTCGTCCATATGTCGGAATACTTGCTGTCGTGTCTTGCCCACGTCGAAGGGAGTGGTGACTAATGCCGCCACGGATCCGGAGGTTGCACCGGCAATGAAGCTTTCAAGGAAGGCTGTTGTGCTGGAAGGTGGTTCCGCTTCCGAGCCGTGGAGATGCGGCGTATGCTGGCGCGAAGTCTCGAGGGCCTCCTTCACCTTTTCATACCCCCACCAGTACAGACCAGAGAAGGGCACATCGCGCCACATTGTGAGCGACAGCCCTCGCCACAAAGAAGTATACCCTCGCACTTGGGTCATTTGATACAATCCCTCCAAGGTGGCCTTGAAATGACCCGCACCATGGCCAGGAGTCGCCTGGAGACGAGTCCGGAACATTTCTACCGGGCTAGTCGCTGAGGCGGCCGCGGTTCGAGCAATGGCGCCCGCTACGAATGGCGCGTAGACATCGGCGATGTTCTGTTTGATCGGACTGCGGTCATCAGCGCGCAACCAGTCATACCCCGCGAAATAGATTATGTTGGCGGGGACACCCATCATGAGTGTCGGGCTCAACCCGCGCCATAATGTCCATACGCCTTCATTCCGAGCGATTTTCCGAAGTCCGTCCAGAGTCGAGGTAAAGGTCCGCCGCTGAGTCTCTTCCACCGCGCAGTCGATAGCCGGGTGTGCCTGTGTTCCGATAGCGCCTTGTGGGCCAAGCATACACATTTGCGCATTATCTCCGACCCAAAAGACTTCCCGACAACAGGCCGTAATTCCGAGATTCGGAGGGGCGTTCTTAAACGCCGCTGTAGTATGTGTCGTGTACGGAGTGGCGTTGGAGACTACAGATTGGGATTGTAGCCGGACTCGAACCACATCTAAAGGAGTGACTGGAAACAATCAGCGTGGGGTTCATATGAGTGAGTACCTTGCTGCTAGCTAGAAGAAGCTCACCTAGTAGACCAGTTAAGACGTTCCCCGCCGTCGCTGACACCATACGCTGGCCGACAGAAATATTGTCGGGAAGAGGAGCAGGAGATGAAGAGGCGTTCATCGCAGGAACTGCACGTGTTCCTGCTGAAGCCGCCATTGTAGTAGAATCGTCAAAATGAGAAGTCCATAACGGCCCCGGTGCGGAGTTGATCTCAGACCCAAACTCGCTCCTGGGCACGCCAGACTGATTTGAAGGGGATGAGAGATCCAGCCCGGTCGGCATTTAGTCGGTACACACCGACTTCTGTTGACGGGAGGCGATTGCTGGTAATGCGAAGGGGGAGGGGAAGATGGAAGAAAGATGCGTCACTGACAAGGAAGATTTTCGGGGTTTTGCGGGTGGCGGCGGGCGGAGATAAGCGTCCTTCCCTTCAATCTTCAACCTCCCTTCACCTCTGGAGAAACGAGGACCAGGTCGGTACAACACAACCTCCCGATCAATGGCAACCGCGGCGATCCTTGTATAGCCCCTCCTCCCAACGTTTCTTTCTCCGATCTGCTCGCTCGGTGGAACCCCTCGGTGGGCTTATCAGATTGATCGATCTCCGACACCGGACTTGTGTGGCCCCTCCCGCCATGGAAGACAACGCCGAGCTCGAGTCCTTTCGTCGTGAGTGGCGCGAAGAGGTTGCTCGTCGATCCAAACCAAGGGCATCTGCTGCTCTTGCCCCTCCTTCCACGCTTTCAGTCCCCTCTCCGGTCCCGCCAGAGCGACTGCCGCCAACGCGTCATGCTGGATCTGACCGCAAAGACCTGGAGGAGGAGGGGCCCCCGCCGGCTTCATTCGACCCGGAAGAACTGGCACAGCAGGTGGGCCAGTTGAATGTGGCACCAGAGGAGGAGGAAGAGGATCACGATGAAGACGGATTCACCCGTCGTGCCCAACAGGAGCCTGATTCGGCTCTTGAGCATTTCGAACGAGCCGTCGAGAAGGAAGCAGCGGGCAACCTGGGGGATAGTCTCCAGCACTACCGCAAGGCATACCGGGTGAGATTTTTTGCTTTCTTTTGCTCATAATATCGGTAATGTACTCATTTTCAAGTAGCTTGATTCGAGTGTCGACAAGAGCTATCGGAACAAGCATTTTGCCCATGTTTGGAAGAAGCCTGCCCAGCCTGCACCCAATGCACCCGGCGCGCCTGATGCACCTGCACCCGTGACTGCCCCGGCGCCTACAGATGGCGAATTCATCCCAACGCCCGCCCTAATCGAGTCCTTCGCGCATCTTCCGATCCCTCAAGCCGATCCTCTCATCGAAAACACACCCCCTCCGCCTTGTCCGATAGGCAATGTTCCGTCTGAGGTTATCGTGGAGATTCTGCGCCATGTGGCGACGCGGGATCCGGCAACATTTGGCCGGATGGCCTTGGTGTGCAAGCGATTAGCATATCATTTTGCGCACGAGCAACATATTTGGAAACGGATCTGCCAACGGCCCCAGTTTGGATTCCAAGGAATGCACTACTCCTTTGTCTGCGATGTCCTCGGGGGTCCTATTTATACACTGAGCGGCAATCAGTACACCCCATTTCCAAGTGATATAGCCGCTGAGATCCCCAAGCCTCTATCCTCATGGAAGGACGTGTTCCAATCTTACCCTCGAATACGGTTTACCGGGGTTTACATTAGCACGGTCAACTATACCCGTGCAGGTGCAACATCATCGTTCCAAAATGTGTCATGGAATAGTCCCATTCACATTGTGACGTACTATCGCTATCTGCGATTCTATCCCGATGGATCTCTAGTGTCCCTTCTTTCCACCACAGAACCGGTGGACGTGGTTCCTCATATCAGCAGAGAAAATGTAATGGCTGCTCGGGCTCCACCCCATAGACAGCATCAGCGCCAGCCATTGGAGCAGGGCAAGTCACTCTCAGGGGCGACTGAGCCTGTCCCACCGGTAGCGATGGCGGCCTTAAAATATGGCCTTCGTGGTCGCTGGCACTTGACCCCACCTATTGAGCCTTCAGAACCCGCAACCGAAGAGCAATTGACCCCGTCTATTCCCAACCAGACTGCGGAATCATTTGACCCGCGAGACATCGTCGTGGAAACGGAAGGGGTGGATTCTAAATACATTTATACGATGCACCTCTCTCTCCGGTCTCCATCCGCTTCCAAGTCCCATGTGAACCCGTCGCAAAATACCAAACTCATGTGGCGGGGCTTCTGGAGCTACAACAAGATCACCGATGACTGGAGTGAGTTTGGCATGCGCAACTATCGAGCCTATGTGTTCCGACGAGTCCGAGGCTGGGGCTTAGACTGACATGATAAATGCCGACGATTTATGACTCGACGAATTTAAGACAGTTACATCTCCCATAGAGACAACCGACGAACTCGGTTGTCACATACAAATAAACCTAGCCATAGTGCGGGGCACGTACATGCGGCTCATTCCTGACTTCTATTTGCGTTGTAGCGTCCTGCTTGTAGCCTGTTTGTTCTCACCCTACTTGTCATCTCAAGGTAGCATTCGCGTAGAGGGGACACCGTGTTACATCCGGTTAAGAACCCCGAATAGTGCATCTCGTCGCCTAGTTCAATCCTGCATACTCCAACTAAGAACAAGTGTTTTCACGGGCCCGCCCTTCCTGTCAGGGTCCGATGGCTCCGGTGCTCCTTTGATTGGAACAGCAGCCTGGAGCCAAGATATCGCGGACCCGCACTATGCGCTAAGACGAGGCTGGGCTCCTCAACTGCCTTAAGTTCTTCCGGGGTGCCGGTCTGGACCCCAAATCATCAATCGCCCAGGATGTCTCATGCTGAATACTGCTATGATTGTCCAGAGAACGAAGTTGTTGAGAAGAAACATGGGTCCACCTCGGATCCCGAAATGAGGAGCTGCGGCTCTACTGTGGATATAAATACCAGGCTCTGGATGCTGCAAAACCGCTGAATTGACATACTGGTCAAACGAAGTATACTCCTCTGCTTTGCTTTGGACTCAGAATGCATCTTATAGCCGCACTTTCTATTCTGGCTGCTGCCTATGCAGCGACTGTAGAACCGGTTCAGGTCCAGGGCGGTTGCTCCAGCCTCCCGGCCTACGATGCCTCCACTGGCATGGCCGGTCCCTGGGTTGTTGAGGTTAACCAATGCGTCAATACCACTGCCGCAGACCACAGCTGTACCATGGAGGGCTTTGGTAGTACGTCTGTTTATTTTCTGCAACAGGGCGACACAAGCGTCCAGCGTGGTTTTGTAAGGAGTCCTCACCCGAAACACAACCTCATTCCGCACCCTAATGATCTCAGCTAATCCTCATGCCAGATCGCCATCGTGTCAGAAAATGATCTTGCCAAAAGCCCGCTCCGCTGCAACGACGCCACTACTTCCTTCGAGTCCTACGTGCCCTCCGGCGTGAGCGGCTACCAGTGGAAGTCCGTCAACATCACTGACATGCCCTACTCCGCGCAGCTCATGTGGGGCCTCGGCCAGTACAGCCTGCCTATTCAGGCATACAACCACTACGTTAGTGGCGTCAAGCAGGAAGGAATTTTCCTCGGTGCGCATAATGTTACCACCTGGGGTGTCCAGCTCCAGTCTGGCTCGGCCGGCAGTGGTGGTAAGCCTTACTGGTTGGTCCGGTTGCTTGGACCGGGCAGCGCAGACCCACAGACGGGCGATGCCTTGCTGGATGGAGAGTTCAGGACCTTTATCAAGATCGACTCGACTTAAATTAGATCCCGTTAGAATGAAATGGGTAGAATTATGAATTTTATGTGTCGGCATGTGGCGCGGAAAGCTGCTATATAATCATGGGGAAGTGGGGGAGATTGACTAAGGGGTGGTATGAGCCAGGGAATCAACTATATACAAGGTCAAATATCATGTCAAGTGCATGTGCAATGTTATTAGTTCCGCCAATTAACGATTGCTTCGTCGTCATCGTCCACAATTACCACCATCCAGACACCAACCTGGCCGTTGCTTGCGTAAAGAGGCGTGCAGTGGACCCAACGATTGCGTCCTTCCGTGTTAAAGCGCGTTACCCATTTGATGCGGGCTGTCACGCTGCGGCCGTGCTGCATCGCAGCCATCAATTCCTCCTTTACGGCGGATGTACTGCCAATGCGCGACAGAAATGAGGACTGTAGCATGCCAGGGATTTGGAGCGAAGGAGAAGTAAAGAGTATGCGGAGGGAGGGATAAGGTCGGACGAGGAGGTACTAGATGAAATACCTGGTTAGCCAATGTCAAGAGGATCATCCCACGACCAGCCTCACGTTTTCATAGACCCCTGTTAAGGAACCACGCAATAAAGGCGATTTCAAATCACGCAGACGAATAGCCTCTGTTTCGCTATCCATCGATCCTCCACGTTGAAGCCAGTGGCGTTTAGTACGCGAAGGGACCCGAGTATTCAAAGGCTGAAAGAGATCACCGCCATGGTCCTGAATGGTGGATAGTTCACGTGGACTGAATAGCTCGCACATTTGTTGAAATTCGTCCTTGTGTTCTGGCTCGGGCATCTCAGCGATACTTTCCTCATCAGGATCGCGGTAGCGAGATTGGAGCTCGATCAATGATTCCATCTGGGCCCCATCCAGTGCGAGCCCAGAGACATCGATCTGCGCACCGATTACGTATTTGACATTGCCCTTGCTGTCGCAGAGAGGGGCACATTGTAGGAGGTTCATGAAAGGAGAGCCATCGCGGCGGCTGGCTGATATTAGTATTATTGCGAGAAAGATGCTGCTCCAGGGGAAACATACTAGTTCAAAAAAAGTTCAGAATGATGCCTTCCGGCATTTAAGGCTTCTCTGATTCGACGGACACTGTTAGGGTTCGTCTGGGGGCCTTGGAGGAACCGGCAATTACGGCCAAGGACATAGTCCATCCCATACTGGGTGGTGCGGTGGAATTCTAAATCATGTTAATGACATTTCAAGTCACTCATAGCCCATACATACCTTCCGATGCAAAGATGATTGGATTGTCCGGACGGGACGGATCCGTCAAGCAAAAGACTTCAGCCAACGCATTCGAAGTATCTCGGAACTTCATCGGCAATGTTCCGCGCACACGTTCTTCCACGATCTTACTAGTGATAGTGATACACCGGGATGTGATGAAAGCAGGTAGCTCTTCCGCTGTCAGCGCTTTGAGACCATCTTGGACTCGCTGCTCGAGAATCTGGTTTGTGGTGACGCCTACCGCATCTGTGTCGGTCTGGAGTATCTGAACAGCCGGCGGCGGAATGTCAATTGAGAGTCGAACTAGGGAATTGGCATACTCTAATGCCTTCAGTGCTTTGGCTGCATTCAGATAGTATGTAAGTGTGGAAATAGAACGGGGCCGCTCTTCCAGGAGGAACTCTCGAAATCGCGCGAGATATCGCGGGTTATTGAGAATATGAAGCATATGCTCTGTTCCAAACATTACATCCGAGAGACGCTCGAGCTTATGAAGTGGCGCGTCGACACCGTCCCACGGCGCAATCAGGTCATAGGAGGCGCCCTCTTCATTGACAGGATTGAACTCCTCTGCGCCATTGAAAGGATTGAGCTCCTGGAGCAAAGGAAGCTCGTTGGTTGTGACGGTCCGTCGCATATTCTTGATAGAAGGTTTTGGGGTTGGATAAGCTTGTTCGTCAGGCTGTGTGAGTAGATCGGGCTGCGAGGATAAATAGGTGTTTTCCTCTGCAATGGCGTCGAGGGTTTTCGCCTTGCTAGGGGGGTTAGGGAAATCGTCCAGGATTTGCTCATTGCTGGACCGATCCGATCTGATTAGTGCAAAATACTTCCCTCGGTACAGACCGCTACTTACCGGGAGTTTCTCCCAGATTCTGATACCCATTCATGGTACTCATCGGGCAGAGTTTCTGAGAAGGATCGTAGCGACTCACTATCCACATTGAACCCCGAAAACCCGTCATTTAATTCTGTTCGAGACATATTGACGAGAATGACCGGTGAACAGAAAATGAAGGAAGAAGAAAAAATCCTACTGTCAGTTGCGAAAAAGTCTGGGAGCACTGCTTTTCTTTAATAGCCTAATCCACGTCCACCCAATAGGCATGCTGCTGATGGATGCATCAATTGATCGTCTACGTCCGCAATTAGTTTTGAACAAAGCAACTATGCAGGCAAAAATTGACAAGGGAGGCTAGACAAGAAGTGAGAAGAACGCGAGGCAAAGTCCATGCTTTGTTCACAGGTCACAATCCGTGAGAGGACCGATCGATCGATGCGGCGCGTCTGGTCCCCACGAGATCGGGGGCGATCCGGAGCCGATGATGCAATGGCGCAGGGCAGGGTTCTGTCAGAGAACAGTTGGCGTGAAGAACATTCGGTGATCAGCGCGTAGCCCGAGTCTATCGATTTTTGCGTTCGCAGCGCGAACTCTGGCCGTAGCGCGGTGGCGCTGCTCATTGGGCGATCGATTTTGGATACGTCGAGTCTCTAAGCATGCGTCAACCGAGTCTAGATCAACTGGGTCGAGGTTGCACGGCAGAGACGGTTGAGATTGGCAGTCGGCGAAATGAAAGAGAACGGTGACTTTGGTTTCTTGGCCTTTTCGCTTGGTGGTCTTGTCTCCAGGGGATCTGCAGGTTGTATTGGTCGATGATGGTACAAGTATTTGGGAACTATATAAGGGGACGGTTGACCTCTAGCTTGGCCGCCCGAGGTTTCCTCTGCAACTCCACTGGGAATACGAGGTCCAAGCACTGACATATGAAGTCTCAGTTATCGTCTAGGCTCTTTCTTCCTGGCACCGGGCACATTTATGCCTCGTACTTCTGCTCGCATTTCCTTCGGCGCTTACCACCTCCCTGGGTCCGACGATCTCCTCCTAAATAGTATCTTGCCCAGGTGAAAGGCTTTTTGCCTGACATCTGCCTCCTACTAACCAAACTTGTGTTTTAAATGGCACGGGATAGCACGGGATGGCACAGGATGGCAGAGGAAAGAATAGGAGCTCTTTATATACAGGGGTATATCCATGGTTTAGGATGATGCTTGGATCGTCTTCGGATTAATGTCGTCTAGATTATAATAGTAGTTGTTGTTACAATTTGCATTTTGTCTCTGGTTACATGGGCTTAACGCCAGCGGGAGTTGTAGCATTGCTGGAATAGAACGATTTCGATCTCAACGCACGGCGATATTCGCTATCTAGAACTTCTCTATATCCCGGACCCTGCTCGTCTATGCAGAACATCGTTCAGCGGCCTTCCGATAACCAGCCTCCTCTCTCATCACTACTATTGCTCTGATTATAACTACCTTTTGCACCGGAGAATAGTAGTTGTTAAAAGGAACTGGAAGCTTTTGCTGATGGAATTCTTACAGAATATCGAGGTGGGTTCATGGATGACAAAGGCTTCTTTTCTCCCACTGCACGATACGTGCATCTGGCCATAGGAATCTCGGAGTCTGACAGACACGGGTCACAGCGCACATGTGGAGAACGCAGTTCAGTGGGCGCCCACTGAGAGCTCAGTAGGCCGCGCTAAAATAGTTAGGTAGGCTGTGCACCAAAAAACCCATCAAAAACCACGTGACCTTTGAAATGTTTCATAACCAGGGAAATTACATTCCGAATTGAAATGTTTGTATTTATAAATTTCGTACCCGAAACTACCTTGCCTTATATACCTTCATCTTCTCCTTAGCAATTCACTAAGATCCCGATAGCAGACTACTAATCTAGCTGGTATAAATACCGGCTTTCGAATTAGAGACCTTATTGACACAAGCCCGATTCCCTAGGTAATCGAATCATTAGAAGCTGATAATAATCTTCTAAATCTTACCGACTAGAATATTTTCCACGATCGCAACCTCTCCTATGTGAGTATATACATAGCGTTTCAAAAGTCTGTTCCGATCCCCACTTTCTATCACCACACCAACCACCTACACATAATTTTCTTTCCTTCTACAACTACCTAGATAGCATCTAGGCACCCCGATTTTGGTGGTAATCGTAAGAAAAATAGTGAGTTAACCCCTGCTCAACGTTAAGCTATTATATATGCTATTAGAAAGGGTAATTTTTCACGTGCTCAGCTAGCATAGGATTTTAGGTGTTCGGTAAAGACTATATATAACGTCTTTAAACGCTACCAAAACGACTACACCTTCGATTCAGCGCCTCGTTTAGGTAGGCCTAGGAAGCTTAGTAGTCGTGATTACACCTTCCTATATTTGCAAGCTCGCCGGTATCCTTTTTGGACCTATAAATAGCTATCAGCCTGCTTACCTAGTAATCCTTCTAGGTTAAGAATTTGTCGAGTTCTTCGCCGATTTAAACTTCTTAAACGCTTATCAAAGAAGAAGATCCCTATAGGGTTGAAGACTACTTTAAAACGACGGTATTTTATGTTAAAATAGCTAAGAATTACTAATTCTTCTAGGATTTAAAAGTAGATATTTTCCGACGAGTGTTCTTGTCATATGATATTGCAGCGTGAAGCTATTCCCAACTTCACGCCTCAGGTGTTAGTTCGACACCTTACCGGTCAGGCTTCGTCATGACAGCCCTACTTCTCCCTAACATAGATACATGACCTACAAGGCCGTGAGGGTTCGGTGCCCTTCTATTAGGGATTTATGAACCCCTCTTCCCTGTAGCCTTTGCTTACCTCTGTTACGTAGAGGCTACGTTAGACCGTATATTATAATATAATCTATTGTCTTTACTTTAGTTATAAGGGAAAGTATTAAAGCTTGTATATAAATTAAGGATTATAGAGAGATCCATGATAGCAAGAAACAGTGTTTTGCTTTCCTTACTTAACGTTTATCTTCCTACCTAGTCGACAGGCTTTCTACCCTATACAAGTAGTTATTCTCTAACACCTAACTACTCTTTCATAGCTCGATTTATATTTCTATCTATTCACTAGGCCTTCGTAGAAGTAGCCTATACTAGGTAGTTGCCCTCTTATACTAATTTAAGAAACGAAACCGGTCTTTATAGGAGTATAGCTTCGATAGTATTGTTTTATTACTCGAATTCAGGGTTTTAGATAGGTTAAAACTACAGCTTAGTTACTAATTACTTCTATAGGCCTATTAAAGAAGCAAAAAACTATAACGTATATCTTATAAATCTATTTATCACGGATCCTAAAGAAGATCTTAATATACGGAGACGGACAAAAGGAAACCGTACCCTAGGGACCTTTGACTAGTTCTTAGAATTAAACAAGCTCAAATCCTAGATTCGACCTACTAAAGCCGTAAGCGATATAGAACAAAATATCTTATAGCTACACGGAAATCCAGAAATCGGCAAATCTATAATAGCTACGATACTTACTAAAGAGCTACTAAAGAGGGATTATTTTTCTAGTAGTGATAGTATAATCTCATTTTTCTTCTGCGATTCTAGGTCTGAATATTATAGAACGGCAACCTCTATACTGCGAGGCTTCCTATACTAAATTATCAAAAAACATCTATCGTTTATAGAACAAATGATGTCAAGATATCAAGACCAGGGAAAGCGTCTTTTCACATCGTTTGACGGACTTTGGGCGGTACTGATGGATATCGGCCGAGCGACTTACGGCACCGAGATATACTGCGTGGGAGATGCTTCTTTTGATACGGTGGCGAGCTGTGGTGGCGATGTGGCATTGCCTTCCCTGCCATTGGGGTCTACGAGACCACATCTGCAGCCTTTATCATAACCACTCTCGATCGCATCTCAAACCACCTTTTCTTGCTGGTGCCTAATAAAAAAATCGTAGCCATAGGTGTTATTTTCTTCATTCATAAATAAAGAAATGCAGGATTGTATTTTTACAGGCTTGGAATGTCAGAAGTCGTCACTATCTATCCTCAAAAGCTATTCTGCAAGGTTGACGGTGCCCCAAAAGTTGAAAGCGAGGGCCGGATTCAGGAATTGCTCGCTGATCGCCATGGAATAAACGGGTTGAATAATAATTCGTAGTGAGCTAACTTTAAAGGGCATCGCGAATTTCATTCCTCCTTGTCCGAAAAGCCCATTCGAACCCTAACACGCATGTTGATTTGGGGATTAGGACTGAGGTCCAGTGCTTGGAGAACTTCCAGATCGAGTTTGCGATCCTTGTCACTGGCGAAATCTATATCGTATGCCAACAAGGTTTTTGCGAATAACATCTGAGCAGTGCGAAGTCCAAGTTTGCGCGCAGGACATGCTGATATTCCGATACCAAAAGGTAACCAGGTCTCAGAGGGTGTGACTGAACCAAGGGGATCAGTGGTCTCGGATGAGAAGTCATAAAAGCGATATCCGTCAAACTTCTCCGGTTCCTGGTAAAACTCCGGATCGCGGAGAATATCGCGAGTGGGCAAGGCGATCAAAGTTCCAGGTTTCACGGTGAGCCCTATTGACGGAATTGTTACTGCTTGATTCTTAAGAGTTCTACAGCCAGTCACTAGATAGTTTCATCAGCTAATTTGCTTGAAATAGAACTAGAACAGATTCCACAAACCGAGGGAAGGTTGATTAAGGCGCAATGTCTCCCGGGTAAAGCTCTCTAGCTTAGGGGTGTGTTTCCAAACAACAGTCCAATTGTTTTCAGTCAATTTTAGTCCCGCTTCTATTTCCTCCCTTAGCGGTTCAATATACTCTGGATGGGTCATGGCGCGTAAAAGTAAAGCAGCTCCGACCGTGCCAATTGGTGAATGTGACTCGAAGTAAAAAAAGATTGCATGATCAGCAATCATTTCTAGATCCTTTCTTTCAGTATGAAGCACACATCGTGGATCTAGTGGACCTTTCCTGAAGGACTGTTTGATGATTGACTCAAGGAGGCTTTCAGAGATATTTTCCAGGTCGTGTTGCTGGTCTGCAATCCGTGATTGAATAAGAGGAATTATTTCCCTCTTGATATCTACAAATTTTGCTCTTAATTTGCGAGATGTCGGAGCAAAGTGCCAAATGAGTGGACCAAGAATTTGTGGATGATCCCTTCGAATCGCCATATGTTGAATCAAATCACTAGTCCAAGACGCTAGGCGCTCGTTCAGATTCATATTTTTGGCATAATCGAGCCCAAATACGGTCGCAGTACTTGTATGAGAGCTTGCCAAGGTCATAAACTCTAAAACATTGGATTTATGCCAGCCTAAAGTTCGGGTAAGCCAACAACTAATGCTATCTGAATCTCAGAAATTTGATACTTACCAGGGTCGCTTGATGGGCCGAGCAATAGAGGCATTACATGATCAATTGTATTTGATGTTGTAAGGAGTAAACTGTCTGGAATAGGAATAACCATTAACACTTCTGCTGATTCGCATCAAGAGATAGTACTTACCAAAGGCACCAGCTTTCATAGAACTATGGATCGCGTCCATTGGCAGTTTCCAGTTCAAGTCCAGTATTCTCTCCGAAACCAGGTACTAGGGTGTGTTAGTACTCCAGATCTTCCAAGGACTAATAATTCTATCATATGTTGACTTGCATCGGTGATTGTTTGAACAAAACTCATCTTATCTCTTGGCAAATTATAATACTCCTTTCCGCATTGGACGGGAAGAACCACAGTATCTATACCATAGTCCTGCATAGCGAATGGTTTGCCATTCTTGCTATACTATTGGCGAATTGGAATTAATCACGATAATTTTAGTACCACGACAACCAAAGACTTGCTAACCTTTCTGTAATACTTCGTAATCTCTGCCAAGCGAAGTCGACCCTCCATCTGTTTCCATCGTAGTCGAGAGCTCAATAAACTTGCCTCCTTCAGCAGAGGGAAGTTTGAAAAGGCTCTTCTTCTTTTCAGTCCACAGATTGCATCTGACACGACAACAAGAAGTATTAGAATGGACGCAGCAACGACCACACAAATCGAGATCGTATACAATGGGCTGGGTTTTGAGAAGAGCTTGTTGTGTGTCTGCATGTTAGCACTTTAGCGAGATTATGACCAGAAATAACAGATGACGTGGAAGCAGATTTGAATCAAAAATTTAATTTAAACGGGGGTAGAACTAAAATATACTATATTTTGAATGGAATAAATACTTCAAGCGCAGTAGGTTGGAGATATCGAGGGAATAGTGGGGTACAAGTCAGCAATCGCACGAAAGGGTTTGTGCTACCAATCTGTGGCAGAGATGGTAATACTATCCACCATGAGTTTTTATCTTCGGCTCAAACCATTAAATCCGTTTTTTCTTCTTTTTGAAGCAGTGTTGATTTTTTGGAGCCACGTCTCAGTCTATTCCCTATGCATCAATCAATCAATATATATGCTTTATTTCTAATATATTGGAGCTACACTTCTCCGCAAAACTCTCTGGTCTAAGTCTAAGTCCCTTCAAGATACTTTTAAAGTCAACACATATTTTGGTCAATAGTGACAAGCAAAGAGAAAAAGGTATCTGCCAATTCAGTCTAAGAACTTATTTCTGGCAAGTATTTCACTGAAAATAAGCTATGAATAGATTTTATAATGTCAAGAGGACTTAAAGCCATTCCTGCAAGACAGTATGACGAGGTTCTCGAGGTCGCGAATATCTACGTGCAGGGAATGTGACTTGGAGATACGGCCTACACTGCCACCGGCTTTCGTGACACCGCTAGTGTATATGGATATATCGAGGGGAAGTTCCAAGAAGGCTCCGTGAAATTAATCTTTAATTACATAGATTCTCAGAAGGAGCCTCCTCAGTTCGTGGCTCATCTGAGTATTATTGGAATGACGCCAAGCACCGCTGTTGTTAAGTGTGAGATGGATATCCAAGCGCCAGAATACGAGTATACAGACTTTATATCCCTGGCTAAAGTGGATGGGAAGTGGCAGATGGTGGCCAAGGTATTCCACGCATACCTGGATTGAGTGGTGATTTTTCTTTGATCAGAAAGTCTTTACTTATTTCACAATGCCTTTGTTCCGTTGATGTATAAGATAATCATTGATGGATGATCTCGCTATATTGGAATTGGACCTTCAAAGTACAAAATCATCTTGAACAGCCAATTCTTAGATTTGTCAAACTCAACATATTAATTAAAGAGAATTAGCAAAATTAAGAATCCGACACAGAGAGACAGGAAAGAAAGGACAGGAAAGACAGGACCGGAAAAGCTCGTCATAAGCGGTCAGCTGCGGCTGGAGATATGGGCAGGTGGTAAGAGGATACCAACATCAGAGATCCTCCCACCGAGGGTTGACCGTTCGATGCTGCTGATAAGGTACAACTTATTCCTTGAGGATCTTGCGATATCTTAGTTTAAGACCATTCGAGCCTATTTTACGGCGCTAGGATTGTGCCGATTGCGTAAAGGTCGTCACCAACTTTGCTGCTTGTACGGCAGATATCATCCTTCTTTTCCAACCAGCCTTCTTTTAGCCCTATCTCGCTGCAAAACCCGTGGACTCTAATTGTATTTTTCCTGAGCTACTCCCGAAGTCTCCCACCAAGGATCGACTCCTGAGGATAGCGTCTTGCAGGTGAATAATCAGGGTTCAGAAAAGCAAAATTCAATTAATGAATACAAGACAAAGCATAAACGATCAAAAATAGCTTCTTCACGTTTAGAGCAGTTCAGCTACTAGTTTTTGTATGCCTCATGCTTTCCTCTTGTTTAAAGATCACTGGCCAAACAGAATTATTTTCTCAGCCTACAGGATTGATCTTTCGTCACACAAATATATGTGACTCTTCAATAATTACTTAGCTAATCTAGTGTAGTTACAGTAGCGTTTCAAAAGTTTTTCCCAACCCTACTTTCCATTACTATATCAACCATCAACCCTATTTTTTTTTCTTTATCCTACAACCTTAAAATGCTAGATAGCCTAGCAGAAACTACTAAAAAGCGAAGAAAAAAAGGTGAGCTTACCCCTAACTAGCGTTTAGCAATAGTATATACTACTAATAACGGTATATCTAGAGTATAGCTAGCACGTGATTTTATATACGATCCGAAGACGATATATAATACTATTCAACGCTATACATAATAATATATAGTTAATTTAGCGCCTAGATCTAGTAGGCCTAGGAAGCTTAGTAGTTGTAATTATACCTTTCTATATTTATAAGCTCGCTAGTATCCTTTTTAGACCTATAAATAGCTATTAGCCTGCTTACCTAGTGTTAGAGAATAACTACTTGTACAGGGTAGAAAGCCTGTCGACTAGGTAGGAAGATAAACGTCAAGTAAGGAAAGCAAAACACTGTTTCTTGCTATCATGGATCTCTCCATAATCCTCAATTTATGTACAAGCTTCAACACTTTTCCCACATGACCAAGCAAAGACGATGGATCACATTGTAACATGCGGTCTGACGTGGCCCCCATGTGTCAGAGATAAGCAAAGGCTACAGAGAAGAGGGGTCCACGAATCCCTAATGGAAGGGCACCGAACCCTCAGGGTCTTGTAGGTCATGCATCCTTGTTGGGGAGACGTGGGGCTGTCATGACGAAGCCTGACCGATAAGGTGTCTAGTTGACACCTGAGGCGTGAAGTTGGGAATAGCTTCATGTTGCAATATCATATGACAGTCGGAGACTACGAGAGAGGTACGTTACGATAACGCACATTTTACGTTAACTAGTTAGCAGCGCGTAACATAGTGGCGACTCACTACTGAAACACGTTAACTAGGCGCCCTTTAACTATATACGTCTTCGGTCTACTCTATAGGTCCGAGCCCGTGTAAGGCTAGAGTAGATAATAGTACGATTACGAGATAGATCGTCAGAGAAAACGAGAGAGGTACGTTACGATAACGCACATTTTACGTTAACTAGTTAGCAGCGCGTAACAATAGAGAGATCCATGATAGCAAGAAACAGTGTTTTGCTTTCCTTACTTGACGTTTATCTTCCTACCTAGTCGACAGGCTTTCTACCCTGTACAAGTAGTTATTCTCTAACACTAATTCTCGAAAGCCGGTATTTATACCAGCTAGATTAGTAGTCTGCTATCGGGATCTTAGTGAATTGCTAAGGAGAAGATAAAGGTATACAAGGCAAGGTAGTTTCGGGTACGAAATTTATAAATACAAATATTTCAATTCGGAATATAATTTCCCTGGTTACGAAACATTTCAAAGGTCACGTGGTTTTTGATAGGTTTTTGGGTGCACAGCCTACCTAACTATTTTAGCGCGGCCTACTGAGCTCTCAGTGGGCGCCCACTGAACTGCGTTCTCCTTGGCAGAAACCTCACTTGCAGTGAGCCTCAGGCATACATTCCAGTGCGGCGCCTACCCACCGCTCAGTGGGCGCCCACTGAACTGTAGTCTCCGCACATGTGGATAAGCCACAACTGCAGCCTGAGGCAACGATATCTGCCACATCCAACCTACATCATAGGCAAACAACTCCCCTTCTTGGCAATATTACTCCCCTTTATCTGCATCCTTTTGCTATTATGACTACTGCAGCAGTATTTGGCTCCACGGGAGCAGTGGGCTCCCAGATCCTAGCTACACTCTTGGCGTCAGACGCGTTTTCATCTGTCAAGACGGTCTCAAGGAGACTTCCCAAAACACAGTCTCCCAAGCTACAAGCGATCGAGGAGGGTGATACGGCAAAATGGGGCAGCACGATCTCAGCTCTATCTCCGAAGCCCTCTGTGGTTTTCAACGCGGTCGGCACCACCAGAGCCGCAGCTGGGGGTATTCAGAACCAGTGGAAGATTGATCATGACCTGTGCATTGAGAATGCCAAAGCAGCCAAAGAAGCTGGAGTAAAGACCTACGTGTACATCTCAAGTGCTGGAACCCGCGGATTTCTCTCAGGTTATGTACCATACTCGAAGATGAAGGTCGGAGTGGAGGATGCGATCAAGGAGCTTGGTTTCGAGCAGGCTATTATTCTCAGACCCGGAATGATCCTCGGGCGAGAGACGGCCAAGGCTCCAGTGTTCGAGTACATTATTGGAAATCTGAACAAGCTAGGCCAAGGTGCCCAAGACTGGATTGGTATGAACCTCTGATCAATAATCGCCTATGACCTGTCGATCTAATACATATAATGCAGGTCAAGATCAAACCATCATTGGCCGAGCAGCCGTTGCTGCGGTGCAAAGGGCCGAGGAGGGAAAAGCACCATCCAAATATTGGGTGCTTGAACAGGCGGACATTGTCCGACTTGGTCGAGAAGAGTGGAAACAGTAAATCTGGCAGCAGGGTATCATGCCCAGACACACTATTTATCAAAGTCTCTCTCAGGTTTTCTAGTTATGTGTTTCTATATTCAATGTAATCTCAACTCTAATCATCTGAGACTATTCAGTCGGCCGCACTAGGTCTCTTTCATTTCACCACGATCAATTCCATCACTCCACTTTATCCGCAGAATGAGCATAGGGAGATATGTGTGTCTTAAAAATCTAATATACAACAAAGCGAGGCTAAATAGGCCGGGAGGCCGGGTAGTAAGGCAGGCAGGCCCACTATTCTTCAATAATATAATAAGTTATAGCCAGAGCCAGAACCAAGATCATAAAGGGAATTATATCCAGAGACCAGTTTCAAAGCCGACCGAAGAATTGACTGGCATGGACGCCTTGTTTGCCTAGTATTGATCTACTTGCCTAGGAAATCTAGGCGATGCCAAAGCGGAGAACAAACGCGCTTATCGATAAGCCCGATAAGCGAAAATTTTCGGGACGCGGCGATGCGGATTTACGAGGGGATTCTTCGCATTGACGCCCATCCATCATGCCTGAGAAGGTACACACACACTTCGACGATTCCGTTGAGGAGTCTTCTAAGAATTCAATCAAATCTCCGGTCGAGGTAATCCCTGCCGAGGAGCCTGGCCGGAAGAAAAAGCGCAACAAAAAGCGGAAGCGCGACGACGTCGCCGAGGAACGTCAGTCGCAACGTGAAAACGAAACTCTTCAGACCGATACTTCGACCCAGGAATTTGCCCCAGCTACAGAATTCTCTGCGCCAGAGATACCGGTGATTGATGACCCGGAACCTGCTTCAAATGGAGTCCCAGTATCCAAGCCAAAGCCGAAGTCGAAGCCAAATGCCAGACCCTTGACCGATAACAAAACCAATTTCTCCTCCCTCCGCGAAAAGGCCAGTGTCCTTTATGAACTACGCAAGAAACTTCCGATATTTGCACATGCCGATGAAATCCGCAAGAAGCTTCGGGAACAAGATGTGATGCTGCTGGTGGGTGAAACGGGTAGTGGAAAGAGTACCCAGATCCCGCAGTTCCTGGTGAACGAATTTTGGTGCCGACCGACGCCCACCAAAATCAAGAGGGAGGATGGAACGGAGAAATCAATCACGGTCGGTGGGTGCATCGCCATCACCCAACCCCGTCGAGTGGCCGCCATCTCCCTTGCTCGGCGTGTTGCAGAAGAGATGGGCACACCGCTTGGTTCTTCATCACCCGCCAGTAAAGTCGGCTATGCGGTGCGATTTGATACTTCAACATCTCCAAGTACCCGAGTGAAGTTTTTGACCGAGGGAATGCTGCTGCAAGAAATGTTGCACGACCCTTGGTTGACCAAGTATAGCGCGGTGGTGGTTGACGAAGTCCACGAGCGTGGAGTCAATGTGGATTTAGTAACTGGTTTCATACGCAACTTGGTCTCTGGGAAGTGTGAGGGACGCGGTGGAATCCCGCTCAAGGTCGTTGTCATGAGTGCTACGGCTGATATGGAGAGTCTGCTTGGGTTCTTCCAAGAAGGTTTCAAGCAGGAGCAGCAACAGAAGCAGATTACGAATGGCACCACAAACGGGGTGAAGAACAACGAGGCACCCAAAGAGATTTCACTATGCCATATCAAAGGTCGACAATTCCCCGTCAAGACTATCTACTCCCCTGAGCCAGTACATGATTTTGTCGATGCCGCTCTGAAGATCATTTACCAGATCCATTACAAAGAACCTATGCCCGGTGATATTTTGGTTTTCTTGACTGGACAGGAAACTGTGGAAGCTCTCGAGCATCTGGTCAATGAATACGCCATTGGAATGGATCCATCACTGCCCAAGATCCAGGTTCTCCCACTTTTTGCTGCTCTACCTCAGGCTGCGCAGCAGCGCGTGTTTATGCCTGCTCCACCTCGGACGCGCAAGATTGTGCTGGCCACCAATATCGCCGAAACGTCTGTCACTGTGTCTGGTGTGCGCTACGTGGTGGACTGTGGCAAGGCTAAGGTCAAGCAATTCCGCACTCGTCTAGGTCTTGATTCGCTGCTCGTCAAGCCTATCTCCAAGTCCGCTGCAATCCAGCGAAAAGGTCGTGCAGGTCGTGAAGCTCCTGGCCAGTGCTTCCGATTGTATACCGAAAAGGACTACTTGGCCCTGGATGAAACCAACACTCCCGAGATTCTACGGTGTGATTTGAGCCAAGCGCTACTCAACATGAAAGCCCGCGGGGTGGACGATATCGTTCGATTTCCATTCTTGACTCGCCCACCGCGTGAAGCGCTCGAGAAGGCCCTTCTGGGTCTCCTGAGTATCGATGCGCTCGAGGACGACGGTCGCATTAGCGATGTTGGCCGACATCTTGCCAAGTTACCGCTTACTCCGACCCTGGGACGAGTCCTTCTAGCTGCCGCCGAGAATGGCGTGGATTGTCTCCTAGATGTGATCGATATCATCTCATGCCTGAGTGTGGAGAACATCTTCCTTAACACGAACTCGGAGGAAAAGAAAGAAGCCGCTGAAGCCGCTCGACGGGACCTCTATCGACGTGAAGGCGATCATCTGACAATGCTGGCAACGGTACGGGCCTATGCAGCCGAGAATGTCGACCGGAAGGCCTGGGCCGAACGGCACCTTGTGTCCCATCGGGCCATGCAGTCGGTGATGGTAAGTTGTTCTCTCTCCTCACCGAAAAGTAGCCCCCGCCCCCCTTGGAAAAGCCGTTTCCTAACCCGTCTTCGATAGGATGTGCGCAAGCAACTGCGCACGCAATGCCGCCAGGCTAAACTCCTGCCTCGCGATGACGGCAGCGATCACACCACCGACGCTTCACCCGATCTTATCCTGCAGAGCTTCCTCTGCGGCTTTGCGACGAACACCGCCCGCCTGGTCCCGGATGGCAGCTATCGGACGGTGGTGGGGAACCAAACCGTTGCGATCCATCCGTCCAGTGTTATTTTCGGCAAGAAAGTGGAGGCAATCATGTACAACGAGTTTGTATTTACGAATCGCAGTTATGCGCGTGGAGTAAGTGCTGTGCAGATGGATTGGGTCGGCGAAGCCTTGGCTGGATGAGCGAGGCAGGCCTCTCTCCTTTTCTTTCTTGCATTGTGACCTGGTCTACCATGTCTGATTTCTCGAGCGCTGTGTATATTCTATACCCCTGAATGAGCCATATACAATGTATCCCCTTTTCTCTAGTTGATTTACACAGTGGTGTCTATGAGATCTGTCCCTATCGTGTCGGATAAATTACCCCCCCCCCTTTTCCTAGCCCCTCATATCCCCGGCCTCGTTCAGGCTAATGGTCGATCCTGATCGGAGACGGAAATGAAACGATCAGCATATCTGTACGGGGCGTACGGCCTGACCCGTTTTGTTCGTCCACTATAAGCGAGCGGATGTCGATCCCTTTTGCCACTGAGTAGCTTCCACGTCAGACACGGAGAAACAAGGGCATAATCATGGAAAACAATACCGAACCATCATCATGTACAGTCGGGGGCTGAAGTCTCAGTCGCATGCACAGCGTGGAATGGGGCCAACGTCTACTGCTACTCCCAATACTCTAGAACAGGGGGCCATCCTAAAACGTAGACAGAGTCCCTGTATCCTGGTTACTTGGGACAAGGTGATTTTTTGAACTAGTGTATTGACTACTGTATGTAAGTGGCATGAGCCACAGTCCATCCATACATGCTCGCACGCGATTAACATAGCATGTTCTGGTGGATGTGATATGAGGGAAATCTCACGCGAGCAGTCACATTTTGTGCTGATTTGCGCTGTCGATGCATCCGGAAGCCAGGGCACCTGTTTTATCTCCCTTCCTCATAAACGCCACAAGATAGCCCAGAGAGGGAGTATTCACTTTGCCCACCAGTTTCTCGGCTGTTCCTTGATTCCCAGGCTGGCCTAGTAAGTTACCTCCAGTGGTCCGACCTCGCGACTTGCATCATCCGGCCCACCGCCTTATCGTCACCTGTTATCAACGCATCATCATCCACCCCCAACGCCCTGGGGCCTTTTTTCCAACCACTTTCCACCATTTTACCCTATATCAACTTCATTTTGCTTTCCTCTCGGTGGTAAGCTCCGAGAAAGGTCCATCACAGTCCCTCCTTGCTGGGATCTCCGCTCGTGACCGCACACGCGGTCTCTCTTGTTGCGGGGAAGGTATCCACTCCATCTCTCGCCGCTTATCTGCCCAACAACCCCCGAATCGGCGAGTCGGGGGTAGTGATCTGTGATCATGGCTTTTCGCGTCCCAACCCAAGCTCCTCGCCGCCGAACCTCCTACTCTACTCCCCAGCGCCCGCCGCCGATAGACATCCCTCCATCGCCCACCGAACAGCAAGAGGACGACACGACACAATGGGTACTCTTCTCGCCGACCGCACGCACGCATACGACCTCGACGGAGCACACTCGGACCGTGGGAGCTTCACGTCTGAGTGACTTTGGTTCCTTTGGAACAGCGACGCGATCTGCAGCAGGCCAGGAAGGAGAGGCATATCATGACGAGGCCTTGGATGATCAACTCGATGAGGACGGGACCGAGCTGGATAGCTTGGACGACGGGCTACAGGCATTTCGTGCCCCATCGTTGTCCCCAGTCTCCCCCGCACGAATGGAACAAGGGCCACCGGCAATGCTGCCCGCTCATGATGGATTGGGGAGCTTTCAGGCGTCGAGCCTGCTGGCCCAGGAGCAGCTGTGGCAGCACGAGCAATACAATCCACAACGGCGGCAGTCAGGCTATCCCACTCATCGTCGTCGGTCTAGCGTGCAACGGTACCTTGATACGGTCGACGAAGGCGAGGCCGACGTGGAGCGAGACAGATGGCACCGCATTGAACAGTGGCGGATGGACCAGAGTCGGGCATTTCTACAGGAGATTGAACGTGAGACACGTCGCCGGCGATCGAGTCACGCGAGTCAATCCACGATTCCGCGCTCGATCGCCCATTCTTCGCCATCTGGTGTCTCGGCGATGCCCTCTGAGACCGCCTCAGCTGAGCCTCATGCAGAGATTGACGACGAGTCTTTCTGGCGCCGCATCACACGAAAGGTCATCCGTGATCTGATCGGAATCGATGATACTTTACTATCGGTGATTCTGGGCGAGTCCCTACCATCGGAGGCGATATCCGATGGCCAGGCCGAAGAGCTTGATATGGAAACGGTACTCGCGCAGGAACCTGAACCCTCTCATGTCGATGCACCCTTATGGCAGACCCAGGTGTTGCAGCGAATCGCCCATGAGTTGGGAATTCTAGTGCACCAGATTTGTGAACATCCCGGTGCCTTCACTACATATTACCAGATGACCAAGGATGTTTCGAGTGAATATGCAGGCATGTCACTCGACCGTCTCGCCGAGAGTGGAGTTTCTCAGCGACTGTGCGAACCCACGACGCAAACGTCCGTTGATACACCTGCGACCGATTCTATGCCCTCTCCCCACTTCATACCAACCATCGGTGATGCGAACCGTGAACATGAGGCGCAGTGGGGTATCGAAGATGATGATCCTATTAGCCCAGAACCCGTTTCTGAATCTACCCGGCTGCAGCAGGAACAACAATATTGGGAGCGTGGCTTGGATGTCATGATGGTTTTCCGGTATCTCCGCACGCGCTTCGGTCGCCGCGGCTACATGACCAACGACAACTACACGTCCAACTCTTCGCCCCGCCATACCCAAGACGCCTCGCGTCGCGCCGCCATCATCCGCCAACATCATCCCCTCGTCGCTCGTGCCCACTCCCGTTCCCAGAACCAACCCCGCCGTGCTTCTCAATACTCTGGCGTGTCGGGCCCCGCTGGTCTCTCCGCCCCACTAGCCCGCACTCACATCCGCCGTCCCAGCTCCAGCTGTGCAAGCCAGAGCAAGTTGTCGGCGATCTCTAGTCGTCGTACACTGACTGGATCCAGCCGGAATTATTGGGATATCGGTGGGAGCGTGGATAGTAACAGTGCGATCGGTGTTGGAGCGGGGTTCGGCACTTGGGGTGAGGCATAATTTGACATATACATATTTAGTTTAACCTCCTTATCATTTTTTTTCCTTGTGGACACGCACATTGGCGTTTGATTTGAACAAATCAATAATATTACGAAGCGACATATTCGCGCTGGTTGGGGTGGTGCCAGTCAGTTGTGGAGATTTCATACCCTGAGGGGTTTACAGGTGCTTGGCCTGTCGGTTTTGGGAGCTCCTCCTTCCAAGATGGCGGATGAGGTGTTTGGCTTTTGGGGATACTGTTGGAGTCTGGCTACTCTCGGCTCTTGTTCATTTTGCATATAGCCTGTTGATAAATTATACATCGCCTCAACTCGGTACAGATTCATGGAATCTGAACCGGAAAATGGAATAAATGCATATCTTGCGAGGAAATTGTCCGCTATGAGCTATCTAAGTCCATTACTAGTCGCCAGGTGCTACTCAATGAAGACAAAAGGAGAATGAGGCTTTTGCCCCAGGCCAACATGAACCAACCCCAACCGGGGGCTGTAACAACCGAGATACGGAGATGGGCGCTAATGATTGGTAGGTCCTGACATGGCATACCGTGGGCAGAGAATGAGCTGAATAGGACTCCTTTCTAGACAGGCTGCCCCTACCTAAGATCATTTAGTTCTCGCACCGACGATGCTGCGGCCTTGTCATTGACATGTACATGTACTTCCGTACAACGGTAATGAGATCGTTTCAAAGGGTATCCCGTTGGAGGTCATGTACTCCATGTCAAGTAATTTCCAATCAAGAAGCCGCGGGTTTCACTTGATAACAGTACCATGGTCTTCGAATTTTCCTTTGGCCCTGCATGGAAGCGAGAAACACAGAACCCTAACTATGGCTACCCGTTGCAGATCTCATTACTTAAGGTATTCTCGCAATCTGGAATCTGGTATGAACATGTTCGCCCAAGAAAAGCACTTCGCACTGATGCCCTGGGGGCCAGAATGCGTATTGGATGATCATCCTCGTCCTCGCGCTTATCTCTTTAGATTGTCAGCAGATCGGGTTCGGATCTCCGAATACAGGTAGCGTGTTTCAACTTGCTCCCAACGTTCTACCACAGACCACACGGCCCATGTATTCAGCGAAGAGAGGCGAGAAAATGCCATTAAGCGCCTCTAAACTCGTTGGTTGGTGGTGTACTTGAGTAGTTGTACAGCAACCCGTGGGCGGCGGGCCAATCATCCGCTGCGCCCCCTGCCCACTCGCTGCGGCCAACACCGGAAGCGCCCAAGTGAAACATGGCGATGGGCCCGTAAGAAGCGCCCCAACTATACCCAGAGCAGTTGCGGCGGTTTCCAACAGGTGGCTATGGAGGCCATGGTCTCGAACGAATACCCCTGCTCAGCATGTTGGATTGCGGCCACAGACGCCCTTTGCCCAACGCCGCTCATATTACTGCTCGTTCCCCCAAGTCTTCGAATCATTCCTCTCCTCCTGGACTTGAGCACCTATGTATGAGTGGCCTGTTTGCCCAGTTCAGGTCGATGGGGGTTTATTTTCTCCTCGTGCTGTTGGCATCCAGCTTCGGCCTCGCGGCAGATACGGGAAGCTTCACCAACCCAGCGACGGCAAGCTCTAGCGATTCAAACGCAGATAACCCAGTTTACACCTTTGGAGATACAGTGAATTTGAAATGGACTTCGACATTTGAAAGCGCTTCCCTCATGCTATGGCAAGCCCAAACAGAAGACTATGAATTCCTACAGAGTATGTGGCACAGTTTCCGTTATCTGCGTTGCCGTGCGTGCCTCTAATGATTCTAATCTTGACAGCCGATATGGCTAGCACGGTCACTTCCTACGATTGGGACGTTACTACCGGGCTTGACTTGACGACAAACAACATATTTCACTTGGAGATCCGAAATGCGTCGGATATCAATGATGTGAATGTAGTTATCATCAGTCGGAACTTCAACCTCACCAAAGGGACCTCGACATCCTCAACTACTACCACGAGCTCTTCCAGTACAACCTCCAGTACCAGTACAGGGGGAGGTATTACCACGGCGAACTTGCCATCCACAACCCAAACCACATTTCCTCTCTCGACAGGTAGCACGGCAAGCGATAGTAACAACAGTAGTGACAGTGGCCAGAAATCTGGCCTGTCAACTAATGGAAAGATTGGCGTGGGAGTGGGCGTTGGCGCTGGGTGTGCCTCTGTGGCCGTTTTGGCAGCCTTCTTCTATATGCGTCGTAAGAAGAAATCAGAGTCAACCGAGGACGACATGGATGACTATAGCGGATATGGCACCCCGGAGCCAGAGTCAAGGCCTGAATCAACGCGAGCGCTGAAACCACGGCTAAAGCAGGAGCCGATGCCAGCGCCCATACAAAAGCCGACACCAGCGCCAATACAAAAGCCAACACCAGCGCCAATACAAAAGCCAACACCAGCGCCCGTACAAAAGCCGATGCCAACGCCTATACAAAAATCGATGTCAGAGCCCATACAAAAGCCTGTACCAGAGCCCATACAAAGGCCGGTACCAGTGGCCAGGCAAGATACTTACCCCAAAGTTGGAGAGCTGCACCGATGGCCAGGAAAGGTTTTTGAGGCGCCTGCAAATGAGGCACGGCCGGTTTTTGAGCTACAGGGCTAAATTCTTCATTATCCCTTTTTGTTTGAACAAGATATCTAACGCTGCATATAATTTATGGGATTGGCGCAAAGAACCAAATAAATCTTGGGTCTGCAATGCTGCCGCCATGATTGTGCTTTGAAGCTGGCCACATTGATGTGAATGGGTTGAACTGAAATATTGACAGGCGAGGGATTCAGTCCTGATGGCTTTCACGGGAAGGAGGAAGAACGCCAACGCCATGATGATGATATCTTCTATTTCAATTCATGCTTTTCAGTGGTACCATCAAGTGGACGATAATCTAATGTAATTAGTCTAAACTATATACAATGGCATTAAGAAATTGACAAATAACAGTTCTCTGTAGAAACGTTTCTAGAGTTGACTTCCTCGTTGCGCACTGTAGCGAGCACTCATAGAGTCCTGGTAGGGGAAATAGAGCGTCACAAAGTCGAGTGTCCAGCATTACCGCTAGATTTGAGGATCATTGGCAGATAACACCCATCAGTCTACCTTGCGTCGCGCAGCTCTTTCAAAGCATTCATCAAACCTAAAAGCTCATACGGGATCTAGGAGATACGAGCAGTTCAGCATTAGCAAATGATGGCAGTACGAATATCAGCGATTTGCTCTCGGTCAGCCATATTTCGCTGCTAGCCTCGAATCAACACCCAACATACCGTAAGGCGCAGCAGCAATGTGCCAGGACTAGACTGCCGGGAACAGATAATGAGAAACCCGCCCAGATTGGGTAAGCTGACTAGCTACGAGCGCTGGTCTTTAATTGGTGCTATGAGGAGTAACCTCTTGTCCAATATCGCTAGCCGCGGATACCGACTTTCAGCGTATTAAAGCTATAGCCACTAGGGCTAATTAGATAAATATAGGATATTTATACGAGGAAACTTACTAGAGGTTACGACAAAGCCAAGCGGTAGAAGATATTCTATAACCCTAGCTTAGAAACAACCTAGTATCGAGATGCGAAGACTTCACCAATATGTACAGGATAGTATATATCTAAGGCATAGAAAGAAAGATCTTCTTCGATCTTCTCCTTCGGGTTAAACTTGATAAAGCCCGATAATAGAAACATCCGAAGAGGCAGGGAAGATAGCGGTCTAGATGCTATGGTTCTCGTAAAAGGAAAATACAACTTGGGCGTGACACGAAGGACAGAGAACTTTGAGACAAGCGCTCACTCTTGTAAGTTTCCCAGCAAGTGCTCGCATACTAAACAGTCCAACAAATCGCAAGTTGGGGGCGGATCAGCAGTAAAAACAGTATTAATGTCTTACGGTTATTGTAGGAGCAGGGTAAGGCATTAATAAATGGAATGGTTTTGTTATTGGTGGTTGAGCCGCCCTCTGCACTTAAGTACCCGCTAGGAAAATCATGGGTTTGTTGGCCAGTTTCCACGTGATCACCAGGCGCGTAAAGAGCAGCATGGGTTTGTTTTGCGCGCCAAGAGAGGTAACCGATCACTAGGCTGAAACTGTCCGAGACTTAATCAGAATACAGACATATGATAATCAATCAATCAATATTCTTATCATCACTGTTGGAGCTTCCTCTATTTACAAGGTGCCATGCAGGGATTTGCCACAACCAGGAAGGGTTGGCGGGCGGGGTTTAAAGCACTAATAGCCCTGCGTCACCACTTTTCCCTTATTTTTTCCCTTTGCAATATAACCTCTCGGTAACGCTGATACGACCCAGAATGGCCTTTTGTGGATGATGCATCTTTCCATAGTTGGGTCGATTTTAAGCCCTTGCCTTCTAACCTCAGAGTAGATTGCTGTTCCTGACACTTACAAAGCCTAGATTCCCATTGAGGCCTATTGAGGGATAAAATTTGGCAGCTAAAGCTCTAATTCAAGTAAATTCGGCCATTTTATTAGAAGGATCTCGACGGACGATTTCAGGCCTCCCTTCGGCGGTTGCTTTGTCACGTTGATGGTAGAAGGTTGCCGAAGGCCATTTTTGACATGCGGATGTAACAATAGAAAGGATATGAGTGGTCGCCATAGATCGTAGAGAATGTGGAGGATCAGCTATTTACTCCAATGTACAAGAGAATTTGACACAAAATGTCGATTGACATGTACCACAACGCTCCATGCGTTAACGTTTCAGCTCGACATTAGAAATAACGCCATTGTAGTCACTATCAGAAATTGAGTGGATAAGCTTTTGTGGTCAACTCTTGCTGGAACTTTGAGATGGGCGCCTTATGTGAACATAGGACAGGATTGCCATGTCAACGCCCCTTCTTTATCTTGACTTTTTTTAATACTTCATTTGGAAAGACTAGGCAGGGTTCGAATCTCGGCTCCGCACCGCGTTCTTTTTTTCAAGCGCTCTTTGTTTGCAATTGACATACAACACACTTTTCAACATTGCCAGGCTTAACTTAGGAATCTCTTCAAGCAGCTCCAAGGATTTCGATTCATCTAATTCATTTATATGTCTTGACCTCGAAAATTAAAGCGCATTTTGTAAACGGTGCACCCACCTAACTAACGTATTTCACTAACGAGCGGCGCACACAGTACACTCTTTGAGATATTCTCCAGTCCCAACCCAACCTAGTGGAGCGTATCTCGGAGTTTTTGTTTATCTTTGATACATGACCTTCCGCCGTGAGTAACGCTGTGGCATGGTTCCGGAAGATGGTTGTCTATGTATCGAACTACCTGTATAATTAAGCATTTGGGATAAATCTAAAGAATTTGATCAAAGGTGAAAATCTAATCAGTAACGTGGTGAAAATCAATAACAGGGTTTCGTCCTTGATCTTTTCACAGATCATGTGCATGTTTATGGATAGCCGTTTAATTAGATGCCATACTTGCGACCCCGCGCGAATATTGGAACCGTTCTCCTCCACTTCGTTTATGTAATAATTACCCGGGCATTCATGCTAGGAGAGTATACCACTATCCGGTCAGAGCACATGTTCAGTTTCCAGCATCAAGGCGATCTCTTCGTTCCTTCTCTAATCCCCTGCCCGTAACAATACTCCAGAGGTAAGCCCTATTCACAACCTCATGACTGCCCCCTTTCAATATCCATACATTTCCAAGGAATGTAGTCAGTAACACAGAAACCCACATGAATGGAATCATGGCAATGAAAGCCCACATGATACCGCTTCTGGGATTTCCCTCGTGGGCACCGCTTTTGTTTGTGAATACCGTAGACATAATAGTCAATCCAACAAGACCACCGAATGGAACGGCGAAAGAGACCAAACATGAGATCTGGGCCGTCATCGCTGGAAAGTATGCCAGCCCGTGGAGTGACGCTGGATTCAGTCGAATTCCAACACCGTGACCGACCAGCGCCATCATGCCATATATTAGGCTCGTTTTTGAGGCATGGACGGCCCATGCTAGGACTGTGATCCCAATTGCAGCCGTCAGACTACCCAGGAGGAGTGCGGGAAATGTCTGTCGAGGCCATACATTTGACGAAAACATGGCCATATAGGCGCCCGCTGTAAGCATAACACAGATGCGGTCAGCATTTCAATTTCAATTTAGGTAAATTGATGGATCTTACCGCCAAGGCCTGGGAGAAAGTAAAGTAGAGCTAGGCCAGCACTGCCAGAGCTTTTACCTTCCACAAGAGCAAAATATAAGTCCATGAAGTACATAACAGCGAACATGGCGATTCCGATGGAAAAGTTGATCAAGAACAAAAGACCAACATCACGCTGCGAGAGCAGTTCCCATGGCATCATGGCTTTCTGGCGTGGGAAGATACGAGACAAAACGGCACCTGGGGCCATGCAGCGTTCATAGAAGACCCAGCCGATGGAAAGAATACCGCCGACAACGATTGGTGCGAGAACAGCTGCTGAGCTCCAGGAATAATTGCCACCACCCCAAGTTAAAGCGAGAATCAGCAATCCAAATCCCCAGAGAAATAGCATTTGACCCCCGAAATCGAGGGTTGAAATACGGGCGACGAATCGACCGATTCGCGAGTTAGTGCGCTCTTCTGATTGTAGGATATCTTGAGGACCTTGAAGTTCTTTTCGAAGAATAAAGAACACCACGATCATCGCAATGAAAGCAATCGGAAGATTGATGGCAAAGCACCACCGCCATGAGGCCTGGGTGAGGTAGCCACCAATCACAGGCCCGATGCTGAAACTCACCCCAGAAACCAAGGCAAATATGGTCCAGTTTAGTGCATATTCAGACAAAGACACTCGGTCGGCCAGGATGGTGCGAATCGAAATATTCACGCCAGCTGCACCAACCCCCTGCAAAGCACGCCCAAGGAGAAGGACACTAAAGGCAGAAGTTGGCGCCCCGGTGCAGATGGCTGAGCCGACCATCATGATAAAAATGGCCGCCTGGAGAGTGACATGGCGACCAAATAAATCTGTCAGTTGCGCCCAAAAAAATAAGAACGCAGCTGAGCAAAGGTTGAAGGAGGAAATAATCCAGTTCAGCTGTTTAATTTGATCTGCGAATGCGTTAGCCACAGACATACGCATTCGACGCTAGCCATTAGATCAAACTCACTGAAATCGGTTGCGATATAGGGAAGGGCAGATGCGACGATAGTTGTGTCGAGGGCTTGCAGGCAAAAAGGGCTGAAAAGCCCCAGAATAAGCTTCCAACGATATACTCTTCTTTTTCTGTTCTCTGCTGCCTCTTCAGGGGTCTGAATCTTCTTCTTATTGCTTTCTTTCTCCGTATCGGGCTCCTCGAAAAGATCATCCGCGATATTTTCACTTGGGGGTTCGATCGCTTGTTCGGCTATCTTTCTTTCGTTCCGTTTCTTTATCTGTTTATAGATCAAAAACATTTTTCAGTAGTCCCAGCGGCCAGACCACGAATTCAACCAACTGAGTATTTCAATAGTCAATACGCAGAGGCTGCTGATTTATTGCGGGCAGGAGATATCATATTGTGAACTGGGGAGTACCCGCCCTTTAACCACAGAGCCAAGCTTAGGCTGCGGATAGGGCCTGTTTTCAAAGTTTGGCCAGGTCGGGTAAGCATCGCGAAATCTGACCCAATACGGTTTAGCGCATTGAAGGACCCTTGTTTAAGCCTCGTTTTCCCTTTTTTGGCAGTCTTCGTATTCAAAATATCACTCGGACATTTCTACGCGAGCAACCCTTGTTCATTTTTCATAATAGCCTACCATGTTGCCCTCACACATTAACGAAAACTCTATCTAGCTAATACCGAATTAGCGCTCACAGCACCGCCTCCAATAACTTACTAGGCTAATCAGTCCAGGTGAGCCTTTATACGGATGCCCTGAGAGGCAAATGTACAAAGAACTGAAATTGATGTCAAGTGATGAAAATTTGCGCCATGGCTTTGAGGATGAAATTCTGGATCCTCAATGTTGTTTATGCTTTGGTAGTCATAGAATGTCCCCACCCCAACTGAAAAAATGATTAAATTAACATCCTACAAGGCGCAGCACAGAGGTCGTTCAGCTCCATTCTAATCGACATTAGACCAGTAAAAATATCGGCTCAAAAGGCATCCGTAAAGCTTTATATGGAAACCATTGCGAACGCAGAGCCAATCAGAAAGTCAGTCACCATCGCTCTAACACCACACTATACCTATTTGGGACAGATATCGCGACCTGGGCGGGACCTGCCACAGTGACGAATCAACGGGCAAGGAACTTTCTAGGCATCATGTCTGCATTGCGGCTGGATTACTTATATTCTTCTCCATTGGAAAAAAAAACTCCCCAGTTTCATTTTATTCCCCTTCTTTCTCTATCTACTAGAAATGGTAGCCAAACATAAACAACTCACTCCTCGATCCGGTGAACTTGCTCATTTCTGGACAAAACTAATGGACAACGTGGGCAAACCTTGGGTACCAAACGAGCCTGCTCCAGCATATGAGGAGTTATTTGACGCCGAGGATCTCCATTCTCAGGGCTTGGTGAGTAAATATCCATTATTCGTTTGAAACCTAAGAGTTTTTGGTCTCCTTGAAGCCCTTCGTTATTGACGGATTGTCGATAGAACCCTGCATTCCCTGAAGACGTGGCCGATGTAGGTGCTGCCACTTCCGACATTGAAGGGCAATCGCACCATCACAGCGACTTATCAGGCTTCCCATCAAAACTCAAGTCGCTCATCGGATCCAAATCTCGACCCCATCCCCATTGCGATGCATGCGATCGGCAATTGGAGCGCAGAGAGAGACGTCAACACCGGCGGCAAGTCTGCACCACTGTTGCGAAGACGTCCGTCGCTATCATCCTGATCATAATGATTATGTCTATTTTTAAACATTCCAAAGATCCAAAGGAAACTATATAATCCTAAGTTTTCTTAAACCTAACCCGTTTAATTCGATTCTCGCCCGCCAAGGTGTATATGTTTAAATTTATTCCATTCAACCATTTTTGATGAACCCTGTCAATACAGTATGAGCCTGATAGAGTCTCGCAAGCATTTCCCATCCAGATCAAGAAACTAATCAATGGTTCTGTTTATCTTGTCGAAGAGAGGCGACCAGAGCCTCGGGCCCCATGTTAGTGCCATTGCGCTTTGTAAAGTACACACGCAGGTTGTAGGCATGGATAAATCCACCAGACACTTCAACAATCTGTTTTGGTGGACCGAGGCTTTTAAATCACAACTGCGCGGGTAAAGGAGAGGAAAGCGTGGGGTCTGCATCATAGGACATCCCTGTGTCCTCTAAATGGCTCCGATAAGATTGAGAGATTCAGGATCGAAGGGATAGAAATATATCCATCTTTGCTCCTTTTGGAGCTTTGAAAAGAGATCCAAAAAGAACGCCGACACGTTGAAAATTGCAATTGTCTGTTGATGGCGAAGCCCTTTTGTCCCTCCCGATCCCCTTCTCTCTACCCTTGGCAATTGTCAAAACCATTACCATCGACACATAATGGGGTGAGCTGTAGTTCCAAAGTTTGACTCAAGGTCGCTGAAAAGGTCATTGGTTCCGCAGGACCGAGGGCTAAACTGTCATGTCCAGTGAGGAATCTTATAAAGCCCCCGTGGGTGACGATAACGATATCTGGTCGGCTGGTGTTTTCCAGTTGCTTAAACTGCTCGAATAGGCGACGCTGAACTCTTTGCCCACGCTGTTTTAACAATTCGAGCTCCGGCGAATATATCCCTTCTTTTGCTGGGAAAACTGGATCCAGCTGAAAGGAGTCCCAAGGTAAGTTCGGGAATTCCGAATGTAGGATTCGAGCATCCGAGCCAGTGTCACAGGGGCGGGCTGAATGTGCTTGTATTTCTGCTTCCAGAAGAAGAGTCGATCCTCCTTTGACTCCTTTATTGGACTCGTTGGCATAATACTTCTCGTCCAGTGCCCCCTGGAAACCGATCAGGGATGTTTGAAGGGTACGTCGAAGAGGCGACGTGATGACCAATCCAACTCGGTCTTTGAATATAAAACCTCGACTTAGATCCTCGCACTGCTCGATTCCTCTCGCAGTTAATGGTGGGTCAAGGATTGTTTTGTCGTGACTAGGATTGTGAGTTCCTTCCGCGTGCCGTACTAAATGCAATCGGAATGTCATTGTATTTTCACGCCTGGTGGATTACCGTATTCCAGCCGTCCAAGAATGAAGTTGAAATTTTTTTGCAATTTCCTTCTTTTCCACGTTATTCTGGATTTTCATTTTATATTACATTAGATCCCGAAACTCCACTCAACTCAAGTCGCCAGCGATCTCCGAGGTCGGGATAGACTTCCCAATAAGGCTATGGTCACACCCACCTCGGAAATATGGCGACGCAGTCTGCCAGGGCAAGTCGAGTCTATATATCTTCCCACATTTTGTCATAACAAGCATCCATAGAGGATTGAATGACTTCGATAAATTTTATATGAATGTGAAAGTAGAGGTAAGATGAAGTTCTGTAACTTTTTCGTTGTTTTCTACGTACCTCATAGTCGTGAATATACGTATATTCTTTTTGGCCAATATACACTTTTGATGCTGTCACAATGTTAGCAACTGCTGAAATTAGACACACTTGCCACCCCCAAGCCACGGAAAGTATCCCACAAATAGAAATAATTGGAAAATCAAGCACTTTTATTTGCTGTACATAAAAAGCGATCATTAAATCTAATACAACCTGGCATCAAAAAGGGTAGGTAGCTGCGGAGAGTTGAGTTGCCGGTCTGATCCGCAGAGACAGGAGGGTAGGCTGACATAACATCAGCTTGGGGCAGTCTGGGACTTCAACATGCCTGGTTTTTGAAATGAATACAGGCTTCCAACCATAGTAACGAACTGTATGCGCGACGAGATAAAGATTGTCGTTGAAGTCAGATGCGGTAAAGTGTGATCACGTTTGGTAACCTTGTCCCTCGGATCAGGTGAATAGGAATTGGTAACCCGGGTAGCCGATTTCCTGAATGGTGCAATATTTGAAGAGACTTGAACCCGTTGTAACTGCGGGGGTCTTACTGGCATCATATTGCGCCATTCTGACATTGCCCCAGCGAGAAAGAGTCCATCATATGGCCACTGGAAGATGCGACCTGGGCCAGGTTTTACTGGTCGATAGCCGCAAGCCCCGCCTTCACATGAGAAATTCAGCCTGCAATGTCATGATAGTATGCGAAGCATACAGTTTGGCTTGTTGAGGATGAGAAGATATCGGTACAGGGAACGGAACCTCATCAAGTGTTGGCGGAATTTCAGGGTTGAATTGCGCGAGAGATACAGAAAGAAACTGCGAGAAAGTATAAATCGAGGAGAGAAGCTTCTTCAATATTACACAGACGAACCATCTTTTGAATCAGACAGGAATTTGATTCATAAATAGTAAAACCATGGCACCTTCGGTTGCGGAGATCCCTCAGACAGAAATTTTGGTCCCCATCAAGACCAATACTGAAATACCGAAAGAGAAGCCGAAAGTGAGGAGAGTTATTGATGAAGAAGGTGGAAAAACTACTGCAACCGTATGTTATCATACCCTACTCCCCGTTGTGTTACATAGGAGATTAACTAGACCATTGGCACCCCAGTATCCACATTATCTTCCCACCTGGGATCATGGCGAGAAATATAATCCACTTGAAGCGTTTACTCATGTTGACCACGGAAAATATGCCGATCAGTCATTCAAAGATCTTCTACAAGAAGGATCCCATGTTCAAAAGCTCACTCCCACCATCGGTTCTGAAATTACAGGCGTTCAACTGAGCAGCCTTACATCCGCAGGAAAGGATCAGCTTGCTCTCCTTGTTGCTCAACGCAAAGTGGTGGTTTTCAGAGATCAGGATTTTGCTGATCTTCCAATTCAACAAGCTCTCGACTTTGGAGGATACTTTGGCCGTCATCATATTCATCCTACAAGTGGAGCCCCGGAAGGATATCCTGAAATTCATCTCGTTCATCGCAGTAATAATGCGTGGGAGTACGACGCATACCTGGCAGAAAAGAATAGTAGTGTATCCTGGCATTCTGATGTTACATACGAGCAACAGCCACCGGGCACAACATTCTTGTACATCCTTGATGGCCCAGAGGTGGGCGGTGATACCGCCTTCGTGGACCAAGTCGAGGCATACCGGCGCCTTTCGCCAGCTATTAAAGAGAGGCTGCACGGACTGAAGGCTGTTCATTCTGGAGTTGAGCAAGCCGAGTTCAGCCGCAAGCTTGGTGGAGTTGTGAGACGGGAACCAGTGAAGAACGAGCATCCTATTGTTCGAACTCATCCTGTGACTGGCGAGAAGGCGCTTTTCGTCAATAACGGCTGTAAGAGACAATTTTCCAAGATTAACTTTTGTTCAAAGCTGATGGGAAATGAAGTCACTCGCAGTATTGTGGGATTGAAAAAGGAGGAAAGCGATGCTCTATTAGGCTTCTTGCTGGCTCATGTTGGCCGTGGGATTGACTACCAGACTCGGATTCGATGGGCACCCAGGACAGTTGTTGTGTGGGATGTAAGTTGCATCATGCCTCAGTAATTAAACGCATATTGACCGATGGAACAGAATCGTGTTACGGCTCACTCCGCAATAATTGACTGGACAACCGGCGAGCGACGTCATTTAGCACGTATCACACCACAGGCCGAGCGTCCATACGAAACACCTTACGTGGCGCAGGAAAGCTAGGCATAAAGTTGAATATCCTGTTATTGTGTGAGGACTTAGGACAATTCGAGATCTGAGTATTCGTTTATACAAACCCTTTTACGTAGTCTAAGTGTCTCCCTGCTATCCTATGTAAACAGACCTCGCAGCGAATCAGATAAAAGCATTCATGGACAGTCCAAACAAAGTAGTACGATTTGAATCTCTCGAGAGTGGTCTGGTATTTTTAAGACGAGGCAATGTCAGAACTGGATGTCGTGATTTCAGGTCCTCTTTTCGCACTCTCTTGGCACTGAAGCAAACCAAGCCTTCCCCGATGTTGGCGTCTCTCTTTGCACATGAAATTCAAAATGTCAAAGACTAGTAGTTACAAGAGGTTTATTTCTCCTAAATCTCCTTATAAGGGGTGTTCTTTGCTTAAGTAAACAATTGGCACTTTGTGATCAATGTTGTATTCAACATGTGAAGATTATAAAACATCTCAGTTCCCCTGCCCCGAAGCATTCTTTCATTCAAAGCAGTGGGTAATGTCAATAACGAAAACACATATCGTTCAATATCCCCATCAAATACTCTTCAAGCTTGCCCTTACAATTATCGTGCAAAACGAAAATCAATCCTAGAAAGGATCGCCTTGTCAATCACCCTGTACAGTGGACCGTAACTAGAGAGTCTGGACCGACATACCTTTTATTGGTTAGCACTGGATTCTCTCGCAGATATGCCTCTCTCTCCGTACTAGTCATTGCGTCCCATTTAGATGCATTGTATCTACTTTGACATTAGAAAATCAACGCATACAATACAGATTCGAAGTTCCAAACTTACCTGTTCCACCAATCATAGTAGAACTTGGCTGCAACAAACAAGAATAGACTGACAACAGCGAGAGCAATGAGAACCTTGTTACCGTGTCTGTAGTATGGAGAATCATGTGATTGATAGACCTGTTTGATTTGGTCAGTGTTATGCTTGAAACTTCGGTAGCAAAGCATTTGCAGAATAAGACACCGAGGTACTCACATTAGCCCCAGCGATAGCACTCAGTTGCACAGACATGTTATATAATGCAGAAGCCACAGTTCGTGTCCGTACAGAGCCTGCATTGCGCGAAGTCAACGCGACTACCACGGGATGAATGCTTGGTGTTCCAACAAGAAGCGTAAGGATGGCCCATCGGGGCCAGGGCATACTTCGCTCAGGAAGCAGTTCGAGTGCAATGAGTAAGGCCAAATTCCAAACCTCTACCCCAGCACCACAGAGCAGTCGCTGATTTGATCTCTCTGCAGCCCAAGTTATGACTATCATATTGAGAATGCCCACAACTGCTGCTGGGATTATCAATAGATTGGTCTGGAAAGTTGTGAATCCCTGAGATCGAAGCTGCAGAGTAATATAATTTGTTGCGGGTGTAGACGGAATCATCCAAATCAATCCGAGTGCATATATTGGCCACATATGATAGTCTTTCAGGGAGTGCCACAGCAACTTCGGTGTAACCGCTTGGCGATTATGCATACTCCCTTTGCTAGGGTCATCACGGATCACTCTGTTAACGATCACCTTTTCTTCATATTCTGTGAACCAGCCATCCTTTCCACGGAGGCCTCCCTTAGTCTGCACAGGGGAGGCAGGCATCCAGAATGCAGCGATAATCCCAATGATCCCAGTAATCAGCCCTTCGTATGCAAATAAATAGCGCCACGAACCCCCTCCACTGGAATCGGTTATGTGGAGGAAACCAAAGGCCAAGAATGCACCGATAATACCAGTGAGTGAGTAAGAAATCCAGAAACAGGCTAATCGCTTTGGAAGCTCGCTTGATTTATAGAAGAATGACAAGAAAAGAATTGTATCGGGAATACTTATCACTAGAGTTAGTCAAATATCGAGGTAACATGGAATAGTAAGTGACTTACAAGCCTCCCTCTAAGAGCCCCAACAATGCGCGACAGGCAAAATAGGCACCCCGGCCTTTCAAAAATGCTTGGCAGGCTGCTACTAAGCTCCATGCGATCATTTGCATAGGAATCCAGCGATCAGGACCTAGTCTCTTGGAGAGCAGCTGAGAGGGCATTTCCGCTAACAAGAAGCAGACCAAGAAGATTGTCTGGCCTAAATTATAATCGTTGGTGGTCATTTTAAGATCCTTCAAGAGGGTACTCGCAAGGGCCTGGCTGATATTCCCTCGATCCAGTTGAAGGGCAAAAAATGTAACACAGGCAAATGTGCACACTCGAGCGTCAATCTATAAAGCAGCATGAGCTTTGGCTCAAGTGGTTTCCTATAGGAACAGCTTGCGAGTAATTTGACCCACCTTTCGAACAATTCGTCTTTCTTCCTTCTCAGTCCATTCAAAATCAGGATCCCAACGATGAATTCCTTCATAGCTGTCGATTGGCCTGTAGAAGTGGCGGCCCTCTCTGACCTGGAATGTCCCTCCATTATGGGATTTGCTTTGTTGCACTTCCGTATCAGAGGCATCTATGGTGCTGTTTGTCGGTGATTCTTTCTGGCTAGCAGAAACCTCCACGGCATTCTTGTCTTCTATACCCATGATTGACAGGCTTTAGCTAGCAGCCAACAAAACCTCTGATGGTATTTTGGTATTTAAGATGCTAGAGAATCTGGAAAAGCGACTGTTTAATACTCCAAAAATTTATGAAAAAGCCATACTGGCAAGGATCACGCAATAATAGTCTGCTTGGACATGCAGCAGCCACATGTCGTGCCTGCGGGCGTCAATGAGACAATCACAAAAATTCCCCGACTATCAGCGCATTCTATTTGCTATTCGAGAGTGTTCGTAACCACATGGTTTGTACTAAATCTTGGCCCACGTTTACTCGAGTCTGATGCTGCGGCCTAAATGCTCTGTTATCTGTCCTGTTTGTGGGGCTCATTGGTGGCATACAAAGTCTCTTTTGGGAGCAGGCCCAATTGGTTGAGTCTAAGCGGCGACCCTCATCTCGCACGAAGACATGCCATCGGAAAACGTATTCTTGCGGCCATATTGTCTCGTTTGCCTTTTCTCCTTCCAAAAGTCCAAGCCCTCGGAGTCTTTTGCTTGGCCCTATTACTGAGCGCAATGCATCTCGGCTAATTACGCTAATTGCTAATGCTTGGAATAAGTAACGTCATCAGAGGTGACTATGAGGACAAAAGGTTTGGCACCTATTTTCACGACTACAATGCTTCATCTGACTGAAACGGAGGTCTTTCTTTTGAGTCGCTGGCGGAATGGAATTTTGGCTTCAATTACGCCGATTCGTACACAAATTAATCAACTCAGTTAGATGCAAAAATGTTGTATGGATCCAGCTAAGTAATTTACAAGTTAACTGTAGGATCATGATCCTTTGATTCCCACCACTACGACTTGGGCGACTCGCTAGGACTGCGATTAACTTTGGCAGCGCTCAGGTCTTCTCTTGCCTGCTCAACGTCTGCTGTGAAGCGGCTGGGCTCTTGCTTCACCTTAAAGGCCCAAATACTCTGGTTCTCAAAAACCTCATCAATCTCCTCCAGTGACTTGCCGCAGGTGTCCTGAAATAACAAAAAGACATGGAGGGCAGCGAGCATACAAAAAGTTCCAAACACACAATATATCTTGAATAATTATTAATATTCTGGATCGAGAAAGAGCAAGGAATCCCACGTACCTTCCATTGAATATTCTGAAATGCAGGCGGAGTGAAAAACGTAAGAGCGAAGTTGCATCCCCAATTGAAGAAAGTGGCGAGAGATACAGCTTTGCTTCGGATGTGCAGGGGTATAATTTCGGGGGGATATGCCCTAAATTAAATTTAGTCCGTGTTCATAGAAAAGTAATGTTCATTCAACAGGGGGAACAAACCATCCAAGAGGCCTATAAACGGTAAAGTTAGTTCAAGTCTTCACAGGTTGAGGTGTCTCAGCAGGCAGAAATGACTTACCCCCATGTTGGAGCATAAGTTGCAATGAAAAGGTAGGAGCATGCAATGATAGCTTTGGAGGCTTTTGAGTTGTTGACTTTCCAAGTCACGGTGGGAGAGCCTTTCAATCCCCCAGGAACATGATATCCGTAAGACGCCATTAGACCCGCTTGTGTGAACTGCAAAATTCCCATGAAGAGAGCACCAAATATGAAAAGCCGACGCCGAGGAAGACGGTCAATGAAGATAAGTGCAGGGAGAGTCATAACGACGTTGATTATATATTGGATGGAAGCAGATATAAGGGTATTGTTTCCGGTCAGACCAGCCATCTATAGAGTAATTAATTCCTGCACCACAGATGTTGAAAGAATAAGGATCTATGATCTCTACCTGGAATATGTAGACAATATAATACATCATTGCATTCGTTCCAGTCATTTGGGCCCAGACGTGGGTGAATATGCCACAGTGTACACGTATTATATTCCGAGAGTTGAAAATTTCGCCCCAGGAGGTGCTTTGATATTGCCGTTCCATTCTGGTGGGGGGTCAAAACGTCAGTATATCCCTATTGTGGGCACAAAATAGGGGGTATGTATGAACGAACTCGATCTTCTCGCGAATCTCTTGAGCCTGGGCTATCACAGTCGGATCAAGCGCATCGCCCCCGGCATGGAGGCGGGCAAGAACATCCGTCGCTTCTTCCCATCGATCTTGTGTAGCCAGCCATCGAGGCGAACGAGGCATCATAGGCAAGCAGAATAGCAGGATGATAGCGGGGATCATCTGCAGGGCCCATGGAAGACGGAAAGAGCCATTATTGCCCATAAAAGATGCACCATAGCTGATGAAATACATAATCAGAATCTAAAAGAACTGTGAGCCACTATACATCATCATGTTTGAAGCAAAGGCTCATACACCCCAGGTAATCATCCATTGTTGCAAGGAAAGTAGTCGGCCTCGCTGATGAGGTAAACTGATCTCTGCGATCAAAATAGGCCTGGCATGCTCAATGATTAATTATCAAGCTCTTATGACTTGAAGTAGATCAAGACTTACTTACCCTTGGCTGGTGAGCATACCGACAGCAAACCCATTCATGATGCGTGACACGATAAGCATCGCAACATTTTGCACGGCACACATCAAAGTCGATCCAACTAGCCAAATTATACAGGCGATGAAAAGTGAATCTCGCCGGCCATGGCTGTCGCTGGTCCAGGATGACACCAAAGATCCAAGAAGTGATCCCCCGGCCATGCTGGCGGTAATTCCACCTTGCATGACCGAGTTGGGCCTATTGAAATAGGTCTTATACTGCTCGGTGCCAATGATCGCGGACATGCTCGACACATCGAAGCCCTGAATAAGGCCGCCGATGGTGGTCAGTCCACTGATCAGGTACACATTGTTGAGATCTGGGAATTTCCCCATCGTGATCAAACCCAACGATTCCTTACAAAAGATTCAGCTGTGCTATAGAACTGCACGCTTATATGCCTGGGACCCCGGATTTTTATCTACTCCACCTCGATGTCAAGCACGAAGTAGTGACCACCAATGGTGCCAGCGCTGTAGCCGACATCCGACATTGCCGAAAGCCGGAGGGGTCGACTAGCCACTGTTGCAGCGCGTCAAATGGGGCCACGATGGTACCATCAGGAGCATTCTCCATCAGAGCAAGTCATCGTCGATGATTTGAAAAGAAGAATCTATTGCTATCTTGCCCGTCGCGGTGAAATTTTGGACGGTTCTGCCACAAGCCACCGCATCGTGCCATAGCCGAGTGCCGCGCGAGAGCCGCTCCTCTCGCTGATCTCTATATTCCTTCGGGTTTCGGTATCATGTCGTCAGGCGGAGATAGTCAACGCCGTGTATTGACGCAACAAGCTGCGTCTGGATCTCGCAGATCTAGATCAGGTTAGTGAGAGTGGATATCTCGCATTGGAATTAGTTTAGTACTCTAACGCGGGTCTAGGATGCACTCTCTGCCGGGCGCGAAAGGTTAAGTGCGACGAAAAGTGGCCAAGATGCATGAACTGTGAGCGTTTAAAGCTCGATTGTCCTGGCCCTCCCTCTCGCGGCTCGAATGGCGGGCCCAGAATTCGTAGAGCAGAGCGGCATGACTCCGAATTCACCCAGGCAGGCACAATACGGCAGCGCGCCTCCAAATCCTGCCAGTCATGTCGTGCGGCTAAAGCCAGATGCTCAGGCGGCTCTACTTGTATGAGATGCTCGCGGAAAGCCATTAAATGTGATTATGATTCTGAGCATCCTGTAAAGAAGATCAAAATGAAGTCTGCTCCATGCCTCCCTGCAGGTAGAAGAGAGCAGCAACCTGTCAGTTTGAGCTCCCAAACATTGCCTGTGCACTCTATTTCACGAGATCCGCCGAATATATTACCAGAACAGGGAGGAGATACTTTGAATCTACTTTCATGGTGCGTCTCCTATCCCGAAGCCTTGCCACCCCAGAAATACTATTAACGCGACCAAGGCTCTATGCACCAGAGCTACCAGAGAGAGACAGCCTTGAGATATTAATCGGGGAATATTTCACTCACATCCATCCCTTGCGTTGCTTTGGCTTTATTCACAAGCCTTCCTTCATGCAGCATCTAGATGAGGATCTCGAAAGTTGCCGGAATAGCGAATCCCTTCTACACGTCGTTTGTGCAATGGGTGCCAAGTAAGTAACTATTTATTCTTTCATTCAATTAATTTACTAATCTTTGCCTAGGTTGTATGCTCTCAACTATGCTCCTCAATTATCTCCAGAGACTGTTCTCATGGCAGGGAGTCAGTGGGCCAAGATTGCCAAAGCACGATTATTCGTGGACCTAGATGACTTGTCTATTGAAAAATTGATGGTAAGAATCTCCTTTTTTTCAAGATCTCTACAGACCAATGTGATTTGGAAGTTTGAGAAAAAACTGACTGCGAACTAAAAGACTGCAATTCTATTATACGAACACGATCTTCGAATAGGAAGCTATGCCAGTGCATTTATGTTGAGTGGTGTAACAGCTCGTATGTCGCAAGCTTTACAACTGAATCTTGAGAGTTCTGCAGACTTGCTATGCTTCAAAGAGGATTCGACCCCCATCGTCAATGAGGCAAGGCGCCGTTTAATGTGGAGTTGCTATGTCATGGATAGTTGGGTGGGAAGTGGTGTCAACCAGCTAACCTTGCTGGAAGACCGTGATTTGAAAATCCAGCTTCCCTGTCACACGCATAACTTCTCTTTAGGGATACCCTGTATCACTGAAATTTTAGAGGCCGGAAAGGTGGTCAATTTTGTGCTTCAAGAGCAAGTTCCCACCGACCCTTCTCAAAACATGGGAATTGAGGCATATTTTATACGTCTGGTCAGCAGTCGGAAAAAAGTTCTACGGCAAGTCTATTTCCTGCGCAAGTGATCAAACTCTCCGTTTCTCATTGTCAACATATTAGATATGTGAAACACCTTGATAACTCAGCACCTCCATGGCAAGACGATTCGGAATTTTCACAGCTATCGGCAGAATTTGACTCATGGAAGGCATCCCTACCACAGAGTTTGATCTGGAACCCGGGCGCAATATACGCTCGCAAGGAATCATCCCAACTTGGTGCATTGACCCTTTTGTGGTGTACATACCACCAAACATTGGTTGACCTCTATCGTATCGGCATGCCAACTCTATTTCGTATTCAAAAGCGCATTTCTTTCCCGCCTAATCAACAGGAATTTCTGGATGACTGCCGAAGAGCGTGTTTTGACAATGCTCTTGCCGTCTCAAATATCATTTCTGAAGGATTGCGGCATGGAGTCAAGGTTCTTACTGATACTTGGTTTTGTATAATTACCCATGACAGTACCAAGGTAATGCTTTACTTTCTCAAGTTGAATGAACAAATGTCGAGAGGCCTCGAGCAAAGTGAAGTTCAAGACACACTAGCGCTGGTGCAAAAAAATGCGGAGGCTCTAATGCATATGAGGCCCATCGTTGCAACGGCAGAACATTGCGTATGCCTCTTGATCGAAAATATCTACATTTGGTCTTATGTTCTAATATGATCTCATCTAGTATATTTCCGTTGTCAAGATGATGGCTACGGCGGGCATTAAACCATATTTACCACAAGGAACCATGGCAAATCCACGCGATACAGACCAAGACGATGAAATGTAAGTTTGCCTCTCTCCTTTTTCTGGATCAAGCTAATCCCACTAACTTGAAAAATCAAGTTCACCGACGCCGGGGTCCACGGTACAAGAATCACCGGAAAATATATTGAATCCACTTGCAATATATCGTATGGCAAGGACCGCCCTGCACGAAAAGGACGCTCGAACATCATCCAAATCTCCGTCAGCAATCATCCATATCTCTGCTTCTTCCACTTCCAAGACTTCTCGACAAGAATTCTACAATGGGTCTGCAGAAAATGCTCCATTCCATACAGATGCTCAAACACGTACATTTGAGTTCTCCAACAGGTCTTCTATCATTGATGGTCCCTTTTATTTGCCTGATCAGCAACGGCACAATCCCTCACTGGCGTGGAACAACTTCTCCCAGCTACGACCAACTGGAAATGCCGGAAACTGGGACCTTACTGATCTGGCAATGATGGACATTCTAGACGGTGGAATCTCTCCATGGACAGCAGAGTATCTCACTGATGGTCAATCCGGAATTGATCCATTCCTTTTTCCATTCTGACCGGTTCGTCCACTGTAATACACATTTGAAATGCCAGCTCTTGACGTTACCTCATGATTATGCCATCCCCCTTTCATAGTGAACCGGGGCGCTCTACGGCAAGCCTGCGAATGCAGGCAGAATAAGATAGATCAGCGAACCAGCCAACAAACCACACCAAGATGGAAGGAAGCCTCTCAGAGAGGAAAAAGATGCTGCTGCAGCGAAATATGTGTAAAAGTTGATTTTCTCCCTATCGGAGATGCGAAGCTATATCCTGAAAAGACTGTCCTAGGAAAGATATCCTCTAATCAGAGATCACCCCTCGTCTGCCATTTCCCCACTGCAATATGTAGGCCGGAAGATTATATCTTATGGAGAGATTCTGGCTTTTCTCACAAGATACGTGGCTCATAATATGGCAAGAATGGCAAAGTACGGGGATATTCAAGAAGCAACCTTCCGAATGGTCCAAGAAATTGTTATGACCCTTATACTTGGTGTCTACTCGACAATGGCTGATCTTGTCTACAGCATATTTTATGAGCCAGACTTCTGCTGGAGGAGTGCCAGCTCGGGAAAGTCTTCCGCCATTGTACCGAAGTCCTCGGACTGGGCATTACGGTCCACGAATGCTGGAATGTGCTTCAAATCCCAAAGTGGAACTGAAAGGCAGAGTTCTACTGATCATGTCTGGGCCGCTGATCAAAGATGGGAGATCTCTTCTCGTTGTACCAAGCAAATATCTTGTGCAGAGTCATCAATGAAGTCCTAAGGAGGAGCAGCACCATCGGGAGGACTGCCAGTAGCAGCTCCGCGGGAACGGGGATCTTTAACTTGCCGGGACGAGGCAGTTGGAGGGGTAGCGATGCCAAGAACGGGGATATTGCAATCATCTTGGTGCAGGAGGGCCAGGCCTGGTGGAGACTCGGTGAGGCCTAAGTGTCGACTAGGTGGTGGTTCTCGGTAGTAGTGCAACATTCCCGCTTCACCCTGACGATAAACTTCAGGAACTCCCGCGTCTCCACGGGAAGGCGCAGACGCTCCTGCCCCCTGGTACTTCATCTGGCGATTTGCCGACCTGAGCTTTGAACCATTTGGACCATCGACTCCGTATATTCGGAGATTAACATTGCAGAGCAGATAGGCGTCATCAAGTATAGAATTTGTAACATGAAGCCATTGATTCCTCCCACTATTCCATCAATTCTTAGTACGACATTGGAAAAAATTTAATCATGCAGAGGGAAATGTGAAAAGGAGACACCAGACGCTTCCCTGAGAGTACCACGGACCGAGATCGCGGTATTTATTTGCTGTCAAGAGAGGGCCGTATTGCGACGGGACTTGAATTTCAGAGTCGCTAGCTCCCCTTGGAGAGATAACAGGACCAGATGGTTCCCTCTGGCATTGACCGCTCTGGGTCGCATATCCAAAGGGAGGTGGAGGATCTTGGAGCCATTATGCGTCACCCACTCTGTGGAGCTGTCGACTGAATAGAAGTCATCATGACCCTGAACTTGATCTTCACAAATGCGGAGAACCCCTTGTACAGAACAGCGTTTTATCCGTTTGCTGGTACCCGTCCAGGCCATCAAGTTGAATTGGCTCGGCAAGAACGGCAATGTTTTGATGGTAGGCCAGCAGTGCTTGAAAGCCTGAGAGATTTCCTCGTGGGTTGTTAGTTGCCATACCTTTAGGGTCTTGTGGTGATTCGACACAATTTGGGTGCCATCAGGGGAGAAGGCGATCGACCGGGAAGTGGATTCGTGGTAGATTGTGTGATCCAGACTGCCCGTATTCAAATCCCAGATATGGATTATGTCTGAATCGTATGTTGACGCTAGCCTGGAACCATCCAGAGAGAAATCAAGACAATATGTTGACCGATGAAAATCGGTGCGAAGATTATACTTCTCTTGGGCCGTCGCGACCTCCCAGACCCGGATCGTATCGTCCAGAGCAAAAGCCAACCAAGAGCCGTCAGGCGAAATTTGTAAACGCCATATGGGGGAAGGAGAGCCTGTCATGATATGTCTCTCGCGACTCGTGGCCGCGTCCAAAATGCCGATGGAGCCATCTGCGATGGGGAAGATCACCACTGTGCCTTCCGGAGAACAAGCCATATGGCTCTCTGTATCTTGGAGGGCGGCGCAAGTGAAGGAGTGTCGTAGCTGACCTGTTGCCGTATCCCATTCCATAAATGCTCCCTCTCGAGACACCGAAGCCACTTTCGAGTTGTCAAGGGAGAATACCACATCGCGTGCACAGCTTTGATGTCCCACCAGGGTGTGCTCGACATACGCGCTGGGGAGGTCCCAAATCCAGATATTGTACTTATATTGTTCAACAACAGCCACCTTAGTGTGATCAGAGGATATACCCACGATCATGGGATTCGGAATACTCGAAGGAGAGCTGATTTTATGCTGTTCCAGATGCAGATATTATGCCGTGAGATGGAGACGATCTGGGAACCGTCGGACGAGAACATGAGCTTATCCGCAAGTTGAAGAAATGACCAGTTGTCGATTTTACATTTGACTAGACGGCTGTCAGCCTCTAAAAAGTTTGCTGTGACCTTACGAGCGGTCAAGACATGACTTGCATCCGGCGTCACTGCGATGCGTTGATCGAGCCCATTGAATAGCCCGTATGAATCATCTACAGGGATCCTTCTCCATGCCTGTCCAGTTGCGTTCCAGAAAATCAGAAGTTCTTTCCATAGCAAAAGAACCACCTGTGATGCATCCGAGGAGAAAGCCGAGAGAGAACTAGAATAGCCATCCCAGGTGGCGATTCTCTGCCCAGGAGGAAGGGCCCAGATATAAGTATTGCTTTTATCAGAGGCCAACAGGAGAGTGCCATCTACGGAGAAAGCCAAGGTACGGATATTTAGAAGATCCCCGAATTGGTGTTCCACTCGGTTCGTGGTGTTGTCTCTTACTTCAACACATCACTGCTCGTCATCAGAGTCGCTTGGGCGATATCTAAAGGCCACTTTCAAGCTATCATGGGATAGGACTGCTTTAAAGGTCGGCTCCTGGGAATCGGGTTTCAATTCACATTCAATTTGGGCGGTGGACACGTTTTGAATGGAAACAGACCCATCGCCGTTCGTGAACAGTATTCCCATCACCAGAAAGGCAGACGGAACGGAATGGAAAAGGCTCCTCCATCAGGAACCGTGGCTCTTGCTTCATGGTTAAATCCCAGCTTCGGATAGCCTCGTCCGTGGAGATCACATGGCTGTCATCGGGAGAAAAGGTCAAAAACTCAAGTTGGTACCCAGGGCTCGTGAGCGCGTATTCGATTTTACCTGTAACCACATTTCCGATAAGGATAACGAAATTGGTATATGCGGCGACCCGAGTACCATCGGGAGAAAAGGCCAGACTGAAAAATCTAAAATAGAAATGGTCAACATGGAATTTGATGACTTTTGACGTTGGCCCGTTTTCGTATCCCAGAGGTGCACCTGCATTCGCACTGACATTGCAAGGCTGGTATTGTCTTGCGAAAGAAGCAAGTTATGAAATAAATCCCGTGGCTTGAATTGCAGGACCTCCTCTCCACTGAATACGTCCAATATTCGAATTGTGCCTCCACCGTCTACCATTTGAGTGACATCAGAGAACAGAAGCACTTTACCGATGAATTCTCTCGAATACTGAAAAGTATGTTCTTCCCGACCGGTAGTCGCGTTCCAGATCCAGACCCATACCGTATCAGTTTCGTCGACCTTTTTACCGCCATTACTTTCGCTCCATCAGAAGAAAACATCACACTGATGGGCTGTCCGTCACAGCTCGAAATGTCAAGTGCTCGCTCTCCACTACCTGTCGCCACATCCCAGATTTCGATATGTTCTCGTTACATCAAAGCTAGCTTGGCTCCATCCGGTGAGATATTGAATTTGCCCACTCCTTCTTTGGAAAGGCCAATAGCTTGGTCATGTTGACCTCTCTTGAGACTCCATCTCTCGACAGATCTTGAACGGGTAAAAAGAATCTGAGTTCCATCCATCGAAAGTTTCGTGTTGTATACTGCTTTCGGCTTCTCAAATGTTTGCTCTAAAGCCCCCCATCCACCCTGAATGCTTGGTGACAAATGTATGTCAGGACAAAGTGTTTCCTTGGAGGTCCCCCGCACTAGGCTGGATATGGGTGTGAATATAAGGTCAGAGAGGTATATTTGGAGAGGAAACTTGGATATCACTGGCTGATGGCGAAGAAAAAACAGCCGTACATCGTTGATAAAATAATCGAAGCGAAGGCCTTCATTCAACTAGATAGGTAGCGATGGTGAAAATCATCAGTATATCTTTCTTAGGGACGTAAGGAGGGAACCGCGCACATATATTCTGCCTCTTATTATTTCCAGGTAGGAGACGGTATCTGGGCTTCTTTTTGAGAAACTGATAGAAATCATCATTGTCTCTGAGCCATACCCCACCTTCCTGAATATGCTGAGCCCAATAAAGGCAGGCGTATTGGAGCTCCATAGGGAGATACTGTCGGATTCTCTCGATGGAAATATTGGCAGCCATTGCGTCGGGGGCATTCAACTTGCAGATATCTTGGCTGAGACTGGACGACATCAACCCAATGCAACGTTGAGCCATCAAAGCACGGATAGCTTTTTGGTCCACCCGAAAGATAGTGCTTTGTGAAGCGTCCAGAAGAAACTCTTGGAAGGAAAGATGGAGGAACTGCAGTGGCTGATTCTTATCTTCTGGAACACTAATCATGGATACCAGCTTGCTCAAGACAGCGGAGACTGTGTCTTGGGAAGAGCAGTAAGTTTGACCAAAGCTGTTTCGGAAAGAGTATCAAAAAGAACAACTAGCGGTCCAAGCACTGCTTTGAAGGTCTCTACATCCATCCCTGCTTGGTTTCCTGAAAAGTAGTATGTTAGGATATGCGAATAAGTTGCTTCCACAGATGTCTCTGGTGAGATTTCGTTGTTAGAATTCTTGAGAAGGATTTCCAATCGTTCCTCGACATTGGAATCGTCAGCAGATTGAATGAACCGACTCGCTGTCGCAGCATTAATAAACGGGTTGCCAGTCTTCGCCGTCAAACGACCAACACTATCTTCCGTTAAGTTCGCCTCTGGCTGCCTTTCACAAATTCTCTCAATCTCATGTGACAGGTATCGGGAAACCGCTGAAGACCCACTGTTGCTGTCTTTTGCCTTGATGGCCAGCTCGCTAGTGAATTACGTTACTCCTCTCGTAAGAAATAGGACATCGTCTTTACTATTACTCAGCTTCCTACTTGGACCACTTGAGCATAGGCATCGCAGCTATAGACTATAAATTACTAAGTTAATTTCCGAGCAATCAGTTTTGGACTATGTAATGACAATCCTTTACCTCAATATTTCTCTATCTTGTTGCCTGTAAATTGAACTGGTATTGTTCACCTAGTAAGTACTTCAACAGATCCATCCACCGTCCACATTATAGACTGCGCCTGTTACGAATGATGCATCATCACTCAACAGAAATGCAATTACATTGGCAACTTCGATTGGTTCTGCTCGTCGTTTCTGGGCAGTGACCTGCAAGCCTCTTTTGACATCTTCTGGGTTCTCACCTTGGGACATGGGGGTATTCACAGATCCTGAAGAACGATGATAAGCATCTTCTTTTCTCGATCATGGGAATTCCCACTTACCTGGGGAAACGCAGTTGACTCGAATGTCTTTGTTCTCCTTTGCAGCCGTCCTGGTCAGTCCTATTACTGCAGCTTTGCTTGCGCAATACGGCGCGACACCCGGTGAGCCCATTTGACCGAACACGCTGGCTGTAGATACCTGAACCAGTGGATTAGTGACGGCGTATATTTGCCAGAAATTTGATCATTGTGGCTCACAATGCTACCACCCGGTCCCATTTCTCGTAGTTGGGCCCTCAGACAGAAAAATATACCGCGGGCATTCACGGCAAAGTTGAAATCCCATGTCTCATCGGTCTCCTCGGTGATGGACTTAGCTGGGCTAATTACGCCGGCCATGTTGACTGCGCCATCAAGTTTACCAAGCTTCTCCACGGTCGAGGAAATCCATCTATCAACCGATTTGCTATTTCTCACGTCGGTCACCGAGTACATGTGCCTCTCGCTCCCCGTCAGGGATTCGGTCGCAGTCTTCAAAGCCGCTTCGTTAATATCCGCTAATGACACGATCGCTCCTCGAGAAGCAAGAAGTTTCGCTGTCGCGAGGCCCATCCCGGAGGCAGCCCCGGTGATCGCAATCTTTCGCACATTGTTTACATTAAATCCATACACGTCATTGGCGTTCCGAATATTTTTGGACTTACCACTTTGCCCTCAAAGGATGTCATTTTTCTCTCAGATGCGCAGAAGTACAGGGAATTGCTCTTTAAATATTTCAATTGAAGGGATACTAATGCCTATCTTCTGGAGTGCGGTTGTGAGTTATATAAATCTACCATGGTTGGTTCTTTGCCCCCTAAACATGAGGCAAGTATACCCTGCACCAAAGAGGCAAGCTTCCGCGCTCTGGCGAAACAGGAAAGCTTCCACTATCTACACCCCACACTTCTTGGCATTCGCATTTCCCCGCAGCCCTGTCGAGATGACTTACTTGGCCATCGGGATGCAGTCTCTTTGCGCACATCCACTGCCTGCAGAATGGCAGGCACTCATGAACGTGTCGCCTCCAACTCGCACACTCGATCTTTCACGGGATGTGCGACGGTACGCCTTTCGCCGACGATAGCGTAATGATCGTCCAGCTAATTCAATCTTAGTGTCGGGGCCGCCATGTCAAATGCGATGAAGGCCGCCCAGCTTGTGCCATGTGTACATACTTTGGATTGGAATGTGACGGCTACAAGAAAGATATATTCTTCAATTCGCAAAATCCATGTAAAAGATTACGTTTTCGACGACCCTTACTAACAGAAGACGAACGACAGCGGATGAGTCAGTGGCTGGTATCAACCGCGCCACCTCAGGACACGCTACAAATACTCTCTCGCATTGACGAGGAGTGTGAGATTAGTTCACTATCTGAGCCTCTTCAAATTTCCCTGGGTCCATTTGGAGTGTTCAGATCGCACCAGAGACAGAATCTGCAAATCAACGTACCCGCCGATTCTATCCCAACACTGCCGATTGACGACTCTGAGCGAACCACCGCTCTTAGTCCTCCCCAGGATGAGATCTCCATTGATGATGCATTTGATTCCACTTCGAGCTTCTCTCAGCTATCGCCAGGTTTCATGCAATCGCTTCTTGAACCACTGAGCCAGGGCCCCACTCCTAACTCCTCAGATCTCCTGGACCTCATAATAGACCAGGGCCATCTGAATGATGCCTCGCTAGAATCCTCACAGGGTTTTCAATTTTCCGAGCTATTCCCAGACATTTCTCTTCATTCTTCCACCTCGCCCAACTCAATCACATCAGCACCATCCACAATCCAATCTGTTCCACAGGATGCTGTCTTTCTTTTGAAATACTATTCATCCAATGTACTCAGCCTTATGACATCCGTTCGACATAAGAAGACGCCCTGGCATGTACTTTTTATACCACATACAAAAGATTGCCTGGCAGCACTTGCTCTAGGAGAACAGCTGAGCCATGCCAGTCTATGTACCTTCTTTGGGACTTTGGCCATTAGTGCTTTCAGCTTAGGTGGCGTTTCTCGATCACAGTCATGGCTAGATAAGGGACGATTATACCTTCGAAAGGCCCAGAAATATGCCGAGCAGATGTTGATGACTGCCTACAGTATACCCAAAGCTGCTAAGTATAAAACAACACTAATGGCCATTCTCACTATGATTCAAATATCTACATTCATTGGAAACAGGGACCATGCCGAAGGGTTCTTTCTTGAAGCGGAAAAGTTCATCCGCGTAAGAGGACTCAAGCGCAAAAAGTCACGCAAAGTACGACTTCTCCATCACTGTTATGTCTTTGAGCGAATGTTTCACGAGAGCATTTTCATCTGCGGTACGAATTCTTACCAGCGCCAGCATGTCCGTCTAGCAATTGAGTCCAGTGGGCTTGCACCCGCCAGTGTTGACGGGCTATCCTTTCGTCTTTACAAATGGAAGAACTTGAGCCAGGAAATGCTACGAGTTCGAGATCAGGAAGAGGGCGAGAACGACCTCCACCTTGAACGGCCTGGATTATTCTCTGCCTCCCTCTATGTGGAGATCTTTGGAATTCCAGAGCCATGGCTCTTGCTTCTCTCCTTGGTCATCCGGCTTGGAACTGAAAAGGATATAACTGAGCAACAACCGGCATCCAATGGTCTGAATCTTAAAGACTTCATCAGCCGGTCTAAAGCATTAGAGGACTATATCAACCATATTCAACGTCCTAGCCAAGCTACCTTTCCACTTGCTCATCATCACTCCTCAATCGACCAGCATATTCTTGAGAATATGCTCGAAGCTATGCGGTTGGCACTCGCCATATACTTTTACCGACGAATCTACGATCTGAACGCGTCAATGCTACAGGAGAAAGTAGTCGGAGTGCGCGACTGTCTTCTTCAATGTGAGTATGCCGACTCGAGCGTCGTTCACGGATCTGCGGGCTTTATCTGGCCTGCTTTTATTGCCGCGTGCGAGGCAGAAGATCCTGATGTGAAGGAATCATTTTCGACGTGGTTTGAAGCTTCAGCGGATCGCAGTGGTCTTTCTGGATTTACACAAACCTTAAACTTGATCCGAAAGATTTGGAGCGAAAAACGCAGCAATGATGGTAATAGTTTAACTTGGTTGGAGCTCATGAAGAAAGCGCTCCCGGTGCTGCAGCAAGATCATCTCATACAGTTGGAGGCCTTTGAACAGTGATGTGGGGGAATTGGAGTTTCTTACAATGCAAGTGGCCTGGGAGAATGCTTTTTGGTCGTTTATGCATCTAGGTAGTCGGCGCTTGGTGGTTCTATTTGATAATGCGCATCCTATATGCATGCTGTGTATGTTTAGGGCTTAGTTTTTGTAACGTTCTACTCATCTCGATGATAATTCTGTCTTTGTACTTTGGAGCTTCCTTACAGTTACATTATTAGCCCAAAGCCCCTCTTTTAACCTCCGATATCCTTCTTTTGTTATCTATTGTATCTCTTTATTGACTTGGATCCACCGTGTAACTCCATGTTGATGCCCCATGCTGTGCGGGTTTCAAATTGGCAGCGCGGCGATAAGTCCACTTGCAATGCCGCGATCGCATCGGGCAAGCTTCCCCGACAACCCCGCTGCGGAGATATACAGTCCTTGCAGTCTTCTATTTATATATTGCAAGTCATCTCACAGTTCATAATGATAGGTTCTCTTCCTCGAATCAAAAGCACACACTCCTCTTCCTTTTCACTTCTTCTTACAGTCTATACGATTGATTGCCGCAATGGACGTCTCTGGCATCGCATTAATCACGGGCGCTGCATCTGGAATCGGTTACGCCTGTGCCTTGGGTTTCGCAAAAGAAGGTGCTTCTGGCCTCGCTTTGCTTGACCTGACCGAAGAGGCTTTGGTCAAAGTGAAAGCCGATATCGAGGAGGCACAGCGGAAGCTTGGGAAAACAACTCCAGTCCGTATCGAAATCTATCCGACCAATGTGGCAGATGAGAATCGCGTCGATCAAGTTGTCCAGGATGTAGCTAAGACCTTTGGCCGACTGGACTATGTTGTCAACGCTGCGGGTATCGCCATGAAGCACCAGGGCGGTGCGGCCTTTGCAGAGACTGCTGACTGGGAGCGCATTCTTAATATCAACTTGACGGGGACATTCTTCGTGCTTCGCGCTGCGGCACGCATCATGCTAAAGCAGGAGCCGATCAAATCCAGCATTGATGGGCGGCCGCTACAGCGTGGCTCTATTGTCAACTTCTCCTCTATTCAGGGTGTTGCAGGCATCACCCTATCGACTGCATACACTACAAGTAAACATGCCGTCATAGGGCTCACGCGAACGGCCTCGGAGGACTATGCGAAAGACGGATTGCGCATCAATGCAATCTGCCCCGGATACACAGAGACACCGCTTACCACCAAGTCGCCGGCGATCTTGGAAGCGATGGTCCAGCGTGTTGCGACTGCTGTTCCAATGGAACGCATGGGACGACCCGAGGAGATTGCTGATGGAGTGTTGTATCTTGCTGGCGGAAGGAGTTCGTTCGTGACTGGAACAGCATTGATGGTTGATGGTGGATATACTCAGCGGTGATTGCGGATCTCCGAGTCAGAAGCAGCGGGTACCTGTAGTTTGTCACGAATATGCATTTGAGTTCTTTACACATTCTACCACCCGGATTTCCCATAGCATCTATTGTTGCAAGGGTAGAAGAGTAGGGAGTCCGTACGGCAACGTATTCATAGTCCCAGTCGGTTGATAGGTCGTGTCAGCGTGTACGTTAATACATTAATAAATCTCTAACCCTGCTGAGGACAGGTCTGGAATATGGCATTTCTCAACCACCGCGGTCTCATTGATCAAATAGTATTACTATTTTCATGCTAGTCGGCTTCTGGCCCGCCAATTGTCCAACGCTGTGGCCGTTCGTTCGCCCAACGCGGGCGCGGGCTCCGCTTGCGGCGGTCTGACCTCATCACCCCGGCATCATACTTCATGTGCATTCCCCACCACTTCACATCGTCGAACAGGAAGCTCGGTTTGAGTCGACCCGAAGAAATGGCCGCCAATCATCTCGTCGGTAAAATAATCGTCTTGGAGTCTCCAATTTTGGCGAGCCCCTCTGAAGATTCATAACCTCGATCGTTAGTTCACCGCAGCAGAATCATGAGCAGAGTGGCATGGTCTTTCTTGACAGGCTTCAACACTACATCTCGGAGTCTACTACGGCCTCATAAGCAATCTGCAGGCCTTTCGGAAGCAACTGTACTCTTGACCCCAAGACAGAGCCGACGTCCCCCACTAACTCGGTTCATGTCCAACGGACTGCGCACGACACCTCGATTCATCCCTTGCCAAAAACATAGACGTTCAATACTACCGGTAGCTACGATGAGCAGTCAGCGTGTACCAATCGAGTCCCAGCGTGTCGATGCACCCCTGACGCAATCCGCGACCTTCCTCGTCGTGTCTGCGACCAACAAACCGGACTCGATCTCTACGATCCGGGGCGTCCTCGCCGGGCTAGATGGCCTCGCAAAGAATGTCTCGATCCGCGATCTGAATGCCCAATTCGCCTGCACGGTAGGCATTGGCAGCAACATCTGGGACTCGCTCACAAAGCTTCCGCGGCCAGCCGAGCTACATCCTTTCAGGGAGGTGAAGGGCCAGAAGCACACTGCAGTGTCGACACCGGGGGATCTGCTGTTCCACATCCGTTCCGAGCGAAGGGACATCTGCTTCGAGTTTGAGCGGCAGTTGATGGACCAACTGGGAGATTCTGTCGCACTCGTCGATGAAACAGTCGGCTTTCGCTACTTTGATGTTCGGGACCTGCTCGGGTTTGTCGACGGCACGGCGAATCCAGTGGGGCCTGCGGTGCCTGCATCCATACTCGTCGCGGAGGAAGATACATCTGCTCAGGGCGGTAGCTACATCGTGGTGCAGAAATATACACACGATCTGGACACTTGGAAAATGCTGTCGACTGAGCAGCAAGAGCAGATCATTGGACGCACCAAGCTCGATAATGTGGAGCTCGACGACGCGGAGTCAGGCCAGCAATCCCACAAGACATTGAACACTATCGAAGATGAGAACGGAAACGAGCACGATATTTTGCGGGACAATATGCCCTTCGGATCGCCTGGCTCCGCAGAGTTTGGGACCTACTTCATTGGGTACACCCGGCGGTTATGGGTCATTGAGAAGATGTTAGAACGCATGTTCGTGGGCAACCCACCGGGCTTGCATGATCGCATACTTGACTATTCGAAGCCACTGACCGGCTCGGTCTTCTTTGCACCCTCGGCGAGCTTTCTAGCGAGTTTGGACTCGGATTAGAAGGATCCTTTCTGGAGATCTAGCCCGTCATTTCTTTTTTTTTTTTTTTTGGCGTTTTGTAGTGTTTTTCTGGGATTGCCAGTGTCTGTTTGATACATATTGACAAGTTTGCATCAGCAATTTCTCCATTGCATTCTCTACTCCTTTTATGATTTCAACCTAAAGCTTGCACTACCTGAGCCCAATCACCAAATCCATATGGACCAGGGACGCTCTCGCCGTCAAAGAGGCTCGCTAGCACCACCCGATCTGTCTGCTCACCTTCCCAGGGCTGTCTACCATGCTGCGCAATAATATTATCGTACACCAAGACATCCCCTTCCTGCCATCGATGGAGCACCCGAACCTCGTCCGTAATCTTCGCCAGGTGTGCCAGATACTTCTCCGGGATGACCGTCCCATCCCCGAACAGCTGCTGCGTCACATTTTTCCGTGCCCCGACGTTGACCTGGGTATTTTTCCAGTACGCTGCGAGCCCGGTGAACAGCGTAGGCAAGTTCGTCCCAGGCTGCGTCCTGATACCCGGCAACCGGTGTGTCAGGATCAATCCGTCCTCGATCCATTCCCACGTCGTATACTTCCCCCGTCCATACCGCGCAATCTGGGCCTCGATCTTCCGCCGCTGTGTTTCTTCGTCGTCGCTCTCGACGATATCTTTGCCAAACGCCTGTTTCAGCGTAGACCCACCTTGGTATTGTTTCTCGTGTTTGTAGGTGACGCGGCTCAAGATCCCCTTTTCGGCGAGCTGGTTGACGAACTCCGGGATTTCGAGCTGCGCGCGTTGAAAGATCTCGAGGGATGATGAGATAGGCGACTCGCCCCCTTTAGCAGGGACCCGGTGGCCGTAGAAGAAGATGTACTCCGGCGCATGCGGGACTTGGGGAGACTCGTTGTGGTTGTAGATGAGAACTTCCTTGGGTGCCTCGTTTGCCGGTGCGACGTTCGGGGCAAGCAAAGGCCGATCCACTACGATGCCGATGATCTCATGCGGCCTGTATCCGAATGCATGGGCGAATTTGCTGAAGTCCTCCGCGTTGTGGATGGGCAGGCCTCGGAATAGTAAAGTTCCATGGCGCGCGAGCTTTTTGGTCAGCGTGCCATCTCGCTGGATCGCCTGGATGGTTTCCACGACGGCATCGAGACTTGGTTTCTCATGTTTGTTGACCAGTCGAAGCGCGAGGGGAATCACCGTGTGTGGAGGATGTGGAGATCCCAGTACGCGCTGATTCGACGAGGGTAGATGGAACGGCTCGAAGGACACGCTCGAAGCGTCCGCATCGTCCAATGTGAGGGTTTCAATCGGAATTATATCTGTTGCGGCCGCCATGGTGGGATCCTTTCGAGAGATCTTGCACTTCAAGATGCATCTGACAGAAGTGGATAGGCCCAACGACGAGACAGAGACACCTTGGCTTAAATAGCCTGCATGTCACACAGCCAAAACGACCAGCGAGGCGTTGACCCCTCATCCATGTGACAATGACTGTGCAATTGGGTTGCAGTCCCTATTGACCCATGCAGCCCCTTTCGCAATCACCGGCATTTGCGTCTCGTTGGACGGAGACATTGGGATTGTGTCATTTCGGCGTGGCTCGGCGTGCTTGCAGGATGCGGAGTTCGGCAGATGGCATGCTGCGCAAGAATGAGAGAAAGATATAACAATGATCTGGCTGACGATAATAGAGTCTCTGGTATGAATGTCGTCGGTCGAAATTGTCTCAATATGACTTCCATTTCCAAGGCCGAACAAGGGATGCCAACCACTATCATCCAGACCCGGGATGAACCACCATCCACAAGCAAAGAAGGCTCTGGTTCGTTCTTTCGCCGGACACTGTTCCAAATTCTGATCGTGGGACTTTGTGCCTTCTGTGCCCCGGGGATATGGAGTGCCATGAACGGTCTGGGGGTGGGCGGGTCTCAGAGCCCCGATCTCGTCAACGCTGCCAATGCGCTTCTCTATGCCTTCATGACGATCACTTGTTTGGCAGGCCCGTGGGTCACCAATGCCATCGGCTTCCGCTACACGCTGGCACTGGGCTCGATCGGGTACCCGCTATATGCGGCCGGTCTGTATTTGAACAATCGCACTGGAGCGACGTGGCTCGTCTACTTCGGCGCCGTCACCTGTGGCATCAGCGCGGGATTCTTTTGGAGTGTCGAGGGAGCGATTGCGACGGGCTACCCGGAACAGCACAAACGCGGTCGTTATATTGCGACGTGGTTTACTTTCCGGAATTTCGGTAATGTGATCGGTGGCGCAGTTGCTTTGGGGATCAATCATAGCGTGGATCACCGTGGCCAGGTAGGATACCAAACATATTTGGCCTTCATCGCTATCCAGTGTCTCGGCCTGTTTATCGGACTCTTTCTATCTAATCCCGAGCAAGTGCAGAGAGATGATGGCACCAAGATCGAAGCCCCCCGAGGCATGCATTGGCGCGATGAAGCCGACGCCATGTGGCGATTGGCGAGGAGCAAATCTATTCTGCTTCTAGTGCCTCTTTTTTGGTATTTCGGATGGGTTCAAGCTTACCCGGGCACGTATCTTGCCACATACTTCACGGTGCGATCGCGCGCCCTCGGCAGTTTTATGAGTGCCGTGGTGGGCACACTGGCCACCTGGCTTGGGGGCTCCCTGGTGGATCTCCCATGGCTACGGAGCCGCAAGGCACGAGCTGTTTTGGTATATTGTCTAATCGCCCTCTTGAACAGTGGTACCTGGATCTGGGCCGTGATTATACAGGACCAATACCGGCATACCAACCCCGTTCTGGACTGGAGTGACCAACGAACCTTCGGCCAAGGCTTTGGGCTCTATCTTTTGAGAGGATCAGTCAGGGTATGGTTGAGAACTATATATACTGGTGTATTGGGAATTTATCGGATTCGCCTGGCGATCAGATTCGATACAGCTCATTGCTGAGGGGCATCGAGACGGCAGGTGTGGCAGTAGGCTTCGGAGTTCAAGCTGTACCAACTGCCCTCATTGCCACAGCGAGTATCAATTTGGGTCTTTGGTTTTTCGCATTGCCGTTCAGCTATTATGCCACACTGCAAGTGGTTAATAAGTTTGAGAGCTGGGCCCGAGTCTGATTTCTTCGGCACGTAACCACTAGAATAAGGAAGTTCACAAGGAGCTAGAATATCCAGTCAAATCAATTATCTCCCTACCCATCGTGCTCAATCCTGAAATTAGGAACAGTTGGCACACACTGCGTTTTGTTTGTCCAACTCTTGGGTCTGTCATTGCATTGATCATGGGCTCGAGGGTGGATTCTGGATTTCTTTTGTTGACAAATGCAAGCTGATTGGATCTGGTCGCTTAGGGAAATAAGGTTCTGGACAAGAAAGAGAAAAATAGAGACGAGGCGAATAGACTGAAGCGCACTGGGGAGGCTTTGGTCCTTTTCTCACGCAGCAACTGCCTATGGGCTATTTATGGGTTGTCCGACATTAACAAGCCAGATAGTATCAGGGTTATATCAATTTTTTGAAACAGACAGCAGAAGATAAAAGAAAGGAAAAGCTAATGGTATATATTATTATTATTTTTGGGTTCCTTAGGAATAATTCTTATAATGGCCCATTTCCATCCAACCTTCCGGATCACCGGCGCCGCTCAGGACGGTGTGAGGTGTCTCAGGCACCTCCTCATCGTCGTACCGCGAAATAGAACCTGCCGAGGACGATGCACCCACAGGTTCGGCAGAGGCAGAAACGCCCTTTGTTGACGAAATGGAAATAGTGGTGGTGATGACAGGGCCAGCCACAGCGGACGCAAGATCTCCTCTTGAGGAGTCGTATTTAGTATATCCTGACTGGTCGTAATGTGCCAACGTGCGAGACTGCCCACTGGCGGATTTAATGAATCGGTGAGTGAAGGGACGGAATAGTGGCCAGACCGGTGGGATGGACATCGAGATGAGCACAAGCCATTCTTCTACTTCACCCCAGCGGAAGAGAATGCCCACACCGTCTAGATCATCGGGTTAGTCCTGGCGCATTCTTTCGAGTTTCGGGTTTGGGGTTTCTTCGGGGAGCTCGCAGGCTACTCACAGGAAGGGTCATCACTCAAAATAAATTTAGCTGCCCATGACCGCACGATCGCGGCGGCTCCAGCGAAAATACCGAGGCCCATCAGGAAGCTCAAGCCCCATTTCAGTTTGCGATCAATGCGCAACGGAATCAGCATCGCGGCCGGGATGATTGCGAGATAGAAATCCGAAACCGCCGCCACAGCACCCACAAAATAGCTGTAGTGTACGCTTGTGCGGTGGTCGCATTGGTCTTGACGAGCCGGATCCCATAGCGCATTGGGAGGTTTGCATTGGAACCAGGCGAGCAAGACTTGCGGAATATTGAGAATGATGTTCAGTGCCGCGAGGGCGATCAAGCTACGACGGATCTTCGGGTCTTCAACAGAAGCAGACGATTGTTAGCGTGAATGCTTTGAGGAGGAAAGAGCCTCGGGTTCTCTGAATCCGCGATAGTCCGGAGGCATCGTAGAATCAGCAACGAGAGAAAAGAACATACTGCCTTGAGAATTCATCTCGATCAGAAAGGCTGCCACGGCAACCTTGCCGGTTGGAATGGCCATGTTGAAAAAAAATACGGTGATCCATGTGAACAAGAGATAGTTGTGTAGTTGTCCAACTTCTTCAATCACGGTGATTCTATTTCCTAAGCCGTGGAGAATTGAGATGACACCAAATGTTTGTGTAATAGCCGTGAGCAACTTGGAGTTATATCAGTAGATGGTCTCGAGAGTGTAGATGCGATCGACTCATACCCAAGCCACAAGAGCCAGGATCAATGCTGTGGTCCCGAATTTATTCACTCGCAGTCGAACATAGACGCGCAGGATCATGAAAATAGTGGCTACTGATCCAAGGCCGAGGCCGAGGCGCAGATCACTTGGGCCGCGGCCACCGTAGGCAGGGTAGCGGTCCTGCAGGCCCATGATGCGAAAGAGGTGGTGACAAAAAATGACCGACTGGAGATGCGGCCATATTAAGGCAGATTCGTCTCACATCTATCAGCAAGGCCATCGTGACCATGACGCTCGGTTCCAAGCGGATCCCCTTCTCGATCAGATTTGATTTTCAGGTGGAGAAGGGTACCTACCACACGATCCAAAGGCTTAGGGTGCAAAGTCCAGTATGTATTCCGAGCAAAGTGGAGCCTCAACCAACAACCCGCCGGCCAGATCCAATGGAACCGCCAACGGTCCTTCCAGAGTCCTTCCATGACCAAAAATTGAGGGGACCATTTTGCTCGTGGCGAATTGCCCTCTCGGCTGCTACATCCATGAATTTGCCGCGTCACCCTGCCGTACGTGGTTGAAAAGGGGTGATGTTTAACTAGACTGGGATGCAGTGAAGGACCATATTCCATCAATCCAATCGACGGCCTAAGAATAAATTGAGTGAACTATAATTTGCCGCGGAGACGTTCGCCACCGCCCGACACGAAGCGAGAGGGGAGCACTGTGGGAGCAAATGTTTCATGTACAGAGTAAGCGATTCGATCGAGATTCTATCGTCTGCAATAGCTCAAAAGGCAAGATCGGATATTCCTACCGAAGCCTTCCGGCCAAACTATCGCCAACTATTGCCCCATTCCCCTGGATGGAGGGGCGCCCTCTGAGACCTTTTAGTCCAATGCCGCCCTTCTACCCCTTCACAGCAAGCGCCTCTGGATCTCGGTCGGAGCAATGGCCCCATTTGTCTACCTGCACGGACGAATCATTTCATAGAAACTCCGTCTCTCAGCTGGGTTGGGAGTTGTCATACAACTTTTTTCCAAGTCCTAGCTGGAACCATACTTCGAGGGTTCCTAGCGAAGAGGCTCGTGCGGTCTCCGAAGGGACGGATTTGATCTATCGCTAAGGGCACCCACGGTATAGGATGCCCGGGGTCGTCAGCCCCGATGGTGCCTGGCAGGAGTCAATATGCACCATATATGATCTCATGAAGTGCATCCATAGCTCTTTACGGTTTTCTAGTTTTTCTTTTTTTTTGGTCTATTCACTGTTCTAGTACACCAAGAAGTATGACTGGCTACCGATCGCCGTGATACATATTGTGTTGATCACCAGTGGAATTCGATGGTCGGATATCTCCGACCTAGATCCGTTCACAGCCGCGCTATCGTTCTGAATCTCTCAAAATTCTCTCTTCCACCCCACTTGCTTCGGCCGGAGGGCTGAGCTTTGACTTTTTCCATGTGGTGGAGTTGCCGCGTAGCTAGTTCCTTTTGACGTAATTCAGAAAGCTTCGAGGCGATCGTGATCGTGAATTGCCAAAGTGTGTAAGACCAATGATGCCGGCTGCTCCAGAAAAAAAGCAGCCAAGGACGTGAAGCGATCAAAGTATGGTTCGTGGTGGGCCAAAACTGACTCTTCCTTGGTCGTTGAGATTTGTAAGAATTAGCCGCGAGCTGCTGTGTAGCGGCTCAGTATCAACACCGGTCCCTTCTTTTACTTGGTCTCTCGTCTATAGTTAAAGGCTTAATGGTTCGAGAGGTTCTGTGATTCAATCTTCTTGAATGGTAGGGAGCTGCCAGGAAGGCCTACAAATACATCATGGTTTATCCTTTTTGGCATGGCCGACGGAAAGTGGATCGATCGGTCGGTGTTCGGCGATTCAAAAACTTCCCCAATAATGCAAATCATAGTCCACACCCCCGGGACGCCAAAGAGGTGTTGGTGTGTAGACGGGAATGGGCGACGCGGCTATGAGAGAAACAAAGTTAATCCTGGAAATCTAGGGTGTAAAAAGGGGAAAGAGGACGCGGGAGACCATACTTCCATAGCCGGTGCTAGGTACCGCCCATGTCGGCGTTGTGGGTGCTTCCCACCCAGTTGGCGATGCTGTGATGGTGTAAGTACTGGTATATGTGTAAGGGGACTCGCCCGATGCCAAAGACTTGATTCCATCGTTGGCCCCGTAGCTATCGTCGCCGTTGCCGAAAATGTTGCTGATCTTATTGACCACAGAAGATCCAGACTCTGTCCAAATCGTAAAGTCTTCCACTGTCACGTTTGTCGCGAAGGTCAAGTCGTTGGCAAATAGATACAAAGGAGGCCGCTGCACTCCGTTGGCAACAGAACCTTGAGAAATTGTTAAATCTAGCTAAACATGCCTGTTTCCATTTCAATTCAAATTTCTGATGGACATACCTGAAAAGTTTTTAAAAAGCAAGTTACTCAACGTGACAGACCCAGTGTCAGGTGTGTAGGTGCTTTGCCAGTACTGATTGATATCCAGTCCATAAAGGCTTGCCAGCGATCGAAAATTCTCAAATGTGACATTAGTGACATATCCAGATCCTCCGGGGTAAGTTTTGATAAAGGCGATGTTATTGCCTTGGATAATACTGATATTGCGGGCTACCTATATCAAGCGTCAGTCTTCGAGCCCAATGGTGATAAAAGAAGACCATACAATATTTGAGATTTCCGCAGAAACATTCAGGCTGCCAATAGATATCCCGGATCCTGCTTGATTACAGACCAAGTTTTCTACTAATGCGTGATGAGAAGGGCTCTTGACCGAAACGCATTCATCTCGGTTTGTAACCTATTATTATCAGAACTAAAGTAGACGGCAAAGTTTTTTGTTACGAAAACAAACCTCGTTATCGTGAATATAATAATTGGTGCCGATCGCATCAATACCATCATAGCTTCCCAGGTTCGCACCACGTATGGTTAAATGGTACGCCTCGACGTTCACGGCGAAATCGAGAATAATGTGGAACTTCGGGCTATCCACAAGGATCAAGTCGTGGACTGATGCATTTGTTGGTGAAATCAGGCGTACCAAACGAGGGCGATCGGTACTAAAAAACGCTGAATATTAACAGAACCAGAGACGGGAGATCTGATGCCATACTTATTTAAGATTCGATAGATATATCCTTGGCCTTGGATGGCCCCAAGACCATTGGCGGAATAGAATTCAAAGTCAACGGCTGTTCGCAATGATGAGTACATGAGGTATAAATAATCGGCAAGTAATCGGCGCAGAGCGAAAAGAACTCACCATTGACAATAACAAGAACATCTAGCAAGAACTTTCCGTCACCCTCTCCATTAATGGTAGAATTGATTATGTCCACTCCTGCGAATCCGTCGAGTATCAACTCACGCTCGATTGTCCAATTGCCGCCATACGCCGCAGTGATCAGCCCATCTAGTTGGAATGCCCAGTTTGTGCCATTGCTTAACACAACTCCTCGTTCGATCAGATATTCGCCTTCGGGGACCACCAATCGACTTCCAGGGTTCTTTTGGACACAGTCGGAAAATACGGCCTCCAATGCGGTGGAGATATCAGAGCTATTATCGGCGATAGCCCCATAGTCCAAAATGTTGCACTCTATTGTTTTATCCTCGAGCTTCGTCGTTGGGCCGACCGGTCCAATCAGTTGGGCCCCAGCGATATGGACCAGCACGGCCAGTGTAAAGAGATTATTAAGCTTCATTGTGAAGATGTGAGGTTAATTCTTTACATCAATGGTGCGGACTTGGAATCTTCTTTTTATACTACGATGGTTCATCATGCCAATCTACCACTCAAATATGTACAACCATGGACCCTGTGAATGAAGGTTCTGATATATCCTCATTTTAATGCGTCATATTTTATCCGTCCAATCGGTTAATAAGAAAATTGAAGCAGTTTTCATAAGAACAAATTCTCCATGTACATTCGGCTCGACACTTTGAGTTTTTCTTGGCAGAAGCTTGCTTAGTCCCGATCAAGAATCGTTGGTGCGCCATTTATGCAATTGTCAATCAGCATGAGATATTGCAACATGACAATAAATTGTCCAGGCACTGCCCATCCCTAATGGAGGGGTGCATATGAGGTTCTCCGGCTAATCGTAGTCAAAGCACATCATTTTTGTGCCAAATGACCTGACATGCATAGTGATAGTAAGTGTTGTAGATTAAATGCACCAATCGCATATCACCTATTCAAGTGTCATAACTAAAGTAGCCTTTTATCTAGTTTATAATTACACATACTGTGAAATTCTGAGGATAAAAATTCCCTATGTCCACTTAGCCGCATCCCTTTATCTTCAGCTCATGATTTCCCCGAGGAAGATGCACTCCGGTTGAAAGAAATTTCGCTTTTCCGGAGAAGTTTGGGTAGTTAGAGAAGAAATAACACTAGGTGAATGGGGTCAGGAGGGGACAAAATACTGAAATTCTCGAGAGACCTAAGAAATATTATATTGAGAAAGGAACCATACAGACCGGACGGATTTGTTACCTTGAAGGAACAAATATTGGACGGCGTCAAGAGCAAGGCATGATAACAACCGGTCTACTCAGCAAACTTTGATATTGACTCCAACATATCAACATATCGTCTGGGGGGGCATACCCAACATCGCAACGCAGGAGCTCGTCATCCAGGCGCTCTAGAACATGGGCACAATGACCAAGATCTCAACACAAAATGCGAATAACCAGCACGCCCTGACGTGCGCAGATGATAGGGATTTATTTTCTACCGTCCTTGATAATCCTAATGGAACGGGTGTGTGTCTGTTGACGCCAGCACAAGTCGCAATCGGGCATTGAGCAGTTGATACTGGTCAGTAGTTGGATGAACGAAATACGAGCGCGGCTGAGAGAAGTTGCCGGAGTGAGTCAGTTCGGTGGCGGAGAGGCAAAGCAAAGCCAGAGCATGGACTTGCTAATGCTTGCTGAGAATACATGAGAAGCACCAGAGCTAGGTAAAGTAAAGATGTTGAATGAGGGTCGGGCTAATCCTTGAGTGATTCCTTTTCCCACTCGTTTTGTAATATCTTCTCTACTTCTACCACCTCGCGCGGATCCAAGATACTTCGCCACGCAAATTGCCATAGCGTTATGTTGATATAGGCCCTCGGGCCTTTGCGATTCAGAGGGCTCAACCCGATCGCCTGAACTCTCTCCTGACACCAAAGGCTGAGACCTAACCGTCGATAGGAGTCGAACTTGACGGTGCGCAAGGGCGAAAACAACATTTTCGATAGCAGTTCTCCATTGTCGCAAGCCAAATATACTAGCATCAACTTGTAGAATGGGGTCACGGGATGCAGATAAGGCCTTCGTGGCATTGGCCACCTTCGTTCGACTGGATGCCGGAGAAATGGCAACCGCCGAGGGCCTTGGTTACAGTCGCCACTGCTGCTGCTACTGAGGCCATGAAAGACGACGAGACTCACTGCTCGTGCATGATCTAGATACTCAGTAACAGTGTAGATTTCCTCCGCGTCGTAACGCCGGCTCCCGTTGACAAAAGGATCTCGCACTTTCATACTTTACAATCGCGTCACGTCTTCAGCGGGCCAGCTGAGCCGCAACTGGCCAGCTGCGGTGCAGAGATCATGGATTAATTGAATTCTCCAGAGGGCGCGGGAAACCCGTTGCTCCTCCTCCCAGACTGGTGGGCCATAATCGCTGACGGGAACCGTGAAGGCTTCAAATATTTGATTCCACGGCGGGGTCTTCTTGAGGTCCCTTGAATACCGAGCCTTGGAATCGACCATGTTCTCCGGTCGGAGAGCATTGAACCTTTCCAGGTAGTGATCGAGGCATGCTACCGTCAAGTGTACTATCTGTGCATATAAAGAGAGAACCCGGCGGATTGTCGGGATAGGAGTGTTGTCAGGCAAGTCGTTCGGAAGGGGTGGGCTTATCGGACGTAGGTCGCCTGGTCGTTGTGGGCTTACATCTTTGACCGTCACATGAACGAAGTCGGCGATAAAGGCATCGAGGCTCGTATATGGAAAAGTGGCAGACTCAAGTATGGCTAAAAGGGTGATTGATTCCCGGATTTGATCACACATGGAGAAGACGGTGTGCATGAGCTGGAGGCCATCGTAGTCAAACAGGCGAGAGATGGCGGGCGATGCGCGAAGAAGGTTGTATAAAAAAGCGCAATCATCAAGGCGAGAGACAATGTCGTGTAGAACCTCGAAGGGCAGAGTCTCTATCTTGAGGAATTTAATGATGAGGGGTAGGGGAAGACAGTCTAATACACTCTAACCAGGAGGCCATAACGCAAGTCACAACAACCTTAGCGACCCTCCCTCATAAACAATCTTTAAAACGAAGATATCTATCTCACTCAAATAAAATAGCTTCCAGTTGAACTTGCCTGATGGCTGACTGGATCAATGCAAATGTCTTCCTCCACTCCGGTCATCCTCGGAGTGAATATCTACGGGGAAAATAGAATACTGATTTGTTATGTTCACAATCCGTTCATTGATTGTTCTCAGCTTTATCTTTATGCTCATGAACGTGGGAGCCTTTGCGAGTGGACATGGGAGTCGGATTTTTCGGATTTTTCGGATTTTGGAAAGAACTCTATGGTCAATATAATTCACCCAGAACTGCTACAAGAAGTTCCGACGATGGAAAGGCCCTTTACAAAATGGAATCAATAGCTTCAGACGAGTTTTCGCTTTAGCAGCGACATAATACGTGGGTACCGAAACTGTGTCTGTCGCAGCAGGCGAATCCAAGAATTCTCAACGTGACTTTCCTCGGTTTGGTACAGCTACGCGTGAATTATCTTGTCACCGTATTCTTGTGGTATTCGTTGGAATACCTGTTTTCCAGGTCCTGCTCTGTCCATCAAAGTCCGACGGACTTCTAACCCAGACACCATAACCTCGTTTCTGTTCAATATTTATTGGTTTCAATCTGACTAGGACGAAGCCTTCCGGTCACTTTGTCAATGCTATCATTCTTATCGCCTCCGTATCTGCTGTGAATGTTGTGGTGTACATTCAATCCCGAACTCTATACTCTCTGGCTCTAAAGCCTAAAGCGCCATCATTCTTTGCAGCTACCCGGGCGAGAAGAGGGAGGTAAACTCCAACCAGCCCACGCAATTTTGACAGCACTGATAATGCACCAAGTTCTACATCTCGCTATCCGCTTTTTCAACGTGTGGGGTTTTCTCGGTTTGATATCCCTCCAGACAAAATTCCCGTAGACTTTTCTCGCATTTCAAGTCCTTTGAGCCACTGCGGACTGTAATAATCTTGGTCTGTTGAAGAGTCCGAGCAGCATTTAAGAAGCAAAATATCGATGTAGTTCCCATTCACGGCGCCCGGTTATATCTCGATCTACTAGGTGATTTCTTTGTCAACATTTTCTTATTATTAATTTAAGGGTGTATCAATTAAAAATCATTTCTTGCTTCATACATCATCTCGGTATTTTTTGTGAATTTTGTAGGTTACACGTGGTGGTTCAAGACTCAAAGGTTTGTATCTCGTTCTTTCTTTGTGTTTCCTAGGAGCATTCTAGCCTTTGAATAATACCTATACCTATTGTTTTCGTCACAGGATACCTCTCAATGAAATTGACTTTGCCGGACGCCTTGAACTTTTTGCTGGGGACTCAAGTACAAGCAACCAACGATCCTGAGGCCGAAGAATCCTAGACCTTCTGGAGGAGTGCATATACGCATAAAGGCAAAAGCCACTGCATTCCTTTTCAAGCTCATAAGCACTAGAATTAAGATATTCCCAGCATATAATGAGTGATGTTACTTCTCAATGTTTCCCCTTTACATTTCCCCTGAATTTTGGTCTGTGGTGTTGCTCTACATTCTTCGGATGATATCTCATACCAAAGATCACCTAGGCATCACGGTTTGTTTACCTCTAATAAGAGAAGGATGAGGAATGTCAGCTCCATCTGCTATGCATTTTCAATAATTTAAAACCCAGCTGGAAGGAATTGTCTTCAGCTACCCCTCTACATATCACCCCTCTCTCTTTCTAGCATCTGCTACCTACTACTCAATCCGATACCTCCCTCTCCTCAAAATGAAGCTGTCCATCTTCCTCCCTCTAGCAGCCTTCCTCGCCATGACGGCTGCGGAGATGGCAAAGCCAGTGGAGAATGTCAGCCCCTGCTTGGTACGTACTGTAGCAGACATAACTAGGATCGAGAAGATAGGGTCAGCCTGCAAGTAGTTTGAATACTAACCATCACTATCAATAGAACCATTGCCTCACCGAAGCCGCTGCCGTCGCGGGCTGTATTTCGCAGTACGATACCAAGTGCACCTGCACAAGCCCAGCGATGCGAGATACCACCGACAAATGCCTGAAAGCCGCTTGTACAAAAGAAGATGGGGAGGGTACGTTTACATTTCGGCATTCAGTACTAGATTGAATGTGTCGAAGCCAGACAAACAACATGAAACTAACTTTTTCTTGCCTGAATAGCTGCTCTCGCGTTACATCAGAAACGCTGTGGAACAACACCTGATGAGAATGACGACTGAAGGGGTTGTGAAAATATTGTGTTGGTCAAATATAGCCTTCTTTTTAAATAATTGGAAATATTTTCTTCATAATTTCAATTTTCGTGTCTATCCCGTTCATGGCATAGAGAATAGAGGGCGTAATGTGTTGAGAGCTGCATCGTCGGAGAACAATGAGTACAAACTATGACGATCGTCTTCCACATGTCAACAGCACTAGGGTTCGTATGGAGGACTACTAGCGCATTTAGTCTGAAATCGTGTTATTATCACATACTACGTTTTACATGGTACTAAAGGAGCTAAGGAGGGTAGGCCTTTTACTTCCAGGAGCGTGTACGATCGAGATATAAAACCGGTTAAACCCATGGAAATAACTCCATTTGCACGAGACTGAAAGATATCAAGCTAGGTGAAGAGAGAACATGTAGGGCAAGAGGCAGACAAGTTTTTTAAGTGAACATCCGAATAAAATTTTTCGTTCTTATCGTATTCTGGACTAATCCACAATCCTCTAAGCCTGGGACAGGTTCTCGTAAGCGTCGGGGAAACGCTTCATGTTCTGCTCGATCAGACCGTGACCACGCAGGAACTGAACGTAGGCACCATCCTGCTTGAGCTTGCCCTCCTGGCGGAGCTGAACGTACTCCTCGCGGCGGACGGGGGTGAAGCCCCAGTTCTTGGAGACAATGATCTTTTGGCGGCCGGGGAACTTGTACATGGAGCGACGGAGAGCCTCGATAGCGGTGGCACGGTGAGCGTCACGGGTGCGGACGGACAGGATGACCTGGCCGATGTTCACACGGGCAACGGTACCCTGGGGCTTACCGAAGGCACCACGCATACCGGTCTGCAGACGATCGGCACCAGCGCAAGACAACATCTTGTTGATACGGATGACGTGGAAGGGGTGGACACGGACACGCATGTGGAAACCTTCCTTACCGGCAATCTTCACGAGGTACCTATTGAAACAGAAAAAGGTTAAAATGAGACTCGAAATTCCAGGGATTGACATCGTGATAGATAGGTTTCACTCGTGAGGAAATCGAGATCGGGAGGCTCAGTGGGCGTAGGAAGGACGTACTTGTTGGCACAGATACGGGCGGCCTCAAGAGCCTCGGAGGACAGCTGCTCATACTCGTTGGAGACCAGGTGGACGCAGGTGGGGAAGTCGTCAACGTTGGCCTTCTTACGGCCCAGATCGAAGATACGGATCTTGGGGTCGGGAACACCACGGTTGAACCGGGACTTGGGGTAGGGCTGTGAGAGAAAGAAAGATTTGTTAGTCAGGTTATTCTGATGCCAAGCTTTGTCTGCGGTTGCGTCTTTGGACGACATGCGCAAGATCTCCCACAAGGGGCGTTCTCGAATGTGAAGCTCCCAAGAATTTCGTTCTGTGGCACACCAAGCCCGGCGAACAATCTCCTTTCTCGGAGCGCTCTCATCCGCGCCCGCGAGCGTGGTGTTCGCTGGCACCTGTTCTCCCACAACCAAATGTCCCGCGCACACACACAAAAGTCTCAGGATCGGGCAACTTGTCGGCAACGCACCTTGTTCTTGCAGTAGCGGTAGCAGCGGGCGGGACGGCGGGCCATTTTGAGTGCTGGAGGTGGTCGACTGCACTTCCTGCGAACGGTGTTGTATGTCGGTTGGTGTCGAGGGATCGAAGGGAAAAAGAGAAATGGGCGGGTCACGGGATTGTTTGATTTCCAAGCAGCGGGCAGTGGCGAAGCCCTAAGCCCTAATAATCCCACCAATTATAAGACACAACGAGGACCCACTTGGGTCCAACAGGCGATTTACCGTTGCAGCTGGAATCTCGGGATTACTGGTTTTATGGGATCACGCCAGGCTGAGGAAGCGCTGATGAATGCTCAGCGGGCTTGGACGCATTGGGGGCGATGACTCGACGATTAGAAATATACGAGGTTTACTTATAAATCAGAAATGACTCAATGTCGGAACACAGAAGATTTGCGAGAGTATTGGTAAATGGCCTAGTTAAAGGCTTTTATCTTTTTTTTTGGTTCGACGAGTTTCATAGTCCATAACTATTCATACATGCGTCATGGAAATCCTCCAGAGCGAGGTATGAACCACACAGGCATACAACTCGCCAAACCCTCCATTTCCGTCTCAACCATCACCCATTTACTGGGTGCCGGTGAGGATGTCGGAGTCACCGGCATCGAGGATGGCCATGGTGGCGCAACGGAAGAGCTTACCGCAGGCGGTACCGAGCTCGATCTAAGGCGATTGTTAGTACACGCACAATACGTTCTGCTGCGTTCGCTGGGACGATTCCCATAACTCGCTTGCGAAATTGTCTGGGTGGAGGGCTGAACTTACGTTGTTGCCGGAGAAGTGGTGGACGGGAGTCTTGGCCAGCATGGCGTAGTACTCCAGCTCAGACTTGCGGAGAGGAGGGGTGTTGGCAGCGATGATGACCAGCTTGGCCTTGCCGGAGCGCAGAGTCTTCATGGTAGACTTAGCACCCAGGGTGACCTTACCGGACTTCATCACCAGGGCGAGCCTGGAGTTGATCTGAAAGGGACGTTAATTGAGAGTCGACGGGAAGGAGACCCGGACAGGGTTGCGGGGGTGCGCGAGGGCAGACTCACGTTGTCGGAACCCTTCTTGGACTTCTTGGGGGCCATCGTTACGCTGTGAAGTTCGTCACGGACTTCGAAGTGAATTGGAGGAGTGGATGTTATGAGGATGCGCTCCGGCCGGCGTGGTTGAAGAAATCGAGATTAGCCGGGACGCAAAACCGACTTGTGTGGGCTTCCTTCGGCAAGCCATGTTTCTCCGCTCCGGTAGGAAGGGGACTATGGGAGCGGTGAATACGATGAGTCATCCCGATTACATTATCATATCACATGATCTCTATCTCCCTGCCTGGCTGTTTCACGTATGCCTCAGGCCATACGCAACACCCTTGAAATCATATACATCATGATACATGACTATATGCGAGTAAGCAGCATGTTGTTGTCTGCCACTTGTACTCTGTCACGGTATTGGTAGTCTCCAGAGCAGTTCCTGTAATGAGGATGATAATAATAATAATAGTAATAATAATAATAATAACCACAGAAGCAATACCCTTCGCAGTGTTTTGGCTTGCACCAGTCATTAAATCCCTAGTTCTCTCGAGTTCAACGCGGATCTTCTCACCTTCTTCCCCTTACCCTTTCTCCCATTCTCTCGCCACTCTCTCGCTTTCTTTCTCGTGTTATTCTCGGATTTCTTTGTGGCTCTCGTATCCTGTTCTGTCCGGCCCTCCAACGGCGGGTATTTTTAGATTCGGGGGTGCGGCGGAGGAAGGTCCCGCATTCCGCAAAATAAAGCGTTCTCGTCGCCGGACTGCAAACAGCGCACCCTTTCTCCCATCATTTCCCCCATTCCACGGCCAATGACGCATTGTCCTTAATGATTTAACGGCTTCGATCTGCCATGTGGCCCGCAATCAATCTCTGACAGCGCCTCGTCCACATTCCCGGCTTCAGGCCGATCGCTCAACCTCTCAATTTCCCGTCGCAGGGCCTCCACCCTGTTTGACCGCTTCCCCGATTCTCCTGTTCCACATCGCCAACCCAACACCGTCCCACCCTTTTCTCCCTTCAATCCTCCAGACCCTTCAATCGGACCCCCCTTGGGACACACTCGACTTTCAGACCCGCCGAGGGACCAACGCAGTTGCTTCTATATACTCCACTCCTAGCAAAGGGCCTCGGGCCCCGGGACACTGCACAATGTCAGCAACGCCTCGCAAGCCTGGAACCCCCGGCAGTTCCAGCAAATCATCAACCGCAGATCCGCCCTCGACCAACGGGTCCACCACACGAGGACATACTCGCTCACCTAGCGCCGCAACCAACGGTGTTAACCGCTCCCCTTCCTTAAGAGGTTCAACCCCCGTCTCTGCACGCGCCGCTGCGAGAAAGCCCGGCCGTTCCAACCTCAGCATGTCCAACGTCCCGCGCATCAGCAACGACCCCTCCGACGAGGAGGCGCGGGCCCAAAACGCCGCCCTGATTGAGGAGCTGCGGCAACAACTACAGAAGGCGGAAACCGCCTCCGAGCAATATCAAAAACAACTGGGGGTCCTCCAGATGCGTCTTGACGAAGCTGTCAGCGAGCAAGGAAAATTGGAGGACCAGGCCCACGAGCGCGATACCAAGATCGAGACCCTGACCACCGAAGTCCGAGATCAGGCTCGCCAGATTCGAGATCTAGAACAGAATCAGGAACTGGAACGGAATGCAATGCTGCAAGAAAAGGAGCAGCAGACCAGCCGAGAAGAAGAGTTGCAGGCGACCATTCAACGGTTGAAGGAGTCGGTGGCGCAGAAAAATATGCCCCTCAATGCGGATGGCGATCGCCAGATCTCCCGATCCTGTATGATTTCTTTCCTCCGATATGTGCCCCTACATCAGTCGTATGCTAATTTGACTTCACTCCATACAGCCAGCTTCCGTAATCGATCTTCCCCAGATGTCGATGGCCAGTTTGCACCGTCGTCGCAACTCGAGCGCAGCCCTTCCAGGAACAATTCGAATCTTCTTCTCCAAAAAGACAAGCTGATCGAGTCCTTGCGCCTCGAGTTGGCCGAGTCACAAATCAAACTAGTAGAGATGGAGAATTCTGGTGGCGGCCGGCAGCGCGAGCTGGAGAAAGACCTTCTGGAGGCCCGGATGGCTAATGCTCGCCTAATGGAAGATAACGAGAGCTATCAACTGCTGCTGAGCGAGAAGACCCTCACTGGCGACTTCACAAAAGGTGACTTCATGCAGCATGCGCATCCGGATAAGACTTCCAGCGGTGGGCTAGGGTCGCTAGCTGATGAGCTCGAATCGGTCGATGAATCACCTGAGAGTGATCCGAGCCGCAAGGTGGACAGCGAGGTCAAGACTCTGAAGGACCAAAACAAGGCCTTGACGCTCTATATTGAACGCATCATCAGCCGTGTCTTACAACATGACGGGTTTGAGCATGTCCTGGACCGGAATGACGACGAGGACGACTCTAAGGTTGGAAGCAAGGAGAAGGATCTGCCTCCTACTCCGCCAGAGAAGGATGACTCTCCAAACCAGTCATTTTTGCAGCGAGCCAAGTCAGTCGTTGCCGGACCTCCTCGATCGCAGCCTCGGTCTCGCCCAACCAGCATGATGCCTCCTCCTGCTGTTCCATCGGCAAACGAAAATCCTGACACCGCGCCCAGTATCCCCCTACGCGCTCAATCTGTCAGAGCAAGTCACCGTCGCACCCGTTCCGAGCAGGTCGACCCAGGAGCTGCCTCCGTCGTTACACAGATGTATCGTGGGCGGAATTCTGGCGGACCCATGAGCCCTAGTGCAATGGGCCCGGGCTCTCGTCAGAGCATGTTCTCCGGTGCCGCCAGCTATATCTCTAGTCGGGCTCCTTCTATGTCTAGCCAGGCTGACCCTGCCGGACGTAGCAGCTCTCCTAGCGTGACAAGTGACCTCCATGGAGACAACAGCTCTATAGGTGCTACCTCCAGCCCACCCCGCTCTAGCAGTGGAATGAACAACTACACAGGCGCTGTAATGACGCAGAATAAGTTGCGCCCATTGCGTCTTGTGAGCGATGCTGCCAAGCTAGAGGAGGAAGAGGCCGCACGCAAGAAAGCCAATCGTGCAAGCTGGATTCCCGGGTGGTTCAACCGCCCCAATAACCCGGACGAACAGCCACAATCTTGAGCTTACCTCGGCTTGACTGACGATTTGCTTGAAGCTGCGTTCTCACGCCTGACTCGGATGACTTGATGTGATATCGAACCTGTCTTTACCATATTTATCATACCCCTTTTTTTGTGATGCACATAACGCGATTCATGTCATGGAATGTATGGCTCATGTCGGAGCATGGAATATCGGATTGATCTGCTGCAATATCTGCTGCCATTTTGAATACGAATGCTCTTCTTCATTTAATTTTCGTTTCTTCTTCTCTCAGTTGCGTATTGTTGATGTTTTATGAGCATTGACACCGGGAGAGGAGCAACAGGCCAGTTCTCTTTAGTGCTTTGGGTTTTGATTATTTTTTCTTCTGCCCTTGAATTTCTCTTGAAGGAACTTGTATTCCGTTTATGTCTTTCATTCATCCTTGTGTGGTTGACTTGTAGATTTCCCAATATACCCCACCTTGTCTGCTAAAAATCATTTAACTTCGCATGGAAATAGATTTTCAGTCCATTCAACTATGATCAAATCAGTCAAAGCCTTTAGCCCTCTCCGATGTCGAGAACAAGTTGTTACTTGTGTCCTCGCCTCATAATCCAATTAATGTCGGAACAACGTTAGTGCGTCTCCGCCCAGCGGCCAGACTGGCTCCTGCATGCATCAACAATCGAGTTCCCCTCGCCAATTGTACCACATCCACACTTCAAGTCCACCATGCCCGGCCCTCTGTCTCTCTTTTCCGTGAACGCGGTCCTTGTCATGTCCGCGGATGACGGATCCCGCATCTTCACCAAATACTACTCCGCACCGCATGCCCCCGCCGGCACCGCTCCCAACTCGACCGACTACCCCGGGGCCAACCCCTACCCGACGGTCAAGGAGCAGCGCTCGTTTGAGAAGGGCCTGCTTGAGAAGACCAACAAGTCTACAAGCGATGTGATTCTCTACGATAACCGAATTGTTGTGTTCAAGATGGAGAGCGACGTGATGCTCTACGTAGTTGGAAGTGCAGAGGAAAACGAGGTGCTGCTATACAATGTGGTGCTGTCGCTGCGAGATGCTTTGGGAATCTTGTTCAAGTAAGCTTCTCTAGCTGATCGTTTCGGGGAACCTTTGTCGGCGTGGTGCGTGAAACTGGGAGCTAACCAGACCTGCGAATAGGGGTGCCACGGACAAGCGGACCATTGTCGAGAACTACGACCTTGTCTCCCTCACCATCGATGAGATCATCGACGACGGAATTATCCTTGAGACTGATCCAGTCATGATCGCCTCGCGCGTCAGCCGCGCGCCTGCTGCCGATGCGCCGAACATGAAGAGCATCGATCTGTCAGAACAGGGTCTGCTTAATGCTTGGGAGTTTGGCAAGCGGCGTTTGGCCGAGGGCTTGCGCCAGATGTAAATCTGGAGGCCCGCTCCCCTTACTATCATTACTTGCAAGCGTTGAAGGCTGGAGGCTGCTGGCGACTGTTGTATGTGTGAATTCCGCGCCGTTCAAAGCATCCACACCGTGTTTGTTCTTTTCTTCAAGTTTCTTTCCTGGCTGGTCCTGGCGTGTTTTGGTTCGGTTTTCTCCTTCTTATTTATTGGTCCTACTTTGCTGCGCCCGGAGATTGTGGACTTCCATAGATCTGTTGCATACTTATTTTTTCCCTCTCTGCATCCTAACAAAAGCCTGGTCGTCATTGGGGGCCACGATTTACGCCCCAGTAATATATAGGGCGGCTAAAACGCTGATGACTGCAATGAAAGAAAAAGACAGACGAAAGCTTTAGTCGCTATCTTCAATTGTAAACTTTGCAACTCTCCTTTACTTCCTACCTCACTCCATTGTTCCGATCTGGCCCCGTGTGGCACTGTGACGTGCTCCAAGTGGGTAGGTAACAATTGCTGGAGTTGCCCGAAAAAGAGCCCGCCTCCAACTCGGTGCCTGCCCCGCATACGTCACGCTCGAAAATTCCTTTCTCTCTCTTCCACCCACCTACACCCACAATGAAGCAGAGGTTCTCGTCAATAGATGTCAAGGTAACCCTCAAAACGACTGTTTGATCTCGGACATCCGGCTTACCGAATTCTCAGGTCATCACGCAGGAGCTGGCCGCGGAGCTGGTCAACCTCCGCGTGTCCAATATCTACGACCTATCCTCAGTACGTCCAATGACCCCTCGCACAGCGACGAATCTAAAGAGGTAATGGAGAAACGATAGTTCTAGCTAACATAGACCTCTAGCGCATATTCCTCTTTAAGCTTGCCAAACCAGACCACCGGCGCCAGCTCATCGTGGACTCTGGCTTCCGCACGCACGTCACCCAGTACTCCCGCACTGCCGCAACTGCCCCCTCCGCTTTCGTTACCCGCCTGCGCAAGTTCCTGAAGTCGCGTCGCATTACGGGTGTCTCGCAGATTGGAACCGACCGCATCATTGACATCTCCTTCAGCGATGGCGCCTATCACATGTTTCTTGAATTCTTTGCTGGCGGCAACATCATCGTCACAGACCGCGAGTACAACATCATCGCACTGTTCCGACAGGTCAACGCTGGCGCAGGCGAAGAGGAGGCCAAGCTCGGGCTGAAATACAACGTGACCAACAAGCAGAATTACGGCGGTGTCCCTGATATCACGGACGAGCGGATTCGGGCCACGCTGGAGAAGGCGCAGGCCTCGTTCGCGAAGGAGGACACCGCACCCAAGAAGTCGAAGAAGAAGAGCACCGACGTGCTCCGAAAGGCTTTGTCGCAGGGCTTCCCTGAGTATCCGCCGCTTCTGTTAGACCACGCGTTTGCAGTCCGGGAGGTAGATTCGACTACATCTCTAGACCAGGTCTTGGGGAGCCGGGACACATTTTTGGCAGTGAGGGGCGTTCTGGAGGAGGCGCAACGAGTGTCGAACAGCTTTGACACTAGTGAAAGCCACCCTGGATATATTGTCGCAAAACAAGACCAGCGAATGTCTGCTCCTGTGGATGACGAGGGCGCGTCGAAGACACCGAGCCTGTTGTATGAAGATTTCCATCCTTTCAAGCCACGGCAGTTTGAGGGGAAGCCGGGTATCTCGATATTGGAATTTGAGCGCTTTAACGCGACAGTTGACGAGTACTTCTCGTCTCTAGAATCGCAGCGCCTGGAGTCACGGTTGACGGAGCGCGAGGAGACAGCGAAGCGAAAGCTTGAGTCTGTGCGAGACGAACACAAAAAGCGGATCGAAGCTCTCAATACCGTTCAGGAGCTTCATATCCGCAAGGCTGCCGCCATCCAGGATAACGTATACCGGGTCCAGGAGGCGACGGATGCCGTGAATGGCCTCGTCGCCCAGGGAATGGATTGGGGTGAGATCGCGCGTTTGATTGAAATGGAACAGTCCCGAGGGAACCCGGTGGCGCAGATCATCAAGCTGCCTCTCAAGCTGTACGAGAATACCGTCACCCTTTTACTGGGAGAGGCAAATGATGAGGAGGAGGAGGATGAAGACCTCGCCTCTGGCGATGAGTCCGACTCTGAATCTAACTCTGAAACTGAAGAACAGCAGGAGCAGCAGCGTACGGATGCAACGTCTTCGCAGCTGTCAATCGATATAGATCTCGGTCTGACGCCGTGGGCAAACGCCTCTCAATACTATGAGCAGAAAAAACAGGCCTCCGAAAAACAGCAGAAAACCGTCCAGTCTTCTACGAAGGCGCTAAAGAGTCACGAGAAGAAGGTGACCGCTGACCTGAAGCGAAATCTAAAACAAGAGAAACAAGTGCTACGACAGGCTCGCGTACCTTTCTGGTTCGAGAAATTCGTTTTCTTCCTCTCTTCCGAAGGCTACTTAGTTCTTGGGTACGTCCATCTTCTCGCCAGCTACCTTACGACGAGGTTCTGTTATCTAACATTTAGAGAAGTGCCCGCGATGCCATGCAAGGCGAGCTCCTATACCGCCGATACCTGAATAAGGGCGACATCTTCATCCACGCTGACCTCGATGGCGCATTACCTGTCATTGTGAAAAATCGAACTGGAAATCCAAACGCCCCGATCTCTCCCAGCACGCTCTCTCAAGCAGGCATCCTCTGCGTGTCCACATCCACGGCATGGGACTCCAAAGCTGTCATGTCCGCCTGGTGGGTTCATGCCAACCAGGTATCAAAAACTGCGGAAGTAGGGGGTGGGATCCTGCCTACCGGTAGTTTCCAGATCAAAGGCGAAAAGAACTTCTTGGCGCCTTCTCAACTTGTGCTCGGTTTTGCTGTTCTCTTCCAGGTTAGCCAGGACAGTGTGAAGAACCACAAGCAACGTTTTGAGTCGAATAATACTCAGGTAGACGCTCCCGCCATGAACGTCGATAATTTGCCTTCAATGGAGCAGGAGAAGGAGACTCGTGGAGATGAACCTATCCCAGTTGTGGAGGAGCCAAAGGATCAAGAGGAGCAGAAGCCCCACGATTCCGAGAATGAGGAGGGAGATAATGAAGACCAAGCCCCTGCCGGGAACCCCCTTCAGCAGGGTGATTCTGGACTTACAGACAGTCACCAACAACAAATTGACAACAGCGAGCCCGAGTCTAGCGACGAAGAAGAGGGTGCAAATGAAGCGAATCCAGGGCAAGAAGATTTTGATGCTGAAGAGCAGGTGGAGGAAGATGCGGTGCAGGATGCAACCATTCCATCCATTGACCAAAATACCTCCTCTTTGCAAAAAGAAACACCCCAATTGACAGACCGGGAACGTCGTGCCCTGCGACAAGGCAAATCCATCGACCGGCCAGGCGAGCAGGAACCTGCACCACCCCGCATACCCCCGACTCGAGGCAAGAAAGGCAAGGAGAAGCGCGCGGCCGCCAAATATGCTCAACAAGACGATGAAGAGCGCGAGCTCGCCCTCCGCCTTCTGGGGTCCAACAAGGGCAAGGCTGCCAAGGCCGCCAAGGCTGCTGAAGCCAAAGTCCAACGTGAACGCGACTTAGAAGCGCATAAGCAACGTCGTCGGGCACAACACGAGCGAGCTGCCGAAGCGGAACGCAAACGCCAGGCTCTGTTCGCCGAATCCGGTGCTGACGACTACAATGACGAAACAGCCGCTGCCGAAGCCGCCGACCTTAGCTGGATTCCGGCGCTGGTCGGTACGCCGAGCCCCGACGACGAGATCCTGGCTGCGATTGCGGTGTGCGCGCCATGGGGTGCGCTTGGTCGTTATAAATACAAGGTCAAGCTGCAGCCGGGTACTGTGAAGAAGGGTAAAGCCGTCAAAGAGATTATCGGTCGGTGGGTCCACGAAACTACAACCGGCAAGGTCAAGAAAGATCATGCGGAGGATGCGGGCATCGCCCGTGCCGATGCGGAGCGGTTGCGGGCGCGAGAAGGGGAATTGATCAAAGGCTGGAAAGACACAGAGATCATCAACACTATGCCCGTGGGTAAAGTCCGTATTATGACTCGGGGGGGCTGCTGGTGCAAGTGGCGGCGGTGATAAAGGAAAAGGCAAAGGTGGTGGGGGTGGAAAGGGCGGCAAGGGAGGGAAGAAGAAATAGTCGTGGATTTCCAAACGTACATGCCAATCTTATATGGACGAAGGATCTCGATAAATTTTAATAGAATGGCCCAGGTTTCCCTGTTCTTTCTGTTTGTCAATTCTGTCAATTTTTTCTTTGAAAGTATTTCCAGAAAGGAGGGGATGCTCGCAGTGTCCAGAATAGACAGTTGCAGATATATATCCGCGTTATACTATACATCGTAGATCGCAACCATCAGGCTTTGCCGCTATCTACACATTGCAATCTGGGCAAAACAATTTGATTTTAAACCATACAATTAGATCTAGGAAAGATCTCTCTTATACCGACATACCGGTCACGAGTCGAGAATCTCATCTACGGATACATCGGGTGTTCGTGATCTGGCAGGGCTCAGCAGATCCTAGCGGCCACAAAACGTGAAAAGAGGGCAACCCCGCCCAACAACACGCAATCTTCGTGCTCTGCTCAACTTTCCCCTTGATTCTCCCCTTCTCTCATAGTCCAGTTCTCCCCCATCTTTCGTTCGCCGGCACTTCGCTTTTCCATCGAGCGCTGGACACGCGTTGGGGTGTTTGTGCCTGACGTGATGAGTCATCCGACGTCATTATCAGCGTCGCGATTTTCTCTTTTTTTTCGCGGACCCCGATAAGACGTTCGTGCTGCGCTGTATGGCATTGCGCGCGATGATCGACGATATTGTCCATTAGAGCAGGTCCGGACGGGTGCATAATTCCCACAAACGAGATCATTTCTTCCCAAACAAGCCCATTGCAGCTGTGACTCGGACCCTCCACGTGTGTCCATTTCCGCCCCTCGATCGTCATTTCGTGTGTGCGAGCAGCCCTGCGTCATTGATCCCGGTATCCTTTTACGCAAGACATCACGCTGCTGTTTCGCCGAGTGCTCGCTGGCTCTGGTCAGCGCCGACTTGCCCGATACTTCACAACCACCACCATGACGGTCCCCGAGACACGAGTCGTCTCCGTACAACGCCTCAACCAGGGACCAGGATCTCGATCACTGGCGGAATGGTGGGCCGACGAGCGCAAGAGCCAGACACCCGAATCGCGGGCCATCGATGAAGCGGCTCAGCTCCTTCGTACTAGCGATATCCCTGTGGCATTTCCTACCGAGACGGTGTACGGCCTCGGCGCCGATGCCACACGCAGCACAGCCGTTCAAGGCATCTATCGCGCAAAACAGCGGCCTTCGGACAACCCGCTGATCGTCCATGTCGATTCTCTAGAGATGCTGGATCGTGTCTTGAATTCGAACTATGGCCAGAATAGCGCTGGAACCAAGACACCGCGTATTTCCATCCCCCCAATCTACAAGTCCGTCATCGACAAATTTTGGCCGGGCCCGTTGACGATCATCTTGTCGAATCCCTCTGGGTCCGAACTGGCCCCCGAGGTTACCTCTAACCTGACAACCTTCGGGGTGCGCATGCCCTCATCACCGCTGGCTCGCCTGCTCATTCATGCTACGGATCGCCCTCTGGCTGCACCGTCGGCGAATGCCTCGACCAAACCTTCTCCCACTACCGCACAACATGTCTATCATGACCTTCACGGCCGCATTGATCTCGTCCTTGACGGTGGACCATCCGGCGTCGGTGTTGAAAGCACTGTCATTGACGGACTGTGCGATCCGCCAGCGATCCTCCGACCCGGCGGCATTGGTATCGAGGAGCTGCGCGAATGCGCCGGCTGGGAAAACGTTGGAGTAGCGTATCACGACGGCACTCTCGATGTCAAGGAGATTCCGCGTGCGCCCGGTATGAAGTACCGACACTATTCCCCGAAAGCTCGGGTGGTGCTTTTGAAGCTGGATCGAGCCCCGAGAGCGTGACGCGCCATGTCCAGAAAGACCTGCACGATAGCGCCATCGGGGCACACACCATCGGCATCGTGCGCACCCGTAACTGGGCACAGGGAATGGGCCTCGCGCCAGCAGATGTTCTGGCCCGCACACTCACCCCGGTTTCCTCGGCCATCGAGGGCGTCCTCAGTTTTTCCCTCCCGGTGCAAGAGACAGGTAGTCCAAACAGTCGCACCAAGGTGGCCTATGACTATCACCTCGGCTCGGACACGGGCGCCATTGCCCACGGGCTGTTTGCGGCTCTCCGCGCTCTCGACGAGTTCGACGTCGATGTCATTTATGTGGAAGGTATCTCCGATCAAGATGGCGATCTGGCTGCTGCCGTGATGAACCGTCTCCGCAAGGCCGCCGGGGCAGAGATGAAGGTCTAGACCGTGCACGAAGAATTTTTCTCTTTTTTGTTTATACTACATTTACCCTCTAGCCATGAACTTTTTCGGATTTATGAACTCATTTTTTTTTCTCTCTGATTATTTTACCCAACAAAGACCCAACAAAGATTATGTATTTCTTGACGGCGGGAATCACGGGGGATTCAGAGATAGAGTTTGAGGGGATTTGGAGAAGGCCCGTCGGTGAGCGTCTAGTCTTCTTTTTTTTTTTTTTTTTTTTTTTTTCCCCAATTTTAAAGATCTGATATGCATGATCTGACTTGGACTTGCCGTTATTAGACCTAGTCTCCCATATATAAATGTTATTAACTCGATTCAAGACAAATCCCCTCAATCCCTTCAATCCCCTCAGTCCCTGGCGGAGACCTCCGAGCCACGGATGGACCAACCTTATCGCGCCCGAGTTCGCCCATTTCGCCCGCCGATAACGTGGCCCTCCTCAAACGGCCAACGAATGAGAGACACCGGCCCTCGTGGGAAACAAGCCTAATTGTGCAGCACTAAACGCTAAACACTCAAACGCTAAAAAGCTTTCAGCAAGTAGAGCCACTGCCCCGCTCAAATGGGCAACCCCCGAGTTGGACTATACTTCCAGGCGTCGGTGAATCTTGCTGAACCAGAAAAAGAAGAAAAAGAAAATTGGACTCGTGGACCTCGGCGATGGATCCGTATATGTAGTTTTCGCCCGCTCAACCAGAATGACTCTTTGGCTTAAACTTTCTTTTCCTTCCCATCTTCTTCTTATATACCTATACGCTGCTCTGCTTTCTCTTTCCTTTTCCTCTTCTTCCTCACAATTCATCGAGCACCACTCCCATCATGTGTCAATCCCCTCTCCACGACTTCCTCCAGGGCCTCCCCAAATGCGAGCACCACGTCCACCTCGAGGGCTGCATGTCTCCCGAACTTATCTTCCACCTTGCTGAGCGCAACAACATCGCCCTCCCCAATCCCGCCGACAATCCCGCCTATGCTTCCATTGCCGCCCTGACAGCGCGCTACGAGCACTTTACCTCGCTCGATGACTTCCTCGCATTCTACTTCGAAGGCATGGCTGTGCTCCGTACTGAGGACGACTTCGCTGACCTCGCCTGGTCGTACTTCCAAAAGGCCCACGCTGACGGCGTCCACCACGCCGAGGTCTTCTTCGACCCGCAGGTCCACCAGAGCCGCGGCGTGCCCTACAACACCATCGTCGACGGCTTCGCTGCCGGGTGCCGCCGCGCCGAGTCTGAGCTCGGCCTCAGCACTCGCCTGATCCTGTGCTTCGTGCGCCACCTGCCCGTATCCTCCGCGCAGGCCGTCTTCGACGACTTCATTCGCGCCGGTCACTACGAGGCCGGCGTCGTCCACGGCCTCGGCTGGTCTAGCACCGAGGTCGGGCCCCCCAAGGACATGTTCCGCGAGCAATACGCTGCCGCCGCGGCGCGAGGCATCCCGTTGACTGCGCACGCCGGCGAAGAGGGTGATCCGTCGTACATCAGCACGGCGTTGGAGCTCGGGGCGCGGCGCATCGACCACGGCATCCGGCTGGTGGAGGATGCGGAGCTGATGAAGCGCGTGGCGCGGGAGGGCGTGTTGCTCACCGTTTGTCCGCTGTCGAATGTGCGACTACGTTGTGTGCAGTCCGTCGAGCAGGTGCCGGTGCGCAAGTTCCTCGAGGCCGGTGTCAAGTTCTCAATCAACAGCGACGACCCAGCGTACTTCGGCGGGTATATCTTGGACAACTACTGCGCGGTGCAGCAGGCGCATCAGCTGTCGGTGCTAGAGTGGCGTATTATTGCGGAGAACAGTGTGCAGGAGAGTTGGATCGACGACGCGCGGAAGGCGGAGCTGTTGGAGAAGATCGAGGCGCATGTGAAGAAGCATATGGTTGCGGCGGAGGCTTGAAGGGAAAAAGTATGGAAAAGGTCATTCTTGCATTATTTGGGGACGGAAATTGGTCTTTTGGGAGTTGTAGGACACATGTACAATGGAATGAATATGGGGAGGGTGGCGGTGGTGGTGCATAACTGATACCCTTGTGATTCAACATTTTGTGTATATGATTATTTTTCAACGTGAACACACACATCTTCTCCAGGGAATGAATAACGACTCAATGTGATAATGAAACATTTTGAAACTCCCATTGACTCTATCAGATAACGCAGGCGTCTGTATTGGACATGGACGGATGGTTTCCGTTTGGCAATGAAATACGTTATCTCGCTCTACAGTTGATTCTGTTCATGCCTGATAAGCCAGGCGCCAAGACCCAATGAGGGGAAATCAGCCTTCGAGATCCCTCGCGGTCTTGTTCCTCTTCATATCCTCTGAAGCTCATGTCCTGCATCGCCAGATCGACCCGGGCAGCTACAAGGGCTATTCAATTTCACTCCGCCGCGCCGTCTACCTTCCACACCCGAGTTGCCCAACCAAACCCGCTCTGCTTGCGACGAAACCAGACGGGCCTACAAACAACCCTCAAGATGTCCACCGCCACCTCTCTTGACCGCTACAAGCTGATCTTCTTCGTGCCTGTTGAGAATGCCGAGGCCTGCAAACAAGCCATCTTCGCAACCGGCGCGGGCTCGTTCCCTGGCGGCAAGTACACCAAGGTCTGTTTCCAGACCCGCGGCCAGGGCCAGTTTCTACCCAACGAGGGAGCCAACCCGGCGGTTGGAAATGTGGGAGAGGTCGAGCAGTGCGAGGAGTTCAAGGTTGAAATTATGTGTCTGGGGCGACCGGTGATGCTGGATGCCGTTCGGGAGCTGATCAAGGCCCATCCGTACGAGGAGGTCGCCTATGAAGTGTATCGAATGGAGAATGTATAGGGACGAGCTAGTTCCTGAAGTTTCAGTGTCAATCAAGCTAGTAGGAGTTCTTCATGTCGGGCTCTTTTGGGGAAATAGAAAATAGAGGTATTGTGACGGTCATGGTCATGGTCATGGTTATGGTGATAGATGGATGGATTGGGCGAGTGTAGGGGACCATGACCGTCGAATCGGCTATTCACATAGCCACTGGAGCAAATGTGATGAATGCTAAGTAGCATTTCAGCCGATTTCATGAAATGCCCGGTCATAGATGCAATTGAAGCGAGCTGAAGCGCAGCAACGGACGAAGCGCGAGGTGGTTGTCGGCGGGAGTAATCTGCCCACGCTGATTGGCTGGCCGCCCGCAAAACGTCTCTGCCAACTTCGATCCGCTCTTTCTCCCTCAAGTTCAGCTTCAATTCCCCCATTGACCCTCTCCCCCCCCACCTCTAATATCACCGTCCGTCATGGCCTTGAATTTCCTTCCCCGGGCCAGCCGGCTGCTGCGACCCGTCAACATCCCCCAGTTCAGATCCTTCTCCGTCGCTCCGCAACGGCTCAGCGACACCCTGCAGGTGGTACGTCTTTCCCATCCAAATCTCTTGAGACCACGCGCCTGCTCCGTACAAGCCGGGAACCCCGGAGATGCCCGAAACCAGATATGCTGATTATGAGGTTCTCAATCCAGCACCGCAACAAGCCCACCAATAACCCGTCTATCCCGTTCAAGTTTTCCGACCAGAACCTCAAGCTCGCCGATGAGATCCTTAAGCGCTACCCCCCTCAGTACAAGAAGGGCGCCGTCATGCCCCTGCTCGACCTTGGTCAGCGCCAGCATGGCTATACCAGCATCAGTGTTATGAACGAGGTTGCCCGGATGCTGGAGATGCCCCCAATGCGTGTCTACGAGGTCGCAACCTTCTACACCATGTACAACCGTGAGCCGGTTGGCAAATACTTTTTGCAGATCTGCACCACCGTAAGTGCACACAATCATTCCGCTTTCCCTGTATTCTATCTATTTGCTGGCATTGAGTTCCGCCATTGACCCACTACTCTCTAGACTCCCTGTCAACTTGGCGGCTGTGGCAGTGACGCCATCGTCAAGGCGATCAACGAGCACCTCGGAATCACCCCCGGCCACACTACCGAGGACGGCCTCTTCACCTACATCGAGGTCGAGTGTCTGGGTGCCTGTGTCAACGCCCCCATGGTCCAGATCAACGACGACTACTACGAGGACCTGACCCCGGAGACAATCAAGACCCTTCTCACTGCGCTCAAGGAGTCCGCTACCGCTACCGGCGTCAAGGTTCCCGCCCCCGGCCCGCTGACCGGTCGCCAGACCTGCGAGAACAGCGCCGGCCTGACCAACCTGCGCGATGTGCCGGAGTGGAACCCGGAGGTGATGATGCGCAAGGACGGCGCGCTGGACGAGCAGCCCCAGCAATAGAAGAGAGCGATACGAGCAAACCAAGCCGTGTTTTCAATAAGAAGCGTTTCCTTGTGATGGACTCGAGATCAAGGGATCAAATCGAGTTCCGTCGTTTATAATGGGAGGGTTCCAGCGGGTGACGGGCTTCCCGTTGCTTTGAAGGGATGCTACAGAAGAACCCCGGGCAGAATACCCGAGGAAAAAGAAAGACAACAAAAGGCATCTGACCCCAAATAGCCCTGCATGATTATCGTTTGGTTTTTCCCCCTCCCAGGGCGTCCCGTTTTGTTTTCTTTTTAAACCTTTCTATTCGATTTGCCAACCATGTACAGTACGTGGCTTCTAGTTCTAGTGAAATGAGGAGCTGGGAAGCAGATCCTTTCGAGTTGGTATCGGCACTAGGTGCAATGCAGATTCCTCTACTTTAAGCCGTGCAAGGGCGAACCCCGAGATTGCCTGTGATCATAGATCAGCTAGGATTATTTTCGAAGTAAGTAGCATTCCACATGGCCTGCAATGCTGGGCTGTTCATTGCATTGCCAGAGAACACGGTGCAGCGATGCGTCGGGGTTTGTCTAGCAGTTTGACATCAACTGGGTGAGAGCGTGTTTATTGAATGGTGCGTGGAAGCAAAGTGGCCTCACTCGAGGTGGTTCAGGGCTTGGTGCGTGCGTGTAGGAAAAGAAGAGAACCCATTCGGTCATGTGACCCTCATACAGACTTGGTGGTTGCGTGTTCAGCATATAATACGGGTCTCCTGGGTGCGTGGACTTACGCTCCTACACATCACTCTTACAAAGTACTTTGCAACCATATCATGAAGAAACAGCAGCAACACGAAATACAAATCACACTATGTTCAAACTCATATAGCCGTACAGCACTAAATCCTCTCTCCGAAATGAAAGCTCAGCTCTTATCTCACTATGTGTACAAACCCTATGGTGTCACCTATCCACTATGTACAAAACAATGTTGCCTCCGCCTCACTGCGCCCATGTCAGCGGCGGTCCTTCCAGAAGAAGATCCGCTGCTTGACGGGTGGCAGTGGGCACCACCACCAATCGATCATCCCGCTGGACAAGGAGTCCCCCGTGCCGGCCCTGGTAGATATTGACTTCCGCAGTCTGTGGAACAAGCATGTGGTAAACGTGTACGGACTTCTCCTGTCCGAAGCGGCGGACTCTCCCAATCGCCTGTGTCATGCCAGCCTCGTAGTCATGCTGAGTTGGCGCGTGCAATGGCGACAGAAAGATGACATGATTTGCGCACTGAAGATTTCTATGATGAGAGCAAAGCAGAGATTAGTTTTCTATTCAGATGAAATGACACACCGTCCTACTGACTCGAATACAGAAAAAGAGGATAACTTACAGCCCAGCCGCCATTGCACTTCCCAATTGCAGCATCAGGACCTTGGGCCGCGGCTTTGCGGCCGTGGGTTTGGTGAAGTCTCTGATCGCAGCTGGGTTGGTCTGCCGCGCCATGCGGTGGCTGATGTCGGCCGCAGCCAGGGCACGAGAGACGATCACCATCAGGTCTTCAAACTGGACGAACAGCAGTACATATTCGTCCTTTGCGATGCTATTGATCACATTGATCAGTTTGGTCATTTTGCTGCTTTGGGCAACGGAACCCCCATCTTCTGCTAAGATACCGCCATTGACTCGCTTGGTAAGAGTGGCGGGTCCTTTGCACCCCTCCACCGCGCAGGTTTGGTCCTCGGGGGGTTCTCGATGCAACCGGAGCACAATGCATGGCCACATGATCTGATGACGGTGATTGAATGGAGATCCGGGGTCTTCATCCTGCAGTTATCGCAGGAATGGTCTGTCTTCGTTTGTAGATCTTGCATTGCGGCATAGAAACGAATACCTCGGACAACTTCAAGCTTGGCATTGATTGACGCATTGAGCTCTTTGATTAGAGCCTTAATGACGGCAGTCTCTTTATATGCGCGCTCTTCGGGAGACTCGCCTTGAAAGTCCCTCAATCTTTTGCGAGGCTGCGACTCATCGTCATCTCCAGCATCATGCGCTCCAGACTCTGGTTGATCGTTGGCTGCAGGAGCATTGTTCTTGCGCACTTTCAGGGCAGACTTCGGCACTTTGATCTTGAGGAATCTATTGGCGACTTTCTGAAAAATGAGCTCATCGGCCTCCTCATCTACGTGCTGGCCGTGTTGCCCCAAGATGTTGTTCATGGCCTGGCGAGTGTCTTCTTCGAATGCCGCATCTCCGAAGCCCTTTTCGAAAACGGTATCCGTGAAAGTCTCCCAGTTTGCCTCCTCGACTTTTGAGCGACAGACTACATCAACTACCTGCTTAACCAAGAAAATCAGCTTGTCATGACGGTCCTTGAGCATAACATTGTGTGTCTTCAAGTGCTTCTGGCACTTGTCAAGACTCCATGCGAAGTCACTGATAGCAGTACTCGTGCAACACTTCAGCAGCGCTTCCTCCGGCGACTGACTTTTTGTCAAGAAATCATTGAGTTGGGAAACCTGGAGATCTTTCCCATCCTTGATGATCTTGCGCACCCGACCTTTGTCCTGAACGATTCGTTGATACAGTGCATTGTACAGATCTCGTTCCGAATTGCTCAGATTGGACAGAACGAGGTGAAATTCAACAGGAAGTTGACTGGTATCGGCGAAATTTTGACGCGCGAAACGATCAAGGAAGCTCTGTGCATGGGTGTGTCGGTTCTGGTACCATGAAGCACTGCGAGGCGGCTGGTACAGCTGAAACGCTTCCATGGCGGTCAAATTGCTCCGGGCTTTCTTCAGCCGGAGATTCCCACTTGGAACATCTCCATCCTCATCAATACCTAGGTGAACTTTGAGGTGCTGCGCAATAGTCTTGGCATCGGCGAAGTCATCCAGTGCCGGAGTGCCGGAGAGGATCCATCTGGAACGAGCGGAGATGGATAAGAGAGAGATGGTTCGGTCTGAAGCGAGCTGGTTCTGGTACGTGTACTCATCGATGACAATACGGTTGAAGCGGAAAGCGTGCAGCATTGGATATTTCATATTCTCCCATTTCGGGGGAAATGCATCATATTTAGGAATGTTGAAGGCTTTTCGGTCATTCCACTTATTTTGCGGTGGTTTCCTGGCCGGTTGCTTGCCACGCTTGCGCTTCCAATTATCGTCGCCAGTATCGGTGTCGTCCTTTCCATCAGCTCCGATCTGTGCTTTTTGCTTTCCAGTCCCTCGCTCGGCATTCTCGTCTCCAGGATTGAAATCATCATACTGCCTCAAGTTGCTGTTGTGGTCGTCGCTGTTGGTCCTCTCGTCCTCGCTTTCGTCCGTACTCCCCTCATTCTCAGAGGCATCGCTCCCGGGAAACTCATCAGAGAAATGCACTGAGTCCACAGTAGTGGGGTCCGTCAAAACAGACACTGCACGGTACTTCTTGAATGTTTCGGGAGAAGGAGAAAGACCAGTGCCATCTGGGGTTTGTTCGACAGAGGTACGGCGGAATTCAGGCGACATGCTTGGGACTTCAGGGTGCAGTTCACCAATTCCAATGTCTTCGTCTGTTTTTTCACGCGCAGCTGCCAATGCTGCACCGCGGAGTCGTCGGGAGGGCACATATGTTGAATTGGCCTGTGTACGCTTCAACTCGGCCCGTCTTGCGCGCACATTCTGCAAGAAATATTCCGGTCCTCTTCGTTTCAAGATATCAATTTGTTCTCGGAGAGACTGAAGCGCATCTTGAAACCAGTTGTCAAAGCACCGGCCTGGCTTATTCGGAAGTCTTGGGGCACCCGTGAAATACTGCATTGCTTTGTAGTAAGTCGGACTTCGGAAGAGGGAGAGGGAAACTAGAACTATGTCTGCTTGCTGAAACTGCTTGACATGGATCTTTTTCATCGCTGAAGCACCACTAATAGCAAGAACTGTGTATTTCGTTTCTCCAAGGAATTTGACAATCTCGTCTTTCCATTGCGAAAAGACATTCCCGGGTACGACGATCAGGGAGGCGTTCGTGGCAATCTGTCCTTGCTGTTCCGGGAGAGTTTTGGAGATCTCTGTGTCGTGCTGGTACTGTGCATCTATCAAGCCGAGAACAATGGCAGTCTTGCCATACCCAACTTCGTCGGCGATGAGACCGCCCCGGATTGTCTGGGGCTTTGTGGCCTTAACTTCGGCCCGCCAAGTCATCAAAGGCAACTCTGCTTCCTCTATCTCCTCCTCTATGAAAGGCAGAATGTTATCTGCTTCTTGTGCGATTAACCAGGTCAAGGATCGTAGCTGTTCAAGTCGGAGGGCATGGCGAAAGTTTGGGGGTTGGATGTGGGGGGTTTCATGCTGGTTGCTAAGCAGCGTGAATCTCGGAAGAGACGTTCGTCCCAGATCATATGCATTGGAGAGAAGTCGCCAATAAAAACGAGTATCCACATTGCTACCGGTTTCAGGAAGCTTACCGAACGCACGGTGTGCTAAGGATTGAATGTTTAGTGCAAAGCGCAGCTCGGCGTCGCCGGCCTCGTCGACCTTGCGCAGAAGAATGAATGGCGGCGGCTTCAGCTTGCTGGCGCGCTCGTATGTGGCAGCGCCTTTGGGATCTTCATACGGGACAACGATGTTTTTTTTGTTGCGGCCCCAAATGATACCTGGCACTTGGGGGTGGCAAACCTGACAGATGGCACTGTTCTTGAATGGCAATGGGAAGGGAAAGGCAATGCGCTTCCAATCTTCAAATGCTGCCCATGCCGAAATTCGCTGAATGGCCCAAGCGAGTTTTTTAAATTCTGTTGACGACTTGCCGAGATTCTCTGCTTGCCATGGTAGCTGTGTCTGTGGGAGATTCAGTCTGGCGGCCTGCGCGTTCATGGCAACCAGCGAAGTGTAAGAATGGTGACAATCCTTGATTTCGAGCCGTATTTGGTCCTCGAGGTTCAAGCTGCGGTACACGATCTGATCCGTTGTGCCCGGCTTCAAAATAGTATTGGGAACTTCAGTCCAAGCCCGATAGTAGGCATTGGCTTTTAAAGGTGTTGCGGTGACCATCTTCACTCGCCATCGGTGGGAGAGTTGGGCAATTGTTCTGCGGATGGTGTACCCAGGGAGTCGGGAATGCTCGAGTGCAAACACGTATGAGTCGTGAAGGGGCTCGCCAACAAGTCGAGGGTCGAAAAAGAAGTACACCGCGGGCGATGTCACTGTGGCTCTCTTTCGGTACAATGTTCCTAGGGCAGTGCCACAATCGGGGAGGAACTCATACATGCCGCAGATGTCGACATCGAGGTTTCTGATATGCTTATCATGGCCCGAAGACTCAATCTTCAACCAGGTCCATACCTTGTCGTCGGTGAAGATGGGATTCTGCAGTCCGATTCCGTTCTGGTAGGCCTTGGCTTCGGTACCACAACCAGAGATCCAGAGAGGGAACTCCGTACTGATCGGAGCAGAAACATGCCAGACACCATTCAGGAGGGAACCAGTCTCGGGGGTCATTCGGGCAATGGGTTTGGCCAATATCTCTCTTAACAGACATACTGCCGGGAAATGCTTGGAGACTTTGGTGAAGAGCAGCCACTGGAAGCTCTGCTTTGTGATATTCAAATGCAGGCTCGCGTGCTCGCCTTCGTATATGACAGTCCATGATTCCGCTCTCTTGATGTCGAAGAAACGGAACTCGTCGCTGAGGGCAGCCTGGACCGTAGCCATATACTCGCGCTGAGTATCAGCGTATAGTTCGGTTGCTGCGTCGAAGTAATGGTCATCTGCTGGGAAGGACTGAGGAATTTCATCGAAGTCTCTCACGGACAGACTAGACAGCGTGAGCCGCATGGGTAAGATGCCCTTCAGATAAGCGATGAATTCCAGTGGCTTACTCCGCCGGAGGAGTAGTTTGGTCGGGGATTCATATGCGTGCGTTGGATTGCCGGCGCAGGAACCGCATGCGCGGTGACCGCACAAGGCACATTGCCTGATATCGACTTTGACACCAGATTGCCGTTCACACAAGCAGTGACGGGCACTGCTCGCGGCGAACTGCAGAAGGTTCTGGTACTGATCGAGACTTGCAGGAGGTACCTCGACGTTCACGAGGATGAGGTGGTGGTCCTCATCGACTGCAAACGACGTCGTGTCGTCCACACTGGGATGCACATCGGCCGGTCTTGCTGCCCCTGAATCCAACAGTTCGTAACCCGCGATTAGGGCGGAAAGCATGGCAACGGCAACTGGAGTTGTGGTCATTGCGTTTCCCGCAAGGTCTTGGAGATCTCGTTGCGATTCTCGAGTCAGGATGATTCGGTCAAGCGGAAGCCCCTGCAAGGCTAGGGCTTCCAAGCCAGACACAGGACCCCCTCGAGTTGTCACGAACGGCATGCCCATTGGAGTCAGACAACCGGTGACTCCCCAGGTCCGAGGCGCCTCATTTCCGCGATCGACGCCCTGAGACAGATCGATCCAGCGCCTAGTTCAGTTCTACAGTCAGTTTTTCACTTCCCACTTCTCGATCATCTTGCTCGCAGATTCGCATTCGGATTTGGATCAACTAACTCACTCTTTGAAACAGAAGTCAAGGCCCCAGCTGCAATACAAGAGAAACTTGATGTCGATAGTCTCCCATACGCGCTCGACTTGCGCTGTGAAACTGTCTTGCCAGTAGAAATCAGGCGGCCGACAAACCACTCCTCCTCCCTGGGATCGGCTGATGGGACGTTGATTTCCCACCTCCACCTTGTCGCGGAAAGCCTGATGCCGCACCTGGTACAAGTCCCAGGGGACTTCTGCACGTGCCGCACCGGCTCGGATACGAGTCGCCAGATCTTTGGAGATCTGCTCCAGGCGGCGGTCATCATCGGCCAACAGGAACTGTCCGGCGGGTGAGCTAGCTCGTCTGGCGAACTGGTCGATCAACCCCTCGATGTGAGAGGTGATGCCAGTAATACTGTCGTCCGTACTCAAACCGTTCGCAGAAAGACGGCGACCGTCTATGCACACCATGTATCCTCGCATCCGGGTATGTGGGATATAATAGTCTTTGGTGTCCATGGTGGCATAGACGGTCCGGTAGTCGATCTGCTCCCACCTCTGGGCCATTACTCCCCAGGGAGCTCCATACACATTTTCCTGGACCATCAGGCGTGGTCGATATCTGTCTGCGTAGCACAGCAGAGCGTCAAATGTCTCGGTGGACTCGCCACCGGTTCCAAGCTCTTTCTTGCTGTTGTTCAGCGTCGAGAAATCGACACACGCTGTACCAGCGATCAGGATATCTACGTTGCCGGGAATCACTTCCGACGAACCGTAGGCCGTTCGACTGTAGCTAAGTCAGCGAGACGTGTTTTCTTTCGTTTTTCAATCAGGAACGAACTCAATAATACTTACGCAGTCTCTCCTCCAAGCTCTAGGAGGTCGCGAAAGAGGATCGGGGGCTCGAAGTTTCGTTCGATGTATGCTTGCTTGAACGGAACTATCTCACAGCTGAAGGCGTGTGAGAAACGGAAGCGCTGGCCATTTCCAAGGTCTGTTTCTGATATAGATTATTAGTGATGTGAAATCAAGGATAATTCGACAAAAAAGTCTTTTCCAAGTGACAAAAAACGCAGGGAGTAACATGACATGCCAGGACCAGAGGTTACATACCCTTCTGGATCATTTCCAGCGCGAGGATCGGGCTTTCCGTGCCCGAGCAAACGGTTGCCACACGAAGTGGCCGGTCTCCCAAGTGCCTCAAGACGTTGGCAAAGCCCAAGGACAGGGCCTTCGCCGAGAGGTCCTGAAAAATGTCCCCCAGCATGTACAAGGGCGGCAGGTTCTGGTCGAGACACCGGCTCAGAGTCACGCCCCAGGCCCGAAGCAACTCCGGGACCTCGGGACCATCATCTTTGCCGGCAACTGCAGCACCAGCCAGCACCAGCAGCTGGTTTGAGTTGATCTCCTCATCGGTCTTCCTCTTGGCGCCTTTGGCGCCGGACCGCTTCTTATCAGCGCGGGCCTTCTTGGCACCCGGCATCTGGGCAGCAGACTGCCATATATGTCAATAAAATTTCCAGCTTTATCAACTTGTTTTTCTTATTTTGAAACAAAACATACAACTTTCCGCAGCCAAAGCTGCAAAGACGCCCTTCAGGGCAAATCCAGGTCACGTGGGAAACTGGCACTAGAGGGTGGAGAGCGGAAGGCGGCAGGGGATGGCAGAAAATGGTGGCGGAGAGGAGTATCCGGGAGCGAGATTGTCCGAGGCCGTAATATGAATTTATAGTTGCTGTAGTGTGGTCTTGACCAACCACTTTGGGACAGTATTGGGGTTTAGAGTGCATCTTATGTGTACAAAATTGAGAGCACTAGGATTCTGCCTATCTTAGGCTGCGATCTTCTTTTGGAAACCAAGGCCAGTGCCTCTGAACCAGCAACACGCGCGCCCTGTTGCCTCCTAACATCTGTTGACAATAGCATGTTCATATAAAGATCCTATACATGAACATGTGATACATGAGACTATGTCAGTATTTTACAAGTAGAATCTTTGTGGCATAGATGGATATTAAATGTCCCTGGGCTGTCTCTAGAACGGTGAAGACAATGCACCAATACCACAATATTCACAGGGAAGCCAGATGCATCCAAAGTTTTTCATTTAGAGTGATAGAAGATAACATAGGATGGTTAAACTCATCATGCACATTATATGTATTAGGTCTTTCCAATAGAAATAGGGAGCAGAGACAAAAGAACGAAGGGCTTCTTGCATTCTATGCTGGCACCAGCAAACAGCAAGTGAAAAGTGAAAATCAATGATCATTTGTGTGAAGATTTGTTTGAAGAATAGAAGTACAGCTGGTTTGGAGCTAGTATGCAAAATAAGGCCCCTTGAAAAATTACTCCGTTGCGCCATTCGCCTTGGCAAGTACTATAGCACAGAAAAAAAATTGACCCAAGCCCAAGGACACACCCATCAGAATCCTATCTGGAGATATTGTAGGAAATTGAAAACTATAGCATCAAGCATGCGGGGCCCTTGTCACCACGGTTGACATTAGCGCATGCCGCCTTGCATCAGCTGCTGGCGCAGCAACATAATCTGACTGCGCTCAGTTGGCGGAAGAGCATCAATAGCAGATTGTGGCATGCTCAAGACTTGCTGGAGAAGCTCTTCTTGGCCGGCCACTTGTGGCTGTGCCGCCTGTGCGGTTGGAGGAGCAAAAGGGCCACCACCGACAGGTGGAGTGCCAACCTGACCTGGCATAGCTCCGTAAGGTTGGTATTGCGGGGCAGCTTGCTGATGGGTAACAGGCTGTGCAGCTTGTTCCACAATGGAGCCCAGCAATTGATACTCCACAAGGTTCATAAGTAGCAGAGCCTGGAAAATAGCATAGGCGAGTTGTGGTGCCTGGCGCAGCAGCTCTGTCGCGCGAGCCGGGTCGGCCACGGCGAGCTGTTTCATTTGTGTGAGGACATCGAGGAGCTGGCTTGGGGGAAGGGAGGCAAGAGTATGAGAGATGGCGTTGGGACAGTCGAGATGGGGAGGGATCTCGACGCCTGGTGGGAGTGGAGGAAGCGGAGCAGCACCCGGAATTTGTTGCATCTGCTGTACAGGGTCTTGATCCATAGGCTGGGTCTGTTGCGGGTAGTCTGCAGGAATAGAGTCTTTCTCATTGTTGTGGGGCCAGTCAACGCGAATCTTGCGGCCCATGATCTCGTAGTCATTCAGGTTGCGTACGGCAGAGGCCGCTGCGTCCGCATCGGCAAAGTCTGCGAATCCATATCCCTTGGGCTTTCCGGTCTCGGGGTTCATCATCAGTCGGAATTTGGTGACGGTACCGGCCGTACTGAGGATGTCTTTGACTTGCTCCTCGGTGAGATCTGCAGGTGGATTAGCATCGTGCGCAATAGTCAATCGACCCCAATCCTAATCTTAAGCTTGAAACTTACTGTAGGGAATATTCCCCAGGAACACGCTCTTTCCCGTGCGATCGGGCGCCATGGCTGTAATACCTGGCAGGTTGTTGATGGAGCTGCGTGGAAGATGAAAGCTGCTTGAAGGAGAGAAAGAAGTGAGGGATTCTGCCGGACTTTAGCTGACCGCTCACCACCTTGCCTTCATTCGACCTCCCGTCTTCATCCACCTCATCTTTGCACCCTCAACAACAGCTCTACATCATGTCTCAAAACCAACGGGAGGCTTGGGAGCGAGTGCAGCTCATGCTGCAGAAGCGCAAGGCTGGCTTTGGTGGAATTCCGGGTGGCGGTGGTCGCGGCGGCCTCGGTCTTGCCGGATCTCTAATCCTGCTCGGTGTTGGCAGCTGGGCCCTTTCGAACTCCCTCTTCAACGGTATATATTCATTTTCCCGGGTGCAGAAATATTCATATCTGATATAATGGCTTAGTTGATGGTGGTCATCGTGCGATCAAGTACTCGCGAGTAAGTGGTGTGCGGAAGGAAATCTACAGCGAAGGTATGGCCCAGATCAGCTCCCGGCTGCACGAAATCCAGTCAACTTATATTCGATTCGTCTAGGAACTCATCTCCGTATTCCCTGGCTCGAAACCCCAATTATTTACGATGTCCGCGCCAAGCCACGCAACATTGCCTCTTTGACCGGCACCAAGGATTTGCAGATGGTCAACATCACCTGTCGTGTGCTCTCTCGGCCCCGTGTCGACGCTCTCCCGCAGATCTACCGTACTCTTGGCCAAGACTTCGATGAGCGTGTGCTTCCTTCAATTGTGAACGAGGTGCTGAAGAGTGTCGTTGCTCAGTTCAATGCTAGTCAACTGATCACTCAGCGTGAGAACGTTGCCCGCCTGGTTCGGGAGAACCTGGCCCGTCGTGCCGCGCGCTTTAACATTGCCCTTGACGATGTTTCCCTGACTGTAAGGACTCCAATTTGAACAGTCGTGATAAAAATGTGCTAATCCCTCTTTCCCTCCGCCTACTATAGCACCTGACCTTCTCCCCCGAATTCACTGCTGCCGTGGAAGCCAAGCAGGTTGCCCAGCAGGATGCCCAGCGTGCTGCCTTCCTGGTTGATAAGGCCCGCCAAGAGAAGCAGGCCTTCATCGTGCGCGCCCAGGGTGAGGCCCGCTCGGCCGAGCTGATTGGTGATGCGATCAAGAAGAGCAAGAGCTACATTGAGCTGCGGAAGATCGAGAACGCTCGACAGATTGCGACAATCCTGCAGGAGAATGGTGGCCGCAACAAGCTTTACCTGGATAATCAGGGCTTGGGTCTGAACGTCAATGCTGGAAACGAGGAGGCCAAATAAATTATATTAATTGGGCGCCGGGGTTGAGGAAATATGTACAAATAGCTTTATTTTGGAGCATCCGAATGCGGTCTCTTCTCTTCCATTTTCATTCTATCCCTCTATTTCTCCATATAATCGTTTTATCGTAGATGAGGATAAAAAATCGGGTAGCGCACCTCCGTTCGCAGAGATATATTTCAACGCGGGGACGAAGGCGGCGAGCGGGGACTCACAACTTTTTTTTTGACCTTCCGCCTCCAAGAGGATCATCACCACAAATCAATCAAGGAACAGTGCCTTGGTAAGTATTTAAAAAGCACCTTCGAGACCAACGAATTATCCAGGATACACAGGGACTAAGATATTGTAGAGATACACCCAGAAATGGCGGACCCCACCACTGGCGACGCTCAAGTCCACCTGACGGACATTGACGTCGATCTAGACGTGCAAGAGATTCTCCTCGCAGCTTCGCAGCACGACATCCCTAAGCTCCGCCTGCTGTGCCGCACCCAATCGTCAGTACCTGATGCAGCGAATGTCAAAGATCCAGAAACCGGTTACTCGCCCCTCCATGCCGCCATTGCAGCGTGTGAGCCTGACGCGGACGAGCAGACAAATGGCGTGAACGGCACAGAGGCCAATGGTGATGCTGAGCCTAGCAATAACGAGCAGATGAAGGCTGGCGTGGATACCGTCAAATTTCTGCTGCAAGAAGGCGCGATCTGGAACGATCTTGATAACAACAATGAGACGCCCGGTTGTCTGGCGCGACGGATTAAGGCGCTGGAGATGTACGAGCTGATCGTCGATGCTGGTGTGCGCGCAGAATTGTTATTGAATCGATTGGATGCCTACGAGGAACTCTCTGAAGGCTCAGACGAGGAAGAGGGCGAAGGCGTAGAGAAGACAGACAACGAGCCGGAGACAGCACCAGAGCTCGTGGATGCATCCGCAGAACAACCCGCCGCAGCTGAATCATCGGGCGAGGCTAATCCAGGCGTGACAAATCGCGGTTACCTCGACTCTAACCTGAATATCGATCAAGATCGAATCCTTGACTCCGACCAAAACGGCGTGATGATGCGCTGGGAAAGCGACATTATGCTCAAATCGGCCAAGGCCCTTCTCCCACGGCCGGGCCTCAAGGTGCTGAATATTGGACATGGCATGGGCATTGTCGATACATTTTTCCAAGAACAGTCTCCGGCCTCACACCACATCATTGAAGCACACCCGTCTGTGCTCGCGGAAATGAAGAGCCGTGGATGGGACACCAAGCCTGGTGTGGTGATTCACGAGGGCCGGTGGCAGGATATCCTGCCTGGCCTAGTTGGACAAGGAGAGACTTTTGATGCGATTTACTACGACACCTTCGCGGAATCCTACGCGGACTTCCGCGACTTCTTCTCGGAACAGGTGATCGGGTTGCTGGAGCAAGACGGCAAATGGGGATTCTTCAATGGCATGGGCGCCGATCGACAGATCTCCTACGATGTCTACCAGAAGGTGGCAGAGATGGATCTCTTCGAGGCAGGCTTCGATGTCGACTGGGAGGAAATTCCCGTGCCCAAGCTGGAGGGCGAGTGGGAAGGCGTCCGCAGAGCCTATTGGGTCGTTGATAATTATCGGCTCCCGCTGTGTCGATTTATGGATTGAGAAAAGCCCTGGAGGGTAAAATACGTGATGCAAGATCAGATTCAAGAAATTAGTCGGAGGTTTAAATATGATGACGATGATGATCTATGACATGAAATCGATGTGTCGCCAAGGGCTGGAAATGGCTGGGCCGCTGCTCCAAATCGAAATTTCTCTATGTATTTTTTTTTCTCATGGAGATCGAGCTAGATTCTAGGGATATACGGGCGATGCAATTGATGGGTTTTCATCATGTATCTGCGAGTGCTAGCGGCGAGGCAAAATGAATTAACTTCTAAAAGACACACATATGTAACGCTTGGGAAATGCTATGCAAACAGAAAGAGGAAGGAAAAACTCTCAAAGTGACCAAATTCTCAAAGTGACCAGCCTCGTCTTAAAAACTGCAATGGTAGTGTTACAATTGGATTAGGTCAACCTCCGAGAAGTCAGGGGGGCTGCGGCTAAAGATCGTCCGACACTTGCCATCCAGCGCTTGGTATTCGTTACTGACCCAGATGTGCTTGCTAAATCGCTGTGTGCGGTAGACCTCGTCGTCGCTGATACCTAGGTCGTCTCGAGGGATCCAGATGACAGGCCTCTTGGCGCGGAGTGCTTCATGCTGGAACGCGCGCTGGACAAGCTGATCGCGTTCGTCAGGGGTGAGATCTTCAAGTTCATCGTGAATTCCTGCGAATAGGGCGTGACCCAGACTGTTGGTGGGTGGCCCTTGAGCCTCAGCGTCTCGTGCCATCTTTTCTCGTAGAACGTTGATGTTTGGATTGGAACTGGCCGGATTTATCCCGAAATACTTCGATTTTCGATTCGGAGAGCGATCGGCCCATGAAGGTCGTTTTTGATCAAGTTTCGGTGTAGATAGAAGACCCGAGTCATGGCGGTTTCGACGCTCACGGTCTGCTTCTATGGTCTTGAGCTCAATATCTCGTGTCTCCTGGCTTTGGCGGCGTTCATTATGTTCTTTGTTAGCGAGGCGCCTTTCAAGACCAATGTCGCCCTCGTTCTCATCCTCATCATCAACGGCGAGTCCGAGACGGGCATGTTGGGCACGGTGGAATTCTTTATCACGGCGAATCGCATCCTCTTCCAAGGTGATAGGAAGGTAACGTATAAGAGGACCAAATGCCTCATTCAAAAGGACTTGGTACCCAACAGTCAAGACAAGAACTACAACCATGCAGATGCCTTGGCCTTTGCAAGCCACATGGCCGTCTTGATCTTGGACAAGGAAAAACAATCCAATGAGACAGATTTCCATGACATAGAGGCCGGTGAACAGTTGGTTGATCGCGCGAGGGAAAAGAAGACCGCCAGTGTCAAAGCGAAATTTGGTAACGTATAGCGTGTTGTAACGGTAAACAAACCAGAAAAGGCCGAATGTGATAATATTAAACACTAGAATGAGTGGTGCAACAACACAGTAGATTAACCCTTTGAAGAAATTTTTAGTATGAGCCAACCACGTAAGATAGCAAGAAACATACCGATTGATGCCAAAGTTGTGTAAACGGGGAAGAATGTTCCCCACTGCATCTGATTCAGATTTGTTGTTCGAGCCCACTTCTTTCTGGCAGTGGAATCCATGATCGGTGCAAGGATAAACCAGCTAATTAAACCGAAGATTTGAACTAACGCACCAGCGCTCACAGACATAGCTTGCAGAATCATGTAGGAAAAGAAGTAGTTGCTTGACTTCGGAATATTCGAAGCCAACATCTCCGGCCAGCTAGTGACATTAGTAACATTCTCAATGATAGTCGAGAAACTAGAGGCAATGGTGACGACGAGGAAGAGCTGCACAAATAGGAAGGCGAAGTAATAATTTTGCACTGTCAACTCGATTGCCATTCCAGTGTGTAGGCCCTGAGTCCTGCTGAGGAAGCGGAGGATCAAAGGCAAAAGTGCCATCAGGATAGCCAAACAGAGAGCAGGCAAAATACCCTGAATAGCAGAAATAAACCATTCAGGAAGTTTGTTGAGCCAGGCAAGCCAGGTAAACGCTCCCTGTAGATACGAAAGTTGGGAAAGAAGACCGGTGAAGGCGACAGGGAATGCCCATCCAACCACCATTGCACAAACTAATGTGATGATGCCAAAAGTTCGAAGATAACGCTCCCACCATTTGAGTGACATGTTATCCCAGATAACGTCGTCAGGAGAGATCTCAACAATTCGAGGCGCCATCTGTTTTGGAATGTGGTGGGCGACAGATTGACAGGCCATATGGGCAGCCACCTGGTGGTTGAATTGGACAAAGGCCGAATTCATCAAGGGAAATCGTTCCGGATGCTGCTGGTCAACCTCGATCTCCAAGTTCAACCGAGCCAGCTCTCTGCGACAATAATCAATAGTGTCGACCTTTTTGCCGATGAGCCACAGTGAAGGCATCCACTTCCAGCCAAATATTGGGAGACGATGAGTATCCCGGTCCTTTTGGCGGATGTAATGTTTCCACATTGGTTCTCCGTAATCCTCGTTATCAAAGTTCTCATTGTAGGCAATCGGGTATTCTTCTCCTTCAACATCGTCGCCTTCTTTGAGGTTCTTCCGATTCGGGGAGGACTTCTTATTGTCATCTTTGGACTTTGCCGTCGCCCGACGCGGTTCATCAGTCACATGAGAGTCTGGTGCAGTGAGGGGATATTCATCTGCCTCGGGTACAGATTTCTTTGAATGTGCGGATAGATGGGATGAGACGCGATGCTTCCATGAAGGTCGCTTGGGAGGGGTTGGTACTTGATCTTGGCATATGGTATCTTCAACCCGAGTTTCAGGTGGATGAGGCTTCGCCATAGGTGGAATAGATGCAACTGCTATGGGGATATCGGCATCATCTCCAGGAGGCATTGTTGCACGAGGCGGTAAGCCTTCGTCTGTTGTTGCAACATAACCACCATTCCGACTTAAGGTTGTATCAAAACCATTCTCAACCTTCTTTAAGCCACCCAGAACCGTCTTACCCAGTTTGCCCACACCTTGTCCAACCACACCCGCAGCTGCAAGAGCGGGATCAAAGACTCTTCCGCCCGGCCTTGAGCCATCGGAAATGTTTCTAGAATGTGTTTCGGATTGTTCATGCAGAACCTCACGTATTGTATGCGCCTGATGAGGATCGCCGGAACTAACTCCAGGTCCCAGTGCTATCTGGGAGGCTCGGTTGTCTGTGCCTACTTTCTCTCGATCCTTAGAGCTGGTCTTGCTTTTGCTTTTCCCGGCCTTCTTTTCTGCGGCTTTGGCTTTCTTCAAACCTGCTTTTTTGCATTTGACAATGAGTTCTGTCTGCGCAGATTCAAGCCTGAGGGCGATTTCATTCCGCTCTTTGACTTTTTCGTTTAAATCGTCGAAATTTCGATTGATCCAGATATTTCGAATACCACCGGGGAAGACATCAAAAAGGGAATCGAGAGCTTCAATGGTGAGCCAACTGCGCGGTATGGCGGTAACTAGTACCGTTGTTGCAGAGGCGCGCAGGCGATGCTGCGGCGATGTCATATATGCCTGCCGTAAGCGGATGTAGCCTCGCAGTTCATCAAAGAAGATAGCACAGACGTAGAAAACAACAACTAATGCCATGATGAGGTGTGCCCAATACCGACTTGTATGCTCTGGTTTAACGTTACCCCAGGCTAGCTGATCTAAGCCGCTAACGTTGAATTGTTCGCCACTCGACCCATTCTTGAATGTTTTCCCTCTTCCCCCACGCGGTTTAGAGGGATCAGCACAGGTAAAATGAGCAACCCGAGTGGAACGAAGATCTTAAGTAACATGCGCAGGTAACGTAGAAAGAAGTATGCATCCAAGCCGCATTTCTGGATAAACTCCGTATTGGAAGTTTGGAAGACTGGGCCGATCCAACGAAAAAGGCCCGGAGGAGAAGGTTTGGTGCGTTCTCGGTCTGGTACTAGATAGGTTCGCGGTTGACTAAATCACAACTGTTATCAGCTTCATTTATTTCGCCTTCCTTGAACCGAGAGAAGGATGACCCACTAGATGCGCGTCAACTTGCCCTTCAGCAAAATAAAAAGAAGAAATTCAACGGCGAAGACAATGATAGCCGTCGCCAGCGAGGCCACAAAGGTCTTGAGCGAGACACCCTCGGCCGTTTGGCCATGGCCGCCCGTATGTTCCAAGGCCTGCTCCAACCCTGAAGTCATGGTGAAGATCAGCAATCGATCTGGGGCCGAACTGTGACCAGCCGAGAATCACGTCGATCTGAGAGAATGATGAAGATTAAGGAAAATTAAAGATCGTCAGGCGTCCATACAAGACCCCTGGAGATCTCCCTTGCAGATATCTGCAAGCTCAAGTCGTGGAGGGCAGAAATCTGGATGCGCAGAACATATCCGAAGGGAAAATGAAGACGAGAAAGAACGATCGCAATGGGTTGCGAGCTAAACTCAGAAGACGCAAAAAGAAGGGTCATCAACAAAGGCGATCGCCGGTGGAGAGACTTCTCCACAAGACAAGTTTTCGGGGGGTCGCACAATGACTGCAGTGGCTGGTGTTTGGGCAGGCGCCCAAGGAATTGACAGTTCCCCGCGGATACGTTCAGCAGGGATGATTGGAGGGATCGTGGATATGCCGATCGTCCTGTGGAATGACATCAGGGGTCTGGTGAAACAGCCAAGCCAGTGCTGGGCGGCTCCAGGGAAATTGCGTAGAAACCAGGCTGTTTTGTTCGCTTCTATCGGAGCAGCTGAATGAGAAATCGACAGTTGAGCGATCCCTTTTCGAGAACGGCCTGTAAGCGAGAGCCAAACGTATCTCCCCAAGAAACCGCGACCGAACTAAACGACCCCTAAACTCCACTAAACATGATGAGCGCCACGGTAAACAGTCTTGAAAGGGGAGGAAGTGGGTCAAGCCTCCTTGGAGGTGGCGGTGCGCGGCAGGGTCCGTCAAGTGGAGTGAGACCCTTGAAGCTCACGTGACAGCGACAGACTGGAAGATCACATGACGCTGATTCCTCAGACGTGTCATGTGACGACCCATGAGGCCAGACACGCTTGCCCAAAGGGGAAACCACTTAACGCGTCGGTCGCGTTGATCGCGCGTCCCGAGAAAAAGTGCGTTTGCTCTCCCTTTCTCCAAACACTGCCATCGCCAGTCTCTATCTCACGCCTCCGCCCACCACCTCCCCCGATCCCGAATTTTCGGCCCTTCCCCCATCCACCTCCCCTATAATACAACTACACACATAATGTCTTCTCCGGCTAGCCGGAGGACTCGTGCCTCCAATAAATCGACAGCCTCGCCAGCGTCATCCCTGGCCCGGCAGCCGCCCAGCAGCCCGACTCAGGCCACCCCCCGCGCTGCCCGTCGTCTTGCGGCCGAAGGAAATGTCCCATCATCATCACCAATGCACTTCCAATCGTCTCCCACTCGAGGCAACTTAAGCCAGGAAACCCCTGATGTTCGTATGGCGGAAGGTAGCTCAGTCGCTGATGATGGCGACCGAACTCCGCGGGCGCAGAATGCAGGCATTCGAGGTATGTTGATGCAAATATTTTGTTCCCTCGGCAGACAATGAGTTCAAGGCGATACTAACTTCATATCATAGACTCATCTCCGATTAACTACATCCCTAGCTCCAGTCCAACTCGTGGCTTTGGGCGCACAGATATCCGCTCCGATCTTCGTTCCGATGCCTTGAGCATGAGCAGTGGGGGGCTGTTCGTCTCACCTGGTCAAGGCCGTCGCACAGCGCCTGTCCGTAGCGACCTTAACTCGGGCGGGTTCACTCCATCGCGTCGAGGCCGTATGTTCGTGGATTCGAATGGGCGGACCACTAGAGCCGACATGCCTCCTTCAGACGCCACTTTCTCCAATATCAACCCAGGAACCTCCGAGGCGGAAGCCCTCAGTGGAAACAGCCAGCGGGTCATCTGGGGTACGAATATTGCGGTCCAGGATGCGATGTCCGCTTTCAAAAACTTTCTTTACCACTTCGCTACAAAATACCGCCTCTGGGCAGATGGTGCAACCGAAGAGGAAACTCGGGCATTGGGTCAGGATGCTGAAAAACGCGAATACGTCAAATTGTTGAATGATATGCGCCGACTCGGATTGAAAACTTTCAACCTCGATTGCCGAAACCTCAAGTCCTATCCCTTGACCCAGAAGTTGTGGTACCAGCTCATTCAGTATCCCCAAGAAATCGTCCCGGTGATGGACCAGGCAGTCAAGGATGTAATGGTCGACTTGGCACTGAAAGAGATGGATCTCATGCGTTCCGAGATCCAGCGTGGAAACAGACGCGCCCAGTCTATTCTCACCTCTGATGGTGTCCTTCCCACTGGAGATGTCCCGGACCTAGTCGGAGAGGTTGAAGCCTCGCACTACAAAGTCCTGCCATTTGGTCTGGATAAATCAGTGAACATGAGAGATCTTGACCCGGCCGATATGGACCACCTTGTCAGCATCAAGGGCTTGGTCATCCGGACAACTCCCGTCATTCCCGATATGAAGAAGGCATTCTTCCGCTGCTCTGTTTGCACCTACGGTGTTGAGGTTGACATTGATCGTGGCCGTATCTCCGAACCCACTACCTGCCCTCGTGATAGCTGCAAGTCCAATAACGCCATGCAGCTGGTTCACAATCGTTGCATGTTTACCGACAAGCAAGTAATCAAACTCCAGGAAACTCCGGACAATGTTCCTGATGGCCAGACACCTCACTCTGTCTCCCTTTGTGTTTATGATGAATTGGTTGACATTTGTAAGGCCGGTGACCGCGTCGAAGTGACCGGTATGTTCCGTTCCAACCCAGTGCGCGTGAATCCTCGCCAGCGCTCCCAGAAGACTCTTTTCAAGACATACATCGATGTGCTACACGTCCAGAAAGTCGACCGCAAAAAAATGGGCATCGATCTGTCTACCGTTGAGCAGGAGATGGCCGAGCAGGCTGCCGAGGCCGACCAAGCTCGCAAGATCTCGGCTGAGGAGGAGGAGAAGATCAAACTCACTTCCACCCGCCCAGATGTTTATGATTTGTTGGCACGTTCGTTGGCCCCCAGCCTTTACGAGATGGATGATGTGAAGAAGGGTATTCTGTTGCAGCTCTTCGGCGGCACCAACAAAACTTTCCAGAAGGGTGGTAACCCCCGGTATCGTGGTGATATCAACATTCTTCTCTGTGGTGACCCGTCGACCGCTAAGTCCCAGCTACTGCGCTATGTCCACAAAATTGCTCCTCGTGGTGTGTACACCAGCGGCAAGGGTTCGTCCGCCGTCGGTTTGACGGCCTATGTGACCCGTGATCCAGAGACAAAGCAGATGGTGCTCGAATCAGGTGCTTTGGTCCTGTCTGACGGCGGTACGTGCTGTATCGATGAGTTCGACAAGATGAACGAGGCCACTCGCTCTGTCCTCCACGAAGTGATGGAGCAGCAGACGGTATCTGTTGCCAAGGCCGGCATTATCACCACCCTCAACGCCCGCACGTCCATTCTCGCATCTGCCAACCCCATCGGCAGTCGCTATAACCCCAAGCTCCCTGTTCCCCAAAACATTGACCTACCGCCGACGCTACTCTCGCGTTTTGATCTGGTCTATCTGGTTTTGGACCGTGCAGATGAGACAGAGGACCGTCGGTTGGCCAAGCACTTGGTTGGCATGTACCTGGAGGATACCCCGGAGAATGCCAGCTCTTCGGAAGTCCTGGTAAGAAATTTCCTTTCTTCTTCTCACTCTTCAACATTATTCTAACTTGGTCATCTTCTCTCGGTTTAGCCCATTGAGTTCCTAACTGCATACATCACCTATGCCAAGACACAGATCCACCCTGTGCTAACCGAAGAGGCCGGCGCCGCCCTGACTGAGGCTTACGTCGCAATGCGACAACTCGGCGACGATATCCGTGCCCAGGAGCGCCGGATCACCGCCACCACCCGTCAACTGGAGTCCATGATCCGTCTCTCCGAGGCACACGCCCGCATGCGCCTGTCCTCCGAGGTCACCGCCGCCGACGTCGAAGAAGCCGTGCGCCTGATCCGCTCCGCGATCAAGCAAGCCGCTACAGACGCGCGCACCGGTCTGATTGACATGGGTCTGTTGACCGAGGGTACCAGCGCTAGCGAGCGACGCCTGCGCGAGGATCTGAAGCGTGCTGTGCTGGCGCGCCTGGATGAGCGGGGCGGGGTGGGCGGCGCCGCCGTGCGCTGGGGTGACCTGTACCGGGACATGAGCGAGAGCAGTGATGTGCCGCTGGACCATAACCAGTTTGGTGACGCGGTGCGGTCGCTCGAGGCCGAGGGTGCAGTGCATGTTGCCGGTGAAGGAGCGCGCCGGAGTATCCGTCGGGCTGCCGTCGGTCTGTCCTAGACGTGCCAGAGTGTTGTTGCATGGACAACATCTATGAGCAATGAGAATGAGAGCGAAAGATCGAGATATCGAAAGGGAGTCGAGTATGTTCATGGGATTGGTACGATTCTCTACATAACGCCATGATTTGTTGCTGTGCGATCTTTGATTTCTTGTTTCCTTTTTTTCTTTTTTTTTTTTTTCCCCCTTCTTGTTCTTTTCCCTTGCTGCTTCTGGGGTTTTCTTTTGCTCCCCTTCCCACGATGTCAATGATCGGTCGGGTATGCATATAGCATGTGTCTTGCCGCGGCTCGCCGGTGTTAGTGATGGCGTTGAGGGATGACTTTAGGCATTTTGTTAACTACGATATCTCGATTACCACTATCATACCTACCATTTCACCCGTCTACCACCTTTTAATCTCTTCCCTGTTCTCCCCTAGAAGTAGATAGTACTCGGTAGACATGACCGGGCAAGACCCGACAGCAAGTATGCTTCGTCAATATCGATTGCTTCGCTTCCTGCTTTCAAATCGTTCTTTTCCACCTTTCCCACCTTTTTCATCGTTTTTTTCCCCTTCTATTGCGTGTCAACGTGTCGCGTGAGGGCCTTCCTTATGCGGCAACCGATCAGCCGCCACGTTTTGGAGCTTATTTCGGCTGACGGCAGGGCCGACACGAGGCGTCACAGGCGCTCATGAGAGGCCTATCAGGGAAAGTGTGGGCAGGGCATTCTTGGGTCCAGAGGGTCAAAGGACAGGATCGATGGAGTCGTGCTGCTTGCTTGTTGTTAGCCTGGCCACCATGGTCCCCACTCGCCCGTCGGCTGTTCGCTCTCCCAGCGCGGGCGAGGTGGAGGTTGGTGGAGCCCGAGTCAAACCGACGGGTTCGGTCCGGTGTCTCACTAGGACCACTGCTCGAGTTGGAAATATTGTATTTGAGAGGGTTTTAGGCAACGATCGGGGGACAGAGCACACACATACACACACAAGAGAGAGAGAGAGAGACAGAAAATCAAAGACAGGCTGGGCTGCACTGCTGGTGACCTGAACTCGGAATTGACCACACAGTTTGTGGGTATCCCGCATGGGAGTCTCTGGGCTTCTATGCACTTGGTCGTGGCGGCCCATTCCACATTTCCTACGGGGACGGGACCAGACTCCGCCGGCAGTTGTCCCATTCCCATCGACGAATGGAATCTCCCGCCATGCACTGTTCTTTCAGTACCGAGGACTTATGATCCATCAGCGTCTCCATTTGACTGCATCGTCGGAGGGATGGGGCGGCGTCAGTTGTGCGTTGTGCCACCTGGGCGGCATCCAGGCCACGCTTCGATGGGAGGTGCAGAGTGCCGTGCATGCCGAGCCTGATCGGTACCCTGGTCGATAAAAGCCGTCCGATAGGGGAGGCTCGTGCATACCAAGCCTGGTACCGGGCCGCTGGGAGTATACGAGGTACCTGGGGGTGTGGGCTCGGCAGTTCTCTGTCCACCGGTTTGTTCTGCGGCATGAGCCCAGACGATGGAGCCTCGCTCCATCATGGCTCAATTGAGAGTCCTGACGGTGGTCATGCTAGTGCGGAGGACGTAACCAAGTAACCGAGTCAATTGAGGCACGCAGAAGGCGGCAAACCGGAGACTCGACGAGACTCGCCGCTTCCCCAGCACCGCGCGGCTGCTGATTGGCTGCGCGGCGCAGCAGCGGTTTTAGTTGGGCACGTGCGCCGCTGACTGGCGATGGCGTGTGCTGAGTCAGCCGCGACTCCGTTGCTTGGCGCGGGCGGCAGCCAATCAGCGCCGCGCTGAAGACTGCGAAGCTCCGGAGCAGATCAAGTCCCCCGAAGGTGACAGGGTGACACAGAAGACACAGTCAAAAATCCAGACGGGCACCGGTTGTGACACAGGGGAAGAAGTTAATCCCTGAATTCCTTAATTCCTTAATTCCCCGAAGAGCAGAGGGGTCTGCGGAGTATTGGCGGTAGAGGCGACCTTCAATACAGGAGAGTGCAGGCGGCGTACTTGGAATACGGCAGCTGAAAATGGGTCCAGACGGTCGCATCAAGCGGGTCCTCCGCCTAAACTGTTCTCGGGGCGATAGAGCACCCGCCGAGCACCCGCCTCAACGCTCTCTCTCTCGCTCGCTTCGTTCGAGTTCCTGGATTTTTCCTCTCTCGCTTCATGCTTGGTTGAACCTGTTTCTGCGCCCTGCTGTCCCTGGACTCCGTGGCCCATCATGAGGTATGCTATCCCCATTGAATTCATCCCCAGGTCGACTCTGCTGCCGACAACCTCCCCGTCCCCAGCGCTTCGGGTGTCGAGACCCCTACCGAGCTCGTGGTGGCTCCAATGCCCACCCCGCATAACGCTTGCACTCTCCCCACCTCCCAGACCGTATGGCTAACCGTTCGTTCTGCTGCGATCTTCAGGTTCGGTGAGCATCTTCGCTCCTCGATGATCAAGGAGTACCATCCTTACTACATCGCCTACGACGAGCTCAAGAAGTCTCTCAAGACCAACTTTATCACCCAGCCGACCCCGGAGAACCCCAAGCCCGACCGGGAGGAATGGACCGAGGACGATGAGCGAAAGTTCGTCACGTTGCTCGAGAGTGAGCTGGAGAAAGTTTTCCTCTTCCAGAAGCGCAAGTCCGAAGAGATCGTCGGCCGCATTCAAGCCAGTGAGGTCGACGTCAATGACGTGGTCGCGCGTCTTGAGAATGTGACTGGCGCGCGCCGCCAGAGCATGCACCCGGCCCAACCGCCTCCCACCGACGACGACTTCCTCCTGTTGGAGCAGGTCCTCTCCGACATCATCGCCGATGTGCATGACCTGGCCAAGTTCACCCAATTGAACTATACCGGGTTCCAGAAGATCATCAAAAAACATGACGTATGTTTCCCACCCGGCTGCCTCTATACAGTCTTTCCAAGTCCACGACAGTCCCCCAGGTCCTCCGCGACGGGATGCATATCGAATCATATCGGAGCAAGATCACTAACATATCAATAGAAACAAACCAAATGGTATTTGAAGCCCGTCTTCGCCGCTCGTCTGAATGCCAAGCCCTTCTTCAAGGATAACTACGATGCCTTTGTGGTCAAGCTCTCCAAGCTCTATGATTTGGTCCGTACCAAGGGGAACCCGGTCAAGGGCGACTCCGCCGCCGGTGGTACGCAGCAGAACTTTGTCCGCCAGACCACCAAATACTGGGTCCATCGCGATAACATCACCGAGCTGAAGCTGGTCATCCTCAAGCACCTACCCGTCCTGGTTTTCAATGCCAGCAAGGAATTCGAAGAGAAAGACACCGCCATCTCCTCCATCTATTATGATAACCCCGATACCTGGGAACTCTACCAGGGTCGACTGAAGAAGACCGAGGGGGCCGAAGCGATCCGTCTGCGCTGGTATGGAGGCATGGAGAGCGATCAGATCTTCGTGGAGCGGAAGACGCACCGGGAAGATTGGACTGGTGAGAAGTCGGTCAAGGCCCGATTCGCGCTCAAGGAGAAGAACGTTAATGCCTTTCTGGATGGGCGCATGACCGTCGACCAGGTCTTTGACAAGATGCGCAAGGAGGGCAAGAAGAGCCCGACCGAGATCGATGATCTGGAACAACTCGCCCGGGAGATCCAGTACCGTGTGATCACCCGCCGCCTCGTTCCCGTCACTCGCACTTTCTACCACCGGACCGCGTTCCAGCTGCCTGGTGACGCCCGTGTGCGGATCTCGCTTGACACTGAACTGACCATGATCCGCGAGGATAACCTGGATGGCCGCCGCCGTGCGGGCAGCAACTGGCGTCGCATGGACATCGGTGTTGACTTCCCCTTCTCGCAACTGCCCCCCGAAGATATCGACCGCTTCCCTTACGCCGTGTTGGAGGTCAAACTGCAGACCCAGGCTGGTCAGGAGCCGCCGCAGTGGATTCGTGATCTCACAGCGAGCCACCTGGTCGAGGCGGTGCCCAAATTCAGTAAATTCATCCACGGCACGGCCACTCTCTTCCCCACTCGTATCAACCTGCTGCCCTTCTGGTACCCTCAGATGGACACCGACATCCGCAAGCCGGTGAACGCCCGTTACGGTATTCAGCGCCCGCTGGCGAGCACCTCGCTTTCCGCCAATGATGAAGACTCAGACGATGACGAAACTCCCCAGGCCGAGAACAGCCACTCCAATGGGCTGGCCTATGAGATCACCGACGACGGATATCTCTTCACTGAGACGAATGGCAACGAGCTGGACATCGAAGAGCGCATTGCCGCTCAGCCAATCCCCGGCGACGAAGACTACCCGCTGTACGACTCGGATGATGACGACACCGTTGACTCGGATGAACTCGAAGAAGCCCGTCGCGTCGGCGGCGCCTATTATGCCGAGCAACTGGCCAAGTATTACATCCGCAAGACCGGGGGGGCCATTGCCCATGGCCTATGGGCCCTCATCCCCCGACCTCGACCAACCTCCATGCCACCACCCGAACAGCGCGGCATTCAAGTGCTCGGCACGCAGCGCACGCTGAAGCGCTTCCAGGCCCCCGCCGGCAAGCGCATCTTCGTGCCGGTGCGTGTCGAACCGAAGGTGTACTTCGCCGCGGAGCGCACGTTCCTCTCCTGGCTGGAGTTCAGCATCATCCTCGGAGGCATTGCGGCCACGCTGCTTAATTTCGGATTCGACTCTGTCACGCTCGCATCCGCATGGGCCTTTACCATTCTCGCCGCTGTCGCGCTGGTCTACAGTCTGATGCTGTATATGTGGCGTGTGGATAAGATCCGCAAGCGCCGCGATGTCAAGCGCGTCTACTATGAGAAGTGGGGGCCCACGGTTGTCAGTGTCGGCCTGGTCGTAGTTGTGTTGGTGAACTTTGGCTTACGAGTCCGCGCGGGTGGCTTCATGGCTGGCAAGGTCCCGCTGGATGGGCGGCCCAGACATGGTGATGAGCTGTAAAAGTTGTTTTGCCATCTCTTTGTGGAAGCGGGGAGAGTTTGGATGAATGTGGGTGAAGAGTGAATTGGATGTCATTTTGTTCGCGATGATAGTCTGCTCAGGTGCTATGTTGCTGAGTGATATGACGTGCCGAAATGATCCTTTTGTATCTATCATGGCGTTGTATTCTTTTTTTTATCTCTCTTGCTTGGGAGCTCGTGGCGTTGGCGTTGATGTACAGACAAGCTGCGTCTCTGAATATATGACGATTTGCATGCACTCGATCCTATATCTCACCCTCCGTAGCTCATCGGATCCTTCCAGTGCCTCCTCCTTTCGTTCCCTGACCTCTTTGCTCTTCGTCTCCCGCTCTCCATATCCTCGTTTCTTCATCACTCCTTCAACCTCCATATCTCTTGCCCTTCCCTCTCCGCATGAACCCCCATTCTATCGTTCTCAAATAACAGCCTCGAAGCTACCTACACGAACCAAAGAGGACTACACCAATACCCCACTACTAATTGCCCAGCCTAGTGGTTGAACAGAAGAAATAGTGGCGGTAATGATGGCTGGAGTATTGCAGGAGGAAGGAAAAGTAGTAGTGGTAGTAGTGAGAGGCGTGGCACCCTTGGACGTAACATAGAAGTCATCCATAATGCGGAATACGTAAATGAGAGAGAATAAATGTGGGTGTGTGAGAGAGAGACCACTACGAATGAATATCTATATTCTGGGACTATTTGAAATATAATCAACATTATCTTAATTTTTGTTTCTTTAGACACAACGCAATAGTATTGATAGTATCAGTAACGAGAGTACCAACAGAAGTCATAGCATCAGGAGGACGAATAGAAGGACGGGACTACGAGGTGCAGAATATTTCGAGAATGAACTGCAAGGCCTATGTGGCCGTCACCAGAAGTTCAATAGCCAGGAACCACGGGCAATGAAGATAGAACACACACACACACACACACACACACACACACACATTTTCTCTATCTCTCTTTATCTCTCTCTTACCTCCAGATTTCCGGATTGCCTCATCTCTTCCTAACCCCACATTCATCTTCACTTGCCCTTGATTGCCATTTTTGTTATGGAGACTGCAGATCCTACCTCCTTGTCACGCCCACAGAAGACTTCCCTCGCTACTCCATCTAAGCGTCGGAATGTATATCCGCCTACCGATACAGAACTCCCGCGTTCCCTCCGGTGGAAACGACGAGTGAGGACCAAGTCTGGGACGTTTACGCCAGTGGGAACCCCCAACACTCCCTCCAGCTCCGGATCCAACCATGAGACCATCTGGATTCATGAGAACCCGAGTCAGAGTCCAATCGAGTATGTGATCCACCCTGGAGCTCAGCGTGGGCAGGAGATTTGACTAAAGATACCGATGTCCCAGGTCAGAGAAAGGGTATTCCGAGATATTTACGTCCCAGGTCTTACCAGCCCGCTTAAAGAAAGCCCGTCAAAGCTCTACTCCCCAGCTCAAACCGAGCCTGCTACAAGGGAGTGACTTCCACAAAGCTGAGCCTGTTAATCTTAAATGGGATCAAGCTGCACTCCGCGCTGAGTGGGACGAACAGAAGACGATCAACACCAAGCTACGGGAGCACGCAGAGACATTGAAGAAGCATATCGAGGAAGTTGAATCCATGAATAACCATCTTCGTGCAGTGCTGTCGGGAACCCGGGCCCAGAAGGGAGATTGAAAAGAAGCTAGAGACCTTGAAGACGAAAGTGGAGGAGTTAAAGAGGAGAGTGGACGAAAGGGAGAAAAAGCAGGGCGCGGCAACCACGAAGGTCAACATACTGAAACAGAACGTCGTCAACTTTGGAAATCAAATGGATTTCTTGGATGGATTACGAGATTGTCTAATGACCTTGGCCAGGCGTGAATGGACTCGATCGGAGTCACGGTGGCATCCTCGAGCTCAGAAGACGTCACCGGCCGAGCACCTTTTTGACTAAACACCATGACTCTAGATTGAATAGGAGATTTTTTGCACGGAAAAATTGATGCCTGGTTCAAGAACTGAATTTGCATGCTGAGGAGGGATCATGAGGAGCGTGTCGTCGAAGAGCGAAACGTCTCCGGCTGTGTGCTGCAGAAAGGGTTTGCTTGCTGCTCTAGTTTGTGTTGCAAAATATCAGGAATCTAATTTTTAATGAGAATTCACTTTTTTTCTCCCGCAGAACTAGATTGGTTGTACCAGAGCTGCTTTTGACGTTCTGTGAAGTACGAGGTGCCAATAATGTTCGGTGGCTTCACAGATATACAGAGATAAGAAGGCAGCACGTTGCACGAGGATGGCAGAGGGGACCTAATTTAATTTTCGGATTTAAACAACTGAATGATCAGTGGGTCTCATAGAAGGAGCGTCCATGGCCATCTCAAAGGACTTGGGAATGGGCCTGAACACCCAGCACAAGGGCCGCACTACACCCCAAACAAATACCATCACCTCAGACTTCCTGTTTGAAAAAACATGTAGAATTCCCTGCCTGTGAAACTCATGTGTATCCTCCACGGCGCCAGGATGAGGAAAGCCCTCTTAGCAAATGTGAATGTCAGATGCTTCTCGGTTCATGATCGGAGAAAGCTACTTCTGTTTCTCTGGAGAGGGAGTTCACTGTGAGTAAATCGTAACCCTCGCAAGGCTGTGAAGCTCTAGAACCCTGGACTTACTGTAGTGATCCCGGATCATCTCCTCCATCTGGACGAAAACCTCAATGTTTGATTGCTGGCGGTCAATCTGCATTTGCAGAGACTCCAGCTTGGATTTCACAGCCTGCATCTGACTCTTTTCTTTACGGAGCTCAGCCTCTAGCAGGGCTCTCTCAGACTCGAGCTTGCTCATTGAGTTCTCCAACTTGGAAATTCTGTTTCCAGATTTCTCTTTCAGTCACTTGGTGCAGGCGTAGATGGTTGGATATGGTGCTTACCTGGCCTCTCGGGCTTTCTTACGGTTCTCCAGTTTGGTGGCGCTGGGTTTCTTCTGATCGGCCATTGGGAATAGTGATCAAGTGGCAGCAGGGGCTGAAGTTTGTTGACAAGAGTGGGTTTGAGTATTGGGTTGTGTTGTGTTTAGGAGAAAGAATCCCACGAGTGTGTGATGGAAAATGAATGGAAGAAAAGTTGGGACGTGATGAGAAGATGTTGATACCTAAAGTCGAGTGAGGCAAGTTCTCACCAAAGACCGAAGATATTCGTACTTCCCGACCAAGACCGTTGATCCAATCGCCTGTGTCGGCATAGTTTTAAAGGATATTAAACTGCATTTAATGCCTATTATCAATATAAATCGGGCTACCTAACGACACTATTCCTAGAATCCTAAATTCTCCATATAATTTTCCATTGCTTCAGAGCAAACAAGAATAGAAGGTTAGGGCAACTATAACTCTATGCAGGTATCTGCTCTCAATTATCTTTCTTCTTCGTCACCTCCTTCTGCGTACTATTTTGCTTCATCATCATCATTGTCTTCTTCTTCCTCGCTCCGGTCTACTTGCAACTTCGATCAACCTTCTACTCCTTTTTTCTAAACACGACCCACTGAAACCTTCGCATGCTTCTCAACCGCGATGGCAACCCCCAGCTCCACCCCTGCACAGGCAACACCAATTCATTCCTCCTCAAGAAACAAAGTCAAGTCTCATAAGACAGCCGAGCAAGAACTGTGACTACATCTCACTCTTTCTACACACCCTTTCCAAGGAAACCTCTCTAACAGATACCGTCTTATCAGGGAAATTGAACGACTCAAGGAAATCATCAGCACTCTGGAGGCGAAACGCGAGCACGACAAGGTTCAAATGACGGGAATGAGTGCCAGACTTCAGTCACTGCAGATGAAAGTGAACCAACTCACTTTCGCCATCCACGCTCTACAGAGAATCGTTGAACAAATGACTATGCTGGGGCAACAAAGATAATAAAGAACTCGGCCATGTTGAGAATGCGACCATTTTGGTAGCAGCAGGTTATCTACTCTGCATTTTGCAAGTTCGATCATCACAAGTGAAGAATATCGATGGACTTTCATACATTCATTCAAAATTCGAATTGAGTTCCCTCAGACATCCGAGTGCAGATGACTTATAGATGCTCACTTTGAACTACTTTTATCTCCTTTACTCTCGAATCACGTACTTCCACTGGTATACTTTGCTTCGTCAAAAGACTATCTTGGTTTTTCTCTGGCGATGAGTCTAGTTCCCAGCCCAACCGAGATCACCGGGAAAGCCAGAGCCACATGTACTTTTCCGAAGAGTATAATTAGCCGTTTAATGGCCGAAAGTCACCATTGTTGTCTTGTCGTCATTTTTGTGTTCTTTTTGCCACTTCTTTGAATATCGCACTCCGAAGCCGCTACCGAAGACTTCTCTAACAGCCTCCAGTGGCATTCCTTTACATTCGGGGTAGAAGAAAATCACAAACAGCCAGCCTATAAAACAAATACCTGTGTAGAACCCGAAAGCCCCACTTGGGGTCCAGCTTTTCATCATAGACAAGAAGGTCGATGCAATGATTATGTTAGTGCTCCAGCATGTGACAGTATTCTGTAAGATGGTCAATAGAGCCAACCAGGCAAATGAGAGAGGGGCAGACAGACCAGCATAGTACCAATAGCTCGGACCTCGAGAGGGATCAATTCTGTGCCAATCCATGCAATCGTAGCAACCCCAGAGGAATAGCACGCAACATAACAGATGATAGCAACAAGTACCAGAGTGCCAGGCCATCCTACGTGGGCAGTTTCAAGTTCTAGTGTATCGGTGTTGACTGGGATATAGCGGAAAGCGATCACTGCAACCATCATGCAGATGGCCATTCCTAGGACGGTCACGGATAAAATGATCCTTCGCCCAAGTCTATCCACAAGTACCAGATTCACGATCGAAAACACAAAATTCGTACCCGAAACTGTAATTCCAACTGCAGTAGGATTATCGAATCCGACAATTGAAAACAGCGTCGCGGCATAGTACATCAGGGTGTTGAATCCGCCAAGTTGGCTGATTGCCATGGTCACACACGCTGTCAACACAGCACGACCGGTCGCAGGAGTAGTAAAAATGCGCTTAAAGCTGATCCATAGAGAATCTTCAGCCATTGCATGAGTAGCTTCATTTAGAGATAATTCGATGGAGAGGATTTTTGCTTGCCGTTGCTCCTCAGTAGACTTGGGGTAGATTCTTTGGAGGACAGCTTTTGCTGCGGAATGTTGGCCATGTGATACTAACTGACGAGGGGACTCGGGACAGAAAAAGAGAAGTCCAGCAAGAACAATGGCTGGAGCAGCTCCAATCCCGACTGTTGCTCGCCACCCTTCACCCTTGACATTGGCAAAACCGGCACCTAATGCGCTTGCAAGAAATTGTCCAAACGTGACACTCATATTGTTGAATGCAACCATGCGACCCCGATGTTTAGCCGGTGCCAGCTCTCCAACTGCAGATGAATCGGCCAGTCAGCCTTGCATACCTTTACCAATGGCAAGAAACAAGGGGACATACTATAGAGGGGAACAACCATGGCTGCGCCTCCCACTCCAAGTCCAACAACAAATCTTCCCGTCGCAAATTGCGCAACAGAATAAGCGCATGTTTGAATTACGGTTCCAGTAACGAATAGCAAACAAGCTCCCCAGATGGGCCAGCGGCGACCGAAGCGATCAGCAGTGAGACCTGCCCCAATTGCGCCTACCAAAGCGCCGCCGCTTGTCAACGAGGTAACCATCTCTTGCTCCTTAGAACTAAGGACGTGGCCCAATGATGTGTCTATCGTAACCAGAACTGCTGAGATATAGCCCGTGTCATATCCTATCACAACGTCAGTAATTACTTAGCTCACTTCATGAGCTCCGTACCGAATAAGAGGCCGCCAATGGAGACAACGATTGAGATCAGCCAGGCTGCCTTCGATGCAGCTGTTGATTCAATACTGCTCAACTCTGATTGATCGTTGCGTAGCTTGACGGGCTCAATGTCTTCAATTTGCTCGACTTCATCTTTGACAAGGCTCTCTGGTGACACCTTCCCCTTATCAATACTCATGTTGTTTGGCTGGAAAAGATATCGACTACTTCTGAGTGTCAGTGGATTAAACGTTACAATGGAATGGCTGTGGTCAAGGATGAAATATCCCACCTACAATATCAGAGGTCTTTTATAGGGCTGGACGGCAATCGTGATGAAACATTCAACGCAGTCGGCCTTTGATGCTAATAGTAATCCCTATGCGCTGGATAAGGGTCTCCCGGGGAAACGGGCGATATTTGGGAGAGGCAGAATGAGGCGAGGCGATCTCTAGAACTGGTTGGCTCGTGGAAGGGTGGGGCCCATTCTGAGTTTCCTTCAGGACCGGGGAATGCTTCCGCTTCAAGAGGTGATTTGGGGCTGAGGCAAATCATTCCCCCATGTTTCCCCGCGTTTCCCCGCAAGTCTACCTTTATTCACAGACCGGAGAGTATACCAAGATTAAATGCTGATCTAATGACGTTTTGCCGTCGACTTGCGTGGGTGTCTTGGCGGGTACATCATACATACTTTCTACAGTCACAACGGGGGTGAAGCCCTGCTGTTATATTCTCCTCTTGTTAATCAAGTATTACAGCATGGTATTCCATGGTATCCCATCGGGAGAACCAGCTTTCTGAATTTGATTTTTATCAAAGATTAATCTAACAACTATTCTAGTGCCAGCATATGGTGAATGCATTTTATACACTTTATGATATCTTTTCCTTTGTCGACTCGCTGAACTCTTCACTTTCCACACCTGTTCCCCTAATTACTTAGAGTCATTTTCTCTTCGGCATCCTGTCTCCAACCTTCAGCAAACTTCCACTGAATGAAGGGGCCCACAAAAGCAATAGCCTGTACTGCAGCACAGACGGTGAAGGCCAGGCCGACGCCAATGCCATTTATCATCGGCATTACAAAGCTTGTGCCGCCAGCGGCAAATAAGCATCGCGCAAGATTAAGACTGGCACTTGCCGCAGCGCTTCTGTCAGGAAAGATATCGACAAGATAGGTCATGATGACAGACTGTGTAGATACGGCAGTCCACCCAGTAATGAAGGTGGAAACGATAGGGACGGCAATGTGAACCCGGTGAGGATATTGAATGGTCCACCCGAACAGAATTATTGATAGACATTGTAGAACGGAAAATACCGGAACAAGGCGTAGACGTGCTTTTTCAATCGGAAAGCTCTGTGTCTTATCTGTTGTGCCATCCGATGACTCCTTTCCTCCTTCAATTCCGGTGTTGAGCGATCCCTCGAACTTGGCCTTCACGCGGCGGTAGTCAAGATCGAGAATCTTGCCAGTGATCAACGTCCCGACCATTGATCCCACGCCATTTGCGATGAAAGTGAGGCCAATTTGGATTTCACTGAGACCATACCGGCTTTTGAAGAGGGAAGACATGGCTGTGATACTCATTTGCCAAACAGCATAGTGGATGGCGAGGAAGATGACGATAGGCGCTGCGAACTTGCTGCTCAGAATGCGAAGCGGCCCTAAAATATCGACATTCTTTTTTGGTGGAAGCTCGGGCGGCGGTGCACTATGATCCCATTCCACCTTGGTCGATTTTTGGTACGCGGAGAGGGGAAACTTTGCCAAGGGATTAGATGACTTGACGCTTCCGTTGAACACCAACGACCGAAGCGTTTCCGGCAGTAGAATCACAAGGGAAATAAGAAAGACCCCACTGTAGATTGTCAAAAACCAGAAGATAGCCTTCCATCCCAAGGAACCGGCAATACCACCTCCAATGACGGGACCAACAGCCACCGGCACCAGTAGTCCCGCTTGGAATATCCCCATAAAGCCGCCTCGGTCGGCGCGTGTAGTGATGTCGCCTATGACGCCAGAACCAATGGCGATCGTGCTTGCGCTGCCCGTACTTTGAAGACATCGGAGCACAATGAGCATTGCGTAATTTTTGGTTTCAGCGAGCCCGATGCAAGCGCCTAAGAACACGAGGAACGTGCATATGTACGCGACCCGACGGCCCCGAACATCGGATATGGGGCCCCAGAAGCTCGGTGCTAGCCCTTGGAAAATAAGATAAGAGGTTACTGTGAGATTGACGAGCTCTAGAGACACTTTGAGGTCATTTGCGATTGTTGGTAGTGCCGGGAAATAGATATTTGATGCGAAGCCAGAAACTACAGCCCCAATCAATTCCATTAACCCTTATCCGGAGTTCATACCGTCCAGTGACGACTTACAGGTTGCGGCAAATGAGACGATGAATACAATCAACCACTTTTGTCTCTTATCGAATATCGTGTAGGGTACCTCGGGGGTGGCTGATTCAGGTGGAGATATACTTGGCGGCTCCGGTTGATCTGAATGTGACATGGTTTGTTGCTTCGGTTTTGATGGATGGATCACTGACACAGGGAGAGAGGAGTGATATTGCCGGGTAAGTCTGATCCAACACTGACATGATTCCCTTCAGGGCGGCGAAGCATGCCATTTATAAAGGTGGAAGTTGCAAGGTCCGACATTCCGTCAGTGACGCGGAGTGGAAAAGCGGAGTTGAGCGGCGGAGTTGAGTTAAACTGCCGGAGTTGAACTTTCGATTTGATTCGATCTTTTTGCTCCTCGGTCTCGTGACCTGGAACGCCAGCATGGAGTAAACCCGGACTTGAAACCATCGAGAGATCGAGCATCTTGACACAGGTTCATGGAGTCTATGGAGAACTCGGGAGTTTTTCCAAAGCTGATACTTTTCTCGGGGTTCATGAAGGCGACTGTCTCCCGACTCTTTGATTTGATTTGGATTGTCACCTCGATATGATCAAAGACAATATCGTGGACCTGCCTCCCGACCATCACGAGACGCTTACGAAAGTGATGCTGGAGACCCTGATGCCATTTCTCTTGAATATGCCCTCCAGATGATCGGCGTGTTTGACTTGAAATTTCCTTGTTCATTAGTCTTTTTCCCCTTTCCCCTCTTTTTTCCCTCTTTTTTCCCTCTTTTTTCCCTCCCCCCATTTTTAATCATTTTAACCACTCTTCTCCGATGTCAATGGAAGATAGAGACCATGGAATCATATAGACAGCGCTTAATATTCTCTATTGCGGATGGCATCAATTGAGTTACAGCCGTGAGCATAATAGGCCATGAAATCGTGAGATCCGAGAAAGTGCATCTCTGGCCGACCACTGGCCCTCTTCGATAAGAGGGTGATTCAGATCAGCCTCGCCATTCCGTCGAAACAAATTCACCAAATACACCCTGACCAGTCTACAGGATGATCGATGAGTTCCCTGTATGTTAGAGTCTGGAGAAAGGAGCCGGTCAGCGCGTGGCTCGTGCGAAGTATCACCCGGGTGCGCTCCAGGGTTCACTATTTCGGATCTGGACTGGGCTGATCGGTGGGTAGGCAATCACGTCGCCATCATATCATCGTATCACGGTATCATTTGGAATAAAAGGAAAAAATCAAGGCGACGCCCCTCGCTGCATATAAGATTCCCAGGGACGAACTGATTGGCCCGCAGTCTTTGCTCGATGAGGGCTGTGGCGCGACAGGTGTCCGCGGCGTCAGCGTCCCGACTTTCCAACGACCCATCGCCCGACTGAATCCAGAAACCCAATCACTCTGTCGGCTCTGATTTGTGCCTGCAAAATGCAGATCGATGCGCGGACCGGTCAGCTTTCACACCAGCGACACGGGGTCTCCGGTCAAGATGATGCGAGTGGTGGAGGGTCCTAACGTGAGGCTCCTTTGGTCGTTTGAGAGGGGAGACAATATAAGATGCCAGACTCCAGATCACCGAGCATGTCACAAGAAACAGAAGAATATCCCTACAAGACCATGTGAAAATGGCATTCAATATCGAAAGCGGTCTGATCGACATCGCCGCGATCACCAGCTTGGTCGGAGCCACCACGGCAGAGTCGCTGATTCTTGGTAGCAGAGGAGCAGCCGGCTTGCCTTGGGCCGCCATGAGCTGCTTTGGTTCCTTTTACGTGGTGAAGGCGTGCGTTGCGGCCTCATTGCCGGCGTGGTTACGCGATGCTATGGGACTCGATTCCCCGCTTTGTCGTGCAACGCTGGGGGCGTCATCTCCCCTGGATCATAGATCCATGCTGAAGGTGAGGCCCGAAACTCCGGTTGGCATCTCAGTGGATCCGGTAAGTGACGATTATCGCGTGCGGTGTCTCCCCCATGGCCTGCGTATGTCACTGGGATAGCCTCGCTGAGGGTTCCGTGCCCCTTTCCTTCTGTAGGGCTCTGAAATTGCCAAGTCGTCGATCAACTGCATCTATGCCTTCGACGAATATACTGCCGGGATTGTCCGCTCATGTCCATCCTTTCAACACGGTGAGGCCCCTCGGGTATTCGCCTACGCGCGCGATGGTCCCAAGGCGGACCCAAGGCGAGATTGGCTCGCCGTCGCAGCCACCGCCGTGAAGATCGCCGAGACGGTCGTCTTGTCCCAGCACGCGGGATGGCAGTTAACTCTGACCTCGACGATTAGCTGGGCATTCTTTTTCCTGGCAGCATGCAGTCTGCAGGCTCTGGGCATCTCGCGAGAGCTGCGAAATCTCCCCTCCAACTCACGATTCCGACACGATATTATCGCTGGGGATTTTCCCACCGCGCATGGTCCCGGCAAGGAGATCAAAATTCTGTTCGGAGTCCCAATGAATGTCCGAAGACATCTGGCTTGGCGACTGGTCTGGGGCATCGGCGGGATGGTCTGTTTCTGCGCGACCGTAGCAACCTACATCCTCTTGAGTAAACGAATGACGACACGGCAATTTTATATATGGGCTGCCTTTCAAGGCATCTGGCTCATGATGCGCTCGGTTTACTTTCATTTTGCGTTGTTCACCGACGGTCGGCCATGCCAGGTGGTGGAGCAAGAGGTCACCAACCAGAGATACCGACTCTTGTCCTTTGCTTCGGGATTATCTCGCCATCTTGCCAAGCTGCACCCACGAACAGCAGAATCGTACCTGAGTGACCTGCATGAAGCGTTGGAGATCCAGACATACATCAACTCCGCGGGTTTCAACTGGGGCCGCCGGCTGGGCGATGAAACGCCCTTTGAGCCACCGCCACCTACCTTCTCCGAGCAAAATAACGCTTTCGTTGATATCGAAATTCTTGCCGTCATTGGCGATACAATGCTTTATAGTATCGCTTGGATATATGGGTATGATATATCTGCCTTCGATCTGTATGATTCATGTTTGGTCGTGGTGAAGGTCACTGAGAAGACCTTCCTTGTCCCGGCGACCCGCGTTTGCTCCGGAAATATAACATATGTCAAGGCCCATCCTGCCGAGGCTGGGCCCGATGAGATGCCTCAGTTCATACCCAAGATGGGCCCGTGTCGTGCGGAAGACAATGGTTGGGTATTCTGGATCCCTTTGGGGCCCAATCGGTGGCTTTATGTTCTATGCGGCCTAGATTTTCTGGGCCAGCAGTGTGGTGAGATCTTAGACAATGCGGAAGTAACTCGACGACTCATGTTGGGGACTCTGTGGGTGAGTATCAAGCACAGTGACGAGATCCAGGATTCCACCAAGAAGGCGGGCATTGTAGGTCGCATTCTCATGTTTTACTTCCTGGGCGAGGAGGAATGCGCCCACCTACCTGACTTGGAGACATTTGGGAGAAACAGTTAGCGTTATATGACTTTCTTTCCACTAATTTGTAACATACCTGTCGGAGTTGGCGAACGCTATATGGATGGGTTCGGTGAGCGGCAGCTAAAACGGCACGTTTTGGGGAAGGAAGAGCAGTCCAAGAAATAAGGGGCACGTACTATCAACCTGAGATACAAAATAATACACAATTTGCCGTAGAATCATTTAAGTAGCCCTTGGGATCTTTCTTTCCTGCCCAACGTAAAGAATGTGTACCATATACATGTCTCGAGAACGAGCATGTGGCTAAAAGAGGACTAGCGTGCGTTGTTGATCGGCTTATCAGTGCGGATCGCCCCATCGATTCCACTTTCCCCGTTCACCATCCGTCCACCCCCACAGCCTTCAGGGAACATCAGCTTTCAACTCAGAGCTTGAGTTCTCCAACTCCCCATCTCAAAGCCATTAGAAATAGGGTCGGTCAGTGCCTGGGATGATGTGAGAATCGATACCTGAAGTAAAGCATCAAAATATGGGATCCATTTTTTCTGTCCTATTCAGCTCACGACGCACATCCAAGACCCAGGCCATTGTTTGGCGCGGCCAAGTTGACCCGGCTGTCTATGAGAAAGCCCGAACCAGGAGACTCTTCAACGCCCAGAAACCTAAGAGATATCCCCTGGCGATTGCATTTGCCCGTAGCCAGTCGGACATAGTTGACGCAGTCAAGCTTGCGATCCAGAGGAACTGTCGCATCTCTGTCCGCGCCGGTGGGCACAGCTATGCAGGATGGAGTGTACGCGACGAATCAATTTTGCTGGACTTAGGTAGCCTGTCCGACGGCCCTATCTTGGATGAGCTCACGGGCATTGTTTCGGTATCCCCGAGTATGACTGGAAAAGATTTAGTAAGCTATCTTTCCACTAAGGGTCGAACCATTTCCGCCGGACACTGCCCAGATGTTGGACTGGGAGGCTTTCTTCTTGGCGGTGGTATGGGATGGAATTGCAATGTAAGATCCATCAAGTTCTTGGCTTCTTTTTGAAGTCTCAATTTCGTGAGTGCGAATGGTGATTTGTTAATCCAAACATCAAGAACTGGGGCTGGGCATGCGAGCAGATCAAAGCTGTTGATGTGGTGACAGCCGATGCCCAACTTGTTCGAGCAGATTCTCGACGAAACACGGACCTCTTCTGGGCAGCAAGAGGAGCTGGTCCGGCATTTCCCGGCATCGTCACACGCTTTCATCTTCAAACTCGAGTTTCTTCATTCCAGATGTGGTCCTCGGCCTACGTGTATCCCCTCCGGCATTATAAGGCAGCATTTAACTGGGCATTAAAGGTAATCAAAACGGGCATTCCACCCACGTAGGAACCCTATTAATATGCTTTTAGATTCCCTCTAGCGTTCAAGGGGGCCTTGAAGTTGTCGCGATCGGCAGTTATCAGCAGGAATCCACCGAACCCTGCATTACCATTGCAATAATCGTCTATGGTGACCAAAAAGAAAAGCTGTACCGAATATTACAGCAGCTGGATGAGACTCATCCTGATGGCACACTCTTTCGTTCGTTCTGCGAGGTAACCAGCTTCCAGCAGGAGTTTGAGAGAAAGGCTCAAGCTTTTCCAGCAGGCCACAGATACTTTGTCGAGAATGCATGGTTGAAAAACGATATCGATGTCGCCACCGTCCTGGAGCCAGCCTTTACGAAGTTGCCATCCAGAAAGTCGTTGGCGCTCTGGCAGTCTATGGCTCCATGTAGCCGACGCGAGCTCCCAGAAATGGCCCTTAGCATGCAATCCGATCATTATCTGGCGCTTTACGGAATATGGGAGCATGAAAAAGATGACTTCCGTTGCCAGTCCGCAATAAGTAGTATAATAGCGGATATCGAGGCCGATACTGTAGGCGCCTATCTAGGTGAACTGGACTTCAGGGCCCGTCAGACAAAGTACTGGGGGGATAATCAGCGCAGAAAGCTTATCGATATTCGGAAGAAGTGGGATCCCAACAGTCGAATATGTGGCTGTCTTGGATTGGATGAGCTGGACAAGTCCGAGATATCCAAGCCACGCCTGTGATTGACTGGGAAGACCCCAGGAAGTATGGGCATTGGGCAAAGGTTTAATGTGACCAAGAATCTCCCTACTCATTGATTAGCGGAAAATAAATTCAAATGATTCCAAAATACTGGCGAAGGGCGCACAGCCTTGTGATTTCTATACGAGTTTGGAGCCTTCTCCCCTAGTAGGACTTCCGGATGGATATAGACACGCGTCGAGCGGAAGATTGTATCTAACGGCGACAAAGCTAGAATGTTGTAGCAAAGCGACAAGATGCTGAAGGCCATAGTATTCGAGATTCTGTATTGGAAGATTAGGTTACAGATGAGGTAGCCTAGACCCAAGAAAATGGCAAATGTCGGGATGGTGACAGGATGCATTTGTGACTACTGATATGGAAGGCGGCCTGCTTGTCTTAGTGCCTCCTGCCATTCCTACCTCCACCAAAGTAAAGATGCGTAAATTCAGAGGTCATAATGATTTTATGAACCTACTGTAATAGAGAGACCGCTAAACTACGGACCACAGAGAAACTATGGTCACAAACATAACTTGAAGCTTGTTTTGGGTAGCTCATTTATTCACCATTTGAGCATATGCACCATCTACTCAACTATAATACTATGTCTATAAAAACTTTTTGCTTTTTTCTGGATGCAGTGGTTTACATCGTCTGCCTTCCCTGAGTTTCAATGGGCAAGAAACACATAGCGAGGAAGGCCGCCAAAATCAGTCCACCCGCCGCATAGATAGGCACAACGGCATTAGTACTAGCATAGATGCCAATAATCGGCGCCATCAGACCAGCAATTCGGTTGAGGCAGCTAGCGATACCTGATCCAGTACCTCGGTTGGGTGCAGGGAAGACTTCGGGCGTGTAAGCGTAAAGAACGCCGTACATGATCATCTGGAAGAATGACTCCAAAGAAGAGCACACTAGCTGAACGTTTGCATCCTTCGAGGCTGTGAAACAGAAGAGCAAGACACCTGTAATCACGGTCGAGGCTGCCATGGTACCCTTACGTCCAAAGTGTTTAATGTCGACAGTAAACCAGCCAAGAAGCGGTCCCGGAATTCCGCAGACAGCAGTGATGGCATAGTTTCGGTAGGTTTCATACGTGCTGGCATTAGCACTCAGGTATTGGGGAAGGAATGCATTGAAGAGCGTATAGCCCAATCCAATGCAAGCCCAGCAGAACCAAATCAAAATGGCTGTTTCAATCGTTAGCGAGAGGTAACAGTAGTATGAACACACGCAATACATACTCGATATAGCAAGCCGCTTGGTTTTGAAAAGAGGTGCAATCTGCTGGTAGGAGAACCTTTCGAAAGATCGTTTGATAATCTCGCCATGAGAAAGACCTTCTTTGTTGTTTTCCTCTGGATATCCACCAATCTCATTGAGGATCTCCTCTGTGAGCCAAGTGGTGGTCTTGTTCTTGTAGGCAATTCCTTGAACAGCAGCCACAGCCTCTTCCTGTCGTCCGCGGGATACAAGGAACTTTGGTGATTCATATAGGGTGAAGAAGAAGAAACGGCAAAGGAACATCATGAAAGTGATGGCACCCAGTGTCAAGACGAGATAGCGCCAGCCCCAGTTGTTGGCCTTGGTGCAATGGGCAGCATCTTCACAGGAGAAATTAGGGATGAAGGCCCAGGCAAGCATACTACTTATGTGTTAGTCTCGAATTTTCAAGAAAAACGTTATTCTGGGGACATACCTGGCAATTAGGGTACCCACAGACCACCAGGTCGCCAAACCACTTAGGATATTTCCAGAATTGGGAGGGAGACACTCGAGGAAGACGGCCGCATCGACGGGGAGATTTCCACCCACGCCCAGACCCAAGCAAGCATACAGTGCACACAATCTATGCTTTATGTCAGCGAAAATCAATTTAGTAACCTTGAAGAGAGCTTCATACCCAATCCAGTTAGGCGCACCGCCTGCGGCGAGACCAAATGAACCACAGATGCAGAGCGTCATGTTGAAAGCTGGGCGCCGTCCAATAGCATCGGAAGCAATACCCCAGAAAGAAGCACCAATAATCAAACCAACAAAGAGTGAACAGGTAGCGAACCGAGAGTGGGCTTCAGAGATACCAAACTCGTTGGCAATGGGAGTCAAAGTGAGTGAAACACCCTATGCATCATTAGGAAAATTTTTTCAAGACCTCAGGAAGCGCGTCATACCTGCAACCAAAGGCTGATAGAGACAATTTTGTTTAGCACAGGCGTAAAGAACATGACAAGATTTATAGTTCACTTACTTATCAGCTACCCAGCCCATTCCACAGAGGACGAACAGTCCCCACTGGTAGCGACCCATACCAATATCCTGTACCGCTCGGTTGATGACCTTTGCTTTGCCTGTGTGCAGTCTAGCGGTTAATACTCATTTTGGAGCGGAATGACATGACCAAGCTCAAGTAAGCTTGGCTAGTATTTATGCACATACGGTCATAAACGGTGTCGTGGCCGGAAGCAACCATATCAGCTTCAATTTCTGCTCGGAGAGCTTCCAAAGTCAGCACACCATCGGGCAGAGGCCCGCTAGCACCCTTTTCTTGGTTAGAGGCCATGTCGAGGCTGGTGCTCGACCCATCTTTGCTTTCAGCGACAGAGCCACGGGAAAGAGGTACAACAACTTCGGGGAATCCGCGCCGGTCTCGATTGGTGAAAAGGTCTTTCCAATTCCAGTCAGGCATCTTGGAAAATAGTTCAGTATCGCAGCAGGGCAATGCTAGGTAAGGCGCGCGGCAGAATAGACGATTGGAGCAATGGAAATTGGGAGTTTCGAGGTTACGCGTGCAGTCAGTCGACTATGAATTTTGCGTGGGGGTCAAGCCTTGGCCTTTTCGGTTCGGATGGGATCGAAATCGAACAATGATGCGATGGGGTATCAGATAATAACCGGTCCGATGGGGAGAAGCTTATCGGGACGTGGGGTTGCTCTGTAAAATGTGCAATGGGGAAGCCGATGGGAGCAAGTGTGGCGCAACGGGGTTGATAAAGCGACTATGCAGTTGCTACTTGCGAAGCCTCAGCTTGTAGGCGAACGGTTGAGTGAGTATCAGGTTTCTCTGCACTTTGGAACTATCTAACCGTCGATGGCGGTTAGCAACAAGGAGTTTCTGAGATCCAACGAGAATTCGAGCCGAATTGGCATGGATTGAGCGGAAAAATCCGAGATGCACTCTGCTGGTTGATTGGAATCGGGACGAAATGAGACAAGACACTCCTCTCTGCGCAAACGAGACAAAAGCAACGGGAAGTAGCCGATGACAGCTTCTGCGTGGGGAGAACAAAGCACGGTTGGGGAGAATAGGGGAATGGTCGCTATTATAAAAATCCTTCAACAGCCGAGCATCTCTTAGATAATGAGACTTCATCTCGGATGGTACGAGCATACATTGGCCAACCACCTTGACTCCGGGTGGCCCTACGGGGCAGACTCCAGCCACTGATGTAGGTGTGTGCACCTTAATTATCCACACGTATCCACACCGGGCTCCATCCACCATCCCCTATTGGGCAGGACAATTGGGAGCCGACTGCCGTCCCTGCCAAGGACTAAGCGAAAATTCCCCGTCTTGCTGGCCGACGGCTGTCTCCGAAAACCTGAATTCCGAGAAACTTGTTTTGTTGCGTGGAGTCGAATCAACAATTTAATTTTGTTGAATTTCGCATCTCCTTTGATCGGGACGGATAATCCGAATTTTATATATCGCACGTGACATTTGGAGGGATCATTAGGTGACCAGCTGGTGATGAATTTGTTTCCCAACGAGGCTGGGCTATTGTTAATAGTCACTAGTTTGAGTAGTATCAGTACGAATACAAATTCCATGAATGCGGACTTTCCTATACCTCGGGTTTGATCAATTCAACTTGCAGCACGTAATTTTGATTCATCCGCTTTTTTAGTCCAGCTTACCAGGACACTTAACTAGTCTATGCCACCGAGTTGGACATTGTTGCTACTTTTTGCTCTCTATTTATGAAACATCGCCCTTCTGACAAGAGGTCATCTAGTCAGTCAATTTCATTACTGATCCCCCAGGATCATTTTCCTACCTCCCAGGTATAGTGAGGAAAGCTCAACCTATTGAGATGGCTGAAGTTGTGTATAACGGTATACAGGATCGGAAGAGAAGTTAGCTATTCGACAACGGAAATTTCAAGGTACCACTATATTATTACATTTCTCTAGTTTTTGAGTATAGAAATTCGATGTTATTCGATTTCAAAACATCTCATTTAGAGTTAGTTTAGATATTCTGAAATATAGTCACTAATTCAATTCTAATTATAACGACATTAGAGTCAATCTATTTCTAAATAATTCCAGTATAACAATCATTTATTTAAAATTTTGATTGTCACTGTTTAATAATAATTAAATTTAGATATATTAGTTTCTTGTGAAGCCTTTGACAGCCTTGACGGATATTAGGTACTGTCGCGTTTTGCTATCATGTATAATAAAGATCGCCAAAAAGGCGGAGATCCAAGTTAGCCAAGAGAGTTCCGTCGATTAGTTGGAATATACATATGTTTTGAGGGCGATAGTTGAGCGATCATTGCATCTACAGGCCTCTGCTTTAGTTTCACCATCAAGCAAAAATGGGCAGAATTCAAGGTGGAAGTAGCCTGACTAATCTTGGAATATCGCAGCAGAAAATCTCGTCTCGTAAATCCATAGCCACTTCATGTGCCTTTGTAACTATTGAACAGCCAATGACGAATATTGGCTCAAAGGTATATGCGCGGAGAGTGCCACCAAATACAAGGGATTGTATGTGTAATATCACTCTGGGAACCCCAAAATGCCAAAATATAACGATATACCAAATTAAAACAGTCAAAACGCTCTTGTCGAAAGATAAACATCTCTATACAGCTGTAATAGCTTCAGATGACCCTAGCCTGCCGGACCGATTGCGGGGTTGGATTTACTGGAAACACCTAGGGCTCGGCCCATATGAAAACACGGCCTTGAAATCATAGATTCACCCTCCTCGGGCCCATAGATACTCCGGTGTTTCCCATGATATTTCAGTGTCATCAAGTCAGAGATGTAACAGATGCATCCTTAAAAAAGGCAATCAGGAGACTGGTTTTCCAACGACGACTGGTGTATGTGATAAACTTTACGGTGCTCTGCGTCATCCGAGGAGCTACGTCGAGCACGGAGAATACTCAAGTTGTTTATAAACTGTATGTCGCCTTTATGGAATACCCTGGCGATCTGAAACATTTCAGTGGGAAAGTGGAGTGTGTCCAACACCTCTTCTTGGAGAGATCCCAGGAGGCCTGCCTGGGCTGTACGCCAAATCCCGAGAATGAGCATCGGGAGAATTGTAGGACGATACGCTCTGGTGCACCACTAGAAGAGCATTGGTGATACAACAGTGGTCGAGAATGAAAGATACCAGGATGCACTGAATGATTCAGCCCCAATAAGGTTCGTCGGGCAGAGAGGTCTGTTTTGCATACCTGGAAATTGACCAATCGCTCGCCAATACCTTGGTCAAATCAGGTCAGGTTGCAGTAAGCTCGTTTTAAACTCTCCAACCGCTCGCAAGCAGGCTTTCGCCGTCACTTGCAGGCTCGCCAAGCGTGAAGAGTGACACAATGTGCCCAACGTCGGTATGAAGGATCACTTCACCATTTGAGTCGTCATCCGGAGCAAAGTTTTCCTCTTTGTCATTAAATAGGGGCATGTCCGTTAAATGAGCGATAATCACATCTGCTGAATGGCCTTGATACTGATGATCCTACCTGCGACAGTTGGTATCGATGTGGGTGGCGATCCCCACGGCGATGGTCTTATTTTCCAAAGGAGTATATCTGTCCAGCTGTATTCTACGGATCAACTCGAACCTGTTTTTAGAATGTAGGTTTTCCGAAACAGACTGGAGGAGGAGATATACCTACGGCAAGGGAAAATTTGATATATCCAATGCATCCAATGGCTGATTTAATTCAGCAGAGAACCTCGTTAGATGATATTATCAATAGAATGGCTACTACTATTGGGTCCAATTTGGAAGCATCGAAAAGGCCCCTCAATTTCAATTGGATGTGAGATAAGACGCGAGTCTAGTAAGATGACGAGGTAGGGGGTCCCGCCACCTGATCTAGAAAAATTTCATGTCCTTGGCAGCTCATCTTTGAGACCAGATTCTCCGAAAAGCCTTGTGGGAGTCTTTCCTCCGCAATTTTTTCCATTACTTCGAGAACGGGCTTCGTATTGCGTGCGATTTGGATAATAGGGAGCCACCTCGGTGCTTTTGGTCATGTTCAGAGAACCTTGGTTCTGGCACAATCGATCAATTGGAGCAGACATATAGAGGGAATAAAGTATACTGCAAGTATGAGTTTAGTGAAGTGGATGGTCTAGAATCTGCAGTTGATGGAAAAGGACGTTTCACAGGTGCTGATGCAGCGATCAGCATGTGATATGTTACGAGAGGAAATCAAAACAACGCCTTTAAAAGCGAGCACCCTCAGGAAGTAGGACAATTCTTGGAAAAGGAAAACTAATTGTCAGATAACGATAGTCCTGCCCTACTATACTCTCCCTCTGTCTCATACTCGAAGATAATGACCAGACAGTCTCGCTGCTCAGAAGCTTTTTGGGAGACCACGAAGCGTCTCTTAGCAGAGCTCATAAATGAAGGCTTGGCTGAAGGTTCAGTTAAGACATCAAAGGTTAGCAATGAGCGATATCTGCATTTACGCCACGATTCCTCCCCCAACTGGGTCAAAGTAGGCCTTATGCATGGTGCGTGGGTCGAGATGAGAGAAAACATCGTGATATCCGTGATAAGACCCGAAACGTTGGAACCGCCTGTGTTTATTGGACATAGCCAAAAGGTAGAAGAGGAGCTGGATCCCAGTCTTGTCTTTTCATTTGTCTCTCCTTGGTTTTCAGACCATGCCAATGGCGAGGTTCTGGATACCATTTCACGCCAGCTGAAAAATTGTGCCGAAAATCAAGGTCTGTATGCATCCCGTGACGGAAATTGATATCTTACCGAGTTATTCCATAGAGAAATGGTTAGAAATTGGCTCCAGACAAGGCCTTCTGAGTTTGAATGCACCGTTCAATGCTTGGGAGAGGACCTTGATCCACGGCCATCCGACTCATCCTGTAAGCTCCATATGCATCTGCTACCCCTCACCATAATTTCTTTAATTGAGAGTTTTATGATGAGAAGTTTCACCGGTTGTGCTATCCACAACCTCCACTAGAGCCCGTCGAAATCGAAGAGATGCTCATTCCCAATATCGCCTTCATTTCTGTCCCTCGTGCCGATCTTCGACTTACAGGGCCGTTCGAGAATATGCTTGAGCCACTTCTGGAAAGACTTAAGATTCCAGAAGTTAGTGCTGAGCGTGTGCGAGTACCGTGCTTCACTCAGCAACTCCCCTCCATTCTCCAACTCTTCTCTAATGCCACTGTTCTGAAATCAGTTGCAGGCTGCGCCGATGCCCAGGCCTCAATGAGAACCCTTACCCTTCGACCGGAGTTGAATTTTGGTTATCATTTGAAACTCTCATTAGCATGTCAGATAACGTCTGCTCTCAGAACAATTACGCCTTGGACGACCTGCAGTGGGCCATTTTTTACGGAGGTTTTAGAGAGGTTCCTCCCCGCCGATATGTGGTGTTTTAGAGAAGTCGCTGCCGTCACAGGGGGTCAAGAGGATTTCACCAAAGCTCGTCATCTCTCATGCATTCTTCGAGTTGACCTCAAGAAGAAGGCACAGGATAATGACGAAACTCTCCTAGTTTCGGCTGCATTGGCTCAGAAGCCTTACAAGGAAAAGCGTACATACGCAGAAATCTTATTCAATCTACGAAATATATCTCAAAAATTGGCTTGGCTCAAAAGGTTAGCTACTGTACATAGCAGTTCGACTTCGCGGGAAACAAGCTAACATTCATCAAAAAAGCTATGCCGTATGCTTGTTCAATGTTGTCCTTCCTCCTCTGATTGAACATGGCATCGGCTTGGAGGCACATGGTCAAAATATCGTGGCGCGCATCTGCAATAAAACAAAAAATCTCAAAGGATTTGCCGTGCGTGATTGTGGAGGTGTTCGATTGCATGTCCCCACATTGAGAGCTCATGGTGTCAACTTCGACTCCCTGCCTCCTGGAGGTGCTACTTTGACTGACGATATGAATGATGTCTGGAGTAAAGTGCACCACTCCCTTCTTCAAAACCATATCGGTCATTTAGTTTACACACTGGGACTAGAGAGAGAAGGAGGATGGCAGATTGTTCGAGAAGCTCTAGCGACAGTGCTACATTCACAAGCAGGCACAGTAGGGGAGCCTTTGCATCGGTACTTTCTCAAGGATACCATTCCTTTCAAGTGTTTCTTGAGGATGAGCATGGAAGGAAAATACCGTGACGTAAGTATGCCACGTGATAGTTGTTCATTTTCTTTTCTTTTGTGCTAATTTGCCTAAAACAGTATGTGTGGAGAGAAATTCCTAATTCACTACTGATGAACGGCCCACGATGGGACACTGTATTGAAAACATATCAATCATCAATACATTATACTTGAGGAAATGCTTCTAGACTAGATCCAGGGCGTATTAGCTATTACTTGAATTAAGGATGATTAATATTAACTCTTCATCTCTAGCTAAAGTAAACAGAAATCGAAAAAATAGCAGTCTTGATGTATCAGCAAGATTCTATACAAGAAAATTGAATGAATATTGAACGAATATTCCTACCGTGGATCACTGTTGTTGCTTTCAAACTTCCCAACAAGTAGAAAATATAGCCTTATTCTGCATAGTCTCTCGGAAAACCTGTAGTGCAATCTTCGGTTCTAGTACATGTATTAGAGAATAGCTCTTGATGTAGAAGAATAGGGTACAGGTTTACATACGATAGCAAGGCTCATGGCCCGCTGCACACCTCGCTAATCTGGCACGGTATAATGTCACGCTGAATTACACTGGAGCTTCGCTAGCTGTGAGAGGGCAGTCCGGTGGCTCACCAGCCATACCTTTGATATATGATGTCGAGTATCTCTGTCCAGTGACGGCAGGCGGGCAAACTCTGTACCTTGATTTTGATACGGGCTCCGCAGAACTGTGAGTCTAAACTTTGAGAAAGACCACACTATCTCTCAACAGAACTCTAACCTTTGCCTTTTTTTAACCAGCTAGGTTTTCTCCACTGAACTGCCCACTTTTGAAACGACGGGACACTCTCCGTACAATCCGGCGCTCAGTCTGACTTTAAAGCTACTTCCTGGATTCACATGGGACATCACCCACGCTGATGGCAGTGGAGCCGGTGGAAATTTATACTATGATGCTGTTGCAGTTGGCTCCCTCGTTGGGTTAAGCCAGGCGATTGAGCCCGCTATCTATGTTTCATCATCATTTGCGTCAAACCCATTTTCAAGTGGTCTTCTTGGCCTTGCATTTAGTACTATCAACACTGCCAAGTCAAATCTGTTTTAAAAGCCCCTGAATTGACTTGACTGTCTCTGACGCTAACTGCGTAAGTTCAGTCGAACCTATTAAACAGCAGACTTTCTTTGAAACTGTGTTGCCAACTCTGAATATGCCCCTTTTCACCGCTAATCTCAAACATGGAAAGCCTTGCAACTAAAATTTTCGCTTCATTGATCCCATCGAATATAAAGGTTCAATTGGGTGGACAACTGTAACGATGCCATATGGCTACTTCGCCTATTAGCAGCTTGATCTCACTGGATTCCAAATAGGAGGCAGCCCCTATCTCGAGATACCAATAAATGGCATTGCAGGTGAGTCTCTAACTCATGATCCAGCAGCTAGCACATCACATTGATTCGTCGATGACAAAATTTTAGATACGGGAACAACGCTTCTCTATTTGCCCACGGAGATTGTTGTAGCCTATTATTCCCAGGCCACCGAGGCATATTTCTATGAGGACCAGGCGGTATTCATTTTCCCTTGTGCCTCACCATTGCCGGACTTTGTTTTTGAAATCAATTCATATCGCGGTGTTGTTCCCGGGAAGTAGATGAACTACGATGCAACCGATGATGTGTGGTGCTATGGTGGAATGTAAAGTGATGCCGGTCTTGGATTCTCAATCTTCGGGGATATATTACTAAAGGCACAGTCTGTCGTCTTCGATCATGCTGGACCTAGTCTCGGCTTTGCGAACAAGCTGTGATCTGAGCGATCACCTCGCCCGCGTCCGCTTACCGCCTCCACGCCTCGTCCTCCTTGGTCGAAATGGCTACAATTGCGGATGGGTTGGCTCGAGTCCGACTTCTGTTAAGTCGTTTCCTCCTGAGGAATAGTACTCTCTGCCCTGCAGACAAGGCTTCATCACTTGTGACTAGACATTTTCATCTTTCTCTCCTATCACTACCTATACACTACAATCAGTTTCGATTGGGCTTTTTTTCTTTTCTTTCTAGGAGTCGTCAAATTTTGTAATTGAGAACCATCAAAGCTACTAATGCCAATCTTATACATGTCATTAATTGATCTGGATGGGAAGCTATATCAGAAACGAGCTGAGGTCACTCAAGGCATCCTCCTGGGAAAGGCATGAACTGCGGACCTTTGTGGTACTGGCCTATCAACACTCAGTTTAAGTTATCCTACTATAATTCCATCTGGTATACAGATAGCTTTTGTTGAAACTGCCGTACATGATGTGTTGATATGTATAATCTTCATTCTTTCCTTTGAATGGTTACGAATCCACCTTCCTTTGAACCACAATAGTCGTTTCAATTGAGGGAGACGGGTGAATCGGTCTTACTTTCGGTCGGTTTAGTAACTAAACTCGAAACCCATAATTGATGGGCTTGAGCTTGTCTTTGAATATAATATAACGGTTCTCATTCAACCGTGGGGCCGGAGTGGTTGAGGGATGGGAGAGTGAGTGTATCCTGTTAACTAGAAAGTAGATCCCCTGTGATCAAATGCAATACTTTAACTACATCTTACTCTCTCTTCATTATGAAGATAATGAATTTATTCTATTATTTAACATTTCTTCTCTGCCACTCCATCAGTCAATATTGGATGACGTGAAATTCTGACTCGGCCAACAAACGTGCCAAATAATCCGTCTCGCGATTGTCCGACCAAGAAGGTAGCGGATAACCCGATCACGTTAAAATTCTCGCGGTTAGTGGACACTCCCGGGAAATCCGGCACTTGATAGCGACTAATAATATTGAACCTTCGCAGCCCCCAATTTATTAATCTTGCTTGAAAAGGATTTGTTGGACGCCAGTCTGGAGATAGTCGTTTCCTTTGGTCCGATCGATCGCCGAGAGTGCAACGCGGATATCAATTATGATGTCTATGTTGTTCGGTCAACAGTTTCCAACAGAAAAATAACGATTCCTCTCGGCATCCCGTCTCGTTGACCTTCCGAATCTAGCATGACAATGGTCGAATCACAGAACAACTCAGCTAGACAGCTCTGCTCGGCAGGAGGTCCACCGGGACCCTGGGCCATCCCCGTGCCCCTGAGCGCCGAGCGTGGCCCGAGTTTGCACCGGCCAAAGTCGGGTGTAGTTCGGGCAGCGACCAACCCGCTAGCCTCTGTTTCACTAAAGCTCTGAAAGGCCTAATAAAACCCTTTCCCCCCCTTCTCGTTCTATTAAAAATTCGTTCTGGCCTCTTGAATGTTGGGCTTCGCAACTTTGACAGAGAAATCCCTCTCACAAGACCATGAATAACAACCTCAATCACACAAAGTGGGGTACCGGTACGCTTCTGGATGCGATCTTATCAACATCTCATAGCGGATGGACCTCCTTCTTGATCCAGGGCCAGTCAATTGAAAGCAGTAGGCCTTACAATCCAAGCTCTCATATTATTTGAAATGGGCCTGACCAGTCCTCACGATATGAGTGCTGCGTTGAGAAAGTGCCGAGAGACGGGGGGTATAGATAATTCCGGCCTGGCGGCACGGGAATCTATACTTAAGCGTCCCAAACTCTCACACACCCCTTCCCCTTCTCGCTTCATGGTATGGAAGCATCTACTTTCTCGGGAGAAGGAGGCTCTCATGGGCAAGAAGGCGTCTCCGAGCTCCAATGGTCTTGTCGGTCAGGCCTTTCAGCTTAACGTGCGACGATTCCTATCACTCACTACGAAAACATACTGTCCAGCTTTACGAACTGACTGTCTAGATGCTAATATTCACATTGATCAATACCGAATACAACCACGAAAAGATTCTCAAACTCGCTAAATAACAGATAATTGCTTTCCTCGTTGATGCATATCCATGTCACTGCTTGCATTTTGTCCGTCACCTTTGATTTGATCAATGCACGGCGCTCAGCCGCCCCCAAGCAGGGACAGTCGGCCATCAAACTTGGGCTTAGCGGCGCACGCCTCATACTCGGTGTCTCGGCAGCTCGCGAAACAAGCGCGAAACATCCAGGAACGAAAGACCAGGGGAAGCAGGTACGCATTACACAAGCACAGCCATGATCATAACATCAGTGAATTATTAAATAGGTACGCGATCACAGGCAAGGAGACTTGGATACAAAAAAAAAAAAATTAACAAGGGGACCGAAACAGAGATCCTCCAATTATAAGACACCCGTGTCGTGTCCGAAGAAATTCGAAGACCGCAACAAGCGACACGAGCCATTTTGTGCAGCTGTCCGCTTCAAGGGCCGAACCGATCGGAGATCGTCAATTCGAAAGTCCAAACAAGCGAACAATGACAAACGCCGCACACTGATAACGAAGACCAACCCGGTGTACTCGGTCCCTACAGGACAGAAGCACATCGAAGGGTCATTCGCACCTGGGCTGCGGCGGGATGGTACAAGTATGGGTTTAGGGGGAATGGGGGGATGGGTATCAACACATTACAAACAGCGCATCAGCAGACATCCTTTTACTCGTCACCACACGTGAGGTCAAGAGCATCAATTTACGCCAGTTCACGGTCGGTCTTGCCACGGCGGCTACGGCCGGTGGGGGACCAGGGGAAGTGGGCGACGGGGATGATGAAGAAGCTGTTGCTGTTGTCGGCGATACCGGCGAGGGCGTTGTACCAGGCAGCAAAGGCGGCCAACAGACCGAAAAAGCCACCAGCCTTCTGGACCGCGACATTGGTGCCCTCGTCATTGGGGCGCTGCAGGTAGGCGATGCCGAGCAGCAGGAAGGTCAGGTCCAGGAAGAAGAACAGCAAGAAGAAGGCGACGGTCGAGCGCAGGGTGCAGAAGACCAAGATGGTGGTGAAGATGAACCAGCCCTGGGTGGACACGTGTCAGTTGCGCGGATTCGAAACGCGTAAGAGGAAGTTCACTTACCATCAGGAACAGACCCATGGAGTCGTAGAAGGCTCCTGCGCCGCCGGCCGCTTCGATTGACGACTCAATGTTGAACCCACCGGGGGTCAACACGATGGCAAACGCAATCCAGAAACCGCCATACGAGGACAGAGCAGTAGCACCAAAAGTGTTTCCAACGGCCATTTCCCTGCACGATCCATGTTAGTCGTGGGCACACAAGACTCAAAACACATGAAGGCCGCCGGAGCTGGTAAAAGCTGCCCGGAGACCGCGCAACCTTGCCTCGCGAAGGAGAAGGGGAAGCTTGATGGAAGCTATTGCTGAACTTACCACATGCCCGCAAGGAGCTGGACGAGACCACCATAACCGAAAGCAAGACCGACGACGATGTTGGGCGCAGTCAGATCACGCGCGCCCATGTTGATGGCGCTCAGCACGAAAGTGGTCAGGGCGAAAGCGCACAGGCCGAGGGGAGCCGGGTTGGCAAACTTGCGACTCTCGACGGACTTGTACAGACCGGGCTGGAATTCACCCCCGAAGGGACGGAGACGAGCCTCGTTGGTGTTGACTTGAGCCAACGGGCCGTAGCCGAAGCGGGCGGCGGCGCGCGCAACTTCGTGCTCCTCGGTCGACATTTGTTGCTGGTGGACGGGCGCGCCGGTCTCACTGGCTGCCACGGGCGCAGTGCCGACGTCCTTCTCCAAGGAGCCGTTGTTGCTGGTTTCAATTGCAGACATGATGTTCTATATGTCTCGGTCTAATTTCGGAATCGAGGCAGATGCGATTCTAGAAGGACCAAGTTCAGAATTATGAACGGGTTGCGAAAAAAAAAAATTTCAACAAGTATGGGAACAAGATAATAAAGGGTTTGAGGTAAGCTCGCTGAGCCAAAGCCGATATAACGCAGTTATATGGAAGCAGAGGAAGAGAAATGATCCAATCACGAGCCGGACAGCACTGCTGGGCAGGTTCGATGGAGATTGGGAAAGGAAAAAGGAAGCAGGCGAGGAAGAGGAGGGGGGGGGAGGACGAAGCTATTATAACTCGTGGGAACACAGGGACACGGGGCAACATGCAAAAGCCTGGGAAGCTCAGGGAAGCCCAGGCTCGTTCGCCTGAAAATTTCGGTGGACAAAAGAAAGTGGAGTCGCGACTGACCTCAACAGCGGTTTCAATAAATCAATAAATCGCAATGATGTGCAGCCGCAGGCCCACCGACGCTAACAGAGGTTATTTGGGCGGATTGGGGGTCGCGAACAATCACAGTGATTAAGGGCAACACCGTGTTCGGCAGAGCGGATCAACAAAAAAAAAAAAAAGAGCCGAAATTTAACAAGACGGGGATGTATAGGGTTGATGGGTTTAGGGTTTTATATGGAGAATGGAACAGCGGAGAAGCTGGTCGGCCGGGGGAAGAAGGAAATACGGACACCCAACGGTGTTGATTTTTAATTGTGATTTTTCGAAAGATGGGGTTTTTTGGTTTCGGTGATACGGGACCCAGGGTTCATACTAAGTAAGCTAAGTGAGATTATGCTAATATTATTCATGCAGAAACTCCTTCCATGGCAATTTCCTTTTGGGGCCGTGTCGAGTCTGGGGCCAGAGACTGGGACTCCGTCCTGTAAGCAGGTGCCGCCTGTCAATGCGGACGGGACGGCACAAGGGGGGGGGGGGACATGGGCCGAATATGGGCAACATGGGAAACATGGGATCAACGGAGAAGGAACCATTGAGATCGGAGGATGGGCTCCATCAGAGGGGATGGGGGGCAAATGGGGAGGCAATGCTTTGGCGGCTTTTTGGGGCAATCGCCAAATCAGCTCAAGCTGGAGGTATACACGGTTCTTACTGATGATTTCGCCCCGCGAGAGGATGCTGTACAGAGGGCCTAGGTTCAATTCAGTCAACTTATGAAACGCAGCTCGTTGGTCAATTGGAGGCTTTGAAGACATCAGCGACCCTGGACGAGCGGGAAAGGCACCATCAATTTCCCCAATTATACTACACTCCCGGCGAGAATGAGGAAAAAAAAAAGGAACGAAAGAAAATTACTTCTGTTCCAATGACCTGGCTCATCCCCGTCGGATCCGGAGTTCAAGAGCGTGAACCAGGGCAACAGCAGTCCGGGGAACCAAGAAAGTGGAGAGGCAAAAAAAAGGCCCCAAATGCCCCAATTAGGAGGATCCGGGGACCCGGTGCCAGTGGGCCATGAAGATGATTGGCAGAGACGGATCAGCCGGGTCGAATTCGACTTGCCGCAGAAAGGGAGAAAGGGACAAGGGCAGAACAGGGATGACCAGCCTGCATCTCGGGCATTTGCTGTGCTGCGTTAGCGTCTAGAGTCCGAGACCGCGGAGACTGAGATACGCGGCAGACGGAGCACCCAGCAGCTTTTCCGGGACGGCTCGAACTACAGGTGCCGACAAGTGTGGTAGCTGTACATCTACCGCAAAGGTACTTTTGATCGGAGCGCCCAATCGTTCTTGAAACTGGCCAGGTTAGCAATGGCTAGCAATGGTCGCGCGCACCCTGCTAACTCGTCGCAAAACAAGAGAGCGGCCGAGCAGGGTCCCACCCAGTCATCGAGTCCCTTCGACCGAACTACCGAACTACCGAATCGAGGCCGAGGGAAACACTTCTTTCCACACGCCTCTGAGGAAGACCTTCCATGGACCCTTCTATGCGCATCTTCCTCGTCATTCTCAACCTTTGCCACGGCCTTTGCTAGCCGGGGAGAAAGTGGGTCCTAAGGGTCCTGTTCACCTTTTTTTTTTCCATGGCTTTTGAGAACGCCCACAACGCCGTATTACGCCATACCCGTAATTTTAGCAGACCTCGGATCGGCGGGTAGTCGGAGGTACTGGGTACACCGTGGCATGGCTCTCTACAGATACCCCTACCTGTAGCTCACATGGGTATCTATACCGAGCATTCCGTATATGCTTTCTGTTCTCAGGTTTTATACATATGAACTCAGCATAAAGAGAAGTAGAGGGAGATAGATAGAAAGCGCCCAGGCCGAAGAACCTCGAGCCTATTTGATAGAAGTACCGAAATACTCGAGCCAGTGGGGAAGAATTGGGAAGAATGGGGAGCTTGTTGATCCCATGAACAATACTAGTATGCGTCCTGAGACAGATACCTTTCTCAAGCGCGCTACGGGTGCAAAGATGAAATTTAGGGTAGATCGAGCTCGTGGGGGGGGAGAAGGAATGGGGAGAAGGGGGCGAGAAATCTATCTCCATCGATCTCATTATTGGATCATTGGATCAGTACACGGAGTGGACGTACTCCATACAAGCAAGAGGTTGATAGTATATAATTCAGCAGACAGCTAATGATATCATGATTATCATTGAATCAGAATGGTGCATGTTCATCGGACTTTGAAGTACTTTATTTAGTGGATGGTTTGACTATGTTGACTATTTGGACGACGAATTGTGCAGTGTTCACGTATTTATCAAAACAATCCACGACGAGCCACCACAGCATCGTGGGAAGAAGTGTACAGCAATGATCACAGACTCGACCATTCCGGCTAATATCGAAGGCTCCGGTTGTAATTACACGATGTCGTGCTTGGCATCGAATTACGCACCAATGAACCGCCCCTGCAGCCCGCCCACCAGCCCAACCCACACGAGGCCAAGCAAGGGCGTATACTAGCTTCTTTTTCTTTCGAAAGTGGGCTCACATCATGCAACCACAACTGCATGCCACCCCAACAGACGAGCTCGGTCCACGCCCTCGAGGACGATGCTTCCGTTTGCCCCTTTTTTGGGTCAGGCCAAAAGCACGGTGCACCGGGTGGATGCCCTGGCCATCCGTACAGACCGGCCCGCGACACGACAACGCATGCTGTGCTCTGTACGAGCAATAATCTCCAATAATCCCGACGATCCAGCACGGTTTCGGCCCTGCGTGGGGACGAAAGCTCCAACGTTCTCGGCCCCTCCGTCCGGCTTTCCAGATTATCCTCATTTCACACTCCTTCCACTGCCGGACATCGAAGGTGCCTCTCTTCCTCTGTCCGCTATCCACTCTCGACAAGGGGGGCGGAGCTTTGATGTGGATGTGCGCTTCGTGCCAAATAGACTTTTGGGCGGGCGTGTCGCACCAGCGACCGCGGGCACCGCTAAACCATGACCGGCCTTTCGCCCGGGCTCGTCGGCGGGGAACTGCAACTTGGATCGACACTGACAAGCCCAGATGGACGAGCTAAACCTCGAGCTCCGTTTTAATTGATCAGTCGGAGATGCCCCCGCCCATGGTCTCGAGCATTATTGGACTCGCCGATTTCTCAGCTTCTCGCGACTCCCGTCGAACTTGGTGCCAGCTGTCCCTCAGTGGAGACTATGCACGTCGGTCCATAGCGGCTCGCGAGCCGAAGGAGGAGGAAAAAGAAAAGAAAAGAAAAACAAACAGTTCAGCCCAAGCTTTCTGGCCGTCTCCAGGCGCACGGGGTGGAGGAGGTGGTGGCCTTGGTGGACGCTTGTCTCAGCACGCCTCGGATTCGGCCCGTCTCAAGCCCCATTTGGACGCTGACACTTGTATCAGATCGACTCCCTTTCCAGATGTTCACACCCTTTCCCAAACTCTATCATTGGCAAGAACGAGACAAGGCTCGCGATGGAGACTTCATCGTCGCCCGAAGAGGGAAAGGGGCCAGCAGAGTCCCCCTGAGCCGGCTTCAGAAAAAGCAGAGTGACAGGGAATTGTTGCAGCGCGGCGAGGGACAGTCACCCGTGCCATCCCAATCACGCCTTCCCCCAGGGGACGAGAGGAGCAGAGGATGGAGCAATAAAGTCACGGATCCTATGTATAGCGAGTCCTGGTGCTGGCGGAATCCGAATCGGGTGATAGATCAATGGTCCTTCTAGCACCATGCAAGCCCATCCCATCCTCCTCCGTGACGATGAAGTCTGGATCGCGCTCTGTAGGATTAGTTGCTTTTTCGCTGATTATTGATCTATTTTTCGACTATTTCCGATCGTTTCTCCTGATCCCCAGCAGTCGATCTGCACGCGTTGATTGACGGAGTTTCCTGTCCCTTGTTTCTACGCGCATGGGTGGCGCACGACACAGTAAGCGTCTGTCGGACCAGTCCAAAAACCCCGTCAGCCATGATTTTGAACCCAGGATTGTTTGGTGACCGATTATCGATTTATTGATTACATTGTTTTGTTTTTTAACTTTCGAAATGACCCCAAATTAACAGCGATGCTTCACAAGCCCAACCATCGGCTACAGCGTGGCGTGCCAAGCGCATCCGCGTCGAGTTGGAGCGAAACATTCGGCTACAGACTTAATGGTCTAGCTGCATTGCGGCGGTTTCAAGGCCCCGGTCCTAATCACCAGCACTCCTTTATGAAAACCGAAATACGCCATGGAGGAAGATTCATTCCCTATGTTGTGAGGGTTTGTCGCACTGGCTTCGCAACCCCTAGAGCATAGACGATTCATGCTGCCCGTGTATTTCGTTAGTACTTGATCGTATTTAGCCTGCCCGGCCCGCTCCCTTTTTTCTCTAGGTCTTTGGAGGAAGCGACTAGGATCAATGCGGAGATTGTTCATGTAGTCCAAGCCAATTCTCGGGGGCCCACGAGACCAGGCACTCGTGTTCCCTCTCCTTCCCCCTTTTTGTTGACTAGATGCTGTTTCCCCTCATGGTGAAGTCGGGGTTGGAGATGGAGCATGTCCAAATCCTTCGGCCAAGTTGGGACGGTAGTCAAGACTATTCGAACTATTTCCAATTGCTCGACAATAAACTCCCCGTAATCGGCTCAAAGGACCAAAGGATATTGACGCTTGAACTCTTTAAGATCCACGGCATGGCATACACAACACATTCAATTCATTGAAAGCATTGAACATATTGATTCGCTAAGTCCCGGACTATCACCGCAAATAGTTCAATAGTTCCATAGTTCATCACGTCCGCTCAGCCAGTGCGTGTTCTCACTGCGCTCCCATCGTCTCCAATGGCGTCTCCATAACCACATCACACCATTCACCGTCCACCCTCCGAGTTCCAATGCCCTAGGTCATGATTGGCGCGCAGGCTCTGTCTTCCCAGAAGCACATCCCCCACTCATGACGATCACCATCCTGCGACATCTCCTGTGCGCCCGAAGAGCCCTCGTAGTGCGGGGAAAGCTCCCCTCAGCCCTGTATCGCCATGATCCCCCAGTCCACGCAATGAGCGAGATGCACAAGCAGAGCACCATGCCAATCGCATCCCCATGACGCGTGTACTAGCAAACTCACTAGGCCAAATGCACCGCTCGTCGATCTAAAACCGCCCTTCCCCACACAGCGCTCATCTGACCGATCGTGCGGGGAGGCAAACCAGCAGGCCAGTGAAACCCGCCGGACCAGGCAAGACCTCCGAGTCGACAAACCAGCGTCCCAAGTGTCAGACCAAAGTCAGCCCCTCCACGAGTCTTTAAGTCCGATCAAAGTCCAGCCCGCGTGTCCGGGAAGCCCGGAGCCGAGCAACCCCAAGTCCATGGCCGTGCGCAATACAGAATCCGGGGGATGCGCCCACCAGCATAGAAAACCCTTCTATGGTCCACAGGAAATTCTTTCCATGTGGATATCTTCTTTTTTTCCCTGATCTCATTTCCAGGATCTCGGATCCTCGAATTCTGCTTGAGCCTCCAGAACCGGTTTCCAGGTCGCCGCGTTCGGCTCGGCGGAGCGGAAGAGAGTTCGGGGATGATGCTCGGGGTACTCCACCGCTCTTTCTTTTTAGGGTCAACCGGGCACAACGGGTACAGGTTCTAGTGATCGTCGAAAGAAGTTTTGGGAAGAGTGGGGAAGGTCTGGTCCCCGGGACGCCGGGTTAACCCCGAGAATCACGTTCTGATGGGAAAGACTTCCTGCTGCGATTGGATTGGTGATGGATGGAGACTGTGCGGGGGTCTGGAAACACCCGACAACTCGATATGGAGGCATGTGGCGGGGTTGGGTCTTGTGCTAGCAAATTATACTCCAACACATGGGATCATTAATTGGAAAGAGAGTCTGGATGACGTACACTGCGTGCTCACAAAGCTACTGTAGTCACTCGTGCTCGATAGAGACACAGATCACGGCTGCGTGACGAAGTATACAAAGTCCACAAAGGCCACAAAATACAGGTCGAGGATGCGATCATGTACTGTAGATCCAAGTCGAGCCTTTCCATTACCTGAATCACTCATGCATCCGGACCATGACGAAGTCCTTCCAGGGATACTCTATGTGGAATTGCAGACTCCCAATATTGAGACATGGTACAAACACAGAAGATTTCCTGATTCGGACCAAAATATCACAGCTTGGAGTCCACAGAACAAGGGCATATATTCAATTCCATCATCCCAGTAACGAAACGCAGCCGGGAATGCTGGCAGAATCACTCTTGCGAGATCAAGCTGCCCTCTTCAACCTATTATGGAATCTGAATCATTGAGGAGCATCTGACTAAGGTTGTAGATCGAACATGAAGCTCCTTGGCGGAATGGGCCAGTAGAGAGTGTCCATCCAACTTCACTTGTATTGTCTTTGTCTGCCCTTTCTCGATATCAGGATCCACTAAAATACCCGCAGCTGCTATGCAGTGCCACAGCTGTGGAAAGTAGGGTACAATTTGCAAACTGGTGCAAATTCATATTTACTCTTTTCCCGTTACATAGCTAAGATATAGCCAGCTCAAGATCTGGATCAGTGTCCTCAATGATATGCTGCTTATAGTCGATCCCGAGAGCTTTTATTGCGAGACGTTCATCCTCATTGCGAACAGTCACCGTGATTCGTACTGCCATCAACTGTTGAGCAAGATGGATGGCGTACCGACCGACTGAAGTGGCGGCAGCCAAAATCTAAATCGTTTGACCTGCTCTAGGTTGGGAAAGGTCAACCAGGGCTCTATAGGCTGTGCCAGGCGAGATGGCCCAGTCGGCCGCATCTTCGGGAGATGTATCCGAAGCAAGAACCTCACAGCAGAACCCGAGAACGCAGATCTGCGTATATAGAAACTCTAGAAGCGCGCAACCCCATACCCTGTCGCTGGGCTTTGGGTGCGGGCAGTTGATTCCAACCTTAGTGACTATATTACTAACTCCAGAGACAGATCCTCCAGTGAGACTTTTGAGAGTTAGCCCCTGAAAGCATGAAGATATGCACTTAGAACTTAACTAGCGTCCATGGTCTTCACCTGAATGCGGATCTGGTCCACGGCCGAATCTCACTGCTTCCCTCAAATGATGTGCATGCAGAGTCTTCAAACCGCAATTGGACTCGTGTGTCACCTAGGTTGCATCAAATCCGGTGTGTATCATCCCCTGCAGCCCGCCATTATGATTGAAAGGCGGTTCTCATCCACCCATCGATTGATTTGGATGTACCCCTCGAGCTCCACATACTCTCAGTCGGTCATTTGGGAGTTCACCATTTTTGCCACAGTCTGTGCAATAATACCTGGCGAACAAGCCTTATTCTGCTAGAATAACAAGTATCAGAGGTTAAATTCGCGTCCTTGTTCTGTAGGACCCGCAGGTAGCCTGCTGCCGCCTACATCGCCGGGTCCTCTCCCATGGCAACCCAAAGCATGCGCTCGCTGTGAAACATTATGTATTTGAGTGCGGCAGTATTCTCGACAAAAGGATCTTGGAGAAAAGGTGATTGTGGCTCCAGTAGGAACACCAGCCTTCGTTCTTAGAGGAAGTGACGTCTACCGGCCAGTTTAGGCTTCCGGAACTAATCCATGGGCGGCAAGTTACATAGTTGTTTGATCAGATATATTCATCAATTGTAACGAGGTATTTCTGGGTTAATCAGGATAACATCTAAGTCTGTCTTAGACACTGCATCGGGCGCTCTTTTGCCCAGATACCAACTTGATGAGTTGATTTATTGAGCTATGATCAAGAATTTGAGGTTGGTTCATTTTTTGTATACAGACTTCCATTGCTCTAAAATGAAGATATTCTGTCATGACCAAAAAAACCTTAATCCAGATGTGTATAGGTAATCAGTAATCCACCCGCGCGATGCACTTGTGTAGCTGCTGGGTTTCCTCGGAGGTGATTACACCGCTATGCACAATGGCCATGCTCAATGGAGCTCTCATCCATACTCAAAAACCTTCGCCAATGAAGCTGAATGGCAGAATATCCGCCTATTTTCTGGACTGGTGTTTGCCACTGGCAAACTTTTCAGAATCTGCTTCCAAGCCTGTATATATAGCTGGTGCAACGAGTCATCGATCCTCGCGATAAAAGCGACATTATGTAAGAACATTACTTTTCAGCGTAGTAAACGATCGATTAGTTAAGGAATCAACAATGAACCGGATATGAAATTGTAGTGACTCCTATACTGAACAAACTGAATCTTTAAAAGTTTTCTTTTGCCGACGAGCGCTGCACCAAACTTACTGACGCTACCGAGCGTTTGAGGATGCTCACGCCTAGACCAATCATTACACTAGGTGGTGGATGTCAAACAACAGGTCGTATATTTCCAGTCGGGCCTGAGAATAGCTGAGCAGCGGCGCAAATTCATCGTGAAAGTCCAGGATATCTTGATCGGAGTTGTGCACCACATCTTCGGGGATTCCCTGCCCATCGAACATAGTCATCAACGCCAGGAGATCGATCGCCACCGCTTGCTCCTGACGGATCTACTCAAACTATAACCGCCATATTGCGATCACCGCTTATCGAATGCTGGGATCGCGCCGGAGATGCGTGGAGTCCTTGTCTGGTAGAAGCCGCGTGCGCTTCGACTCGCTTTTATAGAAAAGTCGGTATGCAGAGACAGTGATTAGGGGTAACTGTTGGCAATATACGCTGCATCCTGTGTGACAGCGAGTAGGATATACTCTTGTGCCTGGAACAGTGCCCTCTTGTCCTTTTCAGGCTCTAAATTGGGCGATCGAAATTCTTGCCCCGTAAAAGAGCGAGGGACTCTTCCTTATTTATTAGCTGAACTTCATTTACATGACTATCACCCCTATCAGAATTCGTGCCGCAAGCTCATTTCGCAATGCGATCAACATTGATCTATGAGCGGCCTCGGGCAGGAAGCCCAACAGTAGCCCTCGTTCAATGGATGTATTGACACTGCAAAGATATTCTTGTCATCCGCATTATCCAACCCCACAAATGCCACCTGACCATGAGACTACTATATTTTGTCAACCACGCGTTCGAAGGAGTGGCCCTTTGAGCCCTGGAGTTGTTGCCTGCTTTTTGGTGCAGAATTCTTTTTAGTAATCTTCAAGTTGAAGCTTCACTTTGAATTTACTCGTCTTTGGTCATCATAGAATGCAGACTTATTTATACCTCATAGGGATATGCCGCTCTGGGCCATCTTCACTGCTTCTATAGAGTGCCAAGAGCCTCAATACCATCTCAGTTGTAAAATAAGTGATTTATGCACCTCAGTAGGCTGGCGACGGCCCTCGGGGGTTTCTCCCCGGGGGCCGATTTAAATGCTATGGGGCCTGCAATAGCGTTATCCATAACCTCAACCTCTAAATCAGAACCCCAGGTCGAGGTCTGGCGCTGAAGAAAAGAAGCAAACACTTCGGATTAATCGGAAGAGACGAAATTCCCTTCTTCAAAACCGTCTCTCCCTTGTACAAAGGGTGAGTTAAAACGTCGATCGCGAATATTACCCCAAACGGAACTTGCTTTCTGTCTTTCCATCCCATTGAGCTACCTAGTCTCGCATACCTCACCAGTCTTCACGAACATGTACCCCCGGGTAAAAGTTTTAAACGAAGGCAAGTGGCCCCGGAATTACAAAGAATAACCTAGCCATGATATTGAGGATAGTGCCTCCCGACAGTCCTGAGAACATCCGGCTACGGAGCCCCGGCCGATATACTGGGTTCTCTCCACTTGGGGGCTGGCCGATAAACTCACGCCACCCCACAAAATTCGGCTTTACCAGCCCGTGTGCGGAACCTCGGTTATGTAATCAAGCCTTATGTTTACCCAGGAGAGACGGAATTGACTCTAGCGAAGTCTCGCCATTCATTTGCAAGAGATTTAGCAAAATGTATGCATCCGGCTTTGGCAACGTTATAAGACGTTTGCTCTTGCGGGTAGTTCGCGATCTGGCCCGACATGGAAGATGTGAAGATGAAGGATCCCATCCCCCGTTCCTTGAAGTGCGGCTCGACAGCTTTAGCGCAGTAGTAAGGACCGTTCAAATCAACCTCAATAATATTCTTCCAGTCCTCAATCCCTCCATCAAGATCCCCGGAAGAGGTCGCCTGCCCCGCATTTGCGATAAATCCATCAATATGGCCGAAGTCGGCGATCATGGTTTGGACTAATTTCTGAACTGAGCCATAGTCACAAATGTCGCAGAAGTAGGCAATACATCTGACATTGAAGTCCTTTTGTAACTGTGAAGCAGCCTTGTTCGCCTCCTCTTCCTGAGAAAAATATGTAATAGCGATGGAGGCGCCCATCTCGGCACAGCCACGGGCGGCTTCAAGGCCGATGCCATAGGACCCCGAAAAACCATTGACCACAACAACCTTGCTTTTGAGACTGAAGAGATCCGCCAATCGGTCGGCTTGTGGAGTCGGGATAGGCATTTTGAAATCGTTTTAAGACGAGGGCCAAATAACTAAAGGGGCCTGGTGCAAGCTCAAGTTGTTGGCGTTTTCAACCTTAAAAGGGATGGGTGAAAAAACACTAACGTAAATGCCATCCGGAATTAAATTTATTTGAGAGCGAGATACCTTACAGTGGTTCATTTTTTATTACCCACAAGCTGCAGCGATTGAGAAGGAGGGGTTCTCGATTTCTCTATTCCCTCACGAACCAAGGAAACTTTCACTTGAAGGAGTATACTTGCCGATTAGACCAACTTCGGGTGGATCAATAAGTGGATCCGCATGAATTTTCTAGTTTAGACATCTACATCCTCGCCACGTCGCAGTATGTGTCGACACAGAACTTCCAACTTTTCAATTGAGAATGAATGACCCCGCGCTCCTATATCTCATATTTGGTGTGTCAAGTATATAAGGAAGGACGAGGTATGGATATGTTGATAAAAAAAGCAAACCGTCATCAATTGATTGACTTATTCTCGAGGTCACATCATGGAAGTATGTAATGCATGTCTAATTGAACTCATATGTTATTCCCTCTGACCTTTGAATGATTCAGAATCCATCATTCGTCTTACGCGCCGTCAAGGACGTTGTCATAGAGGACCGCCCCAAGCCTGTCCTCAAGGACCCCCACGATGTTATCGTCCACGTTGCGCAGACCGGTATCTGTGGTAGCGACGTAAGTATCATTCAACTGAATCAGAATCAGATGTACCAAGACATAGTTCCTAATCCTAATTTATCTTTTGTTAGGTTCACTACTGGCAACGCGGTCGCATTGGCGATTGCAAGCTCACCGGCCCCATGGTGCTGGGCCACGAATCCTCGGGTGTTGTCGTCGAGACTGGTGACAAGGTGACAGACCTTAAACCTGGCGATCGAGTTGCCATGGAGCCTGGCGTCCCATGTCGACGTTGTGAGTACTGCCGAAAGGGCTCCTACCTTCTCTGTGGTGATATGATCTTTGCTGCCACACCACCCTGGGATGGTACCCTTGCCAAGTACTATGTCAACGCCGCCGACTTCTGCTACAAGGTCCCTGATTCAATGACATTGGAGGAGGCGGCGATGGTCGAGCCTGTCTCTGTTGCAGCGGCTATCGCTAAGACAGCCGAGCTGTGTGCACACCAGACCGTACTTGTTCTTGGGTGTGGTCCAATTGGTGTTTTATGCCAGGCCGTCGCCAAGGCCTATGGAGCTAAGACCGTTATTGGTGTTGATGTTGTTCAGTCTCATCTTGATGTCGCGAAGTCATATGGTACCGACCATGTGTGTACCCTCCTCGCGCAGAGCCGGGCGCGGACCCTATGGAACATGCGGAGAAGGTTGCACTACAGATGAACAAAGAATTGGGACTTGGTGATGGTGCGGATGTTGTTCTTGAATGTTCTGGCGCAGAGCCTTGTGTTCAAATCGGTATCTACGCGGCCAAGAGGGGGGCCACCTTTGTGCAGGCTGGCATGGGCAAGGAGAACATCAACTTCCCTATTACCGCTGTCTGTACCCGTGGGTTGGTAATCAAGGGATCAATTCGCTACTTGGCTGGCTGCTATCATGCTGCCATTGATCTGATCGCTAAGGGTCAAATTGATGTCAAGCGTCTGATTACAAACCGCTACAAATTTGAGGAGTCAGAGCAAGCCTTTGCGCTTGTCAAGGCTGGGCGCCAAGATGTATTCAAAGTTATGATTGCCGGTGTTGGCTACTAAATGTGCTGAACGATGTTTTCATGGTTGATGAGAATTAATAATGCGTGTGAATTTTCTTTGATTGAAAGGCGGGGGTTAATGCTTGAGATGGCGAGTTGATAATGAATTAGACTTGATGGTTAAAATTTTGTTGCTCATTAAATATCTTTAATGGTCACAATATAGCGAACATAACCAGAGATCACGGGCAATCATGATTCCTGGGCTCAAATGGTATTCCCCACTCGTCAAATAAATCCTTGATGCGGTAGTCTGTGAAGTATCCAAGCTTATCTTCAATTTGTCGCAGTAGTCGAACGACGACCTGTCTTTCACTGGAGCCCGGTAAACATCTCCCAGCGACATACAGTGGCTGGATCATGTGTTTTTGCACCAAGGAATTAGGCATCCCGAACGCTATTGGAATTATTACCATTGCATGATCGACAAGTTCCCGTTGTAACTTATTATAGGTACGGAGCAAGTCCTGAGGTCCGCGTGACTGCACGGAAAGGAATGCTTCCTTAGGTTGATTCACTAAGAGCAAGATCCTTGCCATATGATAATATGCCATAGCAATTGCACAGATCTCCGATCCATACCATATTTCGAGCATTGAAAGATCTTCCAGGTTATTTTGTGATGGTGGAAGTGTTTGGCTTATGGGGGCTAAGAATTCCGTGGGCAATGCGTGATACCACCGGGAAAACTCGAAATCAAGATGAACCCATTGGGTAGAGGCACCGCAATCTTGACTGATCAACTTGCAGAGGAGTCGAATAAGAGCTTTAAAGAAGGTGACTTCTTGATACTGCTCATCGATGTAATTGACTACCAATTGCCCCGTATCGTTTAGTGGGAGGCCCATTTTCTGCCATAATGAGATATCGTCCGGGTTCAATCGACATGGTCGGCTCAAGACAACTATGAAATTGTGGAGTTAACACAGTTGCCATGTAAAGCTTTAAAAGCTCTATATCGAATTTGCAAAGACAAAGAGGTGGATTACACGACTTACAACTATTTAAAACATCTTCAATAGCGAAGTACCAAAAAGACATGTCCAATGCCCTATCTGCTTGAGGAATGGTGGCGGAAACTTCAGGGGGAATCGGGATATCGAGATGTGGCCAAAGTAGCTTATTGATGCCGTTCAGATGCCCAGACCATGCCCCCATGGTTGCATTGAGCTCTTCGTAGGAACTAAGAATAGACGCTGATAGAATTCGAAAAATGGATGACAAGCTCTCATTTTCCTCAAGTTGTTGGTGATCATTTCTGCGCAATTGGTAAATATCTTGCGGAGAAGGATGGGCAGTGGAGTTTGGAGTATGTGAAATTTGTTGAGACATCAGCCGAATTGCCTTCTCATAATACTTCGCCCCATACCATAAGAAATCTAATCCAGGCTTGAGAAGGGCAGATGCTGTGATATTTGACCGTTGGGTCCTGTCTATAGACGAGGTGAAATCTTTCATCTGGCCTAGCTGTTTGGCTGCTATTGCACACGCGGAGTATCGTAGTAATGGACTTTGCCTGGCAAGCTGAACAACATATTTGCTGAAATATGCTCTTTGAGTAGTAGCAATATCCATCCATAGCCCTGTGGTTTCCGCGAAATGTCGCAGAAAGAAACAAACCTCAACGTAATCTCGACTGGTCTCTTCCAGTAAGCTTGCAGGGATAGCAGATTGATTGGACGAGGCGTGACTTATCACCGTTGGGTAGTCTTGAACAACGTTGGGGCTTAGATTACTGGAAGGCAATGACTGAGCAGATGGTGTTCCGGTTGCTACTTGATAATCAATCACCGCTGACGTTGGAACTAAAAGCCCTTCGACCGGGATGTCTGTTGTTGGTTGAGCTGGTGAGGTATTCGAGACCCTCACTTCATGAGTACTCTCAAGGCCACCGACAACATCCCCACCAGATGGCGGTTGATCTGTTTTCACAAAGGGCGGGTCAGAAAATTCAAACTATTGGCTGAGAACGAGCAAGAAAATAAATAAACTAGTAGACTTACTGGCCTGCGATGGCGATCCCCAGATTCCCGCAAGCTCCTCTTGTACTGCTAGTCGGGGCGGGGACTGTGCCTTGCTGGATTTCTCAGCCCGGCGGGGAGATGGAGCGGTCGGGAAAGAGAGGGAGTGAGGCCGAAAAAGACCATCGATGATCCTGCAAGCCCGACCATTTTTCAAACATTGTGTACATTCAGGTTGTGTCTCATCACACTTGATCTTACGGAACCGGCATTCCGGGCTAAATGGCCAGGCTTAGTAGTGATGTGTCACGTTCCGCCATGTAATCACTTACCAGCCTTTGCGCGACCGATGAGTATCACGGCTTGTCCTCTTTGATCGGAGTGGGCCAGACGTCATCTTGTGCTCACTAAAAATAAGGAGTATGGCGATGTTAGACCGCAAGTAGATAGTAAGGGGGCCAACGGCAAAAGGAATTCCATGCAAGATGCAAGGCTGCCGAGTGATTGCATGGGGCAAAGCGTTAACCCCCTGGAGCTTGTCGCGGGGTAAAACCGGGGAAAGTCAATCCCGCAATTTGACCGAAAGGGGAAGAGGATAAACCCCACTTGTTACTATCCATAAATATTCACGCATAATTGACCTGAAATATTAGTCCTCGTCATTATTACCGTTTCAAGTCGGCAGAAGCTGTCCACCCTCTCCAGATGGATAGAAAGGAAGGGCATCAGAGAACCCCTCTAAGAGTCGGAATGGTCATTATTAAAGACTCTGCTGGTTGCCAGTGCTACTTTCATCATTATCATATTTTTTTCTGTTGTGTCGCTTCCATATTCTTTTACAACCTCACTTTCATCTGTCATAATGCCTCTTTACCAACCTCCTGACGTAAACACACCTGTGCTGTCGCAGTGACTGGTGGCGCTCGTGGCATTGGCCTGGAAGTGGTTCGGGGTATGGCCGAGGCTGGGGCCGATGTTGCCCTGCTCTACACTAGCACGGCTGACGCTCCTGAGAGTGCTGCCAAGATTGCTAAGGAAACTGGTCGCCGCGTCCTGGCCTACCAATCCGATGTCACCAATCGGAGCAAGATCGCCGCTACACTCAATCAAGTTGCCGAGAAATTCGGCCGGCTTGACGTAGTCATCGCAAATGCAGGCACTTGCACTAACAGACCAAGATTGGAGTACGATGAGGAGAGTTGGGCTCGTGATAACCGCGTCAACTACGACGGGGTTTTTTGGACCACGCAAGCTGCCGGCAAGGATTTTAAGAAACAGGGGAAGGGTAACTTCATTATCACTGCCTCGGTTAGCGCCATTCTAGTCAATATCCCACAGACTCAATATGCATACAACGCTTCCAAGGCGGCCGCGGTGCATCTAGCAAAGAGTCTGGCTGTCGAGTGGACCGACTTCGCGCGTGTGAATTGCATTTCTCCTGGTTTCATTATGACAAAAAGTGAGTGATTATTCTTTTTCCAACCCATTATGCTCCTCAAATTTAACCTAATCCCACGAAATAGTGCTCACTCAACAGCCCCCCAAGCTTTTCGAAAAGTGGATATCCATGATTCCCGGTGGCCGTATCTGCGAACCTGCTGAACTGAAATCTGTAAATTACTCAACTCAATTTCCTATAATTCGATAACATACTAATCTCACATAGGCCTATGTTTTCCTCGCCAGTGATGCATGCTGCTATATGACTGGATCAAACCTGGTCATCGATGGCGGTTATACTCTTCCTTGAACTTTATACTTCCTTTTGTCAAAACATAGATATTTATGAATGAAAACGATAATATTTGATAGACAGCTGATCAATACAACGCGCACTTTCTGAATATACATGTGTAATGGTACCCTTGGCACATCATGTGCAAACTCTAAGGTAGATTTTCTCAATTGGGAATGATTCAAGGCTGAGGATATAAAGTGGCGTGAACATTTTTGGCATTCTGAAGCCACAATCCGCGTAGAATGTGGCATTTAGTCTTCCCCGCCTCCCTTACACAACCAAAACAATTTCACCTTGACCTGGCAAGATGGCAAGAAAAATCGCGAGCCATCATGGCAGAGATGTTTCCCTATGGGGAGTACTAGAGCATAGCATGGCTGAACTTCAAATGCTGCTTCCGCATATCAAAGAGGTGATGAAGTCGATATTAAGGAGTATGAAAAATATCGACTGCATGTGGCCACGGATTGCCTCAATTGCGGATGGTATTTACTGCTTCGATGAACACATGAGACAGAAGTAATGCTTTAAGGGCGTTAAATGTGCGAAAGGATAGCAGTGTCAGTAACTTTGGCTAAATGCTCTCCATTTTACTCTAGGCTAAGCTAATCATTTACTTCTTCCACTTGAACTCTCCGCTATCACCTCTCCTTCCACTTTCACTTGATCGCCTCGGGAGCGTTTTGGTAGTATCAGATAAATATAGAGATTAGAGAGTAAGTTGTAGTGGTCGGCATACATTATGGCAACTCAACATAAGGGAATTTCTCATATACAATGATAGTGGCCTTTTGATTGTTTGATGTGGGAGTAGCCCATGCACACTTGGACATACATGGAAAAATATTGTTTACTCGCGGATATAAGATGTCCTGGAGTATTTCCCCAACTTTTCCAGACCAGCCCGTCTTTCAGCGAATAAGACAAGTACAAGGCAGATGTAACCTCTACTCTCGTTTATCTTCTTGCTTTGGTATATGATCCACAGACCATTATTATGACTCGATGTGCGGGGGTGGTAGTACCCATTTACCATTATCTACCTGCGTCTACCCAATATTTCCCTTGTCTTGTAGCACCTTCCCGATCAGGTCTAACGGCTTAATTGATGAGCCTGTCGAAGTCCCGGCAGTTTGTTTATCTGTAATTTGCTGCAAACATTTCTCCTAGCTTTCGGGAAGGAAAACAGCCAACCATCGAGCGAGCTATCAGCCAACCTGTCCGTGCGTTGGCATCACAGGCGGAACAGCCCGCGCCTCCGCACGCCGTCGAAGGGTCCTACAGATATCAAGCTTCTTGAAAAGGCAACTTCTCTCATGATATCAGTAGCACACCTTTGGCAGCTCTCGGTACAGAACACATTCATGATGCTACTCCGTATCGCCATTCAGGAGGGAGAAGTGGGGTTGTCTAGTATTTAAAATCGCCCGAGTTTCGCGAAGGAGAAACTCGACACTAGAGCCCTTTCTTTGGAATAGATTTATCATCTAGAAGCAACATTGAGCCAGGCAAAATTGAGCGAATCAAAATGAGCAATCCCGAAGAAGGGCGAACCTACTCGATTGCAACCCAGTCCGTCAATATCGAGGTCAAGAATGGCATGCTACCGGCAGGCAAAGCAGATGCCGCCCTTGAATTCTTACGCGATGGGGACACGGCTGTCGCAATTCTGATTGATGAAAGGAGATTGGTTAGGAAGATTGACTGGATGATCATGCCGTTGATGTGGGCTGCATACAACTTACAATATCTGGACAAGGTAATCATCAATTATGCCTCCGTGATGGGTCTGCTTAGCGACACCAACATGCGAACGAACCAATTCTCAGACCTGACGTTGGCATTCTATATCACATATCTCTTTTTTGAGTTGCCAACAGGATATCTCATGCAACGGTGTCCCACTGCGAAGTACCTGGGCTTCAATGTCATACTGTGGGGGCTCATGACCACATTGAACTGCATCGCGCAGAACTTTGGCGGTTTAGTGGCTCTGCGAGTGCTATTGGGATGCTTTGAGAGCGCTATTGCTCCCTCTTTAATTCTGATTACCTCGATGTGGTACAAAAGGAATGAACAGCCTAGGCGCATGGGAATCTGGTACCTCGGTACCGGCACAGCCTCTATCATGGGGGCTTTAGTTTCATACGGACTTCTTTTCTACACAAACGACCGCTTTAAATCCTGGCAAATTTTGTTCCTAGTCTTCGGCATTATTACGATCGCTGTTGGAGTTTCCATCTTCATCTTCCTTCCGGATAACCCAATGACCTCTCGCCTAACACAGGCCGAGAAAGTCCTCGCCATCGACAGACTACGCGAGAATCAAACCGGCATCGAGAACAAGCACTTCAAAGGGGATCAGGCTTTGGAGACTCTTCGCGACCCCCAGACTTACCTGATCGCCATCATTGTGATATCGATGAATGTATCCAACGCCGCCATCAGCAGCTTCACCTCGTTGATCATCAAGAACATTGGTTTCACAACGAAGGAGACCGAGCTCTTAAATATTCCAAATGGAGCTGTCAGTATTGTTAGCATCCTCTTGTTCTCCTTTCTCGCGGCCCATTACGACCAGCGCTGCCTCTGTGTCGCAGCCGCTCTCTGCTGTGGCGTACTAGGCGGCTGTTTACTTGCCTTCTCGCCAAAGGATCTGAAAGCCGCTCAGTTGGCAGGTAACTACCTGACGCAGATAACTGGGTCTGCGCTTCCAATAATGTACTCTATTGCTGGCGCCAATGTGGCTGGCCACACTAAGAAAGTCACCATGAACGCCATTCTCTTGATGTCATTCTGCTTGGGAAATATATTGGGCCCGCTTACGTTCCGCACGCAAGATGAGCCAGACTATGTTCCGGCTAAGATTGCGCTCGTTGCGACTATCCTGGTAGCTATTGTGACGACTTTTTTGCTCCGGACCTATTATGTGTGGGAGAATCGGCGCAGGGGCCGGCACCATGAGGGCGAGGCGCCTTCGGAGAACTCAGGGCTCCTGGATTTGACGGATAGGAAGAATGGTGAATTTCGGGTAAGCCGATCGCCTGGGATTGGATCCGCTGAACACAATGCTAACTTTAGCTCAGTATAAGCTATAGCGTTTGACAGGCCCCTTTGCAGGACTATCGTGTTAGCCACAGTGTGGACGAGGCCTGACTAGTGTTGAAATTCTATACTAGCAGGCTTCGCGTGACGGCCTTATACTATAGGATAAACTATAAGATAAAGCTTTGTAGTATTCATATATTCATTATTTAATTTCTAAAACAAAAAAAAACGGAAATCCAATCTGAAACAAAAAACGCTATAAATGCAAGATGCAAATGCCACGTTTATAAGATAAGAACAGAACAATCATATCTGTTCATGCTTAAGCGGCAGCCTCGGTGGCCTTCTTGAACTCTGGGCTGAAGTCGAAATCGATAAATCCCTTAGGATCCTTGGGAAGATAGAAGGTGTCGCGGTCATACGGCACAAGCGGCACGTTCTCCTTCAGTCGGAAGGCGAGATCCGGGTTTGGAATAAAAGGACGGCCAAAGCCAATCACCACATCATAACCTTGATACTGGTGATCAACAGCCTCCCGGGCAGATTCTGGCTTGTATCCGCCCGCAATGATCACGGGGCCAGCCTGGCCGTAGGCCTGTAGGAATGGCTCTAGCTTCTCGCTACTCCCACCGTCGGCGTTGCCAATGACGCGCGCCTCAACATAGTGAACATAGGCCAGCTTGAAAGAGGCCATCGCATGTGCCAGGTGCTCGAACTGAGGGTACGGGTCGGCCATCTTCATGGCTTGAAAGGTACTGTATGGACTGAAGCGAATGCCAGTTCGGTCGGCGCCAATGGCGTCGACGACGGCTTGGGTCACTTCAATGGCGAAGCGGGAGCGGTTTTCGACGCTGCCGCCCCAGCGGTCTGTACGCTGGTTGCTCATGTCCTGGATGAACTGGTCGAGCAGGTAGCCATTGGCCGCGTGAATCTCCACGCCGTCAAAGCCCGCAGCGATGGCATTGCGGGCAGCCTGGGCATAGTCGTTGATATAGGCTTGGATCTCGTCCTCGGTCAAGGGCCGCGGCATGGGCGCTTCGGCGGAGGCAGGGATAGCACTAGCACAAACGACATCAAAGCCCCCCTCGGCCTTGAGCAGGTCGGGGTTGGCCACGCGGCCCAGAGCCCAGAGTTGCATGTAGATGTAGGACCCCTTGGCGTGGACGGCATCGGTGATCTCTTTCCAGGCGGCGATCTGGGCCTCGTTGTAGATCCCAGGCACGTTGGGGTAGCCGCCGGCCTGGGGAGAGATGAAAGTTGCCTCGGTAATGAGCAGAGTACCCGGCACAGAGGCACGTTGAGCATAGTATTCCTTGACTATGGGCAGCGGGACATGCTGGTCATCGGCGCGGAAGCGGGTCATCGGCGCCATGGCAATACGATTGGCGAGCTCCATGCGCCCAACACGGAGGGGACTGAACAAGTTCGACATGGTAGTATATAGTGATAGATTGTGATAGTCGAGAAAACTTCAATCCCGTCTGGATTTAACCGATGGTGGTAGTTAGAGCACTGGACGAGGCGGAGGTAGGTTTATATTTCTTCATGTTCCTCTCTTGCAACGAAGCCGTGGACCCACTCGATGGATTTCAAAGCAACCGATGCCGAGTTTTTTTACAAATTCGCTAAGGAGTGGATTAGGTACTGTTGAATTCTTTCGAATTCTGCGCTCCTAAGTCTCCGAGATCCACTCGCGCGCGGCAAAGGTTTGCCCGGGTCACTTTACCACTAAACTCTATTTCATATCTCAGATCAGGAGTTTATTTTTATACAACACGAGTTATCCTGGCACGTTGTCATTCCACTCAACTCCGCGGTCCTTCCACTGATGGATGAGTGAATATTTTGCACTATGGTAGTCTTGATCCATTATCGAAACTACCGTGTAACTATCGTGAAATCACATTGCATAGAGTGATCGATTAGATCAAAACAACTCTACATCGGTCTCTGAACGCCTTCTTCCTTGGTCCAGCCATGGAATCTTTCCTCTCTCTCCTGCTTGTGGGCACAAACTGGCTGCAGCCTGGTATCATGGTATTACAGTGTCCCATTTCATGGCAGAAATGCGACTTCGATTCAGCATGAAAAAGAAAACCAAAAAAAAAATCATGACCTCTCGAGAGCGCGTGCAGTAGTCTCAAGTTGGTGATTGAAGGCGCGAATTTGGTGAAGCAAGCCCCCTTGTGCACCGGGCGCTCGAGAACTCACCTCGTCAGCAACGGTACGAAGTAGAAACTCGAGATCGGCAGAAGACGGGTCGGAGCCGGATGCGGCACCATGTTGGCTGCGATCGAGAGCTAATTCCAGGCTGTGAAGCGAGTGGTTTATGGTGGTACGGGACTAGAGTATATTGTCAACCTTTCTGATCTGAATAGCTTCCGGGTAGTTGAGAGAAATAGAGAGAGGTATCACTCACCATCTTTGCCTGTTCTTCTTCCATGTGCTTGCTGCGTACGGCATCCATCTGCAAAGCGACAGTCTCACGTTCCCGCCGGACCTTGTACAGCTGGCTCCGTAGGTCCATCATGTCTCGTTTCGCCTTCTTGAGTTGTACTCCCAGTACAAAGTTGCTATCCAACATCTCGCTCAGATCTAATAGACGGCCATCCAATTCAGATCCGAAGGTTTCGACAGCTCTGCGCTTGCGCGTCCACTCCGCCCGCTTTTGAGGATTCGTCTCGTTGGCAATCCCGTTCTTCAGTGTTGCAAGAGTCTTCTCCAGTGTCTCGCGACAAATCTGGCCTAAGACATCTGCCGGGTTGACGCCCCCGCGGTTGGGCAATTTAGTCTTCTGGCCAAGGGAGAGCTCGTCGGCAGATCCCTCGTCATCACCGCCAGATCCATCCGCAGAAGCATATGGCGCACCCAAAGCGGCAGGGTTGGAAAGACGACGGACAGTAACGGGGACGGTTTCGCCTCGAGGCTCTCTAGCCTTCCGATTCGATTCTTGGGTGGCTTCAGGATCTGGCTGCTCTTCCGATGGCGTTCTTTCTGAATCCGCTGCACGCTTCGATTTCTTACTTCGTCTTCCGCGAGACTTGGATGACGCACTTTCGGTTTCTGGTGCGAGATCTCCCTCAGTGTCTGGTTGGGGCTGAGATTCCGGCTCGAGTTCAGTCTCAGCTCCCGGTTCTGCCTGTGCCTCTCGCTTCTTGTCCTGCTTGCGTCCCCGATGTTGAGTCGGTTTAGGTGGTAGGTTTTCAGAGCTTGTGGGTTCAATTCGGCTCGTTGGTTGTTCTTGAGACACCGTCGTATCGGGTGTTTCTTGAGCAAGCGACGGCGCCCCCCGACGACGTTTAGTATTGGATGACTGTGGTTCTGTCCGAATGGGTTCTCTTTGCTGCTGTGGTCGGACTTTGCTCTTGGTTGCGTGCGCTCTTTTGCTGGTAAGGGGTGGTGTACCCCGAGTTCGCTTGGCCTTCGTAGTCGCCTGCGCTTCGACACTGCCGGCCTCGTCTTGTCGTTTGGGTTCCGTTTCTGGCACCGTATCTTCAGTGTTCTGTATTGGAGAAGTATTGCTGTTGACTTGGCGTGCCCGGGGACGCCGAGATTTTGGACCATCCCTAGATGGTGGCCTATTCTTGGTGGTCCTAGGGCTTTCGGTTGTATCAGCACCCTGATCGGGCTTCACCCCCCTTCGCCCCGTCTTAATGCCTGCATCAGATATATGAGTTTGGTTGTCTTCGGAGAGTCTTGTCGAGCTATCAGGCCGGGGTATGGCTTGTGTCTTAGAATTATCACCCAGTTCAACACTTGGTGACGTAGAATTTCGTGGGGCATTCTTTCTCGGTCGTGCTTCATTCTCTTTCGCCGGCTCGGTTGTTGGCTCGATCGTTTCAGCTGGTGACTGACCCTGATTCATTTGCCTCGCGGGTTGAGTTGGCTCAATCACCAGCCGGGATGCAGGCAATGGGGCCATCGCCGGGCGCGTTCGAGCAAGTATTGTCGCGCTGTTTGGCGAAGGCTCGGATATACCGGGCGTGGATTTTGCTAGTCCATTGGTGCTCGAAACCTCATTTTTGTGTCCTATTCTGTTCGTCGTGGGGTCTGGGACGGCGGCTTGCGACACAGACCTTGTCGGGGTCGCTTCCTCACCAGTCTGTGTTGTTATCGAGTCATCTTTTGTTGATTTCGACGGCTGGGCCCAGGATGGTGTATCATCTGTCCGAGTAGGTGGGTCTATCAGGAATGTATTAGCAGCGCTTACAACCTATTCAAAGGCCAAAGGCATTGCGAAGCCGACGACGTACTGAGTCTCCTTCGTTTACTGCTAGACGGCTGGATAGGCGGGTCGTCCGAAGGTAGGTCATATTCCGATGGTCGTTCGGGAAGGTGATTGCGCGAACTGGTTGGTGTGCGCCCAGACTTCTGCTGGGCATGCGAATGCGACTGTGAGGGAGCTTTCGGCGCTGGCGTCGCGGTGGTCGGCGCGATGTGTGTTTGCGACGGCGCTGTCGATTCAGGGATCAGGGGAAATGCTGCCGCATCTGAGGCCTCGTTTGCGGGTCCTCCAAAGGAGAATCCAAAATCGACTTCTTTAATTTTGCGCGTGCTGTTGTGCTCGTTAGCTGTCGATATCTATGTTATGGTTCTCGCGGGGTAGAGGCGCGTGTACCCAGCTCCGCGCTGTCGCATTTGCAGCCGCTCCTCGCGTGCTGGGAAAATGTTAGTAAAGATGTCCCAATCCCTCTCGATAAACATTTAATACATACTGGAAGCCATGGTGGAGGAACGGCGTCGAGATAGACGCGTCGTGTTGGATGTTGGAGAAGCAGAGATGCCGGCGGTCGGGCCCAAAGGCGATCGGGCGATCCATTTTTGTCCCGATTTCTCCGCGACGTCCCAGCAAAGTCGCCCTTCTCCAGACCTCCCCTCTTTGTCGCTTGAGTCATTCCCAATGGGTTGGTTTTGGGGCGATAGCAAGAACGATCCCGTGAAGAAGCTCGATCCGGGGCTCCGGGAGTTCCTGGAGCAGGAGACGCCCGACAAATACGTCCCTGCAGATGTGAAGTCACCAACCCCGACCCCTACGCCGTCACCCCAACCCACGACCCCCGCCGAATCGTCCGAGCCCAAGGTCCCAGCGGCATCGCTTTATCAGGATGGTCGCTATGCGGATCTCTGGAAAACCTACAAGCCCCCGAGCAATGACGGAGAGAGCCCAGGCGTGCGCGGGGCGGAACGTGTGATCGAAAAGTACAAAGAGCGTGGTGATACAGTTCAGCGTGCCGCCATGGAGAATTGTGCCCTGGAGCATGAAGCCTTGACCTTCTGTTTCAAGACTGGAAATTGGAAGAAGCAGATTGAGTCTCGGTTGACGATGTGCTCGGCGGAAAATGCCACCTTCTCGCGATGCTATCAGACCCAAAGTGTAGGCGTCTCTCATCTACCATCTAGCCTCTTCCTTGATGATTTCCAGGTGAAAGTATGCTAATTTCAAACCTTTATTAGAAATTTTTGCAAGCTCTGGGTTACGCCGCGGCCTTCGATTATGATCCTGAGAAAGAGGAACGAATCCAGATGCACGCCGACAAGCTTTATCACCAAATGCTGGACTATGAGAAGGAAGTAGCAGAGGCCAAAGCAGCCGGCCTGGAGGTACCACCGATCACATCCCTGTTTCATCCGGGAAAGCCATCGCCCTCCCAGGAGCCGGGTAACAAGCAACTGGAGATCCCCGGCGGCGAGGCCATTCCAGAAGGGTTCAAACCCTCCAAGCCCCTGGCTAAGCTCACACCACATGAACGAGAGCTGGAGATTCGGGCCCACAATGCTCAACTGGAGCAACAGAAGCTATATGTCCAGGAGGCCAGTCCTTTCATGAAATCCCAAGGGGACGCCCGGGACAAGCGACGGGAGAAGGCTGTCAGCTGGTTTGGCGAGACTATTGGCAAATGGGTCTCATGATGGAGAGACTATCCTGTAATTTTAGCTGTCTAAGAACTTGTAACTATTATTATCTTTCAAGGACTGGCAAAATGGCATAAGGGCGTTTCTGGTTTTGGCTCTCTCTATCTCGTCCCGATCCTGGTATATTGCGGATCTGCTTTGTCCACGGCAGAACGAAGCACAAGGGCTGAACTGTTGATAGCCATGAATCTAGGCCAGCAGAGTCTCGCAAATGAGAGACCTGTTCTGAAATCTAGTCCTGGCATAGAACTGGCCTTCCTCATCAAAGCCAATCGCCGGAAGTGGTGGTAAATCAGCCGCCTTTCACTGGCGGCCCCCCCGTATCTAATCGGTCGCCGGTCGCGTTCCCGCGCAAACAACTCAAAGCATCATCACCGGCCTGACGCTCTTCCACCACCTCTCGTCCTCCTCCCTTCTCTCTCTGGCTGACAATCTTCGTCGTTCACATTCCCTTTAATCGATTTTGACCTTCTACATCCATCGTCACCTGTCAGATCCACTGTCTCTCTCCCTCTCTCTCCCTTTGGCTGTTCGGGACGGGGAAACCTCATTGAAGCTCGCCAGTTCAGTGTGACAGCCCGCCTGGTACGCCCTTTTTTCCTAGGATCAGTGATCCTGAAGAACAGCCCTGTGAGCTGCAGTGTACACTATGAAGGCTTCCCCGCTGCTCATCTCGTGGCATAACGACAATGCTCCCATTTACTCTGTCCATTTCGACCCCAATGGCAAGGGTCGTCTTGCAACCGCCGGAAAGTAAGTGCTCATATGATGACTGGACGACACTTTCCCGGGCTAATATCCATTTTTTTTTCTTTGTAGCGACAGTAACGTTCGAGTACGTATTCGTCGTCCCTCCCCTTTGCCCTGCCTCGTTCCCTATCCATCTAACCCAGCCTTACCCAGCTCTGGCGAGTTGAATCAACCGGTGAAGAACGAAAGGCGACATACCTCAGCACGCTGGTCAAGCATACACAAGCCGTCAATGTGGTCCGATGGTGCCCCAAGGGTATGATACCGGTTTTATGTCCCCCTCCTTCCAACTGGGTTCTGACAAGACTGCAGGAGAAATGTTAGCATCGGCCGGAGATGATGGGAATGTCTTACTCTGGGTGCCGTCAGAGGTCCAGTCCCAGCCAGGATTCGGGGAGGATGGATCTGACGATAAAGAAACCTGGCGAGTGAAACACATGTGTCGCTCATCAGGAGCGGAGATCTATGACCTGGCCTGGTCTCCCGACGGTGTCTTTATCATGACCGGAAGCATGGACAATATTGCCCGGATCTACAACGCTCAAACCGGTCGGTCCACTTGGAGAATCCCCATTTCAGGACATTAGAAAGCTGACAGTCGAGTTTGCAGGGCAAATGGTACGGCAGATTGCGGAACATTCCCACTATGTGCAAGGCGTGGCCTGGGATCCACAGAATGAATTTGTTGCAACCCAGTCATCCGATCGATCAGTTCACATCTACAGCCTGAAGAACAAGGATGGTCAATTCACCTTGCAATCCTATAGCAAGATTCTCAAGATGGACCTACCTGCCAAACGCATCGCTTCCAGCAGTCCTGCCCCAGAACCGACCAGCAGGCCGTCACAGAGCACGGGCAATTCAATTGCTATCGCTTCACCAGCCCCGTCAACTCCAGGAACCCCGATGATATCTAACTTACCAATGGATCCTCCTCCGGTTTCTCATAGCCGGCGGTCCTCGTTTGGTTCTTCTCCTTCGATCCGACGTTCCGCGTCTCCCGCCCCATCTTTGCCGCTGCCAGCGGTGAAACCCCTCGAGGTCTCATCGCCGAGCCTTCTTGGCGGACTGGGAGTCAAGAATGCCAGCATCTATGCTAACGAAACTTTTACCTCATTCTTTCGCCGGCTAACATTTGCTCCAGATGGAAGTCTCTTGTTCACACCAGCTGGTCAGTACAAGACCTCTCATGTCTCAGCGACAGATCCTTCAAAAACTACGGACGACATCATCAACACAGTGTATATCTACACTCGGGCTGGCTTCAATAAGCCTCCCATCTCTCATCTTCCAGGGCACAAGAAACCGTCAGTAGCGGTCAAGTGCTCCCCAATCTATTATACACTAAAGCAAAGCGCCCAAACTACCAAATCCCTAACGTTGGCTTCTGGAGAAGAGATGTTTCCGCCTTTGCCTGACTCTGTTGTGTCGTCAAGTGCGCCATCAACGAGCCACCCCCAGATGGATCCCCCATCAACTGCTCCAACAGGAGCTGAAGTGTCAAAGACACAGCCGTCGTCGAAAACCGATGGCAATGGCGGCGATACTGACCAGAACGCAACGGGTCCTGTGTTCGCTCTTCCCTATCGCATGGTCTATGCAGTGGCAACACAAGACGCTGTTCTTATCTATGATACACAGCAACAGACCCCTCTATGTGTTGTGAGTAACTTACATTTTGCCACCTTCACCGATTTAACTTGGTAAGTACATCACCAGCTCCCGGTCACCTTATTCCAGAGTTGACTAGGCACAGGTCGAACGATGGGTTGACGCTCATCATGAGTTCTTCGGATGGCTTCTGCTCTCATCTTTCCTTCGCACCAGGCGAGCTCGGCCAGCACTGGACAGGGCCAATCCCTGGAGTTCCAAACCCCTCCGGCTCAAACGCAACGTCAGCAAACGTTACGCCTTTGCCAACTCCAACCTACGTGCCTTCTCCAGTCAAGGCGACAGGCAGCGGCCCAGCCACTGCGACCACCTCCCAGGTCCCACCAGCCAGCCCTGCGCGATCTAACTCAGCTAGCTCAGTCGCAACCCCGTCATCTACCCAGCCGTCAGGAGCTGTCGTCAACAATCCGACTCCAACATTGGGCTCGGTTCCATCGGTAACGGCAACACACTCTTCGCAGCCTCCAACCTTGCCGCTCAGCACACCCCCACAAACGCCTTTGCCGAATACTACTTCTCAGCAAAGCACCACAACCACGTCCAGTGTCCTCGGAAAGCGAGATGCCCCTACTGCCAGTGAGTCGGAGAAGGAAGAGGCAAAGGGTTCCGAATCAGCTCTGCCGATTCAACAATCGAAGAAGCGCCGCGTTGCACCGACACTTATATCAACAAGCACGAACTCAGCTTCGTCATCGAAGGATAATAGCCAAAACCCTAGCGCTGGCGCCTGAAGAACGCAAGCATTGCATTCTAGTCCCGCCGAAACTCATTCCCACCTTGGATCTGCGGATCTCAGGCACCCTACTTCCCACTCAGCCCCCGTGTCAGGCAAGGCTGCCCACTTAGAAGGAAGCAACCCTTGCCAGCCACAGACTTTTTACGATTAACATGTTTATTCCAACCCCACGGCTATGGTTCTGTTCTGTTTGATTGTAACTTTAAGTGCATTTTCGCATAGTTAATTTCATCGTGCCCTCAAAGACCCAAATTTCAATTTTTTTTTCTCGGGGACATTCTTTCAACCATTCACCCCTGGGTTCAATTGAACCCTGGTCTTTTAAGACCGACGCTTCTGAATGATTTTTTCTTCTCCCTTCTCTTCTGTCCTGCACTTCCTCGCAGCATACTACAGCTCCCGTTATGGCTGGTTCATTGAAGATCCAACCGTTTTTGCGTTCAAGTTTCATTTTTCTCTTCAATTTCCGAATCTCTTAGGTCGCCTCCTGGCGCGGACACGTTTTAACATGTTTTAATCCCATCATGTTCGCATTGCTTGTTCTCATCATCGGAGTCTCGTTTCTACTTCTCCGTGCCTGATTCTCCATCCCTCCATCTTCCGGTTCCTCAAACACCCCCGCTCTCCAGTTCTCATCTAGAGTGGATGTCTTTGTTTCCCTTTCCCTTCTTTGATGACATTCGGTTCTATCTCGACGATTTCTGTGCTGTACTTGATACTTGGGTCTTGGTCTATGACCCGTTGAGCGTGGTAGTGGAATCGACTACGAAAACGAAATTCTATTGAGGGCAATCACACCTCGAATTGATCTAACTCGTTATTCATCTAATACTCTATTACTATAAAGCACACCACATCATCAGATGAATTATATGAATCAAAGTCGTTGGCATGTAAAAGATTCTGACACGAAACCCTTTCGCGCCATCTCTGCTACATGTGTAGACAAACACCGAGAATATTTCGGAGCTCACTGAAGGCAAAGCTCTTGGGGACGACCCATTACTCGACTTTCTCAGGAAACAGTAGAACCATGTAGTCGTGAATAAAAAAGTAACGCATACAGATAACCGTATATCATATCAGGCCGGAGGCTTCAGTTCAGAACGTCCCAGTCGTGCTGAGATGGACACGCATGGAGTCCACGAGGTACAGAAGGGGCACCCACAAGATCAAGCCTCGACATCTGACATTCTTGTATAGTACCAGCAGCCGTTGTACACCTAACAATAAATAGCAGCTAAACCACGTAGTGATAACATCGATAGTAAATGCCAGCCCCTTCATCCATCTGAACAAAGCCTTATCTTCTCGGGTGTCGCTAGTCACGGAAACAAGTCAGTGGCTTTCTCGGTAGACTGGTCCCTAATCGTAGCTACGACGACTACCTTCGATTATGGCGAGGTAGGGATAAGGATGTTGCACTCTGTGGGCCTCTGTAAGAGCGGATTGTAGATATGTAAACCAGGCTAGCGCAGTATATGGGGCCTTGCGATCAAGAAGGAATTGCCAGTTACGTTCTTTATGGTCCGGAGACATCTCTAGTGCCTTGTTGATAGAATTTGCGCACTGCTTGTAGTCCCATGGGTTGACAAGAAGCTCATGACCGTGAAATATGGATGCGCTACCAGTAAATTCGCTGAGGATGAGGGAACCATGCTTCTGAGGGGCTAGCTCGCCGTCTTGACAGTGAATGAAGTCATGGCTGGTGAGATTCATGCCTTCGCGGAGATTTGTGGCCATCAATATTTCGGCTACGCTGAGAAGAGCAAGAAACTGTGAGTAGCTAATGTCTTGTGGTAGTAGGACGAGTGGCTGATGAGTAAGTGTTGAGAAAACAGAATTGATTCTCATTGCAATCTTGGAAACCTGGGCTTCAAGTTCTGGGATCTCAGAGGCCGATGAGGCCACTTGCACAAGGACCACCTAGAACAGGAAACTGTGTAAGACTTTCCAAAACTTGCGTCGGCTCGAGGACAAAATCAGACTTACGTTATCTCTCCATTTTGGATATGTTTCAAGAAAGAGCTCATACGCCTGGAGCTTCTGTTTGATACCGCCAGGGACATCCAGACGATCTCGAGCAACGATCAAGTGTTTACCATTATACCTGGCCGTGATGTTGGCGATCCAGTCTTTGACCTCGACCGATTGTCGTAGCAGATTGAGTGATTTATAGTCAATACCCAGGGGAATGCTTCGGACTTGCACAAACCGGTCATTGACCTGGACGCCGTCAGAAACCTCAAGTTTACGAAGCCGGCTGCAGGATTGCAGAAAGTGGTGGCAGTATTCTTCGGTCTGGAATCCAATTAGGTCGGCACCAAGAAGACCATCCAAGAGCGCTTCCCGCGGGTTCAAGCAGCGGAAGACCTCGGACGAGGGAAAAGCAGTATGTAGGAAGAATCCTATTTCGGCATCTGGCAACAGCTCTCGCAACAACGCAGGAAGCGATAAAAGATGGTAGTCATGTACCCATACACGATCTCCCGGCCGCCAGTGACCAGCAATTGTTTCCGCGAATGCCTCATTCACTTTAAGGTACTGCTTCCATGAGTAGTCGTCATATTCCGTATGGCGAGGGGTCTCCTGCATCTGATAGTGGAAGGCTGGCCAGAGTACGGACCGACAGAAATGGGCGTAATGGCCTTCAAACTCGCTGTCCCCCACAAATACCGTCAAGGATTCGTAGTCATCCATCAACGTCTCGTCAATGACATCTCGCGTCTGCTCGGTGAGAGAGTCGGTTGGCATGCCCAGGGTCCCCACCCACACCTTGTTGTGCAGAACGCCTGCTTCTTCGGCGGCATGAATGGCATTCTGCAGTCCCCCGTGGCCCTGTTCAGCAGCCTTCACGGTCCAATCCACAGCCGAGAGCATGGCGCTAGGACTTCCTAGCTGATCCGAGACTAGCCGATTCCGAGCACCCGCTTTGGAGGAATCCTTCAACCCTTGTTGCGAACTCGGGCGACTCAGGATGGACGGTTCCGGGTGAGCGGATGCCTTCGACCAAGGCTGGTTGAATTTGCGACTTCGACCCCAGGGAACCGCGCGGGGTTCACTGGGCCCTGGTCCATTGGGGTTGTCGGCGATCGGAATTTCGCCTGCCGCCTGGGAAGCATATCCTTTGAACACCTTCTCGTCTTCGGTCGTTGCGCCGGGGGTCAGTGTCAAGCTGCAGGACCGGGGACGCGGCAGACGTCCGACAATAGGGCCTGCGCCAGACCCGTCAACAGCGCCATGGCTGGGTGAATACTTGCGACGCGAACTCTTCTGGTTGGCTTTCTTGAAATCAATGGTGTACGGAAGGAAGCTAGAAAGCCGTCAGTGTCAAGGTGGTCGGGTGAGACTCTACAGGGAAATAGACAGGGCGCATACAGGGAAGCGATGAAAACCGTTGTCATTTTGTCAAGTCACCGGCAAGGTTTGGGTGTTGGTTCTTAGACAGGGTCATTGTTCAATACTTTGAAGTGGAAGGATTGGAGGGGGGAAGTTCGGAGGGGAAAGACACTTGGACTTGTCAGATGAGGGTGAGGTAGTAGTTGCCCTGGCATGCTCGACAGATCCTTGGTCCATCACCCGGGGGAGTTGCTGCCCGATGCCCCTGCATATAATAATCACCATAATAATCATAATAACTTATCATAAGACTGTATGCAGGAGGTAGGGGACGGGCGATATACTTCATTCTGCTATACCCAGAAACGGCTTGACGCAGGGCTAGTCGGTCACTAGATTCCTTCTGTACACAGTACAAAAGGGGGTTTAAAATAGCGGCGAAACATGGCAGTTCGAGAGCCATATATGAAATAAACGGCGGAGAGAAAAAAACGGTTGAACAGATTGAATCAAATGTCTTTTGAAGGAGCGTTTTGAGAGAGAGAAGAGCCGTCCAACTGGGTTGATAGCTTCAGGGCCTAGTATATACTAATCAGTTGATACCCGCTGGTTAGCAGCCTGGACATTCGTCTTCCCTTGGCCGTTGATGCAATTTGGGTCATTACTACGACCTGAACCTTCCAATGGAGATTTGATATTTGTGAACCAAGGACTAGACTCATGTATATAGAATATTCAAGTATCCCTTTCTACAGGTGTCTCTATATATATAAGAAGGGTCTGGTGAGTTCCTCTCCATTTAATAATAGGTTAACACCTAATTGCTGCCTGAGCTCTCGATGGGCAACCAAACAGCGAAAGAGCAAAGTCATTCAGGATGTCATCTTGGGTTCTCGGTAATCAAATAGCTACAACCGCGGGAAAGAGTTATATTTCATCCGCCGTATATAGGATGCGAATTCCTTTGGCGAAAGGCCATCATCAAGCTTGACCACAGGCAGCATTCTTGTGTAGTGTAGTGCAGCACAGTCCTCGGGGTGCAAAAATATATATCACCAGAATAGACCTGAACGAAATGGATTTTTAGAATTACATGAATCGTCACCACACTCTCTAAGCCATGAACGTTTACAAAAACAAGAGCCTAGGTTCAACAATAATATTCCATAGAGATTGTCTCCATGCGGAGCTTTACTACATTGACTAGAAATAAGTTCAGCCGTAGATTCTTAATGGTCAAACCACAAACATTGAATGTTCGCTGTTCGACCAATGCGTAGTGAATCCATCCAAGCTCACTATCTGAACGAGTGGGCCACATTGTCGGGTAAATTCTGTAGCGGGAGCTCGGGGCTTCAATCAGATACAACCCATGGCCAATTGGAAGCTAGGCAGCCCAGAAACCCAGAAAAGAAACCTACGCACTAGTTCGGATGCATGCGACATAGATGGTATCATCACGATAGATGCCACAAGATTGGTTACTTAGTCTTCAATAGTTGGATCGTCGGCCCCTCTCCGGACCAGATGAGCTCTCGGCGCCGCGGCATCGCTGACGACTCTAGGGCCCTGACCAGGCAAACTCATTGCGTTTCTAGCGCGATGCACCCCCAAATGAGGATAATGCGGTAAAAGCCCACAGCTGAATCCAAGCGAATGATTTTTGCCTCTGGTCAGGAGAATAGAGAGAATCAAGGTAAACCCACGCGTCCGGTCCCCATGATGTGCTTAGCCTATGACCGCGTCATGAGCCGGATGCAAGTCGAGGCTGTGGTGCAGGATACGCTCAGACTCCTTTCGTTCAGGGGTCTTCTTGCAACGCCCCGACTCTCGGATCGAAACGGCATTCCTAGGCTGAGTCTAGCACCGGAAGTAAGGAAAGAGGCAGCTAGAGCGGCTTGTCTAGGAATCTCTCATGAAAGACGAGGGTATCTGGAGGGACTAACGACCAAATGATAAGAACGAGAATGCCCACTAATCAATCGAGAAACAGGCCAGCCAAGGAGAGCCATCCGCAGCTTGTTGACCTTAATTAATTGAGTGAGGTGTTCTGCAGGATCGAGGATGCGGATAGACGCATGGGGGATCCAAAGCATCATCATCCTCGTCGGTCGACCCACGAGTGCAACCCATCTCCTGTAAAAACGCGTAAACGCTTCTTGACCGGGCAAGCCTGAGCACCAGGAGCAAAGCGTGACTGAAAAAAGCTGTTTCATAAGATGACCGCTGAGTCAGCGTACTAAAATGGGGTGGCACGTAAGTCTGTCATGAGCGGAGGGGCCAAGTTGGGGGTTGGTGACGCGGAAGCGCAGAGCTAACGCGCGGTAGCGCAAGCTGGTGGACCAGAGAGAAAGAAAAAAAATTCTTGAAGTTTGAGTTAGTACCTTCTCGAAATTTTCAAATATGATCCTTTCTAAAGAGTTTGGTCTCTGCTCTCATGTCGAAATACGTCATGCGCATGGTACAGGTCGGTGATCGACTGGGATCGACTGAGATGTCGAGCCAGATGCAGCTGGGATGAGCCATTTGCGCATCGATCTTCACCTGGTTGCGTGTCGGTCTTGGCTGTATGATGGAGGGGGGGGGGGGGCATGAAAGGCAAGGGTCGGAGCCACGAGTATACGTCGCAATATCTGGATTTGCTTGCTAGTTGTGGCGGACTGTAATGGTCCATGGTCCACGGAGCGGAGCGAAGCGAAAGCGTGGAGAGGGTTCGTGAGGCGCGGACCGTGACCCAAAAAATTAGAGACTCAATCCGTGATTATGGCTCATGACTGCGTAGCTCCATATCTCCTACCTCATAACGAGGGCATATCACTTTGACAGTAATAAGAACGCGGGATGAGCAATTTGGTCCGTTGACGACGATGACGGTTTTTGGCTGCTTGGCGTATTCGAATTGGCCCGACGGCTCGGCACCAGCAGCCCAAAAGGCGGGAGTAATCTTATCCCCCCCCCCTTTAGCCGTTTACTTCTAACGTAACTGGGGGCACGTCATGTCCTTGCTTTTTTGAGTACTGTGATTGCGGAAATCCTGAGACCTTTCGCGAGAGAAGACGCACCATCATGATGTGGACGACCACGAGTGCTTGGACGTGTTCGTAGTATACGCACGCATATTTTGGCAGATAGCGGATGGGTCCGATGTCAGGTGGTTCCGCTCCCGAGCAAGGTAATGCTGCTGTGTGATCGTATTTTCGCACCGTAATCCTCATGATCATACTGGGTCTGTTCGATCCGATTCACGGAAAGATTGGCAACTGGGCTCCGTCAGCAGAAGCCGCCGGGGTTGCAGGATTGGCTGGCGGTTGCGCCATCGAAGCGCGGTCCAGGGCGGGTCAGGCTGAACGGGATGAAAGGTAGAAAAACAGAAGACCAGAAGGGGTGTCATGAGATCCATTGAATCCTTGGTGATGAGCATGGACTGGGGTCGAGCAGGAGGATATATGCCGACATCGTCCATAATTCCGGCACTGAGGAGGATCTATCTATATCAAATCGCTATGAGGTATTGCGGCGCAGCATAGCCACAGGGCATTGAGGCGGTGGATTAAGCATGAAACACCGGAGACAGCGACTGGAGTCAGGTCAGGTCGGTGCTTAGGTCGTCAGGTACGAACATGACTAGCCCAAGAAGGGTCGATGGAACTCCACTGTCGGGTCCGCGCTCTGTGAAGTTACTAGGGTATGGTATCCGGAGTATTTTGATAACCCTGGCGTACTTCGTACGTAACCCATCCATCGTCCGTACCGACCGATGGACGCGTACGTTTGGAGGAGATCAATTTGGGGTCGCTGGATGGGGTACGCCGGACCGTTCAACCGTGATCGTCTGCGTCTGCCCCTCTCTGTCTCTCCCTCCCTCCCTCTCTCACTCTGCGGCTAGCAAGCAATGAGGATGGGTCGATACCAAAAAAAGAAAATAACCTTCGGGAAGTATCGAATCCAACCCCTCCCGTAGCCAAACTCATTCTATTATTCTTTGTTTTCCCCTTCGTTTCTGTTTTGCTGGCTATCTGGGACTACCTTTTGCAGCAGCCTAGGAAATCTCTCTGCCTGTCGGGGAACCGAAGAGGGACCCGGTCCTGGACATGGAGATGTACGAGATCTCCAATATCAATAGGGGGTGGGGAGAGCCTCAAGAAGAAAAAGCCAGTCAAGACCCATCGGGCGGACGAGGGCGACGTGTCGGTGGGTAAAGTGTCGGCACGAAGCGCTGGAGCTTGCGAATCAACCAACATAACGGGGCGACCCTGATGACCCTCTTCTTTTCAGGGTCTTCTCGCGGTGGACTCGCCGAGGGCCCACGCGTCGTGATTGGTGATGGAGATCTGGCGGTGTTGCGTCAACCAGCGTCACGACGAGATGAAGAGGGACTCTGTTTTCCTTTGATGTCTTTCTCCGGTCGCCGATCCAAAGCCGCTCATATCGCGGGAGAGGGGCGGGATCCCGGTTTTCCAGCTCCCAGTTCATGGTTCACGTTCAATAACCCGGGACACGAGAGTGAGACATCCTTCAGGTTGCATCCCGATCGACAGGAACATCGAGCCATACCAAGCCTTATTTGCAGGGGATATTCTGGAGTGCGACCGGAGCAACATGCCAAGCCCCCTGGAGAAAGGAGGACCCAGTTGAGACGTGGAGGAGGCTTGGTTGGCCGTGCGAAAGCCAATGGGCGACGAGAATCGATGCAAACTTGGCAAAGTGCGGCCGGCCCAAAGTCCTAAAGAGGAGACTCCCCAGGGTTTATTTCTTTTTTTTCTTTTCTCAAGGTCCCAGAAGGTCCCAAAAGGTCCAAAGACCTCCAAAGACCACGACGACGATGTCAGCAGAACCCCAAAGGGGACTAGCGCGGCCCTGGCGGTGGAGACCAACGAGGCTCTCGTCCGATCGCGTTGGCCGCCAAGACGGACGCTTGCGCGTCTCCGCCACTGCCCCATCGAAGCCCTGGAAATTGGAGAGGCTTTGAACGCGTATGCTTCTGACTCTTCTCTCTATCTCTCTCTCTCTCTCTCTCTCTGATCAAGATCAACATCCAAGCCACCGCATCCTGGATCATTCTCTCACGGAATTGACAGTATTCTCTTTTTTTTTTTTTTTTTCCCTCCCCTTTCTTGGTTCTTTTTTTTTGATTCTTGTGGGGGCTTCGATTGTTAAGTATCAACGCCGGAGAAATTTGTATGCTATCGTGATTCAAGGGGATCTCGATGATCGATTAGTTCCTGGTCAGGAAACCAGACTATATCGATCTGAGACTAGCATCGACGATTGCAGTCTCTCCATAGTGACATTGATCGCGGACGAGATTGGAACTATCCGAAGTAGAAGCAGTATAGACAGCGTACTTCCGTACCGTTGGTACCCTCGATACTATAGACACCGACGTCGTACTCTTCCTATCCTCTCCACTACCTGTACAAGCCCTGGCGCGATCCGAAATCCAAATCGAAACCAGCGTCAAACGTCACACAAGCCTCTCCCAGACATCCCTCCCCAAGGCCCCAAAGATGGCAAACTGTGCCAGGTCATGGGAATCCCCATGGGTTGCAACACGCGGCTGTGGCCAGCATGACAGGCGCCGAGAAACAACCGGATGGGAGTCGTATACTTCGTCCTCTGTACGCCGCACGGAGATTGAAGATCGACTGTTCCAAGAGTCCAAAGAGGGTCAAGGAGCCCCCGGTGTACGAGTCCCCAACAGGATTTGGCTCTGCCTGCCATCAGAATGATACGCATCGTAATCATCGCCAGGTGCAGCTGCATTAATAGAAACGCCAAGTCCGGGTCGGGTTACGTGTTCAGGGAAAATTACGGGAAAACGGGAAAAAAGGGTCTTGTCTTGGCTTTTTGCGTTTCCGTTGCGCACACGCGGCTTGGGCGCGGGGCCCGTGATTGGGGCGAGGCGCTGACGACGCTCGTAATACCGTACGCCGCAGTACGCAGGACCCAGCAGGCCCCGTCAAGGCCCTTTCCCCAGGCCCTTTTACGCTCTTGGCTCTCCCTTCTTCTCTTCTCTCTCCTCTCTCTCCCCTTTACCACTTGAACACACCACGCTCTCGACGGCTTTCCTTGGATCCCGACACAGGTGTGTGCTCGACTGCCTTCGACCTGCGTCCAGTCTGGAGTAAATCGCCTGTTCCGCCACCTCCAGCCTGCCCGCCCGGTGAACTGCAACATCCTCTCCGACCATGGCGGACGGCAAACCCCAGCACCGAGCGACGTCCCAGCCGGTCATGGCCGCCAACACCTACGATGCCAGCTCGCTTAGCCGCGAGTTCGAACAGTTAATGCGCACCAAACGATTCAATCAGCTCCAGGAGCACTCCCGATCACGAGCCGCGTCCCAGTCGCCCGCTCCTTCCTCCGGCCACTCGATTCCGCCGCCCTCGCGAGCGCCGCCACCACCTCCCGCCGCGGGCCTCGACCAGCATTCGACCTCTGTACCGAAACCCACCAGCAACCGTGGCCTGCCCATCATGCCCTCCCCGCCCCAAGACGCCGCCTCGCTGAAATTCTTCAATCTCCTCAAGGGACTCTCCGTCACCCCGACCAAGTATGAAAACCCGGGTCTGTTGGACGAGGCCCTGTGCGTCATTCCTCTCGATCGCCTCTATTCCGAGGCCGAGGAGAGGAGCCAGATTATGCAGGCCCAGGCCGCCAGCGTGGGTGGCAAGCCGGAATGGGGATACCAGGATTGTGTCATTCAAGCATTGTTGAGGTGCGTTCGAGATCTTCCCAGACCCTCTCCGTCGCGCCTCCTTCCCTTCTCCACTGGGCCCCCCATACTAACATCCCTTGTTTCGCAGGTGGTTCAAGCGATCTTTCTTCCAATTCGTCAACAACCCCCCGTGCTCGGCCTGCGCCATGCCCACGATCGCTCAAGGCATGACTCCTCCCAGCCCCGACGAGACCGCCCGTGGCGCCACCCGTGTTGAATTGTACCGTTGCTCCCAACCCAGCTGCGGTGCCTATGAACGATTTCCCCGCTACTCAGATGTTTGGCAATTGCTGCAAACCCGCCGTGGCCGCGTCGGGGAATGGGCCAACTGCTTCAGCATGTTTTGCCGTGCGGTCGGAGCCCGCGTCCGCTGGGTCTGGAACTCGGAGGATTACGTTTGGACGGAGGTGTACTCCGAACATCAACGTCGATGGGTTCACGTGGATGCCTGTGAGGGGGCTTTCGACCAGCCTCGTCTTTACACCGAAGGATGGCGCCGCAAGATTTCCTACTGCGTTGCCTTTTCCATCGACGGGGCAACCGATGTCACCCGTCGCTATGTTCGCAACTTCTCGAAGCACGGCAGTCCTCGCAACCGCACCTCCGAGGAGGTAGTTCTCTGGTCAATTCACGAGATTCGACGCAAGCGCCGGGAGAACATGTCCAAGACCGACATCTGCCGCTTGATGAAGGAGGACGAGCGTGAGGAACGCGAGCTTCGGGGCTTCACAGCCTCGGCACTTGCGGCCGAGATTCAGAACATCCTGCCGCGTAGCCTTATGGGCCACGAGCAGAAGCACGCCGATGCCCTCCAGGAGGCCTCCACGGACTGGCTGTCCGCCCATGGCCACGGTCATTCTGGTCCCGACCGGTCACACGACGGACGGTGATCGGTTGGCTTGTATTGCGAGCTTTTTTTCCCCCTCCCGGATTGCCGAAGATAATTTCTTCTGCCTCCTTACATCGAACGATTTGGTGACCTAAAAATCTTCCAGTCGACAGGACTGGGTGATACCCCGTTTTATAGGACCCGACGGGTGCGCCCTTTGGCCCAATCTTCATCGGCTACGTCGACATCCCACTCCGATCGGCCTCACGACGGTCGCGTCGGGCGTGTCCCAGATACCGCTTCGAGCGGCCGCGGTTCTAAAAGAATCATCACTGGGATTCAAAACCACGAGACCGTCTCAACATCAGAATACTGGCTTTTATCTGCCTCGTACGCCCACTTTGACTGGCGATACATGAGCGCACGGTCGCCATCACTGATCAACGACCCTCCCATCATGGGAGAAACCAACCATCCCATTCTCCCTGAACGACCAATTTCATGGGCATGAACCCCCTGAAGTCCCTGTTCGGATATTCTCAACCCTCCTTTTGGATTTCTCAGCCGGTCGCAAGATTAATGTCTTCCTTGCACAATAATCATGGCTCTCTCCACTTGTTCCCATATTTCGCATCATGGCATTGGACTCGAGGCACTCTCCCTTTTATTGCAAGGCGCCTGTGGTGACGATTCGATTTATCTCCTTCATTTTAATTTGGGAATTTTTTAACCCTATGGCTCATGTTGTACGAGACACCGTTGCAGCCCTCTTTCTTATCTTCCTTCCTTTTATGTATAGTCGCCTATATGGTTTCGCCTTCTTTTTTGGCATTGGATCGCGACTCGATCCGTTCTATTTTTTTTCTTCCTGGACTTTGACGACCTTTCCTTTTTTTTTCCACTTGACCATGCATTTTTCATTTTGTGCTACTACCAAGATACCACTTTCTTAATACTATTTACACCTTTTCCGTGTCACGCCGGACCCCAAAATCCATAATGTCCCCAAGTATAAGCCATATCCACCAATCTCACTCGACCACAATCCCAACATGTGAGTCCTTCTGGCCTTCTAGACCGTACTCTCCGAATACCATAAAATACCTGTTTGATTATGATGTGCGATCGTCCCCCTTCCCCTCCCCTGCCCCGCGACTTTCGTACCCTACCAGTGGGGCCTGGCCCTGGCCCGTGGAGCCCTTCCAGCCCCCCACCCGCACTTGCGTGGTCCTTTCGCCATGTCGTCTTTTCGCGCCCTCCAACCTCGACAATATCACCAGCACCCTTGGTCCCGGGCACCGAATTCTTAGGCTGCCACGTCACTGCTGCGGTCAAAGAGCTGCCCCTGAGGTGGCCGCCCGCTGTTTGGGGCTGAAACACGGGAGCCGCAGCCCTGTGCCCCAGCCGTGGGCACGGCCCTCCGTTTCTGGTGTATATTTATAGACTCAAGCTGTGGGTGGGTCCAGGGTCCCGGTGGAGACGGGAATCGGTTGTGGTTCTCGTAAGGCTGGTTAATATAGGGAGCTTGCTGGGGTAAAGTCGTCAAATTCTATAATATGCAACAAAAAAGGTAAAGGAGGGGATATGCACTCATGTTGATGGATCTGGGCTGTATAGATTTCTCTCCAGTGGCCACCCAGTGAAGGCACGAAAGATCCGAGTCCAGATAGTACCCGGCAGTTCGACCGTTGCTGGACGTTTATCAGGGTGGGAAAGGGGCTCTGGTATAGACGGCAGGTTTCACGTCTACCTTCACGTCCCGGCGTAAATGGAACAGATCGAACCTTAGATGACCAAATTATGATTCGATTCCTTCGCCATATCGCATTCGAGAGGGGTCTTCCTATGGCAATGCGGATGAGAAGATCCACTGTGAACTGTTATAGATGCGTGGCTCCAAAAAAGCAAACCTGAAATTTCGATTGCGTGGCTTTACGGGTTCAGACTATCGACTGGAATATCTGTATGATTTTACCTGCGATGGACTTGAAACTTTTTAAGCAGACCATCCCAGTTTCACAAATTGGCCCTCTTTAAGTCGTATCGTTCAGCACCTCCAGCGTGTGGTATTGAAATGGTTAGGTGACCCAAATCCATCAATATATATTCCGCCTAAAATGATCGAGGTAAACTCTCTGGGGACGGGCTATAACCTGATCGACTGCATTAAGCTGTTGCAAGATAAAATGCCCTCGAAATCTCGAGATTTTAGACGTTGTTGGACGCTAGACGTCTCTAACTTATACGAGGGAAAGCTACCGACGAAGATAAATATGACAAATGCTTGCGAGAGCCATTTGTGAGCCATCCCAATGCAGATATATGCGGGCCTGAATGATACTTTGATGTCAAACGCTTCAAGGTATTTGAAACTCGATCGCGCAACGACAAAGTCTCTGGCGGTGGATTCTTTTTGACAGTATGCTCAAATATGCAAACAATTCCTGCGCGTATGAATGGCTCCACTTGATTCGTCATTTAGGTATCGATTTGGATCAAATTGAGGGCCGAAAGAGTGGGCTTTGGCGGCGTTAGAATTGGCGGAAGATGGTGAATTAGCTATATGAAATTATAGGAGGGGGGTCGTTGGGAAACATTTTATATCCAACGTGCCACGCAGAAATCACCATCTTATCCAGTATTCACACAGTATCTGTGCTACGGATATGAACTACAAAAACCCCTGATCGATTGGCTTTCACGGATTCGATCGCCACTGAACCGCCATGTAAGCCTGGTGTTGAACAGTATTAGGAGCAAGAGAATGGGACATCCTCATAGGGGACAATGGATAGGATATGGATGCCTCTCCTATCACGTCGTGATGAAGCAATTGATTCCTCTCCGCCGGAGATCCTCGCCCACCTGCCCCAGCTCCTGCGCGTAGTACAACTGGCCCTGTAACCGCAGCTCCCAGAAAGTAGGCGGCGGATCGGTCAGCGCAGATTCAGCACAGAAACAAGACCACCCGTCCTCAGAACACCGACGTCCATTCGACCCATCACTTTCGCTTGACGCCGAACAAGACTCCTCATCCGAACTACACAAACCACCTCGCGCCGACGCCCATCCACCCCGGCGCGGTCGCACTCGCAACCCCCGCAACGGCTCCAGGAACACTGGCAGCTTCTCGATCGGCTCGCGGAACCAGCTACTCGCCAGGACGAGAACGAAAGAGCGCAGCGCTGGCAGCCGTTTCAGTGCGCGGCAGGTGTCGAGCCACTGCGCACGGCCGGCAGAGACGTAGACCGCGCGGACGGGGTCCTTGGTAGGCAGCCAGTGGCCTGAGAAAGACCATCGCAGCTCGATGGCGTGCAGGGAGTCCCAATGTCCGGGTGGAAGCGTGGGTCGCAGGTAGGATAAGGACCAGGGGTTGCTGAATTCGAAGATGGGTAGGGCGTAGAGAAGGTGGATGGACTCGGTGTATCTGGAGGAATTGGAAAAGGCGGGGCGTGTTAGAATGGACACTTGCGGTGCACAAGTGCTTACAGAGGATATATCTCTTTTCGGGGATTGTGTTTCTTCTTCTGTTCCCTTTGGACGGGAGACAAGTGCGGGGGAGAAGGTATAGTTCAGGCATACATTTGTCGACAGGACAGTGCCAGCCCGAGTAGCATTCGTCCTGTTTGCTGGCGGCGCATCGTCACGGCATCGCCCCTTTTAACCGGCTGTGGGATCCCCGCGCCGTGGCATATCTCGCAGAGCGATCCTGTGGACGGCTTGCAATTGAGCGTATCGTCCGTATTGCGCGGACACACGATATGTCCGAGACGCGGACCATTGCACTGAATGATATGCAGACGGAGACCGCCCAGGACCATTTCCCATACGATGAGGCGGACCTCGGGGGAGAGGCAGGCGAGCAGCCTGCATTGGGGCTGCGGCTGCGGGGACGCGGGGAGGGCTCGGCGATGGGCGCGGGGGAGCGGAGCCGGCTTGTGATCTGTTGGTGCCCCGGGAAGGCCCAGCGATTAGCAATTGAGACCGGCAAATTGTGTCTGCTCGAGAAGGGTGGAGAAGAAAGGGACCAGCCTCTCCGTCTGCGATGACCGAGGGTGAGGTGTTCGAGCCTCGCGAGGGGGAGGGAAGAGTATAATGCGCGGGTACTCTCTCACTGACTCTGGTATCGTTGGGCGAGGACATCCTCCCACGAGAAGACCCCTGGTTTGATGCGGGTCATGACGCGGAGAATCAATAGGAAACGCGGGAGATCGGCGTAGCCACGCTATAGTTAATTGATTCTTTGGAGCCTACGATCAATGCAGGGCAATGCAAGGCAATAACACAAGAGGGTCGTGGGGAGTTTCATATAAGGAACTGCGTTGGGTTGCGAAACCTACCTGCAGCTCGGCAGTATGAACGGGGTCGTCCTGCTGATCAAGCCCGTGGCTTGGCCGGGAATCTGGAGAGAATTCCATTCGATGGGGGCAGACATGGGGAGAGTGAGCTTTTTAAAACGGGGAAAGTCAACAAAGCTAAAAAGGGGGGGCGATGGGGAAGCCCAGAATCGTTTGTTCTGTCCGACGTCCGGAGAGTCGGTGAGCGATCACAGAGGCCCCGTTGGTACATGCCGAGATAAGACGGGTTGTATGGGGGACGAGGTACCCGGTAGCTTGCACCTGACTCTACGAACTAGCATGCCCATACTACTATGCGCCTCCATCGGACTAGGACGCGGATAATGGAGCATACGGAGCCACGAAAATAAGTCGGTCACATTCGCCCCCTGCTCCTCCCGATGGTATCCATATCTCAATATCACTATCGGTCCAGAGTGATCATAACTAGATCATAACGTCGTATCACCGGCCCGAGAACTCGGTGCGGGTAGTGTACAGAGCGACAAACGACTTCCGTAAGGGCGTCCCTCATCCGCTCGACTGGGATTGACTCCCTCGCGCATCTCTCCTCTTTACCCCTTCCCGCCAGATTATGTACCGGCTCCGCTTATACGGGTGCCTGTACTCTCGCTGAGGCTCGCGCCCAGGGTATTCGTTGGGCACGCGACCTTCAGCCCCTGGGATAACATGGCCAAGCCGGCTGGCCGGAGCTGGTCAATCCTAGCTGGCGCCGGCAACGTCCCCACATACGCATTGAAGTTGTAAATTCCACAAATGCACGTGTCGACAATGTCCTTCCAGCTCGTGCCCGCGAGGATGGTCCGGCCATCCCGAGTCACCGCAAACCGCTGCTGGCCCACGCCCATTGGCACCGAGTGCGCACTGATGCCCGCCGGCGCCTGGAAGACACGCGACTGGTCGCCGGACTGCACGGCCACGCGGGCGGGCGACTGGAGCAGCGTGACGACAAAGACCTCGTCGGCCATCGTCTCCCAGCCGTTTGGCCGGCCCGCAAAGAAGTTGCCGCTGGCGTTGTTTGCGGTGCCGTCCATCGTAGTGTCGGTCGCATCGCAGTTTACGTTCTTCTTGGTGGGGCGGTACCAATACACCAGCTTGTCCGCGGTGATGTAGCGCCGGGCATCCGTGACGCCGGCCTTGTACGCGGCAATGAACGGCTTCGACATCTCGAGCCAACCGTCATGGGGCCTGGTGGAGACGATCAGTTCCAAGGAAACGCTTCCATGGCGGGGATAGAAGTCCGATCATGAGAATAGATCGAACAAGGCCGATTGGGGGATTAGAGCGACTTACATGTCCATGACCCATTTCGAGGCACCGTCATCCGTGTGCGGCGATGAGAGAGGTCCGACATAATGGGACTCGCCGTAGTCATTCCAGGTGATGATCTCCACAAACCGGGGACGCAGCGCCAGGATCTCCCGCCATCGGTCATACCACAGTAGGTTGGACGGGAAGACCCAATTCTTGCTGTAGGAGACCTCGCCGCCGAAATGGGTTGAAAACCACGGTGAAACAGCTAGGCCGCAATCTTAGTATGTGGGGTAAAACTTGCCTCCGCGCTCTCTTCTTCTTCGGCCAACCTAGCACGGACATAATGGAAAGACAGAGAAAAAGAGAAAAAGGTGAGGAACTTACGCGCAATATAGGGCTTCCCTTTTAGAGCCGTGAGATAAGCCTTATCCCCGTCCACCACCGTGATTTTGTGTGCTCTGGTGGGCGCCTTGTTGTCGCCGTTGTTCGGCCAGGCCATCCAATTCAGCGCGCCCTGGATGGCGTCGAAGTCGCCCTGGCCCGGGTGGAAGTTCGGAGCAAAGAAGACATCCTGGCCGGCTGCCGAATTGATCGCGTTGACATCCACGCCGTCACCAGCGAACGAGGAGACGAACACTTTGCCGTCCACTTTGAGCTGGGCGGCGTGGTGGGCGTACTGCTTGACCTTGGCGCCGACGGCGGTGCCCTGGCTGGGACTCCACCAGTTGAAGTCGAAAGAGAGAAAAACATGCATCCCATTGCGGGCGGCAGACTCGTACGCAAAGCCCAGCTGGGTGTCGGTGTAGGCGTCGGTGCCGATATTCAAGGCAAAGGCATCGATGCCCGCGGCCTTGGCGCGCTTCATGTCATCGTCATACTCCGTAGCACTCTGGCGGTTGCTTGTAATGCCGATCTGCACCCCGTCCGGTCAATTCCATAGAAAAGAAAATATCATCGGAAGAGAGAAGGGGAGTGGGGGAGGGAGAGGGAGAGTTCTCATTGTTCAACTCACCATAAAATGACAGAAAACGAGCCGGTCGGCCATGTCTGTCGTAGTCGGCGTGACGGCCGGGGCCGTGGGAGTGGGACAGGCTCCGGTGAAGGAGAGGAGGAGCCCGATTAGGGCAAGTTTCAGGGACATGCCGGCCCGGAGCATGTTGGCGATTGGCGATGCTTGGCAGCGCTTCAATCCAAGCTCGCTCCTGAGGGTTTTCAGTTGGATTTGAAGGCCAGTCGAGGAATTGATCGAGGGTCAATAGATCGGGGAATGTCGAGTTCCTCCAAGCACGGCCAAAGCCGTAAACAAGGGATCGAGTATGAAGTATAAGCAAGACTAAGGAATGACTGCAGTTCGAATTGGACCCCGAGAAGGACAGAAAAAGAGGAAAACAGCGTGAAGATAAAGCCCCTGGCGCTTGCTGTTACTTTTGGACGAGACCCTTTGGACTCGTTTCATCCTCCTGGATTTCCATCCTTCGTTCCTTGGCCGCCAACCCTCCACCAACCTTGGCCCCGGACAGCCAGTCCTGCCACCCCGTCACAGAGCATTATGGATTAACCAGAATATATGAAATAACAGGAGTGAGCCAGATGATGACAATGAGGAGAATGATAGATACACGTATCACCAAGTCCAACAACCAGTCGGCAGCAAACTCCGTCCTTGCTTTGGCGCGTGTCACGGCGCTTAGTGACTTACTTGGGTCTCGGGGATTTCACTCCCCATTCACAACCAATCTCTCACAAAGATGTAGGTCACAAAGCAAAAGATCGTACTTGAAACAGAAGGGGGAACAGGACCAAATACAAGGAAGAGCGAATGGGCAAATGGAAGAGTGGGATGCCACCCACCACAACGCCACAGGGTCCATCGGCCGGGCGCAAGTGGCCGCGATCTGGCATGCAACCCGCAGCACTGAATGGCGCGCCCAAATTGGAGGACCGTCTCGAATTCCATGCTGACTCGTTGATGATATCGGTGGCGGTCAGAGATGCCGAATACCTGGATCGAGACCTATTCCCATCCCCTTTTGCTCCTTTCGCCCCCGCCTGATTCAAAGTACGTACTATTTGTATCCACGTTAAGACGCAGGACGCAGGGCATACCCGAGCGGCCGAGCCCCATTTGATGCCACGAAAACCTTCACTACGACAGAGACGAATTGCCCTGCCTTTTTTATTCTCTCTCTTCTCTGTACTCCGTGCAAGGGCGGACTCGTCCGTCCCTGCACCGGATCAGCGCTTCGAGACCCGCAAATCACATCGGTGATAGGAGAGGCCCCGCATGCCACACAGAACGGCGACGCAGAGTTCCGGGCGGACAAGGTGCAACCACATTGAACAAAAGGAAGGCATGGTGACAGCCGGAGCCATTTGGATATTATCCAGGATGTTGCGGTGCTGCAACAGCCGCATGGGATGATGGGGAGTGCGCCCCGGAGAGTAGATAGTAGTTGGATTGTAGATGATGGAGAATGGAGAACGCGGGATAGCGGACCTAAAGAACGGAAGAACATGGCGCGATACGATTTTGATTTCATCGTAGCTCTCTCGCGGTCCGATGTCGGCCTAGTATATCAGAAAGTTAGCGGAACAGCTTTTGACCCCTCGTCAGGTCGCATCAGCATCACGGGTATGAACTGTGCAGGACATCTCTCTGGAGCCATTGCGCATCATGCCTCCCACGTTGCACGAACCAGCATCGGACCCGGAGGACATGACGGTGCCCTGAATGGGTAACGAACGAGGCTATTTAACCTTGGTGGGACGATCCAGGATGCAGTCGCCGTTGGTCAGGCGCGAACTACACTGGTTTCCCAGTCGCCATGATGATTCGGTAGAAACAAGATGTTGAACATCGCCAGATATGTGGTGTTTGCCAAACTCCAGCTGGCAAAACAAACCTTGGTAAACAAGTAGCAATCCTTTGGGGTCGAAGGCCAAGTCAGTATCTGCAACGTATAGGAGGTCGTTATTTTTGACATCTACTCGGAATTTCCCAGGGTTGCTCGCATAGCGTCTGTCCTCCCAAGCGTACCAACCTACACAACAGAGAGAGATGGACTTGATCACGATCTTACGAGGCCCAATAGAAAAGGTCAAAGGCACAGGGCCCTTAATTAGGTGTATATATCTAGACGAGACGATCCGCCCTAATCACTCTTCTTCGCATCGTTTTCGCTGCGCGCTGGGTCTGCGAGAACGTTGGTGAGAGTAAGACCCTTCTATTTATCGACAGAGCGATCGATCAAGCTCCGGCTCATCGATGGGAAATGTCCGACCCTTCTTCATGATCCGTCAAGAGAGCCAAGTTTGGGTGGAGGCTGCTGGCCCACAAGTGATCGTCCGGCCCCCAAAACCCTATTTCAAGGTCGCGAAGAACCTCTGCCTGGGCAGGAAGGTTGACGGCCTGCGTCACAGCCGTCAACTGGACAAGTCGAAGCATCCCTTTCGCTAATTTCCAGCGGCGTGCAAGCGCACGAAGAGTGGTCAAAATATCTCCGAAGGCGTCCTTGTCTTGGTCATCGTCCAGAATTTTCAGCAGCGTGGACAAACTCATCGTGGCGTACTGCAATAGATTTCGGTAATTTCTAAAAGAACTCAGATGCGAGATGCGAGAGATTCGCTAAGCCGATACTCATGATGCAAAAAATGTGGGTGAAAGAACCCAAAAAGATTCAAAAAAATTTCAAAAAAAAGCAACCCCCCCCCCCAAAACCCCTAAAACACCCACATATTTATTATAAGTCTCACACATACTCGTAATTCGAGACCGGGCGATACCGGTGTGCATCCGCATCGTTGTCGTCAACCTGCTTACCAACATTCGGCGCTGGCTTTGCCAATCGGAGCACCCAGCAGAAACAGTACTCAAGCGGCAACAGCAGCAGTAGGACGCGGTTGAAACAGAAACAGAAAGAAACGGAGATCATGGCCATGACGGCATCCAGCCAGTAGTGGTTGGCCGTGGCGACAATTACACTGAGGACAAGCAGGGAGTAGGCGACGGCTAGAGCGACGTAGACACACTGCATGAAGGTGGACTTTCGTACAGGCTTCCCACGGATGCGACGCAGGATCTCGGAGTGGTAGAGCAGGGTGCAGCTAATGACAAAGGCGTAGGTGAAGTGCAGACTGGGCATAGCGGCGAACTGGTTCACTGATTTGCTGTCGACCCACACGCTCTCGGCATGTTCCTGGCGTACAGTGTCGTAGAAGTTGAAGGATTCGGGGAGCAGTCGGGGTGGCATGCAAGGATAGACGCAGAAGGTTGCGAACGCGAGGAAGTTCCCGAGCGTCATGGTCCGACGGGCCAGGGCGAAGGTGTTGGCATTGGGCGCTTCGTGATAGTACCAGGAAAGGAACCTAGAATGAGTATTTTGAGTCAGTCATCCAGGTTGACTCCACAGAATGGGGAAATTAAACGCCGACATTGATCATCGGAGGAGCATCACGTACAGGACGGTACCGGGAATATGCACGAGGGAGTAGATGCGATTAAAAAAGGTCATGATATTAGGATGGTTGGAGAGGAAGAACCATTGGAAATCGGATTCCTGGATAGGAAAGAAGAATCGGAAGAACGACTCATGTTCGAAGTTGAGGATGCTAATGGCGTGGTTCTGGGCGACGTCGACGACACCGACCTGCGCGGGAAGCAGCCACTGCGAGGTGGCCTTGGTGACGGAGTAGAAGAGATAATTGAGAATCCAATAGAACATTTCCACCAGGAAAGGGAATTTCCACAGAATCCGGCTGTGGATGTGATTGCGCCAGCGCGATGAGTCCGGAATTCTGATTGGAACGCCGCAGAAGACCTCTTTCTGTTCTCTGTCTTCCTCGTCCTCAAACTCACGAGGTGACGTCGGGACGGCTTTGGAGCTGTTCTCTCCCCCAAACACATCGTAGTTTTTCCGGCGGTTGAGGATCAAAGAGCCAATCATGATGCTCACTACGACCTGCCATATTCATGAGCTTCCTACTCAGGCATACTTTTAGGAGGGGATGGCGGGCCCGTCTCCGGGAGCAGCGAACAAGAGAAAGCGCTTACCAGAGGTTCCAGCCAAGTGTGGGAGGAGAACTGAGGTTTTCCCAGGTCAGGGTGGTCGGGAGTCGGCGTGGGCGCCGACATGCTGGGCGAATCGGCCAGTTGAACAAGAGTAGGAAGGAGAAGCAAGACCAAGGGATCGGAATAGAAAAATGAACGCCAGGGCGAAGAAAGCCCGGTGAAATTCGGCGCTGAAGAAGCTTAGGGAGAGGAAGAGAAGGACAGAGCGAGAGAATTCGAAAGAGAAAGAGACGAAAGAGCGGAAGGTCTTCTTTGGGCCGAAGGGGTCAATGCCAAGGCTCAGTCTTCGTGTCAGGTTTGCGGGTTCGCGGGTTGGTCATTTGCAGCTCCAGGCCCAATGCAGGCCTTGCAGGAATATCCCGCAATGATAATAGGACAAGAAGGACGGGTGGAGTAATTGTCTCCCATCCAGGGGAGGATGTCAGATCCAGCCTCAATTGGGGTTCACGTTGCGATTCTACGAAGCTATCTACGGAGTATACGGAAAGGACATGGGATTTACGTTGCAAAGAAGAGAGAGAGAGAGAGAGGCGCTGATGATGATGATGATGATGATGATGATGATGATAGTCTCGACTAAAGGCACAGGTCTGGCTCGCTCTCGCCAACAAAAATCTCTGCCACGATGATTGTGATGATAACTTCGTCCGAGGCGGAGCAATTATTGCGCCTTGGGGACTAGGCCACTGGGGGAGGGAACGGAGTCGGAAAGGTGGAGTCCGAAGGGAACGGGACGAACAGCACGGCGATCCAGGCGGATTCCAGAAAGAACACCGGCGTCGAGAGAGAGCGAAGCTTTGGTGACTCGTCATGAGCGTCCGATGTAAACCCATCGAACCATAAATGCGGGACATGGGCGCAGGGCCAACCAGTCGAGAATCGCATTACGTGGAGCCCAGACCCAAAGGGGCAGGCGAAAAAAAAAATGACAAAATCGGCAGCCACCGGTTCATTGAGTGCCCGAGCGCCGACGTTGAAATCAAGGCGGAGTTCCCAAGTCCAACCCCTTTCGTCTCAAGGGGACGCGCGGAACCGGTTGCTGGTGTGCTCGCGTGCTCGTGAACCTCCCATGGCCCTCCCGTATTCGTATTTTCGTATCCCGTAAGGCTGAGTCGATCGGAGATCGGAGACCCAAAATCCGGGTTGGATCCTGGCTTCCGGTTACTGAACTTCCATCACTCAGAAGCATTGGTCAGGTCTCGAGGGTCATGATCGGGGTCTCGTTGGTGCGAAGTTGCGAGGTTGTGAGGTTGCGAAGATGCAGAATCTTTGAAGTTCAAGTTGACCAGAATGGTCTCGTGACCATCGCCGCCGACCTGACGAGGCGGAAGTACGAGCAGAGCAACCAAAAGGAGCGAGCAATCGTAATCGGAATATTTTGATTTTGATTATCACCATGACAAGAATGACCGTCAATTCCAAGCCCAGTCGCTCAATCCCTCAATCATGATGGACACCAAACCCCCTCCTGCACCGCTTGACAGCTGATAGTTGATGTTCCACGCACCCTCAAGCCCCCGACCCAAACAAAGAAAGGGGGCTTGCGTTATTCTGGCTGGAGGCGCAGGGGATCCAAAAAGGGTTCGGCCCCACGAGAGCCATTTCAGGCCAACGAAAGATCCAAGCCCGAAGGCTGGAAAGATGCGAAGGGCATCAGTACGCAGTGGGGATGCGGATGACCTGATTAGCCGCCCCACAACGGCCAATTCAGCCGACCCCGACGGGGTGATATGTACGGAGTAGTCAACGCATTGGATACTCCAAATGGTAAGGATTGGCCATCTGGCCAATCAGCTCCGCTTATCCAATGTCGAAGGACATTAAGTAACCAACTAAATATTAGTTAGCGGGTTATTTAACTAGTACGCCATGTAACAGAGCAACTACGTATAACTCCTGTGAGCTAACTTGTAGTAGTTAGTATGAAGACCGATAGCTTCGCCCCCTGTCAGCGTCAGATCATTGCAATCCGCATCGGGAAGTAAATACGTGAGCGAATCAAGCCCGTCAAGTGTCCCCCGTCCTCTCCAGCTCCACTCCCCAACCCCCATCGAAAGGGATCTCAGACTGAGTTTCGGGGTTCGGTTTTCCTTTTCCCACTCATGCCCCTGAGACGTTTTTGTTGTTTTCTTCTTCTTTTTTATGTCCCCTTTCTTGCTTCTTTCTTGCTTTTTCAACGCCGGGGTCCCAACCAAGGAAAATCCGGAGATCCTTCCCGGCCGGGACACTTGGCAAGTTGCACTAACTAACTTAGCCTACGCTTGAAAGTTATGCATCGCTGACTTAAGCGGCTTCGGCACGGATGTCCAAAAATTCCGAAAGAGCATAGGCGTTTGCATTTCTCTAATCTCATTCTGTGTCTCGCTCTGACCTATTACAAGATGTTTTCTGGAATGGTCCATAATTCTTTATTGCTTTTAGATTCTATGTAGTTCTCCGAATTGTAAATAAGGTTTATTGATACTTTCGACTGCAAACGCCTTGAGCTTTTGGATTTTTTTTGGGGGAGCGTTCTTCGTTCTTCTCACTCAAGTCTTCTTGCTGGTTTGCACGCTTCAAGGATCACTTTCCTCGAATATTCTGTCAAGATGCCTAATGGTATATAATCGTCTCAGCTAGGGTCTATAGCAACTGACTAATGTTTCTAAATAAGATTCAACACTTGCACATCATAGTGCCTATATCATCTTCAGTACTAATCCCCCGTATAACCTCTTCAGAAAGTCATATGGCGCTCTTCAAAATACAGGTCAGCTCATCCCAACTCGGGTGATCCATATTGTCGACAAGGTTTACCGCCTGGTATTTCAAACCAAGGCCCTTTTCCCTGTGTTATTCGATACATGCAGCATGGTCACAACCGTGTGATGCGTCGCCCCACCTGTTGGAATCCCAAGCCATCGACATAAATATAAACAATATCCAGTAAAATAAGTCCACTTCAGAGTGATACTGAAGGAATCAACAAGACTTTCAAGTTAATATGACCTACCAAGTAGGGTGGTTCAATAAATATACGCTATCCGGGGCCTCTTTTCCCGGTAATAAACGTGATTTGGAGTCAAGAAACTCAATAAGGTCGTATTTCTTTTTCTATGGAGTCTTGCTAGAATATATTCCAATTCTATTCATTTGAGAAGATGTACTAAAAATGGACGAAAGAAGGAAAAAGAATCAGAAAGGGGGGGGGATCATCGATATTGTCTTCTTAATTAGGTACGGCTTAGTATTGAGTCTACTTGGACTTCGTTTCAGCCATCTCTTGCTCTCAAGAAAGAGGCCCCCTGACGGGAAGCAACACCGCCACATCTCATTGTGGTTGGATATGGGTTAGAAGCGAGCTAGAGTACAGCATATGCGGATACATAGCTGACCGAGCTATCCATTACATCCACAGCATCAGAACTGCGCTCGTACCGCAGAAAATGAAACTGGCCCTTCTGATCGGCTGGTATATCGGCCGTCGCCACTTCCAATGCCGCCATGATCACCCCAATCGGATGCCGACCGCAGACCGTGTTACCCGTACTTTCTATGGTGTCTAAGAAGGTCTTTGCCGACCCAGTCGTTATGGCACTCATCGTGGCAATGTCAAAGGCAGATATACTTTCATGAATGGCGGGCTCGTTGCTTGAGATTCGATCCCGTCGCTGTAGATGATGCCCGGCGCAGACCATCTGAATGCTTTTCTTGACAGCATCGGGGTCTTGGCCTGGCTGTGGGAGGGTATCACTGGACAGTGGTAACTGGTGTCCTGGCGTAGGTGTCTGCGGGACATAATACGTATAGCGGAACCGGAGACCCCAGTGGCAGAAGTCGGAGCTGATGACGAAGGCATTGGATGGATCTGCCAGATACGGTGCCAGCAACCCTCCAAAGGCATGCTCTGTGGAGGCGGATGTACTGCCGACCATGATAGGTACCAGTGGCGGATATTCCGCGACTGGTCGGTCTGGGAATTGTAGCTGGAGCAGGCGATGAATGTAGGGCAGATGCATTTCGATACTGTGCTCCTCTTCATCAACGTACTGGGTCATCGTAGTGAATCGGAGTCTCGATCCATTTGATGTAGTCGCCTGCATGGTAAGAAGCTGTGAGATTAGCTCCGTGTCGAGAGGGAGAGGGTCCTTATCCAGCGGGGTATAGTAGGACGTGACTTGCGGGAGAGCCAGCGTCGAGAGCGGTTCGTGGTGCGAAGGGCCCAAGATGAAGATACGCTTCCTGAATTCGGAACATTAGATAGATCAAGTCTAGAGAGAACCTGCTGCGGAAAGTGAAGCTCACGCCTGGGATAAGTCAAGAGCCTTATATGCAAAACCGGCGCAGGGCCCGGAGTAGGCATAACCGGCGTGTCTGATCACATCAGTTATTGGGGAGGAAGCTCTTTGATTTCATCTCATGAAATGACATACGGTGCAATAATCACTCTCGCCCCGGGGACTGGGAGCGAGCCCACTTTGTCCAAAGAACCCGGCACCTGTGCCAGCCACCCATCCAGCTGGCGAGTCAGCGTCCGGCTACTGTCCGAGTACCAAGACCCAGCATGGAATGCTTTTCTGGATGGCATGATGCGTTTGTTTATCTGTGTCGGAGTATGGGCGTGATGCAAGAAATAGAAAGCTCGTTTGAGCGCCGGGGGGGGGGGGGGGAAGCGGGGAAGGATGCAAGTGGAGCACATCAGAGCCGCTGCGGGAACCCGATCGATCTCGCTCGCGGTATGCCGAACTACGTACTATTTAACTCGAAAGCTCGAAATGATGACGCATTTTCCAACTTGAAAGAGCTTCTGATATATTCGACTACGACCTCAAGTTGGTCCGATGATAGGGGCTGTGACGGTTATTAACCGGAGGTCATAATTATCTACCAACCATGTGCTATGATAGAGTCCGCATACTATATATATCAATGAACTCGATCTAGGAGCCAGGTTTGAGAACCGACCATTTATATCATATTTTCCAAATTTTGAAATAGCTCCTTCTAAGTAACTGCAAGCTCATACTAATGAAGTTGATTTTATCCAGGCGAACATTCCATTGGGCTGGATGCTGTATTTGCTGGCCATTTGATGCCGACGATGGGCTACACATCAATAAGCACTTCACCAGCCCAATTGGAATTGCGAAGACGATTTCTTCTGACTTGATATTGGATCATTCGATTCGCTCATAGAGCTCCCTTGCGCCCGACACCTTTGATTCCTCTTCAGTGTGTTGTGTGCAATCTTGCCTATTACGGACTAGCGTGTTCCAGTCAACGCGCATCTCGTAATCCGCAAGACGCGCCTGGCCAATCGCATTCCGCGGCCCGGCGACTCCAGCCTTTCTCTGTTCAGATGCAACTCTGCGTTTCCCACTGCCGACTTGAACGCCACAGTCTGAATTGTACCCTAACCTCCTCAAGCGCTGTTCTGCTACTTGCTCAAAACTGTAATCGGCACTGCCAAACCTACCATGGCCCTCAAGCGGAAAGCTTCATTCTCGGTAATCTCATCCGGTCCGTCGATGCCCGCGCCCAGCGAATGGGGAATGGTTGGGAGCTCCCAGGACCTCCCCAGCCGGACGCGGAAGCGCTTTCGCGATGGTCGCCCCAGTGATGAGGTTGTCTATGGTGAGTCCTCCAACCCAAAGGCACATTGCTTGTTTTGTACGGCTGCTTGGAAGACTCCTGCCCTTCGTGAGACTCGAGCTAACCAACCAGCAGAGAAAACCCTTCGCTGGATCTTCTCTGCACAACAGCAGCAGCGTCAACAGCAGGCGGCTGCATCCATGGACATGATGGACGACGCCATGATGGACTCGGAGTCGACTATTCCTACGCCCCAGACTGTGGATCCACGCCAGCAGACCCTTCTGCGATTCTTCCAGCCGTCAGCCCAGCCGCCCTCACCTTTCCGACCATCCCGCGCCGCGCTTGTGGCCCGCGCAAATGAGACCGCCATGGAACACGATGAGATGCTGCGACGCCAAGCCTTCGCGCAAATGACCGGGACTGGGAGCTCCAGCGGAAGCGAGATGACGAGCCCTGGCGTCCCGCAAGCGGACGGCGATATGGACATGGATATGGACATGGATGTTGAGACGGATCAGAGCAGTGAGAGCTCTAACCCCGTTTCCAAGTGGGGATTTTGGAACGGTGGCAATGGTATGTCGTGAAGCTTGTGCTGGGCATAAGGCGCAGATCGCTCTGTGGAGAAATGTGGCTCTGTGCATAATGGGCCTTCCTGTACCCTTGTGATATCTTTCGGGTGTTTTTTGGGATTCTGGTTTTAGCTCTCGAGGAGAGCGCGGTGTTATGGAATTGGCGTCATTGGATTGTGACTATCCTGGGAATATTGTTAGGAGTGGGTGGCTCGAGGGCGTAATGTTTAACCGGACATACTGTTCGCATCAAAATATCATTCATTAACTAACTTCTGTCCTTGTAAATTGCCTTGGGAAAGGCTGACATGTTGTTTTGTAGCCCCAAATAGCGTGTCTGTCTCAGGCACCGGGGGCGGGGGTCTTCACAATGTAGTTCTCTGTCGGCTGCTCTATTAACACGAGTCTTTCTGTTTATAACCCCGGCGAGCACCGAGTACTGAGTTGTAAATCGTAGATTGGATAGGAGGCATCCTGTGTTGTCTTTTACCCCATGAAGCCGCGGGCATGTGCGCCGGGAACTCTTCCAAGTTGTTTTATGGTAACGGAGCATTAGCTTCGATTTTGCTGCTCCTCGACTTCAAATTGGAATGGCTGGGAGGTCCTCAATTTCTCACTCTGCCAATTCTATGCTATTTTTGGTTTCCTTCTCCGAGATGAGAGGATCGAGTTCCTGAGGTGCCACGGCGTCACCCCACCTTACCTGTGGCCTGAGGCACCATAATTGTGGTTACCCGACGCGGCTTGTTGAACTTCTTCTCTTGAACTTCTCCCGACAGAAGTCGATGAAGTGAGAACCTGCGCTGAAATACGACTCATATAAATGTCCCTGGCTATATGGGATTATTGAATATTCTGGTTCTGCCACCTCCTGTGCCTCATTGACTTTGAGCTATCTACGTGGACTCCAACCTTCCAGCGTCGCTTGCTCCAACGACTTAGACCCTTGCATCCGCTTCTACAACCACGGACACGACAAGATGGACAGTGAAAAAGCAGTAGAATATCTTGATGGGTTGCTGGGTCGTACCTTGCGTATCCACACCACTGACAGCCGCATGTTTGTCGGGCTCTTCAAGTGTACGGACGCGGTAAGCAAACCTCGGGACTGGAAAGAGTGGCCCTTTCCTCCCAGATGAGCTATGAGTGTTGATCCACGGTGCATCGTGATAGGAACGAAACATTATTCTCGCCAATTCGTTCGAATACCGGTTCCCCACTGCCTCTGCTATTCAGGAAGCTGCGAAAGCCGAGTCCTGGGACCAGACACCGGAATCTCCCGTCTCCGTCAAAGTCAGTATGACCAGCCGGCTCGTTGGGCTCATTGTGATCCCAGGTCGCCATATTACAAAGATTGAGCTGGAGTAACATCAGAGTCGACTACAACCCGTCCACCAGACTCACCAGACGGCCGGCAACCCAACCTCTCCCCCCAATGAGAGAGTCCAGCTCCAGCGGAGCCGAGCGCTGGGAGAAATATGTTCCAACTCGCGCCCTCGATCAAACAGCCGGGTTCTGTCTCTACATTGAGCAGTTCCCCCACCCCTGCTTCTCTGCCCGGTTAAGTGTTCCGCCCGGGGCTGCCAAGGAAGTGCGTCGGGGGGAGTGATGCTGCTCGCTGCTGCATCAATGTGGCTCGGAGTACACTGCAGCTGCATGACGGGCGCTTTCCGGTTTGATTCACAGACCGGCCGTTGATATGAATTGGTGACGGCACAACTTGGAGCCATCTGGAGGGTGGATGAACAGAGTCCGAGGAGGGAGGGGGAAAAGGCGGTGTCTCCCTGATAGAGATGCCTTGGCGCGCGTGCAGTGGCTGTTGTGGAGGATTGAGATAGGCTGCGGCTCCCAGCCCTTTCCATCTGCAACCGGTTCTACCCATCCGACGTATCGTTTCTAGGTCGGTGGGAGAGGGAGAAAAATGAGATGTCAAGTTTTCTTTTTTTTTCTCTCCAGGGACCAGACACTTTTCGGCTGCAGGAACCTCCGAGCCTGAGACGGGGAGCCTTTCTCTCGTCTTTCTGATCTTCTATTTCGGAGGCAAGGCTAGAACGTGGCAGCACGACACCGGGGTTACTTCAGCTCTTCCCTCTCCGCCCCATGTGATAGGAGCGCGCGGGGGCGGTCCAAGCTCCTCGAACACGTCCGTTCCACTGGCCGGGGAGTTCAAGGCGCCATTCGAGTCTCCATTCATCTGCAACATCGCACAGTCCTCCTTCCCAGGCTGAATTCAAATGCTGGTGTGAAGGGATACGGGGGCAACGAGGTGACGCATTGTGCTCGGCGCTTATCCGGAGAGCACGGCGGGTAGGGCCAGGCGGAGAGTGGAGAGGCATGAAAGGATTCGTGATCGCACATCCTTTCCAGTCGAGGAGGCTTGAGATGAATCCTTCTTCACGATACAAAGAGAACAACCAGATCAACCGTGATCTACGGCTTGAGAGCCTTCTCCAGCCGATCCCCAGCCCCAAACGCATGAAGCCCCCGATCGTAGAACATCCGAAACCCGATGCGGTTTGGGATAAGGGGTTCGGGGCTCTGGACGCTCTTGTGTTGGACTCATATCTCCAGCCTATCTCCGCAGGCTTTCTCGACCCCGATCTTCACAGAGTCCCTGCGATCCTCCCCATTCAGTGGCCATTCAGTGTCCCGGAAGGCAACGAGGCTCTCGGCCCGCGCGATGATCCGGCTTACCTAACGCCCCAAACGCCCCCGAATCCGCGCTCGGGATCCACTTGAGAGTGGCCAGAACCGGACGATGACAGCGATAAAACAATGGTTGCGCTCTCTTTCCCACCCCCCAGTCTCTCGCGACGAGTACTACGCCTATTATACCATTTCATAGCTACGAGCTCCAATCTCATCCCTATTTTCCCTCTTCCCTGTTCCATCTCCTTCAAACCAAGCCCATTCTATATCTGTATTTTTTGGGGGCGGGCCTAATCGCCACGCGGGACTCCTGGTCACGTACCCGCCAAGTACCTTTCCACGTCGTAGCGGTGGCGGAGTACTTTTGCCTGACTCCCACCTTCCGTACTCTGTCCTCCGTCCTCCATCTCCCAGCTCTTTGCCCTTCCCCTCTTCTGGAGAAGAGCCGATCTCAAAAGAAATCTCTTCAGGTGAGTCCACCGGCCGCTGTTCATTCCTCGTCGCCTGCCTCGGAGCGCGAATAGGGGTTGCGACCTCGCCTCTGCGTTCCCCGTACATAATGACGCATTCCTCTCTCCGCCCGTCCACTTCCACCCACCATCCACTCCAAACCTACAAACCCTACGACACCCCCCCATCCCAACCTTCATTCCTCCCTTGCCGCCTCTTCCCCCTCCCTCCACATACCCACGGAAGCTTCTGCGGAGTGCAGCCCACTTGCCAACCCCCTCTCCCAAGCCAGACTCAGATTGTCCTAGTTGGGCCGACACTAATCCCGCGCACAGGACGAGCTTCTGTCCGTGCCGCCTCGGAGCTCTCACCTCTCCACCTCTTCCCAATCGCTCAGCTCGACCACCGACGCCCCGGAACTTCCCCCTTTCCCCCTTCGCTCGCCCTCTTCCTCTGTAGTCAACCTCGACGAGCTCGGTTTGGGGGTTCATTTCCTGACTTGCAAAAAGTGACCGGTCGTGGAGTCGCTTCGGCGTTGCCGCCGCTCGTTGCCCGGATTTCGCCTTCCCATCTGTTTGTCGTCTGTCTGAACCTTCACCCTTTTTTTCCCTTGGGCCCCCCAGTCTGCTCATCCAGAAAGGATCTCCCGTGTGAATAGTTGCGGCATTCACACACCCTCACCCCACACCTGTGCCGGGGTCCTTGCCAGCTTTAATAGACTGTCATCGTGATTGTATCCTTCGAGCCGGGACGGCCAAGACATTCCAACGCCCAGGGGAACTTTCTCGGCGCGCAGCGGTTTGACCGTACGCTCTGTTCGTGCGATCCACCCTCGTTCTTAGCTTGGCAGACATCCCAGCCTTTGCTGTGATGGGTCAATCGCATTCCAAGGGCAACGCCGGCTCGGGCGACCCGTTACAATCGTACCCGTCCTTTTCGAAATCCGACACCAAAGAGTCCCTCCGTTCTTTCCGCGGCTCCATTCGCTCCAAGATCCCGGGTGCGCGGAGCAGCGATAGCCCGCGAGGCTCGACGACCGCCCTCTCCCAGACCGACAGCCAAATTGATAAGTCTGATGCCGGCTCCGTCAAGTCCGCCGGAAGTCGTCCGGGCTCCAACGCTGGCCTCTCTTCCCCCGCCTCCGAGAGCGCCTCACGCCCCGCCTCTCCGCAGCCCCCTCCATCCCCATCGCTCTCCAGCAGTTTGAAGCGAGGTCATAAGGATGTGAATGCAATGAAGCAGAGTGGCGAGGTGGATCACGTCTCGGATGGTCCCCCCACGGGCGGACCGCCCAGTGGCACAGCTGTGAAAGCGGGGGAATCCATTCTAATCAAGCGAGAAAATCAACTGAATCCCATCTTGGACTTCATTCTCAACGCGCCACTCGAGACCTCCGGATCCCCGGGTATGGGCATGGGTGCCTTGAAATCCATCGACCTGGATGATATGATCTCTCGGCTGCTTGATGCAGGCTATTCCACCAAGGTCACCAAAACTGTTTGTCTCAAGAATGCCGAGATTACCGCCATTTGCTCTGCGGCCCGGGAACTCTTCCTGTCCCAGCCGGCGTTGCTCGAGTTATCTGCCCCTGTTAAAATCGTCGGTGATGTGCATGGCCAATATACGGATTTGATCCGTCTCTTTGAGATGTGTGGATTCCCGCCGGCGTCGAATTACCTCTTTCTGGGTGACTATGTCGATAGAGGAAAGCAGAGCCTCGAGACTATCCTTCTGCTCCTATGTTATAAGCTCAAGTACCCAGAGAACTTCTTTTTGCTCCGTGGCAACCATGAATGCGCCAACGTCACGCGAGTTTATGGATTCTATGACGAATGCAAGCGGCGTTGCAACATTAAGATCTGGAAGACCTTTATCGACACTTTCAACTGCCTCCCCATTGCTTCGATCGTGGCAGGCAAAATTTTCTGTGTGCATGGCGGCCTCTCACCTAGCCTGTCGCATATGGACGATATCCGAGGCATTGCTCGTCCGACTGACGTTCCTGATTATGGTCTGCTGAATGACCTCTTGTGGAGTGACCCGGCCGAGATGGAGGAAGATTGGGAACCCAACGAACGTGGTGTGAGTTATTGTTTCGGTAAGAAGGTGATTATGAACTTCTTGCAGCGTCATGATTTCGATCTGGTTTGTCGTGCCCACATGGTGGTTGAGGATGGATATGAGTTCTACCAGGACCGCATCCTGGTGACGGTATTTTCTGCTCCTAATGTAAGTCTCTTGGTCATTCCCTCCCCACCTCACGTTGCGAATTTCCCAGGGTATTATCTGACGACTTGACCAGTATTGCGGCGAATTTGACAACTGGGGCGCCATTATGTCCGTCTCAGGCGAGCTACTCTGTAGCTTTGAGTTGCTGAAACCCTTGGACTCGACCGCACTGAAGAACCACATTAAGAAGGGCCGTAACAAGCGGAACAGCATGCTAAACAGTCCTGTGAGTCGAGCCCAGACCCCTTGCTTTTTCTCTTTATCTCGTGCCAAGCGATCGCCACTGCGTCGTACGACGATGGCCAGACTCTCTCGGCACCACGCATATGTCTCCCCTTGTCGGTGCAAATGGCTAATGCATTTTTTTCCCCCCTCTTACACAGCCCGCGCTACCCTCTGCTCAAAGTTACTAAGATTGATGATTGGTAACCTGTTCGCCATACACTGGGCATCTGCAACACTTTGTGCTTGGCATAGCCTTGTCAGCAGTGCCCGACGGAAATTGACCACGATCTTCACTCCAGCTTATAACGATGCCATCCACCAGTCGATTTCTCTGCTGAAGTCTGGCTGTAGGCCGATTTTTGACTCCGGGATCTGTCCTGTTTTGCACTACCTCCCAAAAGTGCACCGGCTTGGTTGTTTAAGTTATGAACACCCTGATCTCGCCGATGCCACGGTGCAGAATCCCCAACATTTTCGGCCTGATCTGCGCAGGAAATAAGTAAAAAAAGGCCACTGCCTCGAGGACATGCGCATGCAGAATCCGATCCCCACCCCAGAGACTTTTGAATGGAGATGCCAAAGTCGGGTGAACTCTGGCATACCCTCGCGTCCCCCGTGTCTTCGGACTTCGGGCTCGTGCCCTTGGGCATGCAAGCAGGTTGGGCAACGAACGCCTGGAGCTCCGCCCTTTAGCCAGGTCCTTGTCGCCCTCTCTCACCCGCTCTAGCCGTGTCTTCTGCTTCTCTTCATGTATCTATTTCATTCTACTATTTTTCTTCATTCTTCCTTTTTAGAAATTGGTATTTCGAGGGATTTATTTCGCATTTCCCATATCTGGTCCCCCTGTACAGTAGTATTCGAAAGCAGTTATACCCCCACACTCATCCGACTTTTTTCCCGGAAAATAAATCTGAAGTGCGAATCATGATTGGATATGCTTTTTGAAGTCTGATCTCTTGACGACTTCCTACAAGAGCGTCTGGATTTCATGATGTATGTGTGAGACATCTTAGAAAATTTTTTTATTCGAAATGCTATACGCGAGCTACCTTCGTGCTTCTTTCCTCTTCTCATACAGCGACTAGTCTTTCCCACCTGTACTATGATTTGGGCCTGTCACCTGAGGATATTGTAGTCTCCGAAAAGCTGATCATACAACATGGCTCCAAGGCTCCCTCTCGCAAAGCTATTTCCTATTCATGCCATAAAAGCCTTTCAGATGGTCGAGGAAGCCGAATATATTAAACTCACGACCATTGATATTCGTAAAAACCTAGAATCACATAATACCTAGATTTCTCGCATTAAAGACAAAAGCTCGAGGGTAACAGGATTCGTCGGCGTACCGGTGCTCGGCTAGTTAGGTACAGTAATAAATCATAAATTACACGCTTAAAGCTCTTGTTGTAGGCGGCTGGTTAGGCTGTTTAGAGAACTCGCGGGTCTTTCAAATAACTATTCACTTCTCTTAATAAGTCGTGGGTTTTGCATCTACCCTATTACAGCTGCTAGCCCAAACGACCGTTCTAGAGAGGATACTATTATTTAATAGTCAACTTTTTTTATTGAAGATATTGCTCCTATTAGCCCAACAAGTGAACATGGCCGGAGTCTAGGAGCGCTAGGTCAAGGCCGAGTCATAAGAGAAACCCAAAGCAACAGGCGAAGCGATATTCTGATCAGAATTAAATACTGTATCACATCGCCTTCATCTATTATCAATTGTAGTAAAGTGTTCAAATGATTGATGGCAGTTTGAAGACCGACGAAGTCGGTGCGCTTCAGGATAAGTAGTTCGCCGGCCCCAGAAATTCGTCAATAGCCTGGTAGTCAGGGGTCATCTCCTAAAAAACCGCTATTCAATACAAACAAATCCACAAGTCCATTTCTCCCCCCCCCCACAGAGCGTGGGTTCGTTACCGAACCCCAGGGATGGAGCACTGAAAGTGGTCATCAGATCATGCACTGTAGCGGCCATGATTTTCTAAATATATCGTCAGACTTTGTAGACGAAATCTGAGAGGATTCCAAGTGACGTGAAAGAGGGATTGTCATAAGTCTAACTAGTAGCATTGATGACTTCCCTCAGCAAATCCGAACTACCTGGTGCCTTTTCAGAGCCCAACAGGATCTATCAGATTTCTATTTCCCCATAATTTTGAAAATTCGGATGAACTATATCACTAATCGTGAACTTCGGTAGGAAACTTTCTCTCCATTCCTGGTTACTAGGTTTGAAGCTTCATTATGCAAGGCAGCAAGGACATGAACCCCTGTTGGGAATAGGACCGCTTGCTATGCCTTAGAAAGGAGAAAAAAAGGGAAGGAAAATTGGTGTGATTCGGTATAGTATGTTCCCATGCAAAATGGTTTCACACCTCACCGCTGCCCAAGTGACTCTTTATTCTCTTCCCAAAACACCCGGCACCCTGTATGCCCCCAATGCTCTGTCCACCACTCTCCAAAACTATCCTGCACCTCTTCATCCAGCCGTAATACGCGCTCATCTCGCTTCAGCGCACACAACGCACATGCATGTCCCGCCTTCAGCGCCCCCGCTTCTGCTCGCGCCGTGACGACCTTCAGTTGTCCCGGTTCCAAAACCACAGGCACTGGTTTCCGTCCCGCAGACTGTACCACAGCTGCGAACAACGCAGCCCGCTCACGCCATGCGCCAAGTACATCCACTGCGTCCTGTGCCTCCTTCACATCCTCATGCTTGTTCACGGCGCTGAGCTTCATGCCGCCGGCCTTACCGGCTGGACCAATACGCATGCTCTTCGCAAGCAGCGTGTCACGTTTCCAGCGATGGCTACGACCGGCGATGATGTGCGCTGCAGCAGTGAGGGTTGTAATGATGGTGACGGCTGCTGCGGCTTTGGAAGGAGCGGGCTGGGTTTTGGCGGCCTGGGCTTCTTGGGCAAGGGTTTGGAGTCGAGTGAGGAGGAGGTCAAGAAGGATGGAGGGTGGGGGAATGTTCGTGGGTCGGACGGCTGTGGAGGAGGGCAGGGCGCTGGAAGTAAAGCTTTGGGGCGATGGGGAGATCGGGGCGGGCCTAGTTAATGCTGGTCCGTCGGTAAAATCGTCCCAAGTATCAAAGCCATCTTCCCATGTTGGTTGTGGAGGATTGTGTCTGAGAGGGACCTTAGCCCTAGTGGTGGTAGTAGGATTGGCGGATGGCCCATCGGTGAATCCGCCCCATTCTCCAAAGGAGTCATTTTCATCAGCTGGCAGTGGTTTCGAAGACGGTGCGGGGAGTTGGTTGTCCTTTGGCAGATGATCGGAGGAAGGCTTGGTGGATTGAGCATCCGCGAATTGCACCCAATCTCCAAATGAGTCGTCGTCCCATCCTGACTGGGAGAGAGGATTGCTAGCCTGTGGCTTGTTCGGACCAACGGGGAAAGGCTGATTCGGGTGTGTGATTGGATCCACCAGGGACAGAGATCCTAGTAATGCAGCCGTTCCCGCAAATCGTGGTTCATCGTGAGCCCGAGGAGAGGAGGGAGCTTGGGCGGCTTTTGATATCACGGCCGTGGGCTGTGGCGGTCCTGGGCTTGGTTGTGCCGTGGCCTCGGGGCCCTCAAATTCGCCCCAGTCATCATCGGCGTCACTAGCTGGTGTGTCTAGAGTGGCATCGAACAGCACATCACTGTCCTCTTGGCGAGGCAAATCGAATGCCTGTAAACTCGGGGCCTGGCGTGGAGTTACCGGTGCATACTGGCTCGGCAGTGATGCAAGCGTGGAGTTTTGGGACAGATTGTGTAGGCTGTCTGAGGTCGTCCCGAAAAATATATCGTCAGATTGATCCAGGCCGCCCCCCAATGTATTTGGTTGCGGCCGCGCTGACTGCGGCGGGTGTGCGGAGGTCTGGTCAGTGCCAGAACACTGGCCGAACTCAGCCAACAGGTCCGCAGACATGGATTGAGGTCATGAAGCGATGGTCGGTGGCATTGACATGGAATAGGGAGCTGGAAGAGGGGTTTTTTTTGGTGGAAATCGTCGTGGGAAGGGGGCCATTCACCTCATCTGAAAGGCTGCGTTTGTGCTTGGAGTTCGGAGGTCGAAGATCGGAGATCGGCATGTTGTCATGCGGCGAGTGCCAGCAGCGCGATAAGAGCGTCCCGCGGATTCCATTATCGGGGTTCCCCTCATCTTCTCACCTCCACTTCCCCAACCACGAAATGCGAACCATAGAAGAGACTAGGTATGGGCCCAAGACTCTACAACCGGCGAAGAACCACAGCACTTACCTCCGCACAGAAAAAGATGGGAGACTCTGTTCCTCGGCAATACCAACCCCTCTGATCTCAGGGCGGCCCTTCGAGGGGAGCAAGGAGCAAATCTGTGCAGAGACGGACTGAGGTCGATCTGCTGGAAGGTCTGTGGGAATCAATCGACTGGACATAAGTTCAACACTCATTCCACCTGCAGGTCTTTCTGCTCTTCGACAATGTTGACCGGGAAAACTGGTCTCAAAAGCTCGCCGAATCACGGGAGGCTTATAGCGCACTTCGCGGCCACTTCCTCAAGTATATCGAACACCCGAATGATCTAGAATCAACAATGGACCCATTAGCAGACGATGAAGAGGTATGTAGGGAAACTTTAGCTTGAGATAGCTAGCTCCAACCGAGAGAATTAAACTGGCGACCAGGCTAATCAAGTGTTTTCATCAGTCTCCGTGGCAAACCCTACGCAATGACGAACAATTACGTGCCGAGATTTCGCAAGATGTCGACCGCTGCATGCAAGAAAACCACTTCTTTCAGGAACCCGTGACAAAAACAAAATTGACCGATATTCTATTTGTTTACTCGAAGCTCAACCCGGATGTGGGTTATAGACAGGGGATGCACGAATTGGTGGCCCCGATTTTGTGGGTAGTCGACCGAGACTCGATTCAACGACCAATAAATAGTCCGGCACAAACCTCTGTGGATAGTGACGATGGTCTCATGCTGGACCTCCTGGATTCCGAATTCATTGAGCATGATTCGTTTACATTGTTTCTCAGCGTCATGCAGACGGCACGCATATATTATGAACATGGCGAGACTAAATCCGCAAATGGACAGATGGACGTCATTCCAATCGTCAATCGTTGCCAGTATCTTCATCAAGAGGCATTGTCGATCATCGATCATGAACTTGCAGAGCACCTTGAGACTGTGGACGTGCTACCCCAAATATTTCTGACGTGAATTCCTCCTTCCAATAAAATGCCCCGGGGATACCTGTGATGCTGACTGGCGATATAGTCGCTGGATGCGCCTTCTCTTTGGAAGAGAGTTTCCTTTTGACGATGTGCTTATGATGTGGGATTTACTTTTTGCCCATGGATTACGGTCTGACCTGGTGGATTTCACATGCATTGCCATGCTACTTCGTATTCGGTGGCCCTGTTAGTAGTCCTTCCCTGATCATTGAACGAGGCATCGATGTATTCTGCCGACGCTGCAGAGGCTCATTTGGGATCGATCTAGTGCTCAAGGCAGATTACTCGAGTGCACTGTCCATGTTGCTGCGCTACCCTTCCCCCGAACCCCACGCTCCCTCGACCTTCATGCATGATGCGCTCTATTTGGAACAAAATCCGACTGCAGAAAGAGGCAGCTTTATCATTTCCAAGTATTCCGGACGCCCCCGGAGTCTTTCAAACGCCGCAGCCAGTCTGGGGTGCGCCCTGCCATGAAAGCCCACCTTTGGGAAGACTTCAAAAGTCGCAGTGAAAGCAATTCTTCTACCTCATCCCCGGCCCGAGGCAGTCCCAAGAGCCTGGAAGCACTCCTCCAAGATGTATCGCAAGGCATCCAACGCCGCACAGAGTCCTGGGGCGTCGCCAAAGCTGTTCGAGGGGCGGTTACCGAAGCTAGGAGGAATATGCAAACTATGCATTACGAACCGGGTTTACGTGGCACCACCCTGCATCCCAAACCCTCGTCCACCATGGGCACAAAAGCTGCCCCAAACCGACCGACGGCGACCGAACTTGGGCTACAAAGCAAGATCACTCGCCTAGAGGAACGCAACAAGGCGTTGGCCATTGCCTTGGGTGATTCACTTCAGGATCTTCGGTCTCAATTGGCCGTGGCTACCGGATCGGACGGGAGCCCCGGCGTCACGCAAGCTCTGGACCAAGCCGAATCCGTCCGCCGTTGTCTCGAAGACTCCATGCTCCCCATGCTCCCGAGCCCCGTAGCGCCTGTCCCACATGCCCGCGTAGAGAACGATCCCCAGGCTGCGCCACCACCCGAAGCCGATGCAGAGAACGTCTGCCGACCTGAAGACGAGAAGGTGGCTGAGCCGGATCCGCAAGATGGGCGAGTATCTTCGCCGGCAGATAGCTCCGGGCCGAGCCCTGGTGGGACCTCCAGGCCGGTGAGTCTTGTCACCGCCCACGGGAGGCCCCCCAACGGGGAGGCCGCCCGGGCGCCCGTCCGGCCATCCCTGTCGGATGCAGGGTTCTCCTGGATGCTGGAAGGCAGTCGCAATTTGTCCAGCTTCGTCAGCTCGGTTTCGGCACCACCGGAGCAGACCCGGTACCTGGAGCAGCAGCAGCAGCAACAACCTCAACAACAGCCGTCACCGCGCAGCAAAGGCAGCCGAGCCCATCCTCTCTTCGGGAATGGCGGGGATGAGTACCCGAGCATCCATGCCGAACACAATGAATTGGCGATGCACAACCTCCAAGGCGCTCGGGGGCCACTGTAAGGGGGGTAAGGGGAGGAGGGAGGGCGAACGAGTAATTTTGGGAGGAATGAGGAGGAGAGGGGGCAGAAGAGCTGCGAGGCAAAGCAAGATTGATTCCGGTCCAGGTCGCAGGCTGCAGGTGGAGATACACGATCCGTTATGATCCCGGATCACTTCGCTTAATTCCGGGTTGCATTCATAGATCTCTCATTCGCCGAGACGCGGGCGATAATACATCCAGGATGTGGTTGCGGTGGAGAGCTGGTCCACCGGAAGAGAACGAAAGAGAGAGGGAAAGAGGGAACACACAAAAATCTCGGATCGGCCCAGGCGAGGGGACAAGCGCCTTTGCTCACCTGTGATCATTGGGCATGGGCGGATGTGATCTGATGGGGCATACTGGGCAGTGCTGGGATGTTGGGCGGGCTACCGGGCCTGGTCTTCGATGATGTCGGAGAGAGTGGAGAAAAGAGGTATGTGCGTGAGAGCAGCAGATGTACTCTGTCGCTGCAGGCGCTTTTCACCGTGACGAGTCTCCTGGTTGTCCAAGGATCTACTCTTTGGGGGATTGGGAGAGACGACTGGAGAGGAAGAGGAAGAGGAAGAGGAGGAAGAGGAGGAAGAAGAAGAAGAAGAAGAAGAAGAAGAAGAAGAAGAAGAAGAAGAAGAAGAAGAAGAAGAAGAAGACCACCAGACCAGACCAGACCAGACCAGACCAGACCAGTGATAGGCAACAGTACTCCTCGTGAGGGAGTTACTCTCGGCGATGATCTAAGCGAGTGAGTGTGCAAGTCGTATTGTCCTGTAGTTGCGAGTCTTCTATCGCGTCTTATCACGAGTCGAACGACACGACGACTCGGCATCGTCCAAACTGCCCAAACCACCGACCAACTCCGGCGCCGATCGGTCGATCAGGAACTTCGTCCTCCTACTTCACTCTTCTCTCTTCACTCTCACTTCACGTTTCGTCAGCTCGTCAGCTCGTCAATTCCTCCGCGCTTCCGCGCTTCCGCTCGCCGCCCGAGCCTTGAATCCCCTGATCCCTGGACCCTTTGACTCGATCGAATCCCCGTTTCTGCTTCTACTCGGCCTCTTCAGCCTCGACGCGGCCCATCATTACATCACCCCGCCCCCCTGGCGCTCTCGAAGAGGACTTCCCCACCACCAAACCCCGCTGTATCCTCGTTTTTTCTTTTCTCTTTCTTGACCCTCCCCTGCTTCTGCCTCTCCGCCCTGCCTTCTCCTCCCCCCCTCTCCCCCGTGCCCTGCGACGCCACATATGCCGCTTGGCGAGGCAGCTGCCCCCTCTCTCTCCGCCCACCGGTCGCAGCCCGCTGACTCGAGCGAATGACCGTCCCGCCGTCCATTCATTCCATGTCGCATTCAGCTCGTCGCGTTTGAGCCGCATTGCCTCTTCGGACTTGGAACCTGGTCGATATGGGGTCAGCTTACAATCCAGATGGTAAGTCCCGTGCACATGCTTTCTTTGCCCGCCTTGTTTCACATGCCACGGGCCCTTCGCGACCAGAGCGAGGGGAACGCAAGACGCGCCGGCCTCCGGAGACCGGAGCAGGAAAGCGCCCAGGAATTCTCGAAAGTGGAAAACGCGAAACGACGAACCAACCTGAAAGAGATCCTGTATGGACATCCTGTTTCAACGGACACCACGGAGGGGCATGCAACCCTCCCCCACTCCCACGAAACCAAAATCCAACAGATATAAAAAAAAATCCACCCCAAAATGTGTTGCGAATCATGCTTCGGGATGCATCTGACCACGGAGATTGACCTACATTTTCCCGACCACCCGTCCCCCTGGCGTATCACTTGAGTAAATCACATTGCCGCTGAAGGTCCCGTGGAATGGCATTGTCAACTCATACGCAGACTCTAGAGGCTCTCTGATCTTGTACGGACAAGGCTAATCTGAACATATCACTTTCGGCACAGGCGATCCAAGTCCGTTGTCGTCTCCTTTGGGACCCCTCTCCGAATCCCCCGAGTCCGAATCGTCGGGCTTCCAAAAACTTTCCTTGCACACCGACCACCCCTTGAGAAGCTCGGTAGATAGTCTGTCATCCGGATATGACCCTCTTTCAAGGTGGGCCGCATATTCCTCCTCCCCCGTTCCCCCTCGCCTCTTTCCCGCCGTTCCCACCCTCCCCCCCCTCCCCACTCTCCGTGACAGAAAGGCATGACCAGGCAGACAAGCCGTGCAAGCAGAAGAGTCGGATAGGCAGCGAGGGAGACTGACCGATTCACCCTCATTTTCAGCAGATCCCCATTATTCGAGAATGACCATGGACTCGGTCCATCTGGGCTGGATCGCATCCGCCAACATCAGCCGTCGCGGGTTCTAACCCTCCCTAACCTGTCAACCTCGTCTCTCACACCGATGGCCACACTCCCTCGTACATCTCCTACCCCGCGCTCAAGCTCGTCCTCCCGGGCACCCACCGGACATATGCCGCTCGGTCAGAGCATCGGAGATCTGGAGGATTTGCATCGATTTCCGTTGGAATCCCTTCATTCATTTTCCTTCGCCCAGCAATCGGAGGAGTTACTGCACAACCGACAAAACATTCTCAAACGATCCATCGATTTCATGCGCGACCGGATGGGATGGGCAGCCAGCAATCCGGCCATCGCCAACGCCCAGGCAAATATGAGTGGCGACACAGATATCCAGAGCATGATGGACCTCTTGACCCGGGCCCATATTCTGGACGAGGAGAATGTCGGTCATCCCCGAGGACCGATCACCGGACCGGCGGACGTGAATGGCGACAATATCTTCGATCGAGCCTTTTCAGACCGCGGGCCATCTCCAATCAGTACGCGAGACGCATCTCAGGAAAATCCGCCCCCACCAGGGTCCCAGGCCACCTCGGACAGCTCTCAAATGTTGAGCCCGGTGCCCACTGATCGTATCCCGCACTCTAGGAAGGACCTCATTTCGGCTCCGACCTCCCGGCGCGTAAGCTTAAAACGTACATACACAGACCTGACCTCCGCGTCGCTCAAAAGCAAGCTGATGGAGACTCTAGCGCAACCATACAACTCCACCGATCCTTTCACCTCCCTGGCTTCCTCTACCATAGGATTGGGATTCCCGATTCCCCCCGCCCTGCATACCCACAGCAGCAAATGGACACCGGTTTCCCAGGCTGTCTTTCGGACCGAAGCCCAGGCCCCATGGACTATCCTCGCCGCTAATGATCTCTCCTGCCTCATATTTGGGGTGACCCAATCCGAGGTCCGCCGACTTAGCATCCTTGAGGTCGTACAGAAAGAGCACAGGCAGTGGCTCGAGGCTAAGCTTCGAGACCCCAGCACTGATGCTGCAGCCCGCGCGCCCCTTCAGCCGGAGAGACCAAACATCCGAGCGGTTAACCCCAAGTTTCGCGGACTAGGAAACGGGGTTACTGCGCAGCTACTCAGTAAACCGTCCTCCCGGGAAAAGTCTCGACGAGCGCAGACCGATGATGGATACGGATCCAGCACTCGAAACAACCGCAACGCAAACCACCCGGGTAACAAGTCGCGGGGTGTTCTGCTGTGTGGCGACGTGGTGCCGATCCAGAAGCGCAACGGGACCAAAGGCTCAGCCAGTGTTTGGGTGATGGAAAAGCGTGGTGGTCTCATTTGGGTCTTAGAAGAGATCACCGAGAACATTGCCTCCATTCACTGTGATGATTCTTGGCATGTGGCTGAGGCCCAGGGAGACATCGACAAGATCTGGGGTCCATCTGTAGTTCGTACGGGGCAGTCGATAACCGAACTCTTACCTCGCCTGCCCGCCGAGTCCCTCGAGAGCTCGCCCGAAAACGGATTAGAAAAGATCGTCACTTTGAAACATTTCGCCGCCCTCACTGCGGCCGGGGTGTGTATTCCCGTCACCGTGGGCAGGACGGACGAACGGCGTACCCTGCAGGTGTCAAGCTTTCCGCATGTTGCAGGCATGATGGTGCTCTCATCCTCGACGTTGAACGTGATCAGCTCCAATTCCGTTTTCTCGTCGGCGCTGTTTGGCCAGGAGCGTCCTGAAGGACGTCATATCACTGAACTGGTGCCTGGGTTCGATGAAATCTTGGATGTGTTGACCGAGGAGGACAACGTGCCATTGGTGGATGGCATCGTGATCCCAGAGCATAGTTTCCGCCGGGCGCGGACCCTGTCCATTCTCCGTGATGGAAAGGCCAATGCAGCTTCGGTCTTTACCGAACCTAGCGGTCTGCTGGCTAAACATCGGGACGGTTCCACCATCGTGGTCGATGTCCAACTGCGTGTTGTCAAAAGCGGCACTTTCTTCACCAAGGAACCCCTGGAGAAGTCGGAGGAGCGAGCCAGCGACTCAGATGACAGCGACGATACGATCGCTGTGACAGAGCTGGTCTATGCATTGTGGATTACATATTCTCGACAGATCCACGCTGCTGGCCCTGCCACTAACCTTTCGTCTCCATTCCCCCCCTCGAAGCCCACTACCGCCACACCTGCTTCTGGAGCGGATCAGCCGTTGGACATCCCCCCTGGTACAAAACCCTCCGATGCAAGCAAGTCGTCGGTTGAGGTCAAATCTCTGAGCTCGACACTCAGTCAGCAGCTCAGCGAGGCAGCCTCCGAACCGCTCACTGACCGACCCGTGCAACCAGTTCCTGAAGTGAAAGCAGCCAATGCCAAAGAAACGCCACTGAAGCGAACGATTAACGACTATGTGATTTTAGAGGAAATGGGACAGGGCGCCTATGGGCAGGTAAAGCTAGCACGTCTGAAGAGGCAACCGAATAAGAAAATGGTCTTGAAGTATGTCACGAAGAAGCGGATTTTGGTGGATACATGGACTCGCGATCGCCGACTGGGCACGGTGCCGCTCGAGATTCATGTTTTGGATTTTCTCCGTCGCGACGGATACAAACACCCCAACATCGTGGAGATGGAAGGTTTTTTTGAGGACGACATCAACTACTATATCGAGATGATCCCGCACGGTCTGCCAGGGATGGACCTGTTCGACTATATCGAGCTCAAGGCCAACATGGACGAGTCTGAATGCCGGAATATCTTCAAGCAGGTTGCCAGTGCCATCCACCACCTCCATACGAAGGCTCTCGTGGTGCATCGTGACATCAAAGATGAAAACGTCGTTCTCGACGGTGATGGACGGATCAAGTTGATCGACTTTGGCAGTGCGGCCTATATCAAGAACGGGCCGTTTGATGTCTTTGTGGGCACGATTGGTAAGCTTTATGATTTTGTTCTTGTGTCTGCTTGTCTTGTGCTACCGTCCCATCTCTAACCATAATCCCGGGATAATTAGACTATGCTGCCCCGGAGGTACTGCAAGGCAAGTCCTACCGTGGTAAGGAACAGGACATTTGGGCCCTTGGAATCTTGCTCTACACCATTGTCTACAAGGAGAACCCGTTCTACAATGTCGATGAGATCCTTGACCACCCACTGCGCATCCCTTTCCTCCCATTTTCCGAAGCGTGTATTGATCTGGTGCGCAAGATGCTCGACCGCGACGTCGATAACCGCCTGACCATCACCGAGGTGCTCGAACATCCCTGGATGAATGAAACCTGAGATGACTTTGACGTCCTACTCTTTTCTTTCCCCTTTCATCCTTCTCATCTCCTCTCCCTCCTTCTCCCCCCATTTGCCCCCTTTTAATTGATGATTGGAAAAAGAAAAACACGATACCCCATGACGTTTTTGATATAATTTTTTACTGCTTGATGTGTGATATGATGCGGACTGGGGATATTTATTTAGGGTATCATCATTTGTTTTCTATGTTTCCATTTCCTCCATTTCCCCTGCCCCCGCATTTTCTCCAAGAAAAAGAAACCCTGAGTGGCCCCGAACGAGACCAGGTTGTTTTCATGCACAAAAGATCATCATCGTCTAGCGTCTCTTGTGTCTTCCACAGGTCGTCTCGTTGACAGAGCTCACAATGTTCGTCTGGGGAGACCTCTATTGCATCACCTGCTCTTTTCTTTCTTCCCTATATTTTTTTTCTTCACTTCCCCATTGGTGTATTTAGAAAGATCCATCCTGCATATCAGAAAGAAATCTACATACGCTTCCATTGCGGAAACGGCCGTCCATCGCTTCCGGGGGTTGACAGGCGCATTCAGTGGTAAGGAGAGTAGCTTCCCGCGGAGTGTGGGGGATTGGCGCTAGTTTTTTAGCCTGGATGCTTCTTTTGTTCCACGACTCGTTTCCGACGTCCCTTGGCCTAAACAGTCTAGACCAAGTGGATCAGGGCGTCTTCGCGTCAATTTGGCCACGAGTATCCTCGTTAGCTCTGGACTAACCCCCAGGGAGGAGAGAGGGCCGGGGTTTCTCACGCGTCCCGTCCTCTGTGTTAGACGGGCGAGACTCGGGGAATTAACGGCCGACGAATGAGTCCTCCGGTAGGCCACGCCCACGACTGAGCACGGGGGCTTCGCTGGATCGTCCTTGTGATTCAGACGATTCGCACGAAATGCTTGGTCGTGCTCGCGCCTTGTGTATGTGTCTCTCCTTGGGGTCTTATCAGGTCATTTCTCATTACTCAGGTTCTCAGGTGTCTCGTCGCCTCCACCCGGGCATTCACTCTTCCGTTGGTACCACGGGTCCACGCCTCTTCTCTCCCCCGCAGGGCCCCGCCCCGATGCCCGATGCGCGGATGGTGGGCCTCGGCCAATGGCGGTGGGATGTTACCGTTCAGGAACGAGTCGCTTGTCTCTGGATGGCGATCCCCGAGGGGGGTTCTTCTCTCCTCCCCCCACCCTCTCGTTCTCGCATGCACGCGCGCATTACTGGCGTGGCGAGTCCAGAGCAAAAGGGAGGTGTGAATGGCCACTTTGAGAAGGGGACCGAAAAAGAAAGACTATGCAGCTGGGTGATTCTGCGGTTTCGTGGATCTTTGACGGCGTCGTCAGCCGACAAGTTCGCGTGGGTCGGTCTGTGCCACGAGTGATAAGCCGACTTGCGTGCGAGGGGGCACCGATTAGTCTGTCGGTCTGTTGATTTCTAGTGCGATTCGGTTGATTGGGCGAGGTTTGGGGCTTGCACTTGGGCCTTGGAGTCGGTTGGAGTGCAAGAAACAAGAGGCGAAGGGAAAAGAGACCAGGCTGACGGTGGACGTGACCGTGACCATCCGTATAGGATGGGGTGGTGTAGTTGGTCCAGGCGAATGATCCTGCTCGGATTAGAATTATTTGTCGTCGAGTCGTAGCGTGAAAGAGAGCGAAGTCGACGGAAGACGGTCTCAACCACGGCCGTATGGCCGCATGGCAGCATCCGGAGTCTGCTGCTGTTCGGTATCGGGTACTTCGCAGTACTCGATGGCCAGTGTTGGACGGTCACGGCGGCCCGTACGGTGGAATGTATCGCAAATAGTCTTGGGTACTTTCTCGTCTTATCGTGGTCTGCTCGTCTGCTTATCCTCGTCCTCGTCAGGTGTCTTCCTCGTTTTGCTCGTCTTCTTCCTCGTTCGTCTTTCTGCTCTTCCCTGTTTCTCCCTCTACCTCTCTCTCTCTCTTCTCCCTCCTTCGGCCCGCTCGGTTCACGTCCAACGTCACTTGGCCCCAGTCCCGCCGGTCGACGTCGGCGAGTGCCACGGTTCCTCTCGCCGTGGGCCCCCGAATCTCCTCCCTGTACTCGGTCTGTACGCTGTGCTCGGTCCCTCCTCTTTCTTTCCCTCCCCCTCCACCCTTCCCTCTCTTTTTTTTGTCTCCTAGCTGCGACATAACAACGCCCTTGGACGTGGTTTTCTCGCCCAGTCACTATGGTCATCTAAACGTCCTCGCAGTCTTGCGCCTCGGGTTCCTCTGCGATCTGATCTACTTCGGCCGCTCTCATTCCGAGAGATTCCCTCTTATCGAACTCTCTTCCCCCCGCCCTTGACCTTTGCCCCTCCCACCAAAGCTCACATCATGGCCGCCCCAACCACCGATGAGATCTTGCCCTCGCCCGGGCTCTCGCCGGCGAGTCCGATCTCATCGACGGGGCAAATTCCCCTCGAGCAGCCACACAAACTGAAGGGCCGTCAGAAGTTGCTTCAGAATCTCCAGCGCATGTCGTCGAGTCCAACGTTGACCCGCCGCGGGCGATCGGCGTCAACCGGTTATCGGCGGGACCACAAGGCCTCCTTATCGTGCGTGTCCTTATCGTCCGCGGCATATTCCCCATGCTTGGGCAACGGCAGCTCATCGCAACTCTATGGAGGCCTCAACCCGCAACCTGCCACCCCGGGCGGTACGGGCTCCGGGGGCCAGTCCCCAAACAGCAACCCTCGCATTCGTCTGGTGGGCCCCGATACCCCGAACGCGACGCGGACGGTTCCTTTGCCCTTGGATCTCCGACCTGCCTCTCGTGGGTCGCCGCGCGATGGCACTCCCCTGGAGGGAGAGGCGGTGGAGACAGACCTGGCCCCGCCAGATGTACAGCGAGCCCGGACGCTGGACTTCTGGGGTGACATGCCTCGCGAATTGAAGATGGAGATTTTCCGGTATCTCACTCCGCGCGAGATTGTGCGGTGCGCCGCAGTGTCGAAATTGTGGAATGAGATGTGCTATGATGGACAGCTATGGACCAAGGTCGATACGGCAGAGTACTACTCCAAGATTCCCAGCGATGTGCTGGTCAAACTGATCACCTCGGGCGGACCCTTTGTGCGTGACCTCAACCTGCGTGGTTGTATCCAAATGCGCGGCAAGTGGCCAGCTGATGCCGACCGTATCTCGGACCTCTGTCGGAACCTTGTCAATTTCTCGCTGGAAGGTTGTCACATCGACAAGAAATCGATGCATTTCTTCCTCCTCCGGAACCCTCGTTTGGAATACATCAACGTCTCGGGACTGAGGAGCGTGTCGAACTCAGCTATGCGAGTGATTGCCAAATCCTGCCCGCAATTGGCGACGTTGAATATATCGTGGTGTACCAACGTGACAACGCCAGGACTTCTCGACATTGTTAAATCTTGTAGCCGATTGACGGATTTACGTGCCAGCGAAATTCGAGGATTCGACCGGGAGGATTTTGCGTTAACCCTTTTCGAGCAGAACGGCCTGGAGCGACTGGTGATGAGCCGCACTGACCTCACCGACGAAGCACTTAAAATCATGATGCATGGCCAAGACCCAGATCTGGATGTGCTGACAGACCGTCCTATTGTGCCCCCTCGCCGGCTTCGACACTTGGATATCCATCATTGCTCCGATGTGACAGACGAGGGCTTGAAGAGTTTGGCCTATAATGTTCCCAGACTGGAAGGTCTCCAGATCTCCCAATGCTCAAGATTGACCGACAATTCCATCATCGATCTGATTCAGACCACGCCTTTACTCTCTCACTTGGAATTGGAAGATCTGGAGCAGCTGACCAACAGCGTCCTCACCACACTCGCCAAGTCGCCATGTCACGACTCTCTCGAGCATCTGAATATCAGCTACTGTGAATCCATGGGGGACAGTGGCATGTTGCAAGTGATGAAAAACTGCTCCAAGTTGCGCTCCGTTGAGATGGACAATACCCGGGTCTCGGATCTCACGCTGATGGAGGCAAGCTTTCGTATCCGTAAGCGTGGCTATGGGGAGGATTTTCCGAAAGTTGGGCTACGGCTGGTCGTGTTTGACTGCGCCAATGTCACTTGGGCCGGGGTGAAAGAGGTCTTGTCTAGCAACGCATATATTCCCCGTGCTCGCAAACCTATGACTACAGCAGTCGTGACCGTGACACAAACTTCATCGGATCTCGGCTCATCCCCGATGACCACAACCTTTGTCACGCCAGCCTCGACGCCATCCCCATCACTCACTTATCCTAGTGAGATCATTCAGCTCAAATGCTTCTATGGCTGGCAGATGACGGTCGACGAACACACAAAGCGCGTCCTTCGTGGGGATCTCGCCGCAGCGACTCGTCTTGACCGCAAATGGGCTGACTACATGATGGCCACGGAAGAAGCTGGTGCCGCCGGTGCTGGTGCGCGGCGGCGACGACGCCGTGCCCGGGAGGCAGAAAGGCTCTATAATGCCGATGAAGATGATGAAAATGATTACAGCGTTTCAGCCCTAGGTGGCCGACGGCGCCGTGCTCAAAGTGGTGGCTGCATAGTGATGTGAGGGCCGACCTACTCTTGATTAAGGAGTCGATGGTCTAAACCTCTCGAGGAAGCCTGCTTTACCCTTCCTATAGGACCTGGTTGCTGAATATTTTCTGTCAGTGCTGGATCGCTGACACCCCCAAACCAACTCGCCTCAACATGAGATCAAGCACCTATGCCATGAGCCCCCCTGTGCCCAGTGTGCCCTTTTCCAGACCAAGGAAAAATAGCTGGTCTTCATTCTTATCTCCATACGCACGATCTCATGATCTCACGACTTTCCAAATTTCTTTTTCTTTCTTTTCTTTTCTTTTTTCTTGCAATCACTCGCCCGCAAGCATTTTCTCTCACGATCTCCTGTGTCCTGTTTCATGCAGACCTCCCCATTTCCGGCATCTGACCGACCAAGACCAGACTGAGCTGCATTTCATCCATCTTTTACGGATTGATCTGATTCTCATTTCATTACTGCACTTTTGCTCTCCTGGTGTTGGCCATTCCTCAATCACCACTTGCTCATACAATTTGCTTAATCAGTTCAGCCGCCTCACCTAGCATATGTAGAACGGAGATTACCGGAGTTTATTCCATGATATGGAGCTTTTTTCGCCCTCATAAATCCTGCGTTCCAATATCATTATCTTGGCTTGTTCAATCTGCCATTGCCATACCAGGGTGTTTTTGCCGGGTTCATTTTGCTTCTTTTTGGCTTACTGGTTAGGCTGAACTAGATTACATCATTTTTTTTTCAACGAATACTAAATTATAACCTGATTCCACACCAAGCATGCATTCCGAGTATTTTTTTAAAGACTGAGGGAGGTGTAAATGGGTAAACTTAAAATGGAGTACGTATATTTCAACTGCAAATAAGGAATTGTCAAGGAGTGCTAGTCGTGCTATCGCTTTCAGTCAACGGGACAGGAAAAAAGCGTGTATGCAGGACCGGATGTGCGAATCGTCAACCGGGAACCCTAAAACGAAAAGCGGATGTGACAGGCATACGCATAAATGAATAAAACCTTTACGCAAGACGCCATGATACGTAGTCTACTGGGTATGATACCCAGCCATGCAGGAGTGCAGGCGATCAAAGCGAGGGCAAGCAAGAAAATGGGCAAATTGGGGTCGAAAGGAGAAGGAACATGAACGAGGTACCGGAAAGAGGACGCGTATAAGCTTTACGTGGGGCTTGAGAAGATGGCTTGTAGGAAGATATTTGATTACCAAGGAGGCACTTGGTCTTTTTTTTTTTTTGCTTCAGATTGCCGCTATGTCTCCCGCATTTGTTTGTTTCCCCTTGGTGTCTTTCAATCCGCAGGTGGACATGGGCCGGTTGGGTAAAGGGTTGCTGTCTTTATGGTCGTGTTGAGATTGGCCTTGTTTGGGTCCTAGGTTTCGGCTTTGATATCTTCATTGGAAATGAAACTTCCGGCACTGGCTATTTCTTTGACAGCGGTGATACCCAAAGCCGTGGTCTTGATCCGGCATACCTTGGTGCTTGGGGCGTCACTGGTCTCCGCTGGACGCTTCATACTGATGGTAGCCGTGATATCTTTCAACCGCTGAAGAGCTATTTTAGCATTAAAATTGCCGGTGCATACAGCTGGAGTCTCTATGTATGCCTCGGAATTTTTCTTGCCAACAGAAGTAGCAATCACTGAAAGGGCATCTTTTGCTTTCCTTCGAGGAGGCTCTTCCACGATCTCCCCAGTTTCCGCGCTCTGCTCCGACTCCATGACGAATAACTCATCATCTTTGTCCCAATCTCCTAACTCGCTCGAATTTTTGTTGCTGTCCTCATCATTGTCCTCGTCATCTTCCATAAAAGCCGCCGGATCACCTTCATTCTCATATGGCCTCTTCAGCGACGCATCATAGTCGAAGTCCCGTACTCCACGATCCATCAACGTCCTCCGTCCAATCTCCACACTCCTCCCCAACGCCGTATCATTTGGCCCACAGCGCACATGGTAGCCCTGAATTTGGTAGATTGGCGCGATGATGAACCCACCTGTCGGGCTCTTTGGAACCACAGAGCCGCAAGTATGCGCCCTAGAGACGATGTCACGCGCTGTCTGAGCCTTCTCCCAACGCCGGTCCACATCTTTTGCGCTACCAGATACATGCAACACCATCTGGCGCTCTACTGTGCGCCCTAGTGCAACAGCCGACCCAGGTGCCACTACCGGTCCAATCGTCCAGACTGGATGCACTATCATAATCTTGTGGCTACGAGCCCGCAGCAGCCAGCCGACCCAGTCAGCGTGAGCGCGCCCGCAAAGCACGTAGTAGCCTTTATACACAGGGAAAAATGGCAGTCCATGGGCCCAGACGATAGGGGATATGCCTGATGGTACACGGTCTTCGTGGATATCGCCGCGTAGGTGGAAGTCGTAGGGGTAATTACGACCGCGGTCGATAGCTTTGAGGTGTTTAGTAGCGAGATAGACAAGCTCATCGCTGAGACGTGTGAAGGGTGGAGGGAAGTCGGGCTTTCCTTTGGTGAAGCTGACCTTGGTGACCAGTCTGAGCTGGGCCTTTTCGGTATCTGTGGTAGGTTCTTTCCCAGGCCCGTCAGCCTCTGTCCAGAGGGTTTCGAGAATAGTAGACTCATGAGTGGCAAGGATATTGAGGCACATTGTGCGAAAATCCTTCAGTTCAGCGGTGTACAAGGTCATGTGCTTTTTGTCACAGGCCATTTGGCCTTCTTTTGGTGCGTAGCCCATGGTGAATATGATGGGGGTGTCAGAGGAATGTATACCAGGGAGTAAACAGTTAGCTGAATATTTTGAGTGAGAGAGAGTCTTTCTTCAAATAGAGAGAAGAGTGATGCGATGGTGGGTGCTTGGTTCTTGTAAAGTGGACGTGAGAAGTTGAGCTTATGTATCAAGAAGCGTTCGGTAGTGTTTGATAGCGGAGAAGATACCGAAACATGGAACAGGATCTGCGTCGTGAAGTCAGAGAGAGAAAAGTGAGAATGAAGGAGATAAAGCGTAGGGGTGTTTTGAGCCGAAGAACATAGATATGAGGAGTCCTGGACGAAGTCGACGTGCAAGTAAGTGGAAAGAGTCAGAGTGCGATAATGGCACGGTGAGATTGTGGTTGCGGTGAGCACGTTGTGCATATTAAGAGTGAGTGAATATGGATTGAAGGGGAGGAAGAGGACTCGGCAGAGAAATGGAGAGGAAAAAGATCATGGAGACGAAGGTTGCAGAGTAGGGACAGAGGAGAGGTCAGCAGTCAGAAATTGAACGCTGTTTAAAACAGCTTGACCTATCGACAGAGTGCCAGAAGTTGCTGGTGTTGGGTCCACAAATGATCGCTAGTCATCAGAAATTGGAGGTAGATAGAATATTTCGAGAGAAAGATGAGAACGAGAATAAATGAAAAAGTGCATTGCAATATAACCAAAGGATCCGGCGAACCTAGAAGTCAACCCCGCAAAACTATCGAGGTGTCAAGATCTTCAGTTCTTCTATAGCGAGGCATGTTGGATTTTATTCTACATCACTAGCTGAGTCGACAGCAGCGATTCGTATATACGGGGCTGGTTTAGTTTAAATGAAGAAACAAGGCATAGAGGATATGAACGAACTTAAAAAGAATCACGTTTTAACTGGTGTTCTGTTCTTGCTTGGCCCAAATTAGACCACTGGCGAGATTTAGGGTTAGAGTCAATTCGAATCCGAATAGGGTGATAGGATGTGGTTTAGAGACGAATATGTGCAGGGATTATCGACTCAGCCCTGGGGATCATAGCAATTTACACCTTTGTCCCTTAGATATACCACTGGCTCCCAACTTTGATGTCAATAACACTATATAGGTTATAGATTCCGGCGATGGAAGATGGAATTTTCCGTTTGCCTTTCAACCTGGCGATCCCAAAACACCTTCACAATGCCGAAAGGGTCCTCTGAAAGCCAAAGAATCTGGATATGTGCCCAACACCCTTCGAGCATGATTAGTGCCCCGGCACTATCACTCTAAATCCTGCCCTTTACATATTACGTATTTTCTCGACGCAAGCCTTGACCGGTTTTATGACGTACACGAGAGTTCCCAGCGCCTTGTCCAAACACATGGCGTTGATACTCGCTGCTTCATTAATTTTATGTTTGCCGAGCTCGAGGAACAGGTTGAACCTAGGTATCCAAGCCGGGGGTAGGAGGGGATTTTAAATAATGTGGTGCAATGGAAGCCTTTTAATTTATGCTGTTATGTGCTCAACTTCTCCCCACGCGTTCTATTTCTGCAGAATCATCTGGTTTAGAATGAGCGTACGAAGTATAGCTTCTATTTTTCGCCCATCGCTCTTTGAGAAATCTACATGATCTATTCTGCTCACAAGGCTCCCTTTAGCTGCCACCAAGCACCAGTTAAACTTAATACTGTCGGCATCAAAAGACACACTGGCCGTCATATCCCTGGCAAATATTTCAATATAATTTGAGATACCCAGTTGGCCTTATTTGCCGGTTTCTTTATACCTCATGTCCATGCCCCTCGTACTGTTCTCCATCACCTGTGCCAAGGCGAGATGAAGCGATGTCTGAATAATCTTGCTTCATTCTCGATAACACAAAAGGCTGGACCCCTACTATGCATTTTTGAGACTAACTGGTACATTTCTCAGCACTCCAGGTGCTTCTATGATCTGGGCTATAGCGCGGATCACGATTACTGCCCATGAAATAATCGGTAGCCTCCTTCAACTAAAATTGTAAGAGATAATGAGTCAATGATTTGTGAGCTCGAACGTAATTGTTACTTTTCGCATTGGGCTTTTCTGGGAACTGGATAGCTTGGAGAAGACAAGAGTTTGTTACGTTTATGTAAGTAATATCTATCAGACCAAACCCAGGCTCCAGATTTCCAACCAGTGCTTCAAACATTAACGCTATTCCAAACAGTATTCATTATCAAGCCTTGTATATAAAATTTGACTTTTGCTCTTCTGCTACTTCTTTTTCTAAAGGTGAACATTCAAACAGTTTAACGTGTTACATCGCCGACCACACAGAGTAGAGTCGTGCTGGGACGGCCATGGATAACACAAAAAGAAAGTTCAAAATTATGGAATATGGTCAACCAGACGAGGTCTTGGCTGTCATGCGATGCAATATTGGATATCAAGCTGCGGACAAGAAAACAAAAGACACACTGAACACCCACTTTGCTATGCTCTTCGGTTTGTCGATCGCAATTAAAACTCAAAGAACCCACCATCACTTTCATTCCCGTCATCCGGTGCCGGAGCTTCATATGTCTTTTGTCGTCCTTGTTTGTGATCTTTCCGCGCTGGCTTGACGGGTTGGTCAGCTCTCTTGTCCTCCCGCGGAGCGCGTCTATCCTTCCCTGAAAACGTCACGGTTTTCTTGGTCATCCCTTCCTTCTTTGACATCTTCTCAGCCGGAAGTGAGTCTGTGGCAGCGTTGTCGCTCGAGCTCTGGGTTTGTTTCCCATCTGGACCAATGTTCAGCTTGCCCTCCCGAAGGAGGTCAAGAGTTCCTTCTTTCATACATTTCTCAACAACAGACCAAATAGCGGGCTTTGAATCGGTTGTCTTCTTTTGCTCCTTGGAATCGGACTCAGATCCGGATATGGCATCTGCTTCATTAGAGGCTTCGTCCTTGGACTTCGGATATAGTGAGATGTATTTTTCGGTGAGGGGGTAGTAGATCGTGTAGTTGTAATCGACGCGGGCAGCATGAATTTTGCGGACAAGATTAGCCTTTTGCTTTGGGTCAAGATCCTGGTCTTTCTCATGGCGTTCAAGTCGGCTCAATTGCTTGGATGCGGTCTTGCGGTCTGTTTCAAAATGCATAGCTGATTAGCAAGAAACTAGAAGCGTAGCTGTTCTGGCATACCTAAAAAGCGGACGAAGTGGTACTTCTTGATCATGGAAGACCGCTCTCGTCGGGCTATTTCATCCATGAGATCCTGCTCGTAGCCGGCTAGAGCTCGCTCTTGCACAATGCGAGCATCTGCAGGCAAGGTGCCTTTGTTCAGAAGGCGCTTAACATCCCGAATGCGTTTCTTCAGCTCATTGATCGAAGGGTACTCCTTCTCGTTGCGCGGCGCGCTTTTTCCCTTGGCTTTGCTGGTCGACCTTGAGGTGATCTTTTCGCTCGCGCTGCCGTAATCTTCGGACTGAGAATCGTCGTCCAGAGTGGTCGCAGCTGGGCGGTGCTGCTTTTTGCGGGGTGCTGCATCATCGGAGCCATCGCGGCCCTTGCGCTTTGAGCTGCGATTGCCTCGAATCTCAGACATATTGTTGTTGGCGACGACAAAGTCGGCGTTGCGTGCCGCGAAAAAAGAAATCCGGTCGGCGCATCATCGGCCCGTCCCCAGATCGGCGGAGCCAATGAGAGCGCGGCTGATCGTAGTGACGATACCGCGTCCCTCCTGCCCACCATCTCCTCCTCGTCTTTGAGTCCATTGGTTGTCTAGAGTTACAGACGCGAGGCCGCGGTATCTGACCGAAGCTCACAAGCCTCCTGTACGAGGGGCTCAGCACCCATGGAGACCGCTATTCGCTGGTCGCCGAGTTCGACTGCCGCGGAACAGCGCTTCCTCTCTGTCGACGTCACCGGCAAGGCATTTCGTCTCTGCAGAGTTACAGGCTATAGTGCCTTGGGGAAAACCCTCCAACATGAAGTGGTATCTACCTTGACGGATGTTCCTCTCTTTCGCGCCTTCGACTGGTCCACATCCAACGAGAACCTGATTGCCGTCGGCCAGTCATCCGGCGAGGCCACGATCCTACGATTAGACGCCAATGCGAAGGACTCACTCTCCTTTCCCGTCCGAAATCAGCGGTACTGCAATGCTGTAGCCTTCAGTACACATGGTCTTGTGGCATCTGGTCTTGACCGCGTGCGTAACGACTTCTGCTTGAATATCTGGGATGTGAACCAGCGACTCAGTCCAGCGGGTGGTAGCAAAGGGTTCCCTGAACCGTTGAGAAAATTGGCCAGTTCTGAACCGATTACAAGTATCAAGTTCTTTCGAGATCAACCGGATACAGTGGTGACGGGTGTTAAGGGCCAATTTGTTAGGATTTATGACCTCAGAGGTTGGTTTTCGTAACCAAATATACCTCTCCCCTTAACATTGCTAACACTGCCTTTTCTTTGCAGAGGGTCCTGGTAATCCTTCATTGCAATTTCCTTCCCGTTGTGTACACAATTTGGCGATAAACTGGCTTGACGAAAATTATATAGCCTCCTGCGCGACCTCCAACGAGAGCACCATTTGCGTTTGGGATCGTCGTGTGGGATCAAGACTTGCTTCGCCATCGGTTGGCTCATCGACAAGCAGCCCTGATTCGAGTCAACCCTCATCCGCATTGCAATTCAGGAATGTCTTCAACTCAAAATCTTCGATATGGAGTTTGCGCTTCTCAAAAACAAACCGGGGGTATCTTGGGGCACTATCCAATACTGGCCACCTCAAGACTTTTGATATTGCTAAGGACCATTTATCTGAGGAGTATAGATCTTCCATTGACGAAACCCTGGGCCAGGGCTCGTTCAGAAACTACCCCGAACCGGTCTATACGAAATATGTTCGGGATGTATGCGCTCCTTTTGACCACCCGACTCGTGGCTGCGAGGAAAAGGAGAGAGTTGTCTGCTTTGATTTCCTGAATCTAAACATCTCACCCCAGCCCAGTGCCATCGCGCTAGATGGCAATGGAACGCCGCAAATTATCACGGCCCGTCCACCATGTGCGCCCGTGGACTTATCCTCACAGGGCGTCCTTGCTTGCGGTATCTCATCTAGTGCTACAGATATCCGAACCATTCATCCACTATCCGATCAGATATCGCCCGTTTCTGCGCTGATAGAGAACATCAGAGCTCGTGTGTTAACGAGCTCAAGGAGCAATGGAATCTCGTCGGATGAAAGGCCATCAGTATCTAGAGCTTTGTCCTCTGATCCTATTTCAAGCCGAGAATTCCGGAAGCGTGCAGTGACTTTGGGCACGCTTGGGAACATTCTCACTGCGAAAGAAGCATTAACAATCTCCACGCTGGGTCAGTCTCGATGTAAAGAGGGGTATCTGTTCGATGAAGCTAAGAACCGGCAAATTGTTTCTGAAGACTCCGCCCTCCAGGATTTCTGGAGCTGGGTGGAACGTAAGTCACACTGTGGGACAGTGATTAGGTACCTCTCAGTCTAACAATCTTTAGGGGCACGAGCAGACTCTTCGGGGACAAATATGGTGATCAATGGACTGGACATGAACTACTTGGGAGTCAGCAATGTCTGGAACAACGACTTGGGTTCGTTTCTGACGCTGCTCGTCGTTGCTAAACCATCATGACTAACAACAATCGCAGGCCATGGCTTTGAAAAGCGTCGCATTAGCTCGAAGGGCGACGATCCAAAGAGCGTTTCTGAGGCTGTTATTCAACTCGTGGAGCAGCTGAGTCTGCCTGAAGTCAAAGGTTGTGAAACCGAATACCCTGAACACCGCCGCTTCTGTCTGCGTCTATGTGGCGCACCACAGTCACATCGGGAACTCGAGGAATTGGTCAAGAACTTGTCTTCTGAGAACCAACACACAAAGGCTGCTGCTCTAGCTGTCTTCCAGGACGAGCCTAAGCTCGCATACCTTGGTCTTCGGAGCAATGAACCCACACCGGCCCATAAATTATTGGCTATGGCCATTGCTGGCGCTGCAAAGGGTGATAGTAGCTCAGACTGGGAGGAAACTTGCGCTGAGATTTCCAAGGAACTCACCGACCCCTATGCGCGAGCAATTCTTGCTCTTGTAAGCAAGGGCGACTGGCACGCTGTTATCAAGGAGACCACTCTACCCCTCAAATACCGGGTTGAGGTCGCGTTAAGATGGCTTCCAGATGGTGAATTGACCGAATATTTGAAAGATATCACGGCCGAGGTGATGCAACAAGGCGACATTGAGGGCATCGTACTTACTGGTTTAGGTCACCTGGCAATGGGTCTGTTCCAGTCCTACATTGAAAAATTCAACGACGTCCAAACCCCAGTACTGGCCATGAGCCATACTGTGCCTCGCCTCATTAGTAGTAAAACATTCACCGCCCAATTTGAGGCCTGGCGCGAAACATACCGGCGGCAAATGAACTCTTGGAAACTCCAACTTGAGCGTGCTCGGTTTGATGTCGGCTCTCGTCGGTTTGCTGTGACAGTGGATGGGCGCAAGCTCATACCTACACCTCCGCAGCAAGTGAGTCTAACCTGTAACTACTGTACTCGCCCGCTCACTCAACACGACGCCTCGTCTCAAATTTCCCCCTCCGCTACTGTCGAGACCGTTCACCCGACAGTCGGCAATCCACTCGGGCCCGCCACCATGTCCGGGACTGTATGTCCCCGCTGTGGCCGGCATATGCCCCGCTGCGGCGTCTGCACATTGTGGCTGGGATCGCCGGACCCGATGTCGCGCGCAAGCATTGCCGCCGATGCAGAGACCAATTCCCACTCGACTAGCGAAGTCGAGATTATGAAGCGATTTGTGGTGTTTTGCATCCACTGCAACCACGGGTTCCACGCTCATCATGCGCGAGATTGGTTCACGCGACACAAAGTGTGTCCTGTGGCCGAATGCAGCTGCATCTGCGACCGATGATGGAAATGGCTAGGGTTGGACAGAGGTCGGCGTTGCATAGGTAGTTATGGGGAGGCGCAATGTCTATAATGTGTATTTTCACTGTTATTCTATACCCATCGTTCTAACTGCGTGGCACTCAATCCAAGATACGAATTGGATCCATTGAAGACTTGTTTTATCGCGGGCGATGATGTCAAGCGTCCTAATCGCGAACTCCCGCCGCCGTACCACGTTTATTATTATCCCTTATCGTTTATCGTATATCATTTATCCCTTATCAGTTTCCGATAAACGTTTGAATCGAAAAATCCAAAAAAAAAGAAACGCGCGAATTTGTCGCTCCCCATTCGTCTTTGTCGTGATTTTCTCTCTCTAGATATTCCTCGTGCACTCACACCGTCCCTGTATCTGATTTTGTGAATCATCTTGGATGAGTCAATTGTCAGCTTTGACTGTCCATCTACTACTCAAATCGGACCCCGACCCGCACGTTGGCCCCGCCAGACATTTTTAAAGCTCCGCGAAATCTGACGATCCCCCACCCTACACGCTGTCGCGCAACTATTTCCCATTGCAACACTCTTTCGACCTTTGCAAAAATCCCGTGATGGGACAACAGGGCAGAGACAAGCGAAGTGGCCGGGGTGGTGGACACCAGCCCCGCGAGGTACAGGTCTCCAAGGCCCTCAGCTTGCTGCTGCGGCATGCAGCGGAGAAGGAAGGACTGAAGATGAACGCACAAGGTTACGCGAACGTGGCAGACGTGGTACACTATCTCTTGGCTCTATGAAACCTTCATCTTGGCCACTCTGCTGATCAGGCCTCCGTCGCAGCTCCAATGGCGCAAGCTCAAGTCCCTCAACGTCACTTTTGACGAAATCCGACACGCCGTCGACTCCTCCGACAAGAAACGTTTTGCCCTCCTCCACATTCCTTCTTCCCAGCCTACCGATTCGACTACAAGAGCCACTACAGTTCCTCTCACTGTTCCTGGATTAAAGGAACAAGGAGATGAGACAGTTGCCACCTGCAGCGGGCACCCCTCCGCCTTTGTGCTGGAGGTGCCTTCGACCGCGGACGACCAAACGAATGCGACCCAACAGGCGCTGTCTGTCACCGATGTCGAACCTTCCAACTTCCTGATCCGCGCGACCCAAGGCCACAGCATCAAGAGTGTGGAAGCCGCCTCATTTCTCGAGCCTTTGTCCCTCGCCGATGAGTCCAAGCTCCCCGATACCGTCGTTCATGGCACTTTTCACGGCAGCTGGGCGGATATCCTCCATTCGGGTGGATTACGGTGTATGGGTCGTAATCATGTACACTTCGCCACCGGGCCATCACTCGCGAGTGTGCTGGCGGCGCAGGGGATCGCACGCGAGCTCAACGCTGCGCCGGATGATACAAATCAGGTTATTTCGGGCATGCGACGTGACGCACAAGTGTTGATCTATCTGGATCTCAAGAAAGCGTTGGCGGCCGGGTGTCCGTTCTGGCGAAGTGAAAATGGGGTCATTCTGAGTGAGGGGGTACCGGTTGCGAGCGGTCAGAACGACGCCGATGGCAATCTGCATAAGGTGGTGCCGGTGGAATTCTTCGACGTAGTGGTTGAGCGTAAGGCTGGACTGGGCAAGCTCTGGGAGCGTGGGGAGATGCTGCAGGAATTACCGGCGCATCTGACGAAGAAGGGGACCCCGAAGCATCGGCGATGAATGCCCGAGGCGATGGATGTCCGAGACCCTTATAGCTATTTATCTCATCCTACAAAATAGGTGTAAGATGGTTTTTTGAACTCAATTGAGCCGTCTCTGCATGGACTAGTCGAGCGCTGTCCCCACATATATATCCGTATCTCTAGATATCTGTCATGCGCAATACACTATATGCATGCGAGCAACAGTTCAAGGCAACCTCTAGGAAGTGTCTATTGAATCCCGATCATCATTCATTACAATTGCGATGATTATCGGCTTCTGCTCATTCGCCCCTCGCCGTATACTTCCTTATCCGGCCCTGTCACGGTGCACTTCCGACTGCGGGGGAATCGGAAGCGGCCCCGCGGCCAAACCGATCCGACCAACTGACGACTTACCCGACAGGTCGGCACTTCCGATGCGCCCTTGCGCCAATCATGCCGCTTACGCCACCGTTTTGCGGGGTCTCCTCGAATAAGCAGCGACTCGTTAGTCAACTCCGGGGTCAGCTTGAATGACACGAGGGTAAAAAAAAGGCAGTGGGAGGATCCGCTGATTGCCGCTCGAGAAGTGAAACCACAAAGTCCCGTCGGATCTCGGGTGGTGTATATAAGTCACGCAGAGAGAAGCTTGGGCAGATCGCATACTCCCCCACTCTCCTCCTCTTTTCGACTACGTCTTTCTTGTCGTCTTAACCTCAGCTGATCATATCCGGCGACCAACTCAAGATCCAACACCATGGCTACCCACAGGTTTGATCCGAACTTCACCGACAATGTCATTAATGCGATGGGTCCCAAAACCTCGCCCCGGTTGCGACAGCTGATGACAGGTCTGATTCGCCATGTGCACGACTTTGCGCGCGAGAATGAACTCACCGTGGATGAGTGGATGGCCGGTGTGAAAATGCTCAATTGGGCCGGGCAGATGAGCGATGATAAGCGGAACGAGGGCCAGCTGGTGTGCGATGTAATCGGGTTGGAGTCGTAAGTCTTAGTCCCGCCTCCGCGACCCCGGCGATCCCCGCGTTGACACAGGCCACTGATGGTTTTTCGACTTAAAGCCTTGTCGACGAAATCACTTTCACTCTCGCCGACGAGGCAAAGGATGCGCCCACCGCCACGGCCATCCTGGGCCCGTTCTTCCGTGCCGATACCCCGTACCGCGAGAACGGCGCCGATATCGTCGTGACCAAGCCCAAGGACGGTGAGATGGCCTTCATGCATGGCCAGGTTGTCGACTTTACCACGAAGAAGCCGCTGGTCGGCGCGACGGTCGAGGTCTGGCAGGCATCGACCAATGGTCTGTATGAGCAGCAAGATCCGGATCAAGTTGAATTCAACCTGCGCGGCAAGTTCAAGACCGATGCCGACGGCCGGTACTACTTCTATTGCTTGCGACCGACTCCCTATCCGGTGCCTAATGATGGTAAGCTAAAAAGCCCTCTTTGGTGAAAATTCACAGTATCCGAAGCGCAAGGGCTAATTGTGTTGAACAGGCCCCGCGGGCAAGCTGCTTGATCTCATGGACCGTCACCCCTTCCGCCCGGCGCACATTCACATCATCGTAAGTTGCTTGACTTGGCACCATTCTTGACCGAATCTTTCCCCCCCTCCCAAAACTAATAGATACTCCCGTTTTCAGGCTACCTACGATGGCTATCGCCCTCTGACTACCCAGATCTTCGACCGTAAGGATCAGTATCTCACTAACGACTCCGTGTTTGCCGTCAAGGACTCGTTGGTTGTGGACTTTATTGAGCGCAAGAATGACCCTCAAGCTGGTCTTGAGTTGGAATATGACGTCAAGCTGGTGGCCTGCGACGCAACCAAGACCACGTAAGGGTTTCAAGCGGTTGTGAGAAGGAGTTTTGTTTTGCATATCGTTCCGGTTCGGGTTCTGGGTTTCTGAGGGATAATAGCGCATTTTTCTCCGTACATATTTCCATGACTTGAGGCATAATGGCACACAAAAAAAAAGAAAAGAAAATAAAAGAAAAGAAAAGAAAAGAAAATCCAAGCCCAAAAACAAGTAGCAAGTTAAAATCAGGAGATCCCATTATGATACTTCGTCTGGATTCTGTTCTATTATTTCTATTTCTGTTTCCACAGGTCTCGAGATTGGAAGCTATGAGGAGGAGTGGCGTATAGAAAACCTGTGAATACTAGCAGAGTTTTGCTCTAATATACGTGTATGATATCGTGACTCGAATTGTATTAAAGAGTAATCCCCTTCGCAAACTGCGCAATCAATTGGCCTACCTCGTCGGCGGCCTCGATACAGTGCCAGTGGCCCACGCCCTTCAACACCTCGAGTGATTTTTTCTCGCTTGAGACATGCTGGAAGATATGCTGACATCCCTCTATCGATGCGGACTTGTCCTCCTCGCCCGCAATCAACAAGAACGGGGCTCGCACCGCCGCATAGTCCGCCGGCTGCGCGCTCGCAATGGCGCGACAAAGTGCGGCATAGCCCTTAGGGTCTTGGCCAAGCAACAGCTCCCGGATGAACGCCCGCTGAAGTGGGGTGCTGCGCGAACCCACAGCCGCAGATGGGATCGTGTTGGCCATGGACTCCATTCCGACTGGAAAGCACCAAAAGAAGAGAAAAGAGATTAGCGTCACATGCAAACCGCTTCGCGCTCGAGTCATGTTTTGGAGGAGAAGACTTCGGGGCACGAAAGAGTCATAGTCATACCTTCCAACACGGTCGCCGCCCTCTTTCCCATCACCGAGACCAACATCTCCGACGGATGCGTCGGGCCAATCGCGACCACGCCCAGCACCCGGTTCGGATACCGGGCACCCAGCTCGGTCACCACCAGGCCGCCCATGGAGTGACCCACGACCACGGCCTGGGGTATATTTAAAGAGTCAAGGACGCCGATCACATCGTCCGCAATGCTGGGGATGGAGACCGCATCATTGGTATAGGGCGAGCGGGCGGCACCGTAGGTGTCAATAGTAATGCAGCGGTGTGTTTCGGTTAGGTGAGGAAGGACGGGGAAGTAATAGTTCTGAGAGGATCCCAGGCCGTGGATGAAGATGATGGGGAGGCCGGATGGAGTGGGCGGACCCGCGGGGTGGGAGTCGGCATAGTGCAGGGAGTGGGTGTGGGCTTGGACGAAGGGCATCGCGAATTGGGAAATTTCACCTGGAACCGAGAGGAAGAGGAACAAAAGGAAGAAGAGGAAGGGGAGGAAGAGGAGGAAGAGGAAGCCGTTCGTGCGGTGACTGTTGTACACAATGGATGCGAAGTATAGGGTTTTCGGGAGCGGTGCACATCGATCGAGAAAGGGCCCAGTTCGGTGTCGTCATTCCGGATAAGCTGTGAACAGACTCTGCCCTCCGAAAGCAACTGGAATACAGAGGACAGCACTCGTATTCAATATGAAATCCAGGACCGGCCCCAATCAGTGCTTCGAATTGGTCTTTCTTCCGTCGGACGACTCCGTCGGACTTAACCAATTCAGTTAAGCGTCCACCGAACGACACGCCCAGACGTCATCCGAAGCCCAGGCGGATGCGCCCTGCCGACCGTCGGACCGCAGCCGATCGCCCCGCCCAGGAATCCCGTCCAAAGGCCCCGGAAGATGGGCTGGACATCATTATATCGGAGGCGACTCGGAGAACAGAGGAGGTTCACGGTCAGTTAGATATGTCATGCCCTAGATATCTTGGCTGCGAATACCCTGATGTGACAACTTGAATCGCTTTTGTTAGATAGAGTTTATTGAAGGCTGTAGAAGGAGTGACAGTGGTGTTTCTATAGCCTTCCTCACACTCCAACTCTTGGTGCGACGAAGAGAACTCTGCAAGTACTATGGACTTCCTAGAACGACCACATAACTCCTGTAAATCACCATGATCGACCGCGGATGATCTGATACTTGGTATACTACCATTCTTCATCAGTGCTGTAACGTATATATCAAAAACATAGATTATTGTAGGTCACACGATGCGGAAGGAGGTGCCAAAGGTTGTATGGTGTCATTCCGCACGTCCCGCACCGAAATTGAGAAGTCAGGTGATCTATACAGCTGAATTGAAGGGATTTTTAATTGGAGTATATATTGATTCACCCATATGGCACCTGGGCGAAAAGTCGTCAGCTAGTGAACTAAACTTGACCCAGTTCGGTTCAGAGATGCTTCGTTGGCACCTGCAAGATTTACACCTGTTGCTATTGCCATCTTTATGGGGTCCAAAGAAGAGCGTTGAAGAATTTCGCCCATTACCCTTGCTCTACCATCAGCGCTAACGGCACCGGTACGAATGAATCGCTGAATCATAGTATCATCGCGGCCGGCCCGGATTGCACATTCAATAGCATTGTAATTCATCATCCAGTCATCAAAATTGGGATTAGCTCCAAACTCCATGAGCAAATCTACGATTGATTGTGCGGGATTGAAATCGGTGGATGTCGATTCAAGGACAACGAGGCAGGAAATAGATTGGACCAAAGGTCGGCGTCCAGCGCGATAGGTCAAGTTTGGATTTACTCCATGCTGAAGGCATTCCCAAACAACATTGGGATCTTGAAACCCAATGGCTGCTACTAAAAGCTCTATACCTCCGTCTGACCCCTGCCGAAAGATCTTAGGTCAGGAAAAAACAACGGGCTCAGGCCGCATGCCGCGTCCAAAATCGTACAACCCTCTTAGAGGACCTGGGGGCATTAGACTATCGTCCAGCGTCCGAGATCGAACAAATGAGGCGGCAAATGAATAAAATCTCCGGGTTACTAAGGAAAGGTTATACAATGATCTATCATCCACGAGATCAGTGATCTCCATGAACAAATCTGCTGGGATATTACCAAGGCCAAGGGGTCCTGTGGAGTTCTGGCCGCCAGCAGTTGGAGGGCCAGAAACAGGGTTTACAAAACTAGCTACAGACCCCGTCACAGAGCGAGGGAAAGAGGAAGCAGAGAAATAAGATGAGGGGGATGCAGGTAAAGAAGGAGGCAAATAAACAAGACGAGGGGACTCAGGCAGGCCATTCTGACCAGCAGATTGCGAGACTGGGAGGGCGGGCATAAAGCTAGGAGGTTGTGGAACAGCAGAAGGCTGCACAACAATCGGGGATTGTGGAAGTGTAAGGCCCTGAAGTGGAGATTGTGGAGGAGGAGCAGGAGGCTGGAGAGCAATTTCAGAGCCTAGTTCCATGTTCTCATTCTCATCCCGATCGGAGTTGGATCGTTGGTACGGAGAATGCTGCAGCGACTACCGAAGCAGAAGGTTAATACTTCGGCCTATTGACGCATTTTAAAGAATCGCTGGGATAGATGTCCCAATCTACATGAATGTAAACGAGTGAGAGGGTGGTTGATAATTAGTGTGTTTGGGGGGTTTGGGAGAGGGGTTGAAACGAGGTAGGCTCAGAAGAGGACCAATTGCCTGGAAAAGAACGCCACTTTCTCCTGGGTGTTGGCGGCCCTGATCCATATATCTCGGATAGAAAGTACAGAGGTACCAGAACCCACAGGTTTCTTTTCTAGAGTAATAGTCCGTTTTTATAACAGAGCAGAATTTTATTCCATAACAATGCTGAAATATGGAAACAAGCAATGAAAACAAGGATTTTTGTTTCCCTTTGGATGGCATCATATTTGAGCGAAAGGTAGTGAGGGTGCCGATAAAGAGAACAGTCAATCAAGAGGAAAATTTTCAAAGTGTAAAGGATTATGTGAAACAGCAAATTTGAATTGACTCTAGAGATTTTTATGATTTGATAAGTTTTCTCAAAGCATCTAGAATACATTTGAATCCCCTCATAATCGATTTTCTCACATGTAATGATGAGTGCCGAAAGAACTCTTCATGAATTTTTCCGCAGAGTAAACACGTCGGTCCGTGATATCTAATTTGCGTATAAGCCTTAATAGTGGTAACTTACCGACTCTAAGTTCATGGTGAACCTTCGGTCGGATTCTACTGGCGCCGTGTATGAGTTCTCTTATTATAATACGTATATTCCGAATTTCTGCGTTGAAATCAAAGGTTCCAAAAATGACTCTATTGCTTGATACAGCTTTCCTTCTTTTTGTTTCGTTTTGATTTCTCCTAAAAAACTAAAATGACCACCAATCAAGTATCCCTGCTAGCGCTTAATAATTCTGCAGCTAATTCCAAGAAAGCCCGTCCGATACCCTACTACCACAGGATCTAGTTGGACATTGATCAAGGAACCCCGCTCAATTTTCCCTCACAGCTTCCCGACTTTCTGCTAGAGTGCGTAGATCAATGCCTTACCGAGAAGAGCTGTCTATCGTACAACCCAACAATTCACAAGCCCTTTCATGAAGGTAATATCCTAATACTACGGTTACCTCACTGAAGCGGGGCTAGTCCGTTATGCATCGTCGTCGGATGATTCCTAACTCTCCTTTAGCAGGATCAGCTCTGCACTTATGATTTTAGTATTGATAAAAGGATTTACGTTTTCTTTCAAGTTCTCTTGAACTTAGCTATCTCTAAATTGGCATTCATCAATTATGAAAGTGCAGTACCGATCAGTTGCCTTGCTGGTGCCTCTACTGGTGCAGCAATCCTTTGGCAGTGGTAATCATTTTGAAACTGAATGCCCTGATGATTCATGGTCGATTGGGATCAAAGATCGTGATATAAGTACAGAAAAGGCTTTCTTTGTGAATGGCATTATTTCAAACCTGACGATTCCGGAACTTGGTATGTTTCCCTTCTCTGGAGCCGAAACTAAAAAGGAAATTGGTTGACAGTTCCTGGTGAAGTACTTCAATTGCATTTGATGTTCGCAGATAACATTATTGGGCCCAACTCTGACAATTCCTTATACGGTAGACTACAAAACTCTATGCATTCAAGGGTCGATAAATCAATGTGTTCTAACAAATTCGCTACAGATAATGCGATAAAATCTGCACCTGGAGCACCTATAGGTATCATTCACGACTGGTATCCGACCAATAAGTCCCAATATAATGACATGCAGCGATTGAATGCGAAAAAGTCCAGAATCAATATTCCCTTCATGCAGACAGGCGAATGCCTTCATGGAGTGGGGTCTTTCAAGCAATCTATTTTCCCTCAAAGTATAGGAATGGCAGCCTCATTCGATACCGGTCTGATTCATAGGATCGGCCGGGCTATTGCGACGGAGGCTCGATCAATTGGTATTCATGCATGCTTTGCACCTGTTCTTGATCTTGCAAAGGATCCCCGATGGGGTCGGGTACAGGGTGAGTTTATTTTGATACGACTTCCATATTCCCAAAATCAGACCTTGCTTATCAAAATACTTAGAGAATTGGGGAGAGGACATGGTGCTCACAGCTCATATGGGAGTTTCATTTTCTTCTGGTTTGTCTAAGAACAACTCCTGGTCATCACCTGACGCGGTTGTTCCAGTGATGAAGGTCTGAATTAAAATTCCATTGAAACTAGCTGAGTGTCTGAGCTGACAGTCCAATTCTGCCCGCAAATTAGCATTTTGCAGCTCATGGAAGCCCCCAGGGAGGACACAATGCTGCGCCATTTATGGGATACGGAACACGCCAGGTATTTCAAGAGATGTTAGTTCCATTTAAAGCGGCAGTTCAGCTTGGGGGTGTCAAGGGTGTTATGATGTACGTGTTCACAATTCTTTGTCAAATACCGTAGATTCTAAAAATTCTTCAGGGCATACAGTGAATTCGACGATGTCCCTTGCTCGCTTAATCCAGTCTTATATGATGCTCTGAACGATTGGGGCTTCGATGGTTGGTTTGCCACAATATTCACGCAATAGTAAACCGAAACTCACCAAGTTCTAGGATATATAACAGCTGATGATTCAGGTGAGGGAAAAGGCGTAGGATCCATGTATCCTGCTTTATTTGAAAGAAGATATTCTCGATTTATTAAGTACATCATACAGGATTATCCGAGCTATTGTATACCCATCTCGTCACAAGCTCTGTGGCTGATACTATAGCTCAGTGGCATAATGCAGGTGGAATGGTTCAATTCTACGATTTCTCACTTGATCAATATGTTCGGGTAAGGACTCGTTTCCTTTCCAGAAAATCAAAGAATCTAACGTGAATAAATACAGGCTACCTTGGAACTAGTATCCAACGGTACTCTTAGTCGCGAGACACTGGAAAAATTAGCCAGTCGTATACTCGGCGTCAAATACGATCTGGGCCTCTTCAAGAACCCTTTCATTCCAGAAAGCATTGATTCGAAAGAAATAACTGCAAGCCATGTACCACTTACTCTGGAATCTGCTCAGAAAAGTATTGTTTTGCTCGAGAATCGAAATAATACCCTGCCTCTTAACCTTGGCGAGCAGAACATTCAAAAGATTGCCTTGATTGGTCCATTCGGAGATACATTTAACTTTGGTGACTATTCTGGGCAATGGGGAGGGTATCCGGTCAAGAATGCTAGCACTATAAGGCAGGGAATATCTCAGTATCTTGCATCCCACTTCCCCAGCACCAAGCTCGTCACTGCATGGGGTGCCAACTCTTGGGAATTCAATGGACAATATAATGTGCCACCCTATCTGCTCTCTACCAACGGAACTAATGGCGGTCTGCTTGCAACTTACTATGCGGATACCAATTTTTCGGACCCGAGATATCAGAAAGTGGAAACTCCAAGTTTGGACTGGGGACTTTACCCACCAGAAAGGCTGCCATCAAACAATTTTAGCGTTTCTTGGGAAGGGAAGATATCTGTGCCTGTTGACATAGTCACTGATGGTTGGTTAGGTGTCGCAGTCTATGCAAATACCTCTGCCAGGCTGTATATTGACAGACAACTTCTTCTTGAGGTGAAACCCACCACAGGCGGAAATATTCTATCGGACATTCCGGGTACTGCTTATACAACAGAGAACGCAACAACTGCGCCGCCTGGTTCTGTACCATTCTTGTTTCAACCAGCAGCTGTTCATGATATTAGGTTGGAATACCAAGCATGGAACTATGTTCAGAAAGTGGAGAATGTCAACTCCCTTAATGCCCAGGTTTTGTTGTTTTGGAATCTAGTTGATCGCACAAATTCTGTCCGAAAGGTATTTCAAGGCTGACTGGAAATGGACTTAAACTACATTACTGACAGTCGAAGGCCGTAAAAGTAGCAGAAGATGCAGATGTGGTGATTCTCGCTGTTGGTGCAAACTGGAATAGTGATGGGGAGTCTGGAGATCGGGCCACATTGGAATTGTCTCCCAATCAGAGTAAGTTATATAGCGCCCACGATTAATCAAGAAGGCACGCTCAATATAAAATCAAGCAATTCTGGCCGATGCTATCTTTGCACTTGACAAACCCGTCATCCTCGTTTTACAAGGCGGACGCCCGTTTGCAATCCCAGAGTATTACAAGAAATCCGCCGCCGTTTTGAATACAGTTAGTATCTTCAAAACTATCAAGTCCAATTCCATATTGTGATTCTGATTACTCGCAGTTTTTCCCTGGTCAGTCTGGTGGGCAGGCAATTTCTGATATTTTGTTCGGAGTCGCCAACCCAGGTGGACGGGTTCCTATTAGCGTTCCATTTAACGTGGGTACATTGCCGGCCTTTTACAAGTATGTTTGCCGGTGTTTCGTTTCACTCTCAAGAATTAAACATTGCAGATATTCAAGCTGATATCTGCAGTTACAAACCGTCGTTCCCCAGAGACTATACGGATATACCCTATAAATCACTTGTAAGTTGGCAATTACCCGAATTTCCTCAATTATGATCTAAGTTTCTTTTCAGTACCCTTTCGGATATGGATTGTCCTTCGCGAACTTTTCAATCGCCAATTTCCAGGCTTCGGCAAATACGTCAGTAAATGCCGATAGTCATGTGAGTTTAACGCAAAGTCAATTATTACGTTCACTCTACAGATCACGAATTTGGGTCCTTTTGATGGCAGCTATGTCCCACAGGTCTACCTACTCGGCCGCGTATCTTCCATTACCCGACCAGAAAGGCAACTTGTGGCTTTCAGTCGGGTATACCTTGCAGTCGGAGAAACACGTACTGTTCATATGGAGTTGGATGTATCCCGATATCTCGTAATCCTAGACCGTGCTTACAAGTGGACTGTGGAATTGGGGGAATACAATTTTGCACTATTAGAAAATGGGGGTAGCACGGCAGACTCTTCTATGAATGTTACCATGACCTGTACCGGGTGATCAGTTTGAGCTTTAGACTATCATCGAAACTGAAAAATCAAATTCAATAAAAATATTTTATACCAATACAGGCGAAAAGAAAAACCTTTTGGACCAAGTCGTAAAGTTCAAACAGATCATATACGAAGATCGGGTAATTGGTTCCTTTTTCGGGTTTCTTATCGCACAAAATATTTCTTCCTACCCGAAGCAAGGCTTTTCTTCATTTCAACCAGTCAATACTCACGTGTCAGTCATATTATTAGCCTGAAATAATAAAGCATTTGTGATCGTCCCCCCGCATCTTTGGTGTAACGCTAGCTATCTATTTCATGCTACCTTATCTTCACCTAAAGATTGCCCAACAGGAAAACCTTTTTCTAGATTCTAAAGAAGCTCATATTCCAAATATTAGCTTGAGATCTAGCGAACTAGACTTTCTGGAGGTACTATTCCGTGTAGATACCACAGAAAAGATAGCCAGTATGAAGGATATATTGAAGGGGGTGGGCTCGCGATCGGGCTTGGAAATGTGGAGATCTTATCATGAAAAATCGTGAAGCATATTACACAACATTGTGATAGCTCGGCTTCAATTGGTTCCAACCCTTCTGAAAATCCTACAGCCACCTTTTCTTGGGAATCGTCCTTCAATCACGCATCATCATCCGACGGCCTACTAATTTTCTTTCACAATTCTTATGATTGAAAAATATAAGAAAATAAAAGCATGAGTCTTTGTTATCGTGATAAGTAGCATGGTTGAAGGAGCTCGGTTTGGGCTAACAGATAAGCAGCTTCAGAAACAGCAGCGTGGAGAGGTGGCGGTTTAGATAAGCGCATGTCATATGAAGAGACCTAAACTATGGAGGAGCAGACCCTCAAATACGGATTCAAAAGGAAGTGAAGGCCATAAAAGAGTTACGATGGAAAACCTAACCGCAATAGAGTGATAACGCTGCCGGGTGCACCAGGTTCGTATTGGAAGTTGAAGTTGAACCTCGAGGTGAAATTTTGCCAGTAAAGGCCGAGCTGACTCAGTGACTACTCGCCCTTCTGTTTATTTTTATAGATAAAATCGGGTCAACTCGGAATACCTGCGTTTCAACACGCCAATTTCGGCCTCTTCGGCTATTGAAATGCTCTTAGCACTGATTCTCCAGGATAAAAATTTAACTCAGTCTGTTAAACCCCGGATTTCTAGTCTATACAGTATTTCCTCACTTCGGCGGCTGGCTCTAGAGGAAGGGAAATTGACAGAAGTATACACTCTATGTGGGAAAATCCCATTTCTGAGCTGTCATTATTGATTGAGCCATAAGGATTGTGGACCCGAATCCGAAAATATCAACGGCTTCAGGTTATCCAGTTGAATTTCTATCCTACCATTCATTCTCTAGTTCCGCATTCACCCCCACGAAGTATTGTAGAACCGTGTCTCTATCAATGATCCTTTTGGATACTACTAGAATTAACGTCGCTTCACTTATGGAGGCTGGATTTCCCCATTTTCTTGTCTCTCAATTTTGTAGGCTAATAGGTAGTGTTTTTATGTCAAGTGAATCGAAATTACAGGAAGCTGTCTATATTGCTTTTTCAAAGTTTAGGAACAATGCATGTTGTGGTATGATGCACTCGGAAACCCGCCGAGGACTGTCACAAGGAACTGGGTACGCGAGTGAGCTACCTCCCCTTCTTTACTTTCTGTTATTTCTTTTTGTTTACGTTGATTTTCGGAGCATCCTAGCTCCAACCCCTGTCAGTTGGCCTCCCAATTCGTATGCGAATTTCGCTGTGAATCAAAGGTCCAAATTCAGGCATGGCACTTAATAAAAAGGGGAGTCTCTAACAGAAATAAGATTATTGATTGGTTGATATTGGATAATTATAAATTACTTATTATGAAATAATACTAGTTCAGATAAAGAGATTTATTATATATTTAGCCTATTCCAGTCACGATATATCTAATTTCGAAGGAGTAGAGTACCCAGATAGATATAGTAGCTTTAACTATCCTAATATGTACTATATTATTATGAGGAAATCTGGTCGGTTTGCAAGAAAATTGACTCATTAATGGATCCGTCAAGGACTACTTCCATTCAACCATAATACTTTAGGACGGAATTATATGATGATATGCTCAAAGAATCGTGTATTTCTTCAAACACCAAGCATTGCTATACTGATAATGGTTTGTGGGCGTGCGCGATTAGTGGAGAACCGCCTGATATCGAAATCAGGACGACGATTTCCATATTCATATGGATGGTACCACTATAAAACCAGCCCTCACAGTTAGCTCTTAAACCATTCAAGATATTCAAGATCAACCATAAGCTTTGCTTTCCAAAACGCTACATACCAGTCCAACATCAATTCCAAGATACCTGGCGAAGCCTTTCATGATATTAGCAAAGAGGGGAGTCGAGATATATGCAACTGAAATTTGAGTACCCACAGAGCCTTCTCCATCTTCATTGAATCTTTCGCTCTTCTAATTTGCCTGTTCAGACTCTTGCGGTCGAATGGTTGTAATAGATCAAAACTGCACAAGAGGTCCTCAGAAACCGACATGCTTGCCCCGCAGTTGTTAAATTCACCGCAGTACTTTAGACGAAAAACGTCAGTTCATACTAAAAATGCTTTTTATTTAGAGAAGGAATGTATTGTACTACTTACGTTCGGAGCAGAAAATATCGTGACTAGGGACTTGTTGCCAAAGAATTCATAGCCACCTTCTACCACCATATGTGAACGGCACACCAATTCCAGATTATGGTGTTCCAGAAAATTGACAATTGGTGTTCTCCCAAAACTCCAACTGACACCTCTATCGTCGTTAGGTCCCCAATCCTTGATGTTTGCCGGATCGCTCCATAGAATATCATTCAAAAGACCGTACTCGGGCACTTCCACTGGCCGGGAGATTATGCGAATATCATCCAAATTTGTCAGATTGGGTGAAAGACCACCATGCACACAGAATATCTTTTCCGCAACAATTGCCGCAATTGGAAGGCAGTTAAAGACATCGGTAAATGTTTTCCAGATCTTGATGTTACACCTTCGCTTACATTCATCGTAAAAACCGTAGATACGCGTAATGTTAGCACATTCGTGGTTTCCTCGGAGAATAAAAAAGTTCTCCGGATATTTGAGCTTGTAACATAAAAGGAGAAGCATCGTTTCTAAGCTCTGTTTCCCACGATCAACATAGTCTCCAAGAAATAGATAATTGGTGGCGGGGGGATATCCGCATTGATCAAATAATCGAATTAAATCTGAGAATTGCCCATGCAGATCCCCAACAATCTGGATTGGGGCATTAAGCTCCAAGAGAACAGACTGGGAAAGTAGACTGTTACGTGCATTCGAGCATATGGCGATAATCTCGGTGTTGGTTAGGCATATGCTTTTTGTGGGTTTTGAATGACCAACTTCTAGCAATTTTGCAATCATCGGATCCGGGTCCACGGATCTCTGCAAATTCTGGCGATCTCGAGAAGAATCATCCCAGATGATGGAATCCAAGCCTAGTAAATTGCTCCTTCGCAGAATAGAGACTGATGCATTCTTCGACGGGTTGGCTGGGGGCTGTGGCTTCTCCATTGACAAATCATGGGGAGTTTCGATAGCTTTATTGACGTGCTGTGCTTGAGTCATTTTTTCGACCGGCGAGCTCAATCGAGTTGACGTCTGAGGGATAGTATGCTTGCTCGATCGCCGTAAATGGAGGCTGGTTTTTTTCAGGCGGCTAAGGAAAGAAGACCTTATCGAGGGGTTGCCCTCGATAGGACGCTCGTGCAAAGTTGCCATTTGCCCGGTATGCGTACCAGTTACTATTTGTGCTCAATATTGGAACCTAATGATCAGTTTTTTTAAAAGAACAGGTTTGAAAAGACTCGGTGGTGTCGGTTGAGCTTTTGTCAGCATGAGATTCCTGATACTAAGGGCATGCTGGTTCAGATTTCCGCTGCGTTCTAGCGGAATTTATCATGCTGCCTATTCCTCCGATGTCATCACACCCCGGTGGCGGGGTATGAGAGCCTACCTTTCTTGGCATCCCTTGGCGAGTCGGTCGCTCTCGAATGGACATCTTTATTCCCTCCTTTCACGTGATAGTGACATAAGGGTATCAGCCACCAAGAGAGCACGGATCACTGCGATTACAGTTTAGCAATCAAAATGAATTCACACATTATCTACCGTCAAGACCATTTTATGGTCACCCAGAGAGGTTTTACGCTAAATTTTATCTCCAGGGCGCTGAGAGCCGGGAGATGTACTTGCATAATTGATTTGCCCTTGGTATGAGCTTCCGTAGGTTGCAATGTGAAATTAATAGATATCCTTGTCCCTAACAAAATCACAATCAATCAGCATGATAGTTATATGTCACAAAATTTCTAACCTTATTCCTATTTTGATTTTCTCAATTAGACTGCGAAACAAGTTTTAAGCCTCTCGGTTTTTACAAGTGGAGTCAGCGTTGGTTACAAGCCCGCGTTCTGCTGGAAAGCACTTGAAGCCCATCCTCTTTTCATTTGGGAAGGTAAAGACTTAGTTCTGAACATAATTTACCGAAATTGAGCGAATGAGAGGCGAGGGAAAAGAATCATAGTCTTGGAAATTGGCAAGCATATAATACGTACTTTTCTATTTTTATTGCGGGACACTGAAGCCCCAATCTAATGACATGGCAAATATTTCTTCCTACAGTATTTCTGATACGAAAATGAAAATTTCAGCGAGGAGTGGAAAGTAGTCAAACTCTGTTCAACACAACATCCGAATAAGTTCTGGGCTGAGAAAGAGCTGGATGCGACTTTTGTTGTGGATGAGAAGAAGTTTCCATATAGGCAACCTTCTTGAGTTATTCCATTCTATGTGGAATATGAAACGACTTGTTGGTTAAATGAGATTATGAATTTGTTTCAAGTTATTAACATTCATTGGTGTGAAAATCCGAGGCTACTTTGAACCGGACGAGTCCGTTGATGGTTTCTCAGAATATGCAACAGATTTAACGTAGGAAACATATGATTGGTATACTGCTGGTCTACTATTTTCTTGTATATAATTCTGCGCATCCGACCTCATTAGCCTCTTCCATCCCTATTTTAGTTTATTTCGCCCAGGGACGCTTTAACGTACCCTCGGGTGGGAGGCTTGTTCTGGCTCTGTTCAACCGATCACCTCATCTCTACTGCCTTTCACCTAATCTCGCTCCAGCCTCGACTTTTCTAGCTTTCTTCAAAGGGTAATAGATCTTAATAGAGAATACCGTCAATGCTTTCCATTGACCCAACTTCCGCCTGCAGATGTCAATGCGATCTTGTTTCTCAGTCAGTTCACCGCTGAAACATGTTTCTAATGGTTTCTTTCAATCACAAGACTTTGAAAGATAATAATAGTCCCGTATATATGAGTATTGGATCTTCATTGTAAAATTATCTATTTTTGTAGAGAGGATTCGTCAAATACAGAGGTTTGATGAGCAATACAGGAGTACAGATGATCATCAAACCCTGGGTTGAAGTCTCGAGGAGTTCTAACCAAAGAGGTGATTGGTGATTACAAAATATGCAAGAACAACTACATACCAAATAAATTGCTCATCGTGCCTTACACTTCCAGTGAAATTAAGTTACGATTTATAAATCTGGATAGGGCTGCGTATTATCCGCGTTGCTATATCTTCCGCCCGTCGCAAATATATGAAGAGATTCCTATATAGACAATTTGGAAAACAGTTCAACAATATTACGCAAGAGAATAGAAAGATAAATTTAATCAATAAATATAGTCATAATTCTAATTGTCATTCTCTCTATCACTTTAGTGATAAAAATATCATGTATCCGTTGGGTGCCTTATTTTAGCACGTGGTTACTGTCCGCAGCAACTCTTACAATTTTCATTGGAAATAAATTGGTATTATCATATGAACAAATGCTCTTTTCAATCCGACGTTTAATTTTAATATCGGACTTTCAAGTATAAATTTTGCGATTTCGGTCACGATTCAAAGTTCTGAATTTTCCTATACCACCTCAATGGAGAGTTCAAGGGGCCATTTTGGATTGATATCGATCACGTCGTGATTCCAGCCAATGCACTACCCCCGTTACATTGATTATGACATGCGTAAATTCATTGGATATCAAAAATTTCGATATTTAAAAACTCGTCAGAGCCACGCAATAATCCAGTTCGTAATGAAGCTCTCGTTAATTATAGCTCGTCTGACGGATATTACCCCATCTTGTGTACCCGTACCCTATGTATCTTTGACACCTCTTGATCACTTTCTGACTCTTAACTATTATAACCCTCTAGCTCTCCCTTCTTTTCCGTCACTGGTATAGCGGTTGGAAGCTCAAACACAGGTCTGCCGGGAAGTTCAGAGGTCTGTGACTGTTGATTGTCTGTGCCGGTACGTTTGGAGTTTCTTCGACGCCAGAAAAACCAGACAAGTCCGAGCACAATAAGCGCAGCAGCTCCAACGCCCACGCCGATGCCGGCATCGACTGCAGCCGAATTCGAGGAAGGGGTTTGATCGGAAGAGGATGCTGTTGTTGCTACGGCTGCTCCGTCTGATGATGAAGATGACGACGACGACGATGATGATGTTGACGTAGAAGTTGAGTGGGTGGTAGGGCTAGTTTCTCCAGTGCCCGTTAATAGACTGGTGACGGAAGCTGTTTTGGATGCCGAGATCGCACTGGTCTTGTCTCGGACGTAGAAAAAAGGACTCCAGGAAATCCATCCGTAATCCTCGATTCCATAGGTGCCACGGAATGCTGCGCCATCGAATAGTCCGATCTGATATTCAGGATTGCTAGTGTTGAGGTTTGAAGGTATTGCCCAGCTGTATAGTTCAAGGCTGCAGTTGGCTGTGCTGTTGGTGATTATTTGGTAGAGACTGCTAGTCTCGGAGAAGGTCGCGTCCACTTCAAAACTGTTAATTGCTGTCATCTAGGACTTGGATGGTGGTTACACGAACCAACAATCTGGTCTACTAATGATCCCCCTCTCCGACCCAGAGTGATATTTAAAGGCGTGTCTCCATTATTGATCGTCCCCCATTGCAAGTTCAGGGTCTCACCCGGGTAGAACTCGTTGTTTGCAGTGTCCGTGAAACCATAGAATGTGCCAGATACACAGTCCGTATATCCACCAGTTGACGTTTCATCACTTGACATAGTGCTCAAGATACCCAGCTGCCCAAGTTTGGGGCATGAAGCTGCAGATAAGGGGCAGGAAAAAGGTGGAATATATACCAAGGTTGGACCCCAAAAACAATCCAGGTTGGTGGTAATTTTATTGCTCCTCATCTTGGATACTGTACCAAAAATTACGACTTGACGTCTAAGCAGTGAACTGATTCAAGTAATTATACAATATACTAGTCATATATCGCGTTAGGTCGGTTTTTATCTGGGCATTTTAGTGTCAGCAGCTCATTAGCATGACCCACTCGTGTACAGGGGCATTGCTAAAGATTTTGGCCCCCCCTTAGATCACGTAATACAATTCAGCAGGTCAAAATTTTGAAACACATTGAACTTATCCATTTAAATAACTATACCCTTAGTTAACTAGTTACCTAGGTAGTTAGTTAATCAGACGTACTAAGCAAACGGGGATACTCCAAGCGCGACCAGGCTCAGTGAATAGTTCTCTTTGATTACGGAATGTTCAACGACGGACTCGGGCGCCCAGGGCCGTGCTCAATTCTACTGAGTACTCCAAACGTAGTGGTCAGAAAGCAAAGTGAGCACTAGAGCGGAAGGGGAACGCCAAGTGTTGATGAACATTATTCTGTGCCGTACGTATTAGGGTCCAAAAGTTGTTTCGACTCCACTTTCATCATCACACTAATTTTGCTTCCCACAACCACTAAAAAGTATGTAATTTAGAATTTGGAATTACGATAGCAATCAAAAGCAAAATGGTGGCCTAAACCCTGGCCAGAGCCAGGCAATTGGATAAGCTGTCAAAAATAGACTTCGGCAGAATGTATTTGGGTCTCCGTGGTATTTGCTGGCATTTCCTTCTCGACGAATTACTTGATAGAATGACTGACAACGCGACCCGCATGATCCACTACACTCATCTAATAGAAAAACACCATCTGAGGAGAAGATAGAGAAACACGTCGAAGCCAAATTGGAAAATAGAAGAACATTGACGCACCTACTTATCTGGATCAGAACAGATTAAAAGGTAGCACAGGAGAGGCTCAATTAAAATGTTTGATCCAGCAAACTGAGGAAAAAATCTGCGGGACTGATCAAGATCGGAGATATCTTGGCTTCAGGTAAACCTTCCAGGACCCGTGCTCGAATTGCATCGTGATATACTGCCTGTAGTCGATATTCTGGCCCGGCACCTCGTCGAAATCAAATCGTGAAAGGATATTGGCAGTCAACATTCGGATCTCCGCCATGGCGAAGCTGAGAAGCGTTTTTACACATTACTTCATGTTCAAGTCCCTTCGACAACCTGAAGAGTCCGAGACTTACTTCTTGCCAATGCAGGAGTGCTTGCCAGCAGAAAAGGGATAGTAAGCGTGCGTACTTAAATGAAAAAGACTTTAGCACATGCTTGCTTTTTGGTGGTGAAGGATAATTCAACGTACTCCGGTGCTGGTACATCATGGGGCCGAGGCTCTAGCCACCTCTCGGGCCAGAAGCGCAAAGGTTCAGGCCAATGTTGGGGATTTCGGTGAAGCTGCCGATAGGAAGCGGAAACAATGGTGTGCGCCGGAAGGTAATATCCCAGCAGCTCAACAGGACTGTTGCCAATCCGGCGACCCATCTCCGAAGCGATCGGATGTAATCGGAGGACTTCCTTGATGCATGCCTCCAGGTACTCGTACTCGGGGCCCATTCGGACTGTTTTGCTGGAGATAATCGGGTCGTTGGGGTTGCGCACGGGCAGGGTCGTCATCAGTTTCTCTTTCACCGCGGGGTTCCTCAAGACTTCCAGGAAAAAGCAAGCAATCGTCCCCGAGGTGGTCTCTGATCCAGCCAGAAGGATCTCGGCCATCTGATCGATCACCTCTCGGATGCCCATTTTCACTCCGCTGTCAGGCCTTTCACCGTTATCGAGGAGGTGCTGCAGAAGGTCGGGGCGGACATTAGTTGGATAGGCCCTTCGCCGGTCAGCGACAGCGGAGATGGCCTGATTTTGGTTATAAGTTGCACATTTGATATGATTTATGTCTGCAGAAGATCTCACGAGAACCTACAGCAATCATCTCTCGTGGCCAATCGAATTCGACGTTGAAGGCTAGGCTCCTGAGCAGGCGTTTAATATAAACAAACTAAATTCTGTGTTTAGCCGTGTGTTCCGCTTCCCAACGAGATTCGGAAACACTATACTTGATATCTTCGAGTCATTCCTCTGAAGATTGCCATTGGGATTCTTTTCCAGACACCTTCGTCAAACTCAAGTTCCAAGTTCTTGTTCTTGTTGGTCTGTCCGAAACCATTGCCAAAGGAACATTCACCCATGCTAATGGTTGATAATGTTAACCCCGACACCGTTCTTGTACATCTTAGTGTCTAGCGGTAGATCTACTCACATATCAAGTGCCAGGTTATGGAGGTCTTCCATGAGATCTGTGGTCATCGGTATCTTCCTCTCCGAAGAAGGAAAGCATGTCAAAAGATCCACATATCGGCTGATAAGGTCACTGACACATTTGGAAAATAGGAACTCCAGTTTGTCAACATATGCGATGGTAAAGGCCGGCGACAAAAACTTCTTGAGCCGCTTGTGAGGGTCGGGTCGACTATGTGAACCAAAGCTTTCCATATCAGCGGATCTGAATTCAGATAGCCCCATAGGGACCAGGAAGTTGTATCTCTAGTAGTGTAGTAAAGTAATGGGGTGCTTAAATCTCCCCAAACAGGCCAGGGCTGGTCCGATCCCTGGAAATCTCGGCATACATTGTGACCTTGGGCAGATCCACAGTCATCAAGATCACCTTCAAAGCTTCCTTATCGGAGATCCAGATCTGTCGCGGTCCAAGGCGGAAGATAGAACCGTACTTCAAGTGTGCCTCTTCCACGTTTTTCCAGATGGTTCCTCTCGCAAATGCATACTTCAAATGTAATGTGGTCAGAGGCGCATACCATGGCCCTGGAATTTTGGAAAGAGGGGACTTGATAGCGCGGATAATGGCTAGGACGCATTTTAAGCATATTAGAGCGAGAATGAGAAAGGGTGACCAGTGCATGTACAACGAAATGTTCTCTGAAAGCGTCCCCATGGCAAGCAGATGGCAATCAGAGTATGTATGAGAAAGGCTTTGTTTGTCGAGAAGCTGGTCAACCGAAAAACATTTGGACAGCCTTCAAGACCTAGCGTGATCGAGGGGCTTATATAGCTTCTTGACCTAATCTGGAGATGTATCGTTTCTTTCGATTTCAAGTCGGCATACTCTCCCTACTCATCAATTCTAAGACCCGTTACGTCTGCGTAATCGGCGCTTCCTTGAAAGATTTTAGAAGATGAAGGATCATCCTGAGCCAGACTCCTCTCTGCACAGATTGAGTCCGATGATAATGTGGCTTGACAAGGACGAGAGATTTACCAATCAGCGATGAACTGCGCCAATCTCATGACAAGAAGCAAAAAAGCTGTGATCCATCGATCACCATGGTGTGCACCGTGATTGTGCTATGTTGCGTGGACCATCGATGCAGAGTCACATACCGTGACCAGAAGGGTACGAAGTTGGCTGCAGGTGATCGGAAGGGGCAATGTGGAGTTGCTGTTGTTGCCATGTCTCAGTATCAAATTGCTCAGAATACTCTCATATAATGGAGTCTTGGTACACAAGCATGATTGCGATGTCGCAAGTTGGACCGAGCATAAATTAACTCACGACTCATCACATCCGAATAACCCATGACAGCACTAAACTATCTCGGTAAATTGTCTCCAGCTGGGAAACGAAGAAGATGCAAGGTGTAAGTCTTCGACTATCCTCAAACAGAAGCTCGGTTCAATAGTTGACTGACCTTTCAAGGAACGCATTAAACATACTGAGAGTCCCACGATGGATGAGCTCCGACGGGCTATTCCGGAGCATTGCTTCCAGAGATCAAGCATAGTATCCTTTGGTTATCTTGCGCGTGATCTCTTTTATGCCTCTGCTCTGGTCCTCTGGGCGATGCGGATTCCCTCTATCCAGAATACTGCTCTCCGGATCCTCGCCTGGATAGTCTATGGATTCCTGCAGGGACTTGTGGGGACAGGGATTTGGATACTTGCTCATGAGTGTGGCCATGACGCCTTCTCCTGTAGCCCTGCTCTTAATAACGTTCTCGGGTGGGCTCTTCATTCGTCACTTCTAGTGCCTTATTTTTCCTGGAAGATAACACATTCACGCCACCATCGATACACCGGACATATGGAGAAGGACACTGCCTTTGTTCCCATCACGAAAGAAGATTTTGCAGAGAAACATGGTGTGCACACCAATGCTGTTGGGGGCTTGATGCAGGATACTCCCGTGATGACGCTCGTGCACCTTATCGGCCATCAACTAGTCGGATGGCAGCTCTATCTTTTCCTCTACGAAACTGGGGGAAAGTGTAGCATTCCAGTCTCCCAGGGCGATGCTGCTCAAATAGGGTCCCTTTCCCATTTCGATCCTTCTAGCCCTATCTTCACCCGGAAACAGCGGTCCGTGATCTTGCTCTCTGACCTGGGAATTCTGATCATGGCCATAATCTTCTTCCACTTGGGAAGAACCTTGGGATATTTCAACCTCGTCGCTCTTTATTTTGTGCCCTATCTTTGGGTTCACCACTGGCTGGGTTAGTCTTTCCTCTCTCCCTCTTTTTCCTATTGCTCAAGCTGGAGTAGCACAGAGCGTGAAAATGAAACCTGGTTTTCTCACGAATTTCTCTAGTCGCAATCACCTATCTCCATCACACTCACCCAAAAATACCACACTACGCTGCAGCCACCTGGTCTTTCAAGAGGGGAGCCCTAGGCACTGTGGATCGTAGCTTCGGCTTCATTGGTCGTCATTTCTTCCATGATATCATCGATCACCACGTCATCCACCATCTTTTTCCACGAATCCCTTTCTATATGGCCGAGGAGGCAACAGCAGCGATCAAACCCCTTCTTGGAGCCAGTTACATCGAGCGGAAAAAGGAAAACTTCCTCGTTTCACTTTGGCAGACGTTCCGAGAGTGCCAGTATGTGTCCGATTCCGCCAGTCCTGCCAATCCTGACGTAAGATCGGGGGTATTCGAGTGGCAGCCCATGTAGAAAAGAAATATCTGCAAGATAAGATCATTTGAAGGATAATGCACCCCCGGCTTGCAACGATATTTAATTGGATGAGGTGTGTATGCACGGCCTGGGATATTTGGTGGGGGGAGTGGGGCCCCGTGCTTTAGACTTTGCACCAGAACTTGAATCTTCTTCTACAGATCTGCTTTACAACAACTCAAGCCAATAGGTCTCAGCTGAAATAACATGGCTCTTCGGATATGGCTTGGGAAAGAATCGTCTATGATGTCGCTGGTTGTTCTTCACGGGGTCAATGTTGACGTCGGTTTTTTGCTTGTTGTTTCTTAGCTTCGCCGTGGGGTCCTGATTAGTGACTGCAGGATAGATATTTAATGTAGACCTGCTTCCTTAACCCCAACCCCCCTTCCTCCAAATGCAACTTGACATCTGTCAGTGAGATTCATTCCATCAGCTATTTCCGCAAAGCTTTCTCATCATGACCTATCCTACCAAGGCTGAGATCCTCTCGATCTTTGGGGAATTGGCTAAAGCGCCTGTGGGTTACGAGTCGTTCTTCACCCACGTCGACGACGGGGTGCGATGGGAGCTCACAGGGCAGCACGCTCTCTCGGGTGTGTGGAGATCGAAAGCGGAGTTCCTAAGTGCGGTATGGCGGCCCATCATCGAGCTGATGGCCGAACCAGGACCGATGCTGGAGGTGGTATTCGCGGAAAGCATCACGACCAACGAGGAAGGATGGACCGTCGTTGAACTCCAGACCAAAGACACCCGCACCAAAGTGGGCCACCGCCTGTACAGCCAGCATTACTGCTGGCTCTGCAAGTTCCACCCCACCACCAAAAAGATTGTCGAGGTCCGGGCGTTCATCGATTCTAGCACCGCCGAGGCTGTTCTCGCGGATGAACGTTGCAGACAAGAGACGGCGGACCCGCCGACTAATGGCAATGACAATTGCAAGTTTCCTTTCTCCCGCCTTGTGTTATAGTATCGGCAGCTCCCTCCTGATCTCTCCTGCAGATTGAGGACCTGACTTTAAGTTGCAGCAAGGGATGATCCTACCGCAATTTGGTCGACTGGAGAACCGGCGTATCCTCCGATGACCCCGTTTGATCTCTCCTTAAAGCGGTTTCTGCATAGTTTTTATCTCCTCACAGATGTAGCAGGTGAGATTGAAAAGTACTTGCAGTGTTTCACGCCCGATGCCCTGGTGCTCATCGGAGCCAGGGAAATCAGGGGAAGAGAAGGTAACCCTCCTTGCCATGGAATCTCTTTTTGCTTTCTCTTCCTTTCACAATACAATCTCCCAAATCCTGAGATTTCACAGGCAGGATAATTAAAAACCCTATAGGCATCCGCGCTCTGCGAACCTCCATGTGGGAAACCGTCAAGAAACGAACGCATCGGCCCAAGCAGGTATTCCCGTATGGCCCCCATGCAGCCGCGGCCATGGTCTATGGGACCGTTGACTACGTGTTCCACGATGACTCTCTAAAGAGCATTGATTGGGCTGCAAGATGTGAATTTGCCATCCATGGGCTCGACCAGGTGTATCTGCAATGCTATCAGGTTTTTCTGGCGGAAAATTTAGCTTGGAAGAAGGCGACGGTGGACTTGTAATTCACACAAATATTAAGATAGGCGAGATAGAATCTATATGATAGGTGTCAAAAATATTTACTGACCTTACTTTTCAAAAAATACTAGGTAGTGGCCTTCCTTAAACATAGTTCCTATTGGAGTGGCTTATCACATTATTAGGGGGCGAGAAGTACACTGTACTTCAACGCAGACTGGGTATAGGATTTTACATTGCTTCCTTTTATCCAAATTATCAAGAAGGGGCTCCCCGGATAAGCCCCTTTACAGTTTGAAGAGGATATTATCAGTTGTATTTTATATTATAGACCATACTATACTTGAAGATTATCTCTATTTTTACACTAAAATTACAAAACTTAAGTCTATCCTCAACGCGTAAGATCAATTTATTGATAGATTAAATCACCATAAATACGATCATTCCCACAATACCTACGGTAGAAAATACACTCGTACTCAGCGAGGTACCAATGCTATAAACAGCCGCCGATCCAGTCGCCTGAGCCGACTCGACAGCTCCCAAAGAAGCTGTTGGCTCGTAAGCGACCGGAGTTTGATCATCGACGGTCCCATTCCAACAATAGCGATGGAAGCAGCTCATACAGGCTTTAGGGGCAGGAGTACCAGTGCGATTGAACGAGCGATTGAGAACTGCACAGCCCACACAAGTCGACCAGTCCTCATCTAGAGTGCCATTCGCCTGCGTTGCAATATTATAACCATTGTTGATAATAGCATCACGCTGAGCATCGGTAAATTGACCCTTCGTAAGCGAGAAGTTGGAGCTATAGGTGATAGGATGGTTAGGCAGGTAAACAATTAACGGTGTCGGCGTTTTCAGACTAGAGGCATTGCAGCCGAAGAAAGTCGGACGAGCATTCAGACCGAGGTTGAGAAATGTGTCGAGGTCTGGAATCTCAGGGAAAGAGGTATCGTTTGCGACGTTGAGGAGGGTACGGTTGTAGGTGGCAATCAAAGATGAGCCTGTCGGCCAATAGTCGTAAGACTTGGAGCCGAGTGAGTCGACGGCGAAGATGACGTCCACGTTCCGCTTTTGTTGGATAAGAGGATACAATGGGACATTCTGGCTGGTCTCACCTCCGTCTTGGACGATAAGATCAGTAGTTTGTGTGAAGGGTGAGGTGGCTTTGTTGAATTGATAGAAGGGGTTCGGGTCGTAGGCTGCCGGTCCGTTGATGCTTGAGTTGGTGGAGCTGGCGGCATTGTCGAAATCCTTGATAGCGGTTCTCAAAAAAGTCACCATGGTCGAGTTTGGCATGGCTGCTTCGTAGCCTTCTAGAGCTACCCCTAAGTAGTAAAGAATGTCTTGTCCGTCCTCGTTCCATATATCGCTTGATGAGCCTGTAATGAAACCTGCATTGTCGAAGCCATGAACGCAGGTTTCGTTGTCTGGCACTACACCGTCGACAAATCGAGTACCAAGATATTCCAGGGGCGCGAACCCGTAGATACCTGCATCATAGGTACCCCATTCCCAAGGTGTAGTCTCGTAGATTGGATATCTCGCTGGGGAGCTTGACAAGGTCTCAGTACCTTTAAGATTTCCAGTCATAACCACCAGAGGCATTGGAATATCACCACTCTGGAAGGACTGGGTCTTTGAAATAGAGGACCAGGTGTAGTCAACACCACCATGGCTAGCATTGAAGAAGTTGTAGCCCTGAATCCGGCCCCTTTCAATTCATGTCAATATCATTCCTTGGCTTAGGGCAGCCGGTAAGCTTACCAGAAATCTGCGTCGCCAGTCTTAAATCCAGCCTCCCGCTTGCTTTTAACATCGGCCGAGATGTTTCCCCAAAATTCGATATGTGGAATTTTGGTAGGACCATATATAATTTCATCAGAATTGAAATCCCAAAGGTTCTCCTGTAAATTAGAGACTGTCGTAAAGTTATTGACATAAATAGAACCGAGAGCCCAAGAGCCACCGCTGAGGGCAGCAAAATAAGTAGATGACTGCAGCAAACCTCCGAGTTGGCCTTTGGCAGTTGATCCTTTGGTGCGTTCATCAAAGGCTTTAATAACGCCTCCTCCATTTAGACACGCGACAAGACCACCACCCGAGATGCCAATCGCTACTTTAGGTAAGTTGCTGCCAGAGTGTTTCTCAATGTAACTCACAGCATCGAAGTTGTCAATTTCGACGTGGCCAAAGAAGTCTTTTAGGGCGGACTTGGTCTTCTCATTTCGAACTTTGAGCCATGCCGTCTCGTCGGAGGACAATGTGGAAGCAGGCCGAATTGTAGGTCGGCTCGACGGACAGGTAACATGGATAGGAGCATAGCCATTTGGTGCATCCGGGAGAGCACGAGGATTGACATTGACAGTTCGTGAAGTGTTTTCTTTTTTGATGAATACGGCGCCAACATTAGTCACTAATATTAAAAGTTGTGAGCCAGTTATATTAAACAAGTAGCAAGAGGGCAGCAGATTGAATCCATCAATTCTTTTCAGTGACTTACAGTTTATGATGTGTAGGGACACTAATCCCAGGAGGAATGAAGTCTTCATGGCACGCCGCTGATTGGATCAATCAGATTTGAGATACTGCGCCTTAGAAGCCAAAGTCCCTCGTGTGCTGAGACTTCTATTTGGACCCTGGGGAACGTTGAATTATTTATGCTCCCAACCCAGCTTGAAGACCGGGTCAAATGTAAGAAATTGGATCATACAAAAACCGTATTCCTGGGTTGAGCCAAGTCTTCATACTGACTAGCGTACTAGAAAAAAGTTGAGAATAGGATCGGTAGTGGAGTCCAAGGCAAAAATGACACAAACAGCCCCATCACAAGTGGAAGATGCTATTTCTGATTGGTGTCGGGGTTCATCTCAATTTGGTATATAACTCGGAATCATCGGGCTGAGGTCGATCTTTGTGGGGGCCGAAAGTGACGTTGGCGTTGGCGTTGGTGCACTATACTATTAAGGCCTTACACCGCCCCCCAGCCCTTGCGGGTTGTGGGTGCGCCACTCAGTCTTTTCGTTTCACACAGTCGTTTCGGATTTTTCCTAGTATCCTATTTTTTTGCTATATGCCCCCGCTGTATCTACAAAGAAGACATCCCCTTCCTGTCGTGCTTTCTCTGCCTTTTCTAGTGCTATATCTTGATTCTGTGTAGGACCTGATGGTGGTGATGTTCTATACGCTTTCTTCCACTGCTTCCTTACCCGCTTCCGCTCCATTTCAGCTTCCTTCTCGTTTTCTTTAGTAATAGAACTATTTGCATCGCTAATAGAGAGCACCACTGTTTTCTGAGCGGTGTTTGAACCTAGCGCTTAGTGATCGGGCGCCATATCAGTTGTTGAGCTTCTTTAATCTTGGGAACTTTGTAATTTGCTGATCCTAAGCTTGATATAATGAAACAGGCGATTGAGGTTTCGCTTCTGCCTTAGTATTAGATCTTCTTATTAATATCTAGTATTGATTCTTCTCTAGATTATTATAGAACAGCCATATGTATGATACTTGATATTATTCCGGTCGACTTCGGGTACGAATTGTATGTATAACGATATAGGTCTATAGGGAACAATAAGTTGAAATCAGACTCTTCTATCGTTATACCTTCGGTAAATAGTGGAATAACGATATTAAGATTAAAGAAGGAGAATAACCGTTCCTTTCGGACTAAATCTAATTAAGATTTAATTATTAGAGTAATACACCTTTGCTTAGGCCTCGGCACGACCCACGGGTGACCTCAGTAGGTGACCCTCCGACCCTTGTTTCAAGGGTCGAGGGTCTATCTTATAGACCCGCGGGTAGTTAAACTAAGTGTCATATGATATTGCAACATGAGGCTATTCCCAACTATATACCTCAGGTGTCAGTTCGACACCTTGTCGGTCAGGCTTCACTATGACAGCCCTACTTCTCCCTAACATGGATGTATGACCTACAAGGCCCTGAGGGTTCGGTGCCCTTCTATTAGGGATTCGTGAACCCCTCTTCCCTGTAGCCTTCGCTTACCTCTGTTATATGTAGGCTACGTCAGACCGTATATTATAATATAATCTATCGCCTTTACTTTGGTTATATAGGAAAGTGTTGAAGCCTGTACATAAATTGAGGATTATAGAGAGATCAAGACGGTTTAAAGAAGCATAACAAAAGAAGCCTTTGCATTCGCATGATAGTCAAGGGAAACCTAACTGAATAGGGAAAACCTTGACTAAGACAACTTATAAACCATATCTAATCCAAAAGCCGAATCGTTTAACGATATATCCCTTGGAGAAGCGTGTATAGTTCGGATATGGTAGCATATATATAAATCAGTGAACGGTGATTATAGTGGTGTTCTGAGTTCTCACATCAATAGGGTTTTGATAATACCCTAGTGGTACCACGCGCATCATACCCAAGAGGCAGTTACTAGGTTTGATTAGTATAAAGGCATCATAAAGCTATCTCTAAGTAGGGGTCAGCCACATACAAGCTATCCACGTCCCATCACTATTAGCCTATTCTCAAATCATTTATCAAGTAGCAGAGGATCAAACACATACAATCTATCCACGTTCCATCACTGTCAGCTTATTCTCAAATTATCGGTCAAGTAGAAAGGGATCAACCACATACCGCCTATCCAGATACCATCACTATCAACCTGTTCTCAAATTATCTGTGAAATAGGAGGGGATCAACCACATACACCCTATCCAGATACCATCACTATCAGCATATTATCAAATCATCTGTCAAGTAGAAAGGGATCAACCACATACAATCTATCCACGTCCCATCACTGTCAGCTTATTCTCAAATTATCGGTCAAGTAGAAAGGGATCAACCACATACAAGCTATCCACGTCCCATCACAATTAGCCTATTCTCCAATCATCTTTGAAGTAGGAGACGGTCAACCACATACCCCCTATCCAGATACCATCACTGTCAGTCTATTCTCAAATCATCAGTCAACTAGGAGAGGATCAACCACATACCCCCTATCCACGTCCCATCACTATCAGCTTATTCTCAAATTATCGGTCAAGTAGAAAGGGATCAACCACATACAAGCTATCCACGTCCCATCACAATTAGCCTATTCTTGAATCATCTTTGAAGTAGCAGAGGATCAACTACATACCCCCTATCCACGTCCCATCACTATCAGCATATTCTCAAATCATCTGTCCAGTAGAAAGGGATCAACCACATACTTGCTATCCACGTCCCATCACAATTAGCCTATTCTTGAATCATCTTTGAAGTAGGAAAGGATCAACCACGTACTTGCTATCCACGTCCCATCACTGTCAGCTTATTCTCAAATCATCGGTCAAGTGGAAAGGGATCAGCCACATACTTGCTATCCATATGCCATCACTGTAAGCCTATTCTTAAATTATCTATGAAGTAGCAGACGATCAACTACATACATCCTATCCATATACCATCACTGTCAGCCTATTCTTGAATCATCAGTCAAGCAGCAAGGGATCAACCACATACTTGCTATCCATATACCACCACTGTCAGCCTATTCTTGAATTATCTGTAAAATAGGAGGGGATCAACCACATACATCCTATCCATATACCATCACTGTCAGCCTGTTCTTGAATCATCAGTCAAGCAGCAAGGGATCAACTACATACTTGCTATCCATATACCACCACTGTCAGCCTATTCTTGAATTATCTGTGAAATAGGAGGGGATCAACCACATACATCCTATCGACGTTCCATCACTGTCAGCTTATTCTCAAATTATCAGTCAAGTAGAAAGGGATCAACCACATACCGCCTATCCATATACCACCACTGTCAGCCTATTCTTGAATTATCTGTGAAATAGGAGGGGATCAACCACATACATCCTATCCATATACCATCACTGTCAGCCTATTCTTAAATCATCAGACAACTAGGAAGGGATCAACCACATACTTGCTATCCATATACCACCACTGTCAGCCTATTCTTGAATTATCTGTAAAATAGGAGGGGATCAACCACATACATCCTATCCATATACCACCACTGTCAGCCTATTCTTGAATTATCTGTGAAATAGGAGGGGATCAACCACATACATCCTATCCATATACCATCACTGTCAGCCTATTCTTAAATCATCAGTCAACTAGGAAGGGATCAACCACATACAAGCTATCCACGTCCCATCACAATTAGCCTATTCTTGAATCATCTGTGAAGTAGCAGACGATCAACCACATACCCCCTATCCAGATATCATCACTGTCAGCCTATTCTTGAATTATCTGTGAAATAGGAGGGGATCAACCGCATACATCCTATCCATATACCATCACTATCAGCCTATTCTTGAATCATCAGTCAAGAGCAGAGGATCAACCACATACATCCTATCCATATACCATCACTGTCAGCCTAGTCTCAAATCATCGGTCAAAAGGGGGGATTATTGACACACTTGTCGTTTCTTAACTTGATTTTCGCTAGTCGTAGGTCCTGCTACCACAAAAGCGGTCAAGATGACCGCAGCGAGGATGGCGGAGAGCTTCATTTTGCCGGTGCTTATTTGTCTGCTTTCGAGGTAAAATATGAAGATAGTTTTGGAAACAAATCGAAGATTATAGCGCCAAGTAAGGATTTGTATAACAGTGGTAGAGGTTGCTATATATGTTGAAGAAAACTTCCCGGTCATCTGAATGCCAAGGCTGAGCAAAGCAAGGAGAACTTGTCTTAGTATGTATACTGACCAAGCTTACAACTTACACGTAGTACTTGCATGATTTCTAGTTACACAGTGTTACCCTCCAAGCCAGGTCACCTGACCACAGGGCTCCTTTCCTTCTTCGCTAGTTCTAGAGCACAACCAATTTGATCACCTTTACATCTCCAGACGTTGTCACAAATTGGTAGCAAACCTTTGCTTCCGTCATCCAAGGGGTTTCTTCGGGCTTCGTTTCTGTCGTTTCTCCTTTCGTTTGACTGCCGGTTCATCACCTCGAGAACTGAGTAGCCGTTGAACCCTTTCGCAACTGTGCGGCTGCGGACAAGCTAATCGGGCTGTCTGGCGGGCGGCACCAAGCTGCCCCACCTTCCCCACCCAAACCAACCAACCGGCTCGCGTTGACAACTACATCCACAGAACGGTTGACGTAATTATTACGCGTGAAGCCATCAAGCACTCCTCAACCCGTATAGACGTCTATGGCGACAAGCTCCTTCGCCGCGCAATCGCGCTCGTCCACTTATTCATTCATTTTCGAAAAGGAGCCTTCCGTCAGTCCCGTGTCAGTCCTGTGACCTCGACCTCCTTACTTAAAGCCGAGTCAACTAACGTAATTCACTATTAGTGCCTTACACCGCCCCCTAACCCTTCCGGGTTGTGGGTGCGCCACATACTACTACAATTTCTGTTAGAGAATAACTACTTGTACAGGATAGAAAGCCTGTCGACTAGGTAGGAAGATAGACGTCAAGTAAGGAAGGCAAAACACTGTTTCTTACTATCTTGGATCTCTCTATACTCCTTAATTTATATACAGGCTTCAACACCTTCCTATATAACCAAGGTAAAGGCGATAGATTATATTATAATATACGGTCTAACGTAGCCTACATATAACAGAGGTAAGCAAAGGCTACAGGGAAGAGGGGTTCACGAATCCCTTATGGAAGGGCACCGAACCCTTAGGGCCTTGTAGGTTATACATCTATGTTAGGGAGAAGTAGGGCTGTCATAATGAAGCCTGACCGATAAGCTATCGAACTAACACCGCAGGCCTTGAGTTGGGAATAGCCTCATGTTGCAATATCATATGACACCGCGGAATAGCCGACCAGGTCGCTACGGTCGCCCGGACCCTTAACTATAGGGCGCACGGACGAAAAGCGTGGAATAGTCGACCATTCCCGAGGGAATACTACAGTAGCAGTACCTAACAACATGCCCCTCATCAGGTACAATCAATTTTACAAGGATCCTGGTGTTACGGGCGACATCTATCGGAAAAAGAGTACTGCATTAGCTTTTGCAGGTTAAAAGAAGATTACTTTGCCTCAATTGCTCTTAGAGAGATAATACTAAGCTAGAAATACAATGAGAAGATCAACTTGATTCTTCCTAGAGGCCTCGCGAATTATTTCCGATAGTACAGCCTCATGTAGCAAAATTAACGAACATCAAATCTGAGGAAAGAGAGGAAAGATAAGGGCCACCACTTGCGGTTTTTTTACTTCCTTCTACCGCAGGATTCTCCAGCGAAGAATCTACTTTTCTTTTGTGGCCTCGCACAACATCTTGTATCTAGAGCTGCATATAGCTTTTCTTAATATCGATCACTCATATTGGGTGTATATATTCTAGCCCAGCTCACTAGTCACTACCGGAGACTGGGTTGCTCGCCAGTCGCTTGGTTGAAGATTGACTCAGTGACTAGATCCACCCCCGGGATCACGCTGGCTGGTGTACCTTGTTTGAGAAGCTGCGACATGCCAATAGCCTGCTGATTACCCGTAGTTTTCCCAATTAGATCAAGAATTTGCTCAGTCCACTCTTTAGCCGGAGATCCTGCAGCTGTGCATCGGCCTACAATAAACAATGGCCACAGCACCCGAAATATGCTTCCAAATCCTATTTCACCGGAAGTGAAATAATATGTAATACTGTCGCAAATATCACCTGCCATCTGATCGATAATGCCAATAGACCGAGATACGATCTGCTGGTATTGTGGGTCATTTTGTGAACTCCACAGGCGCAAAGCCATCGCTCTAATCATCTCATTGAGAACGATGCGCGTTTGGCGATAATTGTTCCACATCGTGGCAATGGAGACATCGTGGTAAGTGTGATATCTATCGTCAAAAATAGGAGGATAGGTAGAACTTGGCAAATGGGAACGCGGGTCATCAATGACGGTATAATACCAGGCTGGACTTAGCGATGTAGTCCACATCTGTAGACTCGCATCAAGTAGAAGTGATTTATCGATCAAGAACTGTTGCTTCTTGAGGTCACTTCGCAGGTGCGCTTCATCAACTTGAATAGCGATATCGCTCAGCTCGACGAGCATATTGTAGAGGCTTTCAATTGGCCGCGTACGCTTATTTCGTTTGGACATTGAGATTTTAGACAATGCCGCAATCTTTGGTGAATTGTAAGCCCGGCAACTAAGTCTGAAAAAGACACGGCCGATCACCTGTAAATAAAATATAGGTAAATATACAACGCCTCCCACAGGTCGAAAGACTTACATTCTGAAAGCGCACAACTGTAAACAACTCGATCCCTACAGGCGAGTTTAACTGCTCCTCACCTCGCAATTCAAGGAGCCTCGCTGCTCCTTGGGCGTGATACTTCCAGCCACCGATCATTTTCGTGGGTCGTGATGTTAGTAACTGGAAGTATTGATTAGTGCATTTTACTCGGACGAAAATATCGCAGCTTGTAATAAGGTTCTCACCTCATACAAGCCCAGTAATACCACGGCCCCTAAGGTGGAATCCGATGTTGCTGTTTTTAGATTTCTTAAGGCGCTATTGGTAGCACACAAAGCAATGCTATATTCTTTCCTGGCCAATTTTTTCAAGTCAGGAATGTTCGCTATGCCTAGTAACCCTATAGCCTTGGCTGATGCCATTAACGCAGGAGAGGGATCATTCTTCAGTAGACTTGACAGAAAAGAAAGTAAGCCATGCTGTTGGTCGGTACCGATGTAGTATGAGATGATATAAGCCATGGCCCGCTGGTAGTTTGAGACAGGCGAATGAAGCAAGGGTGCTTTGGAAGGCGACTGCTCATGAGAGTTTTTGGTGGGATCTGATTTGCCGTCGGCACTATATCGGGCTTGGGCTTTCGACGCAACCTCCTCGCTTTGATCAATCATCCTTAAAGTATCAGGATCTCGATATCCAAAGCACTCTTTATCCACCCTCAAGCACTGCGAACAGGATGGCCGAAGTCGGTCGCACTACACACTGTTGGCCAACCATTTTCTATCGTAATTCGATATGTCCACTTACTCGTAGCCGTCGCTTCCGGCATAGCGCACACCCCATACTAAGTTTTCCTCTGTATACCATGACGATGTAATTCCGAAAGAGGAAACAAGTTCGCAGAAATGTATTTTTGGTGGGATGTGGGAGGACTGTGCCGTTCAAATAAAAGGGGCTAGAAATGAGAATACCGTACTTAGCCCCACAAGCTATTGGAGAACAAAGAGCCATTTGTTCTGGATCCACCGAGAGGAGACCAAAATGGGATGGAGCTTCGGGGCCAATCACCTTAAGAGTCAAGGCGGTCAGAGGCCCTATGTTCTACCTACCGGAAACAAGACTAAAAAGGGACTTAAAGGCTGCAACACTCGAGGTCCCGTGATATACCACCGTGTGATAGTACAACGATGGATCAAAAGTATTGGTAACGCCTGGCCCGATACTCCCAGGGATACTATGTACTGTAACATTCTGCCGGTTAAAAACCGTCGATATTGTAGCATATCGTATTAGCTTGTAAAGATAGGATCCAATGGATTGCGACGCTCAAGCGGATGATGTCTAACTATATGAGCTATCTGACAGGGAGTGTTAAATATCCCTGGCCTCGCTGTCTAGCTTGTTACGGCATTGAGCTCCAAGTATACCCAGGATAATAGATAGAATATGAAGGGAATTGGGTATTCCCGCAATGACGGTACGGATAGAGGAATATGTGATTCCTAGCGGTATGCAATGGCTTCTCCTTCTCGACATTATAGATTCCCCGGTTTAGCAATGCCTAAAAATCCCCAATCAGATTAAGACTTTATAAGTGTTTAGGCTAGTCTATTAGCTAAATCCATATTTCTATAGTTAACAATTTCTTGCACAATAATTTGCTTTGTTTGGTCATTCGAGAATTCGTGGCTGTCAGAAGGACGCTAAATTGATCGTTGTAATCAGGGTCGCTGGATCGAATTCTTGCGATATCTCGTCAACCAGAGGTCCTAGGATCTCCAGACCTAGTTCAAAATACACATAACTTCCTGCTTTATCGTTTGATACCGGCATTGACCCTGTATCAGCGATAGCGGCAGCAAACGTGGCCGAAATAGGGATTTTGCACCCCGACCGGGCGCGAAATTTTCGCGAACCACGGAACGCACAAACTCAATTCCAACGGACTAACCAGCAAGCTCAAGCCGACCGAGCGTCGCTATCAATTAACGACCGATCTTCGATAGAGGAAATCGCTTACATCGCAAGAACTGTTTATAATCAACATGCAAGCACCGTTAACCCGATTGTTAGAGGCTTCATCCAAAAGCTTTCCTCTCTGACAGATTCCAACACGGACTAGTATTCCCTAAGGCTCGCTAATATCTCCTATTCTCTATCTTATCTACAATACTAATCTTATTAAACTATGTAACGATATGAATAGTATAGGCTGTAACAGTAAGACTTCCGGCCACGGCTAGGTCGACGACGCTGGTATTATAGTAGTAGGTCGTATAGAGTATGAAATTATTCAAAAGCTGTATTAAAAACACAGGCTAGTAGAATAGTAGGCCCCTCATTATGCATTAGTCTTTGATATTAAGGAATATATATTGATTCACTTCCTAGGGCCGCTCCGCCGCGCTAAATATATACTACTTTATCTTAGCAAAGGCACTAAAAATGTTATTATCAAGCTAGACAAAGATGCAGAACGCTATCTTAGCTTCTAGCTTGATAAGAAGCTGTTATTTAAATAGTACCGGGAGAAAATACTTACTAAGGCTTCTACTAGCTTGCAGGCATTGAAATCGCTATCAGGGTCTATATAGGGCGCATCTCTGCTTACTATGTGACGCCTATACTAAGCAATCATTATCTTACAAGCCCTTATAGGTGTGTTAGCCTAGTACGAACCACAACAGTGGTTATTAGTAAAATAGCAACTAGGTGCTCGGCCTTTTGCCGTATTATAGTATCAAGCTGTATATGCAATTAGTGGAGCTTTTCGAACAACTACTGCTGTAGCGGTATGCGTTAAGCTGAGCTTTATACCGATACGGATTCTTATAACTAAGCTTGCTAATAAAGCAGCGCTTCGGATCCGTATAGGCCCTGCCTATACAGTTCCGAAATCAATACTTATTCAAAGGCAAAAGACTTAAAGAGACCGCTCAGGATAGTCACTGATGGAGGCTTAGGCCTAGAAGAAGGGCGGATACTTAACGGCTCCCCTAGACTCTTTACTAGCAGGCGGGAAATAGGAGAACCGTGTCGTATTCGCCCGGGTACCTTAGCGAGAGCCCCTAGCAGTGATTATCTCTAAGCGCGAGGATACAAGGAAGTAGTATAAAGAAACCCTAAATTAGAAAGAGGAGGAAAATATAGTTATCTATATAGATAGAAGTAGATACGAAGGCCGCGTAGGTGCCGGAGTAGACATCTTCAGGGCCCACGAAAGCCCAAACCCGACCACGGCCCGACCCACGCGTGGGCCGGGTTTTGGGCCTGGTCCTTAGGCCCATAGTGGGCTGTAGGCTTAGCCTTTCGGCCCATAGTGGGCCTATGGGCTTTTCGTGGGCTCTAGAAAAAGCAAATATAGTATTATGTCGTGACTACATAAAATATATAGTATGTAATTCTGATAAGTAAGCTATTTTATGAACGCCAAGACCTTGATTTTATGCAAAGATGGGCTTTGTCGGGGGGCCCATTGGGGGCCCGACGTGGGCCTAGTGGTCGGGCTTGGGCCTAAGGTTTAGGCCCAAAGCCCACGTCGGGCTGGGCTTTGGGCCCGACCTTGGGCCCGCTGGTGGGCTTTGAAGATGTCTATGCCGGAGTACTAGTATAGGGCAAGGACCCTATATGCTACCGCTCTCAGATAGGAACCGAGGGGATCTCCACTGTCTATACTGCAGAGCTGCGAGCTATCGATATAGCGCTATCAGTTATTTATTAGTCAACCGAATTAATAAATTAGTTAACGTAATTCACTAGCGAGTCGTACACACTAGCGAGTCGTACACCCCACCAACCACTACTTTTTGAAAACACTATTTTTCCACCACAATACTAGATATTGATTCAACTATCTAGTATTACATTGATTAATCTTATGCCCTATTGTATTGCATCCAGAACACCGAAACACACGCCTAGTAGTAGGCTCAGCGCCTATAGTAGGCTGCTGAGCAAGCTCTGCATCATCGTTTTGAATAGCTTCAACGCTTGCTGGCAGCGTTGAAACTAGAGATATAGATTCGCCGACCGTAGGATCTTGCTGCCTAGATATCTGGCGATTGGAACGTGTGCGTTTTTGACGCTTCTTCTCGTTGAATCTATATAGTTGCCGAATCTCTTCCGCTTGCAAAACAGTGTTATGAAACGCTAGTTCAGCACCTTTGACTAGTTGATCTAGCGCACGCTCTGTAGGGCTTCCTGGCGACCGCGAGCGCTTGCGTAGTAGAGCTTTGATAGATGATACTTGCTTGCTAAGCTGCTTAATCGTATGTGGTGTAGTAGGCACGAAAGCACTACTCCTACTACTAGGCCTACTAGTAGTAGTAGTAGGTGGTGTAGGCGTTCGAAGTGATATATTAAGCTTTGATAGGACTCGCTCGGCATCTAGCGGAACTAGGCCGGCGCTGGCAAAGCTTGATTGAATCGTGCTAGGTAGGAAGGCTTCCTGGCGTGCTAGGAAATAGGATTCTAGGAAGTCGACCTTATCGATATGGTTGTATCCTAGGCGAGTTTGGGCCTCAATTAAGCGACCGTATAAGCGTTTTAGGATAGCAAAACATCCTATATCTAGCGGTTGTAGAAGATGCGACGAATGCGGTGGCATACATAGTGGTATAACGTTGTTTTGCTAGCAGATTTGATCGAATTGTGGTGTTAGATAACTACCATGACTATCTAGTATCAACAAGCGATATTTGCCTTGCGTACGACTAGTAGTTGCTAGTATAAATAGCTTCTCTAGCCAACGTAGGCCTATATCGTCGTTAGTCCAACCGTTTAGTGATATTTCAATTCGCTAATCGCTAGGAAGGTTATTAAACCAACTAGCAATATAAACCTTCCCTTTGAATACTATACACGGCGGAAGCGAGTAGCCGGTTGCCGATATAGATTCAATTGCTGTTACCCACTCTCTATTTCCTGGTTGTAGAAGAGCTTTCCGACCGTATAGATCCTTCCGTGTAACAACTTTACAAGTCGCTATTAAGCCCATTGCAAAGCCGGTTTCATCAAAGTTATAGATATCGCTAGGAAGGATACCGTTATCGTTGATTGTTGATTCAACAAGCCTAAACCACGCGCGTAGACTTGCTAGGTCTTCGTTTTGGGCACGTTGATAGTCGTAGCGCCTACTAAAGCGTGTGCAAAGCTCTGGTCGACGTTTAATATAGCGTGTTACCCAATTAATGCCGATCGAAGAAGATTAGTTATCACCACGCGTTGCTAGTAGAAGATTTGCCATATCTTTAATATGCGAAGGCCTAGGGGAAGCACCACGCGTATCAAGCGATAGTATCCACTGGCAAAGCGAATCCTCTTCTTGTTGTGTCAATTTAAAGCTATTAGCACGCGTTTCCTGTCGATATGTTTTGCCATTAAGCCGGTCGCGTAGTGTAGTATGTGGCACGTTATAAACCGCTGCTGCTTTGCGCATAGATATAGTTGAATCCTTTTGAATAGCAGCGATAGCGAGTAGTATCCTACCCTCCCTATCTGGCGATTTTGGAACGTTTTTAAAACGATTTGGTGGCATAGTGTGTGGTAGAAGATAGTAGGTGGAAGATAGGAGACGCGTTTTAGGTGGGGTGTACGACTCGCTAGTGTGTACGACTCGCTAGTGAATTACGTTAATAAAAAATACACTCAAAAAAGTGGTTATCTTCTCCGACTCCTAAGCGGCACTATAAGCCCTCCGCCGACTAAGGATGCCTTCAGGTCAAGCTTACTTGATCTTAGCGATCCAGTATCTCTAAACACTCAACGATATAGGAATCTCTGTTAAATTCCGCTGGATCCCTGCGTATGAAGGCATCCCTAGCAATAAGCTTGCTAATACAATAGCTAAGGAGGCCGCCCTTTCCAATACCGATACTTTAATCCCTGATAATCGTTATCTTATCCTTGTATCAACTATTAAACGACGTATACGACAACAAGCAAAACAAGCGTAGGACGTAACGTGGTAGAAGAAGAGCGCACGGTTAACGAAACGATTAACCGAACTGCTAGGAAAGAAGAACCTAGACTATTAGCAAAGTCTGCGGAAAGCAATATCATTAGTGCTGATTCAGCTAAGAATAGGGAAGATTAGATTATCTTATTACCTTGCTAAAATTAACGCGCGAGACGTACTAAGATGCGGATGCGATCTAGGTAACTAGATAGTCGTACACGTTCTGCTTGAATACCTAGAGCTGCAAGAAATACGTATAACACTAAGGAATTCCTTAGTAGAAGTAGGTGTCTCTATATAGCTCGGCACTAACGAGCTTCTTCGCTAGCTTCCCGTAAGGCTATATCTAGCATAGTTTATAATTTCGTTAGGCTTGCTTAATTAATTCAAATACCTTGATCTAGCCGCCTTCGGAATAGAGCCGGAAAGCGTAGTAGACTAGATATAAGCGTTAGGCAGTGGTCCTATAGGACCGATAGGTCATAAAAATAGGAGTAGGATGCTAGGAATTTAGCCTACTCTCTTGAATGCTAATAGTAAGCGGGAACGGCGACGGCCGCGTATAAGAAATAGTAGGAGTAGAATATAGGAATATAGATGAGTAGCGTGAAATCGAGATCTAGTGAATTAGATCTGCTTAGCAATAATAACTAGCAACCTGATAATTTAGAACTCGGTAATACGAGTTGCTAGGGAGAGTATAGGAGACGAGGAAGGGAGTAGGATAGTGTATACGGACTAGTGTATATAGGACACGGGAGTTGTGATACGGGAGATGCGGAGGTAGGGCGGTAAGATTCTGCTAATATATAACCTTATTATTAATCTGCAGATAAGGCCGGCGGTGTGGTTCTGCTATATTATTACTCTGCAAGATAAGGCCGGCAGTTTCTCCGCCCGTATGTATAGATAGATGTTGATACTAGATGTTGCATGTTGGATTGCTGAGGCTACTAGTGTATATGGTAGGTGCACTCGGCTCCGCCGGGACACGCGGGATAGCCGCGGAGGCGGATCCCTTCTTTCGTTTAATTCTTTCCTTTGTCGTTCGATTTTATCTACTTGTTCTAGGCAGCGCAACACTGCCTAGCGTTGCTAGCAACTTCTCATGCGCACTAGGCTGGCACTAGAAGGCGCAAATCCCTGCATAACACCTTGTAATTAGAGGCAGCTTCGTCAGGAATAAGATTATTGATTGATTGATCAGAAGGACGCTAAAATGGGGCCGAAATACACCAACTAGAGAATAAATCATCATAGCTCTTCTAATGTACTTTCATAAATGGTAAGCTTTTCGTGAAGTGTTACGTAATGCATACATTAGTAGACCATTCTGAAGCAAAAAATGACGCCTAAACCAAGAATATATCCCGACGCTAAAATATACGATCATTCGAGAGATACAGAGCCCTTCAATTAATTTTTAAGTCCACAGAATTATAAATAAACAGATATCACTTGTTGAATTTCGAGTCATCAATAAAGACCTTTCTAGAGAACAAAACTAAACACCATGAAATTCTTTCATCTACTTCTTATTACTTCCAGCTCGCTAGTCTTTGCTGGAAATGAACCGCAACCTCATCACTCTCGCCAGGTTTCGAGTGCAACATCCCCTCTCATCACAACCCAATATGGGACTGTGTTCGACGTACCAGTTACCATTAGAGATCAAACCTTCATGCTCCTTGTCGACACTAGTAGCAGTGATACCTATGTCATAAAGGCCGGTTCACTTGTATTAATAGTACCGACAACCTCGTCATACCCGAAGAGGATTGTGCAGTACTTCCAGGAGAGATACAAAACATCTAAAACCAGTCTCAAAATCTCCGATAAGATATTTAGCGTTGAGTATAGAGCAGGACTTGCGAGCGGCTCCATAGTATATAAAAAGGTGTCCATAGCTGGTATAACAGTCAAGTCGCAAAAGACCGCCATTGCAAATAACTCTAATTCTATAGGTGATAGAGTAAATAGCGGATTGCTTAGTCTAGCTTATTCATCAATAACCTCGGCCCATCCAGCGAATCACACGGACAACTCAACGTAATAGCACAATTGTCTAGTCTACCATCCTTTGCTCTTCAATATGCACGAGGAAGGTCTAATCGATCCATATTTCAGTCTTACATTAGCTCATACGCCTCAGAATGCCTCCGTTACTTTGGCGGGTACGTGACGATTAGTGGTCTTCCCCCACACCGGTTCATCATAGCCTTCATTTTTCAACTAACTGTCTCAGTCGAAACCACCGATAATATTCCGCTATAGTATACATCCGGAAAGGGGGCTCGATCATGCTGGTCGACGACCGTCAAAAACGCTATTTACGGGCCATCATCTTCCAACAAGTTTACAACCAACTTCCTTCATTCCAAGCATTTGTTGACTCGGAAAACTATCTCATACCTCCCTCATGGCATTATTGAGCCAATAAATGCGCTTTTCTCCCCTCCAGCAACCTACGACTCTGCACTGGTGGTTTGTATCGTTGACTGTTCGGCGAAGGCACCAGAGTTCGGCATCACGCTTGGTGATCAGACTTTCTTCCACAATGGCTCGGATCTAATCTATCAGACCTCTGAGGGATATTGCATCTCAGGTTTGGCTTCTTCTGAGGAGGTCTCTATTGGTGATATACACTGAACATCATTACCGCGTCTTTTCTGAAGAATGTGATTGCTACTTACAGAGTAACTACTAAGTGTTCCTCCTAGTAATAGGTATATCCTTATATTATAATATGAATCAAGCAATTAACTAAATTGATTCGTAGGTCTCAAGTAATAATATATAAATCAACGCGAAGAACTAAATATTACAGTGGGGAAATGGATAATACTAGGGGGATTTCCGATTACAGGGTATCTTTCTAGTACATAGTCTTTACAGGGTATACTATTAGAATGCTACTTGCAGGGTAGCAGCCTGTTAGTTAGGCAAAGAAAAATGAATATAATATAGAATCGTGATAGAATCGGAAGGAAAACAAGAGTATATTATCCAAATAACTGAATCTTAAAGAGATTCAGTTTCAAAGAAAGGGGGATTCTCTTTCTATAACCTAAATATCGTTATTCCGCTGCTTACTGAAAGAATATCGGTAAAAGAGTCTGATTCTGAATTCTATTGTACTATACGTTTATAAATTAAAATCTCTATATATACGATTTATATCCGAAATAAGCCGGTCGGCCGGAATAATATTAAATATAGTTATTCTATAATATGCTTTAAGAATTTAAAAATAGATATTTTTATATAAGTATTCTATTTAACGAATATTAAATACTAGTGTTATATAATATTGCAACATAAGGCCATCCCTAACTCAATACCTTAGGTGTCAGTCTGATACCTTATCGGTCAGGCTTCGTTATGACAGCCCTACTTCTCCCTAACCTAGATGCATAACCTATAAGGCCCTAAGGATTCGGTACCCTTATATTAGGGGTTCGTGAACCCCTCTTCCCTGTAGCCTTTACTTACCTCTATTATATACAGGCTACGTTAGACCGGATATTATAATATGATCTATCGCCTTTGCTTTGGTTATGTAGGAACGTGTTGAAGCCTGTACATAAATTAAGGAGTATAGAGAGATCCAAGATAGCAAGAAACAGAGTTTTGCGTTCCTTACTTAACGTTTATTTTCCTACCTAGTCGACAGGCTTTCTACCCTGTATAAGTAGTTATGCTCTAACAGTCGGGTCGAGGGTCTGAGTCTTGGACCCTCGCGAGGGTCGTGCCGAGGTCTACTTACTTAACGTCCCTCTTCCTACCTAGTCGATAGGCCTTCTACCCTACATAAGTAGTTATTCTCTTACATTATTATTACTCTTGTTTCTTTCTTTTCTCCTAGAATACCGGGTTGTCATAAGGATTTATTCTACCTTCTCTAAGTATCAAGAAGCCGGTATTTCTCTGGAAGATACTATAAGAGACTCTATGGAGTATAGCAGATACTATAGGTAGTATGGAAGACGACCTATTATTCCGGGAGAAAAGAAAGAAACAAGGGTATTAGTAAATCCCGCTCTATAATCTCTACTATTGGAGATTAGAGCGATTCAGCTTAAAAGTTTCAGATTTAGGATAGCGCGGGAGATTATAGGAAATTAAATGTATCATAGTCGATAAGAGAATTTCAGGAGAGAAGGGGAGCGAGGAGGGAGATTCTCTTAGCCAGACCGCATCGCGGACCGTCTCCAGTGTATTTTTATAGCTTAGAGGAATGGAAAAAAGAGAAACCACGTAGAAGGCTGTCAATTAGAGAGGCTATATAGAATCTCAATGGAGATAGAAGGGCGACTTGATAAGTATAGTCTAAGCCTAATCAAACCTCAGCTTATCCCACGGACATGACAGAAAAAGTCTTGGAAACAGAGGATAGAGGTAATTTGCAAAACGAATGGCAAGGACACGAGCGGGAAATGCATCAGCACGGAGCATAATAGTAATGTGACAAGGAAGGAGTGCTCCTCAGACCTGTTTCCAGATCTTGATCCTCTGATACAGAAAATATCAAAGAAGTGGGATAGGAAGACAAAGAGCATTTGAAATGTGCGTTGGTTGATAGACTCAAAAACGATGACGAGCCCGTCGTCTATCTGATGGAGGAGTCATGCAGGATGCATTGCCGCAATTCCCAGGTATTGTACTCCCATCCCTATATCTAGTGGGTCCACAACGACCTGGGCGCGAACATGGATGGGAACGTGTGCCATGACGATGGCCGCATTCCCAGTAGTCAGTATAGACGGTACACATGATGATATCCTGGATCAAATTTAGTTATCCAGATCCAGAAGAAGAGCACAATGAAACCAGGTGATGATAGTAGCCGAAATTACGTACGGCTTTTGATAAGGAGAGGTGGGAACTTGGCAGAGCTAGGGGACGAGAAGATGAGTTATCGATGATAGAAGTAGATTGAAAGGCAGTCAAGACTGAATCAGAAGATGATATTGGGTAAGATACTGGGGTAATTCAAAAGGAGTTTATATAGTTGGTCTCTGGCTTAATAGCGTGCTGCTAGTTTTCCAGATTTCTATTTTTGAGTATCCTAACCCAGATCTAGGTCATTTGACTGTCCTGTGTTTCATTCACTTGCCGCCCGAAATTCTCCAAGGAATGATTATAGACAGGGATATTGTATTTGAATTTGGTTGGGTTTCAAAAATTGTTTAGGTGGGAGCTAGTATAGCTTTCCATTCTGATTATGAGTAGACTTCTTAGCCTTCTAAGATAAAAGAAGACGTGAAGAATAATAAAGAAGTTTGGTAAAGCAAATAAACGAACCGATGCCATCCAAGCAAGACGTGGACCTCACTGTATCTGGGCTTTTTTTAATAAACGAGTGTACCCGTGGTGGTCTTGAGGTAAGATCCACATCGATCATCTCCTAGGCACGAAGGGCCCAACAAATCGACACAAAATAATCAGCCGAGGGAGAATTTTCCACTACTACTCAGTGCAGAGCCTTTTCATCATCATATTTGGTTTTTCCTACATTCAAATTCCAACAAAGAGATTTGTTGATCATACATGATTTGGTATAGTAGTGTCACTGTTTCACCAACACCACAAATGGTGGTGGGCAAGGGCACTAGTAAAACTTGAGAAGCTCTGAACATCTATCAGTCACGGTAATGTACGACTTGTCATCTAATTCTCAGCGATATGGGTACCTGTTAGTTTTAAAAAGCCCCAGTATCTGTCTCTGCCAGTTGAAGACACCAAATTATCCAAAACCACACCATCAGCTGTAGAGCCCCGAATGCTCGAGCCGCCAGCCCAACAGCCTCACCTTGAGATATATATACATCCCTGTCAACCCAACAGGAACAATTCCAAATCAATTTGAATAAATGAAATGGCCTATACGTAGGGGAGGTCCGTTAAGTCAAAATGGCTCGCAGTCATTCCATAGAAAGAATCATGGCGGAAGGATCCGGATTGGGGCCGTGAACTGACAGGCAATATTGGCCCACAGATGGATGATGACGAGAAAGCAAGATCTTTCTGAGGGTCTGTAGTCCAAGGCTGATTCTCCTAGCCCCCACATAGCTTTTACAGCCCTCGATCGAATCACCGCCCCCAACCAAATAAGTAGAGCATGACAATTGGACAAGAATCATGTCACGTGAAGGCCTGCGGCCCACGCTACATAATCCGCCCTGGCGGGGGATAAAGGACCAAGAACCCTTTCCCTCAGAATTCAAGTTCACTCAAAATTCCTGAGTTCGCTCCAGCGGAAAACAAATAATCAGAAACATCAAAAGCGTTAACTTACTCCTCGAAATGGCACTCCCGCTATTTATTCCGCCCTGTATTCGCAACCCTGCCGCGTGCGACCACTTTCCGTCCCCTGACAAGCCCCTGCGTATTCAAATCGAAGGGCCCTCGATTGCCGTAGAGAGGCTTCTTCCCCATACTGTCTGGCGTCTTGCTGAATTTGGAGAAGGGCAGTTTCCTCAGCCAGCAGCTCCGGAGTTAGCCCGGCTGGCTTACCAAGCAATCTACGGACATGACGCTCACTCTCAAATCCCCGGGGATCTAGTGGTACGCGACGAGTATTTAGGTTGGGTAGCCAAGAACCCTCCAGAACCGTAAGTCAATAAATAATGCTTTTCGTTCTTGACTGGGGTATCTCTAGCGACTTGAGATTATCCTTTGCTAACTAATGCGACTAGAGTGATTGATTACTACGGTGTGACATTTGACCATCTTGTTCCTCCAGGTGACCACAACCCGGAGGTTTTACAAATCAACATTATTGAGGTTGAAAATGATGATGGAGCTTACGCTAGGGAAGCTTTCGCGAAAAAGTGGCTTGTATCAGAAATAGATCCAGCCGATTTCATTGGGAAAAAAGTGCTGGCAATCCCGAGATGTTGTCAGGGGAGAAAGGGAACACAAGATCGTTGGCGAGTCAATGCGATGGTAGAATATAGGATTAATGGCCGCCAGAATTTCAAAGGACAGAAAGAATGGGCGGAGTATATAACAAAAAACACAGGGTAAAACTGCTTAATCTGATCTGAGTGTTACATGTCAAAAGGGCTTTACTGGAAATTAGGCATTCTAACGAAGGAAACAAAGCTAGAAAAAGGAAGAAAAGGAGAGAAGAGATCTTAGGGGAGATAAAGCCTTTTTGTGTACCCTCCTATCTTTAACACACCGAACATCCTTAATACTCCTCCTACTGTAGTATTCCCTCGGGAATAGTATACTATTTGGTAACAAGAAGCTGGGTTTATAGGAGATGTAAAGATGATGTTTTATTCTTATAAGGGAATTAATGATAAGCTAACGGTGACGATGCTGTCACGTAGTAAGATAACGCCCTTCTTCTAAAAAAATAGCGTCCTGCTGTTATTATAGTAAATTGGAGAAAAAGTAGAAGCAGAGAAGCGAAGGAAAAATCAATAGGTAATAGTTGTTTAGAGGGTTTACGGGCTGTTAGGCTTGATAGTTGTATCGATTATTGCTGCTGTAGCGTTAGCTACTATATCGTCGATAATTTCTTCGACCTAGCTAGGCGTGTAGGTTTTAGAGATAATATGTCATATGATATTGCAACATGAAGCTATTCCAAACTTCACGCCTCAGGTGTCAGTTCGACACCTTATCGGTCAGGCTTCATTATGACAGCCCCACTTCTCCCTAACATAGATGTATAACCTACAAGGCCCTAAGGGTTCGGTGCCCTTCTATTAGGGATTCGTGAACCCCTCTTCCCTGTAGACTTTGCTTACCTCTGAATTATATATATACTACGTTAGACCGTATATTGTAATATAATCTATCGTCTTTGCTTAGTTATATAGGAAAGTTGTTACGCGCTACTAACTGGTTAACGTAAAGTGTGTGTTATCGTAACGTACCTTTCCCGTAATCTCCGACGATCTATCTCGCAATCGTACTGTTGCCTACTCTAGCCTTACACGGGCTCGGATCTATAGAGTAGACCGAAGACGTATATAGTTAAAGGGCGCCTAGTTAGTCGACTAAGTAGTTATATAATAACTACTAAGTATTCCTCCTAGTTAGAGTATATCCTTATATTATACCGTGAGGGTATTACGTCTCTTAAAGATAGTCGATTATTAAGTTTAATTTGTAAGTAATAAATATATAACTATAAGTAATAATAGATAAATTAACGCGAAGAACTAAATATATATAGGTGAATAAGCGTCCTTATATATCTATTCCTTCCGTTATTCTCGATAGGACCTTTCCTATCGTGCGGATAGGTCCGTTCTATTCGAACGGAATAGATCGTTACGTAATCCTATACTTAGGTATTATAGCCTAAGTATCTCGATAGATTATCTAGTAGAATCTATCTAACTATCTTATTACTAAACTAATTAGTTTAGTGTTAGAGAATAACTACTTGTACAGGGTAGAAAGCCTGTCGACTAGGTAGGAAGATAAACGTCAAGTAAGGAAAGCAAAACACTGTTTCTTGCTATCATGGATCTCTCCATAATCCTCAATTTATGTACAAGCTTCAACACTTTTCCTATATGACCAAGCAAAGACGATGGATCACATTATAACATACGGTCTGACGTGGCCCCTATGTGTCAGAGATAAGCAAAGGCTACAGAGAAGAGGGGTTCACGAATCCCTAATGGAAGGGCACCGAACCCTTAGGGTCTTGTAGGTCATGCATCCTTGTTAGGGAGACGTGGGGCTGTCATGACAAAGCCTGACCGATAAGGTGTCGAGTTGACACCTGAGGCGTGAAGTTGGGAATAGCTTCATGTTGCAATATCATATGACATTTAGGCGAGTCTATAATTAGTATCCTAGGGGTAGGTCTATAATATTACCTCCCTCTCTCTTAGTCTTTCGTTCTCGGAAGATATAAGTAGTCGTAAGTCCCCCTTATTAGTAACCTTTCCTTCTAATTTCCTTTAGTAATATTCCCTAACTATATCTTCGTTAGGCGTTTCTAGTTATAAGCTCTACCTTCTAATCGAAAGTAAAGGGTTTAAGTCCTTAGTCCCTTATAACCGCTATACTCGTCTTTACTACGTCTATATTTACTCTAATTATTCTAAGAGCTATTCGTGCTATATCTATACTAGTCGTAGTGTTAGGTATAAGATATCTAAGAAGTCTTTTTCTAACGCGGAGTAGCGCTACTTACTTAAGTCGTAATCCTCTCTTCGTAATTAGGAAGAGGAATTATTATAGGCGTAATCTAAAATCTTTACTAAACTATTACGTATCTAAAAGTAGGAAAAATTATTACGTAAACGCGCTAGTAATTTTATTGCTTATAAATATTAAGATATCGCTAAGCTCGAAGAGCTCGAGCGTCGCGAAAAGGAAGAGTTAGAGCGTCTCGAAAAGGAACGTATCGAGGCCTCTACTTTTAATAATCGTAGAGTAGAGTCTAGTACTACTTCTAGATATAACGATACTACTCTTTCTACGAACTATTAGGTTCTTATAGCGACTTCCGACCTTCCTAGTTTATCGTAAGTCCTTAGGTCTTCCGATTTTTCTTAGGATAATCTAGACGCTTTTTTGTAACCTCCTAGTTATAGTTCTATTTCCGGTAAAACCGTCCTACTAATAATTAGTAAGCTATTAGATTCTCGATAGGTTCCTATATATTATTATTAGTATCGTATTCTTTCTACTTAATAAGGTAGTAGTATTTTCTATTAATTCGTTTCTCGTCTAGTATTTCTTCTACTTCGAATTCTTTATTAAGTTTAATTTCTTCTTCTTCTTTATCGTATTAAGTATTCTTAGATACTAGTTCTAGTAACGATATATAGAATATTAGATATATCTTTTTTATTCTTTCTAGTAGTTTTAATCGAAAATTTACTTCGCTAATTTTTTCTTTAATTTCGTATAGTCCGATTCGTAGATAATTAAGTTTTACGCTTAGTTATTTTATTTTAATATTACGTTTTAGAAGGTAAATCTTCCCTCCCTTTTTTAGATTAGGTTCCTCTAATCTACCTTTATCGTAGTAGAGTACTATCCTATTACTAAGGAACTCTATATCTCGGTATAGCTATAGGTATAGCTACTTTAATTTCTTTACTATTAACCGGGCCTCTTCCGTAATAGGGTAGTTTCTAATTAATTTTCTAATTATTATTAGATTTCTTCTATAATTTACGAAGAATAGGGTTTCTCTAGTTATTATATTAACCGCGTTATTATATATAAACTAGGCTAATAGTAATAGTGTAACCTAGTTATCTTAAACGTAGTTTATATTTATTCGTAGATATTACTAGACCTCGGCACGACCCTCGCGAGGGTCCAAGACTCAGACCCTCGACCCGACCCTCGCGAGGGTCGGGTCCAAACCTTATAAGGGTCACCCGACCCGCGATCCTCGCCTACCCTTATGCGGGTTACCCTTAGCGACCCTCAGCGACCCTTATTTTCATAAAATTTTGACGCTTTTCCTAATTAGGATATATAATTTTGCTAAATAATCTTAGTTAAATATTGTTATTTATAGCTGTTTTAGTATTACAATCAAGATTATAGTTTAAATCGAAGGAATTAAATTAAAATCTTTATAAACTTTTTTGAAATTCAATTAATCTTAAGCTTATATAGTAAGGAATATTCTATCCTAGTTAAAGTAGGTATGTTTATTATGTATATAACCGCTATTAAGAGAGATATATATATCTCTATCCTACTATTCAGGATTTTCTGACCACGGTTAAAATCAGAAATACTTATATGTAAAAGACTATCCTACAGCCTATATTTCTAACGGTAGGAGAGGGTTAGGATGATAGATATTAGATAACTCTACTAACTCTTCTATCCTCTCGACGATATTTTTAACTATAGTTAGAAAACTAGGGTAGGTAGAAGAATTCGCTGAGGATCCTGAGGGTCGGTAAGGGTCGGTAAGGGTTACCCGCGGGTAACCCGCGGGTAACCCTCACCGACCCTTAGGACCTAGCTAATTAGAAGACGTATACTAGTCTAAATAGGTTATATTATAATATATCGACTCTAATCCTACACGCTATCGTAGAGATCCTATTACTCCCCTTTATTACTACGAATTCCTTTCACTTTTATTAATCCTTTTGTAAGTTCTCTATTTCCCCTACCCTTACTATATCTTAGTACTCTAGATTCCCCTCCTCGTCCGTCTACGAGGAGGATACTTTAGATCTATTTTATCTTAATTTTCCTAATAAAGCGTACTTAGTAACACTAGAGCCCTCTAGAAGCTACTTAGCCTCGGTTATTAGCTCTAATCTTCTTTTAATACTACTACCTATCCCGGACTCCCTTACCCGTGTAGGTTGAAATAAAGTATATATCCTTTATTCTATAATATCTAAAGATACGTTTATTACCTAGTAGTTGAAAATAGATTACGGAATAAAGAAAAGGATTAACTAGGATATAAACTACTAATCTAAGGCCTAGAAATACTTCGAATAGGTAGTAGACGAAAAAACTAGGAAGCCTAGAGTAATATATAATCGATATATTACTATTCTTAAGTATCCTAGTACTTATCGCTATAGAATATCTTTAATAAATAAGTATATAAAGGGGGTTAACTACCGGAAGGTAGTATATATAATACTAAATATTAGACAGATAATCGAGAATACGGTATATAATATATTAATTATCCTATCTAAGATACTTATTTTTCTAGGTAAAGTTTTCTCCGAAAGCCTTAGTCTTTACTTAGGAAGAGTAGGAATATAAGCTTTTAAACTTACTCGCTCTATTACGACTCCTATTTTAATTTATTAAGCACTAGCAATTTTATAATATTATTAATTATACTCGCCTTACCCTAAGGAGTCTAGAAATCCCTTCCTCTAAAATAATTCGAACCCGGCTATAAGACTTTGTAAAGAAGTAATAACTAAGTATTCTTCGAAAACTACCTTTAGATTTAAAGCTCTTACTTATACTAGACTATTAGACCTCTCCTTTTCGGTAGTCTTTTATAGTAGTAACTAGCTACTTCCTTAACTAGGACTAGGAAT